AACCAATGTACGAGGGCGACCAGCCAATCAGGGCGGTCGTGTGTGAGACGCACCTACCACCTACCACGATTGCTAGTAGCAGTACACTGCTTCCTTGGGCGCTGTGCCCTGTGAGAAAGTACCGATTTGGGAGGCACTTGCTCCCTCAACCTTGCACCCGCTTGGCAGCAGGTGGCAAGGGCCTAGGTACCTAGGTACTTAGCAAGCCCGGCTGAACCACCCCCATGTCGAAATTAGGACATCTGAAACACGATCCCAACCCCTCTTTCTTTCTTCTTTGGTCTGTTTTTCTTTTGCCCATGGATGACCGTTGCTGGAGCCGTGTACTCGTACTTCGTACGTCTTCTTCACAGTTCGTACTCCGACAAGGTGCAGTACAGTACAGTCCTTTTGTTGCCCTCCCCAACCCCAGCCCCAACCCCAAATCCAGAGACCACCCACGGATGACGACGGGATGAACGAACCCATGAGAACCCCATGAGACTGCCCCACGGAAGAAGAAGAAAAAGCAACGCTGGCGTACGACTTGCGTACGACTTTCCGAGGTACCCAGGACCCGCGAGCAGGCTCCAGCGTCCCACTTCTTGACTTCAGCTCGGTCGGCGTCACTTGACGCTGGTCGCTGACACGCGAGATGCTCTGCCTTCACTACGCCTGCAGGACATCGTCCCCCTGTCGTACCCCAATCGCCGAGAGCACCAATCGATTAATCGGGGAACTTGTTCGTCACACCAGCCTCATCCTCACAATCGCCCGCCCGCTCACTCTCCGCGGGCTGTATGTAACGTCAGCTGCACCGGTCCTCTCCCTCTGCCCGGTCCCAATGGCTCCGATATCGACTTTGGCACCGACTCGTCCGCTTCTCAACCCGCTATCCCCCGGCTAGGATGTCACCAGGCTCTCACTCGTCCCGTACCATCTTCCGTCGCTTTCGTCTCCCAGGGTTGTCGTTACGTCGACTTCTCCCCCGCTTGTCCGCCATCAGGTCGTGTCACGGAGCGTTCTAGTGCTCGATCGTCCCGAGAGCAAGAGCTTCCATCAGCCATGGAAACTCTGTTCCCCTCGACTCGAGCCTCGAGCCTCGAGCACGATACGCCACGCCTCGTCTCATGAACCTCCACCCGTCTCTTTTCAACTCTCCAACCGTTTGGGGCGCACTTGAGTTAGTTCCCTACTGGTGGCCAATCGGTCCCATCATTCTTAGCCCGCTAGAGTAATTCGACTCAACGGCCAGCTCGGCCTGTGGCTGGCGTGGCCATGCATCTCGCCACGCATCTCGCCACGCACCCCGCTCGCCGTCCATCCTCTGGCTTTTTTGCCGTCTGCGTCTGCATCTGCGACAAGGACATGTTATGTTGTGCTGCATCGTGCTAGAGTGCGACCGGCAAGTGTCGACTCGACTCTGGCACCAACTGCAATCGCCGTCTGTTGAGCGGTGAGCCAAGCTTCTTTCTTGCTGTGGGGGGTTCAAATCTGGACCGTCATGGCCTTCGTCCTCGCCCTCACCCTCATCCTCTGCATTCATTACCACTTCTTACTTTGACCAACCTATACCATTTCAGATGATTCAAGCATCTTGACCGAGGTTACTAGACGTCACCAAAAAAACACCCCAGTCTGAAAATAAAAATTTAGAGCCCCACCCCAAGAGAAAGACGATCACTTGGCTCGCCAACCACGCCCCTCCAACACGTACGATTTCACAATGCCCCCGACGCCCACCCGTCGCTCGGCCTTGGTTGGTGCCCGTCCAAGGCGATAGATCGGCAACTAGCCTTAGCGACTAACCCTCGTGGTCGGCCCAAACCAGTGGTACCCTTGTCGATTCTGGATCTAACTCTTCCGATCTTGGGGCGGGTCCAGACTCAACCTCACTAACGTGGTGGCGCCTCTCCAGCTCGCCGAGCCGGTGGTAATGAAGAGAATTAATTCCGCTCTCGCCCAACCTAAAGGGAGGTAAACCGCCACAGCCTGCCTCCCATCTCCGGCGCATCCCACCGATGCTAGTGTGTTGTCCACTGCATTGGTCGCATTGCAACCATGAAAGTCCCCCTTCGGCTACGTCTTGGCGTCTCGGAGTGTCCTACTTCGTGCTGCAACTTCCCGGCACGATAATCCCCCACGGTTGCGGAGAGGTCTTTTCTGTATCGTGCTACACGAGCATCACATGGCCGGCTGCAATATACTTCATGGGACATATAGTAGATTCTTAAAAGCATGGGTGCTTGTCTCCCGTCTACTTCCAGCGCCATCGTGCCGACGGGTCCCGACTTTATCGCAGTTTGCATTACGTCGCCGGCAACCTCATTTATCTACACTTATGTCATTGTGTCGTTGGGGATGAGACGTTAGTGTTGCAAGGCCCAACAACCGGACCTGTGGTTGTTGAAAGGTGTGCTTAGCGGATGAACTAATGCATGAAATAATTCTTTTTAATCTTTACAGGTTACGAAGTATCGTTCCGTCAAATGGCAAGCTACTGATATTCAGCTAGACTCTGGTCGCAACTTGGTTAACACCCACTCAATCACATTCGGGAGTGGTTACGGTGTTGTTGCCGTGCTGTTGTACCATGATCCCCAAGGCCAAAGTTGCAGAACATACGCCTACCCTACACGAGCTTTCTCATCGGCTTCGCCTCAAGCTTACATGGGAATGGCACGCTGCATTGGACGAGGGGAAGATGATTAGACCCACGTTGCTGGGCTGATGCCCGACACATGGGGGGTTTTCTGTCAATCGAAGACATGTAAGGGCCTGCTCGTTTGTCTAATCAAGCCTCTCACATCGCATCGTGTTGGCCGATCCAGATCAGCACAACCCCTGCTAGGCCTCTAGCATTCCCCAGCCCATCTGCCCATCACCCGAGAACCCACGAGGCCCGAGAGTTGGAGGCACCCTATCACGCAGTGATCGGCACGCGAGGCTGCAACGGTCGTTGAAGAGGCTCCTCTTGCACTAGGGTCCGTTCCCATCCCCAAGAGGAGTGATTCTTTCACCCCATGATCCAATTACAGGACAAATGCTGATTGCGTCGGGAGTAGTGGTGGCTCGCGTGTGATAAGTTGGCCTGCATTGCTGACGCTTTGTGATGCTGATGGTATCGGGGTTCGGGATGACACTGATTAATCTATTATGTAGCCCTCGCTGTCACCCTTATCACCTGTGGCACCCATGACCAGCTTCGCATCGTGGAGCGTCCCGACGAACCACTCGGGATACACGAGGTGCTGTTTCGAGATGGATCCTTCGGACTTATCAACCACCATGCAAGCCCCGCGGAGGCAAAGAACCAAGGAGAAGAAAACAACCGAGCAAAAGCAACGAGCCAAGGCGAAGAAGTTGCCACCAAAGACGCTTCTTTTGCACCCATTACTTCATATACCCTGGTAATTTCCGGCAATGCCTGTTCTCAACCTAGCGTCTTGTGTCAATTACCGCACTTGGAAACCCTCCCTTCACGGGTTGCGTAAGTGACGGGACCCACGGATCGCTCACGGACTGCTCACGGACTCTTCGCAGCCTTCAATTGGCAAAGAGAAAGGGCTCGGGGCTCATACTCGGAAGCTATTGCAACCTTATAAGACGCCCCCGGTCAGACCCTATTGCCCTCTGCCCGGGCGCCCGCGTCATCTGGTCGAAGTTGCAAATTTTCCGGCCTGAAACCCCGTCCCTCCCTCGGGCCTCGTCGAGTTGTTGGTCCCATCCCTTTGTCCTCCTGCGTGGTCCACGGATCGCTATCCGGTGTGGTTAGACTGCTTGTTGTTGGCTTGCCATTCTTCAGCTGAAGAGCCCGCATTCTCCACATGACAGTTGAGCAAGACCCGGCTTCCCAAGCCTTTCCCAAGCCTACTGCGTACCAAGGCCCTTTTCAAGCCGCCCCCATGAAGATTCCACCAACCCCTTCCCCTCGTCAGCCAGGGATCTAGCATCTAGTCCCGTACTCACCGGTAATTCAGCTCTGCCTGCGTCGGGAAGCTCGCTCGACATCCCCCCAGTCGGCGTGCCTCCCAGTCTGCCACATTTCATCCTTCATCACTTCCTTCATTTCATCTCGGACATAATATACTCAACCGGTGTGCGCTGACTGACAAATTTGGGTACGCCAAACGGCCGCTAGCGCCGCCATCTCCCATGGGGTGTTTCACGCTTCTCAATCTAGTTGCTCGGTATTGTCAATCAAAGCTCTAGCTCATTCCTCCCCCGACACCCCAGCGAGTGTATCAAGATACGGACGCACAGCCGAGCTGTTGAGGACGGGCGCGTCTGTGCAGGCTCCACTCGGCCGGGTCCGCTGGTCTAGCGCCGTCTTCCATATATGTAAGTTCCAGGCGAAGACCGGAGCCGACTTCAGCCATCCATGTAGTCTGTAATTATTGTGACGCGGTGGCGAAGTTCATGGGTTGGTGGCTCACGAGTTCGTTCACAGGTGTAGAGAGATGTCTGCCCATTCCATACATTCGCAAGTGTTGAGCAAGAGCTTTGGAAATCCTACTAGTTCATCAAGTAAAAAGAAGACGCTCCTATTTCCGAGTGTTGCTGTATCTACCAGCAACGCTTTCTATGCCAAGTCGTTGTAGTAAAAGGTATCTTGCGTGCCGTGCCGTGCCCAAGAGGCTCCTCCCGATCCGCATTCGTTACTCTAACTCCTTCTTCTCGTAAGGCTTCGCTGTGCAAGTCTCTTTGCTGAGAGTAACAAGAGCATGGACGGAAACACCATGCCCGACCCATCTATTTATCCTCATTCACCATTGCTGCGCCTCCCTTGCTGAATAGGAAGAAACAATAGAAAATCAAGACCCGACACCGCGCCCGTTCCTTCGATCCTCCTCTGTCCCTTTTCCCTACCTGTCCTAGCATCAAATGTCGTCTTCGCTGTCCCGGAAACACATGTGCTTCGGTTGCTAGGCGCCATCGTGTCTCGTAAAACGATGAAATGTAATGTAGTGTGATGTAAATTCAGACAAGACAGAGACGCCTTGTCAAGTTCTCTCACCACCTTAGTGGGGGAATATTCTGTCCTTGAAGGACGAACTCTGCGAGGCCAGGCTGTTGCGCTTAGTATCATCTCTGCTGGTCCCGTAAGGCGTGTTCTCCGTGTTCTGAGTGTCGTCGGCGAGGCTTGTTGAGCTCTGTCGCTGAGGTCCCTTCTTGGTGAGCAAGCCCCTGGTTTTCTCGCTCGGGGCTCGCTCTCCTGTAGCAGAGGGCCTCTCGGCATTGCTATCGCTGTTCCCCCGGGTCTTGGTTAGCTTCCGGGGTTGTCGCTTGTGTGAATTCGTTGACGAGCCGTCTGCCAATGATCCGACGTCAATTGAGCGGTTTTCACTGGAAGTGCGGCTCAGAGCGAGGTCGTTTACCGAGGGCATGCTGTAGGATGGATTGTCCCGGATTGGAATTGGTGGCGACCCCGGGTGCTCCTTGGTAAACATGGGACTGTCCTTCGCTTGCATCGCGTCTGGGTCGAGAGGTTGGTTGAATACTGCTGACTCTTGCATTGGGTGTGGGACGTTTTGAGACTGCCGGTGTTTTGTCGCGGAATGGGATACAAGCGGTGGACGTGTGACCGGGGGACTGGGCCCATTGGATTCGGCTCGAGGAGTCGGCCTCGAAGCTGGAGTAGTTTGAACAGAGTCTTGGAATGTCACCGGTGACTATAGCAGTTAGTCGGGTCCCTGATTCATTACCATGAGGTGCGTGCTTACTTCAGGGCTGAGATACGCATCCAGTTTCTTCTTCAGCACGTCGGATCTGACAGGTTTGGCTAGATAGTCATTCATGCCAGCCGCAAGACACTTCTCCCGGTCCCCTTGAATCGCCGAGGCAGTCATGGCAATGACTAAGATATTCCGCACCGCATCCAAGGGATCTTTCCGAATCAGTTTCGTTGCCTCGTAGCCATCTAGGACGGGCATTTGAACGTCCATGAGGACGATGTGATATGGCTCCCCCTCGTTGGCCTTCTGACGCAGGGCTTCGACTGCCTTGAGACCATTCTCATAGGCGACGACGCCGGAGTATCCCAGCCGCTTCACGTATTGAATGGCAATCTTTTGATTGATAGGATTATCCTCGGCGACGCAAATGCGAACCTCTTCCTTGGGGACCCGGGAAAAGTCGAGGTAGGGATTCGATGAGTCTACCTGATCCAAGTGTGATGCTGTCAACGAATATCGATCAATTGGAGGAGGAGACTTTGACTGAGCGTCTCCTGCAGTAACGTCTGACTTGGCTTTTTCGAAAGTGACCGTGAACCAAGCCGTTGTCCCTACAGTCTCCTCGCTCTCCAGCCGAATCTTGCCCTTCATCATCACCTCAATGAGGGATTTGCAGATGCTGAGACCCAGCCCGCTTCCGCCATACTTTCTTGCGGTACTGGCATCCGCCTGGCTGAACGGCTGGAAAAGTTTTGCCAACTGTTGTGGTGGAATGCCGATGCCAGTATCTCGGACCCAGAAAGTAAGCGTGGCATGCTCTCTCGTCTCCTTGTCGAGACGAGAACCGATGGTGATCGAGCCATCTTCCGTAAACTTGAGACTGTTCCCGATAAGATTGCCCATCACTTGATGAAGTCGGATGGGGTCGCCATAGATGAGCAAGGGCGGTAGCTTGATGTCCTGAACAATCTTGACATTCTTCTTCGAAGTCTTTTCACGGTTGCTATAGGAAACCGCCCGTACGACCTCACGAACCATATCCTCGGGGTTGAAGGCGATTATGTATAGTTTCATCTTGTCAGCTTCCATCTTCGAAAAGTCTAGGATGTCGTTGATGACCGTCAGCAACAGGTCAGCAGAAACGCGGATGGAATCGGCCATATCGAGTTGCTCCCTGTCCAGTTCACTATCCCGGAGCAGCTCTGAATTTCCAATGACACCGTTCAGCGGGGTTCGAAGTTCATGTGAGACGTTGGCCAAGAAGATTGACTTGGCCTTGGCAGCTTCCTCGGCCAACTTCACATTTCGTTTTGCCTCCGCTTCAGCTTTCTTTGCCTTGCTTTCTGCTTCAACAGCCTTGGCAAGAGCACGCTTCTGGACTGCCACCATCGATCGATTCTCTGCTGAGATCTTCTCGACATTTTTCATAGAAAGTGCATTCGAATAACTGATACCGATCTGGTTGACCAGAAGCTGCAAAACAGTAACGTTGCGGTCTGTGAAAGCACCAGGTTCGCCTTCGAGGTACAAGACACCGAGGAGAGACTTGGTTCCGTGGGAAATGGGGATGGCAATGATGCCTTTGCCAACGGGATTTCTCTGGAGCCATGATCCGTTGACGTTCCCGAACCTTTCATCAGTAATCAGGTCAGGGACAAAGACTGTTTCCAAGAAGCGTGTGCAGTAGAGGACGACATTCTCGGCGATCAATGACGTCCCCGATAACGACAACCCTGGTATGTGTGCTGAAGCACCCTTCTCAGGATCGCCACTGGCTGCGACACTCCATGAATCCGAGTCATTCTCTTGAACGACAATTGCAGCGAGCGTTGCTGAACCGCCACAGGTTTGCAATATGACATCGCACATAGTCTTCAGAAGCTCGTTGACCTGTAAAACAGAAGAGATGACTTGCGATGAAACAAGGATGGCATGCAGGTCGATCATATCGAGAGCAGGTAGTCCGGCCCCGGCTTCAGTCTGCATATTCATAGAACCCCGCCAGGCACCGATGCGTTCCCCTCTTAGATCAGTCATGACGTTGGAGGGTATTTGGACCAAATCAGCACCGTCCTCAACATCCGCAGCCCGATACTGAACGGAGCCTGTGTCGGCGACAAAGTCGGTTTGCACACCCGCCTCCATGGTTCGATGGCTTCGAGTCGGTCCATGCAGCAACAAGCTGTGCTCCTCCTCGATTGCCTTAGAGACGCCGTTGGCGCCGAGCTGTCGGAACAGTCCGACAGCCTCCAGAAGTGCTGCACGAGCTGATCGACGTCCTTTTCGGCGGATGAAGAGACCTGCCATAAGATAGTTGCCAAGTGCTTCGTCAAAGACGGCATCGTGTTCAGCCGTATGATCTAGTGCATGCTCATAGTGCTGAATGGCGGCTCCGTGGTCCTTGGAGAGCTCTGCAACTTGGGCCCGTAGAAGGGTTGACCACGCAAAGTAGTTGATGTCAGAGACAGTCGCCCATTCGTCAATCATCTTGATAAAGGCCTGCAGCTCCTTGATCACCTCCTCCACCTGAGAGGCCAAACCCTCCGAGGGAGTGCAGGGATCCTGTATCTTCCGAAGCAACTGGCCAGCCTGAGCCAACCCGTAAAAGAACAAAATAAGCCTGCTATTCCGAGCCGACCAAAGCATTTCTAACTGGCCAATACAGCCCTTTCCAATCTGAATGGCACGCTCATAATGACCATAGAGGAAGAGAGGGACAATCTCAAAACTTTCATAGAAGATGATGGACCGGTTGCTTTCTTTTTTGCAGCCCAACAGCCATTTCTTGTATGCCAGGGCATTGTGTGCCTCGTCGTTCATGACCTCGAGCGCATCTTTGCTGTTAGTCTTGCCTTGAAGCGCACGCGCGAGCTGTCTGACGGCAATCAGGACCGAGCCGCCCCGAGAATCAAAGTACCAATTGGGTATCTCCTCACACCCGTACTGGCAGAAGCCCTCGAGGTCTGCGAAGTTCTCGCCGCTGAAGAACTTGAAGATGGCGAAAATCCCGTAACTGAGGATGGTCGATATCCGATCGCCGGCAACAGAAGCATACTCCACAGCATCCTCCATCTGTGCTAGTATCACAGGCATCGTCAAATGGACATGCCCAATGCACATCGGATAGAGCATCAGACCACGGGCTAGAGAAAATGTGTCTCGAGATTGGTATAACATCTCCTGAGCCATTGAACCCAGATCCACCGCGAATTGTGTCATATTGAAGCGGGCCATGGCGATCATGGAAAAGTAGAGGAATCCCATGCCGGATTGGGGATATGGGCCTCGAGTCAGATGCATCTCTATCATCATGAGTGTGAGGTGGTAGAATCGTAGACCATCACTCCACCATGCTGCACTGATCGTCTCGGACAGGACAGCCCCGATGGACGCGATGCCAGGGTCATTCGACAGTTTATCGGTGACTAGACTTGAACGTTCTATGCTCTGTATTTGGACAGAGAGCTTTTCGAATCTCTCATCGCATTTCTGGAGGGTCGGGTTGTCATCGATGGTGACTCCGAGGGAGATTAAGCAGTCTTTAAGGGAAACAAGGGCTTCCTGGGAGTTTCCATTTTGAGTGTAGATCCTCGACTGCAAAACATATGCCGGTGCCCTGTCGAATGGAGTCCTGGCGTTGTCAAGAATAATGCTGATGGTTTCGTTGGCGCCTGTATAATGCCCCATGAACAAGTAGCATTCAGCAGCTCGAAGATGCAGCTGCATTGTTTCGTCATACGATGTGTCTTCTGTCTCGTCGGACCAAGGATTCTCCTGGAGGAGTGAAACCGCGGTACTATAGAATTTCGCAGCAGTTGGTCGGGCACCGTTCTCTGTGGCTTCTTCCGCGCACTCTGATAGTAGCTCGCGGAAGTGACGGCGGACTGGAACACGTCGTTTGATGATATTAACAGCCTCGCAAATATGAGAGGCAGTGCTCGTCCGTTGCTTCGCCTCGACGGCGTAGTACTTGTGGAGGGTCTGCGCAATGATAAAGTGCATCTTCTGAGAATTGCACTCTTTCAAGGCAGCGGAAGCGTGGATGTAGCGGTCGTGTGCAAATCGGAAGCGGTCGTCGGTCTCACTGGGTACGATGATGTATGCTTGGATGGCGGCCTGAAGACCGGCGATAGTCTCCCCTTGGGTGTAGTTCTTCAGAGACAGGAGTGTGCAACACTTGCCCGATTCCTCGTCTTGGTAGTCGAACTCTCCGCTCATCAAATGGCAAACCACTTCAAAGGAAAACGAGCCGCCAATAAGAGCTGCCCACGCAAGTAAGGTCCGAGATGCCGGGGGAAGTTCATTAAGCCGGTGTGTTATGAAACCAGTATCGAGGACATCGTAATCCTTCTCGCCCTTGAATTGCTCGAACAGTCTGTCCAGGTCAAAGTGCCACTGGCTGTCTCGATAATCGTACCATATGCACCGTTTTCGATGGCATGCGCTCAGCATCTCTCGCATATAGAATGGGTTTCCTGCCGTCTTGGACTGGATGACGAGGGCCAGCGAATGGATTTCTTCTTTTGGCCGACACAGCGTTGTCGAGACGTATTGGACAATGTCATCTTCAGAGAGTGGGGACAGTGGTATATGAGTGACCCTCGGACTGCTTCCATGGGGGAATTCTGACAACACAGTTAGAGAAAAGGCAGATTGTGAATCCTTCACTTAACGTACCATCCGACTCGGCCGGGTTAATGATGCTCTGTATCTTCTCTGGCGCGAGCTCCTCCGGTCGATATGTCACAATGATGACCATCTTCATCCTTGAGGCAATGATTTGGGAGATGAGTTCCGAGGATTCATCGTCAGCAAAATGAAGATCGTCCAGGCAAAAACAGATGAACTTGTGCGCCGTAAAAACCCTGAGGACATCCAAAAAGATGTTCATCAAACGCACAGTTTTGGTAGAAGATCCGACACGAAGGATATCTTGAGAGGATTGAGAGGCGATGCTCGGGTTTCGACCAATGGGCCCTGGGGAACTTCCAGGAGATGAGCCACGGCGCTTACTTCCGGGCCGACTACCGCCTCTGTGCGCGAAGTGCTGGGATGAGGAGATGGACCGGCCTACAGAAACTTCTGGTGGACCAAGGAGAAACTCAGGAAGCCCTAACACGCGGTGTAGCATCGGCCATACTGGGCGAATGAATTGCTTCAGGGTTTGGTGGAAAGGGGTTTCTGTGTTTCTCTCGCCCCAGACTTGTTTGAATAGGGACGACAGTAGCTTAAGCAGCGGCCCAAAGGCTGTTCTCCTTGCAGTATCGAATTTTGCCGTTGCACAATATCCTCGTCTCCGGGCTTCTGCTAAAACACTTTGGACGAGGAAACTCTTTCCAAGGCCACCGGCACCGGCAACTGTGACAACCTCGCAGTAGTCACGCCGGCGAAACTTGGCAGAGCCCAGTTGTCTTGATAGGCTCGAAGCCGAAGATTCAACCATGCTGTGGCGATTCGGGTCGGTGCCCACGCTTTCGACGAGGCTGCGAGTTTCGATTGAGATGGACTGGTGTCTTTCCCAAGGCCTGACTGGTCGAGGGAAAACGCCTGATGGCGATGATGCGATTGTATCGCCTGAGATCGTCTGAGTGTCTGAAAAGAGGGGATGTAGGTTGCTCTTTGATGACGGTTTTGGATCAGACGCAACAGTTTGAGTAAAGGATCCGCTTCGACGGTTGGTTCCGTCTAAGGAGCTCGCTCCTTCACTAGAAATGTCGTCAAATGGCGCCATGTCATTGGATAAGCTAGAGCCGTCGGAGAACCGATTCACCCCCCCTTTGAGGTTCATGTAGTGGCCTTTCGCAACGCGGTCGACAACCTTGACAAGTTCCGCACGCTCACGCTGTCGGCCAATCATCATGTTAGGGAGCATGAAGAACGAGGAGACATCATTGGTTCCAATCTTCCACTCCTTCAAGGCCAACCAATCTCCGTCAGCAAGGAACTGGTGAACCTTGACCAGATCATGACGAAGCCCGCTCGCTGAGTGGTACCGCTCAGAAACATTCTTGGCTGTACACTTCTGGATAATCCTTCCGATGACGTCTGGGATATCGATTCGTACGGTGGATACATTCGGAATCCTACGGCCAAGCACTCCCTGAACTATGTCGAGCGGGGTCTCGCCATCAAAGACAGGCTTCTGGGTTAAGATCATCCAGAATAAGACGCCGAGGGAGTATATATCGGTTCGGCTATCGGGCTCTGCCGGCATTCTCCCAGTCTGCTCGGGGCTGAGATAAAGCAGTTTGTTTTTGGCACCGAGCTCCTTGGACAGTGTCGACCAACCTGTGCTTGTGAGCCCATGCTCAAAGGATCGGACTCCAGCACCAAATGTCATGATTTTCACCCGGTTCTCTTCTGCATTGAAGTGGAAGGCATCGCTTCGGATTTCTCCATGGATCATGCCAAGGTTGTGGTGGAGGATCTCGAGACATTGGGCGGCGCCGATGGCGAAGTCGAGGAAGTACTGTAAGGAGATGGGATCCTGCAACTTCGGTTCGTTCTTGCGTCCGGATGTGAATGTTTCTCCGACCCTGCGTGCGCGGTAGAAGGCCGGGCCCATATCAAGCACATCAATCAGATAGTTGTGGCCAAGGTATTGGTAGATGGCGACGATGACAGCTGCACGGTCACCTGGGATCGGACTGAGCCTGAATAGGTCAAGAGGCTTCACCATATGTTCCCCCTTCGGGTCAGACGAGGTCGACATGTTCTTGGCGATATTAAAGGCGCGCTCTTCGCGGAGGGCATGGTAAGAGATACGAGCCACGCAATACTCCTCTATGTAGGGTGTGTCGGATAGGTTGGAGGGTGACGAGGGTTGGGGGATCACCGCTGGTACATCCATGCCCTCGCCGCTTGGGATAATGCCCGTGATGCCCATGGGCTCCGAAGGAGACGGGCGGCCCGAAGGCGCCTTTGAGACGGAGCTGGGACTGGAGGCATTGTGTGACGACGTTGAAGAGGCTGAAAATGGTGACACGAAGCGGGTGCCGAAGACATACCTACCACAACCGAATAGCTTAGCAAGGCTGAGTCGCAAGGAGGGGAGGGGAGGAGATGAGAGATGACGGGGGATAGAGGAAGGCCTCGGAATCGTTCTGCGAGAAGTAAACTCACCAAAAATCGTAGGTGGAATGAAAGGGGAGTTTGGATTCGTCCCAAGTGTAGCCAGCTATCTGTCGAAGGCGCTCATGGAGTCGAGGCGGCGGATCGAGGAGGTCATCGGACACGAGGGCCGCGCCGTCCATATTGAGGCGCAAACAGCGGGCAGTGGAGGAGTCGGCGTCTGCGTCGTCGGCGTCGGCAGCAGGGCTGGGGCGCTCTAGGGCGCGGGCATTCGCATTCAGTCAACCGTTATCCAGGCCGGTTTGAAGCGCCCATACTGGGAGGTCGGTTGGTTCGGGTAGAAAGGGTGGTGGACAGTCGTCGGAGGGATCGAAAAGCGGAGGGGCGGGCCCAGAAGGAATACCGGGTTTGACGCGGGATCTGGGGCTTGGATGCTGAGCGCGGCAACGGATGGAGCTCTCGTGAGATCAGACACGCGGCAGAGGCGGGGGCAGGAGGCAGGAGGCAGGAGGCAGGTCGGTGGCTCGACAGACTGCAGGCAGGGCACGAAGAGCGGAAGAAGAGGCTGAGGCCCGCGGCGAACCGTTGGGTTGTGGTCGACAAAGTGGTGATCAGAGGTGACCGCACGTCCGTGGTGGCCTGGTGGATTAGCAGGCGGAACCGGTGGACTCGGCGGATTGGCGGCGTGCTGGTGGAGTCCTTTTTTTTTGGCTCTGGTGGGCTGGGCTGGAGATGGTGCCGAGCTGATGACTTGACTTTTACTTGACAGAACTGGGCTGAACTTGGTTGGATTTGGTTGGACTTGGCGTAACTGCGTCGGTGTTTGCGGCGTGATGGGGATGGCATGGGATAGGATGGAAGTGGGAGCCGATGACAGGGCAGGGGCAGCCCGTTGGCAACTGCCCTTCCACGGCATCCCACGTTTCTGTTCGTCCCAACTACAACATAGATCAGGGACGTGTCACCCCCCACTACGTTTTCGCCTGTAGATCAAGGGTTTTTTTTTTGCCCCCGGGGATTAGACATGTACGGTTTCCCTTATTAGGCTTGAGGGAATAGCCACAAAGAGCTGGCGATGGGCTCCCTAATTCACGCGGACACCCTCAGCTCCCAGAGAGGGCGGCCGCCCCATTGCCCCGCGGCCTGGTGATACAACGGTAGTTTGCAACCTCGGAAAATATTGTAAAATCGACACCAGGCACGCCAGGAGCACAGCACAGACCGAGTCTCCAGTAACGACACTCACACTGATAGACGATCGCACCAACAAATTTCGTCTCCACTGCTGCTCACACAGCCTTCCGCACAATATCACATTGGTGGGCCTCGCCGACGATACCGATCTTCTCCATCGCTGACCAAGCCTTTTTGTCACCCTCCAGCTGGAGCTTGCTATTGCTGCTCCGCTGATTTTATACCTGTTTTGGGAAGGCTGGGGATGCAGACAACTTTGTCATGTTTTCGGTGCAATCAGAGCCTGTACATGATTCAACTCCTCCGTTGGCTGACCGCTTGGATTATGACGTTCCCCGCTTGTCTCCGTTGAGTTTGGCTTCCCGGGGATCCGACTTATTACTCGCGTATCCTGGAGCCGGATGATTTCATTTCGGCTGTTGGGCCCTGTGGCGTTGCTGCCCGTTGACGGGGCGCTTGCCTATTTGCATCATTTTGATAATGGCTCAATCTCTGTGTGATTTGACAGTATTACGGGCAGTCAGAGAAGCCAAATGCTGGCCTCGCACATGTTTGGCTTGTTCTGGAAAGAACACGAGTTTACGCATCCGCTTCGCTGTCGTGCTGCACTCCAGCCTCATCATCCACAGGGCCCGCCAATCGGGCTGTCCCTGCAGACATGCTCACCGTGGAAAATGATGTAAGTGGAGGCAGGGGTCATAAACAAGGTGGCCCCCCAGAATGGAAGGTCGGTCGAACATATTCCCGATACGATAATTACCTTATCTTATCGGACCCTTCACCGCGATACTTAATCCTTATCCGATTCATCAGCACCACATGAAACGACGAAAACGAACCAGGTTATGGACAAATGACATGTTGATGGATCTGATGATGACATTATTCCCGACACAGTTTTATATGTGTGGTAGGAGAACCCGTTCATTCATCTAATCTTAAGAGAGGGGACCCGGCTCTATCCTCTATCATGACCCGTCCTCTTTGGGCAACATTTAATTTCCAGATCCTAACGCGTCACGTGCCAACAGCATATCTGTTTCCCATGTACCGCTCATACACATAACCTCTAGCAAAGTATTCCGTAACACTAGATTGCCTACTCGTTTTTTCGCTCCTTGTCTCGCCTCCCACTTACTTGGTGTGGTTGGGGAGTCCTTGAGGGGCGGGGAAGACGAAGTTCTGCATCAGACGCCTCTCGGTGTTCTGGCGGCTGTTGACGAAATCGGGGTAGTTCAGGGTAAGCTCGACAGCACCGTTGTGGATGGCATCGACAGCCTCCACTCCGAGCATGAACGAGTGGTCCTGGTTGCCGACCTCGTATCGCCAGCTGCCGAATCGGCCACGGGAGTAGATGTCCATGTCCAGGAGCTTGGGCAGGACCTGCTTGAGGACACCTTCACGCTCCAGGGTAGGAGTGGGGTAGCCGTGGTCGAAAGCACGGTGGTAGGTGGAGATGATCTCGTCCTCCGGGAGGATCATCTCAGTGTTGATGAGACCCTGGATGCTGTCCTTGAGGATGTTCTCAACATCGACGGGCTTCATCTCAGACTGGGAGATCTCCAGCATGATGGACCAGTAAGGACCCTCCTTGGGCTCGTCAGAGGCAGCCTTCTCACCGTTGGCCAGGTAGAGGGTAGGCAGCTTAACATCGTCCTGGGGCTGGTTGAAGGGGGAGTAGTTGGAGAAGATGGTGGCTCGGTAGAAGTTACAGTTGTCCTCAGGGAAGTACAACTAGGCATATAATTAGCAGGGTTTCCTCGGGTCGAGGAATCGATATTTTTGGCTTACCCAGCACTTGTCACCGATGCGCTCGGGGCGCTGACCACGGATACCGACACCAATAACGTGGGTGGTGGAGTAGAAGAGGCCCTTGGTGAGGGTCATGAGCTCCTGGTTGCCCATCTTCTCGGCGAGGTGGTCAACAGCCATGGTGTTGATGAGCTTGTTGTATCCAACGGTGGTGCCGTCGGCGAAGGAGACAATCTTCTTCTCAGCATCAATCTTGGTGACCTCACCGCTCTTGCCGAAGCGCTTCTTCTCCTTGGGGAGGGTGTCGGCAACGGCGATCCAGATACCACCAGTTCCATCACGGGCAGGGAACTTGAAGGTGGCGTTGGGACCCCAGTTACCGGCAACCTTGTTCAGGATGACGTTCTTGGTGACGGTCTTGACATCGGGAGCAGCGACACGCTCACCGAGCCACTGGCATTGCATCTAGAGAGACTAGTTAGCTGCTGGTTTTGGGCACTTGTTTTGGAAGGAGCCGTGGATTTACCTTGGTGGTGGGAACAGCCCAGACCTTGTAGTTGTAAGGACGCATGAAGATGTTGGCAACACCCTCACCGGTCATACGCAGAATCCACTCGTCGAAGTTCTTGGGCTTGGTGTTGGCAACACGGCACTCGAGGGCAGAGTCAATGAGACCGTCAATGCACTTGACCTGGTCATCTTTGGGGAGCATGGAGATGTTGTTCTGGAAGGGGTAGGGAACCCAGAGACCCTTGTAGCGAACGTAGGAGATACGCTGGTGGGTGTACCAGTCCTCCTCCTTGGGGAGAGCCTCCTCGATAACGTCGTCGAAGTACTTGTAGTGGGAGAAGATGACGTGACCGCCGACATCGTAGAGCTGGAAGACGGACAATTAGCTTGGCTGCGACGACAATGGAGCGAGCAGACGGAATGATAACTTACGAAACCCTCGGGGGTGACATCAGTGCTGGCAAGACCACCGGCCTTGTCAGAGGAGTCGACAATGAGCCAAGAAGGACCGTCCTGGAGAGGTGGTTAGTCGTGTCCTGACCGCAGTTGGGAGCTGGCGGTGAGCGCCTACAATATGGTTCAGTCGCTTGGCAGCACCGAGACCAGTAGGTCCCATGCCAATGACGAGGACATCAACGTTTCTGATTCGGGGAGCATGGTCAGCAAATGCCACAGGCAACACCAGATGTGTTTTTTTCCTTTTCTCGGCGACATTGACGGTCGAGCGAGGACAGGAAAGGTGACGGGGCAACTCACACGTCGGCCATGGTGGGGGAGTTGCTAGAGAGCTTCTGGGAAAGGATCTGAGAAAGGTGTAAGCGGGAGAACGCGCAGTCGCCGAGGAGTCGAGCGAGAGAGCATGTAATAAAGAAAGGTGAAGCTTTACAAGACGGCGAGTAGACAGCGAGTAGATCAGCGTCCGATGGTTGCTGTAGATATTGTTTCGGTCGCTGGTGCTTCCGGGAGGCTGGCGGGAAAAGGAGACGGTGATGGATGGTGGGGTTAAAATTATTTTGGAGCCACCAGGGGGTTGCGAGACCGCCCCACCCACTTGGTTTAGGTTGGTTTGCTTGGTTTGCTGCTCTATCCCACCCAAAGCGCCCAGAAGCCGCCCGTCTCGACGCCGCCCACCCCTCCGACTTCAGGGGTTTTCGCACTGGCTCCGGATGGCGGGCGGGCGGTGGGCAACGGTGATACCTTGTGTCGTCCAGGCAATCTAACAGGTACGAAAGTACCTCCTTTCATCAGATCCCGCCCTGCACCTGGGCCGCTGCGACAGCCGGACGGCGAGAGAGTACGCAACACACAGAGTGGTTGGCCCCGTTTGGTGGGGATTTACCCCCCTTCGCGGCGTCCCGCCCCTCCAGCACCTCCCCATCCGCAGTCTGTCCGAGCGCTGGATGCCCTGTCCCGCCCCGGAGAACTGCCAGCGAGTGGCCGGGGCTCCAGGATAGGTACCTGAGGTGGGCTGGCGGGCTGGCAGAGCAAGTTCTCGAGGGGCTACCCATAGCTTCCCAGTGCCTGAACACTGGGGCGCTAGCACATAACTGGCACTGAGCCACGGGCGGAAGCTTGGCTGTTTTAGCGCCTGGGTGGCTTTCTTCGCCCTGCGCGCTCTAGGCCCCCTAGCGGCGGGCCTGTTCTTCGATAACCAGGGCTTTCGTTACTGTGTGTCCATCACCTTGATGTTGACGCCGCAATTGTGCCCCTCCAAAACCCATGGAAAGCCAAGACAATTACCGACCAGGAACCAATCCGGCTCGATGCATGCGTTGCTGACGGCTTATCAGGCACTTTCTTAAATTGAAGATGTTGTTCAGCCGCTCGATAGCGGCTCTTCAGCTCTCAAGAGGCTGCGCGACGGACCGGGTTGATGGCCACTCGGCCTCCACTGAGAGCTTTGCCGTAATTTCCTAAGATGAGGCCCAATTCCAACTCTGGCACGGCTAATGAGCTACACCTCGTTTTTGGCAGATGCTGCGTTGATACGAGCAAGCCCAGGCAAAGTCGTCTGAGGCGGACAGCGATCCCAACGTCCTGTTTTGGCCACGTTCCTCAGACATGACCCGTTGACTCGCCACAATGCGATATTAGCCGGGCCGTAGCTTGGTGGTCCACGGTTAGAGGATACTGTTAAGAACTGCCTTGTTGGTGTTGGAGCTCGGGCGAGTTGCTTGAGGCTGATGTGTGTTCCAACGGTTGCACCCGTGTTCAACGTCGTCAACTGGAGACTCGCACGCATGGAGCACCAAACCAAACAGAGGCCAGACTGTCCTCCTACAAGCGCCCTGGACGGACGATCGTGTCCCCGACCCGCTGACGGTCATCTTGCACGCCGCCTCTGGGTGGTCAGCCAGAAAATAGGAGCCGGTGACAATCACTGCTACTCGTGCCCTGAACAACCTGGGCAGGGGTCCTCAGATGTGTGGGTGGGGAGCAGTCAGAATGAGCTTGGCGTGGTAAGCTTTTTTTTTTCTGAAGTCCCAACTTGGTGCCCCCAAACTGGTTACGCCACCACGCATTGGGGCAACACCATTGAACGCCATACATTAGGGAATTTGGAACAGTCAGCCCAAGTTTGCCCTCACCGGCCTCCCTTTATTGGCATCCCTCTAGTTGCCAGCCTCCCTGGTGCCAGGCAGCATTACTTCGTAATGAATTGGTGATTGCAGCCTTCGTTGCTGCGGCTCATCGCTCCGGAAATCCACTCGACCACAGCTGTAGCAATCCGTCCGAGATTGAATACATAGAAGCTTCGTCAGCACCATCCGAGAGACGTCAGAGATGCAGGGGCATTGGGAGGGATCAATTGGGCTTCATCATCTTGAAGCAACCCAAGCTCCACCGCTTGTTTAGCAGACCGCAAATGCTTCAGGTCTGAAACGCGGATGCAGATCAAAGATCATCTTTCCGTGGACGTGCAAGCATCAGCATCGAAAGCATGTGGTAGGGCGTGCCGGCGTGGCAAGGCTTCGTGGGCCTCATGGGGTTGGGGCTCGGCGCTCGTGGCCATGAGGACACGATGCCGCTCTGAGCATGCGGTGCCAGGGGGTGGTCTAGTCGCAAGAGGAATTCGACATTTACCTCTAACGAACACAGCCTTGTCTCACGGTGTCTCATGCTCCAGGTATGGACGTTCTGGCGTAGGCTCCTCCATCTGGGCTCAGGGAGGTCCCGACCAGAGTGGGCGAGATGGAGAAAGGGTCGGCCTCCCCTGAAGTACTGGTACTTTGACACCGGGCCTACGGTGTGCATAAACCCGGCGTGGGAATAGATAGATGCCTCACCCCGGATATCGGGGCAGATGGGACGAGATGGCGCCTGGCTTGTCGGTGTGTATTCCATGCCATGCCCAGGCGGAAGCCAAATCTGGCTCGGACATCGGGACGGGGAACGGCAGTGGCAGCGGGAGGAGCGTCGCCATGGCCTAACTTTTGCGGAGGGAGATGAACCATGTTTGGATCTGAGATTTCTGGACAGGTTGTAGCCGAAGTAGCATCTTGGACCTCCCAGCCAACACGAGACTGCGGCGGTCGGCGGTCGGCCCAGGCTCGACCTCGCTTCCACCTACAATACGATAGCAGACTATCGATTCGGTCGATTCAAGCTGCGCTTGTCCTTCTCTGGAAAGGTACTTTAACGCGTGCGATGGATACGACTCGTGGCAAAGCAACGTTGATGGCTGCGCTTGACCTCACTGCCTACCAACATAGCGCAACACGACCCTGACCCTGGCGCCGCCCCGATAGATGGACGGGAGAGCCCCAGAAATGCAAAAAGATTCACGCTCGGTCGGGCCGCTTTTACGAGGCTGGTCCAACAAGCTTCAGCCCAGTCCGTAGCCGTGCCGCCTTCGTACTGTACTTGCAATCGTGCTACGCAGATTGTAACACGCACACGCTGGCATCTCCACAAACACGAGCTCTTCCATGGCTGTGGGAGACGTCCATCCAAGGTGCCACGGCCGCCCGCAAGGGACGGGTAGAGAGAGAGTACGGGCACGCTCGCATTCCCTATCGGCACAACAGATCGGTGGGACCGAGCGGCGCCTTGCTTGGTTTCGACGCTTCTAGCCTGGGTAGATCCCATAAAAAGGGGTTCCAGTAGCGACAAAGCCACCACATTCCCCCCGATCTGACAAGCCCGGTGCCCAGTTATGCTGAGTGGGACGCACTCAAGTTCTCACCCAGCTGGAGGCATGAGGTACAGTGCATGTACTATACAAAACGGGGACTGGCAGCCACGGCGCGGCGTGAGATGCATACCATGGTAACTCTCCTTATCTGGTGACGGCCGAAAGGGCGATCTCCAAACGTGGGTGGATTGATTCGCCAGGCTTGGATCCTGTGCATGGATTCCCCTGAATCGACTCAGGAATAATCTGGACACGGTTGACCTGGGCCAGTAGTCAGTACCAATACATACTATCTACCTGGCCTCTTCAGCCTTTCCCCCTTGGTCCTCCCGCCATACCCCCCGTCGGCGACCCCCTGCACGCGCGTCCAGCGGCTCGTGTCCACAGCCCCAGGACCCAGGGGGCGTTGGTACCTGTACCTGCGCCAGTCGATTGTTCGTAATGGCGAGGCTCGGAACGTGTGTGTTCGCGCTCCCTCGCCGCCTCTCCCTGGGATGCAGCTGAGTTGGTCTGGAAGTGCGATGGTTGTCCCCTCCACGCCGTGGCCTAATTTCCAAAGAAAACCCTTTTTTTTTAATTGCCGCTCCTCACCCTGTCCCCGAGATCATCCCTTTTCACTCTTCTTCACTTCCTTCTTCTCCCTCTTCCAGAACCAGGGACAGCTGTCTTGCTCTTTTGTTTCTCTTCACATCGACTCTTGCCCTTGCAAACCGACCAGCTAAGCTTTTTGCTCGCAAGATCGTTCTTTTCCTTTCTTGGGACGAAGTCTCACCAAGGCCCCGCCAATTGCATATTTCGGCACCCCTCGCTCTTTTTCGCTCCCCCCTGCTAGGACTCGGCTGTCCGTCCGCTCGTTTGCGCGTCTAAAATCTGTCTTCAGATCTTCTTATCACGACCATAATCGTTTCCACCTTCCACCCTCACCTCTCCAACTCAACCAGCAATCGCCATGTCCGGTGACGAAAAAATCCGCATCTCCGGCGAGACGCCGCGAGCCACCACGCCCGTTCTCCCTACGGTCAACCCCGGCCTCCAGAAGCCCAAGGGTTACTCTGGCATTCACCCGTCCCTCTACGTGATGTGAGTGCATCCTGACAGCGACCTCGCGACGGGCGCCCAACTAACGAGCTTTCTGCAGTTGCTGGATTGGTTTCAGTTCTTCCGTTATTCTGTTCAACAAATGGCTTCTCGATACCCTCAACTTCCGTACGCTCCATCGCCCGATCCCCGAATTCACCGTTCCTTGCTGACCCCAATACAGGCTACCCGGTCATTCTGACGACCTACCACTTGACCTTTGCGACGATTGTCACCCAGATCATGGCTCGATGCACCACCCTCCTTGATGGCCGAAAGACGGTTAAGATGACTGGTCGTGTCTACCTGCGCGCCATCGTTCCCATCGGTGTCTTCTTCAGCTTGAGTTTGATCTGCGGAAACCTGACCTACCTCTACCTCTCGGTCGCTTTTATCCAGATGCTCAAGGCCACCACACCCGTTGCTGTCCTCATCTCCGGCTGGGCCCTGGGTGTTACGCAGCCCAACCTGAAGCAGTTCCTCAATGTCTCAGCTATTGTCGTCGGTGTCATCATTGCCTCGATTGGAGAAATCCATTTCGTCGTAATTGGCGTCTTGTACCAGATTGGTGGAGTGGTCTTCGAGGCTCTGCGACTCACCATGGTCCAGCGTCTCCTGAGCTCCGCTGACTACAAGATGGACCCCCTGGTCTCTCTGTACTACTTCGCGCCCATCTGCGCTGTCATGAACGGTGTCGTTGCCCTCATCTGGGAGGTTCCCCGATGCTCCATGGCGGAGGTCTACAACGTCGGTCTGATCACTTTCTTCCTCAACGGTCTCTGTGCCTTCATGCTCAACGTCTCCGTTGTCTTCCTTGTACGTCAACTCCCCCATCCCAGGTTAAAACCACGGAATCCAGAGAACTAATGGAACCCTACAGATTGGCAAGACCTCCGCTGTTGTCCTGACCCTTTGCGGTGTCCTCAAGGATATCATGCTGGTTGCGGCCTCTATGGCCATTTGGGGCACCCAGGTCACCCCCCTCCAGTTCTTCGGTTACTCCATTGCTCTTGGTGGCATGGTCTACTACAAGCTCGGCTACGAGCAGCTGAAGGGCCACATTATGGATGCCAACCGACAGTGGGCTGAGTTCGGTGCTCGCAAGCCCGTTCTTCGCAAGCTGACTATTATTGTCGCTACTGCGTTCCTGATCTTCACCCTGTTTGGTGGACTGGCTCCCAGCTACGCTCCCGAGTATGACCCCTCCAAAATCCACAACGAAGTTGCCAATCGATTCGGAATTAACAAAGACTCGCAGAATTCATAGCCCTTAAATACTGCGGCATCGATGAAATCTGAATGACTTCAGATACGCCCCCGAGGCGTTGTCTCTACTAGGCGAACGGGGATCTAGGGACGTTCTTTTTCTTTATCAAAACCTTGGACCGCTTGTTTGCGTGCATATTTTACGTTGACTAGCCGCACTTTCTGATGGATTGGAGACTTTGAGGCATTCTGCTTGACGGAAGGATGGAGGATAACGACTGTAAAGCCATAAGAGCTGGTTCGCAGTGCGCGAAGGTCCGGGGTGCATGCAAGGACCTGCATCACGATGGTCTAATCTGATGGTGTACTTTAGAAGGCGTTTGGCCATAGACATGTAGAAACGAAATGGGCAAAACAACGAACAACCCAGCGTGTGTCACATGAATACATTTAGGATTCATTCATGAAATTTGCATTGGAGTGAGTAGACATTGTGTCATAAGCCCCCAAGGTCTATCTTCCGACCGCTGGAGAAACACCCGCAAAGCAAATCCACCCCTGTCCTTTTGCTGGGGACGACCAGTCCGGTTCGCGTCGACTTTCTGTCACCAACAGTCACGCGGTGAGGAATCGGATTTTTGTAAGAAACGTTCATATTGATTCCCATAAACCGGGGTTCCTTAATGCCAATCGATGCTCTTTACATCCCGCCAACTCCCTAACCGTGATGGAGAAACGATTTTTTAAAACTCTGTGCAAAGCGGTTAGTCCAAGTCCACAAAGACCAATTCTGGAGCAGTCCAGCTCCGGAGCTCAATGACGGGGGAAAACGTACTGAGAGGGGTGAAGAACCATCGGTTCTTGCCGCTGGTGTATCGGTCCTCGAGCACCTTCTTGACAGTCTTCTTGGCGTCCTCGCGCTGAGACACCTCCTTGAAGGTGTCGTTGGAGATGGTGCCCTTGAGGCCCTCGAGCTCCAGGGTGTAGCGAGTGGGCATCAAGTGGTTGTAGTTGACGACCTTGATGAAGGGCTTGATCTTGGATCGCTTCTCCTGGCGAGTCTTGGACATGCGGCGGGTGATCTTAGAGGGGTAGCGCTCAATACCGGCGACCAGGGCGTGGCCGAAGGGATGAGGCTTGTTGCCGTTGTCAACGGGCTGGATGATGACAACCTGGAGAGCAATTCGAGTCAGCTTTGTGTCCTTGAACAACCGGTGTCAAGCAAAATCGTCCTCCCATCTCCCGTCCCTTTGGACGACACACACACACAAATCCGCCAACACTATATTGTCCGGAGGCGCGCAGCTCGAGGAGGTCAGGGATGTCGCAAGCGTCGTACCTTCTTTCCGGCGTATCTGCCGCGAGTGATGATGGCGACTCGGCCGACCTTGAGGAACTTCATCTTGTCCGGCGGTTGTTGTCGGAATGTACTGAGTGAAGTTTGCGTCGTCGTGAACCGTGATCGGGAATTTGGTGCAAAATTTGGGGTTTGTGGGTTGGCAATTTGGGGCAAGCGAGTCGCATGCGTGTGGTCACGTGGTACGCTAGTTGGCGATGTTGGCCCGTGCACGACGACCTCGAGAGGGCCGTCTCGGAGCTCATCGTGACCCATCGACAACTCTGGCAGCGTATTGGCACTTTGGATGTTCGGTCACCACCCAAAGCACACCAGTTTAAGTCTATTCCTGCAAGTCTTTTGAGACTTCCAACAAGATGCCTGCCGCTCCTACGTACATTATTTCCCGCGTCGCAGACCCCATATTTGGGGTCCTGATTGGTCTCTCGGCGGCTGTCACGAGAATCAACCGCGAGGAGAAGGACAAGGGAAGGACCACTGATCAGACGATCCAGGCCGGCCTACGGTATGTCGATTGGAAACCTCGCGGGCGAATTGAAAACCCTGAAAAAATAGCTGATATTTTGGTGTCTCTAGCCGTGTTGGTCTATCCTCCAAATCCTCGTAGCCTAGATGTCCTGCCGTCCAATGCCGACATATACATCGATCGAACAAGTAATTGATTTCCGATCATTGCCTTGCTTTGCCGGCACTGCGTCCGGTAATCCTTCTCTACGCAACCGTACACTATCCATTTATTCGCCAAACGATGGGCCGTACTCCTTCTTCATCGCCTCACGAACGATCTGCCCACATAGCTTCGCCGTGGGATTGACACTGACAGCGAGCCCCTTCGCAATTGGGTTACCATACCGACCACCAAGGGCGAGGTCTCTTGATGCGGCCTCCTCAAAGTCCAACTTCTCCCACTTTGATTCTGGCAGGCTGTCATCCACGTCCAACGAGCGATGTAATAACAACTTGGCCGTCTTCAGATACACGGCAGCCCTCTGCGTGTGTGCCATGGACAACGTCCGAGCGACTTGGGGAGAGATGGGACTGGCCAACGATGGCGGTGAGAGGAGTTTAACCGAGGTCTCCATGTCCGTGAGTGCCGTTACCGCTATTTGTTTCTTTTCTGCCGCATCCAGATTCTCAATCAACGGCATTGGATTGTCTGGGGTTTCGGAGAGGAGCACGGCGTCTCCATAGAGCCTCCTGAATATTTGGACTCTATTATTTCTCGCGCTGGCATAGTCGGGGTGCTGAGAAATGATGTCTTCGATGGCAGAGAGACACTTTTTATATCCATCTATGGCAAGATCCTTGCCTTGGTCAGGCCCAGGCCTCATGAGCTGAGCCTCGATCTTCTGGATTGTCCGGATAATTTCTCGCTCTTTTTGAACTACCCTCTCATACACACCAGGGTCTGTGATGTTTGGGTCGCGAGGCAATGAAGAGTCGAGAACGATTCCCGTGAGGGGATTTGACTCAGGGTCTTTGATCTTCTCGAGGATGTTGATGTCATGCTTGCTCAAGGCTACACAAGTCATGATGAGATTGGGGCCCCTGGTGGCGATTTTGGATTGAAGCACGATAAAAGGAGTGTCGAGGGCAAAGAGGGGGTTTGTCTTATGATCGATGGGCCAAAGAAGAGATTTGTTTCAATTGAAGCTCTCCCGTCGACAAGAGTTGTTTCCTTGAAGAGTTAAGTGTGTGTGATTATGGGTTGTCCGCCGGGGTGACGGGGGACCATGATAGATATTGCCTTTGATAGTCGCCCCAGTGGGCAACTCGGCTTCCGCCTGCAAAGGCATGGCACTCTCGGTCTTCAGCGGGCGCCAATCCCGCCTCTGCAGCGGTTTTCCGATTTCCCCAGATTGCTTACAGTTCCGCAGTCCGCCATAGGGTCTGCCGCTGGAGATGGTGGACAAAGCCGTGGTGGCAGCGCGCGGCCATCGTCGGCTTCCCTCGGATAGCGCCGCCACAGACGCTCGGCCGGGGCCTTTCCGCCTCACAACCTCTCGCCCAGCGTTCCGTACTACCGCCGCCTCAATCAAGATCGCTCTAGGGAGTGACGGGCGGCCTGAGATGCTTTCCGATGATATCAGACCGGGCGTCGTCTGACGCAGATCCCCACTCGTGACCGGGCTGCTCGGCGACGGGGGCTGCGGGTAGAGCGCCAGATACTCTCTTTGCCGCCGATGCTATTGGGCCGCGCAGCATAGCTCACACAGCCATGCGCCAGACAGGGAATCGTTGGGATCGCGGCCGCTCGATGAGACTCGGGCCGTTGGATGCCTTCCATCGCGGAGTCTTTCCGGGCACGTTCCCAGTTCGTGGCCCTGTCTTGGCATCTCAATATGATGCTTAAGCCGGCCTTGTCGAACTCTCTTATTAATACCCCAGGTGTCGTCCTCTATGGAGGCCTGATATCTCACATCATCACCTCCTCATCCACATCCACTTCAAGATACCGAGTCTTCCAATCTAATAGACTATCATCCCTCTGTTCTCCTCTTCCAGGACTTTACAGAACCTCCCTTGCTTAGAGATTGATATCCATCATACTCTTTTGTGTCAATGACCCCTTCTGCCATCACCGACTCTCCTCCCCAGCGGGCAGCCCTTCCGGCAACGACAGACACGCAGCAGACCAATCTCGCCGTCCAACCCCAAGGAAACTTCTCTGGCTATGACCATGTGACGTGGTGGGTTGGCAACGCAAAGCAGGCCGCGTCCTACTACACGACCCTCTTCGGCTTCAAGACGATTGCCTATAGGGGGCTCGAGACCGGCAGCCGCTACTTTTCCTCATATGTCGTGACCAACAACGATGTCCGCTTCGTCTTCACCTCCCCCCTGCGCTCCGAGGCGTACTTCCCCGACGATGAACCCATCTCGTTCTCGGACCGGAAACTCCTGAAGGAGATCCATGCCCACCTCGAGCGACACGGCGACGCCGTCAAAGACGTGGCCTTTGAGGTCGACAACGTCGAGGGCGTCTACAACAAGGCTGTTGAGCAGGGTGCCGTGGCCGTCCAGGGCCCCACGGCCTCCAAGGATGCCGCGCATGGCTCCGTCACCACGGCCGTCATCTGCACCTATGGAGATACTACCCATACTCTCATCTCCCGCCAGAACTATACTGGCCCCTTCCTCCCGGGCTTCCGCGCCTGGACCAAGGAAATTGGGTCGTCCAGTCTCCCGGAGGTGCCCCTGGCTCGCATCGACCACTGCGTCGGAAACCAGGGGTGGAATGAGATGGTATCGGCCTGCGCCTTCTACGAGCAGTGCCTCTCCTTCCACCGCTTCTGGTCTGTTGACGACTCGGAGATCTGTACCGAATTTTCGGCCCTGAGCTCCATCGTCATGGCCTCGCCCAACAACATCGTCAAGATGCCCATCAACGAGCCGGCCCCAGGCAAGAAGAAGTCGCAGATCGAGGAGTACGTCATCTTCAACTCGGGGGCTGGCGTCCAGCACATTGCCCTCCTGACGCCGGACATCATCACCTCGGTGACAGCCCTGCGCGCCCGCGGCGTCGAGTTCATCAACGTCCCCACGACCTACTACGACACCATGCGCAAGTGCCTCAAGTCGGAGCGCCGCAACTGGGAGCTCAAGGAGGAGTTCGCCACTCTCGAGCGCCTCAACATACTCATCGATTACGACGAGGGCGGCTACCTCCTGCAGCTCTTCACGAAGCCGCTCATGGACCGCCCCACCGTCTTCATTGAGATTATCCAGCGCAACGACTTTGACGGCTTCGGCGCCGGCAATTTCAAGAGTTTGTTTGAGGCGATTGAGAGAGAACAGGCCGAGAGGGGCAACTTATAAACAAGGCAATTGCCATTGAAGTACGCGTTTGGATCTGGCATGTGAGTTCATGTTTCCTGGAGGATCCAAACCGATAGAGACGGGATGAGAAAATTGTTCACCGTAATGACTCACGATGAGATGTCGTCTATTGCACCGCTTGGTCACCATGACTACCTATTCAAGCTGGTATTGGGAAGGCCATACGCCCCCAAAGTAAAATTCCAAAGAGTTCCCCTTAATGCGCCGTGCACAGCCGTCTCCTACGCTACATGACATGAAAGTTGTTCGTTACAGGCTGGCTATAAAGCTCCAAGCCCCAGTAGTAATGCTTTTTTCCCGGGTATCCCGTCCTCATTCTCCTTCTCCCTTTGTACTCGAACGTGTATCCCATATCTCTCGTCTTCATACTCGATTCTAGCTCATGATCACATCCCCGTTGGTGTGGCCATTGCCATTCACCTCAGTCGACGCGGCCGGGGCAATCTGGGTCTTGCTCTGGCATCCTGGGCAGTTGTGGATAACCTCGTGGGCGAACACATCGCAGTCGATGCAGAAGTGCTCCTTGCACACCTCGCAGGCATAACGCCCGCTCTCGCTAACACCCTTGGCCGCCGGACGGGCAGAATCGTCCTTGGACTTGTCGAGGCCTTTTGTCTTGGGCGGCTCGGGGAACGGTGCCAGGCAGGAGAAGCAGGCGGCGGACTTGGCAGCCTTGGCCCAGGAGACCTCGACCCAGTTGCGCAACGGGAAGAGATGGTGGTAGGACCGCGCCAGATGGGTGGACAGGATGAGGGTGAGGCCGCAGGAGGGACACTCTGCGGGTAGACGGCAGACACGGGAGCCGCAGCGGGTGCAGAGGTATCCTTCACGGAAGGGCTTATTGTGGCAGGCGCAGTAGCTCGTGGTGCCGTCGGGGGCGAGCGTACGAGACGGGAAGCCCATCATGAGCAGGCTGGCAGTACTGTGCTCCTGGGTCCGCGTAACGGGAGGCGTCGTGGCGGCCAGGAAGAGCTCGCGGTAGTGGACCTCGTCCATGGCGATGTTATACTGCGACTCATCGCCGGCGTTGGTGCGTGAGCAGAGCTCTGCGCAGATGGCCACCTGGGCGGAGAGGCCGACGATGGACACCCGCATTCGGTCGGTGATGAGGTTTCCAATCGTCTCGTGGATATCGCCGGGGTCGCTAGACAGCAGAGCGCCGTAGATGATGAGGACTTCTCGCGTGCCGTGGGATGGTGCATGGCTAGGTATTCTGGTCAGCATGCACGATCGCCAAACGAAGCAGATGGGACAACGGGGACACGTACAATAGAGCACCTCGACACATCTCCAGGGCGTTCTGCAGACTCGGGTTCCCCTGGGGGTCCTGATTCTCCAACCCCTTCAATCGCTCCAGGTGTTCGCTCGGGTTGCCGCCCACGTCGCTGATCCGCACGGCGACTCCGTCACGCATGCCGATGATGCCTAGCTGCGAGATGGGGTTCTGCTCGAAGAACTCGCGGACGAAGGCGGCGGCGTAGTTCAGGGTCAGGCGGTAGCGCGTGGGCAGCAGATCCTTCTCGGCCATGGCAAACGACATGTCCAGCACAAGGACCAGGTGACGGATGATGCCTCGCTGCAGGGGCGTCGTGTCCCGCAGCAGGCGCTTTCGCTTCTCGGCCTCGAGGGTCGATAGGTTGAGGATGCCGTCGCCGTCCTCCTCGGGCAGGTTCGTCTCCCATGTACGCTTCGACTTCTCCCAGGACCGCGCGGCATCTGCTTTGCGGCCGCGGGCAGATTTTCCCTTGGCTGCCTGGGGGTCGCCATCGGTGACTCGATGGTCCATGAGGTCGTCGTCCGACATGTCGTTCTCGACATACTCGCCATCGGAGTCGGCCATGGTGGGGAGGGTCTATCGCGGTGTCGGGTTCGAGCGGTGCGGGAGCGACTGGAGCGGGAGCGACTGGAGCGGAGGAGTTTATCGGCCAACGAGTGCGTGATAGGCGTGTGCGAGTTGAAGGAACAAAAAGAAAGATGGTGACGGAATAAAGTAACGAGGCTGCGATAAGTATTCACAGCCTCGTGGCGCGATCCACCCCAGCAGGCACCGTTAGAACACAGCCAATGGCAGAAGCGCTAAATTCAATGCGCCCCAACAGCAAACAACCACTTGCTTAGGTACCTTAGGTAGGTAGGTACCTTAGAGAGAAACTTGCAAAGTCACATTTGAGTAAAGCCGCTTTCTGATATTCACACGCCATTTATGTGAAGGTAGTTTTGAAACTTCGTTTTGAATTACTCGAATCTATCTTCGACTTCCATATGTATTAGTCGCTCAGCCAGGGTATACTACGAAGTCATGTCTAAACTAAATCACCTAATATGTACAGACTGGCGGGCGATGAACCCGTTCCAGTATGTAAAACACAGTCCAACAAACGCATCTGCCAATGGATCCTTCCACGAGGACCATGGCCATCTCCACCATCCTAACAATAGTCGTATGCAAGCATCCTCGCACAAATACCCAATTGCCTTGTTGCATATAGGCCTGTAGGTACCAAAAGCGAAAACGATGCCACCCCGTTATGCTCCTTCAAAATCATTTCCGTCAACATGTGTACGTCGTTCGACCGTTGATAGTCGCCGAGCAAGAGAGAGATATCGAAACCAGAAAAAATACGCCACCATCCCAAACGCCGTTCCCAGAAGACTGACAATTCGGCACAGCTTTTAAGGATAGGTGCTGGTCTGCATTGGCCAGTCATCTTCGGTGATACTGGACCAGAAGATCCAGATCATAACAACGGACAAGAGGGTAAAGAAGGTCTGGAAGAGAGCTCCGTCGATCTTGCCGCTAGTACCGTCACAGATATGCTTGCTGATGACGTAGTTGAAGATTTGGCCGAGGGCAAAGAGAACACCAGCGGCCGTCAGGTAGATCATGGGGCGGGTCTCGCCGAGTACTCGGATGACAAGGATGGCCTCGAGGACGAAGAAGGCGACGAGAAGGATCAGGGGAACCAGCTGATACATGACGTAGAGGGCAATGTTTCGGTTCGGGCTCTGGTAGCTGCTGTCCCAGTAGCCGGTAAACTGAAGGCCGGTGTCGAGAGCGATGTATCCAGTGCCGATGAGCAAGACACCAGCAGAAGCAATGATCAATCCCAGAGACATGGGAGTGCCATCGTCAATAATCTGGTAACCGACAACAGCATTCAGCATCAATATCCAGATGGTTGCAACAATCATGCCAATGTGAATGGCAGAGAAAGCCTACAAGTTGAGTGGTCAGCGTAGGAAGTGATGCGAGGTCAGCATATACACGTACAATTCGGACCGTGCTGTCGAGGGGGAATCCGCCAACAGAAAAGATTTCACAGATGCTGATCATGATGTAGCCGATGAGGAACAATTGCATTTCCCTAGAGCGTGTGAGTCAGGGACAAATATCACAGAGCGGTGAGGAGATGTGCATACCTTCGGCCGACAGCAGCCCGCTTCCTCTCTGATCGCAGCACCAAGAAAATGGAAGCGACAATGGCAAGACCACAGAGGACAATGGAGCCGATGTTCGCCAAGTGGCGGCCACCGCTCAGGGAGATGCCGGTGAGCTCACATCCTCCCCAAGACCCAGACTGGTTGTGGTTGGGAGAGCTTAGAAGCTGTGAGGTTCAGTCAGTCGGTTGTTCCAGGTTCCCACAGTTTCGTCTCCGCCTAGGATCGCGGTTTCAGGGCACACGTACATTGCAGACAGGAAGGGTCGAGTCCTTGCAAAAGTCCTGCAACACGAAGTGTTAGCAAACAGCGCTGGAACGCAGGCAGTAGTGGCGTCGATGAGAGGCGTACGTTGAAGTTGCCAAAGTCGGTGGACCCCATTGTGATTGCTGATGCTTGAGCTTGGCGAGTTGATCAGGTTTGCAACCACAATTGGGGGGAGGCGAGGGCAGTCGTCGAGTCGGGTGAAGCGCGCAAGGTCGGGGCGATTGACGTGGGAAATTGAGATTTCTCGATGCCGGGTGCGCGTCGCGGACGAAGGATGTGATGGAATTGAGAGTTTCTTTGCGCTGCGAGCTGCTGCGTTGCTGGGTCGTCGTTGGGGTGGTTGGTTGCGGCCGAAGCGAAGAGGCGTAATTTGGCGGCTTGTGCTGTCCTCTGGGCTGATCGCTCGCTAGCGGAATTCCCCACGTCCTTCCCGCTTTCTCGTCAACTTTCGTCGGTCGGCGGATGCAAGAGCAGATGATTGCGCGTCGAAGAGTCGGATTCGAGGGTTCGAGGGTTCGAGGAGTTGAAGCGGATGGCGGTCCTCGGTTGTGGCGCGGCGTGCAGAGGAGCGAGCAGAGGTTCGTCGCAGGCTGTGGGTGGCGGGTTGGTGAACCACAGAAGTACAGAAGGGCGAGGTCGGGTGCGTCGTTGCGGTGGGCGCTGGGCAGCAGCTAAGCTACCTTTTACATGCAGTACGGCAGCCGCAACAGGCTTTGAGCGCTGTGACTGGGGTTTGCCGAAGGCGGCTGGCCAATATAACACTGAGCATTCAGCACCACCCAACCCACCCCCCTCTAGGGATTTCCGGGGGGCCTGGTAGTGGCACCCCCCTGGAGTCGGCGGTCTTTGGAGGTCCTTGGGTACCCTCGACGCCCCGTTCGCCGCGTTTGGGTGCCCTGGGCTGGCGCCAGGTACCTCAGATGGCCCCCGGCCTTGGCCCTGGAGTGTGGCCCCACTGCCTGGAGCACTGGATCCCCCCTAAGGCAGGAACCAGCGCGCTGAGTGGCTGCGGTGGCGGGCCAGCCGGCCGACGCTAGGGCCAGGCCCTCGGCTGATTGGCCCTGTGCCGCCTGATGGCCGGGCTGCGTGAGATTGCTGTTGCGGCATGAGACAGTCTCTTCTCTTTTTGTGATCCCGTCTCCAAGCAGGTCATTCTGCGTCTCTCCCACCCCAGAAACGACCGGTTTCTGCGCCGGTCGACGCCTTTCCGAGGTCTGTTCACGCCTTGGCTAACCTGACCGGGGTGTCGAGGTTTCGAGGGCCGGGGGGTTGGACGCTGGTCGTGATGGTATGATGTTGGATGTTCCCAGACTGACGGTCGTGACAACGCAACACGAGCGTTGTCATGAGCTACAAGTTGTCGATGTGGCGGCGCATCCGCAATTGCTTCCCCCGGGGCGCTTTTGCAAGCAGGTATTCCATCGCTTCTATTCTCTGGTGTGCCCCGAGTTCCACTCCTCCAGTAGAAAGGCCTTGCCGGGGTGAGACCCAGGCAAGGTTGGGAACCCGGTTATGCGGGTGATTTTTGGTGTGTTTATGCATGATGAGCTGGATGGGATGAATGGACGGGCTGGGCTCGCTCGATTCTACTCGAAGAATAGCACGGGCTGGCGGGTTTCTTTGGCTTTGGAGGCGGCCCCGGCAGCCTGTGACGACTCTTCCTGGCGCACCCATGTCCTCTGTTCCCATGCCGACCTTGCCAACCCTGCCGATGCATCACCGGCCGCAGCCTTTTCCGCCTCATGGTGTTCGTGGCCCTCCTGCGCGCCTTGCTGCATCTTGCGCGTGCTGTGCTTACTTACAGTCATTATGCGGCCAAATCAACGCAACGGCACCGTTTGTCGATTGCCCCATCTCAAGCCAGACGGTGGGAGATGGATGGGTGGGTGTGTCGGCGCGGGACGCGGGACGCCGCGTTGCCGTTTTGTTTCAACATTCCTTTGCGGATATTATGGCCAAATTACGGTCTTGGTCTCACGGCCTTGGCAGGGCACCCAGCGTTCAATGCGGCCCTCAACTTGTCCAGGAACAGCCTGCTTTCATCCGATCCTCTCCTCCTCTCCCCCTCCCCCTCCCCCTCCCCCTCCTCAGCTTTGCGTACTACATTGACCTGGCCCTTTAATGAGCCGCCCTCCCTCGCCTCGACACGGATCAATCACCCGCGTCCATTCCTTGGCGTGGATCCTCGATTGTTCGATTGCCTCTCTCTCGTTACATCGGCCATTGTCAGCCTGGTTTTCGCTCACATGGCCACCCGTCGTCAATGAAAAGCAATAAATTGGACCTTCAGATTCCCCCGGAATGTCCCACCGGCGTCCAGACCTCGCCTCGAACCCCGCCAACGCTCAACGCCATCTCAGCGAATGTGTGTACGGATTGTACGAAGTCTTACGAAGCGCGTCTGGAGTCTGTGCAAGCTCCAAGCTCCCGCCTCCAACAACTGCAGGGCAACAGGGGATGCCCCAGATGTTTGGACTGCGCTCCTCCTCTAGCACAATGCCCACTCGGGTCATCTCAAGCTGAAAGGTTCGGCCGCCCGAAACGTGACTCCTCTGCTGCATCCTCAGCTCTGGGACGCCCGCATTTTGCATCTTCTCTTGGTTTTCAACCCAATTTGGGCTTTCTTTCTTTAGGCATTGCACAAGATCGGGGGCGCAGCACGTTACACAGCCTATCCATGTCGGTTCCCGTCACTTACACTCAGCTTCGTAGCACTTTGTCCACAGCATTGAACCGTGATCAGCATCGCTAAGGTAGCCACGTCGATGGCCCACTTTCTAATAATTGCCCCCTTCCTTGCAACGGGCTAGACCCATTCGACACGGAGGCTGGTGCCGTGCCCTGCTCGCAGGCTCTCGGACTTCAAGCTCCCTTTAACCTTGGCAAACATTGCCAGGTTTTTCCCCCAGTTGTTGATGTCAGGTCTCACAGCAGCGCATCATCGATGCGCTGGGGTGGATGCGAGGGCATCGTGGAGGGGCTGCCTCCTGCTGCCGATCTCCATCCAAAGGAGCCCTCTTCGTACGTGCATCGCTTCAGGATACGCCGTTTCAGCCACGCTTGATGCCTCGCTGGCCTTCCGGTTGGCTAATTCGTTGACCAATACCACCACCTCTATACCTGCCTCGGCGCTTACCTGAAGCCATGGTTGTTGCACCTGTTGGATAGTTGTTCGAGACTTGGAGCAATGTTTCGCCTGTGGTGTCGCTGGCTTTGAAAAGTATGCATAAAAAGGACAATATCTCATAACATACGCCTGCAAGTTATACATGCAAAGCATGCCCTCTATTGCCACTACGGCCGTCTTTAAGACTTGGTCTGCAAGCCATTGAACATTAGGCCAGCCCCGTCACGATCTAGTGACAGATCGTCCGTGGCGCAGGCAGCCCAGATTCGCCGCTTTTCCTGTGACATGTGGCTATGCTCATACAGATACGCGGAATCGGTAACGATCAACAAAGTCACGTCCCACGTCGCCCAATCTTTAAGCTCACTTCTGCGACGACACGTGGAAGGGTGTGAGGAAAGCTGGCCCATATGACCAAGTGATATCAAGTTGTTATTACTTTGCCACCTGTCAAAAGGGAAGTGACAAGGACCATCATCAATTGTCATACGCAGCACGCGACCGTGGTGGTGGTCCGCAGTCATCCACCCCCAATGCTTAAGTTCGAGATCGGCAAAGGTGAAACCGTCCCGACTCTCCATGGATGGTGGGATGGAGGAATAAGGCGTCATTGACATTCTAGGATCGTTTCCTTTACTGGTGTCAGCCTCAGACACACAAAGGGATGGCCTTGGGCCACTATCAAGGGGTGGCTCCTTTTCCATCGGCTCGGCATTCGATAGAATGAGACGGGCAATCATTGACAGATGACCGCCATCTGTCAACACCCACATTCCTATTCATATAAAAATACCATTGCCGCTTTACCAACGTGCATTACACGACGTCTCTGGTTCTGGGGGTAGTCATGGTCGTCTAAGGCCCGACAACGACGTGAAACTATGGGTGCTGCCGGATGCATTACGAGTGCCAAGGTCTATAGAAATCCGTAAGCATGACTTTGCAACGAAATACTTTTGGGTCGATTTCCCTTGTGGTGATGCGTCTACGCAGTCGAGTTAGTTGGTAGAGTATTATGCTGAGAGAGTTTAGTCTCTGATCTCCCAACTACTTGATATGCCACTCGATCAAGTCGGAGGACACTTGCCTGTGTCTGGGAACTGGGTTGGCTTTAAAGAGGTCTTGCATCCATTTCTTAGTCAGGACGGTGCTGAAGAATGCTTTTGAATACTGGGGTTAGCCTTGCTGGTTGTCTTGGTCTAATTTGCTCGTACCCTGAACTATGTTCGTTGGAATGATTATCCTAACATCAGCTAGCTGTGTCTCAACCTACAAACTAGCTTCTCCGAGGGCATGAGTCCTACCTGTGTATATTATCGGTATGCCCTTGGCACAATACGCGATATCCATCGCGAGAGGGTTCTCGCTGCATTGAGTAGTCGTTCTATGAGGTTTCGTGATACCTCGTTAAGTAACGTCTCGGGTGGGAGAAGCGATATACCTCTTTCGGTCACGCGTGGGAATATCACAGTACCACAGGTTATTTTAGTTCTAACTCGGCATATACAGTCATTCTTGCCGAGGGCGTTCTCCATAATAAATGGGAGAAGAGGACAAGCATCCCCACCCAGCATCCGGAGTATTGTAGGCAAGAGACACACCTCAACTTCCTGGCGGTGCAGAATAATCCGCAATCGACGGTTTGGCTACAGGTACCAGGGTGGTGCCAAATTTCCTCTTAGTCGAACAAGATGCACATTGAGTGACGCTGTGAAGCATGACTACAGAAGGATGGGTGGACGAGAATCACGAGAGTGTACATAAACTGTTTTTATGAATAGGTGGATGTAACGGCAGACTTTATTGTTCTACTTGCTTAAGATCAATGTCAAATATACGCTTGACTTGGCATATTCGAACATTCTCTAGAGTTTCGTGTCATAGTTAAGTGCTACGAGTTGGTTGTTTGGTGGAGAACTTTGTCCATTGACGAGCTCAACTTGCCGTCTAAGCCGTGCGGACCCGTATCGTTTTGTTGGATTCGGTGATAGCTAGCGTGCTCGGCCCCGTCTAGTATACTTGAGTTATGGGGCACTGGTTTGATTTTGGCGTGGGGTTCTCTAGAAAAGGTATGTGTGGTGAGAGGCTTTAATTCGATTCGCATACTGTCGGCATTTTCTGATACAGAATAACCACGACCGTCATCCAGGAAACGGTTCAGATACTCATGCAATTGAACATATAAATTGTCCTCATATGAGCTGATTTTATTGACCCAGGACTCTCTCTTTAATGGGATGTTGTCTCGATGGCAACTTCGTATTGTGGTCTAGGGTAAGTAAGCTGTGGTTAGCCCCCGTAGTCTTGTGAGGATGCAGGATGCAGTGGAGGAGCATGAACTACGTAATGTGGCGGCCAGGCTATGCAGCCAATTGGCTGTGAAGTCTTCTGGACTGTGACTTATATTTCCAACCAAGTTTTTTGGTGTGGATGATTTAAACACTATGTGGGTTAACCTTGCTTTTCCCTGGTAATCAGGCAGTTTCCTTCTCGCATTTTTGTCCGATGTAATTTCGTATCCGCCACCATTGTCGCCAAATGGGAGATAGCTGAAGATTGAGATGGGCATGATGAAACCGCTTGTCAGTGGTGGGAGGATTCTGACCCTCCAAATGCCTGATAGTGGTCAAATTCATGCGCGGTGGCGTAGCATCACTATTAGTGGAGACAGTTGAGTTCGTCAACATCAGAGCTGTGGTAGGCCAGCGTCCTTAGTGGGATGCGACAAAGGGTTCAGTTCAGCGAGATAAGAAAGACGGGAGGCGGAAAACAGGGAACCTGGAAATTCAATTCGCCCCCCCTCAACCGCTTTACTACGTATGTAGTTTCTCCCGGCCACTTTCCTTATCCATCTCCCGCAAGGAACTCTGAAGCCCTGGGCCCATGGAATCGCTCACTTGGTCGCTTTCGGCGCTTGGAAGCCAATTGCGCGCCCGACCAAGATCCCTCCCTCTCTGACGTAGCCGGCCCCCACCTGAGATCCCAGGCCCCGCAACCGGCGGTGGTTTCGGGCGCCGTTATAGGCGGACGGCGGACGGCGGTGGAGCGATAGGCGCCTGGGACCCGCCCGCCGGGGGTTGCGCCCGTTCGTCGCCCGTTCGTTCGCCGTTGCGTAGGGGCCCTTTTGCGTTCGTCGGGTGCTCTTTCGGACGGTGGTACTTTGGAGTGACTTGTATCTGCGAGCAGCGTGTCAAGGCACCATTGTTTTATTTCCCGGGGGTCTAGGAGTCGGGCCTGGAAGAGTCACGAACCTGGAGAAAGTCAAGCTTATGGATTCTGGGGTTGAGGAGTGGGTGATGTCACACCTATTGTAATACGGGGAGTTTTGAACGTCCCCCAGGAGCACCTGTTTTAATCATGTGAACATCACTCAATATACTTACTGAAACGTGTATTCGAGGCACATTTCCTGATGTCAAATATTTCGTTGTCTGACTCTTATCGTCTCCCAAACACGTCTCTGTCGTTTCACATATTGTAGTGTTGTAAGTATACCCTTGAAACCGACTGGGGGAAGAAGATGTTGATTAAAGAGACCCGGTTATGGAGATTCACCACTGAGAACATCGTTTTGGAGGGCTCTTCCTCGTCCCGAGATTAACGCAGACCCCCTCTATGTCCTGGCCAGATAGACAAAATATCATGAGAGAACCGAAGCCAAGGAATCCTCCAGGCACCACCCCACACTGAACCTGTGCTGCACGAGACCCCCGGTCCTCCACTGTAGTTAGTGGAGCCCATCAGCAACTTCAAGGGAGGGAGGACGGGGAATAGTGGGCTTTCAGCAGCCCGTAAAGTGCATGTTGGTTATCAGGTATCAGCAGAACGAGCCCCTGGACGAGAAATTACGACCGCCCGTTCCATCGGGTCGAGGGGAAAGGGAGAGACGGATTGGTTGATTCAAGGCGCCCCTGAGCTCTGCTGGGCGCTGCTTTTCGTTGCTTACAACAGCGGTGCGGCTGGGCTTGGCTACTGGGCTTCGTACCATCTCTACTACACACCCACTGTGGTGGTACATGTTAATTCAGCTGGGACGCGTTGCAACCCCTAATCTGACGCGGGCGCGGCGCTGCTGAATCCCTAATCCGCGACCCGTCGTCATCCGTAGGGAGGTAAAAGTTGATGCCGACCTGGCCTATCCGGCTGCGGCTGCTCTTCAACTCTCCAACTCTCCAACTCTCTTCTTCGCAACGCTCCCTGTCTCACCCTTCAGTCAATCCTTTCCAAGCCGCGGTGTCCGCCCGGCCTTTGCATCCTGCATCCTGCATCTCGTGCCTCATCCCCGCGCGTCTCCTGACCCGTTTCCCTCCACCCGCCTCGACATCACTTGCGCATGCTCCCGCCCCACGGAGTGCCGTCCGACTGAATCCTGTGTCATTCCCGCCAGTGGTCATCTGGGCTGTCATCTGCGTGCCCTGCCCAGCCGCGTCTAGCCTCCCCGTACTGCCTGGACGCCTGGACTGCCTGGGTTCCCAGCCGAGAGAACGACCTATCTCGTTGCGCCTGCTCCCCAAGCGACCGACCGACTTGACCTGATTGACGACTCTTTCCCGTCCGCGTGGAACCGATCTTCTCACTGGCCCCTCCCCATTGGATTGGATCGCCTTGGAGCCATCCCCATCCCGCATCCCGCAGCCCGCGCACGGCGCCCCTACCGCAGCACGCCAACGCCTGTCGCCTGTCGCCTGTCGCCTGTCCACAAGGTCACTGCCAAGTACCAACCCAGCTGCCCCAGATTGACGTGCCTGCCTGTGCCTCTATCTCCCGCCCTGGTGACACGCCCGCGCTGAAGCCGCTCAACCACCACAACCAGGCCTGTCTCATCAACTGACTAAGGCCGCAAGGTACATACCGGGCCTCAGCTAGGCTCGCCGTCAGCCAGACTGCCAGACTCCCACCAGTCCCTGATTTGGGATTATTCCCCGTCCCCCGGCCCATCACCCGACCCCATCTTTTGCCCTGTCTGCGTTGGCCTCCAGGTGCCGATGACCTCGCCTTCTCTCCGCCCTTCCCTTCTTCCTCTTGTACCCTTCACATCGTGTGCAGACGGGCGCTGCTGCTTAACAGCCCCAATCCTCCAAAATTCCTCCTCCAAAGCCATCTCGTCTCCCCTCCAACATTCCCCTGCGGACCCTTCCTTCGCGGCCTAATCGCGACGACCATCCCTACGACTCCGACTCTGCGTCGACGTCATCGCTCTCGTCCCGCAACGACGGCGACCACGATCACAACCACGATAACCATCACCACGCCTCGTCGTCTCGGCCCCAACAGCGCCGCCGACGCTCCGGCTCCGGCTCCGAGTCGTCCTGGACCGATACCGGTGATATTGGCGAGCAGCTCGCCGACGACGATCCCCTTCGCCTCCAGCTCTCCAACGAGCTTGAACAGGAGCTACTGGCTGGCGTCGACCGTCGACACCAAAAACATCACCACAAAAGGGTGAGGATCCAAGACAACCCCCATCACCATCGCCGCTCCCACTCGCGGCCCGCCGTAATTGATAAGGAGGCCATCGAGGTTCCCAACTTTACTCCTCGACGCCCTTCTCGCGGCGAACGCTTAATCGGTGCCATCATGTCGGGAAGTACAGGCTCCATCCATGGCCTCACTGGCAAGGCTTTGATGTAAGGATTAGATCTACACGCCATCCCCACCTCCTAGTTTCCTTGCTGACCAGACTTTTCTCCTCCAGCTACTTCACCAGTATCTTTGTTTCATTAGGCGTTTTCCTCTTCGGTTATGATCAAGGAGTCATGTCGGGCATTATCACGTATGCCTTCACTCCCCATTTTATAGGAGCCATTGCTGACCCATTGCTCTAGCGGCCCATACTTTATGGACTACTTTGGCCATCCTTCCAAAGCCTATGTAGGTACCATGGTTGCTATCCTCGAGATTGGTGCCTTCATCTCTTCCTTGATTGTCGGCCGCGTCGGAGATATCATCGGGCGACGAAAGACCATCCTCTATGGCTCGTGCATCTTTTTCGTGGGTGGCGCTCTCCAGACCCTCGCCAACTCTATGCCCATGATGATGCTCGGCCGTATCATTGCCGGTCTCGGTGTTGGTATGCTCTCTACCATTGTGCCCGTCTACCAGTCCGAAATCTCCCCCCCTCATAACCGAGGAAAGCTTGCTTGCATTGAATTCTCCGGAAACATCATCGGCTACACGACCTCTGTTTGGGTTGATTATGGCTGCGGCTTCATCGAGAGTAATATGTCGTGGCGTATTCCCCTGGGCATGCAGTGTGTGATGGGTGCCCTCCTGGGCATTGGAAGTCTTGTCATTGTCGAGTCCCCTCGGTCAGTAAATACTCTGTCGAACTTGAGTAGAACCTACCAACTAACGTACCCAGATGGCTCCTCGATAACGATCATGACGAAGAGGGTATGGTTGTTATTGCCAATCTGTACGGAGGCGGTGACATCCACAACCCCAAGGCCCGTGACGAGTACCGCGATATCAAGATGGACGTCCTTCTCCAGCGCCAGGAGGGCGAGCGATCCTACGCCGACATGTTCCGCCGGTACAAGACACGAGTCTTCATTGCCATGTCCGCCCAGGCTTTGGCTCAGCTCAACGGAATCAACGTTATTTCATACTACGCTCCGTATGTCTTTGAGTCCGCCGGCTGGGTGGGCCACGACGCCGTTCTCATGACTGGCTTCAACGGAATTACCTACCTGATGTCGACGATTCCCCCGTGGTACTTGGTGGATCGATGGGGTCGCCGACCTATTCTCCTCTCAGGTGCAGTGGCAATGGCCATCTCACTTTCCTGCATTTCGTACTTCCTCTATTTGGACGTTAAGTGGACACCTCGACTGGTCGTTTTGTTTGTCATGATTTACAATGCAGCATTTGGCTACTCTTGGGGTCCCATCCCCTGGTTGTACCCCCCGGAGATTCTGCCTCTGAGCATTCGATCCAAGGGTGCCAGTCTTTCGACTGCCACCAACTGGGCCGCGAACTGGCTGGTTGGCGAGATGACACCCATTCTACAAGAGTGGATCAAGTGGCGGATGTACCTTGTCCATGCCTTCTTTTGCGTGGCCAGTTTTATTATTGGTAAGAGTGACACCGACTTCCTTTCATATGGACATGCTGCTAATAGACCATCAAGTCTACTTCATCTACCCAGAGACCTGTGGTGTCCGTCTCGAGGACATGGGTTCTATCTTTGGCGATGCTAGCACCGTCATGGGCACCCCATCGGTGCATGGAGATACGGGATCGCTGCTGAGAGTTGGCTCCCCAGTCGGATCTTCCCGAGGACTCCTGGGTCCTTCGGCCATGATCCCCGGCCTGTCGCTCGATCCCGCGTCCATGGATGATGACAACAAGTCTGGAATTCAGACTAACGGTGGAGACGACCGAAGCGTCCGTGGGTGGCTCTCTCGAGTTGTTGGGAGAAACCGCTCGGATAGCAGCGGCAGCGGTCAAGGCCGATATGCGCCGCTTGGACAACAGGAGGACGGCCGTAACAATGACTGATGCGATTATCTTTGCATTTGGGCCGAATAGAGGGTTAACTTTGCATATAGATGGCGCACGAGACGGTCAATGTGTCGCTAGTGTGGGATCAATGTACAGGCAGCGACGGATTGGATTAAGTTGGCGTGTCGACACAAGGCACACGCTGTTGGAAATAGAAACGAGCGGACTGCCGCTTGATAGATGCGCAAACAGGTGGCGCCAAATGACAACATACGGTAAGTGGGACGAAGAAGCTGTGTTTACGTGGGGAGACATGATTTTAGACTGTATTGGGCCTCAGATACGGCAAACGGCTCGTGCTCGCTGGTGTGTACACAAGTAATAAGAGGTTCTCAACCGGATACGAACAGACGGCATGGAAATCATCAGGATTCAATTATTGGCAGCTTAAAATCCTTGCACGAGTTAATCTGGATGGTTTCATTCACGATCACTTGAAATGTGTGTCAATTGTTCAGGGAGCAAATCTACAGATACATGGTCCGTGCATTTTCAAATCCAATTGGCTTCACCCGTATCCATGCTTACAGGTGCATCACCACTCTCAGCCATCAACACTCTTTTGGTACAGCCATGGCCGCCAGCATAGAAGTCGTGCACGCCTACCGGAACCTGTACCGGAGCCTGCTCCAGGCAGTGCAATACGCATTCCCCGCGCGGCTGATAGCGCGCAACCAGCTCCGCACCGCGTTCCGGGAGCCTGGCGCCGTGTTCAACAAGGAGGGCATCCGGCGCACCGTCTGGTTCCTCCAGTGTGCGGCGAGAGAGAGAGGCATGGAACACATCATCCTGAAGAACCTCCTGAAGGTGCAGCAGCGGAGGGGGTTCTCGAAAAAGGGCTGGAGGAAGTCGTTTCATGACAGCAAGACGCAGTGAGTTTGATGTTACGCATTTTCTTTCTTTCTTGTCTGCATTGATAATGGAGAACTGAGACTAGATGAGGAATATCGGGTTCTGGATAATGGAAGAATGCACAGGGCTAAGAACCGATGACTGACCGGCTCGCAGAAACCCTCTGGATTTTGAGATGAAGACAAGATATTGGCATTATGACATGACAGTTGCAATGCTCAATAAGACCATGGGACTGTGTCTGCGCTGAACGCTCCTCAGCTATTCCGAGAGGGATAAGAGAAACGGGAAACCACCTCGGCCTTCGATTCGCAATCCGGAGGACGGACCCGACCTACCGCAACGTCCATGGAACGCCTTGAAGGTATGAGGTATGGGGGACACTTTGTCTCTACAAAGGTGCCACAGAAAACAATCCAGTGCAGGCAATTGGTAGCCAGCAAACATCGCGACTGCACGGCGTTTGCGATGGCTTGTGTATTACATGTATCACTATTGTGAGGAGAATCGTTGACTGGGCTCAGTACGGGAAGAGGGACTGGCATTGGGACGACACGGCAAGTCCAAATATGTGGTTGGCGTTTGAATACAATCTGAGCCGGGAGTTTCCTTATCCTCCAAGAGGCCATGGTTCTGCATTAGCAGTAGATAAATTACAGGGCAAGGGCAAGCCAAAAGTACAGTCGAAGCGCCACGAAGCCGCGTAACGCCCCAAAGAATCGCAAATTATACATCTCTCCACAGTCATTCCCTGTATGTCTCGGTTTCTAGAGCCAGGCGCCTTCTACTCGTTGGTCGGCAAGTTGACGTCGACACCGAGCTCTTGGAGGAAGACGTCGCTTAGACTGCTGCCGTCTCTGCCGTAAATCCAGTCGCCTTCGGCGGTGTCCTCCTTGTCGCCCTGGCCTTCGCCCATAAGGCACCAATCGTAGCGCTTTGGGCCGGAGATGGGCGAAGACAACCAGATCTGCTTGTTGGGGGGCTGTTTGTTGATGACGTAGGTGCCCTGGTCGGGGAAGCTGATGGTGAGGACGCCGGCCTGTGTTCCGGTGCTGGTTAGCCGAGGGAAACTGCTGTGAATGAGAACGAAGCTCGACGAACCGAAAATTCAACGTCAATGTCCTCCCGCGAATCCTGCAGCTCCTCAAATCTGCCGACGACATTATCCAAGTACTCGTCGGCGAGCTCGTGGTACTCTGCGTCGGATAGCTCGACCACAGCGAAGCCGGTCGTCTCGGGCTCGGGTGTGGCCTTGGCGGGATTCTCCGTGTCGGGCATGATGCCCTTTTCGCGGGCCGGCGACGTCGAAAAAAAGCTCCGCAGGGAGACGGCGGCACGGGGCGCCAGGGCGATCGAGGCAGCGGGAGCGAGGCGGGAGGCCAAAGGCGAGCGACAGAGAGTGGTGGAGCTTCGGAGCGCTCTTGAAGCCATCCGGGAGGCTTGGGTTGCGGCGTGGCGGGACATGGTGGGCGAGGAGACGGAGCAAACAGGCGTACTTGGCAAGTCAATGGTCTGAGGACGAGGCGATTTGGGAGGATCGCATTTGATGCAGGAGTTGAAGGTTGCTCAATTGTCGTCACCACAAAACGAAAGAGAAGGTAGAGGACGGAATGGATCAAGCTCCCCGCGGCGGATGGAGCTCAGCGAAGTGTAGCGCAAGCAATTGCAACTGGGGAGCCTTTGACTGGTCCGAGCGTCAGAGAGCCAAAAATACAGGGCAAGGTACGTACCTCCCCGCCAAGTCGGTCAGTTCAGTCATGTGCTGCGTGGTCATCGCCCAAAGCTGCCCCACCATCGCCATCAACCCTCGTTCGCATCGACTCTCACTGACCGCGGGCGACTTCTGGCACGGCAAAACTGGGGGATGACGAACCTCATTCCTCGACCATGATTAATGCCTTCCTGGTCTTCAATGGCCAAGGTCAGCCTCGCCTGACCAAATTCTACACCCAGCTGGTAAGCACGCTCATTCTCAAGTCGCCCTGGCTCTGATCGTCTTTCTTCTCCTTCCGCGCCTAACCGCCGCTTTATTAGGAAACGAGCATCCAGCAGCGCCTCATCTCCGAGATCTTCACCCTCGTCTCCAACCGTCCCGCAGGGTCCTGCAACTTCCTCCCGCTGCCACCCCTGCTCGCTGCTTCGGGCACCTCCCACACTTCCTCGGAGGAGCAGAACGATGTCCCCTCCCTAGTCACCTACCGTCACTATGCGACGCTCTTCTTCATCGTCATTTCGACCTCGACCGAGTCCCCCCTGGCCCTCATCGACCTGATCCAGGTCTACGTCGAGGCGCTCGACAAGCTCTTCGAGAACGTGTGCGAACTCGACCTGATCTTCAACTTTGAGACGCTACATTCTACGTTGTCGGAAATGATTATAGGAGGCGTTGTGATAGAGACCAATTTAGAGCGCATCGTGTCTGGGGTTAAGGCGCAGGGAACTGTCGCTAAGCGGCCGGTCAATGAGGGACGGGGGCCGTCAGGTCTAGGATCAGGCCTGGGTATGGGCGCCAACTTTGCCTGGTCCGGGAGGTGATGGATGACAATATCATCACGGAGAGTATACGGACGTCCTGAGGGGCGGATAAGATGGCCTATGAGGCGAGATTTCCATACATATTGCGCCATCATGGGGTATAACACCGGACTCCAAATCTTGACAATAATATACATATAGACGTTTCTATTTCGACTCTTCTTCGTCTTTGGGTGGAGGCGGGGGAGGCGCGTCCTTTCGTCGCTCGTATCGCTTTTCTGGGTCGAGTACTCCGAAGAGGTAGTTCGTCTTCCGTCGGATCTGTGGAATCGTCAGCGAAATGTCTACCACGGTGTTCAATAAAAGGACTGACTTCTTCGGAGGGCTTGTACTTCTGCCCCCACCATTCGAACTCCGAGTAGAACAGGATCCAGACGAGCGCCGCTACATAGATGTCAGCCGAGGAAACCGGGAGGCTCTGGGTTGCGCGCGGAGAGACCAACCGACAATGGTGATGAGTTGGGCGAGCTTGACGCCCTTCTCCCATCTAGGAGACCGGCTCGCAAGCATAATGCGCCGCTTGTACTTCTTCTCGAACCGCAGCTGCTGCTGGACGGTAAGTTCCTTGAAGTTGGGCGGCCACACCTTTCGCGCCTTGTAGGGATTGTTGACCACCGACAAGGGCGCCCTTCGCAGTAGGGGCCCTTTTGCCGACGCGGCCATACGTCGAAAGAGTGTCGGAAACATTGCGATCGGGTAACCGGCCTTGCCTCTGACTCAATGGCAAGATGAAGCTGCGGAGAGTCGTTCCTGTTCTAGAAGGTGGCCGTGACGCATGAGTCTTGAAAAGTGACCCACGACGGGTTGTAACGCCACAGCACCGCCTCGTATCGTAAATGCACTAGCCACATTAGTGCACATCCCGCACGCACGTCTGGCGCCTCCCACTATTGCCCCGCGATTTTCACCCCTCCGAGTCCTCTCAGGTCTGACTCCAAACCGTGACTCAAAATTTCCCAGGGTGGAATTCCAAGGTATTTATGAAGTGTCCCTTCCTCTGCAGTGGGAGATCGAACTAGAGCGAAACTAATACCAATTTCTTCGTAGCACCGCAGACTAGTCGGTTCTTGAAGCAATTCCGGTTACGGCGTACGAGACCCCAACCATGGCTTCAACAGACTCCGTTCCCCAAGCCATGGAGGCTTTGACTATTTCCAAGACCAAGGAGCTTAAGGGCGTTCGTGCAGCCGTTACTATCCTTTGATGGACATTTTGAACTGACCTTTCACCACAGACTGAGAAGCGTGACTCCTTGATCGCTATCGAAAAGAAGTACCAGCAGAAGTGGCAGGAGGATGGCGTCTTCCAGCCCGATGCTCCCTCGACAACCGAGATCCCCCTCCACTCCATCTCCGCCGCCGAAGTCCGAGAAAAACACCCCAAGTTCTTTGGATGCATGGCATACCCCTACATGAACGGCACCCTGCACGCCGGCCACTCGTTCTCCGTGAGCAAAGTCGAGTTCGCCGCTGGTGTCGCGCGGATGCAGGGCAAGCGGGCCCTGTTTCCCATGGGCTTCCACTGCACCGGTATGCCCATCAAGGCCTGCGCTGACAAGCTGGTCAACGAGATCAAGATGTTTGGCCAGAACTTTGAGGGATACAACCCGGACGAGGAGGTTGCCGAGGAGAAGCCCGCTGTGAAGCAGACCAAGGAGGACCCCACCAAGTTCACCGCGAAGAAGGGTAAAGCTGCTGCCAAGACCGTCAAGATGAAGTACCAGTTCCAGATCATGCAGGCCATTGGAATCCCGACCGAGGAAATCCACCAATTCGCCGATTCCCAGCACTGGCTGAAGTACTTCCCTCCCCTGGCCAAGCGCGATCTGACCAACTTTGGCTGCCGTATCGATTGGCGGCGATCTTTCGTCACCACCGACGCCAACCCTTACTACGATGCCTTCGTTCGATGGCAGATGAACCGCCTCAAGGAGCTGCAGAAGATCAAGTTTGGCAAGCGATACACCATCTACTCGATCAAGGATGGCCAGCCTTGTATGGACCACGACCGAGCTGAGGGCGAGGCCGTCATGCCCCAAGAGTACACTGCCCTGAAGCTCAAGGTTCTCGAGTGGGCTCCCAAGGCGGCTGAGGCCGTCCAGGGCAAGACCCCCGAGGGCTCCAACTTCTTCCTCGTCCCCGCGACCCTGCGACCCGAGACCATGTACGGACAGACGTGCTGTTTCGTTGGCCCCAAGATCACCTATGGTGTCTTCAAGGTGAACGACACCGACTACTACGTCATCACTGACCGAGCTGCCCGCAACATGGCTTACCAGGGCGTCTTCGCTACCGAGGGTGTCATTGAGAAGGTTGCTGAGATTGCCGGTACCGACATTGTGGGCACCCTGATCAACGCTCCCCTGTCTCTGCACACAGAGGGCGTGCGTGTCTTGCCCATGGAGACCGTGCTGCCCACCAAGGGTACTGGCGTCGTTACTTCTGTACCCTCCGACAGCCCTGATGATTACGCAACTATCACCGATCTCGCCAAGAAGGCTGACTATTACGGCATCAAGAAGGAGTGGGCCGAGCTGGAGATTTTCCCCATTATCCAGACTCCCTCGTATGGCGACCTGTGCGCGCCGTTTCTGGTCAAGAAGCTCAAGATCGCTTCTCCCAAGGACACCAAGCAGCTGGAGGAGGCCAAGGAGCTGGCTTACAAGGAAGGTTTCTACCAGGGTGTCTTGAAGGTCGGCGAATTTAAGGGCGAGAAGGTCGAAGTTGCCAAGCCCAAGGTCCGACAGCAGATGATTGATGCTGGGGACGCCTTTGCCTACTCGGAGCCCGAGCGCAAGGTTGTCAGCCGATCTGGCGATGACTGCATCGTGTCCCTCATGGACCAGTGGTACCTGGACTACGGTGAGGAGTCATGGAAGCAGACTGCCCTGAAGTGGGTCGAGAACGCCGACGGAAAGGGTCTGGAGACCTACACCCCGGAGACCAAAAACGGCTTTGAGAGTGTCCTGAACTGGCTGAACCAGTGGGCTTGCGCTCGCAGCTTTGGTCTCGGTTCCAGACTGCCTTGGGACCCCCAGTTCCTGGTTGAGAGTCTGAGTGACTCAACCATCTATATGGCCTACTACACGGTCGCCCATTACCTCCACAAGGACTTATTCGGCCGCACCAAGGGTGTTGGTAACATTGGCCCTGAGCAGATGACCGACGACGTGTGGGACTACATTTTCTGCCGCCGCGACCTGAGCGACGACATCATCAATGACTGCAAGATCCCCAAGGAGACCTTGGAGAGCATGCGACGTGAGTTCGAGTACTTCTATCCCCTCGATGTGCGAGTTTCCGGAAAGGACTTGATCCCCAACCACTTGACGTTCTTCCTGTACGTCCACTTGGCCGTTTTCCCTCCGGAGTATTGGCCCCGTAGCATCCGAGCCAACGGCCACCTGATGTTGAACGGCGAGAAGATGAGCAAGAGTACCGGAAACTTCATGACCCTGAACGACTTGACGTCCAAATACGGTGCTGATGCGTCCCGAATCGCCCTGGCCGATTCCGGCGATGGTGTCAACGACGCCAACTTCGAGGAGGACGTTGCTGACAACAACATCCTACGTCTGTTCAACCTGCGCGAGTGGTGCGAGGAGATGGTGCGCGACCAGGACCAGCTTCGGGCTGGGGAGGCCAACCCGTTCCAGGACGCCCTTTTCAACAACGAGATGAACGAGCATGCTCATGAGGCTATCCAACAGTACGCCAACACCAACTACAAGCTGGCCCTCAAGGCTGGTCTGTATGAGCTGACTAGCGCCCGTGACTTCTACCGCGAGGCCTGTGCTGCTGCCAACATTAAGATGCACAAGGACCTCGTCCTCCGCTACATTGAGCTGCAGGCCCTGTTGCTGGCCGTCGTTGCTCCTCACTGGTCTGAGCACATCTGGCTGGAGGTCCTGAAGAGGGAGGGCACTATTCACAATGCCCGGTTCCCGGAAATCGGTCCCATCGACGCTGGCCTTTCCGCCAAGCGAGATTACGTCCGCAATACTGCTTCTAACGTCAACTCGGCCGAAGGCCAGCAGCTGAAGAAGAAGGCCAAGGGCAAGGAGACGTCATTCGACCCCAAGAAGCCCAAGAAGTTGACCATCTTCATGACGGACAAGTTCCCCGCATGGCAGGCCAAGTATATTGACCTGCTCAAGGAGATGTGGGACCCTGCGACCAACTCGGTCAACGATAAGGAGCTGAATGGCAAGATTGGCAAGATGGGGGAGATGAAGAAGGCAATGCCTTTCGTTCAAGGCCTAAAGAGACGCCTGCAGTCCGGCGAGCCCGCCAGCGTGGTCCTGGAGCAGAAGCTCGCTTTCGATGAGAGGGAGACTCTCCTCCAGATGGTGCCTGGTCTGACACGAACCGGCGGCCTGGTGGCTTGCGACACTCTGGCTGTCGAAGAGGGCGGCAAGAAGGCTGTGAACCTCGTGGATGGCAAGGAAGTTGAGGTTTCGGCACCCAATGCCGGCAACGCTGTGCCTGGTCAGCCCAATTTCTTCTTTGAGAACGTGGAAGTTTAAGGGTTGTGGGTATGAGAGGGAAGGCTAGACCTATTCGTACACACATGAATTGTAGATGAAAAAATAGGGCATGGATGATTAAGTAGACAAGGACCTGCTATGACACAGTATTATGTAGAGAAGATTTCAAAATCGCGGAATTGTGCTACGCTGTAATGACCATGTCCATGGTTGACAACACGGCTGTCTCGGATGCAGCTTGGGGGTTGGAGTTTCGGATGGGCTGCATTTGCCACAGGTGGTCGGTACACCCACAGGTTTGAAACATACAAAAGCTCGTAATTCTGCATCTGCCGAAGTAATGCAGCATCGTGTTGACATTGTGGCGGCTAATTGGAATGTTTTCCCATGTTGTAGTGCGTTGCCCCAGCCACGGATGATGCACGAAACGGGCTGCGTCACCCAATGAATGAATGATTGGGGACTGCCGCAGGTGTGGTGGAAGTTTGTTTGTGGGTGGTGGGTGGTGCTTACAATGCGGTGATGTTAGTGCGCAAAGGTGGTTGGGGATACTCTGTAGGCAACCAAGTGTCAGGGTTAATGCCGTTTTGTGGCATCCGTATCTTCCCGTGCTTTGTACTCAGTTCAAGATGGAAGCGTCCAGGCCATGGTACCTTTTTTTTTCTTTCTCTCTCTCATCGTCTTGGTTAGTTTGAATGCTTTGATAACGAAGCCGCTATAAGCGAGCAGTGAGCCTGAGAGTCAAGCCACACCCTGTCAAGCGTCAGTGCTGATTCCCAGATAGATCAAGAACTAAACAGATTTAGGGCTGAATCTGCCTGGTTTAGTCGAAGCGATTCCTCAACGGACTGGCGGTATCTGGACTGAGGTATTATCCTGTCCATCCTATTGGCCTGTGTGGAGGCCGGTGAAGGCTGTAGCAATCCTTGGCCGCGATGGGGTGCTATGACGCAACATGTCGATTGGATCAAGGCTGTCCTAATACACTCAAGTCTGGAACTGACTTCGCCCAGCCTCCCTGGTGCACTCAGCCCCGTTATCAGAGTTCTCCGAGTGAGGGGCATAGATGGGCTGCCTCAGAAAAGCCCATGGCTGGACCAATGGTTGGACCAATGGCGCAGTCTCCGGAGTGGCGAGCCACAGTCTTGTTTTCGTCGCCCGCATTGCCGCTGCTGAGCTTTCGGATAGCGCCGTTCCCAGTTGCTGGCTATTATTGGGCATTGGAACTCGGGATCCGCGACATGTACTAACGGTATGTACCATGCATGACTGCATGTACGTCGGTGGTCGGGTCGGGTGGGATGATGCAAGCCACCCGTTATCATGTTGGTGCGCGGAAGCCGGCCAAGGCGTGCTTGGAGGCCTGGGATAGATATATAACTTGTCAATAGTTCCTCCGACTCTGGAAGTTGGCTTACAAGCATCTTCTCTTCCCAACTCTCAAAGACTATCCGTTCTGACACCCGAAGCCATTAAAGACTCATCTTCTTGGCCTCGTCTCTCGTTTCAACCAACATCCTGAACGCAACTCCCACAACACTCCCACAACACAACACATCCACTCTCTAAAACCCTTCTCAACACCAACAATTCACCATGCGTTTTTCCCACGTTATCGCTCTCGCCGGTGCCGCGACCGCCTACGTGGTCCCTGTCGACACCGTCACCGGCGTGACTACTCCCGCCCCTTACAGCAACTATACCACTGCCACAGTGTATCCCGTTGTACCAACCTCGAAGAGTAAGCCAACTCAAGTCTTTCCCTGTTGTTTGGATATGAGGGCTAACAAGAAACAGCACACCCCTCCAACCAGACCACCACCCCTAGCGCCCCCACCACCACCACCACTCCCACTGGGGCTCCCCCCGTCACTGGCGGCGCTGTTCCCCAGAACACACGCGGCTCCCTGGCTGCTCTGATGGTTCTTGTTGCTGCAGGCCTTGTTGTCCTGTAAAGATGAAGTGATGGATTGAAGAAGTTATGAAGTGATGTGCAAGAGAAACTGGGGCGGGCCGGAATACAATACACAAGATATCATGGTCAGATCGTTCGGCATATGACTGGAAGCGGCTGGTACAGGATTCCCCGGGGCAACAACGCCTCGCGACATTAATAATAATAGTATATACCCATAATCAACATAATAATTTCTCGCACTCCACAAACTGTGCCTTCATTCGAGTGAAATGGCATCAAGTTTCGTGGATAAATGGTACAGGATCGGAGTGATTTGTCACGCAAGATAAATTGCAATTGTGTTTCGTACCATCTTCTTGCTGTTCGCTATGGACGGCAGGAGTTACATGTGACGTTCCTGCTCCCCTTTCCATTCAATACAGGGTTAGATACCTACCTTGACTCGGAGCTGAATTTGTTTCCATATAAGGGTATATCGATTGCCGCGACTTCAGCCGAAGTACCGAACTCCTCGTCATGTGCCTCGAGGATATCCTGATGTGCTATGCTTCGTGGGCTGACTGCAAAAGTCGCTCGCTAACGTCTTGCTATAGCAGACTAATAGTCCTCTCCTTGGTATTCGTACCCAGAGCGCCGAGGCGATATCCAATATTATAAAGGCGTTTGTGATTTAGTAAATGCACTCTCGGTTGGGTCTGATCCCTCAGCACATGCCCAACAATTTTTCAGGGCAAAGGCGGGATATTCGTAGGTGCAGACTCGAGGTCGAAGCGAAATGCCACTGGCAAAGACTCTTTGTTGATAGCGGAAGTCTCGGGGAGCTGGCGCGACTGTTCAAGGTCGGTCGTGTGCGACTTGGGGTAATCAGGCAGCGATGGGAACTTGGCCGCCGGAAGCGCCAGAGGAAGGAGGCTGTGGCAAATCATCCTAGAGGGTGTTAGGTTGGAAAGGAATGTCAATAAATTGAAAGACTCACCAGATCAAAGATGACGCGGATCATCAGACTGCAGCTGGGGCAGACGGCAATGTCCTGCTCGTCAAGCAGATCGTCGAGGGCAATAGAGAACTTGTCGCCGCAAGGACAGGGGTAGTGGTAGACCTGCATGGCCTCGTCCCAGGTCATGTCCTCGATTTCGATTTCATCGTAGATGGAGAGGTTCTCGTCGTCGGACATTTTGGCGGCGGGATGCAGTCGTCTCGGGGAGTGAGAGTTGGGTCGTGAAGGCCGTGTGACGAGAGATGGAAAATATTGCCCCGCGATGCGACGGCAAGAAAATCCGGGCCTCCCCCCACCAGGTGTGGCGCATGAGATGTGATTGCGGATAAGAGAGGAATGTGGCTGGTGCACATCCGGGGTCGCGTAAGTGTGGCGGGTGGAATTCCGGGGCAGACGCTCATGCTCCACTGTTAAAGGTCTATCACATGCCGACGGGAAGGAGTTGAGTGTGGGGAGGTGCTGCCCTGACCTGCCCCGGACTCGCTTCGGCCGAGGGAGGAGCTTTGGGACGTCGACTCACGAGCCAGTCGCAGGAACAGGGCCAGAACCATGACCACCGCTGACAGCCATGTAGCTCTCCAAGCAGCTTCTCTACCTTACCCTTACCGACTCTCCGCCCTTCTTCGCCAGATAGGTATCATAGACGCGGTCCCCCGTCGTCCTTTCCTTGCCGGTTCTTGGGAAATCCGCTTCCCGATGCGCCGCTCGTGACGTGACGTGACGTCGTTGCACCCCCGGTTTCAAACCACCACCACTTCTCTCACTAACATCACCACCGCCATCGCCATCGCCATCGCCACCGTCCACTCTCAATTCCACCACCCCGCGACCTCCCGGGCCCCTTTCGCACCCGCGGCGCCGCCATGGCCTCGCAGTCGAAACTCTCCCTGCCCGGAGACCGCACCCTCCGCGGCCTCGTCTCGCGCCTCACGGGGCTCTACGTCTCGAACCGCACCCGCATCTCCCGCGCCGTCTGGATCACCCTCTTTCTCGCCCTTGTCAACCGCATCCGCCATGCCATCTCCGAGCAAAAGGCCGCCTCCGTACGCGAAGCCGCCAACCGCGCCGCCCGCCGCGGTACCACGTCGAGCGGCAGCGAGGAGACGCCTCGGAAGAAGGTCGAGCTGAATCGCGACTTCTTCCGCTCCCTCCTGCGCCTGTTGCGCATCGTCGTCCCCGGATGGCGCAGCAAAGAGGCCAGGCTGTTGATGAGCCACAGCTTCTTTTTGGTGGTGAGGACACTCATCAGCCTGCGCGTCGCTGAGATGGACGGTGCCATCGTCAAGGCCCTCGTCAAGGGCAATGGGAAGGAGTTTCTCAAGCGCATCGTCTGGTGGATGCTGATTGCTGTGCCAGCCACATTCACCAATTCAATGGTGAGCATCGCAACCAACCCAACTTGATTTAACATGTACTGACCCGCCCACTAGCTATCATATCACCAAGCAGAGCTGTCGCTGAAGTATCGGACACGTCTCACGCAGAACATTCACGACAAGTACCTCTCTAATTTGACCTTCTACGGCATCTCGGCGCTGGATGACCGAATAAAGAACCCGGATCAGTTGATCGCCGTCGATGTATCCAAGTTCTCCAACAGCCTCGCCGAGCTCTACAGCAACCTGGCAAAACCCATGCTGGATATGGTGAGTTGACTCCTCCACCATCCTGCGCATACCTGCTAACTATTGATAGACCATTTACACCTACTCTCTCTCCAAGAGCGTTGGTGGCGAGGGTGTCGTTTTCATGTCACTCCTTGTGCAACTCTCGGCAAACGTCATGAGGGCGCTGACCCCGCCATTCGGCAAGTACGTCGCCGATGAAGCTCGGCTCGAAGGAGAATTCCGCTTCCAGCACTCGCGCCTCATCGATTACAGCGAGGAGATTGCCCTCTACGGCGGTCACAGGGCAGAAAAGGATACCCTCGACAAGGGCTACTTCACACTCATTAAGCACGTTAACCACATCCTACGGCGGCGCTTCTACCACGGCTTCATGGAGGACTTCGTCATCAAGTACTTTTGGGGTGCCCTGGGTCTGCTGCTTTGCAGTGGCCCTGTATTCATCAAGATGCCAGGACACATCGTTATGAACATGGGTGATCGGACTGAGGCGTTCGTAACCAACCGACGCATGCTCCTGTCCGCCTCAGATGCTTTTGGCCGCATCATGTTCTCTTACCGGGAAGTTATGGAGCTGGCAGGATACACGTCTCGCGTTGCCACACTCCTTGATGTTATGGACGATGTGCAGTCAGGCCATTTTGAGAAGAAGCTCGTCTCGTCATCAGGCACCGAGGGCAACGAGTCGGTCCTCAAGGGACGAGGAACAGTCCATGAGAGCAAGGATATTACCTTCATCGACGTGTAAGTGAAATCTCGTGCAAAATGGTTACGCATACTAATAGCAACTCACCAGGCCTATCATCTCCCCCAACGGTGACGTGCTTATCAAGGCTTTGTCCTTTTCCCTGGAGCATGGCGACCACCTCCTCGTCGTTGGCCCCAATGGGTGTGGCAAGTCCTCCCTGTTCCGCATCCTCGGCGGCCTATGGCCCGTCTATGGTGGCACTGTTCACAAGCCTCCATTCCATGCCATCTTCTATATCCCCCAACGGCCCTACCTGTCCCGCGGCTCGCTCCGCCAGCAGATCATCTACCCCGACTCACTGCGCCAGATGCGTACCCGCGGCGTTACTGACGCCGACCTGCTTGCTATTCTCAAGACGCTTGGCCTCGACCACCTCGTCGACCTCTACGAGGAGAGCTGGGACGCCGAGGCCGAGTGGCGCGATGTCCTCTCAGGCGGCCTCCAGCAGCGCGTCGCTATGGCGCGCCTCTTCTACCACCGCCCCCGCTACGCTATCCTCGACGAGTGCACCAGCAGCGTCACGCTCGACACGGAGAAGACCATGTACGACACGGCAAAGGCCCTTGGTATCACCCTCATGACCGTCAGCCACCGCCGCAGCCTGTGGAAGTATCACACCCACATTCTGCAGTTCGATGGACAGGGTAACTACGTCTTTACCCGCCTCGATGCTGACCGCCGACTGAAGCTCGAGGATGAGCGTGAGGAGCTCGAAGTTCGCCTGCGACAGGTGCCCGAACTTGAACGCCGAATTGCCGAATTGACAGCTGCATGAGAGAGGGAAGTCTTTTGGCGAAGAGGAAATACGAAATAGAGGTACCGAGGAGACGTGCCATGTATTGTCGTGCCATCTGTACCAGTGTAGAATAGTGACGTAACTTAGTTCCAAAGCAAAGCGATATCCTTCCCCCTAAACTTGCCCGCATTTCTAAGTCAACGGATTTGATTATTTTATAACGAAGAGTCTTGCTTCCCTGGCCTCTGTCATGTTTATCAGGAACAACAAATAAGAGATTGGTGTTATCTGCTATATTCGTTCCGTATCCGTTTTGTTCCTTTCTGCATGCTCAATATGAACATCCACTGACATCTATCAACACCACCCCAATCCGAAGGGTATCCAAAAACAAGAAAATGGAACAATTGTACAAGGCCATAAAGTTCAGTATCACCCCAACACCATATCGTAACAAAGAAGAGTCATTGTCGTCATCGTTGCCCATTTAGCTCCACTCCTCCTCCATATTATCTGGGTGGAACTTGCAAGTCTCCTTGTGTGCGGTATTGTCGCCTGCTATAATTTCTCGGTGGTTTGCACCGCATTCATAACAAAATTGGTACTTGCAAGCAGGGCCTGTTGAGAGTTAGTTACTCTCGCTTTGAGCGCTCACGACACGGCCGACTGCCTCATCAGCGTCCACCCGTGCAGTTGATGTTGTGCCGCCGGCTCCAAACATTGTAGCACCCCCAGCAAAACTCGCACTTGCACTTGAGACCTGGAATGGTTGGGTTAATGTTCTTGAAATGTAGGAGGGAGAAGCTGGTGCAAGAACCCACCATTTAGGAACGGGGCAGGCTTCGGGGCGCAAAAAGGGAGGACTCGGGTAGAAATTATAAGCAACTTACAAGTCATGTGTGAACTGTAACAAGTGTTAGCTTATCATATTACTATGAAAATTGGGGGTTGAACTTACCAGCCGTCGTTTTTCTCAATTGCCCATCCGCATCCAGGACACGGCTTCGTCGTTGAGCTAACGGTAGCTTCACTCTGTTGCTCTTCCCTCTTCCGCCTGGCCGCGATCTTGCGAACCAACTCGGCAGCTTTTCTAGCCTGTTCCCTCTCTTGCCGGGCTCTATCCTCTCGGCGACGCATCTCGGCCTGCTCATCAGCTAGCATGTTCTGGGCCATGGCTCTGTCGGCCTCGAATTGAGCTCGCTGAGACTCTGACCAGGCCTCATTCTCTAGCTCGAGCCGAGAGCGGAAGTTTTCAGGGTCAGCGAGCAATTGGTCGTATTCTTCACATGAGAGATTCTCGTGCCAGGGAGCGTTGTGGTGAAAGCAAGAACGATGGCCGCAGTGTAAGCAAGTGACGATGGGTTGATCTTCACCCGATTCGTGGATCTGCCCAGAGCCGCAGACAGAGGTACACCAGACGAAGTTATCGGCTTCTGACATGGCTGCACGGAGGGCCAATGTCTCGTACCTATCCTATGGTCAGTCCTGGCTCACATAATAATTGTTGGGTGAATATACCTCACGAAAGTCTGCTTGTTGGCAAAGCGCTGGATATCAGCATACTCTAGTAACTCGCGACACTCAGGACATCTAATTTCGGTCCAGAGTTTGCTACTCATATCTGACTCAATAGACAGCTGAATACATTCAAGGCATGTAGTCGGTGAATGAGTGCATGAGGCAGTTATCGAGAAGCGAGGGAAGAATCCCACGCCCTTGGTCTCAGTGCAGACTACACACTCTAAGTCTCCTACCACGGTAGTGGCGGGCACCCGCTGACGTGTCACGATGACATCTGGAGTATCGACGGCCCTTTGATATCGTTGGCCAAAGCTGGGAAGAGGGAAATATCTTAGTATCATTGTATAAAATAAGTATTGCAGGCAATGGGTTGCTAGATGAAGATGAAAAGACCAAAATTCCACAAGGGGTATGTTCGACAAATGACACGGAACACGACATGAGAAGAGAGCACATTTCAGAAAACTTCAACTAGAAGGTTCCTGGCATGATCGAGACTTGGGTTGGGGGAGCTTCGGGGGACCTACCGCAAATCATCAGCTACTTCGTCTTCAGACTGATCCAGTCGGCGGAGGTATGCCACCGTCATGGCTTGGTCTCGCTGCTCAAGGAGGGCAACGTACGGGTTAATAGAGCTCGATGAAGAGGCAGGGGGCGTGGTGTTGTGCTGAATGGCCACGTCCCGCGGCTTTGGGGTCGCCTTGGGGGGTTCCTCCAAATCGTCTACATCCATGTTCGTGAGATTTAGGATGGATGCTGAGATGGGAGCATATCCACGTCGGCGCACGGGCGCTGGCTCTGGGGGTGGTGTATCGGGTGTGGTGGTGCTAAAAGAGGCGAACTCATCGTCATCCAGGAGCGCCGGGACATTGTAGCGAAAGGCTGGTGGTGCCGATTCTGGAGAGGGAGCCGATGGCGCTTGTTCCTGGGTGCTAAGTGAAGGAGCAAGAGTGATAGACACCTCTTCGCTGGATGATCTTTGAGATCTTTGAGATCGTTGTGACCTCCGTGACCGGTGAGACCGAGTCTCAGAGCGCGTGTCAGAGTTGCCCTGAGACTGAGTCTCTGCCAGAGGCTCCGGTGATGCCTCGTCTTCGTCATCATTCTCGCGTCGCTGCTCCTCGTCCGTTTCCTCGTCGTCGACCAGCCAGATGGAATCATCGTCGTCACCGAAGCCGGCCATGATGTTCGGGTTGATGCGCCCGTAAAACCCCCCGTTAGCCAGCATGTTGTTACTAGGTGGCGAAGAGTCAAGGTCAGGAACGACCGTTGTGTTACAGGTGTCAGAATTCCGAGGATTTGCGTCTCTGGTAGGCGGTACTTCGATTGGGGGTGATGGTCGGCGTTGGGTCAATGGAGCCGTAGGAGGAGGCGGCGGAGCAGGAGGGGCGATAGTGTGATATCTTGTGTTGGTGTAGGTGTTGGTGTTGGTGTTTGTTGTAGATGTGTCAGTAGTAATGGTTGAGTCGTAGTCGGGAGGCGGGTCTGCAGGTGTGGCTGGCGCCTTCTTCTTGCGGAATACGGTGCTCGCCCTCTTCTTGAAATTCCGGAACATGTCTTGGCTGAGCTACCAAGGCAGGAAGGAAACGAAGGAGAGCTCAAGAAGAGACGAGGAAGGGAAGGGAAGGAAAGAGAAGGGAAAGAGGGGGAGCAGAAGGAGAAGAGGGGGAGGAGGTGGGTGAGGTGGGTGACGGCAGGCAGGAGAGGCAGTCTGCTACAGAGCGGGAGCTATGAAAGCTGTAGCTGAAAATACAGGTGGGTGGAGCAGGCGTAAGTAGATGTAAGCCACGCTGCGAGAGTGTCCAACACGGCACCGCATAAGTAAAGGAGCCAGAGCATAAACAATGTGAAGTAGAGTTAAAGACTGGAAGCGCAATGCTCGAGGCTTGGGTGAACTCGATCAAAGGTACTTCGTGGGTTGGTAGGAGGAGAAGGGGGACATGGAGAGTTGGGGGTTTGGTCAAGATTTTGGGTGCAGAGGCGGCTTAGCTGCCTGACAACAACGCCCGGAAACGCATGATACCTTGGCCTCGCACTGGTGACTGACTGAGCCATGACGCTGGCCAGCTTCGTGCCCTACGGGTCTGGGAGCCCCTCAGCCTCAAGCCTTTAAGCCTCCAAATGGAACCTTGGCCGCACTTCCAGCGCCGGTGCGTCCTAGGTACCTACTACGTAGTAGGCTTTTTCCCTTTCGCTGCCGGCCACTCCTAAGTTAGTTGACATCCTCCCTGGCCAATGCTTGGAGTCCGTGACTCAAGGCACTCGAGGTCGAGGCACTCCAGGCACACTAACACCGCTGCGGCAGGCAGGCGAACCGCTGGAAGCTGCCATCCCCGCTCTGGGCTGACGCCTCTACCATCCAATCGCAGTGCCAATTGACAAGAGGACTCTCTGGGCTCCCCAGCAGGGCGAACCACGCTCCACTGGCCGCCCGCCTGGCCATAGCGGTCGAGATGCCTTGCATACCAGTACTTCGTGGTACCGCCCAGGTGCTGCGCCCCCAGGATCTGTTTTGGTGCAGTGCCTACACACACGCCCGTATCCTCGCCCGCTAAATGCAGGTAGCGTGGTCCACTATTAGATCACTCCACAACCCGGAAAAAGCCCCGCGTTGTACCGGTACCTTGGTGTTGGCTGGAGCTTGGACCCCGCGATAGCTTGTACCAGCCTAGGCACCTAAGGTACCTACCTCCAGTTACCCAGCTGGCAACATTGTCATGACATGTCAAGCGAACGAAAATGCCTTGCGACCCAGTCCGCCCAGCACGTCGCTAAAGCGAGCCGACAGTCCAGAAATCGTACAGGCAACTATCCGCCAGCTCGGCTGTGTGATTCTCTCAGGGGGTCCTTATCCTCGAGGTGCTCTCTATTCAAGGGGACGAGGCTAAAGTTCATGATACTCCTTGTCCTACGTTGGTACCCACTCAACCTTCGACATGACATCACCCCACGCAGAGTCAACAAGGTGAACCCATTACATCCGACATGGTTTATACTCCCTACTCGGTTGGTACTCCGTACATAATTCGTTTGAAAGCGACTCGCATTCAAGCCCAAAAAATATATATGGATAGCAATTGTGCGGAGCACCACCCGGATCGAGAAGGTGGTGTTTTGAATGAGCAGGTGACCTTAATTTTGTCGTACTTTCGGATGATTAATTACACACGTGCCGACTCTGCGCGGGTGCGAAACCCTCTTCCTTCTTCTGCTTCCTAGTTACGCGTCGCGACAATGAAGGGGAAAGAACTTTTCACCACGCAGATTGCTGCGGTACGCCCCAAATCGAATCGCAAACTGTGGTCAAATCTCGCAATCGTGGGCCTCGGGTTGCTTTGCGGTATTAACTTTTTTCTGCGGTTTTCAGACGGGTCGGTCGACACGGGAGAGGCTCGCAGCTATCCAGGAGAATCGCTCCAATGGAAACCATGTGGTCAGATCATCAACCACGAGCTCGAGTGTGGAGAAATCAAGGTTCCCATGGATCAATTTGATGCAGTCAATTCTGCTAGCAAGACTTTCAACATCCCGCTCATCCGCCTTCGAGGCAAAAATGCCACGCAGAACCTGGTTGTGAACCCCGGAGGCCCTGGTGGCAGCGGCTTCAGCTTCATGTACCGCAGGGGAGAGCAGTTGAATCGCATCGTCGGAGAGAATTACCACATCCTGTCATTCGATCCCCGAGGTGTCAACTCATCACAACCTCGTGCGTCTTGTTATCCGACCGCGGCGATGCGTGAAAAACACGCCTTGGATTTGGATGACGATTTGGTTGGCGACAGCGCGAAACGTTATGCTTGGACACAAAATTATGTCAAGACATGTGAGGAAAACATGGGCGAGCACGGCAAATACATCAATACCCCACAGACAGCAGCCGACATGAACAGCATCCTGGACGCCGTTGGCCAGCAGGACATGGTGTATTGGGGTTTCAGTTATGGCACCCTGCTTGGCCAAACTTATGCTTCGCTCTTCCCAGAACGGTCCAAGAGGATCATTATAGACGGCGTCGTCAACCAGATTGAATGGTATACGTCGCTCCTTTTGCAAGACGACTTCACTAATACTCAAAATGTCCTTGATGGCTTCTTCGACGAGTGCATGAAGTCACCAAAGACGTGCGCTTTATCAGGCTTTGCCGACACCAAAGAACAGCTGCAATCTACTGTGGTCGACTTTTTGCGTGGCTTTGAAAAGGACCCGATCGCTGTCTTCGTTAACACAACGACGTATGGAACACTCGACTATAAATCCCTGTGGATCAATGCAGTCTTCGCCCACATGTACAAACCGTCTACTTGGTTTGATTTTGCGACTCGGCTTGCGGAGATGATGCGTGGCAACGCGACAAGTGCTTTTCTGACATACAACACTAATAACCCTCTCGACTTGACGGACGAGGCACTTGATGTTGTGATGCTCAATGACGGGATATCAGGCCCAAAATATTGGCCCCAAACTAGGCAGGAACTGGTCGATCTTCTCTCACCTCTGGATAACTCGTCTTCGTTTGCTTTTTCCGCGAACCAAGGATACTATGCCAAGCAGCAATGGCTCATTCCACGAACACACAACTTCACGCCACGCGACCGCGTCGAGACTGCCCATCCGTTGCTGGTGCTCTCAACTACATACGATCCAATCTGCCCGCTGGTCTCGGCAAAGAACGCACAGAAGACATTTGTTGGCTCGCGACTGGTTGAAGTCAAGGGCTACGGCCATTGTTCCGTGGCAGTTGTATCCGCGTGCCTTGCTCAGCATGTGCGCGATTTCCTGGATACAGGGAAATTGCCCGAGGAAAATACGACATGCGAAGTAGACGAGCCATACTTCCAAGAGCCGGAGTCAGAGGAGGTATTGTTGGCGAAACTGTCGGCGGCAGAGGCGGAAGTCGACCAGATCCGTGCCGCTCAAGCAATGCTGGCTAGCCAATTGCGCTGGTAGGAGCCGTTTCAGGAAAGATGGCAGTATATAGCATCAAGTGAATTGATATTTTATCGGAAGGATGTCATTATATGTTATGAGCATCGCTATTTGCACCTAGAATATTGATCGATATTTGAATTATGTAGGAAGACACGAGGACACAAAGTCACAAAGAACAGGCTGGTTGATTGCCCCTGCGCCCGGAGTGCGCCAGGTTAAAACAACATGGCCAACCCCTCCATTTTGCGTTCTTTGGTGTGTTGGTTCTGCAGGCTTGCAGGGTCTATGGGGATCGCCTCAACCAATCGTCATGAGCTGGTGAAAGCAGGGCGCCTAGGACACATTGTGGTTCACAACACCCAAGACATACAATCTCCTACCTGGCCAATCCACCACCACTCTTCCCTGGCCTCGATTCTTTGTTCGGCACTCAATCAGTCAGTTTCTCGTCGGGGTCGCACAATGCGTCGCAAGTTATGGCTGCTATCAGCGCCTGTCGCGCTCTTCCTCTTGCTGGCGCTAGGTCTATATCTCGACGGCGACCAGCTCCGCCGCATTCCATTGCCTTCATTCACGGGTGCAGGTTCTATTGCGACAACAAATCACACCCAAGAAGCTGGCGAAAGCACACATGATGCTGGCGAAAACACCCACGACTCTGGCAACACCACTCAGGAAGCTGGCAACTTCATCCAACATGCTAGCGACATCACCAACTCCAGCAAATCGTTTAATGAAGATGTTATCAAAGACGGTATGATAGCCTCCACTCACTCCAGAAATCCAGTGTAGACTAATCGCCACAGGCATCATATTACCAGCGTCTAATATCACATCCTACATTGACGCCATCATGGACAACCAAGCGCATAACCTTGCGCGACTTCAGTGCCCAGATTTGAACTCGACACGCTACAGTGACCTGAAGGCAATCGACGAGGGCACATCAATCGAGTATTTCTTTGCACTGGACCTCCGCCAGTGTTTGACACTCCTGCCGACCCTACTAGGCAGCATCCTCGAGGCAATGCGCTTCCTTGGCCCGAGGCGATGCGCGCTATCCATCGTTGAAGGTCACTCCCCAGATGGTACCTATGATGTCCTTACCGCCATGAAACGAAATATCGAAGAACTTGGTGCTAGTTACTTCTTTCAGCCGTCCGCCATAGACCCCTCAAAGGGCGATCGCATCCAGAAGCTTGCCGAGCTTCGCAACTTGGCCCTTCGGCCCTTGATTGACCACGCCGACCGAGTCACGGACACGACCACTGCCCTCTTCCTCAACGACATCGCTATCTGTGCCGAGGACATTCTCGAACTGCTCTTCCAGCGCACTGCTTTGGGCGCGAAAATGACTTGCGCGATGGATTGGACGTACGTCGGCCAAGACCCAACCTTTTACGACGTTTGGGTTGCGCGTGGTATCAACGGCGACTCGTTCTTCGAGATCCCGCCGGACGGGAACTGGAATTCGGCCTGGAATCTCTTTTGGAATGCCGAAGAGACCCAGGCGCGATTCTACGGGAACCGTCCCTTCCAAGCGTTTTCATGCTGGAACGGTGCCGTCACGTTCGCCGCCAGCATACTTACCAAAGAGGGCTTGCGTTTCCGCAGAGCAAACAAAGAGAAGAAGGAGTGCGAACAGGGGGAACCACAGCTGTTTTGCAAGGATATGTGGTTCCACGGCCTAGGGAAGATTGCCGTGATACCCACTGTGAATCTGGAGTATTCGGTGGAAAAGGGTGAGAAGATAAAGAAAGCCAAGGGCTTTGTGTCGGATCATGTCATGAGGCAGGACCTTGACGGCGATAAATTCGAGTGGGCTGTTGAGCCACCTGCAAAGGTGAAGTGTACACCAACTTGGGATCATCAGTTCTGGAAAGCATGGAACGAAACCCTTTCAAAAAGGAAATGACGCGGGAGGTATTTAAAACAATATACGTGCACCAAGGCTCAGGCCCTAAAACATTAGAGGATGTATCAACACCCGTGTCTTTGTACCAACGCAGGGCACCTGGGCTCTAATAGCAATATCACATGGTTGATTTCCGTAGGCTCTCGATAGCATTGTGAAGAATAAGGGCAATTTGATTTACCCTAATGGTCGCTCTACATTAGGTTCACAAAAATATCAATCCGCATCCAGTCTATCTGAATATGACGCATCATCCATCGCAAAGCTAAGGGTAGTGTAGCAAATCCTCGTCTGCTGTACCTTACAACGCGGAAAACATCAAAACAAAATCGGGACAACTCATCATCATACCATCAACGCAATCAGCATTGCCAACACTGGGAGGGTGGCTCTCCCAACTTATCCCCATCGAAACTGCGCCGTCCAGCTATCGGGCTGACGCTCGCTCTTGGCGTGGAAGAGGTGTGACACGATTGTTCTCTCCCCTTTTTCAGTAAACGCTTTCCGCTTCTCCTCATCTCCCCAAGCTACAAGCATCTGCTGCTTGCGTACCACCATGGGTTCTTTGATTGAGTCCTTCTGCCCGATCTGCCGCATGTACAACGACGGCACAACTGTGCACACGTTGAGAAGACGATGGTAGAGCTCCTTCTTGGATGGGGGCGGGTCCAACTTGGCCAAGTTGAAAGCCTTGCGGTTCTGCAATATGTTGCGGCAGTCCAGGTTCTTGAGTGAGTCAATGAACTCGGGTGATCCGTTGAGATCGCCTCCAGAGCTCCACATAATGTAAGGGTTCAAGTCTAGGTAGAAATGATGCGTCGACACTTGCAGCTTCTCGTACAGCTTCATGGCCGGCCACACGCAGTTTTCGTCCATTTGATCATAGAACCATCCAAGCTTATCTTTCTTGCAGAAAACTTTGAGGATTCCCGATAGCTCAATCGTCATGTCCTTGCGTCGCCGTTCTCGCACCGATCTGAAGGGTGGCGAGCTTAATAGGGCATTGTACGCCTCAGCTGTCCAGGTTCTGACAGAGAAGAGATCTGCGTAGAATTAGTTATTAGAGTTCGTTATCAATTGCGAGAGAAACGGCACGAGGCAACATACCTCTCTTAGGCTCAACAGACATCTGCATGCTATTCTCAATGAAACTGACGACTTCGGTGTATTTGGGGATATCACTGTATAAAATAGCCTGGAAGATATTGTCGTGCAGATATCTCAGGATAATGGACGCGATGATATCTTCATCCGTCTCGGGAAACGAGGAGGCATGAACAAGATCGGGGTATTGGTGGAGGGTCCTCTTGAACTTGTTGGCGTCTGCGGTTCGCTTTCGAGCAATAGTCAAGACACTCTCAACACCTTCAGCGTGGTCCTCCAGCCATGGATCCATAAACTTTTGAACCCAGTCCTGGACCAGCTCGACCAGTGCATCGTATTCCTGTACTCATTGGTCAGCTCAGCTCGCGATGTATTGTCGCCATGGTGGCAAGTGGTCAGAAATACTTACGCGACCAATCTCCTCAGAAGTCAGATCTTTGCGATAGGGCTGAAGACTAAAAATGTGCGATTGGGCATCGTTGAGTTGCTCTCGGAGGGCGCGGTTCTCCTCCCTCGACTTCTCTAAATCGCGAGCAAGGGACTCGGTGTCACGCTCAATGTCGGTCATGCCAGAGTTCAACGATTGCTTCATCTCGGTGATGCGCTCGGTGGCACGCTCAGCCTTTTCTTCGGCAATCTGCTTCTCGGTGATGAGGGTGTTGATCTTCCGGGAAAGGTCTTGGGCGTGGCGACGCAAGCGCGTGTTCTCCTCGTGGACCTTGGAGGTTGTATCTTTGCGCCGGGTGAAGCTAGATTTCTCGTAGCCTGCGGGCAAGTCATCTAGCTCCTCCTCCTCCTCGACGGTAGGTTGGAGAGTAGATTTCCGGGCTAGCGGCTCCTGATGGGTGAGGGCATCGCCAAAATCCTCCAATGACGGGAGGTCAACCACGCTGGCACTGGCGACTGGGTCCAGGTCCATCAGCATGTTTCGATCGACGTCTCGGTCGCTGCTGCCCTCGAAATCCTTCTCAGAGATGCTCCTGGTCTTAGGCTTGCTTCTAGGCGGAGGGCCCATCTCCTTCTCCTCAAAGCCGGTGACGGCATCGATATAGTTCATCTTGGACCGCATGTCGTCAAGCGGAATCTGGCCTTGGCTCGAGCCGCCTGCCATGTCGTCCTGTGAGCGGGGCACGGGCACAGGCACAGCTTTGGATTTCGCGTCGGGCTGAGGATCAGGTTTCTTGGTGGGTTCGGCAACGGGTTCGGATTTCTCGTGATCGACGATGGGCTCTTTAGCAGGAACAGCAGGAGGGTGCCCGATCTTCTTCTTAGATTCGGCCATAGGGGAGGATGTGTTGGTGGCAGGCAGAAAGTTGGAGGGCAGATTTCCGGATGGGAAGGGAAAGTACTTCAACAGGAACAAGTGGTGACAACACTGCACAGCCAGGAATTGGAGGGAGGCCTGGGAGCTGAGCCAGCAGAAAGATTTGTATTATGCCTCGCTGCTGGTGAACGAAGAATGAACCTAGGTACCTACCCACTGTAGGTATTCCTTGCGAGAAGTACATGTACCTTGAGCAGCCGGCTGTCCCTCACTTGACGGCGGGTGGTGCTCTCGAGCTCCCTAGCCCGAACGATGGACCCGCATTCGCCCTGTGGTTGCGGCTGAGCGCGGCCCACATCTCGACCATCCACCACCATGTGCGGAAGGGTGTGGGGAGGGACATGGGGGAGGGGTGTGAGCCCCCAGGGCATCCGGCACCTTGTGAGGCAGAATCCATAGCTAGGACCATAACACAAGTCCTAAACTAGCCTGGTCGTACTCCGTACTATTCATGGCATCCGTACCTAGTGCTATGTAGGAGGCTAACATATGTATCTATGGCGGCCTGGGCTAGGTAGGAGGTGGGCTGGCGATAGTCTATTCACACCCCGTGGATGCCTTGTCTGGCTTTGCTTCTTGTTCGTCCACTGAAACCGCCTGGCTTCGCCTCGTTCAACCACCACTTTGGAGGCTGTAGGTCGCCAGTACCTATCTACCTAAATTTACCTCCTCCCACTCAATCCCACCATCCATCCCACGCAGGCAGGCAGCCCCGCGTTGTGACTTCCACGGCGCCAAACACTGCACTACCCACGTATCGCAAGCCCGCCCTACCATGTCCCCGACGTATTCGGTTCCTACCTACCTGGGTGAGGGGCAAAGCCAAGGCAGGAAGGAAGGTACCTTTTCGCTTGAAGAGGTACCTCAGGTTGGAACTCGGATACTTTCACATCAGCCTCCCAAGCCGTCTACTTACTTCTGCATCTACCTTGAGGTGGCCTAGGCTGCCTCGTCATTCACCTATCCCTCATTCATAAGCCTTTCGGGCGCCAATTACCTTCCACACCCATCTTCCTTCTGGATATTTCGTCCATCTCTGCTCTCCGGTCTCAAGCCGTCCCTGATTTCGTCTCTCGCAGGCTTCGTACTTGACAGCCACTCCCCACCAAAAGAACGACGGGCCTGAACCGAGCTGAGCTTGACGCATACGCATACGGGAAGCTTGAGAGCTGCCTACGCCAATCCTCATATCTCTCCCCCGCGTCTCTCCGTCCCACTCTCGAGTCTCACCTGCATTCATCTGGACCACCAGCTAAAATGGAGTTCGAGAAGCTCAACATCACCGACCGCAAAATCATTGTCGGCATCGACTTTGGTACCACCTACTCTGGTGTTGCATGGGCCGAGACCCAGCGCCCCGATCGTCGAACTGCCATCACCACTTGGCCGGTGAGCAAGACCATCCGTGAGGGCGAGTCTTCGGACAAGGTTCCCACCCAGATCCGATACAATGGAAACGAGATCGAATGGGGTTTCTCTATCCCCATGACTGCACCCCCGGAAGAGACGATCAAGTGGTTCAAGCTGTTTGTTTGCTTCTTGGCTCCCCCATTTCTGGTCATACCAAACTGACTCCCCTCGTAGTGACCTTGACCCTTCCTTCAGAGCCTTAGCTCAGGGCGTGGGCCAGGCTATCGGCGCCGATGGTGCTCGCGGTGGACGCAGTGTCGACACGCTCGTTAGTGACTACATATCTGCACTTGGTGACCACCTCATGTACACCCTTCGTGAGAAGCTGGGTGACAACATCGTGCAGAGCACTCCTCTCGAATTCGTCGTCACCGTTCCAGCCATTTGGAGTGACCTCGCCAAGGACAAAACCAAGAAGGCCTGCCAAGCCGCTGCTGCTCTCTCTGCGACGAAGCAGCCCGTTCACTTGGTCTCAGAGCCCGAGGCTGCCGCCATCTATGCCCTTCACGGCCTTGATCCCCATGGCCTCAAGGTTGGCGACACCTTTGTCGTAGTCGATGCTGGAGGTGGCACTGTCGATCTCATCTCCTACACCATAACCGGCCTCAAGCCCATTCTCGAGGTGCAGGAGGCAGCCCCCGGATCCGGTGCTTTGTGCGGTTCTACCTTCCTCGACATGCGCTTCAAGAAGTATCTCAAAGCGAAGCTAGGCAAGGAGGAGGGCTTTGACGATGAAATGTTGGCTGAAGCCACAGATGTGTTTGAGAAGAAGGTAAGTTGAAGCTAAACCGGCCATTCCTCATTTTAATACTAACCTGCTCCCCAGATCAAACGCCAGTTTGCATTAAACGTGGGACCTGATGAGACCTACACTATTCCTATGGGTGGTCTCGCCAACAACAAGGCTCTTGGCATCAGCCGTGGTCGTTTCTCCCTGAAGGCCTCGGATCTGCAAGGCATTTTCGAGCCAGTTGTGCTAGAAGTCATCTCACTTGTCAAGGAGCAGATCGCTTCGAGTAACGTGCCTATCCGTGCCGTCCTCTTGGTTGGTGGCTTCGGTGCGTCCAACTACCTCAAGGAGCGCCTCCGCAACGCTATCGACAAGAAGATCCAGGTCATGCAGCCTCCCAACGCCTGGCAGGCGGTTGTCCAGGGTGCCGTCATGAAGGGCTTGGCCAACAGTGCTCCAGATGATCTTACTATGGTCAAGATCAAGAACCGCAAGGCCCGAAAGCACTATGGTACTGAGTGGCGATCTCGTTACGACGAGAAACTCCACTCGCACCTCAAGAGCAAGCGACAGTGGTGTGGTCTTGATGGGTGCTATAAGATCCACGCTATGGAGTGGTTCATCCAGAGAGTAAGTGTCCACGCCACAACCACTTAAACCATCTCACTAACAGCAACCATAGAGCGACCAAGTCTCGGAGAACGAACCGTTCTATACTTCGTTTGTTTGGACCGGCCTGGTCAGCCAAGGCCGCATCCGTAAAATCAAGATGACCATCTACAGCGACCAGACGATGCGTGATGCTCCCATTGTTCGTGACGACAACGTCAAGATTCTATCCCACGTCGAGGCCGACGTCAGCCACATTCCCGAGAACCTGTTGGCGAGACGGCAAGGTTCTGACGGCCAGTGGTACTATGAGCTTAGCTGCAAGATCGAGGCGGTTTACCTCTCCGCGTCGACAACTTACACGCTTCTATACAACAGTAAGTCCAAGCATGCCCTAAAGTAGTATACCTACGGCGGCGCTAACACTAGACACAGACCAACGATACAACACTGTGACTTGCGAATACGTCTAGACAAGCACCGAGTGTCTGAGTGTCATGTTTTGTTGATTTACTGGGGGTTTTGGGTTGTGATAAGATAGATTGACAGCTACGAGGGGAGCCCTGGTGTCCATTTTGATGTATTTACGAGTGAAATGATACCAATTCTTTAACTTGGGTTAAGTCCATCTTCATGGCCAACGCTACCACGCAGTCTGATTTACTCAAATGGGTTTGGGATGCATCCCCAAATTTCCATGAATCGAATCCGCACAAGATTTCCCACGTTGGAAAGAACCAAAAGTCGGGCCTTGAGTTCGGCCTGGTTGTACTTGGGGTAGTATTAACTGGATGGTTTACCTGTAGAAATAGCAATACTCTTAATGCGAGACCCAAAATGGGTGGCAGTTTACCAGATCCAACCATGCAAGACGCGACGAAACCAATCCCAGAACGTCAAGTGATCTCTTTTTTCTAGACAATGCCCCTCCAAAACTAGGTATACATAATATCGCAGGTATCCAGAACACCAAGCTGCAGGAAGAACGCAAACAAAATAAGAGAGCACAAGAAAGCCAGCCCGTGTCCATCATCGAGGGCGGCGAGGTATCAACACATCCCGAACCCCCCCGTTTCTCCATCGGGGGGAGGCGACCAACTTCTCGCCAACCAAACATCCCTCACACTCTTTGTCCCCCTTGTCCCAGTCTGTCCCTATCCCCGTGCTCAGAATTCCCCCTCCCCTGTCCATGTCAAGCTATGTGCAAAGCGGTGTGCTTGCCGCCTTTATAAGTTTCAACAAAAGGAATAAGATAAAAAGGCCGCGGCAAGAAGCGAAGATGAAGTGAAAGGAAATCAGGCACGGGTTCCTGCCCACCATCATCGAGAAAGGTTGTGAAGGGATCGCGACTCCATCACTCCCGAGCCCGTAGTGGCGCCGGCTTCGAAGCCGACATTGTATCGTCCAAAGTAAGCCCGGAAGTAGTCCTACTCCTCGTCCAAGCTGCTCATCCCGGTGCCTTTGCTGGTCTTCTTGCCCAGCTTAAGCATGCTGAACCTCTTTCGCACACTGTTCTTCTTGGTCAAGCCGCCACCGGCTTTTTCGGTTGGCTTGTCATTCAATGGCTCAACATGAACCTCGAAACTCCCTCTACCACCGAAGCCCCCGTGATGGTTGTCATGATGCTTGTCCTCGAGAGACTGCGTTCGGAAAAAACTATGCCGTCGGTTGTCTCTGCTTTGGGTATTGCTGAAAGAGCGGCTGCGGGTGCTTGATGTGTCTACATCAACAGCCTTCTCCTCCGGCTCAGGAGGCAGGTCGAGCTGCATCTTCTTTCCGCCCAGGAAGCTCAATCGTGCACCTTTTTGTCGCATGGAAACTGGCCTAATTACGGATGCCTCCTCGGTAGTGACGCCATTAATTGGTGTCCCATTGATTGGCTGTCTGGGGCTCTCAGAATGTGACGCCCGTTTCCATGTCGGCGAAGGGGTGCTCGTCTCCCGTTGCGGTTGCGGAGGGGCGAAGTACGCGATCTCGGGGGCAAAGTTGCTCTCAAAGACTAGCTCAATGATTAGTTACTGAAATCCAATCCACCAGGTGTCAAACTTACAAATCTGTAGCTCCTCCTGATTGCGGCTAAGGAGCTCATTTGAACTTCGAGAAAACATTGCCAAGCACCTCTTGATCATGATGGCGTGGTCAACGAGCGCCATCTTGACAGCACTATCTTGTGGACTCAGTTGGACTTCTTCTACCTCCTCATCGTCATCCTCGTCCTCGCCATCTTCTTCCTTGGGCTCCGGAAGCAACTGGCGATAGCAAGCAACACTATTCTCCGAAGTGAGGTTGACTGAAACGGTCACAGCATCGAGTAATAGCTGCGCATTGTCATAGTCCCCGTCCGCCACGCGACGTTCGAGAGCCGTCATCTCTTGCGTCTTGCGTACGATTCGCTCCAACGCCGTCTCATGCGCATCAAGCCTGACCTCCTGGGTATCAACAACTTCGCTTCGTCGAAGGATCGTAGGGAACGGATCGGCGGTGGTGAACACGACCTTTTCAGCGTAGTGCTCCTTGACAGGGCCCGCCGTGCTACGTTTCGTGGAAACGGAGAAGCTCTGTGGGTGTGAAGATAGTAGGAAGTCCCGGATCACTTGTGGAACACGCGCTCGCTGGAATACCTGGTGAGATGGATCGCGGTGAGGCGTAATAACCGAGATGACCAAGAATTGTCCCTCGACATCATCCACATCGCCACCGGTAACAATCTGGGCTGAAGGGTATTGCTCTTGCATGCGGTCGGTGAATGCAGAGGCTCGCTCGGTAGGTGACCCCTCGTAGACGTATTCCTTGTCTCGAACATTGGCAGGGAAGCCCAGTCCTTTGTAAGCAACCTTGAAGTACTTGGGAATGAGCTTGTCGCTCTTGGAAATCCTTTCGTAGATGGTCGCAATGGCCCGCTCAGTCCTAGCCAGCTTGGCAAAGTCGAAAGTGTTGGTCTCGTATTGTGCTTGCAATTCCTTGTAGGCTGCCAAAGCATTGCTCCAAGACTCCCCTTCCTCGAAGTGTTTGATCATGTCAAAATAGATCCTCTCCTTGCGCTCAAACTGGGTCTGTGCAGGGAACGAAGGATCGGGAAGAGCAGGAGTTTGGATGACAGGGTCCCATTCGTAAAGATCGGCATGAAGACGGAGTGCCAAGCCGGCTTCCGCATGGTTCTTCGATTCGGCTTGAAGCTCTGCAAGTTGATGAACATATCGGACAAATATCTCCTCCTTCTGCATGTCGCGGAGGAACTCCATGAGCCGGAGTCGGTTGATGAGATGTGTTGCTTCGCCAGTGCCGTCGCTGCTGTGAACCGCAACCAGAAGATCGAGGAACTCGTCAAAGGTCCCAATAAGTTCGCGCACAGCAGTGTACAGCGGCTCGTCCGGAATATCTGCAAGTGGTTCAAAGCGTTCCAGAAGCTCCCCGATGAATAGCTTTTGCAGAATGCTCTCGGTCAATGGCTTCTCCTTGAAAAAGGCATCCAGGCAATCGATTGTTTCGGTCTGGATGACAGACAGGTCTTCGCTCAGAGTCCACTCGCTGACAATCATGGTCTGGAGAACCTCAACGGCCATTCTCCGAAGGCCTTCGTGCACACTCAAGCAGAGCTCGACAATCGGTGCGACGAGGGTCGGAACATACTGAACTTGGTAGCCTCCCATCTTGGCGAGGCTATATCGAGATCTCTCATCCACAGTGGTCTCCCAGCCAATGGCCTCCCAAGTCCTACGCAGGAGATCCGCGCCATGCTCCCGGACATCGCCAGCAATTTTCCACACTGCTCTTCGCTTCTGCTCCGGGAACGTCTCTAGGGCCAGTGATGTACTGCCCACAAGCTTGAGCAGGGTTGTGAAAAACAGTTTCCACAGTTCGGTGTTGAAGCTCTCTGCATCATCAGGATCAGGGAGGAACGAAACCAGCATTATGCTAGCTAAGTATTGAAGCGTACGCATGATCGACTTGTGGTGGTGAATATGTACACTGAGCCATTCTAAAGGGTACGCCTCCCCTTTCAGAACGCTCATTTGCACTCGGAGGAGGTTCTCTAGAATCGTAGTAAGGTCATCATCGGCCAACTCAACCTGCATTCCAGAGGAGGTGTTGGATATAGCAGATAAAACAGCGGAAAGTTCGACCAATGCTTCGTCAAAATGAACGTCATCGGTAATAGGTTTTGCAGGGAATGGGTAGGTAGATGGAAACAAAAGAGATAAACGTCCTCTTGGTCGAGGAGGTGCATCGAGTATGAACAGGTAAGAGTCGATGATCTTGGGGACGTGGTCGGGAATGTTGGACCCGAGGTAGTCAATCTGACTGGCAAGCACAGAGCAACACAAGCGGATCTGGTCTCTCCATTGATCGGTAAGCTCGGGGGCGTGGCCCCAGTGGGGGGTGATCCATCGAACAGTGTTGGTGCTAAGGGCGGACTTCTGATCCGGATGGGCAAACAGGTCTAGCTTGCCGTAATTCATAATAAGAACGAGCTTATACAGGATGAGCTTGCCCTTCACGTCGGTACACGAGTCCATGAAGTCGATTGCAATGTGAAGGATTTCCTCCGTCGTCAGGAGGCCGGCGAGCTCTGGAAGCCATTGATGGAAGTGCTGCACGGCCAAGGTCTGGCTGCCCACGAGGGCGGGGGCAGGGTTTCGCATCATGGCATCGAGAGCCTTGAAGATTGCCCGGAGATCGCGCGTAAAACCAGTGGTGTTGGAGGTGATTCCTATTCCAGCCTCCTTTTCCTTTTGCTGGCCTCGAGCGTGTGTGATGAATTTGAGAATATGCCGGACAACCTTGAAGGTGGCTCGCAGCTTTCGGGCAGTCTCTGGGTGAGTAGGATTTTGAAGAAGTCGGGTGAATGATCGAACCAAACAGGAGGTGGCGAATGGGTAGTTGAACTGGGTTTCCGCGTATTGATCGACCAGGGGTCCCAGGTTGAATCTTCGGTCGTGAACAATACCCAAGACTCTAACCAGGGCCGTAAAGACCAGGTCTTCGTACTCATCATTGCCAGTGAACTCTACAAGAACGCCAAAGAGACTGTCCAAGACGTCGTTGAGCAGCTTGACCACTTCAATCTCGGGGACGAAGATCAACTGCCGCAGTACTGATGGGACATCTTCCCGGGGCATCTCTTTCCATTTTAGAAGCCCCAAAATAACCCTGTCTTGTGAAAATCGTGTGCTGCAGAGGTATGTCTCCACACGCAGGGTGGCAAGTGGACCGGTAACGTCAGCCGAATGCTCACCCTTGCCCCGAGGACTCCATTGGAGAGATAGATATCCTCCCTTTCCAGAAGGGCCAGGTTGCGTCGTCGAGGTATTCTCGTCTATCTTATAGAGCAAGAGACCATGTAGACCGTCACGGATAAAGGCCTGGTGATCCCAGAGCGGAATATGGGCAACGGCGAACGGGGGGTTGGGCATGTCAGAGAGAAACATGACCACATGACAGTTGGAGACATCAACTAGTGCCAATGACAGACGCAAGGTCTGCCCCCAGGATCTGCCTCTCTCCGTCACCAGCGACTTGAAGGTAGTCAATGCCTCAGTGTTGGATGACGTGTAGATGCAGTTTTCTATCCGTTCTCCAGTAGTCTTCCTGACTTCAAGAGTGATCTGCAGGTTGGCTGCGTTCAGATTGGTATGCATGGATATCGCACTCCCGCCGTATCGGGACAGGAGGTTCTGCTTGGCGAGAACTGCATCGTTGAGGGTGAGATAAATGTCTGAACGAGGCTTCGTGGGTGCTCCAGAGAAGCCCATTTTGCTCGTCTTGGAAATTCCAGAGAGCAGAGTCGGTGTGGCTTTGATCAAGGAGTCTGCGTCGCCATGATTGAATCCCCTTAGCTGGACCTGCAACCGTTCCCCTCTCCTCGATTTCTCGAAGTGTCCTGTCGGGTTATCCAGTAGCTCCTTAATCAGAGGTTCCCAATCATCGCCGGCCTCTTTCTCAATTACAAACCTTGGTGATTCCGCCCAAATACTCATAACATGTTCAACCTCCTCTTGCTGCTTCATGATGGAGTTGAGCCTCAACATACCAACTCCAACGGCACGTTGTGACATCTGGACGGTTTCTGCCGGGGTTCCATTCTTCGAACCTGCAGTACTCGGGGGAAGATACCCTTCTCGGCTCTCCATTCCGTTCGTCGGTGGTCGCTCGTCGTCCTCGGTCAATGAATCCAACCGCCCTACTGCCGGAGAGCCCCTGGAGTAACCCGAACGCGAGGTCTTGCCACCCCACATCATGCTTCTCCTAGAAGACTTGCCTCCACCAGAAGACGTTGGCTTCATGGGTGAGCCTGGATATGCAGCCTGAGCAGTCCCTGATCGAGAGGGCGGTTTGGCGGCTGCAACCGGTTGGGAGGCCATGACCTTGACCACCAGAAAGAGTTCGGACTCGGCAGATGGAACGTCACCGACATCCTGCGAGGACAGATCGGTGAAAAGGGTCCGGGTCGGGATGTGCTTGGCCAAGTTTCCAATGGAGCCGCCAGGGGGTATCGCAATAGAAAAGGACTCTGAGAGGGAGAAAGGCTTGTCGTGAGATGGTTTACTGACAAGGTACATGAGGAGGGAGGTTTCCTCGACTGAAGCTCCAGCAAAACCCTTGACATCAACCATGAGGTGGTGCAAAGCTGTCAGTTCAACGGCTGCTTGCGGAGGCTCGTCCAAAAGACTCATGATTGACTGCAGTTTTGTGACTTTGACGATACAATCGTCGGCCGTGAGGATTCGGCCACGAGCCTCAGGGTCTCGGACTATGACTTCGCCTCCGCAGAGCTTATTCACACTAACCAGATCCCAGACGGTTTGTTCTCGTAATCGTTCGTATTCGTGTGCGGTGAGGACATTGTAGAGAAATTGTTGGCGGTGGAGGTTGAGATTGCTGATGAGTTGAGAGAGCTGGTCCAGGCGGCCATATTGCCGAGAGAGGAGGAGCTGGTGAAGGTTGGTCGAGTGCCATTCTCGCAAGCACGATGCGATTTCGTCTATCAAAGGCTCCGATACAGACGTTGGAGTCTCGTCTCCAATCTTCAGCATCGGGACAGGGGCTGCAGGGCGTGGCGCATCGGGGTCTCTCTTGATGGGGATGGACAAGCTCCCCAATGTTCCATTAGGGAGTTCTTTGAAGGGGGTTCTGCCCTTGCTCGAGCTCGTTAGCCGGTCCCCATCCTTTCTCTTTTTGCGCGATGAGCCGTTGGTAACGCCGCTCTTAGCAGAGTCGCTTGCGGGACGGAGGTCGGCGGTTGTGTGTGTGGCGCCGTCACTCGTCACGTCGTCGTCTTCGTCGTCGTCGCCATCTTCGGACTCGCCAAGCATCTCGCGGACCTCGACACAACTCCTGGGGAAGATTCCACTGAAGACGCGAGCCTCCAGAGTCTGACCCTTGACAGAGGTCAGGCCGGCCAGCAGACTGGGGGGGGCTACCAGGTAGCCTCGCAGCCAGTTGCCGTCTGGCGTCTCTTCGATGATGTAGAGCTCATCGCCGATTTCGAGCGGGAGGTCGGCCGGACTCGAGGCTGGGAACGGGTAGGTCGCAACGGCGAACGCGATGCGGGGGAGAGGCTGCCAGGGCATTGAAAGACACAGAAGTCGGCCTCAGTTGGACGAGGGTTCTGTAGACGGAGGAGTTGAGGCCCCCGCAGTTGGCGTGGCCGAAAGGCTCGGCGAGGTAGAGGATCGGCTATTTCGAGGCGTGGCACGGAGCGGGAGAGGGGGAGATGTGGACGTGGCCGTTGGAGTGGGCGTTGAGGTTTGGGGTTTGTCGAGAAAGCCGGGAGCGAGGGACGTGTAGGTTGCTTCGACGATGCATCAAGGGTCGTGGCGCGATGAATGGAGAGGGGCGGCCGCGATAGCCAATTGCGGGAGCATGGATGGGGGATCCCACAGCAGGCAAGTTGGAGAAGGAGAAAAAGCCAGGGTACAGGGAGAAAGTACACGGGGACAGCGAGCCAGGCGAAGGACGAAAAAAGACGACGCTCGCGTCTTGAGCTTGGAGGCGTTGAGACTAAGGTTGGCAAAAATTCCAAAGTCCGTTGCACGCCGCTCTCTCTGGCCGGCCGCCGCAAAACCAAAAACCCCTGAGCAAACGCGCCAGGCTCTGGGGCAAGGCAAGGGTGTTCTAGATCGAGGGGCGGCCTCAGCCTTTTCTGTGGCCGGTAGCCTGTAGGAGGCGCGGTGGGAGGTGGGAGGTGGGAGGGGAGCGTTTTTGCGCCGTCTGCGGTGGCTGGTATAGGCTGGTCAGGCTGGTTAGGCAAGGGATTAATGATGATGATGATGATGATGATGATGATGAATGGGACTCTGGCATGGATCGAAACACAGACACACAAAAACCACTTCCGCCAGCCCAGAAAATATCGAGGTCACGCTTGGGAAGTTGGGGGTCTGAGTTTGAATCTGAATCTGAATCACGGCTGGCGCCCAACTCGAGACGTTGGCATGGCAAGATCGACGACAAGGACCCAGTACATTAATTAAGTTAGCATGTAGTAATTTGCCCAATCCGTCTGCTCATGCGACAGCAATGAATTCTGCGACGACGGAACGAAAGCAAAATTTCCACGTCCTTGTCTGGGAGCCTTGCCTTGGCTCCTTGCTTTTGGCTTCCTGGTCATGGCCCGCCAGGACTTGATTGCTTTTCCCTTTTTGGGCTGAAGGGGGGGAGGGTTCCCAGTGCTGGGCTACGTCTGAGATGGGACACGAAGTGATTAGGCACATACAACTAATTACTGCAGACAGGAGGCGATATTAATTAGATGCAGAGTACTCCATACCTGGATAAGAGAGCCACCTGGCTTGTAATCTAGACCCTGCAGATTAGCAGCGGCCCGCACACCACGCCTCTAAAACGTCCATGATCCATGCTCCGCGATGCCTGCTTGCCTGCTTGCCTCCATCCATTGTGCTGTAACGTGCGTGTGCCATTGCAAAAGTGTGCTGAAACGAGCCCAACGCGCTGCTTCATCTGCTGCGGCACCCGGTATCGCGGGCCGCCAGATTGGGCTGACACGCTGTCGACTCTCCAGGGGCTGAGGGATGGCTCGAGCCAGATCCCGCGCTGTCCGGCGTGCGCCAGCACATCATCGCGTGGATCAATACGGAGAATATCGCTCTTCATCTCCATCACATCCAGTGGTTATACACAATGGTGTCTCAGGGTCCCGCATCCCCAGCCCGTTAAACGCCCAGCCCGTTGAAGGCGGGAGGGAGGGGAGGCGGGAACTTACAGCCTTCTCTTTGTGGCGACATTCCAACCAGCCCGTAACTTAACTTAAGTGCTCTCCAGCCACAGCCATGACCACCACCTCCCGCCCTCCCGCAAACATTAGCACCCATTCGCCGTTCCCCATTCCCCAGCCGCGGGCGCCAGCTCGTCATCGCGTCTGTACCTGCATATATCCCCAATCCTCGTGTCTTATAGGCTCCCTCCTCAAGTGACGGCCCTCTCTACAGGGGTCCAGCCGCTGTGCAACGACCAAAGAGGCGGGTCGGCCACCTTTTGATTCTCACTCAAGTTCCATCGCCAGCCAACCACCTCAACTCGAGCATTATGTCATGGGATATACGATGGATATGCCTCGTATAGTGCAACCCAACCCAGCCCACGGCTCTAGGCTCTAGCACCGCACGTGCGCCAGCATCACCAGAATTCTCGTTCCCTCTCAACAGAACAAAGAACAGAAGAAACCCCGGCAGCAACGCCGCTAGTCGACGTGCACTATATTCTCCACCCACGGCAGTGGCTCGTCCGTGCCGCACAGCATGGGCGGACCCCGAGTCTGTGCAACTGCTGCACGCACTGTCTTAAACGCCTGCATCATCATTGCGCCTGGGTGCTGACACGCCTTGGTGCCTTTGTTTCTATAGGTACATCTCACCACCCGTTTTCGCCTTCTCACCCTCAAACAGTCGCATGTAAACCACAACACCTTCAAGCCGAGCATATCCGACTCCACGGATTTCTCCGGATTTCTCAGCGACGCACACGTATACATACCTCCATTTGGCATTCCCATTGTCTTCTCCATTCACACATCTGAGACAATGTGCCGCTACCCTCCACCGTCAACCCCATTACCCAACCAGTTACTGAGGTCTCTCCTGACCAATGCCTAGGCATCATGTGCGGCCATAGGTGCGGGGTTGTTCGTAGAGGTGGGATTTTTGCTCCTTTATGGCAGATATTACAAGGTTCCTCCGGTATCTTCGGAGAGTTGTCTGTTTCAGGCTGGCCAATATCACGCTCTCATGACCTTGTCTACCCAAGCTTCGCAAGTTACTTCTCGGAGTTATGGACGAATCTGCCGCCTCCTCGATATTTATGTATGCAGTCCTGTAGATCCTAGGTATCAATCATGCCTCCTAGATAATATTCCGTCCATGTATAGCGAGTAGGCTAATGATTCGCTCCTTGAATAAAGCAGGTGAGAGAACCTGACAAATCCCTGATACCTCGCCTATAACCAGCCCGCTAAGGCCCCCACTGCCGACGCTCTTCCGTCTTCACATATGACTTACCGCTCGTTTAAACCACAAAGTCCGCTATCAGTCCATAAACGGACGTTTCTAGACCATCACGGCTCTTCGCCGGATACCCCACACACACCGCGTGTTACATCGCGGCCCTAGCTAGCGGTCCAATGTTCCCAATTAGGGAACTTATACCCACGATAACCACGCCGCGGCCGGAAACCATTCAAGATCCGCCAATCCGTGGCCGCGATGCCTTCATCCCCACCGGCAGTGCTCAGGGGCAGTGACCCAATGGGGCAACAGTATACCACCACGGTCCGAGTTATAAGGCAGCTGTCTCTCTCAAGTCCCGAGTGAATTCTGTATTAGTTCACCGACATCACGGAGTCTAAGTTTACAGCGTCTTTATAAACAAGCTCGAGTCCTGAAGACTTCCCATATCTGAGGATTAAGAGGCCAGACTAGCTACCACTGTCATCTTTATTCTCTCAACAACCTGACCCTTGCGTCTTCAATATGGTTCTCATCACTCGACTCATTTCTGGCCTGGCCATTGCCGCCACGGCTGTCTCTGGCGCTGCCATTCAGAAGCGCGCTGTCATCGACCATGATGCGGTTGTCGGTTTTGCTGAGGCCGTTCCTTCCACGACCGCTGGTGCGCTGTACCTGAAGTACAAGCCTTACCTCAAGGTCTTCAATGGTTGCGTGCCTTTCCCGGCTGTTGATGCGGCTGGCAACACAGGGTAATATGCCTCCTTCATTCATTATTGCCCAAGACTAATCGTTCGCAGTGGTGGTCTGAAGACGACCGGGGACTCTTCTTCGGGCTGTTCTTCCAGCACTGGTCAGGTGTATGCCCGTGGCGCGACCGTGAACGGCAAGTATGCCATCATGTACTCTTGGTACATGCCCAAGGACTCCCCTGCTTCGGGACTGGGACATCGCCACGACTGGGAGAACGCCGTTGTGTGGTTGGACAGCTTGAGCACGTCGGCGAAGGTTGTTGGCATGGCTGTTTCCCAGCACGGTGGTTATGATACTTCCAGTACCGGCACCTTCTCCGGCAACAGCCCCCTTGTTGGATACATCAGCTACGTTGTGGTCAACCATCAGATGATCTTCACTGACACCAAGGGCGGCCAGCAGCCCCTCATTGCTTGGGAGAGCCTGACTGATGCGGCCCGAACTGCTTTGACCAACACCGACTTTGGATCCGCCACCGTTCCCTTCAAGGACTCGACTTTCTTGTCAAACCTTGCCGAGGCCGCGGTCTAGAGACCCACTCTCAAGAATGATGATGATGTGGGCAGATGACGTTTTTGGGGTCAGTGATTGAGCTGGTGGTGTAATTCGAGACGCGTGGACGACTTTCCATCCTATCCCGGGTGGAGACTTCAAAGTTGGCCATGTCGTTTATGTTGAGAATCATCGGTGTTGTGGACGATGGATAACTCGACCCTAGCCAGCGGAGGTACCGTTATACTTAATTTTCAACGAGCAGCAATCTAGCTATGATATTATGCAGCAAACACTTTCAACGCGATGATTAATATCCATTCGCTTAAGGATTCCCTGGTGTGCATGCTCAAGTTGCGTGACTAGGGTCTGGTTCGGGATACTATAGATGCTGCGTTTCGAACTACGGCAAGGATTTCTCAAGCCACCCACGTGGATCCGGGTGCGAAACGTTTGGTTTATAATCATACGTACGTGGGAGTAACGTGGTTTAAGGCTATTGCTCCGGGGTTGACACACGTTGTTCGTGTGGACCAACGAAGTGCAAATATGGGTTTTCTTCGGTTGCCATCAATGTGACAACCCAACTGCCGGAGACAGACATCGTTTCAACCAATTTCCACCCAACCATACGCCTGGTATGCGACAGTAACACATTTAGTGATAAACGCCCTGGGTAATGCCGTATGTTCGTCAATTGGCTGGAACGACAGGGTCGACGTTCGTGACAACGCACTTACCCTGTATCAACAAGGTGTGCCCCACCAACAATCGTCGCTAGCCGGCAGCGGGATCCTCATGCATCCCATCCGCCTAAGAAAACAAGTTGACAACGGCCCACGCAACGTTGACTTCGGTCAAGATATGCGCTCTGCCTTCCATTTTTGGCTTATCGGGTTTCCGTTGCGCGAACTGTTCAACCGTGGTCAATACGTTATCCCTGCCTCCTCTAGAGCTGACTGTTTCCGTTTGCACTTTCGTCAAACACAGCCTCGGGCGTAGTACTTAAGTGACTCTTGAATCCCACATCACCAACTCTTCGTCCCCATCCTAGCCATCATCTCAACGGGATACAAATACCACAGATCCCGCGACTTCAAGTCCGCTCGGACTCACCGAGTCACATCATATCACATCAAATCACGTTACATCACCGAACTAGCAACTATGGGTACCCCGTTCATCAACTTCATCGGGCCTAGCAAGCTTGATGGGTTCCAGCGAGGCGCTCCGGCTGAGGCGCAACCTGGGACCATTCCCCGAACCTTCCTTGAAGCGATGGAGGTCCGGGAGGCGGTCTTCGTCGGAGAGCAGAATGTTCCCGCTGAGAACGAGTTCGATGCTGACGACCCGAGATGCTGCCACTGGGTTGTCTACGCCAGCGTCAACAAGACAGAGGAAGCTGAGATCCGCGACGAACAGGGCAATGTGGTGCAGCCGCGACGCAGCTCAACTCGTACCACACCCATTGGAACCATCCGTCTCGTTCCCTTCCCTCACGAACCGCACCCCGACAATGGCGGAGAGTACTGGAACGGTGTCCTGAACGGCCCCCGGAACGGCGAAGTCGTGCCGCGGAACAGCAAGGTCCCCTCAGTCGTGCCCGCAAAGACGTTTGGCATAGACCGGGCTACGACCTATCATGACGGCAAAGAGCCATACGTCAAGTTGGGTCGCCTTGCTGTCCTCAAAGAATTCAGAGGCCATCGCATTGCTGGGCTGCTTGTCAAGACGGTTCTGAGCTGGCTCAAGTCCAACCCGACATATTTCAACCCGAGTATCATGGAGTTGGGCCTTGAGCAGATGGGTGCATCGGATGGAAAGGATGTTCCGAAGTGGAATGGGCTCATCTGCGTCCATGCACAGAAGCAAGTCATCGGCGCATGGGAGAAATGGGGATTTGAGGTGGATGAGGGCATGGGCGAGTGGTCGGAAGAGGGCATGGCCCATGTTGGGATGTTCCAGCGTGTGACGGTGGATAGCCCCCCCGCCCGCGTCTAGGGCTCTTGATCTTGCCGAGGATCTTGCCGAGGATCTTGCTGATGAGTTACGGTGCAACGAGTTTTACGAAGAGTCTTACGAATAGTCAAGAAGAACGATGAACACGTACGCAATGCCAAATAGTTGACGCGTAGTCCCGAGACCCCTTTCATCGAGTCCATTGTGTGACGGCATTTTCAAGTCCGGACTAGTCACGAGAGCGAAGTGATCGAAGACATTAATTGATTGAACCATTGATTGAACCCTCAGGGAGCCTGACTTTTTTTATTGAGACTCTAGAGCCACCTAAGACAATCCATAGCCGCGTTCCCAGACCCGATGAACGCAAAATGCAATTCTGAAAGATTCCGGAACCACGCCAAAGCCGCAACCACTCCAGTCATGAAACCACCGTTGCACCTTTTATCGGTTGCTCTTGGCCACACGCTCCAACTCGTCCTTCTTCTTGATAGCGTAAGAGTTGCTGGAACCCTTGGCGGCGTTGATCAGCTCCTCGGCAAGGCACTCAGCAATCGACTTGACGTTGCGGAAAGAAGCCTCGCGGGCACCAGTGGTCAGGAGAGCGATCGCCTGGTTGACCCGTCGAAGAGGAGAAACATCGACGGCTTGTCGTCGGACGGTACCGGCGGAACCAATTCGGGTAGAGTCTTCGCGGGGACCGCAGTTGACAATGGCGTCGACAGCGATCTGGATGGGGTTCTGGTCGGTCATGAGGTGGATCTAGCCCTAAGTGTCAGCGCGCTGCCACAACTTCCAAGATATTCAGAGCCGGTTCAACGTACGATCTCGAAGGCGTGGGCAACAATTCGGACAGCCATAAGCTTCTTTCCGTTGTTGCGGCCGTGCATCATCAGCGAGTTGGTCAATCGCTCGATGATCGGGCAGTTGGCCTTGCGGAATCGCTTGGTGGCATATCGGCCAGCGGTGTGGGTGACGTAGACGGGGTTTCGCAGGGAAATGTAGTCACTGTCGCGTCGATTTCAATCAGCAAAGGCTCGTCGTCCGAGGGTGTCTTGATGTCCAACGTACGTCAGGGAGATGTCGCGGACCTCGACATCGTAGTCCCACTTGTTGAACAACTTGACGTTGCCAACCTCCTTCACAACATCCTTGGGAAGCACCTCGTAGAGGGCAGCGTTCTCGACCTCGATCTCACCGGCGTCAGACATGTTTGCTGTTGCAGTCGTGGATGCTGGGACTGACGGGGACTGCGGTTAGTACTGGATGGCGAGATGGTATTTTCGTGAAGTTGAAGGTGGGCTCGGGTTAGAAGGGTTGAAATTTTGGTGGTGTCCCACCGGGCGAATCAGAATGCGTCAAAACTAGGTACGTACCCACCACTCCAAATCTTAGGGCTCGGCTGCCCTGGGCGAACTTCGGCTGGGGGCTAAGGTGGGAGGTTCTTTGGATCGCATCACCACATTTTCCTGTTCTGCACACTCCCGTCGACGACAGCACATCAGAGACAAAATGGTATGTGCCCGGATGCCCTCACAGCGACGTACGATGAGCGTTTAATTGACCCCGATCACAGGCACCCGCTGCTGGAGCAAAGAAGCAAAAGAAGAAGTGGTAAGTACGGACGCACCGTCGTCGCCGACATGGAGACTTACGCGCAACGAAAGGTCCAAGGGCAAGGTCAAGGACAAGGCCCAGCACGCCGTCATTCTCGACAAGACCACTTCCGAGAAGCTCTACAAGGATGTCCCGTCCTACCGCCTCGTCACCATCGCCACCCTCGTCGACCGAATGAAGATCAACGGTTCTCTGGCCCGCCAGTGCCTTGCCGACCTTGAGGAGAAGGGCATTATCAAGCCCGTCGTCACTCACAGCAAGATGAAGATCTACAGTATGGCCGCCCTTCTGTGCCCTACAGGCGAAGCGTTTCCCGGATGCTAACACACATCGCAGCCCGTGCCGTTGGTGGTACTGACTAAACGCCATGAACGAAAAGATTTGAGTCTCACGATTTTGCGTCTGGGTGATCTGGACGATAGACAGATCATAGGGTCGGCGGGTGTTGAAAGGCGAAACAAAGCCTGGTTGGGACGCTTTTCATGTTCGGTTAACAAAGGGACCGGAATTGCTTTAGCATGGCAACGGAATGAAAGATCTTCAAATGACCACAACCGTGTGCCCTCTCTGTGTGTGTGATGCATGATGTATGTCGTGGTTGAGTTGTACCTCTTCTCTATGCTCCCGTGCCGCGCCCAAGTTGGTTGGACGTTGAGTCAATGCTGTCCCATGTTGCGCTTGTCGTCGCCCTGTACTGATCCTGCATGGATGTAGTACGTGGCATCTGGTATCGACTTGGTATCGACTTGTCTAGTAGCAGGTACATTCTTGCTAGGAAAGCAACCCTAGGGATGTAATATTATCAAGCCTGGCGATGTTTGTTTATGACAACAGTCTTGTCAACGTGATTGTCAATTATGAGCTGCTTCTAAACAACTACTGTTGCAATGGTCTCTGTCTGGCCTGAATGCAACCAGGCAAATTCGTGCCGTTGAGAGTTCTGCATTACTCTGCACCTGTATGCTAGTAAACAACTATTGTTCCTATAGTGCCGTCGAGACCAGGCCCTCCTTGTATGTGACGAGATCATTCCCTCCTTTTCATGGGAGATGAATAAATGACTGCGCCTCTAGTAAGCGATTATGGCATGTATACACAGAGATATGAGGTGTAAAATTTGCACCGTACTTGCCCCCATTTTAATTAGGAGGCTTTGTCGTATACAGTCACTCATCTGTCGAGTTCTAACAGCAACTCCTCCGCCACCACTTCTCCAATCCATGATGTGCCCTGTTTCAAGATGTGGGCCACCTATGAGCCATAGTTCCTCGCGGTTATGTTCTCCTGGCAATTTAGATAGAGGAATACACAAAATTGGGAAGCCGGATATGCTACGAATTTTGGAAAGATGGGGTCGGCTCTTTCGCTAGGTACTAATGAAGAACCAGCCTGTTCGTCCCAGCCGACGCCGCTTTCCAACTCTGACCACTACCATCATTACCCACGCAACTGTTATAATCAACACATCGCGCAAGGCTGTACCACTTTCTATAGATACTCTAGTCTCGTCGCTCGCAACCAGTCAAGTCAAGTGCGCTCATCAAGATGGCGAAAACACTCATGTAAACTCATCGTGGTAGGATTGGTTGACACCGTGATCCTACACCATGGCAAATTATCCAATTAGGGCGAGTAACACGTCACAGGGATATCATTATCTGCAAGATTTATTACTTAGATTATTGAATCAACCATTCAACCAACATCTGTCGGTCCATTCATGGCACTACCCTACTGTCGAACCTACCAACCACTGGTAAATATTAAAGGTGGCAGGACCTGTGCAATTTTCTGACTACGAGGAGGCTGCAGGCGTGATACCCGAAAACCAATTGTTGTTACATATATGCTCTACGATAGTTCGTCTACAGCCACGCAGATGGCCCTTGGGGTAACTTCATTCTTCCTATACACCGTCGCGGATTGTAAGACAATTTCTCCTGAATGGACATCAACAAAGAATCCATCCTCCGTTGGTTTGACGTGCAGTGTGATAATTCGGTTAGTAAATATTTCCAATTCCACGTGAATAACGCCATTCTTCGAGGCCGTCAACGGGTAGCTGTACTGCGCAGACTAGTGTAACACCATGGAGCAGCTACTGAGACCAGCGCCATATTTGCTAATTTGACGAGATGGTGGGATATATCAACAACTTCCTCGCCTGGTTCTGGTGGATCGTGCTGGTCATAGTCAAAACAGCAACGGCTATCTCAGATCTGTGCTAAGGAGGGTTGATAAATTTCAAGATCATGTATGGCTAATCGTGGCCACATGTGCATGAACCAATGAGGGAACCATCTTAAAGAAAATGGGGATGTCGTATTTGCCAAACACGGCTTATCCCTTGTTTCCAAGAACTGGACCTTTTTGCGAGTAATGATCCTCTCTCATGATGGCAATTCAAGTTGTTGGCGGCATATTCGTCGGCATTCATTTGCGGGGTACGTACTTTTTGTTAGTGCCTCAGGTTTAAAATTCGGTAAGTTACCGAGCTGAAGCCCTAGAGCCAGAGCACAAGTGAAGAACCGATCAGACTGTACTCAGTTGCACCTTCGTAAGAGCGCAGAGAAAGGATTGTTTCATCATGATTAACTAATGTCACCCAAAGCCAAGCCTAGGGTCGAAGCTGGGCCATCATGATCCATTTATACTTGTGCAGCCAAGTTCGTTCCGATGTGGCCCAGAGAAGATGCAGCCAGGATGCACGATATGCGCTCTAGCCTTGACAGGATAGCCGCTCGGTCAACCATGCGGCGGCTACAGAGTATCCATACGTGCGTCGGTTATCCGGGCGACAAATAACTCACCGCATGGCCATGGCGACATCAATTGGAGACTAGAACGTCTCAAACGAGTTTGCGTCAGTCTGGACGCCTCAATCTTTGGGGGTGGAAAACTGGAAAGTGGATACTGAATTTCCGACGAGGCCGTTATCTCATAGGCCAACTGTAGATCGGCACAATCCTCCCTCTGCAGGGTTTAGAAGCCATTGAGATCCTCAAATGCGATGTATCGTACATAGTAGAGAGAAATCTTCGTTCGGACTACGTACATCCCCAGGCGGGTACCTAGGTAGGTAGTGAAGAAATTGATTATTCTTCGGACAAGGCCAGTACACTAGTCGATCAATGACAATCAGTTACTGTTCCCGATAAACGCTATCGGGTCGGGTGTTCCGAAGTACCTCTAGAGATAAGCCAGCCCAAGGAAGAAAAAAATTAACCGATACGTATACTGTATGACAACAAGTGTGTCGTACAGTACAGTAGGTAGGACAAGCACAGGACAAGTGTCTTTTACCGAGGCCAACGGCAACCAGAAGATTACGAAGGTACATACTACATAGTAGCTTATTTTAGGGAACACGAAGTGAGGCGCCAGTGGTGGCGGATTCGGATTTTGACTCGGTTCAAAGGACGGGGGCCGGGGCGTTAGAAGGCGTCAGAGACTCCGGCAAGCAGGCTTGCAGTGGCACTTGGCCAGGGCAGGTCGCGTCGGCCGTGAATGGCCCCCGAAGCCCCCTGAAGGCTGACGGAGAAGAGCGTTTTAGCTCGGCTCCTGTCTCCTCCCTTGCGGCCGGTGGACCCTAGGGGCCAGCCAAGGCGCGGGATTATGGACATGGAAGGAGAATGGAGCGCTGGGCCGGAACGCTGGCGATGGACATCAAATTTTGCATGTTCCGTCCTTTGTATCCACCCTCCATGACAGTCTGGCGGGAACACTTGCTTAGGCTGGCTGGGGATAAATGTAACCATTGATTCACGGAGGAGCAGGCTCTGGTCTCACAGATAGGACAACGGGGGGCGCCCATGAATTGTGCTTGTTTGGTTTGCTTGCTTTGCCTAGGTTCATTGATTGTTTTATGGCCATGGGCCAGCAAGCAAGAAAAAAAGAGCAAAGATGGATGGACGGTGAGACGCCAGCTACCTTATTGCCGGGGGCCAACGGGGACCAGATCCAATGACGCACGCACTGTGGGAGGATCCCCAAAGAATTGGTGTGGGTGGGTGGGTGTGAGGGAGGGAGGGCGCTGTGACCGCTGAGACCGCTGAGACCGCTACAGCCACTGTGGGTTTTTTGGGGAGACCCGACGGATGAACGTTGGCTGGGGGAGCTCAGAGCTGTAGATTTTTATCAGGAAAAAGGGCCGGGGGTGTGTCAGCGACGTGGGCACCGTGGTGGATGGCCGCATGGATGGTGGATGGATGGATGGATCTAGGGAAGAGATACTTGAGATATTTGACTCGTGAGCTCTAGGATGGATGTCGAGACGGACAGACCGTAATGGATGGCAAAACAAATAACAGGATTTCCGGTATCTTTTGCCCCTTTAAAAAAAAAAACAGAGTGTCACAGTGTGCGGCCGTTGCCCTATTGCCTTCTGCCCTCTGCCCTCTGCCCGTCCAGCCCAATCCAATGCGATTCAGTCCAATCCAGTCCTCAGGCACGACCGACGGGTCTAGGTCTCGGCGAGCGACAAAAAATCGGGGTGAACCGGCATCTCTCATCTCGCAGCCGGCTGGCGGCGCTGGCCCAGGCTTGCCCAGGTTGGACAGGCTGGCCCCAGGCTTGGTTGGACCCCGGAGGCCCCACCCCACGCACCCTCGGCGGGTTCTCACAGGCTCTCACTGCCTCTCGCGGGGCGCTGGCCGGTTGCCACAGGCTCACGCACCCTGAAGCGCACCCCTGTGATGTGGGAGCCTCAGGCCGCCACAGCGCTGTTGCCGTGGAAGAACTGGAGAGAGGCTGGGGGCCCAGCTCCCTTTAGCGCGAGCCGGGAAGATTCGCTCTCAAAAGCGCCTCTCCTCCAGATCCGCCGCGAATTTTTTCCCTCCCCCCAAATACCTCCCACCCCCCGTCGACGCTGATTTATTTCGCTCGACTCTCCCACTCCTTCTTTCTTCCTCCTCCATCTCTCCATCTCCCCTCACTTCTTTCTTTTCAAGGGAAAGTTTTTGCACAGCCGTCATCATGTCTGAGCAACCCCAGAAGGTTTTGGGCATGCCGGTAAGTCTACAGTCCGATCCTCCACCGCAACGCCTCGAAATGCCGCGTTCGCGATAGCTGTTCATCCATCGCCTGGAACCTGTTGGACTCGATCACAAGCCTCAATTGGCATCGCTCGACCAGTCCGAGGTGCCTACCGCACCTCCGAGCAAGTTCTAGCCATGTATGGCTGCTATCGCGATGCCGCTGCTCGGCCGAGCGAAAATGGAGCACCTCAAAGTTTTTCGGGTCAATGGCTAACGTGTCTTTCTTCCAGCCCTTCTTGGCCGACTTCTTGAGTATGTCCCATCACACACATGATCGTTGCATGTCAGCACGGGGATGACACTTGTCGCCTCGTGTTCGATCTTGCTGATGTCAACAACCACGACCCGATACTAATACTCTCTATAGTGGGTGGTGTTTCCGCCGCCGTCTCGAAGACCGCCGCCGCCCCCATTGAGCGTGTCAAGCTCCTGATCCAGAACCAGGTTAGTAGAAGCCTCATCTGAAGCCTCTTGCCAGTGTATTTTGGTTGCATTGGAAGTCGGTGAGAATTCTCACTTTCTCGCTTGCTGTCACGTGCGACCAAGCCTCACAATAGCTTCGGTTTTTTTCTCCACTGTGAATCAACGCTGACAACCCGTTCAGGATGAGATGATCAAGCAGGGTCGTCTTGACCGCAAGTACAACGGCATTGCCGATTGCTTCAAGCGCACCATGGCCGATGAGGGTGTCATGTCCCTGTGGCGAGGCAACACTGCCAACGTCATCCGATACTTCCCCACCCAGGCCCTGAACTTCGCTTTCCGTGACAAGTTCAAGAAGATGTTCGGCTACAAGAAGGAGAAGGATGGCTACGCCTTGTGGATGGCTGGTAACCTTGCCTCCGGTGGTGCTGCCGGTGCCACCTCCCTCCTCTTCGTCTACTCCCTGGACTACGCCCGTACTCGTCTTGCCAACGATGCCAAGAACTCCAAGGGTGGAGGTGAGCGTCAGTTCAACGGTCTCGTTGACGTCTACCGCAAGACCCTCGCTTCCGACGGTATTGCCGGTCTCTACCGTGGCTTCATGCCCTCCGTCGCTGGTATCATCGTCTACCGTGGTCTCTACTTCGGCATGTACGACTCCATCAAGCCCGTCCTCCTTGTCGGCAGCCTCGCCAACAACTTCCTTGCTTCTTTCGCTCTTGGTTGGGTCGTCACCACTGGTGCCGGTATCGCCTCGTACCCTCTTGACACTATCCGACGACGCATGATGATGACCTCCGGTCAGGCCGTCAAGTACAAGAACACCCTCGATGCCGCCCAGCAGATCGTTGCCAAGGAGGGTGTCAAGTCCCTCTTCAAGGGTGCCGGTGCCAACATCCTCCGTGGTGTTGCCGGTGCTGGTGTCCTGTCCATCTACGATCAGCTCCAGGTCATCCTCTTCGGCAAGGCCTTCAAATAAGCGCCTTAGCCCTCACATCTGTATAGAATCGGTGTGTATTGGAGAGGTGGGGATGGGAGAGACTTCCGTCTACTAGCGTGACACGGTGTCCGCTGGTTGACAAAAAAGGGCGAGATCGAAGTGCAGGAAGAGGGAGGTTGTAACGGATACCCACAAGTGGTTCTCTGCAATAGTAGCTCTTCGCGGGTTAGACTGGCATAGGCATGGCGTCTTTTTCTCATCTTGCAATGCCTACCTTTCTAGGTCGCTGTAATTTATACACCCAAGCAATTTCCCTTGAGACCGTATCTGAATCTGTGCCAATGTTTTGTGACACGCTCCAATTAGTCGACTCCTAATAATTATAGAGACAAGGTAATGAGAAGCGTACATGAGGTCGGTCTCATCATATCCAGCGAACTTCCGCTCGAGATTTGGGGTTTGAGGCCATCGCAGAACGTGTTTGAAGTTCGCACCGATGACTAAGCCACATATGTCCGTGACCCCTCCAACACGACGCGATGCCACCGACGATGCATAACGCGTCCAAAGCTCAAGAACACACCTTGTCCGATCTCACATGAAGTGAGTTTGCCAATCCACTATGCCGCCAAAGAAGACCTCAACCGCTGGCCGTGGCCGACCTCAGGCGACGAGCAAGAAGCCCTCCAAGGCTGCGGAGCCCGAGTCCAGCAATCCTTTCGAGTCGTCGGACGAACAAGATCAGCAGGAAGCTACGCCTTCACGAGAGGTGCACATGGTGGAGGACGAGGAACCGGAGGCGGACAAGACGATCCCACGGGACCTGCTGACGCGGCTGCTGCACGAATTCTTTACCAAGGATGCGACCCGGATGTCAAAAGATGCGAACGCAGCGGCGGGGAAGTACTTTGATGTCTTTGTGAGGGAAGCCATTGCGCGAGCAGCAGCCGAGAAGGAGGGTGGGTTCTTGGAGGTGGGTAACTAAACGAGTCTGAGGGACAATGGAGAGACTGACTTGTTCAAGGTCGACGATCTGGAGAAGATCTCTCCCCAGTTGCTGCTGGATCTTTGAACACCGGGTGCAACTAGAATACGAACTACGAGCGTCGAGTTTCGTATTGGCCTACGTGGACGAGATCATCGTTTCGGTATGGAAACCTGGAGAGCGACACTCTTGGCGTTTGGGAAGCTAAGACCTTATAAGACGATGATCTAAGAAGCCCACGATACGAAACGCGAACGGGACTGGGAAGGCCGCATTAGAAGTGATGGGACATACATGTGTCTTCAACAAACACCTGGATCTGCCTACGTACGATGAGGAAGGGATTAGCCCCAAGACCCAACCTCGTGGGGCGATACCAGGGGCGTTTCTGGGCTTGGGTGTGAGAACAAGATAACCGAAGAATTTGGTTCCGCTCGTGTCTGTTAGTGGGAGTGGCCTTCCAGGACAATGCCAGAGGTGTCAAATGATAGAACACTGGTTGGTTTACATGGCTAGCCATACTCTTGAAAGAGTCGGGCGGCGATAGCTAAAGGTTGAGTTCTGGGAGATGCCAGTGTTTGAAAGGCCCCTCCTCGTCATGACAGCCTTGCCCGAAGCGGCCTTGGATTGTGGTCCATGTTGAATGGAGACGGGAGAGTGGGAGGAGTTGAACAGACCAGACGCTGGGACGGATGGAACGCGGCGCGCCTTGATTAATCTAAGGACAACACCACGAGATATTTGCCGTTAAATCCGGTCTAGCGGGCCCGGATAGTGACAATCAAACATGGCTGAAATCATCGAGATGGTGGCGATGCATGGTGTGACGAGTTCATCCGAGCACTTTAATCCCATCAGTTTGCATGGCGCAAAGCGAGACCAGGTGATGATGCCAATCAGGCACGTTGGATTGTGATGGGACTGGCGGCTCAGTTTACTTGTTTCGAGGGGCAGTGACCAAGTGATTGAAGACCGCTTCCAAGCTAGAGAGGTTGCATCGCGCTGTTTCCAAAGGTGTGAGACGAGTTCTTGGGGTTCTTGGTGCGAGACGGATGATACCTCGCCAAGGCGAGTGTGGGAGGCCCCTGGTGCGCGGCGCAAGATTAGCTAGCTAACAACCGACGGATTGAAAAATTAATGGAAAAAATAATAAGATCGATGATGGGATTAGATCCGGGCGACGTTGCATCCAACGAAGTAGCTCGACTAGGAGCCGAAGTGTGAAGTGGGAAAAATCTGGGGGGCTGCCGTATCCGAGCGATGCGACGCCAGAAGGGGTTGGGCTACTACCTAAGGACAGTTGCGAAACGAGGCGCGTCTCGCCCGTGTGCGAGGCTCGGGACTGAGGCACATCCGAGAAGGGATGAGACCCCTGGCCGGCCGAGACGAGACCCGAATGACGCTTGAGCAAGGGCTTTAATCGACTTTTGCTCTCGGCTGCCAAGTCGTCCGGTCAGTAATACGGAGTCGAGGCGGATGCGATTGTGGCCGGCGTCTAAGTGCTGCGACCCCTGCTGCACGTCGAGATGATGGGTGGTAGGTTGAAATGGGAATTCAAGATGGCAGCTGCGGAGAGCCATCGTCAGCCTTGTTGATGACGATTGCGATGCATCCTAACTCTGGGTTAGAATTAATAAAAAAAAATAAAAAATAAACAAAATCTGGCGTCAGGTCAACCTCTCCAACGTTTCCAACACACGCAAGAGCATCACCATCGCCGCCTCCTCCACCGCAGCCGCCGTGTCATGTCTCGTCGCCTGGCGTCCAAAACAGTGGCCGAAGCCGATCCTTCAACCCACGTTTCACACGCCTTACCATCGCTCTCCCCTCTCCGCTCCCACCCCCAAGCCTCAACTGTCGCAGGCCAACGTGAGTGACAGCCGCCAACAACCCCCCCGTCGCTTGCACACACGCCCAGCCGGCCTGGCCCTGTAGCCGAGAACGGCAACTCCATCTTCCATGGTGCTTCAGATGTGCTTCGGAGCAGTGTCGCCAGAGGAGGGCCAGAGGAGGGTCGACCCAATGTTTGTTGCAGCCTCGGGGCGATCATGCTGCTGGTTTAAATTCATGGCGTTTCCTGTTGTTCTGCCCTTTGATCTTCCCATCCTCCAAACACTTTCACACCACAACGCCGGTTTCCTTGTCGTCTCCCTTTCTTTAATTCTTCACCCGAATTACTTTCATTACCTATTCTCTTCGAACAAAGGCTAGTCCTTTAGAGCGCGAGTCGCCTTTTTGTCTTTTTGACTATCCGCTTCAGCAAGTTTTTGCGTCACCGTTGACCGGATCCCTCTCACTTCCATCACCATCACCATCACCAAGATACCCATAAAAACAACAAAAACCATGTATTTCTCTTCTTCACTCATCGCTCTGACCCTGGCGGGCGTCGCCCAAGGTATGTTGACCCTCATCTTCCTTCCACCCCCATTCACCAGACTAACACCCAAGCAGCTCTCAACGTCCAGGTCGTCTCAGTTGGAAAGTCAGCGACCAACCAAACTGGCCTCAAGTTCTTCCCCGAAACCATCACGGCCGAAGTTGGGTCCATGGTGCAGTTCCAGTTCTGGGTCGGCAACCACACAGTCACTCAGTCCAACTTTGACAACCCCTGCATCCCCATCTCCAACATCAACTCGAGCATCAAGGGCATCTACTCAGGCTACCAGCCCGTGGAAGCGAGCGCGAGCAAGAACATGATTCCCACCTACACCATTAATATCACCGACACCAAGCCCCTCTGGATCTTCTGCAGTCAGGCTACTCACTGCCAGGGTGGAATGTCAATGGTGATTAACGAGAAGTGAGTCCATCATACATGCCTTCCAAGAAACCCCATGACACAGATGCTAACACTTAGACAGTACTTCTGCCAACGCTTCCCGGTCTCTGGCAAACTACAAGACCCTCGCCGAGTCCGCCACCGGCTCTAACCTGATCCCTGGTGAAAGCTCAGGTGACGGCAGCAGCTCCGGCGGTGATAACAGCTCTGGCGGTGACAACAGCTCCGGTGGTGGCAGCAGCTCCGGAGGCAGTGGCGATAGCACCAGCGGCTCTGGCTCGGATTCCGCCATCCAGACTCCCGGCACGACGCCAACCGCTGGAAGCCCTGCCGCTACTGGCTCTACCATCGTCGCTGGCGCCGCAAGACTCTCCTCCCCTACTACGCTATTGCTGGCCATGGCAGCGGGCTTCCTGCTTCTGTAATGTGGGGACGACGAACACGGGATTCTGCTAGAGCGGGCTCGGGAAAAGAACCGTTAATAATATTTTGCCATTTTTGTCTATATGTACCGCTGTTCGCAGCGTTTTTCTTTGTCTTGGGATGGGCTGGACACTCTGCGCGGGGAGTAGTCGCCGAGGTCTTGGGAAAACCCCATTTGTAACTGAGTTGGGAAGTGGATAACTTATGCACTGCATTACTTATTACTTGCATTGAATTTAGAAGAACCGGACTAGAGGAACCGGAATACATCTTCTCCAAAAATCGCATCTAGCTTGCTGAAACCCTTTGTGTGGTCCCTTCTTCTTCTTCTTCATGTACGCTTCTGGTGGGGACGCTTGAAGGGTAGACAGGCAGACAGACTGAGTGGATTGGATATCCAAAAATATACTGAAACTCATCGCTAAAGCCTACGAGACCATTGTAACAACCCAGTCACCGCTAGACCGTAGGGACTGTCCTCTTCTTCCTCCCGTTTGCCGCTGGGGCGCACAGCTTCTTGGGCTCCTCCTTCTCCAGCCAGTCCTTCTCCCTGATGATAGAGCCAACTTTCTTGTACTTCCTGCTGTTGGAAAAGAAGTTGACCCAGTGCAGCAGCGCGTTGTGTGCCTTTAGCTTGGCCGCCTCCAGCTCCTGGACGCGCATGGCGGCGAGCTCCTTCTCGGTCCAGTGGGCGTCGATCTCTGGGTCGTCGAGAGGCATGTACATAAGCTCTATGCCGCGGAGGTCGGCGTTGCGGTCGTCGGCGAAACAGCCCGTCACGAAGGCGCGTGCGGCATCAACGCCGGCGAAACCGTGGTATGAGCCGCCAGGACCGTAGATACGGCGGCCATTGGAGACATCGTAGATGGTACCGTTGAGGCCGATATAAAGGGGCTTCTCGGGGTCGGTGCCGTCGAAGGTGGCGAGCTGGTCAAGGGTGAGGTTGATGGGCGGATCCTGCGGACGAGGAGATGACATGTTAGCCTTTAAACTCGCAAGTGCCATTGATCCCAGGGTGACTCAACTGGTCCCTTGAGAATCTCCTTCCAGTAGTCGACGGTCATGTAGGTGGGCTTATGCTTCAGTCCCCACCACCAGCTGTCTCCGCCGCTGATGACATAGCTGAGTCCGCAAGATGCCAATAGGAGGAAGGTCAATACCCGAAGGATATCAACCCAGGGGTTGTACGAATCGAGCTCCTCATCGTCGATGTCTGTAATGACCTTCTTGCCCTTCTTGAGTGGGGTCTCCTCCGTCTCCTCCGTTTCCTCCTTCTCCGGAGTCTGCACCTTCTGTGGCTCTTCTTCAGGCGCGGGCTTGCGCTGTCGTACGGTGGAATCTGCCATGGCGTGAAAAGACGGGTTTCGAGAGATAGGAAGATGCGAAAGAGTGGTGGGAAAAGGGGAGATATAAAGACGGCTAGATGGAGCGATGTTGAAGCGAAGTGGCGTGCCTGGTAAGATGGCTCTCGTGTCGTGTCTTGAGCTTCCTTCGAATATAGGTACTGTGTCAAAGCTTATCGGGCCTTGGAAATTCCTTATCAATCCATACACTCCGCTGGAACGGGGTCAGCGCAATTGGAAGAAGATGGTTGGACACAAGCTAATATACTTACGGCTGCCGTGCATTGGCAATATTCAGGGGTCAGGAAGAATGGTGGAGTGGCATCACATGACGTCGCGTCGCCACAGCAACCTCCCATCGCCTCCCAGCGGCCTTGGCGGCGGGATGGTGTAAACAGCCAATATTAGGCCAAATTCACTGCACCACCTCAACACGCCGACGAAACCACACACACCATTGCAACCCACGATTCTGCCCGATCCACACCACGCATAACGAAACCTACATTCAACCCTCACCGGATCGATCTCTCTCACAATGTCCGAAACCCCGAGCCTGCCTGGTTCTCCAGGCGGCCCCCTCCAAGCCGCAACGGCGGAGCGCGTCAACCAGCAGCGCGAATCCATCTTCTCCCACCTCCGCAGCGAATCCCGCGACAGCTCAGTGCACGATAAGATCAGCCAGTTCAACAACCTCAGTGTCTCCTTACAGTCAAAGCAACTCGAACGCAAGACAGCCGATGCCGCCCTCAAGCGGGCGATGCTCGGTCGCGAGGAAGCCGAGACTGAGATGAGGAGGTACAGAGACGAGGTCAGGGTCATGCAAAAGACTGTCGAGGAAGGAAAGGATCGCGAGCGAAGAGTTGGCGAGCGTCTCGAGACGTTGATGGTGAGTTACGCCTGTATTTATTCATTCATACCCACCTGCAATACTAACTGACCCTTCAGGAAAACTACGGCCGAGCCAAGGAGACACACGCGCACACACAAGCCCTATGGGAGAAAGAAATTCGACGAGCACGAAAAGAGACATTCAAGACACAATCATCCATTGTCAAGCTACAAGAGGAGCTCAAGTCAGCCCGCGGCACTCTCAAGATGAACGACGAGAGTCTGAAGCGCGAAAAGGAGAGGAGCAAGGTTCGCGAGCAGGAGGCGTTCACAGCACGTTATCAGATTGTCGGAGTCCAAGAGCAGCTCGAGCAGGCCCTCGAACAGATCAAGGTTGTGGAGCAGGAGCGCGATGCGTTCAAGACGGCAGCTCAGAACGAAGAGGTTGCGCGTATCGCTGCTGAGGGACGGCTCCCGCTCCCCGTCGCGAAGGACGCTGATGATGAATTCGCCTCACCAAAGAAGAAGAAGGCGCCTCGCGTATCGCTGTCGACAATGGATATTGTATCTTCAGCAGCCAGCGAAGCTGAGATCGAGGAGCTAACCACACAACTGCTGTTTGAGCGCCAACGAGCCGACCGCGCGCAGGACATGGTCGAATTCCTGCAACTTGAGTGCCAGCTGGGTTGCTGCCCCTGCGTCAAGTCCAAGACCCCTCCTCGCCGGAAGCGACGTAGCTCCATAGGCCTCGAGGGCCCCAACGACAAGTTGCCGAGGTTGGACAGCTCAGAGCCCCAGGAACAACGTGCCCCAACTCCTCCTCGTATTGAGGAACCCCAGGCTCAGCAAAAGGTTGAGCCCCAAGTAGAGGATGAGCCTCAGCAACAAGAAGTTGCCCCTGAACGTTTGCAGCCCAGGTCCAGGAAAGAGCCTAGGCGGAGCACCATCTTCTGCCCGAAGGAGGGCATCTTCCGCACCGTCTCTGAGCAAGAAGCGGAGGCCTTGGAGGCACGGAACCGAGCGGAGGCCGAGGAGGAAGCCAACATTGAACAGGAGACGCGCGAGGATGCCCGCTCCGAGGTTGAGTCTGAGCCCGTTACTGAGCCAGCCCCAGAGGACGCTGAGACGCTGCCCCCATCGCCTGACGACGAGAGAGAGCGAAACCCTCGCATGTACGCCAGGACTCCCTCAGTGGAGCCGCCGTCCTTTGCTCTTCTAGCCCAGGAACGGACTTCATTGGCCTCGCTGCTCAATGCCCCCCATGGCCACTCTGTCGGCGATGTCCACACGGCACCCATCCCGTCTATCCCCACCATGCCCGACGTGGCCACCGACACCAACACACCCGCCGAAGCCGCTCCGGACACCCGGCCCCACACCTCTGCGTCCTTCTACACCGTCACCACTACGACCTCGGTGCCACTCCATGACGGTGCTTCCCGATCAGACTCGTCCTTCGCCGAGCGCCTGCGTACGCCTTCCCACGGAAACGCCAGCTTCGACCTGTCCAACCCTGCCCTGACGCCGACCATGACCCGCGAGCAGGCTCTCGCCAAAATCCGCGAGCGTCGTGGCCGCGCCCGTTCTATAGCCCAAGGCACCATGACGCCTCGCCGGAGGATGGTCGAAGGTGTCGACCGCAGAGACATGAGCGCACCGACGGGCACTGTTGCTGCTACGAAGAAGCGGTAGAGCCCTTAGTGCTGCTATATGACGCCCTGGACATGACTTGACGAACCCTCTCTCTCAATCCTCTCCTCCTTTTCTTTTCGTTTGGAGTACACGCCTAAAAAAGATTGAGGCTATCTCATTTTGCTGCAACTGGAACTTTTCCTAATGCTCGGTTCCTATCGTCTAGCATCGTTTTGCGGTTTTGGGGCTCGGCGAAGGGGGTGTTTTTGCTTTTCGATTTCTTGAATCCGTTCTGCTTGTTGGAAAAAAAGCTCGTGCGAACTTGAGCTGGAGGATGGCTTGATTCACCACTGAACGGCGATAGTTGACTTGATTGATGATGCATTTGATGTATGAAAGCTCGAGTTTTGTCTCTTGGGCCACGACGTAATGGTGGTGGTGGCCTTTTGTATAATTTTTGGGTTTTTAGCAATGGCATGCACAGTACATACCGCATAAAGTTAACATGGGACTTTTACAACATCTGACGAGCCTGTGTGCGGTGTGACAGTACTTATGATGACGCCGATATGTGGCCCTTGGGTGTGGAAAATACAATGGTATCGAATTCAAAACGGCTTATGTCCTATATGCTATATATCCAAGACCTTCAACTCCTGTGATGATCTCTCCATGCCCCGAACACCCCTGGCTGGCGCCGCAAATGCCAATGAATCGAGTTAGGGCGCCTCAGATGCCGAGGAATCCTCTCGCCATGTTGCGCCCAAACTGAGAGGTCACGGCGTCCAGCTTGACGGCGACGAGGACGCATTCGATACCGCTCTTGCCACCCTTGGAGCCCTGGATCCGCAGCCGCCACTGGCCCGTCATGACGGTCCACTCGTCGTCGCCTGGGGCGATGCTGCCGTCGGTCCGTCGGCGCTTTCGCGGGTTCGTCGTGAAGGCACCGCCGATACTGCTGGCGGGGGAGTCGACGGCGGAACCGGAGTTTATCACGGGCTCTTCTATGTGCTCCTTGCCGTCTAGGACAATGGCGGATTCGTGGTCGAGAACAATACGGACAAGGTCCTCGCTGAGCGGCGTGTTGCCCGGGGTCGGAGGCTGAGAGCCGGCGCCGCCCGAGGCCATGAGGAGGCCGAGCGGCTGGGTTGTCGGAGGGAGGTTGAGCTTGGTCGCAATGACCTCAAAGAGCTTCGCCACACGAGCCTTGGTGTCTTTGAAGAACTCGGCTTTGGGGACGCCGCCAATGAAGTGAATCTTGGTCGTCTCGCCGCCAATCTCCAACACTAGCTCGGCCGGCTTCTCGTCGACGTAGGGCCGCGCATACTGCACCCATCCGGCGCCGGGCTCGGGGCCCTCGTGGAGGACACTTATACCGCTCTTTTGGACATTCTCCAGCCGCAGCACAATCTCCTCGCGGCGGCGCGCCTGGTTGTAGGTGATGGCATGGGGGATCAGGCGCTGCTCAAGCCCCTTGAAGTGAAAGTAACGGGCGTCGCGTAGCAGCTCCTGCCGGTGGATCTCGTCACGGATGTGCACCGGGTAGCCACGCAGCAGACTTAACAGCTCGGAAAAGGTGTCGGCGCTGCGGTTGGGGACCGACGGCGGGAGAATCGACGGCGGGCGGATGAGGCCCTCGCGCTCAAGTCCCGGGAAGAGGTCGTCTGGGCGCGAGAAGAAGACGGCAAAGCCGAGGGAGAAGTAGTTGGGCGAGTTGCCTGGGTCGGTGAAGATATCGCGGGGGATCTGGAACTCGCGGTGGCCGATGGTGATGAAGATGCTCTCCTCGTACAGCTGGGAGATCAGCTTGGGCACTGGCGGCAAGCTCTGGTTAGTCGAGGCCCATTGAGGGAGCAGGATCAAGGAGCGACAAACGGCTGTAGAACTGCGCATCGGAGAACAGCCGCACAAAGTGCGTGCCGTCACGGGGCGAGACATGGTAGCCTTGCAGATGCAGCGAGATGTCGCGGAAGATAACGGGGTCACGGTCGATGTACAGCGTACGGAGCGATGAGCCGGTCTCGTCGCCATTCTCGGCAGCGGCACGGAGCTGGCAGAGGAAATATTGCGAGAAGTAGGACGGAGCTGCAAGAGAGTTGGAGCGAGTCAGCGGGAGAGCAGCGCTTTGCATTGCGATTGCGGTTGCGGTTGCGACGTTGGGCAGCGCAGTCCTCAAGCGACCGAGGACCGGAATTCCAGTCGGATAGAAACGACGGCCAGCGCCGAGAAGCCTCGAGGGAGGAGGAGTACGCACCATCGGAGGATAGAGAAGCGCCCGAGAGCTTGAACAGCTCGCTGCCGATCTGGATGGGGAAGACGCGCTCGTGAGGAAGGATATGCGGGATGCGAGCAACGTTGGACTCGGACAGCGGCTCGACGGACGCAGCCACGGACACGGCGCCGGCCTCGGAGGACGCCACAGACACCATTGCGGGCGAATTGAGCTGGCGGGAGGACTGAGCGACGCTGCAGATGTGAGGGCGGATTTGCTTCGGTGCAGCTATTTCACGTCCGCATCTGGCTGCCGGTTGCGCGGAGACGCCATTCTTCGGCGGTTTTGCCGTCGTGTAGCGATGTGAGAGAGGATGCCGCTATCAGCTAGTGAGCTTTATAGTGGCGGTAGTGGGTTTCGGGTCGGAGGGTCCAGCCTAAATCCAGCCTGCACGCCACAGCTCAACGTCGTGGCTGGTGGAATAATACGAGAATAGTCGCCATCTGTCACCGGGTGTGTAGTATTCTCCGACCGGCAAAAGATAAGATCTACTTCATCAACTTGATAGGTAACTCATGTCGCACAGTTCTTTTCCCTTTTCTGGTATACACCCCAATGATAGTCATCTCGTGTGATATCTATTCTCCTCTTGACAGCGCCTCATGGCTGGCATTTTTTATGATAGATACATCTCCCACCCATTTGCGTATGAGACGGTGTCTTGGTTGGTATGGTGTTTCCCCACCGGCTCGCTCAACCACTAGTTGTCCCGCCGTGATCAAATAGCATCAATAGAACCCAGACTTGGTCCTCCCTCTGAGATCAGTTGGTGGCTCTCTTAAATCCCCGTTCTTTGTGATGCGCAGTCATTTCTTTCTTCCCTTGACGTATCTCTGAGCCGTTCATCGACTCATCAACTCAACGCCGCCCCGAACAATACCCACCACCGCACCCGTCTGGATGGCCTCGCTAGCACCACCGGCTACTCTATGCTCAATGTTCGCCAGGCCATCCAGCCAGGTGATCATCACCTCGGGGCTCACTTCCAACTTAGTCAGCTCCTCCGACAACGCTGTGATAATGTCAGCCAGGGCCAGGCCTTGAGAAACCTTGAGCGCGTTGATAGTGTTCAAGCAGCTCGTCACATCAGATGTGCCGAGAAGCGTTGATACAATCTCCTTGATGGAGTCCGGCGGAGGCGCGGCGATGCATGTGTAAATGGTCTCCGTCGTGATGGTTTCTCGCTGTATCTCGCTCTCGGGGATCTTGGGTGCATCCTTCAGTCGCAAAGGGGTGCCTGGATTGTCTGTTAGCTAAATACCAAGTAACGGTGGCTTATGAACTCACTCGATGCGTGGCACGCCTGTAGCACGTTCAGGGCTCTTCGCATGTCACCCTTGCTCAACTTCACCAGGGCATCCACCGCCTCGCCTCCAATGTTCACCTTCTCTTCCTCGACGACTTTGTCCACCAGACATCGGATATCGGCCTCCTTGAGCGGGCTGAAGCGGAACCGCGTACATCGACTCAGCAGCGCGGGGCTCAGCTTGTGTGCATAGTTGGCAATGATACAGAAGCGCGTGTTGACCGTGTACTTCTCCATGATACGACGCAGGGCCATCTGCGCGGTGCTTGTCATGGCGTCTGCCTCGTCGAGCACGATGAGCTTGAAACCCGCCAGGGCGCCTGACTTGCCCGTAGGTCCGCCCATGGAGAAGATCTGCTTGGTGCTCGCAAACGTCTTGATCTGCTCGCGCACCACGTCGATGCCGCGGTCATCTGAGGCGTTGAGCTCAAGCACCATCTGGCGGACGTTCGCGGCGCCGTAGATGCGCCGCGCGAGGGCGAGGATGGTCGAGGTCTTGCCAGTGCCTGGGGGGCCGTAGAGGAGGAGGTGGGGGAGGCGGTTGGAGTCGACGAACTTGTTTATGGTAGCGAGGATGTCTTGATGGCCTGATACGTCGTCGAGAGTGTTGGGGCGGTACTTTTCGATCCTGGGAGCAAGTCAGCGGCGGTACATAGGCCACATCTCTCTGTTTCCATACCATGGCAAGCTATCTTCGGCCTCTACAGGCAAGTTGGCGGCGCTCCGCTTGCCCTTGGTTGCTGAGGCGGAAAAGAGTATGTCCTTGGAAGGGCCGGGCCCATCAACGTCCATCTCATCTTCAAAATCCGACATGTTGGCTTGTGCAATATCCGTGGCAGTTGACAACAGAGACGAAGAGTTCAAGTGTGGTTTTTTTTTTTTGGGCGGTGCTGTGTGCTCAATTGCTAGAGGCTAAGGTGAGGTCATGGACGTGGCTGAAGACGCGTCCTGAACCGCGTCTGAGCGTGTCGGTTAATTAAGACCCCGGACGACCCAGACTTCTCTCTTAATGGCTAGCAACAACCCACCTTTGGACAACATCAATGCGCCTCAACTTCGTAGGTACGTACAGCGATTTCTTTCCCAGATACCTCGAGTCCTACCGTGCGCTCACAATGACTACTTTTCGGGGTAATCCCTACAAGCCCTCGGCGTGAAAGGTGCACAATCCCTCTTCTCTTTTAATCCCGAGGATAGATCTTCGCTATTGTGCTATTGTTAGAGGTGCGCCTCCGTCATTAACAATGTGAAGGACAACGGCGAAGACCCTAGGAGAGATAATACACATCATGCATAAGCTCGCACCTATGTTTTTCTATTAGGGTTAAATAAGTAAAGAGCAGCCAAGGTTCTTGAATCTCAATAACAAGAAGGGACAGAGTACATTATGTCCTGAGAGAGTCCAACATCACAACTACCTATATAGTTCATAACTCTACATCACAGCCATGTCGCAAAGATCACACTCATCCTACCCACAGCCAAATGCAACGCCTATCATCACCCCTATATGTGCATTAATAAGAAAATCTAAACGCAATATGTCTGCGAGACGGCCAGAACTGGAGAAGGATACAGCGCCGTCTCATCTCAACATTGATCGTCTCATTTCGCTTCAAGTTGAAAATGATTCGTTCCCAAGCCCACAACCTCAAACAAGATCGGGATAATAGCCACGGCAAACCAAGCAATTCCTATACAACATTAGCATCTGGTGCAAAGTACCAATATTCACAAAAGGGAACTCACCGGTATAGATGATGAGCTTTGTCACTACCTCGACGTCGTACCGCACGCGGGGTTTCACCAGCAGGGAGAACATCTCCTTCTCGCCAAGCCCATCCTCTTCGGTTACGACAATCTCAATCTGATCATCCTCGGCCACCGGTGATGCAGTAATATCGTCATTGCTCACCATCCTCTCATACTCACTCGCGCGGGGTGGTTGCGATCCAGAGGCAAGGGCACCCTTGCCGGAATGATCTTCATGAGTAGTCTGGAGCTCCAAGTTGCTTGACATGCTCCTCAGGCTGCGGTTGCTACCAACGCTCTCGCGCCGTCTGCGCTCACGGTATGCCAGCGTCTCGTACGCATCTGCAGCGCTCTGAGGGCCAATCGACACTGATCGACCTCGGGTAGTGGGATATCGGATACTCTCGACCATACGGGGGAAATCCGAGGCCGTGGGAATGAGGGTATCTAGGCGGGATCCAGGTGGCACAGACTCGTACTTGCTGGCGGGGGTGAAGAAGCGTCGGGGCATGTTCACACCAACCTGCTCGAAGATGCGGAAGAGGTGAGGAAGGAGTTTGAGCAGCAGTGGCTTCATCGTCTCACGCCAGGCAAAGATGACGAAAACACCAAACACGATCCTACCCACGTAGGTACTCCAATCCAGGTGCTCAATATAAACGGGGCTTCCGCCATGTGCGTGCGTCGCCCACGGATCTAGGGCAATCTTTCCATACGTCCAAGTGCCAAATTCGAGGCCGATAACAACGCCAGCAAAAGCGACGCTGTCATCATAGCAAGGACAGTCATCTGCGGGCTCCGGATGGATGCGCACGAGAACCAGAATGATGAGACCCGCCACTACAGGAGCCAGCCAGGAGCTTTCGTGCATGTACTGATCCAGTGGGGGACCGCAATAGAACTCGAGCCAGGCGATAGCAGCGCCCATGATAGAGCCAACAATGACGTCGAGGAAGCCGTGCATGCCGCAGTAGAGACGACCGAAGATAATGGAAATGGCATAGAAGTAAGACAGGGCCTCGAGGGCGAATGTCGTGGTCGCCGGAAGGGTGTTTTCGGGGCTTCGCAAGTTGAGGATCGCCAACAAGGCGACGGAAACGGCATTGGCGCTATGTGTCGACGGGAAACCATATTCGAGGGCAGCGGAGCCAGACATGGTGATGCGGTGCAAAGGCGGGGAGAGCGGGCGGGGGAGTGAGTAGAAGTCCTTGACGAAGCCAGTCCAGAAAACGCCGAGCGCCAGAATGTGGACGAGTCTAGAGGAGAGAGTTGTCAGTGTCGCCGTCTTCAAATCTGATTACGCGCTGCAACGGCGGGTCATGAATGGAGGCGCAACGCAGCGTATTGCAAGTTGAACCGATAGATAAAGTGACCTACCCTTTGCCAAAGGCGGCATGTCCGCACCAGAAGCATATGGGCAGCCCGATCATGAAGAAAGTATGGGTTCCTAGGTTGGCGGTAATGGCAAAGTAACTATCGAGGGCGGGGGTTCGCATCTTGTCCTGCATCCAGGCGAGGTACGGCGTCTCCATTCGGATCAGGGGCAGCAGCTGCTGGCGCAATGAGTACCGCCATTTTGGCAGGGCGCGTTTGTCTGTGAGGGGTGACAAGACATGAGGTTAGCAAAAGCGCCTTTTCCTGGAGGGGAGGCAGAGGGAGAAGAAAGAGTAGTCGGGAGGGTGCTCACAGTGGTCGAGGCTCCTCAATCCAGCGTCGGGCATCAGCTCGCCATCCTTGGCCGCAACAGCTGCGGGAGGGAGAGTGGCCGTCGTGGTGGCTGTAGCGGTGGCCGTTGCACCGGCGGCGGGCGAGTGGGCATCGCCTCGCAGTTCGCTCATGGTGGAAGGGCGGGAAGGACACAGAGGAAGACGAGAGATGCGACGAGTCTGTCAATGGCAGAGGCAGAGAAGAGACGACGCGGGACAGATTCGACGAGAGAACATCGAAGTTTCAGGAGCACGTGGGGGAAGGCGGACGGTTGGCGGCGACGGCAGCAGCAGGTGGAACCAAGCGCGAACGGGGAAGGAGCGAACGGCGTCAGGAGAAGCTTCCCAGGCACGGAGGACGAACGTCAAACCTAAAAGGCGTGCAGTGGTTTTGACTTTCAATATCGCAGCTCGCACAACCGGGCACTGCCTAGCACTGCCCTCTGCCAACTAAGCGCATCACCAGCCCTGATAGTGATTCCTCTGCAGACCGAGGGACACACGACCAAACCAACGCAGCATTTGCGCTTGCTTACTGCTGCTTACTACCTCCACAGCCGAGGCGAGAGCGGACTTTGCTGCTGAAGCGACCTGTCCGTGTCCTTGGCCAATGCGGTTTATTACGCGGATGCCGCTCGCTAATTGCAGTCCTTCGCAAATCCCTGGCTGGTCCCCGGAATTCGTTCCTCCAGATGCTCCGGCAGGAAACCTACGGCGGAAGGATCCAATCCCTCTCAATGTACTACTCGTACATCGGTCCTATCAGCCTTCAGCGGCAGCCCGCGGCAGCCCGCGGCCAACTCCAGGGGGGGTTCAGTGAAGAGGTGGCACTACTACGTAGTACACGCCGTCAGCCCTCACCAGCGCCCGAAACAGGTATTCGACTCCGCACGATGACATTTTGTGAACCCTGAACAAACCACCATGTCGTGTGTACGAAGTGCAGGGCCTCCCCATTAAAATTGGATGCTTGGCGCGGATGTTCCCCAATCGAGCCGCATCCAACCCAAGCGACCAGACCACAATGACATGCACGTATACGAATTGAGGCATATTGGCAGTCAGGGTAGGTAGCCGCATCATGCTAGCCGCACGTACCAGAAGCCAATCTATTTACCTCCTGGCCAAGCTGAAGACATCGAGGCCGGGGCAAGGCGTTTCCAGGCTGTCTTCATGGATCTCCCGTAGACGGCTAAAGTAGCGAACGCAGGTACCCAGCTTTAGGGCAGCTGTTAGTGGACTCCAGCGGGTGATCCACTAATAAGGCCTGCTAACTTATGAGGCTAGCCACTAATAGCAGCCCCAGTTCCATCTGCACAGAGCTGGAGGACAACCTGGATCTGGAAACACCATCGCAATACCAGCTCACTCTCAACCAGCCCTGTCAACGGCCATCAACACTTGGTTCTGCTGTCTATCTCTCACCCCACCTGCCATCACGCGTCCATCACGTTGCCTTATCCGAGCTTCCGCCCTCCACTACCAATCCCCTTCACCCAATGGCTCTCGCTGGCAAACACTGCGCTATAGTCGGGGCCACCGGCATCATCGGCTCCCATATCGCCCAAGCATTCGCCCGCCGGGGCGCCGTCCTCTCCCTTCTTGGCCGCTCGGTTCTTGAATCCCGCCCCCGGCTCGAGCCCCTCCTAGCGCCTTACCTCCCTCCACCCTCGTCCCCATCGCCTGATACTCTTCAGGGTCGGTCCAACAGCAATATTCCGTCGGAGCATCGCTTTATTCGCCTTGATGTCTCTCAGCGCGAGAATATCAAGGACATATTTGCGGGGCGGAGTCAAAACGATGTTGGTTTCCTTCGCCTTTCAATTTTCAGTGACATGGTTCTCTATATATCCTGCGAAAGCATTGTCAACGAGTTGACTGACCTTTTGACGCAAAGGACCAAGATGCCATAGTTGGCCCCGTTGATATTCTCGTCAACTGTGCCGGCATTTCTCAGACGTCCTTTCTTAAGAGAACATCAGAACAAGAACTGAGCGACGTTCTCGAAACCAACTTGATGGCCACCATGCTGGTATGCAAGCATGCAAAGCTCCGTCCTCATGGTAAGCCATGATTCCAGCCCTTTTTCCCTTGCGCAAGCTGACTTACACCATCACCAGGCTGCATCATCAACGTGTCCAGCCTCATGGCCACCAAGGGCGGATCCGGAGCCACAGCATATGCCGCCTCCAAGGCAGGCGTAGTCGGTAAGTAAAGGTTTTTCATAAGTCGTGCCTATTCTCCTTTTTATGTGATTGTTCCCACATTTACTGTACAATGGCAAAAAAACAGCCTGACATCCTCCCAGGCTTCACTCGTGCTCTTTGCCGTGAGCTTGGCCCTCGCTCCATCCGCGTCAATGCCCTGCTTCCTGGTTGGGTAGCTAGTCCAATGTGGGATCGTAAGTCTGCCTCGCCCCCTCATAACTGATCTCCAATACCCCCAAAACCCCCTTCATCCGGAAGGGCCGATGCTAATGTACACAACACGCCGGTTTAGATCTTAAGCCAGAATTGCAAGCAGCCTTCCTCAAGGATACCCCCTTAAACCGCGTAGGAGATCCAGAGGAAATTGCCGAGGCCGCCGTCTTTCTCGCCTCAAACGCCTTCGCCAATAACTGTGTCCTCAATCTCGACGGCGGATTGAGTGCAGCCTGATGCATCTATCCAGGAATGCACAATATCGTCTCTTCTAGACGTAGTAAATCAATCATCAATGACGATCGCGCCACCGGCGTCCTCCACTACCACTACCTCCGCGCTAGATTCGGCAATCTTAACCTTCTTCAGAGGTTGCCCAACGTCATCGGGATGAGATCGCTTGAGACTCTTCGGCTCAACCTCGACAACGGCATCAGTATCGGCGGTGGCTTGGCCGTTCTGCTGGCCGGTTCCATTCGTCTCAACGGGCTGCACCTTCTTCGGTTTCCGTGGAATCTGAGGCGTATCCGTGAATGTGGCTTCGATGGGCTTCTTGTCGGCGTCAAGGTTCCTGCTCTTGTTAGCCACCAGTACGTGTCTCTCTTGGGGTCGGGCACAAACCCTTCTTGGATATTGATGACGATGTTGACAAATGTGTCATCGTCGTCGTCATCAATGATGGTCAAAAACGAGTCCTTCTGGATCCCTGTATCATAGTTAGACAATCCAGAAATATGTGTATCGGATGGGGGTTCTCACCAAGATCACTCAATTTCTTGGGAAGGTTGTCGGTTTCGTCGAAGTCGTACAAGATACCAACATCATTGTTCACGACGAACTCCTTGTCTTCAAATCCCAGCTTAGCCTTGATGAAGTATTCCACGAGGTCATTGAGAGTCGCCCGAGACAGGTCTACAACGACGCTGGTGTTGTAGACACTACAGACTGGGCAGTCAGGGTTCGGCTCTCGAGACCTATCGGGAGCAAGGAGGCGCGCCGAGGCGAATGGGGTCAAGAAGACCTGTATCATGTTAGGTGATGAAACAACGCGACGTCTCGAACTTCAGCAGGAACTTGCCTCTTTCGACTGTGTATATTCGCCCTTCAGCACCTTGAAGGACTGCAGGACGCAGAGGCCAGCCACAATCGCATTCGCAGTGGCAATGGCAGGGATAATGTTGCCAGCCATCTGCTTAATGTCGAAACGCGACTTGCTCTCGATGCCAAAGATTGTGGAGCGAATGTTGGCGCTTGCGGCAACAAAATCAAGAGTATCGACGTCATCCTTGTCGAAGGTGATGATGGGCTCCGGATCCTCAGGGCGTTTGTTCTTCTTGAGCTCAATAATGCGCTTGCTAAGCCGATCGAGGCTGTCGTTGAAGGCAACGAGGCTCTCCTCGAGCGACCAGGTTCGCTGGTCATCGCTAAGGACCTTATCCTTCAACGCCAGAGCTTCGGTAGCTTCCGACAAAACCTTCTCGTACTTGAGAGGCTCTGGTGCCCTCCGCGACTTCCACATGTCTTCAACAGAGCGCAATCTTTCGATGTCGCCGTTGAAGACCTTGTCAAATAGCATCTGTGAAAACTGGGGTGTGCCCACAGCATCTCGGATCTTCTTGAGGGCATCCGACTCCTTCTTGAGCTCTTCAATCTCTTGGGCTATTCCCACTTAGTTACTTGCATGGTAAGAATATGCTCGATGAACTCACCATTATCACCATCCGAGGTGTGATCAAATGCAGTTTGATCTTCGCTGGTTCCGAAAATTTCGCTGGAATATCCTGTCAGCAGACGCCTCTCGGGTTCACGGATGGCTTGGGTACATACTTGAGCAGATAGCTCTTGCCCCAGACAATGCAGTGGATGGGCTGACTGGGGGTGCTCCGAATGGTGCACACAGGGAATGACTTGGGCGTCTCCTTGGGTGTGCAATCGTAACACGCTGTAACGCCTTTCTTAATCACCTGCGCCTGGCCGTTAAAGCCGGTTGTACCACTCTCGATGAGTGGAACATCGGCAGCCAAGCACATCTTATTCACGTGTCGTCTGGCCTCCAGGTTGTCGAGTGCGTTAAAGACGATGTGGAATTCGCGGAACCACGAGACGGAGAACTCAGTGTCCTTGATGTTGGCATGGTGGGCCACAATCTTGACGCTCGGGTTGAATCGCTGCGCAACCTCTTTGGCGACCTGCGATTTGTTAACGACCTGGTTCATGGCGAGACCTGGCCACCAGTACGTACCAACGCCTTGGACTTCTTGATATGCTCGTGGCCGAAGAGGAACTGTCGGTTTAGGTTGGAGAGATCGATGGTGTCAAGGTCGACAATGTGGATTTCGCCAAAGCCGGTCAGCACCAGGTTCTTGAGGAGCTCACAGCCAATGCCGCCAGCACCAACCATGAGCACGCGAGCCTACACAAGCATCGTTAGTTCCAAGGACGGAATATTTGGGTCGAGTCCCATCATCGAGTCGGAGAATCAGGATCGTTGGTGAAGATCATCGGGGTGGCGTTGCGTGTGTTTGGGCGCGAGAAGGACTCGGTTCGGGGGAACAATGACTAGTTGCACGTACCTGCTTCACTGAGGTATTCAGAGACGCGCCGAGTGACTGGTTATTGTATCCATCGCGCTTCATGGCGGGCGATCGTCGCTGCGGGATCTGGTTGGGCGGAACAGGCTGCAGAGGTTGTTGCTGGAGTTCTTGAGGGGGCTGTTCGTGCTGCTGATGTTGCTCTTGCGGCGCCGTAGCCGTAGCCGTAGGTGCAGGCTGGGCCTGGTTCGCAGCGCTCGTCGCATCCATGGTGGACGTAGTCGTAGTCGTCGTCGTCGTCTTTACCACTCGATGGGCACAAAGTGCGGGTCGGATGAGGGTATTAGGAGGGTTGAAAGGCTGCGCGCATGCGGTCGCGAGATATGCAGGCAGGGAGAAGTGATCGCGCGAGGTGCAGCCGAGTCCTGGTCCTTGTTGCGCTTGCTCACAGTGAAGGCAGCAGACGTAGTGGACGTAGTGGACGCAGTGGGCGCTGTTTCTGGTGGGAGAGAGCTGAGACGCAGGCAGCAGCCAATGGCATCCACGCACGGTGCCGCGGATCGACCAACCGGGGCCGGAATAGTGAGAATGCGGCGCGCTGATTGGTGGCCTTGTCAGCCTGGCCGCTGGCTCTCCGACTCTGGGCCGTTGTCAACAGGTGAGCGTGGCCAGCCTGCACGCAAACGAGCCCAGCATGCCGTGATGCATGTACTATACAACAACGGCGGGGGTCAATTGGCTGCCCTGCAGATCGTTTCGACAGGGTCTTTGTTTTTTGTTCATTTGTGCCCACGGATTCGCCCTCCTTCTCCCCATTAAAACATGGTCTTTAGACCCTCCGGCCTTCCAGAGCCAGGCCCTTTGTTTTAGATGCCCTAGCCACTTTGACCGCGGGGTTGCCCTGTAATCAATGCGCCTACCGCCTTGTCAGTTTCGCGCCCCACGACAAGATATTTCTGAGTCAAGCAGTCGAGACCACGGTCGCTTACAGATTCAGTCGCCATACTCGCTCCCTCATCACTCATTGATAAATTTTCCTGACTTGTGTCTCTTTTCCAAACATTTCGTAGTTGCTCCGTAGGCTCAAGTCTTCTCAAAAATGTCCGACGACGAGGCGGATCCTGAGCTGCTTGAGCTTCTCCGCCAGCACTTCCATGGAAAACTCGATGTCAAGGCCGAACCTGAGACAGGCGTCCTCGAAACCGTCGAGCATGTCTACGACACCTGCATCGACGTCGCCATCGACATGCGTGCCTCCAAGAACGCCGCCGAGGCCATCTACTCGCAGATGCAGGAGAAGAGCTACTCCACCGCTACCTGGTCGGAGCACGAGCTGCACCCGCAGACCAAGGACGAGAGCACCGTTGCCTTCATCTTCACTATGGACCTGTTGAACTTCTCTTTCTGGTCCGAACTACCCGATGACGAGAGGTTTGCCATCGAGTACCGCGGAAAGAGATGGACTGGGTATTGGAGCTTGGTTGCGGCGCTTCAAAGGGCTCTCGAAGAAGGTCAGTTGCCACGTCGCATGATAAACCATTCTTATAGTTGACATGGACTTTTATTCGGGGAGCAAGGCATCCCCATTACAGATCCTCAGTACTGGAACGATGCAGATAAGTGCAATTTGGAATCAATGAGGCATGTGTTCCGATCATGCACCGAAGAGGAGATGCCTCTGCTCCAAGAACGCCTCGACTGTCTGCGCGAGGCCGCCCAGGTGCTGGACGAGGTAACTCTACCGACTTCTATTAAATTGAAGCCACTTTGACACCCAAGCTTAGCGCTACGACTTCTCCATCACGGAGCTTGTGACTGCTGCCGACGGATCAGCTGCACAACTCGTCAACTTGCTCGCCGAAGACTTTGACTGCTTTCGCGACGAGCATCAATTCGAGGACGGCAAGATGATTCGCTTCCTCAAGAGAGCCCAGATTCTAGTTGCCGACCTGTGGGCTTGCTTCAACGGCGAGTCCTATGGTGAATTCCACGACATTGACAAAATCACCATTTTCGCCGACTACCGCATCCCCCAGATCCTTATCTCTCTTGGCGCGCTGTACTGCTGTCCGGGTATTGCAACAGCTATCAAGGATAAGAAGATGATAGAAAGTGGGTCGGCATGGGAAGTGCAGCTGCGTGGTAAGTGGACAGTCGATAGAAGAGACGAGACGACCGAAACTAATACGTAGCAGCTTGCAGCATCTGGTGTGTCGAGTTGATTCGGCGCGAGATTAAGCGGAAGCACCCCGATGCCCATGTCAACGCTATACTGATCGATTTCTTCCTCTACGACAGTGTGAAAGAGCAGGAGGCTGCTGGAAAGGAGGCAATCCCACACCATCGAACGAGGAGCATCTGGTACTAGGTACGGGTGGGGTGCCAAATGACACAGAACCTCGACACTCAACACTGGCCACGCGAGGTTTAGCATATAGACATGATGCTTTGAATCCAACCACATCGGATTGATAGAATAGTTTAGTACAAAGACAAAGAGCCTCGCAGGCAAACAAATCCTCCAGCTTCACCCAAGACGCCATAGCTCCCCAGACCCAATCACATTCATTAGACCAAAAATCATTGCCCCACGGTTGACGAGTTGAGAATCTCATCCATATGCGCAGTGTCGATGTTCTTGACGTTCTTGTTCTCCTCCTTAAGCAAAACAGCCAGAACCTCAATAGGGGGGCTCAGGCCCAGACGCTCAGCTCTGTGCCATCGCTTCATGCGAGGCATTCCGATGCAAGGCTGTTGATGTTAAACAACATATCAATGATGGAATCAATGGATGGCTTACCCCATATTGTGAGCTCACGTCGAAATACCTCAAGACCTTCTCCTGCAGCGACAGACCCTCCTGGTGCACTCGTGGGGAGCTCCACTGGCCCTCGATGGATTTCCAATACTTCTTGATCTGCGCATCGGTAATTTGCTCCGCTCGCACCTCCACTTCCGACTTCTCGGGTGCTGCTTCTATCTCAGGGACAGCCTCGTCCTCTTCCTCGTCTCCCACATCCTGTTCTTCGGTTTCCTTGGTCTCAGGCTCGTCGATGATGGCCGTTGCAAGCTCATCCTCCTTGGTTGGCTCAGGGACTTCAACATTAGCCACTGCCGGAGAGATGATGGCCTTCTTGGTATCCTTAGGCACACTCTTCGTCACCTTGTTGGAAAAGCTGAGAAGCGTCGATTGGCCTTTGGCAGGCACTCCTCGGGCACCACCAATAGATCTCCGGGTCGTAGGCATCTTGATGGCAAGGGTGTGAGATTAATAGAGTAGGTAGTAAATATCGATTGTATGATCCAGCTTAGGGGAAGGTCGGTAAAAGCGGATAAGATAATGATCTGTCTCGAAGAGAGATTGCCAATATTGGGCCTGTAGATGGTTCTGGGATGCGACGTTGACAGCCTGTGATGATGAACGCTATGGTCAGCAACAAGGTATGACGGAGGTAGGAGCCCTGACTTTGGCGGGGCAACGCGAGATTGGAGCGCGGTCACGTGGAATTTCACGCTTCTCCTCCTCCAAGGCAGCAACCAGTGCGATGGGCCAGGATACTCGCACAGGGGACCAACTTGTGTGGAAATGATTGCAAAGAGGGCGAAGATTTGGTTATGAGGGACAGTTAGTGGTGTCCTTTTATGACGTCTCTTAAATACCGGTGGCCTCCCGATAGAAGGAAAGACTGCGGTTCGCTCCCGCTGTGACAAACATCTCGCTTCTCACCGTCTTCGGAAGCCATTTCACTGTCCACAGCGCCTTGTCTGTCTCGCTGTGCGTAGCAACACAAGCATTCCGCTCAATCGACCACACTTTGACCTTTCCATCCATCGAGCCACTCAGGAGAAACTCGCCAGTGTCGCTCCAGTCGACGGCTGTGATCCATGAGGAGTGACCGGTCAGGTTTCCGATGTGTTCTCCGTGCTTCATATCGTACAGTGCGATGATGCCAGCGTCACCAGCTGCGGCAAGACGAGTGTTTCCGGGCGAAAACGACACTGTCCGCACCGGTTTCGCAAGGCCTGCTCAACAAGTTGGTTAATCTCGGCTTGACCGACTGAAATGGGGGTGCCGCTTACCTGACAATGAATACAAGACACGTCCTGTGTCATTGTTGAAAATGTAAACTGCTCCATTCTGGTGACCACTAGCAGTGTATTTGCCATCCCGGCTCAAATCCACGCACATGCCGAAACTTCCAGATCCAGGGCTTCCGGTCTCGTACTCTCGGATCTTGGGTTTGTTCTCATCCACAATGTTCCAGACGTTGACTCGGCCATCGTTGGTCGTCGTAGCCAGATACTTGCCGTCCTCGCTCAGCGCCAACGCCCACGCCTCACCAGGCTTTGCCGAAGGTCCGGTAATTTCGCCATTCAAACTCCATTCGCCGGTGTCCTTGTCCACGATCCAGATCTTCACCTCACCTCCGAACCCAGCGCTGGCAGCAACGTTGCCAGTACGGGAGGTACAGACATGGTGGCAGCCTAGTTTGTGCGCGTCGGAGATGGACTGTTTCAGAGGGAAAGAAGGGTCAGTAGAGTCGTGAATGTGCAAAGTCGAGGATCCACTGCCTGAAATCACAGCCTTTGGTGTTGTTGCCACGGCGAAGATGTCTGTGATGTGGGCTAGGAGCTGTCAGTAAGCTTCGCTTCAGGCGCTGTCTCCCCGCGGCGGCGGGGTAGTCAAGGAGGACGAACCGTTATCCACGGTGTGCGTGGTCAAATATTGTTTGGACTAGAATATGTATGAGATGGAGGCATAAATCCGGGCTTTACGTGTGCTTACCATTGCGGGCGCCTCCTAACGTCTCTCAGATATGACGTTGTGTTAAAGTGAGAGATTCTAAATGCGACAAGTTGGTGGGGCATTTTTGAGGTCACCATTCTTTCAAGGACGAAAGTTGACCAGCAACGAATCACGACTCAAAGACAGCAACATGCTTCGTTTTAAAGGCTTCAAGGAGACTAAAGACTTTTTATGGCGTACTCCATTTCTTTCGTCCAAACATGTCACAAAAAGGGCCTGTGGTCTCGGGAGGGGTAGCCAGGTGGGAGGTGTGGGCTGTTCGAGAGGATAATTACAGTCACAACAGCCGTCTTTATGGACACAGTTTTTGGTAGTCATCAGTTGGTTTTTGTTTTGACAGTATTCATACAAGGCCCAAAAGAGCCCAAACGCCCATGGTATGCACGATCCCGTGGAGATTATACAGACTGTTTAATACAGCTGTTGGTAGAACCTCGACGTCTCTCTCCTTCTCCCGCTTAGAAGGGCTTTTCTTTCGGGTAATCCTGGCGCCAGATTCTTTTCATCTCTGCATAATATGTCAGCGTCGGTGTCAAAGACAGACAATATATTCTGGTGTCAGGGTTTACCTTCCAGGCAGGTTTGGCATAATCGGTGTGTTCGCTTGATCTCGCCGCAACCGGGACACCGGCAAAGATGGTTCACATCCTCCAGCGCCTTTCCAGCCATCTGTCTGTGTCTCTTTCTTGAGTGGGAGACCTTGTTTTTTGGCACAGCCCGCAAGAGGCCTTCCCAGATATCATCGATAGTCGGTAAGTTCAGCGATAGGCCGGGAATCGCAATCGACAGAGTGGGGAAGAGCTTCTGGGAGAACTGGCGGAAGGAGAGAGTCGCCCATCGCGATGAGGCAGCGAGGGTCGGGGCAGAGAGTCGAGGGAGAAGGGAGGCTGAAACGGCAGCCATTGTGACGGTAACAAGGAAGCAAAAGAATTGCTTAGTGCTATGGAGAGATTTGCGATCGATCCGAGGCAGGCGCGTGGGCGTATGTGGGAGACTCGAGACAACCAGAATATTCTCAAGTCGCAAGAACAGTGCCTCGGTGCACAATTGCGTGGTTGGTGAGCGGTGGGGAGTTCAATTCCTCTGTCGCCGGGTCTCGATACTCTGTTCGCGTGAGGCGTTCCAGTCGTCAAAAGTCTGAAGGGCAGTCTGTCTTTCCTCAAAGTGCCGATGGGCCAATCAAGAGCTATCTCGCGCACGGACTGAGACTGGCCAATAAACAGCTCGAAACGCGCCTTCCCCCTTTCTTCCGCCCCCTGTACCTCCCTTCTAGCACGGAAATTGTTGTCTGCTGGTGGCAGGAACAGCCCAGTGCCCAAAAAGTTCCCCCTAGGATCCATTTGACGCCGCCTCTCCCATCCTTCAACTTGCACCTTGCTGCTCTTTACCACCGTCGCCTCTCCCGAGCCAGCTCCTCGCGATCGCGTGTTCCTGCTGCATCGACCACCCGTCTTTCTTGGAATACCCGAAGACATTCGCATCTCCAGCTTCAGCTTCACCTGTACAGCTTCCCAAACCGCAACGACCAACTGTCCCTCGACACCTCCTTCAAGATGGCGACCGTTCCTCCCAGCACCATCGCTCCCAAGAGCCATGTCGGTTTCGACAGCATCACGTCCCAGATTGAGCGCAAGCTCTTGAAGCGTGGCTTCCAGTTCAACGTCATCTGCGTTGGTAAGTAAACACGTCGCCGCTCTCGCCCACCGCTACTGTCATCACCCCATCAGCAACTAGCCGCGTGTTCATACTCGTGTACTGACTTGCGTTCGCGCTTCCAGGCCAAACTGGTATGGGCAAGTCCACCCTGATTAACACCATCTTCGCTTCGCACCTCATCGACTCCAAGGGTCGCCTCCAGCCCGAGGAGCCCATCCGCTCCACCACTGAGATCCAGGCCGTGTCCCACATCATCGAGGAGAACGGCGTCCGATTGAGACTCAACATCGTCGACACCCCTGGATACGGCGACCTGGTCAACAACGACCGTTGCTGGGACCCCATCGTCAAGTATATCAAGGATCAGCACTCCGCGTACTTGCGCAAGGAGCTCACGGCACAGCGAGAGCGCTACATCCAGGATACTCGTATCCACTGCTGCCTCTTCTTCATCCACCCCTCGGGCCACTCCCTGAAGCCTATCGACATTGTTGTCTTGAAGAAGCTTTCTGATGTCGTCAACGTCGTTCCTGTCATCGCCAAGGCTGACTCCCTGACCTCTGAGGAGCGCCTGGCCTTCAAGGAGCGCATTAAGGAGGAGTTCTCTTTCCACAACCTCAAGATGTACCCCTACGACAACGACGAGTTTGACGAGGAGGAGCGCGCCCTGAACAGCCAGATCAAGGTATGTCTTGCCCATAGTCCATGACAGTGACCTGTTACTGACCCAATGACAGAGCCTCGTCCCCTTCGCTGTCGTCGGGTCCGAGAAGTCGATCATTGTCAACGGCAAGCAGGTTCGCGGCCGACAGAACCGATGGGGTGTCATCAACGTCGAGGATGAGACTCACTGCGAATTCGTCTACCTGCGCAACTTCCTCCTCCGAACCCACCTCCAGGATCTTATCGAGACCACCTCCCAGATCCACTACGAGACTTTCCGTGCCAAGCAACTACTGGCCCTGAAGGAGAGCAGCGCTCATGGTGGTGCCAGCAGCCGGCCCATCAGCCCCGCTGCTGACCGAGAGATGAGCCGAAGCTCGCAAAGAATGACGATGAACGGCTACTAAGCCGACGGTTGTGCTTGAACTTTTGCTGGCGAGGGAGCAATGGCGTCTCTGGGCAGCAGGGTAGCCCGCAATTCTTACGACTCTTCATCTCTCACGGCCTCAGTTACAGCAAATAGTACAGGCCTTTCCTCGTTAACCCCACCAGTCGTCACTCCTGGCGGGGGAAACTGATACGAGAGCCTTGTCTTCGCATTGAAAGACGCGCTGAGGCGAGAATATGACAGGAGCAAGTTATTTGAAAAGGAAAAAAACGGGGTGGTGGTGCCAGTGAAGCCACATACCATTAATATCTGGGTAGCCAGACTAGCGGTATGTGACCTGGCGGCATTCTTGACCACCTCTATTTCAGCAGGACGCCTTCACACTTTTTTGATTTGTTTTAGTGTTACCCCCAGAGTGTTCTTTTTACCATTTTCCATGCTTTAATCAGATCGGTTACCCCATGCTCTAATAGAGTATTAGTTTCTTTAGGTTGCCTTTGAATCCTCTGAAGGGCATAATAGGCGAGTGTTTTCGTGTCAACATTCCAAATCCCTCTGATTGTTTCGTAATGACGTGAGTTAAACTCGTTGCGCGGAGTATCTAGAGAATTATGTCAGGTACTTCCGATATCGTGTTGTAGGATGGCACCGCTAAATCGCAAACGGGCATGACGGATGTGTTTGTCAAATCCGGGGACTAATTGGGCTGTCAGTTCAGGTATTAAGTTAGTTGATGGCGGAAGGGCTGAAAGTGACATCACACAGCTACATCTAGGAGTTGGCCGGGATTTCGGAAGGCCAGACTCTGGTGGTATAGGGTAGGAGGTTCGTCTGTAAATGACTGACTTGTTGGTCATCTGTTAATACCCTGTGCGTGCCTACTGCTGTGGTTTAACTTATACTGATTCAACCCGTTTTATCGGTATCAACTATTGTATCGTGTTTGTTACGTTAGGTGCGCCCTTCTGGATATATTGTTGGGGTGGTTCCTCCATGGGAATCGTGGACACACAAACACAAGTCGGTCATGCATCAAACCCCACTACTAAGTAGACCTTAACGGAGGTAGGCAGCCTCAATAAAGGTGTTCTATCTCGGGTATCGAGCACAGCACGAAATCAATGAGACGCGTAGAATATCAACGGAGGCTTGACATGTGTCGGCGCTATCATGCACATTCAACGTGCACGGTTAAGATCGAACAGGAGTGTTTAGTGTCAAGCGCCGCGCGGGCCAATTAATGATCGGTAGAGGCACGTTAGTGTGCAAGGGAGAGACAGCCAGCTGTCTTCAGAAATGCTGGCGCTCGACGGGGCGTGGTTAGCTCATTAGTACATAGTAGTACAAAGACAGGCACGCATCGGTAGGCCTTAGGGCATTTGGTGGTCTCATCAACCTCAAACACAGCATCTCGTCCAAAGTTTGATTCAGATAAGGAAGGGACATAACTGAGCTGGAAAGCACCAGCCGTGGGGAACCACCCCTGGACGGCCTTGTTTCAACGTAGCATAGGAGAGGGCGGTGACGACACAGCTGTGGACGGTTACAAGTGGTACGGGACAAGTACGCGCTCACATTTGACTCTCACAAGCGTACACTGATCATGTAGCCATTACGATGATGGAAAACGGAGATGGGCAAGACGAGAGACGGAGTGATGTGGTTTCATCGTCGCCCCCTACGAGGTATCTCGGCCACAATCGCTCGAAAGGGAATACTAGAGTGGAACCAGACCTTGCCAGGGGCACAAGATCTGGAAAGCTGCCGACAGGGGCATGTTGAACAACCAGGACCGATCACAAGGGGGGGCCTTGTAGAGACCGGCCGCCCGCGTCGGGGATGGATGCCACAATGTGGCTGCCGTTGCAGGTATGTCCTAATAAGACGCAGTAATAAATCGTTAGCCTGAATGCCAGGTTTGCCAGTCTATTGGGAGGCGTCAGGCGCTCCCATTGAGTGCAAGAGGCGACACATGTGTAGAGCGGGTATCATGCCACAGAAGGTGGACAGCCTTGAAGTTGGTCTGCTAGGTGAGAGCTGTGTGCGGCGCAAACAAGATGGAATTCGGATCAAGCGACAAAGAGGAAGAGGACCAGCCTAGCCCTTCAGCGGCATCCTCCATCACCCTCGAGTCTCGCTTCTGCGGCCTTTTTTCTGTCGTCTCTAGGGCATTCACGGGAGAGTAGAAGGCCACATCTGGGCTGAAGGTCATTTCTGGGCTATTGTCCATGGCGTATGGACTAGGGCTAGGGCGACGAGGGCCGGTTATCTGCCGAGGACTAAGAGCATTGACGTTAATACCAAGGCCTCGTGATGAAGCCAATTAATAAGTTGTTGGTATCGGTAAGATGATGATAGTCTTAGGGGAGACAACGAGACATTTCTTGGCTTCTAGGGGCTTGTCGTGCGACCGAAGACCAGTGCAAGGGAGGACGGGGTAGATGCGGTGATGAGCAAGTGGCCGGTGGTTCCAAGAAGTCGATGGTTCAGGTTCATTATAATTAACATGGGAGATGGAGATTGACCCGTGGTGCTCATGAAGGCGCAGCTCTGGTGAGGTATCTCGCCGAGAGACCGGGAGACTGGGATAGCACATTGGTGTGTCTTGGAGCGTCTTGGAAGAGTCTTGAAAGGACGGCCAGCGGTCTTGGAAGAGGCTTAGGAGCGGCACAGACGTCTTGGGCTCTTGGATTTCTGGAAGTGAGGGTCGGTGAGTCGGTGGACTGGATGGGGACAGTGTGGGAGAAGGAAATGATGATCCATGCTGTGTCCCATGGCCAAGACGGGAGAGACAGGGAGGGGCGAGTGCCACACCTTACTTACAACGTCGTAGCATGCTTGGGTCTAATTTCACTTCGTCCGACCCGTTCCTGAAGAGAACACCCGCGCGACCTGAGGGCGTCGGCGCTACTGCAAGGACGGGGTCCTCCTATAGGTACCTACCTACCTTGGCTAATAAGTGAATACCATACGAGACCGACCTCTCTTGGGTGCTGGGCTCCCGGCCAATACTTGCCCACATGGCCACAGCGCTTGATCGCTTTTGCGGCAAAGCGCTCCATCATGGGGTCGTGGAGCCTGCCGCCTGCCTTACCACGGGCTGCTACCGAGTCTTGGCTGTTCCGGACCCCCGCCAGTGGCTCATCTCCCATCGTGCCTACCTTATTTGAAGTTGCTCACCCGCTGTTGCACTCTGATTGTCTCGCGTCTCCAGACCCTGCGCAACTTCCCTCGCCACCATCGCTCATCCTCCTCCCCGACGTTCCTTTTGATACTCACCCACACTCCTTCTGCTGTTGCTTTTACCCGGTCCTCGGTTTGGCTGTGGTTTTTTTTTCTTCTCGTCGATCCTTCCATACGCGATTCACTGCGCTCATTCTCCCTCGCCGGCTTCCTGCCCTTCCGGATTCATCACCTGCTCACTCGCGCTCTGAGTTGAGGCGACGGTGATTCATTACGCACGCGCTTCTACACCACCCTTTTTAATCGGCTACATCTTGGAATTCTGCGAGACAGAACACCAAAAAACCACTAATCACCATGCTTGTAAGCCGCTAATTCCGGCGACATGCGCGCCATGTTGGATGCTCGGTGGAACACTCGGCCAGGCCACTAACACACCTCCCAGATCAACGCTGCCCTCATGGCCCTCGCGGCCACGGTCGTCAGCGCCGTCACGCCCCTCGAGATCCAGGGAGCGGATTTTGTCAACCCCAAGACCGGTAACAAGTTCCAGATTGTCGGCATGGCCTACCAACCCGGGGGCAGCGCTGGCTACGACCCCGAGACTGGAAAGGACCCCCTCAGCCACAAGGACCAGTGTATGCGAGATGCCGCCCTCATGCAGATCCTCGGAATCAACGCTATCCGTGTCTACAACCTGGATCCCGATATCAACCACGACGAGTGCGCCAGTATCTTCAATGCTGTGAGTGACATCTCGAACCTTTCCTCGCCTGTTCGCAGGACTATTGGCTAATCAGATATCAACCAATCAAGGCTGGCATGTACATGATGATTGATGTCAACTCTCCCCTTGTCGGAGAGTCTCTCACTTCTGACAAGCCCTGGGAGAGCTACTACATGCAGTACCTAAACCGTACGTTCGCCATTGCGGAGGCTTTCAGCAACTACCCCAACACCCTCCTGTACTTTTCTGGCAACGAGGTCATCAACAACATCGCGACGGCTGAGTTCGTCCCCCAGTATCTCCGTGCCGTCACCCGTGACCTCAAGAACTACATCAAGAACAACATCGAACGTCAGATTCCCGTCGGCTACTCCGCCGCCGATGTTCGTGAGGTCCTCTGGGACACCTGGAACTACATGCAATGCTCCGAGGATGGCGACAAGGATGACATGAGCCGTGCTGACATTTTTGCCCTCAACTCCTACAGTTGGTGCGGTCCTGATGCCACATACGAGACCTCTTCTTTCGATGTCCTGACTGCAGGCTTCGAGTCGTCGTCTGTGCCCGTCTTTTTTAGCGAATACGGATGCAACACGCCTAAGCCCCGTTACTGGAATGAGACCCAGGCCATGTACGGTGAGAAGATGACGCCCGTTTTCTCTGGGGGCGTTGTTTACGAGTACACTGAGGAGGACAACAACTACGGCCTGGTTCAGATCAAGGACGACACTCTCCAGATCCTGGGCGATTTCAACCGCCTCAAGAACCAGTTCGCTAAGATTAACTGGGAGGATGTTCAGTCCCAAGCCCCCAGTAAGGATACCCCTAAGGTCCCGACTTGCAAGACCAGCCTGATCAAGGAGGACGGCTTCGACACCAACTTCACTCTCCCTGTTGTCCCTCCCAATGGTACCCAGAAGATCATCACCAACGGCCTCAAGCCTAAGCCCAAGGGAAAGATCGTTGACATCTCGGACTGGGACGTCACTCTCACTGTCAAGGATGCTGACGGCAATGAGATGACTGGCCTCAAGGTCGTTCCCCTCAAGGATGACGAGGTTAACCACGCCGGCAAGAACGAGGCGGACACTGGCAGTGAGACCACGGCGAATTCGACCGATTCGTCATCATCTGACAACAGCACCAGCGACAGCTCGGATGATGCCAAGGACTCTGCTGGTCTTATCCGACCGATGATGTGGGCGGTTGCGGTTCCCCTGGCCGCAATGATGTTTGCTTTGTAAGGAGAGGATAGAATTGTTAGCATATTCGTCGCGAAGGGAAAAACTTGAGTAAATGGACTCGGAAAGAGGGTTGAGAGACGGGGGGGAAATATACGTTGGCGTGTACATGATACCAGTCGGCAGCACATTCTGTTTTGAACTGAGCCTTTCTTAGCTACTAAACCTGACTTTTAATCCATCCTTTGATTTGCCTCTTATTCGTGACATGGCATGAGCTGTGAATACCCCCCAGAGCTTGTTCGTCTCTCTACACTGCTACAGCCCTCTTACACGTTCCACGGCATCTCACTTCTTGGTGCCCTTCTTGGGACCGTTGCCTTTATCCTGGCCATTGGATGGCTTCTTATGGTCGACCTCCTCCACGGTACTTGAGCAGTATGGGCTGGTGGCACATGGCAGGCAGTAGTCGTGAGAGTTGAGGTCACAGGCACGGCAGCAGGCCGGGCAGCAGGTGTCGACCAAAGGGAACTTGGTTTCGGCAGTCATTGTGTGGTGATTTGGCTGTCGTGTATGACAAGTTGTCGTGTCTTGCTTGAAGAGAGATTGTCTGAGAGATGTTGGTGGATGGAGCGTGACGGGTGAGATGGAAAGAGACTTACGTTGGAAGTCGAGGAAAGAGGGTGCGGGATCTTTGCACAGAGAAGTGGTATGATTGCGTGTCTTTGTGTGTGTGTGTGTGGTTGAGTCTCACAGTGGTGGTGGTGGATGAGAGCTAGAATACGAGGGCCCTGGGGTTCGCTGGCGAAGGACAAGTTGCTCTGGGTTATGCGAATATATGTATGTCTCGTGCCCCCGTCTGAGAGTATGTACTTGCGTCTCTTGACAAAGGTGGTCAACGACGCAGGTATGATGGTTATGGTTATCGCGATGGGAAGAAATGAAAGGTTGGATTGGGTTCTCGGCGCCGGAAGAGGGAGGTGAAGTAAGGATTGGGGACGGGAAACTCTTGCCCTGCATGGACCTTGAAAGCCTTAGTTTTTATATAGAGGTACCCAAATATACACTTTTTTTGCAGCCCGTACATACAACATCCAACGGGTTGCGTTTGGGTAGGAAAACGGGAAACAAGGGAAACAAGGGAAACAAGGGAACCAAGGGAAACAGGCGGGAAAAAAAGCAGGGCGCCAAACAACGCACATCCCATCCTATCCGTCTCTGTCTCTCCCCCACCCTCTTTTCAAACGGCAGCCTCATTCTTCTTCGCGCCCCCCCCCCCCCCCCCTTTTCTTGCCTCTCTTGCGCTTCTTCCGCTTTCAAAGGGCCACGAGAAAACGCCCATCGCCCGCCTCGCCATGCCGTCTACTGCACCCGTTGATGGCCTCAAACGGCGGCGGCCCTCCCGCGGCTGACCTACCACCCACGTACCTACATACCCACGTAACCTACCAACGCACCTACCTGCTTCGTGCCGGGCCCCCGCAGACCGAGCGAGACCCCGTGCCGAATCGCAGACGCCGCTCGTAGTGCGTGTCGTGCTTGTCATGCTTGTCGTGCTTGTCGTGCTGCTGCTGCTGCGCCCTTGTTGCGGCCTTGCGCGGGTGCGGGAAGCGGGCCATGATGCCACCGCGATGGGCTCGGCAGGGGTTTGTTTGGCGCGGCCGCGGGGGGCGTGTTGGGTTTTGGGGTTTTGGGGTTTTGGGTCGGGTGGCGCGGTGTCATTGTAATCGCAGATTGGCACCCAGTCGCGTGGCAGAGGGACGGCCGTTTGGAGTTTTACCTTTCAAGCCAGGGGTACGTTGTCCTTGTTCGTTGTTCGCCGAATCGGCGAGCGTTGGGTGGTGCACTGGTGACGGCACCGTTGCCGTATGGGCGCCTCTTCTGTCGGTGTAAGTGGGAGGCGTCGTAACGCAAGACATGCTTCCAACGGGAATCATGGTATGGGATGGGCCAGAGCACCCAAAAAAAAAGGAGGCCATGCCACCTTGGGAGAATGGCTTCGTATTTTCAAGCTGGCCCTTGCTGCATTGGGTCGTTACGTCGGGTAGTCATATCCACGCACCGATGGGCTGGTGGGTTGAAGCGAGGCCTCCGTTCGTATCATGATACGAATATCCAACTGCCCATGGCAATAACCAACGCCCCGGTTGTCCAGACGCAGTCATCATCATCAATCACAAAGGCTATCAGTTGTCAAAAAGGAACAAGGAAAAAAAGGAACAAGGGAAAAAATTCAAGTGTCATCAGGTAATCTATTAGCTTTCTCTCTTTCGTCGTAGCTGACATACTACCATACACAGCTTCTTCGACCGCTCAATAGTCGAAGGCCTTGGAATTCCCATCTCCTCCACCCGTCCCGTTCTATCTTGCAAAGTACAGTACCACATGGTCACCGCTCAGGTATCCTATCTGCACCTGCACCCGCTTTCTACGCCAGGACACCAAATATGCAGCGTGCCCAGCTTATTTTTTCATGCCATTTAAGCCTGGAACTCCTGGAGCTTGCTCTCCTCCCACTTGCCCGGGACGAGGGCCAGGGGCACGATACCAGAAACGTGCATCTCAGGGCCGAAGATCTTGGCGTTGAGGCCCAGCTCCTGGGTCGCGGCCTTCATGTTCTTGAGACCCTCCTGGTAGTTGGGGCCGGCACGACGAACCCAGATCTGGACGCTGTGCTCGATCAACTTGGGAGCAAAGTCCCGGAGAGCGCGGATGACACCCTTGAAGGTGCTGGCGACGTTGGTGAAGTTGGCAATACCACCACCGATGAAGAGAACCTTGCCCTTCTCGGCCTTGGGGGCGCGGAGGAGGAGGTCCAGGACAGTGCGGGCGTAGTGGTAGGTCTGAGACTCGGTGGGAGCACCGGAGTACTCACCGTAGTTGGCCAGCTCGTCGGCGAAGCCAACAGAGGCGATGGCATCGGCGTAGACGACCGAGGCACCACCACCGGCGACCAGGGTCCAAATGCGGCCCTTGGGGTTCAGGACGGTGAGCTTCAGGGAAGCACCAGTCTTGGCATCAAGGTCGGCGATGTAAGCCTCCTCCTTAGTGAGCTCACGGCCGAAGGGGGCAGGGAACTCCATGGGGGGACCAGCATCGATGCTGACCTTCTCGCCGGAGGGGGCGATGTTGGTAAGACCCAGAGCAGCGGGAGATCGGGCAATGGCCCACTTGACACCGCACTCGAAGTCGGCAGTCTGGTCCAGCTTGGCAGCAAGATCCAGGAAGTGAACCTCAGCAGAGGTCTTGTCCTCGTTGGGGATCACCACCAGGGGGTTGATCTCGAGGTATGTGAACTGGCAGTCGACGTAGACGGCGTAGAGGCGGGTGATGAAGTCAACGAGGACATTGTGAACACCCTGGGGCACCTTCTTGAGGAGAGTGGCAGCAATCTCCTCGTTGGAGGGGTACTCGGCGAGGTCAACGGGGATCAGAAGCTTCTCAGCCTTAGCGTCGACATCTCCAACATCGACACCACCCTCGTGGGTGAAGAGGATCCAGTCGCCCTGTACACACAATCGGATTAGTAACAGGCCCAACGGAAACCCGGAAACAACTTGACATCGCGGCTGAGTGGGTTTGGCGGAGCGTTCCGATCTTGGGGCAGGGTTCGTTCGGTTCGGAGGGATCTTATCGTGGCATCCGCTCGCCCGGACCGGTAGAACAGTGATTACCGGCAGCCGTTTGAGGGAGCCCACAAAATGCACCCAGTCCATCTTGCAAACGCGAAAATGGCGAATACATCTTTCCCGCTGGCCCCCTTTCTGCAGGATCGAAAACTTCCTCCTCTCCATTGCCTGGTTTCAGGTCTTGGGTTGGGGGACAACTCAACTCAAGACTCCATCTGCACGGCGCAGAAACCCAAACCCAACTCGACAACGACGAAGCAAAGAGGAAATATCAGCAACTTACATCTCGGACAGAGTTGATGTTGATGTAGTACTCGGTGTCTTGGGGGTGAGGAACAAAGGGCTCGACAAGGAATTGTCGGAGAACACCAGCAACGTGCTCAACCTGCTGCTCCTTGCCGGCGCGCTCAGCAACCCAAGCCTTGGCCTCGGGCCAGGTCTTGTTGAGGCAGAGGAGACCGCTCTTCCCTCGTCGCTTGATCAACTGATCGGGCTTGGCGACGAACTTGGCGCCGGGCTGGAGGAGCCAAGGGTAGGTGACCTCGGCCTGGTTCAGGATGTCGCCGACGTTGGCATCCTCAGCAAAGTGCAGCGAGGCCAGGCGGGTGGGGGGGTTGTGGGTGGTGGAGGCGGGGAGAGGGCTCGGCTTGATGACGGGAGCACGAGTGAGGTGGTAGTTGAGGATGGCCTTGCCGTCGGCCTCGAGGATCGACTTGGCGGACATTGTGGATGTGGATTACGGGGATGAAGAAAAGGTAAGTTGGCGGAATGAGCGGGCGAGTGTCTGTCCTGTCCCGGGTGGTTCTTGTTCAATTCTGGAGACGAGGGGAGAAGTGTCAGCGGGTGGGCAAGCGCCGAGGATGCGAGTTATACGCGAGTGCGTTGAGGGAGGGAGAGGAATGATGTTGAGGTCGACGTTGAGGCTGAGGCGGAGAGACGTGATGCGAAATCGAAGGTCAAGTCGAAGCTGAAGCTATCCAGACGAAAGGCGACGAGAATCACGACTCGCCGTGGGCGCAATGGCAATGGTGGTCCAAGTGGACTGGACGGTGGGCAAAAGGCGGCGGGGGGAGGAGGGGAAGGGAGCTCACTCACCAGTGCACAAGCTCGAGCTGGGCTGCGACAACGAACTGCGAGGGATGAAGGGGAATGGAGACAAGAAACGGGAGCCAAGGGAAGTTGATGATGACGGGAGAGATGTCGCAGGAGACGGAGCAGAAGGGGGAGATTCCAGAGGCAGTCAGAGACGGACGCGGACGGGACGAAGATGGAGCCGGCAGCAGCTTAGGTTGTCTCTCGAAAAAACGAAGCTCCCAGGATTTGGCGCCTCAAAGGGGATTGAGACGGTGGGCGAATTGGGGTGGAGGGGCTGGCTCATCCCCATCCATCCCCAGCAGAGCGGCCCCCAGCAGCCCAGCAGCCCAGCAGCCCCTCGCTCACCCCCTGGCCCCTCCGCTGGTGGGCGGGCGGTCAGTAAGTGGGTTGGGCGTGGTGGCACTGGCGCGTGTGCCTGGCTGGGACCCTACCTGGCTGCTGGGGGCCGCTGTTCTGTTGCTGGGGCTTGGCTGGAGCACGCGCACCAAAACATTTTTGGGGCACCCCTCCAAAAAAAAAAAAAAAAACCGCTGAGGAGGCGGTGGTGAGCTGCAAGCTGCCCGCGACGAGGTACTCCCCGAGGTACCGGTACCTACCGACCGCCGCGAGAAGGATCCCCCAGCTGTTGAGGACCAAGTGGACCAGGGCGCCACACGACATTCGACACTCGACCACCACCAGTATCCCGCCGAAAACCGCAGCGACCGCCACACGCTACACGCCGGCCAATTCGCCCCAGCCTTGCCTCTTCGGCGCCGGCTCGCAGCGAGAATTTGCTTTGGGCTCTTGGTGTTCCTGTATTTTTTGTTGTTTGGTTTCCCTGGGGCTCGGAGGCGGTCGTTGGCCAGCAACCAAAGCTGGTTGAGCTGGGGTGTCTGGGTGACAAGTGGGAACGACGTGGAAGGCTGGGGAAAGCTAGCCAGAAGCCTGGCCCCTCACCACAGCGGTTCCCTGTGCGACTCGTGCGCTGCAGCCCCCCGAACAAGCTTCTGGGAGACAATTGGAACTGGAGAGAGGCCCAAGCTCGGGCTCGGACTCCGTGGCAGCATGGCACCGGCGTGCACTGCACCCCAATGGTTCTAGGATAGATCCGATGGCATGTGTGTACTTCCTTCGTACTTCGGCCGCTATCCGTCGGCAGCCTGCAGAGTTGTCATGATGCAGTGCTCGTCTCAGCCACAAGCCTCCGGAGGTGCCCCGATGGACGGCCGTTGTACTCGTTGGCTTTCCAACCCTCCGACCCTGAGCGGGCACCAGCACAACCCTCTGCCAGTGAGCTGACAGTGGTCGAGTAGTGCTCGACAGTGGGTGGTCAGCGGCCATTGGATGCCCCTCACCCTAATCCACCCCCATCCACATCGATCCTCCAGGAGCTCACAGCCCCGAGTCCGCAGCCCAAGAGTGCCGGCAGGGCACGGAACAGGACCTGATCGTGGTGGCCGTGATCCATCCGCCATTGCCCATCGGCCTCCGAATCTCGGTGGAAGTGGAGAGCCAGAGCGATAAATTTATCACGCTCTGGTGCAATGGTGGAACAGACGGAGCAAGAGAAGCCAGTAGCTTCACATTGATGCCTTTCCTAATTCCCTCTCCCACTGTTTTGAGCCTTTTCTGCTCGACAGAGTTGTAATTGACTCTATTTCCTTTCTTGGCACTCCAAGACGCCGCCGGCCTCCGTTCGGGTGTCCCACACACCCCTTCGGACCCTTTGGAGGGGCGGCATGGCGATGTCATGCTATCTTGCCGATGCCGCGGATGCCATGGTAGAGCCATGGGAGCCATCTGACCAACACGAGACGGTCCAAATCAAAGAACCGGGCTCCAATTGCCTGGGGGGCTGACTGGATTACCCGGGGCTGACCAGTTGGGCTTTGCACTTTGGCAATAGGGGCTGACGACATCCTGTTGTTGGCCTCGGTATTTTTGGGGTGACGATCCGTCCTTCAGATCATTCCAGATGGCGTTTGCAGACGGCCAGGGCTGGCCTCTCGCCCTGGAGCGGCTGTGGTGGGGGGAGGTCCGGCGCGCTGCCGACCAATTGCCCCGCCAAGTACCGGTACTTGGGATACTTGGCGACTCGCGGCGCCGTGTACTTCCAGACATTCTTGACGCACGACGAAGTGAATAGGTACGTACTTTCGGACGCAGGCAAAAAGTCGGACAAGTTTCAATGCAAAACCACGGGACATGGGTGCCTTGGTACGCTCCTGCATCCAGCGTCACTGGCGCCGCCGGGCCATGGAATTCAACAGATCAACGAAAAAAAGAGGACCTGGGAGAAGCATCCCCAAAAAAATCCTGCCCCCAACTAGTACCTAGGCGACGCACGCCCGCCATCCGCTGTTGAATTGGGATTCGCCAACAACCGCAACCTCCGGACTATCACGCACGGTACTTTGGCCTTGTTAATCTCCAACGGATGAGCATCTCAGGACGGGAAACCAAATCGCCTTTGTCTCTCTCCGCGTCAGAATCGATCAACTGATCCCGCAATCAATCAACCTCCGACCGGTAAGTTGCTTCTGCTCCGGCTCCGACTTGGAGGGGCGTTTTACGTACCTGGTCCAGTGGCCAGTGTCCACCGCCGATGCACGGGAGGGGCCTGGCACTTGGGGCAGCATGGGGGTACCGCTCTGGCGTTGGTTGGCATGCTAGAGGTACAGTATGCTGGGCGCCGACCCACTAAATTCTGTGGCGGTAGTGACCGCTCATGAGTCCCCTGGCGCTCCCCTGGCGCTCCAGCTACCGACAGCTCCCTCGGTGCCAGTGAGCTGCCCCGTGCTGCGAGGTACCTCCCCTCCATCCCTCACCCTTCTCACCCTCACCCCCCCTCCCCCAAGCCCACCCGACCTCACGCCCAATGCCCGCGCAGCCTCGTCCAGGTCAACGAATGGAACCCAGCTCACCCGCCCACCACCAAGCCCACCACCACTCGCTCCTCCCTGAAATCTTGTGCACCCTCTCCCGCTCCTTCCCTCCCCGCCCTCGTCATTTCTTCCGTTCATCTAAACTGAGGCCCGTCTTTCCAACGTTTCCATCCGTTGATTCTGCCTCCTCTTTTCCCCCTCCTCATCTTCCCTCCTGCCCCTTTGCCTAATTCCTCAGAGCCTCCACCTCCGAGCTCAGAGCGTCTCTCGTCCTCCTTCTCCCAGCTGCTGCTGACTCCGGTTTCTTTTGCCGTCACTTCAGCTCAACCTCTACTCCTCCCCCGCCCACACGAACCGAGCTCGACTCTTTCGCAATGGCTTCCTCCGCCACCAACCTGTCGGCCAACGACAAGATCCAGCGATTCCCGGCTCCCAGCCGGCCGCTGAGCCCTCTCCCCGAGCATGCCCTCTTCACCGACAAGACCCGATGCTTCGTCTACGGTCTACAGCCCCGAGCCGTCCAGGGCATGCTGGATTTCGACTTCATCTGCAAGCGCGCCAAGCCGTCCGTCGCCGGCATCATCTACACCTTCGGTGGCCAGTTCGTCAGCAAGATGTACTGGGGAACCAGCGAGACCTTGCTGCCCGTTTACCAGCAGGTTGACAAGGCCATGGCCAAGCACCCCGACGTCGATGTGGTCGTCAACTTCGCCTCGTCGCGAAGTGTCTACAGCTCCACCATGGAGCTGATGGAGAACCCCCAGATCAAGACCATCGCCATCATTGCCGAGGGTGTCCCCGAGCGAGTAAGTTGATCCCGCCGACTCCAGAAAAAAAAACTCCAGAAAACCCCCCCCCACCATAGTAGCTAACCCCGGCTTTTTTAGCGAGCTCGTGAGATCGCTCATGTGGCTCAGAAGAAGGGTGTCACCATCATTGGCCCCGCCACTGTCGGTGGTATCAAGCCCGGCAGCTTCAAGATCGGTAACACTGGTGGCATGATGGACAACATTGTCGCTTCCAAGCTCTACCGCAAGGGCTCCGTCGGCTACGTCTCCAAGTCTGGTGGCATGTCCAACGAGCTCAACAACATCATCGCCCAGAACACCGACGGTGTCTACGAGGGTATTGCCATTGGAGGTGACCGATACCCCGGTACCACCTTCATTGACCACCTTCTGCGTTACCAGGCCGATCCTGAGTGCAAGATCCTCGTCCTCCTCGGTGAGGTCGGTGGTGTTGAGGAGTACAAGGTCATTGAGGCCGTCAAGCAGGGTGTCATCACCAAGCCCATTGTCGCCTGGGCCATTGGTACCTGCGCCAGCATGTTCAAGACCGAGGTTCAATTCGGTCACGCCGGCTCTTTCGCCAACTCTCAGCTCGAGACTGCTGCCATGAAGAACCAGAAGATGGCTGAGGCTGGTTTCCACATCCCCGAGACCTTCGAGGAGCTCCCCTCTCTCCTCAAGTCTGTCTACGACAAGCTCGTCAAGGAGGGCACCATTGTCCCCCAACCCGAGCCCGTCGTTCCCAAGATCCCCATCGACTACTCTTGGGCCCAGGAGCTTGGCCTCGTCCGAAAGCCCGCTGCCTTCATCTCCACCATCTCCGATGACCGTGGCCAGGAGCTCCTCTACGCTGGCATGCCCATCTCTGATGTCTTCAGGGAGGATATTGGCATTGGTGGTGTCATGTCTCTTCTGTGGTTCCGCCGCCGTCTCCCCCCCTACGCCTCCAAGTTCCTCGAGATGGTCCTCATGCTCACTGCCGACCACGGTCCCGCCGTGTCTGGTGCCATGAACACCATCATCACCACTCGTGCCGGTAAGGACCTCATCAGCGCCCTGGTGTCTGGTCTCCTGACCATCGGTTCCCGATTCGGTGGTGCCCTCGACGGTGCCGCTGAGGAGTTCACCAAGGCTTTCGACAAGGGCCTCAGCCCCCGAGAGTTCGTTGACGGCATGCGCAAGGCCAACAAGCTGATCCCCGGTATCGGTCACCGTGTCAAGTCGCGAAACAACCCCGACTTGCGTGTTGAGCTTGTCAAGGAGTACGTCCTGGCCAAGTTCCCCAGCCACAAGCTCCTCGACTACGCCCTGGCCGTCGAGACCGTCACCACTTCCAAGAAGGACAACCTGATCCTGAACGTCGACGGCTGCATCGCCGTCTGCTTCGTCGATCTCGTCCGCAACTGCGGTGCCTTCTCTGCCGAGGAGGCTGAGGACTACCTCAAGATGGGTGTCCTGAACGGTCTCTTCGTTCTCGGCCGAAGCATCGGTCTGATTGCCCACTACCTCGATCAGAAGCGACTGCGCACTGGTCTGTACCGTCACCCCTGGGACGATATCACCTACCTCCTGCCCAACCTGGCGGAGGCTGGTGCCCCTGGCGCCGAGGGCCGAGTGGAGGTCACTCTGTAAACGAGTGCGTAGGATGCTAATGAGGATGAGGAGGGATCGAGACAAGGCGTCTGTGCATTTGATGATTTAGTGCCACCGGCCTGGAGACGGGAGGAAAAGCGGAAGGCTGTATGAGAATTCCCGATACAATGTAACTAGTGCTAGGAGGCCACAAGATAGCTCTCCAAATTACTCGTTTGATCACTATAGACATGACATGTTCACGGTTATTCAGATGATTTGATTGGTCAATTGTTTTCAGCCTTATGATGTATAGTGACTTGCTAGCGCCGGCTTTGCCCTTGATCAAGCCAGGTCAGGACCAAAACACTCAGAATGTACCCTTCGAAATGTCTTCCAGGTTGTGCCCACGTCACTTCCCCTCGTAAATGACGACAATGGCGCGTTGGATGTGCCACAATGCATTCACACTCTCAGCCCTAGTCATGCCCGCCGCCGATGGAGAATGGGTGGGTGTGGAATTCGGGGACCGAAGCATCATAATCCCGGGCAAGGTCTCGGACCCCGACAATGACGATGCCCATCACATGAGAAATATCTGACATGTCCAAGGCGACTGAGTAACCCGAAGAAGCCTTCGTCATGATGCCAATCACCCAATGCATTTTCCCTCGCCAGAAGGCGTTGTTCGGCGTTGTCCATGGAATTCAATTGGAGGCCCAGGTGCAAGTGGGAGGTCACATGACGTCGTGACGGGGCGGAATTGTCCGCGTCCCGCAGAGGCTTGGCATCAGTGGATTTTGTTCGGCTGCTTGGCTGGTGCTGCTTTCTACCAACGACCGACGACGAAGACGACGACTGACGACGGCGGGTGTGCGCTTGCGATTCCCCTTTTCCTACCACAGTACCTTAGGCGTCATTGGGAGTAAGACATCAATTGACACCCGCAACGACATCCCTCTTACATACCTTCACAGGCTGTGCTCAACCGCACCGACCTCATCACAACCCTCCCACCTTCGAACACACCATCACCACCACCACCACACACTCCACGCCCCGGAACAATGTCCTACTTCCGCATCACACTCCACCGCTCGGCAATCGGCCTGCCCGAGCGCACGCGCGGCGTCCTGGCCGCCCTTGGCCTGCGCCGCCGCATGCAGACCGTCTTCCACCCCGTGCACCCGCAGTTCGCCGGTATGATCCTCAAGGTCAAGGAGCTGGTGCGCGTGCAGGAGGTCGACCGCGCGCTGAGCAAGCAGGAGGTCAAGGCGGAGCGCACGCCCGACAAGGGCTTCTACGTTGAGAAGGCTGTGCCGCGGCTATGAGCTGACGGATGGGGAGTCTGGAGAAAGAATACGACGGGCACCAGGATTTTGGAGAAAAGCTGGCATGATAGAACGATAGGAGGATATGGGACCAGAAGAACGTTGTACCATACTGTAACGACATCTGTACAAAAGACGGGGCTGGTTAAAGCGGCGCCGGCTTTGTTGGGAAAGTATTAAAACTACCACAATCACAATGCGTCAAACACCACCTCATTGAGCTCAAGGAGGCTCGGTTTCGACTGTCTCATGTCCGTGTTATCACCTTAAGAAAGGTCTCCTATAAATCAACTGACTAGGAAAGACAAAAGAGGTACAAATCCCCCGCTATCCTACATGTGTGTAGTCCTTTGTCGTTTACCAGTACCCGAGACCTCGCAACAAGTCATGGCAATTGACTCAGCCTTCCACCGGCCAAAAATATCTCTGGCGCCAGGCAGTCACAGTTTCACCACTTCTCCTTGGCCCTCTGTCACTCTTGAAGTGGTAGCTGTACGGCATCAGTGCCAATACCCGACAACAAAATCAAGCCTCAAAACACCATCCTTCCATCTACCAAGACCTAGAAACTACGGGCCTTGTCGATATACTCCTGAGATGGGGTCTCGTACTCGTTCACAAAATATGTCTCGCAGTTCTTGCCCAGCCAGACGGTGAACTTTCCAACCTCCTCCCGAAGTCGCGATACTGATTGCTGGTCCATGTTTGTCTGAGCCAGGAGTTCGGGGAGTGAAACTGGCAATCATGAGTTAATGAATACGCCCAGATGGCAGCAGACACATACCAATCAGTCGAGCCAAGTGCTCTGCGCCATAGACGTCACAGACACCCTTGACTTCCGAGTTGTCATCTGCATTATCCCATGACTTTCGCACATCCATGTACTGGTGGCGCTCAAAGCTGGAGGGAGGTCAGTATAGGTGATCCACTTAACGTGGTGCGGGGGATCAGTACCGGTAGAGCAATATCCTGCTCAGAGCTTTCTCGAAATACTCGCGGAAGCCCGCAATGACCTCCTCCAAGATGTCCATGCTGGCGGATCCCTCCTCTCGTTGAGGTTTCTCATGTGCAAGGTAGTCCTCAAGAATCTTGGTGACGGGTTTGGCGTGGGGGAGGGGAACCAGCTGGTTGTTCTTGGTGATATTCTCCCAATCATCCACAAGCATAGCTTGGATATGATCGGGAACTGGAAGATTGATCATCGGCTTGCTATGGAAAGCATCCTCCTAGTTGAACGATTAGAAGATGTCTCAAAATGTTATGGCCAGAGGAAACGGGGAGTGAATGAATGAAACTCGGCGAGCCGCTTGGCTTCTGAGGGCAGGATAAATATGTTCAAGCTTGAAATTGGGGGTATGCAGCTACCATCTCAATAAGGGACCGTGATTGGGGCTGCCGGTTTGCAGGGGGCCGAGGGCCCTTGCTGCTCTTTGCGTGTGGTTTCCCATGGCTGACCTCGTCGTCCAGCGGCCAGGTGTAGCGCCCGTCATCCAGACTTCTGCCAGTGGCTGTGACATAGCGATGACCATCTTTCGGGGGCTGTAGAAGATGGTCGTGTGCCACACGAAGTCTTGCCAGTTTGGCCCCTTTTGAATTCCGGGAGCCCGTACGGACACTTGATGCAGGTGCACGAGAAGAAGCTCCAGAACTCGAGGTGCGAGGGCGCTTCGCACTCGCAGACGGTCGGGAGCGTGTCATGATATCGAGTTGGCGGGTTGGGATAGTAAGGAGGGACAGGAAAGGCAGAGGGGAAAGGTTGGGTGTTTGTGTGAAGTCAGGGACGCGGGGTTGATAAAGGAGAAAAGAAGGAATATGGTATGTCTCGAGTGGATGAGTGTCAAGGCTGTGGGGAGGGAGTTCGCAGAGGCGTTTCCAGGGTGCCAGCTGTTGGCGTTGGGTAGAAGTACTGGAGTGACAGCGCATTCTCAGAGAAACGGCCAACCCCGAATCTCGACACTGTGGAAGGGAGCCTTGTCCCTCCACGAGTTTGCGACAGCCTGCTAAATCGTACCCCAGGCCATGGCAGGCTTTGGCAGCGAACTCCGAATACAAAGGAGCGGGAAAACACGACTGATTAGTGTAACAGGACACTCGGCTGTCGTTCGGTGAGGCTGTCGCCCCTAGAGACGCCCTTTTTACCACCATCCAGGACTACCAGGAGGATTGAGGTCTCGAATTCGGTCAAGTCGGCCAAGAAACGCCATAAAAAAAAGCAAGACAAAGAAAGAATAGCAATGTTCTCACCTGTTCGAGTTCCCAGTCCTTGCCTCGTCGTCCACCCCGACCCCCTTGAACGGTTGCGGAGCCAGCCCGCTCCTCGCTCACCCTTGCCGATTCAGCGCCGCTGCGGAGGCCCTTCTTGGGCAGCTTCGTGCTCCTCTGCATGTTATGCTTGACCTGCGCGTGAAGCTGGGCTGCCAACTCCTTGTGCTCGTCGTCAAAAGGGCGAATGCGGTCCACAAGCACCCAGTCGTCCCAGGTGTTCTTCCAACCCTTGTAGTGAACCTTGTATCGGTACCCGTCGCTAGGCTTCTCCCCGGGCTGCACATCCATAACCTTAGCCTCGTAGAGCATGTCCATGTGAAAGCACAGGACTTTTTCGTCCTTGCTGAACGGCGGCGGTGCCGGCTGCTGGCGTGCAGGAGCCATGGCGATGCTGGCGGTACTGGAACCACTCAAAAGAGGCGGTGTGCAAAAAGTAAGGAAATGCGAAGGTGAAGGGGCGTCTGTGATTGGCGCAGATACACTCTGTGATGGGATGTGAATGAGTTTGCAGTTGGTGGTGAAGATTCAGGAGAGAGTCGTCATGGGATGAGATGAAAGGCGATGCGCGATACAGTGTTGCAAACTTGAGGCACAGTGGTTCGCGTTAATGGACCTGTAGGGACTTTTCTCGTCACTAACGCGACGCGACTCCCTTGGAAGGTCCGGTACCTGGCTGCCAGTCGCTGGCAGTTGCCCACAGCTGACGGACCCCGATATTTTTCTTGCGTAGGTATTCCCGATAAGAAGTGGGTCGATAAGGTCACACGCGAGAGCGAGCCTGGAGGTACATGCATGTAGGATTGTACCTACCTTAGGTACCTACCTGGCGTCACCATCACCCCGCTGTACTCTAGTGACCTCCTCCCCTGAAAGAACACGGCTACCTCAGCTTCAGCACCTACGGCAGGTAGCTGTGTACCATCCAGACCCCAACGACCCCTCCATTACCCCACGACCCGCCCAACCGATGTCGCAGCAACAAGTAGTCAATTGGCCATGCACATAGAAAACATTTTAGTCTGCGTCACGGAACTTGATCTATTTTCTCTCCTTCAACTCCGAGGCTACAGAATTGAACTCAATGAAATCGACGGCAAATTAAGTCAATTCCCCTTGATTAGGTTTGGGAAGACTCTCGTGAGACGAAATAAGTCGGAGGAACCAATTCTCGTGAGCTACATTGTACCAGAATTGAACGAGTGGCACCAGTTCCTCAAGGCGAATAATTTTGAAGATGTTGACGAAGAAGGGACCGATATTGGACCAACCAAGGTATATTTCAAGCGATTCCGACGACTGCAAACTGAAGTCCGAGAACATCTCAAGGGTCGATTGCCTATTTACGTGGTCCCGACCACATATATCTTTCTGAGCAAGCTGCCGCTCAACCCCAACGGAAAGGTTGACAAGCCAAATCTACCTTTCCCCAATATTGTCCAACAGACGGAGGACGCCTCGGATGAGGATCTGAAGAGGTGGGAGTCTCTAACAGAGACGGAGCGCACTATTGCCACCCACTGTCTTCCTCACTGGTGCGACCGACTTATTGGGTGTCTACCTAATCAAGGACGTCTTGGAACGCACCAGCCGCGAGGTCAGGCCGATCGCTCACGTCCGAAGTGCCAAGGATCCCAAGGGTGCCTTTGCCCATCTTCGCCGTTCTCTTGAAGGCTATGGCTTTTGGAAGGATGAATGGACGACACGACTGAGCTGTGTCATCGGCCATCTGTCGAAGCCACAGCTAGGCATTGAATCAAGTGTGTGGGACTCCCTTGCCCAGGAAGTAGACGTGGTCATTCATAACGGCGCCACGGTGCATTGGGTCAAGAGATATGCTGATATGAAGACTGCCAATGTCTTCTCCACCGTTGATGCTATGCGGCTCTGTAATGAGGGAAGGCCGAAGACATCTATCTACCTTTGTCAGCTCCACTAGTGTCCTGGACACTGACCACTATGTCAACACGGTCAACTCAGTCCCCGTCAATCACGTTTCGCGCGTCGTTGTGGCGTCTGCTCTCAACCCTCTTGCCGGTGGTGTGCATGTCGCTCATGTGACCGGCCACCCTCGCCTTCGTATGAACGAGCACCTCTCTGCTCTCGAGTACTTTGGCTACAAGATCTCAGAAGTGAGCTACGACGAGTGGAAGGACGAGCTTGAGCACTATGTCTCTGCAGGTAGACAGGAGAAAGACCAGGAGCAGCACGCCCTGATGTCCCTGTATCATTTCTGTACCAATGACCTCCCCGCGAACACTCGTGCCCCTGAACTCAACGACAGGAACACTGTCAAGATTCTCAAGGACGATGCTGAGAACTGGACCGGGGTTAACGAGAGCTCCGGATACGGAGTCTCCCGAACCGACGTTGGTCGATTTCTCCATTTCGGTTTGTGACCTGGCCTACGGGCAGGGGTCGACCTCTTCCCGAGGTGAACTTGTCCCCAGCACAGCTTGAGGCAGTTAGAGCCGTTGGAGGTCGCGGTGGCGGCGCTGCTGGTGGTGGCACGCTTTGATTTAGAGGGTTTCTAATTGGCTAGTATTCGGTGTATTTACGGTTTCACAACAAAAGCGAATGGATGTTGATTTACGGGCTCACTTTCAAGTTATTGGGCTAGTACAACCATGTAGTTGTAGTGTGCAATTTCAGAATTCAGATGTGCATGTTTGAATGGCTACTTGTAGGATGAGGAGCAAATTGCCGGACCTAGATTATACGTTTGCGAATCTTTAGCACTGTCAAATCAGCCAAGGGTTAGCCGGTAGCACAGTGTGTTAATTGGTGGGGCACTTAACGCGTCGTTACTCTGACCGCGTCTGTCAACTAATTGTCAAATTCGCCTCATCGACGATCACTCGATCTCAACGACCGTTGCAACTTGACCACTTTCTCAAACCCACCAACCCCTCTCGCGGCGATTATGGCACCTACCGAAGCCGAGCTCCTCACCAACTACCTCATCCAACCCTCGAGCCTAACCTCCATCACGACATTGGACCAGTTCAAGGCCCTGTTCCCGCGCCCGCTCCAGGCCTCGCCCCAGGTCCGCTCGCTCTACCGCGACCTTCAGGCACAGCGAAATGCAGTGCTGGATCACGTTGCGGCGGACATCGAGGCCGAGGTGAAGGGTGGAAATGCGTTGCGCAGAGAAGTCATCCGCGCCAAGAGGGAGGCGGCGCGAGAGGATGTGGACGGCGAGATCGAGATGGAACGCGCGGTTCGTCATTCCTGCTACATGCTCTTGTCTCCCGAAGGCTAATGCTAGCCCTCACTGCAGCTGTTCGGAGAGGTGTCAGGGGCCAAGTCTGCCAGGCACAACCTCGCCTCCATCATCCCGGAACTCGATGGCGCAACCGGCGCGCTCGAGACTGAGATGCAGAAACTTGCGGAAGAAGAGGCAGCACTACTCGAGTCGGTAAAGCAGACCATCGGAGGCCTCAGTGATCTACGATATGGAAAGTTCGCCAACGGCGATATCAAGGACGAGATCATAGACGGACTAAAAAATGTGGAGGCGGCTTGCGAGGGTAAATCTTGATAATCAGGGTATTACAATGCTCTTCCTACAACAAGGTGCGTACAGGAATAATGAATAAGATCCTGACCCAAGTATCCCAGGCTAACACGTCATCACCGCATAAGACGTGTCCCAGCAGTTTCACCCAGTCACATCAAACAACTTAAAAAGCATTACATTCGTGGCACCCATCCGGGGGCTGTGGATGTGTTTATCGGCGTCCAGCGTCGCGGTTGGCCTGGCCCTGCATGCGGTTGGACCTGTTTGATGTTAGCGCGTTGGTCATTAATGCAACGGACATGGTAGCTCACATCATGGTTCGGCTGACGAAAGAGACAACCAGCATGAACAACCAGTTGGGGACGAGGCCAAAGGCCCACATGACGTAGCCGAAGGGAACGGCGATGCCAAGCTCGACGGCCTTGCCCTGGAAGGGGTGGAACCAGCCAGCCTCGAGGAGCGTGAACTTGTCCTTGGTGCCAGTCTCATACAGATTGACAAGGTCCTCGCTAGTGGTGGTAGTCATGTTGAGCCTCTTCTTGTATATATCGATAGGCGCCGGGGAAGGGAGCATCTCGAAGACGTAGAGGTTGGAGGTGCCAGTGGACCAGGCGTTGCAGAGGATGGGCTGGTCATCGCAGTTCAGGTAGCCCATGTGAGGAGCCTGCTCGAGGAGCGCGAACTTGGCAGCGGTCTCCTTGAACGCGGTCTCGACCTTGTCGCATCGACCTGTGGGTGTCACCTTAGCTCGGGTCCTAGTTCAATGCAATGCGCCAGTTCAAAACCTCGACGCGAGGGACGAGGCATAGTGGAATGTCATACCGTAGCAGGTCTTATTGCGACCGGAGACGAGAACCCACCACTCCTCGGGGGTGGTGGTCTCAGGGCCGACGGGCTCGTAAAGGGTCTGCTGCCAGTTCTCGAGGGTCAGGGTGGATAGCTTCATGGCACCGGTCTTGGCCTCGAGGGCAGCGACGGGGTCGTAAGAGCCCGGGTTGGGGATGTAGGAGCCCATCTGGCCAATGAAGTCCTGGAATTGGGCCTTGTACTGGTCGATGGGAGAGTCCTGGGCGGCGGCCAGGGCGGGCAGTGCCGCGACGAGAGCGGATGAGGAGAAGCGCATGACGGGCGATGTGAGAAGACGGCTGGGCGGGTCAATATGGAGGGCGCCTTTGAAGAAAGATGGATAAGAGGAAGGGAGAGGGGGAGAGCGAAAGATGAGTGATGGAAGAGCGAGTTCGTGCAGAGAGGATGGAGGTCGAGGGTGGATAATAGTGGGTGGAGTTCGGAAGTGGAGGACGGGATTCCGCGATGGCTCGTTGGGGAGGAAGTGGGCGGGAACAGCCGAGGGACACGGGGGGAGAAACGTACTGACCACGGCAACTTGGGCTTAATTGGGTACTACAACTACGACGCAGTAGGTACCTAATTACCGACCGAATGGGTACCAAGGTAGGTAGGTAGAAGACGAAGGAAGCCAGAAGACAAGGCAGCAGAGAAGACGTGCGGGTGGAGATGAGGCATGGACGAAATTGGCCAGCCGGGGAAAAGCAGACCCTTGCCGCGACGTTCGTTGGGGACGACGTGTTTCCGGGTGCAAGCTTACAGGCTACCGCTACTCTTTCCAAGTTTACACGGGCAATTCCAATATTGCCTGATTACCCGGTCAAGTAGTGGACTCCCAGCCCTGTGATGGACGTGATCCCGGCTCGCCAACAATTGAGTGTACGAATACGATACGACTGGCCGAAGACGGTTCTTTGTTCATCATTATCAATGTTGACCCATTCACTAACTTAGTATTTGGCAAACTCCGTTCAATGATGTTTTGCTCTGTCTGGCAGGATGAGTTCGACATCCATGGCCCGTCAGCCAATCGTTACACGAGCCATGCGCATGTTTCCAAGCCGACCATCTTCTAGGGTAGCGACTTGTCTGCGGCACGCCCCGTTGGACGCGGCTCCCTTGCTACCGTCGCTGATGCCACCTACTTCATATGTACTGCACTGCGTAGGGTAGGTTGGTGTTCTCGCCCCCCGGCCATCTGCAACGCGGTGGTGCTATGGACAATCAGAAGCTGCTATGGAATAATTCGGGCGTGCTCCCCCGTTACCAATCTTGCCCGGAAGCAGACTGCCCCCCTGACCCCTACCAGACCCCTACTCTGTAAAAGTACCTAGGGTTCTACACGGATAGGTCAAAGCTGAGAACAAGCTCATCAACCCAAGGCCCCGGACTGTGTTAGACGGCTTTATTAGACGAGCAGCGACGTTACGGCCACTGACAACCAGCCAGTGACGGGTTGCCATGGCCCGTTCCTGGTCCCACCACGTTTTCCAGTTGCCCACATTGCCCACACAGTCGGCCCCTTGTCCCTTTGTGTCATCTTCGACGCTTCGTCGAGTGGTACATGTTGGAGCACAAGGTACGGATGCCATGAATAGTACGACCAGGCTAGTTTAGGACTTGCGTTATGGTCCTAGCTATGGATTCTGCCTCACGGTGTGCCGGATGTCCTGTCCTGAGCCTTGCTAGCTAATGCCCTGTGGGCATGTGTGTACTAGGGCACCCTAACCTCTTGATAGATAAAGTTGTCGAGGGTATTGTACGCAGTCTCAAGGTCTTCATTCACGATGATGATATCGTGAATGCCGGGCGTCTTGGAGTACTCGAGTTCGTTGACAGCCTGTGCAAGTCGCTTCTGGATACTCTCCTCCTTTTCGGTTCCGCGACCACGCAGACGAGACTCGAGGGCGGCGGTTGAGGGCGGCGCGATGAAGATGTAGCGAGCAGAGATGGTGGACTGCTTAATCTGCTTGACACCCTGTACGTATATCAGTTAGCCCCAGACAACAGCATCAAGTGTGCAAACAAACCTCCATCTCTATGTCCAGGACAACGAGCTTGCCCTTGCTGCTCTGCTGCTCAATGGTCATCTTGCTGGTGCCGTAGCGGTTGCCGCCGAACTTGGCATGCTCGACGAAGCCGTCCTTGGCAATGAGGTCCTCAAAGGCCTCCATGGATACGAAATGGTAGTCCACGGCGTCGCTCTCGCCTGGGCGCGGGGCGCGGGTCGTGTGCGACACAGACAGAGCGAAGGTGTCTGGGTGGCGGTCAAATAGCATCTTGTACAGCGTGCCCTTGCCGACGCCCGAGGGCCCAGATATGACGATGGGGCGTCGGTCGGTCGGGAGTGAGGCCATTGTGCGGAGGTGGATGTGGCCGGGCTGGTGAAATGCCGTGAAGATGCGGCGGGTAGAAAGAGTGTGGGGGCGAAGACCGGGAGGCATGAGCAAGGAAAGGAGAAAGATTTGAGAGGCACCTAGGTACGTGGAAAGATAGCGGTGGAGAGGTGTTAAATGGTGGGTACCTTAGTGGCCTGGCTACCTATAGAGGTCGGGAGACTAGGTAGGTAGTTCGTCCATCTTGCCTTAGCGTCAGCCCAGGCCACTGGTCCATCCTGGTCCCCCATGTGGATGCTGAAGAAGCCTTCTCCCCATAGACGCTCACAAGGTGACTGGGCCCACCAGGAACCTCTCTGGCTCCGGGCCGGCTAATGTTCCGCATCGCGCGCGCCTCTTCACGCTGCCTGCCAGGCACGCCACCAATTGACGAACCATCGTGAACCGCGGTCGAAGCTGTATCAACCAGGCGGCTGTCTAATCCTGAAACCTTGTCCGTCATAATTCTCTTGGCTTGTTCCATATATTTATCAAACCCTAAGCTTGCCTGTCGCCTGGTCTCGCAGTTGCTTGCTCGTGTCCGTTCCCTTGTTTGTCGACGTCCCATACCCAGCCGCATCAACTTGTCTCATCTCCATCTGACTCAAAGTCGACATCATGGACAACCAAATGGGCCAGCAAGCCCAGGGCCAACAGCCCCAGCAGCAACCTCAGCAGCGACCGCCCCCCATGTACCAGCCATCCCAGATTCGAAGCCTGCCGACTCTCAGCGAAGAAGAGAAGACCAAGTACGAGCAAGGCCTACAGGGCCTCTGGAACAAGGCCCACAACTCGGCGCAGAACAGCCCGGAGCACCTCGCCGCCAGACAGAAGATTATCGAGTTCTCTAGGATGCTCATAACAAAGATCCAGCAGCGCAGAGCGGCGCAACAGCAACAGCTCCAGCAACAACAGATGCAAGCGCAACAGCAGCAGCAGGGACAGGTTGGACAGCAACAGCAAGCGCAACCCCGTCCACAGCCAGTACAGCAGAATGCCGCCGCGCAAGTCGCAGCCCAGGCGCAACCTCAGCAGAACGCCGCCGCTGCCGCCGGAGGGGCTCCTAGACCAAATGCGCAAGCCGCCGCTGCCCAACGAGCGAAGATTCCCGACCATATCATGAATCACGTCAATAAAATGACATTCCGTGCGCCGGCACAGATCGTCGAAAAGTCGGGAGCGGAGGCTTCGAAATGGGTCGAGGAGATCAAGGAGCGATATGGGAGAGCGCTCATGACGATGGAGAGCAGCAAGCAAAAGGTAGCGCAAATCGACAAGCTCATCGCCGACCGTGCCGCCGCTGGCAACCCTTTTAAGGAGGAGGAGCTACGCCAGTTGCAAATTAGGAAGGAGCAGCAGCTGAAAGTTCATTCCGATGCCCATAAGTGGGTTGATAGCGTCAGGAAGCAACAGGGCAACCTCCAAGGAACCACACAAGCTGCTCAAGGAGGAGCTGCTGCTGCCCCTCAGGCAACTCAGCAGACCGCCCAGGCGAATGCTGCTGCTGCTGCTCAAGCACAAGCCCAGCAAGCCCAGCAGGCTCAGCAGGCTCAGCAGGCTCAACAAGCCCAGCAGGCCCAGCAGGCCCAGGCAGCCCAGGCACAGGCGCAAGCCCAGGCGCACGTACAAGCACAGAACAACGCTCAGAACGCTGCTCTGAATGTCACCCAGAATACTCCAGCACCCGCGAACGCTGCCGTCGAGGCTGCAAAGCAACAGATGGCCGCTGCGAACCGAGCCTCTCCTGCTGCTGGGACGCCGGCTGCTGTACAGGCACAGGCGCGTCCGGCGCAGAGCACTCCCCAACCCGGACAGCAGCCTCAAGTCCAACCCCAGCCCGTTATTAAACAGGAACAGCCTCATCCTACTCCCATCAACGCCGCCATTGCCTCGGCGGCTACCCAGGGGCAGGTGGGAACTCCTACGCAGGCGGCGGCGCGAATCCAGACCCCTCAACAAGCCGTGACTCCTGTCACTGCTAGTGGACCAACTCGAGCCCTCAGCCATTCCGCCGCCATGAATCTTGCGAATCAGAGGGCTACTAGCACACCGGGTAGCGCTCCTGTACCGGGCCAACAGCCCAACTCCGGAACACCTACCCCAGCCGGTCCTACAGTGAATCAGAGTGTAATGGCCTCTAGCATCCCGCAACAACAACAACAAGGTCACCCGCACGCTCACCCTCCCCAACCTCAACAAACAAGCATGCAGGCAAAGATGCCCATCCCCAAGCAGCTGCCGGAAAAAGCCACGGCCGTCCCTCAAGGGGTGACGGTTGGAGGAGGCGTCAATACCGGACGGCCAACCATGTCGCAGGGAAGCGGCACTCTGGGAGGCGTCATGAACCAGCCTCCGATCAACAGAATCCCAGCCTACAACCATGAAGCCGAGGGCGATCACGTGCTCAGCAAGAAGAAGTTGGACGAGTTGGTCCGACAGGTTTGCGGAGGATCTGGCGAAGGACAAGATGGAAACCTCCTCACGCCCGAGGTGGAAGAGGTATGTCGCCTCGATTCAAAGTGCAAATAGATGGAAGAAGACTAACTTGAGACAGAATGTTTTGAACATGGCGGACTCTTTTGTAGACAGCGTTCTCCACGCCGCATGCCGCAACTCCAAGGAGCGCGGGTCCAAGGTACTCGAGATCCGAGATATCCAGCTTGTCCTCGAGCGCACTTACAACATCCGCGTGCCTGGATACTCATCGGACGAGCTGCGCACTGTCCGCAAGATTCTCCCCTCGGCTGGCTGGATTGCCAAGATGAGCGCCGTCCAGGCGGCCAAGGTGATGCCTGGAAAGGGCGAGTAAAGTTCAGAGGCCGCTTGTGAAGGGCTGATCTTCGATTGGTCACTGTAACTGCGAATATGGGATTTTTTTTTTGGGAGATGGCGTTGGGAGTACACTCGGTTGAAAAGGGTGGTGGTACTTGGTGGAGCAACAAGCGATATCCTCGAGAGAAAGCGATAAGAATTGCACTTTGGAGTTGGGAAGGCTGTTGCGGTAGATCAACTGGGTTCAGTCGCAGCAGGTAATGAACAGAATTGACGGCCCTTGAGGCTGGATTCATATAAATGCGCACGTGCACATGAACTTGCACATTCCCAATAGAAGGCATTGGAAGCCGAAACATGGCTGACCACGACCACCGTGACTTGTAAGTCTTGACATTACAATGGACGAACCATATTTGCTTGAAGAAGAAGTCAGATCAGGTCTTGAACTAAATTTGTTGGCGTTGAGAGCAGACACGCGATCACCATACGAGCACATGCAGCTAGTTATTTATGGTGGTTGCACATGTGTTGCGATGCCTATGGCTCGCATGGACGCACATGTTTACTAGAGAACGGGTTAAGTAGCTGGTAGGCCACCCACACATGGAGTGGAGGGACATGTACTTAGTAAACAATGCCAAGATATGGTGGAGAAAGGATGATACGCCTAATTGAACTGAGTGTGTATTTCAACCACCTACGATAGATAATGGGGGTTGGTGATAGCGAAAGTAACCAAACCAAGAGTCGCTGAGGCGGATGCGCAGCACAACGCCTCTAGGTACCTACTTGGTACCTACAGAGGATAAATTACGTGGTTGCTGGGTCCCAAACCCACTGACTCGCTGGGTGCTTGGATGATGACCGACCCTCGCAGGCAACATCGAAAACGTCACTGCTGGGGGACCCACATAGCAGCATCGCCTTAACAATTTCGCCTTCGCTCCGAGACGACTGGGAGGTACTCGGTACCTAGCCCTCCTGCACCCTCCCGCCCTGGCGCCAGGTACCCCCATGCCTGGCCCTGTCGCCCGCCGCCGCTCCTGCTGCTACCGCTGCTGCTCCGTGGCCCAGCCCAGTCCCAATGTGTGAGCTTCGAACCTTCTTGCACCTCCCACGCATTCAAGTCGGACTAATCCACTGCAACCTCGCATCACCACCACCTCAACAACTGCAACAACTGCAACAACAGCCCGCAACAACGCACCTCGTGCTGTCCTTTCCGTCGACGACCTCCTTCCCGCTGCAGCGCGCCCGGGTTCCTGCCCTCCTCCTGTCCTGAGCTGTGCCCTAGTTGTGCCACGCAGACGCCGCGACGAGCCGAAGCGCGCTCACCTCCACGGCATATCCCCCTTCTCTCTGTCATCGCCACCGGCAGACCCAGCATCTTCCGTTTCTCCGTTTCGACGCACACACACACATACCACCGCCATGCCCGGCAAGACGCCACAAGGCAACGGGAAAAAGCCCGTCGAGAACGGCCTCCGGAAGAACAAGGACGTGGAGATGACGGATGCCTCAAAGTCCAAGGGCAAGAAGGGTGCCAAGGACGCCGACGAGGAGATGACGGTTGTTGTGCCTCCTTCCAAGGCCTCGAAATCCTCCAAGGCCCCCGCCGACGCCGAGGGCGATGTGTCCATGGATGAGGACAAGACCGATGACGGCGAGGCCAAGGTTGACCCCGTCGTGCAAACTGTCGCAGGTGAGCATCAACCGGACGGCTTTGATCGTTTGATACCTGGCAATGGCTAATCCAGAGTTCCGTACACAGATATCAAGAGCAACTTTGCCCTGTTAGACCGCGCCGTTGCCCTTTTCGATGCCAGATTCTCCCTCCGCGCCCTGCGGTCAATCTCCATCATCCGCAAGCGCCTGACACCCGATATCATCGCCCAGGTCATTGCCGATACCTTCCCCGCCACTGTCGCCTCAGGTAACATTGCCAAGCAACTCCTCCTCGCCATCGGCCGCGAGAACGTCCCCCTGGGCCGCCAGGGAGGATCTGAGATGGAGGTCGATACCGACCCCTCCAAGGCCGCTCCCAAGAACGGCTCCAAGAAAGAGAACAAGGAGATCATCCCCGAGACTGACGTCTTCCTGGGAATCCTCGTCCAGGTTCACCTCTTCGACTCGAAGCAGTTCCAGCGCGGCGCCGAGTTCTCGCAGTACCTGTCCGACCGAATCCAGACCTTGAACCGCCGCACGCTCGACTCTCTGTCCGCCAAGGTCTACTTCTATTACTCCATCTTCTGCGAGCACATTGCTCCTCTGGCTCCTTCTCCTCAATCTCCCGTCGTTGCCATCCGACCTACCCTCCTCGCCGCCCTTCGAACTGCTGTGCTTCGAAAGGACGTTGATACTCAAGCCTCTGTCATTGTCCTACTGCTGCGAAATTACCTCTTGACCTCGCACATCAACCAGGCTGACCTGCTCGTTTCGCATACTCAATTCCCCGAGAATGCCGTCAACAACCAGGTCGCGCGGTTCCTCTACTACCTCGGTCGCATCCGTGCTATCCAGCTGCGGTACACCGAGGCTCACGAGCACCTCACGGCAGCAACTCGCAAGGCACCTTCCAGCAACTGCGCCCTGGGATTTTCTCAGACGGCAACTAAGCTGCTGTTGGTGGTTGAGCTTCTGATGGGTGATATTCCCGACCGGGCTACCTTCCGACAGCCAACTATGGAGATTGCCCTCCATCCCTACTTCCTGCTGGTGCAGGCTGTTCGCGTCGGAAACCTGGAGGACTTTGAGACGACGATCGTCGACCACGCCGACACTTTCCGACGCGACGGTACCTACAGCTTGATCTTGCGCCTGCGACAAAACGTCATCAAGACCGGTATCCGAATGATGTCGCTGTCCTACTCGCGAATCTCGCTCCGAGATATTTGCATTCGTCTCCAGCTTGGTAGCGAAGAATCTGCAGAGTACATTGTTGCCAAGGCAATCCGTGATGGTGTAATTGAGGCGACCCTCGACCGAGAGCGAGGCTTCATGAAGAGCAAGGAGGTTGGCGACGTCTACGCTACTCGCGAGCCGGGCGAGGCGTTCCACGACCGAATCCAGGCATGCTTAGCTCTGCACGACGAGAGTGTGAAGGTTTGTACCCCTGGACTTTTCTGCAGTGATACCAAACTAACTGGACCCGTTTTCTAGGCTATGCGATTCCCGATGAACCAGCACCGCCTTGAGCTCAAGAATGCCCAGGAAGCCCGAGAGCGCGAGCGCGAGATGGCCAAGGAGATACAGGAGGGTGATCTGGACGATGATGATCTTGGTGGAGACTTTGACGGCATGTAAATTATTTATTGTGTCACTACAACTTTGGGAAGCTTCTTCAGTGCTCGCTCTGAATCTTTCCACGTGCTTTCGGTACCGGGGGGTTTGGGAAGGGTTTCTCTTGGCTGTAGGTTCTACTAATCATCGGCTGGCACCCAGAGAACAGAGGGCCAGAGGGCTGTCTTCCGTCTTCCGGGGTATTGCGATAGAGAGAGGGACGGATTGGGGGGTTGCCATGGCATAATCGGGGTCCCCCAACGTGTACTAGATACTGGCAAGGGAGATTGGGGACAGGAGGGAGAGAAGTGAGAACATAAATTTCGCTTTGAGTTATTACAACATTTTGCTGTACTGTGCTGTGCTCTTGATGTGTGTGTGTGTGTGTGTGTGTGTTTGTGTGTGTGTGTGTGTTTGTGTGTGTGTGTGTGTGTATACTTGTGAGTTGAATGAACCATGCGCTCAATACGCCTGAATGTGACCCAACTTTACTGATCCTCGCAGTTCCAACGTAGTGAGTGTTTCTTTCTACATGTTGACAAATGCTGATAGAAGCTATTACAGTTGACAATGCGCGCATTTTAAACGCTTGTGAGCGATGAGCATCCCGACCTCCGGATCTCGATTCCTCTGGGCGGATGGAATATGCATCAACCAGCACGACGACAAAGAGAAGGCAGGGAAGGTGGTCCGTATTTGACGACCAACACCAACACTTGTCGTCTATGAAACCAACACCAACAAACATCCCTGCAGCCTTTTCGACGCCATCGTCAACTTTGCGCCTTTCCATCGACATGCTGCATGCGCGTGGGGTCAGTAGGGGTCACTACCCGCGGCTGCCTAAGCCACCGTCTCCATCCACAGGCATTCACAGCCTCAACTCACAGACCACCACAATCAGCCTTGCGCCATGACGATGCTTCCCCAGTCTTCCATCTACCACCCTTCCATCTACGACCACCAACATCCTCTAGACTCTAGCGGATATTTGCTACTGCAGCCACCGTGACAACCTCTACGGTGGAAATTACGCAGTGGTTTGCGAAGGCTTGCAAAGGCTTGCAAAGGCTGGCGGACGACCGAGGCGAATCACAGAAGCCGACGCTTGTGTTTGAGTTGGACCTTTGACTCACCGGCGCTTGTCGTTGTCAATGCTGGAGTGCGCCCTGCGGTTGACATTGAATCGACATGCTGCAGCTTGGCCGACAGGGCTCCCTGCCAGTGCGCGTCTCCACCTGTAGGGCTGGATGTCTAGTCATTCAGAAGGATTGAAGACATATAAGATGCCATCAGCGAGACAGACGGTATCGATACTATTCATGACAACACTGGTTCAGTAGAGAACAACAGCCAGTTGAGGACACCCATCGTCGACATCATCTTGACATCATCTCGACACCACCTCGACCTCATCTTCTGGACTCTCGACTCTCAGCTCTCGACCCTCCGCTCTAGACCGTAACCAACCATGGGCACCGCTACACAGCTGCAGCTCGCAACAAAGCCATCCATATCCATACAAACAACCACGTCGAAAGATGCACCATCATCAACCCCCTCCGACGAGGTCGACATGGATCATGCCATCTTCCTCGCCGAGTTGTGCAAACGAGGCCTCAGTGACCTGGACACCCGCCTGCCAAACTTCAACCCGTCCCATCCCTACACTGCAGACGAGATTATCAACCTCCCGCTTGACCGCCATCGCGTCTCCGATGCCCTACATGACCTGCCCCGGCGGAAATCCGGCCGGCACACCCTCGCCGTCGCCATAGCCTCTCTCATGTACCCAGTGCACGAGGGCTCTCTGGCATCCATCATCCGCTACGAGACCGACCGTGTCCGTCTCCGGGGCTGGGCCGCCCTGCAGCGACGATATGACATGCTGCAGGCCACCCGCCGCAACGGCCACACCTCCTTTGGCATGACGGGCGGTGCGGCCCCGGGTGTCCAAGCCCCCGTTTGGGCTGCCCGCATCACCGGTCAGGGTCGCTGGGATCCCGTCAAGAACCCCATCTCGCTGAACGGCGTCCAGGCCATTCCTATGCCCGTCCAGGTCTCCCACGAGGCCGATCTCGCGCCGTTCTTGGGCCACCTTGAGAAAGGAGGTACCTTTGAGCTGGATGATACCAACCAGGGCTTCGAGCTCGACGAGGGACGTGGCGAGCCCTACTACGGCGTCAAAGGTGCCGAGTTTCGCAAAGGTGTTGTGTATGAGGATGGGCGAATGGACCTGTGCAAAATGGTGGTTGGACCGGACCACATTGGCAAGTTGATGGACAGCCTCCGGCCAAATACCTTTGTTCGGCATTTCCTGCTGGGAAATAACATCATCGGGCCCGTTGGTGCCCGCGAGGTTGCCAACTTCATCGAGGATCTGCCAGACCGCATCGACACCTGGTACCTGGCTGGTAATTGCATTGACGGACCCAGCTTCCGGATCCTCGTCGACGCCATGGTCCAGTCCGATGCCATCACCAATGTCTGGTTGAAACGAAATCCACTGGGCTCAGATGCCTCGGAGGACATCTTCCGTCTCATCACCGGCGCCAAGAACCTGCGGACTCTGGATCTTGATCAGACCGAACTGAGCAACCGGGGCGTCGCCGACCTATTCACCCGTCTGGTCGCTCATGAGATGCCCGAGGGCAGCAAACTTTCGCTGCAGCACATCTACATGAACGGCAACGGAATCTCAACTGAGGCTGCCCGCGCCATCGGGGCATTCCTGGCGTCCCCCCATTGCGGCTTGACATCCATCTACCTGTCGTCGAACCCGCTCGGGGACGAGGGTGTGGAGGCTCTGGCGGCTACAGTTCCCAAGGCACCGTATCTGACTCGACTGTTCTTACAATCGGTTGGAGTCAGCACCAAAGGTGCCATTGCGATCTGCAAAGCCGTCACCGGTCACACCAGCCTCGAGAGCTTTGACCTTGGCCAGGCCTACACCACCTATGATCTCGGGCAGGCGTACAATTTCATCGAGGACGAAGCTGTACCGGCCATCTGCGAGCTCATCACGACCAAGAGCCGCCTGGCGTACCTCAACTTTGGGCACTGCCCCATTACACCCCCGGGGCTCAAGACTATCTCTGAGGCGGTCCTTCAGAGCCCAACACTCGTGTACTACACGGCGTACTCGATCCTGCCGGACCCGACTCTCACCCCGGCGACCTTCAGGCCCGCTGTCGACACGCATCTCGCCGACCCGACAACCCGCACCAAGCCGCAGATCGAGCTGGACAAGGCGGTTCGTGATCATCAGGCTGCCAATGTACAGGCCCGGTATGGCAAGGACATGTCGTTCACCCGCTTCATGGAGGAGGAGCGGCGCTGGCTCGTCAGCGACCGCGTCGACGTCCGCAAAATCGACTCTGTGTACCGCAACCGAGACGCGGGGCTCGCGCGCCGGCGGCTGATGACGCTGGTCAAAAACTGGGAGGAGGGCGACGAGACGCTGGACCGTGTCATGAATGCCCAGGCTCCGACCTGCTCGCTGCGTCGACACGGTAAGATAGTGGTTTGACAAGACGATGCACTTGATCGCTGATGTTTGCTGGATGTGTTTTGTGCACTTGTTTTAGTACCCAGTTAGTGGTTGTTAGTGATCGCTTGGCACCAGATTGAATACAGCCTTGTTTGCGACTTGTAAGTTTCTCCTTGGATATGTGGTGAAGTTGGAAGGAGTAGCTACCCCTCCAAACTTGCCGTTGAAGTCGCAGCCCACCCACACGTGACAGCGCACCGTGATCCAATGCTCCGCGTCGCGAACCCGCCCATCTCGCCATTTCGTAGCCTCGCGCCGTAACCTCGAGTGCTCGCTCTAAACAGAACAATCCTTCGAGGACCGCTGAAGCCCAGTTTTCCGTGCAGCCCGCGACGAACACATACCTCACTGCGCGCAGATGCGCTAAGCCGTAGCAACCTAAGTCCCGGCTGTGCGCCCCGACTGCATCACCACTTCCCGTGAGAGTCGCACCTCGCATCGCGCTCGAGAGTCGACTTCTGCTACCCTGCATCTTGACCATGCCTCAGAAGCGCAAACGACCCGACGATCCCCCCACCGCACCCGCTCTTCCTCCTGCTCCTCCTCCTGCTCCTCCTCAACCTCAGCCGCCGACTCCGACCCAACCCCCCGTCGCGCGTCGAGCGACGCGTCACACGCCCGTTCAACCTCCACCGATTCCACCTTCATATCAGCGCCTCACGCCGTCGCCCAACATAGCGACCGCAGCAGTGCCAATAGCGCCGACCCAGCTCCCAGCAGCCGCCGCGACAGAGCAGCAGAAGCGAAGCCGCGCCCGACCCGCGCCGGCCCATCCTCAGCCCGCGCCGCCTCCGGCCTCGCTCGCATATCCGGTTCACCAGCCGTCCGCCCCCGTCCTGCGATGGGCCCCGCCTGAACCCTCCGGCCAGACAATCCGGCCTGCCGCCATGGGAAGCCTCGCCACAGCCCGCGGTGCTGCCGTCCGACCGCCGTCCGACCTCGTCGCCCCGGAAATCACATACCACGTCCCCCAGGCGCACCCGCCACCGTCGCATCGAACTTCCGCCCTCGTCCGGCCTCATGGCCCGTCCGCCCCGCCTCCGAGGCTGCTCGACCGGCCGCCGCCCATGACCGTCACCCCCGTCTATCCGCCGAAGCCGCCAGCTATGCCGTCTCAGCAGTCGCTACCCCCACCGCGTGCGGACCGAACCATCGACAAGGTTGTGTTCGGCAACATCTGCTTCCGCACCTGGTATCCAAGCTACTATGGCAAGGAGGTCCTCGGGGATGCGTCTGGAAACTCCGGCAAGGGCGGCAGCAAGGACACTGGCGGCAAAGACCATCCAGGTGGCAAGGCATCGTCCCGCAAGGACCGTGATCATCCGCCAATACTTGAACGTCTCCACGTGTGCCCCAGCTGCTTCAAGTACTCCAAGGAACTTGTAGCTTGGTGGGGACACGTCCGCATGTGTGAGCGGCAGGCCTATGTGCCAGGCCGCAAGGTTTATGTTCACCCTCGCGGCCGTCGGAAGGTCCTGGTGCCGCAAGATTCCAAGGCTCCCGGAGCCAAGAAGCGAAGGGGAGACGGTGGAGTGCGATACGTCGAGGAGATTGTCCAGGACGACGGGGAATGGAGTATCTGGGAAGTGGACGGTGAAAAGGACGGCGTAAGTCTACGATCTATATATTATGACCACAGCTTACAGCTGCTCTACGGCAATGCATGGCTAACTTTTGTCGGGTTCTCAGCTCTTCTGCCAGAACCTCTCCCTTTTCGCGAAGCTATTCCTCGATAACAAGTCGGTTTTCTTCGACGTCACGGGCTTCAACTACTTCCTATTAGTCTACACACCCCCAGTTAAGCCACCCTCGACCGGCGCGACCGAGGACCATCCCCCAACGCCGCAGATCACGGGCTTCTTCTCCAAGGAGAAGATGTCATGGGACAACAATAACCTCGCCTGCATCCTTGTCTTTCCCCCCTGGCAGCGCAAGGGCCTAGGCGCCCTGCTGATGGGAGCCTCCTACGAGATCTCACGGCGGGAGGGCATCCTCGGTGGTCCCGAAAAGCCCATCTCAGATCTCGGGAAAAAGGGATACAAGCGCTACTGGTCGGGCGAGATTGCGCGGTGGCTCCTTGGCCTAGGGCTCCAAGAAGCCCATGCTGGTCATGAGGTGCTTGTGGACGTGAACGATTGCAGCCAGGCGACCTGGATTCACCCCGACGACTGTCTATTGATCCTCCGGGACATGGGCGTTGTAGAAGAGGCCGGCATGGGGCCTGGGAAGCTCGAGGTCAAGGAACACTCTGACGAAACTGCAGTGGAGAAGGATGAAGGAGGAACGCCTGCCGGGGAGGAGGCGGACAAGGTCGTCAAGATGGTGCCGCGGGTGCGCGTGGACAAGCAGGCAGTGCGCCGGTATGTATCGGAGCACCGGATCAATCTGGAGCGGACGTGCGATGCGGATGGATTTGTGGAGGGCTACGCAATCAAGGCACACGAGGTCAACAACGAGGAGGAAGACGATGAGGAAGGGAATTAAGTACGCGAGGGCCCTTGGGGAGGACGGTTGGGATTGGGACGCAGGCCTTATATGATCATGATACCCCGCTCTAGTTAATTGAGCTCGACTTCTACAATGACAACCCCTTGGGCTGATGTTTGTCAAGTACCAGAAGTGTTGTTGTGTGCGGCTGGACGGGCAAAGTAAGAGGGCACTCCTGAAACTGGAACATGCTCATTGTTAAGTCCTCGAGGCTAGAGAGAGAGGCTCGTCGTCATGAATTGGTCCTTGTGCCTCTCCCAATGCCTCCCGGCGACTCGAGGCTACCGCCATCATGCCAGCTTTTGGAGATGCCGCGGCTCTAGTGTTGCCCGCCGCACCGGGGGATACCGCCGGGGCCGGAGCCGACCCGGAGCCATTGACTGCCCAGACGGACACAAAACGGGAGCAGACACCGGGGAAAGCGCTGTCGTCATGGCCCTCAGGCGCCTCCGAGCCCCGAAATGATAAACCGGCACTCTGGGCACCGTCAATGGCTCGTTTCCTGCCGTTTCTCCTTCTTCCCATCGTCATGGCTCCCGCCCGATGCCGCTCAGTGAGCTTCCCAAAAGTGGAAAGGAGCTTGGACCAACTGGGAGACGCTTCTCAAATTCTCACCCGACGGTTCTGGAGTCGTCCGCCAACCCGAAATTACCCACGTCGCACGCCCCCCTTGGGCCGAAAATTTTTCGCCATCCGTCTGGCGCTGGCGCTCCCGCGCTTACTGCCTACAATTGAAGGCAATCCCAATCTCGGCACCGCTAGAAGCCCCCAAACGCCACCGCTATCGCCACTGAGCGCCGAGCACCTGAAGCCTGAAGTGAGAACATCCTCTGCAGTGCTATGGATGCACCGCAGATGGGGTTGGAGCTGGTTACTGGGGTGCTGGTGTGGTTCAAGTAAGGTTGTCCGAGTTCTCCTGACTGCATACTTTACAGTGCGGAATCTTATAGACCGCACATGCCCAATGGGTGATCCCGTTGGAATGGCCGAGCCAGCGACAGTTCCAAGCGAACTCTGCCTCTTCACGAGCTTGATGCCTGGTGACGGGACGATGCCTCGGGCCCAATGGCTTGGAAACCCAGTTGAAATCGCATGTTTTCAACCAATCCATCATTCGAGTTGCTCATCGAGGTGTTGAAAGACCACCTACACCAGCCAATGGCCAGGAATACCGTTGACATCGTATTGACAGAGGCCAACTCTCTCTGAAACTTTCCAGCCTGGGGCTGCGCGGCTGCGTCATTTCGACGCAGCCAGGCGTTGATGCTTTTACTGGTCATCGTTCCCTCCTCTAGCATGCGGCCTGGGGCAACCACAGTTTGAATTCTAAACTTATCGCACGGCCTCCCGGCGTCTGTGGAAAAATTTTCGTGGCCCGAAGGCCCGGACTCCACTGTAATTTCCCACGGTCATGGTCTCGGGATCGCCTGTAGGTCGGTTGTCTCGTCTCTGGATTGAGGAATATATTCAAATCAGCCGCGTTGTGATCGATATCAAAGAACACGGTCAAGGAGTTATGGACATGGAGACATTGCCCACTAGGGAGTAGGAATATGCCAAATAGCTCTCGCATCGCTGCTGGTCTGGGACACCCAATTGAGTCGGAGCTTGCTCGGGGTGTGCCGTGAAGCTACCACCGAGCAAAAAAGTATCACAGGCATGTGCCAATATGCTAAGTGAACATGACACTGTGTGCAACTCCCCACCTGAGATCTGGTCGGCGGCTGGATCACGGATCATGGAGAGGATCCGCCGCTGTTCGGAGACAGTCATGCACCAAAGGGCCGGGGAACGCTGCGACTCTGGAGTAGAACGACCTTGAATCTCAGGAATCATCTCAATATCTTGATGCCAGGCTGGCCCTGCTGGACCTTCGCCTTCGATCCACCCACGTGGAAGAGTCGCCCTCTGATTCGTCTGCGCCTTTTGGTGAAGCCACCAAGTGGGGGGCTGTACTCGTACTGTGAGGTACTGTACACACCTGTTGTCGTGGGGGGTGTGCGGTATGCGAGACAATCTGCCCGTCTTTGCTGGCCAAGGCATCTGATACTGATCTGGTCGGATGCTTTTTTGGGGGGCCTTGGACAGCAACAAGACAATATGTCCCAAAAAATTTCCGACAGAGGGCTTTTCATATCGTCCGTGCTGCGAGAGCTGTACGGACCGTTGCATCTTGCTGCTGCAGTTATTCTTTGGCCGGTCTTTCTGTGCTCGTCCTCCGTCGGAAATCCGGTAGTGCCGTGGTTGTCGGTCCTGGGCGTGCAGCAATCCATTGGGCCCGCTGCTCCTCAACACCCACTCGTGTTTGGAGTGGTAGGGGTCCTCACTCTTCCGGCTCTGTTCTGCCCTTTCGTACCGAGATTTCTCTCAATGTTGCGCGTTCCATCACTGGCCACCCCTAGCTGGCATCCATCGGCGGCCTTCTCCCATGATTCATGGTCCACCCGCCAAGCACGTCCCCGTCGACTGTAAAAGCCTCAGGCTTTGAGTTGCCCCAGAGCAATCACGTCCCAGCATTCTCGCAACCGCCTCCACCCGACTTCCCCCGGATGGCTAAACAGCCAGTGTGAAGCTCACCCCCTTGCCACATTCTCACCAGGCCGTACTCCCTCGGTTTCCGGCCTCTTTGCGTTGGTTTCTTGTTGCGTTGGCCCGCTCCAGGCCTCGTCCTCAATTCTCACCCGGTCCTTCGCCTCCCCCGTGAAAATGTCTCGTCCCGATTGATTCATTGCTCCCCTTCCTTCCAGCGGTGCCCCGGCTGACACTCCCACCCCCTGGCCCTGCCCACTTGAGTGGGCCCACCTATTCTCACTTTCCTCCCGGCTCCAGACGCTTTCTCTCTTCCCTTTTTCTCCTTCCACTGCCGTCCTGTCTCGTGCTGAGCTCCGTATCTCTCTTCTTTAAACCTCCCGTCAGCCTCTTCTCTTCGTCACTCATCAACCATCTCCCCTCACACAACCATCACAATGGCCTCCGCTCGTGTCTTCACCTCCCGCCTGGCGTCCCAGATGGCCGTCAAGGCCGCTCGCCCTGCTGTGCGTGCCCCCATCGCTGCCGTCAGCAAGCGAACCATCACTGGTAAGTGCTCAGATGCGGCAAAAATTTTCCTCGGCATTCCGGGCTCAATTGAGCTCTCCCGAGCCCGTCTGGATCGACTTCCAGTTGGGATCAATTCGCTCACACTCAATTCAAGGCCAGACCATGAAGCGCCAGCAGGCCTCCACCCTCCTCCAGGCCACCACCCGCAACGCCTTCCAGGTCCAGCGCCGCGCCTACTCCTCCGAGATCGCCCAGGCCATGGTTGAGGTCTCCAAGAACATTGGTATGGGCTCTGCCGCCATTGGTCTTACTGGTGCTGGTATCGGTATCGGTCTCGTCTTCGCTGCCCTCATCAACGGTGTTGCCCGCAACCCCGCTCTCCGTGGCCAGCTCTTCTCTTACGCCATTCTTGGTTTCGCTTTCGTCGAGGCCATCGGTCTTTTCGATCTCATGGTTGCCCTCATGGCCAAGTTCGTACGTCAACACCGCATTCGATTCTCGTCGTTTCGTATCCGGGTCAAAACTGACAATTTTCTTCCAGACCTAAGCTGTTTCCCAGCCAATTAGGACGGCTCGTGCCGAATGATCGAGTCAGTGATATAGGGGGGACTGCCGAGCGCAGTATGTCATGCAGGGTCCTGAAGACCTGGTCATTGGTGCACTTGCCACCAGCTTGCACGATAGAGGGGAGGTTGCCTTGTAATAGACGGGATAGAGAACTGGGAGGGACGTTGGTCATAAGAACGTCTCTGTGGTAGAGTTTGGGAAATTCTGCGCAATTCCTCCCAGGGACCGACTTGTAAAATAAAAAGCCTCATTCATCCCGACTCTTCCACCACAGCAAGAGATTTCTTTTTTCAACATGGAAGAGTGTTTGCCAGCTTGATAGTGACGCAATTCAAACCGCATCTTATCGATTGAAAGCTCAATTGACCTTCAATTGATAACACCTGTAAGACTGCCAAATCGCTCAGCTGCATGTGGTGAGGCAATTGCTCTCGAGCTCCCGTGGGCCGGTGCCGGGGAAAGTTGGCGCCTTAGCCGAGCTGGCAGGCACTTGCGCTGCCACTCACTCATAACCGAGTTGGCCCGGCCGCCCAGTAATTTCGTGCTCGAGCGCTTGGTGCAACAATCCGCACAATGAGGCGGTCTACTGGGCGCCTGAATGCCTGTCTTTCCAGGCACGATAAGGCATCGAATCTTGGTTTGAGGAGAAAGGGCCCACACTGTGCAAAACTGGCACCCGCTAGAAAGGCTTCTGACTCTGGGACCTAGCCCAGTCCAATAGGAGGCAACGTATGATAGGGAAGGTCCGGGGCTTGAAGGTGGATCAAGGGAATGATTCTTCGGCCAAGGGGGGAGATTGTGGAGCTCTCGTCAGGTATGTAAGGAAAGAGAAGTCCCCCCGGGAACATGGAGACGATCTCCTGTGGCAGTCCTAATCATCAAGCGTGGAGTAAATACCGGGTCGAACCAACCATGCACCAGCCGATTCAAAACTCCCGGGCATGATAATCGACTGTTGAAGGGCGATTCGACATTGTTACGCACTTCCATGCCAACTGGAAGTGGTTAAAATACCGATAGGGGCAGACCAGACCGTGCCCTCGACGATGTGGTCAATCTATGCGGAATGCAACAACAGCCCGACAAACGCCGAGAACATCAGACAATATTCTGGATGAGTCGCGAATCCGTCCAACCGAGATGAACGTGTTTCCGAAGAGAGCTGCCGAAGAACCGATACTTGCACCGAGCAAATTCCGGAAATATTGTGTTCAAGTGAATACTCCTCCGTTGACCAGAAACACACACAGCTTGATCGAGTGGCGAGGCGACGGTCGAATTGCATAGGGCGCCACTGACACAGTGGCGGCACTTGCGTAGAACTTGATATCAACTGGACGTGATTTCCTTTGGCAACTTGATAAGATCTCGAGAGTGGCTGCCTCAGGACCGAGTCAACGAGGTGAATTCAAGGTACAAGGTTACCCGAGTGAGGAACTTGACCAAGAAAGAGCTGCTTTCGTCGAAGAGAACATGGATCTCGAACGGTTCCTTTGGCGGAACCCACTGATCCAGGTAGGAACCTCACGTTCTCATCGTATTGGAACCCATCCACGAGGGTGCATGGCGATGTCCAAAACGCCAATCCATTGGATCCAACATGAAGGGTCGAGCTTCAAACGAGGCTGAAAGACTTATGGAATCGTGTAACATACCGAAATAGGACAGGGCAATGCCCAGTGATTTACTTGTCAGGCGGGACAGTTCAGTACTGCTGAAGGTCAACATGTGTCTGTTTGATCGCTTGTGTTGGATCGAGTCCATACTTACCTTCTCACCCTCAGTAGCGTGTTAGGAGGTCCACTCTGCTCCACCACAGCTCACGACAACGATGGAAGAAACTCTCCCTAGCGCCGCACGACCTAAGAATCGACGACCGTTGATCAATTGACACAACTTGACAAGGACATGACAATAACGAAGATGGAGAAAAACAAAAGGAGAAATAGGAGGTGCCGATGAGGGTGGTCCCCTCACCTTCCCCTCTTTCGAAGTCACATGACCGGACAGCCACCACACCTCCCAACAAGGACATTGTGTCACATCGACAAGGGGATTCGGGAAAGGACGGCCTGGGGAAGAAAGGAATTGGTACCTGTGCGATGCGTGGCGCCCGGGACGGGGACGGCAGCGGCAGGAATGACACTGTAGCATTGGTTCTGCCTTGAGGGTGTGAAGGGGCAACCTGGCCACGCTGCCCGGATGGCACGACGTCGACAGTGCCATCGACTGATGGGAGAGGAGCGCGCTTTCAATGCCAGGGCGCAGCTCAACCGGGCCGTCCGGGAGAGGGTTTCGCCAGGTGTTGGGGGAGTGTTGTGACCGTCTCGCGTTGAAGTAGGAAGACGGGCGGCGAGGTCCGATCAGGTCGGCAGCTCTGCGAGCACACACGTCTTTGGGGGATTCATTGAAGGGGAAAATGGTCACGGTTTGATGAGGGAGAGGAAAAGAGAGGAATGTGGGAGGCCAGCTTGGATTTAGAGGGGATGGGCCGCTTGGCTGACACCTTCCCATTCCTGCAATTGGCCACTCGACCTCGGGATGCCGCTCGAGGAATGCGGAAGGCGCGTCAGCAACTTAGCCATGTAATTAACCACCTGGTGATTCGTCCGGGAGATGAAAGCGGCCGGCCCCTTTGCCTCCTTGAGGCAGACTAGGATGCCGCAACTTGGCCAATCCTCAAGCTGAGAAATACGACATTCTCCTCGGCTGGAGCATCCTCCCCTTTTCGAGGGCGCTGAGCGAGCAGGCACGCGACTGTTCCGACTCAAATCGCTCTCATCGTCGCCTAACGCCGGCAGTTGTACCTTCGAGGCGGGGAAGGGGCTAAAAATCTGGGGTAGTAACGCACAGCCCTTCCCCCTTGCTGGGCGGTGGAGCCCTTCCGTGCAGGCCGGGTGAGACGGCCAATGTCCCGCTGGGCCACTGCAGAGCCGCCCTCTGGAAGAAATCATGCCATCTCCATGTACGTGTGTTTTCGTCAATTATCATGTTACGGATTCTTCGGGCGACTTGCATGTCCTCGGAGGCTCGGACCCTGGATACGATGCATGGTTGACTTCCCCTCCGTTATTCGTGGTGACAATTGCGACTGTACACGCGCTCTCCGTCTGCCATGCCTCGCAGCCGAAACGATCCCCTGTCAGTAATCCCTCAGTCGCAGGTGGAAATAGACGAAATAATAATAAAACGACAACGCCACGATTGGGGTGTGCATCCCATTTCGCATAACATAACATGAGATGTGATTGAATGGCCTATGTATGAAAAAGAAGAAATATGACAATGTGCTAAGAGGTTGGCGAGGGACGCCCATTTAAATGCCCGGAATTCAGGGCAAGGTTTTTCAGAGGACGGGTGCAATGCGGGAGAGAAAACTCAGAAGGGTTGTAGAGAGCGACCGCAGATGAAGGCTACTTGGAAAGCTTGCTTGTAGTTATTGGGTACGATACGTGATTGTGTGTTGTGTTGCTACTAAATATTATCCCTTCCGCCACTTTGGTCTACTCGATAGGATGTTGACCAAGACTGTAATATTTCACAATGGACCAGAACCAGGGTGTCGATTCATATTTGATTGACAATGCAAGACTCCTCGTGCTACCGCCGGAGCTACCCGGTACCATCTCACTTCCGGAACGTTGCGCTGCGTTCTCCCCTGACCGGCGGCGCCTTTCGCGCGCCCTTGACCGCGGCATCCGCAGACTTGGAGTATGGGTCGAACACCTTCCTCCTCCCCTTTGCTTCCGCCTCGCCGGGCTCCCGTTTCGCGTGCATCACCGAGCTGGCTTTGCTGTAGTCGAACGGCACCGCATCGTACTTCTTCTGCTTTTCCTCCTGTCGCTTGACCTTCTTCTCCTGTTGTCTTGTCTTGCGTGCCTTCTTGGCTTCTTGCCGCTTGACTAGTTCTTCGTCGACTCCCTCGTCCTGAGCCTTGCGTTCCCTCCGGCGCTCCTTCTTGCTCTTTTTCCGAGGCTGATCTACAATGGAAATTACACCGTTGTCCTCTTGCATATCTTCGTCGCTCTCCTCCGGGGTCTCTTCGTCGCTTGAGCTGGAGTCCTCTACAGCTTCTGACTTTCGCTTCTGTCCCCTCTTCAACGTAAATTCCCCATCCAGAGCTTCCTGATCTTCACCGTTGCCAACCAGAGCCTCCACCGCCACGGGCTGTGCCTCGGCGGCGGCATTCTCCTCGGTTGGTTCATCGTATTGAGCGTCGCCCTCAGCCTGGCCCTGCTGGACGAATCGCTGCCAAGGAAAGGGAATAGTGTCCTCTTGATTGTCGGAAACGGGTCGGGTCTCCTCCCAGCGAGTGCTGATCGGCATATCCCCAAATAACTGTGACCGGGTCAGTCTGCTGACCGTGACCTCCCCATCAAGGTCTGGCAACTTGGTAGTTTGTTTAGCCACTCTCGGCCGGCCGTTTTTTCGTACTGAATCTGGCGCCATAGATGTAAAGAAGTGAAGCAAGCTGGGCCCTCCTTGAGCCTTCGCCTCCTTGACCTGTTCCCAGATCTGGCTGAACCGTGGCCTCGCCAGGGGTGCACTCAACGGTAGGAGACTGTGGAGTGCCTTGGCGTCTGGTGGGTTGATGCGTGCAATGTCGGCAATGCTGTGTGTAGAGAGGACATAGTTGGGGCTCTCATCCTCCTTTCTCGCAGTGTCATCTCGCCACTTCCAGAGGGCCTTAAAAACAGCGAACTGCTCGCGGTCAAAGGCCAAGTGGGAGTTCTTGAAGACATAGCCGTACCAACCCCGAGAACCTTCTCCAGTTTCTTCATTGTAGCCTGGGTGTTCGTGGCGAGACAGCGAGAGCTCTTTTGATCGTTGAAGGGCACGCTCGATGTAGTTCTTTTCTGTGCTGGTCGAATCCGACACAGCTACGAGATCGTTTCGTACTCGGTCATAGATGTAGAGAAGATAGTGCGTATCGGAACGAGCGTAATACAGCATTTCCTCAGGAATAGGTCTTAAAGGATGTGAGTCAACTGATAGGCTTCGAAGTGGACAGCCAATACGTACCGGATTCTCCAGTCTGCAAGTTGATATTGCTTGTCTGCGTCGAAATCGACAAACTTGGATAGTAGGAATGCCAGACTTCTCCCAGAGTAGAGCAACTCGCAGGCGAAGAAGGTGTCGAACAGTCCATTAACATAAAGGCCGAGGTCTCGCTGCAGCCAAACCATGTCCATGTATGCGCCATGGAATACCTGGCCGAGGATTAGTTTTTGAGAGCTATTGTGCTTGTTGTTCAAACTTACCTTGACAATACCAGGGTCGGCGAAGACCTCGTTCAGTACCTCGAGCTTGTGTCGCCAAGGCTGCAATGTATCGACAATCCAGTCCTTGTCGCGCGTGCTGACCTGCATGAGGGAGACAAGGCCAACATAGGTTCGGTAGTCGTGGTGCTCCAAATCCACGGCGATCTCCTTTGCCTTCTTGAGTTCCTCCAACATTTCGAGTACGCCTTCGTATGTGTCGACCCAGGTTGCTTGTGTTGTTTCCACTGGCTGATACATGACAGGCTCGGCTGTTTCGTAGACTGGCTTTGGATACTCCATGCGCGAAATTTCGGTCTCGTAAGGATGTCGGTATCTAAGGTGAGCATACCTGGTCAGCGATCGGTTTCCGCATTGAAGTATTTCGTGCTATGGGTGAAGGTCATCATACTGCAGCGTGCCGGTCTCGTTGGGAACCGTGACAAGGCTCTCTTCGAGAGACTCCTTGGCATGTGGCTTCGATGTGAGGATTGGCTTCCACGGGGAGGTAGGGAAGTTGTCGGGCGATCGCTCGAACAGGATTTGCGGTTTGGAGATGTTGGCATTTCGGATAACCTTGGCTGTTGACTTGGCCTTCTTGGATTTTGTTGCCTGGTAATAGTTAGTGATAGTAAGACTGGGAAGCGATGGAATAAGGCCTACAGAGTCTGCCGCGGGAGGCTCCTTTCTCTTGACCAGCCCTGTGTACTCGTCCATGGCCGTGTCGGCCTTTTCGAGGACGGAGTCAACGACGTCGACGACACCCCGCCAGTTCATCTCGATATCCTCTGCATCCTCTATCTTAGGCGCCTTGATGTTACAGGCCCTACCAGCGGACTGGAGCAGTCGGGTAGAGAGTTCCAGGATTCGCGCCGACCTGTCCTCGAGTTGCTGGCCAACTTCGGGGTTGACGGTGCGCTGGAAGCTGAGGTCCTCGGCAGCGATGCGATTGACGGTCTTGACGGTAGAGACAAGCGCCTTCTGCACGCTCTCTTGGAGCGACTTGAAGTCTTGGGATGGCTCCATGGCGGCGAAGAGAGGTCGCGCGTGCGCGAGGAGATGACGAAGTATTGATGGTTCGCGCTTTGTCTCGACTTTCTCGAAAAATTCCCATGGATAGCAACGACGGCCCCTCTTATCGATAAGATAAGACTATCAACAAAGCCCCTGTCGCATGGAGCCCAAAGATGCGTGAGGAAGACCCGAACGTGACCGGAATGAGAAGTATGCAGTCAAGAAAAAAAAAGCAAATGAACGAAAGCATTGAGAGGAAATTTATTGTGCTTTATCCTAAGATTTTATTCGTGAGCAATGCCATCCGCACACAGGTTGTTTGCTACCTGCTCACGCGAGTACAGCCCAATTCTAAAAACTAACCACACACGTAATGTAGCAGTTTAGGGGAAACCATTTTTAATGAGGCTAATTCTCAGTATTTTATCCCTCCTCATACCGAATTTCTACTCATTTGATTTTACCACATTTAATAACAACAATGGTAGACGTTAAACTTAAGACTGCGCTCTTAAACTGCGCGTTTAGGTTGGGCACAATGATTCAGCCGAGGTTTAGGTGAGAAGATTTATACCCCATGTGCCAATAGAAATACTCTAATTTATCATGCAAAGTGCTGGCCAAATATGCCTACTTCAAGGCCCTATGTTTATGTGCTTTAGGCTGTGTTGCTTGTATTCTAAGCCAGCCGGGACCTGCCAGCCTCACAACGAAGGAAGTGACACACGGCGGCAGCCCCTTCTTCAATGATTTAGGGATAAGAAGTTGTGAGATTTGGGATCGCAGTGGAGGAAGTAGGAACAGACACAAAAAACGAGCGCATGAGGGTGCATGGGTGTCTTGGTTGTGGCGACCGGAGGACGATCCCGATTGTTGCGTTTAATAAGAGGCGGATCCCATGCACAAGCACTTGCATTTGCAGGCGACGACGAAAAGCAATCTTTGGGCCTTTGGGCCGGCCAACTGCCTGATCCCAAGGCAAACATGGTCCTGTTCTGGAGTTGGATTGGTTGGCTGGCTGCGTGTATTTCAGCCTGTTTCACCCGGCTGGCTGGCCTCGCAATGGATATCTCACAGCGGAGTAAACGGGCCGGCTGGCTCCTGGCACCTCCAGTTGTAGGTTTGACTGAATGATGACGGGGGGACGATAGCGCCACTAAGGTAGGTAGCTCATGCAAGTAACAACGAGGGCACACTGCTGTTGCTTTGAACATACCCCGTTGATCATTTCAATTAGGACTTTACGGCGGCACTTTGAGTACATGACGCCGAGAACGTGGCGATCCGATCTGAGGCCGGCCTCACTCCCGGGACCAACTCCGGTGCGGCCCATGGGGCCATGCGGAGAGCTGCAAGTGCTGGGCTGGAGAAGCAGATAGATGCAGTAGAGCGGAGAAGCACCTGGGTTGTAGATTGACCTCGCTTGCAAGCATGATTAACCAGAAAGCGCAAACCGCTGTTGCTGACTGGTTGGCACCCCGTGGATAAGTGACAGGTGCATGATATCATGGACTCAAGTTGGGCGGATGGTGCCTCCATTCCGGACCTGGGGGTGGTGCGAGGTACCTGTACTTGGGCTGCAACCGATTCGTCTGGGAGAAGAAAACGGGCCGGGTCGTGAGCAGTCAGATGCAACTCTACTGAATTAACGCCCGTCCCGGGAAGGATGGAAGGGCGGGAGGAAGCGATTGATTGATTTGCGGTAATATTGGAGGCGATGGTGTGCTGTTCACGTGGTTGGCATTTGGTCTCGTCCGCGGTGATGCCGTCCGTGTTGATGTTGTCCGTCGATAGCGAAAACCTGCTTTGCGTCTTGTGTTAGTACTGAAAAGAGCCAAACAGTCGTCATTCATTGATAACTACCTTACCTTACCGACCTAACTTAGTCGTTTGTTGACGTGAGTGTACCGTACCAAGGTACGTGGTAGGTAGCTTGCCCCTCCTTCTCCCTTCCTTCCCGCTATAGCCCTCCGCGTCTCTTCATTTGTCCCCTCACTTGTTGCTCCTCCAAGCCATTTTCGTCTGTAGATTCCTCCCCCTACAACCCTCCCCGAAAGACGGCACCAATCTGCCTCTCCTATTCCGATACCAACACTCATCCCCGACAAAATAGGTCGTTACGTTATCCGAGTCGCCCGCTCCGCCCAATCACCCGGAATCGCCTGATAAACCTCCCGCAGTAGCGTCATCGCCGCGCTGGTCCAAGGCCCAAAGCTCCCTGCGCTAACTGCGAACTCCACTGCTGGGGTGATCTATCCCCTGCCAGCTCCCGCCTTTTACCACGCAGGCTCGTAGCTCCAAGCCAGCTCCCTGCCCCTCCACGGACCACAACCGCGAGCCAGCTCGTTACGCGGAGACCAAGCTCCCTCCTTTCTTCAACCCGTCGTCCTTCGATCCTCCAACGGAACCGGGAACCTGTCTCGACTCGGACGCTCCAAGACGAACCACAGCGCTCCTCCATACACCCCCAACATGCCCGGCACCGTCAACGAAGGCGACCAGGCCGTCCCTGGCCGTCTGCTGCTCCTCTCCAACCGCCTACCCATCACCATCAAGCGCTCCGAGGATGGCAGCTACAGCTTTTCCATGTCGTCTGGTGGCCTTGTCACTGGCTTGAGCGGCCTGAGCAAGACCACCAGCTTCCAATGGTATGGCTGGCCCGGTCTCGAGGTCCCTGAGAACGAGGTCGACGGCATGAGGCAGCGCCTCAAGGACGAGTACGGCGCTCATCCCGTCTTCATCGATGACGAGCTTGCGGATCGTCACTACAACGGATTCTCTAGTAAGTCTAGCCACCGAACCCGCCGATATTTAGAAGCAACCCTAACCGGAAACTCGTATAGACTCTATTCTCTGGCCCCTCTTCCATTATCACCCCGGTGAGATTACCTTCGACGAGTCGGCTTGGGCCGCATACCAAGAGGTAAATCGCCTTTTCGCCAAGACCGTCATCAAAGATGTCCAGGATGGCGATTTGATCTGGGTCCACGATTACCACTTGATGCTTCTACCTCAAATGCTCCGTGAGGAGATTGGCAACTCAAAAAAGAACGTCAAGATCGGCTTCTTTCTGCATACTCCCTTTCCCAGCAGCGAAATCTACCGTATTCTGCCCGTCCGAGAAGCTCTCCTAACAGGCCTCCTCGACTGTGACCTTATCGGCTTCCACACCTACGACTACGCTCGCCATTTCCTTAGCAGTTGCTCTCGTATCCTCGAAACACCCACGACCCCCAACGGTGTCGACTGGAACGGTCGATTTGTGACCGTCGGCGCCTTTCCCATTGGAATTGACCCCGAAAAGTTCGTTGAGGGCCTCAAGCAACCCAAGGTCCAAGAGCGAATTGCCGCCCTCAGCCGCAAGTTTGAGGGGGTCAAGCTCGTTGTTGGCGTTGACCGCCTCGACTACATCAAGGGCGTTCCCCAGAAGCTGCATGCCCTCGAAGTCTTCCTGACTGAGCATCCCGAGTGGATTGGCAAGATTGTCCTCGTCCAGGTGGCCGTTCCCTCGAGACAAGATGTGGAAGAGTACCAAAACCTACGTGCTGTGGTCAACGAACTTGTTGGTCGGATCAACGGAAAGTTCGGCACCATCGAGTTCATGCCCATTCATTTCCTCCACCAATCTGTCTCTTTCGACGAGTTGACTGCCTTGTATGCCGTCTCAGATGTCTGTTTGGTGTCTTCGACACGTGACGGCATGAACCTCGTTTCTTACGAGTACATTGCCACTCAGCGTGACAACCACGGAGTGATGATCCTTAGCGAATTTACGGGTGCTGCACAATCTCTCAACGGCAGTCTCATTGTTAACCCGTGGAACACCGAGGAGCTTGCCAACGCTCTCCACGACGCCGTCACCATGAGCCCCGAGCAGCGCGAGGCCAACTACAAGAAACTCGAGCGTTACGTCTTCAAGTACACCAGCGCTTGGTGGGGGGCCAGCTTTGTCGCTGAGATGACCCGCCTCAGTGTAGATAACGCGCAGTCCAAGACCCTTCGCAACGTCTCCGGCGCCGTCGTGTCCCTGGGCCAGAAGGTGAAGCATATAACTGAAGAGGCCGGGAAGACGGCCGGGAGTGTGTTGGGCATTGGCCACACCGAGGAGCCTGAGGAGACGGAACCCAAGGAGGCGAAGGCCGAGGAAGCGAAGCCCAGCGACGCGTAGCCCGGTAACTACGACCCGCGGCCCTTTCAGAGGGTCTGTTCGATTGGCACATGGATATGAAAGAGACGAGTACACGAGATTAGGTTATAGCGGTCATGGTCTGGGTATTTGGATTTTGCCTTCAAAATCACAATGGCGCACTCGCAGTCGCATTTGCACACCACTCACTCTCTGCTCGTGGGATACATGTCGCTTGCTTCCATGGTTTGTGACTTATGATATGTGAGAGTCACACATGTGGAGTTGATGAATCGCACTTTCATAAGGGCTTGATTGTAGTTACTGCATCCTTTCATCCACTCGTCGTCCATCCGCCCACAATGCTCAGACTAGCCGCGGAGCCTCTGGGACAAATTAGCATGGCGGGTTTGGTCTGCAACTTATGCTTGACTAGAATATCTATTCATTCCTACTTAAAACTCGGATGTTCATAAATTCAGGCCGTTGCGACGGGGGTGCCTCCTTCGGCCTACCCTAGCTCAAAACTGCAACCATCACCCCCCTTACCAAATCAGTTACCGCCATCACTGATACCGATGGAGACAAACATGATCCATGAGGGAGGAGGAACAAAACAGACATTGTCGCATAAAAGAAACATGGTACATCAAACTGACGGGAAGGAAATACCATCAAGAATTAACCTCCAAACTTCACTGCGACGTGCCCTTTCGCAGCTGGTATCTAAGCAAAACCAGACTGTTTCCCACACCCCATGTGTAGTAACAAAATCGAATTCAAAGTTCACCAAACTCCTCGTCGGCTGAGCGTTATGGTATATGAAGCCCCTGGTATTTCTCTCGTTAACGCTCAATTCCACCGGATCACTTGCGTCCTCGTGGCAATGCATCGCGGACTGCTTAGAAAGGCGAGTCGACGATGTCATCCTTTCCTAGCTTGTACCGCCCACTCTCTTGGTTTCCGATTCTCCCCGATGATCTGCGTCCATCACTGACGCGAATGTCGCCGATGATGCTCTCCCGGGTAGGCTTCCTCAGACTCTGCTTGGCAACCATGTTAACCTCATTGGGCAGCGCCACGATGACGTTCTTGTCAGAGCCGAACTTGAAATCGTCGGCCTTGACCTCCTCTTCGTATCTCTTGATTTTGTATGGTGCCTTCATTCCCTTGAGAATTCTCTTCAGATTCCACTCAATGATGTAAGGGCCAGTGGCAGTGATGATGCTCGTCTCCTCGGCTCCCGCTCCAGTGTTGAATTTGGCGGGTGTAAAGGAGACAGACTTGCCAGTCTCATGGTAGAACTGTGCCACATGCTCAGGAGTAAGCGCCAAACGACGGGGATGAGGCTTGGAGTCGGCAGCGAATCCCTTCTCGAAGCCGAGCTTGCCTTCGTTCTTGCCAGACTTTTGTTGAGCATCAACGAGCAGGATGTAGTTGCGAGTGGTACCCAAGATCCAGCGACCATCGGCAGAAACGTCCATACCAACAATCGGGTCACCTAGAGCTGGAAGTTGCGACTTGGCTCGGATTCCGAGGCGATCAAAGAGGCGAATGTCTCCCTTGTTGCTTGCGACGGCGATGTAACCCTTCTCTGTTGTGGCGAGGGCCGAGAAGTCGTTCTTGGAAGCGTACTGCTTCATGTCCGAGTCGACGAGCTTTTGACCAGACAGACGAGGATCGATTCGGTAAAGGGCGTTGTGGGAGACACCCAGGAAGGTCTGCTCAGATGTCATCTGTGCAAACTTATTCTCAGGGGCAAAGGTCACGACGGGAATGTCGTCGTGAACCTTCCACTCGTCCACAACCTTGCCGTATTCAAGATCCATGCGGTACAGCTTGTTAGGGTCGATTTCATTTTGGAGAATGAGGTCGCGATCCTCGCTGTGTAGCATGACCTTCTTGGGGTTCATCAGCTTGCCGTTTGGCGTGGTGACCTTTGAAATGTTGGTCGCAAACTCAAGGCGGTTGTTTTCTGTATGCTTGAAAACGCCAATCTTGGATCCACGGACGACGAAGGATCGGTCGTGCTTGTAGCCAACGGCGAGCTGGGAGTTGACCTCGCCATCGGCATTCCTGGGGAAAGTGCTGTCTTCATCCTCATCAGAGTCATATTCCTCGTCCCGCGCACGATCGTCCTCAAGCTCCTCCTCCTCCTCCTCCTCCTCCTCCTCGTCTTCTTCCTCCAGATCCTCCAGAGGAGCATCTTCCATGTTCAAGTCTCCAAAGGCATCAAGAACGTATTCGCGCTCCTTCTCTTGAATTTTGGCCCATTTGGTCTCGTTCAACTTCTCCCAAATGGCTTGCATGATGGCCTGCTGGAACTTCTCCAGGGTTGGCTGATCCTTGAAGCGGAGTAGCCACGATCTCGCAGTGCCATCACTGCTGAAATGGTTGAAAACGAAAGACAAATACTCAAAGTCGAACACGGGATTGAAGTCGGCGACGACTGGAGTCCCAAGCCATGCCTTTTCCGTGCTCTCAATCTGCAACCAGTACTCCCACTTGCCAACCTCGGAAACAGTTGCGATGATGGTATCGTCCACCATGACGAAGTGTCCGGGCTCAGGGTCGAAGAGGTGAAGTTCAGCAGTGACGGCAGCGTAGATCTCGATGGCTTCTGGTGGAGACTCAGCGTCGGGTCCTGCTAATTCAGGCACCTCGATTTCCTGCTCGGGAATGGTGACAGGCTCCCGCTTGGCGGCCGAGTTGGCCTTACTCTTCTTGGACAACATATCGTCGACGGATTCGATCGAGCGAGAGAGTATCGGGCTGTGGATGGGACTGGCGGGTGGGATCGGGTCTTCTTCTTGGAACTCGAACTGTTGCAAATCGTGGGCCGAAGCGGTGGTGTGCGGCATTCGATACTTGCGCTCGTACTGGCACTCCTGTGCTACTCTCACGAACTGCTGGACTTGGGCCGAGGAAACAGAGGGATCGCAGACAAATTGGTAGATGTCACCAGTATCACCGCTTAGATCCTTCCAAGCGAGGACTTTATCGCCGTCGTGCCTGATTTCGACTCGGAAGTGTAGGGCTTCGTCGAGCAAGAAAGTCTTCTCGTCTCTCTCGGAAGCAAGAGCGTCGATTTCGGCGTCGTCGCCCTCTTCTTCAGCGAGAAGTTCAGCCTCGCCTTCCTCAAAAACGCGCTGGACGACGAGCTGGTACTGGAAGTCTTGGTTGGTGCGGCGGATGCGGATGGCCGAGTCTTTGAAGATGAGCTCGGAGTAGCCCTTGGGCGAAAGAGGTCGTACGAGGTAGAGTTGGCCTTGGGGGAGTTCAATCAGTGCTTCCTGGGTGCTTGAGCCAAAGATGAGTTTGCCGACTGCGGGGGAGGCGTGTTAGCTTATATTGTCGGCGTGACAGATAGATGGTTGCACGGAAATGGGCAGGAGGAACAAAGAAAAAGGAAATGAGGAGAAGAAAACGGTAGATGCGGTGGGAAAGATGGAGCTGTCAAGCAGAGGCGCAGCTTCCTAGGTTGGCTGCAAGCAAGCAGCCTTCTTTGGAGTTGGTGGACCGGCGCCGGGCGTTGGTGACGGGCGTAGATAGCCAGGTAGGTCGATAGGTGCTGTGCGATGGGGATCGGAGGGGAACGCGGGGCAAAAACTTACCATTCCGGAGAACGAACATGCTGACGAGTGAAGGAGCGATGGGCAGACTGTCGCGGCTTGCGGGAAGGAGTGTGTGCTTCGCTCAAGCAGTCGCAGCGCTGTTCATGAGGGATGGGGGAAGGAGGAGAGAAGGGAAGGCTCGAAGAAGCCGACAATGATGCTTGGTAGTAGGTACAAGTATGTCGCAGGGCAGAGGCCACCAGGCAGGGTAGTACCTGAGGCAAGATAATTGATTCAGGGTCCTCCAACAAGGTAGGCAGGCGGACAGGCAGGCAGGCGGGATGAGCGTTGGGTGGCGACGGGATGATCAAAGAACCAGGATCAAGCACAGTTAGGCTAACAGGCGGGAGAGACAAGGTGCGTCATAACAAACCGTGGCTGCCTTTTGTGTACTTTTCTCTAGCATGGTTGGAGGGGTGAAGGGGGGAAGGGGGGGAAGGAGGGGTCAGTTTCGCCACAAATGACGGGTGGCGCTCTGACTAGAGCAACCAGAGCAACCCGGTGGTGCGCCACACTTGTTCGGCTATCTGCCCATGGACACAGGACCAAACTCTCACTCTCACCGACCTGTTCTGGAACTCCACCCACTTACACGGTTACACCAGACAGATGTCTTCGTCTACCTACGGGGTAAGGTTGCTGTATTTGCTCGTCATTGGTTGAAGGCACATGTATTCTCTTTCCGTTATTGGCATAGTATTTTTGGTAATTTATCTGAATTCTGCCAAACAATGTCCGAAATATTAGTCTGTGTATAGCTATACTAGCGAATCAATCTCAATGCTATCACATCACAGCTGTCGCAAAACTCTGTATCGCTCTCGAAAGCTACCCTCACAATGAAGTAAAAGAATTCAACATATCCAATCAGAGCTCGGCGGGCTTTTGCGCGCGGAGACCCTCCTCAATAGGCTCGCCAGGAGCTGTCTCAGCGCCCTTTCTCGAAATGCCAGCAAAGTCATCGGCAACCAGTCGAGCAACGTTCTTACCCATCAAGGCGCTTGTCTCCATGGTCGAGATGAAGCTCTCCATACCGGATGTGTAGTAAACACCATCACCAACGATGGGATCCTGGAAGGTGACCCGAGGAAGGAGGATGGGGTACGAGTAGAACCAGTGCGGGTAGTACCACGAGATAGGCTTGACAACTGTCTCATCATCCTCCTCCCCATTGGCACCAACAAAAGTATCGGGAATTTCTGTTCCCAAGAGCTTGCTTAGAAACTCGGGAGTCACGGGCTGGGCAGAAAAGATCTTGTACGCATACTCCAACTTCCCAGTCTTGGGGTTGACCACCGTTTCCAGGGTGCTAACAGAGTAGAATCCAGTGCTACCAACACCGTCCGCTCCCTGTTTGGGCTCTTCACCCTCAGCCAGTGTCGTATAGACGCTACTCGGGGCTTTGCTTCCGAACCCGAGCCCAAAGAACTTGGCATCGAGCTTCAGCGGTGAGGCGAATAGGGTGACATGGAGCTTCGTGTAAGGGATCTCGTCAATTTCGCGGTGGAGTATCCCTTCTTCAGCACTGATGTGGCTGAATTGCCAAGGGGATGCGACAATGACGTTATCAAATCCAACCGCATATTCGTCGGGAGAGCTTGATTTTACACCGCTGTCGATTGTTGAAATGAGGTATTTGGGTGAAGAGGCATTGGTCTTCTTCTTGATCGTCGAGAGGGATGCTACTGATGTGTTGCGATACACGGATGCTCCGCTTGCGCGCACCATTTTCTCGAAGATTTGCCAGTTGCCGCCCTGAACCGCGACGGCACCATCTGTGGCAAAAGATACCTGTCTGAGGATTAGCGTGGGCGTTGTGATGCAAAGGGATTTGCCTACCATGGTCTCCAGACCGTGGATATAAGCCAAGTTGGAGGCATAGTTGACTCTTGTCGCAGCTTGCAAAATGTCACGACCAAATCGAGCATCGATCTGAAATTGTGTTAGTGGGGATGTCCTTTCTAGATAGCCTCCAGTCAAAGACAAACATTGTTCTGAGCGAGGAATTGCTCTCCAGTTACCCCGGTAGCATCCAGTAGGCCAAGTTCGAATGCCTTCTCGGTGAGTGACTGAAATGGGAAATGCGGCGCCTCGTACATCTGCGCGAACTTTCCGACGACGCTCTTGACGAGCTGAACCGCCTTGTACGGCGCCAACCCATATTTCCACCACATCTTCGCGACATCCCACCACCACGAGGCACCCTCGGCCGTCTCAAAGACAAACTTCTCGCCATTCCAAATAGCAGTGATGGCGCCTTTCTCTTGTGCGTGGGGCTCGCCAATGGGGAGGTTGAATTCCTGGCTTGCATTGTACAGGATGTGGTTGATGGTGACGAAGATGGATGCACCCAGCTCAATCGGCTGGGCGGGTTCATCGAAGGCATCGACCGTGAGAGTGCGGCCACCGATATGATTCGTCTTTTCAAAGATGGTGATGTTGATAGATAAGCCCTCTTCCTCGGCATATTTCTGGAGGTGGTACGCCGCCGAGGAGCCCGCCGCGCCAGCGCCTACGGCCTCGTGTTAGCATGACGCGATCGATAGTGGCATTGGGATGTCGAATAGTCTCCAAGTTTCGGATCAAGGTGAATAAAACGACCACGAGTCGATGGGGAGAAGAATACGACCCAGTACATTGGTGACATGGCACGATTCTGAAAACAAGCCATTTCCCAGGACATACCTATGATGGCAACATTCTTGACCTCGCTAACGCCGTGAACGGGAGCACTGGCAATGGCACCCAGCAGGGCCAGGCAAGACCTCCAATAAGGCTGCATATTGAAGCAAGGGAGAGACAAGGTGCGAAAAGTGATTCCCGAAAGGGTAAACCGTGAGCATTGACGAACTGTCGAAGCTCTCCGGGTCTGACACAACATCGAGGATGACGCGGGCTGGAGGACGAATGGGGTGACGTATGGTCACGTGATGAAGCAACATCTCAGGCCAAGCCGCGCATCATGAAGGTGTGTTTAACTAACTCCTCCATGCAGTCGACGACGCATCAAGGTATAAGTAGCGCCTCGCTTATCATGTGCGTTATTTAAAATTCCACAACAGGTTATTACAAGTCCTGCCAGTGTGTGCAAGCCCGCAGACATCAGACTGGCTGATCAAAGCCCAAACAGCGCGTTAGCAAACCACAGCAAAAGCGTACGCAGCAGTCTTTACCCAATATCGGTAATCTCAATTCCAGAGTACATATAAAGAGGAGAAAAATAAGCTAGAAAGCACTACATCACAATGATGATAATGTTCATAAAGTTATAGGGAAGACCCGGTTATAGACTTGTAATGTGGAGTATAAAAAAAGGAACAACTACTAATTGAAACAAAATGACGACTAGGTGTAGTGCTGACTTCTTCCCTGGTGTCGCTGTGCTACCGGAGCGAGATATTTTGGACATCTATAAGAACCAGTCTCGTTGTGCACCCGTGAGAGAGTCAACCATTTCGCCAACACTAAAAGGCAGAAGTACTTTCTCTGTTCATTCTGGGTATTTTGAAGGGAGTACACTGTTGGCTAATTTTACGACTCGAGCAGCTGTGTGAATTGCCAACGGCAGAGGAGCCTCCCTGTTCCAAGTACTCAAACGATGACAATGTTTCTGGTTCTCAGCTGGACAAAATTACAAAAGATTAAGCACGCACGTAGTTCTAGGTTTGTCTGATTATTACAGACAAAATATCCTGTAGAACAATGGTTGATGTAACCACTAGTTAATGCCTTCAGATTCGCTTCGCTCTTCGCCACTATACAATAATTCTTCATGTCTCATCATACATATCAGGTATGCGCTTTTCCAAAATTCCCGAGAAGTTCCATTACCACCTCTCCGCAAGCGAATATGTTAAAAACACAAGGGCGAATTGGGCACATCAAGAACCAGCCCGGAAAACCTTATCCTTCCTACCACCAGAACACCAAGCAAAAATGCAAAAGGGCCTTCCCACACTATGGATAATAAAACCTCGATCTTAGATAGGAGGGTAACGCTGAAAATAGGGTCTGACAAGACCGATTGTCTCCCCAAAGATATTGGAATGCTGTGTTTTAATGACTCCTCGTCTAGGAGTTCTCGCTTATATTCGAATTTTGTCGTAAAAACGTAAAGAAATGTAAAATCGGAGAGTGTTCTTGGCCATTCAAGGGCTCTCCTCCTCGCTGGTACTGTACCCACTCATACTTCCCCCAACAGTCACAGCGGATGTTCCACCGGGGGAAAGCATCCTCTGTGCAGAGGTACTCTTACTACCTTCGCGAGCTGTCCCCGCTGCCGCTGCAGCACTGCTGGAATTTCGTCGTGTGGTAACTCGGCTTCGATTTGGCAACCCTAGGGCGTTGACATTCCCACTCGTGTCATACATGTTGTGCTCGCCAGGGGAGTCGTCTGGATCCTCGCCGTCCTCGTCACCGCTGCTGAGGTCGACCCCATCGGGGTAGTCATCGGGTTGGTGGGGGTTTGCAAGCTGGCTCATCATCTCCTCAGACGATTCAAGATCGTCCATGGATTCAGAGGCAAACATGTCATCTGTCGTGGACTCATCGGAACTGAACGGCGAGATGAACATGGCTGGGGGTGGGAGAGGAACTGGGTGAAGACGCTTGATCCCGCCAGAAACATACTCGATTCCCATGGGTCGAATTCCGCGGTGGGGTGTCATTCTGAAGGCTTGAAGGTCAGGCGACGACGTCGACATGGTGGTTAAACGACGGATGATCCCATCGGTCGTCTCATCCGACCCTGGTTGCCGATGTGATGTATCCGTTGGGATTGCATCTTGTTTTGATCGCTTTGTAGCGACGACCACCATGAAGTGGTCATCTGGTCGAATACCACCAAGACCACAGGGCTCCAGGGGGTGAAGTTTTATGTATTGCTTCTCGGTTGACCAGACCAGATCCAGTTCGACATCGCTCAACTCTTCGGCCTCATCGGCGGTCCATTTCGGTGTCCTTCCGTTATCATCCATGTTCATTTCCGAACTGGATCGTAAAAAAGATCCCCTGTCACTCAAAGGCCTGTCGTTGATGAAAGACCCAGAGTATGTTCTTCCAGAAGGAGAGCGATTGGGAAGTGGTTGTCGATGTAAACTATGTGTGGTTTGGCTGTCTGTAAGCATATTTGGTGAGGTGGAAACATCTCCTGGGTCGCCTGACAAATCCGTGCAGAAAGGCGCGCCGCTGTAATAGATGATGGCGCCGTCATGGCGACGTTTACGCCGATTCGACGTACCAGAACCGCTCATACCCCAGCGAGAGTCGTCAACATTACTTTCCTCGGGAGGCCCAACAGATGAAAGAGTTTCGTCCATGGAGGTTGAGTAATCTCGTTGCGCAAGGATCGGCTTATAATGGAAATTTTCAGAGAAACTGGGTACTTGTGCGCCGAATTTGGATGCTTTCTTGGTCGAGCTTCCTGCGTGAAAGTCGTCATCCGCTGAACTAACGGCCTTCTGACGCTTGCGTGTTTTCTTGTTTGAATCATCAGTATCACAGTTAGGGCTCTGCTGTGAATTGTATCCAGAACTGTCGCTGCTAAACTTAGTGCCTCGGGACCCGCCTCGCCACCGAATCTTGCGCCCATCAGAGGACAATTGGAATTTCGAGCTGAACTCAGAGACGGCTACTCGAACAAATTCCGGAGTGACGTTGATAATATGGAGCTGAGCCAGATTGCAGAGGAGATTCAAGTAGACCCATCCATCGGCGTCAGCCTGGACAGGGGCGGATGCCATTGGCGGTTCCGGTAACAGTTCCGGGGGCGCTAAGCCAAGGTGGCGAATGTAGTCCATATTTTCTGATGGAATTTGGGCGCGGTCGGGATCCAGGTCTCGGGGCCGTGTGGGCCGCTGCTCTGGTGCTGGCGGTGGCAAGGGTGGAGAATGATTTGCTCCGGAGCCGCTGCCGCTGCCGCTGCCATTGCCACCGGACTCTGTCTGATCGCCGCGGGAGTTGGAGGCAGATTCATTATCTCTTGACTGACTCTTCTTGCCCGAATATCCAGATTGTTGCTCCAAGGGGAGGATTTTCGCTTCACGGGCGGGCTCTGATTGAACGCATGGTGACCGATCTAGTGCGGTTGGTGCCTGGGGTTGTACGTCGACGGTGATGGGTGTCTGCACCGGCTTGCCCACGTGTGGTGTAAGTGGTTTCTTTGGGGCATGGCGACCACCAATCTTTCCAGTAAAGAGATGTTCAAGACGACGAACAACGAGTTTCTTCCTTTCCCTCTCTGTCATGATCATGTGTCGTGGATAAAGACCTTCAGGAATGTCTCGCAAGTAACTCTGGACCTTTTTCTCATTTGCATCTTTTGAGCCCATCATCATGGGGCGAGCGAGAGATGTACCAGACTTGGCGCCGATAGACATGGAGGCGTACGCAGAATCAGCGTGTCTGAAGTAGGAGTCGGACGTTGAAGGTGCATGCTTCGACATAGATCCTGATGCAGAGTACATACGATCGCGGTTTGCATGACGAGATGATTTCTTGTTCCTTTGCGAAGATGATCCGCTCGGGGAGCTTCCGAGGCCGGCGGCGAAATCTCTCAGCGTTGCCTCGAGTTCTCTTTTTTTCGTATTAGGTAGACCGTGAACCTTGATCTCGAACAGTTTCTCCTTTCTGAGCATGTCTGGGCCCAATTGCTTATACCGCTTCAATTCCTCCTTTAAACGTTGGATTTCGATGGTTAGGTCGTCGATGACGCTTCGGTAGTCGTCTGCACTACTGCTTTGGGCCGTCTCGACTTTTGGCGGGGCCAATTGGTTGCCATAGGTATATGGTTTCTCCTCATTGGACGAGTCTGACTCTTTCTGGAAGAAGGGAGGGTCAACTGGGATCGTATCAGCCATCATGTTTAGGAGAATTGATGAGACAATCCTGTGTTTACCATCCATCACAGTGTTGTCGAAAGTTGCTGTTGGGTTTTCGTTTGACTGATCAAACCAATTCTTGGGATCACTCGGACCGGTATCATGGCTCTCGCTTGAAGAGTTTGGGCGAGGGAATGTGGGCGTCCTCTCCTTTGCCAAGGGAGAGCCTGGCCTAACTCGATTAGAGGCATCGCGGGCAAAGAGCTGGTGCCGGAGAGTCACAGATTGTGAGGGCGGGACACGTCGTGGAAGAGGGTGACCAGTTGGGGCGGTTGTGGGTGGTTGAATTCCGTGTGATTTTCCTTCGGTTGAGGACATGGTCCTAACATAGACGTGAGTCTGAACTTGAGGTTGAAAGGGTGACTACTGTCATTATCAAGCAAAGCTGTTGAGAGAGCTTGTCAAAACGGTTTAGACTAGCCTTAGTGCATATAAGCACTGGATTTGGGTAATGACGTAGAGCTCTCTTAGTGCGACGAGATTGCTACGAAGAATAATGTTAGCATGACCAACAACATGATGGCGAAGAATCAAGAGTTTCAAAATGATATATGTCTCCATATATCAAGCGGGGTTGTGATTGGCCAAACACTGCTCATCGATCGATCGATCCAAGCATCAAATTGTCATATGACGCTGATGGTGCTGTGAGGGGAGTGATTGAGGAACCTAAGAGGACACTCACAGGAAGGGGGATAGCGTTTGAGCCTCAACGTCTACGAGCGTCGACGGTGAATTTTCGGGGCGGATTTCTTTCTGAGATGATCTCCCTGGTGGTTGGTATCGTCCTCAGGCTATGTTTGGCGACGTGGTGACGGCAGTTTGTTTTTCTGGTCGACTTTGAATAGAAGCTGGTCGTGCGTGGGAGCTCTCACGATCGCGACAAGTCGAGGAGTGAAGTAGGTGAGGGTGTAAGTAGCCGAGAGTGAGCCCGTAGCCGGATATCGTAGAATGAGAACTGGGGAAATGGCCAAGAGGACGCGATGCGAGCGCACGAAGGTGTTCGGGCGTCCGGGTGCCGGGTGTTCGGGCGGTCTTGGGCCCTTTTTATCCGTCCACAAACTGGGTCCCAGAAGCTGTGAGGCTGTGGATGAGCTGCACGCTGCAGGGCGGGCTGGGGAAATGTTGGTGAGTGCTCCGCGGATTCACCTTGCGGAGCTTGCTGGGTGAACCACGTCGATGAGAGTTCGACCCGGGTCGAGAGTAGTCGGCGATGGCAGGGAGGGACTGAGGTGGTGGTGAGGCGATTTGGCTGGTGCAAAAGAAGGAGAGAGGTGGTGGTGGGGGTGATGAAGATGGCGATGCAGCGAAGGTATAAGAGACCAGGGTATGGGGAACCGGGAGGCCAGTGCGATGCGGTTCGGTCACTGTAGTCACGGTGGTGTGGCACGGAGTGGCACTCGAAGACGTGGGTTCGCTCCGGGCGGGTGACGATGCAGGCTGCCGTCCTTTCACAAACGAAGTACGGTATTGTACAGAGGAGAACGAGCGTCGAGCATGCGGAAGCGGGAAGATAGCGAATAAACCCAGGGCGGGAAACGGGAAACGCCAAACGCCAAGCGCCCACGAGAATTTCCAGCATCTCGCATGGCGCCCCCCCAGAGCATCGCCGGGGCGCCGCATCGCGAAGAGCGAGGATGGGGCCGGGGGATGGGACGGGCGTGGAATGAGAAAGCCCGATCGAACGCTCAATGCCCCGATTCCACGGCCGCTGAGTTCGCTCATGCGAGTAGAACGCATCGGGGCTACAGGCCTGACAATAGGGACGTCCTCCAACGGTGGCCTGGCGGCGCTGCTGGGCGCACTCCCGGTGGTGTCGGTGCTGAGGTTGCGTCCCTTACAATCCGGATGCCATCGTCGATGAGTCTGGGCGGTTTTGCTGCAGCAGCTGGCTAGGTGGTCTTGTCTTTGGCTACGCCCACCCCAACAATTCCTCCCAACACTCCCTCGATTCCTCGATTCCTCGATCCCATCGCTCGTCGCTTGCTGTGGGGGCTGATACACCGTCTCAGCTAATCACGAGCCCGCAAAGCCCATGGACGTATCCGGCCCCTGTATTCCAGTCAGGGACCCGCCCAGCCTGCTAGGTTCCTCAGGGCCTAGGGACCGAGCTTGCCTCCGTCCAGACGACGACGTCGTACCGGACCTCTCATGGCAGCCGGAGCAGGGCCACGCCGATCTGGGATTTGGCCCGTCATCGACACAACCACCACGCCAGACGCCGGACGCACCGCGACCCGGCGTCCCCAGCGGGCTCAGAGGGCCCAGAGGGCTCAGAAGGCGGCCCTCGGCGATGTCATCCTACATTCCCCCCCCGTAGTTTCTCTCGGCTTCGGTGGGGCTGCCGCTTTTGCCGTGACTTTTATCCCACCCTTTATTTGTGATTGTTCTGGACGGATACATTGCACATAGACGGATCGGAAGTCGTCCTTGCATCATCATCACTTGTTGTCCATGGTCTGTGTGGCCCGTTGTCCCTCGAAGCCAGCTTTGTTCCGACGAGGCCTCGTCCGGCATCTCGATACGACCGGCCATCTCGATGGCCTCGGTGCTTCCCCAGGAGCAGAGGCGCAAATCATACCACTCTTACGTCAATCCTGCCCGGGGACACGGGCATATGCCCTCTGTGCGTGCAGAATGACAACTGACCCCTGGTAAGTGGCTTGTCCCAATGCCGCCTGTCAAGCAACAGCCGGGCAGTGTCAGACAGTCAGTCCCGCCCTGGTGACTGGCCCCTTGGCAGTCCAGCCGCCAGTCGGTTCCGCTCTGCACTTCGACCTGTCCGAAAAGCTCAAAAAGCTGTCTGCTGATTCTCTTCCGATCCCACTGACGCGGCTTGTCTCGGATCGAGCAAGGTGCGTGCTGGCATGGCATGGCATGGCATGGCATGTGGGCCATCTTTGGCTGACAGCCATGCCCACATCCTTCAACCTCTTCACCACCCATTCTTTTCCTCACCTGGATGTCTGCTAGGGGCTGTTCAGGTGGGTACGGTAACATAAAAGGTCCCAAGACCCCTTGAGCTGTCCCTGACTGAGACTCTGCATGCGGTCGATCCCTCCCCCTTGGGACACTGGAAATGACGTCGTTTCGCGGGGGTTCCTAAGGGTCTGCCCACACATCCATCCCGGGCCTTGGTTCCCCTCATTCCAGCACCTTCCACCCTGTCAGCCTTGCAGACGCAGAATCAACGAGCATGGAAACATCAATGATTGGCATTTTCAAGGAATTTAGACGGCAGAACCAAGGTGTAGTGTCTGCTGGCTCTGCCCACCAAAGCGATGTCTCCAGTGGTTTCCGCTTCTCGACCAGGCCTTCCCAGGACCCACACCAGCTCCCCAGAGCCCCACGATCATCACAGTTCTTGCTTGGTAACCACGATGACTGAGTCCCCAGTGGGAACAGTCAGCCTACAATGCAATGCATTGAGGATGCCGATCGATTCATGGTACCACATAATTGCTATATCTCCGTCGGATCTATACGATCTCGCAGCTTCTGGCTCTCCCATTGGGTCGTCTCCTAGTCATGTCGATTGCACGATTAGACTATGCCCTGATGTCAAACAGGCGCAGCGGTAGCTCGCATCGCGCTCCCGTGGCGTGGGAGGACCCTTCATGCAGCTGTGGCTAGGGTCTTGGCCAACCTGGTCAAGGGATTGTCAACGACGTCACCGTCCGACTGGTTCCATATTGTCTCTAGAAGCTCATGGCCACCACCGACCGTGGGCCCAGTGTCTCCCGACAGGTTTTGGTTTGTCCATCTCATGATTCGCATCCCATTCAGTCCAATCCCAAGCGGGGATACCCCCTGTTGCCTACTCGGGTCAGTCTGTGGAATCTGGACCCATAATCTGCAGTCCTGCTTACTGAGTCCGTAGGCAGTATCCGTGCCGTTTTTGGAGTTCTGGCCCTTAAGTTAGCAGCACGGCGCGCGCCGTTGCCATTTGCTTTGTAGGGGTTGGCCTAATTCGCGCTGGAGACTAGGCACCGAGAGGAGGCCAACCAGCAGGGGTCCCACTTAGAGATGCAGCGAAGCGAAGCGGACTTCCGAATGGTTCACTCTCAGCTTGAAATAAAGCCGGGAGTGTAGCGGCGAGTTGTCACTGTTAGCCCGGTGGGCGGTGCGCACTGATGCCCCATCGCCGAGCGACGACCAGCGAGTGGTGAGCGACGAGAAGGACCTGATGCGCAAGTTAAGCCTACATCTTGCTCCTTGAGTTGTCCAGTGTCAAAACTGCTTCTGTTATGAGCAGTGAAATTCCAACTCCTGGACTTTTCTATTAACAGACTAGGAACTACAACCATCCCTTCAGCCCCGCACCGAGGTCTGTTTCCCACCATGTCAGCCAACTCCTCGCCCTTGAAGCCCGCCCGAGCAGTCCAGCCCCCGCGTCTTAGTTCCCAAAGAGTGCCCAAAGAGTCGGCCCTTGCCACAGAAGCCCCGCTCCATAGCTAGGGTATGGCAATGCCAAGTACAAGTCTTCGTTCGGGACGTTGGATGGCGAGGTTCCGATTTGACAGTGGCTTGGCATGCCTGAGATCTGGACCGGGATTCCCAAACACTATTACATCTTCCTTGACTGCGCCTCGGTGAAGGGCCTCTTTTCTTATTTCAGTAGACCCCGATAGCGTTGCAAGACATGAATGAACACAAGATCGCCCAATCGTATCACGGTGACCAACTATTGAACACGTCCCGTATTTGGTTGGGAATTCTGTTTCGGTATGCCGTTTTGGTCAAATGTATTCGATTCTGGGCGTTGTGGTTCGTTCTTTGGCAACGGGAAGCTAGCCGTGCGTGTGCGGTTGCTGCAGTTGAAAAAACTTCACAAAATCCCGTAGGCGCAGTAGGTAGTTAAGTGTTTCTTCAAGAGACAACGTCGCATGGTATTTAGTTACAAGTAAGAACCGAGCGCGTAGAGTACGTGAGAAGATGGTAATTTTGGCATCTTAATTCATAGAGAGTCTTGTTCCTTTTTATGTCTCTAGGTCTATCCTCAGTCGAGCATGTCTCGTCTATCCCTAACCGCCTCAACTCCAGAGTCGCCTGCCAACTCACAACACAACGCACAACGCACAACGCACAACTCGCTCCCAAAGTCAACAAGCGACAACCAGCCACTGCTACTATAATAGCTAAAAACAATTTACTCGGCATTGCGCTTGAGGTCCTTCTCAAGGAGAGACTTGCCAGTCATCTCCTCGGGCTGGGGCAGACCCATGGCAGCCAGGATCGTGGGAGCGACATCGCCCAGAACACCGTCGCCCGTCTTGAGGCTCCAACCCTCGGGGGCGTTGGCCATGATGAAGGGCACCTTGTTGGTGGTGTGGCTGGTCTTGGGCTTACCGTCGGCGAACTTCATCTCCTCGGCGTTGCCGTGATCAGAGGTGATGAAGAGGATGTAGCCCTCCTTCTTGCAGCCATCGAGGATCTTGCCAATGGCCTTGTCGGTGGTCGCGCAGCCGACAATGGCAGCCTCGTACACGCCAGTGTGGCCAACCATGTCAGGGGGGGCAAAGTTGTTCATGACGAAGGGGAACTGCTGCTCGGCGAGACGCTTGACAACCTGGTCGGCAACGCCATCGGCGGACATCTCGGGGGCAAGGTCGTAGGTGGCGACCGACTTGTTGGAGGGGACAAGATCCTGGGACTGGTCTCGGGTCTCAAGGGGGAAGACCTTCTCAACACCGCCGTTGAAGAAGAATGTGACGTGAGCGTACTTCTCAGTCTCAGCAATGTGGACCTGCTCCACGTTCTGCTTGCCCAGCCACTCGGCCAGGACGTTGCCCATGCGCTGGGGTGCGAAGGCAACCTCGAAGGGGTAGTCTCCCTTGTAAGAGGTCATGGTGACCAACCTGTCGAGCTTGGGGTAGGGGAAGTCGGGGAGGACGGATTGGTCGACACCGCCAAGGACCTGGGTGATCTGGCGGACACGATCCGATCGGTAGTTGAAGAAGAAGACAATGTCGTCATCTACAAGCACTTGTCAGCTCATATCGAGCACGAATTAAACTCGGGGGAGCTTACCCTTGATACGGCTCTCCTCACCGCCAACAATAATGGGGGTCAGGAACTCATCCTTGTCCTTGCTACCGCCGAGCTCATATCGAGCCTTGACAGCGGCAACAGGGTCTTCAGTGGCCTCGCCCTCACCCAGGACCATACCCTTCAGGGCAAGCTCGACTCGCTCCCAGCGCTTATCACGGTCCATGGCATAGTAGCGGCCGACGACGGTGGCAATCTGGCCAAGACCAATCTCGGCAAGAGTCTCGACAAGCTCCTCCATGTAGCCAGCGCCGGACTTGGGGTCGGTGTCACGGCCATCGCCGAAGAAGTGGATGAAGACCTTGGAAACGCCGTACTCCTTGGCAGCCTTGACGAGGGCGTAGAGGTGGGTTTGCTTAGAGTGCTGTTTTGGCGGTGTAAGTGGCGTGTTCAGATGGAAGGATGATATAGGAGCAGGGGTGCACTTACGACACCACCGTGGGAGACGAGACCGCACAGATGCAATCGGCCATTGCCAGCGGCAGCAGCCTCGCAGGTCTTCTTGATGACCTCATTCTGGCTCAACTCGCCGTTCTTGATGGTCTGATCAATTCGAACGACGTCCTGCCAGACGACACGACCAGCGCCGATGTTCAAGTGTCCAACCTCGGAGTTACCCATGAGGCCCTCGGGAAGCCCTACCGCCAGCGACGAGGCATCGAGTTCGGTGAAGCCGTTCACGTCCTGGGAGAGCTGGTCCATGACGGGGGTTTCGGCAGCGGCAATGGCATCGCCATTCTTGGGGCTCTCGTTGGAGGGGATACCCCAGCCATCAATGACGACTGTTCGAGTGCAAGAGCACCATAATTAGCCATGCCAGCTCAAGATTCACAAGCATGAAGCAGATAACAAGGACGTAATCAGGCCGGGCCAGCTTCTGCGGCGCCTGGAGCGCTGGATGGGCTGTACGAGGCCGCTGAGGCGACGGACCGCGCTGGGACGCGTGGGTATCGCGGGGCAAGGCATTGGGAGAAGTCATGGTAGTGGGGGATGTGATGTTGGTGGAGGTGGAGGGGGGATGGAGGGGGCGGGGCGTTAGAGGGACGACGTACTGAGGCAGGCTTTCTGCTCGGTCTTGGACATGGTGAGTTTGGTGCTTTCTCGGTGAAGGGGATAGTGAGGAGGAGAAAGAAGAAAGAGAAAAAAGAGAAAAAGGGACAACTTGAGGGTGCAGTGAAGGAAATAATGCGTGATTTGATGGGCCCAGACAAGACGGACGATTTCACATAGAAACACGTTAGATGTGGTGGGGGGTTATGTCATCGGCTGATAGCAGTTACCATCAGGAGGTTTGGGATTTGGGAGTTGACACTGTGCTCAGCGGCAGAGGTGCACCCCGACACCCACCGAGCGATTGCTAAAGATTGCTAAACCACGGTGCAGACACAGTGCAATTACATTCTGGCGCGCTCACCGAGCTGCCCGTCCACCCAACAACGGCCCATCGGCCCAATCGATCTCGACCATTTTGCCGCCATCTTCGATAACATTACGGAGACGCACGCATGCAAGGCTGCCGACTCTCCACCCGGCTGCTTTCCCCGGCCGCTCGATTTTCTCCAGTGAACCTGGCCTAACGATATTACACGTGCGACGGCTTGGATACGAGCAGACGCTTTGATTTGAATCCAACAAAGAAACGTTCCATTCTCTCAACCCCGGCGTCGGACGAGCCCTCCTCCTTCCTCTACGCGAAAGCAATACGCCGCCGGGCGAAGCGAAACGCACCAAAACCCCGACGATGGCGTCCTCCACTGTGCCGCACCCGCTGGCCCTGCCGTCCACCTTCTCCCCCGACACGCTCGACGCCCTCACCGAGCTCTCGCTCGTCCTCGCCAAGGTCCGCGCCGGCATCCAGTCCTCCTCGGGCATCACGACGGAACCCGCGCCCGGTGGCGGCGCCGGCGCCCCTGGCGGCCCGACCCTGTCCTTCAAGGAGGTGCCTGGCGCGACGGACGGCCTGAAGCACAAGCTGCAGCGAGCCCGCGCCCAGGTGCGCGCGTTGCCGGACATGGACCGCACCATCGGCGAGCAGACGGAGGAGATCAGGGATCTCGAGACGCGCATCCGGACGCAGAGGGCGCTATTGCAACGGCTGAGAGATGAGGCCGCCGGCAGGGAAGGGAAAGAGGAGGCCGCAGGGGGGGATAAGATGGAGTTGTAAGGGAAATGGCACAATATTGGAAATGGCGTTGGCGTCAGTGTGGGCATTTTTAGGCATGGGCATTCGTGACAACAAGGAAAAGCGCTGCATCGTACAACGGAGTTATGGAGCACCATTGAGAAGATCAAAAAGGGGGTGTCATTCTATCGCGCTTGGCTATGAACAACTTGCCGTCCCAAACACCAAATTCCCATAATCGACAAAAGCATAATGTATAAAAGGGATCTGGAATACCTCACCGGCGCGGGATGCCCAGTTTCTTGAGCGTCTCCTCCACGCTGACACCCGGCTGTCCTGGCACCACCTTTCTCCAAAGCTCGTCGGCTAGCATTTCATCCTCAGCCAAGGTCGCCCAGTTGGGACTATGGTCAGCCTTGAGCCACTTGAAGTCATCCACCTGATCCCACTGGTTTTCAGTCGATTTCTCGGCCTCCGTCACCTATCGTTCAAGTCAGCTAGTGGGCACGCAAGGGCGACGTAGGATATGACCAGGGCAACACTTACGTATGCAGCGGGAAGTGGCGCAAATCGCATGCCCGAGCAGTCCTCGATGATGGGATGGCTGCCGCAGTGGAGGTAGATGTCAACATTGCTGCATTCGTGAATCCGGACCTGTCTTGAGATGATGACTAGGATGCTGTCCGACACGCCCGTGATGTGTACGGGGCCGTTGACACGACCGGCGACGACCAAACTCTTGGAGATGTTCTTGATGGCGAGGCCAGGGAAGGGGGCCCCATGGGCGGTCGGGATGGACATGTCCACGATGCACCCGTTCAGCTCGGTTAGACTTCCCGACGCGGTGGCCCGGGCAGCAGACGAAGGGAGGATGATATGGAGGCCGGAGTGGTTCGATATGCCAATGGTCTTGGCGGCCGAGAAGCTGGGCTTGCGGAGAGGTGAGTTGCTAGGCCGGGCCATTTCTTCGTTATAGTTCTTGGTCTTGGACGGCAGCTCGCTTAGGGTGTCCTCTTTGGGTGCCTCGGGGACACTTTCGGCAGTGGGCATTGTGTTCTTACGGGCGAGGCTGCCGGGATTCAGGCGCGGGTCGTTCTCGGGAGCCCCCATATCGACGTGAGGTGTGTTGGTGCGGCGGAACTGGAACCGCGACTTGGGGGTGATTCTGACAATGGTCTCATTGAGCTTTTCCTGTAGAGTCTTGATGGCCTAGAGGTTGGAAAGCGTCAGCAACGACACTGAGAGAAGATAATACAAATGAGATGTCATGAAACGGAGAGTCGGACCTCTGAGTACTGTTTTCGGTCGTAGGATGGGGTGAAATCGGCGGCATCGGAGACCTCGTTTTGGAGCTTGCCGATGGCTGCGAGGATGTGATCAATGGCTTCCTGGCGCTCGCCGGCTACATTTGCAAAGGAGGGGAGCTCATCGACGAGTTCTTGTAGACCTAGTGCAGGAGAAAAGGATCAAATATGAGACAAATGCTCAATCAGAGAAGAGATAGGATTATCCAGGCGTAGGCCTTGGCCACTCACCTGCCACACTGTCGACAAAGTGGTTGTAGAAGCGCTGCTTGGGGTCCATGCTGCTCTTTCGGCGGAAGAGGAATGGGTGAGCGGCAGCCCACTGGGTGTCAGTCTGCGTTTGGGCTTCCACGGCAGACATGGTTAATATCGGGAGTCTCTTTTATTGGAATCACTGGGTTTTCGCTCTGGTTTATAGAAGCAGGTAGAGCAGGGCGAAGCAAGGCGGAGGAGGGAAGGTGAGATAAGTAGGTAGGTATGTAGGTATAGGTGAGTGAGGATGGATGATTCAACAGGGCACACGATGGCAATGGCAACAGCAGCAGCAATAGTAGCAGCAAGTTGTGTTACGAGACCAATGCAAACTTAATGTATGGGTATATAAGAGGTATGGAGGAGGAAGATGGCGGTGGTGGTGAAATAGGAGCAGGAGAAGATTGGGGAGAGAGGAGGAGGAGCAGGAGGAGGAGCAGACAGACGGTGTTTTACAGGCAGATGGGACGGTACACACACACACGGTCTCGACTCACATATGATCAGAAAATGAGCCGGACACAAGAGTGGCGGCGGCAGCAGCAGCAGCAGGCGATGTTAAAATGCGACCCGTTTCCTCGTCTCTCGCGTGCAGCTACTTGTCGTCTTTGGGCGACAAGGGAAATGGGAAAGCGACGAAATGCACGCAACTCGGGTGGCCCGAGCAAAGCCCAGTGACGTCAATGCCACCTGATGGCGTGGGCGCGGCGGCGGAGAGAAGAGAAGTGAGACGGGGCGAGAGAGACGAGTTCCCGGGGGAGTAAGTTAAGAAGACCGGGGGCAAGGGTGGTTTGGTTTGTTGCGGCCGAGATGATGTGTGGACGGGCTGGGGTACGTTGGTGGGGAGGTTGATGGGTGGATTGATGGGTGGACGTGAATGTATGGTGGTATTCGGCGGGACGAGCAGCGGGGGGAGGCGTGGTGGTGTGAATGCGGCCACTGCGTTTTGTGTGCGCGCAGGAGGGAAAATACCGGTACGTGAGACAGGCGACGATGGGGGATGGACAGCGCGGAAACGTGGAGATGTGGATGTGGGCTAACAATGGCCCTGGCGGCGTGGTGTTGTCGCCGCAGAATGGCACCACCTAACCACCGCCTCATTCCAGCCGGCCAAAAGTGGAAGCCTCAGCTTGGGGCTACGACGCATTCGTCCGCCTGCAAGTGAGCATCGTCTCGCGTTGAACGTCAGGTGGAAGACGAGACGGGGCGTTCTAGGCCCTTCTTTTTTTTCTTTTTCGTCTGTTCCGTTTGTTCGTGTGATGTCGATATGCCCATGTCCTCTGCTGATACCTACGGTGCCTACTGAGTCGACATGAGCCCCCCCCTTTCTGGAGAGAATGAACCCGGCCGATTTTCCTCTCTTGGGCCGATTGGGAGCCTGGTTATGATGATCGGGGAGTTTGAACGGGATCAGTGAGAAAGCCCATCATCCCATCCCAATGGAAACCAGCGGGTGACACGGTACAAGGCTAGCAGCCCGTCGTGGCGTCACTGTGCCAGTCCGGTGTGCGCCTGTCTGCGCGTGGCGACTGGGCCATCGACGCCATGCAGCGCGGGGAAACATCGCGGATGGCGGGATGGAGGCGGGATGGAGGCGTGTTTGAGGGGGTGACTCTGGGGATGCGGGCGCTGCATCGAGATGTCGAGGTGTACAAGTTGTGTGAGTGGTTGAGTGGTTGAGTGGGTGGGAGCATTTCGTGTCATTCGACGAGGTCGGTCGAGTTGTTCGGCTTCCATCGAACCAACAAGCCATTGCCGGGGATAATGGATAATATCCTTGGTACCTACATAGGTAGCAAGCAGTCAGTTGCTCACGGTACCGTCCAGATTCCTAAACTGCTGACCGACCTCCATCCCATTGCAAAGCACTCTTCGTCTTACGCATCTTCCAGTGCGGTTGGCGCGCAGTCGACGAATATCCCCGGTGCCAGCAGCAGGGATCTTGCCGTGTCAGGGTTCAGAGTCTCATTGACTCCCGTGCAACCACACCAGGAATGGCAATCTCAGCCATTAAACGACAATGGCCAAAAGTACAGTGCAATTCTGCCCAAGTATACCCTCCACTTCCACCGGCGATCCCACGGCCCGATCCTGTCATCGAGATGCCAGTGTCATTCACGCATTGCTTCACTGGGACTGTTCAGAGGAAACCCTCTCGATCTTGACACCCACCACATCGATTTCTTCCCTATTTCACATTTGGCCTGTCATTCTTCTAGAGTTCAGGCCCAGGCGAGCCAATACCATCCATCCATCCTCGATTTCCTGAATCTTAGACACCGGTGTTTTGAACCTGCCGCCCAAAATCCACCATAATCGTGCCATGTCCCTTCTGCAAATCCACCATTATCGTTCTCGTCCTTGAAAAAAAAAAAACCACTGGTTATTCCATAGACGACGCTCTTTACGAAGATTGTCTCTCCTTCGCCTCTTTCGAGTTCTTCTTCTTCTTCCATGCTTGGAGCTGACGTGCTTTTGCCGCACGCACCCGCGCGATTCTATTCTTCACCCGCCGCCGATCTCTCGCCGTGTTGATTTCGGCGTAGTACAAGGGGCTCAGAAACTCGCCCATGATCCATTCCGTGAATTGTTTGTCGCTCTCGAGAGTGCGTTCTATCTTCCGCCAAGTCGTGGAGAAATTGGGGGTGGTTATGTCGCCGTTGGGCGTCGTCAGTATGAGTTTTGGGACGAGCATCGGATCTTGAGGTGACGGCTGGCAGGGCTCTCTGATGGTATCCTCGACCACGGCGATAGTGGCGCGCTTTGGGATTTGAATCGAGGGCCGCAGCGAGAAAAGGGATTTCGTGATGATCTGAAATGGTGTCTTGCTCCCGAGGTTGCCAAGGACTTGAAGCTTCTTGGGGAGACGAGCCATTCCAGCTGTGGCCGACATCACACGATGAGCGAACTTGTACGCCTTTCCGATACGGCCGCTTGATGATGGGTATGATTTATCGACATGTGCCGTCGTCGTGGAGGTCGTGCCTGCAATGGCCCTAGGACGAGTGGCTCCCATCTTGATGACTGTCGAGATGGTGGGCACTTAGATTGCTTGCAGATGTTGAAGTTGTTTGCTGAAAACGGTTTGCTTGAGAATGGGAAGATTGAAAGAAGAGAAAAGCGGTCGGGTTGAGAACGGGCTGGCTTCAATGTGACAAGCATGAAGGGCCGTTGTGGTGCCTCTCACATTCATCTCACCTTCACATCATGTTCCTACAAGTGGATGCGGAGACTCGCCATTTCGAGTGGAGACGATGAGTAAACCCAGTTAGGCATTATTCGACATAGTCATTGTTATGCTGAATTGTTGTGCTCGAAAGAAGCCCTCTATTCCTTCGTCTACTTTGTTTGATACCTTGGCACATGAAGCAGCAAGCCCCAAGAACAACCTGCACCCTAATTTAGCACACTTTCACTTTCATTTCAGAATTAGCAGAGATGAGAAACAGCACAGTATTTGCAGATATACACTGATTATTCATTAAACTGATTACCCAATTCTATTCACTTCATCTAGACCTGCCAGCATTCCCAGACCCCCGTCGTCCCCCATTTGGTAACGGTGGAATGTACGGCATTGGAAACCGCTTTGTTGTCCGTGGCTCCTCATTGAGCGCCCTCCACATCTCCCATATTGTTGCTCTTCTCGCTGGCAGCATGCTGTATTGTAGGCTATACAAGTTCTTTCGATTAATAGGCGGTACAAACATGCCCGTCAACAAGCAGAAAAATACCCGCGGTGATAGGTAGTGTTTCCGAATGCGGTTGGCCATCTGGAAGTACTGGTTGAACATGGCTCGAAAGGTCAACGGGATTGACTGAAACACGTGAATTAGCATCCGTTCAGGTGCGCATCTTGACACACTGAAAAAACCAACCTTGAGATAGATGACCGAAGTGGGCGGTTGATTAGAAGTATTAGGGCTGGTTTGTCTATGAATGTGGGTATCTCGAAGTTCAAAGCGAATGCCACCTGTCTCGGTTAGTCGATTTCCTTGTCAAAAGCTGGGATGTCCTACCAGGCAGTCTTCGGGGGTCTTTGATCCTCAGCATGAGCGCAAATAACGGGAAGTGATTCAAGCAAGACAACAGGGTATCAAATCCGGCCTTTAACGAGATGATGACCATCCTCGCAATGGCAAAGTTGAGATAAAAGACGGCAACGGTGGGGAGGAGAAAGAAGAGTAGCGTGAAGAGGATGGTGCCGACAAGGAGCTGATCCAGGTCGTAGTCGCATGAATCGATACGGTTACGGAGAACGTTGTGCTTTTTTCCGCGGAAGAGATGGAAGAGGGATTGTAGGATCGTGAGTTGCCAATGATATATGCGTCCTGATGCCAAGTAGAACGAGTAGATGTGGATCGTCAACGCTGACAGCATGTCGGAGAACATGGCTATAGGCATGCTCGCTCCTGCAAAGGACGAGAAGCCGATGAACCACACCATTTGTGGCAAGGCTGGAGTTAGAGTCTCGATACAACCTGGCGACACGGTTAGCTACTGGATTGCGGCCCGCAGGATCTCAACTTACTTGACCAGTAATCAATGACCCAGAGGAATAGGTCACCGAGAAAAGCCGCCAGCTCGCCATTGAGCTTGAGGCCAGCTGGCCAACCCATCAGCCACGAAATACTGCTCTGGAGGGCCTCGACCGTGTAAGAGCAAAGCAGATCGCTGATCTGGTCTGCCACCCAGTCCGCATTTTCAATAATGTACGAGCCAAGGGCGATGCCGATGATGACATCGTTGGCAACGAGCCACAAGCTGTTGTAAAATCGGATGTAGTCAGGGTGGCTTGTCGTCACGCTCGCCCAGTTGCCCTTCCGTTGCCGCAACGTTAGGTACTGCATAGGCCAGTAGCAGAACTGTTGCAAGCGGATTTCTATCTGTTGTGCGGTTGCCGATATGTCCTTCAGAGCGGCATAGCCAGGTTTGACTCGAAACTCGAGGAAGACGAGCAACATCTCAGCCATCATGCGGTGACCCATGAGCAATAGAATAAAAGCCTTGCGCAGGACAGGGAAGAGATAGACCGTAAACCACGTCCACAACTGCAAGATGACATAGTTTCTCATAGTTGTGGCTGATTCGACCACTCTCTCAGACACACTAAGACTTCGTCGTGGTCTCGTCCCAATCCGCCCGACGTTCTTCTGTAGCGTTTGCTCCAACTCCCATGACCAGTTGACTTGGTTGACAATCTTCGGCAATGCCTTGTCGCGGGCAGACGGTACTCGCTTGAAGATGGAATGCTGCCTGAGCTTCTCAACCAGTTTGCGCTTCTCCTCCTTTAACTGTATATCATGAAATTCGTCATCCGGGTCTGGTGCTGCGACACCACCTATCGAGGACCGGTCGCGTCCAAGCGCAAGGGAAATGGGGTAGAGTGAAATGTATTGCATCCCTTGCGGCCTGGGTCGATCATAGAGAATAAGCTGAACACTGGCCGCCTTGGCGCATGTAATCCTCGGGGCTCGTTGGTTAGGACTGGTCGTCGCGCAAAACCAAGATGGATCTGCAACGCTCGGATCGGGTGCGTTGGAAAGGCCTAAGACATGCATCGAAGAATGGCCGCATATTTCGTAGATTCGGTTTGGGGGGTGAGGTTCGCTGCGGAAGAAGGTGCCAGACCGAAGGTGGAACTCGGCATTGCGAGCCTAGCAGAGGTCAGTAGAAGCTTAAGACAATGGTAAGACTGTGACTTACATCAACATCGTCTAAGATGGCCACGACAAAGACATCGAGAGTCGAGTTGCGCCACCCCACTACGACCCCAGGGCGATCCGACCTGCGAATGTCCGTCGGCCAGAACACTCTCATCAACCCATCATGCTCTACCATGACAAGCAGTGGTACTGGTTGATAGATTCGCACTTAGAATGAACCCCGCCGCCGCAGCTGCTCTCGCGCAGAGACGTTTATACCTGGTGTTCGTGGATGCTAGACCAATCAGCCCCAAGTCAAAACCACAACCACAACCTCAACAGGACATGTCGCGAGCGTACCAGATGCGTCTCTTTTCGGGATATTAACACGGTCGGGGTAAAAATGGCGAGAAAAAGAATGGTTAGGCCAGCGAAACCTTTTGCCGCGCGCGCCTGGGTGAAGGGAAGCGTCAGTCTAAAAAGTCGCTGGGATCGCAACTGGCCAGATGGCCTCGCACGATGGGTCACTCACAACAACTCCGTTTTCCCAAGCAAAGATGGCAAGTTCATAGAGGCGAGTGACGAGGTCCCAGCGCGCAGTGGTGTAGCCAGCTACAAAGATAGCGAGCGTAAGGACGGAGAAGGGGTGCATAGAGCGTTATTCCTTGTGGCAGGACATGGACATGCCAAGCCGTCGGGAGGTGGGTTGCCGGCGGGACAAAAGGCGGGATATCGTCTTGGCCGCAGATCGGAGGATTTTGCACGAAGCGCACGACGACGCGCCAAGGTGGGGGGATCGCGACGTAGTGGCGGGTGAGACGAGGTCGGCCGTTGCGAGAGTCGGAGTCGGGGCGAGGAGAGTCGGAGCGAGGAGAGTCGAGGCGATCGCCGGTTCAATGTCAATGGGAGGATTGCATTACCCCTGCATCAGAGCTGCTTGCGTGGATGGTTCATGGATCCAATCACCAATCCAATGCTAGCTCGAGCGTCAACGACAAAAAGTGGGCCACCGAATGTCGCTGGAATCACGTGGCAGTTCCGAGGTATTCGCTTGTCGCATCATGGGCATGGCCATGGCCGTATTGTCATGATGTGAATGAAAGCTGCCGGAGGGAGATTTTTCTTTTATTGATGTGATGAGGGGAAATGATTATTTGATGGCGTGTGCATGGTTGAAAAAAAAAGTCTCTGATCCGAACCCCGAGTGTCCCGCCGGACAGGAAGGCCCCAATATTCCTGGGTTACCCAGAACGCCTTACTCGCCCAATGAATGCCAGTATCTATTCTGGGGAGTTGTTAGAGACGGGGGACGCATATGCATCGGGGGATTTCAACTCACTTTTGGTTCCCATGTGTTTCACATCATTGTCTCTGTTGTCCTCACGGGCATCGTCCAGCAGCTTGTCGATGCCACGTTCCTTGAGAGCCGCCTGTCCCGAGCCGTTAGTTGTCGTAACACCAAACTGTCCTCACTCAGTCTTACGTGAAGGCATTTTTGATAGTCCTTGAACAGGCCCGCGCATTCTTTGTTGTCCTTTTCCTGTCCCCTGAGGTACTCTGCCACTTGTCAGCATGTGGGATCAAACACTACGATGCGAGGAAGACCATACTCTCGCTGTACCACTTCAAGAAGCATGTATCATAGCGCCTACGCAGGTTAGTCGACATTGGTTCGCATGAGAGGACTCGCTTGTGGCATACTCTTTCACTTCGTTGCATTCCGGGGCGAGAGAAGCTGACATGGTGGCGATGATGTAGTTGAAGCTATGAGAATTCTAGCGCGAAGCGTCTCGGAGGATGAGAAGACGCCAAGGCCGCGTCACTCCACTACCTAAATCTGACAGCGACACTTTGAGAGGTCGCCACACCGACTCAGGGGCAAATGTCGAAAGAATATACTGGCACTTTCAAAAACGATGACGAAATTGAAGTCGCAAAATATCCTTGAGACCAGACCCAGATTCGACTTTGACTCGGGTTCGGGGACGTGCAAGGTCCGCCTCTCGCCTCATTGGCTGTGGCGCATGCGCAAGTCCAGCCGTATGTGATTCGCCAAAGCTCCTTCCCCGCCATGCGCAGGGATGTTCGCACTTGCGCAAGCCCCCAACCACTGCCATGCTCAGCGCGTCTAGACGCGACATCCACCAAAGGCCCCTTGGTGAATTCAACTCCTAGTCAGGTAATTCCGCAAAGCCGGTCGCCTTCCCCGGATTCTTACACGTTATACATCGCTCTCGGTTTTCGTATTTCATTTGTTCCGACCATGGCACCGCCAGCCAAGAAAATTGAGCAGGCGCTGCTTGATGGGACCTACGAAGTGTATAGCGAGGCTCCCGATGACACAACGGTGAACAAAGTCCGAAAGCATGTCGAGGAGAAACTCAGCCTGAAAGATGGCTTCTTCACCACCGGCAATTGGAAGGCAAAGAGCAAGACTCTCATCAAGGATCGCGTTGTATGCTTTGACCAGCTTCACAGGATGCGTTCTCTGCTAACCACTCTGTCTAGGACCAATTAGTAGACGGATGGGTCCCGGAAACCAAGGAGGAGTCTGATTCTAACGCAGGCACTAAGCGTCGCTCCTCTGCATCTACAGCTTCCAAACCCAAACGCCAGAAACGTGCTCCGAAGCCGAAGAAGCTGGCCAAGAAGGTGGAATCAGACCTGAGTGAACTCAGTGAGCTAAGCGAGCTCAGTGACGAGGAGAAGCCTCAGCCTAAAAAGAAGGCCACGGCAACTAGCAAGGCGAAGAAGGTGGACTCTGATGAAGAGGATGACATGGCCAAGTCCGAAGATCCAGCTCCGGATGCTAAGCCCGAGCCTGATGTCGAGGATGTTGAAGAAGAGGACAAGACCCAAGGGGGGGCGGATGACGAAAGTAAACCGGCTCCTGCCGAAGAGAAAAAGACTCCTGTGGTCAGGATGATGCCAAATATCACACTCGGCGAAGAAATCAAGGATGAGGAGACGGGCACAACGAATGACGTTGATCCCATGCCAGTTGATGAGGAAGACGAATACTCCGATGTCATCGACGAGCCGGTTAAGCCCAAGCGCAAGAAGAAGGAGAAGAAGGAGAAGAAAGAGAAGAAGGAAGCCTCCAGCAAGCCGGTCAAACCATCCAAAGCTGCCAGCAAAAAGACATCAGAGCCCGACGACCCGCAGGAAGCTGAGATCAAGAAGCTCCAATCCCATCTCATAAAGTGTGGCATCCGGAAACTCTGGCACATCGAACTGAAGGAACACGGAGGCGATTCACGCGCCAAGATCCGTCATCTGAAGAAGATGCTCTCAGATATCGGCATGGATGGGCGCTTCTCGGAGGCCAAGGCGCGCGAGATAAAAGAAACTAGGGAGTTGATGGCGGAGGCAGAGGCTGCTCAGGAAATGAACCGCTTGTGGGGCATGGGGGGCCGTAGCCGGGCGAGCCGAAGCAAGAAAGCCGAGCAGGAGGATGGGAGTGAGGCGAGTGGTGGTGAGGGCGAGGTTGGCGGAGAGGGCGAGAAGGGCAGTGAGGGTGGAGGTGATGACGAGGATGAGGACATCACGTATGCGGCAAGGCGGAAGAGGGTGCAGGCCGAACTGGCCTTTTTGGGAGACGACAGTGACTCGGACTAATTATGGCGTTCATGTTCCCCGGGTTGCTTGCTAGGTTGGCGTGATGGTCAAGTTCGGAGTCATGCTATGTATCACGGATGCTCTTGTACAATACTACTCAACGAATGTGACGATTTGAGGCTTTTGATTTGACATGTTTGAGTATGTGGGATAGATATGTCCAGCAATTATTCCGCCCACGCCTTGTAGACAAACCTCGCGCCAAACGACTCACCCTTCTTCACGACCACCATGTTCTTCCACTCGGGCACGTTGCAAGCATTCACATATCGGCCGGGTTCGCAGCAGAAGCCGCTCCGGGATCCGCGGGCAGCCTGGCCCTCGATGGCGGGGACGTCGATGTATTTGCCGGTGTAGAACTGGAAGGCAGGCTCGGTGCTGAGAACCTCGAGGTGAATGCCGGTCTTGGGGTGGTGGGCGGCAAGGTTGAGCTTCAGGGGCTCGTTGCGGGTGTCGATGACGACCGAGGACGGGTCGGTGTTGACGATGAAGCAGTTGTCCACGTTGGGCTCCAGGGGGCCGAGAGTGAAGGGAACGTTGCCCTCGATTCCTGCGTAAGGCTCGATGCCGCCGACGGGGATGCTGCCGTCGTCGAAGAGGAGGTTCTGGTTTGTAGGGAGGGTCACGACGGTGCCCTCGATGGTGGGCTCGCCACTAAGGTTGAAGTAGGAGTGGTTCGTCAGGTTGATGATGGTCTCATCGGCACCACCCACGAGCTTGGCCTCGTACTCCATGGAGAGGATAGTGGCCTCCTTGCCGTTGACTTTCTGGGTGCCGGTGGTGTAAATGATGGTGGCCTCGACGGTGCCAGGGTATCCCTCATCGCCATCCTCACTAAGGAGCTTGAATGCCACGCTCTCTCCGCCCTGGAGGCCCTCAATTCCGGGCACCTCGCGAATACCAACGGGCGTGGGGCCGTCCCAAACACGCTTGCCCCAGCCTACAGTGCCGCCGTGGAGGTGGTTGGGGGCATTGTTGACGACGAGCGGGTATTCCTTGCCATTGAGACTGTCGATCTTGGCGCCCTTGATGCGGTTGGCCCAGCGGCCGATGGTCTCACCAAAGTAGGGCGTGTTGTACTTTACGTAGTCGTCGGAGGTAGGGAAGCCCTGAACAATATTGGTGCCGTTGACGACAAAGGACTGAATGATTGCGCCGAGGGGGAGCAAGGAGATGGGAGCGTCGGCCATGATGGGGCGGGGTGTGAGTGACGTCGGCGATGTGGGGAGACAATAGAGGGGCAATGATATCCTGGCGTCAGTGTCGAGGTGACGATTCACTAGAGATGGCACAGAGAGAGAGGAGAAGAGGAAGAGATGAGAATAAAAAGAAACTAAGCATGAGACACGACATCCATCAAATAATATCCCGATGGTCGGAGACGCGGTGAGGTTTTAGCCAGTCGATTCGGACGCTGGAGTCAACAGCGGGGGGGATAAATTGCCATGATGGAGCGGCCGGCCCCATCGCGACTTCAGGCTAATTGGCGTGGTAAAACCTGCCGTATCCTGCACATGGGCCACGCCGTTGAATTGCACGGAATCCCACATCAGCATGGACTATTCGCTCGCACGATAGTACGACGTCTGGCACCAGCTGAGTACCAAGGGACGGGAGAGCTGCGGGGTTGCGCCCAGCGTGTGTGGTTGCGGGGCTTCTCGTCATGATGGGATTGGCATGACTCCATGACATGACGCTTTGGCATGGCTTGAGTGGCGCGGTTGCAGCGAGCTCACCGAAGGGGCTGCAGCTTGTGGTTGGCGTGCATGGATGAGCTATCTGTGACGGGACGGCGGATCGATTGCCGCCGTACTCCAATGAACAGTTGGGGGTTAGCTCGAAGGGGAGCAATAGGGAGGTGGTCGAATGGGCAATGGTAGAGGGATATTAATCACCTTGAAGGTGCAAACATTGAAGCCATGTTGGGTCGGATCGAGTTGGGAATATATCCAAGCGGGGAATGTCGCCCAGCAGCCAGGTCGAGTTACCCATAGCTCCACTCGCGGTAAAATGTACCGAGTAAGTATAGCCCAGCGGATGCGGAGTACTACTATCTCGAGCTACTTCCAGAGAGCGAATAATGAATTCAGGAGCTTCGGATTCTTTAGTTGCCGAACTTGACCAAAGCAGGTAAACCTAATACGATGGGAAGCAGACGTCTGACAAAGCAAGTGTCAGCTCTACATTCAACTCAGATGCAAGATAGTGCACTCAACGCCAAACTCCCGGTGAACTCTCAGATGACTCGGAAATTTATGTAGTCAATTTAATGTGCAACATGGTGGTATCTCAAAAACTATCCCAAAACCAAATTCATCAATCCTGACGTGCCTTTTTGCTCCAGTTCATTACCACTCTAACCGGTCGTCACAGACGAGACTGACATCAAACCGCTCATCGCCCTTCCACACCTTGCTCGCTGAATTACATCCCGCAACGATCGTCCGCAGATCGCTCACCATGCTACCGGGGCCACTGGCAAACACTGTTGTAGGGCCTCGGATTGTGCTGGAAACAAACTCGTTGACCAACTTGCCCAGTTTCGGGTGTCGGTCTTGGTCTTCTTCGCCGTGGCCCGTCTTGGCCACTGGCACGTCCGTACCGCACTCGCATCCAGCATCATCTGAGGCGGATGACGATGAAGAACTGATCTGCTTCGTTTCCGTGGTGGTCTCGTCCTTCTCGAGGAGGAGGGGGCTACTACCAGCATCACGCGTCGCATAAATGCGGATCTTCAGGTTCAGGGCTTTTTGGGCCATGCGCAATAGGTCCATCTCCTCGCGAACCCATTCGGCGTCGGCGGCATGGCGAATTGCCCAGATGAGCTCGAGCTTGCGGTCTCGGGTGACCGGTGACCGGGCAAGCTTCAGGAGAACAGGGAGCACGTAGGTAATGCCGGTGCCTCCAGCCACGCAGACGATGTTGGTGTCGAGGTTGATGTTGTCCATGATGGTTTCGCCGTATGCGCCAGTAAGGATGACGGAAGTAGTAGGCTCGCCTCCAGTGCCCTGGGCTTTGACTGCGGCCAACTCGGTGATCTTCTTGGTCTCACCCTTCTTTGCTCTCAAAATGTAGGAGTGCTTGACCATGCCCTTTTCCACAACCGGCGCATTCAGGGGGGTAAAGGGGTGGGATTGCCAAATGCTGCTCTCGGTAAAGCATAGGTAATAATGCTGGCCAATTGCCCAGGGGTCCTGGTTGTTTTCGAGGTCGAGACGGAGGACGTCTCCGTGTTCCGAATCAGGGAAACGAGTGATAACGGCCTGCGCCGCTCTGAAGCCCATGGTGCCGGAGGGCAGGTGGTGATAATGGAGGTAGGCGGTTCTAAGGAAGCGGAAGCCGCGGTCGATGAACCAGAACAGCAGAGAGGGCAGAAGGAAACACTTCAGCTGCTTCCAGTGGCCCCAGCAGGCGCCAATGTAGACCATGGCCAGGACATAATGGGCCTTGCGGAAGAATTCGTAGCCGGTCAGTCGGATAGCCCAGGGGGTGCTGAGAATCACAAGAAGGGTCAAGAAGAACATGGCGACGACGCCCCAAATCATATAAGTCTGAACGATCCACCCAAGACCGACAGACGGCTGGGGCTGGTAAAGTCGCATCTCGACGACGCACCAGCCAATGGTGTGAAGACCACCTTGGGCGAAGATGACATATCCCAACCACCGATGCAAGAAGTTGAAGCTCTGATAGGGCACGCCCGTGATGAGAGAGAGGATTGACTCTCGGCTAGACAGCATTATAGAAAGCGGCGTCAAGGCATAAGCCAGCACGCCGATACGATCAGACCATGGGCCGAGAGTAGAGCGGGTGTTGTAAGTGCCGGGCATGTCCTTCACAGGAGTAATCCACTTGCGGTATGTGAGACCAACAAAACTCCAGATGGTCAAGTAGCCCACTAGCGAGGCGAGGATGACGACTTGGAGACGTGTAGTGCGTCCGAAGATGGAGCGGACGGCGTCGGGGAGGAAGTACTGGCGAGTGGCCGCGCCGATTGTGCGGCGGACTTTGGTGAGGCCGGCTTTGGGGCTGAGCTCGGGGGCGATCGGCGGAGACGAGGCCCGGCCGATGTGTCGGTAGATGGCCCAGACGAAGAAGATGCCGAGAATAGTGGCCCATAAGATAGCTGAGTAGAGCATGCTAAGGTCGTGAGCATAGTAGACGAGATCGAGGTACTCGCATGAGCCCGCGTCGTTGGTGCAGGGCAACGCTCGGTCTGCGTAGCCCCAATGCGGCTCGAGGGTTTTGGCCTCGCTCATGTTCTGGATGTGGCGAGCACCCAGCTCGTGAAGGGACGACGCCATGGCGACTGGAAGATGGTGTCGGATGTGCCTTGAGCGCTTGGAGGGACGCAATGGGTGACGGTGGGCAAGCCAAGTATAATGGTGGCAGTGGATCGTGACGGGAATGAGAGAGGATCAATCCAGCAACCACAACATACTCGCACTTACACTCGTTCTCACGTACACACTCGAGAAGTAGGAGAGATGAGTAGCAAACTTGCCGTCACCAACGGACGTGATGCCATAGAAATAAAAAGAAGGCGACTGGCCCCCTCGCCAAGAGCCCACTGGGAATCCCATGCCGCCATGCTTGGCCGGCTCTCCGCACCGGTGCCCTGGGACGGAACCAGGCCGGATCGGGCAAATGTTTCCTATATACTTGCTCACAGTCTCCACGTTGAATCAAGCGACGTCGTAGCGGAGAGACGGTAATGAGACGAGGGCGGGACGAGAAAGTGAGGGCCGAGTCAGGATGGGTCAGGATCAACCGCGATAGCTACGGAGTAGACGGGCCAAATTGGGGTAAAACTGGTGAAACTGGTGAAACTGGAACCCAATTAGCTCCAGCGAGCTCAAAACTGGTCCCTAGCGGTTCCGATGAGACCCCCGTGAGCAGAAATGAGCACGTTTTCCCGGGGTCCGTCAGTGGGACCGTTGAGCTTCAGGTCCACCGGCTCCGCACACGAGCTCTCGGCCTGCGACAAGACCATGTCTCGGCCGGGTCTCGACGAGCAAATAAATCAGTCTTTACTCTCTGAATTAAGCTTGATCTTATTAAAAACCGCCAGATCCTCGGTGGCGTCCGCCTCTGCCGCTACCTTATTTTCCTCCCCCTCCCCCCTGTCCGTTTCGGTGGAAACGACTCAATCGTTCTCACTCCATTACCCATCCATCACATATACGACGCGATTCATATTGGTCTTGGCATTCGGTGGAACCCCTTGCGACTATCCCCTCCACTCTGCCGGATTGGGATATGGACCGACAACTTGCTCAGACCCTATAAACCCGCTCACCCACACTCCATTTGAGCCGTCCTGCGAGGGGCGTAGATTCCATACGAGGGCTTTGATGAGACGACGTTCTGCTTTTTATTCTGCTTTTTGTTAAGTAGACTCGACTTGAGCTGTTCTGTTTCTGGCCAATCCGCCCGACTTTGGACCACACATACGATACAGACAACTCCCTCGATCCGCCAAGATGGATATGACCAGCGATAGCAGCAGCGCCGACTGCAAAGTCAACGTACGCCTCCTAACCGCAAGCCACCACGACTATACTCCAGCTAACCTCGCTCCTAGATGCTCTGGAATTGGTACACCATCGATGCCTGCTTCCTCACAACATCATGGCAGATCCAAAACGAAGGCATGATGGCCGCCACCTGCATCGGCGTAATCCTGCTCGTCATCCTCGTCGAGTTCTTCCGCCGCATGGGCAAGGAATACGATAACCTACTGCACCGCCAGTTCGAACGCCAGGCCACCACGCATGGCACCGCGCTCGCCGCTCAGGGCTGCACCGGCGCCGTTATCCCCACGCGCCAGACCATCACCTTCCGCGCCTCGCCGCTGCAGCAACTGGTGCGGGCCGTTATCCACGCCATGACCTTTGGCGGCGCATACATCATCATGCTGCTCGCCATGTACTTTAACGGCTACATCATCATTTGCATATTCATCGGCAGCGGCCTGGGCAAGTTCCTGTGCGACTGGTTGGTGGTCAGGATTGACATCGAGGGGCTCGACGACGGAGGACACGGAAAGTCCAAGGGCATCGAAGAGACGACTGTTTGCTGCGGCTGAGCTGGCTTTGCTGGTCAAGATTTCATCTTTACTTGACGACTGAATGAACCGGAAGCGCTGCCAGTCGGGTTCTCTGTTTTTGTTTAAATTGTTTGGCGATACCCCTACGCGAAGAACTCGGAATTCTAAGGAGACAGCTTCAGCTCATTAGAGACAGCACTGAGCTCCTTGAGTATCTAGTTCTGAAGCGATAGCCTTTTAGTAATACGGGAAGGAATGGCAAGTGCATCGACGGAGAGAGGAGGCGTTGCATAAAACGAGCAGCGAGGCCAGAAATGGCTTGAATTTACCAAACCCACTCCTACATCGCCAATAACCCTGCATTAGTTGGTCTTGATATATCCAAAAGTTCACCGTCATGAAGTCCTTTGAAATCATTCCAACATTATAAAAACCATTAACAAAGGCCCAGACGCTGATTGCAGCAAGCGTCATCCGAGGTGCCGAGAGAATGAGGTGCGGTGACCTCCCAGAGTACAAAAGCTAAATAACAAGCTCAAACCGGCTCAGTAGACCCTATTTTAGATGCAACTATAGCTCTAGGCATTAAAAATATGTTGAAACTGCGCACGTAGGACCCGCTAGTCCCAGCCTTCGGTATGCTACTCTGTGACCTGTCAAAGCCAAATCCACTCAAGGACTCTACCACCCCCGCAGAACATCTTAGTGCAGCTCGGGGCCGATCTTAGATCGAAACCCATGCGCAATGTTCCGGCCCGGTGGTTTACAGGTTCATAAATGGACAGTGTCGTGATTGGAGAAGAGCTGCGAACTCGTCCGCCAAGGAGGCGTCGCTCTGCAGTGGTTGCGGAGCCCATGCCTGCATGACAAACTTGCTCATACCAGCTCGCGAGTCGTTACCCTCCAAAAAATCATGGGAAAAGAGTCGTCGTTTTCAAAACCAGAATGATTGATAAAGGGATCAAGGCAATGTCGAAGGCTTGGCCAGAGGGGCACAAAATGGAGGCCATTTCCAGATTACCGGGGCCATGTCTGGCGTTTGATCCGCGGAACAACGTGTTCTGGTGCAGAAGTGGCACTCTGTCATCTGCCTGCACTAAAAATGAACCCGATAACAATATGCTCAATCACGCTCTAACGCCCCTTATGAGGTGAGGTGGTTGTTTCAAGGCTGTTGTCGTTATTATCAGGGCGGCCACGCCATGTATCAACCCAGTGTCGCCAGGATCGCGCGACGATCGGGCCAGGATCAGCCTTCATTGCCATGACCATCTCAGAAGCGAGCTGAGTATACAACAAGCCTTTCAGCTTTGCTTCATTCTCTTCTCCAAAAAAATCTCAAAAAAGTTTGCAGTGCATCATCATCATGTCTTTCTCAAGTTCGTTTTCGACATCGTCGTCATCTACCTCCAGCTCTCCCCTACTCTTCCATCATGTCCAACCCCACGGCGACAAAATGGAGAGCGAGCTGGAGATTGTTAAGGCCTGGTTCTCAGTGCTAAACGACTCGGAGCGGTCGGAGGCTCTGTCTTCCATCGCAGAGCTGCCGTGCCTCCGAGAAATAGAGCCCTTGATCCAAACGCTTAAGGAGCGCAAGCGGGATCTGTGGCGACGGCAGGAAGAGCTCATCATCCAGCCACCAAACAGGATGAAATGGGTCATGCCAGTGTTCCCCCGCAACACCCAAGACCCAAAGTGGGCGGCCAAATGGCTGAGGGCCCTGAGGCTACACAAGTACGAGAAGTGCTTGTCGGGGTTGTCGCCAGCGCAGGTTGAACGGCTGAACGACGAAGACCTGCAGGAGCTGGGCGTGGACACCGTAGGTGCCAGAGGGAAGCTTCTCCGAGTAAGTTTTTTATACTATAACCGGCATGCAGCAGCGCCCGGTATCGTTAGTCTGCAGTATTTCTGACCCCAGACAGGCCATCCAGAGTGGTTGAGCATCGACGATGCCACTGTACACAAGAACGAAAAATAACGACAACACACATTCAAATGCATCGCTCCCTACGAGCACGACGGCGCAGGCGTCTCTAATTCAACTAGCGGGCGTATTTGGGATTTGAAGGGCTTGGGAAATTTACCTGGCTCCCATAATTGGAGTTGCACGGAATCCAAGTGGTTGTTTGGGATGTGATACCACCCAACAATCTTGACAATTCCCCGGATTTCGTAGATATGGGAATACATTTATACAAAATACATCATTGACTCATTCGCCTTAAAACCAAGCTGTTATTTCTAAATATGCTACTCCATGTCATGATGATCATTTTAGCCATTTCGCACCGCGAACGCTGGGCTTGCAGAATGGTCACGATCTTACCCTACATTCTAACCCATCCTAACGAACTAAGTCTAGTTGTTTCATGATCAAGGGCGATCAAGGTGTCTTAGCCTTGGTCTTTCGAGGAAGACCCTTCTCCTTTCTCGCCTTAATATCAACGTCGGCGAGTGATCTGCTGGCCTTGACGAGCTGGACAATATTGAGAAATTGCTTGATGGCCATGACCGGGAAGCTGGCTCTAACCAGAACCCACGGCCAGAATGAATCGATCTTATTAGCACGGGCAATTTCCAGTGCCGCGGCGCTGTAAGGGTTCAGGAATAACTGCTTCAGGAGTGACGTGTTGACAGCACCGGACTGGGCGATGTCTCCACCCGTCGTCTCCCTAACATCCTCGAGAAGCTCAGACGAGATGGGGGACGACGAGAAGGATACAAGATAGAGAGCGATAAAGAAGAGCTCGTTGAGAAAACAAACGATAAATAAGACGACCTAAACAAGAAGAATCAGTTGGCATGCCACAATCATAGTCACACATAATCGGTGGTGTACCTTGTTAGAGTAGTACAAATTCAACAGCCAGCTCTGGCTTTTGTCGATATTCTTATGGCTCGACTCGGCACCTCCCACGACCAGAGTGGCATACATGTGGATATAGTGGCTGGAAAAGTCCAGGGCGATGAGACCCTGGAAAACAACCGCCCATCGTGGGAAGGCCAATGCCAGAAAGACCAACAGACATGATGTGGTGCAGCGGTCCGTGACCATGTCGAGGACGGCGCCAAAGCGCGTTGACTGCTCGAAGGCTCTCGCAGCGAACCCATCGAAGGCATCGAGCAGACAGGACACACTATAGAGCACCGAGCAAGTGCGGGGGTGTATAGGCATGTAATAGAGTGAGGCGATAGCAAGGACAATCCGACAATAGCCTGCCGGTAAGTACCGTTAACAAAAGGAGGCGTGTATCGGATGGGATGAGGAAAGCAACGTACCGATGATATTGGGCCAGAAGAGGAAGATATTCTCATGAGTAGTTGCGTCCGACTCATCCGACCCAAGGTGGTTAGAATTATTGCCGTTCATCTTGACCTTGTCGTACTCGCTGACCGATGTGTGCATATCGCTCGTTTCCGCGTCCGTCCTTTTAGACTGGGAGGTTGATTTGATGGCTTCAGAGTTGCAGGACCTGCTTGCGACGTCGAAGATTGGGATGAGGGAAGGTCGATGTGTTCATTTGATCATGGTGAGAGACTGTGAGACGGTCGTGAAAAGATGACTAGGGTAAGATGGTTTGGGCTTCGAAGTGGTTGATCTGCATAACCGAGCGAACCGAACGACTGATGACGGGCGCCAAGAGGCTCCAGATAGAATAAGATGACGTGCCAAACGTGGCTAAAATAAAAAGAAACCGCGCCTGTAAGAGTGAATGAGTGGATGAGGGACTGCAGGGGGGCTAAGGATTGGAGTGGCCTCGTCGCTCTAGCTTGATCCTCTGAAACCACTGTACATCAGATCACACAAGACGTGTTATTCCGACAACGAACTATCATCAGACCATGTCAATTCCGTCACAGATTTAGGTGATCCAATTTCCAAGATTAAACTCCTATTATACTTGTTAAAATACCAACGAGAAAGCTTATGGGAACAGGTACCCGCCCGGTTATGGACCTACAGGAGCCACCCGGATTGTCTATATTTAGGGCGTCTCGACATGCACTCTCTGAAACATGCTGCAGCCACCTGGTTGGGTGGGTGAGACGGTTTTTGGATACTTGCCTCTCAGTTTTCAGAGGAGGTAAGGCAGCGGAGATGGCTCTGACAGACTACCTGATGGATCCTGGCGTTGAGGTGGGAGGCTTTTCTCCGAATGGAGGAGAGGCTCCTCAAAGGTAATACCATGTTGAGTTGAATTAACCCAAGCCGATACTTAAGTAGGCACAATGAACCAACTAATTAAGCCACATGGAATGGATTATCTGCGGAGGTGACGGCGGAGCGTGACACCCTGGTGGTGCAAGCGCACAGGGCGGGCCGCAGCACAGGCACCTCAACACGCCTACAGACCTCCAAACCACCTACAGCTCCAGGTCCCTTCATTAGCTCCCACGCCGAACAAGGCGGTTCAACTCCCGCCCTTCGCCCGCAAGGATCACGATGGCAGCCGCGTCACCCAAGAGCACTCCGAAGCGCAAGCGTGGCGACGAGCCATGGATATCGCCCATCAAATTCTCCTTTGAACCGCCGACCGCCTCGACCTCGAACGATGGCAGCAGCAGTCCCCGATCGGCCGTCGCTCACAAGTTCCGCGGCCTCGCCCTGGAAAGTGGGGGCGGGGCAACCAGCGACGACAACGATGCCATCGAGTCGCTGAGGAAACGCCAGAGACCGGATGATTTGATGCTCGATGCTCCGCAGGCTGACCCTCCAAAAGTCGATGATTTCGTCGCCTTGGACGGCAAGCCTGTCCTGTCGTTCTCGCTCGCCGCCTCCGCAGCCACCCCGCAAGAGGAGCCCGTGAAGCTGGCTCAGCTGCCGAGCCCAGACGGCGGCCTCAACCGGTCATACCCGTCCATCAACCGCTTAGCCGACTCCAAGTCGCGAGTCAAGAAGAGAACCAGCTCGCCGCTGCGCTTCAAGAAGACATCGAAACATCCGGACGAAGACGACGACGACTCCGAGATCGAGATCGTCGACCCGGTAAGAGCCGCCCTGACGTGGCACGAGGATGAAATCACCATGTACGACCCTGAGGACGAAGATGACGATGGCACCGGCATCAACGGCATCGGATTCAAGCCCACACCCGCGCTGGCCCATGCCAGAACCCTGAAGAGGAGGCAGCAAATGGCTGAATACCGTAAACGGGAGGAGAGCGACGCCAGAGCCAAGCGCAGCCAGCGACGCCGCGGAGCCTCCGATATCGCCACCGGACCGGGTGAGAAGTCTCCGTCAAGGAAGGTTAGGTTCATTGACGCCGAGGCCCAGAGCATTGCTATTACCACGGGATAATATCATGTGGGAGGGCTGAATGGGACTACCTGCCGGGAATTGTGTGGTTTTGGTACAGGGATTGGGGTTAGGCGGCGGCACACTGGCTCCTGGCGTTTTGTTTTTTTGTTCCAGCTTTCTTTTTCTTCCTCTTTCGACAGCATCTGCGCTGGTTGATACCTTGGTCTTCCTTGGTTGGGACGTTTCTACAGGTTATCTGGTGTTACTTGGTCGAGAACTATGGACGGTAACTTGTGATTCCACACTACTCCCTTTTATACCCAGTTCTTCAGAGAACTCTCGGTTCTGGTTTTCTTTAACGATGAAATTTTGATTTTAATGAGAAAGTTCCTAAACTTCTGTCTATCCTGTGAACCTTGCCATATTGTACAAGGGAGTTTGTTCGTTTCCACGGCTGTGGCCTGGTGGATGTCACACATACTCATACATGATAATACAAAATAGACCCGGTATCGAGCTCACCAGAACTTGTACCACGGCCTTTCCGCGGCTTTTCGCTCGGCCTCTAACCGCTGGTGCTCCTTCCTTGCCTCCATCAGCTTCTTTGCTTGTTCCCTTCTGTTTTCCGTCACCACTTCGATCTGTCGCTTCATCTGTCGGCGCTCGACCCGTCGCAGGTACTGGCAGTATTCGTAGGATGCCATGCTCCCGAGGACGAAGAATCCGACGGCCCAGTTGGCAGCCTTGGTCGCATTTCCTAGGAATGGTTAGCATGGATGCGGGACGCTGGAGGGGTAGGAGGGGTGTCTCTCGCCTTGAACCACAAACTTCAATCCTCCCAGACCGGCACCAGAGGCAATTCCGGTGACGAATCCCTGGCGGGCGCAGGGCGTGTTTGCAATGTTCGCGAAGTCGTCCTTCTTGATCATGCCCACAGCCTCTGTGATTGTCGGCCGCGCATTCGGCTTCGTCGCTCCATTCTCGGTAGCGGCTTCGTTCTCTACCGGCTTGGACCAAACGTGCAGGGTCTTTTCCCCGGGCTGAGGTTGCGATTGGGGTAGCAGCTCTGGCTGCGGTTGGCCATCCTCCTGTGTCGGGGCCATTTCTGGCTACCTGTGCTGCGCAATTGGTATCATGAAAGGCGGCCGAGGTCGCTTTTGCAGAGCCAGCTCCCACATCGGCCGATCAATGACGCTGAAAATGGTGTTGCCGGCCTGGGCCGCTGGTGGTCCGTGCACCGACCCTCACGCCCTCAACACGCTGACGCTCAAAACCCATTAAACTATAGTGGGGCAGGAACGAGTGTGTCGCGCTGCCCTGGACTGGACGCGTTTATACGCGTCTCCCAGTCTACCAATCTGGGTCAAGGCTTTTGATGCCAGGCCCTTTCTCACCGGCGTCGCCTCCGTAACCTCCGCAACACACGAAACCCATTGTTGATTTTCGCCCTTTCCCAATTCGATCTCCACCTTTACCTTTGACGCCGGAAACCATTGCGCCTTTGTATTGCTCTTCTCATGACGGCTGCCGTCGTTGTTCGAGTGTCCCGGGCACAATAACTCGAAACCGTCTACTCCATCCCATCTCCTCCCACTTCATCCCAGGAGAGGATTCCCCACAATGCCCAACACAAGCCTCCGTCGCCCGCAAAAGGGCTTTCGCCGTGGAGGCAAGACTGCCTACCATGGAGCCCGAACTCGCACATTCGCCGCTTCCTCTCGGACAGAGGCCACCTCGGCGGACGAGAAATGGGAGCGCACGCGGCTCGCGCACACCATCGACGAGAACATGGGCTTCGCCCGATACGAGAGCGGCAAGAAGAAGGAAGGCTGGCTCGTCAACGTCCAGCCCACATCGCTCGAGGACGACAGGATACCCAACGGCCGGTCCGCTCTTGACTGCTACTTCATCGAGGAAGATGGCTCGACATTCAAGGCGACAGTGGAATACGACCCGTACTTCTTGATCGCCGTGAAGAAGGGGCACGAGTCCGAGGTGGAAGAATGGGTCAAGAGAGTCCCTGGAGACGGCGTAATCAAGTCGATTCGTCGAGTTGAGAAGGACGATCTGAACATGCCGAACCACCTTCTTGGTTACCGCCGAACATTCATCGAGCTCCGGTTCGCCAACGTCAACGACCTGCTGGCCGCGAGAAGGGACATCATGCCCATCGCGGAAAAGAACAAGAAAAATATGAATGCAATGGATGCGTATGCCGAGGTCGCGACGTAAGTACAAACCCCCCATCTCAAACTATCAGTGTCTAACACATCATACAGCGCCAACAACGGCAACTTTGACCTTTTTGACGATTTACGAGACGACGAACGACACATGAACAATTCTATTTCGGATGCTAGCGACTTTATTGTCGACATACGAGAATACGATGTTCCCTACCATGTACGAGTAATGATAGACTTGGGTGAGTGCTTCCACGCCAGATCTGTTGGACTAGTCGCTGACCCGGGCTACAGATATAAGAGCTGGAAAATGGTACTTCGTCGAGGCCAAACACGGCGTAACGAAGATCTACCCCAGCGAAGAGAGGTCGCTTCCAGCAGACCCTGTGGTCATGGCCTACGATATCGAGACGAGCAAGCTGCCTCTAAAGTTTCCCGACGCTGCCACCGATCAGATCATGATGATTTCGTACATGATTGATGGGCAGGGTTTCCTAATCACCAACCGCCAGATCATCTCCGAAGACATTGGCGACTTCGACTACACCCCAAAGCCCGAGTACCCGGGCCCCTTCATGATCTTCAACGAACCTGACGAAAAAGCTCTGATTGAAAGGTTCTTCCTTCACATCAAAGAAGCCCGTCCAACTGTTATCGCGACTTACAACGGTGACTTTTTCGATTGGCCCTTTGTGGAAGCTAGAGCAAGTGTCAACGGTATCGACATGTACCATGAGATTGGCTGGAAGAAGGACAGCGAGGACCAGTACAAGTGCAACTACAGCGTGCACATGGATTGCTTCCATTGGGTCAACCGAGATTCATATCTACCTCAAGGTTCTCGAGGTTTGAAGGCTGTCACAGTCGCAAAGCTCGGATACGACCCCGATGAACTCGATCCGGAGTTGATGACACCCTACGCTAGCGAGAGGCCACAGACTCTTGCAGAGTATTCCGTTTCAGATGCAGTCGCCACATACTACCTGTACATGAAATATGTGCATCCTTTCATCTTCTCTCTATGTACCATTCTTCCATTGGGTGGCGACGACGTCCTGAGGAAAGGAACGGGGACCCTCTGTGAGATGTTGCTCATGGTGCAAGCATATCAGCGGGAAATCGTGCTGCCGAACAAATACATAACTCCAAAAGAGGCGTTTTGGGATGGCCATCTCCTTGACTCGGAAACCTACGTTGGCGGCCACGTCGAAAGTATCGAGGCTGGTGTTTTCCGGGCAGACATTCCAGTGGACTTTGCTGTTGAACCGTCGGCAGTTGATGAACTTCTTGACGACCTGGATGCCGCTTTGAGGTTTGTCATCACTGTGGAAGAACAGAAGTCCTTTGACGATGTGGAAAACTATGAGGAGGTCAAGGCGCAGATCAAGGCAGCACTCATGAAGCTCAGGGAGACCCCCAATCGCCACGAGACACCTCTGATCTACCATCTCGACGTTGCCTCCATGTACCCCAATATCATGACCACCAACCGACTGCAACCCGACTCGATGATTAAGGAATCTGACTGCGCTGCTTGCGATTTCAACAGGCCAGGAAAGACTTGCGATAGGAGAATGCCTTGGGCATGGAGAGGGGAGTATATCCCGGCAAAACGAGACGAATACAACATGATTCGACACACCTTGGAGAATGAGAAATTCCCTGGAAAGTACCCCAACTCCCCAATGCGTGCGTTTCAGGAGTTGAGTGCGGATGATCAAGCGGGTCTTATACGGAAACGCCTTCAGCTGTACTCGCAAAAGGTCTACCACAAGATTCACGACTCCACCACCATCGTCCGAGAGGCAATCATCTGCCAACGGGAGAATCCCTTCTACATCAATACCGTCCGAGACTTCCGTGACCGTCGATATGACTACAAGGGTAAGGCCAAAACTTGGAAGGGGAAAACAGAGTCTCTCAAATCTTCCGGGGCACCTCCGAACGAGGTCGACGCCGCCAAAAAGATGATCATTTTGTATGATTCCCTACAGCTCGCTCACAAGGTCATTCTCAACTCCTTCTACGGATACGTCATGAGAAAGGGATCTCGCTGGTATTCTCTGGACATGGCCGGCGTTACTTGCTTGACTGGAGCCCATATCATTCAGATGGCTAGACAACTCGTCGAACGCCTTGGCCGACCTCTGGAGCTGGACACCGATGGTATCTGGTGCATGCTTCCAGCGACTTTCCCCGAGAATTTCTCATTCAAGCTCAAGAACGGAAAGAAGCTCAACATCTCGTACCCCTGTGTCATGCTTAACCATCTCGTCCACGCCAAGTTCACCAACCACCAATACCAGACCCTGGTTGATCAAAAGACGTTCAAGTACGAAACTCACAGTGACAACTCCATTTTCTTCGAAGTCGATGGTCCTTACAAGGCCATGGTTCTCCCCACATCGAAAGAAGAAGACAAGAACTTGAAGAAGAGATACGCTGTATTCAATGACGACGGAAGTCTGGCTGAGTTGAAGGGTTTTGAAGTCAAGCGTCGTGGTGAGCTAAAACTCATCAAGATCTTCCAGCAGCAAATCTTCAAGTTCTTCCTTGAGGGAACCACACTGGCAGAGTGCTACACCGCTGTAGCCAAGGTTGCCAATCAGTGGTTGGATGTCTTGCACAGCAAAGGTGTAACTTTAGCAGATGAAGAGCTGATGGAGCTCATTTCGGAGAACCGAAGCATGTCCAAGACCCTCGAGGAGTACGGCACCCAAAAATCAACCAGTATCACCACTGCCAAGCGTTTGGCGGACTTCTTGGGTGAGCAGATGGTCAAAGACAAGGGACTGAACTGCAAGTTCATTATTTGTGCTCGGCCCAAGAATGCTCCCGTCACGGAGCGAGCCGTCCCTGTTGCAATCTTTTCCGCGGAAGAGAGCGTCAAGCGAACCTATCTCAAGAAATGGCTCAAGGAAGATCCTGCCGATACGGACCCTCGGGCACTTCTCGATTGGGATTACTACCTTGAGCGTCTAGGCTCCGTCATTCAGAAGCTCATCACCATTCCCGCTGCCCTTCAGAAAGTTCGCAACCCTGTCCCGCGAGTTCCTCATCCCGATTGGCTGCAGAGGAGGATCAATATCAAGGAGGACAGGATGAAGCAAAAGAAACTCACCGATCTCTTCAGCAAGGGCCCGCTTGAGGACATCACGAATCGCAATGGTCCTCGAATGGATGATTTGGAAGACTTTGGTAGCAAGCTTCTAAAGCCTAAGCTCGTTAGCTCGGTCATTGCTGCTTCTCAATCCGCACCTACAGTTCAAAAACGGAAGTCTCCAGAGCCTGCCGAGAACCTTGACCCTATGGCTGCGTTGCCAAAGATTATGCCAAGCCCTTCGGATGACTATCCAGCGTTCTTGGATTATCAAAAACAGAAGTGGAAAATTCAGAAGCAGGCTCGCATTCGAAGACGACAGCTTTTCGGTGACCGACGAGGTCAGGCGGGCAGCAACATCCAGCAGACTTTCATGAAGCAAGCTCATGTCACTTACATGAACACTTGGCAAGTTTTACACTTGAAGACAACCGACACACCTGGAATTGTCATGGCATACGTCTTGATCGACGCCAAGATTCACACGTTGAAGGTCAACGTACCTCGTCAAGTCTTCCTCAACCTAAAGGGCAAGGACCTGCCTGATGTCGAGGTCGATGGCTGCGAGGTCGAACAAGTCAACTACACGTTGCCCAATGGTCACCCATCAAGTCACCTCTTCAAGCTCACTGTCCAGGAGGATACATATTTCAATGAGAACGAGAAGTTTTCACTCCTTTTCAATCATCCCAGTGTGGAGGGAGTGTACGAAAAACAGGTGCCTTTAAATATCCGGGCTGTACTGCGGCTTGGAAACCAGTGCACCATCGACGAAAATCAGCACGCAGTGCTCGGAAAGGGACTGGAGCAGGGCTTCGATCTTTCTGGTCTGAAGCGTCCAGCTAAACCGCGAACATATCTCGACACATCCCTTCTGGCTTACATCTACATCTCTCACATCACCGCAGGCGAGCGACAAATCTTTGGAATCTTCTCCACGACCAGCGATCAAGCACACGTTATTATTCTTCAGAAGAACAAGGATTCTGGACAAGATCTCCCAAACATCACCAAAATGTACTCGCAGATGCTTGCCAAGCGATCTGAGGAGGCTGCTGGGACGAACTGGCAGGATTGTTTCACCTACCAGGAAAAGCTCAACATTCGTATCACGCAAGTAACGACACGAAGGAAGGCTCATCTGGAGATCGGAGACGTTGTCAAAAAGATGCGCAAGGATGAGCATCGACCACAGATGTTGGTTGTTCAATCATCCCAGCGCAAGCTCCTCGTTCATGATGTCCCTGTCCTCGGGGATTTCCCTATTCTGCCGCTCAAATACGATGCCGCGGACAGCTCTCTGCCACCGCTGGGCTGGCAGTCTGTTATTGCTCGTCGTCTTGTTGGACACTACCTTGGCCTTGGATCGTGGATCCTGCATCTCACTGCCTTGGCACGATATGGCGATGTTCCTCTCTGTAACCTTGAGCTTGATGATCCTCGGTTCTTGATCGACATCGCCTATGCTCGCCGACTGCAAGCAAATGGCGTGGTTCTCTGGTGGTCTCCTGGGGCCCGCCCAGATCACGCTGGTTACGAAAGGGATGATATTTTGGGACCACTTGACACGGTCAAGATGCCAAGCGTCAATAACCCAGGAACATTCTCGTCGGTATGCATAGACATTGACGTCAGAAACCTGGCTATAAACACCATCTTAACATCCTCCCTCATCAACGAACTGGAGGGTGCCGATTCTGTCTCATTCAACCCGTCTGGCGGGGACGACTCTGAAACTTTACAATCAGAAAACGCCTTTGCCAACGCAGGCGTGCTTGTCCTACGAGAGATGGTCAAGGCATGGTGGGCCGAAGCGTGTCGAGGAAACACCATGGCCGATGTCATGGTGCAGCATCTTGTCCGCTGGGTGGAAAACCCTGACTCTTTCATGTACGATCGAGCATTGCATTACTACGTGCAAATGATGTCCCGCAAAGCCTTCCAACAACTCATGGCCGACTTTCGCCGCGTGGGCTCTCAGGTTGTCTTTGCCAACGCTAACCGACTCATTTTGCAGACGACCAAGGCGGAGGTTGGCAACGCGTATGCGTATAGTCAGTACATCATCAAGTCAATCAAGAGCAAACCCCTCTTCCACTTCATCGACCTGGAGATCAAAGAGTACTGGGACTACTTGGTCTGGTACGATGAATTTAACTACGGAGGCAAGGCATGCCAGGAGGTTATCGAGGCAGACGAGCAGAATCTCGAAACCGTCATGCACTGGCAAATGGCGACATTCCTCCCCATGCGACTGCAGCCGACTTTCCAAGACTGGGTAATAGAGTTCATCCAGCTGATGCATCACCTCAAGAGGCCACAGGGCAATGATCCTGATTCAACGCCGCGTCTCACCCAACTGCCAAACCGCGGCTTGGAGAATCAGGAGGGCCAGATCATTCTCGGCAAGGCTTTCGAGAAGCCTCTCAAAAAAGCCATCCTTGGACTCATCAACAAGCAAAAGCGCGAGCTGCTCCATCCAGAGCTCGCTGAGGACTACTCGTTCCCTAGCCTCCCAGGCTCGCATCTCGCCCCGCGCAACCCCATTCTTGAGCTTATCAAGTCGTTGATGCAAGTCCTCTCGCTTGACAAGAACATCACGCTGGAGGCTCGTCTCCTCCGTAAGGAGCTCTTGGCCATGTTCGAGATCCGCGAGTTCTCCAAAGACGGCACTTTTGCGAACCCCTCTGAGAGCCTTCGCTTGCCGCAACTATCTTGCGATAGCTGCACAATGACACGCGATCTAGATTTGTGCCGCGATGAGGACCTTGTTGGTGAGGGAGCAAACTGGCGCTGCAATTTCTGTGAGACCGAGTTCGATCGAGTCGCGATCGAGGAGAAACTGTTAGGTTTGGTTGAAGGATGGGTTGTCGAGTGGTCCACACAGGACTTGAAGTGTGTGCGGTGCGGAGCACTGAGGCTGAACGACTTTATGGAGCATTGTACTTGTAGTGGGGAGTGGAAGGAGGTTGTGTCGAGGGCTGAGGTGAACCGAAAACTGAGTGTCATGAAGAGGGTGGCCAAGTTCTATGGTCTGAGGATGTTGGCAGATGTGGTGGAAGGCTTATACCAGGGATTGTAATGGAGTTACGGGGAACGCATGGAAGAGGAGTTTGAGCTGGTATCAACGGGTCTTATAATGAATCACACTTGAAATAGAATCAATGAATGTTTTCGTATCAAGAGGGCTTCCCCTTGTTCTAAGGCAGCCGGGTTGTGAGATCTACACCAAATTAACATTCTCCAGATTGCTCGCGTCCCATTTGGGGGCTCCGTCCAGGTAACAATCCCCTATAAGCCGAAATGCCACACCCTCCATGTACTGCGGAACTTCGTCCCGTCGTAGGATGTACGGGCAGAGTCCTCCTGTAAGAATATAGATCCTGTCACCTATCTCTGTCTGCGGCGGACCAAGGGCCAGGGCCCCTTCTTTAGTAAGAAGGATGCAGTTGCCAGGGCCGGTCTCCAGTGCTGTGCGATAAACCTGTTTGACCCTCCTGTCCCGCCACGCGTCGTCCAGAGTTGGTATAGGTTTCTCAGCGGCCTTGTCTTCGCAATCCTGGCATGGTCGTTCAGTCGATACAGAACAGTGGGCGCACCCGCCCATGATCTCGGAGATGAATTTGTCACGGTGGCGTTCTGCAAAGTATTCTTCTTCCTCAACCCGGCTGTCAATGGCCACTCCAGTCATTTTTGCTAGCAGGTAAACCAGGATTGCCAGATTAGGATCGTCCCAGCCTCCCTGCAGGCGAACATGATTGTTTTGTTCCATGACCACGCCGAAGCAGAGGATCCGCCCAATGGAGTCGAGGCGGTGTCGATATATGTCGTAATCCCAATCGTTGGGGAAAAGCTTATGCCTAGCAGCTTTAATAGCCTTGATGATTTCAATCATGTTGGACAAGTCCGGGGCGAGAGGCTCGGACACGTGGTGGATTGTGGTGCAATATTGTGCTGGTACCTTGAGGCAGTTCTCGACTTTTGTGTAATCTCGGAGCCGAGGGTGGTAATAGTCGTATACCATTTGACGATCCACAGAACTCTGAAAGTCCAAGTGGAAAACTCTACTGGAATAGATTTCGCGCCGGGAATTGATGTCCACCGGAAATTCTTGCTCACGCTTGTGGATGGTCCCTTTCAACGTCACCTCCGACAACAAGGCCGCATCCTTCGCTAGTTTGCTGTAGTACTCGGAAGGCTTCATGGATTTAGGGGGAAGGCCTGGCGTCTGAACTGTAAACCTCATGTCTGAGGCATTGTGGCACAGCCGGATTTTCCATGCAATAGTATTGGGATCAGGGGGAGCGAAGCCATCGGCCCAATTCGGTACCCAGGAGGGAAGGTTGTCTCTCGACTTGGCGGCAAGGTCCGCCGAAGTTATCCAGAAAATGCCTGTCTCGTGCATGATCCTGATGACAACTTTGCAGAATAGAGCTGCAACTGAAGTAGCATAGTTCGTCTCGATGTCAAAGGCCTGGGTGGTGAGGTTCCCGAGGAGCTGAGAGAGGGCATATATTTTATCCCTGGGCTCTGACGATTGCCGATGGCGAAATGTCCTCAGCAGCCAGAGGAGGGGGCTTCCTAGTGATCTTTGGAAGTATCCCAAGTCTTGCATCTTCCCGATGGATTCGTACTGTTGAAGGCGTCGCAGCTCGGATACTTTCTTGACCTTTGCGACTAAGAGGTCAAGCACTTTCGTGTGTTCGCTTCCGGACGGTGAGAGCTTAAACGAGCGTGATTCCAGCTCTTCGACAACGTTGGATAGTAGGTCAAACGGTATGATGACTTTTCCGTACGTGAGCTGAAGCTCGCGAGCGACTCCGACCTCTTGGGTGATCCACATGCGATCCCACCAAGGAGCAATCACGAAGGCGCGTAACCATTCGAACAGATGGCGAAGCTTAGGTTCCATTCGTTCCGTATTGTTGCTCGAAAATAAGTCGACGTTTTTTAGCTTGGCATGGAGAGAATGAGATGATAGCGCTCTGATCAAACCAAACATGCACAAACATCTCTCGTGGGGTGATAGTTGAGCCGGTTCTTTGGATTCTAGCAGCGCGAGGGAGTCACGGATGTGTTCCCAAGAGTTATCGTTATTTACTGGAAATTGAAGGGTACTTGAGGCGGCTAGCTTCTTCAACTGAGAATTGTAGTTGCGCTGACTCCGGTCGAGGGAGTGGCCAACATAGCCGCGGACTTCAACTGCCCAACGGAAGATGTGATGCATGACATGGACTTGCTGACTTTTGTCGTCGATATCGTCCTGGTTGATACACAGAGCATCCACCCAGAGTGTGATGTGGATGTCTGGTGACCGGATGGTGCGCAACGCAAGATCGAGATTGACAGTGATGCCTTTGACGGTGCCATTGACAACGATCTCCTTGATAGCTACAGGACTTCCCCATGTATACGAGAGCGCAATGTATTGAAATGACTGGTCCGCCTCAAATAGTTCTGCCTCGAGATCATCGTCCCAGTTTCCAGGACGCAACTTGAGGAGACGGATGTGGTCTTCTGCGAGCCGGGTGTATACCAGAGGCATCGTGGAGTGTTGTGAGATGTGTCTTGATTAGACTGAGAAGAATTCTCTTCCATAAAGACGGTTTCGAATATGCATGCAATCCAGAGCTGGAAGGGATGTTGATGGATATATGAAGCGTGAGCGAGTATCGATCAGAGTGGGGTTAGACCAGCTCCGAGACCTCTCTCAACCTGTCCCAATTGGTACACTGAAGGCAGTCAGCCGCGTCAAGTGACCTGGTGTCCGGGGCCACGGCATTTTTATTCGTGCCAAGTATTCAATACTCAATTTAGGCCATGAACAGTACTGCAAGTTAAGTTGAGGTACAAGGCCATGACGGCCACGCGTTGAGGCTTGGGATGGAAGATGGGAGAGGGGATGCCTGGTGATCTCCAGGCAACAACGGCCAAGTCAGGGAGTGGCCGGGAACTTGCCCTATGTTCTGCACCAACGGCGACGGACTCGGTGATGTTCATTTGGAAAATATAAATATCAATTACCGCGCATGAGTGAGCTGGATGCCGATTTATCTGCGGCATTGTCTTTTATGTAGTTTGGTATCTGAGTACTCCGTACACTCAAATGAACCTAGGCTTGAACGCGCTCTCAGTTGTCTTTGCAAAGAACCTCGTCCCAGAGACTCTTAGTCTAGAGTTTAGTTTTGGGGTTCTCTCTAGCTATATTCCTCCCATAGCTTTTCTCAAGAATTTGGGAAATGTTAATCCCTTCAGCCATCGTTTCCCTGCGATAAGCCGGCAGGCTGGCGGCGGACCAAGTAAGTGGTCCGCATGTCGGAAGCCGCCGGCATAATAAGGCAACGGCGCCAAGGTGCAGTGGTGCTGCCTGCCGTCGTAAGCTGCCACAAAAAGTACTCAATCGGACCTGCCATTTCCAGGCCGATCCCGGTTCATAGGCCAGAGCGGCTTCGACTTCTTTGTCTGCTCAATCCGAGTCAACTAAAAACAATCAACTCGCCCCTTCGGCTCCGACGCCATCCAAGCCTCAATCGAGATGCCTCGTCGACGCCTCAGGGCTCCGGCGCCCACTCATACAACTTCCGGCGACGGCCCCACAAGCAGAAGCCCGATGCCGTTCCAGTTCCCGTCGCCGTCGCCGGTGTTGACTCCCGGGCCAATCCCCGTGCCGATGCCAGTGCCCATGCTGTGGATGGACGCCTCATCCAAGGCCGATGGCGCAAACGACGCACTTTTCCAGTCCGCGGCCTGCAGTTTCAACTTCGAGCCTTACTGCCGGGCGTCTGCTTTGCCCAGTCCCGCACCTGAGTTCTGCCTCAACGACTCAGAACCTGACTCACCCGCGAATGCGAATTGGGTGTACCGTCTCGGCCCAACCAGAGCCTTGAGCACAATCAGTTGCGAGACAGCGCAGACCTCGTCATCGGCCGGCTCGCTGCTTTCTCCCGTCCAGACCGACCGGAGTGATACACTGACTGCCCGTGGCAGCCGGTCCAGAGGGCCAAGCCCTTTGGGACGTCGCAGTCGGACCAGCACTGACGACAGCTGTACGGAGCCGCTGCTTTGCCTCGGCCCCCGGTGCGTACAGACATTCACTACCGAGGACGAATTGAAAGCACACGTTGAGGCTGTCCACACCTATTCATGTAACTGGGCTGGCTGCGATCAACCGAGCTTTGCTTCTCGTGATGGCTTGATCTGGCATGTTAAAGCAGAGCATCTCCTCGTGTGTCCCTCTCAAGGCTGCACAGAATCCTCATTTCAAAGTATTCGTCTTTTGCGGTCGCACATGGATATATCCCACTCCAAGGCTGATGGTGGTGTCAAGGAGTGGCAACTCACACCCACACTCCCTGATGACCACGCGTCGATGCAACACACCGACTCGCCACAAGACGTGAAACCTGTGCCCGCCAAGGAAGGAAAGGCCCCCGAGGGCTCGGAGCAGGCCATTTCTCAAATGCTCCCCTCCGTCAATTTGGCCAAGACGAAGTACCAAGACCAGCTTAGACGCGTGCTGGAGAAGCGATCTAAGAAGAATGCCGGTAGGTTCACCTTGCCGCTTCCTCGACCTGAGGAACGAACCAAAAGGCAGAAGTATCGCGGCGTCTCGGTCTGCAGATACTCTGCCGTTTGCGTATGAAACTGACCGTTAAAGGGACGCCAAGATCCGCAGACAGTCCGACCGACTTGGTTCGGGGTAAGGCCTCGAGACTCGTTGAAACGGCAAGCTTTCCTCTCGTCTACGAGCACGCCATCCTGCCATTCCTCTCCGAATTCTTACCCAAGTGGGTGGGTAGCCGCCATGTAGTTAGTGTCATGAGAGGCAAAACCTCCCAGATGAGGCGCATCTGCATCATGACGAGGCACAAGATCTCCCGCACCCGTAAGATGATAATCGTGCGCCACGTTCAGGATCTCCTTCCAGAAACATTCCGTCGCTTCGTTTCCTTCGTTTTCTCTCTGGGCGAAATTGATCGCACTACATGGGCTAGAGGCTTGAGTAGGCATCAAATGGATGATATCTGTATTCCCCGAAACCCCTACTTCTTTCGAAATCCCTGCATGGGCGACAGCATCGGCATATGCGGCAACGGCACCTTTGAGGATAGTACCGCCACTTTAGGTCCCAATCTTATTGTTGGAGGTGGCAGTTATTGGCTGGGAAACTTCCATCCTTTCCTCGACGCGTATCAACACCTCCAGACTGTGGTGGTCGAACATCCCTCCCTCCAGGATCGGGGGCGCTGCATTGCAGAAGGTCACGATGCTATGTCGCAAGAAGATAGCTTCAAGCTTGGCAACCTCGAGGTGACCTCTGGACTCAACCTTCAGACGACTCGAATATCTCATGATCCATATTGGGAAGAGTGTGACAAGGAGCAGCCTTTGATAGTTACCGACTGGTCACTCATCGCTGCCCGCACCTCCCATGCCAACCTTCTTCGCCGCTTCCCATCGGAGACCCAACCACTTCTGAGGGAAACTCCCATCACATCCACTGGAGTTGTCATTCCTGGGGCCTGCGTCACCTCAAGTGGCCGTACGTCAGGTCATCAACGTGGCCAGGTTTGTGAGATTCCAGCATATGTCAGTGGGGATGAGAACGGCACTCGGAAGGCCACAAGAGAGTGGTTCATAGAGGAGCCATACCCTTGCGATAATGAAGAGGAATGGATCCGTGGAGGAATTGGTGTTGAGGGCGATAGCGGTGCGGCCGTTGTTGACTCCAATACACATGCCCTCATTGGACACCTCTGGGGTCGCAACCGTTACTGGGGACCTGGGCCGCGACATACCTTCTTCACTCCAATCGCGGATATCTTCGACGACATCCAGGAGAAGTGTGGGCAACAAACACGTCCCCGGCTTCCACAGCACCGCGATGAAGCAGATTGCTTTCCGCCATTTCCATCGTGCCGACAGTGCTACGACCTGCGTACCTACCTGGACAGCCGAAGGAGTTCACGCATGTCACTACAAAGTATGATCATGGGCAAAGGCGATTCCGATCAGGACCTCACCTCTATTGAGGCTGTCTCGGAACTAGCTACGCCGCGGGACTACCATCGCTTCGTGGGTGTCGAGGAGACGGGTTCTTCCTTCAACGTCAACGGCAGCTTCTGCCCCGGAACCCCGGCTATAGCTGACATCAAGAGCCCGTATGCAACGACACTAGAACTCGACGACCCATACGTCACGGAGTTTGCTGCCCCGGAGGGTCTTCGGAAGAGAGGGCCCATATTCAGCACCAACTCAAGCCAAGAGAGGCAAAAGAGGCAGAGAGTGGAGGAATGATATCAACCAGGGAAACCTCCGCGAGCCATCTTCTTCGCACGAGCATCGCGACGGTTGTGGTTCGCTCGCGAGCCCTTGTTAGACTCCTTGTTCCGCCTGGCAGCCTCGGTCTCTTTCTCACCAGTCGGTCCGGCGACATTGCCTCCTCTTCCGCGACCACGACCCCGCCCTCGGCCACGGCCACCTCCTCTTCCACCCCTGGATGAACCACCGTCGGCTTCACTATCTTGATCTGGTGAAGGTTTCCATGAGGTCGCCTCCAGTTGTGTTTGCTGACCGCTGAATGCGTACTTCGCTTCTAATCTTCGTTTTTGTTGTGGGTTTCTCGTTAGCATGACTGCCCATCCTTCAATGGTCTCGTCCGTCATGCCAGTCTCCTCCCTCAGCTTCGTTCGAGGACCTCCCCTCCTGGTAGTGGCATCGCGATCAAACACCTTTGCATCCATCTGGAATGCCCGGAACAACACCTCCTCATTGCCATCATTTACACCGTCTGCCTCGTTGTTGGCGGCATCAACTGTACCGCCCACATCGGCGGCGTCGTACGTATCGTCACGCTCGTCATCATCCGAGTCAAATGCGGCGAGAGCAGATAGAATGGCGGCCTTGTTGGGGGCAGTTGATTTATCCTTGAGGATGTCATCAGCAGTTTGGGTGGGATTTTTGCCAAATGATAATTTAGAGGTATCGAGTGCAAGCCGGTCGAGCTCATCATCGTCGAAAACGTTATGGCGAGTCGGGATATGCGGTGGGGTTGGACGAGGTGCCAAATCTGTGTGTCGCCTTGGTCCAGCATGTAATGATCTAAAAGGAGTTAATGATGTCACACGTGGGAAAATCTTGAGGAAGTTGGAGGCATACAGGAGCTCTGTGCGATCTGCGTTGGCGAGATGAGGTGGTAGAGTCTCACTGAGCAGATTCGCAACGACTTGTTCAACGTCATCTCCGTATTCGTCCAGACACTTTGCCACGAAACCAGCTCCCAAATCAGGAAATAGATCCTGTACTTGTGTGATCTGGCTCATTCGATGGACGTGAATTTCCGCTTCCAGATCATGTTGAGTCTCCTTGTTCTTGCCCTTGCCCTTGTCTATCTTCCTCCGCACGAGTCTCTTCGGCCGCACCATGGCTCCCTTCTTAAAACTCTCCAGTGCAGTGATCCGGTTCTTCAAGTTTTCCGTTGCAGCACCTGAATCCTCTGCCCTTCTCTGCAGTAATTTGAGTAAGGGTGTACTTGTGACTAGCTCCGGAACGAGTGAGTCGTTGACATTGAGAGGACCAGTCTTGTGGGCGTCGGCAGCCGATTTTAAGGCATACAACTCATCATTCAGCATGGCCCATTTGGGGGGTTCAGCGTCTACCAGTCCCACTAGGCACAAATATGTCGTGGTGACAATGACTTTGCGCAAAGGCGGGTTCATGACGCGGAAGCAGGTGACAAGGCCGTCGAAGAAGTCGGAGCCGGCGAGGGCGAGTGTGCAGGCATCAGGGGAGACGTGGAGCAAATGGTTGAGGCGGGTGAGTTGCGACTCGACGAGGTTCAGGTCACCCTTGATTCCAGAGTCGAGATGGGGAATGAGAAGCTTCTTGAGAGAGGTGAGGGAGGATCCAAGGATGGTGGAGTGTTGGCTGAAGAGCTGGGAGATGAGCGGCGCGGTGACTCTCCGGGGATAGATCTTGGCCAGGTCGGCGAGGAATGGAAACGCGAGGAGTTGAGGCTGAGGCTGAGGCGGAGGAGAGGCGGTGAGGATGCGAGATGTGAGTTGAAAGACGGCTATCATCAGCAACGTCGAGTGCGAGCCCAAGGAAGCGGTGCCAGCTTCAGCCGTCTCCTCGGCGAAGGAGGCCAGAAAGGCGGCCACGGACTCATCCTTGGAGACGGCGGCCTTCAGGTCCGTATCAGAAAGCGCCAGCCAGGCGTGGCAGAGGGCAATCCAGGCGGCGAGGAGGGAGTCCCACTCGCTGGAGGAGAGGTGTTGTCGCCATGCGGCCTTAGGGAAGGGTGCGAGGGGGGGTAAGTTGGGCATCTTGGCTGCGATCTGGCGAGCGATACGGCGACGTGATATTACCCTCAAAACCAGCACCAGGGACGGGGGAGGGACGATTAAAAAGAAAGGGTGTTGGGGTATGTGTATTCGAAGCGGAGTTGGGCGAAACAATTGGCCGTCTTATAAGCCATTCGCCATGGTCGCTATCAAACCAAGTAAACACATTTGGCCATCGCCGGATGAATCATAGTGGATGCTCCTGGTCGTCCCCAGGCAGGGCAGGGAAGCTGCTTGGTTGATTCGCCTCAGCCTCCGCCTGCCAAATCGAGGGGCATAAGCTTGGGGACGGACGGAGACGGAGGTACCTCTGCGCGTCAGCACGGGTGATTTTGCGGGGAAAGTAAGAAAGGTACATTGCTCAGGGCAGCTATGGGAAAACCCATGCTCAATAGCGAACCTACCTAGACACCGGGATTGACAAATTACACAAAATAAACCTCGATAATATCACTCGGATCATCATATGACTCGCACTACTCACTCTCATGGCTTTTGCCTATGAAATTGGCCATGTACCACCTGCGAAGCTCAGAATGAACTGCACTGTACCATCGACGAATCCCCCGCCAATCAGAACCCCTCAAGCACCAGCCGCGCCAACCCCAACTTAGGACTAGCGCCGCGCACACACAAGCCCTACATTGCACTGGCTTACCCCCACCAAAAAGTTCGCGACAATTGCCCATCTATTTTTCTTGCTCCCTCTCAACACCCGCCTTCATCACTTTGCCGAAACGTCGATACCACACGTTCGAGTCTTGAAGGTTGCCCATCATGTCTTACAACAAGCCCGAGAAGGACCTTGGCGATGGCCCCGTACGTTGCTGCCCCCTAACCACCGCTCTCTCTCCCGCCGCCGGGGGAGACGGTTCGCAAAATTCGAGATTCCACGACCGACTAACCCCCCGATGCAGAAGAGCCACAAGATCCGCATCACCCTCTCCTCTCGCAAGGTCCAGGTCCTCGAGAAGGTCTGCACTGAGATCATCGAGCGCGCCAAGAACAAGGACCTCCGCGCCAAGGGCCCCGTCCGCCTGCCCACCAAGACCCTCAAGATCACCACCCGCAAGACCCCTTGCGGTGAGGGTTCCAAGACCTGGGATTGCTTCGAGATGCGCATCCACAAGCGCCTGATCGAGTACGTGACACCCCTGGAGCTGTGCTCGAATTTTCCCCGAGGATCCTGGACTAACTGTCGCGCTACAGCCTTAACGCCCCCACTGAGGTCGTCAAGCAGATCATTGTCAACATCGACGCCGGTGTCGAGGTTGAGGTCACCATTGCTGCTTAAGGGATTGGTCTTCGTGCATAGCGTGACCGGGAATGATACTCCTGTTTGGTCAGGCTGCGAAGTACCCGGTTCAGGTAGACAAAAAAAAAAAAAAAAGAAACGGTCTGCAACCGAAAATATCCGTGTTCCAATTCCATTGTGATGTCGATATTGTGGTCCCAATGCACCCACGATATATTGCCAATTTTGTCATACGTCACAGTTCCAAGTTCGAGACCCAATATGGAAGGCATGCCCTCGTTCCTGCGACTAGAACATCTTATTCAGTGCTCGGTCCATCAGTCGAGATCATTTATCCTAGGTACCTCCTGCGAAGGTGCATCCGAGCCCTACATCCCATGACAATATCGTACTCAACGCCAGTTAATAAATACAACCCTGGATCTATTTCAATATTCAACGCCAGTCCCTAATTCTCTCCCTCCTCTTTTTGTCGTTTTACATATGCGCTCCTCATAGGTCCCACACTGTACATTCCCTTGGTGGCGGCAACTCGGGCATCAGACCGTCCTGGAAGGTGCCCGTCTGTGCAAATGACATCCATTGGGCCTTAGATTTGCTATCGTATTGATCCGCAGGCAGTTCAGTGTCCTGAGTGAATCCAGGTGGCCCATCAGGGAACCAGATCCGGCGCCAGGTACCGCTAAGCTCGCGAATCCCAGGTATGCCATCCTCATAGATGACTGGCTTGCCCTTGAACATGGACAGACGGCCATCCATGCCCTTGGAGCTGTAACTTTCAATTGGAGGATGCTGCTTGCTGCTACCGGGTGGATAAGGGTTGCTAGCTTGTCCTGGAGGGTTCTGGGATTGTTGCGGCTGTTGCAGCTGTTGCGGTTGCTGCACAGCGGGTGTCGGGTTAGAAGGCTGGTTGAAAGGGTTATTGGCCTGTTGCTGGTTCGACTGGTTTTGTTGGCTCTGCTGTGACGCAAATCCATTTTGCTGTTGCGGTTGCTGGGCTTGGGCGAAAGGGTTATTGTTCGCTGGAGATGGCCCTTGTGTCGTGGATGCGAAGGGGTTTGACGCTGCAGGCGTTGGCTGCTGCGCAAACGGAGATGCGCTCTGCGCCGGTTGCGCAAATGGGCTGGGTGCGTTGTTGTTCTGGTTGGCGTTAGTGGAAGCGAATGGGCTTGCTCCTTGGTTTGTCTGCCCGGAGGTTGATGCAAATGGGTTGGCTGCCGGAGCATTATTTGCTGCCGAAGCAAAGGGACTGGCGTTGTTGTTGGTATTCGCTGACGCTGCGAATGGGTTCACCTTCTGGCCGAGCTGACTGGGCTGGCCAAACGCGTTAGATGGGTTATTCGGTTGCGAAGGCGCTGCGGGCGATGGAGCCCCAAATGGGTTGGGTTTCGCGCCCAGAGCTGAAGGCTGGCCAAACGCTGAAGGGGCCTGCGATGGTTGACCAAAGGGGGATGCTCCTTGCGCTCCCGCTTGGCTAAACGCAGAGGTAGGTTGCGATGGCTGTCCAAATGAAGGCGTGCCGAATGGGTTGGCCTGCTGTCCTAGGGCCGAAGGCTGTCCAAAAGCACTGGTCTGCGGAGCAGAAGCTCCTCCGCCAAAGGGAGATGTGTTGTTGTTGGTCGCAAAGGGATTCGAGGACTGGGTCGAGGGGTCGGGGACAATCGACTTGGGCCTCTTTCCGACCAGGAATTCTCCAAAGGGGGCTCCCTGCGTCCCTTCCCTGCATATATCTAATCGATTCGGGTGTTTGTTCTCGGCGCTGGTGAGGAATTCGACGGCATCTAGGGGGCTGCGGACAGCATTCTGCATCTGCTGCTGCGCGTTGGTGTAGAGCGCTTGTGCTTCGCTCAGCTACGCCAGTTAGCAATCGGCACCTCAAGGAACCAGCTCGGGGCACTCACAGCCTGCTGTTCACTGCCTGAAGCCTTTCCCATCATGAAATGAAGCCGCATCTCCTCAAAACTTTGTTCTCGCGGGTATCCTCCAAACAGCTGCTCGGGGGTGTCTCGCCCAGGAGCATACGCTGAGAGGATCCATGTTGGGGTCTCTGTTGTGAGGTCTCGCTCGATCGCTTCAGTGGTAATGGCGTATTTTTCTGTCGAGGAGTTAATGGAATGTCTCGGTTGCGTGAGGCTCGTGTCGTAGGATGCGTACCAGCCAGGCTTTGAGTGCCTCCTCCCGCTCCGCCGAGGGCTCCGAAACGATTCGACTGGGGCTGATTTCGGTTGTTGGAGTTGTAGTTATTGTTGTAATTGCTGCTGCCCCCTGGGTTGGTGTGTTCAAATCTGCAGCTACCTAGTTCAAGTCAGTGTCAGATTGCTGCCAGGCATATGACGAGGCGGTGTCGTCAGAGTCTACTCACTGCCGAATCTGCAGTTGCCCTGCAAGAAGAATTTACAGAGCGTCATCCTGGGTGCTGGGTGTCCCTTGGCCGGGATCTGGCGAAGGGATTCTGGTGTCGCCGAGATGGGTGCTAGCACATTTCGAGAATCGGATTGGTCTGCAGTGAGGCGAAAGTGCGTTGGGAGGTTGAATGAAGGATGATGCAGTTGCAGGAAACAGAAGCTCGACCTGAGCCAAACTGCAGCCAAACGTCAGCCTTACCAGCCTCGTTGGCGGGCTGAACTTTTAGGGGCACATGGCGCTCTGGCGGGGCGCAGCTTATCGCTGAAATCACCTGCCAGCCAATACCTCGCGTCACTAACCACACCACCAACAACAGCCCCCTGAATGCGCCTGGCTACCAGCTTCGATGGAGGACGGCCTTTTTCTGCCACTGGTGTCTCCAGAATTGGACATCTGGCTCGTCGATCTCGGGAGCGGGTGATTGAGGTAGCAGCCAATGAAGAGCCAACTTCAAATGCAGCCATTGATAGCGGCAGCCTCACCAAGGTGCATACATGTACAGAGAAACGCGGATAAAAAGAAAAAAACACAAACAGATTATGACGAGTCACATATGCAGTAGTACATCTATTCTTCTATTCTTTGTGCTTGATGCAGGATCGAGGCACCTATTGAAAGACGGGGCATGGTCTGCTGCAGCCACAATTGTATTGAGGCGCCACTCCGTGCGTCGGACGCATATCTCAATGAAACGCCAATTCTTATTGTCTCCCGGGAAATGACGGCCTATATCTGCCTAAAATACCATTTGTTCAAGAATGATCCGACGCCGAGGAGGCTGTTGATTGGTAACCGGACCGCCCGCCGAAGGCTTGTGCAGTAGTAGTTCCATGGCAGCCATACATATGCGTGAAGTTACAGCGGATCCCCGCCAGTGTTGGTGGAATGAATCAGAGCTAGGCCAGTGAAGAAGGTCCCTGGTCCAAGGGCGACTCAGACCTCAACGCAGCCACTCATTAATATAAACATTACACGCTGTGTTCTAGGAATATACGGAAGTTATGGGGCATTTGAGTGATCGATATTTGCAGGCTTGCGACCGGTCGGCTGTCGCTCGGTCAGGTATATGTGCACTGCAGCCACTTTGACCCTAGCTTGACCTTCAGCTCACATCTCTTTTATTATCGTGACATTGCTGTTGCAGCACCACCAGCAAAGCGACAAGACATTCTTTAACGGGTTCCTTGCCACATTCACTGGTATTTTACATAGCGATGAATTCAACTTGTCCATCCCATCACTATCCAATGGTGTAGGTGAGTAATTCAAGTCACTTGATCCCGGCACATGAAGCTTGGAGGACCGCGGGTCATCGAGCTGAAGGTTGTACCAGGAGATGAAGCCAGCTGTCAGTTACCACGTCTGGGGTACACACATCGCTATCGCGGCAGATTCACTTCAGGAGCTTACCATTGGGCAATTGGCAAGATCTGCCACCAAATAACCCAACTGGTGCAGTTGAGCTTATGCGGACAACAGCTACGGTGTGGCTAGCGTACGCGCCGGATGGACCCGCAGTAAAGTGCTCCGGCGGTCGCCCCGGCCTCCGCCCCGGCCATGGGGATGAAGATGCCGGGAGTGCATCCGAGAATCTCCTCACATACCGAGAATGCCCCGAGGATTTCAAGTTCGGGTCGTTGCCGAAGTCTATGGCAAGTACTTATATTAATTGACGTCTTCCTCGCCTCTATACCTCTCCCATCTTCATCCCTTATCTCTCAAGACAAAAGTCAGTCATTCCTTAGCATCCTCTCCTCTGTAGACCAGTCATTCCAGGCAATCGAAACTATAAGTGAGATACATCATCGCTAATACTCGGATCTTCTCTGCATAGTGTCTAGCAACATCGTTCCTCTTACCATCATCAAGGGCGCCGGCCAGGAGTTCATCCCCCTCCCCAATGGCGAGAACGCAACCACGGCCGACTTCCATTCTATCCGGACCAAGACTGCCGACTCCCCCAGTCACTTGACTTCAGGATTCTATAAGATCACGGCTGGCCCTGAACGACCCGCGTCTTACACTTTCGAGGAGACCAAGTATGTCCTCAGTGGTCAGATCGACGTTTTGGTACGACCCCTCTACACATCTAGATTGCTTCTCCAATCCTCCGAAATTTATGTCATATCAATATTGAATAGTATTAATGATTTCGTTCCATTTGATAGGACGAGGCTACCGGAATCACCCACCACCTAGTCCCAGGAGACTTCGCTTTCTTCTACGTCGGATCCAAGGTCAAGGTTTGTCAATTCCTGGCTCCCTGCCACCCTCCTCTCTGTCTTTATTTTCCCCTACCTTTTGTGTGACAAGCAATAAAGCTCCATCGTTTGACATTTTGCTCTCCTTCTAGTTCTCGACCAAGTCCAACGGTTTGGCGTTCTATGCTGTTACTCGACCCGTTCGAACTCCCCACCCCAACCTTTTGGGCCGAGAGGAAGACGTGAAGTCGAGGTTGTAATATATGAATAATGATAAAGAAAGTTCATTTTTATCTAGCTCAACTAGAAATTAGTAAATAGTCATTGATGACAGACAATGCATGCGTTATTACATTTATTTAACACCCTCCTGTGCACAACTGGATGAGATCTTTAACCACTATTACATCTTCAATTCAGAGAAGGAATAACTCGACATGGAGATTTTTAAATCGCCCTGCAGGTAGTTGTTAACGTGCTGTGACTCGGAGTCTATCGCGAAAATGGTGTTTCCCTGCCGTACCTCCCCGCGTTTGTTTACGGTCATCGGCGCCGGAGCCGGGCTGGCCGCCACGGTGGAGCACTTCGGCCGCTCACGTGGTCGGAACCTGAGCCGGCCGACCGACCACTAGAGGAGCAGGCCTTTGCAGTAGTGAACTCCGAACGCGGCTTGCGGCGAACCTTGAGGCGAGACTACAATATATGACAGGTTCCCCATCCGTTCTCCGTTGGTCAGGCCGTTCAGTACTCGGTTTTGATCCACTAGGAAGATGCGGAATGGTATCCGGAGCACTAGGAGTTTGTCAAATTCTGACGACGCAGCGCTCAGGCCGTAGTAACGGGGATCGACGGATCTATGCAGGTGGTATCTTCCCTTAAACTTACCCTAATGAGTTGGTGGACTATGTCGCCATTTCTAAGTGACAGTCGCCTTAGCTAGTCGGCATTGTGCCACTTCCTGTTTTGTCCCTCAGAGATGATCTCACGTTGTTTTGAGACTATGGTCTGGTCAAACTGCCAAGTCCTGTTTTTCTTATTTCTTAAAACCCTTGTGCTACATGGTAAGATGCGATGAACTATTTAAAGTGTCGCGTCTTTGGTTCAAGCAAACGTGCTGCTGGCGTGTCTAGTGGGTTTTCAACTTGAAAAGGCATATCCCGGTATGATAGGTAGCGTTTTGTCTATTCTAGTACCCCACTGTTCGGCCAATTAGTTCGTTGTCGTCTTCTTCTTCCGAGAATTTTAGGTAAAATGTCGACTTATTCACGTTATATGATGTATCTGGACGGACAAGCCACGAGGAGGGGGAAGCGTAATGGAATTCATGTCCAAAGGGAGGTTGGATTTCCGGTAGAAGCGTAAATAGAGACGCCAGCAAAAGAGAGGTCAAGTCTTGATATACGTTGACTTACCTTGATAGCCGCGGGTCATCTCAACCTTCAGGTATGAACTTTGGCCATGCTTTCCTAGCCACGTAAACTCACTTTCACTGTGCAAATGGATATTCAGGGGTGCGGATACCCTGCGGCTACCCTCCATGCTCTCCAAATCTAGGTCTCCCTTTGATAGGGTTCTTGCAGACTTCATCAAAATTCCACACACTGCACTCAATTTATGGCCCTCATGCCAAATAAATCAGTAGACATAGAATCATATTTCTCTACTTCTCTACTGGAACTCGGTCGGCCCAGGCGGTGGGCTCTGTCGTCGTCTTGGCTTGGCGTTGAACCCTTTCACGCCTCTGCCTTGCGAAACTCGATCATGGCACCGTTCTTGGCACTCGTAAATGTGTCAACCAGCTGGAATTCTGTCGTCCGGTGTCGACCCCATTCGTTGCTCGGCTTGCCCTCGCCGGGATCCTCGATGCCAACCGCCCTCCGCATGTCGTAAAGATACATGGTTCGCGCCAAGGTGTTGGTCATCTCCACGTATGCCAGGCCTTTGCCGATGCATCCTCGAGGGCCGACACTGAAGGGGCAGAAGGCACTCTGAGCAAGCGCGACTTCCTCCTCGGTGGTTGGGCGGCCGGTCAAGGGGTTCATAGCTCCAACGAGCCACCTTTCGGGCACGTAGTCAAAGGGCGAGGGATAGTATGCCTCATTATGGTGGATAGTGTAGTGCGGAGTGCCAACCACAGTTCCCACGGGGATGGTTTCGCCATCGATGGTGATGCCACCGGGGAGGACTTCACGGGGGAGGACGCCACCAACGGACGGAGAGAGACGCATAGCTTCGTCAATACATGCTCGGAGGTAGGTGCAGGATCCCAGAACCGGACCGTGGCTGATCTCTTCAACGTTGCTGAACTTGGAGCGGATCTCATCTGTTACAATCTTCAAGGCACGAGCGCTGCGGGTGAGGTAGAAGAGCGTGGCCGCCATGGCGGTGGAGGTAGTGTCTGATCCGGCGATGATGCTGTTGCGAATCCCGTTAGCAGGAAACTTGCAGTCATTTCCTTGTGTTACTCACAGTAGATTTGACTCTCCCCAGAGCTCGGGAGTGCTGAATCCCTGACCAGTCTCGGGGTCACGGGCCTTGAGGAGGTAATAGAAGAAATCTCGGCGATCCGTCTCCTCGCCAAGCTTGGTACGCTCCGTCAGCTGTCCCTTGCTGTAGGCCATGTATCTGGCGCGGCCTGCAGCGAGTCCAGGGAAGAGGACCTTGTCGAGCTTAAGACGGTCGACGACGGGCATGGTTCCACACTGGTACTTGTCAGTTCAGGGCTCTGCTCAGATGCTTCCAAATTCACTTACAATCAGGTGACGGGTTGTTGCGGCCTCAACTAGGCCGAGTGCGAAGCGGTTCTCGGGGCTCTCGAGCATGTGGAAGGCCTTTCCAAAGCTCAAGTCGCCAAGAATATCCATGGCCAGGTAGTTGCACCAGTCGCTCATGTTGCGGGGCTTCGACCAGCCCTTGGCTTCGGCGCCGCCGTCCTCGATGCCAATCTGCTCGCAAAAAGTGCGGACGTTGCCCAAGATGTAGCGCTGCATCTCCTTCATGGCGCCCTCGGCGAAGGCGTGGGACAAGACGCGGCGCTTCCTGGCGTGGAGCTCCTTGTCCCGGGTGTTGTGGGTGTTGGCCGCGGGATGCACAAACGCATTGTAGAACTCGGCCTTGCGGACGTTGGAGCGGAAGCCGTAGATGTCCTTGAGGGCCTTGTTGGAGTTGAAGGCCAGCGAGTTGGGGCCGAAGCGGACGACCTTGCCTGGAAGCAGCTGTTAGGGCCGGACGGGTTCAGTTTTGGGGGGGAACTCACCATATTTCTCGTGCAATCTCCAGAACTCGAGGTGTCGGTCGCCCTTGTAGGCGTGGTAAAGCTGGTATCCATCTGTAATCTTGGCGATAAAAGGGCCAGGGTACTTGGCCAGAGGGTGGAAGAAGACTCGATACACGATGATACCGAAGGTCTAAGAGTCCCAGTCAGCGATCAGTCCTCCAAGATTTTATTCCACAACCCAGTTCCTCCTCCATTTTTCCTTTGCTTCATTTTCCTTCCGAGAACAATAGCTCAAACTCCGAAGGGTGATGGATCAGACTTACATAGAGTACCCCTCCTCCTGCAATGAGCCCCAGCCACATCCACAGATGTCCCAGATCGAACGCCATCTTTGTGTAAGTCGTCTTTCCCGGCGATGGATATCGCCAAGAAATTAAGAAGGAAAAGAGGAACAGATGGGAGAAGACCAAATCCCCGAGAGGGAAAAATAAAAGACTAATAAAGCCGTTTGCTGTGAGCACAATGTAAGCCCCTGCCCTCCCTCTTTCTATTATGTTATGACGGCCTGGGGCTGCTTGCAGGTGGCCAGCGGGCGTCCAGCGGGCGTGACGCTCCCAATCGGCTTGCAGCGGCAGAAAGCTTATCGATTCTGGACGCTGACGGCCCAAGTGCCGAGGCGGCTAGGTTCGGATTGGAAATCGCGGAATTGTGACGCGATGGATTTCTAGACGTAAAGAAAAGATCGTGGGGACAAATCGGGGCCTCGTGATTGGGGAATTGGACGTTCGTATAGCTGTTGTGCGACGGTAGTATTGCTGGGGTTTTTTGTGGATGGATGAGGTTGATCTGCGACAGAGGCATCTGGAAGAGGGGCCGTTTAAATGGAGGGAGGGCATTCCGCTGCCAGATTGCACCACTGCGAGGAGCACAATCTCACAGCGACGGGAGAGATAGCTGGCGGTGTAGTCTCGAATTCCTTTGTTGCGCCAGCTGCGCCAGTTGTGGCCGGATACTTTGGGTTTTGCTTACGCCGTGGCTCGTCTCATCAAGGTCATCTGCCCGTTTTGACTTCAAATCCATGCCGGAGCTACCAGAAGTGGTGAGCATGTGCCAACCCTGAGACCGGTCCAGTCGTTGTGTCGTCATCGCCATCTATTGCTTTTGTATTTGTTTTCTCGTCTCCTCTTCTCATGCATCCGTCGTGTCGTTCCTGCGGCCGGGACTCTCGGTCCAAGATTCCAGATCCGTCGGCCGATCCCTTCATCTTGCCCCTCTCTGTCCCCTGCACCTATGCACTCCTCTCGCTCTCCTCGCCGCCTTCGACCGAGCCTCAGCCGTGCGGCGCCATGCCCGCCCCGCGGAATCAATAGCCCTAGGTGGGCTGCCAGCTTTTGCGCGTGTCGTCATTCCCGACGGTGTGCGGTTCTTGCCGCTCGTAGTGGGGCTGCTGTCGGCCGTCGTGGTCGGGGTGGGGCTCCCCCAAGGGCCGGGTCTTACGGAGGCTTGCTTTTGGCATCGTCCTTGTCTCGATGAGGCCCGATCTTGGACAGCTTCGGCGAATGAGGGCCATTTCGCAGTTGAAATGGTGGTCAGCCGCTATTAAAAGACTGTTATCTACCATATGTGCACCAGGTTTCTAAGCTTACCATTGTATCAATAGCCGCTACAACCCATACTAGATTCAAACACGACATGTGACTTCCCACAGCCCGTATTAGGATAAATCCAAAACTAGGAAAAGATTTATCAAACAGGATAGGACTAGAAATTGCACGAATAACCGTACAGGCTTTACAAATCCGAGAGAAAGGGTGCTCAGGTTAGGATGTCCAAATGGTTGGCGCTTACCCTACACCGCAGTTGACGGTTGTGCCACTTCCACATTTTACAAAAATTGTATCCACTTGCAAAATGGTTACTTTGATCCAGAGCTCGTCGTTAAGTATCCAAAATTTGTACATATATATTGAGATAGATTCGAATATACAGTTCGTAGACTATCACGGTTATACATTACCCGTATAATTGATTATGAATTATTTCGCACATGAAATCCTCCTATCCTCTTGCTAAATCGACCGCGATAGCAATAGAAAGAAAAGAAGAAACCTAGGCAGGGTTATAGTACCTGGGCTCATCGAAAACATGGTATTTGTGATCTCTGACACCCTCACCGCGGAACATTGCGGGGAACTTCCAGCCCTCAGGGACTTGGTCCTCGTCAACACGACGATCGCGCTTCTTCTCGGAAAGGGCCTCAAGCTCCGCAATCTCGTCGCTCGACTTGGGGACCTGGAACTTGACCACCTGCAGTTCAGTGTCGGTGATGGACCCACGGCTGACTCGCGCATAGCCCACGCGCTTCAGGCGCTTGTAAAGGATGTACTCGCACCATCGATCCCAGTCAGATGGGTCCACATCGTGCATACCCGACTTCTCGCTCACATACGTGTTGTAGTTGCCCTCAAGAGGGTCGGTAACCAGGTAACTGAGCAAGAACGCAGGTCGAGGGCTTGAGCCCATGAGATCGGCGAGATAGAGGGACTGCAGGCGTCTGTCCTCGGGATCCTCCTCCTGTCCGGAGTGGAATACGAAAACATCGACTAGCTGTCCGTACACATTCAGCGTTGCGTGGATCGCGGGGGCAAGCTCGCCAACAGGGCTCGGCAGGAGATGGTGCTTGGACTCGACAATGGGGAACTTGGACAGGAGGGCGGCGCCCCAGGTGTGCTTGTTGGGACCTGGGCCGTAGTCGACGTACATGCCGAGTTCTTCAGCAAAGAACTGGGTAGTGTCCCGGTTGCCCATGATGATGCGCTGGTTATCGGTCTCAAGGAGACCAACGACATCGAGCTCGAGCTCCTTGATGAGGTCACGGATGCGATGCTCGGAAGACCACATATCATTATCGAGAGAGAAGTGTATCGTCCAGATGCCAGCAGTTAGGATCCGCTCCTCAGGGTGATATGGCTTGTAGTCGTTGGTCGGGAAGCGCTTGAAAGCGGCACACAGAAAGAAGATGTTGACGATGAGAGTGGACAGGCCGAAATATCTCCTCTGGTGGATCGATGGATTCCGCTTGGGTTGCTGTCGGTTGAGCCTAGAAGAGTTAATTCCATGGACACCTGCTCCAATGGACACCACCATCGTCGTCATGACCCAATCCGTATGTTCACGAACGAGCGCACCGCCGGGAACAAAGGCATAGGCGACGACCCAGACATGGAACAATACCAAAAAGTTGTAAATCATGAACCCAAAACCAAACGTCTTGGCGGGGCTCAACTTCGCCGCATGAGAGAGCATAGGCACAGAAAAGGCCATCAAGTACGCTGCTATGGCAAGCGCACCAGAGTATCCCGTCCAATGGCTGAAGCAAGTCAGGGTCGCGGCTCCAACACTGCCGACAATGAACACAAGCCAGCTGCTTGCAACGTTTGGGTTCCAGAGTCCGCAAAAGAGGCCGAGAGACATAGCTCCGACAGTAAGCCAACCATGGGTGGAGGAGAACGGGCCACGGATGGGGTAGCCCTCCCAGACCCAAAGAATCATGGTGCTGGTATCCGAGAGGAGAGAGTGAAGGCCGAAGAACAGCCCGCCAATGCCGATAGAGGCTAGCCAACTCGATTCGCTCTTGCTCGGGCTCGTGTAAGTGCCGATCGTCAGGGGTGCCTTTCGTGTGAAGCGGAGAACTGCCAGAACGCCCAGGAAAAGACCAGTTCCATTCCACCCGCCATTCCCAGCATGCATTACGGGCCAGATGGGGTTGTTGGTCCACCAGGCATATTTGACAGCGGAGGACATGATCAAGCCAACCATCCATCCAAGAATTTTCGTCTCGAGACGGCCATCGTGAACGGACTCGGTGTACAGGGTGCCAACCCAGCCGAGGCACGCCATGACCACCCCGAAACCCACGGCAAAGAGGCGAAGAGTGGGCTCTTCCACGAGATACGCCGCGACGCCGACAAGAGACAAGAGGTGAACATTTCGGAGGTTATTGAGGACTAGCAAGCGCACGGAGCGAATGGCTAGAAGGGAGGGCGAGATGGTCGTCAGGACGAGGACCTCGTAGCCCGAGATACCCATGTACCAGAGAGGGAAGTCTACTCCACCATTAACCAAGGCCCATAAATTATGTCTCGAATTGACTTACACCAAACCAAAACGCCGAGACTGGTGAGGATTGACCAGAAAACGAACTAGAGTAGATTAGCAGCCAAAAAGAAAAAAAAAGCAACTTGCAGGACTAAAACTTACACCATGGTAAACATCTGCAGCAACATCGAGAGCCTGCGACCAGGTGAAGCGAAAAGCCAAAGCGCCACCGGTTGCTTTTTCCTTTCTGACGAGGGGGTTAATTGAAATTTTAAAGGGAACTCATGACATCATGGTATATACTTACTCCTTCTCGAGCACTGCGGATGAGGTGGGATATCGAAGCTCACTGCGAAGACTTAGAACGGTGCTCCTTCTTGACAAGTATATTGTGAACCAAATGTATGATAACAGAACCAAAAAACAAGCCAAAAACGAAGAAAAAACATTATTCTGGAAGTCAATGGACGTACCCATTGCCCACTGCCCTGACATCCCGGACCGTAACCTCCAAGGTGTCAAAGTCGAGCGCCGTAACGGCATCGAAGGCAACATCGAACAGAATCAAGGACCACTCGAAAAAGGCGTACGTCGTGTAAGCTGAGAGGATCCACTCTGTTAGCGGGGTTCGCGCAAACCACCGGCGCATTGTATGATGGATGACTTACCTCCGGCAACGCGATGGACCTTGTGTTGGATGAAGTAGTAAATCATTGGTACGAGGGTGCTGAAAAACCCCGTCGCAAGGTATTTGCGATACCTGACTGCGCGCGGGTTGGGCGGGCTGAGAGCGATGCAGCCGGTGGTCCAGGGTAGCGTTGCAACGAGGTACGAGATCATGAGGATGTCGTGCCAATCGTGGTCGTCAGTGGAGGTGATGAATGTCCAGCCGCCACAGGTCAGGGTTCGGAACACACCCATGCCGGCGACCAATGCGGGGAGCCTGGTGCCGCGCCTTCGCGTGAGGAGATACCAGAGCCCGACGAGGGCGAAGCGAGGGCCTGCGGGGGTTAGGAAGAGGCATTGGCGAACGGGGAAGCTCGCGCACCTGATGTAATGGCAATGAAGAACTGAAAGAAGGATCGCTCGGGGTACCGGTCGCCAATCGTGGCGGAGACGGAGGGGAACCATTCTTGCGGGTAGCCGTAGAACTCGTTCTTGACAATCTTGTGGTAGTGCAGTGACATACCAATGACCAAAGCACTCAGGAAAGCAGCTACAAGTAGAAGGGGCCTCGTCAGCTTCCATTGTGATCCGGAGGTTCCTGCGACCACGAAGGCACCGCATCGCGACGAAGGCGACAAAGGCGACGGGAGTATGACGACAACTTACCATAGGCAGTGGTCGTGTGCACCCAGCTAACCCAGCGGGCGCTGAAGCTCAACACGATGCCAGTGTCTTTGTCTTTGTACCTAGACGCCATTTCGACACAAAAAAAGGGCAGAACAAACACTCTAAAACACCGTCCGGGACATCCGGGAGGGGGAATCGAGGGAGATAAAGAGTAAAGTACAGCAACACGAGTGGAAGTGGTGAGATCTCGGAGCAGACTGACGGACCTCGGACTTTCACGTTACGCTCTGCGATGCAATTGTGCCAAGTGTGGGGCCCAACAGGGATGAGAACCTTGAATTTAGCGCTTGCGGCTTGAGCGGCGTGGGCCTGTTGTGCCAGACGCCCCAAAGTCTCCGGCAGCTACGGAGCTTGGGAGCCCCCAGAGAAACTCCCAGGCTACGTAGCAAGGCTGAGAGTTGCCCCGCAAAAAAAAAAAAACTGTCTGTCAGCCTCGCGAATCGCTGAAAAGTCAAAGAAAACTTCATCCCGAGTATCGACCGTTACCCACCGCGCTTCAGACCCGCCAACCAGCAACACTTTTTGGGACACGAACTCAGGACAAAGAGACTTTGCTAAAAAAATCATGGCAGGTGTCACTGAAAAGGCGAGATTCTATCTCGAGCGCGCGGTGCCGCAGCTGCGAGAATGGGAGGAAAAGGACATCTTTTCCAAGGTACGTCGCTTCACTCGCTGTCTCGGCCGTTCGCCGTTTTCGGGGGTTGCCAGCCGCTGACAGTCTGCTTGCAGGATGAGATCCGCACCATCGTCCAGAAACGCAACGATTTCGAGCACAAGGTCCTCTCGCCGGGGAACAAGCCCTTCGACTGGTCTGCCTATGCGAAATGGGAGCAGTCGCTCGAGTCTCTCCGCAGCAAACGCTGCAAGCGCCTCAAGATCCGCCACCTCAACTCTGCCCACGCCGGGCAGGGCCGCACCCTCGCCATATTCGAACGAGGTGTCAGCCGACACCAGGGGAGCGGCGAGCTCTGGAGGGAATACTTGGCGTATGCCGCCAGCGTCAAGGCCGCGAAGCGCTGGCGCCGCACCATGACCAACGCCCTGCGCATGATGCCCACCGACCCCGAGCTGTGGGTCATGGCCGGTCGACGGTCGGCGCGGAACGGAGACATGGCTGCCGCCCGAGGCTTCTTCATGCGAGGATGCCGCTTCTGCACGACGGATGGCACGCTGTGGCTGGAGTATGCGCGGTGCGAGATGGAATGGCTGGAGAAGGTGGATAAGAGGAAGGAGGCCAAGAATGGCGGTGATGCGCTCCGCCCGGACCGAGTTGAGGATGACGATGAGCTTCGAATTGTCGACAGCGATGATGAGGATGAGGATGGCACAATGCTTCCCGAACCCTCCTTCACGCAGGCCAAGGTCATCGACAAAACTTCGGTCAAGAAACTCGAGTCCAACCCTGCCATGGACGGTGCCATTCCGATGGCCATTTTTGACATATCGAAAAAGCAAACATTCTTCAATGCCGAAGTTGCAGAGGCCTTCTTCAACATGTTCGCATCATTCACCAAGGTCTCCGTCCAGCCGAGGATATCGCAGCACGTCCTGGATGCACTGGACCAGGCGTATCCCAACCACCCATCCACCTGCAACGCTCATATTCGCCAGCCCGTCATTGGAGTCAGCCCTGTCACCGCCGAATTCCCCAAGAACCTCAGAGAGGTGCTGGCGCGTCTGAACAAGTACCTGGAAGCCACGACCAACCGGGCAGAGCTACAGAAGAAGACTGTGACGTGGATTGATGGATACCTGGCGTTGGAGAACTTGGATGATGGTATTCGGGCAGTGCTGGAGCATACCAAGAACAAAATGGGGTCCACGTAGGAGCCCGGTGACTGCAGCGTGGATTGATGGGTGTCTGGCGTTGGAGAACATGGATGAAGACATTCAAGCGTTGCTGAAGCATACCAAGAATAAAATGGCGGCCGCGAAGGCGACTGGAGACTGGAGTAGAGAAGTTCAAATGATTACTCCCTAATGCAAATCAACGCAAGCCATCCCTGGCCCCTGAAGTTTATAGTGGTCCGTGGTCCGTGGTTCAATCCGATCCGAAACGTGGGATGGTAAAATGCAGGTAAACTTCACCACTGATGTGAACCCCATGTGGTGGTGGAACTGTGGATATTGGACTGGGATCATCCTATTTGTATCGAATACGTGGATTTGTGATATTGATTAGAGCTTGCGCACCTTGGGTTCATAGCAAAGGTTGTGAAGAAATCGGTGATTATGCGTCCCTCAATGATCAGGGGGTATGTGGCTATGTACCATTGCAGTTGAAAACATCATCGTGCTGACTGTCATAGTGAAGAGGTGGCTGCCAATAATCCCTGTGGCCTAATACATGGCAATCCATGTGGTGGTTGCAAGTCCGAGCTCTCGTGAAGGGGGGTGTTCCAGCGGCTTGGGATTGGAGTTAGGGAGAGCCGCAGTGGGGCGCGGCATCAGCCAGCTTACAAACCGAGGACTACTGGACCAGAACCACGGAAGGAGAGGAGATAAAAGGAAAGGAGGAAGGCAATCATGCACATAGAGAGTTCTGAGACCGCTTAGGGAGAATCCCGATGATTGTACCCAAGAGTTAAGTACAGCAAGTCATCTGGTGAAAACAGAGTGGATCGTCCCATCTTGGAGGGGCGCTCTGTTCTGTTAGCCCGCAATCCATGGATGTGCATTCGGAGGAGGCGGGCTCGCCCTGGCGGATGGCACCATGCGTCATGGATGCACGGCCGACCTAACAAGCTCGGCGGCACGCTGGTGACATGCACGCCACGACGCGACCCTTTTGCACAAAAGTTGCTCTAACGAGACACTTGCTGGTGTGGGAGCACGCAGTTGGACGTAACGAAGGGCAGGTGATATGGCCGGAATACCACATAACAGCTTGGCTGGGACGTGAGCAAAGTTGACAGATGGTTTGCCTCGTGTCCATGCAATTAATTTCTTTGGGCTTGAAGCGGCGCCGTACTGGAGACGGGAGATGCTTGGCCGGGGTGAGTGATTCAGGTCCTCGTGAGACTGGCCTTGGGCTTGGACAGACTGGGGAGTCAGAAGCGACTCCTATGCATTCTCCAAACCACCCGATGTAAGCATAATTGCTTGGGGCACCGCCTTCGACGTGGTCTGACCTGCGACGAGCTCGATGCTGGAGAACTGGATTCGGTCGCGCTGGATTTGCAGCTGCCCATGGGTAAATGAGCAGATACCGAAACCTCGTCTTACGGGTCGAATTCACGAGAGGGCAATGAAATGAGAAATTAGGCTTGGGCGTGTGATAACCCGGCCAGATGCTATAGGACTCGGCAGTGCGGGTCGTGGGATGGACGGATGTCCTTCTCGGACCACATGCCGAGTGGGTGTCAATAGTTGGGGATTGTCCTTCGAGTGCTGCTGGACACGAGCGAGGTCATGTTCAGTTTACCCACAGGACCTCAGACGTGCTTATGATGCCGTGTTGATCAGGATGGGTAGGAGAAGGCGCCTCGGGACGAGACAGATCTGCAACCTCGCAGCTTGCGTTTCAGGGATTAGTGGTCTCGACTGACTATCGGCCAGCGAGGAGGTGCGGTACCCCAGCATCAGATGTGACCGGGGAAAAGCCTTGCAGTCAACCCGCCCGTGAGTCGCCACCGACAGCTTCTCCATGTGGGGTGAGTGAACAGGTAAGGGAACGGGTTGGGCGTTAAAAAAGGCGCGGTGAAGAGCGAGAGGGGGGTAGATGTGGGAGGTGGGAAGTGGAAGTGGAGGAGGAGGAGGATGAGGATGGAGGGGTTGGGCCACCACCTGGACAAAGGCAGAAGCAATATGCACAAGCTCATGTCCAAAGATAATGAAAGCTTGGAAATGCGGACAAAACCTGTCAAGAAACGAGACCAGCGGGCGCTTTGGGAGCAGGCCGCAAGCCATCAACATAGCACAAGCCAGTGGAGGACGAAAGTCAGTAGCGGCCGTCGAGGAAGATGGTCGTACAGGGAACAGGGCCCGCCAAGTCACCCGCGTGGTGGGCGGTGATCTCGGGCGCTCGGGGGGTGGATGAATGAGCGAGCCAGCCAGCCAGTCAGTCCAGAACGCACCGGCGTCGACCAGGCCGCGGCCACGAGTGAATGGGGCCAGCTTCGAGGCAAATCGACGAGGAAGACGTGAACCATACAGGGTGCCCGGCAAGGTGGCTCACGAAAACCTTCTTCTGCGCGGATCGAGTTGTTGTGGATGGATGGATGCCTCGTGAGGTGTACGGTGCGAAAGGTGGAGGGATGAATGGATGGATGGACGGATGAACGTGGTCGAACGCAGTGTCCTAGCACCACCTAATAAGCAGCGACAATAGCAGCGGCAGTAGCAGCAGCGCCAGGTGTAATGGCGGAGAATTTTTCGTCTCGTTACCTGAACAAAAGGGTCCCGTAGGTTGGGTACTGGAGGTAGGTAGGTAGGCATTTCACACATAACTACCCCCCTTCCCCCGTTTCTTCTGGCTGCCCATTTTCCCACACATTTTCACCCTTCAGACGCCTGTCCTCCCCTTCCCCTCGCTCGTCTTTCATTTCCCCTTGTTCATTTCGACGTGTGTTGCTGTCGTGTGTCGTTTTCCCCGTCGCCCACTTACATGAACGGTGCCCGTACGCTCGGTTTAGGGGGTGCCAGGGCCTGTGGGCGCGTGTTAATGAGTGCCGACGGGCGGCAGCAGGCGCGGCGACGCAGCGACAGCTTGGCCAAGATGGCGACGACAAAAACTACGGATCCGGCTTGATTCTGGACCATTTCCCGACCGACGACGGATTCACGACGACAGCGAAGGGTGCCTGCCTTGACCGATTCTTTGGAGGCCCTCGAAACGCCGCTGCTTTGGCCATGACGACCTGCCTGACCAGGATGGCATCCACTCGGGAAGCCCCAGTGGATAGCCTGCATCAGGCGCCACCACAACAATCCCCGGATTCAAACCTGACCGGCCTGCGCACTGCGCCCCTCGACGAACGGAGGCCAGGACTCACGCATTGTTAGCGGTGGCAGATTTCACGGCATTTGCCCACCGAACAGCATGCACTTTTGAAACAGAATGGAACGGACACGACGACATTGCGAAAGGGAGCGAGGGAAACGCTGTCAATCAACGACGGGGAGCGGGCGGCCTATCCCATGGATCTCGTTCACGGCCGTCGCCCAAACTCCATTCACCAGGGTTGTGCTATTGGCGGGGCCGCTGCAGGCGCCATTTTCGCTGGGCCGCCCGGAGCGGAACCTGTCGAGAGTCGCCATCCCATCGCCCACCACAGGGGCTGCCTTTCCGGGGGTCTGTCTGTCTAGCCCAGTGTCGACCGATTGCGGCCAAATCTGAGATGAGCCTGCACGAATGAGTGCGCAGCAAGCGCTGCGCATTTCCAGCGGGTTGGCGACTTGTCACCTGTCGGCGTTGCGCCTTGTGCGACAACAGCGCTTGTGCCGGGTTTGATGGGGGGCGTTATTCGTCTGGAATAGATGGGCAAGTTTGGCTGGCAGTGAGTTTCAGGCTCCTATCACTCGACGAGATGGCCCGAGTACCCCCGTCTCTTGCTCACGTCAAGAGGGCTGCACCGTTCAATGAATTTGGTTTTGTGATCCGTCGAAAACAAGATTACAATTCATCTGCAGCTGCGGCAATCGGCGGAGCACTTTGGCTGGCTATCAATGCCCGCGGACAGCCGGCAATGTTTCGGACACAAGTGGATAAGCATCTCACAAGCACCACGCAAGATGATGGTGCAAGTCCCTCTGATCGTCCATCTCGGTTTACAAGACATCACCGCCATTTTCAGCAAGCCTTTGCCGGGAGGTAACGATACTGTATCGTCGCATGTTATTTTGACACTCGGCCCCAGATTTCTAATCACGGCAGTTCGAGGCGCCCAAGGAATAAAGTTGGAGAAACAGACGATGCCGAAATGCTAACGCATGGCACCGAAAGCATGCTGTTGGAAGCAAGGAAGAAGCTTCAAATGCATTCCAACATCTTCAGACGCGTCAGAGAGATGAAGGGGGCGGGATTGAAGTCCCTTGGCACGCCTCCTTCCCCATCAACTGCGACATGCATCTTGGCCGCTTCTGTCGGTGATTCGGATGTGGGAGCGGATGATAGCAGGGCAATAAGCATGCATCCTTGGCATGTTAGGCGCTACAGCGTCCTATAGGTGCTGTCACTAACTGCTACGGCAACACTACTATCGGACAGCTAACGGACAGCTCTGATTGGACAAGGACCCACTCGGTTAGCTGATTCCTAAGCGACGCTAGGCCGGGAGCAGGCAAAGCAAGGCCTCAGCCTTCAGGCAAAGGCATTTCACCGTCAGTCGCTGAAACCAATGCTAATTCAGACGAGCATCCGCGCGCACTCGACTCGACTCGCCTCGCAGTCATTCGCCTCAACGCGCCTTAGGTAAGACCTCGCCTCTCATTCATTCACCTCCGACGTACCTACCGTCCGTCCCTGCACCGTCCATCGTTCCCCAGCCGCGGATAGAGTTGTCCATTTGCGCTTCTTCCCCGTCCCGTCCCCCGTCTCGTGACGCCTCATCAAACGCCCGTCGCCCTCCCTTCCCCCTTGGCCCCAGCCCGCCTGCCGGCCCCTTGGATGGTCTCAGCGCTGCGCGTCTGTCAGTTGATGTGGCTCTTGGACGCCGCTGCTGCTCGGTGCTGCTGACCTGGCACGAAAAATTCTCCCTCACTGGCTCCCTACCACACCCAGAAAGGACCGACCCCAGGACCCAACACCCAAGCCAAAGGCCAAAGGCCCGTGAAAAAAGCATAGCACCAAGGGGCTCTCGCTACTTGCTATTCGCGGCTTGGAACCTGCTGGGCGCTGGTCACTCCGTCGCTGCTCGCTCACTCTTCGCCGCCTTCGCTACCGGTACTTCCCTGCACTGCCACTGGTCCGCTGGCTGGCCCTCTTTTTTCCCTCGCCTGCTACTGCTACGCTGCGCTGAGCTGCCACGGCGCGCTCTTCCCTCTGCCGCTGCCCTGCACTTGCACTGCGCGCTGCCTGAGTCCCTCCTTCCTCAGCACCGACCACCCACTTCCAGCCGCGGCCACGCCCACGCCCACGCCTGCGCAGAGACAAGCCCCCCGACTCTCTCTGGTCTGGTCCAGCCTGCCTGCTGTCTTTTTTCCCACACCACTCTCCACCACCCACGCCGCGACGCGACTTGTCCATCACCACCGTGTCACTGCCCATCTCATCTGCCCGTCCCCCATCCCCATCCCCATCCCTAGTCCCTGGCGCTCCTCCATGGAGGCTGGTCGCGTGCCTGCTGATCGCTAACGTCGCCGCGCACACAGCCTGTTGGGCCGATCGCCATGAGCGCCTGGATGAACGACGCCGTCCCCAACCACAATGGCAACGGCTTCCCACACATGAACGACCCCAACGCTGCCGGTGCCATGATGGATCCTTCCGCTTTCATGGCTAACCAGGCCCAATTCAATCCTGCCCAGTTTCCCAATCAGCAGCAGATGGCAGCCGGAATGGCTAACGGCCCCGGCCCCATGCGCAATGCCTCGCCTTCTTTCCAAAACCCCGTCTATCAAACAAACTCGGTGATTCCATCAAAACGCCCTCGTCCTCGCGAAGACAGTCTTGCAGGCTCGCCGAGACAGAATCCCGGAATGGTGCCGACGTCGCGTTCCGAGACGCCACAACAACAATCCTTTCCTGGCTTCCAGCCCGGCGCGGTATCTCAGCAGAACCCGGGCCAATTCTCCCATCTCCAGCCGAACGGCTCAGCCAACGCGAGTCCCTCTCCGATCATGGGCAATCAAATGCGACCAGGTAGTGTTCCTCAGAGGGTCGCGACCGCGTCGCCGCATCCTTTCTCGCCGAGCGCGCAACAGTTCGCCCCTCAAGCATCGCCAATCCCCTCCGAGCACGGCACTCCTCAGCCGAATCCATACATGCAAAACATGCCTCAGGGCTTCAACCCGAACTTCGCTCCATCTCCTTCGAATGCGCGACCGTCGCCGAACCCGAACGCGATGGCTGGTGGCCAGATGATGCCGCAGCAGATGGGTCAAATGCCGCAACACATGGCTCAGATGCAAAACAGCATGTATCCGCCTCAGATGCAGCAGGCTCAACAGCAGCAGCAGCAACAACAACAGCCGCAGCAAGCCCAGCAGCAGTCTCAACAACCTCAACCGCAGAACCCGAACCAGCAACAGCCGACACCTCAACAACGCGCCCAAGGCCTGACCGACCAACAAAAGATGGCCGCCTACCAGATGCGATTGCAGCAGCAACTTCAAGGCAATGCCCAGATTCAGGCTCAGATGCAGGCGCAAAACATGGGCCGAGGGATGATGCCTAAGCAGCAGATGCCTGGTATGCCTAATGGGCAGATGCCGCAAGGAGCTATGAGGCCGCAGCAGAGAGTGATGGCAAATGTGAACCCGGAGCAATTCATGAAGAATCTGTCGGCATTAATGAACGCCAAGGGTCTTCCACTCGATCCTAACCCGATGGTGGGAGACCGTCCCGTGAGCTTGATGGTGCTCTTCCAGGCAGTCCAAAGCAAGGGAGGCTACAAGCCCGTAACGGCTGGTAATGCGTGGCCTCACATCGCTCAGATTATTGGACTGCCACCGCAAATTCCCACAGTTCCCCAAACGCTGAAGCAGATTTATGAGCGCAACCTGTACAAATTCGAAGAGGTATGGCTGGCTCAGCAGAAGCAAAGGATGATGCAGCAGCAACAGCAGCAGCAGCAACAACAACAACAACAACAGCAGCAGCAGCAGCAGCAGCAACAACAGCAGCAACAACAACAACAGCAGCAACAACAGCAGCAACAGCAGCAGCAGCAACAGCAACAGCAGCAACAGGCTCAAGCCCAGGCACAGGCACAGGCCCAAGCTCAAGCTCAAGCCCAGGCCCAAGCACAAGCACAAGCACAAGCACAGGCACAGGCACAAGCCCAAGCCCAGGCTCAACAGGCTCAGGCGCCTCAACCTCAGCAACAGCAGCAGCCTCCGCATCAGCAAAATGCCAATATGGGACCGCAAGCAACACCACAGAAGCAGATGCAACTTGGCCAACATATGAACCAAGGCCCCATGGTGCAGCCTGGCCAACCGCCGCAGATGCAGCAGACCCCTATGAAGCAGATGCAACCAGGCCAACCTCCCGTGAACGGCTTTCCGACGCCTCAACAAGCCAACGCGGTCATGCCAGGTCACAACCGGAACAATTTATCGCAAGTAATAGATGCATCTGGCGTGAACGAATTTGCTGCCCTCTCTTCCCCGGCCCCGCGCCGGATTGGAAGTATGTCCCAAAGCGATGGACGCCAGGCTGCGGTACAACCGGGGGTCGCCGTTGAGCAGCGAATGCCACGCCTTGGCCCCCAGTCAGACCAGTACAGCCCATGTTCCCGCGAGCTTTCGACATATGGAGGAGTCGACCTGAGCGCATTTAGCAAGCTTGGTGCTGAGCTGGAGAGGTGGAAACCGGACATTCCTCCGATTCAAGAGTTGGGCAACATCGATATCAGTGCCCTTACCCGGAGCTTGCAAAGTGGAATACACGGCGAAGTTCGCCTTGCCCTCGACACCTTGGCTGCTCTCTCTGTTTCTCCCAACCAAAATCACTTTCTTCAGCTCAGATACTGTGATGATCTAGTTGACGCGCTTATCGAATGCGCCGAGGACCAGGTCGACATGTTGGCTGAGCATACTGTTGAAGTCTCCGACGAAATCCAGCTGACGTGCTACGAGGACGTTGTGAGGGCTTGCCGTATTGAACGATTCGCGGTTAAAGACATTCCCGTCTTTGGTACTGCGGAGTACGAGCTAGATCGCGCAGTCGACAGGCTAATATGCGTCACGACTATTCTTCGCAATGTCTCGTTCCCCGGTGACCAAAACGACAATCACGGCGTGCTTGCGGATGAGCTTGTCATCAAGTTTATCTGCGTGCTCATCCGATACCTCGGAACTCGCACCATGCTGCTACGGTCGCAGGCCAATACTCTGGATCTGATGAAGGATCTTGTTGTTCTCCTTTCCAATATTGCTGGTTCGGTGGAAATACCCGGCCGTGAACAGGCCCTCTGTCTTTTGCAATTTCTCCTTACGTTTGCCCCGGCCCCTAACCCTACGATCTCTGAAGGCACACTCTACTTCACACCCTACGAGCCTAGTCTTCATGCTTACCTGCCTCACGCCGTTGATGCTTTGGCTAAGCTTCTTGCTCGTGATGAGCCAAACCGAACCCACTATAAGACTGTCTTCGCTCTGGATTCTAACAGCACTCCGGCTTACGAGCTTCTTACACGGGCGTTTGCCCTCGCCATCTCGCCGTTGCCCGACAAGGGCAAAGAGCGCAGCCGACCATCTAGCTTTCCCTCTCTTGTGGAAGTGCGGAAACCTTTCCTGATGCAAGGACTGTTGTCCGCCGAAATCCTGGCTTCAATAGCACCTGGCCATGATGCTGGCGTTGCTAAGGCTTGGCTGACGTGCGGAAACGGCCTCGCACACACTCTGTATAAGATGATCCGGGAGCTCAGCCAGCTATACGAGCAGCCTCAGGGTCATGGAGGACCTCGCGCCCCGCCTCGAAAGGACCCAGAGCTGGTGTACATTGTTGTGGTGACAGTCTCATTGCTGAGGAGACTAGCAGAGAAGTCCAGAGATCCCAACGATCTGACATCGTCCCTTCCGGCAAATACCGTACCGGCACCACAGGCCCTCCTTGACTCGTTGTCCATGCCTGCGCCGGAGTGGGCCAAGGATGATGTTCTCCAACAACTCACAACCTTTTTCAACCTGGGCAAATAATTTGCCAAATTACATTCGGGGTCTATTCTGGATTAATGTAGCGATGGCTGACTTCAAGCTTGTATGTTAGTGTTTGTGTGAAAAAATGGGAATGGTGCGCGGTCATTTGAAGAAGCGTATTCTTCACCTTTAGACTTGCATTCTGGAGTCGATGGTCTTGGGGTGGATGGGGTTTAACAAAGCTGCTCTTGCGTTGGTGTATACATGATGTGGAATGTAGGAAAAACCAGGCTTCTCCGAACGATACTATTTTTCTGGTGCGCCTTGAATTACATGTATTGTACATTTCTCGTAACCCAAACAAGTGGCGGGTCGTCAATATGGTACAGTTTTACAGCTAGGATATAAGTTTGAAGTGACTTTCGTTACGATCCCTCCCAGCGAGTCCCTGTTGGGCCATCCATCTCTTGGTCTAGAATCCTGTCTGAAGCATCCAATCTAAGGCCTTCTCGAAGTAATTTCCCTACATCTGCTGTTAGCTGACGTCCACGGACGTTGGCCTGGGTTATCTCTCACCTTGATCTCGATTTGCTGCGTTGTAGGGTTTAATCGGATGTCCTTTCGCTGAAGCTCCAACGCGACTGTCAAATCTTCTACCAATTTTGATCGGTCTCCGTCAATCTTCTTGATGAGGATAATACAGCGGTTGCCCCCCGACATAAACTTTCGATATATAGGGAGCTGGGCGTAGGGCGTGCGTCGGATAATGTAGGGCAGGGCAGCAGTGAGCTCCTCTTCGGTCTTGGTCGGTGGAGGCACAAAGGGACGCTTGATTGGGCGCTTCTTCTCGTGGATTTTGTTCCTGACGTTCGGGTTGACGGGCGTCTCAGACGGGTTCGGCTTGTATCCGGCATGTGTCTTGAAGGAGGCCGGGGCGATCTGCACGGCGGGGAGGAAGGAGCAGCGCTGGGCCAGAGGTGTGTGGAAGGCAGGCTTCTGGAGAAGAGCCTGGCGCCCCGTGGAGAGAACCCGGGGGAGAAGGAAGCGCATGGTGAGAATCGAGTGTCGAGGGATGCGAAGATGCGGGGTGGTGAGGTGATGCGGTCGTGAGATTCGGAGGACGGTAATACAAACGGCTTGGAGAGAAAAGCCGAAAATACAAACAGAGAAGGGATACCCAATTGGTCTCGTTGGGGCCGCACTCAACCCGTCGTACACTCGCCTGTCGCGCTCCCGAGCTCCAGAAGTTGAAGCTCTCCCATGAAAATCTCGGGATCACATGACATTTGACCTTTGAAGAGCCGGTAAATCCCCGGCAGAGGCCAAACCCCACACCACTTGTGGATTGGCGAAATTCACCAAAAATCTGCCCCTCCATCAATCACGGCTTCGCTTCGCCTTGCGTCTTTACCCTCGCGACGAGCCCTTTCTCTCGACGACCTCTGACGACCTTTGACGCAAGCCTCCTCGTCGAACCCGGCCCGATCCGAAATCTGCCCACCATGGAAGAAGTTCTCTCCGGCGTCTCAGCCGACGGCTCGTCGATCATGCCCAAGATGGCACCGCACCTGAGCCGACACCTGCTGTTCCCGTTGATCCAGTTCGAGGAGCAGAAGGCGGAGGAGAATGGCGACGACGCAACGGCCAAGCAGATACTGTCCGGCAAGATCAAGCTGCTCGAGGACACCAACATGACCGACTACGTCGCCACGCTCTACTGTGACTTCCACGGCGTGGCCGACCCCCCCGCCGAGTACATCAAGAAGAGGCAGGAGGTCCTGTCGCAGCTGGAGAAGTACGAGCAGGCCACGGCTAAGATCGCAGACCTCTTGACCCAGGACGAGGTCGTCAACGGGCTCCGAAGCGACAAGGTTGCCAACTTGGAGTTCCTCAAGAACTCGCACGGCGTAAGTGGATCGAGTCCCGCGCGCCCACAGGCTGTGTCGCTGACGGGGAAAAATATCTAGGTCACCATGGAGATGGTCAACGCCCTCTACGACTTCGGTCAGTTCCAGTTCCGATGCGGCCAGTACGAGCCCGCCGCCGATATGCTCTACCAGTTCCGAGTGCTGTCCACCGATAACGATAAGGTCTCGGGTGCCACCTGGGGCAAGCTCGCCTCCGAGATCCTTCAGACCAACTGGGAGTCATCCGTCGAGGAGCTCAAGAATGTGAGGGAAGGCATCGACACCAAGTTGTTCAACAACCCCCGTGCCCAGCTCGACCACCGAACGATGCTGGTCCACTGGTCTCTCTTCCCCCTCTTCAACTATGAGGGTGGCCGCGAGCCCATCCTGGAGATGTTCTTCTCCGCCGCCTACATCAACACCATCCAGACCTCCTGCCCCTGGATCCTGCGATATCTGATTGCCGCCGTCATCACCGGCCGCAGCCGTGCTCGCAACAGCTCCCTCCAGCAGAAGCAGATGAAGGATGTTATCCGATACGTCCGCCAAGAGGCCTACGAGTACACCGACCCTATTACCCAGTTTGTGAACGCCCTATACATTGCTCACGACTTCGAGGCTGCCCGCGAGGCTCTCCACCTGGCCGAGCAGGTCTGCCGCAGCGACTTCTTCCTCGCCTCGTCTGCCGACGCCTTTGTTGAGGCTGCCCGACACCTCATCTGCGAGAGCTACTGCAAGATCTTCAGCCGCATGAACATCCGGGACCTGAGCGCCAAGCTCGGCCTCAACCCCGACGATGGTGAGAAGTGGATCGTCAACCTGATCCGAGAGACCCGACTGGACGCCAAGATCGACAGCCAGGACGGCACCGTGGTGATGAACCACCCCCCCAACAACGTCTATCAGCAGGTGATTGAGAAGACCAAGGGTGGTTTCTTCAGGACACAGGTCTTGAACGCTGCCGTCTCGAAATAGAGCTCGGCGGGCCCTTGACGGGCACGATGAGTGTTTTTATGACAACTCAACTGGGGCAACACAATTCATATGGGGGCCTTTGAGGAGCTCTCCGCCGGATGATCGGGTCTCCGCTGCTTAGAGTGGCGCGCTTTTCTTGCAATCTAAGAGACTGATGATGATGATGACGTCGACAACAGCAGGAAGCAGAAGGGGGAAGGGGCGGCGAAAGCAGCGTGGCTAAAGGGTCCAATAGTGGCGGATAGAAGCCCTGTATATCCCCAGTGATGCGGTTTGCATTGCATGGCGTTCTCGGAAAAGGGAAGAGGCAAAGGGGGGATAATGGAATTTACGTGATTGTTGAACTACATCATCTATTCGCCTTGCTTGCCCTGTTTCCATAGTGAGGAGCCCTTCATGACGGCGGTACATATCCAGCATATCCAGCACGTTGACGATGAGAGTCACATTTCGATTAGTCTTGTATATTCCGTTATGTCATGGCTCGTAAACACATTTCTATACGCCAGCATTCCTCCTGTTGTCCTTGCCGTTTGCTCCCGTCACGGCTAAGACCATCGTCTCAACGCCAGACTGTGCATGCCGGAGAGAAGCTCCTATTGCTCACCCTCACGGCCCGCTAGCCACACCTTGCCCTTGAGTCCCTCAATGACGCTGTCCCGCATCCACCACATGTCCTCCTCCTTTTCCGGCGCCCCCTCGGAATACGTGTCTTGAGCTCCCGCATCGATGGTTTCCTGGCTATCGTAGACGTTCGGCTGGACGAGGCGGTCGCGCACGGCGCCCCATTCGAAGAGCAGGCGGGCACCCTCGAGGCGCTCGCGGTCGGTGCCGTCGACGATGCCCTTCTCCATCTCCAACCGGGCGTCGATGGCGCTGCCCGTCTGCTGGGATTCGTCTCCTCGCTCGAGCACGACGGCCCGCTCGGCGTAGCTGATGCCGCGGAGGCGCTCGAGCTCAAAGATCCATTCAAGGGGTTCCTTGCCCTTGTCGTCGCCGCCCAGGGCCCGGAGCGTGGATGCAAAGGCGCCTTCTCGGGGCGGCCGCCTTCGGAGATACAAGCTCTGCGTTTCCTCGAAGGCAGTCCTGACCTTTTCGTTGGAGAAGTCCAGCTCCACGTCCCAGAACTGGGGTCCACAGGCCGTGGAGAGGCTGGCGATCTGGTCGAGGGGCGGCAGGATGCAAGGCGCGGTGCGGTTGAGAACGGGTTCGGTGGATGTGTTGCTCTGCATCTTGATTTGCACGGGTACGGAAACGGGCTGCCCTGTGAGAACATCTTTGGTGACGAGACAGCGCTGTTCGGCGGCGAGGACCCAGAAGTGTCGAAGGGCTTGAAGATGGGCGCGGTTGTCCATGACGTTCATCGGGAAGATGGGGTAGAAAGATACCAACAAGGCAGCAATGGCCATGTCACTTGACCCAAAGGTGGTTGTTCCACATCCTAGGAAGAGAGCACCGACGGCCAGGTGAGCGGCGAGATGAGATCCGTATGGAGTGTCGGGATCATCGCGGCCATGTAGCGCACGAAGGCGTCGGAGAACAGGAATGTCGCCCGTGCCGGCCATCACGATAGAAGCGGACAAGGCAAGAATGTCCTGGCACATGCGAGCATTGGTTCGAGCCAGCTCTTCGTCATAGGGGGCAACGCCCTCTGGGTGGGAGCTGGACGAAGATGGAAGCTGGGTGATGCGCATGAATTGATCAAGATAATGGAGTAGTAAGTCTCGGACCTTTGGAGAGGCGCTCCCCGAGAATCGAAGCGCGGTTGCGAAGCAGAGACCTGCTACGATGCTGAAGAAGGGGAGGTCCGTAGACCGCAGCTTAGTCGTCCCATGAAGCTTGTAGCGATGGCGGTAGGGGGCTGGGAGACTTTTGTGAATCCAAGCAAACGTGGGCTCAATCTTGGACCAAAGGATCAAGTTCTTGGCAATCGTTCGCAGCATGAGAATGTCAGGGCGTACATAGTCAAATTGCAAGACCGAGTCGGGGACATCGATCTTACGTGCCACAATCTGATCTTCAGATTTCATGTATATGAAGGTAATAGCCATGACTGCGCCGGCAGCAGCACGGTCCAACACATGAACGATCTCAACATTCTTGGTCGCCGTTGCGTGAGTGATGAGTTTCTCCGTGAGCCTCATATCGTGTAGGCCCTTCAAGTCGTTGCCCTTGCCCAGGTTGATGAAGCCGAGGGCAAACCCGGCGGCTAGGCGGTAGCATTCGCTCCTCAGAGGCTCTTCCTCGTCTTCTTCATCAACATGCTCGATCTCGGAGAGCATGATTTCGCTCATACGGCGGTGTTGGCTATTGGCATACAGCAACCCGATGCCCATTATGCCAGAGGTTTGTGTTAGCGGTGATAGATTTAGCTCAGCTGCGCCCCTTGGCAGCATCCGAGTGGCATGAACTGAAAGGAGACGAGTGATGAGAGAGTCCATTGTGCCCATGTACGAAGCAGCAAGGCCTAGCAAAAGACCAATCGATGTCATGGTGTGCTTGGGCGTGAGATACTTGAACGCGACCCATTTCGCGACGTCCTTCAAGTGCCCGTTCAGCCCAAGAGCTAGAAGGAAGCCAGCATGCCGATTGTTGAGCTCCTGACCTGGCTTGTTGTACAGAATCCAAGATGTATCGATGCCCTTGGCCTGGGGGGAGATTGCTAAGCCTGCAGCAACACCTTGGTGGAAGAAACCCCAGCATACTTTCTCTTCCGTGAAAAGGGTCTTGTCCACTCCCACAGTGACATTTGTTGGCTTGACGATACAATTGAGGTTGAACCCGCTAATGTGAAATTTCTGCGTTATCAACGGGAACCGCAGGCTGTAGTACAACAGCGCTCGCCCTGCTGGGATTGCTAGGGTCCCCGTAGCAATTCTAGACACGAGTTCCTTTTGCTTTTCCAGGTATTCGCTTTCGGACCAGCTTGGGTTGTGATCGAGTCGAACTAATCTTGATTTGTGGGTAGACAGCAGGTCCTGTGCCTCATTCAAGCGGCGGTCGTCTTTGAAGAGAGCACGGATAACGGCTTGTCGTTCAGTTCCCTCGCCCTCGTCGTAGCCAACGTTGTTTGTTTCTTCCACACTTTGACAGAGCAACTTGAAGTCCCAGGTTGCAGTGTGCGTTGGTGTCTAATTTGAATGGTCAGCGAATTTCGTAAGTCACGGCTAAGGTGGGCATACCAAAATCTTCGCGGCCGTAGGCTTCAGGCACTTCCTAGGAGTAAGGATGAGGTTGATGTCGCTTCGATTTACCAGTTCTAGGAGTTCCTTAGACCAAGACGATGGGGGATGCGGCTGGCATAATGATATGGCATCCTGTAGAGGCACAAGCACAGCTTCTGGTAGAGTGTCCAGCACAAAAGGTGTTATGCCAGAGTCACGCATTGCCTCGACCATCTGAGGCGCTGTTGTGCTCGACTTGATGAACCTAAAAAACTGCTTGAACATGAGAGTCCTCGGCAGTATTGGCTCCCATCGCTTATCTTGGCACTTTTCGGTTTCGGATAACCGGGTGCTGGCGTAGTATACGTCGGCTGGAGTGAGATGGTGCACTTTGCGGTCCCCAACGAGACGTGACTGAATCCAATCAATGACATCGGGTCGCACGGGTGGTTGAGGTATTGGCGGCTTAAGATCGAGGTCTGGCAAGCCGTTAGTTTCATCCGACGGACAAGATTGCAATATATACCGAAGTCGTGACGTTGGTCGATGTCTTCTTGAATCCCTAATTCGTAGATTGAAGAAAAGCCCTGCCACCGTAGCCATCTGGCAACTTGACACAAGACAACGCGAAGATCAGCTCGACCCGGAGAAGTGAACTCGGGTGTCATGATATCCAGTTTCTCTTCCTCGAGGAGCAAATGGAGACCCATGAAGATATCCACCGCAACCTTTCTCCGACTCTCAGAGGTCTTATTCAAGGCTGTTGGCATGTATCCCGAAGACCCAAATGCCGCCTCACCCAGAGGAGACACTATGTAATTCTTGGCGAATCTAATGTGCCGTGAGATGAACTTTGTAGAGAAGCTTTGATTTCCTTGTGGGGACATGGAATCATCCACATCCTCATCCAGAGCCCACTCCCAGCCTCTATTCATCATCCAGATCGGGCATCCGAGTGAATTGGACGTTTCGCCAACCTCCATTGCTTTCCAATCCTCCGAGTCTCGAATGGATCCAAATGAGCCAGCAGGTCGCTTTTTACGAACGGGTTGACGGGTCGTCGGAAGAGGGCTGGAATCCACGCGACCAAGGTTGAGGAAGAAGGAAAGAAGCAATATTACAACGGCAGACCACTCCATATTGGCAACCGATTCATCTTGGCTTGCCATCCATTGCATGCAATGAAGCCATCCCGCCGAGATTCTCTCCCCTAGGGAGTGTGGAAGAATACTTCGACAAATGTCCAAGACCTTACGGACCTGAGGCGATTTTGGTTGAAGTTGAATTAGGAGTTGATGAAGTCGACCCTCAGCATCGACGACATCAATAACGCCCCTTTGCCTCGGGTGGCGAACGCCAACTATACTTCCATTACTGAGATCAATAATCTCTGACTTTCGCTGTTTGACATCGCGATCAATGGCTCTTCCACGGAACTGCAAGCTCCTTGTGTTGTCGACGAACAGCAGAGAGAGGGAAATTTTCGTGAGCTCACTCCACGGTGCCTGGGTGCTTAGTTCATGTCGGCCATCCATCGACTCAGAAAGAATGAGAATGGCAGATTGATCTCCGTCAACCAGCTTACAGGAATCGACCACGTTCTGAGCACGTCGGAGGTCTATCACTGTAACTGACACAACAGGTTCTTCCGATGTGTCCTTTCTCGCAACCTTGGCAGCCAGATCGAGTTTGTGCTGGATACCCAAACCCAGTGTGATTAGTTGGAGTCGTTTTTCGGTGGCGTCTTGAATGCCGATTAAAATCTGGCTGCGGTTGTATTCATCAATCGCAAATGGAGGCGCTGTGAGAACGAAGACCTTGGATTGATTGCGCGCGGGCTGGTCGGTGGTTGAATATCGAACATTGGAGTTGTCCAATGGCACGGTGGTGAGCTTTGTAAAGACAATCTCGTGTTGCAACCCATCAAAATCATGATCGTCAAGTCCCATGTTGTGGAACCCCTCGTCAAGGCCATCGTCAAGAGGTGCCTCCAACAGACTGCTCAAACTAGGATGAATCTGGTGGCTGTAATTTGCGCTGAGCCGAGCATGGTGACTGCCCTGGGAATCATGCCGTTTGGATACCGCGTGTCCAGAAAGTAGGGGTTGGTCGGCGAAGACCGATCTTTCGTGTGACGCGGACAAGTCTGCTCTTGCCAACATGGAGCTGACGCGGCGAGAACTCCTCCGTGTGGTATTAGCACCCTCCTTGTCTTGCTGCTCTAATGATGAGACTAAATCCAAGGGCTTCTCGAACTTCTCGCTCTTTCTTTGTCGCTTCCCAGGAAGCGGTGCCCCAAAGCTCTCTCGGAGGTTGGGCTGAACTGGAGTAGAGGGGCCACTGGCAAAACCTGGTTGCATCGAGCTACGACGCCGCGCAGCTTTTGCCTTGGCATTCTTTTGCCGACCAACAAAAGGGTCCTCGTGCTTCAGGTACGTCAAGCGCCAGATGTTGTAGGAACTCGTTTCGCGATTGATGGTAATTCCGATTATCAATGGCTGGTGCAGTTCTTGGCCTGACGCGCCTGGAATCTCGATTTCTTCAATGTGGAGCATCTCCTCGGCCGGGTCAAGAAAGGGAGGTTTCTTAAATGCGTTTCTCCTGAGTCCATTCGTTTTCAGTGGCTCCTGGTCGGTTACAACTAAGCCTAGCTCCATCAAGGGGTCTGTCAGCGCGATAAGTCTGGGCCATCGTGAGGCGGGCTGCTCCAGCGGCGCTTCCCAAAAGTCATCCAGAGTAGAACTCAGTCTAAGGGGAAGTGCCTTTGGCTTGTTGAGACCCTCGACAGAAAAAGCCGTCTGTTGCGAGCTGTTGAAGGCCGTCAGCTGCGACGAGACGAAGGAGTTTGGTGGCACTCGCGGGAACTGAAAAGAAATCGGCGCCACGCTCTCGGCTCGCAGTTTCCGCTGAATAATGATACCAACAGGACCGGCGAAAGCTGACTCGACTTCAAATGGCATGTGGACGATGTGGTTGGTTCCAGCGAGGAAGTATATGTGCGCCTGGGTCTTGAGGAAGATAACGAGTGCTTTCGAAAGCGTCGGCCGCGTGCTGGGTTTTGTTTTCGTATCACCATTCTCGGTCCCGTCATCTTCGGAAGCTGGGAAATATGCCAGGAGGGCCTGCGTAATGGGCTCTTTCTCGAGATCGAACTTGAACGTCTTCCGGAAGATGCCTCCTCGACACCAGACCACACAGCGCTCCGTTGTGAGGAGCTCATCCTCAATGCCGCTCTCCTCTCTCTCGTCTGTTAAAATATCCCACGTGTAAGAGGTCGCAGGCGGGTTCGCGGGGAGCAACTGTTCGTCGATGGCATGTTGAAGCCCTGCTGGCTGATGCAGTCCCAGGGACTTCACCGACGCCATGTTCTGGTGGGCGCCATAGGCCGCTCGCAACGTAACGGTGGGTCGTGCAGGTCTGTCACTATAGATCCGTGGCTTCTGGGGGAAGATCGTATGCTGTCGGGTTCGAATAGCTGGGCCGCAACGCTGGAGTTGAGCCGCGTGTGGACGCGCTTCGGTTTGCACGTCGAAATGCAGTGGGATGGATGGTGGGGCGCACGCTCCAGGCGGGCGTGTGGGCGTGGTTGTGCGGAGCTGAGCTCGTGACGTAGCTGCAGGTACCTCTGGCGCGCCACACTTGGAGCTGTCATAGCTCAAACGCGGGTACCTGAATCAAGCTTCAACTCTTCTACATCGTTGCATCCCCCGGCTGTGAGAATCCCCAGCATGACCTCAATGCTGCTGGCGCAATGACAGACCAGTCGCCGAATCCCGGCGATACACAGGAGCGCGAGCTCGAACCGCCTCAGTCCCAACCCGAGCTACCACACGAACACGCCGTGACATTCTCCGAAGACGAAGGCGAGACACCCGACCACGATGCGCCTGACAACACCGATTTAGAGGCCCCAGCCCAAGAGCCAGTCACCGGAGCGGACGGTGCTGGCGAAAACGAGGGGGTGGCGACCAAGAACGCAGTTGACGCCCAAAAGGAGCCTGTAGGCGGTGGTGATGGCACTGCGGCGGAAGTGGACGACAGCCAAGAGGACGAGGGGAAGACGAAGGAGACAGAAGAAGTAGATGCTGAAAAGGAAGATGAAGACGCAGAAGAAGCAGATGACGATGTTGAGGAAGAAGAAGAAGAAGAAGAAGAAGAAGAAGAAGAAGACGACGACGAGGAAGAAGACGATGATGAAGACGAGGATGATGACGAAGACGACGAGCCGAGGCTCAAGTACGCTCGCCTTACCCAACACCTCGGTCCCCTATACCGCAACGGCGATGCGACCAGTGCATTTCTTGTCGCTGGCGACAAGATGGTTAGACCTGCTGTGATACCCTAGCTGTATTTCCATACTGACTGCCTCACAGATTGTTGGAACCCATAACGGCAACATTGTGAGTTCTTCCTCTACCGCCAGGCCACCCTCTGTCTAACTCGAGTCCAGCACGTAATTCAACTCCCCATCTTCCAATCCTTGAAAGTCTATCATGCGCATTCTGCTTCGGTCACCAGCATATCAATTTCCCCTTTCCCGCCACCTCTACCGACCGACAAGCCAGAGGCTCCGCCGCGACTTACAGGACCTGCAGCCCCCAGTGGCGCTTCAGCTCGACAGCCAGAGTCATCTCCGGCTGCAGCATCGAGGAAACCTCGTGAGCGCTTTCAGATCCCCAAAATCCCATCAAATGACATTTTCGTTGCGACGTCATCAATGGATGGCAACGTGTGCGTGCAGTCACTTGTCGACATGAAGGACGTTCAACTGCGCAACTTTGCTAGGCCGGTCCAGTCGGTGGCGTTATCCCCCGAATACAGAACCGACAGAACATATCTATCAGGAGGAACGGCCGGCCAGCTCATCCTTACTGTGGGTGGAGGTCCCGGCCGAAGCACTTCGACAACAACCGGCAGTGCGGCAGCCACCGCCTCGGGATGGCTTGGAAGTATGGGTATTGGCGGCAATACAGGAAAGGACACTATCCTTCATTCTGGCGAGGGAATTATCAGCACGATCAAGTTCTCTCTCTCTGGAAAATATGTCGTGTGGCTGAACGAACACGGCATTAAGATTATGCGATCCAAGCTCCATCTTGATAACGCAGATGCCGAAGATGCATGGAAGCGTATAGGCCATATTGATCGACCACAAACAGAGGAATGGGACACCATGGCTAGTGTCTGGAAGGGCCGCGTTGAGTGGATTGATGAACAGGCCGTTGAATCAGATGAGTCAGAACAGGGCCCCCTCGACAAGCCCGTCTCGCCGGCCACCGAAAAGCTGAGGGAACAGGCTGTCTTGGGCAAGAGGAGTATCGAGCGACTTCTCGTGGGATGGGGTGGTACAATTTGGATCATCCATGTCCATCCTGGAGGTGTAGGTGTGGGACGGAACGTGGGAGAGAAGACTATTGGGCGGGCTGAAATTGTCAAAATGTGAGTCTGCACCCTCCCAAGTATGACCGGACTGACAACCTAACGTTCACAGTCTACGCATGGATTGCATTATTTCCGGCATTTCTTTATATACCCAGAACTTGTTACTTGTGCTTGCATATTGTTTACCCGACGAAGACAACGAAGACGAGATTCTCGACGTGTCGCCAGTCAAGACGCATAAATCTCGACTTTCGACAACATCGACAGGAAGCGAACCTGTGGGGGGTGTCCGCCGGCGCCAGAACAATCAGCCCCCTGAACTACGGCTTATCGATCTCAACTCCCAAGCCGAAGCCGACAAGGATGGGCTCAGTGTCAGTCGCTATGAGCGACTTACATCAGGCGATTACCATCTGGGAGTGTTACCTGCACGCAACGCTGCCTCTGCCGTTGCTTCAACAAGAGGAGCCCTCGAAGCCCTTGCCGGGCTTGGCTCGGACATGTGGAATGCTGCGATTAATCCGCGATCACTCTTCAGCTCGGGGGCAAGCATCCGCAGCAGAGAGAGTGGCGATGATGCAGCTTCAAGTATGAGGGCCGGCAGCACGACCGGGATTATCCGTCCTGGGACCAGCAGAGGTGGTGCCCCATCGGTGCATGCCGGTCTGGTTAAGCCAGGAGTCAAGGTGTTCATTCATAGCCCATACGACTGCATTCTTGCAACGAGAAGAGACTTGGGAGACCACCTGGGATGGCTCATGGAGCGCCAGCAGTACCAGCGTGCTTGGGAGCTCATCGACGAGCACCCCGAAATCGTGACTACCTCTGTCGAAAGAGGCAGCGATGCAGGTCCTCAAACCCCATCGAAACCGCAAGAGGCTGCTGATGACTTTTTTGATGACGAGTCTGTCACAGATTCAACTCCTAGAAATATGTACTCCTCAGTCGAGCGAGAGAAGAGGCGGATCGGAGAGCTCTGGATTCAAGAGCTTATTGAAGAACAAGACTGGATCTCGGCTGGCCAGGTCTGCGGCAAGGTGCTCACAACTGCCGACAGGTGGGAGAAATGGGTATGGACCTTTGCGGGCGCCAAAAGGTTTGAGGAAATCACGAACTACATCCCAGTAGCGCCTATGCGCCCTCCTATCCCTACAACCATATATGAAGTTGTCCTGGGTCACTATCTTCAGACCGACAAGCCCCGATTCAGGGAGCTACTTGAGCGTTGGCCAACAGAGCTCTTTGACATTAAAACCATCACCACTGTCTTGGAGAACCAGCTCAAATATCGAGATGTGCGGGAAGATAGCATCGATGAAGGAGAGAAGGGCCGGGACTGGCGGATTGTCATGGAAAGTCTGTCAAGACTCCATGAAGCTAATGGGCGTCAACGAGAGGCACTCAAGTGTTACATCAAACTCCATGATGCAGACTCAGCCTTCCGCTTGATCAGAGACAACCACCTTGCCGATGCCGTCGAAGATGACATCCCTAGCTTCATCGGCCTCAGGGTATCACCGGAAGACCTGGGCCAGATGACAGAAAGCGACCTTGAGGATGCCACATCCGAAGCGATCACGCTCCTAGTTGATGAGGCTCAGCATGGTCTCTTGCGCCCGGAAGTGGTTGTGGAACAGTTGCTCGCCCAAGAGCTGCGCCTTTACATCTACTTCTATTTCCGCGGCCTTTGGAAGGGTGAAGGCATCAGGGAACACATGGGAGAGAATTTGGACCGACTGGTCATGGACAGCCAGTCTCTGGTGGACGGCTTCGCCGACTTGGCGGTGCATTTGTTCGCGACTTACGACAGGACGCTACTGATGCAATTCCTGAAGATTTCTATTTCGTACACTTTTGAGAAGGTTCGTTGGCCAGAAGTGAACCCTGCGCTGCGAGGAATGCTAATCAGACCCAGGCTGTCCAAGAATGCGAGCAATTTTCATACTACGACGAGCTTGTGTATCTATATTCGAAGACCGGGCAGATGAAACGCGCGCTCTATCTCATCATCGACCGCCTCAAGAACGTCAGCAAGGCCATCGAGTTTGCCAAGGAACAGGATGATCCTGACCTCTGGGAGGATCTCCTCAACTATAGCATGGACAAACCTAGCTTCATTCGTGGCCTGCTTGAACAGGTCGGCACGGCCATCAACCCGATCACGCTCGTGAGGCGGATTCCAGAGGGTCTTGAAATCGATGGCCTCCGAGAGGGCTTGACTCATATGATGAAGGAGCATGAGATACAGTACAGTATCAGCTCTGGAGTCGCACGGGTCCTGCGCAGTGAAGTTGCCGCCGCACAAAACGATCTTCGTGCTGGACAGCGCAAGGCCATCAAGTTCGAAGTGGATGTGCACTCCACGGAGCACATAGATGTAGAGGTCAAAGACGTGCCCACCGACCCGGAGAATCCGGAGCGGAATGCATCGCATCCCGTCACAGACCACGATCATCGGGTCCCTCAGGTGGGGCACTGCGCGAGGTGCCATGAGCCCTTCACCGAGTATGAAATGGAAACTTTGGTGGGATATGCGTGTGGCCACGTATTCCATGTGAGCCACTTACTAGAGATGTTGCATGGAGGGAAGAAGGTCGATGTCAATTTGGGAAATGGCGTGGAGGAGGGGAGTCGATACTCGGTGGGAATGAAGGTCATGCGGGCGCGGTTGTTGAAGGATAAGGTTAGAGGAGGATGTCCAGTTTGCCATGTCAAGTAAGAGCGAAGCTTCATCATTCATATAGGCGTCAAATTGTGTATAGCGTTAACGGATACCAGCTCTACAAGCATTCACATAGTAGTCTTCCCCCATGAATGATAGGTGACTGACACGCTGAACACAAAGCACAGACACGCGGTTGAAGATGGACCTGGTTCAATTTCAAAATGTATCTCAGTACGAAACTTGATTATTATTCCCATCTCAGAGGTTCCCAAATGCGAAAATCAGAACCCTGTGTACCAAGCTACCCCTTTTGGATCTCGAGAAAGATTGCCTTCCAAATCGCCTGATCTGACAACCACGAGCCCCTATCGTAAACACATACGGGGGGCTCCGGTTCGAGAAACAGGTAGGGATAGAGCATTAGAAGAAAATGGCAACGACCATGCCGGCAACACCAAGGATGGCGGCAGAGAGAGGGTTGGCCATAGTGGCGGCTCCAGTGGCAGTCGAAGTGGGAGTGCCCGAAGCACCGGAGGGCGTCTCGCCATCAGTAGCAGTCGGGTTGGTTCCGGTGCGAGAGTGCGAGGCATTGTCCGAATAGCCATCGGAGGGCTCCGGATAGGCGCTGGACGGGTTTCCAGACGCGTAAGTGGCGGCAGTGGGTGTCTCACCGGGCACGCTTGGCTGGCCACTCTCGCCAGGGCCAGTGGCTCTAGGAGGAGGGACAGAGTAACCGGGCTGGGAGCCGCCGGCGGGAACGCTCTCGTAGGGGACGGACTGGCTGGGCTCGTTCTCCCCATGGACGGAAGTCCCGTGTTCGGCTTCGGCGTACGACGAGATCTGACCTTCGCCTGGGACGGTGGCAGCAACGTCGGTCGGGGCGGGAGGAGCGCCGCCACTGACAGAAGTAGAGACGGAGCACGCGGTCTGGTGGACGATGTTGCAGACACTCCAGGTGAAAAGGACAGTGCCTACGGTATTGTTAGCCTTGAAAGCATGGTGCTGGCGGTTCGTGAGTGTTACCTTCAGAGGTCGTGAGTCCGGACTCCTGGGTGACGGGGGGCAGAGTGGAGGAGCAATCCGCTGGGAAGAAGTCAGCAAGGACCAGGAATAATTGAACCGGAAGTATCCATACAGTACGCAGCTTCGGCAATAGTTGTCGAGGCAAAGACGCCCAGGAGTGCTACAACACTGGCGAGGGCGTTGATCTTGAAGACGGCCATTTTATCGGTTGAAGAAGTCTGCTGTGTGGTCTGGTTAACGACTGAGGGGGGCCAAGAAATGCGTGACGAAGTAACCAAAGGGCCCTAGATTAGGGGAAAGAGAAAGGAACAAAATGTGAGAGTCTTGACGAGCAACGCTCGCCGAGTGTTTCTGAGGAGGCAACTCGTGACGACCGAAGAGAGTGGAGCGGAGTGCACACACGTCGCCCCACGAGATGAGCCTTGAAGTGGAAGAGGAGGAAACAAATCAGCAATAGGAGGTCACGAACCTTGATAAGTATCTTGTGTAGTGTGGTGATCTTGCGAGGGAGGGATCGCAGGTCGTGACAGTCCGATGCGCACGAGGTGGTTGCGTATGGAGGAGAGAAAAAGGGAAGACGCCGAAGCACGAGAGGGATTCTAGTGATAAACAAAGGCTCGGTAAACGACGGGACCTAACCTGCGTGACAATAGTACTGTCAGTTGGCGAACACTCCAAACCAGCTGGCAACTGAACAGCCCCTATTTTCCAAGGCAGCGGGCGATTGGATGGGAAGCGGGGGGCACTGGCTGAAAAGTGCGTGAATCACCCAGCACAAGTGCCCTTTTTCTCAACCCACAATGAACTTGCATTGAATTAGGCTGGTCTGCTCCAAGTATAAGGGAGAACGCAAATGGCACAGAGTGATGAAGCTGGGGTGCAGAGGAGTTGCACCGGTAGGTGACAGCGGGAGGAGAGGTTACTGAGGATGAGGCGCATCAGGACAAGGATAAATGACATCAACATACCTTCAAAAGACAAGTGATTCTTCGCAAAATGTTCCCAAGGAAATGATGAATAGAGTGAAGCGGGAAAAGAGAGCAGAATAGAACACGATGCGGTCGATTTGAAGGAGCAAGTCGGAAACGTTCCGGCTTTTCCTTTTTCAAGCGAAGACTCTTACTCCCGCTCAAGCTGCCTCTTCTCACACTTGGTCTCTCGTCTTTGACCATGTGTAAACAAGACCCCTGAATGGGTGAGTACATGCAAATTTCTGCAGGCTGTGTAATGCCGCAGAATGATCGTAGCACGTTGCGCCAGCGGCCGTATCTCGCAGGAGAGGAACACAACACAAGTCCCCTGCCACAGGTTAATTGGCCCTTTCTGCGGCCCTATCTTGGTTCAGCCGTCCGTATGCAGGTCGAGTAACCTTCAGCGTGTTTGATGGCCAGCCATTTCCTTCAGCCAGAGACATTTCACCGCGCAGGCTTCCCATGCGGTGCGAATGGCTAGCCTCAGAATCATGTTAGCCGCCCCGAAAACGCCGCCCTCACCGGATACAACCGACTAACACGTGTCTGCGCGAGGCTTCGTGTAATGTCATATGGCTCATATGGCCGTTGCTCAACGTGACTAGCCGATGTCGGCACTGTTGACCTGCCAGGAGGCAAACTGCATCGTCCAAACTAAGGGTGGCATAAGCGAACATGCAGCTTTCCAGTGCAAACACTCTGCCTCACGACGCTTCTGGGGCGACGAGCTTAGATTCGATCCTTGATGTGCCGTGATTTGGCGCTGTAGTGCTCTTACGGTGCATGCCCCGTGATCACATTTCCAGGGGCTTTAGATTCGAGTGGCAGCTGGGGAGACAGTCCACGGCATCTCGTTTGATGTTGTCTTTGACTAACATGGAACTCAGAAATAACATTTTCGAGGCTCACCACCGTCAATCTCGCTTCTACGCTGCCTTAGGATTTAAGATGACACTGTTTTACAATGGTCTAGCCCGATAGATTGTACGTTCGGGGGTTTCGCCAGTGCTACCAAGGCCATTTGACGATTTTGAAGCATCGCCAGCAATCCTGAGGTTGAGGTACTGAGGTCATCCCGGATAAGTATGGCGCTGCCAAAATGTAAAATAAAATACAGGATATCAAGAGCTCAAGGGGATTTACGCGGAACCGGAGAGAGAGAAATATAGAAAAGGATTGAGCGGAATGGAAATGGCAAAAAGATGCAAAAAGAAAGGATAAGTATAAGATGGAATTAAACCACCACAGTTGGACGAACAGGGAATCGAACCCTGGACCACTCCCAGATATTCAGACGAATTATGCTAAGGGAGTATTATACCACTAAACCATTCGCCCGATTGGATGTCGATCGTTGCCGGAATTGAGGGATATATGTGTAGTGGGTCGGGAGAATTCAGATTCTCAAGGAAATGTCACCCTTCAGCAGCATCACGAGGCGCTCGAGTAGACATGTACAGCTATAAGCACAGCCCAAGCTACAGCCCGCGATGTTAGCACCTCTTTTCAATTTCTCATGGCCTGGAAATGTAACCAGCGATTTCAGAAATGCATTGCCCCCGGATCATCATTCGGATAGAGCAACCTGCCGACGTTCGTCTCTATCATCCCAATAACCAAAACGCTAATAAGAGAACAAAAAACTGAACGTATTTCCCCGTGGATATCGACCGAAATGAATTAGAACAAGAACATCCATAGCGCATTCGTCTGAAACTCCGTCGCCTCGAACGAAACCTACAATTCAACCTCCAAAAGGAATTCCAACAAGAAGCGAATTACTGAAGGAACCGGGCAAGCACGGTCATGCCCCCGACGTAGACGCCTCCGTAGACGAGATATTCTTGAGTATCATGGGTTGTTGCCGCCGCCAGGTTGAACGCACCCGTGCTGAATAGGACCATGCAAACGATGGCTCCGAAGAGGATCACAATGGTCATGCGCCCAGCAAAGTCGTGAATGACAGGAAAAGCAAGTAGAGGGCCAAAAATAGCCGTGACAGCCCCGATGGCCACTTCTTGGAGCGGGCCCCGATGAAAGAGCGGACCTCGATCAAAAATATGTCTATGGGCGGTAGCCAATCTGTTCGGGCCATGCCCAGGGCCACGCACCGGGCGGGGGACTTGGTCATCTGGAGCCCGCTTCGCCACGGGTGGACGAGGTTCCAACAGGACGAGATCAGGTTCGTCGAGAAATCTAGTCTCGGAGTCTGCGATCGGTCTTTTTTCTTCGAGGAAGGCCTTGTAGTCGCGAATCTCATTTTGTGTTGGTGGGGGCAGATTCTGGACGTCTTTGAAAGAGGCGAGAAGTGTGTCTAGACTTGTTAATATCGTGGAGGACTGAGCAGAGAGTCAACTCACTGTAGGTCTGAAGCTTTTGGGTAAGCTGTGAGAAGACCCTCGCTTTGTTCAGGTGGAAATCGTGATTGCTGACTCTCTCCTCCCGTTCAGAGGCTGGAAGTGGAATTCCGGCTTGTAGTCGATTCAATGAGTCAATTTCGTCCATGTCCAAGAGATTCTCTTCAAGGACAGTAATCTCATCTTGCAAAGACAGCAAAACCCGATGGTTGATGCACTCGAATCGGCGATACATGGGCGTGATAGGCGCCCCTCCTCCCAAATCGTCTGTCAGTTTTGCCGCCAACAAATCATAGCCGCTCAAGGGTGGCTTTTCTGCTCTAGGTTGGGGAAGCATTGGGTTCGGGGGATTCATTGGGTTCGGACCAACCATCGGGTTTGGAAAGTGAGGGGGTTGAAAGTACGGGAAAGGACCATTTCCCCGGGGAGTCTCTGGTGCACCGTAGTTGTGAATGGGGTACGATTGTGGCAAAGGATACTGCCCTCCGAACTGAGGATCAAACGCGGGTAAAATTTGCGATGGAGGCTGGCTTGCAATAGCGTACTCGGGGAACTCTGGGCTCCAGCTCAGATCAGTCCTGGAATCAGCTTGACGTTCCGAGAAGACGTCGTTGGGAGCGGTGCTGGGTACAGAGGAAGAAAGTGCTGGCGAGATCTGGGGGCCACGGCGCCTGGCTATATACTGGCTTGCGTCGTGAGCAGAAATCCGCATGGGATCTTGCGTAACCATGGGGAATTCTGATTCAGACAGATTCAGAGATGTTGGTCGCTGCGCGCCTCTTGGTTGTTTTCGGAATCTGGGCTCTCGTCTTTCCTTGGGTGGGTTTGCGTCGTCTTTTTGGCTTGCGCTGTTTGAGTTGGCGGGGCCATTAGCATCCGTTGGGGACGTGAGGGAACCAGGCATCGAGGAAATATCTGGTGACGATGATCGTGTAACAGCGCCGTCTAACGGTTCCTCTTCTTCCTTGCAGGCCGCCCCGATGGCGGTAAGGGGCCGCGAGCGATGCGACTCGGGGAATTTAGAGGAGATGTTTGGGGAAGAGACCGGCCTTGGTTTGGAAAGCGACGGCCTCCGTCTCCTGATCGCGGTGTTTTCTCCCGTGCCTACGTCCCGTTGTGAAGGAACATCCACCGTTCCAGACATTACTTCCAGTTGGTTGAGTATTGCCAAGGACAGCCTGATAGCGGACCTGGTATCTTGCAGAAAGGTTGACTTGGGTGATACCGTGACCCCATATACTAAACAAGAAAGGGCCTGGAGCAGGAGATGGTTAGTGACAAGGGTGGTGTGCTGAAAGGCGAGTAGTGATTCACGTAGATGAGAGAGTGTGGTCCACTGTCGCTGGGTATCGCAAGATGGTATAAGCGGCGGGTGGACTGACAAATAGGAGGACCTGCGCCAGGTGTCGAGGAATCGATCAGGCGACCCTCGCCAAGAAGCAATAGTGCTCGAGAATGAAGGGATGCGGTAATATACAGCGGTGCTCAAAGCGAGTACCAAAGGGAAAGAAATCAGACACCAAGAGACACTCGTCTCGTCACGGCGCAAAGTGACAGTGGAAAGTGAAGCATGGAAAAGGGAAGCTGGGGGACAGAGCCTCCTTCAAGCAAGCGACACGATAACTCGTCATCCGGATGACACGCTTCGGCATGTGTCAGCTCCCCGGGCGGAGGCCCTCTTGCAGGCGTCAGGATTGGACGCCCGCTCCGGCTGGCATCATGGGTTGGCAAAGTTGATGGGCGACGAATGGGGTTTGGCGGGATGTGTCGTGGTGGTGTGGTCGACGGGTGACGATGCACAGTGCTTTCACTGTACCATACACTCCCTGTCCCAACAGTCAGGGGCGCAGGCCGCGCTTGCTGTTGTTATCGACGGCTAACTCACAAGGAAGTACTGTGTGAACACGCGCGGCATTAACACAGTACGATGACATGGTGAAGCCATTTGCTCCGGTTCCGCATCGCCTTGTTGTTCGGGTTTTCTAGCGGCCCGGACAGTCCCGCCAAACGTTAGAGGAAGCTCCACCAGAGCTCTTCACTTACACATTTGCGACAAAATCTCGAGCTCGCCCGATCCTTGTTGAATCGCTGCTTCGAAGATCAGAGCTGGCCTTGGGCGCGTCGAACCCGACCCCAATCGTCCCAACTCTTCCCAACCGCGCGATGCGAGAAGCCTCCCTGCAGGCCACCCGCATTGTCACCACCTGCAATCGTCATTTCGCTGCAGTAGAGCACACCACCCTCCTCGAACCGATACGGACCCAACACACGCCCGTTGCGCCTCGTCCTGAGCCTCCATATTGACCAAAGACCGCGGTTGTGGATTAATTTCGGCCCGCCGTATCGTCTGCGTGAGCAGTTGTATCAACAAGACGGCGTCCAACCACCGAGCGCCACCTTCGGCTCCTCTCCCAGCTTCCAGACCGTTCGATATTTCGCCCACACCCCCGCGTTGAACGCATAATGACGCGCATCCCAACATCCGCGCTCAGCAGATACCTGCTCGGTGGGCAATTATCGCGACGCGGTTGTATCGGTGCGTGTCAAGTTTTGAGGCAATCGGCTATAACACGGTCAGCTGCGTTGGGATGCTGCCCAGTCAGGTCGTTCCACGCTGCCCCCGAGGTCTCTGACCCCACTCCACCCGCACAGCCGGTGCCTCTACGCAAGCAGTTACGGGAAGAGGCAAAACAGGCGAAGAAGCAGGGAAAGAAGAAGTCAAAAGGGGACTCTCAGACAGTCGATGGTTGGGAGTTGACAGTAGGCATCGAGATTCATGCCCAGCTGAATACATCACGCAAACTGTTCTCACCAGCCGTTACATCATTCAACGATGAACCTAACACCCATGTCGCACTTTTCGATGTCGCCATGCCGGGCAGCCAGCCTCTCTTCCAGAAAGAGACTCTCGTCCCAGCCCTACGCGCAGCCTTAGCTCTCAATTGCGACATTCAGAAGGTCAGTCGCTTCGACAGGAAGCACTACTTCTGGTGGGACCAGCCATCCGGTTACCAGATTACTCAGTACTATGAACCGTTTGCCAAAAATGGCCACATCACCCTCCTAGCCCGAGATGGAATCTCTCCCCAAGATGGTGAGAGCGTGACTGTGGGGATCGAGCAAGTCCAGCTTGAGCAAGATACCGCCAAGACACTGGCCCAAACAGACAACATTCACTGGCTAGATTTCAACCGAGTTGGTGTACCGCTCATCGAGATTATCACCAAACCCGAAATGCACCACCCTCGCACTGCGGCCGTTTTTGTCCGCAAGATCCAGTCATTGCTGAACACAGTCGATGCATGCGTGTCCGGCATGGAGACGGGAGGTCTGCGAGCCGACGTCAATGTGTCCGTTCGCAGGACTGACGGGACCGACGTCTCCCTTGGCACTAGGACCGAGATAAAGAACCTGAGTACCATTAAGGCAATTGAGGATGCCATTATCTCTGAGCGAGACCGTCAAATTCGCGAACTCGAAGCTGGAGGCTCCATTGCTAGCGAGACTCGCGGTTGGAGCATTGGCGCAACAGAGACTCGTCGACTGCGAGGAAAAGAAGGAGAAGTGGACTATCGCTACATGCCTGATCCAGACATTGCACCTCTTGTCATTGGCGACGATCTCGTGAGCCACCTCCGAGAGTCTCTTGCCGTGTCATCGGATTCAGAACTTGACACATTGATTTCCTACTTTGGTCTCACGTCAAAGGATGCGCTGTCTCTCGTCAACCTCGAGAATGGAGCGCGTGTGCAATACTTCTACAAAATACTAAGGTCTCTTGAGGAAAAGCTCGCTGGCGACCTCCCCGGGGCAGAACTTCCAGACATTAAGAGCTACGCCTCGGTCGCTAGAAATTGGATCATTCATGAATTGGGTCGTCTAACTACATACAAAGCAGGCCCACTTGCAGCCAGAGATCTTTCATTTACTCCGGAAGGAGATTGCGAACAAGTCCCCGATTCGGACCTTTCGCAACTGCTCTACCATCTCATCCAGAAGCAAATCACCGGAAAGGTTGCAAAAGAGCTCCTATTTTCCATTTACTTCAAAGAGATTGAGGGAGGAGTGACTCAAGCGATCAAGGACAATGATTTGTGGTTCAAAGAGATTTCCCAGGAAGAATATGAGCTTCTCGCCGACGAGGTCATGGCCAAGGAGGAGAAAGTGCTCCAGGAGTTTGTCGGATACACGAAATTCCCCCAGGGGAAGCTGATGTACCTCGTGGGCAAGCTCATGCGGCTCGGGCCAACCGAGGGGATCGTCCCTGCAACCGCCGAGAAGGTCCTGAGGGCCAAGGTCGACCTCCTTCGACAAGGCTGAATCGCCTCCCCTGAACATTCTCGTCTCCTTCATAGCACAGCCCCTCATGTCACTAAACCACCACTTAGGTGCACCGGTGTTACAAGTCATCTGTGGTGTATTGGCGCCTAGTTGAAGAGACCTTTGATTCCGAGCCCCCTGGACCATTCCATCGTGAATGTATGCAAGTGTACCGTAGGTGTTACGGCTCGCGTCACTCTCAGGCACAAACAAACACCAGAGCAAACATATAAGGAGCTGATATCACTTCTGAGGGTACCCACCCCTCGGCGGAATTATGGAATGATTTTCGGGATGTCTAACGGAGCTATTGTATTCGTTTGCATCACTTCTGTCAGGACCAACACAAACTCACGGATGTCGACCCTGATCCCAATACCAACTGAAATCCCAACAGCATCACTCGCAAGCGATGCCTTTTCCACTCCAAAACCATTGAGTAACCATACAGTTACTACTCCCCCTTCGGCCCCCATGGCCCAGTATCTATCCGATGGTACTATTGCCGCTATTGTTGTAGGGGGGACCCTGACTTTGGCAATTGTTGCATTCGTGGTCTGGATATGCATCCAGCACAGGAAGAAGATCTGGAAGACGCATAGCCCAACAATTCTTCCTACACGCCTAGTTCTCCCAGAAGAGACACGAGAATTACCCGAAATTTGCTCCCAAGCGGATCGCACCAAGTCTGCGTCCTGGCTCGCGTATCAAGATATTTGGGACCCGAGGGAGACTTCATCACAAGGTGTCCGATCTCCGACACCAAAACCTGCTCTAGCAGAGGTGAAGAGTTATACCCGCGCCCGGCAACGGGCTCAATTGTGCAATGTTGGAGGAAGAAGACGGCCTGTTGCTGAGTTGCCAGGCTCGGAGATGATTTGGGTTCCCACTCAGTTGAATATCTCACCGATGTCGCCGATTTCTCCGACAGACTCGATGGCTCCTAAAAGCAGGCTTGCCAGCCCGATGTTTCACCACCCGCGGTCCGGGCCCAGCTTACGGCCCAGTCGCGAGGATGGAGTCTCAGACCTTCCAAATGCTGCGAGTCAGATCAGCAGATGGCACCCTCGCCATTCAAGTTCTCCTCTCGATACCACGCCAAACGGCAGCTCGAGAAATATTCCCAATTGCGAGACAAGGTCCGAGAGGGAGCGGTTCAGGATTTCGAATGATTAGAGGCGAGATGCGTGTTGGAGGTACTTCGGAGGCTTTTGAGACAGGGATGATGGGCCGATGAAACGTGGGGTTGTATGATCGCCGGGCCTCAAACAAGCTTAGAGCATGTTCGATTTTCCTGATAAACTCTCGATAATGATGGGATGAGAGGGGCAGGAATCTGCATTTGTCCATTTCTTTGCCTTTTGGTGAGATGTGAGAATTCGAACCTGTATTGAACGTAGAACCGTCTTTCAACACGACTTTGTGTGGCGCGTGTACCCAACTTTTAGCGAAGCTGTACTTTGTCGACATACCACAAAGAGCTTGCCCTCTTCGACCAGACTCGCGAATCTTGAAGCCGTGTCGGCAAATTGAGTAGGACTTTTTGAAGCCGCCGATTCCTCAACATCTCAAGATGAAGCAATTATCACTGTCGCCTCGATGTTGGCTTCTGATCGGGATGTTGGTGCACCGACCGGTCTCAGCGCTTGCAGGATGGAAGAATGAGGCAATCTGTTCCTGGAATCCAGTGACGCCGCTGCTCGAAAATCGCTTCTGCGAGCTAAATCGGGAGACCACGACACCAATCCCGCGACAGAACGAGACTGAAAACGAAGGGCACGAGCTGGGTTGGAGAGGCCCACACGGATGTGTCGAGGGCTTTTGCTTGTACTCAAACCCAGGATTCTACGGTGGCAGAGGAATCGTAGCGATTACTCTAGAGGTGCATCTGCCGACGCTGAAGGGCCTGCAATCACAACTTCGAGGCCTTGATGCCCCGTCCTCGTTCCACGTCGAGGAAGTGCCCGGGAAAGGGCTCGGTGTGATAGCAGATCGCGAACTGAACAGAGGAGAAGCCGTCATGCCAAGACCTCCAGCGCTCCTCGCACACAGGCGATTCTTGGAGGACCACGCATCCTCGGAACAGCAACACGCCCTCCTCGACAAGGCCGTCACCTTTCTCCCCGCAGAGACTGGGAAGTTGTTTCTCTCCCAGATGGCTCACCTCGGCGGCCACCGCGTCAACGACATTCTCATGACGAACGGCTTTCAAGTCGTTCTCGGTGGACCAGATAGCCACCACTATGGGAACTACCCCGAAATCTCGCGACTCAACCACGACTGCCGGCCGAACATGGCTTACTACATCGACTCCGACTTTGTCCATCGCACCAGAGCGGTCCGGAAGATCGTCCCGGGCGAGGAGCTCACTGTGACGTACCTCGACCCATTCCAGGACCGGGACGCAAGAAAGCGTCGCGCCCACAAGGCCTGGGGCTTCGATTGCCAATGTCTGCAATGCAGCCTCCCTGATGCCCTCGCAGATGCCAGTGACGCACGATTGCGGCGGATCCGTGTGCTGGAGGAGCGCATGGAGAACCTGGAGAAGCACCTGACGATGGATGACATCCGTGAATTGATGAAGTTGTACAGAGTGGAACGGCTGGAAACTAAGCTTGCTGGGGGGTTGACATTGGCGGCGATGAATGCCAATTTGCTAGGCAGAGCAACTGAGGCGAGAGAGTACGCGCTGCGGGCAGTGGAGGCGGGCATCATCGAAAGGGGTGAGACTGAGGATGTGAAGTCAATGAGATTGTTGGCACAGGATCCCAAGGGGCACTTTACATGGAGAGGGCGTATGTGACGGATAGTGAACCCAACCAAATACCATAAGATTAGCTAGGGACACATGCCTAAAGCAGATTGAGTTGAATAATATACCCCCTTGGGAGTCTTTCGTTTCTCATATTCGTGGGAGTATTGGGTAGTAAATTTCTGAACAAAGACAGTCTAGCAGAAACACCCTCACCAGTTGCCAAGTCTCGCACGATGTCTTGAATAATTTGTATTTCATGGCCCAGGGCGTTGGCCAGGCTCACCCCCAGGCCTTAGCCCTGGTTCCGTTTGGAAGTTGTCATACTTTGACGGGGTAAACTCATAAGTAATATTCTCTCGTTCCCTCAGGAAGCTGTCGACGCGCTCATCCTTGCTCCGTCCAGCGGCAACATACGTCGTCCGCGCCATCTGCTGCCCGATGGCAAGATTCGACTGGTTCCTCATCTCCATGTAGTCGACGCCGGACTGTTCTGCGCGGCTCATCTGCGCAAAGGCACCAACCATGCACAGCATGACAACGAGGGTGGCAAAGACGCCGTTGGACATGTACATGGGGTCCTTCGGCTTGCCATCACGGGCATCGTGCCAGCGCTCCCAGTCTTCCCAGGTGGCATTTCTGGCTGCGTTTCCAGGCTGATGGCGCCATGACTTCTCGGCGTAGCGGACGTTCTCGTTAAGGGTCGCGGATCGGCTACCTGTCCACCCGACGCCCTGGGTATCGTATAGACTGCGCTTGGAGGGGTCGCTGAGGAGGTCGTTTGCGGCGACGATGAGGCGATAGCGCTCGAGGCGGGTCGCGGTGGGGATATGATGGACGGCAGACGCGTGGCCATGCCTATCGGGGTGGTAGAGCTTGACGAGCTGGAAGAATCGGTGTTTGGTGTATGGATCGGATTGTCGCATGGCGAAGATATCGTAGGGGGTCGGGTTGGAAGTCTTGGGCCAGTCCGGCACGTCGTCGTGCGCCGGACCACCGCGGCGGTTATTGTTTACGGTGGCATAGCTGCGGCGACGGTCGTAGGTCAAAAAGCGAGATCGCGCTGTCGATATTGATGTCGATTGGTATGGTGATGGCGAGGAGGCATGGAGGGGCCGGGAGCTGAGAGATGACGTCGATGATATCAACGAGACGTACGGAAGGCCGGGAAGGGAATTGCAGGAGCAAAGAAGAACGGTGGACCTGGTTAGCGGCATGGTTGTAGTTATAATGGACAATGGAAGGCCAAGAGCCGGGAGTGCATGTTTAACGGTAGAAGATATATCACAGTTCGGAGGGCCGTTGACGGCGACGGATGAGCATGTTGGAGCAAGAATGCCGGCCCCATCACGCGACTCGGTCGGCAGTGGAGGCCAATTGACGCACCCTGGTCCGTTTTGGGCCGGCGAAGGTCTCCACATAACGGTCCCATTTGGGGATGTGACACAGCACCGTTTTTGAGCCACTTCCAGCCACAGGTGCTCCACCGTTTTAAACCAGCGTTCTAAACTGTGCCCTAGAAGAAGGAGACGAACATCGCCATCCCGTATCATTAGCATGCGCATGCCAGCATCTTACCAAGCATGAGCAATCCCGTTTCCCAGTTTGGAATATTCGTGCATACACGAATCTCTAAATGGGCTCACTGCTGCTCACTAATACGACAAAACTCCTTCAACCCCTGAACGGCGGATGTTAGCGGTTGTGTTCGATGTACTTGGGAACTCCATCCGGCGTGAGATGCAGTGCATCGGAAATAAAACAACCACAATCGTTATGGACTATCCAATCCTGTCACATTGGGACACTGCGTCATGTCCCACAAAGAGGGGCAAGCTGACATCGCCATGATCGACATGGACAGACCAAGTAAATAGTCGAAACGGAAAGCTTCAATAGTAGGACGAGAAGGAAACAACAGACCCTTGCATAAGACCTGGGGAATTTAAAATACGAAAGGCAGGTGGCTGGCCAGCGTCTGAAAAGGTGTCTATGTAGTGATCTTTCAACTTGGTACGGAGTATGGGGTTGTGGTCTTCAACCTGTGCAAGCAGGCTTCAACCATCTACTTTTGTGGCACTATAATGTCCTGCTAACCGTGTATATCTTCATTATTTTTGATCTATCCTAAACAGCTGGGGATTCCGTTTTTTCCCTCAGTTGCATCGTGTACTGTGTCATGGCAGTGGCGTTCAACGCACACTTCGCTGAGCCAGTTTGCTCAAGCTGAGAAGAACTCATCTGTCCTTGATGCGAGTAATTCATCCTCGAATCTAGTAAGCATTTCCTTCCAAAATCCACTACCATGTACTGCTGCTCTTGATGGGGTGGTTCTGTGATGAGAAGAAGTCCCTTCATGGAGTAGTGGCGGGTTATTGGGGAGCTTCGGATGTTCCAGGTAATCTTGAGAATGTTTCAGTGATTTGAACACTCAAGCTTCAAACCACATCTTCGTCACTTCCTGGGCCATCTTCGCTGTCACTGTGCACCCACATCTGCACATCTTCCTCGTCCTCGTTCTCCCTCCCAGTTCGGCCCGTCCTCCGTCGGCGTTCCATCACCTCACAACACACACCCAGCGCTGTCCGCGCTGTCTCGGCGATCGCCTCGTCGGCGTCTCGTGACCGACATCCACGCAGGATGGCCTCGATATATGCACCCGCGCACGCAAAGAACAGAAATTCATGCGTTGAATGTGCTCCACCGGCTGCCCGAACGCGACGCTCGAACATTTCGATGGCACTCATTACAGCATCGCGTAGCTGCCGCCAACCCGCGTCGTCTGTAACGGGGAAAGCCTTCTCCTCCAGTTCACTAATCAAGTTCAGACATAACGATGCCGTAGCCTGACGCTGAACAAGGGCGAAGTGGCCGTGGCCCTGAGTACATAGAGCCGCACACGCATCAGTCCCGACCAAGTTGAGATCGGAACTGGTCTCCACGCTATGGCCCTCGACCGCCGGGGGGAATGCCACCGGGGGGTTATTCGGAAGCAGTGCCTAAATCTCCATGCGCATTTTGCAGGAATAATAGTATGCCGGATTGGTGGCGGCCTAGTCGGCAAATGGCCCGTGGAGCGCAAGCACGAATGGTCGTGTGAATACATCCAAGAGCTTGATCTGGAAGTTGGTGGGCTTTTTAATGGGATGCAAGACGCCCAGGAATATGCAGCAAGCCGTGTTTAAATCTGCTGCGAGTTGATGGCTTTCTTCGTGGGCTTTGTCCAGGAGCGTTGACGAGGTGCAGAATCCGCAGTCGAAGTCGTTGTGTTCGTGCCAGAAGCACCTGAACAATTGATGGAGTAAAGAGCAAACGTTTTACTGAGGTCGAAGATGCGCATGTGTTCATAATGCCTAATTCTAGGTCCTCATCTGTGATGCTGGAAGGCGGTGCGCAATCATAGCTCTCTGGCGAGAGAGGAGCGGGCAGCCATTCGTCAAAGCACCGCTGCAGTGACAGCTCGAGCATGGTCGCCCACAGCCGTCGGCGAATCTCAGCTTCCTGAACTGACATGTTTGGGAAGCAGATGCGCGGTTCTCGATGCAAACCCATCTGGATGCCCACACGCGTCAGGTCATGATCTCCAGGAAACCATCCAGAGCCAGTTGGAAGCGTGTGGTGGTGTGTATGTCGCGCCAGCGCGAGGAGACACATAATCTGGGCCATGTCCAAATCCGCACGCGAGCCTGAAAACATCCTGCGCGCAAGCCATTGTTTCCCATAGGAAATCCAGCCGTTGGACTGGTATCGCAGCGAAGTACCCTGCACCCGTTCCAAGTCGTCAACGGAGCGGCTTAGACAAACGCAGGATCCGAGCGCCATGGCGATCATCAACTTACACGCAAATGGCTCGTCCTCGTCCACCGTCTGTGAAGCAGGGCTTCTCCAGAATCGCTCGTACTCGCGCGTAAATGTTGGAACGTGTAATATTCGTAATACCGACTCGAAAGTGTTGATGTAGGTGTCCAGGAGCAGGGAGCAGGTCGGCATCGGACTCGTCGTGCAGATACGTCATGTCCACGGAAAACATATCCAAATCATCAACAGCTTCGGGGAAGATCGGCTTCAGCACAGACTGGGAAAAATCCAGCTGCGAGAATGCTTCCTGGTGTATGCGGTCGAGTCAAGCTGCAAGGCTTCCGTCTACCCGCGCCTGGGCGACATGGCCATGAACGATGCATATGCATGCATGGGTGACGGCTGCAGCAATATTGCGGATCAATGAGCGTTATTGGGCTTGAACTCTAGTCAAACGTGTCGGGATACGCATACGGGAGGCAGTTTCTCATACGACACTCCCACGCTGGCATTTCAATTGGATCGATGAAGCCGAAAGAAGAAACCAATTCGAGATAAGGAGCATTTTCGCTGCCGATAGCGGCTATGTGCAATGTCCCCCTTGACAAATACAAATACATATTCCATATCCTATGTAGGATATGGGGAGTCGGCTCCACGTCTGGCCCACCTCCCCATGGCATGTCCATGCCAGGCATTCACCGTTTGGTGTTTAGTTATGTTACACCTGCTCGGCAACATCAGTTACTTGTACACGGCAATTTTCACGCCAGTCTTATTGGATGGGCCGATCCGCATCACCGCAGTGTACGGAGCAGGATCCCGCGCCTCGATGCGTCGATAAACCTTGGCAAGACGAGCCAGCATGTATGCTGCTTCAGTCTGCACCATCATCTGGGCCGGGCACCGTCGGGGCCCTCCGCCAAACGGCAGGAATTCCCAAAACACACGTCGCCCCTCGAACCGTTCCGGCCGGAACTCCTCGGCATCCTTGCCCCAGATCTCCGGGTCGCGGTACATGACCGTCTTGCTAATCGAGACGACGTCTCCCTTGCGCACAAAGAAGGGCGCCTTGGCGTCCCTGCCACCGCCCACAGGCAGGACCGTATCATTGAGGCACATTCGAATCTGCGTGACATTGTTGGGGGTCAGGCGATGAGCTGTGAGTTCAAGATTAGCGAACAACTGAGAACTTGCGAATGCGTCCCGTCAGACGGGAATAGAATTACTCACTCTCATTCAGGACACAATTGAGGTATTTCATGTGGTAGAAATACTAAAATAATACTTAAAAAAAAGCGATTTAAATTTAATTAAATTGATTCTTAAGCTGGCAAATAAAATTAGAAAAGCTTATAAGTATATCTTGAAATTCTGAAGTTTTTATATTTATAAAACAAGTTAGAAAGTTTATTAAGATATTCTTTTTAAAGAAAAGTAAAATACGATTATTATAGTATCTACTAGTTAATTAAGTTAGGTATACTTCTACCTGATAAACGTATAGGCTCAGAAAACTTGTTCACTTCTGACAAAATGGGGTTTTGGGGGTTTTATTATCAAGGATAAGTTATCAGACATGGTGTATACTTGAAACTATGTGGGTAGTATGCATATTGGTACTTTTGCAAACCTGGACTATTCGCTCTGGGTTTATATCGTTGAAAGCGTTGACCGTTGTACCCAAGTTGCATCCAACCAGTTCGGGGTGCATGTGCATGCAAACCATCAACTAGAAACGGATGACAGCCTTGATTTCTTCCTTGTTAGTAAATCGTCGATATGCATCCGGCGCTTCCTCAATCCCAACCACACTGCTGACGATGAAGCTGGGTCTTGCTATCCCCTCGTTGATAAGCCGCACAAGCTCCGGTGCCACCAGTTTCACATCCACTGGTCCGATTCCCCAAGTCAACCCTTTGTAGAAGAACTCCGAAATGGGAAATTCAATGTGGGAAGGGATATGTGTTCCTGTACGGCTTTCGTCGAGGCCATCGAGGTTCTCATAAACGCCAACTCCACCCATGCCTCCATTATACCCAGTGACGGCGACCATGTTCCGGATGACAATGTCGGTTTGGACATCGAGTGTTGCATTGACTGCCTCGAATCCCACTGCATCAATCGACCGTCGAACACCATCTGGCTCCAGGGCCAAGATTTGTTCCACCGGGTCGGATGCAGTAAAATCGATAGGTATAGCGCCAATAGAGGCCGCAAGTGCTAAGCGTTCTGGAACGTAATCGACCACATACACTTTCGATGCACCGCGAATTATAGCAGAATGTGTGGCAAGGAGGCCGACAGGGCCTGCGCCGAAGATGGCCACTGTGTCGCCACTCTCGAACCCAGCAAAGTTGAGAGACGTCCAGCCCGTGGCAAAAATGTCACCGACGAACAAGTAGTCGATTTCCCGAGTGGAATTCAGGGTATCTGAGTCGGGGATCGGGATCAAGTTGTAGTCGGCATGGGGAACACGCACGTACTCAGCTAATTGCCACGTAATGCATTAGTTTCAACACCGTATAACTGAGAGGAACTCGAGGCGACTTACATTGGGCGCCACCCAACTGGGTGGCGTACCATTCCATTTCCTCCGGTACCATTGCGAACGAGGCAGTATGCACTCCATCTGGAACGACGACGTAGTCCCCCACCGAGACTTCGTTTACTGCGTTGCCGATGTATTCGACAATCCCCATGGCTTCATGGCCAAGACTCCATGCTGCGTCCTCTCGGGGGGAGTATCCATTGGTGATATGGATGTCCGTTCCACAGATACCTGCGTATCGAACGCGAACGAGAGCATCGGTGGATTCAGTAATATTCGGGACGGGAATGTCCCGAATTGCAACATTTTGCAATTCTCCTTCCCACATGACTCCCCGCATGGTGGAGTTTAGTGTCAAGTTGCGTGCCATCATTTCAGATTGAATGATACAAGTTGGGTGACGGTGAGGGTACTGTAGGAGGAGAAGAAGTTTTATGATGCGTTGAGGTTTCTTGCCTTTGATCAGAAGCGGCTTGGAGGGGTATTTATATGCTGCGACTTCTAGTTGACAAGAATCACGCTGGTCAAGTTTTATTCTGCCGAAACTTGCCAAGGCCGGAAGGGGCTCGGAGAGCGAAAGACGGGACCGGGCTTGGGATGATTGTACACGCGGCCGGAGGTGGGTAGTTGGTAGTCCTTGGTTGTAAGAGCGGAGAGGGGGCGCAGCAAAGTCAATGTCTTGCTATGCCAAGAACACTAGCCCTCGGTATCTCAAGCCATTGCACAAGTTAAATGATTTCGAGATACGGGATGACGTTAACTCCGAGTATATGTTCTTGGCTACTCCGATGACAAATAGTATCTGGATATGGATCCTAGGTAATGATCGCTGCTGGTTTTGCATTTCTTGTATTTCTAAGCATGTGGAAACATGGCGCCGATGCTTTCAACGTCAAGACTTGTTTAGCTCCTCGGTTTCCCAGTGCAACGGTCAGGGTATCAATGCATACACGGGTCATGGGTTTGTATCGGCAGAACGGTCAGACGCCAGCTGAGAACTCCGGTCTACATGGCGATGCGGAATGGGACGGTGTATGCTTGGGTGGGATTGTTGAGGACTAAAGGTTGTCGAGGTTATAGCACCGAACTCCAGACTCATTTCAGCGTGCCATGCATCAATGCCTCGATTATGTTCGGATGTTAAGTTTTAGGCCTTGCACCAAGATGTTTAAACTACGAGTTAACTTGCCGTGTTGTTCTCATATTCCTAGGCTTCACTGGGAGAAAGCAACTTGATGGTGGGACTACTCCCCTTGCAGCGTGTCTTGCATTCGTTCTATCTAGTAGACCACCTTCCCTGGAGTGCCTAAGCCTCACCAGTACCACACTCGAAGGATTCTGCTAGTGCGGGATCCCCCCCTTTGTACAGAGCTTCCAATGGCCAAGGGCACAAATTACGTCGCCGCACTGTCCCGTCGGTTGCTTCACTCCTTGCAGGTAGGACCTCTGGAGATTCCCCGTCCTCAACCCATCTGACTAAAGCCTGAAGAGTCTCTCCTGGAAATGGACCGACCCCCAGATAGCAGTGCTCCACGCCTGGAGCCTCGAAGTGCTTGAAGAATGACCTGACATCTGGGTCTAGGGCCTCAACCCGGCTGTAGTAATCCGTGGTGCCCTTTGAGGGAACAATCTCGTCCATTAGGCCGTGCCAGGTAATGATCTTCCCGCCAGTTGCCTTGAAGGCGCTCAGGTCAGGATCCGAAGTACCAATGATTGAAAGATACTGCTGCGCGCTAGCATGGAAGAGGCGCTCGAACTGCTCCTGCGTCGACACAGAGTCCAAAGTGAAATCGGGATCCCTGTCCACGAATAGGCGCACCCAGTCATATCCGATGGGATTGGGAGCCCCAGTGCAGTTTTGGTTGCCCGTGCAAGTAGTGACAGCCAAACCAGTCGCCACAGTCAGGGGGCTGCCGGGCGAAGGTCCGAACCAAAGTTGCTCGCCCGACGAGGACTGGGGGCCATTGTATGCGCTTTCAGCAATCTGCACCCCAGCCGAGGTGATATCAAGAGTATCTCCATCCTCACAGGTGACAGTGGTACCGACAATTGAACTATAGTTGAAGTTGCATAGCCATGGTGCAGACAAGATGCCATCCTCGGCGCCATCATCCCCATCACACGCCGCGACTATGGCGGATGATATCGCGTTGAGTTCGCATGCGCTGGGGTAATAGCTGAGATTGTTCATCATCATCTGCGGATACACAGTAGCGGGGAGCATTCGATCCCAGTTAATCCCCGGCGCAGCAGCTAGGATGCCGTCGTACGATCCTGGATATCGTTGGGCAAGCATAAAGCCTTGCCTTCCACCTGTCGAGCAACCATTCCAGTAGCTGTATCGAGGCTCAGAGCCATAAAAGGTTGTGGTCAAAGATTTGCCGAGCACCGTCATATCGAGTAGGGACATTGACGCAAAGTTATGCAAGGCGTACTGGTCCACATTGAAGGGTGATACCTGGGCCCAGGGGGCTGTTGCAACGCCGAAAGATCGATCATGCCCACCATCTGTGGCCACGGTCGCGTATCCCTGCGATACTCCAAGCGCAAGTGCGCCGCGCTGGATTTCGCCTCCCGCAAAGCCTCCACCACCGGTCCCGAGGAACCTCCCGTTCCAGGAATCGGGAAGCCAGATCTGGATATTGACAGTATCGCCTTGTCCTGGGTGGGTGTAACTGATGCTGACGTTGCAAAAGTTGAGAGACGTGAGGTTTTGGGGATAGTGCGAAACATATTGCTCGTCGATGTTGCGGCTGAAGTTGGTCACCGGCACCGCTGTGAGTGACTGGACCTCAACGCCTGGGGCGGTGGGATACGGGATCAGGCTTGGGTTGCATTCCTGCGAGACTGCTGTCTTGAAGCTTTTAAAAGCTACCAAGAAATGAAAGAAAAATTTAAGATGCATTTCTTCAACGTTTGAAGTGTTTTGATGAAGTGTTGAGTATAAAGTGCGATGTCTTAAGTTGTAAATGCAAAATGATGTCACGAAGCTACGCCATCTTTATAGAAAATCGTGAAAAGGCCAGTCATTCTCTCGTTCCTATATTTCTCAAAATTAAGATACAATAAATCAAATGTGATCAATGCTTAAACTCTACTCGAAGAACACATTCGTCGTCAGGCTCCCCAGTACCTTGTTCGGAGTTAGTGGTACCCTGTAGGATGGAACAAACTTCATTCATTCATATCCCAACTTAGGATGACCCCCTGATTAATTCACCTTGCGTATGGTATTAAGTTTGCCGCGGCTCTCAAGCCCACTCTCTGGAAATCAAAGGGTCTCAACTCCCGGCGATGGCCGATGGCCGTTGGCCGTATTGCAGAGCCTGCTTGGCGTCCCGAGCATATTTCGGGTCATTCGTTGCTCAAGTCCGTGGCCCCTATGTTGCCCTCGACGCGGAAGATTCATTGAGGCCTCCAATTGCATGAACACGCGTCGAAAACCTTCTGTCATGACGATCTGTGACATCGACACGCTGTAAATATCCAGTCGCAAAGGTAACCCATGTCGATCATGTCCGCCCCATCTCCACCACTAACTTGAGCATCTTCGAGTCAGCCAGAGGCGGTGAATAGTACATTGCCCTGGCCATTCGTCTTGATATGCCTAGTAATGGGTCAGCCGAGTGGTCTCTGGCGTCGTGGGATTTCGCCATTCCGGGCCCACTTACAAAGTCCGGGCCGTCCCCACTTTATCGGGGTAGTGTAAGGGGAATTTGGCAACCGAGACTCCGAGAAGCGCAGATTCAGTCTGATGTCAGGCGATGTATGACGTGTTTTGAGCTCAAAAGGATCCGCGGGATCTTAGCCAAGGCTTCAAGTTACTCACCATGGTATCCAGCAAGGAGACCGAATTGCAGAGGTGGCAGGCAACCTCACTGTGCCGTCTCCACAGCCGGTACGAACGGACTTAAGAGGTCCTGGCTCACAAGCATGACACTGCGGAGAGCTGGAGTTACATTGTCTCATTCGAAATGGGACTGGAATCGTGCAGATTCATGCGTGTGAGCTTGACTACAGATGCTGATACACTATTCATCAAGTCTACACAGTTGTCATCCATCCTCAAGACCCAAGTAAACCATTTTTGCCATTTCCGATTCAGGTTTCGTTTCCTTCGCCGACCCCTTCCCGAAGCAAACCCCAAGTTGAAGAATCCAAACAAGTCGCGTGACTTGGCCGGTCAGATCACCGGCCTAAAGGTACCGGTTGGACAAGCATCCAGAAGACAAACCGAGGATTGACGCGTACATTTGACTGCCCGGGGTATTGTCGTGCAGGAAAGGGTGCTCGCGTTGAATATCAGCCAGGATGCCTGTCGGGTGCCGGCGGTGGGAGCATGAAGCAAGGAAATCCTGGCTCAAATGTTGCTTCGACAGGAGTTTAGGGCCTCAATTTGTGTCAACACGTGAATTCGAGGCTGCAGTACATTGAATTTGAATGTATCATCCCCAAGACTCATATTTTGAATCTACAGCTGGGACCAGTCACTGGAGCCAGCTGTATTGCTGTTCACACGACTCAACTCCTCAAGGTCTAGACCCATGGCAAGTAGGGCATCGATATCGACGTTGAACGGTTGCTCAAGCCCCGCAGATTGATGATCGGAAGAATCTACCGTCGAGATAGAAGTCCAGTCTTGCAAATGTGTGTCTTTTGGTGGTGGCGGTGGTGCTGTCTGTGATGTACTGCTCGAGGCTCTTTTCGTGTTTGTGGCTTGGTCTGACATCCGACAATAGTCGAGAAGACTGCACATCTCTTCCGCATTTGGATGAGATGTCATCTTTACGGGGAAGGTAGGGTTGACTAGAGATGCTGTCGCCTCTGGTTCTGGGTCAAATGCTGATAAGAACTCTTCCTGTATGTATTTGATGGTCGAAGTCAGCAGGAGTGCCTAGTGTTCATACGTGGGGAAACACAAACCATTCGGCGGTAGTTCTGCCAGCGGACAGGAGCCTCGCGAAGGAATTGGAGTGTCAAGTCGTACATTCGACGAGAAGTTTCTTGGATTGTAACATCGCGATGACTCATAAACAAACGATGAGTAACACCGGCGCACACGGCACTGTACCCCAGAAAGCTCGTGAGACAAACTCGCTTCCTTAATAAGTATTGCAATAACAGCGTTAGTTTGACAGCATTTTCTCGGCTTGCCAGAAGTGTGGACCGAGCAAAGGAAAACGGCACAGCTTCTTTCTGCGATGAGAGAACCCGAAGGGTGAGAAACGGGTGGTTGAGTATGCATTGGCAGGTGAAGTAGAGAGCGTGAGAAAAGCACAGAATACCCATGGTCTCCGCTGTCGTGCCGTTTTCCGCTGCTACCAAGCTTGTTTCGTCTAAGACGGTGTCGATGCTGGCCCAAACGAGCGGCGAACACGACTCAAATGTCATGAGGGTGGTATTGATAGACGCGAACTCACTGCGGAAGTCCCACGGAGGGTAGGCATGTTGGCATGGGGCTGACCTCAAGCTGTATTTCTGAACCCTCCCCAGGGCGGACGCCACAAGAACGAAATGTCCAGCTTGGTCAATATCTGCGGCACTGTTGGTCATGCTGTGCAAAGATGCTAGCTTGACCCCTGTGCGGTGCCCGTCTGCGTGTTGCGGTCCTGTAAGCTGCTGTGGTAGTTCCAGGGTGCAATCAGTGTCCTGGATAGCTGGTTTGTGCTGGGGGGTACAAGAAACTAGACGATCTAGTAGGTAGACGGACCAGAAAGTCCAGCGATGTTCCGCCTGGAGCCACATTGGCAGGGCAGGATCGGGCTCGGAGGATAGATTCAGTGCTTCTGCGAAGCGGACGGAAAGACCTATTTTGACCCAGCCACGCTGATTCTTGCCGGCTACCCCCATGTCAATAATTTACAATTAGCTCACGGAAGATAGAACGTCAGGTGTGTGGTTGAGGAACCAGTGAGAAGGAGAAGTACAGGTCAAATAGGAACCGCGGAAACTTACCTGTGAAGTCTATAACAGCCAGCATATTAACTGCCTGGACTGTGTGTACATTCATGAAGTCATCCTGGCTGAAGACTTTTTCGTGAATCTCACTCCATCCTGTGTCCGCATAGCTTTCGACTGCTTCTTCATGGCGTCCTTGGAAGCACGGCTCTTCAGAGAACCTGCAAGCTGTCGCCACAAATGCCAGCAGGAGCCAGCTGGGCAAGGCGTTTGCCAAGAGGCGACGTCTGAAGCTTTCTTCCGTGAAGTAGTAATACGGTTGGCTATGGCAATACTGAAAGTAGGTGTCCGTCAGGGACTCAAGTAATGTTGGTGACGGTAGCGACGTGAACCTGTGACGTTGAGTTGATCTGGTCAGCTGGGGCTAAGGAAGAGATGTGGGCAGCCTGCATGAAGTGGCAACTCGTGATATTAGCGCGATGCAGCAGAACTCCCACTACTTCGCGACTGGAGAAGGTGTGAGGGGAGAGCCATACGACTGTGACGACGCTGAGGTAGATGGCGTTGTCCAAGTGCGACGCTGGGTTCGAGGCGCACCCATAGGAAGGAAAAGGTTTCTATCAGTAGCAATGTGTCAGTTAGCCTCTCTCATCTCATTCCGTGTCTCGTGCCCGATAAATAATACGTACCCCCTCCCAGTGTTATTCAGCAAGTTCAGTTGAGACTCGAGCATGGCAACTCTGGCGGACAAGGCTGCATCTTGCTGTGATCAAGCTGCTCAGTATGTATTCTCCCCACGAGAGAAAGGACGATAGGGATCATGCTACAAACCGAGCTCATTGAGCCAGCATCTATTGATGCAGACACTGTTCCGTTAGGGTATGTTGTTTCGGGCTGGCGCTGTTGACGAGACAGAAGCGGGCGCTCTCCATCAACGGAGAATGAGAAATCACCGTAGGTACACGTTTGCTTGAGGCGGGCGCAGAACACACAGGTGGGCCGCTCGCCGGAGCACCGTGTTTTCTTCCGCCTACAAGAGGTTTGTATGGTTAGATCAATCTGTATTTCTGGGAGCCGGACGTGGAGGCAGATGAGAATACCTGCAGTTTTGACAGGCCTGTCGAATGCGCTTTGCCTCTCTTTCGCTCATGATGTATCTTTCTGGGCCAGAGCAGTATTGCAGATTGTTCCCGTGCCCATCAAATAGACATAGAATGTGATCCAATATCGGGCAAGATCTTGAGCTGAGAAGCGGGGTTTGAAAGGAGGAGACAAATTACTAAGTCCAACCCAGTGCAAACTAAGTTACCCTGTAGCTGGTCTGGATTACAGAGTACTTATTTCTCCCATGCCGGCGTCAAGTGTGAAGCTAGAAAAAGCAAATGGCCCGTGCATGGGACGCCGCTCGTGTCAAGCACGTGACCGCAGCGGATCGATGCCACAGACTCACTTCAATTAATGATACATGTTACGGTTACTGGACAGGGAAAATTATGAGTTCGAGTTGGAGTTGACTGAGGTTGACGAAGCTCAATGCAATTGTAACCAAACAGGTTTGGTTAAAGACGGTATCCACATGGTTGGCTAGTGGAAACAAGCGCAGCTGGCGTAGCCCATATTCGTATCGAACCATCTGGTGGATACTGCACGGTCAATCCGATCGCAGGGATAGTGTTGAGTGAGGGTGTATCCCCAATCCGATGATCGTCTTGATCTGGGATACCTCCAGCCACTTCTTTTCTTAGGAGGGGTTTTATGCATCCGGATATTGATATATCAGAGTCTTGTGCAAGTATAATCGTTCCATCGTCCGGCCTTCTGAGGTGTATTTGGAATAGGTAGTCCGGATAAAGTCTCGCCTCTACTTTTCAGGGATCATGCATGCGCTAGTTTTCTCCGTGACGCTTTGAGTGGCCATTAATCAGCAACGGCCAGGCCTCCAAGAACCCTAGGGAGGCTCTTTCTGCCCTGTCGTGCAGAGAAGATGAGAACCTAAGAAGACGCTAAGGCATCTACAGTATAGACTATCCTTAACCGTGCCCACTTCCCGTGCCCACTTCAATTTACGCTTTGGAGGTCATTTAGTCCAACGCTTGACGAGTCGACCAAGGAGTTGAAAAGGACCGATCGTGCCTTCTAAAACCGTACCATGGACTTAAGGCGGCGTTAGGCTTACAACCGCTCGGACAGAGGAGAGAATCAATCGTCATCAGAAGATAATCGAACCTATTTAACTCTCGGGAGCACACTCTTCGGGACTTATCCTAGCAATTTAACATATTCAGCGCCATCTGCCAAGCTTTCCCAGCCCCCATTCAAAGTGAGACGCAAAAATGGTCACGACACTTCCCTTTGCCGACATTGAAGTCAACACCCCTGGCTTTGGTGCCATGGGCATCAGCTCTGGCATGGGGACCAACCTGAGCTTGGAGGAAGCTGAGCCTGTTCTTCTCAAGGCCATCGAGCTGGGATGCACATTTTGGGATACGGCTGTACGTTTGCCGACGTCCAGTTCCTGCAACCGACTCTAATGACAAGCGCCATCTTAGGTTGTCTACCAAGCAGGAGTCAACGAGAAGCTGCTCGGCGACTTCATCAAAAAGCACAATGTGCGCGACAAGGTTTTCCGTAAGTACCAAAAACATGACAAAAAGGAACTTGAAACTCACTACGTGTTTGGAGTCGCCTCAAAGTGCGGCTTCGACATCTTTGGGGGAGGTGGACGTGTCACCAACTCGGCGTCCCATATTAAGGAGTACATCGAAGGGACGATTGAGAGACTCGGTTTCGCGCCGGACCTTTATTACCTGCATCGCATGGATCCCGGTATGTGAACTGAAGCGTAGTCCTACTTTCTTCAACGAAGCGGTCATCTGACAGTGTCTTCCTAGATACGCCACTCGAGGAGTCCATTGGAGCCCTCGACCAGCTTCGTAAGGAAGGCAAGACTAAATACATCGGTCTGTCGGAATGCTCTGCCAAGACACTTCGCAAAGCAAATTCAAGTAAGAGAAGAAAGTTCACCACCTGTATGTCTCGCTACTGATACCTGGTCCCCAAATGTTAGTCGCCAAGATCGACGCCGTTCAGTCAGAGTACTCTGCGTTTGAGACATTACATGAGACGAATGGTGTTATCGATACCTGCAAAGAGCTGGGCGTGGCATATGTTGCATATAGCCCCCTTGGCCATGGGGTGCTTGTCGATGACTTCCAGTATAAGAGTCCCGATGACTTTGCGCCAGATGACTTCCGTCGCACCTGTAAGTTTTCCCTTGCCCACTATCCCCACAATCTACCAAAATATGTAAATTACGGCGTTTCTAACCTTTGGCTTGATATGCAGCGCCCAAGTTTCAGGGAGAAAACTTTTACAAGAACTTGGCGATTGTGGAAGAAGTTAAGAAACTTGCAGCCCGAAAAGGGTGCACTTCGGCCCAGATTGCCCTTGCTTGGGTTGCTGCTCAGGGGATGATTGCTATTCCTGGCACGATTAAGCCTAAGCGGCTAGAGGAAAATTGGGCATCTAGGGACATCACTCTGACGGAGGAGGAGCAGGCAGAGTTGCGAATTATCATCGATAAGACCAAGCCTCATGGGAACAGGTTCGGTCCTGACCACGAGGCTGTGATTGATCACTAGAGTTATGATAATATAGGTGGTTCCATCTCTGGTGCGAGGAAAGTGCATCACACAGTATTGCGTGGTTTCTCGGTATCCCATTGCGAAATGCTATCATGACCTATATTCTGAATGTGACAGTTAATTCCAGTAGAGCCTATGTTTTTAGACGGAATGCTTAAGCCACCATAGTTATGTTTCCATATCGTTGACCTTTAGTCAGTAGACCCTCTGACATCACTAAATGATGTAGTGTAAGAACGCCCCCAAGGATTATGGATTTGTCTTAGCTTAGCATTTTATCCCGGGTGGCGAGGAGTCCCAACCATTCGGCTTCTTTACGCATTATACTTTCTTACTCTCGCATATTTACTCGTGTAAAACTGATGCGGAAGGTAAAGGGGCTTCGTATTAGATCTCGGTTTGAAAATTCCGCAATAGGCAACTCGCCTGATCGTTGAGAGCAGTACATTGATGATCTCTGAGCTACATCCCGGTCTTAGTTCTTGGCTACACGCTAGTAGAGGCGCAGCAGGCCGTAAACCTGGGAAGCCACATCGGTAGCCAATACCATCGAACTACGAAGGACCATTACAGGTCGAGCAGCGGAGATAAGGGCTTTGATTGGAAGCGTATTAATCCATACGAGCTGACAAATATCGTCAGTAGCATAACCAGTTGTGTTTTAGAGTGAACTCTAAGTTGATGAACGCGTGTTTTGGCGGGACATTGCTGGGGATACCGGGACTCTCACGGGTCCGTAAACCCCGAAATGAGTACCTTTGACCGACAGTGAGATCTTATAAAACCGACCAGTGATGGCATGCTGTGCTAGTTCCGGTCCTAGATCATCAAATCAGAACACAGATCCAGCACCGATTTTCTACCATTAAAATGAAAGGTCATACTTTGCCCCTACTGTTCGGCTTGATGTTTGGGACTTCTCAAGCAATCTCCATGGTAGATTACTCCCCGAGCTGTCGCGTTGACCCTGACTTTGGACCTTGGTATTTTGAGTAAGTCACAAGAAGCATCACATGAGTAACTTTCAGAAGCTGACATTCTCTTTCACGCAGGCTGTTGAGAAACAATGAGGATCCGACGACGACATCCACCTACACCGATTTCTTTGCCCCCAACGGGAGTTTGATCGTCTTGGGCAGCGTGGCTACAGGAGCAAACGCGATTCTAAGTGCGAGGGCGGCCATGTTACCTGCCGATGGTTCGGTTCAATGGAATGTGAGTTTACAGTTATGAGTAACCCCGCGCCTTAACACGCCCGCTGACGATGCCCAAGCACTTTCCCAACAAGACTGTCGTGGCCGAGGAGTCGGCAACGGAAAAAACTTTCCATGTCTACGGCGTCATGCAGTCAGTCACCACCGCCGACGGCAACTGCTCGACAACTTAGTAAGTTTTGTGAAATGCTCTGACATATCCTCTTCTCAAGACATGCTATTCTAACAAAAGCATAGTTTCCAGACCTTGTTCACCGTGGCAAAGGATCCAATCACCCGCCGCGCAAATCTTGCCCTCCAAGGTGGTGGTCTCCTGGCCTACGATGGATTTTCTATTGAGTCCTCGGACGATCCGTGTACCAAGTAGTCGTGCTATGTGGCGGGAAGGGGGAAGCGTGAAATGGCCAGCTGCTCGCCTTTTTTGAGTTGCTCGGCATGAATGGATACATTCGACTGAGGCTTGAGCTCTATGTACGGCGGTCCTGTCATTACCAACCACCCAAGTTAGAAGCCGAGCCCTCGCCAACCAAGCTAGTTAGAGTAGAATTCTAGGCCGGGATTCCCAGTCTACAAGCTTCGTTAGAATTCTCATAATTTCACGTTTCGACTCGTGTCACACCATGCATTGCTCAACTCTGAAATACCGGACCGTTTTGAGGTTATCGGGAAGAGTGGGCCCGGCTCAGACCGCGCCAACACGGCACCAACGGAGTGGGGACGGGTCGGGGTCATTTGTCGAGCGCCGACCTAGCAGACGAGAATGGAATGGTCAAGGTGTTGCAACGAGGCATGAGCCCCCCCGTGAGCTACCAATGCGATGGGCACTTTTACTGTTCCAATCCGGGGTAAGAATCTGGGGGAGAGGTCTGCCGAAGGTCACAACGGGCAAGGTTGGGGCCGGACCGGCGGACCGGCGGCGATGTTGAGTTCATGCTGCTGTAGCTTATCGTACGGAGTGGCGCAAAGTCCTATCAGAAGGAGATGCTTCACGGGCTCTTGGGGAGACTCTTCTCCGTCCACTCCGTCGGTTCCGGTCTCGGCCTCCACAGTTCCCAGAGACAACATGTCCAGCACACTACCGGCTATCCTGTCTTCACAGCCTCCCCAGACCCCAGCCGGTACCTCCTACGTGGTCCACGAATCCTTCTCCCACGGCTTGAAGCTTATGGAGAATAACAAATCATTAAATTTCCCCGCACCAAGTCGTACAGGCGTACAGGGGTGGCAAGTCCGGGGAAGACCACACTAGGTTTTGCCAATTAGTGTCATGCGGAGGCGTCCACTAGGTAGCGCTCTCTTAGCTGCCCAGGCCATCACTTGCTCGTCTTCCAATGCTTCCCTAGACCCATAGGTATACGCATGTATCGTTCTGACTAATGTGCCATGTCTGTAGAAGGAGGTATCTGCATGCCGCTTAGTCTACGTACAAGCGTAGTCCGTACAGGTTGGATTTCTGGACAACTATAAGTGTGCCCCGCTCTCCCATTCATCCAGCTCTTTCATCCCTCTATCTATCCTCTTCTGTATTCCCAGACTTTTGTTATCCGCTCTTCCAAAATCCGAACAAAGCTCACCTTGCTTCCTGATACACCTCATCCTCATCCTTCGTTCCTTTGGGCCTGAGCGCTCCCTCCATCCAACCGCCCTCCTTGTCTTATCTCAGACCTGGAACCATGATGCCCGACGAAACCCAGAAAAAGGAACATGGCGGCATCCCCACGTCTAGCAAAGGCATCGAGGTGGAGTATTCGAGCGATCCTGACAGGAGTGGCTTCGATCAGGTCTCGACCAAGAAACTCTTGAGGAAGATCGACTGGACGTTGATTCCCTTCCTCGCCTTATTGTACCTGCTGTCTTTCTTGGACCGAACCAACATTGGCAATGCCCGCTTGGCTGGAATCGAGGTCGACCTAGGTATGGCAGGCCTCGACTACAATGTAGTACTGGCTGTCTTCTTCCCATTTTACATCGCTTCCGAAATTCCTTCCAACTTGGCCATGAAGAGATTCCGTCCTTCAATCTGGATCCCATGCATCATGATCGTCTGGGGCGTCGTTTGTACCCTCATGGGCCTTGTTACGAACTATGCTGGCCTCTTGGCATGCAGAATGGCTTTGGGTCTGGCCGAGGGTGGCCTATTTCCAGGCATTAATTACTAGTAAGTGTACATAACCTCCCTTCCGCCCCGAACTCTCGTGGTGGTCTGACCGGTCCATCAGTATTACCCTCTGGTATCGTCGGCACGAGTGCGGTTTCCGCATGGCGGTTTTCTTCTCTGCAGCGACCGCCGCTGGTGCGTTCGGCGGCCTTCTTGCTAGGGGCATCGTGGAGATGGACGGTGTTGGTGGCAAGCCCGGCTGGGCATGGATCTTTATCCTCGAGGGACTTGCAACGCTCGCTGTTGGTAAGTCAGGTTCTCCACTAGCCCAAATCTCCCACGAAATGACTGCTGAATGCTGAACAATATTTTGTACAGCCTTTGCCGCCTTTTTCGTCATGAACGATTATCCTTCTACAGCCAAATTCCTCACCATCGCAGAGAAAGAAGAGGTCACTCGCCGGCTGGAGCAGGACAGATCTGCGTTAGCTGAAGAGTTTGACATGAAGTATTTTTGGGATGCCATTAAAGATTGGAAAATTTGGGTACACATGGTAAGATTTACTTGGGACATCCTGCTACATGTGCTTGGTGCTGACTATATCGTCCAGTTCATCACCATTGGCATCTACACCCCTTTATACTCCTACTCCCTGTTTCTTCCTACCATTGTCCGCACCTTGGGTTACAGCAATGAGACGGCCCAGCTCATGACCGCCCCGCCTTACGTTGTCGCTTGCGTAATCTGCGTTGCGGGCGGCTACTTAGCCGATCGCCACGGCCAACGTGGAATCTATATGATTGGCTTCGGGTTACTGTCGTAAGTTTGTCCCTCTCATTTTTAAAACGCAGGCGCTTACTTCATTTTACAGTATCATTGGGTTCGTCATGCTCATTTCTACACACAATAACACGGTGAAATACGTCGGATGTTTCCTCGCTGCAGCCGGTGTCTTCCCGAACGTTCCCCAGGGTGTGGCCTGGAACGGCAACAACATAGGCGGCTCGGTCAAGCGAGGAGTCGGTATTGCGATGCACATCGGTAAGCCCTACCCCTACGTGACGAGGATGCCAGAGTGGTTGGACTAACTCGATTAAGGCTTCGGAAACCTGGGGGGAATGATCGCTGGCTTCATGTTCCAGGCCAAGCACTCGCCTCAATTCTACCCCGGACACGCAGCTGTCATTGGGTTCCTCACCATGTCGTTGATAGGTTCTATCTTCATGACAACTTACCTGCGACGGGAGAATGCCCGGAGAGACCGAGAATACAAGAGCCCGTCAGAGTATACTGCGGAGGAAATGGCGGCAGAGCGTGGCAAGGGTGATGATGCTACGTTTTTTCGGTACACCATTTAGGATTCTTAGTATAGCCAAGTTCCTGGAGAGTGCCGCTTGCCACTACGTTCCCCGCGACCATTTAATTTCGTCAAGTCAAGTCTCTTGCCACTCGCATTAACGCGGTAGCAGACGCTGTCCTTCAAGCAGGGTGCACCACCGGCTCTCAAGTCGCAGTTCTGTGCGAGCCAACGGTGGATGCCACCATTACCATGCTAGCTTTGATGCATATTGGAACTGTATATGTTCCCCTGGATACCAGCTTGCCAACCGCACGACACGCGGGTATGGTGCAAAGCTGCAGACCAACCCTGATCCTGTCCCACTCTGCGACCGAGGAGCTGGTCCGCGATCTTGGCAGAGAGATATAAGCTCATATTCGACAAGTACGCATCGATAACATTGCCGAGTGTGAGCAGACCGTGACCTGTGCTGTTGGGCCAGGTGCTCCCGCCGTCTTGCTGTTTACCAGCGGCTGAACGGGTACGCCCAAGGGCATCTTTCTCTCGCAGGCCAACTTCGTCAACCATCTCGCGTTGAAGACAAACTTGCTGGATATCGGCCAGGAGACTGTTCTTCAGCAGAGTTCTCTTGGCTTTGACATGTCCTTGGTGCAGGCCTTCTGCGCCCTTGCCAACGGCGGCCTCCTGGTGATTGCTCCGTCCGAGATAAGGCGTGACCCTGTCGAGTTGACCAGACTGGTGAGCCGTGAACGCATTTCGTTCACAATTGCCACTCCCTCCGAAGAGAATACCTCGCGTGGCTGCACTAGGAAGAGTCATTGCTTAGGGAGAACACGACTTGGCGCCATGCCTGCATGGGTGGCGAGCAGGTCTCTGAGCAGTTGAAGAGTGAACTACGTCGTCTCGGCTTGTCAGGTTTGAGATTGACCAACTGCTATGGGCCAACCGAGATCACCGCTGCGGCTACTTTCCAGACCATTGAGCTGGAAGATAAGCAGGAGTTCAATGAGGAAGCCGGGTTTGCTGTGGGCAAAGCTCTTCCAAACTACTCAGTATGTATTCTCGATGCGTCGGGTCGGTCGCAGCCTGCTCAGCACACCGGAGAGATCTGCATCGGGGGTGAGGGAGTGGCACTTGGTTACTTGGACCTGGTGGATGAAACAAATTGCAAGTTTATCAAGGACATAACGACCAAAGATCAACAAGCAACAGGTCGAAGGTGTACCGCACCGGTGATCAAGGACGGCTGATGGCTGATGGAACTCTCCTGTGCCTTGGTCGTCCGGAGGGTGACACCCAGGTCAAACTGCGCGGTTTGCGCATCGAGCTCCGGGAAGTTGAATCAGCTCTTCTTCAAGCTGCGGACGGTATTCTTTCTACCGTGGTAGTCTCCCAGCGGGGAGATGTTTTAGTTGCGCATGCCACTTTGTCTCCAGGCAATGATGATGTTGGACAGGAAGAGTTGACCCAAGTTCTTAGTCGACTGAGGCTGCCGCAGTATCTCATCCCAGCTGCAATTATCATCCTCCCTACGATGTTAACTAACTCTAACGGAAAACTCGACCGCAAGGCCATCGCTGGTCTTCCTCTTCCTGAGAGAAGTTCCGCGGGGGCTCAAGAGAAGACGACGATCCGCCAAGGCGAGCTCCGGCTACTTTGGGAGCGAGTTCTCCCTGAGACAGGAACAACAAGTCGCATTGGCCCATCCTCTGACTTTTTCCTGCTCGGCGGCAACTCACTGTTGATGATGAAGCTCCAGGCCGCAATCAGAGAGTCCATCGGTGTGGCCGTCTCAACGCGAACTCTCTACCAGGCCAATACGCTCCGGGAAATGGCACGGCGCATCGATGAGCAACAAGAGGCGCAGGCCGACGACACTGAAAAGGAGATTGACTGGTCGGCGGAGACTGCGATGCCGAAACAATTGCTGGCTCAAATCCGAGACCTTGCTGCACCAGCGAAGAGCCTAAAGTCGGCCAAGTCAGATGGGATTGAGGTCTTGATGACTGGTGCGACAAGCTTCCTAGGTGAGAATCTCCTCCAAGCCCTGCTACAGTCACCGGTGGTGCGCAAAGTGCACTGCGTCGCAATTATGGCCGACGACCGTCACCGAGTGCCCGAGGATGAAAAAGTCAAGTGCTACAAGGGAAGTCTGCTCTCGTCAACTTTGGGACTTAACACGGACGAGTGCGAGAGTCTGGAGCAAGCCGAGACACACCGACGATGATCTCTGGTGGAGTTGGCTCGGTGAGATTTCTGCATCCAGATATGGGGAGAAATTCGGAATATCAGATCCCGTACCCTCTACTTACACATTTCCTTGTGGATTTTAATGCCCAGCCAGTCTTACCATTTACTGACAGCTACAAGACGAACCACCATTCGTTGCACACCATATTTTGCATCTCTGTATGGATCCATTCACTGACGTGGAATTTGTTCGACCCACTCAGTGTGCGATGCGAAGATGCTTCTTCTGGCCGGATGATTCGGAACACGATCGCCACCGTGGCTTACACAGCACTCGTCCTGATAATCAAGACAAACCCTTATTCTAGCCACAGGTGCGCCCATGCATCAACGATAACAAAAATTCGGTAACCCTTAGAATGGCTGGTTCATTTCTGACGTTACCGAACCTCCATCCGAGCGAGTCCCGAGGATATCATGACCGGGAATAGCGCCGGATGTGATCGTCGCCGCCATCGCGTGGTAGGCGACGCCACGCGGAGCCTAACGAGCCGCAGCTCGACTAACAAACGTCCATCAGAAATACGACCTTCATTTATGCTTCCCCTCACTGGGTCGGCTTTCCTTGGGGTAAAGAGATCTTGGAGTCGCCCATGGGGAAGAACCGTGAGGGGACTGACATGGGGAAATAGGATGGGGCAAATCTCAGCGCCCCATGATACCATCATCCTTCGGCCCGTTGCTATCTCTGACTCCAGAGAGGATTACCTTTCTTCTATATCCGAGGCAAGGAGTGGATCATTGAGCGGAACACTTTCCGGCTCATTCGGCCAACCCGTCTCCACCGATGTCATATCGACCCGCCACTACGAGATTTTTCTGAACGGTTGGGGTTTTGTAGAGCCTCCAGTTGGGGAAGCTCATGGCCCATGCTTGGGCATATCCAGTTTCCTTGTTTCCACAGTCTGAGTACATGTTGAACCTCATGACCACCAGCGACTTGACCTCGTCTCAATTGATCTTGGGATCGTTAAGTTGGAGGTTTCTCTCTCTGAACGCTGATCCCGAGTTCCAAGAGAGAAACACCCGGATCCGTAATCTCTCCCTGACTCAAGGAACCAATCCCACTCACGGTTTACTCACCACATGGAACGGACGGGAGACCCTTCCCCCAAACTCGACGTAACGAGGCTTGCTCCTGACGCTAGCCATTGGTTCCGCACTCTGCGAACCGCCCCCATTGCGGCTCCAATTTGCCCCATACTTCATGCCGAGAGATCCAGGTTATCCAGGTTCAACGCCAACTCCGGCCCGTCATGCCATCTCAACCTCTCCACATTGACTTTTGAGGTGGGCTTCTCGACCTGTGATGTAACTCTAGCCCCGTGGGTCATCATTACCAATCTGTCGATTCAGTTGCCATCGTGCCATTGTCAATCCCCCCATGGCCACTGCCGACTTGGGGGAGCCTTGCCACCCTGTCATCATGGCCCATGCCATGGGGCATTGGGGAGAGATCCACTCTGGGCGGGGTGGAAGAGATATAAGAATCTGTAGAATTCTCAGTGAATGCGTAAAATTTCGGGTTGTTGACATTGTTTTCTCTTTTTGATACCCTTACCTCCTCGTCTAAGCGAATACCCACCACAAGATGGCATCCAACACTCCCTCCAATGGCGCAAGCACACCGACTCAGTTCAACGAGAAGCAGGATATCGTTCACCCTTGTGCGCACTGCCATCATCATAATGAAGGCAGAACTCCTGTTCTCTCCAGACCCCACCAGTCCATGGTGTCCCAGGTCTTGAACCCTCCGTACTACCGAATTGCCAACCCAGGTCCATTGGGTCTAATCAGCTTTGCTTTGACCACATTTGTCTTGGGCCTATATCAGTGCGGTGCTGGGTATTTTTTACCTCCATCTTTACATATTTGTGCCATCTGCTGACACTTGGTGTAGTCTTCCCGGATCTAACCCCATGGCTGGTGTTGGTCCCGACCAAGCCATCTTTGGTCTGGCTGTTTTCTTTGGTGGCATCGCTCAGTTCTTTGCCGGTCTCATGGAGTTCCGTGTTGGCAATACATTCGGTACTACTGTCCATTGCTCTTACGGCGCCTTTTGGCTCTCATTCGCCATGTTCTTCGTTCCATCACTGGGTATCAAGGACGCATACAAGGGCGATGATCGCGCCTACAGTTTTGCCCTAGGCATATTCCTCATCCTATGGTGCTTTCTGACGCTCGTTTTCTTCATCGCTGCGCTGAAGACAAACATTGCCATTCTTGTGGTCCTTGGCTTCCTTGTCCTGGCCTTCCTCTTCCTCAGTTTGGCCCAGTTCCTCTCAACAAGCCATCCAACTGCCGCCATTCGGATCAACAAAGTCGGTGGCGCCTTTTCTGTTATCTGTGCTTTTGCGGCTTTCTATGCGGGTAGCGCTGGTATTATGACCGAGGATACGACCTGGGTGAAGCTGCCTCTGGGAGAGATTAATGTTCGGTCGATGAAGACCAATATGGCCTAGGGTAGGAGGTAGTTAATTGTCGCCGTACAGTACCTGTCGACATCCGCTTTCCAGCGGGTTAATTGATGAAATATGAGATAATGCGGTAAGACATTTCATTGTACAAATTTAGCCAGGGCTGAATTTGCATTATTTTAGTAACTCAGTAACTGGAGCTGAACGACTGCCGAATCAATGTGCTCTTTCGCGTCCCGTTCAAGGCAACGCGGATGGATGAAGAGGGGTACTCCGTGCGAGTGATTGAGTGATCGCGAATATTAGGATCAATACGTCAAATGAGGCTCTTAATTGAAATACCATAAAATACCCAACCCTCAATGCAGATGCGACCTCAAGCAGCAGCATATCATGGACATGGCCTTCATACATACGATGGTGCATCAAATCTTCATCTTACATTTTGCTCTTTGCTTGATCGACAGCTCCCTTTACCTTGCCTTTCGCTTGCTCTGCGGCTCCCTTTGCTTCACCTGCCAGCTCGCTCGCCTTGCCCTTCGCCTCGCCTCTCAATTCGGCAGCCTTGCCGCTGGTCTTTCCCTGTGTGACTTCCTGCACGCCGTCCTTCAATTTGCTACCGACGGCCTCTGATTTAAATTAGCAAATTTGCTGTTATGTGGGGGGATGTGGGAGAGGAATAGCTCACCGGTTGCATTGATGCCATCAACAAGCTTGTCGCTCACGGCGCGGTCGACGGATTTCGCGCCATCTTTAATAGCCTCGGTAGCCGTTCGGTTAAATACGAGGCTCGTTGAAAATGCCCGGGGACTTTGCCTGGCGATGATCCGCGGGATCAGAGTGGCTTGGCGGATAATGTTCTCGGTGAGGAACGACATTGTAGCAGACGTTGGGGTTGATAATAGTGATGGATTTGCCGGTTATGAAAGAGTTGATGTTTGGCAGGAAGTATTGATTTGATCCCAAAGGTGAGGAATTAATTTGTGTTGTCATGTGAGAACGTAGCGGACGTGATATATGACGGGTGGCCGGTCTGTTGACTTCTTCATGACATCATGACAACTAGGCGCGGGGCAGAAACTCGTAGCGGTACCCGCACGTGAAAACGAGGATGCAGTAATGATGACACCGGGCATCATAGAATTGGGGGAAACCTGCTAACGCTATGAGACCCGGCAGATCGCCGAGGGGTCTGTGGCGTATTTAGTACTGATGAGCAAGGTGCATGGCGATGCTCATTCGGGTACTGGGCGGCGGAATTGTTGCTCCAGCGGCGGAGGAATCCTTGTCAACACCAAGCATGGAAGCAGTTTTGTGAAAGTGCGGTGTGTCTAATAAATGACGATCTTGTGACTACACAGATCCAGTAGATAAGTTAGCACTTTGGGGTTCTGGAAGTCCCAAAATGAGGCCGTAAAACATGTCTCAAAAAATAGCCTGCTGCTGGTCTAGAACGGCCAAACTAGGCCTAGGCAACATGTGAACAATCATGATTCATAACAACATTTCAATCGTAAACCTTTTCCGTAGTGAACTTCCGCTTTTCCACCTTACTCTATTGGCGTTGTTGCCACTTACTCATACCACGTCGTCCGTATGCGCCGCTGGCAATGGACGACCGGACGACCGGATCCGTCGAACAATGGGGTCCGTCGAATCTCGGTTACCTGTTTCATCAGATAATTCACAGACCTCGTCCGCAGATGTTCCCACTCTGCGGTTGATGATGTTGTCGATACGCAGCCGAGGCGGGCCGGAGTTGAGTTTCATGCCATTCTTGGGTGGCCCGGCTGGAAATGGTTAGTATCAAGGAGAGGTGAATGTCCTGCTTCGAGGGATGCTTACAGAGCAAAAGATCAAACAATTTGACGATGACGGGACCCCAAACCGTGACAGCAATAATTTGACCGTAAGACCACTTATTCGCAGCAAAGCTCTCGGCTGTGATGACCTTGGTGAGTGAAATCATGTACAAAATATTAACCACGAGATATGCCACCTCCAAGATTCGCCAGAACCAGCGCTTCAAAATGAGACCCCGTCGTCTCCTTCCCCACGATGGGAACCGACCGATGCGATACGTTCCAATGCGCATGTGTTGTGCGACATGATGTTTTCGTATCGTCCAAGCGAACTGATCGACGATCAACACGAGAATGGCGATGGTGTCGAGGCATAGGAAGACCATTTTATAGAGAAGTGGGTTGGGGAAGAAGCTGAAATGCAGGCCATCGACACCGGCGGTTGCAGCACAATAGGTTCGTGGACTTGGGTTGTAGCCACAGCCCTTCAACCGGCTCTGGTCGCTAAACAGCTTAAACGCATCTTTAAAATAGATCTTTTGCGTCGTCGCGACAACGGCGAGCAGGTATTCTACGAAGAAGCCCAGGAACGTGTGCCAGTTCCGAATGCCCTCGTGATGGAGGCAGATCTGGATGAGGAACATGGGCAGCACGCCATTCTGGCTGACGTGATAAGCCACGGCTGCGTTGACGACAATCTCCCCCCAAAAGGCACCCTCCTGGGAGTTGACGACGATGGCAAGGATGGAGGCAATCTGGACGGCAAAGACGAACCAGCATTGGGCTTCCTGGAACTCGACCAGGGTCGTGGCGATGGCGATGCTGGTACGCGACATGCCGCCCGTGTCGCGCCAGATCATCGACTCAATGCGTGTTAGACTGCGCTGGAGTTCATTCGCCTTGGGCTTGGCTTTGCCCTTTTCGCCCTGGGTGACGCGGACCCAGAGGGTGAAGCCCTTGGTGAGGATGTACAGCGAGGCGGCGAAGCAGACCTGCAGGACATACGAGATGAGGACCTAGAGGAAGCAGGAGTTAGTCTCGGTCGGCCTACGAATCGAGGACGAATGCCGGGGCCTTACACCTGGTCCGAAGATGTCGGGGTTGATCTCGGCAGCTAAATCCGGGCAGAAGCTATCCATGGCGTCGAAAATCTGCTGCGCGCTGGATGTTTTGGAGAGGCGGTCGATTGAGGAGTCGCAGGCCTTACTCAATCCATCGTGTTCACAAGCATCCTGAGCACAAGTGACGAGAGACTCGAGCACCGGGACCGAATGGAAGCTGGACAGGGTACCAGAGCCCATTATGGAACTGGCATTGCGCTCTGCCTCGTCGCTAACATAGTAAAAACCAGCATCTTGGGTCCAGTAGGCAATTGAGGCGAGAGCCGCACAGTTGTAAAATGTCTCGAGGGAGCTGAAGAAGTGCTGGGAGGTGTTGCAAGCGAGCGTGCAGTCCGCCACGCCGTCGACTTCGCAGCCCGAGTGGAAGAGCAAAATCTCCTGGCCGCCCTCGATGCTGGTGGTGAAGAGGTCCTTGAAGGTGACGGTCGAGTCGGTGCCCGAGGTGAGGGTCGCAATGTCGTTGAAGGGGAAGAAGTCGGACGAGCCGTCGATGCTGTCGCGCAGCAGCACGCGGATTGGCGTCGCCGAGACTGTGGCTGACGGCACTACCGCCACCAGAGCCAAGGACGACGAGAGCGATGAGGTCGTCGTCATATTGCAATGGGGTGGACGTGCTGGCAATGGAGGAGGGGGCTGGGGGAGATGACAGATTCGTCTAACAGCGGACTAACACGCCCATTCCCTTGAGATTGCAGCCCTATCGCGGACTGTTGAACCCTCGAATCCTCGCTCATACGTCTGGGCGGTCCACCTACGGCGCGGGAGAGGAGGATGCCAAGTGCTCAGGAGAACGCAACCGTGGCCAGCCCGCGGAGCACACCAAAGAACAATCAAGGAACATCTTCCCGTGATGAGATGCTACCCAGTTAACTAGTGGAGGGGTCCGCTTATTCACCGGTGCCTTGGCGCGATTCCCCAGAGCGGCAGGGGTTCTGGTTCGTGCTGAATCGTGCAGAGGACGAACGAAATGCCGGTGTGGACGCCAAAGCTTGGCATCTGATCAATCCCGCATGGAGGCTTTGCGGCTGCTGTTACAGTGGGGGCCGTGAGGCGCTGGCTGTCGCAGCACTCGATCAGTCTCAGTGGCGTGCATCTTGGGGGACAAGATGTGCAGACATCGCGGGTTGGGATGGGATGGGCGAAGGCGAAAACATTCCAGGGCTCCACTTGGAGGTGCGCTGTAGGCGGTCAAGCAACTCTATGATAGATCGGTGTTGGCGGGGGTTTATCCTGATGCACAGACGAAGAGTCTACCTACACTACGGGAATCAAAATGGAAACCGGCGTGCAACATCACCAGCCTAACAAGAGTGGTAGGAGATCCAAATTTGCGGTGGTGTTGCGTCTTGGCCATCCTGTTGTCTCCTCCCGCTCGCTGTGTGTTTCTGTCGGCTTAATCCAGCTGCTTAATCCAACCACAGCTCGGCAAACAGTCAAACACTAGACCGACCAAAGCCGACGCGGGCCCCGACGTCATTCCTCCAAGCTCGGCTCAGCAATTGACTTCTCTCTCTTCGCATCCCCTCAACACCACGAAACCAAGTCAACCTCCGCGCAACTCCCAGCCGCCCGCCATGCCGCCGCGCCTGCATCCCCTCGCGGCGTCCCTCCGCCCGCTGCGGCGCCTGTACTCGACGTCGGCCGAGCCGCTGATCCGCGTCACCAACCTGCCGGCGCCCAACAGCGGGCATATCCGCATCCTCGAGCTCAACCGGCCCGCCACCCGCAACGCCATCTCCAAGGCTCTGCTCGCCAGCCTGCGCGACGAGATCGCTGCCGTCCATAGCCAGTATGCGCCCAACGGCGATGAGCTGCCGCCCGTCAAGCGCTTCGGTGGCGCCGCTGGTGTCGATGAGAAGGGCCCCACGCGGGCACTCGTTGTCGCCAGTGCCGTCGATTCGTCCTTTTGCGCTGGCGCTGATCTCAAGGAGCGACGAGGCTTCTCACAGCAAGAGTGCGTTCCCTTTCCTTTTTCCCCTCCAATCAATGCCTACTCCAGCACCTCCAGCTGCTTCCGGCCACTGTTTGCGCTTCAATGGCCTCCTCGTTCTAACCTACCCTCGTTAGGACTGCCGACTTCTTGACCACCCTCCGCGGAACATTTTCCTCGCTCGCCAGCCTGCCAGTCCCGACCATCTCCGCCATCTCCTCCGTCGCCTTTGGCGGCGGCCTCGAGCTTGCTCTTTCCACTCACTTCCGCGTCCTCTCCTCCAACGCCGTTGTCGGTCTCCCCGAGACCCGCCTCGGCATCATCCCCGGCGCCGGCGGCACCCACCGTCTTCCCGCCCTCATCGGCCTCTCGCGGGCACGCGATCTGATCCTCACCGGTCGCCGCGTCGCCGCGCCCGAGGCGTACTTCCTCGGCATCGCGGACCGCCTCGTCCAGGTGGTTCCCGAAGATGAGCGAGACGTCACCGACCTTCTTCCCCAAGCCAGGAAGGCTGCCCTAAGCGAGGCGGTCCGACTCGCCCAGGAGATCTGCGAAGGTGGTCCCATTGGAGTCAGGGCGGCATTGCAGGCTGTCTCGTGGGCGCAAGAGGAGGTTGAGAACAAGATGTACGAGCGTGTGGTCAACACCGAGGATCGGGACGAGGCGTTGAAGGCTTTCCAGGAGAAGAGAAAGCCCGTCTTCACTGGCCGATAACGTCTTCAGACCAAACTAAATAAAAGCATTTGTAAATAGTACCATTTAAATACTATTGATGATATAATACCCTGGATACTGGTACCTTTACAATCGTATCTTGTCTCGTCGAAAAGATTCTTGACATCATGCTCATAATTCCACACGACATTCGCCATCAGGTTCATAAGGTATCATTCGTATCATGTCATCTATTGAACTGATCAGATGGGTATGTTGCCGTCCAATGCCATCATCCCAAACTCCTGAACACGTAAATAATGTCCTTGCCCAGACATCCGCAGAACACTCTCAGTCCAGTTCTTGCTATTGCTAACATGCATACATCGGCACCAATCCGAACATTCATAATGCAGTGTCCACCAGTTCTTCCGCCATCTTGCGCTTTTGCATCATCTGTTGGAGCCGCAAATCTTCTGTGAACTACTTCCAGATGGGTGGGGCTGTCTGAAAGATTGCCCGACCAGATTCGACATAACGGGCGCGATGAAGGTTTGGCTGTAAATGCCCCATCCCTACTCGTTCCGTCTGATCAGCTGGTGGACGGGAATCAGCGAGCCAATTAGGACTAGTTGTTCAAGGTATGATGATGCCCAAGAGAGCCGATGAGCCCAGCATTGCTGCCATCAGGCGTAAAGTCCGAAGCACATCCTCTCGACATTTAGTCCATCTTTTCGTCCACATAAGGCGGTGGCATGTCTTCGCTCGTCGTGCTTGGCTGCGGCGCCGGCTCATTGTCAATGACCTCAACGTCTCCATCGGCATCCGTGGCCGGTTCATTCTCGGCTTCAGGAGCCGGTGTCGGAACTCGTCGCTTAGGAACATCCACATATGCATCCTTGTCGTTGTCCCGGACGTAACAAAGGAAGTACGGCTCGCCGCTGGTACTCAAAGACGCCAGCACCTCGTCCGTGCTGGGGTTCGCCTCCACGTTCGAGTCGTTGTACTTTCGCCAGACGTTCCGCTCAAAGTCATGGATCCAAACCCAATAATGGCCAGATGTCAAATGCCCTCGATGGCAAATGACCGCGTGGAGGCGGTACGGGATATTCTTAAGCCCGGAGTAGTGCTGCTCCAGCGCTTCCTCCCGCTCGCGCAGTTCTGTCGTCATCATTTCCCTCACCTCCGCTTCCGTCATCTCAATGCCTGTAGGGTTCACGAGTGATTCAGGGATAGTATCCTCCGTTTTCTGTGGATTGATGAGGAGGAAGTCATCCTCGACGGGGCCATCAAAGTCCCAGTTTTCCTCGACAAGCAACAGAGGATCATCAGCATTCCCATTCTCGACCGGAGCCTCGGCCGTTGGTTCAATGATATATCCAGAATCATAGCCCTCGAGGAAAGCCCCGGTCGCGGGGGCCAGCTCTACTGCCGCCTTCTGCGACTTGAGGTCAGATATCCGGTTGGCAATCATCCAATTCTCCACCCGTTGCTGAAATTCGGGAGAATCTTGAGGGGCATCCATGTATCGATCCAGGTATAGAGTCTCCGGAATGTCGACCGGATTGCCGTTCTTGCTCCCCATCGACTGCGAACGCTGAATGAGTACGTGCAGCACAGGTGGAAGTGTCTTGATGGCGGTGTATCGAGATAATTTGCTTTCCTCAATGATCTGCTGGTCAAAATTACGACCAAGAGCATCGTAGAGGGAGCATGTTCCTTCAGCGGCTGGGAACGCAGTGATTGATCTGTCGAAACTGACTTCCTGTTGATATGTCTTCTCGTCGAACTTCTTGGTGTAGTTAATGGTTGTGACAAAGAATGTCTCCATGATCTTCTCCAGTTGAATGCCGGTCGACTCGTCAATAGAGCTTGGTTCGATGGCAGCTTGAAGACGGTTAAGAATGCTCCCCATCACCTCCTCCACATCCTGCTGATCAGTGCCTGAGGATCTCTTCTGATGCTCCAGTGCAGTGAGAACCTTCTGATCAACGGTTTGGACCTCTTCAGCATCGAGCATTTTAACGTCAATGCTCTGCTCTCCCCCATCCTTGACATCATCTACCGCCACTACTGTTGTGGCCGGCTCAGAGCCCTTGGGATCGTGCTCAGCTTTCTCTTTCGAGGTTTCGGTGTCCACTACTTCGACCACGGACTCAATCACCTGAGGCTCCGTTGTTGCAGGCGATTTTTCGACTTTCTCATATGAAAGGTCGGAGTCTTCGTCTCCTTGTTCAACGAGCGTCTGCGAGCTCACAGTGCTAGCGGTCTCGATAGAGTCGGGAACAGGGGTTTCAATGGCATTGACCATTTCCACATCCTCAGGAGTATGGGTTGGGGGCGCAGGCGATGGGCGGGCCGGCAAAGGCGGGGGCTTGGGTGCTGAAGATGGCTCCGATGTCTGCTTCGAGTCGTTGAGAAGTGTGTGGGTGGATAAGAGAACAGCGTTTGCTAGTCGCTGGGAAGGTCGGGTGGCAACTTTATCAGACGTTTCTAGATTGACAAAGAGCTCCGAAAGCTCTTGTGCAACTATTTTGTGTCAGTTTTGATTCAAAGGAGATGGGCATGAAATTGTCCTTACAGGCCTGGGCGACCACGGCTTCACCACGATCCATCTGCATCTTGTTTCCGCCCAGCAGTCGTGCTTTGATGCTCTCATCGTTCAAATCGAGCTTGAATGATTCATAATTGAGGGCGATGTCTCGAACTGGCTTGACTGTGAAGAGATACTGAAGAAGACTGTTGAGGTAGCACGTGTTGCCAATGTTCTCCAGTCCGACGGGCAAGTCGTAATTGACCGGGCGGTCTTGGGTTGGTAGGTTGCCACTGCCGCCGGACACAGCAATACCGTTTTGCTGGCGCATCTCGTTGACGGTCCATTTAAGGTCTATCGAGTTGGTGTGGTCTGCAATCGCCTCCATTGCATCGAGGTAGGTTGCCTTTTCCTCCTTGCTGCTGCTCGCCTCAACCTAAATCGTTCGTCAGCGTCTCTAGTAACAACCATGGAAACTGCCAGAAGTTTCATAGCGTAGGATCAACTTACCTTGGCTTTTGCTGCGTCTAGCGCCTCAGGACCGAAGCCGCTGGAGCCGACGAGGCCAAGTATTACCTTGCTGGTAGCCATCGACATTTTTCCATCAGCCTCCATCAAGAGCGTGGCTTGATATGTATCGTCCGTGGATGCCTGCGCGATCAAAAGAAGCATGGACCTGGCAGTCGTGGCATCGCCGGGGTCCTTCGCTAGCTTTTGTCTGAAGGCTTGAATCAATGCGTCCGATGCGTAGTTGTTCGGGGGTTGAAGGCCCAGAAAAGTCAAAGCCTGCGAGACGAGTCCGTCGTCGTCGTTGGTGCTTTGCTGCTGAAGTTGACTCTCAAATACGGATGACTGGGTCATGGCGTAGTCGGAAAGTTGTTCGTCATTGAGATCGTTCGCAATACCCATCAGGGCCTCAATCAGGTCTCTTCGTTTACTCGGCACTAACTCCCACTGTCGCTTGTACGCATTGACAATCACCTCCTTTGGTTGGTTCGGTAGCACGCCAAGCAGTTTGTACCGCTGAATGTTGACCAGTGCATTTTCTTCGATGTTCAGCACTTCCTGACACTGCAGGTCTGCGTGGAGAACTGGCGTACAAAGCTCCGCCGTTGGCCCTGCTTTATGGATGAGGCACTGAACTTCGGCCCTGACGTCCTCTAAGTACGCACGATAAGTGCCGATCTCAGTGGTTCCAGAAGGGCCGCCAGGAGGAGATGGGGATGATGGAGTGAAAGAGCCTTCGTCGATACCATCAGATTCTTCCACTTGTTCTGAGAACTCCAACTCCCGGAAGATGCGAAAGCAGCGCGGGCCGAATAGGACGGCGAAGCGCTTGTTTCTCTTGGAGATGCTCCTGACATCTTCTGGCGTGACCGCCTCGAGGAGATTCTTCAAATAGGTGTTCAGATTCTGAGGAGCTTGATACGCCCAGTCATCTGTCGCTGCACCATAACGTGACGGCTCCTGTTCTTTCGCAATGTGTAAAGCTTCCAAAATGGCGTCTTGGTCTCGGAGAAGCGTAATCCACCATGACGGCATGCGAGGTTCTGAAACTTCGAGGGTGACTTGAAAGGTACATGGGGGAGCTGAGCAGACGAAGTTCTCTCGAGCGAGCAAAGGGTAGTACTTTGAGGTGTCCTTGGCGATGATGGGGTCCGACTCCGATCCAACCCAGACGAGATGATGCCAGGGAAACTGGGCGTCTCGCATCGGCCACTTGGCTTGTTTCGGATTGCATATATCTTCGCAGCGCGACTCATCCCAGGCCATCTTGAAGACAAAATGAAAGTGGCAGTCCAGGCACACTGACGAGAGGACACGAGTGGAGGGCGTGGAGAAGCTCTGGTTGCCGTTTATCACCAGCCTATGGGGATGTTGCCAGGCGTATGGAGCATCTAGGTTCGCATGTCGTGCTCGCTCGAAGAGATCGCAGGTCGTGAAATCGTTATGGACAAGCTCGTATATCCATCGTGAAGGATGGCATCCTGGAACGGTGGAAAGTCAGCGGATTGAGCACTCCCTTGGACAAATGGGCCATACCTGGCATGTCCCTGCCTGGGGCGAGATTCATCTTCATGGGGGTATTGTTGCGAGGGACAAACTCTCCAGGAGTCGTCCCTGGCAATGCCGCATACGTGCTGCCATCGATGTCCTGCTGGGACCGGAGGTCGTATCGGTTGGCCATGGATACGGCTGGCTGGCGGTGTAATCCTCTGAGTAGTTTAGGGGCGACGGTATTGAAAACGCAAGATAGAAATAGCTGAGGTGTAGTGGCAGTGCTGGATCTACCGAAACGCTAAGTGTAGGAGGCGACACTCTTCGACGAAGCGCCACGAGGGAATGCGTGAGGAGCTTCCCTGTCTATCGCAGGATCGATCGGATTTTCGAGCGCAAAAGGGTCGTGGGATGTTTTCAGAAAGATTTGGGTAGTATGGAGCGTTGGAAGAGATGCTCGGGTTTGGAATGGTGTGGAAGAGCTAAATGTAACCGGTGATGCTGTCGATGGTCGAGTCGAGGGGTGCCTCTCTCAAGCTGAGGCTCATTTGACCATAGTTTCCGTGCCGATGTTCGTGGTTGAAGCGTCAGGTGATGGACAAGGCAGCCGTTTAACAGAGGACAAGATAGGCAGCCTGTTAAAGGTGTTGACGTGGGCGCTGGTGGCAATTTGACGACCTCGCTGACGCAACCTTGGTGATGACGGAGCTCAAGCTCCCACCTCGAACCCTGTCGTGATGCGGGAGCCGGCGCTTGTTGGCTGAGTCAGCAGCAACTTTTGGCGGGCACCTGTCAGCGCCTCTTGGTGCACGACTTTTTGGTGCAACGACTGGAGGCTTGTCAAACCACCACGTCAAAATGGTGACGGAATTCGGTTTCGGTTTCAGCTCATATTTCCCATCGTTCAACATTTCAGGGAAAAAAAATTTTTAACTCGATCTACGGTTACTTCTCCTTCGACTGCACCTTGACCCCATGTATCCCCCCGCCCTCCATCCTGGCCCCTCGGCGCTTACACGAAAACCAGCTCCTGTTCCACCAGCTCACCCCGCTCCAACAGTGCTACCGCTTCTCCATCCATCATTCCCTCAACATATGCCTCCCCTAACACGAGGAAATTCTCCCCCATTGGCCTTATTACCAAGGGTGTACTGCATCCAAACACGACACAAATCATGTCACCGGTTTGGACCTGTTCCTCGAGCGATCCGCGCGTGTTGTCCGGTGCCCACCCCAGGTAGCCCTTTTGCGTGAACATCAACCGTCTACCGATCCCGGATCGATCAGCCGCCAAAAACACTTCGGCGTAGTCGAACTCGGAGGCTTCCTCTGGGATCAGATCTGTGAAGTATTCGCCCAGACACTTGCCACCCATCTTCATCTTGTCGTGGACCTTGTTCCACCCCACCCATCGGAAGTAGTACGCTTCTTGATCCTTCATCCATGGCCACCCCAGAGACTCAAACTGCCCAAACGCCGAATCGTATGTCCTGGGCAGATTGAGTAAAGCGCTATGTCGCTCACTGACATGCTCGCCATTTGAAACACGCCCGAGAAGCAAGGCGCTGTACAATGCTTTTGGCGTGTCGCTATAGATGCTTGTCCATGTTTCTGGTTGCACAACCGTTGTTGTGTCCCATTCAAAATGGCCACGCTTGCAAGCCCCGAGCCCACACACCGTATCTAGAATGAGCCCTTGGCATCTAAGCAGCTGGCCACCAGTAAGAAAGGAATATTGAGGCCTTCTTTGCCCGTCTGCACAGTAAATCGTCTCTGGTCGAGGCTCTGGGGTGCCAGGAGTCCAAAACGGGCCGATGAAAACGGACTCCGGCTTGGAATACCGGAGTCTGCCTCGCCAAGTCCAGTCTACAACCCATGAAAGCGTATGAGCGCTACCCCAAGGGTTAGCTTCTCGGAGTGGCTCCAGGTTGCCGTAGTGTTCGATGAAAGCAACGGTAGTTGCGCGGAAGATCTCTGCTGTCGACTTTGAGTATTTGCAAACCAGCCGTTGTACAATAGCAGGATCCATCATCCCAAGAAGGCCAAAGACTTTGTCCTTCTCATCACGACTTTCAGATTTGGCGAGTTCGAGGAGCTTCCTCATACCTTGCCGCTCTCCACCCCTGACTTCGTACTTACTCAGTGGTCGTAGGTCCTGGTGGACTAGATGAATGCTGGCTGTCGCCCACCGCGGGTCTGAACCAATATCCTTATTCTTCACTTCGCTCTTCAACAGCCAATCTTTAGCGGCCCAAATTCCCCCATGATACAGAGTGGAAATGCCGTGAGTGAAAGTTGACCAGTCCAGGGTATGCCCCCCGCACTTCAACACGGTCGAGTTTGATCCGAGAACCAGCTCTTGAATAATCCACAATCGTGACCAATACGGCCGCTTCATGAGACTGTTGAGGCCATAAAATGCAGAATTACCAAAGTATGTTGGATTCGTTTCCAGTGAATCTGATAATTGATCCTTCTCTTCATTGTTCAGGCGAGCGAGGCCACATAGGAGATGCATTCCCTGATCGGTGTCGTCTGCTGCTGGTCCCAACCATGCGATGACTGCCCATGCCTGGGAATAAATCTCCCGCATCCTAGATACTTGCTCCGCGGTTTCATTTTCGTCGAGTTGATTGATGCATAGTGCGTCGACCCACAACTTGTACTTGTCTGCAAAGCGTCCTTTGTCTACCCTCAACTCGCGCAGTGCCTCTTCCAAGTTTTTTGTCACCGTCGTCTCTTGGCCGTTGACAATGATCTTTCCCGCGTGGTCTGTACCCCAGACGTATGATAATGCCGCAAAGTCGCCCCAGGAAAAGCGAAAGCAGTTGCGTGTTGGAGTGAAGGAGCCCATTGAACGAGTCGCTGGAAGTCGACTTACTACCTTGGCTCGCTGGATGGATGCCCATGTCGAGATCAACCAGCGTCTAGGTGTACTCGGAGACTCGTATGAGTGAAGGAACTGGCGATGGACGGGTGTTGTCTCAGTGAGAGAAAATGTTTCTAGAGAACAACAGAGGACGTCGTTCTCAAGTTGCGGATGTATGGTGATCAAGCGAAGCTCTCCTTCCGCCAAAGGACGGTAAAGGACTCCCTGCGAAATGCTGCCCATTGCGTATCGCCCTAGACAGTCCTGTGCTCAGTAGCATGTACTGTTTTAATTTCGATGTGTCTGTTTCATTCGTACGCAGGAAGAAATATTCTGGACGGTCTCCAGCGCAGGGCTGCACCACGAGGGAGACTCAACCAACCACCAGTCCGGAGGCGGTCAGCTCCAGTTTCTTCTGGCCTGACTCTAGCGTCTGGTCGGACAAAGTACGCTGGAGGCGCTGAGGAGGCGCTGAGGAGGCGCTGAGGAGGCGCTGAGGAGGCGCTGTAGGAAAGTCAATTTTAGGCATTTAGCTTGAACTAGTGGCAGCCCGCCGCAGCCCGTCGCAGATCACCACAACGGCCTAACCCCGCGCCATCTTTAGAGGTGACCGATCTCATAACCGAGTCACAACGCCCACGCTTTATTACTTCCCTGGGCTTTCGGGAATGTTGGTCAAGGCTGGTCGAGTACACTCGCCGGGATTACTTTCATTTATTTCGTATTTAATAGTGGTATCACTCTAGCAGCTCATAATGATGCTACCAGACCAGTCAAGTGAGGCAGTGGTGCCTCTAGGTTGCTCCCAGGGCCCTTCTACGACGGCAAAGCGACCAGCGTTTCAGACGCCGGAACGAACACAGCCGGCATCGGGATCACCCTATAGCACTTAACATCCACATCCTCCTGTGGATGGGAATTAACGCACTCCAATTATCTTGCCATCTCCCAGTTCGCCAAGCAAGCTTCTGGACTTCCACTCCGCGACTCCGCTCGTACTCGACCATGGCCGCAAGCACGAGTTCGCGGCGCCTCCGCATTGGTGTCGATGTCGGCGGCACCAACACTGACGGCGTCATCATCGACCCTTTCCAGTCTGCGGCCCAGGATAAAGGTATTTTGGCCTGGCACAAAGCGCCCACGACAACAAATCCTAGCCTCGGAATCAGCGAGGCCATCACTGCCATGTTCAAAACTGCGGCCATCAAGACCGAAGATGTAGCAAGCGTGACCATCGGGACGACTCATTTTGTCAACGCTGTGGTCGAAAGAGATGCTGCCAGGCTTTCTCCCGTGGCCGTCATTCGTCTTTGTGGACCGTTTTCCAAGCACACACCTCCATGTGTGGATTGGCCTGACGACATGCGCGAGTTGATCCTCGGACACTATGCCTTATTGAAGGGCGGATTGGAAGTGGATGGACACTTAATCTCCGATATCGACGAGAGTGAGATCAAGACACAGTGCGCCGTTATCCGTGAGAAAGGGATCAAGAGCGTTGTAGTTATCGGAGTTTTCAGCCCCATCGATACTGTTGAGAGACAAGAGGGACGGACGGCGGACATCATCAAAGCAGAGATCCCAGGATGTGATGTCGTCTGCTCAAAGGAAGTCGCGAATCTTGGCTTCCTCGAACGAGAAAATGCCGCTATTCTCAACGCATCTATTCTACCATTTGCACGCAAAACGATCCGGTCATTTCACGAGCCCGTCAAACGACTTGGCTTGAACTGCCCAGTCTTCATTACGCAGAACGATGGTACCGTGCTGTCTGGAGAAGTCGCTGCTCGACTGCCTATTCGAACATTCTCGAGCGGTCCTACGAACAGTATGAGAGGAGCTGCCTTTTTGGTACAGGGTGAGCCGAACGAGTCCATGATGGTGGTTGACATTGGCGGCACGACTACCGATGTGGGAATTTTGCTTGCAAACGGATTCCCCCGTCAACAAGCAGCCTATAGCAATCTTTCAGGCGTTAGGATGAACTTTTCCTGCCCAGACATCAAGAGCATCGGCCTCGGCGGAGGCTCCATTGTCCGGAAAGAAAATGGTCTCTCCATCGGTCCAGACAGTGTGGGATACAAGCTCCCCCAGGAAGCTGTTGTTTTTGGTGGCAAAGTCCTGACTACAACTGACTGTACTGTTTTGGGGAACCCGGACGCCAAAATCGGCGACCCTGAGTTGGTCAAGGGTGCATTGTCGGAAGGCGAGCTCATAAAGTTTAAGACGTTGGTGAAACACAAGCTGGAGAAGGTCATCGACACCATGAAGACTTCGATTGAAGACATCCCGGTTCTTCTGGTAGGAGGAGGCGCGGTCATTGCCCCAGATGAGCTCAAAGGAGCGAGTAAAGTATTGAAGCCGCAGTGGTCCCAAGTGGCGAATGCCATTGGCGCTGCCATGGCAAGAGTCAGCGCTGTCGTTGACACGATCAAGTCCACTGAATCACAGACAACCAAAGAAATCCTCGAGGAGGTCAGTAATGAGGCTATCGAGAGAGTAGTCAAGGCTGGAGCCGCACGCTCATCCGTTTCCATTGTGGAGCAGGAAACCCTGCCGCTTCCGGTGAGTCCAGCAGCAATCTTCAACCTGACAATGGAATCTAACCAGTGTCACATAGTACGTCGCGAACAAATCCCGGTTCATCGTTCGTGCTACTGGCGACTTTGACTTCGCTCGAATTGATCCCACTCCGGAATTGGTTGATGAACCAGTAGAGCCAGGGCAGGAAATGGACAAGTACGAAAAGATAGCGAAGAACAAGAGCTCTCATCAGGACGTTGGCGAAGATATCGACATTCTTGCCTATCGGCCCAATGTCAAGGACCGCGTCTGGTCCATCTCCGAAACCGACCTAAACTGGATCGCTACCGGCTGCTACATCCTAGGGACTGGAGGAGGTGGCTCTCCCTATTCATCAATGATCCGAATAAGAACCCAGCTCCGCAACGGGGCAACCGCCCTCATTATTAGTCCAGATGACTTGCCTGACGATGCCCAAGTTGGTTGCGGCGGAGGAGCAGGCAGCCCCACCGTGGCAATTGAGAAACTCGCCGGCGACGAGCTTCTTGAATCTCAGACAGAACTTTCTAAAATCTGCGATAAAGCGGCGACACACATGATTTCGGTCGAAATCGGCGGTGCGAACGGTCTCGGAGGGCTGGTTTTGGGTTGCAGCACGAGCATGGACATTCCTACCGTGGATGGAGACTGGATGGGTAGAGCATACCCAACAAAATGGCAGACTACGCCCGTGGTCTTCAAGGAGCGTGACACAATTTGGTCTCCCATTGCTGTCAGCGATGGCAACGGAAATGTGCTCGTCATGCCGAAAGCGTCCTCTGATACCCACGTTGAGCGCATCATCCGCGCTGCTCTCAGCGAGATGGGGTCCATAGTGGGAACTGCAGACGCCCCAGTAACAGGGGCAGAGACGAAACGCTGGGTTGTGGAACACACGCTCTCTCAGTCATGGAGAATTGGCCGAGCAGTGGCAAGGGCGCGACAGGAGAACAGGGTCGACACCGTGGCTGAGACCATCATCGACGAGTGTGGAGGTCCTGGGGCAGGCAAGGTTCTCTGGAAGGGGAAGATTGTCGGCGTGGAGAGGACGTTGAGGAACGGCCATACCTATGGAGAGTGTCTCATTGAAGGAGCGGATGTGAGAGATGACGGAGTTGACGCGACTAGGGACAAGCCTGCACAGTTCAAGGGCCTCGTCAAGATCCCGTTCAAGAACGAGAACATCGCTGCTCTGCGTGTCCACCCCGACCGCAAGGAAGAGCTGCAGGAGGATGTTCTCGCCATTGTCCCCGATTTGGTCAGTGTTATTGACGCGCAGAACGGAGAGGCTGTGGGCACGCCCGAGTACCGCTACGGATTGCTGGTGATTGTGCTGGGCATCTCGGCAAGCGACCGATGGACTGGGACGGAACGGGGCATCAAGATCGGAGGACCCGAGGCTTTTGGGTTTGAACACCTGAAGTATGCACCTTTGGGCAAGTTTGTGAAGCCGAAGAGCGTGATTGATGAGTTCAATGAATCGTCTTAGCGTTGTTGCGGGCTGTGAATAGTGGACAGGCCCTGAATGACAGTGCACACCAGAGAGAGATAAGCTTCGTGTGGTTCGTGCAGCTCCGACAACACACCCTGCAACGCGAACCTTGAAACGCGAACCCAGCAAGGTATATGCCGAGGTTTAGCCGGCGCCGCCTGAAGACATCTGCTGCAGTTTGTCGCCCAAGGCAGTTCAACCCCACCATCCGTCGAAACTCGTCATCGCAACCGACTCGCACCGACAAGAACACTCCCCAGATTCGCACTCCCCAAGTCCTCTACAAACTTTTGCCATGGGTTCCGTCGTCCTCCCGCATCTCAACACCGGCTGGCACGTCGACCAGGCCATCCTGTCCGAAGAGGACCGCCTGGTCGTCATCCGCTTCGGTCGCGACTGGGACCCAGACTGCATGCGCCAGGACGAAGTCCTCTACAAGATCGCCGACAAGGTCCGCAACTACGCCGTCGTTTACCTCTGCGACATCGACCAGGTTCCCGACTTCAACCAGATGTACGAACTCTACGATCCTTGTTCTCTCATGTTCTTCTTCCGCAACAAGCACATGATGATCGATCTGGGTACTGGTGACAACAACAAAATCAAGTGGGTGTTGGAGGATAAGCAGGAGCTTATCGATATCTTCGAGACCGTCTATAGGGGAGCAAAGAAGGGACGTGGTCTCGTCGTGAGCCCGAAGGATTACTCTACCCGACATCGTTACTAGATAACGTTTTGACTGGGAAAACGTATGTCTGGACTGGTTTTGGGCAAGACAGAGGAACCCGCCTGCAACTTAGGGCTATGCATTGATTCCCAGGTGTGCAGGTGAGGAAGTTTGGGACGCTGTGGTTTGAGATGGCTCACCCACCATGGGGCTGCAGTCGAGCAGTCGAGCAAGGCAATATTGCGCTCGGGCCGACACAGTTGCGCAGCTCTACGAAGTACATGAAGCAAAGTTGGTGAGAAATCCTGTGCCTTTACAGTCACTCGCCTGATAAGATCTAATAAGAAATGAATAGCTGGTCCTCCCAAGCTTGGAGGTCCCGTTCACCACACGTCTTGTTCAATCCATCGGATGCGCCAACTGGCACCCTGTAGGACCAAAGAATTCAACGGAATTCCAAGGTGACGTAGAACTGGGTATCATAGCCCCTAACCAATATTCGTGTGCATCGAGAAGGGCGACAATGCTGTAGAGTCCAGCTTCCCCGACTGGCTAGACAGGATAGGTCATTTCCTACCAATGCCCATGCCAAATCGCTGTAGATGCCGCCAGCCAGGTTTAGCACGCGCGTAGGAGAGATTTTGGATCAGGACCGGTCGGATCTATCACACCTTGTGTACCTACGCGAAGGGGCAAGCCCTTTCCCGAATCCACCATCCCATGAAGCGGTGTCGTATCTGAATTAATCCATGCCGTTGAGACGAAAGGCGGCCCAGGTGGTAGCCTCCGGACTTCAGTCCTGAAGACCGTCACTTTCAAGTACAAGGAATCGATGTCTAGTGATGAGTTTGCAGTAGTCGCCCGCTCGATAGCTCTATTTGTCACCCTGCTTTTCTTAATTCGTGTGGAGAGACGTTTGTCGCAAAATAGTTTGAACATGTTGTTGCCGTTAATGGGAGTCATTTCCGACAATTTTAATGATTAACGGGGAAAACCAAAACCGCTGCAAAAACTCCTTCCCAAGAGACTAACTAGCTTCATGGTGATGATGATGTCCCAAAAGTCCGCCAAGGCTTCTTATCCGGGCCGTCACTCGATCCATAAGAGGCCATTGGCAAAGTCATGATTGCAGCCGACCCACCCTACACTTGTCGGCCATCCCCCTACGCAGCCCCGTCATGCGGGATGTACATTGGGAATATCCAGCCTAACGAGGTCTTGCACTCACCGACCTGTCATGGCCCACTCGTATTCTCCCTTGACTGCTCCCCAAATGTCATGGGTGAGAGTCTGGGGCTCGAACAGCAAGTTCCATTTTCATGAAGGCATCAGACTCCGCTTGTTGGCGTGCTGGCTTGTTCAACAACTCTTGGTTTCTGAGCTTGATGGACATCTTTGGAACTCATCAAAGATTCGACTTTCTCTCGGTTGCTGTCAGGTACCGGAATGCGAGGGATACATCCAGGCCTCCCTGAACGCCGGATTGAGCAAGACTACATCCCATATCTGCAGCTATGCTGACGGAAGCCCTGATGACAGCTACAAGTAGCTAGGACAGCCGCCGGTTAGCAAGATCGGAGATCAAGAAAGTCACAACCCCCTCACCACCTTACAGTTGCTATCTAGTAGCTGGTCTGCCCTCTTCACTCCCGTTGCGTGTCAAAGCCCTGACAGTTGCGAAGCGGACAGGAGCGTCACTCAGTGGCAGCTGAAGCAACAAGGCGAGTCGGGGCTAACGCTTTGCATGATCCAGTAGCTCTTGGAACCTTGGTATTCCCAGAGAGAGTCGTGGAAGAGCCCATGGTTTTGCTTTTGCAAAGACTGGAACTCCCTGGAAGCGGGTTTCGCCTCTCGGCTAGGGCATTGTTGATTCGGGCGGTCGTAAGGGGGGCATTGGTGATAATCTCGTGGGAAGGGTTTCGGAGAGAGGATATCGAGGGTTTGAGAGGTTGGAGGGGCTCGGGGTTCGGGGTTCGAGGGTTCGACAGGTTCGAAGAGTTTGGTATTCGAGAGGTTCGAGGAGTTCGGGGTTCGAGGAGAGGAGTTCGACGGGTTCGGGGTTCGATAGGTTCGAGAGGCTCGAGGAGTTCGGGGAGTTCGGGGGTCTTTAGAACGTATACGTATGTGTTTTCTAAAAGAACTGAGGTTAGAACCTGAAGTGGACTGGTAGGAGGGCGGCCTAAGTCTGCTATAAATACCGTCAATACCCATGACTGAGACTGTGGTCTTGCGATCTTTGGCGCTCTAACATCAACCACGTTCCCGTGGAGAACATCTTTGGCCGTCAGTCGCCGGCACTTGGAAGTTTCCTATAGATGATAACCTCGGCCAGATCATCAAGTGATGGTTTCCCATTGCGGGAGGGAAGCCAGTGGTAGTTGGCCGCCTCCTGCCTCCCTGAAAGATCGGATTTGCCGCGGGTCCAATGGCTCGAGCAGTCTCAGGTGTCGGGGACTTTATGCTGGCAATCCTAGATCATAGCCCTTCCCGTCAGTGCTAAGCAGCTTTCGGTGGTTCATATTGGGAAGATAAGATGTGTGACTTGTCACTGTCAGTTGCAAACATCGTCAAAGATCAGGAGTCGACGATCAGCAGCTTACCTTCTGTCGCCACTGGCTTCCCAAATGTGTGGAGGGAGTTTCTAACCGCCCGGTAACGGTGAAGCCAAGTGGTTTTATTCTGCCTCATACGAACTCGTGTCAGCGATCTGTTCCATCTAGAGGCATTTCGACGAGTCTCTCCATGGGGGGTAGTGACATCAGAAATCTCTCCCCTTCCAGTTGGTAGATCGGCAATGGGCTTCGGTCTTCACCCCCCCGCCTCAAGTATAGTTTATCGATCTGTTGGCTGCTCGTAGTGGTACCTTTCGTTTCGGGATTCGTGGAGTTGTTCAAGATGCCGCTGGGTGAGTTTAATGCGATGGAAGTGGAAGGTGTCTGAACTTACTAGAGATGTTGATTTAGCCAGAATCAACCCTTCAACAGCTACCGAATGCTTCGACGCTTCGACGCACCATACGCTTGTGATTTGAGTTGGGTTGAATGATGTGATTCTCGTCTGCTCCCCATGCTGGCAAGCTTGATCCTTGGATGACCAGCAAGAAGGTCCTGGCTGCTTTGCTGTGGTCCAACAGAACGGTCTCGAGTGCTCCTATCTCTACCGTTGAGCAGCTTGGCTGCTCTAAGGCATTCTGGGAACACTGGTGCTATCTCTAGGCACGAGTCAGAGTTAGCGACTGCGTACTGGATGTGTTTGGTATCAAGGAAATACCTCTGGCCCCTTCCAAATCCAAGCGGACGTTCACGGTCGAGTCTCGATGGTCGGGGCCCTTAGCTCGGTGTCTGCTTAGCCTAAGATGAGTCTGGTACACGTAATTAGTTGTCTAGCTTCACTTGGGAGATCTCTCCCTGGAGAATCTGGCTGGTCTCGGATTCTACGAGGTCTAGCTGACTTCCTTGTCGGCATCACCGACCAGTCACGACTGGGATGACCATCCTGGCCCGCATTACTCCTCGAGGTGTAGAAGCGTTCGAATACCAGCCTCAAAGGCTAGCTATTCACGGTAGTCCTGTGGTGGGACGATACCAACAGCTCTGTCGCGTCGTGGTGGTCGGGTAAAGACAGAGAGGGGGGCGGGGGTCTTGATGGGGCAACTGGTCGAGTATCGACGATGATAGGGCTTCGAGATACATGTCGATAGGTATGTATTGAAAGTAAACGGTGTTTCTTAGACTGATTCGCTGGAGGTGATCCGAGGAGGGGATTGTCGGTGATTCTCTGGTTGGGGACTGCACAGGGGAGATTTAGAGGTTAGCTGGACTGCGCACTCATTGCCTCTATCCAGATTGTAGGGCTCACCTTTGGAATCCGCATGCACTTGTATTGCTTTGATGAGCTCAGGATGCTCTGGTGCAATTATTCTGGAAGAGTTGTGTAGCTGTTCAGGATGCAGACCGCGTGGGCCACTGCACCTGGAAAAAAGAAGCGCCAACACCAAGGACTGGATCTGACCTCGTTCCCCTTCCACCACTGCATTGCATTGCTAAGATTTTAGGCTATGAAAGGAGATTCAAGCCATTTGCCATCCCACCATTACGAGCACTGATGTCTACGCACCAACCAGAAGTGTAAAAGCCCCTACCCCCCTTTCCTTTGTCTTCGCATTGTCGAGCCAGAACACGAACCAAAGCCAGAGGTTTACAAGCCCAAGCGGTGGCAGAATCAAAGCGAGTGATGGTGTGTTCTTGTGCTGTCTGGTGGACAACGATTTCAGGTCCGGCTTTGGGGGGTGGCCTTGGCCAAGACCAAAGGGCCCAGGGCGCGGAAGAGCAGCACGGCTGTGCATGCGAACACAACGATGTCTACAAATCCCGAAGCATGCTAAAATGAAAAGAAATTCTACAGTAGTGATCATTGATGATGCATTCTCATTCTGCAGACATGTCGACACGCGTCAAGAGGGAAGACGGGGCTTAAGAGACCAAGGAGTTCGATTTCAGCACAAACGCATTTCATTTCGCCATCTCGACCGAGCCTTTATCACCCGCCGTAGGAACAGAACGTCTTCGGGTGGTCACAGAAGGGAGTGTTGAGTTTGTAGACCTACAGCTAACAATCACAATGCTGGCCATGGAGTTGGGATGCCACTACGAGGGGGATATGGGATGTTTTGAATGATGGTAGAGGTGATGAACTGAAACCAAGGATCACGATCGTACTCACGAAGGTTTTTTCGACTCACTAAGGTACCTAGATCAGCACGTAGTGCTCGTAGGGTGGAGTGGAGCAAGATGGTCAGCGAGGAGGGAGGGGAGAGGCCTAAGGCTTAAGTAGAGACGCGGCTGGTCCAGGGCTCAGGGGCTCGGACACAGAGCAAAGCCACCCAACCCATTGTCAATCCTATTCAAGCACAAGGGATGCACTAGAACTATTCGGGCCTTTGCCCTGAGCGTGTGCCTTCATAGGTGAGGAGGCTGGTCAGGTGTTTGTACCCAGAGCCGCCTCCTTATTGGAACACGCCTCGTTTCTGGTTGTCCTGCCACCTCGCCCGAATAACAGCAGCCCGAGTTGATGCCTCCTGTGTGTACCCACCTACAACAGCTGTTTACAGCTCTCTGTTGTTTGGGCCCCTCGAATTTCTCTCACCTTTTACACGGGCGAGCACCTTTCTCGTCACCTTTCTCATCACCTTTCTCGTCACCTTTCTCGTCACAACACACTTCGAAAACATCACCGCCTTGGATCTATCTAGGCTGGCATCAACTTCATCCGAGCCGTCTCTCTCGAGACTTCTATCTCTTCAGAGCCCCTCAGATCCTCAACTCGTCATTGAACCATCTCGACTTGGTGTTATAGCCCTTCCCCTTCTCGACGTCTGCCCGACGTTTTCATTTCTCAACACTCGGCCTCGATCTGACCCCAAAACACTTTCCAGCATACGTCCTCGCGCACACCGTCTTTCATCCTTTTACCCCTTTCACTCGAGAACATCAGCGTCTTCATCCTCTTTCAATCTCAGCAAGTGGTCGTTGCTACCATGGAAATCGACGACGAGGCCGAAATCATGCTCAAATCTGTAATTCAGCCGTGTTTCGAGGCTGTTACGCTCGTCGATACCTGGGACGTCGACACCCCGGACTCAAGCCTACCTGTCCACGAGACGTTTCCATTTTTCTCGAAATTCCCCAACGAGATAAAATGTATGGTCCTCGAACAGATGCCGAGAGTTGATTTACTCAACATTCGTTACACTTGCAAGATGTTGAGTGAACTTGCATTGGACGCACTGGTTACGCGGGACTCAACGAGGAGAGCCCCACAGTTCCTGTGGTGGGCTGCCCTCTTCGCTACCGATCAAGAAGGCGTCAAGATGATCAAACGTTTCAACACACGCAAGGTCAAGGCGGCCAGTGTCAATACAATTTATTGTACCAAGGATCGTTACTGCACCGCCCTTCACCTTGCGGCTGCCAGAAACGCCCTCCCCATCGTCGAAGCCCTACTCGAGATTGGGGCTGATGTGCATGGCACATCACGCAACCTGGAGTCCATCCTGATGGAAGCGCTTGGGCCTCGGTTTGAGATTTCTGGACATCTCAGATCCATGATCCAAGACAAAGCCAGTCTAGACTGCATTTTGCAGAGTTCGTGGCAGCCACTCTTTGTCCCGGCCGTGCTTGGTTCCTATGGCGTCCAGAAAATCTTGCTGGACAAGGGAGCCTCTGGTTGCTTGACGTCGCCTGTCAATAAAAGTAACTTGCCCGTTATCGGGAGCTCTCTTTTGAGGCCCAAGCCTGGCTCGATGTTACTTACGCTACTCCATTTGCCGAGCATACTGGTGGTGATGAGCGTCATTTCCCTCGAAGTCAGTCACCGTCTACACCTGGCCAATTTCCAATGCCCCGGCTCTGGGTTTACGCCTCTTCATCTGGCTGTCCTGAACGGGAACCATCGCGCGATCGGATTTATGGTCGAGCAAGGATGTGCCGTTAACGCTGTTGACCGTTCGGGCGGATCCCCGTTGTTTCGAGCCGCTGAGATGGCCGCAGCCCACCCTCGTGGGGACTTCCGCAAAAAGGCCTTCGAAGCCCTTGAGGGCTTGGTCACCTGCAACGCCGACCTCAACCAACATCACGCAGGAGTCCAGGGTGAGACTGTGTTGATCAGGTTGGCTTTTCTGGTTCGCCACCACTGGAGACGACGCCACGCTGATATCAAACGAGTCATCGAGTATTTGATCCGGTCTGGAGCCAGTGTCAACGATCGAGACAATTTCGGTTCCACCATGTTGAGCGTCTTCTGCAAAGCGGTCAAGGCATCGAAAGGGAACCGAAGTATTGAGGCCTACTTCTTTCGACTGGTCAATGTCTTCGGCGCCGACCCCAACTTACACTCCATGCCGCCCGCCGGGAACGTAACCCGGAGCCTGGTCGGAATGTCCATTGAGCTTGACAGCATCCACCGATTCACCACTGCCCTCGACCAAGCCGGAATGAGACTTCTATCTCATGAAGTCGATCATGTTTTCGATCTCTACGTACGTGTCGCGCACTAGAACTCGCGGTACGATATCGTGGGGCACCACGGAAACAGCCTCAGTCAACAACAGGTCGATCGAGCCTTTTCCACTCTTCTGACCACCGACAAAAGAGACGGCGAAGAAAGGTTTACCACCCTCAGAAACAGGTTTTCCGCCACCGGAGGGTTCGAGTTTATCTTGTGGTCGCTCATTCCCTCTCGTTCGTGGACAGTTACCAAGCTTATCAAGGCCATTGTGGCAGAGGATGTTTTCAATCCCGACTACGTCAACTCCCAGAAAGGGTTCCTCCATTTGCTGGTGGAAAAAGTGGAAAATATCAATTCCAGCGAGCGCAGCGAGCGCTTAGCCATCAAGTATATTGATTTTTTCTTGCAAGCTGGCTCATCGTTGTTGTTGAAGGATGGCAATGGCCGCACACCACTCGATCTCTTGAGAACCTTCTCAACAAAGCGTCCAAGGTTGGAGCGTTTCCTCGAGAAGGAGATGGCTCGCATTCAGGGATAGGTGTTGAGAGTTGAGAGCAGGCGGCTCGCATGTCGCGGGCAAGACTCCGCAACTGATCGCGGAGGTGGTACGCATGTACGAAAGGCCTGCAACGAGCAGGCAAACACGGATTGAGTCGCTTTGGAACTGGTATTTCAGCCTTGAGGGGAACGTGGAGGTGGTACGCATGGACAGATGGCTTGCGACGAGCAGGCAGAGAGAGGTTGAGTCAATTTGGAGTCAGGATTTCAGCCTTGAGGGCAACATGGAGGTGGTACGCAGATGCAAAAGGCCCTGCAACGAGCAGGCGAACACGGGTTGAGTCGGATTGGAACCGGAACTTCAGCATCGACGGCAACAGGTTCATACGCACTGAAGATTTGCAACGACGCACGAGGGATGGGCGGATAGTGTGCTTGGAAAGTAGTTGCCAACCCTTGAGGACAGATGGACGCATTCATCGCGACGCTGGAAAGGGCTGGCGGCGAAGATTTGAGGAGAGCTTGGAAAGTAGTTGCCAACCCTTGAGGACAGATGGACGCATTCATCGCGACGCTGGAAAGGGCCGGCGGCGAAAATTTGAGGAGAGTTTGCACACATGTATGGAAAGACGGATACTTGCTACCATCGTCTTGAAGGTTACTACTAGGAAATGATTGCTATCACGACTTGTGCACTTTGAGTGACTTTGGGCTGTCTCTAGGGTTCAAGGAGAGTGAAGTACTGCATTGACATCTCTCGTCTACTAATGAACTGTATGAACGACGTGCTATGTTGGTAATTATCGTGACTTTGGGGCTTGGTGTTGCAGAACACATTTCATACGCAGCAGGGAGTCTTGCAGTCGTGTGCTGCCAGTTGGCACTCGAGAGCGGGGATTTCAGACGACTCTAGTCTACGAAGCAGCGTCTTCTGCCCGGAATCAAACGACGAGGCAAGCTGGGGAGCAATGGGATTTTGGAATCATTCTTGTGCGTTGTGGCCCTCCTCGGTGAACCAATGTGGACCGAAGGCTTTCAGGGCTTGACCCGCCACAGCAAACGGAGGGGAGCTTTTCCCCGTGGGCAATAGGGCGTTTGCATGTGCATGTGCTCCGCTTCAAGGTGAGAAGACGAGGCTGCTTTAGGCTGATGTCCTGTCAGGTGGCGTGGCCGAAAGGGGGTGGTTGGAGCATGGCATCAGCCATTGTTGCCTTATTGTGTCCCGTGCTGGGAGTGGCGAATAGCCTCAACGTATCTAGATGCGGAAATTGGATGGTCTAGTACTGTTCTATTGTCCTCGTGGGCTCTGTTCACTAGTGGCCCCGGTCTCCGTCTTTGTGCTGCTGTGTGGCGCCTCCCCCCTCGTCCTTCTCGATCCCTTCATGTAATGTTCCTTGGAGGGTTACGGTTGAAGTTCTTTGTACCGACCTCACAAAGCACTGTCTTAAATAGTGAAGTAGTAAAAAGTTGTGTCCTGGCGAGGCACGGAAGAGGAAGCAATCTTTGCCGTGCGTGGATCGACGGGTAGGATCCTCCGCGCCAGGATCTGGTTGTCTCGATGACTCCCCAATGAAAAAAAAACACCATTGTACAACACTAGAATGCTCTGTTGCACGGAAATTTTGCGCCTCTCTTGATGCTTCGGTCTATTTCCAGCCTGCTGTGGTGGGTGGTGCTCTGGACGCCAGGTGGTAGTGGCCTGGAGGGGCTTGGGGTGGCAGGCCACCTCCCCAAACCTGCCAACAACACCAACAATCACGACGACATTACCCACACTCCCACGAAAGAACCCCTTCTCAACCAGCTTTCAGTAAGCCCAAAATTGTATCTCATGCCACAGATTCGACGTGACAGGTCTTGCAAGCACTTGGCTGTTGCTAATTAAAATTCCCGCCACAGAGACCCAAGATTAAGTGCTTCTCGATGCTCCCAATGTGCCCTTCTTTTCAGAACGCGACGCGATACGCTCGACAACTTCGAACCGATTACCCGAAGAAACGACAAGTGCGGCCTCTGCTTAATGTGTGAGCTCCCTTTCATTCTATCGCCGAGAATATTCACCTAGGAAGGGGGGGGGGGGGGGGGGGGGTTCGTTTTGCTACTTCCACCAGAGAGCCGCAGATTCCTCCGAGCCTTGGTATACTTGGCAGATCCACATGATGCTCTTCCAAGGGCGCTTTGGGATTATCTGCTGGATTTTCTGATGCCCTGGGCTCCATTTGTCTTTCAGGGGAAAGACAGGTGTTGCCTGGCGAGAGGAAGGACGAAGGGGATCCGACCAGTCTTCGCCAAGAGACGGCGAGAACATGCAGGCTCCCGAAGATGCCAAAGCCCTTAGCTGGCTCTCCATCGTCTGAAGACTGCCCTGATCATCCCTGGCAGAACTGGTATGTCCGTGGACCTCGCGTGAGAGAAAAACACTGCTTTGAACTTCATCGTCCCCTCACTGACCAGAGACACTGCTCTACCCAGCTTAGGTGATTCGACCAAAACATTTGTATCGACTGCTCGATACCAAACATGATCTCTCTCGAGAGACTGACGACCAAGAACTTGAGAATGCGGGCTTGATGGGGAGTGTTGGCTTGTCACATCACCAGAGCATTTCTGCCAGGTACGTTGGCCTGGAAGCATGGGCTCGGCGTCATGAAGAATCTACAACTAAGAGAGTAACAGCAGACTATATTTCAAAGGTTGGCGAGTCCGTTGGCTGAACGATCTACACCAGGTTATGCGTTGTCTGGTTCTACACAGATTGCTAACATATTTCGGGCTCAGGCCCTTGGCAGATCGCGATGACGGCCAGGTACGACGACGAAAACGACAAAATCCCTCCCGATACTATCAAGATCGACAACCCCCTCCGTATAGAAGATTCTATGAAGAAGAAGAGCACGCTCAGCCGGGGAGGAGAAGGAAAGACACCATCAGGCAACTTGCCCACGTTAAATGCTGGCCGCCGCCTCCAGTCCTTGACGCCGCACAAGGGCCAGTTCCCAATCCAAGGAGCTCAGTACGCAGACATCCGAAATCACGAAACGAGGCATCGCTGCGACTGTGAGACCGTGGCTGGTCTTGATGGAGTACGTCTCACTCAAGCCGACAGCAAGCGTTAAAAGGGTGCTGACATCAGAGAGAACGGCATTGCGCGGTGGCTTCTGACCAACGATTCCATCAACGATTCGGCTGGACTTTCGAACCCTTGAGACGAGCTGATGGTCCAACACGTTCCACTCCCAAGAGGCACACGAAGAGTTTCGGTTGAAACTGCAAGCCGATATGATTGTTGTTTTCGGTCAAGATGTGGGAAAGATTGCGTCGCAAGCAGCGTTGGCCCAGATCACGCTTCCACTCGTCCTCCAGTCGTCTTCTTGGGGCATGACATTGTCGACTGAGTGCTAAGATATCTCCCATTTTTTTTTTAATTCTACGGATGTTGTTTCGCAGGCAGCTTGAGACTCCATGACCACCGAAAGACCATTGCAACTAACACTGAGTACAGAGTTGGCAGCTTGCCGACGTTCCTGATCATCCGTAACGATACGAGCTTTTACAACACCTAAGCAAATGCGTCGCCATCCCTACTCAGTGCCCACTCCGCCAAAACCCCAGCACTTTCCTCGAGCTCGTCCCTACATGCCATCAGCCATCGCCAGTGCGCCTCCGTGTCGTCAAATTCACGAATCCACTCCTCACACCATGCGTCCATATCCTCACCGGCCCAGCCAGTGTCGCCCTGTCGCTTCGTCCTTTCCCAAAGATCCTTCCACTGCGTTTGACCAAGCCTAAGCAGCGCTACGTCGGCATAACTAACTATGTCAAAGATGCCCAGGCGAGAGCAGGGCATATGCCTCAGGATGTGCTTTATCTCGCTGTTGTATTCCTGGGGTGCTCCAGCTCGTACGGTGCTCAATTTACCCCAGCCGCTGTTTAGTTGATGGGAGAGCACGGCGAGTTGGATACGGATGAGATGTTGGATCCAGTCGAGAAGCACTTTGTTCAGACATTGGCGGCCATTCTCCCGCGCAAAACAGCGATTACACCTCGATTCGTTCAGAAGCGACTCGGTGATGTCCCTGCTGTCCCAAGTTTGGCTTCCACCTCGGGTACCCGTGGCTGTGACAGGTTTCCAATGCGGATATATCCCGCCGAATCGAAAGTCCCGGATTTCTTTCCAGCAGGCACATCCAGGGCAGCGCACCATATACAAAGTCCAAGGCTGATCGTAGGCATTTTTACGATAAATTCGGAACAATGGTAGTGCGACCGTAGGACGCTTGCTTTCCAACCAGTTTGAGAATCCTGGGAACCATCGATCCAAGTGGTTTGCGAATGCAACTTGTCGGCTGGGAACTATTGGCAATTTAGAGGTACCGCCGTATCCATTGGCCCTCGGCTTCAACTGTCCTCGGAGATATCGACACTCATTGCACCTTCGTAGGCGGCGCTTATTGCCGCAGCGCTCAAGTTCGATAGCCAGTGCGTTTTTGTCGAATATTTGTAGTTTATGGGCTGTTGTGACCTTCTCGAATTCCGCCAGGCTCATCCCCTCAAATTCACTGATTCCACACCTTTTGTAGAGCTCGAGTGTGGTCGCCGAGGTGACACCAACGAAGCCCTGCGAACCTTCGCCGGCCGTGACACAAACGAAGTATCGTTTCCGGAGCGTCTTTTCGCTCAACGAGGCCGCTTGGGTCTCACCATTCCGCAGATGACGTCTCAGTCGGCGTATGTGCCCATCAGGCTCCCAACTAGTAATCGCCATGGAAGCCAAAGAGCCGGGAATTAGCTTCCGATAACCGAGTCGTAGGACAGAATGGTTGTCGAAGTACTGATGGGGAAGGAGGCGGAGACAATCAGTGCATGCCCAGCGTATCGTACTCCATTCTTTTCCATCCCATCCTGGGCTGAGGTGATTGTCTCGCGAGCGAAAAACGGGAGAAGGTCCACCGTACTTGTCCAAACTTTCGAGAGCCAGCAGTCTTTCTACAAAATGTTTCTGCTTCGGTTCGATAAGGCAACGGAAATGGGTGCTGGCTTGGCTGATCGCAATGAGACTGATGGGGTCGAGCAGCCGGACGATGGAGCAGTGGAGTTCTGTCGGCAATTCCTCCAAAGACACCATTTCTGGCAGCTGTCGCAATAAGGTATAAAATAAGGAGTCGTAAGGAACGCAAAAGTGAATTGCTCATTTATGTTCTTTTCTATGTTCTTCAGAGCTGGCACATGGACTACGGCTGCTTACTGCGTCGCGCTACGGTGGGTGAGTCATCCGGAAGAGCAGGGCTAAGCGGATTGCGTACCTGTTCATTTTGGCCTGTGTAGGTACTTCAGTTAAGTTAGACCGAGAATGCTGGATTTCCCTTTGTGGCTGAGTGATGCAGCTGACATTTGCATCGCCCATGATCTCAGAGCTAGATTGCCAACATCATTCCAAGCTGCGAATGGCCCTCTCTACCAAACAAGCAATGATAAACGAGAATGTGAGACGAAATGGAAATTGATTTGGCTATCATAAGCGACAAAATGGATCATTTGCAGTCTTCCAAAAAGTCAATTGAAGATACCCCGTCTGTCTCAACCCAGCGGTTCCAATGCGCCCTGATTGCTGATCTTGACCTCAGGAACCTCCCGAACCATGCTTACCCACTCTCCCAGACTTGATGCATCAACCCAGTTCCCATGAATCTGTGCCTTTACATGCATAGGAAGCTGGACGATGGCAATCGGCGTCTCAAACTCCTTGGTGTCAAGAATAACCAAGTCATTGCGATTGGCGTCACGCCTCTCGATCATGGCGATGACCCATCCATCGCCTTCCGGTGCATCGGCAGAACGAGGAATGAAGATGGGCTCCTGCACGAGGGAGTTATCGCCGGCATAGAACCTGCGCGTTTTCCCAGTCTTGTGATTGTGCATAGCCAGGCCGTTGAGGCCGTGGAAGAGGTTCTTGCCCCCGTTCGACTGAGTGGGAATGAAGACGTTGAGGAATACATACTCGGTTTCCTTTGTCATGAAGCGCTCATCAATGCGTGGGAATTCCGATGGCACGTCCAGGATCATGAGCGGGTCTCGAACCTTGGTGCCAGTTGGTTGAGTCAAGTCAATCTCCCAACGAACAAAGTCGGCCTTTGCATCTGGTGCAGGCATTCTCCCATCATCTGGAGGGAAGAAAGGGAACGCGTTATCATGCACGCGCGAGGACTCAACGTAGAGTTTGGCGTCCTTGCCCTCCCATGCGCCTCCCGTGTGGATCAGCATGCTGTTCTCCCACGAGTAGACCCTGTATTCGCCTTGTTTCCAGCCCGTGGGAAGCGGCGTGGTCTTTCGTCTGGGAACGACGATAAATGTGGCTGGGAGGTTATAATCCCAGGCCCAATGTTGCTTGCCAGCCTTCATCCGTGCCACGTTAGCCTCGAAAGGCCAAAGCAGAAGGACAATCCAGTTGGGCGTGATGACACAGTCATGAATTGGGGCGCACCATGGCGACTCAACCCATTGCTCGTCATGCTTCTTTCCATCTTTGTCGAGGGCGTAGATGACAATGTCCTTGGTTGCGAGGCCTTTGGCTTCGTAGCCAAAAACGACCAACTCGTCCGAGTACGGGTCGTATTTGGGATGAGCCGTAAAGGTCTTGGCCTTGACCTGGTTCTTGAAGGGATCGTGGAAACGTGTTTCGAGTGTATCTGGGTCGACGGCGTAAGGCAGCCCGCCTTCCTTGAGTGCTAGCAGATGGCCGGCCCAGTAGACGAGGTTTGTGTTCGCAGTTGAGTCAACGGCGGCCCTGACGCATGGGTGGTGCGTGAATGGGTTGCGGTAGAGGCCGAAGAGTGCCTTCTGTGCTCGTCTTTCAAGCATGTAACGTTCCGTCTCGACGTACTTCATTTTCATATCCACGCGGCCATTGCGAATTCGAAACGCCGAGATGTTGCCATCGCCATCGAGGGGCACGTTGTTGGGATGGGGAGGAACAAAGGGGTCGCACATCACTCGATAGAAGGTGCCATCAATAGCGGAGGGGATTTCTCCCAAGACCACAAGGTCGGCGACTTCACCTTCGAGTCGGCATGGGGAGTCAGAGCCAGCCAGGTCAAAGGCGACAGGCCACTTCGAAGTGAGGTTGTGGTACTCGGTAGCTGACATGGTCAAAAGAGTTCAAATATCAGTGGTTTTGAGCTCGAAGTCACAGTCTTTGAAGTAGGTAGTCTCGTTCATTCTCTTGAAATATATGGTCCTGCCATTGCCTTTTATCCTCCTCGACTGGCGGGTAAAACCCACATTGGCGATTCCACGGTTCAAGGCTTTTGAGATTCGAGACGCATCGGGATTCACACCGCAACCTCTCTCGTTTGAAATGCTGGGGTCATAATTGGCTGCTTCGACGAACGGCAGTTGAAGGGTCCGTTCATGCCGAACATGTCAAGCTTGGAGTAAACCCACCCGCGGGGCGGACTATTCCCACCTCCTCTGTGGGGTTTTCTTGGGCGCGTATAATTGGACAATCGCACAGATGGATGTAACAAGCAAGAATTAGAGAACTCTCACAGTCGTAATTGCTATCCTGAAGGGGGATAGCCCATCAGGCCTTGCGGGGACCCCGCACCTTGATTCTGACGTCGATTCCGAATTGCCTCTTCGACTCCCGTTTCGGACGACTATCGATATGCGGTCAACATAAGCCTCGTGAAGCCGGAATCGAGCTTGCCTACAACATCTTACAGCGTTATCATGGTAGAAAATCGGAGAGCTTATTCTTGCTCAGTTTGTCCCGCTGCGTTTGTGCGTGGCGCTCACCTTCGCCGCCATGAACGAACTCGTACGTGCAAGACGCAGCCGATTGCGAAGACACGCAAAACTAATATGGAGAGGCTCAGACACAGAGCAACGGCAATTCAAATGCCCATTTTGTCAGAGTGAATTCACAAGATCGTACGTTCCCCCATGCAGTGACTCGCTTTGGTCTTAACCCACACAAGAGAACAATAGGGATTCAGCCCGTCGACATTCCAAGACGTGTGCGAGGAAGAATGGACAGCAAATTCCATCTCCGCTAAAAAGAGGCCGGAAGTTCCAAGCCTGCGATCCTTGTGCCCTTTTGAGGGGTGCATGCGACCGTGGCCAACCGTGTTCCGGCTGTTTGCATCGGGAACGTACTTGCACGTATTCCCGAGTTCCCGGCGAACAGTCCCAGTCGACACCTCAGCAACCAAGCCGGGATGGAATATCTCGCAAAGCTTCCGCTTCTATTTCAAGTTTTGACTCAAACAGTACATTCTTGGACACGAATTCCAGCTGCAGCGTGCGATTGACAGAGCCCAAGATTACAAAGATGTCTTTCCTCCTCCGCTACACTAATCCACGCAACAACACCCTTCAAGAATACTTCAATTCGTCTGCTGCGAGTAGAGAAGGCCTCAACGAATCGACTGGTAGCAATCAAGATCTTGACAGCTTAGAACCAGGCCTTCCCGATTCCGACGTCTACGGCATCCTTGATACCTGGTTTTGGGCTCACTTGGAAGACAGTGGCTCATTTGAGTTTGCCGAGAATGAATCACTCAGTTCTTTCTTGACTTTCAACACTCAATCCAGAACCGCCCGGGAAGGCACCGTCCAAGAAGGAACATCCCGCCAATCACATTACAAGGACTGTCAAGTGGAATTGCGGATGACCGAGATTATATCGGCGCTGAGATCAAACTCCAGCGATGAAAGCTCGGCCGATCATGAAGCGACAGTCTCAAAATCAGCCGAGCTTATATTCGCAGTGGAAAAAGTTGACGAATTCATCCAATCGTACTTTGAGAATTGGCATCGACATTGTCCTATGCTACACCGGCCGTCATTCAATCTTTTGACCGCTTTCACTCCGCTTATAACCGCCGTCATTCTCGTCGGGGCGATATATTCCTCGACTGAAAGCGCAGAGGCAGCGCGGGTTTGTCTCAACGCTGCAGAAAACTATATATTTCGACACGAGGCCTTTCGACGGCTCCTCGATCCACCTTCGCGTACGACATCTATCCTCGGCATTGAGCCACTCCAAGCGGGGTTTATCATTTCCATACCTCAACACTGGGACCATCACCGAGACTCACGACACAGAGTACGACTTCATCGATACGTGGATATCATCTCAGCTAGCCGCCACCTTGGCCTCCCAAAGCTGAGACACGACAATACCAACTTGGATCGCGGTTTTCCGTCAGATGACTCAGATCATAGGGCATTTATTAAAGATGAAGAGGGTATAAGGTTAGTAGAGATATATAAAGGTTTATTTATCTCATTTCTCACGATATATTTGACTCAGGTTGATGACCTGGATCTTTCTCGTAGACTCATCACACACCATTTTCCACCGAACGCCTCCACGATTGACCTTGAGCGAGATGACGGGTAGCCTTCCGTGCGACGAAGGATTGTTTTCAACGCTGAACTTTGAGCCTCAACAAGAAGAACTTTGGGTTCAATCTGTCTCCAAAATTCCCTCTATGGAGCAAGGAGTACGTTTGTTAATGGGGGATGACTGGGGCGACAACTCCGCTTCTAAATTCGGCCAGCTCAACCATCTAGACCTTTTTATTCTGATATCCGGTATGTTGAACTTGTATTGCTTTTTTTCTCTTGTCTCCGATTCGACACCTTGCAACCGCGCAGAAACTAACTTCTGAAGCTCTCCATGAAATCATCTTCAATGCCAGCGTAGCTTGCACCCTTTCAATTAACAAAACACCCTTGGAACGAGCTTTATCACGTTGGAGCCTCCTCTGGGATCTACGCATAGAGCAAACCGCGTCTTCACCCACTAGTTCCATCGGCTTCTTTCAGCATGCGGACGAATATTGGTCGTTAGCCAAGCTGATGCTTGAAGAACAAATGCCGTTGGCCAAGGAGAGTGAAGGGGAATTGGATCAAGATTCTATGGCTGAGGTGAACAGCTTCATCAAGCGGTTTGCTAGTATGAGTGTATAACAAACTGGCATTCGAGTTTGAACGATCTTGCATCATGCCATGCTTCTCTCTAGACATCCTCACTAATGAGTGATATTCCACCACTCCTTGCTACTCTTAGCCTTCCACTTCCAAGCAACTATTTAATTGTAGGCTATTATGGCAAGCTCAGACACTACGCTTCCCAGTAACTTTGACTTTAACTTGTCCGATCGCAGCCGTGCCAAATCTGGGCTGCTTAGGATAGGCAAGAACTCTTTCGCAGTGTACAGTGACATCCTCTTTTGTAGTTTCAAAAAGATCCATGTCAAATGAGGATACAATTCTTGCCAGAGTAGTATACATTTCTGCGTAGGCCATTCTTCCATGGGATTAGCGCCCGTGTATCAACGACTCGTAGAATAAATTGAGAATTAACTTACTGAATGCCAATACACTGCCGACTCCCCTTCGTAAAGCTCACAAGGTACTTCTGCAAGTTTATTCCAGATTCAGTTGCTTTAATCCATCGTTCAGGATCAAAGTTGAAGGGCTCGGGGAAAATGCTCGGATCTGTGTGGACATAATAGGTTGATTGGCTGACCGGTGTCTGACGTCTTGTCAATTACGAAATCATTTGCATCGTGCAATAAATTTATGTACTTACGCCTGCTGGAATGAGGTACTCCCCGTATTGTAAATGTTGTTTTGGCGAGACCCTTGGTAAGGGACCGATAGGCCCGAACGAGAGGCGCAAAGCCTCATTGACCACCCCATTCTATAACGCATGTCAATGGCTTTCTGGAATGAATGAAGGTTAATACTAACCAGATATGGAAGGGGCTCAAGCAGTGACAGCGGGAACCAATTTATCTCATGAGCTGGCAAAGCAATCAATTCTTGCCGAAGCTTTGTCAAACATTCTTTCTGGTCCAGCAGATAGAACATGGCAATGCTGAGAGCTCTGGCTGTAGTTTCTGTACCCGCCAATAAGATAGCAGTCCCCTCATCTACCAGACGGCTTACTGATCTCTCTGCAGGTGGGACATGAGAGTCAATTAGCGTTGACAGCATGACTGAATCAACCTGTTCTCCCTTTTCCTTGTTGGAAGCAATATTAATCTGAGTTTTGATGTCCTGCTGAAGAAGAGTGTACCCTGTTAAGATTAGTAAGAATGTTCGCTAGAACCAGAGTAGTGAGTTCCTCAGAGTTGCAACCACAGTAGGGGAAAAACGGGCCAAATGAACAAACGAGGAGATTGCCGTGACTGCTTCAGTTGCGAATATTCTAAAGTCCGGGATATCCAAAAAGTCAAAATGAGAACCGTACAATTTACGACAGATGATGTCGCCCGTCAACGCCGAAAATGCACGGTCGAGACTGACTGTCTCTCCGGTAGACATGAAACGCTCCAGGCGCTGACACAACTTGTCAACACGCTCATGGATGATCGGCTCAAGAGACACGACGGATCGTTTAGAAAAGTACTGATTCAAATAGCCCCGGCGTGCTCGATGGAGATTGTGATCAATGGTGGCGATGGACGAGGAAGGCATGCTGAATGACCCCACAGTCAACGCGTCTTTGTCCACTATTCGGCTTCCGCCAGCATAGATAGTACTGTAGTACGATAGGTCACGGATATAGATTACGTTCGGACCGATGCGTACGATGGGACCTTTGCAAAGCTAGAGTTAGCGCCAACTGGTGACGGGTTCGTGGGCATTGATAGACAAATTACCATATTTGTTGTGCATCCGGCCAATCTCCCACAGATATTGGCCATCTTGGATGACATCAAACCAGAATTCGTAAAGTCGACTGAAAGCGGCAAGCTTTGGACCAGGAATAGTGCCAAGAGCATGCAAGTACAAATTATAAAGGCCCTGGCCAAAAATGTACACGACAACGAGCGCTAATGCGAAGTACAATACTAACAGGGGTTGGACCCCCGTCACGATAGAGTCGGGCATTGTTCGTGTGATGATTGAGAAAGAAAGTGATGTGTGGCTTGTATTGGTTCGCAATGGATAGACTGATCAAATCCAACCGAGCCTGTGCACTAAGCATAAATAATACTCTCGCCCGTGGTCTGCTGTCTGGAGAATAAACTTACAGCCGTATTACTCCAAACTCGGAAAATAATTTGATGTACCAATGACAATCGTCTTATTGGCTAGAACAGGCAGTGTGACTTGAGCCAACGCATCTGTCCGGCCAGGGTTCTTGCTTTGGATCCCTTTGGCCGTGCTAAGGCAGCTCAGAAGTGCCGAACCAGGATATGAACGAATGAGAGAAGTCGATTGCTATAGCTCGGAATTTCTCGCTAGGTTTCACTGAAAACCCATGAATTCATAGTATAAACCTTCTTCTATCAGTCCCTATACCCAGGGATGATGTGGAGAGGATAGAAGTTGGCCTGCCTTAGTGTAATCAATGGGATTAAGCGATGTCAGTTGGGCAGCAACGTCCAGGCAGGAGCGCGTATCTCGGTTATGTAGCTACCTATGTGCTGGATCGGTTGGAAGTAACGGATTCTCAAAGAAGCTAAGAAATGGCGTCGGATCACCTTGACAGGGGATTCGCCGAACAAGGCTTCTAAACGATAGGGGAGAAAAAGACTCAGCGAACTATTGATACCACTTAAGTCAGCCGATGGTAGAGGTGCTAGCCATTTCCCGTAGTACATATAACTATGTAATACTGTCTAGAGCCTCATCAGTTCATTCACGGCCACGATTAAGACACAACAGTGATGTTCGTTAGGCCGCTTGTACGCGCATTCATGTGACCGCTGGTACTTGCACCCAGAGCCGTGTGGAGTGTGTACGCCCAACGTGCATCTGCATGCAAGTAATAAGTACATCTACGCAGATACGAAGATAATTGCCTCATAAGTATTGTTATCCACTTGCGCTGTCGGTCTGTGATAGACTCGGTCAATCAATCAGTGCTATGTAATTCGGCAGCTATCTAAGGTTCTAGACGAGACGTTACCAGCAAGTTAGCGGCACACAGCCCCGGGTGATGGTATGACGATTTCACGCTAAATGGGATTGCAAACGGGTGTTGCCGTTATATTGCATGTAGCTTGTTGGTCGTAGGGAGGGACGCGTCAACAGCACGACTCCCTATCGCGGAAAAAGGCCGAGTCTTCCATGTAAACCGGGGTCGCAATGGCCTGATCCACGGGACGAAGCTAACTGCCGAGAATCAACGTCATCAAATGGTATCAATTATGTACTCGCGGGGTTTCACCGTAAATTGCAAGCTTGGATGTTGACTAGTTAACGGGTGGTGCCGCATTTTCCAAATTTCGACCATTCTTGCTATTTTCTTGCAAGTACGACTCTGCAAACTTTTAGGTCTGAATATCTTGAACAGTCTCTGACGGAGTCTCTTCCTTGACACAATGGAAAATAAACTTGAGAAAGCCGAGGCGTTGAGAAATCAACGCCGCGGCCAAACCATGAAGCTGCCAGACTTGGCGAGCTGGTTTTCCGAGTGGCCGTCGGATGCGAGCGAGCACCAAGAAGAGCTCCGTCTATTCATCGGTAAGCAAGCTGAGAGGTAAGACGGTTGTTTCCCACCTTGAAGCCGTACATGACGGGCTTGTGGTTAACAATGCTTCAGTGTGATTGACGATGAAAGAAAGATACGTGGCGTCAAAAAGTGTAACTTTGCTTGGTTCACCGCATTGTGAGTTCATACAAAAAGCTCCTGGCCTTCTTCCCCCTACTGAGGTGCTTTCTACTTACGCTTCGGCAGATGTTATCGTGAGACAGGATGGACCGATCTCCAAACTGTAGCACTCTTTGTCCTCTGGATCTTTGTTTGGGACGACGAGATTGACACTGGCGAGTCCGCCTACTCCACGGATCTCAATCTGGCTCAGACCTACAGACAACAATCACTCGACTTCGCTCGCTGGTGTCTCGATCAACAAGAGTCTAGCCTTCCCCCATTCCTTGCCAAGTTCCCCGTTGTATCTCGCATCTACAAAGGATTGCTCCGCTTCTTCTGTCAGGGCACGGCCGACGAGAAACCAACTTGTTCCGTTGCCTCGATGAAACTTTTCCAAGAATGGGCGTTTACGCTTCGCACCCATATGGATGCCAGTAAGTCTCATACATATCCCTGATCAATCATCGTCAATTTCTGGTTCTAACGGATTTTGATAGACCAACTTTCTCGCCTATTCAAAGAAGTCGAACGATACATCACTCAATGCGGCATGGAACAAGAAGAACGCAGTGCTGGCAAGGTCCCTACTCCAGACGAGTATATGGAAATGCGCATGGGCAACTCCGGGGTTTACATTGCTTGTGCCTTTCACGAATACTTTATCAAGTCACACTTGCCCCAATGGTTGATGAACTCAACAGAGATGACCAATCTCTGGCGCTTGACGAATATTCTTCTAGTGCTGTAAGTGTTTGTCTTCGTTTTCTCTTCGTCCACAGTTACTAATCAGAGGCAACCCTACAGTATCAATGGCATACTGTCTCTTAAGAAAGAAATAGTGAGTGACCACAACTTTCACATATTCAGGTCGTGTCTTCAGAAAGCTAATTCCCTGCACGTTACTAGGTGGAGGGCAACATTATTAGTATCATCCCAGTCAAGTTCCACGCCAATGGGAATTCCGGCCTTAATCAAGTCGTCGAGGAGGCTCTGAATGATATCAAACTTGAAATGAAAGCGTTTGACGAGACCGCCAGCAGTCTGAATAAGCTAACGAGCGATGGTCCCTTTAATAAGCAAACAATGCAGTTTGTTAGCTATTGCCGTAGATCGGTTACTGGAACTCTGACTTTTACGATGAGGTCAGATCGTTACAGGGTTAATGAGTACATACGGGAAGATGGATCTATGCACATTGTTCTGTAGATTGTAGGAGATTACTAGGGCTTAGCTTATGGCCTAGGCTAAGACAGAGGCAGTAAATGGGAGGTATGAAGGAACTCTAATAAGGCGAGGCAAAGGAGGAATGGGCCGATCAGGGTAAGGATGGGGAAGGCAGTGGCTCCAGGGTAACCTAATTCACAGAGTTTCCTGTTCGTCAAAATTGTATTGACTTCTAGGCACGGATGATTTTGAACTTGTCGATTGGATTGGCGATAATCTGTCCGTCTCACTCTAGTCGCATTCTAAGTGTCACGACCTTGGGCGTTCAAGTTTTGATAAAGTGCGGTCTCGGAGACAAGCTAGCCCCACGGCTAGGGCCAGGGAAGGGCTGGGAATATGCCCACCGCATTCATAGAGGGATATTCCCTCAGCTTCCTCAATAGAACCGCCGATCCTTAGACTCTGACTTGACGGATGCAGCGGATGCAGCGGCAGTTCAACAAGCTGCAAGTCCTACCCTAGATGAGGTGTGACTGGTGGTCGAAATTGCACCCCTGTCCGCAGCACAAGAAAATTACCCAGGCCAAGGATAAAGCACAAGTAGCTTAGGATTGAAGATGAAAAATGCAAATTAGAACACTCTAGGTCCGTCGCTAGCTTCTAGCTGCATAGAGCCCGGCGTCTAGCTCTGAGACATGATGCGGTCGCTTCTACGTCCCGCAGAGCGCCTTCTACGATCCTCGTCCCACTGAGTGCGACTTTGCCTCCGAACTCTCTCCTCCTCGTCATATTCACTTTGCCTGTACCAGAAAAGCAAGTAGCTTGCCTCATCCTGCTCTATTTGACGGCTGGACTCCGAGATCCACTCTTGGCGGCAACGCTCCTCGTTCCACCGCACGACATAGATGCCGTCCCACCACAGGAAGACAACAAAGGCAAAAAAGGCAAGCTGAGCACCAAGACAGGCGAAGACGACGTGCGAGTAAATGTTGACCGCGTTGAAGCCGTAAGCTTGTTCGGTGCTGAGTGGCACAAACGCCTCTTCGCCCCAGTCCCCAGGAAGAAAGCGGTGCCACATGTAGGCGCTCCAGCAATAACAGTTGTTAAATATACCGCTTGTGGAAAGGAACACCAAGCCTAGACCCAAGATGGAAAAGAAGCCGTCCTTGAGCATCACCAAGACGTACAGGGCGCGGTCACTCATCCCGAATGGATTTCTGCTGTGTAGAACAGTGGTGCACGCCACGCTGACCAGCCAGCTCACCGTCACACCCAAGACCCATGTGTGTCTGCAGCTCCAGCCCTGGGCACGGCATACCACATGATTATGAATGCACCCACTGCACTGACGGCCACGGGGAAGGTCGCGAGCAGAAAAAGAAGCCAGTTTGATCTGTAGTCTGCGTGGGTTGTTATCGAAACTGACCGGTACCCGATTTTCCACGGCCGGTACGTGTAGATGGCGCCTAGTGGTTGTAGCCAGGAGAAATAAGCATTCCAAGAGGTATCGGGAAGAAGCTGAACCACGTCGTAGTCGTCTGCGATGATTTCGGCTTGACGCTCGGTTTGCCGTTGTACAAGGCGATCCCCTTGCCCTGTGGCACGCGGCTCTCCCGGTGTCCGGCTCCCGGTGGCATCCCATGACGGAGGCTGAAATTGCGGCCTGGCCGACATGGACGGGCCGAGTAGAGGCGCCTTGCTGCTATCGCCGTGCAGTGGCGAAAGTGTCAAGAGCGGCGTGCCGGTGTCAGTACTACCAGATGCGCGGTAATAATCGTCTCCTGGGTCGATCTCCGACGATGCACGGTGGCCGCGGGGTGACTGACGGACGTGACCCGGTAGCGGTCGGGAATCGGATCTAGGTCGCGCCATTGACGGTGGAGAAAGAGGGTCTATTTCCGGAGAAGAGCGAGGGATTGCTGCACTGAACTCGCCTCTGAGCCAGGAAGATGGCGTGCTGGCACGAGCACTTGGACTGTCCGTCAGTGGGTGCAGATGCTCGCGAGACGTCGTTCGCGCATGAGCTGGCTTCATAGGTGGTGAGAGAGGGAGAAGTCGAGGACTCGTCTCTACTGAGGTGCTGGGCCCCAGGACTGGGCTGGGGAGAGTGAATATAGGTTGCTGGCCCGTCTCGCCCTCTCTCTGATCTTCTGACGTCCGCTGTCCCTGTTCTTGTTGCTGTCGTTGTTCCTCTTCGTCCCTCACCACATCCTCACGCCGTATAGCCTCAACCACCCTCTTGACGAAACCTCGCATAATTGTCAGGCACGTACGACGGCTGGTGAAGGTGCCGACGGTGTTGCTCAGCAGGGCCAGAGGCACCAGCCACATGAGAAAGACTGCGCTGCCTATGCGACCGCCCGGCTTGCTGGTGTTACCGCCGCCGACATCGTCGTAGAGGGCCGCCACGACACCGAAGACGTAGACAAAGATGGCTAACAGCGTGCGAAGGAACTCGTTGGTGCGCGCGTCGGCCAGCTCGCGGGCGCATTGTCGCCACTCATGCCATGCGCCGGGAGATTGCTCTGCGATTTGTCCAATGCGACCAAGTCGCTTGAGCTGCATCTTGTAGTGTATCTCCGACCCGATCATCGCTCCGCTGATCTCCTCGAAACCTGCCAGCACTGTGGCAATGATCCGGGCGCGGTCATGCGGCGAGTGGTATTGCAGCGAGTCGTCATGTGGCGAGTCGTAGCCAGCGCCGATGCGCAGCCGCCGTAACCATCTGTAGACATGCGGTAGCCACAAGGAGCTTGCCGTCTGATTGTCTGGAGGCAAGCACGCGCTCAAGCCGATGGCGTACAGACGGCGCCAAACGTACATCTTGTGAAGGACGCTCCAGAAGCTGTCGATGGGGTCACCGACGGCGTGCACCACTGTCATGAACCGGCGCTTGTCAATGGGGCTCAACTCGATGTTACTCAACAGGATCACGACGGGGATGATCCATGTTGTTAGACGCGGGACTGCATCCCAATAGAAGGAGTGGCTGCCGCAGAACTCATCGCAGCCCCGTCTCGTCACCACCATGTTGTCCTCTGTGTTGGCAAGCGTGCCGTTGGGGAGACGCTGGAAGTATTCCTCTGTATCATATAGTCTCGAGAAGTTTGGGTCCACGCGCTGTCGCGTTGTGATCTTGGCCACGCATGTTGGCCGGTCCCATTTGTCTAGATGCAGATCGTCGCAAGCTATTTTCGTGGAGCAGTCGATGCCGGGGACAGGGCTCACGCCAGAGTCAACGCCGATCGCTACACCGGAAAGAAGCAAGCCAAATATGATGAACCTAAGGGTGGGCCTTGGGGAAAACTGTCTACACAGCGCAAATATTTGCCTGGCCATCGTTGGATGTGGAAGCAGACCTCGGGAGTGCACTGGACGTGAACTAATGTCGATTTTCTCAGACATTCTTACGGTAGCTACGACATTTGGATGGCGGCGTCTGCTTATATGCGAAGAGAGGGGTAACACAAGGCATCCGGAGCGTCTTCCTCTTCTCCTCGAGAGCTGGCCCGGTATTGGACACCGCATTGGTATTCCAAGCTGGGCTGACTTCCGAGGCTCCGAATGCGCGTGTGTGTGCCTTATCAAAGATGCTTATTGGAGCTCGTATCAATCACCACGCGATAGTTTAAAAAGGCTTGCAGATGAGCTGAATCAAACCCTGATGTGATAACTACAGATTGAGTCATGTCCGCGGGTAGAGACATGAGCGTCCTTATGGAGACTTATGGAGACGTATAAGAAGCCGCACGTGCTCGAGAGCACGCTTCCAAGAGGGCAGAAATACTCAAGCCAATTCAGCCGTGTCAGCTTTCCATGCCACGCACCTGCATCTCGTTTAGGCCAAGTGACAATGCAGCGCCTCAATCACAGGAGAGGGATTAGCGCCCTCAGTTTCTCAAACTTCCTGGCCGCTTTCAGGAGAAGCAAGGTGGACACAAATATTCACACAAAGTTGGTCTTTCGACTGAGAGCCTCCTTACCAAACACCATGAAGAGAGGGTGCTGTCAATACAACTTCGATGGTATCGTACAACAAAACACATGGCCATTTTTACCGTCTAGAATCGGCAAAATAGCGTTGCAGGGGCCGCACCAGGTCACATAGCAATCGGCCAGCACCACCTTGAACATGGTGTTCTTGAGGACCTTGAACTCTTATGGCCAGTAATCACAATTATAACCAACCTTCTCCTAGGTTCGGAGACTCATGGTTTGACATCTTGGAAAGCCAAATTTTCGGCGGTCCCCAATAGTCTTGGCATGTGGTTTCGTCATGAGATGGCCGCGGCGAGAGCAGTAGAAGAGACAGACTGAAGGAAGGAACCTAAGCAACGATGACATTGTAATAGTAAGGCGGCAAAGCTCAATCTTAAATGTAATATTAACGGCTTCTTATAAGAAGGCTCCGTTTCTGATGTGCGTGCCGTTGTGCTTCTTGAGACCACAGCTAGTGCGAAAGCTGGGGCTGGGGTCGGTCGGGCGTCATTGCCGAAGGGTGAATCTCAACTCCAAGCGATGTCGATCTCAGGTGCAGTTGGGACTTTGGCGTATCCCTGGAGCGGAGCTTTTGTGATATATTAGATGTTACCTAGATCATACGCAATTACTAAAAGTAGATTAGGCTGGAGGGAAGTCGCCTGTCTTGGAGTTCGTAACTCTGAGCGAAGTCCCACATATACCCGTTTCAGGTAACCCGACTCTAAACATACGACCTCGTATTGGAACTGTTTCTCAGCTGAGAAGGATCAACAGCAAAACATATCCGTGCGCTGTTAATGATGCCGTGAAATACTATATATAGTACTACATGAGCGCGGATCTGCGTGTTTCAGGTCCTGTTAGCGTAGTTGGACCGGTAATGTTGTATCCCCTATACCCACAATGACGGGGATATTTCACCAAACAATTAATGGACCATCATTACTAAGCCTAAACGTAGAGGTTATAAAGACACCCAGACATCTCCTTCAAGGCATCCTCTATTATCGACATCACACTCCTCAAGATCACACCGGCATCTAACCAACCATCACGCCTAACTTCGGGAGTACACACAAACCTACCTCAAACCCACACGATGAAGGCTTTCTTTCTTTTGACTATTCTGGCTGGAGTTGCTCTGGCTCACCCTACGAGAGACACAGTACACATTGAAGGAGGATGTTGGGTTGATGAGGACGGCAAGTCACACTGCGACAACACTCCCGTAAGTCACCTTGTTTTTGGCGAGAACCCCATAACTGCTCTATGGTAATCTAACTGGCAACGGTAGGTATGCACGGAAAACAACGGTACGATGGTATGCATCGCGAAATAATAGCGGAAGGGTCTGGAGCATCGGTTGAGACCGATCTACGAAACCACACCTTGCCTTCTACTTGCTTAGTCAAGCTTACGAACGTGTTGGAAAATTGAGAGACCTGATCGAGTATCATTCGGCCATATGAGTAAGATCCATGGGAGAGTAATATATACTCAGATAAAATAATCACACAAGGCTTCTGAGTGTTCACAAGATTTCCGCTGCACGTCTGATCAACACCAGTACCGCCAGGGGTGCGAGACGTGGGAAAAGCTCGGGTCTCTATCTCTGAGACATAAAGCTTATGAATGACACAAGCCCACTTCGTGTGTGGAATTTAGCCTTTTCTATTCTCTTTCTCATGAAAGGAGTTCGATTAGCCAGCGTAGACATTCCATCTCTTTCGTTTCACTTGCGAGTAAGACCTCAAGATGCACAAGGTGCCTTTCTCTATCATTAGTCTGGATTCTGGCCAGCATAGCTTTGTTCAATTTAGTTTCCTAACTGCTATGGATGATTGCAGTGGAATCGGCGCCTATGTCAAAGCAGGCTCATTTAGTAAACGAACGTACTCCTCCTTCCATCCGTGGCTTCTTCTCTTGATCTTGATAGGAAATTCTCGTTGGAAAGCAAACCACTGGGTCTTGGTGTTCCAAGGCCTCTCTGGACGCACAGGTTCGGCATCAAAATGCCTGAAAAACTGGGCGATGTACTTGTACATTTCCACTGTGGCAAGATGTCTTCCCACGCAACTTCTACTCCCCATACCAAACTGCTTTGTTATTAGTACAATCCGAGTGAAAATGAGAGTGTGTTTGACTCACGGTTGTCAGGAGGGAAGTCTGTCGCTTTATTCTTTCCACGTCTTCAGGCCCCTGCGCAATCCACCGCTCCGGGCGGAATGCATCAGCATCAGAACCGAAGATATCTTCACATCTATTCATGCTTCGTGGGCTGATGCCGCAAACGGAACCAGGAGGCACGTAATAGGGTCCAATCTGGACCCCTTCTGCGGGGGCGTATCGAGGAAGCTGGTACTGTATGGAAGGATGCAGCCGAGTACTCTCGCAAACAACCGCAGACAGGTACGGTAAATTCTCTGCTTCCTTGAATGTGATTTCGCGATGTTGCTTGTCCAGATCCATGTCTTGGTACGCCTGGTCGATTTCTTGTTGCAGCTTCTGTTTGGCTTCCGGGTTGGTGATAAGGCTCCCAAGAATCGCGAGGATCCCGATTGTTGTTGTATCAGCTCCTGCTCCAAGGATGTTCACGCCCTCGATCATGACGTCTCCTTTTTTAACAGGCAGCCCCTGCGGGTCTTTGGCCTCGATGTAGTGTTGGAGCATGTCTCTGCGTTGGTCATGTTGCAGGCCATGCTTCATTCTCTCTTCCACTCTCTCTTCGAGCCAGTCCAGAAAAATGTCGAATGCGTTCAATCGCTCACCGCCGAGGGTTTTGACAAACCACTTTGTGACGGGATTATTGATCCAGAACATTTGAAAAGGCACATTTCCCATGTTTGCCATGAGGTAAAAACCGTCGTGGATCGACCGAATGATTCCATCGACATCTTTTCCCTGTTCCAAAAACCCAATTGTACCCCCCATCGCTAACTTTCCAACGACATCGAAAGTGAAGTAGTTTGCCCATTTGTCCATGTGGACGATTTCTCCTCGATCCGAAAATTCCCCAAGCTTCCTGATATTTAGGTCTAGGACGTCCTGCACCAGGGGTTCCATGGAAAGAATTGAAGTCATGGAATAGGCCCCGGAGACGCGCGAGCGGAGATGGCGGTGGACCTTGATATCGGTGGCTGCGAAGAAGCTCACAGTCATATTGGGAACGATCCAAGAATCGTACCATTTTGTCTAATGCCGCATTAGCCAATTGCCTGACGAAACTCGGTTCTGGAAGCTTGGCGCATTTACCTTCAAGACCTGCTTGCCGTGGCCGTATAGGTTCTTTAGTCCGTGTTCATCCACGAAGCTAACTTCACCTGGAGCAATACGGACGACCTTACCATATTTGCGATGAAGCTCCAGAGTGTCGTCATGCCAAGTTCCCCGAAAATATTTGTGGTTTCGCCAGGTGTGACTGAACTTGGCCAAGAACGGGCCTGGAATGCGGCGGAGTGGATGGAAAAAGGTGTTATACAAGATGTCAAGAAAAAATAAACCGGTTACTATCAAGGCCACATTCTTGGCTGTGAGAATGCTGACAATTATGTGCAGCGTCGATGGTCTCTGGGCCTCGTTGATAGGAGCATGGAAGGCTACCGGCCACCACTCGGAGAAAGTATTGTTGGAAAGCATTTTGTGTTCTGAATCAAATACCTGAGGGTTCTGCATTAAACAAAAGCCGAACACTTGGGCCCAGCATGGCCATATATCTAGTCCAGCCCCATCTCAGCAGACCGCAAGAAAGACAAGACTGACGTAGGAAGGCGACCATTCTCCGGCGTTGACTGCATCACGCTCTGCATGCCTGCACTGTGAAAGTGTCGTAGAACAAGTCCACAAAGTTCCCATTCTAAGAATCGGGGCTGAGGGGAGTGAGTAGGAGGCGGGGAATATCCCGAAAGGCGTAGTAGGAGGAGGAGGTCGGGGGTGGGGAATTTCCCGATGTACCCCGTGGGGAAGACGGCGTAATTTACTACATCTAATTGGCCTCCCCAGAATGCAATGAGATACTAAAATAGTCAGAAGGATTCATCGGTGGGAAGAGGAAAGAATAAAGACGGTGCCAGAGAAAGCTATTATGAGGCCCCGTGTGTCTCAAACTATTAAGGGGATGAAACAACTCCGGTGACATTAGCCGGGTTTGACGCGGTACCGCCGGATGTCCGTTTATTGGTAGCATTGCTAGAGCTCGCGGACGAGCTGTCATTGATGCCGAGATGAGTGATTCGAATTGCCGCCTCAATGAATCCCTCGGGACCACTGCGACCCCGCCTTCGCCACTAGTTTATGGCAGCTTGCTCGCGTCCTCGGGACGATCTGTCTAGGAAGCATCTCTTCCCCGCAAATAGCTCCCTGACTTCGATTGCTACGGAGGGTTCTGTATACCAATCCTCAATCTTTGCCCCTGCACCACTGGCCGCTGTATCTGCGACGACCTTCTCATTACTTTGCCATCTTCTGTCGTCCGCTGTTGAAAGAACGCCGCGTTACGAGATGGACCCTGCTAGCTCGCCGGTAGCGTTCCGATGCACCATCTGTTCAAGCCATTTCAATAGACATGAGCATCTTCAACGGCACACAGCCACCCGTACGCAAACCCTGCCCTTAGCCTCTCGCATTGGAGACACTACGAATCTTCATGTCACTAACTGATGTCTTTCCAAAGACAACGGTAACCGCCCGTTCAGTTGTACATTTTGCGCTGTGAGATTTACGCGTAGGTCAGTTCCCATCGTCATGCAGTGAGGAGACGTCTGGACCTCCCGGATTTTTGCGTTTCACCACTCTGCCCACGGTGGACTAATCTGCAAGTAGAGATACCTTGATACGGCACTGGAAGACCTGCGAAGCTCGCCTAACCGCTGGAAATGCGATCCCGAAATTATCTCCACGAAAGCGAGGAAGAAAGCAAAATGCTTGTGATCGATGCGCCCAGATGAAAATGAGATGCAGCCAAACATTGCCATGCAAAAAGTGCATGGACCGGCACCAGGAATGCACTTACAATCGATTCCTGGATCATGTGGATGACCAGGCAATAATCACATCTCGCGAAGACCCAGAACACCACCAACAAGAGAGTCCGCCGGCCACAGAATCTGATCCCGACTTGGATACTCAACAAACTACCTCCGAGGCAGACCCATTGCCTTACTTCACCCCTATTTCCGAGTCGGACACGTCAATAGGTGTCCTGCAAGAAGCTCCAACATTTTTCCCTCTTGACCAACCTCTGGGTCCCTTGTCGATGCAAACCGAATCAACGGATTTCCAGTTGTTAACATGGGTGCCTGAAGGGCTGTGGAACGTCTACGATATGATAACTCATCCCGCCTGTCTTCCCTCACCGTCACCGATGAGCCCCCTGAAGCTTTCCTTCTTGGCTAAATTTACGTCAACTAGAGGCATGGCAAACTCGTTTGACTGTGGTAACTCCACAGAGCGCAAACAACTCATGTTAGCCCTCGCTCCAGCGGCACCAAATGATTTGTTAACGCCGGAGATCAACGATGATCTGGTGTTGCGTAGTTCGCAGCTTCAATGTGATTTCACATTAGAGCAGGACTTGCACCCTACCGATTTTGAGCATACTGCCACCTCAACAAACTGGGTTGAATGGGTGAAGGATTATTCATCAAGAGATTCAGTCCAAGAGTCTGCCCTCTCCCAAGGCACTGGTGGATTGCGCGAAGACTCTATTCATCCACTCGAGCTGAAGATGCATGAAATCGTTCTCGGCATCCAAGAACATTGGCACGTCAATTCCATTGATAGTGCAAGCTCGCCAGGATGGACGCCAATGACGATGATGCTGTGCTATCGCTTCTTCTCGCCTGTCAATCTTGACAGGTATCTCGTCTCTTTCTGGTCCTTCTGGCACCCCAACTGGCCCGTCTTTCACAAGCCTACCTTCGTTGCAGCTCAGAATCCAGCTCATCTCCTTGTTGCAATGGCTTTGATTGGCGCATGCCTCACAACGAACGAGACCGATCGTGACCACGCCATGTTCTGGATCGCCGCGGTAGAAGAGTGGGTGTTCTCGGACGCTAACTTCAGCGAAGATCCCATTCCCGAAACCGACAAGGAGTTCGATGAGGTGACAGTTAGGCTGCGTTTGAATGCCATTCGAGCGGCATACTGTGTTGTTCTTCTACACTCCTGGGAGGGTGGCGAAGATCAAAAGCGACGTGCGCGGAGAACTCGCTTTACGCAGGTCATTGCCGTGGCCAGAAGCCTCCCCCTTTCTATTGCAATACATGGCGATTTGCGAAGGTATACAAGCGTTGATGACATGCATCGAAATTGGAGAAATTTCATTTTAAAAGAAGAGCTCATTCGGACGGTGACTTATGTTTTCTTGCTCGACATGGGATATGTCATCTTCAATAACACACCTCCGCGAATGGTGATATTCGAACTTGACATCGGATTAGCATGCCCAGAGCCATGTTTCCAAGCTACCGATGCAGAAACATGGATCCTTAGTGTCAAGGCTTGGTCGGAAACCTATGTTGGCCAGAGGCAACCCTCAATGTCGAACATGATGGAAGCCGTGATGAAAGAAATACCAACTCAAGAGGAGTGGAAGATGTTGAAACAAATGAGCTCACTCAACTTCTTTACTCTTGCTTCTGGTAAGCTTCTTGCCCTTGAAAAGTGCCCAACGCGTGATAATTCAGAGAAGACATGTCGGGCTGATAGACTGATACACATGCAGCTTTCCACAGCCTAATATTCCACCACCACGGTGGACCTACATGTTGGAACCAGGCGTCTCTAATCCGACATGCTCTCAAAAATTGGAGGCAAGCTTGGCTGAGTCGCGAGCTATTGGGAAGCCTTCAAGAGCTGGAACATGCCGTACTATTCGATGCGTGGAGGAAGATTGGCTTCATGCGATATGCGATGGAGTTTTGGTGTCTTGGGTGTATCGTGTACAAGCGAGCGGAATACATGAGAAGTCTGAGACGCGACTCCAACCAAGGACAGCGGGGAACTTTTAAGAAGGGGTTTCTGGAAGTATACGACAACTCGGACATGGAGCAGGTCCATGAATTGATCCTTCGTTTTCACGAAATGAACTTTGGGGTGGACATTTTGTAATAACAGACAGTGGCTTGATCCAGATACCACGGTAGAATGATTCCGTCACTAATCCCGGCTCCTTTTGTCGTAATTGTCACCGTGCCTATCAAAATGAACTGATGGATCGGGAAAATCCCCCCAGAGACTTACGGATCCCCACCACAGCGGGGGAGGGGAAACTGACGAGTGCATATGCATGCACAAGCACTAGCAGTCTCTGTTAGGTACACTTACCAACACTAGAGGCTTCATCTTAAGTAAGTTGGACCAATCTCCCGATCTCGGTCTTCTTCCGTCCGCGGCCCCGTCGCTGCTGAGGGCTCAATCACTTGTATCTATGAAACAACTTCCCAGGCAGTCTTTGGATAAGAGCTCGGGAGTTTTATTTCCTCGTCACTAATGGGTGTAATTGACGCTTCTCCGCAGCTCTGGAATATGTCCCTATCGCTCGTCTGGATTTGATATGCTGCTACTCACCGAGGGATTAGCGGCCTTGACCTCGCCAAACCCTTCCGACACCTGAACCAATAGCGTAGAGAGCAGCCCACACAATAATTAGGTTCTTAGGTTCTTGGTAGAAAGCTTTTGACTTAAGACGGGTATAATAGGTCTAACTATCCCGGAAATTCCAAGAGTTTTGGAAAACGGACAGCCATATTTCAGAGCAACAGCAAATGGCCAGCCGCGGGCCCGGGGCCAACTCCAGTTCTGCATCCTGAAGTCTGGTTTACGCTGCACAACATTGGGACCAGTATGACGCTTGTCATCATCAACGCCATTTCCAGAGTCGCTTTCTTTGCCCCGAAGCGGCCGACAAATTTCCCACGCACTGTGCCAGTTTCGGTGCTGCAACCCTGTAATTAAGCCCGTGGCGCAGTAATCCAGGTTGCGGGGTTCTTTATCATTCCCATGTTGCTGACATGTCACCACAAATAATAAGCCAGGGGGAATATCACGCCGAAGGGAAATGATTGAAGTTGATAACCCTATCTGTATCTATGAATAGATTTGGTGGGGTGTTGTATGGGGGTTTGCTGCGGTTTGTCCATGGGACCTGGATTTAGTGTCACAAAAGTGCCCAGTTGATTACCCATCCAGGAGTTCCTGGGCGGAGTTTCGGAGTCCCATTTAGGAAGTGGGCGATTGACCTCGAGTAATTATATCTAGCAGCTTTTCAATATTTGATGCTTCAACAAGTTCTTCCTTTCCCACATTCTCGTAACCAACTGCCTGGACTGTTTATTCTGTTACTTTGTCCCATTTCGCGCACTTTGCTCCCTCGACTCAATCATCTGAGATGGCCACCACCGAGACGAAACCTTCACAGACCTACGAGGCTGGCTGCCACTGCGGCTTCATCAGCCTTTCCGTCATACTCTCGCCGCCGTTTCCCGAATATGTGGTCACCCAGTGCAATTGCTCCATCTGTCGTCGTGCGGGATACCTCCTAGTCTGTCCGTGATCTAACTCGCCGCCTTCCTAAGCATAAAATGATAGTCTTTGCTAATAAATATTTCAGATCCTCTTCACGAGGCTGTGACCTGGCACCACGGCTCCGATACTCGCGTGGGGCGCTACCAGTTCAACACCAAGACTCGCGATCACATGTTCTGCCCCAAGTGCGGTGCGAGCATTGGGATTGACTTCAATCACAAGGAACCGAAGTCATATGGAATCAGTGTATGTGAATTTCTACCGCAAGTCAATACGGCAAGGCTAATGACCACCCAGCTACGGCAGTTCAACGACGTTGACTTGGATTCCGTCAAGTACAGTCAGTTTGACGGAGTTCATCTGCTGAAACCTGCTATCGATTTGTCTGGGAAGCAGATAAATGTGGAAACCGGAGAGGACGTCCCGCCAAGTGCCTGAAATTCGAAAACAAGGTCATGATGCATGAAGTTAGCGTTGGCGTTCGAAGTAGTGGTGCATGAGGGTGGTGTTGAGGTGGACGGCTAGCTAACAGCCGATGCGCCAGTTGGAGGCTGGTGAGACGGTCGGATATCAACTACCTTGCTAGCTTTGAGCTGAATTGATTTGACATCGAGATCGCCCGCAATGATCGTCGTGAGATGCATCGTGGGTGGACTAGAGCGGCAAGCCATGTACGCATGCCGCATGGATGGAGGAGTAATGATCTCCCAACTGTGGCAATTCAATACAGGGACGTGGCTTCAACAAGGTGGGCGGAATGGAGTCAGTTCTGGACGAATTCATCACCCATTCCGCCTAAAGCTCTACAATAAGAGTCTCCAAAAAGCCATCATTATTTGGCCGAGCACCCCAATGCATCCATCTCCTCTTCTCATTGACATCATATCTGACAGAAGGATGAAAACACCGACAGCATCACGCAACAATTAGCGAACGTCATCACTAAAATGGGGCTCTAGGGACCTGAAAACAAGCTTCCCCTGCTAAACGAAGCCCGCTACGCGGCCCCAAAACTCACTGCTGCAGATCATTCATAAGTTGGGCTTAGCGCATCCGGATTGGTGCAGCTCCATGCCTGTCGCTCCCGGGTAATCGACGTCATTGACATTGCAGCTTGGTCTCAATGATCGCATCGTGCTGCCGTCAATAATTTTCAGCTTATTTCTTTCCTCCCTTTCTCACTACTCTTTTTTGACTTTCTTCATCTTAGCCCAGCTATCCTGGGCCAGGCTTCGAGACACTTCGCTCACAACTCCCACACGGGGCCATCGTGATGAACGCCGAGCAGACCGTCGTGCCCCCGGGCGGCCAACATTACAGCGCCCAGAACCGTGTGCCCAACATCCAAGAATTCGTTCAGTCGCTCGACCGCCAAAAGAAGGAGCGCGACGCTGCCATTGACGAGCAGTTGAAGCAGAACAAGGTCCCGGCAGAGGCCAAAGATCAAACCAACGCGCCCGATCCTAAGCACAAGACCACTCGCAAAGTCCGAGATCCTGTCACAGGAAAGGACGTGGACATCCAAGATGCCGACACTGACTTTGCAGAGGCCGTGGACAACCCTAAGGTAAGTAATTCCAACAGAACAGCCGAACTGCCGTGGGCAGAACAAATCTGACTTAAACCGGACAGTTGTCCATCCCGAACACCAATCTAGGAAAGCCAGCCACGACCGCGACCTCATCGAAGCAATCTGGTGAAGAATACCGCTACGCTCAAGATGTCACGGCTCCACCAGAAGCTGAAAAGAGCTCCACGTCGGACGTCCCCATCCGTAGCGAAAAGACGTCGGTCCTCTTCTACAAGACGCCTTCGGTCAGCTACGAACCCATGTTCGGAATCCTCGAGCAGCGGGCCAATGTGCTCTGCGCCGGAATCTTCTTCGGAATCGTCTTCTTGGGCAAAATGTTTGGCGGTCGGCTGTTGGGACTTGTACCCTTGGCCTTATGCGTTGCTTCTGGCGTCTTTCTTTGGGCCAAGGACTTGATTCGCCAGGGCAGAGACTTGGAGTGGGCAAGCGAACAGGAGCGCGGTGAGACGGCGACGGCGAACCTGATTCCGGAGTCCGTCGAGTGGATGAACACGATGCTGGGCATTGTCTGGGGTCTTGTCAACCCAGAGATGTTTGCTGGCGTCGCTGATACGTGAGTTGAGAGCACCACCACTGCAAAAACATTGATGCTAATGGAAAATAGTCTCGAGGATGTCATGGCCGCATCAGTCCCTGGTATCATCGACAATGTTCGTGTGGCAGACATCTCTCAGGGCAACAACCCTATCCGAATTCTCAACATGCGAGCCTTACCCGACTCCCATGTCCAAGACATCAAGGACGAACTGCATCAACAAAACGAGAAGAATACCGACCCGGAGGAGCTAGCGGCTAATGAGCAGGCTGGCTCCTTCTACAACATGGAAGTCTCGATCGCGTACCATGCCAAGCCGTCCGGTGGGGATATTGCCTCAAAGGCACGCAATATGGGGATGCAGCTCGTGTTTTATCTCGGCATCAAGGGACTCTTCGGTGTACCCTTGCCCATCTGGGTTGAATTGATTGGCCTCGTTGCTACCGCTCGAGTTCGCATCCAGTTGACTCCCGACCCGCCATTTCTTAAGACCTTGACCTTCACTCTGATGGGACTTCCCAAAGTCCAGGCTGGGTGCACTCCAATGATAGAAAAAGGCGTCAACATCCTCAACCTCCCTCTGATCTCGAACTTTGTGAACTGGGCTATTGGCGCTGCCGCATCCATGTACGTGGCTCCCAAGAGCATGACTCTAGACTTGAGCAAGATGCTCCAAGGTGACGACATCAAGAAGGAGACACTCGCGCTGGGCGTCCTCTTCATTCGAATCCACAAAGCCATCGATCTCAGCAAGCAGGATCAGCGTGGTAGCAAGGGCGGAGGCTCAGATCCGTACATTACCATCAGTTGGAGCAAATTTTCCAAGCCCCAGTTCTGTACTCGGGTTATCCAAGACGACCTCAACCCGGTTTTCGAGGAAAGCTGCGGACTTCTTGTCACTAGTGACCTCCTCAAGGCGGATGAACAATTGTCTGTTGAACTCTGGGACAGCGATCGCTCGTCTGCCGATGATGTTGTCGGCAAGGTCGAACTCAGCATCCAGAAGCTGATCCAGCACCCTGGAAAGATGTTTCCTCAGGTCTCAAAATTGAGGGGTGTCAAGGCAGAAAGTGAGATGCCGGGTGAGCTTCACTGGGAGGTGGGCTTCTTCGGCAAGACGCAATTCCGCAAAGCCCTACGCACCGACGGAAGGGATCTCAATCTACCCAAGGAGCTCAGCGATAAGCCCGAGCTCCAGGAAGAGAAAGGCGCTATCGATACAAAGGAGGAAGATGATGTCATCCACACTCCTCCTGACCCATTGTGGCCCTCTGGAATCCTCAGTGTTGTTGTCCATCAGATTGTTGGCCTTGAGCTGGCTAATATCAAGGGGTCGGATGGCAAGAGAAAGGGCAAGGAGTACGAGCCGGCTCGACCTGAAGCTGGTCCGGTAAAGGAGGAACAGAGCAAGACGCTTCCAAGCTCCTATTGCACCATTTTGGTCAACGATGACTTGGTTTACAAGACCAGAACCAAGGTTGTGTCTTCTCAACCAATTTTCAATGCGGGAACCGAGAAATTCGTTCGAGATTGGAGGTCTTGCATCGTCACTGTTGCTGTCCGTGATTCTCGGAACCGACAGCACGACCCTATTATCGGCGTGGTGCCTCTCAGACTTGGAGATATCCTGCAAACCAGCAGCGAGTCTACTCGCTGGTATCCTCTCGATGGAGGTATTGGATTTGGACGAATCCGTATCTCTGTGCTCTTCCGCTCCGTCGAGCTCAGGCTTCCACCTCCTCAGCTCGGCTGGGATATCGGCACTTTCGAATTCCTACCCGATGCTATCACCACCACCAACTATGCGCCATCGGAGAAAGTCAGGCTTCGATTGCGCACCGGGGGTTCTTCTGCGAACATGAAGAAAAATGCTTCTGTCCGCGAGGGCGATGGAATCAAATTCGATATCAGCGGTCACGAGGATGGTGGACAACTTCGTCTTCCTGTTCGCCACCGTTACAGCTCGCCAATCTTCTTCGAATTCTATCCATCTGGCAAGCGTAGCCCTGATGCCTTCGCCGCACTGTGGCTGCTGGAGTTGGTTGATGGAGAGGAAAGGGAATTTGACATTCCGGTATGGAAGTGCAACAACGCCTTGCGTCTTTCCCAAAACTACATCACGCAGGAGAACTTCCACTCCATCCCCGATTTGGACATAACAGAGATTGGTCGCGTCCGATTCCGGGGCAGGTTCTCTGCCGGGACGGACACTGATCACATCAAGTTCGTTAGCTCCAATGACACCCGCGAAACAATCGAGGCATGGGAGGCTTGCTACTCCGAAGGGGTACGCCAGCAGGAAGTCAACGCCGAGGTTCCTGCAGTAATTCAGAAGCTCCACGATGAGTCGTTGACTCAAGGCCGCGATGTTCTCGCTCAGGCGGACAAGAAAGAGAAGGACAGGTGGTTGGCGAAGGATGGTACCGATTGGAGTGGAGCTTTCGGACAGGATCCATCTACGATTATGGCCAAGCGAGACGGCGCTCCCAATGACAGTGAGGAGTACGATGATTTTGACGACGACAACGATGATGATGACGACCCGGACCTCGGAATTCAGGATGGTGATACTGATCCATCAATTCCATCCGAGGACGGCCGCACATCCATTGACAGTCAAGCAACCGGCACCACGAGCGGGTCACAGAAGAGCAGTGGTGGCAGCAGCCTGAACCCGATCAAGAAGTACAAAGATTACAAAGAACGCAGCCGGGATCTGCATCGAAAGCACCGTGGTTTGATGCAGTGGCGCCCGCTGCGGAATGCACAGTTCGCCAAAGACGAGGCCATGTTCGCGGTTCGCAAGGTGAAGAACCTTGGAGCGCTCGATGGACGGAAGCCGGATGTTGAAACGGAGGCATAAAATGGGTGATGGGTTTCTTTTGTTTGGGCTTCGGGTTTGGTTGTGGCTTGGGGGTTCAAGGAGGGGTTCGAGATTGACGAATGACGCAGAAGCAATACCTATGAATAGTTATGTTTTGTATGATTACGAGTTTCTCTGACCCCAATTCCCGTATCAGCCATTTAGTGTTCACCTGGCATCTATCCCACCACTAACTTCCAGATGTGGCGATAGTCTGGTGAGTTGACAGGACGCCCGTCAGGACAATACTAATACACTTGAGATCCCATGGGTCAAAAGTACCACCACCAGGGTAAAGATGTTATATTATCTTCTCCAAGTCGATTGCAGACTACACCCCAAAGTGAACATAGGGAACCCAGTCTAGCGGTTCACGATCTTCGTCGTCAGCATCACATAGCTCAACATCCCTTGGCAACCTTGTCTCTCTCTGGTCCCTCTGTGCCAAGACCTTATCCTCCCTCACCATTGCAGTTCCAGCTTTCGACGGTGCATCAAGCCAGCGATTTCGAATACACCTGCTTGCATTATGCAATCCTCGACACACTGATTCATCCGTCATGCCCCCGTCCCGTATCCCTTCGTACGTAATTCTCGTCATATCCACACACAATTCATCCTTGACCTCCCACAGGGTGCCAATAACGTGTCGAAATCCAGCCAGCTGATATCCGCTAATCAAGTGGATGCTCTCGTCAACGAACTTCTCATCGTTGATCTGACCGGTCCCACAAGCCGACAGGTACGCAAGAAAGGGCGACCGTTCGCGAACATTTATCTCCAGCAGAGTGTCTACCGTTAGTTTGCCATCCTCCAAGAGCAAATAGCTCTTGTCTGTCTTGTCATGACCAGCGTGGCCAGCAAAATGAAACATTTTGCATTCAGGCAAATGGGAAATAATGTCTTGCTTTCGCCGCCCTGGCTGGATGGAGGCAAATGAGAGGGTTTCAAACAACCTCTGCAACATGGCCACCTCTCTAGTTGCAAAAGGCAGCCTCGTGCTGTTTTGTGTATGTTCCATGGAGACAAGCAAGGCTTGGGCCGGTACTAGTTGCGTCGTGCTTGGACTTGTGCGTTCCCGGCTGTGTATGATTGCCTTGATGGATGTACTGTAGGATGACATGACCCTATCTAGCACTGCCTCTAGAGAACCCTTTTTATGGTGCCCGGCAGCATGGAGAGGAAATTTGCTGAGAGGGCCTGTCGGGATCCACCATACATGAGGCCACTTGTCGTCAGAGGGAGCATCAGTAAATCCCAGAACGTCCAGAACCGGGCGTGTAACAACTTCCCACAGCCACTCCAAAACTTCGAGACTCTTGAGGTCCCTTTCTAAGGTCCAATTTGTGAGACTTTCCATTTCGAGCTTAGGTAACGGGATAGAGCGTATTTGATGCTGCTCAACGAGAATAGCATCGCAACGAAACACGCTAACATTGATGACGACAATAGGACCAAGCACAGCAGCAGCCTTCAATTCCGATTCTTTTGGCGCAAGCAAGAAGTCTTCGAATCCAGCTTTTGTACGAATCTCAGCGAGAACGTCATTGATCTGATCATGCACCTCACAACGCCGATCTGTTCGAGCCTGCCCTGACGGTGAGTCAACCCCATCGAGAGAGCCATTTTGTGGAAGTAGCTGCTCTAACTCGCCCCTGAGACCGTTGAACTTGTGTGCCAGATCAGGGTGATTTTGTCGTAGATCTGAAACGTCTGTTCTCATTTCCTCGATCGATGTTGCCAACACACCTCGACCTTGTTCGAGGAAGCTTAAAGCAACTGCGGGCGGCTTTCCAGCGTGAAATGCCGACGCTGCGGCATCGGAGGCAAGGCCAACTATCCGACTGAGCATATGTTGTTTATCGGTATTCTCAAGCGATCGCGCGACCAACTCAGGAACAAGGTTGAGAGCAAAGTCTGAAGCTTGATAGGCCTGTTTCCAATCTGAAATTGTTGCGCAGTAGTCCAGAACATGTCTAACGGCTTCGATTCGATGGAGCATAGTCGACATGGGTCGTCGAAGAGCGGACTGAAAAAGTGAAATGGCCTCGTGAACGTCTTCTAAGTCCCCTGTTTGGGAGTATCTTTTGCCAAGTTTATCCCCAAGGTTGGTGAGGAACATTGCGCGTTCAGGGTGGTCTTCCGGAGTTACGTTGACTGCCTTTCGCCCGGCTTTGATGGCATTCTCGATGTCTTCCGCAGTTCTTGTTCTCGAGTACCGGTCGCTGAGCCTGTTTGCAAGGTTGTTGAGCCTCATGCCCTGTTCAGAGTGACCCTCTGGAGTCAGCTCAACTGCGTTCTGTCCGACTCGGATTGCCTCTTCAAGGTCGGATAAATCTCCTGTCGTCAAATATCTTTCGCCGAGTCCGTGTCCCAAACTGTTCAGAAGAATCGCCCGACCAGAGTACTCCTCTGGAGTGAGATCAGCTGCTTTTCGGCTGAGTTCAATAGCTTCATTGAGATATTTCAGATCCTTTGTTCGTAAAAACATGTCCGACAGTGCATTTCCGAGATTATGCATTTGTGTCGTTTGACGAAAATCGTCTTCCGGTGTCAGAGCTAGCGCTTGTCGATAGGTCTTGATCGCCTCATCGAGATCTGCCAATGCTCCAATGGCAAGATATCTATTGCTAAGTCGACTTCCAAGGTTGCTCAGATATATCGTGTGCTGAGGGTTGTCTTCTGTCGTCATATCGACTGCTTGGCGGCCGATTTGAATAGCCTCATGAAGGTTCTCAATGGCTCCTGTTGCTAAGAATCTCTCGCTCAGTCTAGTTCCAAGATGTTCCAGGCGAGGTATCCGGTCAGAGTGATCGGCTGGGGTCATGTCAACAACTTTGCGACCGATCTCTATTGCCTCTTGGATATCCGCCAGAGAGCCTGTTCTGGAGAATCGTTCCCTCAATTGCATTCCAAGGCCATCAAGGCATGCAGCCTGCAGGGAGCTGTCTTCTGCCGCCAGACTGATCGCTTTGCGACTGAATCTGATCCCTTCTTCGAGGTCCTCTAGATTTCCGAATCTTGAGAATTTAATGCGAAGGGAGTCCCCAAGTGCATCCAGCCTCTTTGGCAGGCGAGGATGATTTTCCGGAGTATGCTCGACCACTTTGCGTCCTATTTCGATCGCTTCCTCAAGATCTGCTGGATCTCCCGTTCTTTGAAACCTATCTTCAAGTCGAAGTTCAAGCCTATATAGTCGCTCCGCCCAGTCCGGGTGATTCTGTGGCGTCAGATTGACGACCTTTCGACTTGCCTCAATCGCTGAATTGATGTCTTCTAGAGCTCCCGACTTGACAAATCTATCGCCAAGTTGAACTCCAAGGTTGTACAAGCGCTCTGCGAAATCAGGGTGATCTTCTGGTGTCAGATCAACCACTTTTCGACTAATCTCAATTGTCTCGCTAAGATCCGCGAGCACCCCTGACGAAAGGTATCTTTGGTCGAGGCGAATTCCAAGAATATTGAGGTTTTGAAGCCACTTTGGGTGATTTTCTGTCCCCATCTCGAGCACTTCGCGTCCAATCTCAATCGATTCCCCAATATCTTTTAAATCTCCCGTTCTTGAGAATCTTGTTTCCAGTCGTATGCCAAGTTGAGTGAGACTCGTTAATCGGCGGGAATGGTCTTTCATGACATGGACCACGCTTCGCCCCACTTCAATGGCCTCATCAAGGTGTTGGGGTGATTTTGTTCTTTCGAAGCTCTTGTTGAGTAAAGATCCAAGGTCACTCAACCGTTCTGCTAGGTCGGGACTGCCTCCCGGTGTCAAGTCGACGACTTCCCGCGCGACCTGGACCGCCTCATTCAGATATTCTACATCGCGTGTTTTCGAATACGCCCTGATGAGTTGATTTGCAAGTGTATCGAGATATTCCGCCCGATCAAGATCATCTTTTGGCGTCAGACGGACCATTTCTCTCCCGACTTGAATAGCCTCATTAAGAACTGTAGAGGATCTTGTTATTGAGTAAATCTTGCTCAGACGATTTTCCAGCATAAATAGAAGGTCTGTACGATTAGGACTGTCTTCTGGTGTCAGATCGACTGCTTCTCGTGCGGCGCTGGCAGCCTCATCGAGGTATTCGATGGACTCTGTTGACTTGTACATCCGACATAGTTGGTAGCCAAGATACGTCAGGCATACCTGCCGGTCCGGATGGTCTCCTGGTGTTTTTTCGACCGCTTTCCGCGCAAGTTTGAGAGAGTCTCTAAGCCCGGCCATTGTTGCTCATAGGTGCGTGTTGAGGGGTGGAAATTAGGCACCCTTCGGTAGTAGGTATTGTTGTCAGCTCATGCCGTGGATAAATTCCCGCAGATTTCCCCGCTTACTACGAAGGCACTGGGAACGGTTTATGTGACGACACGGTGCTCTATTAAATCTGCATGCATATAAAATAGAAAATTCGCCGTGGTTTAATCACAAGGGCAAGGACTTTTAGTCGCCGCAAACAAGCGTAATTGCATTTCGTCCTTCGATGCAGAAATGGAGCCCCGATCGTAGGAGATGTTCCGTGTGCAGATGGATATTCCATATCGCAAGCCTGTGATTAATGTGAAACGAGAGCCTACACGGTGCCGATCCTCAATATTGCTTGACTCGTGGTAGAGAGTGGACGCCATAGTTGAATTTAACCAGACAGTCATACGGAAACTCATCGCCAGATCAGGGTTGTCAGACAGCCTGATAGGGACTGTTGGAATCTGACCTGTTATATAACTGACGATCTTACGATATCTGGAACGGCTTCCAGGCCGGCTGCTAGGAATCCGGTCTGGACCAGGCCTCAGGGCCCAGCTGCTAGGAATCCGGTCTGGACCAAGTCCCAGGGCTCCGGCAGGTAGGTCTTCCGGCCTCAGACCTCCGGACCTCGGGCCCGGAGGCCCCCGGAGGCCGACCTCATCCTCATCTATAAAGACCGATCCCTAGCCCTTCGATAGATAGAGAAATCAAGCAATTCCATCGTCACTAAAGCTGTCTTATCCAATCCATCCTTTGTCTGATAAGGGTCGCAACGGATACACTAGTCAACTGATCCTCACTGCGAGAGCTCACGGCCTATCGGATATTTCACTCTGGTGTTTCGGGGACTCTGGTTACTTCCACCGATTGTCGATTTCACTTGTATCATATTTTATTCGACAAGACCGAGACCAAATGTACACATGCCCCAAGAGTTACTCCGGGCTATTTTCATTTTTGTGCATTGCCTAAATGTGACTCCCTTTGCAGTACGAAGTCAGCCCGTCAAGATGTCACGTTTTCGGGGAAAGACATGGGGCAAACACGTCAAGGAGTTTGCTATGGGTGTGCAAGCATTAAGCAAAGAATTGGAGCTAACAAGTGGGTGGAAATTTCTTTCAAATGGGGCTTATCATAACCCGAATACTGACGCTCAATCATTTAATTGAGATGTCAAGGCTGCAAGGCTTGAAGACGTCAGATAAGGTATTTGACAAGATCCAACGATGAGTTCTGGCTTCAGGAAAGCACTGACAACTATAATTTCCGGTTTGAATTGTCCAAGTAACCTGTGAACTTGCGAGATAAGATTTTGAAATGTGTCCTGTGAAATAGGTAGCCAGATAACCGTCGTGAACGGTTGATGGTCAGAGCGAAACAAAGGGTAAATTAGGGGCTGGCGCGATGGATCCACGCCACGTGACTGAGACCCGGAGCTTAACCACCACCAATACAATCTCTCCCCGTTCCATTCCACAGCACAAGGCAGATGCTGCGTATCCTTCTTTATTCGATCTTCTAACAAATGCTCCTCCTCCTTTGATATTTGATTTACTTGGGGGCACGATTCTCAACTTTCTTCTGATTGCGCCGTGCTCTCCGCACATCACGACTCACGAAAGCATGGAATTCAACGGTGGAAACAACCGCGACGAACTCCTCAAACCAAGGAATCTGCCCTTGCAGGCAATATCCCAGTATGAATCAGCTTCGGATAGCACTGGATATGGGGATTTCTTTAGTGGGGAGCCGTCAACGAGGAGCCAGAGTCCAAGCGAGGCCCAACCCAACGCGTCAAATGCTGCGATCACTCCCCGTGGACCGAGAATCGCCGTCATGTTGAGCGCGTCGCCAAGTCATCATGGCTCTTACCGAATCGGAACGGCGGATGGAATATCAACAGAGCCTGTTATTTCCGACTTGACACCCAAAGGACAAATGAGAATGCTGGCGGCAACGACGTCGGTCATTCCACAACTAGGCCACAGTCCAACCAGTCACGCGAGTGCAACATTAGGCATCTCGTCTGCTGGACCCAGCCGCAGTCGAGGGAGACCAAAAGGATGGAAACCAGGCATGCCCTACAGTGGACATGCAACCAAGCAGCAGCTCGCTACAGCGGCAGGATCGCGCGAAGCCCGGCTAGTTAAGCAGAGGCCTTCACTTAATGGATTCCCAAAGCGTCGGGGTCGACCGCCAAAAAGCCCAGCTCCACAACCAAGAGATATTTATTGCAAAGTCAACGCGCCATTCGTCGCATTTCTTTGCGAATGGAAGGGGTGTAAGGCCGAATTACACAATCTGGATACCTTACGACGCCATGTATATGTGGTTCACGGTGGCAACAGCAAACGAGTTTGTTCATGGGGGAAGTGCGGACGAAACGAGACACCTCACTCGTTTGATCACCATGAGGGGTTCAAGACACACATGGAAGAAGAACATTTGGTGCCTTTCGCCTGGCACGTTGGCGACGGACCGAACAACTCTAGCGGACTCGAAGCAACGGAGAAGATGAGCGTGGAAGATGATATCCCGGATTATCTGAAAGACGAGGATGGAAACCAAGTGACCCCTTCCGTGAAAGACCAGCAGTTAGAGGATGTCGTCACATGGAAAAATAATCGGCGCCGTTTGAGGGAGCTACTCATAAAGCGGGATGAGAATCTACCGGATGAGACTTCGGAAAATAGCACGGTGGAGGAGGGCATCGCGTTATGAGGTTGTACCTACTTGAAGGCAGATTTCCCCGAAGCGCTCGGCGTCCAATCCGACGTCTAAAGCCTGGTCATCAATTGGAGGTTTGATAGATAGTGTTAGTATTGTAAGATTTGGGTACTGAATGTAATTAACAATTTCGACGTCCCCCTCCTATATCATCAAGCCGTGACATCTAGCCCTAAGCCCAGCTCTGCAGATTACTGAGCAGTATTATCCACCAGAGGTATATTGAAATCATAGACTTCAATCGGACGGTAATAGCGAGTCAAATACCGCGTGTGACACGAAGTCCTCTCATTCTAAATGTGTAGAGAGGGTGGATGGACACTACTAGCTTATGAAACAGGAACCATGTATTCAGACACTCTAGCAAGTTGACCAAGGCTCTTGATTTAATAAGACAAGCTACCTGAGCCACCCACCCAACGCATTGAAAATTGCATATTGGCCTTTAAAATCCCGCGTCGCCTCCCAAGACAGCCACGACCTCACCAGACATGTATGTCTTTGTAGGATCCGCGATATCAACGTAGTGTGGTGCAACCTCAGCCGGCTGCGCTAGGCGACCGATCAACGAGTTTTGCGCCGCAGCAGCGATATGCTGCGTTGTGAAGCCCCCGGTAGCGAGGAACGGGGTGTAGGTCAGAGGTGGAGCTACACCGTTGACTCGGATTCCCAGTGGCAGAAGCTGCTGGGCCAGGGAGCGGATGGTGTGAGTAACAGCCGCCTTCGAGGAGCCATACAGGACTGATGTGGCGACAGGGTGAGCGTTGAGGCCTGAGGAAGTTACAATGATGCTTCCACCAGGCGTCAGAAGAGGTACAGCTGCGCGTGTTAACCACAACGGTGCGAAAACGTTGACTCGATAGATTTGCTCCAGCTCCGCAGTGTCAAATTCATGAATCGGGCGCCAGTTAGGACCCTGCAGATTTCCGGCATGACTACGTTCTGTAAGCTCACCGCACATAGCTTAATAGGTCTGGTTTACACGATGAACACTTACCCGGCATGATTCACGAGGATATCTAACCCACCAAGACGCCTATGAGCCTCGGTGACCAACTCAGCGCAAAAGGCTTCGTTGGCTAAGTCCCCAGGAATACGCTCAATCGAGAATCCCTCTTGCTCCACGAAGTCGGAGAGTGTCTGTGCGTCCACTTCTTCCGAAGGAAGGTAGTTGATGGCAACTTCAGCACCTTCACGAAGGAAGGCAATTGCGATAGATCTTCCAATTCCGGAATCACCTCCAGTAATCAGTGCCTTCATGCCTCGCAAGCGGCCACTACCGCGGTAGCTTGTTTCGCCACAGTCAGGAGGATACTGGAAGCTAGTATGAAGGATAGGAAACCCCTGGGGAGGTAGCTCCAACGTCTTGTTCGCGAAACGGATATTTGGGTCAATCAATTCCACGGCTGTAGATTTGTTAGAGCGTCAACAAAACCAATTCAGAATAGACTGACGAGGAGAGGCACCACGAGCTGCAAAAGCTGTACCCAGCAGGAGGGCTGCGACAACAGAGAAGCTCCCAATCATTTTGACAGGCACGGAAGCCCAAAGTTTGCGAGACCAAGTAGTGTGTGTGTGAAAATGATTTAACCTTAGAGGAGAGGTGGTTGCGGTTCTACAACTTCAATATTTATTTCATTCTGTTGCGAGCGATCATGTATTTATATATACATCGTCTTCTGTTTTCCGCGTATTTGGGATTCATTCTCGACAGCCTCCTACGCTGCATGTCATATCAAGTCCGAAATCCGCGGAGCTGACTTAACTGGGCGGATTTAGCGATTACATGTCAGGCCCGAATCCGCGGAGCTGATTCAACTCGATGATTGAACAATTGCCTTGTTGTGGTTCCTTGGCATCAGCATGACCACGATAATTCACCGCCGTAAGACAAATGCTAAGAGCTTCGCCACCAGGTGCATGCTGGTCATCAGGCGGTCATCACTGCGTAAGGTTATGTCCAACTATGGACTGGAGGGGTCTTCATAAGAGGGATTTGAATGGAAATTATTGATCTTTACTAAATTGAGAACATCATTACTATTTTTATGAGTCTTAATAGCTGGCTCAGGGTGGCAAAAGCGTGTCGGTGGGAATTACCTACGTCGCTAGGCGTCATACGTTCATGCGTAAAGGCGATGCCGCCTGAACGTACGGCTTACGCACACACGGATTCCACTGTCAATAATTACCCACATATGGTAGGTACGGAGTGTCCCTGATATCAGTGAAGAGGACAAGGAGCGAGGAATACGCCGGGGATTGCAAGGTTCCGCCAGAATTGCTTAACAGAACCAAGCAGCCAGAGCCAGCTGTCCTACCAGCCATTAACGCCAGAATCGCAAGGCCTTTTACGGAGTAGGTTGGATGACAGATCACAACGGCACCTATTCATTATATGGAATCAATGGTTTCGTCAAAAACGTCCCTTAATATATCTGCAGTATGTCTATGATCGCACACAACGAAGGATGGCTCACCATCCACAATAGGTGGGCCGACTTTCCCAGTTACAGGTCATTGGCAATTGTAGCACTATGATATCCCAATACTCGCTATTCCACTTCATGTTTTAGTATCATAGAAACATAAAATGCCACCGTAATTTAGAATTTCTTCAGTTTGCCCTTGTCATCCACGTCGTATCCGTAGTTTTGGATCAAATCAACTGCCAACGCAAAAAACGCGAGACTCTCTGTGTATGATGCATTAGCACAAAACCAATCACTTTACAGCCTCATTGCGGATTCAGTGCATACCAGCGTTTCCTATGTCCTTCAACCTGACGCAGTTCAGCCAGCCGTAACTGTTGTCCCCGTCCGTGTCAGAAGTGTCGCCGCCGACAACTGTGTGCGTGAGCTGCGAGGCAGACAGAGTCTTGGTCAGTCATCATTCCAAAAATGAGTTTGGATAGTATCTATGTGCGTACCTCATGAAGGAGAACGAAGTCTGGCGTATCCAGTAGGTCAACTTGAGCCGGCTTGCGAAATCGTAGCAAGAGGATCATCTTGACCCGCGCGAGCGCTTCCGTATGCGCAGCCTTTTTGACGTGGTCGAGGTCGAATATAGCCTTTTGCTCTATGGCAGTGTCAAAATAGTTTTGTCGGAATGTGATAACCTCAGGTGAGCCTGGCTGCCAGGGCTCACCCGGCTTGCCCTTGCCCGGCGATGTGACTCCTTGCGTCGTAGTATCCGCGTCCTTGAAGTCCAATATGGCAGCGCCATCTTCTACCGGTGTGTCCTGGACTGAGTCCTCCCAATGGACGTTGGGCTCCGTGACTCCTGTCCAAGGAACGATATGCCTTGCGTCGCAGTGGATTTGCTATGAACAAGGTCGGGACATGTGAGCACGCATAAGGACAAATACCAACGTGGACAAGATGAATGTGCTCTTACCAAGTCAAACTGGTCCCTGTCCTTTTTCCATTCCGTTGACCAGTTATCTACGTCGACCCAGACGTATTTACGTATGGCATCGTAGTGTGCTAATCGCATAAACATTAGCTACTCAACTAGGTTCGTGCTGGAACCCTACTAACCGAATAGTGTGCCCGCTGTGGCTACGTCGTCGTTTCCAAACAGTCGCTTGGCCTGCTTCAGGATGCGGTCGTCGGGCTTGTTGTTGGCATCTTCGATGTACGGTCGCAATACACCCGCGACCAACTCTGCCCGCTTTACGGCAGCATCCGCATAGAACTTCACTTGGTTATACACCTCGCCCACTAATGCGCTCTATTAGCAATGATGCACCTGGTAGAGTCAGGGAGGGGAAGTGTCAATCTGTGGACTTACCGCAGCTTCTTTTGTCGATGACAAGGCGGTTACCCGCAAGTGCGACCTGCACCAGGGCAAGAAAGATAAAACCTTTAAGCATCATGAGATTGAAATGAGGTTAAGTCTTCGCCGAAAGATTTGTTAAGGCGCGATCTCTGGTTGGAAACTCCAGGTCTTACTTTCTCAACTGCGAAAGGCGCTGAATGTATAGGAAACGGGTGCAACAGACTTGACAGTGATCTATGGACCCCAAGGCTCCTCGCCTGATCAACTTCAGCTAAATTTGAGACATCCCAATCGAAGGATTCTTGAGTTGAGGCTTTGTTTACAATCCCAAAGGCCACGCACTGTGGACAGATTCAAAAATAGCAACGAAGCGAGTTAGTTGGCCCTCCATGGAGTGAAATATCGTGTAAATTTTGGAGTCTATCCTGCAGTTGGAGTTGCTGTTGGTGGCTGTTCCATGACTCTTTGGATTACATCCCGTGTTTATCCAGTGTTGGTAAGACAAGTTCTACTGAAAATGGAATGTGCCGAGGGCTATGGATTGCGTTGCATTTAGAATCCGCCCCATCCTTCACGCAGCTACCAACAAGCAACATTGGTGTTCAGACCAACAACACCTTTCGCTATTCAGGCGAATAAGAATGACTCGAATCCATGTGCACATATGGCCTAAAGGACAAGTACCTCTTTGTTTTCGTATGTCAGGTGGAGACCTGGGATCCTTTTGACGCAACTTCTTGAACCAGCTATTCGCGTGCATATTGAATCCTTGTGTCGCATTGCCACTCTTGCGGGGCGCAGTTGACAACAGCCTGATATCCCCTGTAACCGACAAGAGCCAACTCCACAAACCTGGCGCTCCTATACGGTGACATGCAGAAAATGAAACGACCGAAAAGATAAGGAGCGACCAACAACTCCCGTATGCGTTGGGAGGGTGGGGGCCGGTTTCAGTGTCATGTGGCAGCAATGGCTTCAGCCGTCGTGCCATGGAGGCTAAATTAAGTCCTAGCGAGTCACAGGGCTGTCCACTAAATTTAGGATTCTAGAGTAAAATAGTGTTAACCCTAAATTATGTTTAAACTTGTCGCTCTGCCGCTCGTCCGCAGGTTTACATGCGCCTTCCATCTTCGTATTATCCTGGCCAAAAAACCAGTGCAGGCACTTTTTAGCATCCTTTCAGGATCCTCGTGTTGGTTAGATCGTTGGTAAGTCCTCTGTAGGATTGCGCTCGAGAGAATTTAGACGATATTTCTTTTTGGCAGTCTCCGTAAGGCCGAATATGGACGTCTATCTTGGTGCAGGCTTCTAAGAAAGCCCTATCAAGGCATCTGAATTTGATGAGATCCGCCTATAAGTCTAGTAAAGAGTTTCAGGACAATACGGATGCTATTACAACGCTTTGTCAACTTGAATAGTGCAACTCATTAATTCGCAATCTTCTGAGGCGATAGTAACGAAGCCCGAACTCCTGAGTTCCATAGGATCATGCCAAGTAAATTTCGCTTTTACCCCCGGTCATCCCAGCCCCTGATCTCACCAACACATGTGCTTTACAAGCAAGGCTGTGCAGCAGAGCCTACAGCACAGTGCAGAATCCTTCTAAAATATCTACAGGTCATGAGACTTTTATGACTATACGATGGTGGTGTCAAGATGGACGTACAGCTCTTGCGCATGGCCTAGTAACATCATCGATTACAAAGGCTCGCACATTCCCACTCCACTGCAGGGAAACAGACGCAGGCCAAAGAGATCCAGTCACACCTATTTACCATCATTGAGTCAGAGGCAACTGTCTCACTGCAAGTCAACATGCTTCTGCAATATTCCCTCATCGTTTTACTTTCATCCATCACCTCGTGTTTTGGCCAAAGTGGCACACCCACCGAAACAGGTGTCGGTGAGCTCGGTATTCTGGCTATTATACCCACTGCGACCGGTCAAATTGGTATCAATCCAGTTGATATCCCTGATCCAGAAAGCTTGTACGTAATTATCGTCGAACACTTGACACAAAATAACACAAGCTCACACCTCAAAGTTCCGCACCAATCGGCGTCGACACCCAATATCTTACAGAGACAGTGGCCGATGGCAAAACAAGCACAAAAGTGAGTCGACTAAAATTCTCATCTCAAGATCTTACCTACTGACACGACTCAGTGGATTGGAGTTGGTGCCGACTTCGGTATTGCAACAATCACCACGGCAGGCGCAGATGGACTGCCCCAAGAAACAACCATACCTAAAGGTTTTAACGTGGTTGTCAATGCTGAAGGAAAAGTTGAGATTACGCTGAGCCAACTCATCAAAGATCAGCTCGCCGAAATTGCACCTCTGGTACCAACTTGCCCTTCAACAGTACGACGAGACTGGGATCCCAAGAGCCATCGACACGTTGAGAAACGGGCCGCCGATATTGACTGTATTCAGAAGCGGACTGTCATGTTCACTAACGAATTCCGAAAACGAGCCTTTATGGTCCCCCAGATGATGAACCTCAACGAGGACATAGCCATAGCCTCGGGGAATGATGCCTTCCAACTGAGCCGAATCAACCGGATGATGGCGTTTACGCCCGAGGGAGTTGTCAGCAGCGCTCTTGCAGGCTCCGAGGCCTCACTCGACTCATTCCTGGTCGCTGTCGAGTCCGCAGCGTCGGGTGTCATGGCTTCATTCGCCTTCTTTATTGGCGCTGTCGACATCCTTGAAGATCTGTGGAAACTCAAGGCAGACCCTCAGCCCATGCCCTTCTTCAAAAGTAAAACTGACACAGAGGAAGAATCCTGCCCAAAGTTGAAGCTCGCTTGTGCCGGACAGCGCTGCAGAGGACAGGCGGGTGTGTGTACCGGCGAATGGAAGGGCTGCAAGTGTGGAACGTCCTCCGTTATGGTAGGGGATGTTTTCTTGTACGACAATGACTGGGCTGTCGTTCAGCAGATTATCAAGGACTTCGATATCGACAGTGATCCCAGCGATACCAAGGACATCCCGGACCCCACATGCAGCTCCACCAGCGGTGATGAGAACAACCTCGCCAATATGGAAACTGACTTTTGGAAAGAGTATATCTCCCTGAGTCCATGTTTATGCCAATTTATTTCTAACTCTAAAAAGGCTGCTGGATAAGGTGTGCGATGACAATTCGAAACTGTCCAGTTCTTTCGACAAGACAATGAAAGCATCTGACTTGGGTCTCGACTCATATGAGAACTGGACATTCGACTTTAGCCTACAGACCAGTGGAGATGAGGAATGTACTGGCTACAGTTGCGCTGATGTGTTTGGAAAATTCTCGCAGTGTATGTTCAATAACATTTATATACGCTGGGATAAGGAGCTACTGCTAACAATTTAATAGGCTCTTATGACTCTCACACCAAGTATAAGACGGGTGAGCTGAACCTCGACTGTGGCACTGTTAAATATGCTATGAACGAACCCGATGAAGAAGCCCCAGAAGAGAAACCAAAGACGGCTCTGAAGATGCAGAACGATAAATGCTACGGACGAGACGAATTTGGTGATCATGGCGACATTGACGAATACTGGGTGCGCTGGTATTCCGGTTGGGCTTGCGGTGGTACGGCACTCAACACAATCAAGGCTGGGCAACCCGACACTTTCATCAACACCTATACGACCAACAATGACGTACCCTATCAGTACAATGTATACTGGAAGGACGGGTGCGAACTTGAGACAGGCGAGACTGAGATGTATGCCTCGAATCCCCTCAACGAGAAAAATCCGGGACACACCAAGTGCCAGGAGATTCTTATTGATGACTATAAGAGGTGCAACAATGGAGGAGTGGGTGGTAGTATTGAGGCTGGTTGCTTGGTATATGAGTTTAAGGCTGAGAAACAGTAAAACTGGTTATTAGGTTTAGTTGTGTCAGTTAGTGGGTGGCCTAGACTTGTTGTTGATGAATTTCAAGGGTGCTATATCAATTTTAGGTTCCATAATTCTGAAAACAAATTGCTAGCTAAGGGACCAAGTCTACTATTATTATAAACGTGCAGCGGAGTCGCCTATCTTAGGAGGCCAGCCGGCCGATGTCTGATATAGGTACCACGCATAGTGGGGTTCTTGAGAACTCCAGGCTCCTCATTATCCTCAAGCCGGAATATCCGGTTTGGCGCCGTTGACTCTGTCTCGGCCTTGAATGCCGGCCAACCGCGCGGGCGAACGGTGAACCGCGGCTCAACATTGGCCACGGCCTGCCACACCTCAGGTCTATCAGGATTGACAGGTATGTCAACCGTCAATACACCAGCTAACCTCTCACCAAAAACAAACGGATTCGCATTATCCTGTACCGTAGTTAGGAGGACTCGCCAGGAAGGTTCGCTCGTGTCCAGCCATAAGTTTACCGAGACAAGATTTTCCGCTCGGTCCAGTGCCTGACAACAATCTCGCCAGCGGGACAAGACGGCGTGAGCCTCAGGGCTCATGTACTTCTCCCAGCGGATAGGAAGGCGAATGGCGAGGTGAAGATGCTTGATGTCGTTGAGCAATGGCGAAGGGTGAGAGACTGCGAAATTGTTGAGGGTTTCCAGATCGTGTATGACAAAAGTCAGAGTATTGCAAATAGATGCGCGGCATTCAAGATATCTAGCAGCATTCTAGCAATCGTTCCAATTAGAGTGTGATGGAGCTTACAGTTGCCGACAAGCCAACAGCATTGAAAGAAAGGGGCTCCATGGAGTCTGCTTCGTGGACTGATAGAGCTCCTCACACTTCCAGCAAGGTCCCCATGACGACATAAGGCGTCGCCATATGAGTGGATCTTCAATGCAGCTGCTGTTGAATTTGGTGCATTCGTCCATGAGGCTATCAGGTCTCGTGTGGTCCGTGACGCATCTCGCCCGCACGTAACGGCGGTTGTCTTGAAGCACGATGTGTTGGGAAAAGCCTGCGTCGCTCCACAGTTCCTGAAAGATGGCGTTTCGAATCTCCAATGGAAGCTGCATTATCGCAGAGCCGCGTTGAGGTTGAGTCTTTGCATCCATGGCCTCGAGGTCGGGATACCGAGTGCCTGTTCGTTGTAAGCAAGGTGAGGTCATGGGCATACACTTCCAAAGGAGGGTTGCTAGCCTGGTCTGAGTCGAAGTATGACTTTGGAGCGGAAATCACGAAACTTCATTTTGAATCAATGATTTTTGGTTAAATTTATCGCTTGAGTTGGGCAGCACCAGAAAGACGAGCAGAGTTATCGATGCTATTGCATGGTGATATTGTCGTGACGGAATGCGAACAGGCGGTCACGGACGGCAGAATGTCTCCTGCACCGCCCCGAAGGAGCTGGAATAATGGTTGCGTCCTGCAGTGATGAATGGCAGGGTGCTATTTCAGACCACCGCAGGAGCGAATACAACCGTGGGGGCGGGATTATGGTAAGGATTGGAGCGGTTTGTTGGTCCTCTGCTGCACTAAGCCAGTCCTCTTATTAGGCTGGTACGAGGGCAAGAAAGGTAAGGCTTGACTGGATTCTTGCCTGTGGGGTTGGATCGACAGATTGAGCAGGTGGCACGGTAATATTTAGAGAAATTATGGTTCACAAAACGAATCTCTATTTGAGTTGTCACTTAGCAGCCTTGGGTGGTAGTGAGGAGGAGAAACATTACGGTTCCGTGGCCGGTTTCGTTCATCAGACGGGCCGATTGCCCTCCACGTCTGAAGGGCCTGTGCCCATCACCGGCTAAATCTGGGATAGCTGATTTACAGTTGATGCGAATGAAACATAGGCCCGTCTTATGATTGCCTGACCATGCTGTCGTCCGCTCTGACTTAAAATGATCAATTGTCGCCACTGCGCAAACAACTATATCGCAAGCACCCGTCGTAGTCCGCTACGCGCGAGGGCCTATTAGATCGCATGGATGCAATGGCTCGGGGTGCGTTCGCGACAGCATTGACAGCTACCATGCCGCCGAACAGCTTTGTTTCGCCGATGAAACACAAGGGCTGCGGAAACAGACTGGGGATGAAGTCCAATTGCTGCCCTGAGAGCCCTGAGATGGCTTTCAGGGCCATAAAACCGCGTTTCACCCCTGGCCCTCAAAGGCCCTATCTAGACCAGCATCAAAGCGGCGATGCCTTAATGCACCCGATATTGTTTGTTGGTGTTTTAGGTAGCTCCTTGCTCCAAACATCGTAAGCGCTATGGCACCACTGGACAATTTACTCAACACAGTTCCATTACAGATTCAACACACTGCATTCTTGAAGTGGAAGAAAGTAATTAGCTTAAGATGGTCAGTTGTTGATTGACATCAACCTGGGATCCGTCCATGCGGTATATATTCGTTCGTACATCCACCCTTGATTCAACCTTTACCTCCCATCGGTCGCTCAGTTTTCCCTTCACCCTCATTCACCACATCCCAGCCCAGCCAACCCTCATTCAACATTCACAATGCAGTTCAAACTCCTCATCATCACCACTGGCATCCTTACCGCCTCTACCGTGCAGGCCGCGGTCAATATCACGGATATTATTGGCGACATTGGCGACATATCTTCATTAGCTGGCGAGGTAGTCACTCTCTTTCAGAATCTAGACATCACGACGATCATCTCATCAGCACCTGTGAGATCAGCCAAAGCAACTCCATTCAGAGGGAAATGCTAATCCTGCCTCAGAAAATCATCGAGAACATTGGTCAGATTGTGGAAATCATCACCTCGGATGCCGAAGCAATTAGTGCAGATAACGGCACCACCTCATACAGCACAAGCGACGAGACGGATGCCTGCGGTGGTTTAGAGAAGGTATGAGAGCTGTTAATTATCCCGTTCCATTTCCAATGTTAACTATCATGGCATAGTTCCTCGAGTCGGTCGGTCAGATTGCCGATGGCGTCGCCGACAAGATTGACATCGTCTCGGGCACTCCGTTCAGCGGTGCTATCGGTGGCATCATCACTTCCGTCAAGGATGGCGTTGATGACTTCGGCAACAAAATTCTTGACATTGTACCTTCTTGTGATAACTCGACCTCGGCGTACAGCCTGGAGAGCGTGGGCGCGTCATTTAACACATGCCTTGAGAAATTGTCTTGATCGAAGATTAAGACCATATCGCCTTCATCTAGCTACAATTTGATCTGCTGGAATTCTTGAAAGCACCCCGGACGTGTAGTTACTTGTTGCCCACGGGCTTCAGACGTTAATAAGGCCTAATGTAAGCCCTTGTATGAAAAGAATCATGTAAAAATATAAAATCTGCCTCATTTGGAGAGACTACTGTGTTTAATTCTAAATTCATGCTACATATTGGCAGAATTGCGAAAAGAATCTGCTCGACGGCCTCGAAATTTAGAAGCTCGAGTCGGGCGCACCCAGGCCAGCCGCCGGTATCGTCGCCTTGAACCTGATGCAAAAAGCGTATATTTAGGTAGATCGCACCTATTTCATGTTCGTAACTCAAAGCTGCTAATGGTTCTCAGTAGGAGATTCGATTACGCCAAGAGAAGACACGGGTGACCCATCCGACTTGTCCGACTGATAGCATCCTGGGATGACTACTGTAGCGTTTGCTAGGGGATGTCGGGATGCATTCCCGAGCTTGGTCCGCCATGCTACAAGTGGGGTAGATAAGACGGCGACTCGACCATCCAACTGCCAACTTGTGCTCGAGCGTACCTCTACCACCATCAAAAACTTTGTACAAAATGACAACATGCTTGGCTACTCTCTCTACCATAGGAGGGAATTCTTGATAGTTCCGTCATCGAGGGTCTTCGTCGAAGCGAGGCGTTGGAGCTAGCTGTTCAAGGTATCATTTGCCTTGGCCCTTGGGACGATGCTGCAGCATGGGCATCACCCGGCGATGTTGAGGGATGGCATCTCTTCACCCCGCGGAGCCACAATCCAGACATTGTCAGCGGTAGAAAAGAAAGGGACCTGGGTAGTGTTTAGGGATGCTCTCCTAAGTGGGGCAGGTCATTTGAAGGGCCGAAAGAAATAACGCGATAAATAGCCCCAGGTTCTTACTCGTATCCCTAGTTGCGACGGCGGTGGGGTATCTAGAGACCTCGTTCACAGTTAGGCTCAAGACTTTTGACTCATATTGTATTAAATCAAGGCATAGATATTAAACTCTAGCTTATAAAATAATGAAAGGCCCGAATCCAACCTAAGAGACTAGATTATGAAATAATACCTACCTGGGCTTTCTATTTTCTTCCAGAATTTCTAACATCCAGCTGACAACTTCACCTAGCCAGTGAAGCTAAAACTTCAACAAGCTCCGCTTCCGTCACTGAGCTAGCGTCGGCAATATCATACATCGGAATCCCCGACGTGTCTGGTCTGAAGATAAATGTGCCGTCATAGTCATCAAGCTGTGCGTAGCCCAAAGTCGAGCCCCCAAAACCAGGACTGAGTGCACATAAGAATGCAGTAAGATCTGGCATCGGGCATATTTTGTCAGGATAATTCTGCTCCAGAGTGACTTTTCTGGTGGCGATTTTTAGGGGATCTTCCAGGCAGTTGAACCCTAGGAATCTCTTCTCTAGGCATGTCCCGCCCTCCTTTTTCAAGCCTGCCAATGGGTACTTGACTCCTTGGGCCGTGTGAGACGGCACCACTGTGAAATTTGAGAATGCTGTGAAGTGATCGAAGACGAACTTGGCCGCCTTGGGGTTAAGAGCGATATTAAACTGGTTTGGAAACAAGTTTACGGAAAGATCGCAAGAGCCCTTTTGAACTATTAGTATATCGTTCCAACGTGCGGGTTTGCGTACTTACCGCTTGTAGATGGCACTTCACCCTGTCGGCGACACCGCTTTGAATAAATCGCTGGAGAATTGCCAGCGACGAGCCTCCAAAAAACTGGACACTGGTTGAGTTCTTGATTGTTTGGCATAGCGCGTCGTAATCAAGAGGGCGAACTGAGCTTCCTTGGTTCACCATTTTTCTCTCTGCTCGTTCTATGCAGGCGCTGTACCATGACTTGAGGCTCTCGACTCGCTGCGCCAGAGGCTCAGTCATGATCTCTTGATGGGACTTGAGCTCCTCTTCGCTGCGAGATACGAGCTCTTCTTTATGGTGAAAGTTCAGATTCACTGGATTCTGGATGCCATCTAGGCTCTCCAGGTCCATTAATACCTCAACCGGGGCATTCGCCCAACCAGCCATGCAAGTGACTTGATCCCACGCTGTGAGACGTCCATGCAAAATGGCATCTTCTTTTGGGCCATTTTCAGGCTTCACTGCCAGTCGAAGCTAAATGTTTTGACGCATCAGCGTCTGAGGGAATTAACAAGCTTTGGGATAAGCTTACCAGCTCTCGGTCTTGTGCACTTAGTCCATCGATTCCATCAAGGTCAGCCTCATTTAGAAGACCGCCTAAAAGCACTTTAAACGACCTTCCGCGTGTAGGGAAGTGCCGCTCTATAAGTTTCAGGCACTGAACGCGTTGCTCTCCGGTCATGGTCAGTCCGAGAGAAACCTGGCGAGGCTCCAGGATCCAGATGACGCGCGTGTCGGCCCTACCGGCCGTTGCTCGCATCAAAGCCAGAGCAGCGGCCGAGTTGTCCGAATCGATGGAATCATTGTAGTATATAACGAGTTTTTCACTCATCGTGTCTATTTAGCTCCAGATGCTTTGATGTATTGATGCGCAAGGCGGCTCTTGTGGAGTTTTATGTGTGGTTTATGTGTGGTGCAATGGGGAAAAGGGAAGATACAAGACTAGGCACCCGCTCGCAGATCAAGTGGCTGTGCACTGCCACCGACCGCTTCGCCACACAAGGTTGACACCGTGCAAATGTAAAAAGCGAACCATTGGCCGGCCGGCGCCAAACTGCCGAAAAGTGCACCACATCCGGTTCCATTTGAGGCGGTTGGCCGATGGAAACTCGATAGGAGAAAATACCTTGGCTATGCTGGGACTGTATCATCTCATGTCACGAACATCATTTGGTGAAACGTGCATTGATGCAAATCTGACCATTGTTCCCAGAAGTTGAATTTCGACACTAAATCTTAGAACCAAGATATCTCTTCCAGCCCATAATATTTCTCTCAAATTATTTCGCACATACCCAATACATTAAAACATCATTTATACCATCAGCCATTCCCATACCTCCTTCATAATTAAATGCAACCGAAAGCGATGGCCCCAAAGGCAACCCCATAATGCCACAGGTTTTGAACCGCGATGGGGCTAGCGACAGATGTGGCATTTTTGCAACTGTAATCATCAGGCAATACACCTCGGTTTTTCAGTTCGTCAAAGGGCGTGCAATTAAAGGCAATAGCTTGGGATGGGTTAGGGTTTATTGTGAACTCCTCCAGGACCTTTTGGGTGTTGTTCCCATCGGCATGGTTCTCCATGAAGGATTCACTACGTAGTAGGAAATATCAGTCAACCACAAGAAATCCAAAGGGTAGAAGAACGAAACGCACAAGAAGCCGTTGGATACGTTGACACGGGCGATGGAGATCCTAGACAAATTGGTCTCCGGCCAGTACCACACTCGCTCGCTGCCAAGGTACTCGGAGCTCAAGTTGAGGTTGTCGCAGGAAGAAATTTCCAGGTCAAAGTTTGACCAGTTGAGAGCGGCCTGAGGTAGCTTCACGCTTTGGAGACCGTCGCTGTTGAGAAGTTTTAGTTTTGTCAACTGATCGAACGGGAGCTCAAGGTCCACCATCGCGTTATCTGATTCCATAGTAAAGCTCCCAACGGTCAAGTTCTTCACCGAATCGTGACGCTCGAGCTTGGTGACGTTGCCTTTAAGCACAATATTGTCGATATCCACACTGGCCGTCCTGGATGTTCCAATAGTCACGGCAATGTCGCTGCCAGAAACCCAGAGCTCGGGAGCCTTGGCCCAGCCGAAATTGATTTTCTTGACGTTAGGGAGATTCTCGCCTGAGATGGTAATGCTCGACTGGTCAGCGGTGCCATTGGCACTGATGGGATAGCTGAAAAAGCTGTCCACCGATTTGACTGCCGCAGCCCAAAACGAAACGGTGCCGTACTTGTTTTCCCCCGTGAAGCCTTCAAGACCTTCGTGCTCCATGCTCGTGAGGTTTGCTGCTTCGAGTATAAAGTACCCCAGTCGTGCGAGCTTCGTGATATCCAGGCGCTTGAGCTCCCCAAGGCGCTTTAGGGACACAGAGCCCTGGACTACTTCAAGTTTCGGGAAGCTAATCTCCTCGAGGCCTTGAAAGTACCAAAATTCAATGGCACCCCCGACTTTCGTAAGTGTGGAACTGGAAATCGAGAAAGCGGATGGGATCTCGCAGTCTTCCCAAGCTTCCTCGCAGCCGGAGTGAGTAATGTCACCTTGGATTTCCTCAACACCATCAAGATTGATGGTCTCGCTCAAGGCCTTGGCGAAACCCAGGTTTCCGCTGATTATCGTGCAATCATTTCGGACCTCGATAGCATCACTTGCGTCTGCAATCGTCACGTTGGTGCACTCGATTGCCTGGACAACTCCTACCCAGTTGGTCAGCACACGCTCCTTTGTGGATCACCAGTTGGGAATACTGACCCAAAAATAAAACCAGGAGCCCCATGGGCCCGAAGATAGATCGTAATTGTATCATGATGGTGGATAAACGAGTGACTGTGCCAGTAAATGCGGCGATTGTAAAACTGAAATGAAGCACAGCTTCACGCTCTTCCCACAGAAATACAGGAGGGAATAAAACAGGATCTCCTGGGAAAATATACGTGTGCAGAATTTTTTGTCGGAAGGACTGTGATACGATGTTGTGATTCTTGACACCCTTGTTCGTTCGTGTTCTTGAGTGCATGGTTACTCAGCGTCAACAATGTATGAGATAATTGGCACGCACAGCAGAGTGCTGAGGTTTTTGTCTAACTACCCCTGAGAACGAAATCCGGTCCCTTGTTGGCTAGTGCAATGGCCAGAAAACAGTTAGGACCCAGTCATGCATCTTCTTCTTGCTGTGCTGGGAGCGTATTTTCGCGTATGACTCTGGCCATAACCAGACCCCTGCAGGGTGATCCCAAGTAATTTCACAGCTCCAATAAACTGCAAACACAGGTCATTTAAGTGGAACGAACACTGCACCACATGGATATTCTCGTGCATCCATTGTGTTACTGACGATAACGCGTTAAGCTGCGAACAAGCCGACTGCTTGGCGAATTTGTAGAGAGCCCACAATCGCCTCCATTCAACCGAATTTCGGGTCGGATACGAGCCTGCCGATCTTGTCCAAACCCGGGAAATTCCAGTGCGTTGCTACTACCCAACCTGTCTCGGAGTGATTGTGTGGAGAGGCTCCTTTTTGGATGTGAGTTTGAGACACAGCCCGCGAAAGTTTTGCCCATCACAGGCCGAAGAGTTGCATCTGATCTGTTGCGCTAGCTAGCAAAAGGGAACGCTTCACAGTTCCATTCTCGATCCTGTTGCTGCTATTTTGAGCCCAAAGATGGAGGCGATCTGAATGTGGAGAGGTGGGGCGTTAGCTGGGGATTGATTTGCGATGCACGATAGGCTTTACATCGCCAATTACCCAATTACCAATCCTTTGTTAAAAGAAATCCAAACAAATTCCAGCCTCAGATTAAGTGCGTAATATCGATGTAAAAAAAATATCGCAAAGGTCTTGGCAGCATTCTCTTTATATCTTCCAATGAACTACTTGACGAGATTGCCTCCTTATTGCCAGAAGTTCGCACTCCTCCCGCTTTCAACGGCTTCGCCATGAAGTCGCCAAGTATCCCTAAATACTATGACTCTACTATTGCAAGCCTTAGTAATAGTAACTCAAGACAGACTTGCAGCTTATTGGATCAGGTAGTGGAATACCGAACTTAAATTCCTACTTACGAAACTTTATTTCTAGTCGCTTGTGGCAGATCAAATAGTTTGGGTTCTATGTGTTTGGCAGTTCTACCTTGACGGATATGCATTTTATTGGAAGCTCACTAGGACCCTTGAAATACACACCACTAGACTCCGAAGGGCATATCAGATCCCTGGGCCCTGGGTTGGCGCACATCACTCCACACAGGATAATGTCCATATCAATCTCAGGGCTTCCAGGGTAGACGTAACGAACTGGGCAAAGGCCCCAGGCCGAACCGTCGAGGTTACCCTTGTCGGGAATCTTCATAGGCTGCTTTACCTACCCTCCTGCAAATACCAGTGGACACGATATTTTCTCGGTACGGTACGAGTGCTGACGTGGACGATTATGAGAGATTTGACTACGACTACTAACATGGTGACTACCACGGCCATGAGACTAAGTTTTGAGAGTTACGAACTATATGAGGTTAGGAATCTTGAGCAGGATGTCGAATCTAAAGACCAGACGACCTTGAATTTATTGCTCTCTGCAGCGTCGGCTAGGAGAATAGCCAATCATTTATTGACGGGCGCTAAATATATAGGTTCGAAAGTACACACATTCTCATAGCTCAGGTTGTAGTGGGCAAATCTTCAAGCGTCAATTTAGGTTTGCCTTTAAATCACTGTCGGTAAGAATTTTACCGACGCGAACACCCTAAACCAGTTCAATTTTGTCGGGATCACGACCAGAACTAGCCGCTATTTATGGGGAGAATAATCTTCAATTTTCATACTGTCTCTAAATTGCAGATTTAACGTTCACTTGCATCTAGGGTTACATTCTCGACCAAATGCCAGTGCAACAACTGATTCCCTCTTGATCATCAGACAAATCCAGCTTCAAACTTGACATGAGAAGATAGTGCTCATCTTCGAACCCAGATGGGAATATCGCGTGGCCACCTTTATCGCTTAAGCGTTGCCGTTGTAAGAAACCAGGTTGGGGCTGCCGCTCAGAGTACCAGTAATGCGGCCAGTGGTGCCAAGGGCCTTGATGCGGTTGGTGACGGCAGCAGGGGTGGTGAGGCCCTCAAGAACCTGGAGGTACAGAGCGAGGCCAACAACATGGGGGGTAGCCATGGAGGTACCGCTGAGGCTGGCGGTAGCGCTGTTACCACCGATGTAAGAGGAGAGGATGGAAACACCAGGAGCCATGATATCGACACCAGCTCCTAAATATCAAAGAGAGTCAGTCCTCATATTTCATTGCAAGAAGAATTTAGAGGTTTAGGAAGACTAACCGTAGTTGGTGAATGAGGCAGGGCGCCAGCTGGAGTCGATAGCACCAACGGTCAGGGCGTTGGGGGCGTTGGCAGGAGACTGGCTGGAGACGGGCAGAGGGTTGCCAAAGTCATCGCCATTGCCAGCAGCAACAACGGACAGAACACCCGAGTTGTAAGCAGCGTTGATAGCGGTAGTCCAGGTCTGCTGGGCGGGGCCGCCTAGTCTTCTTGTTAGTTGAAGATTCATTGTGCATAATATATGAGATGACATACCAAGCGACATGTTGATAACAGAGCGTCCCGTGCGTCCCTTGGAAACAATATCATCAACAGCCCAGTTGAATCCAGACAGGATGGTGGAAGTGGAAGCCGTTCGGCCACTGAAAACCTTGACAGAGATCAGGTTGGTCTGTAAAAGGTGGGGTTAGCCTTGATCTTCCCTTCCTTTCCGTATTCCAGCCGAGGCCCTGTGTTTTCTTCCATAAGAGAGGAATGCTTACCTGCTTAGCGACTCCGTAGGTAGAGCCTCCGATGGTTCCAGCAACGTGAGTTCCGTGACCCAGGGTATCGGTGTGCTCTCCGCCAGCGGCGTTGAATCCAAGAGTGGCACGGCCACCGAACTGAGTGTGGGAAATGATGATACCACTGTCGACAACGTAGGCATAAGAGCCAGCGCCAGCGGAGGTGTCGTAGATGTAGCTGGTTGAACCCGAGGTACGGTGAGAGATCGTACCAAGGCCCCAGGTGGAGCTAGACTGAGTGGTCAGGGCACGCTCATCAAGCTCCGGCTCGGCATCAAAGAGGTAGTTGATGTAGTCTGGCTCAACAAAGGCGACCTAGGTTTCTTGTTATTCAGGTGTTCGTTTGAAAACCACTTTCGAATACATACGTCAGGGCTGGCCTTGATCTCAGCAAGAGTCGCCTTGTCGAACTCGCCGGAATAGGCGTTCCAGGTGCTGATGTTGAAAGTGTTCTCAACACCAGCAGTGTCACGCTTGGACAAGCTGCGACGGTGGACATCGGCAACCCAGTTCAAGTGAGATTCAACCTCGACACCGGCATCCGCCTTGAGGGTGACAATGTACTTGCCAGGCACGACGGCGTCATCTCGCTTTGTGGGCGCGGCGAGGGCAGCAGGGAGGAAAGCTCCCAGGAAGAGGGCAAGGTTGCGAAGGCTAGCCATTGTGAATCGTTGTCAAGACTCCAAGAATGCTGAGTTGAGAGGATGATGAGGATGAAGAACTCCAGAGACCAGCACAAGCCGCCATCTTTATATATTTTCGCAGTCAGTTCAATGAAGCCTATCGTAAGACCAATACTACGCGATTTCTTGGCTTCCATATCTTGCGTGACGATGCAAAAGGTTGCGCCTTGGTTACAAGAGTCTGTCAGCTTCCTAAACAGTCTGGCCGTCGGCCGACAGATCCGAGCAAGGAAGGTAGTAGGTCGCGCGAAAGGCTATCGGCCATACTATGGCAAAGCCAAGGCTGGCCTACATATAGTGAGTGTCGTGATTGAAGAGGTACCGGTGAATTAGCGCGGAAACGCGGTTCCCGAGCGCTTCGATGGAAGGCATTTTGCTAGTCTGTCCTGTCAGAATTCTCCGCCGAGCTTTAACCCTACACCTTATGCTTAAGTCAATTCTACTATTCTTCCACCGGTGCTCGGCGCGCGGACCAAAGCCTATTGAGTCATTGAGTAGTGCTGATCGTGCAGGGAACGATCGCGCAGGGGTATCACGGCCCATCCGGGTATCGCGCAAGGCTGGCTACAGATTAGACCAATGCGGACGAAATAAGGTCAACATTAGTTCCTCGAATGATCAGCACTCGCAATACCCTTGAGCACTTGCGAGCTCCTTCTCCTTTTGAATAGCGGATGCGGAGGGCTCCGCCACTCTCAAGTGCCGCTGGGACTAGGATCGGGACAAGCCCTCCAAAGCGGCAACGTGCCCCGATTGCCTCAACGGGAGCAGCCAGTCTAGGATAAGCGACTGCAGATCCGGGTAGCATGCAGTGACTCGGATCCAACCGAAACAGTGAAGGATAGTCAGTCTATACCCCACAAAGTGAGGTGAGGTACTCGGCGATAAATGTCCTGTTGCGGCCATATCACCTGCTGCGCATGAGCGGCTTAAATCGTGGGCCTATCATTCCAAAACATGGATGATAGGGTTAATTACAACGTTATAGTACACCCGAGCAGGGGTATTTAAACTCTTTATTGGCCCTTTTGTTACATTTACCGCCGTATCCCCTGGATCATCAAAGGTTCCATGCTAATCGTACTCTACGCCAATTGAGACCGCAGTCCGTTATCTCTCTGCATCTAAGTCTGCATTTGGTCTCTAGCTCGACATTTCTTCCTGCCTATAATGCCACCTCACTAGGATATTTCATCATCCTCGGTAGATTATCCGGCGAAACGGGTGTCAATCTGATTTCTTTCGCCATTTCCGGTTCATTAATAATGTTGAGGCCACCACTCCTTTATTAATCCAAAATTCTGAGCGTGTTTCTCCCAACCATCTCGTCGCTCCTGCGAGTCGGATAGACTTGAGGCCGGTGCTAATCAGTATAGCCTGGCCCTAAAGTCTTGGCATAGTCGCTAATCATGGTCAGCAGCACACTGGGATTCTCCAAATGACTCGTGGCGAACTGAAGGTGCTCACCCAGACTTAACATGATTCTCTAAAAGTTCCTGTCGAGTTCATCTGTGAAATACTCTCCAACACTGAGTTGAATTTGTTGATTCTAGTCTTGTGGCCCCCGAGCAGCTTCATCACTGAAACCGGTTGACCAACTCGACCATGTTTGTAGCACCACCTTGGAGAACTGTCAACGTGGGGTCTGACAGCAATCGTTGCCTCGAGTGTTTGGGCCACGTTGGATATCGTGATCTCATTCACTCGCTCAAGTCACTAATTTCAAACATGAAAATCTCGATTCTCCTAAATGGACTGTACACATGCCGAACGTACGCTTGCAAGGACATAGGAAGAGCTTCCTATCATTCGTGTAGCGTTAATCATACAAAGCCAAAGTAGCAAATGACACCTCATCTATGGGATGCCGGCCACATCTATGCTTTTAAGCTCTTTCTTGTCCCTCCAGAAGAGTACGCTCTCAACTCCAGTCAAAGTGTGGTAGTTTAAACCAACTGCAGGAATTTCGGTGCAGAAATGCAGATAGCATGAAAACCTCGCATCACGTTCAATCCAACAAGCAAGACCGTTCCTAGTTTCTCCTTCTTCAATGGTCAAACAAGGGATGAATGTATACCCTGGCTCTAACACACTCACAATAAATAAGAGGAAGGTGATTAACAGCAGACTGAGTAGGGGTTGAATGACGTACTTCGATAGCCCAACCCTATTTGGGCAGGTCGCAGAAGGTATTTGCTACCGTTCTGTGCTTGTTCCAATCCTCCATATCCTGGTGGACGACCTCGACACGTTCGGTTTCGGTAATATTAGGTGCAGTGATTGCAATTCCCTAAAGGTTTTAGCCGCAAGAACGAGATTGCAGTGACAAATAAATAAGATCCTACCTCGCCATAGCTCCCATCAACTTCAATACGCAAATTAGTATCAAGATGACTTCCAGTATCCGATGTTTGTTTTTGAAATGAGCGGAAATATCTAATTCAGTTATGAATCCAAACTTAATCAGCAGGCTGCAATAGCAGACGAAGTGCAGGCCGATAAATACCTAATAAAAATTGCACAGAATTTAGACACTACGCCAAATATAATCTTCAAGACAAAGAGACGATAGGTCCATCTCTTCCAGCGTGGGAATTGGCTTGTAGGGCTCGCTGATTGCAGCAATTTCCATGGACGAATCAGACGAATTAGTTTTCATGCCACCAGGCTCTAGGACAGTGATATGAACACCCAGTGATTTGACTTCCGAAGAGAGAACGGAAGAGAACCCGCCAACAGCCCATTTAGAAGATTGGTAGGCACACAGGCCGTGGCTACTCAATCTTCTACCAAGCGAAGAGACCTAGAGAACATGACCTAAACCTTGCTGGCGTAGGATAGGGAGCACGGCTTTTGTGATATAGACGACGCCCAAAAAGCTGGCATCGACTTGAGCCCGAAAGTCATCAATTGCAATGTCCTCCGTAGCAGCTAGGTTGGCGTATCGAGCAGTATTGACGACAACATCGTTTCTGCCAAATTTTTCGTGACCAGCCTTAGCGACATCGCAATTGTTCGTAACGTCGAGAGTCACTGAGAGGATCCTATCAGAACCATATTTGTCGACTAGTTGTTGAAGTTACTGGGGCTTCCGAGCCGCCGCAATGACCTCAGCACCATCTTGGCGTGCTGCATCGACGATAGCAGGCCGAGACCGCGAGAGGATCCCGTAACGAGCCAGACTTGAGACATGATAGGATTTTTTTGGTACTGGTGAATTAGCGGTTTATGACAGGAGTAGAGATGAGAATGATTAACAACCTGAACCGTAAGAGACGGGCGAATAATATGTACTATGTACTGGGGAGTTCGCTAGGAGGAAACCCATCGCACTGTGTCACACTTCCATGGATCCCGACTGGGTGCACCTGGCGGGTGGGTGGACCATGGGCGGATCATGGGTGGACGACACGCTGGTGCTCTGGTCCGCACGAGGCGGAGAATATACGAAGTTAGCAAAGCGTATGATGTAACTATTGCTTGGTGTTTCGGGATTTCCTTGGTGTGGTTTTGCGACTGTTTCGGGGGTAAGGGTATGATTTACTGCTAAGGCCGGTACGTGCATGACTTGACGCCATTCCATACACCGCAGGAATACGCAGAGCTTCAATCGACCTCATGTATGAGTTATTACGTAGTAGAACCTTTTCAAGACTTCCGCTAGTCTCCGCCTTTGATATAACAACATTGGCTGTTCACAAAGCCAGTCATCACTACCGGTTATAGTCATTAGTGCTTCTGAAACGTCGAGGTGGTGAGTCTAGATGCTGCTTGTCGCTCAATGAGCAAAGTCATGGAGGCGGAGCAAAACCGCTGGGTGCGGCGACATGCGGCCGTGGTCATCATGGGAACAATTCCATACTAACTACTCCACCCTGAGATAGCGTGAGGTCTCCGCATTGGCCTGCCTGTTTAGGCGGTTGAGAGGAGACGGTTGAGCATGAATAGTCTCAATGCTCCATGTTTACACTTGCTAGACTACTTCAAATGTCTGACTTCACCAAATATAAAAGGCCAAGCTCGTACCATTGCACATTTCCTTCACATCCTCTCACGCCACCATCAAATCAGCATCTCATGTCTCATTTAAATTCTCGACTTAAAGAATCTCGAAATGTCACACGCAATTGCTCAATTTGCTACAAAGGTGACAATTATCAGGGCTAGGCACCGGTATTGGGGTAGATACCGCCATATTACTCGCACAGCGAGGAGCCAAATCAACGCTTCGAACGTTTTTGCAGATGGCGGGTTCCCTGAACAAGCCGCTGATGCTACAAGCAAGCATGGCCTCAGGGGTCCAACTCGGTCCACCGCAATAGACTAGGCAACACGAAATCTCAGGATCAACGAGCTCCAGCCTGGCGTGAGAGAAACACATATGTACACTTTCTTTCAGAGGCCTTCTTGTATGCGTAGCCTTGAATGATTTGTCTGTGGAGCATTATGTATTCAGAGGAGGGCTCGACCGTCTCTGATAGCTGTGCTGAGCAGCTTCCGAAATCGATGATACAGACCCCTAAACGCTGTAGCTGCAAGGATCTTTCCATGAAGCTTTCAAAAACGGGACTCTCAATACCAAGAGCCTGAGTCATTATGTGATATACGTCGTAATTTACTACGTCGTTTTTATTGGGCTACAACAAAAGTACACTCCGCTAATTCTTAGTGTAAAAATGGCCTGTCATAGTGGTTTTAGATTCGGATTGCGGAGTGATTGCGGGCTTGATTGCGGAGTTTGGTATTGAGTTCGGACGGGGGACTCTATAGTATCAGGAGAACATATAAAAAGGAAGCTTGGTCTAATTGTACCCAGCATTTTTTTCATCTACCAAGGCAGCCATCATGACAGTCGTAGCCGTAGCAGGAGGTACCCAGGGTCTCAGTCGATCGATCGTCGACCAACTTGTGAAGCACAGCGAATACAAAGTGCTAATTTTAGCCGCAAGTTAAGCGGCCTCTTCCAGAACCCATCCAATCTATGGCTAATAGTGGTAGCCACAACCACAAGTCGAGGAGGAAACAGGCCTGCCCGTTATTGAGGTGAACTATGGGGACGAAGATACTATTGTTGAAACTTTGAACCAGAATGGCGTCGAAATTCTCATCTCAACCATCAACGCCATGGCAGATGTTCAGCCTGAGCTTACCCTGATGAGGGCAGCCAATCGTGCCAAAACACGGAGGTATATTCCCAGTTTCTTCGGAAGCTTCTGCTACCAGGACAAGTAGGTTGCCTATCCCAGTTAACAAAGTCACACGTAACTAAGCATGGCCATTTACAGACATGGAATTCTTCCTACCGTCAAAGCCAAGCTCGATATCCGTGAAGAGCTGTCAAAAATGACGTCTCTGGAGTACACTGTTGTTTACAACGGATACTTCCTCGACTACTATGGAAACGGGACTGTTCCCTCCTACCTACAGATTGTTCCTGCAGTCATTGATATGGCAAATAATGCAGCCGCAATCCCAGGATCAGGGAACACGCCGGTAGCATTCACCCACACGCTTGATATTGCCAAATTCGTTGTGGCATTGCTGGGTGTCGACTCCTGGCCCAAGGAAAGTTTTATCATCGGTGACAAAGTCACTTGGAACCAGTTTGCTGAACTTGCGGAGAGTGTTAAGGGTATGTATCGGTACCATTCCCAAGCGAGATTTAAGGCGCTCTCATTAACACTTACAAAATAGGACCATTCAAAATCAGCCATGACCCGGTCGAACTGTTACAGACAGGCCAAATGACAGAGCTTCCTGGGCAAATCTCGCTGTATCCGTTCTTCCCCAAAAGTGGTTTCCAATGGCTCTACTCACACTTCGGACTTTGGTTTGAGAGTGGAGAATTTGATCTTAATCCACCGCAGAAACTGAATGATGTGTTCCCAGACATTAAGCCAATGTCGGTGAAGGATTTCTTAGAACGGTCCTGGAAATAGTTTTGCAACTCATATTGCCCACAAGACGGCTCGGAAGAAAAATACCTAAACCTCAGGAGTCAGATGTTCAAGTGAAGATGTGTTTGAAACATCAGCCGTCTGTCGTTCACGCGCAGAAGCAACCGGTCAGAGTAAGCTTCCTGATATTACGAATAGTAGTCCTCCAAACCCCGTAGTGTCAGTCTACACCTCATCCGCAACTTCATCCCCAGTCTTTTATCGGCCAGAGATTGAGACACCAAATCACACTTTGACATAACATCCGACCTTGGACTCATGGACTCCGACCTTCTCCAAAGAGCATGCACGCTAGCAGAGCGAAGCCCATTTCGGGGTCTGCTTGGAACACGTTCTGAGTTGAAACATCGTCCAGGGTAGGTGTTTATGATACCGATGATCATAATTCTGGGCCTGTGCTTTAGGCCCAATCGGGCATGTGAATTATGTATATCTGCAGCCCCCCTCTGATGTGATTGGCGACAGTGGGATTCATCCGGAGTGGAGAGTGAGGCTGTGCTCAGACCTCCTCGCCAGATGCCATCTGATAGCTGCTGAAACGACCCAGTCACCAAAAACGTGGCACGGGTGTGGTTTCTCTGTCCATGTGCTGAGGGATCCTTGCCCACACTGGTGGGGGCGCGATGTACAGTGAGTGACAGGCGTAAGCAGCGTCGTTTCGGCATTGATAACGACCCTCTAATAGAAGCATACTGATTGCTTCCATAGTGGCCCGGTGGGGAGAGTTTATGGCATAATTGGCATTTCTAGTCGCGAGACAAGAGGCAAAGCTTGGTAATCGACCCGTGTGTACGGGGAATATGCACGTTGGGGAACCCATGGCTCCAATATTACGAAAAGATGTTGCACTTCCTCCTCCACCGTTATCGTCATCAGGAACATCGCTACAGAGTATCTGCTGGAGGTGTCGTAATCCCGCAACCTAAGGCTCAAAACAGTTGGTTATTTCCGCCTGTTCCGGGGCCCCTTACGCACTCTGGCGCTGGCGTTGGCGCTGGTCCAAGGGGGGCTTCGAGAGATGACGAAATGTCCGCAACCCTGGTCGGCGAGCCGCTTCGGGCCATTCTTGATTTCTAAGACGGCAAGGCCAAGGGATCTCGGCGGACGGCTCAGCCTCAATGTGCCTATGCGAATGCCATGCTTCTTCCGGTTGGGACCGCCATGCTCCAACCCGCCAGGGAGGGGCCGCCCATCGCGGCGCAAAGGTGGCGAGACGGACAGGCGATGCAAGCGACTCGGCAGGGGAGCCAGGCGTCCGTCCGGTGACTGGCCGACCGGGTTACAGGCGACTGCCCGCTGGACGACCACTGGAACGATGTCATTCCGGAGGGGGGACGTGCTGGAGGGACATGGGGCGGGGAAGGGAAGTGGGCGGCCTACACAAGCTTCGGACAGACTAGCGAGCTGGTGTTATGGACACTCGGGCGGCTAGAGTTTCACAAACCAACGGTCAACAAGGCCTGTGGATGGAAATCGCGGAATAGAAGCTCAAATGGACGTGAAATATTCAACCTGTTTCCAAGAATCCCTCGCTCGCTTGATTTGCAAACAATTTGTCATGCTTCATGTTAGTTACGCCGCTCTTTGACTAGGTCTCACAACACTGTTCCTTCTGGGTCGCCGCTGTAATGCCCTCACTCAGGCTTCCGGGCGTAAACAACATGCCTATCGATAGATCAGTACCACTCCCCAACCATCGCTGCCCAACTTGACTTACATGGTCCAATAACCGTGCAACCTGCGGTCCCGGATCTCCCTGCGCACCGCGGCACAGCAGGCGAGCACCTCCTCCTTGGACCAGCCGGCCACGCGCGTGAGCAGCGCCAGCGAGAAGGCCTCGAGCCCCATGTCCAGGTTGACGCACTGGTAGCGGCCGATCTCCTTGAGCTTGGGGTCGCGCGGCCACGAGCTGAACGGCCACTTGAACTCGCGGTGCACGATGTCGACGAAGCCCGCCTGCTCGATCGTCGGGATGCCCTTGGCGATGCTGCCGATGGGCCGCCCGATCTTGACCGACGCGTCGTACAGCGCCTCGTGGTACTTCCACACTTGCGAGTCCTTGGTGATGGTGCCGTCGTCGCAGCCCATGGGCAGCGAGAGGTCGGCAATCTCAAAGTAGCCGCCTGGTTCGAGGGCGCTGGGTGGAGCTCGTCAGCGGGAGCCCTGGTCTTTCACATACATCAATCTCTTACTTGTAGGCTTTCTGGATCAGCGCTGGCACATCGGCAAAGCAGCCAGCCATGCCACGGCAAAGGATGAAGTCGAACGGGGTGGACCAGGTCCACTCCTTCTCCAGATCGTCAATCTCGAATCGGCAGTTCGGTGGAACCCTTGGCAACGCTTGTCAGAATGATGAAGAATGCTCCAACGGTAGTCTTCTCACCAGTGAGGTTGGACAGGGCTGAGGTCAACTCCGATAACCTGTAGCTCTAGTTAGTCACTCCAACCCCTTGTCTATTATGCAGGTTCTCTGGAACCTCGTACCTCAGCCGCTGGGTGCGATTCAGCTGAAAATATGGTTAGCCATGACTTATCACGTCTGGACATCAAGATTGAGAGGTTACCAAAGTCAATCGCCCATAGCCCGGTGCCAGTGCCGATATCTAGGACACGCTTGGCCGTGGAGGCCCCAGGGCTAAGAGCCAACTCTCCATCGAACTGGATAGTCCAGATCTGATGTTGCAAATCTAGAACCGCCAGTTAGTGCCGGAACTCTTCCCAACCTAGTTGCCATCAACCTACCAAGACGCTCGTTCTCTTGCTGGTTGAGGCAAGTCTGGGGTCAGCCGCTAATCGAATCAAGGATAGCCCTCTCGATCAACTCACGTCGTCGTTGGGAAAGTTGTACTCTTAGCGGGTTTTAAACGTTAGCCCGACTGCGCCCCGAAATGTTGAACTTTGATGTTGGAAAATGAGGGGTAGAGAGGACGTACTCCCCTCACTCATTGAGTGATACCTCCGGCCATTTTCATGTTTGTGCTGCAAGATGCTGGATCGGAGGGATGCCAGTGAGGACTCCTCCTCGAGGCGCTGCAGTGCAGGTGGTGTCAATAACGCGGGTTCTTGGTAGGCTACGCTGTTGAAACTACGTCGTGCAACATACCACGCCCAGGGCTGAGTCGGTGTCTTCATCCGCCACCTGCGAGTGGGAAACTGAATTAGCACGCAAAGCCAGCAAGCCAGCCAACACCATTGCGGGTCAGGGATGTCACAGGCGCCTCACAATCAGGGGAGCTTGATTCTCGTCCCGGCACATGGTTGGAGGGAACGTGCAGATGTCGCCGATATAGAGGTGAGGGCGTTCACGATGGAGAGGACGGAATACGGGAGCAAGAGACGCATCAGGCGTTTTCGCGTGTTGGTCGGGAGTGGGCCCGTGGCTTCTTTTATACCATACGTTTGTCCCCGTTGAAAGACGTCCGGACGACAGGGGGTTTCCGCGCGTTGGGTGCGGTTTCGCTCCAGTCCCTGGTCGGCAAGTGCCCCGACTAATGCAGTCCCGCGGGCAGATAGGCTCAAAGATAGATGCATGCTGGATGTGAATAGGGAGAATCAACATCAATAGGCAGATGATATCGTTTTTCTGTCTTCTCTTTCTGACGAGGTACGGAGTAGTAGGTATCATGATGGATGGATGCATGCCCCGTCCCAAATCGCTCGCCAAGCAGGTATCCGCGGAACCCATCGACCACAAGGGAAATTGGGCTAACGGCCCCCAGTCCGTCACGGCGGCAGAAGAAAGTTCTTCGGGCGATGGATGGCTGGCCGCCATGCCGAAGCTGGAGGAGAGGTAATGCAGCAAATAGCGGCAGCGGGCCGTGAGCCATCTTCCGCGGCCTCCTGGATCGCTCTGGGCTGTGGGAATAATGCATCCCTTCCCTAGGCCGGCCCTGGTTCTGGGATTGATCCAGGTCCCCGTCCAGTGACTCCAGTCCGGTCTGGCATCGTGTTCACGGCTGGCTGACAGGCACCAAGTAGGTACCTAGATGGTGAGAGTCGTTCGACAGACCCTGCATCCCCTCCCTGTCGCTCTTCCGTTTCCTCTCCTCTCACTTCCCCTCTCCGGGGTTGGTCGACGAAGTACTCTCCTCCCACATCCCAATTTTTTTCTCTTCTCCTCATCGATTCATCTCGACCAGCGCTCTAAGTTCGACTGTCAACGCCTCGCTCTCGCAAAAGAGGCAGCACGTTGCTTTGTCCACTCGGGAACTGACCACCTATCCGAACGCCTCGCCCAAGGCCCAGCAAGTCCGCTCTTAGCGCACGGCGAACCCACCGACTTAGCGACTGTCCGGCCTGAACCCCCGCCCGCCGACCCCCCCGCTCCACTGCAACGGATCCTCCCATCATCCATCATCCATCATCATCCCTCGCCCAACACAGCGCCCCTGTCAGTCAGTCGCCCAGCGGCACCTGGGTCCGGGTGTTCAGCGTCCAATCTTCGGTGGCGGCTCTGAGCCTTCGCCCCGAGCCCGAGCCTAACGCTGAGCCAGAGCCACGAGGTGGGATGCCCGCAAGGTGAGAGGCCGCTGACCGACCTGGAGCGAGCGCCCTAGAGCCCTGTAAGTTAGGCCTGGAGCCCTGGGAGATCAAGATATTTTCCATTTTCGAGGAGAAGCACAGGAGAACGAGTCGCTGCCTCAGGCACCCGTTTCTTCCCAGCTGCCGCTCTGTCCCGTCCCATTCCCATGGCCCATTCCCCGTCCCAGCTGTGTCATTCCCAGACTCCGTCCCAGACTCAGTCCCAGCCTCAGTCGTCCAACGGCAGCGCGGCTCCGGCTATTTCTTCTCTTACTTCGCCGTCGTTCCATTCCGCTTCGCCAACCCAGCCTCAGTCTCAGTCTCAGTCTCGGTCTCGCTCCGGGCTTGTGTCTGCGCCTCTCTCTCTGGACCAAGAGCCCCCAAGCTCCCTCGCCCTTGCGACTCCGACGTCGTCATCTCCTGCATCGTCTCCCCCGTCGTCTTTGTCATCATCCTCACTCTCACCCTCGCCGTCACGCTCCCGCTCCCGCTCCCGCTCGCGAACTCTCCCCCTCCACCTCCACCACTTTCGCCCTCACCTTCATCTCCATCTCCATCACAATCGCCATCCAAGCGCCCGCGCAACCGACATCGACCGCCCTCCTCTGCTCCGTCGAACATGGACCCGACTGCTTGACCGAAATAAACCCGTCGTTATCCCCGTCGCCCCCGTCGCTCCCGTCCGTCCCGTCCACTTTGAATCCCCCAACAACGTCGCCATGCCTCCCTCCAAGACCTCCAATGGCTCCGGCGGCCAGGTCAGCCATCGCCTGCGCAACTTTTTCCGCATGAACACTGGCAGCAGCACCGGCAGCGGCTCTAGCGAGAAGGAGAAGGATAAGACGCCAACTACCGCATCCACCCCCGATGCCGCATCCAGCTCAAAATCCTCCCGCCATACAAAGTTCTTCAGCAACACCGTCGGTCGCCTGCGTGCCCACACCGTTGCCAGCGAGGGTAACCAGCTCGACGAGGCTATGAGCCCGACTGCGCACGCGAACCCTTACTTCGCCCACCAGGGCCAGCCCGGATTGCGTCATCACAACGCCGGCTCCGTGCCCCCAAGCCCTCCCGATACCCCGACCCTCAAGATCCAGGGTCCCGACGGCACCAATGCGGAGCAAGCCACCAGCGAGACCAAGGAGGAATTGGCCCGGAGGCTGAGGAGGGTTGCTAGTGCCCCCAATGCTCAGGGTCTGTTCTCCAAGGGCGAGGCTAATGGCGACCGTCCTGCCACCGCCGAGTTGGGAAAAGACCCTCTCGTCGCCAACGGATCCCTAGGATCTCTCGGCCTCTTTGAGTCTAACAAGGCCAATGCCGCAGAGACCAAGGCGCCGCCTACCACCAACGAGGACATTCTCGCCGCTTTACCCGCCCCGCACACTGCCATGGCCTTCCGAAGGACCTACAGCTCCAACTCGATCAAGGTTAGGAATGTCGAAGTGAACCCGTCAAGTTTCGACAAGATTAAGCTCATTGGCAAGGGAGATGTCGGAAAGGTCTACCTTGTCAGGGAGAAGAAGAGTAGCCGCCTGTACGCCATGAAGAGTATGCGCACCCATTTCGTCCAACACATCTGAGCCGTCGCTAACAGCCCCAGTCCTGAGTAAGAAGGAAATGATCAAGCGAAACAAGATCAAGCGAGCCCTTGCCGAGCAAGAAATCCTGGCGACAAGCAACCATCCTTTCATCGTCACCCTCTATCACTCGTTCCAGTCCGAGGATTACCTCTACCTATGCATGGAGTACTGCAGTGGTGGCGAGTTCTTCCGCGCACTCCAGACCCGTCCCGGAAAGTGTATTCCCGAGGAGGATGCTCGCTTCTACGCTGCCGAAGTGACAGCCGCTCTCGAGTACTTGCATCTGATGGGCTTCATCTACCGTGATCTGAAGCCAGAAAGTGAGTTTGCTTCACTTTGCGGATAAATGCAGCTGCTGACAAATTAACCCCAGACATTCTCCTACATCAATCTGGTCACATCATGCTCTCGGACTTTGATTTGTCAAAACAGTCCGACCCTGGTGGTAAGCCCACCATGATTGTTGGAAAGAACGGCGCCAGGACGGATGCCCTCCCGACCATCGACACGAGATCATGTATTGCCAACTTCCGCACCAACTCATTTGTCGGCACAGAGGAGTACATTGCGCCGGAGGTCATCAAGGGTAGCGGCCACACTAGTGCTGTTGACTGGTGGACGTTGGGAATCCTCATCTATGAGATGCTCTACGGAACCACACCCTTCAAGGGCAAGAACCGCAATGCCACTTTTGCAAACATTCTGCGGGAGGATATCCCCTTCCCAGACCATGCTGGCGCGCCGCAAATCTCCAAGTAAGCTTCCCCTTGACCGAGAGTTTCCGCCCAAACCTAACAATCAAACAGCTTGTGTAAGTCCTTGATCAGGAAACTGCTCATCAAGGATGAAAACCGCCGATTGGGAGCTCGAGCCGGTGCTTCGGATATCAAGGCGCACCCCTTCTTCCGAACGACACAGTGGGCTTTGATCCGCCACATGAAGCCCCCGATTGTCCCCCACGCTGGTCGGGGTATCGACACGGTCAACTTTCGCAACGTCAAGGAAAGTGAGAGCGTCGACTTGAGCGGATCTAGGTCGATGAACCTTAAGGGCGTTCCCTTGGACAGCGGGCTGTCAACGCCAGGTGGAGATATTGCGGACCCGTTCCTCGAGTTCAACAGCATCACGCTTCATCACGACGGAGACGAGGACTCGCATCACCATCACAACATCTCAAACGACCACAGCCCTTAAATGCACTTAAAAGATGAGGCCGGGAGAGGCGTCGCCTGTGCGCTTGGCGCGAATCAGTCTAGCCCTGCCCACTCGGCGGACTAACTAACCAACCACCACTTACATGTATACACGTGCGACATTATGATTTTGGAATTATTGTATCGGGGCGCCTGTTTGTCGTGCATTTCCAACATCATTCGAATCATAGCCACTCCTTTGGAAGAAGACGAAAGACGGGCAGTCGGCCAGGGGACGGATACGGAGCGAGATGGGCGGAGGCAGCTTGGCTCCTAGCGCTTGGCAGGGAAAGCCAATGGAGACGAGAGATGGAATATCGAGGAGGATTACGCTCAGCATTCATGGTTGTGCTGTCAAAATGGCGTCGGTCTGGTCTGGCGTTTCGGGAAGAGCGGGAAAGAAAGCAATGTTATGTACAGTCTTGACCAGTCCACGAAGTTGAAGAGCACGTGAGAATCTACCAATAGAGCAAGGGTATTGTCTTTCCACTCTGAAACTGTTGGTGTGCGTATTTTGGTGAGCGTGAGTGTCGCGTGGGCTATGTGGAGCTTCTTATCGATGGGTTGAGGTCAGATGGACGCTCGCACATGACCAAGTCTCAACACCACGGGCACCGCGCTTATGGAGGCGCAGGGCACATCTGCCTGGTTGGAGTCTTGGGGTCTCACATTTCTCACGTCTGGGGCGCGTTTTCTTGTAGTAATTCTTAAGGAGGGCCTGGAGGACAATTCCCATGATGAAGATACGGTGCTCATGGGATCTTGATGGTGTCTCGGTGGGAGGTGGTGCGTCGACTCAAAAACGTCGTCTGCCCGGGTTAATTCCTCACTTGTTCTGTTTCATCAGATTCGATGAGACCTTTTCCTGGAAGACAACGTTAACGCACTAACTCAATTGTCATTTTTTGGGCGTCTTTTGCTCATGTCGCGACATCAACCAACCCCGGAGCCACGGCGCCGGTCCTCACGGCGCCGGTCCTCGGAGCGGGGCGGCAACGGCCCCGATACGATGCAGCCGCGGCCGTATCTCGTCGAGTGGAGCGCGCAAACCTGTCGACAACGAGGGGTGCTGGACGTCGACGAGCTGAGGGAGGAGATGGGCGCGCCGGAACGACCGGGCTGGAGACGGCTGGTTATCATGAGGGGGAGCGAGAGCGAGATGGACTTGGCCGTGGGCTTGGAGCTGGCTGAAGGGAGGGGGCGGAGGAGAGCGTCTGGATGGGCGTGGGAGTATCCTGAAATTGAGACGAAGGCCGACACTGAGCCGTCGAGTAATGGTCGAAAGGGTATCGAGGAGGACGGCCCAGAGAGACGGATAAAGGAAAAAGGCATCCGCCTCTGCCGCGCCGCCCTCTCGACTAACACGCGCATCCCCATCCTCCTCCTCGACGGCCTCCCCCCACAGACACCGCACCGCCCTCCCCGCCTCTCACGGCACTCCCACCAGCGCCGACAATCCAGCGCCAACCGCCCCCCGCGCCCCGAGAACACCCCCGGCGGCGCGTATCCCCCGGAGCGCTCGGGGCTGGAAGACGCGCTGTGGGACGTCCTCGGTGACGGGCGGCCGCTGGAGTCGGTCCTCGCTGAGCTGGCGTATGACGCTTGGCTGTTTGCGCTGGACTCGCTGCCGCCGCACGAGGGCGATTCGGTGGAGATTCTGTGGGCGTTGGCGCAGGCGCTGGAGAGTAATGCCGACACTGCGAAGAGCATGGAGCGGCGTGGTCTCGGAGTCGGTCCTGATGGTGTAACTGCAGCAGACTGGACAGCTCTGGCAGAGCGTCTTCACCGCCGAATGCATCTCTCCGTTGCCTTATCCCTCCAGGTAACGAAGCAGCCTCAGGAACCGTCGCAGAAGGCCAACTCCCGCAGCCTCGACCGCATCGCCTACCTCGGCGGGCTGCTCTTCCCGGCCACCGTCGTCTCGGGCGTGCTCTCCATCGAGGGCACGTACGGCCCAGAGGGCTCCGCCTTCTGGGTCTTCTGGCTCGCGGCGGGCCTATCGTCCATCGCGGCCCTGCTCATCATCTACGCCGACACGCTGCGCACGCTGGACGTGTGGATGGAAGTCGCCGCGGGCGAGTTCGCCGAGGGCCTCGACGCCGCCGACGACGGGATCCAGGCGCTGCGACACCACCGCCGCCGGCGCGGCCAGCAGCAGAACTTCCAGACGGCCGGCGACGAGGAGCGCGGCGAGGCGAGGGTCACGACGGCGGCTGATGGCGGCGTGTACGTGGTGCAGCGCAGGGGGGACGGGACGAGTGGACGCGCGTGGCGACGCAGGGAGTTGGGATGGTTGGGCGCGGTGAAGAAGATGAGCGGGTGGTACATGATGCGAGGCAGCCCGGGGATGGCGTTCAAGATGCCCGGTTGGGAAGAACGGGTGGTGGACTTGTGGTGAGATGTATAGAGGTGGGGATAATACCAGTGGTGTGTTTATTAGATGAGGTTGCATTGCGATGTTGCTTTGGTTACAAACTAGATGCAAAGAGCCAGCCAGCCCATTCAGGAGAGTTTTTCAGTACCGCGAGGTTTTACATGTCCTCCTTTGCCCATTATCAAATCCAGTCACTTCACATATACAGTTCCACCGTGATACCTCGGCCGTCTCCTGACCGGTACATAACACAGCCCGATGATGGTACACATTCGCCCCCGCTGCTCGTCAAGCTCCCCATCGTCCATTGTCGTAAGCGCTTCGTTTCCCTTCCCTCATACCCGGTCCACGCTCGAGCGGCGGTTGCCCAGGCCAATCTTCTCCTTGCCGTCCATCCACGGCCGCAGGCACTCGGGCACCGCGACCGTCTTGTTCTCCTCGTCCCAGCCGTTCTCCAGCAGCGCGGCCAGCACGCGCGGCACCGCGAGCGCCGTGCCGTTGGCCGTCCAGGGGAAGGACAGGCGGCCGTCGATGCGCGTGCGCGTGCCCAGCCGCCGCGTCTGGTAGTCGGTGCACAGGCTGGCCGACGTCACCTCGCCCCAGCCCTCGCGCCGCGAGGGGAAGTGGGCTTCCATGTCGACCTTGCGCGTGGCCGAGGCGCCCAGGTCGTGCGTGGGCATGGCGAGCACCCGGCAGTAGAGGCCGAGCGACGAGAGGATCTCGGTCTGCATGTCGAGCATCTCGTCGAGGACCTCCACGCCCGTGTCCTGTTCCGGGGGCGTCCATGCGAACATCTCGACCTTGGTGAACTCGTGCACGCGGTACAGGCCCTTGGTGTCGGCGCCGCGGGCTCCAGCCTCGGCGCGATAGCACCGCGAGACGGCGACTCGCTTGAGGGGCAGGTCTTCCGAGTCGATGATGGTGTTGGCCTTCATCCCGGCGAGGGCAATCTCAGACGTGCCGGTCAGACACATCTCGGGGACGCCTCGATCAATATCGGCGGCCGACTGCGCAATCGTGTACACCTGCTGGTCGCCGCTCTCATCCCGGGGCTGGAACCCGCACGCGGCGCCGATGTGGCTGTACACCATGCTGGGCGGCGACACCTGAGTCCAGCCGTAGCGTGTGGTGACGGCGAGGGCGTACTGCACGAGGGCCTGCTCGAGCTGGGCGGCCTCGCCGAGGAGGTAGTACCAGCCCCAGCCGGACGCAGTGGCGGCGCCGGCGAAGTCGAACAGGCCCAGCTCGGAGCCGATGTGGACGTGGGAGCGCCAGATCTTGTCCTCGGGCGACTCGGGAAAGGTGGGCGGGTCGTTGATGTACGTGAGCAGCTCCGGCTCGTCGCCGCGCGGCGTGTCGTCGCTGGTGAGGTTGGGGATCTCCAGCGCCAGCTCCTCCATCTGGGCGACGGCCTGCGCCTCGCCCTTCTCGATGACCGACAGCTCCTGCTTGAGCCGGCGGGCCTCGTCCTGGATCTGCTCGCGGCTCATCAGCCGCACCTCCTGGAGGTCCTGGTCATCGCTGCTGGTGGCCGGGTTGGCGAGCTGGCGCCGCAGCAGGTTGGAGCGCTCGCGCAGCGTGCGGCCCTGGCGCTGCAGGTCCTGGAACTTTGCGTGCAGCTCGACAATCAGCGCCGGGTTCTGGGCCTGTCGCTTGTAGTTGCGCTCGATGCAGGTGCGCTCGTACAGCTCCGGGTTCTGGCGGATGTGCTTGATGTCGACGATGGGCTTGGGCGCCGACGGCGGGCGCTTGACGTCAGCGAAGCCGCGGCGCAATGCCGCGTGCGCCTTGGGCTGCAGGTTGCGACACCGCAGGCGTAGCAATGTCCTGTTCATTGTGCGTTGCGGGCTCAGTGTGAGCTTCTCATTGCCCTGGGGTGAGCTTGACGTCGCTCCAAGCTTTGGTGGTGGGATGAGGCTCAGAAAGTGGGTTATGCAATTACCCGATCCCGCTCCGATCCATCCCCGAGATCATCGTGAAGCCGTCGCAAAGCGCCCGCAACAACCGTTGAGCCGGCCCATTCCTGGTGCGGCCGTTGACAAAGAATCGTTGCAAAAGGGGTATATTCGTAGACCAGGTCTAATACATTTCTATGTTTTAGTCGTTGACGCCGTCCATGTCCTTTCATCGTGGAGGCTTTACTTCAACAACGTGTCTCCGTGGATATCTTATCCATCGGCCGATTGCGATAATCACGCCACCCATTGAGGTCCAGCTGTCCAATCCTCACAACCAATGGGCCCATTTACAGATATCCCCAGGTCCCCAGAGTCCAGGCAGTGTGATGTCCCCCGCCACCTCTCGCGTAGCCGCCCGTAGTCACGCTCTGCCGTTGCTGAGCCTTGACATCAATGTCGTTTGGTCGAGACGCTCCGTTGGCGCCTTGTTGCAGCCAAATCTCCCGATCAATAATGGCCATTGCGGGCATCTTCAACTGGCATAGCAAGCTACCTCCAGTCCATGGTCCAAGAGAGTGTAGCACACGGAACTTTCCATGCATTTGCGGTGGTGCTTCCCGATAACGTGCCACCTTGGCCTCGATATGATCGGGCTCAGGACGGGCATCTGCAGGACCACGGGGTGTAGTTTCTTGGTCATCGCTAGTCTCGGACGGCGATGCAGAACCGTCTCCTAGTGGCGAACTGCTGGATCTCCGTTGCAGCTTGGGGTTTTTGCGTAGCTGGTCCACGCCCTTGCCGGCAACTGGCGCCCATCCTCTTTTGTTGACGATGGCCGTCACATCATCAATGATTCGCTGCTTGAGTCCCAGGATGTTGGAACTCCCTCCTATGAATATAATTCGGGACATGCAAATGGCCCGCACGTCCAATGGCAGTTGTAGGAGATGTTGGTAGACAAGCAGGTGAATCGGGAGCTCATGGTCATCGAACGTCGTCTGGTCCACCGAAGGATCGAAAAATGTGTCGTCGCAAACCTCGGCCAGCTTCTCGAATGGGATTTCCAGTGTCGATGGCGGGTTTGTTGAGTTGATGGGCACGTTGGCCACGCCTATCTGTAGTACGTCCTGTAATGACTCTGCCTCGGATTCGTCTTGTTCCTCGACGGTTTCCAGCTGGGCCGAATCTCTTTGGGATGACTTGGATGCGGATGGTCTGCACCACATTAGACGGCGTAGAATATCGTCGCATTCATCAAAGCTAATGGCTCTTGTTTCGTCGTCGGTGTGATTTCGCCGCATCAACGAATGCACAGCCTTGTAAAGTGCGTCCAAGAGGAGCCTCCCTCCTCTGACACTCCGCGTGCTTTTTACTTCACGATACTCGTACACACTAGTCACGACAGTCTCAGCCCAGCCGAGGTCGATGACCAGGGCTGAGCGGACACCCGCAGAGACGGCTGACGTGACCGAGGAGGCCATGAGAGAAATAGTGGGAGACTGAAAGCGGTTGAACATTGTGTCCAGTACGGCTGTCAATAGGGGCACTGGCACAGCGGAATCCAACACAAGACCCAGCCTCCTAGGCCGAGAATCGATGAGCAGGTATCTAAGGTCTCACATGAGTATTTAGTGAGACATGGATGAGAAGGAAACTTACTTGGTGAATGCATCTCGTATCACGCGTTCGAGGTTATCCTGGCAAAGCCCCAGGTCGACATCCCGCAAGTCGTAGCGCCAAAACTCATGCTCTGGCGCCCAATCCAGCCCAGCATGGCGCCTGGGGGCCTGCCAACTCCTGAAGTCGCCAACGCGGCGCTGGTCCTCGGGGCCGCACTGCAGCGTCGCCTTAGGGCTCGAGTCGCCGGCGAAACCCGCGCGGATGTGCCGTGATCCCAGCTCAATGACGACAATGTCATCGTCGGCGCGGATGGTCGACGGTGAGCCGTACGCAGATGCGATGTTGCGGCTCGGGGTGTGGGGTGTGGACGGGCCCGGGGGGCCTTGCGTAGGCGCTGAGCGGATGCTGGCCACGCTCCGGTGAGCAAGAGCCGGTCCTGCGCCAGAGGCCATGGCCGCGATGCAATAGTGCGGCCGTTTTGCTTTTGTAGCGTTGCTGGTTCAGGAGGTTGATGCGACGCCTTGGTTGCTCTCCTGCTTAGGCTTCGTGCGCGTCGTTGGTTGGTTGGCCAAAAGTGACGTCGGCGTTTGGAGCGCCGATGCACCGACGCAGGCGTTGCGTTGTGCCAAAGCCTCAGTGCTCTGTGCTGTAAGTCAACAATTGTCACTGGCTGCTCCGTAACCCCAGTGACGCGGGGCACCTCGTGAACCTACATGCAACTTCAACCCGCTCACATCTCAACCAGTGCGAAACAACCCTGCCCTGGAGGCTGCATGCGCTCCAAATGGGCATCAAAGGGTATTGTCTCTCCTTCCTGCTTCTATTTATCATTCTAACCCTTGCAGAATCTATGGCGAGATCGGCCGTGGCACGCGAGTCTCCCTGTCAAGGCTCGCTGCCGACAGCTTCGTGAACGAGGGTCGCCCACTCCGACTTGCTGTGGATATTGCCATTTGGCAATTCCAGACTCAAGCCGCTCGAGGTAATTATGGCTAGCCCTTGGATGCTATTACATTCCTTCTAATCATACTCTAGGTGGAACCAACCCCGCCATCAGAACCCTCTTTTACCGTCTCACCCGCCTCCTCGCCACCCCAATCGAGCCGATATTTGTCTTCGACGGACCTAATAAACCTGTGTTCAAGCGAAACAAACGATCTGGGCGTGGAGATGGTGTCGCCACTGCCCAAGCGAAAAGATTGATCCGATTGTTTGGCTTCACTATCCACGATGCACCAGGAGAGGCCGAGGCGGAGTGTGCGCTCCTCCAACAACACGGCATTGTCGATGCGGTGCTCAGTGAGGATGTCGATACTATCATGTTTGGGTGCACGCGAACGCTGCGCAATTGGTCGGCTGAGGGGAAGGGCTCCAAAACGCCTACCCACGTGTCCCTATACGACGTTGAGTCAATGAACATTAGGGAGTTAGGGCTAGGCCGAGAAGGCATGGTACTTGTTGCTCTTATGAGCGGCGGTGACTATCTGCCAGATGGAATCCCCGGCTGCGGTGTCAAAGTGGCATGTGAAGCTGCCAAAGCTGGCTTTGGGAAGTCCATTTGTCGATTGAAGGCATCAGACAAGGCTGGCATCCAAGCATGGCGAGAATCTCTGGTGCACGAGTTGAGGACCAACGAGAAGGGATTTTTCAGGACAAAACACAAGGCTCTAATGATACCCGAAGACTTTCCCAACCTAGAAGTCCTTCGTTACTACACCCATCCAGTAGTTTCCCCCGAAGCCAACCTCGATGCAGTTCGCGACAAGTTCAGCCGGAAGCAAGATCTTTATCTCGAAGACCTGAGGGAGTTTACGAGGGAGACGTTCGATTGGGACTTTCGGATAGGGGCAATCAAGTTCATCCGTGTTCTCGGCCAGGCCCTGCTTGTCAAAAATATCCTCCAACAACCCGAGGGTAGTCACGTTCAGCGGATCACAGGCAGCAGATCCCATTTCAGCACAGACAGCACTCGGGAGCTTCGTTTATCATACGTTCCACAGGACATGGTCCCCATTGATCTATCCAAAGAGGTGGACGAAGAAATTGCATCTGGCCGAGGTGGATTGGCGCTGAACAGCGATGACGAGTTCGAGGCACCGGTTGATGGTATGGAAACAAACGGATCCAAGGCCATCGTAGGGAAAATATACGATCCCGCGAAACCTGATCTCGCCTGGGTCCTAGAGGCTGTTGCTAGGCATAGCGTGCCTGCTGCTGTCGAAGAATGGGAGGCCGCAGAGTCGGCCAAAGCGGCAAAGAAGGCGCCAGCCAAGAAAAAACTCACCAATTCCAAGAGCAAGGCTGCTAGTGGCATGCCCTCTGGTTCTCTTGACAAATTCGTCCAAGTGACGAAACTAGGATCCAAGGATACAGCGGTCCTCAAGGTCACTAAGAAGGATACTGGACCAGCAAAGCCGAGCATATCATCACCAACTCGGGCGTCGACATCACGACGGCTACGAGTGCCATCTCCGCTGGAACCTAGTAAGCACTCCACGCCCGAGGCTACCGCCATCCTGGCCAGGCAGAAGACCCCTTGGACACTTGCCAGCTCACAAGCGACGCCTAGAACCCGTGGTCCTCAAGGTGCCCAACAAGCGATCATTATCCCATCTAGTCCGCCCAGCCCGGCATACTCAGTTTCCCCCTCCTCTCCTCGTCAACCTCGTTCCCGTCAATCCCCGTTCCGTTCCACCCTTGAGTTGCCTGAGTCGGTTCGCTCAATATTGTCCTCGGGTTATCCTGCGAAAGGGGTGAGGAATGAGCGGCAGAAGTTGAGCGATGTGAAGACTGCCGAGAAATCGGCCAGTTTGAGAGGATCTCAGCCGACTAAGATGAAGCAATCATCAATGGACATGTTCGCTACAAAGACGGCCAGACCCAGTGCGAGCCAACCGGTCATGCCAAAGCCGTCGACAACCCGACCGGTGAAGGAAAAAGCCGCCTCACTACCTATCACCAACTTTGACGACTCTGATGACTTCAGCGGCTTCGAGAGCGACTCCTCTGATCTCGAACCCCTCTCCTCCCTCATTTCCCGCGCCTCGGCCTCACCGGGCAAACGCCGCAAGGAAATCCTCTCCAACACCCGAAGTCCCAGCCCCGGCCCAGCCCCCGTGCGGAAGAAGAAGTTGCTCGTCCCGCGGACCAGCGCTGTGGGCTTCTTCAAGGAGATCGAGGTCGACTCTGATGAACACGAGGACTGCATCGCCCGGGAGGCGGCTTCGCTGCAGCGCAAAGGCAACAGAGGGCGAGTGGCGCGGATGAGCGAAGTTGAAATTGTGGACTTGACGCAGGATGATTAACAACGAAACTCAAGGCATTGGTTCTGGAGTTCTTGGGGACAAGGCGTTTAAAGGGGGGTTCCCCATCAGCATGGATAATGAGCATTTTGTTGTGGCATTTTGACACGGCTGCGAAATGGACATAGAATATGGGTTCTTGATATATAAATTGTACACATTTTTGGTATCATTCCTTCGTCGAGTTAGTATTTATACAGTTGTAGCCTAAAGTCGGCGTATCAGGGGTCTTTTTTACGCCTATCCCGCCGTTTTATATCCAACCGCTCTTCCTTCTAATTATATATATCCCATCTTTTGTTCTGTCTTGGAATGCCGCCTATGTGCCACCCATGGCCATATCAGGGTCCACTTCGGTGCCCAAGTCCCGCTCCTCGAGGAACGTCCTACCCACGAGCTCGTCGGGAAGATACGTCTGGCGGACCAGGCCATCGCGGTAGTTGGGCGGGTACTTGTACTCGGCGCCGTAGCCCAGATCGCGCATCAGGCGAGTCGGGGCATTGCGCAGGTGGAGCGGCACGGGGAGGCTGGCGACGCCCGGTTCGCGCAGGGCAGCGTATGCGTTGTTGAGGCCGCGGTAGGCGCGCGTGCTCTTGTTGGCGGCGCACAGTGCCACGGCGCAGTGGGCGAGAGGGATGCGCGCCTCGGGCATGCCGATCTGCTGGGTGGCCGTGTAGGCGGCGGTGGCGAGCGGGAGCAGGGTGTTGTCGGCGAGGCCCACGTCCTCGGAGGCGATGACGACCATGCGGCGGGCGATGAACAGCGGGTCTTCGCCGGACTGCAGCATGCGGGCCAGGTAGTAGAGGGCGGCATCCGGGTCATTGCCGCGGACTGACTTGTGGAAGGCCGAGATGGTGTCGTAGTGCTGGTCGCCGGCGCGGTCGTACACGAGCGTCTTGGTGAGGGACGCCTTGATGTCCTCCTGCGTGATGCCTTCGCGGGTGGTGAGCGAGAGGGCGAGCTCGAGGAGGTTGAGGGCGGTGCGGGCATCGCCGTCACTGAAGCGGGCGAGGTATGAGACCATGGCGTCGTCGAGGAGCGGCGTCGGCGGGTAGACGGACGCCTCCTCCTCCAGCGCGCGCTTGAGGATGCGCACGACGTCCTCGGTGGTGAGCGCCTGCAGGGTGAAGGTGCGGCATCGCGAGAGCAGCGCGTTGGCGACCTTGAAGGACGGGTTCTCGGTGGTGGCGCCGATCAGCGTGACGGTGCCGTCCTCGACGGGCTTGAGGAAGACGTCCTGCTGCGCCTTGTTGAAGCGGTGGATCTCGTCGCAGAAGATGATGGTCTTGCGGCCCGTGAGCGCGGCGTCGTTGATGGCCTCCTGGAACAGCTTCTTGACCTCGCCGACGCCCGTGCTGGTGGCGTTGAGCTCGATGAAGCGGCTGCCGACCATGTTGGCGATGCACCGCGCGATGGTCGTCTTGCCCGTGCCCGAAGCACCCCAGAGGATCATCGACGGCACGCGGTTGGACTCGATCAGCGAGCGCAGCACGCCGTTGGGGCCCACGAGCTCCTGTCCGCAGACCTGGTCGAGCGTCCGCGGCCGCATGCGCTCTGCCAACGGCGCTGAGCGGTGCGTCTTGGTCTTCTTCACCACCCGTCCGTCCGCATCCTGCTCATTCTTGACAGCGCCGGGAGTCGCCTCGCCGTCTCGTTCCTCAGCCGTCGCCTCCAGCTTCACGCGCAGCCCAGTTCCGAACACGGCCCCGGGGCCTTCCTCGAACGTCCGCTTCTTGCCTATCACGGGCTGCAAGGCGCCATTGACGGGCGTCGTCGCCACACGGCCGTCAGGGGCGATTTGTCGCTTCGGGGCGGGCGTGGAGAAGAAGGTCGACGCGGAGCGCTTCTGCGAGCCGGCGGCCTGGGGCGTCTGCGTCTGCGGCGGTGTGGGGTCCTTGTCTTTGTCGAAGATGAAGCTGGTGCAGCCCGAGTCGAGGTGGCTGTTGATCTCGGACGGCTTGACCGGCTTGTTGCAGATGGGGCAGTCGACGGCCATGATCGCTTCGTTGGAGGGGGGAAGGAGGCACAGGGACGCAGAATTGGTCGAGCTATGTGCTATGTGCGTGATGTGCCATCCAAGGTGCAGGCGTGGCCCCTTGCATCAATAGCGTAATTGTAGTCGGGGGAGTAGTTGGCGTGGAACGCGTCGTAGGTGAATTTATCTCGGAGGTATGACGCGCTGTCACGCCGTCACGCCGTCGGGTTTAATGGCAGTTGCCACTCAGGCTAGCGCGGGGGACTGCCGTACAGCGGGCCGCTCGGTCCCGCAATATCGGCTCTTGTTAGACGGACATGTCAAATACTTTATCAAAGCAGTTGAGCTTCAATATAATCTGAAGAGATGATATTCATCCTCCTCTTCATCCTTGGTCCCTAACCATCATTCACATTTTTATTCACAGTAATAAATTAGGCACTCACATCACACAATCCAAGCAAAACTTGTATCAAGGTCCATTGTATTGTCCCTAGCAATCATCATTTACTCTCCTCTCCGTTTCGTCCACTCCTTTCCTCAGCTCCAAACCAAATCCTCCATGGTTCTCCCCTTCTCAAAAAAAATCATCGTCAAAAAAACGGCTCTCCAGCAATGCATCCTCCCCAAAAGTAAGCTAATCACAGCTAACGACCGGTCCACCCGCCCATACCTAAACAATGCACCAAAACGCCGATCCGTGCTACCACTCGTGCTGGCATATCCCTCCATCGTTGAGGGTTTCCCTCTGTCGCATATACTGCTCCCTTGGGTTCAGGGGGCTGTTGGTTGCAGTTCCCATTTCGATTTGGGTCTAAGCTGACGTCTTCAATGACCGCACTTTAGGAGATGACATGCTCGTGTCGGCCTTGCGCTTTCCGAGCAACGACTCAGGTGGCCGTGTAATACCAGGCGTGCTCTCTCGGTCTTGTGTTGCCTCGGCGTGGCACGAGGCGTGATATGCCCGGTTGCCTACCAGGACGGCATCCAGCCACACCCACTCCTGCGCCGTGTCTAGCCACTTATTCTCGAACCGATCCTGGCAGATCGGGCACACTGTATTGATGCCCTTGGACGGTTCAGGAACGGGAATATACTTGGGCTTCGCAGCCTCTGCCGCTGCCTTGACTGCCTGTGCCGAGGCCTCGTCAGGGGCGGGAATGTGGTCCGCATCAACGACTTCTCGTGACTTTACCCAGTCCTGTATCAGGTTAGCTACACCGTCTACAGTGAGGAAGGAGGAGTTCGACTTACATGTTGGTCAACATACCAACTCCGGTGCATGCCCCTCTTCTCGGCCTCATTGCTTCGTTGATGAACTCGGAAATGCCAGTCCATGTGAGCCGTCTTCTTCTTCCTTCCCTCCTCATCCGTCTTGAACCGTCGGCCACACTGGGTACACGCCGGTCCAAGCTCATCATATAGACGGGAAAGCAAGGACGGATGGAATCTAAAAATAATTAGTGTCATATACAGAGGAACTGCAGGCTACGACTTACGGTTGCTTTAGAGCAGCAGCGTTGACTCCCCTGCCCGGTGCAATGTCAAATCTCATGAGGCCAGCGGCAGCCTTGGTAGAAGCCAGGATACTCGCAATGTTGGCAGGCAATATCGATGCCGGAGGCGGCGCGACTGGGGGCGCTGGAGGAGTGGCCGCTGGCAACATACCAGCCAGCCGAAGCTGGTCAAGCAACGCCAACGGGTTCGGTGCCTGTGCCGGAGCTGCTGGGGCTGGTGAGGGCGCCGGGGCCGCAGCGGGCTTCGGTGGCTCGGTGTGAGTCGGCGGTGGTGATCGGATAGCCACATTAGCATACGGAGGGGTTGGGGTTGGTGTCGCATTCTGCGGAGTCGCCGACTGTCTCGCCATCAAGGCCGCCAACGCACCCGGTCCCAGCAGCGAGTCGAGCGTCACGCTCCCGATGGCCGAAGTCGCGGGCGCGGGCGAGGGAGTTACAGCCACCGGAGGTGCCGGCGGTGCCTGGGGAGGTACGGTTGCAGGCGTAGGGGTAGAGTTCTGGGCCGAGAGGCCCCTCATGTTTACGGCAGCAAGTTCAGTTACTTTGTTCTTAATGAGCTCGAGCTGGTCCGGCGGCAAGCTAGTGCTTTGCACAATGCCTTGGAGGTCCAGGAGGGCTCTTAGTCTGTTCTGAACACTAGCATCATGGGGGTTGTGCGAAAATTCCGCCTTCGTCGCCACAATCAGGTTCTGAATGTCCTTGCTCAATGTTTCTATGCTTATTCCAGCAGGTGCGACCGGTCCAGCGGCTCCATGCACTCCTGCATACGGAGGTTGGAAAGGCGCGGGGGCTGAACCAGCAGGCTGAGGGGTTGAGTGAGGGGGATAGAACGGGGCCTGTGGTCATGTCAGTGCGAGTTCAGATACGTCATCGGGAGGCGCTCACCTGTTGGCCGGGGAAGGGTGAGTTGCCGTTCTGGGGTGGGTATTGTTGCGCTGGGTATCCCTGTGGCGCGCCATTGCCTCGCATTCCGGGAGGTGTGGGAGTATCACGATGCGGCATGGCTGAACGAGCTCTGCCCGGCATCATCCCTTGCGGAGGCATGCTTGCAGCTCGTGCTCTCATGAGCGCATTTTCAATCGGGCGCACCAGCTCATGTGTGAAGACAGGTCGGCTATCCATCGATCCAGGAACGGGCTCCTTCCAGGTCCTCAACATCTCCTCCATCTTGCGACGGACGGGCTGGTCGACCACAGCATACGACTCCATGAATGTCTTGAACAGGTTGCGGCCAAAGTAAAGGGTGTACGGAGTGCCAACATTCTTGACGATCGAGTCCAGCACATAAAGGGCGGGAAGTTTCTTGTTGGGTGGTGCCTAGCGGAAGCGTCAGCATTACGACTCTTTGTACGTTCGTGACGAAGTGAGAGAACAAGGGGCCAAGAAAGGCTCCGAGGTTTGGACGAGTCGATAACTACACCTACCTTGAGGATGTGCTGCTGCAGGGCCTCTGCGATGGCCAGAGCGTGCTCCGTGTTTTCTCGCGCAATTACTGTCAGGTTGCTGATTTCGAATCGCATGTTGGAGGAGAGGTCCTCCAGGGCGAGGCGATAATCCTCCGCCACTTCGGCAGAGTCAGAAGACATGGTGGTGGATGTCGCTGGATAATAAAGGGGAAAGGGGGGTATGGACGATCTGTAGAAGATGAATGCAGAAGGGATGTCTGTGTTTGGTGCGACAATGAAAAGTCCCCCAGTTCAAAAAGCGATAAAGGTGCTTTTCCCAAAGCAGCCAGGACTTTGACGGACGATGGCACCGCGAGCACGGTGCAATGGAGCACGTTCTAATCTGGTCAAGTTTATTCCAAGAAGCCTCCTTCCTGGCGCGCACTGCCTCCCCAGTCTAGCCCCAGCACCAGTATTTTCCCAGATCAAAACTTTACGGACGCCGCGATCAAGCCCCAACAGACATGGACCCAACCGGTCTTCACCACGAGTGCGCGCAACGTATCTGCAGTCTCTAGCGTACTGTCTCGGTCGATACGGATGGCTCTGACGGGCCTGACGGGCGTTTGATCGGGTTGTAGAGTCGCCCGAGCGAGGTGTCGCGTGTGGAGAGAACTGATCGGAGGCGACGGACGCGGACTCCCAAGGAGATGTCACGTTACAGTGTGCCCGGCTTTGGGTTGAACGGATTCTTTCGGGGATGTTCACAGGTCTAGTTGGAGCTGCAAAGGGGGTGTTAGGAGTTCGCCGGGAGTGTGGAGAGTTGATGATCTGGAGAGGGTGCAACAGCTTCTTCAAGGCGTCGTTGGAGATTAGACGGTAGCGCCTCACGTGACTCATCAGATAAATGTCACCTTGGTACGTACCTACCTTTGCACCTCAAACTCATTCGCATTGTCATCAGTGTCACTGACTCACTGTCAAGGTGAAACGAAAGAAAGTATAATGAAAAAAAATTCTGTGAATATGAATACAAACGATTGTTTTGGATAGTTTGAACTAAAAACATCTAAGACGCTCCCTGATCCGACGGGTATTCCGCTAAACGTACAACCAAACTCCATTAGTGTTCCAAACGCCCACTTCCGCTGTTTCCTCCGCCTAATTGCGTGATATCCTTTGTTGAATTTGTAGCTATTTGAATTTCTTTGAATCTCTTGGAATCTCTTAGAATCTGGACATGTGCGCTTCCGAGTACCTGCTGGTGCGGGAGTGTATGGGGTGTAGAGCAGTGTCTGGGCGTTTGACCTCGGGGACAATGGGACTTCGTCGGTCCCACTCCTCCTCGTCTCGCTGGCCGCGGGAGTAGGAAACTGGAGAGTAGGCAGGGTCGCGTTCGACATCGTATTGTTGGTGAGCTTGAGAAGGCATGGGCGCGCTGATCTCTGGTCTTGGAGACCTTTCGGTAGCGTTGTGGGACTTATCCTTCTTCCAGAACATGGACATGAACTTGGACTTGGTCTTCTCTCCCCGGAGCGAGTTGCTGCGGACGGAGTACTGCTCCTTGTAAGAGGATGCGGCCTGGCTGGGGGCCGCGAGAGAACCTTCGGAGCGGACGACGCGGGCGCTGATGCCGTTTGCCGAGTCTCGGAAGATGAAGGAGCAGACGATGTTGATGATGCCAAATGTGATGGCGAGGACTCCAGCAGCGAGTACGAGGCGCCAGAAGGGGAGGCCGAGCTTCTTGGAAGAGTTGGCGGGCTGGTTGAGCTTCCCGAGGATGTTGCAGCCGATGAGGGCCATGGCGAAGCCCAGCCAGGTGAGGCCGGACTCGTCAGAGAGAACGGGCCATGTGCGGCGAAAGTAGGACTTGGCGATGGGGAGTTCTGAGACGGCGAGGAAGACGGCGATGTTGCTTGTGAAAAAGAGAGAGGCTGCGTCGAAAAAGAAGAAGCCGTTGGATGTGTCGATCTTGATGATCAGGGTCCAGCACGCAACGGCGGCGGTGATGAGCGTAATGAGGGTAACGGCGCGGAGGACCTGGAGGATTATCATCCCCGGTCCCCGGATAGAGTCGCCTTTGAACATGTTCGGTCGTGAAAAGAAAGGTCGTCGGTCAGAGAGATGGCGCAGGTCTCTGGGGCGGTTAGACAACATGTTCACAAGCCTGCAAGAGAAAGGTCCTTACCAAAGAACCCGGTAGTATGGCAGGGATATTGTTGGCGTAGGCGTTTTTGTAACGGTTGTAGATGGAAGTGGGAGGAAAACGGTTGCTCGTAAATGTGTAAGTGAGAAGTCGGAGGTCAATGAGAGAGTTAAGTACGATGGAGCCAGTCCACAGAACACGAATGGGAGAAAGAAGTCAGCAATGAAAGAAAAGAGAAAGGAAAAGAGTGAACAGTCGTTATTTTAGGCCATAGACACCATTGTTGGGCTTTGAATAGATGCAGAACAATCAAGAAGAAGAGGGGTCACAATGTCAATGAACAGCAGCCACGCATTCTTTAATAGCAAACAGCCACTCAGGCGCAACAATCACAACACCCATCGACCCGCATCGCTAGGGTGAAGAACGCACGAAAAAAAAGTGAGCCGGGGAAGCCCATCCCTGTCGCAGCACGCAAGTGAAGGGGAGCGAGCATGGAGAAGGGCGACGAGGAGGGCGCGTCGCCGTTGGATCGAGAGGGTCAAGGGGAAGCGGCTTCGCCATTCGCTGTTTCGAGTTGATGGGATGGCTTGCGGGAGGCGCTGGAGCCCAATCAATCCCGCGGGACGGCCTGGCAGCCGGCGGAAGCAGGAGGAACACAGAGTCTGAACGCGCCAGCATTCGGCCGTTTCATGGCCTGCGTGTGGTCTCGTCGGCTGCGGGCGCCTTTCACGACGAGACGAGGTGAAGCGCAGCGCATCGCAGCGCGGACACGGCGTCGTGGGGTCGCCCGGCCGGCCGCAGGGTCACTGGAGCCCAAGCCCACTGCCAGCGCCAGCGCCTACAGAGAGCGCCGCCAGCCCAGACGAGCAGCAGCGGAGCCGGTGCGCCGACGCCCAATGGATGCATGGCGGTATCGATTCTCTGCGAGCAGGTCGCGATTCTGCCAGGTTCTGGCCGTCGCGGGGCTGCATCATTGGTGACTGCGAGCTTCTCAAGACTGGGGTTTGGGGGAGGAACGATTGGACGTCCGGGCACCACTGAGAGGGTGTTTCAGCGAAGGGCCTCGGGCCTCTTCAGTGGGCCGGACGTGGGAAGTTCAGTGGACCGTCCGCCTCCCGGACAGCGCCAAAGGGAACCGCCCACGTGGAGACTTCCAGGCTCATGCCACTGAGGGCCACTGAACTGGACTCAGCGCCGGCACTGGGGCTCTGGGGCTTCAGGTCTCTAGCCCGCTGGAGAGTCGTCAGTCCGACATCCAGCACTCCAACATCAAACGAACCATGCAAGGATCAGTCAGTCTACACAAGCAGCTCACTCACTGCCGATTTCACTTATTACCTGTCCGCTTCGTTTTCTGCAGCGATCCTACACAACCATGTACCGTGATGGTTTGAGGTTCTGCCTTGTTCCCAGATGTGCCAGATGGAAAACCAGCACTCCAATGCGTTAACAGCACATCGAAGATCATTCATGCCATGCTTCATTCTCTACAAGATACAAAGTACTCCATTATTCAACCGCCCGCTGGCTCCATCATCCCGTCAAAGCCGCAGAGATCGCGTGCCCAATTGTTTGAGGTCCGGCCCGGCCACGATGTTTCGGCCGTCGTCCCACTCCAAGCGCCGTCTTCTCTCCGTAGCCGCGAGACTATTTTGGACGTCCTTTGGCGGCCCTCGGCGCGTAGCGCTCAGGATAGCCGCAGCTGGCCCAACTTCAGCCGACCACTTCCCAGACCCGCAGACGATGTCACGATGTCTCTCATGGTCGACTATTCTGGGCCGGAGGTGTTTATTTTGGGATTGTGTCTAAGTTCTTGGGGACTCATTTGACGCGTTCGTGTGGGGGTGAGAATCACCCAAAGGCAGCTCTAGGTTACTCTCACCGTTCCCAAGTCCAGGAAACGTGGCTTAAGAGTGGCATATTGCATAAAATAGTTGCATCAGAATTTGTCTGGCCTAGGTGCCGAACGTGCATTTGACTCTCGTGTTCGCGTTACATATCATGTAGGTGCTGTTCCAGACCAGGCCGCCGACACCTCCTCAATTCGACTTGGTATACAACTTTGCGTCCTTGGTCTCCTCGATCAGGTGCTTCGAGCAGTAGTTGCGCGATCTCTTGTCATGCCTGTTCGTCACACTACACCGGACGTTGCTCTGGCTGTCGTATTTGTCGTCACATTGACGGAACTCGCCTTTTCGGGCGCAGCCGCACGAGTACATGATGTAGTCTTGCGTACACATGCTGAGGCCGCCTCACGTCGGGATCTGCACAAGCCGGTCAGTGCATGTCGTAGAGGCATGGTCTGGAAACCATGACTGTGATGTGATGGAGTGGCTTGCTTCGATGTCACCGTGGGCGTTGTCCAACCCGGGCTGTGATTGCAGTTTGGGGTTGGTCTGGGATGGGGGATGGCAGATGCAGATGGATTCGTCCACTTCCCCTGATGGATGATTGTGATTGCGGAATCCTGATTTTGTAAAACAATGCAAGACCCGAGGTGAATATTTCTAATCGCGAATATGGGCGCAGACAACAACTGCTGATACGTCGTGTGATAGATGAGGAAACCCAGCACGGCACGCCCGAGAGGCTCCCAGTGGGTGCGCGACGTGGTGTAACAGTGGTGGATCACACCGATGGCCAAAAGATACATGAACCTGTGCGTGGCGGGCTAAGCAAAGCCAAGTACCAGGATGCTCCGCCAGAAAAGCGAGGCCATCATGTTCGCCCAACGCCACCGATCCGATTGGCTCCCTCCAAACCACCAAAAACGCAGCGCACCGCCTCCTCCAAAGATCCGAGTTTGTGACTACTGCATCGTCTCTCTCTCTCTCTCGCCCTCTCTCCCGTCTCCTGCAGACCCTCAACGACCGACCGCTCCCACCGTCCATCACCGCTCTCCCGCACAACCCCGTCACCATGGCCCGCGGCAACCAGCGCGACAAGGCCCGTGAGGCCAACCAGAAGAAGCTGGCCTCCCAGGTGCGTCTACCGTCCCTCACCCCACCGTTGATCGGCCAGCGGCGCCCCGGTCGCGCACCACAGGCGGAGAGCTAACGAAGTGTTTTTCGGCGACTACAGAAGAAGGGCAACAGCATGAGCGGCACCGAGATGCAGCGCGCCAAGGAGTCGGCCGCTGAGATCATGCGCAAGAAGCAGGCTGCTGGTAAGATGCTCCTCTACTTGCTCCATTCCCTGCCACAAAGCGAAGTGTTTGTCGCTGACGTGCGCCCTTCTCTCAACAGCCGAGGCCAAGAAGGCCGAAGCGGCGGCCAAGTAGTCGGTCGCCTTGGACGAATGCTGCCGGTTTTGCTCGTGGGTACACAACGGCCGTCGACTCGGTCGCCGTCGAATTTGATTGCGTACGACCGGTCAGACAACATCACGAGATGGATGGACAGATGGAGGCGCAGAACGGCGCGGACAGCACGGCATGACCATGACTTATACAACGATTATGCGAATTATTCCAGGATAGCAAAGGCGAAGCGGTGCACGGATTTGGGTTGCCTTAGACAAGAAATACCATAGACGCTTAAATGCACCTTGTCGCGATGCTGCTCGTCTCAACTTGTCCTGTGGCCATGTCTTCACGTGCAAATACGGTCCATCATAATGGTGATTGGGAGCCAGCTAATGCAGGCTACGCAAAACAATGGGTCATCAAGCCGGTCGCAAATTCATTCACAAGCAATATAATTTCAAACATGGAATTCATCATATTAATTCGCCTAGAGACTCATACGAGCCAGCCATATGCACCTTCATACCCGTGAAGTGTGAACCAAAGCCCCCCAGACTATTCGCGTAAGTTACGACAAAGAACTCTCTAGATACCTTTGTATAATAATTCACCACCGATCAATCCTCTTACATTCCGCGAAACCAAGCTGACCCCCAGTATAGACGGCACTCGGTTACATAGCACCCATCTTAATAGGCAAAGCGCCTGCCAGTTATGTTAGCACCAGCACGCATCAACGCGGTGTGAGTGAAGTAGACTTACCAGAGATGCCGCCAAAGTTACCAAGGCCTTGGACTTCAGCAGGGAATGAACCAGCCTGGCATGTTACGATGCAAGTGCAGCTACCGTCACCGCCCATGGTGCCCTCGCCAGGTGTAGCTGCTTCAGTACCCTCTGGTGCGCTGGCTGTGGACGCGGGAGCCTCGACAGGCGGCGCGGCAGACTCAGCGGGAGGCGCGGCAGACTCAGCGGGAGGCGCGACAACGGCAGATGACGCAGCCGGGTCGGTGATGGGACTCTCAGCGCCTGTGCCCTTCTGCTTGATAGCAAGAGCCTGGAACATGGCCTGGGTCTTCTCCGCGGTGGGGTTGATGGAAAAGGTCATGCCCTTGCCGCAGTGGCCCATCTGCTTGCAGTAGAACCCTGGTTTCTGTTAGTGTTTCGTCGTTGGTATGCTGAGAGGTTGACTTACAGAGAGGGGTGTCGACCATGACTTGCATGGCAACCTGGGGAGGCGGCGACACGGTGTTGTTGGGGTTGGCCATGAAGCCCGAGTCCATGCCGCCCTCGAGGAGGTCGCAGGGGGTGTCAAAGGCAGACTGGGAAACAGTGTGGTTCTGGGAAAGGAACTCGAAGACGACAGTGTCTCCGATGGGGATCGAGTTCAGCTGGTCAGGTTGGTAAACAAGGCCACCGGGTCCACCGACAGTGACGGTATGAGAAGCAGCAGCTGCGGGTGTCTCAATGACCGTGCCAGCGCCAGCGGTAACGGTCTGGGTGACGGTGACCTTCTCGTTGATGGTGGTGGTCTCGGCGCCGTTTCCACCGTTGACCCAGATGATGATGACATTGGCTGCGGATCCGCCCTTGTCGTTCTTCCTACCTCGGCCATCGCCGCCCAGGTTGATGTTGATACCGTCGCCAACCACGATGCTATCTCCGCCGCCGCCGTTGTTGTCATTGCCCTTGCCCTTGTTGTCCTGGCTCTCCTCGGGGTGGTCCCGAGGCATGAGCCAGGCGGCGTTGGGGTCGCGGACAGAGAGGGCCATGGTGAGAGGGGCCATGGCGGCCGTAGCCAAAGTAGCTGAGAACTTCATGTTGCTGGTGGAGGTGGTGGGGTATTAGAAGGGTTGTGAAGCTTCCGTGTATGATGAATCCTGTCAAAGGATTATAGAGAACTAATCGATCTAGCGATTGTGGCTTCAAATGTCGAGGGCCTGCTCGTGGAGTGGAATCAAACAAAGAAAGGCGTCGGGAAAAGAGCGAAACACGCAGGCAGTTGTATGAAGAGATGGTCAAAACAAGTTGATGCTTCTCGGGCAGAAACTCGGGGACGACCTGCGACTTATATCCAAACCCATCTTCAATCAGCCGGCGTCGCAGCGCCGCCCGCCCAGGCCCGGCTCCAGCACGACCCGCGAAACACGACAGGCACGGCTCCGCGTGCCCCTGGGGTGGCCAGGTTCTCCTTCGGCTGTGGGAACTCCGAGCCAGTAGCACGGCGCTGCGACGGGCTAGCGATGCGGGAGAGGTTGCTGTGACAGATTCGTCTCGGGTCGTGTTTGGTGTAGTCGCCCAGGACCCTGGCCGAGACCCAAAGCGGCAAACGCCCAGACAAGGGAAACCCGCTTACAACTCTTCATGTGGCACTCTGGCCGTGAGGAGGCCGCCTTCAACCATGGCAATTGGCCATGCAGTGAAGCCTAATTTTATTTCCATCTCTATTTCTGTCGCTGGGAGCGATGCATGCGCTTGAAGCCTTATTACGCAGTAAGTTGGCCGCTTCGGAGACCTGTGCTGGCCTGCGCTGGACAAACAGAGCCTGGCCGCTTCTGTGGCTACAGCGTCGCATCGGCTGCTCGGTAGCCCCGTCTCAGCTATCACCGCCCTTGAGCTAAACCAAAAGGCGGGTTAAAGAGGTCAAGGTCTTGGCATCTGATCTACAGTGGCTCAAACCGCCCGGTGACATCGCGACCCTCTTGAAACTCTTCTCCCAACGCACCGCCGTGCCGTCGCAGGTGTTTGCTCAGGTACCAGCACGGGGCTTTGGATTGGCGTCTTTTCCATTGGTCTCACCACCGGCGATGAGCATCTTGGCTGCCTCAGTTGAACATGCTTCTCCTTACGCTCACATGGGTTTACCTTGTTTCATTTCATGATGGACTCGATGTTGAGGGAAAATTTGCAGTCCAATGCGCCAGGAGTCTAGGAAATCATAGGGTTGTGTTGATAGTTGACGTCCATTATGACTATAGTAGCCGAAAGCAAATTGGGCGACCGCCAGGCGACCATTTTCTCGCCCTACCTTACTCGAGCAGCTACTACGCAGTACTATATTTGCATGGGCAAATCATAAATGGTGCCCTACTAGGCGCCCATTCATCTCAATTAAAAGCTTGACTAGCCATAAACGTAGCCGAGCGGTAGCCAAGAAGCCCAGAATGCTGCCTCTCGGATTTGAAACGAATCCCCCGCACAGCAACCACTTAACGACGATGCCCCCAGCCACCTCAATGGTCACGGTTCGCGCAACCGATCAGGGAGAGGCGCTCCTGTTTTCCGCGTTTACATTTGGTTTGGCCTTGGTGGCCGCCTTGACCGTTCTGACACAGCTAGGAGAGTGACGGTGTTTGGCGCAGCCGAGTCACCCGCATCTGAGACAGATCTTGTCGCAGCCCATTAATTCGGTCAGATCGGGTAGATTGACACCCTTCGCAGCAGTCCCTCGCGGCTTCTGTTCATCCGATGCTCAGCCCCAGCCAAGAAGACATCGGTTACGATTGCCGACTCTGCTGGGCCTGCTGTTGTCCCTCAAACAGTCCCGTGTAATATCCAGCGTAGTACCATGACATGAGGAGCTTCTTGAGGTTTTCATCTTGCACTGGAAATGTTAGAAAGACCCGTCTGTCAGTGCTTGTCCTGTGTCTCTGGAACGACTGTATTCAACATACCAGATCCTAGAACCGCTTGCACTGGGAACGCCCCCAGGCCGCCGTTGGGTCCTTGATTCAAAGGCCCATCCTGCATGGCCGATGTTCCCTAGACTGTATTAGAGATTTTGACGGGAACCAGAGGATACGATCATGTTTGATCCTCATAACAATGCAGGGAGAAAGAGCACCTACCTTTTCGTCCGCCTTTCCCTTGTCAACCACACGTGGTCCTCCCGCAATCTCGGTATCTTCAAGTGATTCTTCGGGTTGGTCACTTTCAGTTTCCGGCTTGGGTGTGGTCCTGCAAAGATGATAACGTCTCAGTCGCATGTCTCTGTTTCACCGGGAACGGGACTGACCGGTTCTTGGGTTCCAAATCTCTCACACTGCCACCCTTCGCGTGGATACTATGGTATTTCTGTATGGTGGCGTTAGTTAATTGCAAGGAGCTGGGGGAAAACGGATCTACCTTGTACTCCTGCAAGGCCTCATTCCAGGAGTCGATCAGGGCCGAGTCATCCCAAACCTCCTCGTGGCTGAGATCGTCCTGGTTTCCACCCATTTTGCGGACTCGGGGGGTGTAGAGAAGACGGTAGTCGGGGTGAGACTGGTTGTGAAGGTCACGCTCTGACAAGCTCCGAGCCAATCCTCAGCTTGGTTTACCTCAGGCAGTGACAGTGATCGGCTAGCTTCCTTAAGCCAAATGGGGTACATAAGACGGTGATGCTGACAGAAGGTTTATCTACAAGCTAGCGCCTCGCTCCAGACAAATCGTGAAATAAAGGAGCCTTTCAATGCGCCGTCGCCAGGAACGTCAAAGTTGGTCCTCGCGATGAGCGTCTGGTGGAGGTCCCTGTAAGATGACTCTCCCAGGCACTCTTTTTAGTGGACCGAGCGCTGAGCAACAGCGCGCCCACGTTCCCCCACCACCTGCCGATAAACTGATAGTGGACCCTCACCGCCCCTCGTAGTGCGGCAGAATCCCAAATTTTTTCTTCACCCACGCTTCGCTTCCCCAGCCGCCGAGCTTTTGCGTACCGATTGACAACCAATCTGCAACAATCGACACAATGGCTCCCGAACTAAGGAAACGAAAGTGTAAGTGTGTTCGCGAGACACTTGAGTGCATATACTAACAATCTTAGCTATCCCCGAGGTCCAAAAGGCCAACGGCGCCGCCAAGGCTGAGAAGCCTGCGCCGAAGCCCGCGCCCAAGGGAAAGCGTAAAGGTGAACAACCCGTTGACTTGACCACAGCCTCATTCGCTAACAACAGCCCAACAGCCCCCGAGGATGCGTTGCCTACGTCGCCTGTGTCGCTGAAGAAGCAAAAGTCTGTCAAGAAGACTGCCGCCGAAGCAAAGCCCGCGAAGAAGCCGGCGCCGAAGGCCAAGAAGGCCAAGCAGCCCAAGCCTGTCGAGGAAGTTGTCGAGGAGGATACCACGATCGAGGTTCCCGATGTGTCCGACTCGGAGGAGGATGGGGGCAAGGAGGTCCAGGCTCTCGTGACCGCGCTGGATTCAGACGACGAGGATATGACTGAGGGCGACAATCTCTTCAAGGAGGGACAGGATGTCGGCAAGATCCCCAAGGTATCCAAGGACGTCGAGCAGGCTGCGAAGGGCTCCGATAACACCGGTGTCCTCTACATTGGCCGCATTCCCCACGGTTTCTACGAGCACGAGATGCGACAGTACTTCGAGCAGTTCGGCACCATCAACAAGCTGCGACTGTCGCGAAACAAGAAGACTGGCGCCAGCAAGCACTTTGCCTTTGTCGAGTTCGCCGAGGCCACCACCGCAGAGATTGTCGCCAAGACCATGAACAACTACCTTTTGTTCGGACACATCCTCAAGTGCCGAATCCTTCCTAAGGAGCAGGTGCACGAGGAGCTGTTCAAGGGTGCCAACCGACGATTCAAGGCGGTCCCCTGGAACAAGATGGCCGGCAAGCAGCTTCAGAAGCCTCTCACAGAGTCCGCCTGGGCAGACAAGGTCACCAAGGTGCAGAGCAAGCGAGCCAAGAAGGCTGCGAAGCTCAAGGAGATTGGCTACGAGTTCGAGGCCCCCGAGATGAAGGCGGTGCCCGCGCCCGCACCCATTGAAGAGAAGGAGGCCGAGGTCAAGGCCATCGAGGCTGCATCTGTGGAGGAGGAGGAGGTCAAGAAGGTCGAGGAGCCTGTCGAGGCTGTTGAAGAGGCCGTTGAGGAGACCAAGCCAGAGGCTGAGGAGGAGCCCGAGGTTGAGGTCAAGCCCAAGAAGGCTGCTCCCAAGGCCAAGGCCGCCGCAAAGGGCAAGGCAGCGAAAGGAAGGGGCCGCAAAGCCAAGGCTTAGGGTGCTTTAATGTTCTAGGAGTCTACAGCGATCTAGGGATACGGAAAAGTCCATAATGAAAGTTGGGCGTTTATTTTTCACGAGAACCGGACAAAATTTTCCCCATTGTGAGGTTGTATGTACGCACATAAGCGAACCCATAGCACCCATAGAAAATTGAGCAAGCAACAGGATTATGAAAGGCGTTAAATGTTCTACTTCGCGGGTCATGCTGAAAAAGCCATGGAGAGCATGGTCCCGTTCAATTATAAGACGTGCGAAGGGTAAAATATGTGAGGAAGAAGAAAAGACTCTGAGATTGGTCGGAAAGCTGTAATGGTTTTGGGTCGTCTAAGGACGCTGACTCAGCTGCCCCCCACTGAGCTTCAGCTGGGATTCACGACTAGGTAGGTTACGAAGCATCCACTCGTCGCGTTACTAGGATTGTCTGCCTCGTACTCTCAACGAATATTGTAAAATTAAAACCAACGGCCATGGATCCCGTAATGGCCAACACGTCGGTCTATTTTTGTAGACTCTTACGTCAAAGCATGTAGTCGCGGTAATACGACGTCGAAGCGGCAGGTGTTCGCAGCGGCGTCTCGCTCAGCCCACATTGGACCAAGTGTATCCATGTCACTCCTGCAAGCAACCACATCAGCATGATTGTAGACACATGTCATGTAAATTTACAGGGCTCATTCACAGACACTCCTCGATTATTCATGTCGTTTTTAATTGAGGGTGATGTTTAAATAGAAACAGAGGGCAACCCAGCGCAATCATACTAGACACCCATTCCCAAGCCGACCGGACGTTGCGGTGCCGACCGACCCCGACGGCGTTGAGCAAACGCCCTAGAGCCACTGGAGCTCGCTAAATTCCACCGTCTAGCAGCCTCCGTTTCTCTAACCCCAGCTGACGTGGTGGACTCTCGACGCTCGCTCGCAACCTCCCAACGCCGACGCGCGCAACGCAACGCTCGAATCCGGAACCGCTGCGGACGCTGATGCTGCCGCCTGGCGCTTCGCTCTCTCACAATGTCTTCCACGGCTGCGGCGGACCCGATCCAGGCGTCGAATTCAGGTGCGTAGACCCCCCGCTCCCTGCAATTGGCAGCTGAGAACGTGTCCTGATGGGTGTATGCGTGCGCAGGGTCGTCCAAGAAGAAGAACAATAAGAAGAAGAAGAACGCAAACAAGAACAAGGACTCCGCTGCGGCTGGTAATGGAGATGCCAGGCAGGAGGCTGAAAACATCGACGATGAGCCCGAATCGCCCACGCAGCCGGTGCGTGTCCATAACATCCCTAATATCCATCTACGCGCGCTGACAACGAGGCCCCAGGACTCACCCGTCGAAAGCGAGCACCCCGCCGCTGAGAGTAATGGACATGCAGTAGAACCGAAGAGCAACGGGCTCCCTGCCCCGACGACCGATGGCGAAAAGACCGACGACTCAGACACATCCGCGAAGCTTGAGGCCATGGGCAAGGAGCGAGAGGCTCTGCGGGCCGAGGTCGAGCAGCTACGGAAGCAGCTTGAGAGCATCCAAGAGTCCCACGGCAGCGAGGTCACGCAACTCCAGTCGGATCTCGAGGAGAGCAACGCCGCCAAGGAGAATGCAGAGGAGCAGTACCAGAACCTCCTCGGGCGAGTAGAGAAGATCAAGGAGACCCTCAGCGACAGGCTACGGCGAGACAAGGCGGAGCTGGAGGAGGCCAAGGAGCGGGTGGAGGAGCTGGAGGCTCAGAACGAGGAGCTCCAGAATGCGGCCATGTCATCCGGAGACGACGTCAGCAAACTCAAGGAGGACCTACAAGATGCGACGCGGGAACTCAACACCCTCAGAAGCCGCAACAACCTGTCGGCACAGAACTGGGGTAAGGAGAAGGATGAGCTCGCGCGGACGGTCCAGCACCTGAAGGAAGAGATGGAGACGACGGCCAACGCCATGGGCGAGTGGGAGGTCATCGCGATGGAGGAGCGCTCCATCAAGGAGACGCTGAGCGACAAGGTCTTGGAGCTGGAGGAGCAAGTGTTCGCCCTGAGGCAGGGTTATGAGAGCGCGACCGCCGAGCGGGACAGCCAGAACACGCTCATCGACAACCTCCAGAACGCCCTGCGCGAGATCCAGGACGCCCGCAAGAAAGAGCTGCGCGAGATGGTCGAGACGACCGAGGAGCAGGTCCAGGGTCTGAAGAAGCTGGTGCAGGACGCCGACGCCCGCGCGGCCGAGGCCGAGGCGGCCAAATCGTCTCTAACTACGGAGCTCGAGCGGACGGCGCCGTTTGAGAAGGAGGTCAAAGAGAAGAACCTCCTGATCGGAAAGCTGAGGCATGAGGCCATCGTCTTGAACGACCACCTCACCAAAGCGCTCCGATACCTCAAGAAGACGAAGCCCGAAGACAACGTAGACAGGTTAGTCATTCTCCCTGCGTCAGCTTCACACGTCGCCTGCTAACTTTACCCAGGCAAATCGTCACCAATCACCTCCTCCACTTCCTCACCCTCGACCGCGGCGACGTCAAGCGCTTCCAGGTCCTCCAGATCATGGCCGGCTACCTCAACTGGACCGACGAGCAACGCGAGCAAGCCGGGCTCGCGCGACCAGGCACCTCAACCAACAGCCTCCGTCTGCCCATGTCGCCCTTCCACCGCACACCAAGCTCGCCGTCCCTCAACACCGACGTCTTCTCCGAGCCCACCTCGGCCAAGGACAGGGAGTCCCTCGCGGACCTGTGGGCCAACTTCCTCGAGCGCAGCGCACAGGAGGGCGCCGGAGAGGCGGCGTCGAGAAAGGGGAGCACTGCTAGCGTAATCACCGGCCCTCCGAGGCCGGATTCTAGGCATTAATGTTGAATGAGCGTTGGTTTCGGTTCTAAAGACTATGTAAAGTCGCAGTCGCAGCGGGTATAGGAATGTCCGAGCTTGGTTTCAAAGGTGGAAGCACTAGCGACGGTTGATGGACGTTCTGATGGTTCTTGAAAAAAGACTACGTCTGCAAGAGGAGTGGCAAGACGATTAAACTATTGATGGGCACGGGAATTCTTTGTACGAATAGGTTATCTTGACGATTGGGATAGCTACGGGGGGCACTACTACACTAACTACCATCAGCCGACGCCGGCTGCAATGGCTGTAACACATTCTGCGCATACGAATCTGCGTCCCTCGTGATGGTCTGGATGTCGATGCGGTTACCCAGCGCATCGTTGACGCCTTCTATCACCTCGCGCTCCTCCATAATCTCAGACATGAGGCGCACCTCGTGGGCCCAGTACGCTTGGCTGCGCGAGCGCAGGTCCTCGTCCCGCAGCGCCGTGTTCTTAACGATGCCCAGGGCGCTCAGCTTGCTGCGGACGAGCAGCAGGGTGCGGTTGGCCATGTCGACGCGCTGCGCGACGGAGGGCGGCTCGACAAAGGCCCGGTTGGTCGACGACAGGTAGAGCAACCAGGCGAGCACGGCGTCCAGGGCGGCGACGGCGAGGAGGCGGTAGACACGCAGATCCCAGAAGAAGAAGTCGATGTCTGGGAGCCGCAGGGCGCGGGCATTGGCCTGGTAGTTGTAGGAGCTGACGAGCCAGACGTCCAGGGCGGCAATGACGCAGGCGCCGATGGTCGCAAGGGAGCGCCACTGCCCGCCATGACGGCCGGTCAGCGAGGACGATGTGACGACGGCGATGACGACGAGATTTGCAATGTGCGGCCACAGCAGCGCCGGGAGTGCATAGTAGAAGTAGCTCTTGGGCTCATCGGCGGAGCAGAACGGACACCGGGCGACCACCTCGGGGCCAAACTGGAAGTACAGCAGGCGGCTCTCGAGGTTGACGAAGCGGGCGCGCAGGCGCTCGTCGACGAGGGTCAAGATATTGTGCGGCCGGCCGGCGGCGACGCGGTTGAAGAGCACGTCGACGGGGATCTGCAGGCGGCTCTGGGTGGCGAGGAAGAGGTTCTCGGGCGCGAAGACGGGCAGCGTCTTGACGAGGCAGGCCAGCGCCAGGCCACCGAGGAGGGCCAGCGCGAGGCGGATGGGCGGCGGGACGGGCTGGATGGGCGCGCTGCGGGCGGCCGAGGCGGCGCGCAGCGAGCGGTAGTACGAGATGGCCTTGGGGAGCAGCACGGGGCCGAAGAAGAGCACGAGCGAGCGGATGCTGTTGGCGATGCGGCGGGACGGGTTAGCACAAGGTTCGCGGTGTAAGTTGCGGACGGCGCAGGGGTCATGGGCGCCGGCTGCCGGCAGGAGGAACTTACGAGTCCCAGGGGATGGCCATGATGACGACGCCAAAGCGGTTGTGAATGAGTGAGTCGTCGTGATTTTCAGAGGTCCGTCGTCCGTCGTCCGTCGAGGTGGACACGGTTGTAAGTTGAATCCCACGAGGCTGACAACGCAGCATTTAATACCGTCACCGCTGGCCACCTACGGAGGAATCAAGGCACGTAGCGCGCTAAGAACAAGGCTGCCAGCGCCGGGAGAAAGTGGGGTCGCGACGCAAGTGGGGCCGAGGGCTTCTCTTTTCTTTCTTCGCCAGCTGCGAAATTTCTCTTCTCTTTTGTTCTTCTTCACTTCATTCCTTTCGACAGCAGCCGTCGAGGATCAACATTCCACCACACGCCAGCCTCTTCTTCTCTCTTCTACACATTCTACTTATTTGCTGCCTTGGCCATGTATCGCCAGCTCTACAGCATAGCAAATCACAATGGTTTTCCCTCTGTCCCGCCTTCTCTCCGCCGCCCGTGATGTCTCTCAGCTGGCACTTTCGAAGCTTTTCCGATTCTTCTCTCTATGGTCGCAAAAGTCAAAAAGCATGCCTAGATCAATCCCCAAATACCCTGCCAAGGGTTATTCTCTGTCGTGTTACAAAGTCTCAGCATCAGCAATGAAGAACTTTGCGTCAAATTTTTCAACGAGATACACTCCCTCATCACACCTCGTAGACTGCTTTGTAATTGGTCTGGTCAAGCAATTTTCCATTCCATGCGGATGCCTACGTATCTGCTATGTACATGATGCCCATCTATAATTCCTTCTTTTCTGTGGAAGTAGCGCCGCCGCTCTTCTTCTCGGCCGCGGGCTTGGCTGCAAGAGGAACCTCCTTCTGCTTCGAGCTCATTGCCAGGCCGATGATGCCCATGATCAGGTCGCTGAACAAGGCAATGACGCCAGTGCATGCCAACTGCCATGAAGCAATGCTGACGCTGCCGATGGGCGCGCGGGGGAACGACAGGATCCATTCGGCGTAGTAGGGGAACCAGCCGTGCGGCAGCCAGAACATGGGCTCCGTGGCGTACCAGAACGGCAGGAAATATTGCGGTGCTCGGGTCAGCACCAGTCGGACTCCCGTCAGGTAGGTGTCGAACTTGGATCGCGCGGCTTCCGTGCTCTTCTCTATGCGGGGACATGTGTCAGTCTTTGTCCACCTCAACATGCGTATGTTCAGTATTCCCACGTACTCTTGTTCTCCAGCTGTTCCAGCAGCTTATCATGCTGCCGGCGCAGCTTTGCCCACCTTGCAAATTCGTCCTGGCTGCTCGTGGCGTTGAGGTCCCGGCGGACCTTGAGGTAGTCGGCCTGGAGCTTGCGCTGTTCGCCGGCAGCCTTCGAGGTCGGGACGGGGAGGAAGTTGATCAGCGTCCATAGCTGTAGGAAGTTAGCAGAGCGCATATCGAGGCAGAGCCGGGACAGTACCAGGTTGTTGATGGCGGTAGCTCCGATGGCGTTGATGACATTGACCACCACCTCGACGACAAAGATGGCGACGAGAAGGGAGGGCATTTCGGCGGTGGGGATCGTTGACGGAGATGCTAGGAAATAAATTGCCAGCTACTATCGCATTGCGCGGGGATTTCGGAGATCGCGAGGCTGCAGTGTGCTCGTGTGGTGCTGGTGGTGATTTTGGTGGTTTGCCAACGTGGTCTGGCCATGTCATGCCCCGACAGATTGCATGGCCCCAGCTCCGCCTTGTCAACCCCTCCAGAGTACGATCTAGGCTACCCTATACCGTTCATTTTCATCCTCTACGCAACTCAATCAGCTCATTTATTGCTCACCCATAAGGAAAAGATATGTCTAGAGCACTCGACAAAGACGTCAGGGAAGCTCTTAAAAATGGAGATCATCAGGCAGTATTTGACGAAATCTCCACTGTCCTGACACATTCGTCTGCTGAGCTACTTGAAATTGAGATGCTTGGTATGAGCCACATTTTCGATCCTACCACAACCATACTCCAAGATGGCAATGCCATTGCTGTCCCTAAGCTGCGACTAGTACAAGCGTTCATTATCGCACGTCAAATATTTCTAGCCCATGTCCGAGGCAAGCGAAGGGGATCAGACGATGCGATATTGAGAGCAACTGCCGTCATCCTACTGATGGACCCAGAATATCTGACTGCCGCCAACGTCAGGAAGAGCCTCCTGCAAAAGATGATGCAAGACGGGGATGATGCAACGAAAAGTCTACAGAACGAGAAGCACTTCGTGGATAGCCTACTCACAAGTCGCCTACATCGCCACACCAAATCCCCAACACTGTGGAATCACCGTCGTTGGTTGATGGACCAGTTCAAGACAGGAGGAGTTGAAGTAACCGCCGAGGATGACATCAAGACAATTATCACCACATCAGGGGAACGACATCCCCGCAACTACTACGCTTGGTGCCATGCTCGATATCTTATCAACACCTTCATCTTCCCGTCGCTCGCACACGAGCAGGCACTATCACGGACAATCACGACGATCAAGCAATGGTCTTTTGGACACCACGACGATATCTCAGGCTGGCAATTCCTCCTGTTCCTGCTCCAGAAGCAGCAGACGGAGGCGCAGCCGACGTTCCGCAAGACACTGCAGCTCGCCGAGTCATTTAAGTGGCGCAACGAATCAGTCTGGTACTTTCTTCGATACGTCGTGGCCTCGACACATCTCACCGATGACGACCGAGAGGAGTTCACGCGAGTACGGACGGCGCTCTGGGAGACAGCTGCGAAAGATAGCCAGGAGAGGCACACGCTAGAGGCCGTGCAAACTTGGCTCTCTCATCAGGACCAGGGAGTCAGCGCTGGTGACCGGAATGCGGTCGTCAGCGGATAACTGAGACTGACTCTAGTATTCATATCCCCGCGTGCTCGGGGATAAGACACCACGGGGAGCTCTGCCACAAGACTCAAGCCCATATTTAGAAGTGAGGCGTAGCATCTGTCGGTGAGGAATGCCAATGGCTTACAAGGGCCCTCGGCGCCAATCTCATATAAATTAAAATGAAGATCTCCCAACGCCCGTGGAGCGCACTGAATACCTACAACACGTGCGGCCCCGAAGCCCCCCTTTTGGACATCCTACGGCTACATAGTTAAATGGCCGGTAGCCGGAGGAAGATTCCTTATCTAAATGACGACGAACAGGTAGCTTTGGTTCCAGAAATTGGGCGGCGATTCGGGTATGGCTGGCGTGGCGGGTTGATCAACGGGCTAGCGAGATGGTGCTGCACTGAACCGAAACTACGCAGTGGGCGTTGAGATCGGCGGCAAACGGCGGTTTCTGAATCTGGGGTTGCGTATGCTTTTTCGTCAGTTTTTTAATGTGATCCGCAGTGGGTTGAGTCAATTCTTTGTCTGAGACGAACGGCCTGCTAATGCGAGGGAAGTAAGTGTTCAGGAGGCGCAGGATGAGATGGATCGTGGTCTAGAAACCCAATGCAAATGTCTCGAATCTCCATGAGAGATATGGGCTTATGCTTCCCTTGTCAAGCTAATTGGCGTGGCTACCGCCTCGTCTCAGGTACTACGACCAATGTAGAAGAGCTGCCAACGGACCGAGTTCCAGAGACAGGCTTAATTAATTGCTCTTCGCTGCGTCGTCTGTAAGGCTGCGAGCAATCATGAAACCGAGAAGTGCCCACTGCCAATTGGCGCTTGTCTTTGATTATTGATCCTCCGATATATTAACGCTGATCCAATGTCACCAGGCATCGCCCCTCTTGTCCAAATCGGTCCTGACCTGCCCGGCCGGTCGTCTCCTTTCGTCTCCTCCCCTCCCCCTCATTTCATACGAAGGAGTTTGGCGGGTGTATGCCGAACGTCATGGCAGGGTCGCGATCGACAGGGTTTTCTCTCTTGACCGCCGCTGACACCTTGTTCAGCCTCCGACGGTTCGTGTTTGGGGGTGCCCGAAACTGCAAATTCGTGGGTTAGCCTTTGCTTTTATGCTTGCCACCTTATCACGCCGCAGCTCGATCCGCAGCTCCGGGAGCTCCTTGACCAGTCAACGACTGGGGATCTCAGACGTAGCGTCTGTCTGTCGTACATGCCGACAGGCACGATGAACCACCCGTGATATGCTAGTTACAGGTCGCATTTGCGGCAGACTCGAGTGAATCGGGACCCTGATCTGATCATCCCATGTCGTCTCGTCTCACCTCAGGCCAGCGGCCAGGGCGGATGGCAAAGGGGGCCACCGCACCGTCGCATTGAGCCGATCAAAGCAACCGACGGCCTCAAGCTGGCCCGGGCACTGCGGGATCCGAATTGGGGTCGCGATACGACAGCATCACGTACCAAAATACCAGAACCATAAAAGGCGGAGCCCTGGAAGCCCTGGAAGCCCGGAGGATGAGCTTGCGGGTTTTACGGGCGTTGAGGATACCGTAGTGTCGCGCCATGCTCTGGGAAATCTGACAACGGGACTTTGGACGCAAATTTGATGGTTGGATATGAGCCGTCAGCACTTCGCATGGTGGCGTTCTCGCCCAGCCCATCTACACGTATCAAAGGCCATGACTGGATCGCTCATCGATACATTGGATAAGCTGCGTGGGTTTCCAGTGGGAGCCATGGACGAGAGACCTGGCCGCCAATGGCCTGCGCGAGGCCGGGATGTCGCTGAGACAGGGATTGGCCAGCCCGCTAGCCATGAAGCCCGATCGTCCCTTTCGGCTGCTCGCTGCTTCTCGTCGACGGAGCGGCGAGTAGGTGAATGGCATTGGGTTTAGCACGGGTGGGCCGCGGGCATGGTGCCAGGGGTTGAGCTGCAGGGGGAGCCCAAGGGCTTGTGAGCTTCCCCATTGCGTTATCCCCGCTGGAGCGTCACTGTGGAGCGGCCTTGGCCTCGTGGTGGGAGCAGACGAGGGCCTCTCTGGGGGCCGGCTGGAGTGGTGATGGTTGGTGATGGAGGTACTTCGTAGGATGTATGCCCAGACGCTTGCTCTGATTATTATTTCATTGAGCAGGTACTGTGACACAGCAGACTCACAGCTGGCGATCGGCCATGCCAGGTACGATGAAAGGCACAGTCGAGCGGGCATTTGTCTGCTCCAGTAGTACCCCGTGCTTGCTTGCGTATCACATCAGGGGGAGTGACAGATGCATTGTCTGTGGCGGCTCAACAAAGCATGTCCCTCCACATAGATGACCTCTCATATCCACCATGACACTTTGAAAAAAGTCCGATGGTGGGAGGCTGAAACTTGGATAGGAGCAGACAAAGGGCAACAGCAATAGCACCAGCAGAAGAGACGATTTTTCGGCCGATACTGCCGCACGCGCCATACTTTGAACAGCCCCATGTCACGTCCTCGGTCCTCCAGTCGGCGGCGCACCGTAAACTCGCTCCATCCACCATCATGACAAGGGCGCTCCAGGGACTCCCAGGCCAAGGGGGCCCCCAGTCGACCACCCAAGGGGCCTCGACTCTCATGGCCGCAAGCAGCTAGCGACCAGCCCGAGCCAGCTCGAAGCACGAGCGGCGGGCGGCGCACCCCTGCGCGAGAGATGAACATGCGGTGGGCTCGTCCATTCACGGCCGGTGATGGGCAGAGCGGCCCCCTGGCGATACTCCAGATAAACCCATTAGCCCCCCGGAGCGGCGGCGGGTCAGAGGGATAACGGGCGGGCTGGTTGCGGCGTCTGGCGAGTCTGTGCATGGCGGCTGTCTCTTGTGCCTCCTCTTGACCTCTGACTGACAGATAGACTGACTGGCATGCATACTGCAGTGCTCCAACGCAAGCCATGATGGAGCCCGTGGGGCCTCTACCCCTGAGCCTCTCGGTCTCGTGTCACCGTGGTTGACTTGTCGCCCATCTCGCCGTGCTTGTGTCTCGCAAGTCATGCTCTCCCTGCGTACGCCCCCCAAAGGCCCAGGAATCCAGGCTTTCAGGGCACCGTCCATCGCCAACCGGCAATCGTCATGGGCGGCCATGGCACTGACGCCACCAGGACGCTTCCCCCAAGGGCCCCCTGGTCTGGTGGTAGCTCCAGCACCAGCTCCAGCCGTTCTGGGCTGGACGGTTGACCGGGATTGTAGCGCGCCTTGGTACATACGCAGTAGCGCAGCGGACTGGACGATTTGCAGCAATCTGGAGTGAGTGCTCCGTACCTAGATTTGGCGGCTGGCTGTCTCGCAACCGTTCTCGCAGCTGGTCACAGGTGGTGGTCGTAGTGGTACCCTTGTGTAAGTAGAGCCGGGTCCCTTTACACCCACACCACTCTTCTCCTCGCTCACCACCACCTCCTCCTCTTCTTCACATTCATCCTCTCTCTCCCGAAACCCCCCCTCTTTTCTTCTCCTCTTTCTCCTCATTCTCTGCATATTCGCCACCTCCTCTGCGTGTCTCGTTTCGTCTGCTAGCATCATTGCATCTCTTTGTTTTTCTTGCTGCTTGTTTCTTTTCCCTCGCCTTTCCAGCCCCTCTCCACATCGCGCCCGCGCCCTCGCCCTCGTCCCGACCATCCCGGTCCCTCGTTCGGCCTCTCGATCCCTGACCGTGGCCTACCTGTCTGTCTATTCGGAGGTGCAGGTGCATTCTTAAAACAGGACGCCCAGCCCAGCCCAGCCCGCGACCGTCCGCATTCGCCGCGCTTGTTGTTGCTTGTGCTGTCCACATACGCTGTCCACCTACGCTTTTGCTTCGCTTGCTGTCTTGTCTGTTTGCATCTACTCGGCATCCACTTGTGTCGTGTCGTGTCGTGTCTCCTTGTTCCTCCAGGGCGATGCCGGCCTTATAATCTCTAATCCATAATCCACCGCGCCCGTCGCTTGTGCGATCGAGGTTTTTGTCTCTTGACTCGCCTCGCCTTCTCTGACTCGCCTCGTCTCCTCCTTTGTTTGGATCTCCATCGACGGGCCCGCACTAAAACAATCCGAGACGGGTTGACTTCACCAGCTTGCGTCACCACCGGCCGTTTCGACTTGTCCTTCCAGTGGTCCACTGGTATATAATCAACCTGGATCCGCCGAGGAACCTGGTTGTTGAGGACGTTTGATCCTCCTCACCTCGCCAATACAATATGCGTCCAGCCGTTCTGTTAGCACACCTGGCACTATGGGCCTCATCGACACACGCCTTCTTCCCGTACGCTCCGAAGTGGCGTGAGGAAGCCGAGAATGAGAAGCGTTCACACTTACCTGGTGACAACCGGAGGAGCATTGATGGAAAGGACCTGCGTTTCAATATTAAACAGAGGACCGCTCAGGTTAGTTGCACAACAGGTCCACCAACATTCTGATCCTTGCATTAACCCAATTGATCCTACAGCCCAGCCGATCAGTATCCGAGAGAGCATACCAAGAGGCAGCTCGATTAGCAACCAAGTATGCTAGACGACACCTCCCGAACGCTCCTGGCGACAATTCCCTAGTGAAGCGGAACAATGTGTACGAGGTCATGCAGGCTGACGATCCCGACGGCAAATTGAGTGCTGGGGTTGACCAGGATGGTACCGACTACTCATACTTTGTTGAAGTCGAGATTGGTTCCAAGAAGAAGACGATGTATATGCTCATCGACACAGGCGCTGGTTCGAGTTGGGTCATGGGCTCAGACTGCGGTAGCGATGCTTGCTCCATGCACAACTTGTTCGGACCCAGCGACTCGGATTCTCTCAAAACGTCCACCGAAGCCTTCTCTATTGCCTACGGATCCGGCAAGGTCAGCGGCAAGCTGGCCACGGACACGTTCAATCTGGCAGGAATGAGCTTCCAGTACCAATTTGGCCTCGCCACGACCACATCGGACCAGTTCGTCCAGTTCGCCTTTGACGGCATCCTGGGTCTTTCCCTCAACACTGGCGCCAACGAGAACTTCCTCGACACCGTGGCTGCGTCCAACGACATCCCCAAGAACATCTTCTGCGTTGCCCTCAACCGAGCCTCTGACGGCACAAACAAGGGCGAGATTAGCTTTGGCAGCACCAACAAGGACAAATTTACCGGCGACATCACTTACACTTCTCTCGAAGAAGGTGACGACTGGTCTATCAAGTTGGATGATATGTCTTACGACGGAACCGGAGCCGGCGTTGGTGGACTTCCTAGCTACATCGATACCGGTACCTCGTTCATCTTTGGCCCTGGCGATTCCGTTACGAGCCTCCACAGCCTCATTCCGGGAGCTTATAGCTCGGACAACACCACCTGGACTGTCCCTTGTGACAGTGACAAGAACCTAACCATTGGCTTCTCTGGTGTCAACTACGTCATCTCCCCCAAGGATTGGATCTCACCCAAGAGCAAATCGGGAACTTGTACCAGCAACATCTACGGCCATGAAGTCGTCAAGGGAGCCTGGCTTCTTGGAGACACCTTTATCAAGAACGTCTACGCCGTCTTTGACAAGGACGAGCGACGTATCGGTATGTCAAAGCCGGCCCAAGAATCTACCTGAAGCAATTACTAACTGGATAACAGGCTTTGCCAAGAGCTCCATTACAGACAGCTCCAGCAGCGAGACGTCTTCGTCTTCGTCGAGCTCTTCTGGCCAGGCGACCAAGACGACGTTTCACGCTGAAAGCACACAAAGCACTCATGTGAGCGTGCTCCCTGACACCACAGCATCCGCAAAGGCAGACCTAGGCCTTGGCAAAGAAACAGTCGCCACTGACACTGCTACCGCCGAGCAGAGCAAGTCAACCAGCGACACCAAAGACTCCAAAGACTCATCAGCACCCACTGGGCCCCTGACACAGGCCCCCTACGCATTCACTTTCTGTATAGTAACATTATTCGCCCTCTTGGCCTAGATGGGACCAGGCGCGGCACTACACTCTTTTAATACTGCTTTACGCATGCATTTTTTCATCTGAGGAGACGAATACATCATCACCGGCGAAACCCACACTAGATCGACGCACGACGGTGTTCGTGCTTGGACATGTTAGAGAGCCCTGATAGACACGCTTTGTTGGAAGCCGAACTCCGGAGCGAGCAGAGGCTAGGATTGTTGGAACCGGTGGTGCGACGTGGAAGATTACATTGACATATATATGATACCCAATTCAGGGGTTGGTGGAGGACAACGATAGACATGGCCGAGCTGTGAAGAACAAACTCGAGGCCGAAACAGGCCCGAGAAACGAAGCCGTGCCAGATGGTTACACTTTCTACAACAAAGAAGAATGTTTAAACGCACACATTGCGTTAACCATACTTGATTAGATCCTTGCCGTTATGATGAAATGTGATATCAGACTTCCAGAAGGTTAGCTCAGAAGCTAGTATCGGTCCGTTCCGAAGAATGCTCATATTGCCGCCCCGTTATACCTCATCGTTGCACAGCCGAAACCTAACTTGCTCATGTGATGGGCAACTGCTTAGTTCTACCTTGTGTGCCAGGTTGGCTAGAGAGCCTGTGACGTTGCCCTCCGTATTACGTCCGGCATCAGTCACTCTGCAGCAGCAAGTAATAGTCGCCGAGTTGAAGGATAGTCCAAAGACTGTTCCACTGACAATCAAACGTCACCAATCACGACCGCAATCAAACACACAAACCATCGTCATGGGTTCACCATCCGAGCACCTTCCGCCCAACATCTTCGGAGGTGCTACGTATCAAAGCTCCTCTAGAGGCTACCGGGCTGCCTCAAGCTACAACCGTTGGCCATCCCGCAGTGGCGACAGAATGCCACTCCATCTGCATGATCACTCTACCGCCCAGCACAACCCATGCGGACACATCGAGCTGGTACTCCGCGTTTCGGGCCGCCACCTGCTCGTAGTTGAGACGAGGAACAAAGTTACCGTCATGGCGTGGCTTTCTAAGGATACCACGCGACCTACCGGGTGCTATAGTGGGATCTTTCCGGGTACAACACAACCGGCCACGATGTTTTTTTTACTGCTCTCCCGGATCAAGGGTGTGACTTTCTGTGAAATCCATGACAAGTTGGACGATGGACAGATTGGCCAGATCCTGGGGCGATCGACTTCCTCTCCCAGCTACAGGCCCGTCCATGGGAATGTATAGGAGGCTTAGTTCTCGACGACAACTGGGAAACTAAGCTCGGGGCGATGGTTGACAAGACGTTCGGCAAGTTGCGAGCCTAAATTTGTGGCCGGAGGGCGAGACAGTTCCGTCTCTCAACATAATACGACCGCACTCGACATACGTATACGTGAATTCGGCGCAGATCCTCAAGCATGTTGGTCTAATACGCATCCATGAGAAGCTCGCATATATGTGGGACGTGATCCCTCGCCTAGAGACCTTCGTAGCCATCGTCCCTACGCTCGCCAACGAGCTGAACAAGGTCAAACTGCGGCTTGCCCACAGGGACCTGCGCTTTGCCAATCTCATCGTCGAAGTCTCTTCCAGCAAGATCATAGGCGTCCTAGATTGGGAGTTTGCGGGCATCGTGCCGTTCACCAAGTGGAACCGAGGCGGACGTCCGCCAGGACAATGCGGCGTTGGCACACGAGAAGTAACAGCGGATGCGGCTCTTCAACCGGCGTTGCAGGGAGAGGCATGAGCATGCACAAGTGATTGCCTAGTTCGGAGTCTAGGGAAGCAGACGGTCGACACTCGTACGGACTCGTACAAAGAAATTGAATCATGTTCAGTGCCGAATAAAATATCGCTGGCGGTCAGGAAATCCCTGCACCGCTTGAAACTATAGCTATTCGAACTGGCTTTAAGGATTAGATAGTACATTTCGTTGCCAGAGAGAGTGTGACCAATAATTTGATAGAGCATCACACCACAACCCTCAACAGTCCCCCATCTTTTCGCGTTGCGACGTAGCTCAACGCGTGTCTCGGAAGATGGCAACTCCCGATTCCGCGGGACAGGTGGTAATAATAGCGAGACTTGTCTGGCGAGCTGTGGAACAGGCTGCCCCAAAGCATAAGGGGGAGATAATGTTACCTACGTCCAAAGCCCCTGTTTTTCGCGTCACTGTCCAATCAGTTGAGACGCAGTATACCTGGTCATGGCTGGGGATGTTTTCCAGAACAAATAAGGCATCATGGGTGGTGAAGATGGGGAAAAGGGCGTCTGGTGAATGTCTATTCAGGGCTGGATATGGGGGACAAAAGGGGGTGCCACATGCCGGTCAGCTGCATGCCTTTGACATAGGTACAGTACATTTCACGCTACAGCACTGGGAGCTTCAAAGTCTTACACATGTCGAGCTCTTTCAGCTTGGCCTGCTGCTAAAACAGACGGACCCGCGCCCCTGCATAAGTGAGGCCCCATATGATGGCCCCCTTTAGCGCCATCGCCAGCCGCATACTGTACGAAGTACGATACGGAGTACGAAGTACGAGCGCTGAAGACACATCAGCCTCCCCTGGACCCGCGGATTACAGGGTCCCCTTCAGTGAAGCTTCAGAGGCCAAACTCCCACTGTGCCAAGCGTCCGTCCACTGAACCCCCCCGGCGCCCGCCCGCCAATCCCAGGCCTTCCCATCCCACGACCCTCGCTGCGGCTTGCACGGGCTTTGTGCTAACGCTGCCTTATCCGGGGGGCCAAGGAGTGACAACGTAACGCAAAACGCAACGCAACGCAATCAAGCGACTCCCGCATATCGCCCGCGATACCGTCCTTTGCCTCGCAGCCCTCCGCTCGCCTTCTCCCCTTCTCCATTATCCTTCTCTGCTCAACCCGGGGGAAAATGTGCACGCGAGTCCCGGCTGCTGCTCCCCTCCGACAATGACGCAAGCCAGGAACAATGGCGCCGCGAACCCGCACGGCGAGGACCGCGGCCTCCTGAGCTCCCGCCTCGACGACGACGACGACGGCTACTTTGGCATCGGCGATGATGACGACGGCAGCAACGGTAACGGTAACGCCCTGGGCATTCATCCGGCTGCCAAGGGCCCGCCGCCCGCCTACGACGACGCCCACGCGCAACCCCCGAGGACGCCGAACCGAGTCCGCTTCGACCTCACGCCCGAGATCGTCGGCGTCAGCAACAGCGATGGCGCCTTCGCCACGCAGGGCCACCGGCGGTCCATGTCGGACGGCTCCATGGAGATGGAGGAGCCCGCGAGCCCCGGCCGCGCCCACCGCATGCCGCTCCTGACGGACATGGAGGCGCCGAGCGTCGCCCTGGCCAACTCGTTTGGCGACGCCGAGGAGCGTGCCGAGAACGAGCTGCGCCGGCCCAAGTCGGGCCTCAAGTCGGCCTTTATGAACATGGCCAATTCCATCATCGGCGCCGGCATCATCGGCCAGCCCTACGCCATCCGCCAGGCGGGCCTGCTGGCCGGCGTCGCCCTGCTGGTCGGCCTGACCGTCATCGTCGACTGGACCATCTGCCTGATCGTCATCAACAGCAAGCTCAGCGGCACGAGCCACTTCCAGGGCACCGTGGAGCACTGCTTCGGCCGCACGGGGCTCATCGCCATCAGCCTGGCCCAGTGGGTGTTTGCCTTTGGCGGCATGGTTGCGTACGGCGTCATCGTCGGCGACACCATCCCGCACGTCCTGAAGGCCGTGTGGCCCGAGCTACCCGGCGTACCGGTCCTCGGGCTGCTAGCGAACCGACAGGTAGCAATTGCCGTGTTCATCATGGGCATTGGATATCCATTGACGCTGTACCGAGACATTGCAAAGGTGAGGATCGCCAGAACAAAAAGGGGGGGGGCAGTCGAGCAGGGGGGAAGGGATTGTCTCTTTCACAGAGGCAGCTTTTGTCCCTGCGGTTCGAGATGCTCCCGCTCCCGCCCCGCTCTCTTGCGTTAAAAGGAATGGACTAATGGCTTTTTCTTGAAATAGCTGGCCAAGGCGAGCACCTTTGCCCTGATCGGCATGCTGGTCATTGTTGTCGTGGTGCTCATCCAAGGCATCCTCACGCCCTCGTCGCTACGAGGCTCGTTTGGCCACGATGAGCTCCTAATCAACGGCGGCTTCTTCCAGGCGATTGGAGTCATTTCCTTTGGTAAGATTTCCGGTCCTAGTGATATCCCCGACTACAACGGGTGGAGCTAGCCGACGTACGGACATAGAACTCGACTAACAACGAACAGCCTTTGTCTGCCATCACAACTCGCTGCTCATCTACGGATCGCTCAAGACGCCGACCATCGACAACTTCTCGCGGGTGACGCACTACTCGACGGGCATCTCCATGCTGGCATGCCTGATCCTGGCGCTGGGCGGCTTCCTGACCTTTGGTGACAAGACGCTGGGCAACGTGCTCAACAACTTCCCGGCGGACAACACCATGGTCAACATCGCGCGGCTCTGCTTCGGCCTCAACATGCTGACGACGCTGCCGCTCGAGGCGTTTGTGTGCCGCGAGGTGATGCTGACGTACTTTTACCCCGACGAGCCCTTCGACATGAAGCGCCACCTGCTCTTCAGCACCGGGCTGGTCCTGGCCGCCATGGTGCTGAGCCTGGTGACGTGCGACCTGGGCGCCGTGTTCGAGCTCGTGGGCGCGACGAGCGCCGTGGCCATGGCGTACATCCTGCCGCCCATGTGCTACATCAAGCTGACGACGCGCAGCTGGCGGACGTACATGGCGTACGCCGTCGTGGGGTTTGGCTCCATCGTCATGGTGATAAGCGTCGTGCAGGCGGTGCAGAAGATTGTCAGCAGTATGTTTATTCCTCTCCCACGTTGCCCGTTCAGATCCCCCCGTCTCCCCATCTTTGCCCTTGGCATACATGTCCTGTCATCTGCGGATGCGCAGCCGAAATGCCAAGGCGCGCACCTACACTACTTCAGGGCGTGGACTGACACCTCGCGATCAGATAAGGACGGGTCGGCGCAATGTGTATAAAAAAAGAGCCGAAGGCCGACGGATAGACACAGACCCTTGCCGTGACAAGAAACATGTACGATTATATTACAGGGCCCTTGTACCAAAAGAAAGCCCAGCCAGGGTGGGTGGTCAGGCACGATGCATCTTGGCGTCGCTTTGTAAGTCAAGGGCGGCGGCGTGGGCTAAAGACAAGAAGATTAGAGTCTTTACACACATGGGATCACACAAAGACATGGGCCGGAGCTTGGCGTGGAAGTAGATGGGATCTTTGGACTGGATAAAAAAACCCTCTCAGGACTGCGTTTTGGGGTCGTTGCGGATTTGTCGCGGGAGCAGCTTGTATGAACTGTCGATACTACGACTACCTATACAACTGCTGCTGCTACTAGCTAGCGACTTGTTTGCCATTTATAGGCATTTGCCATTTCTTGTATAGACACTTGGACGATTCAGCGTTCCCTCGTCGTTCGTATTCGTCCCCTTTCACCGCTCGATCTCCCCCATCGCGGCACGGCCTGACATGACCTGTTCCTCACCCGACTGTGTGTCCTCCGAGTGGCCCACCGAAGTTACCAGCCGGCGACGTCGCCCCCTCCCAGCGGTTCTCGCGCCGTCGGAGTCTCGCGGTTTCGGAGTCTCTCTCGCGTTGGCTCTGCTCTGCACGCAAGGCACGGCCCGCTGGCTTCTCTTCTACCCATACACGTGTGTGTCACTAGACCTAGCTATGCGGTCCATTTGAGCAAGGCCCTTGGCTGAATCCTTGCCCACCTCTCTCTCTCTCCCGCCTTCAGCGCCGCAGAGTTGGACGTAATGTGGGCTTCCTCTTCCTGACCCCCCCGCGTGACGACGAATCGCAACGGTCGGAAAGCCGCTACGTACTGAAACCCCCGCTTCTGGGTGGTGGTGGTGCGCTCGTGGCCGCCCCGCCGCAGGCTGTAGGGTACGTAAATTGTTCGAGCGAGCGAGCAAGGCGGCGGAGGCGTCTGGGAAAGGAACGGGCCTTTATTACACCTGACCCTCCTTTCTTTCCCTTCTTCTTCTTCTCTTTCCCTCCCTCTTCTGTTTTCTCTTCCTTTCAAGTGCCCATCCAACGAAGACGACGATATTACACATCACCAAACACACTAGACATACCCACCACAACACAACACACAACACACAACACACAACACCACTAACATGGAGCCCCTCGTCAACTACCACGGTGCGACCTGCCCCAAGTGCAGCGCCTCCATCTCTGGTGACAGCAAGGACTGCGGTGCTTGCGGTGCCGTAAGTATTCCCTCTCCTCTCTCTTCCCACATCCATCTAGATGAAGCCCTATTCCCGCACTCTTCCATCCTGCTCCTTTCCGTCTGCTCCCCTTGGCCTCAGTCTATTCCTGTCGTTGCAGCCGACTCTAGACTAACCACTCAACGCCGCTCTTAGCACTGCCCCGTCTAAGCTAGCCACTCTGCGGCTGCCGGCGGCCAACGCCGATGATGCGCGGAGCATCTGCCCTTGGCCTTGGGGGAAGGGCTACGGAGCGGGGATACCAGTAGTAGTTCATATGGGAGGCTGAATTCGTTGCGTTGTGTTGAAGAGGTGATGGATGGAATGGGAATGGCCACTTCGGTTGGCCGAACTATGACATCGTTTGTTGATGAGGTTCATGTGATTTTGCTTACTTAGCTGTTGCACTCCTTCATTCCACCTAGTCTACCTCATTTCTTCATTCACTCATTAAACTACCCATGAATGTTGATCCAGTTGATCATCTTGATCAAGTAATACCGTATGATAAAGCCCATCTGCCATCTGCCATCTGCCATCTGCCATCTGCCATCTGCCATCTGTCATATCCTCTCCATCCCCGCCCGAGCCGCCCACCGCGAACGTGACACTCGCCATGACACCTCTGCCCCTCCCCCTCCACGATAGCGCTCCCACCTAACAAAGTAAGATAACAAGCCCCGTCCCAGCCTCAGCCCTCCTAGGCGCCTCAACCTTCCCTCACACGATCCGGAGACATAACCTGTACTGCCACATAGGCCAACACAGTCAGCCTAGGCCTCGGCTCTGGCGCCGCCCCGTTTACAGCACTGCCAACCACTAACTCGCAGGTACCTCTTGTGACGTGGGATGCGGCATGGAGGCCGAAGGACCCCCGGGGATTACATCGCCCGGTCTAGCCGTCAGCGACCGGTGGCCTCAAGTAATACGCCCATGTGCAACTGCGAGTGGAACGAGTGGCACATGACCCCAGAATCGGGCCAAGGCAGTCCTCGGCACCAGAAGTGAGAAAGGGAGAGCAGCCGGACAAAGGGTGGTGCGACTAGGCAGGATATGCGGAGTTGCTAGAGCTAGGCCCTGAGACGTCATAGATGGATAAGCTGAGGCACAGGTAATGTCACCGGATAAGGGATAGCCAACACTATAATCGAGTCAACCGTAGATCGGGAGATGGGCACCATAGAGACTCATGGAAAGACACAAACGACTAATCCATAGTTGGACTGATGCTGATACACACCAAACGTCTGTCGTTGATAGGTCATTCACGACACAAACACGAAGATAGACATACACTCGCAAGAAGCCAGAACGATCGAGATTATGACGGCAAAAAACAACAGAGATTAAACAGGCAGGCCCTACGCAATAGATGTCCCATCTCCATGGTCTAAGTAACGGTTCGAGGCTTCGAGAGAAAATGAAAAGATTTATCGCCTGGCCCGGCTCGGTTCCCCCAGCCGGACCCCGTTTCCACACACACATACTCGCGCGCAACCAGTCCACAAGGGCCTTCACTTCTCATCTCTTCCCCATCCTTCCCTCGTCAGCCCAGACGTCTCCAGTTACTGGAAACGAGAGGGAGACAGCAGTTAGAACCAGAGATAGAGACAAGGTAGAGAGACCGCCCTCATCCTCCTCCTCGGCTGCCCCAACACAAAAAAACATCTGGCCCGCCGTCCCCATACGCAAATACGCAGAGATACATAAAACAAGGTCCCGCTCGCCTGCCACTGGTAATAAGAAAAATGACGAGGTATCAGGCAGCATGAAGCCCTCCCCCGCACAGCCCCCTCAGACCCCCATCGTAGAGATCAAGAGGAGTCGATGGTCCTCGCCGAGGAGAACCATCAGCCCGACAGGGGATTGGCGAATAAGCTGATGGACCTTGGCATGAGCGAGACGATATCAAACTCCAGATTCCGAGAAAACCGATGCACATCGACAGCCGTCGCCATCTTGACTGCCGCAAACCCGTATCATCTGAACAGCCGGGGTCAAGTTGAGGTGAACTAGAACGATGATGGATTACCACGCGGGGGTCGAGCCGAACAGGTACGTGTGTGTTCCGCTCAAGGGCACAATGTCCCCATTTACAGGACAAGGCACTTGTGCTTCTTGCTGCCGCTGCGACCTTGGCGAGACAGGAGAGCAGCGCGGGTGGCGTGCTCGAACACCTCGCGGACACCCTCATTGGTCTTGGCAGAGCACTCGAGGTACTTGTAGGCGCCAATCTTCTTGCGGATCTCCTCACCCTAAAGACATGATGTGGTTAGTCATGGTTCTTGATTTAAGGCGACTTTGGTGTTCCCTAGTGCTTGGTGCATGTATATATGCACGCCAAGCGCTGCGTGAATGTAGCCTGGGATGGGGTTGGTGGGTATATTTACCTCCTCGGGGGAGACGGGCTTCTGGCTGGTCTTTCGGAGCTCCTCAATGATCTTCTGGTCGTATCGCAGATCCTTCTTGCAGCCAACGAGGATGATGGGGAGACCCTGGCAGAAGTGCAGAACCTCAGAGATCCACTGCGGTTGAGGCACGTGTCAGCAAAGGCGTTATCCCAAGGGAATTCGGGGCGTGCAGCTGTAGCCGCGGCGGGTGATCGTACCTTCTCCTGGACGTTGTCGAGGGAGTCGGGGGAGTCGACAGCGAAGCAGATTAGGATAACGTGGGAGTCGGGGTAGGACAGGGGTCGAAGACGGTCGTAATCCTCCTGACCAGCTGTATCCCATAGGGCCAGCTCGACGTGCTTGCCATCGACCTCGACATCGGCGACATAGTTCTCGAAAACGGTGGGGACGTAGACCTGAAGGGAGAGACAGAGTCAGCGGGAGTGATGATGGGGGTGCACGTTGTGGTTGTTGGGCGATGGAGTGAGGTCGATTGTGAAGGGATTGCGCCTCGAGATAGGCGTCGTCATGATGGGGCCGGCGATTCAACGGGGGAGATCGGCGAAGAGGATCGGGGTGATCGAGCCAATTCTTACCTCAGGGAAAGTGCCCTTGGAGAAGACACTGCAGACGAGTTAGTATTTGATGGATGGATGGGGATGGTGACGGCGAAGGGCGGCGGCCTCTGCCAAATGCCAACATCCAGCCTTGGATGGGCTGGGCTGGCGGCTGGGGAACGGGGGACGCCGACGGGGGTGCTTCAGGCCAACTCACATCAACAAGCAGGTTTTACCGCAGGCACCATCGCCAACGATGACGAGCTTTCGGCGGATCTCAGCCATAGTGTCTGTTTTGGAGGGAATGGAGATGGAGATGGAGTGGTGAGCGGTCGGAGACGAGAGTGTTGCAGAGGTTGCGTTGGGTTGCGAGATGGGACGCGAGCGGCGGCTGCGGGTCGATGGGGGATGGGATGGAGAAGGAGGAGGAAAGTTGGACGCGGAAAGAGGACGTCAGAAGGGGGTTTGGTTTGGTTTAGGTCAGGTAGCGGGAAGGGGACAGGGAAAAAGGTAAGGCAGGCCCAGGCAGGCAAGGTACGAATAGGCAAGGTGCAAGGTGCAAGGAGTAAGGTGCCAGGTGCAGGTGCAGGTGCCAGGTGGTGACTGGTAAGTTAAGGGCCAAGGCAGGTGCTGGCTGGGCTTGGGCTTAGGCCTGGGGGGCTGGCGTTTGGCGAATGGACAAGGTTGTTGGGGAGGGAGTGGCAGCGGCCAGAGAACGCAGAGGGAGGGCGGCGCAGTGACGCCGAGGGAGGAGTACTTTGGGGAGCTTGAGCGGGCCCAGTGAGCGGCGCTAATTCGTACTGTGTTTCTGGTTGGTACGGTAGCAGCAGAGCAACAGAGAGCAATAGACGGGAGCTACAGCCAACAGCCACAAGCTTCAACCCCTTGTGACAGACAGCTGGTTGCGGACAACGATGTGAAATTGCCTGACAATGACGAGTCCTATCGACAACAAATTGTTAGCACCTTGGACCGCCAGTCTCCAGCACTCAGAGGCCTCCCCGAGCAGGCCAGGAACCGAGACAGCGGTGCGAAAAACGGGGCAACCAGCCAGCCTGACCACGGCAAGTGCGTGCGTGCGGGCGGCGCTTTGTTGTTGCCGGGGCTGCGATACTGGGCCCTGGCTTGCGGCGGGTGGGTGGGTGGTGTTTTCCCCTTGGACCAGAGGCTGGCAAGCTGCGCACCTGAGGTTGGGGGTGGGTGCGAAGGGGGAGGTACCTTTTTGCGGGCGGCGCCACTCGCGCGGTACCTGGCTGTCCCGCGACACGGAGGACGCGAAAGGGGGGGGCCGCGTAGATGGGATCCTGAGGCAGCGAGCGGGCGCGTGCCTGTGCGTGGTCCTGAGTGGCAACAGGCGCTGGTCAATCGCGGTGGGTGCACTGTTCGCCGAGCAATTAGTGGGGGTGCCCAGTGCGCGCACAGTGCTGTTCCAGGCCCCCGGGGCTGACGCCAGGTACCGGGGCCTGCAGGACTCGACGAGGTACCGACCTAAATTACCGAGCCTCCGCTAAACTTTCAGTGGTTGTTTGGCACCTGGTTGTGCTGCGGTGCGCTGAGCCGTCCCTGTGGTTTGCTGCTGAGGCGAGCAATGCAGGCAGTGAGCGTCCGGGGGCCAGAGAGGCCTGGGGCAAACAGTCACAAACACTCCGTCACAGGCGGTCAGCCAAAACAGCAGTCCGTTTGCGAACGCTGCGCTCGCTTGTTGATGCCGAGAGACGGGGGCGAAAACAGCTAATTAGCGGATGATGACAAGATGGATTCGGTGGAGAGCTGGATCAACGGGCGAAGATTGAAGGGGTCGGTGTTGATCGCCTTCACCGCGGTTGCTGTGATGGTTTGATTGACTGGTTTGATTTGAGGGATTGCCTCAAGGGGGGTTGTTTGTTGTGGTGCGAGATGATGGCCTCTCCAGCAGAAGTATCCTGGCATCTTGTCTTTATACCGCCTGGCGAAGCCCGCTGAGTCTCCCCGTCAGCTCCAGGCGGAACCCTGGAGTCAGCCTTTGGCGTCGGCAGTTGCATTGTCTGCCTTCGCATGGGCTGTCCTAAACACCACCGTCTGGACGCGAGGCTGTGACAGCTGCCTCCCTTCACGCTGCGGCTTTCCATCGGCCTGACGTGTAGCGTTGTGTCGGTAGTCCTTGACGGTCCACTATACAGTCCTGATCGGTCCATGCTGGTTCTAGAGACTCCTTCTTCCAGGCGTCCTCTGCCAGCTGTTCGCGAAAGCGAGGCTCTAGCTCCTTGCCTCCGGGGCTGAAACCCGTGGCTCAGCCTGTGTCATTCGGGCAGGACGACACTAACCAGCTCCATCCGTCATTCGTCGGCATCACACCTCGATACCACCGGGTGTTCTGGCCTGTCCAGCTGGGAAGGGATCTTGCCTTGAGATTTCCACATGGGATCCGCTATCTACCACCAACAGGCAGGTCGTGAGTGGTCATGGCACAAAAGGGGACGGTTGATTTGCTCGGTGTTTGATGTTGACGAGCGACCCTGTCTCCAGTGGTTACGTATCCATCCCTATCTGGCGTCCCTCCGATCGTGGGGATTCGATGACGGTGGAAAGATGGAAGCTGTACTGACAGCTTGCCACGCGCATAGTGTGTGTTATTGCCAACCTCGTTCAGACTCCCGTCCAGGCCCATTACACCTTGTCCACCGCCGCTAGCGTCCCGATGTCCTGCCCTAGTGGACTGTCTCCGTTCGCTGTGGCTTTTGGTGTTTTTCCTGGTGCTGGAGTACGTATGTGTCGTACTAAATACGGAGCGTGTTACGTAGCGTAGCGCCCGAAGATGTGAGGTGAGGTGATGGATGTCGGCACAAGCTCTGGCCCATGGCATAGAGCCATGTCCTGCATGCACAGTCCTGTCCCAATGCAGCACCAGTCGTGGTCGCCCAGTGAGACAAGGCCGGTCAGCATTCGGAAAAGTCCTACATCCGACCCGAGAGTCTAGGACTCATGTACCAAGTTCTGGGCATGTCTAGAGGACTGCCAAATCTGCCTGAACTGGTCATTATTCTGGCTGGCACCATCTATCACTAGTATTCTGGATAATGACACCCAGCCTAGTATTCCGCGTCATGGGTCCCTGTGTTGATTGATGTGTTCTACCGTTCTCGGCGCGCCAGCTTCCCGTACTTCCGCTTTCCCAGGATGGCACAGGCGTACGTAGGTAGTGAACCAGATATTGAAATGTTGATTTCCCATCTATTTTTACTCTCATCTCAATTCCATCCCTCTGCCCTTGTCTTTGGGAGGGAGCCGTTCCGGGTTGGTGACCGAACCTTGGGTGGCGAGCACGTGCTTATCTCGCATCCCGATGCCGTTGCGAAGCCTCTCAATGGGATTGCGCCAAGGACTGGTACAGCATTGGCAGGGTTGATGCAGACATCAGGTGCCACTCGCTTCCTCTTTTTTCTTTTTACGACCAACAAGCTATCTCCCGTGCAGCGTACGGAGTACCACCGACGACATGGATGGTCAGAAGGCATTGTTCTGGGTACCAAATTTCCCGGATTCCGGATCTTTAGATGCTTCCCCGATGCGACGCCAACATTGTCTGGACAACAAGGGACACAATGCTCCTCACCGAAACCAATGGTCCCAGCCTGTGTTCTGACATGGTGACGCTTCATATTTATAGCATCGTCTTGACAATTGACTGAATGCATGGCATCTAGCGAGTGAGCTTTCATTTCAGGCTGTTTGGTTATTTCCCGAACTGAGCTACCGGCAAGCTGAAGCCCCTTTTCAATCGAATACTGAACAAAATGAAAAATGAAGAAACCGAAGAACATTGGGAAATGACCTGGACAACCCTAAAAGGGACCAACATCTCTGATGCTGAAAGTGAAGCTATCACGTCACTAAGCTCCGAATGTGGAGTCCTGCATAGTGACAGTGCCCAGTACAGTGTAATGCATATCTCGCACATTATGCCACCACGGCTAGTTCCGTGGTACCATGGCGAGAATTTCGAACTGGTCGTCAACTCCACCACGAAATCCATCACCACCCCTCGTGACAGCTCGGCGCCAGCACCTCAATTCCGCCCAATGGGTTGCTAGAGCTCACGAACCCATTCCACCGCCGATCGCCGATCCCCTCCCACCATGCAGAAGCTCGCCAAGCGGGTCGCCCAGGCCCAGCGCCAGGCCGGTCGCCGTGCGCAGAAGCAGGCACAAAGCGAACACCAGGGCTACAAGCTCCGAAACCGACAGGCCCTACGAGGCGCCGTAACTGAGGTCCGCGAGAACCTCCTCGATGCGCGCCGCGCCCGTGCGGAGGACTGGGAGATGGGTCCCATTGCCCCAAAGCGAGACTTGGGCTTCAACGGCTATGGCATGTTTGCCGAGAGCGTCCGAACCGATTGGTCCAACTATGGCCTGTATTCACCACGCCCCGAGGTTGTTCAGAAGAGGTGTGCCTGGGCTGGTGGACCTAAGATGCTCAATCTTGAGGTTCAAGACCGTGTGGTTATCCTGGATGGCCCCGACAAGGGCAAGATTGACCGCATCAGGTCTATCAACCTGCAGTCTGGCCATGTGACATTGGAAACCCACCACCGAGTATGTCTCTTTACTTTTATATTCGTCTTGTACTAACACATTTGAATAGGCAATCTCTGCTGGCATGTTTGGCAACGACAGCCGTTCTGCGCCCATGCCCCTTTCGATTGGCTCAATTCGTCTCGTATACCCCATCACCAACCCCGAGACGGGAGTAACCAAGGATACCGTCATCAACCAGCTCAAGGGAATCCCCCCGAACATGAAGTCTCCAAACATGACTCTCGACCGATGGGAGAACGGAAAGAAGTGGGATCGTGTGGTTCCCGGCATCAACGTCGTAATCCCCTGGCCCGAGGTACATGTCCCTGAATATACGACGCAGGCTGCGGATACCATTCGCGAGCAGGTTGAGGATCGAACCTTCTACTACAGCCTCCTGTCACCTCCCATGCCCGAACAGGTCCTGGACGAGCTGCGCAACAAGTTTTCCAAGTTCCGAACGCGCCACGAGGGCTGGTATGTCCAGAAGAGGGAGGCCGACGAGGCGGCCAAGAAGGCCCGACAGGAGTCAGTCTTGTCCATGCAGACACCTCTGCAGGAGTTCCACGCCATGCAGCGTGAGCTCCGTGCGGCTCAGGGCGAGCCCGAGCTCACGGACGAGATGCTGGAGAAGCTTGGTGCTGTCATTGCCCAAAAGAAGGAGACAGCATTCAAGAACGCGGGCGTATCGGAGGTTGTGTCTGCAACACCAGATTCGACACCACCCTCTTCAGCACCGCAATGAACCCCTCAATGATGCCCTTGGGGACGTGTTTTACGGCGGCAGATGTATCAGGGAAGGTACAATCAAGTGTAATTATACATGTGCAATTACGATGTACATCACGAGGCGCAAAAATAGACGCAACATTTCATGTCCACTGACTTCTTTTCGCCTGTGTTGTATCTAAGCGGATTGACTTGTGACAGTCCATATTTTTCTTCAACACGCGCCGTCCTTAGCAGATAAGGCTGAACCGCCATCGACGCCTAGCCCCACAGATGCAGACATCATTCTGTTGGCCTCAACTAACTGGGGCAGTGCCTCAGATATCCCAGCTCGCATACACTGGCTCCATGGTTCATTCATGTCCGCATTTGTTGTCCTGGCCCTTGTTTGGTCTTCGGGTAGGGGGCTTAGCCGCATCCCCTTTGTCGATCGAGCTCTGGATCAAGCGGTCTTGGAAGGATGATGTGTCGTAGATAAACTGCGTGAGCATGGAGCTTCCGCCGTGTGTTCTATGACGAGGTTTAGTAGGTGTGTCCTTGAAAAATATGGGACTATGCAACGTGCACTGCGTAGCCATCAGTGGTTGATTTGATGGAAGTTGAAGAAGATGGCATTTTGGGGAAGAGGGACAGCAGGATGTTGAAGCAAGACAATGGATTGTCAAAAACGTAGACTTCGAGATGCCACCAAGAGCTCGTAGGTAGACTAATAAAGCAGTTCCAATATGCTTGATGGCGAAGGATTATGACTTCAATGGGGTAGCTTGGACAATGTGCTCCCGGACAGGACTCTTTATAGCAAGGAACACACACACATGCCCGCTGAGGTACACATTTAGACAGCATATTCCTGATTGAAGTTGGGGTAAGATGCTACATCCCGGAAGCCCATTCGGATGCAATGGGTTGAATGAGTGACTAGGTCAACTTGATGGTCAATGTCCACCACCTCCAAGCCCCCGATGTATTTTGCTAAGCTATCACTGGGTAGTCCGAGTTTGCTAGCTCGGTGTGGTGCATTTCATCGTCCAATCATGTACCTCTTGTTGAGATGTGTCTCGGTCTCTCGGATTTCCTCTTCGGGAGACGAAGACCTGCAAGTACATGTGCCTATTCCTATTTAAGTTGACTTTTTAGCATCACGCATTGGTAAGAACCACGAGACACGCTGTAATAAACAGGGACAGTGATCACGGAGAGATTTAGTGGAATACAAAGATTCAAGGCCTCCGCCTTGATGCGTTCTTGGTACATCTAAATGTACAACCAGGTTGTAAGGGTGGAGAAGCGGCTGAGTTCTGGGCCGCTCAAAAGTTGTCAGTCAGGTATAAAAAAAACATCATACTGAAGACGGTCTTGACCGAGACAGAACTGTGTGAATAATGACTTCCCTTGTAATGGGGTGACGGCTTCACGAGGCTACGACTTCAAACATAATTGACTCGATGTCGCTCAATTTTCCTTCACCGCTTTGTGAACTGATTAGCACATGGAAATCCTGGGCGCGTTCCGTACGACTAGAAATAGAAGCGAGGCTGGATGCTGTTTCTATTCGTTTCTTACTGGTTGAGAGTCGATACTTTCTTCTTGCTTGAGAGCGGTCGGGTAAAAGGTCGACTGTCCGCCTCTGGTTCACTATGGAAGTGTAAGCCACTAGTTGCAAGGGAGCTCGTATGGTGTGGTATTAGGATCGGACTGGGGCGCTGTGGATTTGAACGCCTGATGGCAATGGCTTTAAGCTATCTGTCTGGCCGACCTCTACGGTACGATCCAGAAATGTTAATATTGACTGGGTTGCGCCGCTGCTAGAGGGCCTGGTGTTTCCTGCCATTGTATTTGTTTCAATTATCGCTGGACCGATAAATGTTCCTATCAATTCACTGACAAGGAGCGCTTGAGAAAATTACATTTCGCCGACTTGGGAAGTATCCGCGGCGAAGGCTCATCCTTAGAGGTATGATATGGTGATATGATGTGAGTATGGAGTTGGGCGTGCATAGTAATGAAGAGCGCCAGGTCATGTAGTGTGAGCTTAACTGAAGAAATATGTATCGAAATGTGTGTCGAAATATTGGGGAGATCTAAGTGGGCTAATTTAGTGGATTGGGTGAAGATCTTCTGATATATTCTTCCTCATATCTTTACACTGAACCTCATAGACAACCTACCTTACTCTATCTATCCGCCCTACAAGTAAGCGCATGAGACGCAGATATACGGGCTGTGTGCAGAAATTACTCATGCAACTTATAGCTCTTATTGGGGTTGGCCCGGCCTGCACTCCTCGAGCACTATGTTAAGCGGACCTGGCGGAGCATGTAGTAGAGGAACTGTGCGAGTATGGGGAACTTCCGGCTTGGATTTTGCGAGGGGGTCTAGGAGATAGTCATTTCTCTGAACAAGAGACAAATATGGGACATACTGCCCAAGGTCGCTCGTGGTAGGCTTGGCAACTGGCTTGGTAAAAGCTGACGAGGATATCATTTTGGCGTGTGAGATTGTGAAGGAGGGACACTTATAGGAAAAAGAGAGTATTCTTACAGAAGAAGCATCTCCGTATGGATAGAACAAGAATGCCAATAAATTCTTGGCAGGCCTCTTTATAACAAAGTACATCAACACATATGTCCAAATTGAGGCGTCCTCTCAGACAGACACAAGGCAGCGGTACGAGGATACTCAGGATCTAGCTTCTGGGGTAACATACTGCATGGTAGCCAATGAATTGGAGTCATACTGAATTAGCTGGAAGGGGTTTAGAGCAGGACGTGTTTAGACAGCACACAAAGTGTGGCAGGATTCTGCAAGATCCTGAGAACCGAGAGGGCGCCTCATCTATTGGACCCCCAAGGCAGTTGCACTAATGGGCTACATCGGACAACGCCCTGGAAGCTCAGGTAGTATTAGGGTGCGCCACGGGTTCCCTTCATGCGCCGCTCGTACCGAAATATAGTCTACCTCTAGGGGTTGTTCGCACCACATCTTACCTGCAGAGGCTGTTGGCTAAGGTGGATGATGTGGCAGCGTGATTAGAGGGTTATTCGCGAGCTGACGGGAGTGGATTGATCTTCATAGGGGATTTTGAACCGCAGTCTGGACCAGGGTCAATCCCAGGGCATCATCTTCTACTTCGGCTGATGATGACGGTCTAGTGCCCTGTACACACCAGCCTCATGCATACCGACATACTTTAGCGCCTCGCCTCGTGCATGCACACCTGATGATGACTTGTCCGCACCACATCCGCTTCTCAGCGGCCAGGCTTATTGACATGGCAAGAAAATTGGGGTTTTATTGTGTTCTGAAAAAGAAGAAGGAGCACACGGTGTGTTCTCAACTCAAGAAAGATTGATTGACATAGCGGATCCCTGAGCAAAGTAATTGGATAGAGTTTATGGATGGCCTTCCGCGTACTTCCTACTTGCACCTCCACGCCTTACCGCACAGATGCAGGCCATATTTTGTCTGTCTGCCACATTCTCAAGTATGCTAAGCGCCGGGTATATTGCCCTCAGTGTGACTTATAGCTTTGCTGTTGTGCCATCCTGGGGTTGTTGGGGGTAGGGGCTGGCACCGCCTGTGCTGGCCGAGCCCTGGATCAAGCGGTCTTGGAGGGAGGACGTATCGTAGATGAACGGCCCCAGCATTGAGTTTCCAACTTGGAATCTAGGTAAAATCTCAGTGAGTGAGTTCCTGAAAAGATGGACAGGTCGAGAAAATACTGTATGTGGCCACGGGTGGTGGGCTCGGCGGAAGTTGAAGAGGGGGCATTTTCCTAGAAGCGGCTCGAGAAGATGGATGTTAAGGTGGTAAAGGTCACTGACGGAGAGCCAACAACAGAGACTTCAGAGTGATAGGAACGGTTTGTAGGGGCAGATTGATGATGTAGGGAGGCCTGAGGGATGCTTTGGAGAGAAGAGACGTGATTTGGATGGGACGAAACCACTCACAAGGGGATTGGGATGTGCCTTTTTATAGCAGGGAACTGGGCGTGATTGCACACATGACGAAATCAAGGCATCCTCTTGAACATGGGAGAGGAAAGACCTGGGAGGAGGGATATGATTGAGCTTCTGCGGCACGACTTTGAAAGTCGGGACATTTCCTGCTACTACACCTTGCCCCCCTCCCTGTCTTAAAGATCCACCCCGCTCTGCAGTCGCCGTCGGCATGCCCAACATCCAATCAGAGAACTAACCTATCAAGCCACCTTTGGAGAAAGTAGTTGTCATTGGCCTAGCAGGTTTGAAAGTGAGAAGAACGAACGAGAACGGCTGCATACATATCATTTTAACCTCCTATTTCCTATTGCGGCCTAGCCCGCCTCTCGCCCTTCGCTCCTGGCGCCCGTCGACCTCGGGCTAGGCAATGGGGTGTCATGCATCGGTTTGTGAGCCAACGCTCCTCAAGATGTCGCGGTCCAGTGGTACTAACCTATACTGTCTACGTGTGCGACAACTGGTTTGAGGCCCGGCTAGGCTCTGGGAGGGAGATGGAAGCTAGGAGAGAGAAGAGGAAAGCTTTGACTTGCGTAAATGCACACTGTCTGGGTAATTCCTCGCCTGTCTGGATTAATCGAGGCTGCACGTCTCTAATTTTTTTTCTGTCTTGCTTGTTACCTACTCCCTACTGCTTTCTCTTCCTGCTTGCTTCCTTCTCACCCACTCCTTTCTAAGCCGCTTTTGATCAACGCGGTTGGAACACCTGTATTGCCGCCTGGCAAACTTGGAGTTCAGGCTAGGGTCTTGATCAGCCTGGTGGAGCACCTGCATTAGCGCCTGGAATCCCGGGTATCGACAGTCATGGTTAGACTTTGCGAGTACTGTAGTTTTGGTGGAGATTTCACTCAGGCTCTTGTACACAGGACGTACTTGTCGGTCCTGGCTTGCAACCTAGGTACCCGTAGCACACCTCGTGCGAAGGCTTTGACACCTCCTCACCCCCCCTCGAATCGCATTTCTGAATGTCGGCGAGCGGATTGCATCTGCACGCTCCCTTGTCTGACGCTTCAACATGGATGCAGCTTGTCAGGATGCAAGGTTATCCGCCCTGTAAAGTACCTTCTCTGTCCCATTGACCTCCAATTCCAACCAGCCCCCCCGGCCGTACGCGTTTGCCTTGTAGGCCATTCTGTGCGGGTAGGAACCGAGCTGAGGTGGGCAGGGGGTATAAAGTAGATCAAAAGATAATTTTCCCACAATAAGTGCGTGATTGAAGAAGGATTTATCGAATCAGAGTATCACCACTGTTGCAAGATATTTGCTGAACGTACATAGGAATGCTATTGTCCACTTGTCTAGCATTTTCCCCAATGCCATTTTTTTTTTAGTAAGCCATTATTTCATCTACTACAATGCACTCACGTCCCACGATTAAGGCGCGAAATGGAAATAAATGCTACTGTAAGACACACAAGCGCACTGCCCTGATATTGCTATATGTTTTATACGGCGATTTTAGATTGCACTTGTTGGAGTGAATTTTTAATTTGGTCCACCGGGCCTCCTCTCTTAACACGAGCCTATCACTCTCCCCGACACAGGTTCTCTGGTGTACTGTATCGCACATATCTAGGGAGCTCCAGCTCACGACTTATATCTTGGCGTCGTTTGTTTTGTCGTGTGATGGCTTTGGCTCAGGAGCGGGAAGCTGGCTGTCACCCGCTCCTACTGATGAGCGTTGGATTAAGCGGTCTTGGAGGGACGAGGTGTCATAGATGAATTGAGCAAGCATTGGGCTGCCACTTTTGAGTCTGGGTAGCCGAAAGGGTTATTACACATACATATTCGGAGTTTCTTTGAAGGGATCAAGCAGCAGACTGACGGGTTCAAGTCATTGGTGGTAGACGAAGAGGGCTCAGGAGAGGACGCCATGTTATGAAGGACGTGAGGAGACGAGGCTGTGCTGCTCGGACCGCAACGATGAACGCACGAGATGGCTGGAAATTGTTTAAACGTGTGGGTAATGGTCAGAAGAAGGTGGATGGTCTGGACTAAACGGAGTAAAGGAGGACATCATGGACTCTTTATAGAGAACTAGACAGCATGGTCGGGTTTCGCTCCCGCCCAGGAGCGATGTGCATTTTTTGGCACCCTCCCACCAGAACTACACATTGAAAGGTTGGTTGCTGCAGGGCGGCCATCCTTGGAGACAACAAAATGCGGATCCATCCAGTGAGAAGTTGGATGAGATGAGATTCAGCTCAGACGCGGCAACTGACCGTTACGACAAACGCCTTTTTGACTTTGTCCCTCTAGGCAATGTCCATATCCCTGGGGAGTATTTCTCCGGCAGTTACCTTGATTTGATGTAACTTCCGGGGGAAGTGAGCCGCATTGAGGCCTCTTTGGTACCTCTGTGACAGGTAGGTAGGTAGTCATGGTACAACAAGTCTTAGCGTGGACGAAATGGGACGAGACCAGGGACTCTGGAGGGGCCAGCTCATCGATGGATCCCCACCAGCGAGCGTCACCGTCTCTACGGATGCTGCAGGCGCAGGTGACAAACGACATGCTGTGGTTGTGACTGCCGTGCATTTAAATAACGAACTGGGGATCCGCCTGCTGAGGCTATACCGTATGTGTTAAGCTGTAGGGTTGCCCGCTACCCGCTACCCGCTGCGGCTTGCTGCTTGCTGCTTGATGCTTGCAACCCGTCGACCTAATCTAAAGGGACCACAGACTCGAGTGTCAGGATCGCCACTGAGCGAGACCTGCGGACACTGACGCCCGCTCAGTCGGCTGGCCTTCGCTGCCTGTAGCGCCCCTCGGGTTCCGTCTTCACTGATGTATCATCTTGTTCAAGCTTGATCAAAGCTCGGCACTTTGTCTTCGCTTGTTGGGTGCAGCGGGCGCACTCTTCCATACGTCGCCACATCTGAAGGGTGTCAATCAGCTGTGGCGGGCTGTGCGGCAAAAGAAAAGCGGCTGAGTGTTGGGTCATTGTGTATTAAGTTGGAAAACATTGGATTTAGGTGAGCATGACACAGGACGGGACTGTGTTGATACGAAACGACTGTGGCAGAAGTTCATCTTAATCCGGACAAGGCTCAATAGAGAGGCGGCTTGATCCAACAGCGGGCTGATTCGGCTGTGACTTCAAACGGCGGTGACTTAATGTTGCGCAGTTTTCATTCAGAGCTGCCTCAGCCAATCATTAAAGAGAGGCGCAATGGTCAGGATTTTTGCCCCAAATGAAAATAAGGCTGCCGCCATCCCCTCTGCTTATAAGGCTCAACCTGCCGGGCATGGAAAAAGTAGACAGTCCGTCCTTGGCTCACTCTTGAAGTGTCTACCAAGCCCTCAATTGACCTTTATTTCTCCTCCTTTTCCCGCCCTCTCCCTTAATGCGACGTATCGTATACAGGTAACATGGCACATCATGATTTCAGCACTCCCGGTTTTTCGATTTTTTCGTGTATTGCACCACAGAGTCAAGGTCAAAAGAGAGGGCACGATGATTTCATGAACTATGACGACCCTGGTAGCTCGGGCAATGAGTCGGCTCCGCAGAAGAAACAGAAGACAGGAGAACTCGACTTCCGATATAGTTGCCCGTACCGAAAACGATTCCCCGGGATCTTCAACGTGCGGGATCATCAGACATGCGCAACGCAGTCATTTTCCAGCATCACTCTTGTCAAGTAAGTCTCTAACTTGAGGACTCGCAAATACTTCGGCACTTGCAAGAGTTCTCAAAAACCAAGACCCCAGCAGTTGACTTGATTCCTAGGCGCCACATAATGACAACACATCAATTGCAGAACGCTCCGACCGTATTTCAATGCTATTCTTGCAACCAACTTATGCAGTCTGGTGATGAACTTTCTGTACATACCGAGCTATGCGGATGCTCCAACAGATTGTTTCCAGCAAAGATTACACTTGGAATTGACGATCATATGGAGGGCAGATTACGAGATCGTCGAGCACGCAATCAAGTTTTGACATGGGATAAGCTCTGGGAAGTCATTTTGCCCCAAGAAGATACCGCACCGTCACCAGGTGAGATTAATCCCTGCGCGTCCCCAGCATGAGTTCCGTGTTGGCGGACGAGGGGAGCACTGCGACCATGTACCTGGCTAACTCATCCGGCAGAGTTTGAGCCCGTTACCGAGGGCCGCGAGGCGATGGAGAGATTTTTCGAGGTTTTCAATATAGATCCGAAAGTTGGCGAAGTTCTGGAAAACATGTTGGCCCGTCCGAGGTCGCTGTACGACTTGAGCACTCTGCTTGATGTTCTCAGCGGAGATACTCCAGAGGAACTAACAGAATCTCCATAAAACAATTGCCATCACTTTTACGCGACTTGGGCAATGGTTAGGTCCCGGGACACCATATGTAGGGTACCGCAGGAGCGAGTAGCTATTAATTAAATACTATTGACGAGACATGTAATATATCCTCTCATTCAGGACCGGAGCTCTCCACTTTTCCGCCTTCGGCCGGCGGCCGGCGGCGGCCCGGGCGTCACCGGGACTGCCCCGCACTACGCACCCCACCTCATCCACTTGGCTGCGGCAAGTTCCAGCTGGAGCAGCTGCCCGCCTTTGAGATAAGACACATCAACCAAGCTTTTTGTACGAGCTCAATTCTCCTCTCCCAAACATCTCTCCGCCAGTCTAACCGCCGGCCGATTGCTTCTTCTCCTTCTTCCACAGCTTCGATCTTCTTTATTCCAACCAACCCCCCACCGACCGCCAACATGTCGCACTCCCATGACGGCTCTGCCCCGCACTCGCACGAGTTCAACGCCGCTGAGCATGGCCACTCGCACGAGATCCTGGATGGACCGGGAAGCTACCTCGGGCGCGAGATGCCCATCGTCGAGGGGCGTGACTGGTCTGACCGAGCGTTTACTATTGGCATTGGCGGGTTGGACTCTCCTCTGTGGTTTTAGGAGGCTTGGTTGGCTGACAATGACATCAATAGCCCCGTTGGCTCCGGAAAGACGGCCCTCATGCTCGCCCTCTGCCTCGCGCTCCGCTCGAAATACTCCCTCGCCGCCGTAACCAACGACATCTTCACCCGTGAAGACGCCGAATTCCTCACCCGCCACGCCGCCCTCCCCCCGCAGCGCATCCGCGCCATCGAGACAGGAGGCTGCCCGCACGCCGCCGTGCGCGAGGACATCTCGGCCAACCTCGCGGCACTCGAGGACCTGCACAGAGAGTTCGGCACCGACCTGCTGCTGATCGAGTCCGGCGGCGACAACCTGGCGGCCAACTACAGCCGCGAGCTGGCCGACTTCATCATCTACGTGATCGACGTGAGCGGCGGCGACAAGATTCCCCGCAAGGGTGGGCCGGGCATTACGCAGAGCGATTTGCTCGTCGTGAACAAGACGGATCTGGCCGAGATTGTCGGCGCCGACCTGGGCGTCATGGAGCGGGATGCGCGCAAGATGCGAGAGGGCGGACCTACCGTGTTTGCCCAGGTGAAGAAGGACGTTGGCGTGGACCACATCGTCAACCTCATGCTCAGTGCGTGGAAGGCCAGCGGTGCTGAGGAGGAGCGCAAGAGCAAGGGTGGCCCTCAACCTACCCCTGGACTCGAGGCATTGGAGGCATCGGCAAAGTAATCCGAGTGTTGAAAGTACGGGCTTACAGAGACAGACGAAAAGTAACAAAAGAAGAACGCCTTTTATTTGCATCTAAGGTATACCTATGTGTCATCATCTATGCCCGGTCATTCCATCATCATGTCACCATCGGTCTGCTGTTCGCTAGCCTCCACATCAAGCAAGTTTCCCTCGACGGCCATGGCGTTCCTGGGCCACACCCGCTTGTACAGACTGACACCGATGGCGTCTTGAGGGTTGATACGCCCATCGAAGGTCGCCTTGAAGTAACCGTGGGTACCCAGCGGCTCCTTGATGTAACCGCTGCGACCACGCTTGGTCCACATGGGCAGCGCCTTGAACCACTCCACGTCTTCGCGGTTGAAGAACATGTACCGAATGGTGACAATCTTCTTGTGGATGTGGTATGGGTGGCCAGTGAGGATGATTCGCTTGGCAATGACACGCGAAGTCGAAGGCGGTACGGCAGTGCCAGTACCAATGAGCGACAGGCCAAGGTTGGGGCCGTCGTCGCCCTGAGATTCCTCTGGGCTGTTCTTCTTGAAGAATAGAACTGGCACGGATCCCCATGTGAGGGGTCCCATAAAGGTCGCGATCGCTGATTGACCGGGGTGCAGGTACCTGCAGTACTTGTGGACGTCGTTGGGCGTCTGGCCCGGCTGCGAGAACAGGGGCTTGATAGCCAGGCGTCGGGGTCCGCACTGGGCAATGATCTCCTCCTTGGCCTTGATTGACTTGGTATAATCTGAGCTCAGGTTAATGAGATAGTTGACCGCCGTCTTCTTGTGCTCGTGTCTCAGGAGAGAGAATAGTGTGAGAGGGGCCTTCTTGTTGTAAGTCTTCTCCTGGACCGGGGAGATGCCCTTGATGTAGATGTGCACGCGGGTTCCAGGCTCAACTCCGCCCACCAAGGCCTCGCGGGTCGCTCGCGATTGCGATGACCGGTAGTCGGGGATTTGCAGCAATCGCCTCCACTCCTCGGGCTCGTACGCGCGGTCTTCTTCCTGTTGCCAGGGACTGCTTCGCAAGCTCTTCAGACCACGATACTTTGCTAATCGATCTTGAGCGAGCACACCGGGATGAAGTTCAATCTCATCAGGGAACTCCTTGTCGTCTTCAACCTCGTTTCGCTTTCCGGCTCGGTACTGTGCAAGTTGCTGAGCATCCTCCTCCTCACCAGGTTCCTGGATCATCTCCGACTGGGGATACTCGGAGGGCGCACCCTCCGTCGCAGGGGCAGGAGCATATCCTTCAAGACCATCTTCAGGGCGAGCCTCATCCTGATCGTCCTTCATCTCGAAATCCTCCATGTCTGACTCAGAATCGGAAACATCCTCCAAGTACCAGGCTGACTGGTAGTTGGAAGTACCCTTGGGGACCTTTTTCTTGATTTTCCGTGCCTCTGCTTCCTCATCTGAGAAATAGTGGTGTTCGTCTAAAAGAACACCCTTCTTAGGCTCGGGAGCTGCTGACATGGCAACATCATCAGCATCGCCATCCATCATGACCTCCTCAGGTGCGAGGTCAACCAAGTCATCCTGGTCCTCGGTGGGTGCCTCCAGGATCTCCTCGCTCTGCTCAGCATCGATAGTCATCTCCTCTCCCTTCTTCTTGACATGCTTGGGTAGAGGGGCGGCCACAATCTTTTCGATCTGGAAAGTTCCCCAGTCACCAACCTGGATAAGACGATCGGCGTTCAAGCCCCTGCCCCTGACGACACCCGTGACGATAGTGGGGTCGGAGTCGGAATAGGCGAACTTGATATCCTCAGCCAACATCCAACTCCGGTCTTCCCTCCACCTCACACCCTTGGGGGTTGTGCTGCATAATGATCGGATGAGGTTGGAACACTCCTGTCGGTTCTCGAGGCTGTAAATCTTCTCCTGCTCGGGGTGGAAGTGGGTGATGAAGGACTTAAGTGAGCCAACAACTCCCTTATGTTTGGCAGGTTCAATCTTGTCCAGACCTTGAACAAGGGTGAAGAGTGTTGACAGACCCTGACTCTCAACGCTGCGCAGAATCAACTCGCCGAGTTCATCAACCTCGACAGTCGGCGACAGAATCACAATGACAAAGTCGGCGACTCGAGCAGCGTCAAGACAGGCAGTCAAGTCGCGCTCCAAGGGGATATACTGCAACTTCTGCTTGAATCGCTCGACGTTGATCCGGAAGTTGCCATCCACCACCTCGTCCTCAATATCGACGCTGCCGTTCAGCTGTCGGATTGCGGCCTTGGCATCTCCATCGGCGCAGAGGGGCAGGACGGCGACGATTCTGGGGGCACCGTCTCGGCTGGCAAAGATGGAAGTACCCTTGAGGTGCTCCTTGTGCTTGGAGAGGCGGGCCTGTTTGGCTTGGTTTCGACGATCGAACTTGGACATGACTTGCTGGTGGATGGTCTTTCGCTGTCCTTTCTCGTTGGGAACACGGCCTAACCAAAATTTGTTAGAATTAATGGACAATACAAACATACGACAAAAACGTACCCTTGGCCCTGTCCCTCAACTCATGCTTAGACGCCGCCTTGGACTTGAACGGCTTGTGGCTAACCTTGGTGGTGGGCCGATGCGAATGAGCCACGGGAGTCGGCATCTTGCTATCAGCGCCGGCTTTGAATCGAAACGGTAACGAAGCCAGATTGGATAGTACCCGGGAGACGCACGAAAAATTCCGGTTGGCGCGAAGTAGACGTTGGCGATGGCAATATCAGCGATTATCGAAGGCGGTCATGGCGGGGTTGTGGTTATCCAGAAATTTTTGTGTGGGCCGCTATCGATAAGGAGAGTGGATTCTGCCGCAGCCAATCGAGTCCCGGCGATACGCCTCTTTGCATTCGGCGCTGGAAATTTTGTCTGCTGCCAATTCGATCCGCGATCCGCAATCCCGTCTTCACTGCGAATCGACTGCGAGACGACAAGATGGAGGTCGACACAATTGACGAGCCGATCACCAAGGTGCGCGAAAATGGTGCCCTAGCTGTTGAGCGCACGCGGACGGAACTCGTCCCCCGCCACGAGCGCGAGAAGATCCGCCGCCTGAGGGAAGCCAACAAGGCCTACGGCCGCGGCAAGAAGATCAACACCAAGACCATCAAGGACAAGAAGCTACGCACCAACCTCAAGCGCCTCGAGGGCAAGTACCAGGATGCCGCCCTCAAGGCCAAGGACGCCGAGATCCTGCTGGAGAACACCAGCGGCTTCCTCGAGCCCGAGCAGGAACTCGAACGCACGTACAAGGTCCGCCAGCAGGACATTGTCGACGACGTGGCCGTCGACACGGCGCAGAAGCGCTTCGACCTCAAGCTGGACGCCCTGGGCCCGTACAACTTCGACTACTCGCGCAACGGCCGCGACCTGCTCCTCGCCGGCCGCAAGGGCCATGTGGCCACCATGGACTGGCGGGAGGGAAAGCTGGGCTGCGAGCTGCAGCTGAACGAGACGGTGCGCGACGCGAAGTGGCTGCACAACAACCAGTACTTTGCCGTGGCGCAGAAGAAGTACGTCTACATCTACGACCACAACGGCGTGGAGTTGCACACCTTGAAGAAGCACCAGGAGGTGTCCCAGATGGAGTTTCTTCCCTACCACTTCCTGCTAGCAACCATTGTGAGTTTTCACCGACCCGCTCCCTATCAACTGACCACTGACAATGCCAGGGCGCCGTGGGAATCCTCAAATATCAAGATACCTCGACCGGACAACTGGTCGCCGAGATCCCGACCCGATTAGGAGCGCCCGTCTCCCTCGGACAGAACCCCTACAACGCCATCCTGCACGTCGGCCACCAGAACGGTGCCGTGACGTTGTGGTCACCCAACTCGCAAGAACCCCATGTCAAGCTGCTGGCACACAAAGGACCCGTGCGGTCACTGGCAATGGACCGCGAGGGCCGATACATGGTCTCGACGGGTCAGGATCAGAAGATGGCAGTGTGGGATATCAGAATGTTCAAGGAGGTCAACAGCTACTACACCCGCCAGCCGGCGTCATCAGTGGCCATCTCAGATAGCGGTCTGACGGCCATCGGATGGGGCACCCAGACTACCATCTGGAAGGGCCTGTTCGACAAGAACGCCCCCGTTCAGCAAAAGGTGCAGAGCCCATACATGGCGTGGGGCGGTGAGGGCAAGCGCATCGAGCGAGTCAAGTGGTGCCCCTTCGAAGATGTCCTCGGCCTCGGCCACGACGAGGGCTTCTCATCCATCATCATCCCCGGCGCCGGCGAGGCCAACTTCGACGCCCTCGAGGTCAACCCCTTCGAGACGGCCAAGCAGCGCCAGGAATCCGAGGTCAAGGGCCTGCTCAACAAACTGCAGCCCGACATGATCGCGCTCGACCCCAACTTCATCGGCAACCTGGACCTGCGCTCCGACAAGCAGCGGCGCGAGGAGCGCGACCTCGACGCCGCGCCCGTCGACGTGGCCGAGGAGATCCGCAACCGCGCCCGCGGCAAGAACGGCGCCCTCAAGAAGTACCTCCGCAAGCAGCGCAAGAAGAACATCATCGACGAGAAGCGCCTGCGCGTCGACGAGCTCTGGAACGAGCAGCAGAAGCAGAAGGAGAAGAAGCGCCAGGAGGTCGAGGAGGATCTTGGGCCGGCGTTGTCGAGGTTTACAAAGAAGGAGTAGTGCTAGATTTTTATAGAAATGCGAATAATACCCCTGACGAACATCCGTGTGTTTCTGGGTGGCCTCTCTACGTGTGCGTGCGACGGTCTGAGTCAAGACTGGTCCTTGTGTCAATAAACGCCATGGCGGCAGGCCGATCTATTTTTTCCCAGTATGCTTTTTGGATAACCCAGCCGGGTCCCTGTCTATGTTCAACTCCCCATATGATACACCCAATCCATCGTCGCATCATACCCACGGTATTACCCCCGTGGCTCATCCCCTACAGCAGCTTCAGGCCACCAGTGACCTGGTCGACGACACTCCGCGGGGCGGGGCCGACGCCCAGGACCGTCATGCTGCCGGCTTCGATCTGGGTGCGGCCGGCATCCTGGATGACCTCGGCGGTGAGGCCCATGCCGCGGGCCTTGCGGGACAGCTCCAGCAGCTCCTCCTGGCTCTTGATTTGCACGGCGATCTTGGCCTGGCCGTACTTTTCCCAGCGGGCGAGCAGCTTGCGCTCGGCGGAGCCCTCGGGAGCCCGCATGAGCTTCTTGTAGCAGGCGAGCGTGGCGTGGGAGCATTGCGCGGCAATCTTGCCTGTTGGGGGTGAGGATGTCAGCGATATGCTTCTGCATGGTGCGATTGCACGGCAGCTGTCGAAAACGAACCCTTTGTCATGCCCAGATCCGTCCGTACCACCAAGACCAGCTTGCACTCCTCGCCCGTGTCCTTGACGACGGGCTTCTCCGAGATCTTGAGGCCCTGCCTGCGGTCGGCGTCGGCGCCGTTGGCCCAGTTGGGCGCGTGGTCCAGAATGGTGTCGTCCTCGTCAATGTCGCTCTCGTCGCTCTCGACGGGGTCGTTCAGGTTGGCGCGGCGCTCCTCGGCCAGCTCGGGGGAGATGACGTAGCCGCGGGTGGTGAAGACGCCGAACATGTAGCCCGCGATGATGGACGCAAAGGCCGTCCCCAGGACGATGCCCGTCTGCTGTGCTGAATCGTCATCCATGGCGGAAGATTTGTGGTGGGGGGATATATGCGTGGGAGTGGTTGGTGTATTTGGACGACTGCGTTGACATATTCGTAGTGGCGCTGCGGGTATCACGTGCGGCGATGGCTTCTCGACCGTGCCCCAGTTTCACAAGCTGACAGGTGAAAATCGACACTCGAATATGACGTACGTTCCTCAGTCAATTGCACATTTCTCAAACTACTTGCACATTGATCAGGACGACACAAACGAATAGATAGGTTGATGAAAATGTGAAATCTATTTTTCATGTAAATTCCGTTTATTCGCGACAGCGCGAAACATTATTCAAGCTAAATCATACAGACTATAGGTATAACACGTCTCGTACTCCTTTATTCTAGACCTTCATTCCGAAACTCTTGCCAAACGCCAACAAATGTCCAGTAGAGCTCTTTCGTTTTTCAAACAGGAAAATCCGCCCCTTGTCATTACATTACAAGCACACCCTTCTGGATGTGCGCGGTCTCGTCGATCAAGGGCATGCACTCGAAGATCTTGGCGAAATCGTTTAGGCAGCGGCTGCGGGCAGCCAAGTGGCCCTTCTTGGTGCTGATGCCCTTAGATGGCACAAAGTTGACGTACTTTTCGCGGCCCTGGACAAGCAGCGGGCCGTCGCCGGTCAGGAGCGACTGGACATAGTTGAGGGCAATGTCTTCGCAGTTGAATCCCTCATCAACGTAATCTCGGATCTCGTTCATGGTTGTTTCGTTGGCCGAGTAGTACTCGAGGAAGGAGATGTGCGAGAAGCACAGGTTGGTGAGGACCATGGAGTAGATGTCTTCTTCTGCCTTGGAAGAGCAAAAGTCGTAAGCCCAGTTACCGTAAGCATCGACGGTGGAGCAGCGGGCGAGCGCGCCAGTCAGACGGTGCTGACCGAACTTGCGCCACGACTGGAAGACGAACTCGAGATCCTTGGGGTGGTAGTAGACATCGTCGTCGGAGAGGAGGATGGCCTGGGTCTTGTAGTCGGGGTCGGGCCAGAGCTTCTCGTTGAGGCTGTTGCGCTTGGACACGCGGAATCGCACGGGGACGCCATGTTTGGAGGTGTAACCGTCGGGGGGCGTGGCCTTGAGGTCGTTCCAGACAATGACGATTTCGAGAAGGGACGGGATCTCCTCGCTGAGGATCGCGTGCAGAGTGTCGTTGAGTTCCTTGGGTCGCTGGTAGGTTTGCATGGCAATGCTAGAGCGGGAAAAAGTTAGCGACCACGATTCTGGGACGGGACGCGCGGGCCAAACGCATGCGACAGCTCTAATGACTGGAGCCTGCGTCGAGGGGCGGGAACGGGGAGAAAACATACGTAAACTTGTCATTCATCAGATGCTTGTACTTGTCCTCGGCCTTCTTCCAGATCTCTTGCACGCCCGACTCGTTCCGGCTGGCGCAGGTCGGGATCTTGGGCAAGAAACTGCCGATGACCTTGGGGAGGACCTCGCCGACATTGGTGAGACGGGCCGTGACGATGATGAAGGCGACGACACAGGAGAAGGCGACGAAGACGGTGGCGATGCGGCGGAAGACGCGCGACTTGACGAAGCCGAGGTGGTGCTTCGCCTTTTCCAGGTAGATTTCCATCTTGCTGGCGGACATGTTGGGCGTGCCTGCGTAGGAAGATCCGTTGCTCTTCCCCAGCATCATTGCTCGGCCGAGACTTCTGGCGGCGGTCAGGTGACTGAGTAGGTGACCGGGTCTAGGAAATTCGATGGGCGATTTTCCAGGGGTAGGGATGTCGGGGAGGACGGACGGCCGTGTAATCTGAGTCGCCTGCGTGTGCCCGCGAATGCCCGCGTATTCTGTACTGCTCGGTCGGTCCGTGTCTCGTCTGCAAGCCGATGCTTAATCGCTGCAGTGCGTCATTAGGGCCGCCTCGCAGAATCGGGGTGAGCCTTAGGGGAGAGGAAAAAGAAAGGTCCACAAGGGAAGAGGGGAGAGGGAGAAGGAAGTCGAGGTGCGCCGCGAGGTGGGAGAAGAAAAGGGTGATCCTGGCAGAAGAACAAGTCCGAGCTGCTAAGGAAATACGAGAAAAGAGGCGATGCAATTCCAGGCCCTCCCCTTCCACGCCAAGCCAACTCGCGCATTAACTGACCTATCCTCTTTTGCGCCTTCGCCTTTGCGGATTTGCCAATCAATTAGCGGTAACCCCTGAGCTACGGGCCAACAGAGCAATGGCCGGACAGGCCGTAAGCGGGCGGGACAATTTCATGGAGATTCCAGTGTCCCATCGGTGGTGCACCGCCGTTGGGTCCCCTTGAGTCCGCTTGAGTCCGCTTGAGTCCCCTCGAGTCCCCTTGAGATGCGACGCCGACTTTGCAGGCGCGGGGCTAATTAATTGCTAGGCGTCCTAACCATCTTGGCCATCCTGGCATGACTTGTTGGCCACGTTTCTCCCATTGGAAGAGCCGATATCCCGAGTGCTTGTGGCTGGGACCGAGAATGGCTTAGTCAGGGCCGCCCCTTGAGGCCCTTGAAGACGCCATCCATTCATGCTCCAGCAATCAATGCCCAGCGGTGACACGTTCTGTCAAGACACAGCCACACAGGCTAACCCTGACGAGGATCCGGCGAACCCTTGCGCCACGAGAACGGGAAGTGGGCGGGTCGAGGCCATCTTGGTGATAGTCATGGAGAGAGGGCGGACGATAACGCGTAATCCTTTTGACGCCGCTGATGAGGCCGACGATGGCCTGGGGATCTCGATCTGGGGAATTCATTAAACCTGGGAGAACAGGAAAACAGGAAATCCTCCGCTGATCGCCGTCAGCAACATATGCCGAGCCATCACATCAATGGCTGCTTGGCCAAGACTGCAGGAATGATATCCTGGCTATGTACCCAGTCCAGAAGACCAATATAGGGGACCAAGAAGTGTGGTCAGCCCTTTTCCTGCCAATCCGACACGCTGTCCACTGTCGCCGACCGGCCCGTGGCGCTGCAGGGGTGCAGGCCTTGCAGCAGCCAAGTCCAGCAAGCCAGGCCACCCGGATCACTCGGGATATTGCGCGGCGAGATCTGATGGGCGGTCGTCTTGGCGTGATGGCGTGGGGTCGAGTGGCTGCTGAGCGGCCGAGTTGCAGCGCCAAAAACATCCCGGTCGCCGCAGCGCCCACTATAACCCGCTAACTCGCTGACTGGCAAGTTTATCGCAACGACAGCCCTACGGATACACTCTACACTCGTCGTGCGACCAACCGCCAAGGCTCGTGCAAAGACGCACGACATTTGATTTGATATTGCTGCAACATGACCGCCAACCGGGCCCTCATCGTCGCCCTCTCAGGCTGCTCATCCAGTGGCAAGACGACCCTTGCCCGCCTGCTGCGGGACATCTTCCCCCACACCTTCATCCTGCACGAGGATGACTTCTACCGCCCGGAGGAGCAGTGAGTGCTATTCCCGTCTGTCATACTGCCATACCACCAACCACGCAGTCAGCATATACTATTACCGAGTAATTAATTAATTAACTTACCCTCCCAGACTTCCCTCCAGAGATGGGCTCCTGGATTGGGACTGTGCCGAGGCCCTCGACATCCCTGCCATGGCTGAGTCCCTCGCTTACATCCGCGCACACGCAGCGTTCCCCGTACGTCTCACACACCACTGCAAAACTCTCGTATAAGCCCTGTAACTCAAATCTAACTCCACGCAACAGCCCACCCTCGACTCCAAGGAGGACCAGAACTCTGTGGGGAGGTGTCCCGTTGCGGACTCAACCGTCCAGGCGCAAAAGGCCAAGGTCGCCGCTGCCATCCCCCCCGACCACCCCCTGCGCTCTACCCTCCGCTTGTGCCTCTTCGATGGCTTCCTGCTCTACTCGCCTGCCGTGGCCGCTATCCAGCCCAGCCTCGACATCAAGCTGTTCTTGCGAGCCTCGTACACAAAGGCCAAGGCCCGCCGCGAGGCTCGCGACGGCTACGCGACCATCGAGGGCTTCTGGGCCGACCCGCCCGGGTACGTCGACATGATCGTCTGGCCGAATTATGTCAAGGAGCATGCGTGGATGTTTGAGGGCGGCGATGTCGAAGGCAAGTTCAACGAGGATGTGCTAGACAAGGAGGGCATCAAGGTGCAGAAAGAGGCGGACATTGACGGAGACATCAGCAAGACGCTTGAATGGACTGTAGATACCATCCTCGAGGAGTTGAAGCATCGCGTATAGATCTGATATCGATATCCTGAGAATATAGACCGTGTATTTGCTGACGTGCGAAATATCCACTACCACGGTTCACTGTTGTCGACCCCCACTTCATGTTTATCATTCCATCATTACCTCCTTAGACGACTCGCCGTGTTTCAATATCGTCGCCTTTCCTTAACGCAGCTCCACCTCCACCTCCACTCAATCTACCATCGTCTTGGCCTCCGTTAAGAACCTGACAGCCTGCTCCGCAGCCTTGGTCATCACCTCCTCCTTGTTCACCCCGCCCTCGACCTTGGCCACAACCAGGCCGCCGACCTGCACCGTGCAGCGGTACTCGCGCTCGCCGTCGCTGCCCTCTATCACGTCGTACATGTAGTGGACCTTCTCGTTGATGGCCAGCCTGCCGAGCTCCTCTTTCGGATGCTGCACGTGGACCTTGTCGCGGATGATGCGGTCTAGGTATGGCAGCACGGCGAATTTATGAAGCATGGCCTCGCAGGCTTCCATAGAGCCCGAGTCGACCCACACAGCGCCGAGGAGAGCCTCGAAGAGGTCGGAATAGAACTTCCTCGCGCGGAGGCGGGCCAGCGAGGCCCATGGGTAGTGCGTCCCTTTCTCGAGCGCCTCAACAATGGGGGGCCCCAGTGCTTCGAATCGCTTTGACATGGCCGCCTGCTCGATTCCAATAGCTGGCATCGCATGTCGCATGAACTTCCACAGTGGATAAGTGACGTCTCGCGTTCCGATGCTCGCATCATCCTGAGTAACGGTCTCCTTCTTCTTCAGGCCGTGCTGGAGGCCGACGAACGCCAAAAAGTCTCCGTTGACCATGGCCGTCTTGATCATGTGTAGGTGAGAATGAGGCAGCGCGGGCTGCACGTTAAACACCTTCGTGACGATGATGTAGTCGAGGATCGCATCTCCAAGGAACTCGAGCCGCTCAAAAGACCGCCAGTGGGTGTCGGCCGCGTACGATCCGTGGGTCATGGCCTCGATCAACAGTGACTTCTTCTGGAAGGTATACCCGATCAGTTCCTCTAGAAGCTCCAGGGAAGGCGGAAGTTCGACGTCGCTAGTAGCATGGTTAAAGAGAATCGCTCGTCCTTCTTTCTCATCGAACCAATCGATTTTTCCGTCTGCATCTTCCGCGAGAAACACGGAGATGCACTTCAGAGCCTTCGGGATCCCTCCGTCTTGATAGGAAGCCCCAATAAGCGCCTCCACCACATCTGCAAGGGTTTTTGAGGGCAAAATTCGTTGCGGTACCAGCGAATCTTGCTCGAGATTGTCGTCTACATAGATTGGCCTCCATTTTTGGCCTGTGAATGGTTTGGATAGAACAAACTTGGACAAGCCGGTGTCGACCGAAGCGCCCAACAACCGAGAGTTCGAAACATGTCGATCTTTAAACCACGATAGATAACCTTCTGGCCACCGCAAGTCTAAAGCTGGTCAATACAAGATCGTCTAGATGCGCCTGGGATTATACTCACGTTTGGCGGATGCCTGGACGACGACGCAAAATTTCAGGATCGAGTCTCCGAGAAACTCGAGTCTCTCGTAGTCAACCGGTTCAGATGCGGCACGAGAGCTAATCGCCTCGAGCACTCGTTGCGGATTGGTAAGACCGATTGGCTTCAGGATGCTCTCCGACAGCTGGGTTGCAATTATCAGGACCTCCAGCTCGTGGATCACCGACGGAATCAGCATGGAAAATTGGGCAAACCGCTTCGGAATGGTGTCCACAGTCGCCCATGACATGGGGAGAACCCAGGTATACGGCTTCGAACTAGTCAGCTGCTTTCTCGGGTCCGAATGCATGCGGTGGAGGAAGTCGGCTCGTCGTGTCGTCTTCTTAAGGGTGAGGTATGGGCCATCCTTGGGCGCGGCTTCGTACTCGTAGAATGGGTTTTGCACTTCCTCGATCGGCGGTTTGGATGGTATGATGCCAGTGTACTCGAACGGGCATTTCGACTTGTCCCGGACAAGGTATGGCATCTGTATCTCATGTATCTGAGGATCAAAGGGGACGGATCTCGCTTGATCTTTCTTCAAAAGGTGCTTGTCATTGGAAGAAAATTTCAGCACATGCGGGCGGTCTTCCACTTCCCACCGATGCGCGAAATGCAGGGCAAGGAGATCTGATGTGTGGTCTGGCAGGGCTGCCGCTTCGTCATCCGAGCACATCCGCCCAGGACCGAAACTGAGCCCCCATTCAACGCCCCATTCGGGATAGATCTTGATGGGCCGAGGTTGGTCGATTTGAACTGGGAGGGTGATGTGGTACTGTCCTAGGCAGTTGCCAGACTCGTCATGAAAGCTCAGTGGAAGAACCCATTTCGTCTTCGCTTCGGTGCCTTGCCAAACCTGGGCAATCTCCTTCCACGGGTTAAGTGGTGGTGCATGAGTCTGTGGGGATATTCGCTCTTCCGGAGGTCCGTCCTTGATCGGGAGAAGGTTTTCGTTTATCAAGCCAGCCTTGTACAGGGCAATGTATGCGTGAAAGGCAGCCTCTTTCGTCGCGTTCTTCTGCGACATCCATGCTCGGGAACTCTGCGCCTGGCGTAACTCTGGCGGCAAGAATGATGGCAGTAGCACCTTAGCTGTGACTGGTGAATCGTCCTCGTGAGAGACTCGATGGATGATGTAATCGGGTCGGCAGTCGATGAACTCTCCCTGTGATAGGACTCGGCAGAAGTGTTCCAGGTGTTGCTTGGCAGAGTCGAGATCGAGTCGCGCACCGGTGGACTCTACCACAAATGAGATTGAACCCGTGCTCTCCTCCTTCTCCAGCTCCTCGATACGGCGCTGCTCCTCCTTGTCCTCTTGGTATTGCTTCTTCATTTCATCTTCCAGGGCCTCCCATTCAGGCGGGCCCTTGGCGGACCGCTCGAGGAGAAGTACCAACTTGGACTCCTTCATCCGAGCTCTGCCACGGCGCTGAATGAATGACTTGAGGTTTGCTGGCTTGTCGAAGCAGACAACCAGGTTGCAAGCGGGGATGTCGATGCCCTCTTCCAACACGCTGGTCGCTACGAGCAGATTGATCTTGCCCGACCGGAAATCCTGGAGTGCGGAAAGACCCACGTCATTTTTGAAGTCGTAGACATTCTTGGTGCGAGTATGGAAGTTAGAGGTGCCGACCATGGTTTCAATACGATACTTCTTACGTATGTCCGGGAACGTTGCTAACAGGTCAGTGATGATGGTAACCGTAGCTCGCTCTTTAACGAATAAGATGCCGACCACGTTGTCTCCAGCCGATAGTAGCACCTTGATGAGAAGTCTGACTTTCTCAGAGAGGTCGGAAGATTCCGCTGGGGGGATTAGAGCCGAGTTTCGTGCAACTTTGTGGAGGAACCGAGCGAGATAAGTCTTGTTCTCGTTCTCCAACCCGCCTTGGCCCGCCTGTGCCGATTCAATGCGTTCCTCAAAGTCGCCAATGGCCTTTGAGATGTAATGGTCGACAGCCCAGGGACCAAGCTCGCGGAGTATTTCCTTGGCTCGACCCCAGAACCCCTTCATCTGGTTTTGGGTATAGGTATCGTACTTGAGTATGGCCTGACGAAACTCGCGTCGGCCTCTCTCACTACCGTCAGCGAGAAGTCTGAGCATCTGCGGGTCAGTCTTGATGTCGATGCTCTTGTGCACCAGACGCAAGGACTTCATAATGGCAGTGTGCTCGGGATACTCGACGGATTCATATTCCGAATAAGAGAGTTCCGGCTTGTTGACACACCTCAGAAGCTCGTCCCTATGCAGCGTCGGGGTGATGCAGATGGCGTCCAACGTCGATTCGAGCACCTTGATGCCTTCGAGATTTGATCGCATGATGGGACTGGCAGTCAACCCTAGGATTGCTGGTACCGAAATTTTGGAATCTTTTCTGGGGTGATAGAACTTGTTCATAATGCTGCAACCAGGGGAGTTGCGAACGCAGTTGTGGGCTGACAGTTCATGTTAGAACAGCTACGGGCGGGAATTGGGCAAACGAACCTTCATCAATCACCAAGAGGGCAAGCATGTCCATATTGACAAAAGCATGAGTTAGTGCATCCAACAATACCTGAAAGGTAGAGACAACGATGCGAGTTCCGTCTAAGATGGTGTCCCATGTATCCCGGGACCAGCTATCGAGCCCTTGATTGCCAGTCAGCACCTTGATGGGAGCCGCAGAGTTCTGGAGTCGAATGACTTCGCATTGCTGCTCGCACAGGGAGATAGTCGGGGCAAGAAACCAGACCATCTAGAGTTGTCAGTGCTGGGTTGAGAGATTCGGAACGAAGGCTTACTTTGTCAGCGGGACATTTCTCTAATTCGGCCTTTATGCGGAGCACGGCACTATTATCCTGGTCATGTTCAATTCGACCACCATTCTCTCGGGAATAGCTTACACTTGTGTCTTTCCGCTTCCCGTGTCCATCTACGCAAGTCAGCTTGCACTATCACACTGGGTCTTAGGAAGGCTGCGACCTACAGCAACAATAACATTCCGCTGGAGCGATTGGTCCAGCATTTCCAGCTGGTACGCCCGGGAACTCATAATGTCCGGAGTCGCGGCCTCAGGCGTGGGCTCAATCTCAGAGGCAGGCTTGATTCCTGAGGAACCATCTGCGGCAACGACGGAGACGGTCTCAGTAATAACAGGAGCTGGCGATGGCGCCTCGTCACCCGGCGGGTCATCCACGCCCGAGGACTCGGAATGGCCGACTCCGCCGGGCGCCGGGAAACGTGGAATCTCCATCTCAACGTCGTCACTCGCCATTCTGGCCTGGAGCGATCGTCCTGGGGCAGCGATTGCGAGGGTGCAACGGCGATGACTCAACGGCTGCCTAGACGCTGGTCGCCTGGTCCAGGGTGGTGTTGCGGCGATTTGCGTCGCCGTGTCTGCTCGTTCAGTACAAGCGGGCAACTGGGTGAGTCGCGCGCCGACCCAGAAGCAAGGGCCGATGCCGGGGAACTTGCGACGCGATGTCAGAATGAAGCAAAAGTTCCTCGGGGACGCGTACGGCCTACGAATCGCGGCGAGTGTAGGTGGGAAATAGGCTGCATACTCAAGAGTCAACCACGAGGCCGGAGCCTGCTAGGGCCTGCAGCGTGGTGCAGCGTGTGAAGCGGGTGCAGCGTGGTGCAGCGTGTGAAGCGGGTGCAGCGTGTGCAGCGCGGAGGCCCACCATGCTGTTGGCAAGACGCGGCGGTTACTGACTCGGGAGGGTTGAAAAAACTCCACAGCGTCGGAGTCATCTGATGGGAATATGCAAAGGGCCTTCCGTCATTCCGAGATGCCGTGCTCATGGTGCATTCTGGCCTTTGTTAAGGGACAACTCGCATCAAAGAGTGGGTTGTTGTTTGGTGTGCACAGTCCGCGCAAAGCCCGCCCGCACCCACTGTCAAGCTGCCCCGCGTCAGCACTAGGTACCTAAATTTCGGTAGTCAACAAGATCCCGGATCACTGAGTGTAACCCACGGTGCCCAATCGACGTCAATGGACTCGCCAGCGTCGCACGGAACTTTCAAATTAGGAACGATCGACGTGTTATGCTGGTAATTAATTACTCATCAGGGAGCTATAACATGGGTGTGTAAGCTGTTCCGAGGATTCAACGAGAGGAGTGACATCTCCGTTGCAGGTTTAACCTTGCAGAGCAATGCCCGAGAACCACCAGCTTCCCCGGAAGTGCGGCACTGAAACCAACTCTAAAAATACCACGTTATTCCGAGACGCAGCCTAAACTCACCAATTTCTATTTCCGCTGTTAGGGCCGAGTTTCTGCAGCCTTAAGTTGACATGTAGCTGAGCGATGCGCTTGAATTGAGATGGGCCAAGGTTTAGCTTTAGCTTCTAAAGAATGCGCATTTTCAGGATTTTGGTTCTTATACGTCTCTATTCTTGGATAAAGGCTTCTATCCAGGACGAAAATTTGTATCATGCCTTTATATTCATTGAATATTTTCAATGAATATGAATCAATGTAGTTCTGCTCTTGGACTCAAAAAGATGTCTTGTACGGGTGTAGGATTTGCTTTGGGTCAGTTGCTGTCTTGCTCAATTATACTACAGTGTGCTCATAACATAGGCAGCATTTTTAAAAGAATTGAAATGGTATGTTATAGTGGGTCTACAATAATCCTACTGTTAGGAATAATTACTGCCTATCAAATCTAGGATGGACTGTTCGTGCAAGACCCACGTTTAGGCACCAGCTGGCATACCAACGATAAGACTTCTCTTACAAAGCATTACGTAGACCGATAGTCTCTGATAGCCTCGATTTGGATTTCAAAGCGGATTCATTGATAGACTGTGATCTACCCCGTCACAGGAAACAGCATAATCCGCCCTACGTTTGTCCTACAGGACGGTGTGGACACCGGCCAGACAAGTCCTATGTAAACGTGCATGAAAGGGGGGTCTCGTTGATCTCTCATCGCATATTTGTGCTGCAAGTGACCAGATTGTCCTCAAGTGGAATGTGATTGGTAGTTGCATAATGTATCACATTTTGGTTCACCTGGAGACATTTGTGGCCCTGTTCAGAGACCGGAAACAGGTCATCTGGATCGGTCCTCCCTACGCAGGCCCGACGGCGGCCGGAAAGTTTACTCTGATCTCCATCTAAAAATCCCGTAGACCCTGATTAAATGGGAGTAAATCAATAGGTTCACATTTCTGAGATTCTCATTTCTCCTCACTTGATGTGACAGATCAAAGTTGAAACCATTTCGTGGGAGTACATTACGTACGGTAATCTACAAAATAAACAGATCAGCACAACTCTGCTTCCGTAGTTTCCGCTGCCGCGGCTTGGCGTGCATGTCTATTTTTCCCGTGCCAATACTCGGCGTGGCGTGGCGGGAGAAACTCAAAAGGTTTCGGCAGTTCCCAAGCTGAGACCTGAGAAGAAGTTGGCAGGATAGAGCCGACCGGTTCTACCGGTTCTGTCCCTATTTTGGCTACCCATAGGAAACCATGACATTTCCCAAGAAACTCAACTCAAACGCGCCGTATTGTATAGAAAGTAGCGATCAAAAATATTCGGGGTATATTAACCTCGAAACGGTCTGTGAAGTTGTGTTGCTTCATATCTACTTTTGAACACGCAACCAACAAACATTCTATTACAAAGACCGATAATTCCGCTTTCATGTTTGGTCAAACATTCTTTTTGGGCTTTCTAGCTCTATCCACTCGCGCCACTGCACGGACGGACCTCCCACAGTTGAAACTGCCATGAGGTACCTGGCAGGCTACGCCCTACCCGAAGGACCCCAAGGTATATGGGAAATATCACAAGATATGAATCATGGCCGTTTCTAACACAATTTCAGATCTACCTCTTTAAGGATATTCGCTTTGGTGATCAGCCCGAACGTCTTGGTGCCCCCTCGCAGTCAAAATCGCTGAGCGATGAGCTGCAAAATATCACCAAGAGCACCAGTTGCATTCAGATCAACCCGGACCAGATGAGTAACCCTCCAGGAGGGAAACATCTTCTCGGAGACTCAGAAGGTGCAGAACTACCCGAGAGCGAAGATTGCCTATGCCTCGACATCTATGCACCTGTTTAGGAAACTTTACGCGTTCGACCCTGATGCGCAGCAGTTGCCAGTGGTCATCTGGGTCTATGGACGAGGGTTACATGCCTTTGACAGTAAGAATCAAGCAGACCCACTCTACACAGGGCAGTCGCTTCGCAACATACGCCAACATATTCGCGAGGGACTTCAGCCTGTATGCACTAAAATCAAATCTCGTCCTCTAAATCCTCGGTCTATTATACGAAATGATTTATTTACCGTTATTCCATCCAATCTCCTCAACTAAGAAAAGATATTTTATACCGTTTAGAGTCATCCCCCTCGCTCACTAGACGATACGTAGAAGATTGGGAGAACATCCGAGATCCTTAAATCAGGTAATTGGGCACAATCGTCTGATTTCTATTCAGCTGTAAATTTTACATGATTTATTCTTTCACAAAGAACCAAAGGAAGCACGCGAAATCCCGGCATTTGATTGCATCCCGTAGATATTTTTAGCACCAGAGTTAAAACAGGCAGGAAATTTCCAATGGAACATGCCGTGGGTTTTATCTGGCATGTGTTCGCCACACTGGCTTTTTGGTAGTAGAGTTTACTATGATGTGTTGTGATTCCTTGTCTCACTCCCAATTCCTCAGTGCCTCTGCAATGCTGGCACACTTTTCATCGTTCCCAAATCCTGGATTAGGCTGCGGGTTGGCCAGGGCCTCCTTAATCGTCGCTTCCAGAGTCTGAGCCTTCAAATCCGGCCACAAGTCTTTTGCATCCAAGTATCCCAGAAACTTTGCCTTTTCGGGAAAATTATCCCCTCGAGCCCATGCATTGTAGGCATACTCGAGGATGACTTGCGGCCACAATTCCAATTCATGCCTCTCAACCGCCTTCTGCACTTGTTCCGATGTGACCACCATAATGTCTGCCTTCTCTCCGCTGAGACGCTCGACCAGTTAAACAACGTCCTTTTGGTTTGTAATCTCCCCATATGCGAAAACGAGGCTGTTGATAGTCCGAGAGTCACCAATAATACGTGCAACAAATCGGCCAGCGTCGTCAATGTGAGTGGTAGCGCAAGGTGCTAACCCTTGGTCCACAAAGAAGCTTGTCGAATAGAGCGCAACATGATTGAGTTTCTCGGATCCGATACGGGGAATCATCACCTCGTGCCAGAAGCCAATGTCAATGACGGTATACGGAAGGTATATCTTCTTGAGGTGGTTGATAACGTCTTCTTTCTATGTGGCCATTAGCTTGGCCTGGTGATGGATGGATCTAAAATTCCAAGAGCAACCGAACTTACCCAGTCTCGGATCAACATGACTCCTTTTGGCGGTGATGAAGTAACCCATGCGTTCGGAACAAAAGCGCTTTACTCCAGCCTTTAAAGCCGCACTTGCCAGAGGTATCTGATCCAATGTGCTATCGGGAGGGAGAATGCAAATAACGACATTTTGGCCAGTCAGGGCTGATACAAGGTGTTCTTGAGACCCCTGCAGGTCTGCAGGCACAGTCTTCACACCGCGTTGACGAAGCGCTGCAGAGGATGCCTTTTCAAAAGATTCAGGGCGGATCAAGGCAGCGATTTCCTAGGAGTAGATTGACAGTCAATAATGTCATCAACTCAGATCACTCTCATTAAACTCACATACTCAGGGGTTTTCGAGTTGAGGAGCCCAGGAACGCCACTAGATCCAATTCGCCCTGTGGCGCCGACAATAGCTACCTTGATTGGAGTTGGCATGATGTAATCTTTGGATTTGGATCAAAGGCAGTTCTGGAGGCCGGTTGCTAATAAAAAGTGTTACCAACGTTGCTATTATCTCAATTCTGAAATTTTCACTATTATAACATGACTGAGAGAGCGGTACACACGCCCATATAGGATCCGGAGATGTGCAGTCGAGCTTGTTCGGGCCAAGGGAACGAACCACTACCCGAGCCCGATCGGTCAATATCTTGCAGAGAGCCATAACACATGAGAATCTCAGATTCTCGAGACGGGGACTACAGGTTCCGGCACAAACCACCCGGTGTCCAGTCAAGATGGCCCACTGACTTCCCGTCACTCCGCGCACCCCGCGCTGGCGTGCGTCATCCGCGGATCGCGTGGCCAAGATCGCGCGGCCAAGATCGCGCGCCCAGGAATGGCAAGCAACTTATTCCGGTTTTTTATGAATCTAGTTATAACTAATACCGACAAAGACAGGTAGCTAGGTAATTAGAAACGCGGGGTAGTGCTCCTCATAGGATGCCGGATGGTGGCTCCGCTTACACTGGGGTGGACTATGGGTTGTATCGAGCGGAGACCCCCATTTACCATGGCAATGTCCGTGGCCGTTCTTCCATCTGGATTGATCCAATCAAGTCATGCAGATTTCCCCTTCAAGGACTCTTCTTTACTATTTATTTTCGGGGGTGCCGTGTTTCGAACAACAGGCCAACTCATTTTCACCTATTAGCCCGTCCATAACACCCTTTCAATATCTTCTACAAGTCCCATTCAAACATGTCGTCTAAAGATGCCAACAAATTGGAGCCGCCAGCTCAAGGTCTGGTCAAGAAGCATGTGTCTGGGAAAGTCGCCATCATCACAGGCGGCGCTCAGGGCCTGGGGGCAGCAATCGCAACCTTTCTGGCTGCGAATGGAGCACAAGTCGTCATCGCTGACATCAACGAGACTGCTGGCAGGAAGCTTCAGCGAGAGATTGGCGATGATGCAATCTTTACGAAGTGTGATGTGACACAGTGGTCAGACAACTTGGAACTTTTCCGACGAACCCAAGAGAGATTTGGCCACATTGATATTGTCGTTCTCAACGCCGTCGAAGATCCAGAAGTAATCCTCGCCAACGATCCCGAGACGCATTTTTACAAAGAAGCCAAAGCCCAAGTTCAGTACAACTACTTGGCTAATGAGAGAGAGAGTGGCTCCAAGGATAGCCCCTTCAAAGCTCCAACGACAAAGATCTTTGATGTCAACATCACTGGTTACATGTACGGCATGAAATTGGCTGTTCACTACCTCAGCAAGGCCAAAGGAGGTCGCATTGTGGTTATTGGATCATCAACTTCATACATGGCTATTCCAATCGAACCTCTCTACGTGGCGTCTAAGCACGCAGAGCTTAGTCTGGCTCGAGCTACATCACATATGTCAGAAGTCCTTGACAACGGGATAGCCATTGGGTTCGTGGCACCATTTCTGGTCCGAAGCCCCTTGACTCAATACGTTGTCGATCTTGAACACCTCAAGCGAAATTGTCCCTTGAGCGAATTGGAGGATGTCACAAATGCCGTTTCAATTCTTCTTACGACTCCAGCAGAGAAGGCAAATGGGATGAGCGTGGCTATTTTAGGACAGACATTAACCGAACTTGAGGGCGTGGTTAGTCGAACACTGCAATCCCTCTTGTTCTGAGAGTAGGGATCGCATAATCAATTTTGGCCTTGAAGATAGTATCGTGCTGATCAAACTAAAAATTATCAAAAGCGTTGTGCCATCGTGAAATTTACTATCAGTGATATTTCTGCAAAAGAAATAGGCTGCGTCATTATCCCTACAGTCCTTGAGACTACTTTGTTGTCAAAGTAAATATCCGTCATCATCCATGTCCTTAAATTTCTAGTAGTCCTAATTCACATTGCGCGCATCTCTACAAAACGAAACCATTTTTTGTGCCCGTCCTGTTGATATCTTCCCCCTCCGCCTCAACTTGATGGTGTCGGTTAACTCTTGTTTTATGGCGCGTGCAAGAACTATAAGATAGCTAGCATGGCTCAGTCCAAAGAATACCGAACTGACCCGGAGGGGACTATCCTTAAAAGTATGTTCAATGAGTTAGGCAAGTCATTTTACATTTACTTCTCCACAACGTTGGGTAGAGTGGCACTCGACTTTGATGCTTGGGATACTGAGCCTCAGAATTCACTAAGTAAGTATTCGAGTACAGACGCAGCCATCATTCTTGCCTTGCTAATTGTAACACTCACTTTAAGCACACATGCCTCCATCGATTCTGATAGTCTCTCCAGTGATGTACTTTGAGTCATCTCCGAGAAGGAAAGCAATAAGAGCTGCAGCCTCCTCAACCTTTCCGAGCCGCTTGATAGCGTGTGGAACTAGCACCATCTCGTCGGTATATCCACTCTCGGCTAGTTGTCTAAACATCGGGGTCTCAATTCCGCTTCTGTAGTATATTGTTAATACCGACCAAGTGAGAAATTTCAGGGAGTGTGTTTTACTTACGGGCAGAGAGCGTTAACCCTGATCTCCTGAAGGCCAACCTCCTTTGCGGCTGATGTCGTAAGAGAAATAACAGCGGCCTTAGATGCCGCGTATGCAACAACTCCCGGGCCTGCCCTAAGTGCAGCAACGCTGGAGGCGTTAACAATACTACCGCCTTTGTTCATAACAGCAAGCTCAGATCTCATCGAGTACATAGTGCCCGTCAGGTTGATCGACATAAGTCGATCCCAGTCGTCATCCTTGATGTCGACAAATCTGGCAGTATTGTTGTGCAAAATACCTGCAAAGTTGACGGCACCATCGAGGCCGCCAAGTTCGCTGACGGTTCTCTTGATCCACTGGTCCACATTTGTAGAGTTGGCGACATTGACAATTTGCGTAATGAATTTGATACTGGGGAATTTCGATTTGATTTCGTCGGACAATTCTTTCAGCTGCGGTTCAAGGACATCTGAAAGAGACAGAGACGCTCCCCGCTCCGCAAGATAAATAGCAGTGCCTCGTGCAATTCCCCTTGCTGCACCCGTGATGGCGATGACCTTTCCGGAGAATGGCTGGAATGACATTGTAACAAGTTTTTGAGTTCAAGAGGAAGACTGAAGATATTCTGTAGAATATTGTGAGGCTGCTGATACATGATTCGGAGGCAGAATAAGAGTCTAAATAAGGAAACAAGCTCGGAGTGCATACACTACTTCCCAGGTACAGCGCCACCCCCGCAAACACCGCGATCCCGATGCCACGGGCCCCACTACCGTGGAATCCGCGGCGTACCACTATGAAGCCTTCCTGCGGTAGTTGTGCGGCTCAGTTACGACGGCGGCGTGTTCATGTTTCCATAGAGGATTGGGTTTTGATGGATCATGGCTGGATCACCTGCCCCTCAATTGGTAATGTGACCGGCGTCTCGGGGAGTTAATACATTCATGGTACATCGGATGAATGGCTCGTGAAGGTTGGTTGAGACTTCAGCTCGGAGCGTATGTGCGGATTTCAGCGGTGAGGATATTTGGCAGTATTCATGACGCAATTCTTCATAGTTTCAAAGTATGGTGGGATATCTTCGGCTTCTTTTCTCGCCCACCCGAATGCCTTAATCAGAAATACCACAAATGCGATCTAGTAAATTGGTACAGGATTAACGAGAATATACCAACACAATAGTAAATAACTAAACAATTTGGAGTAATGAAAGACTTCCCTACAGTTTAGTCTTGATCCCACCCGTAACTCATCGTTAGCGATTGTGAGAGGATATATGAATTCAAGGAGCTCATCAAACATTTAAACTCCGCCAACAGCTCCTGCAATGGCACGGGCAGCACTCGTGGCTGCAATGCCGGCTGTATGGTTTGTTTCCGTCACCATTTGATGCTGGTACACACAGATGCCAGTAAGAGCGGCCATCAAGGCCCACTGGTAACCTATCTCTGGGATGGCTCCACTCCCCATGTATTGAAACTATCCAGCATCGTGCATGGAGGATGAGAAGCTTTTAGCCCCTGCGAAAACAATAGCAACCTCTTTTCCGTCACTAGAAAATCCAGAGCGGATCTACGCGGGCGTGCTAATACCAGATTGTGGCGGGTACCCGTTTCCGTATTGTTGTCCCGTGTGGCCGGGATATCGTGGTAGGTAATCGCCGTTTGTGTTGGTCCCAAACGTACAAGCTTCCACCGCAAGCTGGACTTCCAAAGACTCTTAACTTCATTGCCCTCGGACCGACACCACTCAAGCGACACAGAGGGGCAAGAATTGACATACCCCACCATCAGGATGAAGGAGTACCGTACTTCCGTCATTGAAGATTCATATCTCATTGTTACTTGACAGAGTATTATGCCCCCGTTCGCTACTCCTGGAAGATCGATAGTAAACTCGTGGCCATTTCTGACGATGTACGCCATCGGAGAACCTTCAATGTTTAGCCAAGGATAGAGACCGTACAACCGCCAAAGTCCTCGGGCATGCTAGCGGAGTAAATTAGTTAAGATCCTATGTAGAGACTCGAATGACGACTTTAGACCATGATTTAATCCAAGCCATATGGAAGCTTCGAGGGAACCTGTGGTTGATTTGAATGTGAGTGTTAGAGAAAATGTTAGATCAAACTAAAATATCAACCCAATTTTCCAAGATTCCTTTCATCTCACTTTGCCACTTTCATAAATATAACAAGGCACAACTGGACAGCGGGCACCGTGGTAAATTCAGGTTGGAATCGCCGACACAATCCTTGTCCTGCTGAGCTAGCATTCGGCGGCTCCTCATGCACCTAGCCACCGTACTGAGCAGGTGCCCAGCCAGTTGAAGTTTGACGAAAAATAAAACACGGCCATCCTAGTATCTTGAGTTATTTTATCTTGTCGCATTTTTCTTAAATTCGGGTTGCTTAGGTTAGGCGTTATGAGACGGCGGATGAACAAAAGTTGATGCTCTGCTGCCCGTAATCCCATGCTTACCTAGGCAAGAAGAGACTTATTCCTTCGCATCACATGTCAGCTTCTAGAAGAAGCCACAAGGTTACATCAGCTCGGCAGCTTAAATCGTCGCCAACAAGTAGAGGCAGCGCAATGACAATCGTGATGGTGGAAAAAAGTGCGACCGAAACCGCGGGGAAACCACACCAAGGATTCGACTCGAACCTACTGTCGGACGGTCCCCGTCTTGCGAGAATGCGGGGAACCCCATGTTCCACCTTTCTCAACCCCCGGGACTTAATTTTTGTAAAGTCGGCGCCTCTGACGCACCTCGCACTCCTGTTCACATCCTATCAAATCTACGCTCTACAACTGCCGAGCCTGGAACACTTCTGGAAGCAATACGCGACGCTTCTAGACTCGCCGCAGCGGCATTGGCAACTCCCCAGCATTTCGCCCTGTCGCCTCCACTGTGGAGGTGCTTGTAGGGCGCTCCAGCAGCCTCCAGCAGCCCGTGCGACCCCCACAAGCCGTTGGCCCGTTGCCCCAAAGACAGGAGAAACTCACATCCGCCGAAATATGGGCTCGACAGACCCCAATGGAGGCGGCAATGCCAACGGCGACGTCGGTTTCGGTGCAAATGGATACAGCTTCATTCCCTACGACCAGCCATTCCCACAGCTGTCGCGCAAGATCAAGGCATGTACGGTGTGTCGCCGCCAAAAGGTACGTCCCCTGAGTCGTCCCCCTCACGATGCTGCGAGGGAACATCACGAACTGACACTGTGCCCTGCCCAGATAAAATGTCTCATGGATGACGCTGGTCCACCTTGTCGCCGATGCGCCGAGCGGAACCTGGATTGCATCCTGGGCAAGAACTTGCAGACCATTATTGATGAGAAGTCGCAGTATGTCGCCTCGTGAAAACGCTACTCTGACAATAGAGACTGATGATCCCATACAGGTATCTCGACGCCGTCTTTCAGGACCTCGAACAAATTCACGGTACTCTTCGAGCCGTTGTCGAGAGGGTCGGCCTACCAGAGCCCCATGCACTCCAGTCGCTGTCTATACGCGACACAGCGAGGTCACCCAACGGCCGCGATCCCCATACGGGTTACGAGAACGGCAATGGAAGTGGCAAGCGGGTGAGAGTGTCCAGCCAGGACAGCTACGGTCCATCTTGCGACAACTCGCCCAAGATCTCGCCTGCGGACGAAGCCAACCTCCCCCATGTGCCCATCCACTCACTCTACAGACTCACCAAGCTCCAGGCATTCAGGTCCCCAGATGGCCCCGAGGAGCGCCAAGGCAGAGCGATAGACGACTTCATATCCCGTGGTGTCGTTAGCTTCAGCGATGCACAGCGACTCTTTTCCCTCTATCGGGACCGCCTAGATTCCTTCATGTATGGCGTGGGGTGCCGTTACCAGTCCCTAGACGAGCTACGACAAAGGAGTTCTATCCTCACCGTTGCGATCCTTACCGTGGCTGCACTCCACGACCCAGCAGCGAACTCGATATACGGGTTATGCAGGTCCGAATTTCGCCGCATGGTAGAGAGATCCATCTTCGATCGCCAGGTCAATCACGATTACCTCCGTGCCATGTGCGTTGCTTCCTACTGGCTCAGCGACATGTCTTGGATGCTCTCCGGACATGCAATTCGGCGTGTGACTGAGGGCAACCTCTACAATATCCACACCCGAGCCCAGGAAGAGCAGAGCGAAGAAGCTGCTGATGGCGTGAGGCTGTGGTATATCCTTAATATCTGTGACCAGCATCTCGCGACGCTCTACGGGAGGCCGGCCATCGTCCATTCAGACACGTCTATGAAGGGATGGGAAACATTCTTGGAGTCGCCGATAGCCAATGCCGAGGATACCCGACTCGCGAGTCAGGTAGCCCTCCTTAGCATCTTTGGGAGCATTCGTGAGCTGTTCGGTCCAGACACGGGAAAGCCCATCCCTCGGGCGTATCTGCATCAAATCGCACATTTCAACAAGCAGCTCGATAATTGGGTTAGCCACTGGTCTGTAACATTACAAGGTGAGTCCTAGAAACAATCTCCGACGTAGAGCCATATCTTCAATGGGCACCGGGCTAAAATGCATTACCAGAACGATATGATCACATCGGCGGTTTCCCGCGCAAAGGAGTCCAACTCCACTACCATTTCGCCAAACTACACCTCCATTCTCACGTCTTCCGCGGCCTTTCGAGCGACAGTCCCATTCCGCACTACTTTCTCGACTGCACTGTCGCAGCCGTCTCCGCAGCCACCTCTACCATCGAGTTCATCCTCACTGACAGCGACGTCTCCGCTGGAGTAGTCGGAATGCCCTCCTATCTACACTGCATGACGGCGTTCGCATGCATGTTTCTCACTAAAGTCGTCACTAGATACGGTGGCGACTTGATTGAACTGGACCGCGTTCGGGACCTCATCACCCGTCTTGTGCGCCAGTTCCGAGCCTTGCCAGTTGGGAGGTGGCACCTGGCTAATCTGATGGCGTCGGGTTTGGCAAAGATGGCCGAGACTCTGGACCCGAACCGGGAGGAACAGGCAAGGCAGTGGGCGGCTGAAGATGTGGCAAACCAGCATACCAACGGGACTCTGGATCAAACACCCAACCTCTTCGGCGGCGAGGCATCTTTCACAGGAGTCGAGGGAGACATGATGTTCAACTATGCCATGAGCTTTGGGCTGTCACCGGTGTTTCGCTTTGACCCGAACAGCATAGGTGTGGAAGGTCTTCAGGAGTACCCTGATGTTGACTACACTGCGCCGAGAACTTAGATAGTTTAGGAACGAGATTGTTTCCTGCCGAGAGCTAGCTTGTAATTCAATCAGAATTAAACCCCCGTGCTCTGTTATTTACCGTTACACTGGGGGACTTCATTGGAATGGTAGACCATAAATACAATGCTTCATTTCTATCTATCAATCATGGTAAATCTATAATTTCGCAGGATGGCTATCGTACTTCCAGCCAACCCCGTGCTTTGAACATATACATAAACGAAAAATGCAATACAGCTATTAGTCACACCTGACACTTAGCCCCTCTCCATCTATAGCTTTGAAGCTCGCGGCTTCTTCACAATAACGTCCACTTCCTGGTCGTCGGAAATAACCATGTGGTCTATATCTCGAGTATTAACTAACTTCGACGTCGCTTCTTCCAGGCTCGTGATGCCGCAGAGTCGCATCGAGGTTTCGATTTCATCCTTAAGTACTACACATAGACAGGTCAGCGCGGGTGTGAAATGAGTTTGCTGTTGGTCTTACTCTGAGTGAGATGCTCTGCGCCCTCTTGGCCGTAGACTAGAGAGTAGAGATAAGGTCGGCCAATGCCCACGGCAGTAGCTCCGAGGGCGATGGCCTTGAGAATGTCGGAGCCTCTCTCGAAACCACCGTCGACGTAAACTTCCAGGCTGCTAAACACCTCCGGGCATACCTTTCTCAGTTCTAGTAGAACGAGGATACTAGCTTGGGACCTAAGCATTCGATAGTTAGCAAACAGTTTCCTCCCTGATTTCAAGTGAGCTGTCCCGCGTTTGACTTACCCATCCAAAGATCGGCCGCCGTGATTACCCAAGAGCACACCATCCACGCCGTAGCTAACTGCCTTTTTAACATCCTCAGCGGTCTGCACACCCTTTAGTATAATGGGAACTCCACAGGCGTCGCGGATCCAAGCTAGATCCTCCCAGCACAGGGATTTATCAATATACTGGGCCATCAAACGACCGAGCCCGCTCCCCTTCTTGTCCTTGCTACTCTCGCCTCCGCTTATTGCTGATTTGATTTTGACGGCTTGGGCAGCTCGTTCGTCGGCTTCTCGCTTGCCGGGCACGGGGGCATCGACGGTGACGAAGACGGCTTTCACGCCGAGGTCTTTGGCCGTCTTTAGGAGCTCGATGGTCTTTTGTCGGTCTGAGTTGACGTAAAGCTGGAAAAAGAAGGGCTGGTCGGGAGGAGCGGCTGAGATGATGGATCGGAGAGTATAGGAAGCGTTGCTCGAGATCTAGTGCGTGTTAGTGGGTTTCATATCCTTAGAAAGTTGAACCACAGGGTGACATTTTGACTTACACATTGGATAATACCTTCATTAGCTGCAGCGCGAGCTAAGGCTAGCTCGCCATCTGGGTGCGCCAGTCTTGCCATGGCAGTAGGAGAAATGAAAAAGGGCGCCTTGGTCTTGTATCCCAGAATACTCGTTTGGTAGTCGACATTCAAGACATTTCGTAGAATCCGCGGCCGGATCATGACCCTCCGCACGAGCTCCTTATTTCTGGTATGTGTGACCAAATCCGTAGCCGCCGACGAGTAGAACGCCCATGTTTTCGGAGTCAGTGCCTTTGACGCCGCAAGCTCAAAGTCTGGCGCGCCGATAATTGACTCCAGGTCGGGAATCGAGTTGTCCTCTTTTGTTATCACAGGCTGGGGCGCGGGCGGTGCGACTGGCGCTGCTGTGATGATTGCCGGGGCAGCCTGAGCAGCTTCGACGGAAGTCCCGGGAGGCGGTGCCTGGAGCAGGCCGATGAAGCTGCCCTTGGGCATTTCCTGGAGCATATCGGGGGCGTGGGCTTCGTCGAAGGACTGCGTGGCGTCGGAACCGGCGCACTTTAGCAAGACTATCACAAAGACTTAGCGTTGAACATGGCGGACGTTGAAGGTGACGGGGTGGCTTGCCGGATGGTCCTCCTGGGTGCTCGTCGACGAAATTGGTAATATCCCAGACTTTTGAGTGCACGGCAATCCAGCAATCCGACTTTGACTTGTGCTTGTTGAGGTCATTCAGCGATATCAATGGACTCTCCTTGGTTGTCATTTCGGTCATGGCGAAGACGCAGGGTTCCGTGTAGCGGCAGTATGAAATATGCGGTAGGGACTGGGCGTCTGCTACTACGACAGACACGTTTGCCCGGCGAGTTTTCAGAAAGAGACACAGAAAGAGACATCCATTTTCAGATAGCAATTGGCAGGATCAATGAGACGACCCCTGCGATAGCTCGCCAGACACCTGGAGCTTTGTCCGTCGAACGGTCCACGCCAGTTTCCGTTTGCGGTTAATCCGGCCTGGCGCGGTCCCCACATCGGCCGGAATCGCCGGTGCATCGGGGGAGATGTTCGGCGTCGACCAGGATCTCCTCACTTGTTGCATCACCCCGCACGCGAATGTCACGATGCTCGGTGATACCATGTACGTAGATCCCGGCCGAGAGTCCGATACGATGAATCGGGGATGGCTAAAAGCACTCGATGAGACCCCGGATCTCCTCTTACACCCTACTACACCATCCTGACATCAAGCCTCTCTTTCCGTGTGTCTGCATCTACATCCCACCACGAATTACAACGAATTCCTCTCAATTCCTCACAAATTCGATAATATTCATCAAAGAACTCGCCATGCCTCGCAGCACTATTGCCGCCAAGGCCAAGCCGCTCCCCCATGGCGTCTACACCCCCGTCGTTACTCTGTACAAGGCCGGTGATCCCGACCAGGATGTGGACCATGATGCCATGTACAAGCAGTGCCAGGCCCTTGTCAACGCCGGCATGCACGGCCTGGTCTACCTAGGGACCAACGGCGAGCTTGCTCTGCTCACTGCTCCCGAGCGCAAGGCTATCCTCGACACGGCGGTGCGCGCATTAAAAGATCTAAACAAGGCCGGCTACCCCATCGTGGCAGGCATCTCTGCGCAGTCTACAAAGGAAACCATCATGAATGCCAAAGACGCGGCGAGCGCGGGTGCAAACTTTGCCCTTCTTCTTCCACCTAGTTACTGGGCAAAGGCCCTCTCAAGCGATGCCCATCTCTCTTACTTCCGCGCAGTCGCCGATGCTTCGCCCATCCCGATTGTCATCTATAACTTCCCAGGTGTCACGGCTGGCGTGGACCTCGACTCCGACCAGCTCACGGCCTTGGCCTCCCACCCCAACATCGTGGCCGTCAAGCTCACATGTGGCAACGTTGGAAAGTTGACGCGTCTTACAAGTAAGTTTACCCACGAGCAGTTCGGAGTCTTTGGTGGAAGCAGCGACTACCTGCTCCCCACGCTACATGCTGGCGGAAGCGGCTGCGTCACCGGCATGGGCAACATTTTCCCGGCATCTACCTCCGGCGTGTATGATCTCTGGAAGGCTGGTAAAATTCAAGAGGCCAAGGACTTGCAAGATGATGTGGCCAACGCCGAGTGGGCCTGCAAGAAAGGCATTGCCTGCACTAAGTACGGTGCTTGGTATTATCTGGGACGTGGTCTGGGTCTGGTGGACGAATCAACTTGGGAAATGAGGCAACCCTATCAACCTCTCGGAGACGCCATGAAGAAGTGGACTCTGGAGACCTTGGGCGTGCTAGAGAAGGCGGAGAAGGAGAGGCCGTGGAGATCATAGAAGCTACGTATGTGTACGACAATAAACCAGTATATTAAGTTTGAGTCTGTGTACTAATGACCTGTGGTGTAATTCCTGCATTTGCCTCCTTCTTGTTGCCACGTCGGTTTCTCGTTTGTGTCGGTCCCATGCTAGATACCCGTCTCGCCCTCACAGTAAATCATTAGACAGAGCAAGCTTCAACATCCACGGTGAAGACAGACGATCTCTATCCTTATCTGAGCACCTACTTGCCGTCATGACACTGAACAAGGTCAATATCTGGAGCAGATTCACCGACATGTCGGTCCTAATTCCCCCGCATGCTACCCCGACTGTCTGTGGAGCTCTGCCACTCCCCAGTGACTGGACCTGGGGTAACGGGGATACCGTAGTCCTTCCCGACGCTATTACCGAGAGGACTTCATCGGCCGCAAGCCCAATATGCGACCGCTTAAAGCTCCGTGTTATCCGCAAGCGAGCGTCATACGCACTAAAGCCCGGCGCTTCGTCCGAGTGTCTGGGGTAGGAATTTACGGGGTAATGGAGTCCAAAGTTGCGGGGAAGTCTCGACCCATACTTATAATCCAAGGTGGCCGACGACCCGTTAAAGGTAGACTGGACTCTCTCAAGGGAATCTGGTTCATCATCTTGCAACAATTGCCGGGTACGAAGGCAGAATGGCAGACGTAATCGACAAGCCCCAATTGGAGGAGGCCGAGGCCGAGAAGCCTCGCCACATCGATCCCAACGATTTGCCACTCCCGGACGAGCTGGCCCACTTGAGCAGAGAAGATGTTCAGAAGCTTGAAAGGGGTCTGACCCGTCGACTAGATATGACTCTGATGCCTACTGTCTTTCTCCTGTTCTTGTTGAACATCCTGTGAGACTCCCCAATCAAAACATGTTGACTTATAGGCAACTCTAATTCAGAAATCAGGGATCGGAACAACATTGCGAGTGCCAAGATCGTTGGTCTCCAGGAGGATCTCGGCATGACCAACAATCAATACAACACAGCTCTCATGATGTTCTATATCGGATGTATGCGATCTCGCTACTCCCAAGGTCATGACTCTCCTACTAACAAATAATAGACATCATTACTCAAATCCCTTCAAACATGATCATCGGCAAAGTGCGCCCATCGTACTACATCTGCCTGGTCACTTCTCTATGGGGTGTTGTCTCCATGTCCCAGGGCTTCGTCAAGAACTTTGGCCAACTCTCTGCTCTCAGATTCGTGCTGGGTCTTGTCGAAGCCCCCTTCCTGCCCGCCGTCTTCGTCGTCATGAGCTGCTGGTACAAGCGCAGTGAGCTACCGCCTCGCATTGCTATCCTCTATGGAGGCAACATGATGTCAGCTGCGTTCTCCGGGCTTATCGCGGCGGGCATCACCAGCCGCATGGATGGTGTTGCTGGACGTGCTTCTTGGTCCTGGTTGTTCATCATCGAGGGTTCAATGACGGTTGTCATTGCCATACTGTTGGTGCCCATTCTCACGGACTACCCACTTCAGAGCAAGCATCGCTTTATCTCCCGCGAGCTCCAGCTCATTGGTGTAAGTAAATCCTAATTCTTGTGCATTCTTGAGATTGTTGATGACCTAATGCATTCAACAGGAATGGCGCATCCGCAAAGAGAACGCGGGTATCGTTGATGAGGACCCCGAGTCCATCTGGTGGGGATTGAAGCAAGCCTTGATCGACCCTAAGCTGTACATGTTTATTGTGCTGCAAATGGCGCTCATTACTGCGCAATCTTTCAACAACTTCTTCCCCTCCATTGTTGGAACTCTTGGTTACGGAAGCACGGTGACGTTGCTGTTGACTGCGCCTCCATACTTCTTTGCCTTCATCGTCTCCTTGGCTATCTCGTTCCATGCCGGCCATAAGAAAGAGAGAGGCTGGCATATTTTTGTGCCTTTGACATTTGCGATTCTCGGAAACATCCTGGTAAGAACCCCGAATCCTACACAAATCGTCAAGGTTGCTAACCCAAACTCTCAGGCCATGTTCGTGCCTTCTACCGGTGGTCGCTACTTCTCCATGTTCCTGTTAACTGCTGGATCCTACGCACCCTACAGTCTTTGTGTGAGTTGGCTGAGTGCTTCGCTCCCCCGTCCACGAGCAAAACGTGCCGTCGCGCTTGCTATCGTGAACGTGATGGCAGCTGGTGTTGCACACTTCTACACCGTATACATGTTCCCAGACTGGCAAAAGCCCCGATACTACATCGGCGGAAGCATGATGGCTGGAGCGTGCTTGGTTTGCGGATGCATGGCCATATTTATCAAGTACTACTTGAAGGGACTCAACACAAAGCTGGAAGAGGAGGAGGCACGAGGTGGACTGAACTATAGCCAGATTATCGGGTCTGGTAAGGGCGGTAGCGGAGACGCCATGGTATCGTTTAGATATGTTCATTAGGTTAGACATAAGCGCCAATACGCCCTATGCATTATCAACAATACTATTAAACTTCATGCCATCAAGTCTTGAGACCAAACTTATCTAAGGCTTTATTACCTATCCTGCTTGATGAATTCAGAAGTAACTCGACCAGCAGGTGAACTAAATATGTATAATGACTGTAGAGGAACAAGGATCCATTCAGCGCCGCAAATCCGGCCAAACAACACCAAGTGCCATAGAACACAGCGGCCTACAAATCGTGATGTTAGTAATGACATTAACCTGTTCTCCATGGACGCAGCAGAAGGTGGGACGGTGAAAGAGCCTTACCATACAGCATGAGTATCTGCATAGCCGCAATAGCATAGTTTATGTAGATGTCTCCACCGCAGAGGGTCGCATTTTTCAATGTATCGCAATTGCCATGTATATCGCAGAGATTAGCATTTTCAACCTGATAGCAGCTCCCTTTGCTGGTTGTGTTTGTTAGGTAATGAGATACACCCCATAACCAAAGCCGGCCAACGACGATGGGAACGCAGCCATGGGAGTGAACTTGATGAAGGATTTGTAAGATCCAGTATCACTTCCCGTGCTGGATATGCAATATAAGGCGAAGAAAAATACGACAGGTTCCGACACCGACATTAAGATTGCACTCGAAGTCTAACTGCAGAATATGTGAGTTAAGTTTTGTTAATCGTAACCATGATGCCGATATAATTCAAGTACAGGGAGTTCAAAAGAGTACCTACATATTTGTACTCTCTTTGATGACACGGTACATACTCATTGCAAAACTTGCAAGTATAGGCCCTGTTACGAGAAGTATCACAGCCATGCCTAGACATTGACGGATATCCGAAGTTGACGGACGCCGCGGTCCGGTCAGAAGCGAGTCATCCAGTGTTGTCTCTTGTGCCACAGCGTCAGGGAGCTGGAATTTGATGTTTCTGGGCTGAGAAGGGGGAGGCGTTAAAGCAGCCTCATTATCTGCTGCATGAACTACAGCGGGTAGTATGTCATCCGCAGGGTTTTCGTCAACATGCGAGTTTCCAGGCATTCCAATGCTGATCGATGAATAGTTGTCGATATTGGTGGTAACTCCTCGACGCCATCTCTCAATGAGATAGTCACGAGAATTAATCGTCGAAAATGTTCCTTCGGGGAGTCCCGAGTGCCTGATTCGACGATTGGGCAAATATGCTCCCGTGAAAGCGTCGAGGTTTCGTGGTACGAAAATTCACCGCGGTCGCGGGTTGGCGTGTCTTGGAGCTCCTGATCCTCCCTCTCTTGCTCCCCCTGGGCTTCGCGTAGCACCTCGAGAGTCTCAGCTATGTCCCTTCCTTGCATCAAAGTAACGTTTTGCATAACAATTTGGATGGACGCCAGGTGAAACTGAAGCCGCCGATGGAGGTCTTGAATTCGGCGAGTGAATCGAAAATTGGAAAACGGGCTGGAAAGGGACGGCCCAACCGATTCACTGGCCAGCTGCGTTTGAAGCTCCTCGAGGCCATTTCGAATACCGTCAATAGTATTCTGGAGGACTTGATCTTGATTCAGCGGCGTGCCACTGCCTGTAGCTCGGCCAGAGAATTGAGACCACTTATCTCTGAGCCGGTCTAGCACGCGAGATGCCAATACCAGATCGCCTTCGAATTCTTTGAATTGAGCCGGTGCGTTTCTGACCCAACTGATCAGGCTGTGTGTGAGATTTATGAGAAGGACGATGTCGCCGACTGAGAAGCCGAATGACATGGTTTATAGGCATTTATTGAAGCTGGGTCTCGGTTTATCAGATGAGGTGTAACGTACCGAGTGGATCTTTAGGTCAAGAACAATTAATCCAAGTTATGCGTTTTGTGTTTGCCAATTGCCCATGGCCTTGAATAAACATGAAAAGTCCAGGGGTGTCGCAGCGTAAGCACAGTTTTGCACCACTAGAAGTCAACCTTGGCCCGTTTGGCCGTCTGAAAGGATTTTCAGCTGAAAGTTTTATAAGGCTGAGAAAGCAGCTAGCTGTAAGAGGGCTGCAATGCGAGGGGCGCTTGCATATTCGCTCGACGAAAGGAACCACCATTGGCTATCTAGACTGCAGTGCTGAATGAGGAGTCTTGGCCCTTGGAGGAAGGATCTCCTTGCAGGCGCCCAAACCCGTAAAAGAATTAACTGGTTCGATTATTGCACGATCTGCTGCAATTGACCACAGTCTTACCGATAAAGACATTGCTCCGCCACGCCTACAAGCAGCATAAGTACGCCCCTTCTTGAGTAACCGTTGGATTCTTCTTTTCTCTGAATGTCGCTGTTTTGTACTTTGCCTAATAAAGATCCAACCAATTACTCCGTACATCCGCCACTATCACCAGAGTACATTATCTTTATTTTCTTTTGCGCCCGACGACATCTCTATATCGAAATGGACAGACATGACAGCACGATACAATTACAATCCAGGTCCGACACGCAGCTCCTAGATGTAGATGCAGAAGACAGACCTCGGGATAGAAGCAGCACAAGCGACGCGGATGAAAATAGCCATGAGGTCAGAAATGAGAGCCCGCCACGACACGCCCGAAATGTTCTTGGGGCTTGGGGCTTTGAGATTTTTATGCTACTCTGGAGCATCGCCCTTCTACTAGCCATCTTCTTCATCTTGATGCGTCATCGGCGGAAAGAACTTCCCAACTGGGGCGACACCATCACCATCAACGCCCTCGTTGCCGTTTTAGCGACCCTTCTTCGCATCAGCATTGCATTCGTTGCCGCGGGAATCACAGGACAGGCGAAATGGGATTGGATTTCCCAGCGATCGCGTCCCGCCAAGGACATGCAAATATTTGACGACGCCTCTCGCGGCGTCATTGGCTCCCTCAAGCTCATACCTCTCGTCTGTTTCAAGATGCCGCTAATTCTAGGCGCTGTCTTCATCACCGTTTTCTCTTTCGCCATTGGCCCTTTTTCCCAGCAGGCCATCCAGACTTATCCATGCTCTCAGCTTAGTCCTGAACCCGCCACCATTGTGACAGTCAACCGAGAGCAGGCCCAGAAAATATCGATGTCGGATAATCATCATCTACTGGCGATTGACTTTGGTTTACGCGTGGCCATTCAAGATGCTCTCGTCAATCCATCCAACGACTCCAACATTGGGGCTCTGTTTAGCTGCCCCACGGGTAACTGCGAATTTCCCACCTACGCCGACAAGAAGGACTCCCCACGAGAGCAATTCATCTCTCACGCCAGTCTAGGTATCTGCAGTGGCTGCTTCGATGTAGGAGAGCTCGTTGTAGGCCCTATTGTCAATGCCTCAGCAAATACTACCGAGTTCCGCCTCCCTATACCGCTCAACGCATACGAGAACAAGAATTCCACCGCCATCACCATGTACCACGACACGTTTTCAACACCTCTGGCCATTAAATCTAGAAACCTCTCCTGGGCCCAAAATGTGACAACGATTGAGATGCAAAACCGGGCTCGCTGGGCCTTCGCATCCTTCTCCATCCTCGCCGCGTCGCAGGGGTCCTGCAAGACAGTTGACCATTCTCTCAAGTGTTCAAAACCGCAGGGTTATGCCGCTGCATCATTCTTTCTCTACCCTTGTATCAAGTATTACAAGGGAAGCGTAAAGAGCGGAGTTCTCACGGAAAAGGTGGTTCGTGATGTTCCACTACGACTTCAACGAGCTAAAGAGGTACTCGGAGCGTCGCCTGGGTCTGATCCTGACGACTGGAAGGGTGTACAGGTTCCCTGTGCAGTAAATGGTACCCTCTACACTTCGGAGAACATGTCGACTGCCGCCGCCGCTCTAGGGCCTGATGCTGTGGGTACTGTTCTTGCTCACACAGAAGATTGGGCCAGCCAAAATCTGAGCCAAGTAACCAAATATGTCAACATCACAGCCCCTTTGGAGTGCATTTTTGAGCTAAGTGGCTTCTCTAATCGAGTCCTTGCCAATTACTTTTACTCAGAGCTCGAGTCTTTATGTCCTCGAGTGGGTGATGTGTTGGAATGCGATCCCTGGTACCTAGCCGCCCTAGCACACAATGGCACTGCCAGTTTTGCAACTGTTGATGAGGATATCACCTCTTTGGCGTTACGCATGACAAGGGAACTCAGACTTCACGGCCGAGGCCCTCATCAGGACATCGCGGGGGCTGTCAAAGGTGATGCTTTGAGGAATGCAGTGTGTGTTCGTGTCGAATGGGCATGGCTTGCGCTTCCAGCCGGGCTGTGTGTCTTGAGTATCGCAGTAGTAGGTTGGACTTTGGTGGATGGCCTTCGCCGAAGAACGGGGCCGTTGTGGAAGAACTCGATCCTTTCATTGATGCTTCAGAACCAACCGGGAATAGGCGCAATGGGCCTTGATTACATTGAAAAAATGGCAAAGGGGCTGCAGATAACTTTACAAGCAAGAAGGGAAAAGAGCCCTTTTCAGATATCTTCTAATAGAAAATAAGTCCCACCGCAGGCTTCGTGCCTGTTGAGTTTCTCAGGCCGCTGGAGTACGGTGGCAAATGCCCAAAATCCAGCTTGTATACCTAATATACCACAGCTCAACTACACTGGAAGCTACGTAAATAAGCTTCTTATATGATTTATCATCTTCTATACTGATTTTATCGCTATTCAATACTCAATCGGTTGTATCTTAGAATTGAATACTAATGCTCAAAGTGATGGACTGTAAGAAGTGAGCACACTAAAGATTAGAGGCTAAGTGTGCTAGAAGTTAAGGGTCTTATAGTAGTTATAGAAGGTACCTGTGGTAGGAGTTTAGGGACTAAATGCGCTAGAAATTAGTGGCTAAAGGTGCTAGAAATTAGGGGTTTCCCATTTGGACCTTTTCCGCACCTCGTCCAATGTGCCACCGTACGATTAGCTAACTGCAGCACGGAGCCTCTTCGCTCAGTTCCAAGACGTGAAGCATTGACAGTAAACAGAGTAATGACACCACCACTTCTAGCATCATGCAGCTTGCGTTCCGCGCGGCCGCGGCCGACGATGCCATGGAGCTGTATGCAAGCGGCTTCAACGCCTGGAACCAGCTCATCTTTGAGCCGTCCATGATTGAGGAGGAGCCAGATGACCTCCACGTCTTTACAAAAGTTCTCGGCGCCCAGACTATCAGTCGGCCACTCTCGCATCTCTGCTATACTGTTGGTACGCAATGTTTGGACGGGCTTAGTAGTGCTTTGGCTATGCTGATAAAACCTAGTTCATTGCGATGAAAGCAAGTGTCTCGCTGGGTCATCTCCGAGTGCAACCATCCTAGACGCCGGTGAAAAGGACATTTTTGATCACATACATGCCATCTCGGCGGATGGTGCGATTCTCATTGCCCAAGACCCGACAACTGGAGACACTAGTCAATCCATTGCAAGATATCCGTCCGCGAGTGCGTGGAAATCAGGCATCGATGGTAGATCGTGGCCTTGCAAGTCCCCTGTCAGGCAGATGGCCGCCTACGACGCAGGGTTCGTCATCTTACACGAGGACGCATCAGTATCCACACTCGGAGATGTTCGTTTCGGGGACTGCTTGGGCCGAGAAGTGGACGAGTCGAGGTAGGCCCCTATCTCCAGGACAGTCAAGAATGCCTCGCTTACAGATCATCAGTCCCGCCGATGAGCCAGGTGTGGTGTCCGACCTCGGCGACCTCGGAGAGCCCGTCAAGAAGGTTGTTGCAGGCGGCTACAGTGTCGCTGCGCTGACGGAGGGAGGAAGCCTATATCTTTGGGGCGCCGAGTCATCGGGTTCCCGTAGTCGACATCAGACGTTTTCCGACATTACTAGGATTCCTAACTATGTCGAGGTCGATAGAGACAAGGACGTTGAAGATGTTGCCCTTGGGGAGTCTCACGGGATTGCCTTGACAACTGACGGTAGGATTTACGTTATTGGCGACAACAACAATGGTCAACTTGGTGCAGGGAGGGATTTCACAGGGATTGCCAGCTCTTGGACCAAGGTTGAGTTCAAAGCTCCAACCGGGTGGAAAGTAGTTGGCGTCGAGGCGGGGCTGAGGTCGTCATTCATCCTGACGGCCAAGTCGAAACCCATATAGCATCAGACCCATGGCACATACACCCATACTACCGGAACGAGTTCATTCAGCCTGTATGGCCCACTCTATTGTACATGCCGTCGCCTAGTACCCAGCCGCGTAGACGCTTCATAGACTCGTAAGATAATCCTCAATCTCTTGAGGAGTCAGCTTTCTGAACCGGGGGCCAACAGCTCCCTCAACACCATCAATACCCAGAAGGTGGTCCGCAGGAGCACCGACGATGCCTGTATGTGTCAGCAACGGAAATCATAATGTCAAGCCCAAGAATGTCTTACCGATCTCAATAGTATCACCATTCATCTCGCCCTCGATGTTGTCCTTCAGGGTCAGGAGGGCAATGTGAATGGCATCCTCGAGCTCCAGCTCCTCCGAGTATCGCTTCTCCAGGAAAGTCTTGGCCTTGGTGGCGCTCTTGCCGATGGCCGTGGCCTTCCAGGGATAGTAGCTGCCCGAGGGATCAACCTGGTACAGCATAGGGCCGCCCTTTTGGACGCCGCCAGTCTTCTTGGTAGGCTTCTTCACTTCACTGTCATCACTGTCGTCGGAATCCTCCTCCTCCTCAGGCTCGATGCCCTCGTCCCATCCAGCGACCAACAGGCTCACGCCGTAGGGTCGGACACCGGCAGACTGAGTGGCCTCCTGCATGACACGGGCGACATCCTGCACCAATATCCGGGTGGGAGGGTACTCGTTGTAGATGCGCTTGTAGCCGGTGTGCGAGACCTTGCGCGCGCGGTCCACCAGGATTCTGTAGTCGGGTCCCATGCCGGAGTACACCATACCGATGTTAGGAGTGATGTTGCTGATCTTGGACAAGGAGCTCTGGTCGGCGAGGGGCGAGGATGACTTCTTCTCGGTGGCGAGGACGATACCGTTCGTGGCTATCCATGGTCAGCGGCAGTTCGTCCTAGAATGTCCCGTGCAGCGCGAACCTTTGATGCCAAGGGCAGTTATACCCTGGTTGACGGCGTTGAGGGCATACTCTGTGGACACAGGTTAGTTCCGCTGTTGGTGTCTATCGCAAGCGACCTGGGAGCCCTATGAGAGTTCCCGATAGCCTAAAGCCGAGGGTCTGCATACCGATCTGGACCAGCTTTCCGCTATAACCTTGTCAGTATTGCTGCCGCATCACCGCCACCGTCATCGGGGCAACGCACCTGGGAGAGAAGGTCGTGAGGGAGAAGGAGTATCGGTCGGCCATGTTTGCGAGTCCTGCTGGGAAGTGCTCGACGAGGGGGCCGGGTGTAGAATATCGGTGCGGGACGGATTGGTGGTTCTGAGGGTGACAAGGGATCAAGCAAGCAAGGCTGCAACTGGAGCTTTGGTGTTTGGCCAGCAGCTCCCGCCTCTCCAGGCACGGCCAAGCTGCGCGTCAAGCTCGGGCGGCGGCAGCTGGCTGTGTCGGGGAAACACATTATCCGGGCCCGGGCTACAAACACGTTTGTCCCCACACACACCCTCGCCGATTCTTATTCAGCACAGCCATCATCAGTTTCTCGGCAGGTTCGGTTGAATTCCTGCGCCCTGTGGAAGGCTGAGCTGGCCTCTTCACCATTTCCGACATGACCTTGGCAACCTGGTCCCTTCCCCGCCATTTTGCACTCTCTCCCTCGCTGAGTCTGACCGAGCTTGCTATTCTACATGTAGGTTGGGCCTGACAGCCTCATTGGGCCATTGTGACACAGCTACGACCACGCACCAGATCTCTTCTGTTGGCAGCTGCTATCCCCTTCTTTGTTTTACCATCGCATCCACAGGCATCTTCTCTGAACATGGATAACCCGACGTGGGATTGGTCCTCGGTTGGGGACAGCTCATCCCACCAACCTCAACCCGACGCGACTTCGGAACCGACGCACCGCCGACCGCCGCCAGCCCAGCCAGAGCAGCCGCCGCGTCCTGAGCCTCGAGCTGCGCCGAATGGCAGACAGTACGGTCCTCGCACATGTCGCATCTGCTTCGACACGGAGAACCCCAAGTTTCCGACCGAAACTGCCAGCACTTTTGGACTCCCCGCCTCGACTCGGCCCACATACGCTTCTGATGACCCAGAGCTAGGACGACTGCTTTCACCATGCAAGTGTAAGGGATCGCAAAAATATGTCCACGAGGGTTGTCTCAATGCTTGGAGACTAGCAAACCCTACTGAAGCAAGGAACTACTGGCAATGTCCGACTTGCAAGTTCACGTACCGAATCTCGCGCCTCAGCTGGGCGTCTGCCCTGAGCAGCAAATGGGCACAGTTCGCCCTCACGTTTGTGATTCTCGTGCTGGGCATCTTTGCCCTTGGTTTCGTCGCCGACCCGTTGTTCGATCTTTGGTCCGACCCCATTGGGACCATCGGCGAAACTGTCACAAGCGTGGTATCAGATATTGAGGCCTTGAAACAGCCCCCGTACCAAGAGCCTACATCGTGGGCGGAGCACTTTGTCAAGGGCTTTTTTTCCCTCGGCATTGTCGGGCTGGCCAAATCCATGTTAGCAATGTCGCCCTGGCACTGGTGGAACCTTCGAAGCAGTGGTCTTATGAATACTACTGGCAGACGACAGGGAACTGGAAGGGCGCGAGTTGAGAACATCAGCCTGATCTTTGTTGTCATCGGGGCTTTTACCTTTTTGATGGGTATCTGGAAGGTCGTCAAGGCTCTCAGCGCCCGTGTACTCAGCAACATCAGTGACAGGGTTGTCGACGTGGATGAGGACGACAATGACGACTGAGTCATTCACGAGTCCCATCAAGAGTAAGAAAGAACAATGATGATCGCTTTGTTATGGTTTCCGCGAGAGCAGATGCTCAACCGTGTGCTCACTCGATGAATGTTATGCACACTCTTAAGTTGCCTCGAACTCGCTCCTCCGCGTCAAGTCAACTAGTCTGTGTGCAAAGATTTACGCTCTGCTTCGCCTTGACTAAGGACCGTTTTGGTTCCTTACTCGTCGGCCTGTATGAGATTATCAGTCACAAGCTACGCTTCTGGATTCCTTCGGGCGTCCAAGAGCGAATTCGGGTATCTGCTAGGTACACACCAGTACAAAGCTGTAAGCAGACTGCCCAGTGAATGCCTGATACATTCTATTTCGAGAATAATACACCATGTTACCGATATCTCAGTGTTGTCTTGCGCTCGTGCCACATTGACCTTCGCGTCCATGGGCTTCCCCTGGTTGTGGTAACAATTACGCCTCATCTAAATTGTCTCAATATAAACATGTCATTATTTTTCTCCCATTGCACTCGTAGTAAATTTCTGGAACGACAATAGCGGCATCTGGAGTGACCTTTCACATCGTGGTTTCACCGATCCGTCGCTCCATGTCTTCGGATATTTATAGGTCCGACACCGAGATGACGTTCGTGGTTCCTCATATCCCCTGCAGCAGTATGCGACCCATGTGGGCCGCATCGCGCATGCTCGTGCTGGACCGAAAGGCCATCTATCAAGATTGTGCGAACGATGGCTCCTTGATCCCTCCAACTCTTTGCTGGTTTCCGCTCGAATTGTCGCTCTTTTCCTCACACCGACTCCGGCCTCCGACCTAGCCCGCCGAACCGAACCCCAGAGCGCTTCAAGGTCGCACAGAAACCAGATCGTCTTCCCGCCAGGAGTCGGTGCTTTCGATTCTCCTTGGTTGCGACTTGCGATTCCAACGCCCTCACGACTTGAAAATCGATGAGGTGACCCCGTTACCGAACCCTAAGAAGACGCGCAGATCTAGCACTGCCCTCGAGGCTGTCCGCTCAGGCAAAATGCACTTCGCCTACCCTCCTCGCAAAGACTCGAACCCCCCACCATTCCGACCTAGAACTTCGAAGGTGCCGCTGTTGCGACCGAGTCGCCTAAGAACTATACTCTTGCTCCTGCTGACCATTGTTGGGTTCTTGTGGCTTCTTTCCGGTCCGAGGAAGGAACCTCCATATCGCGAGCATGTGCCCTCTGGGAACCCGCCCGTCGTCATCTTGACCGTCGTGGACCCAACAAAGTACAGCGATGAGTACCTGAAGACGATAACAGACAATCGAGAGCAGTACGCCGCGAAACATGGTGAGCATCGCATGGAATTTTCGTCTACCGTGTCGCAACTTCTGACCCGGCGTTTGTAGGCTACGTGACCATGATTGTAAAGCTATTTGACTACCAAACCGACGGCGCCCCTCAATCATGGGCCAGAATCTTTGCGATGCGACACGCCCTTTCTTTATACCCTGAGTCCAAATTCATCTGGTTCCTCGACCAAAATGCCTACATCATGGAGTTGGACGTGTCCCTGGAGGACCAACTGACGGACACGACGAAGCTGGAGGGTTTGATGATCAGGGACCGGTCCATCGTGCCGCCGGACAGCATTATCAAGACTTTTACTCATCTGAAAGGAGATGACGCTGCCTTTATCATCAGCCAGGACGAGGCCGGGCTTGTGATAAACAGTTTTCTCATCCGCAATGGTGACTGGGCCAAGTTCTTTATTGAGACATGGATGGACCCTCTCTACCGAAGCTACAATTTCCAAAAGGCTGAGAGACACGCCTTGGTAAGTTCTTACAGCCCCATCGAGACTGGACTTTCTAACTCTGCCGCAGGAACACATCGTACAATGGCATCCCACGATCTTATCAAAGCTCGCCCTCGTGCCCCAGCGCACCATTGCCTCGTACGGCCGCAACAAGGAGGGCAACTCGTACCGAGACGGCGATTTCGTGGCCCTTCTGATAGACTGCCACCCAACCGGACCCAACAGCTGCGACAAACAATCGCAATCCTACCTGAATCAACTGCGGACTAAGGCCGCCGCGGCGGAGCAGAAATCCTAGACGACCCACGACGAGGCATTATGGAAGGCGGGAGTGAAATTATGGCGTTTGAGACTTGGAGCATCTCCGGCATGGAGGAAGCGAATCTATGTAAATCTCTTGGCGTTATCGGACTGTTCCAGGATATTGGAAAGCATGAGGGCGAGAGACGGGACTTTTGGGGCAGATGGTCTTCAGCGTTGCGTCTGGGGAATCGGTGGTTCAGTGCCATTTAAGACGAGGGCGACAGCATTCAAATTTCTCACGAGGGAATTTTATATTGAAGAACAAAGTGCTCAACTATTGACGTACTTAGCATTTGAGGGACGTTTCGTTTTATTTCAGGCTAGATTATGACAGTCAGCTCTGACTGGTGAGTTTGAATGCAGAAATGAGCCTGTTCAACTAGCGAGCAGGCGTCTTCAGCCGGGCGGTTGGCCACGGTCATCCTGTGTGTTACCTTTGTGCTTCTTTGGAGGTTGATTCTGCTCCTCCGTGTCAAATACCAGTCTCGTAACTCCTGGCATACTTTGAGGCCTAACTCTTGGGCTGGATGCCTCGAGGCCGAAGCGTAGGTGCTCTCGTTCAACATCTTCTTAAAATCGTTAGAAGTCACATCGTGGTTCCGAGGCGCTCGGGCTGCAAAAGGGAACAAAAAGTTGCCGTGGCCATGGATTTTCTCGACGCTTGGGTGTCAATTCCTAGATCACGGAGTGGCTTGAGGGGTTGAGTCCCGGTTGATGTTGCACTGACCGGACATGAAGAAATGAGGCGATTCCCAAAGTCGCGAAACGAAACACCCCGTAACTGCAGCCGCAGGTGCTCTTAAGGTCGGAGTTGTGTTACTTTTTCTCGAATCAGGCAGCAGGGTCCCGATTTTAGAGACAAGACACGGTGTTTGCGCGTGTTTGTTTGTTTGCGTATGGGAGTTGGAACACTGACCCAAGAGAGCGCTTCCTTTTGATCTGCATACCTACAAGGGGTTAGGTATGAGTAGGAGTATTGCTATTCGCACACTCTCAAAATGCTACTCGCACACTTAAGTACAACAATACACCTATTAGTAAGTTTAATCTGAAATTAAAGAAGTTTTATTCTTAGTGTTTATTCTTTAGGTCTTACTGTTTTAATTTTATCTTTCAATTTATTTTAGGGTAGAAACTGGAACTCTAAGATACCTAAGGCCGGCGTACAGGCCAGGTACATTACCTACTTATGTACGATTAACATTTTGAACGTGTGCGAATAAATACTCATCAGTGGTTAAAGAGGGCACACATTCCTTCCCAGCGTATTAACTCCCTGTTCTTTGGGTGGTCAGCCTCCTTTACAAGCCTCAGCCTCCAACACAAAAGCCGCGCCTTTCACAAGGAATCACGACACGTGCATTCTGTTTGCTCCAGACCTACTTGACAGCTGCACCAGCATTCTTCGTTTCCTGCAACTTCTCATCAACATCACCCCAGATGCAATCCCATCGGTCGTTTTCTGAACTCAGTCCTCAACCAGATTCAGCAACCAGAAATCCTCAACGATGGCCGACTCGAACTCTACACCAGCGCTGTACAAGCTGCCCTTGGAGTTGGTTTCTGCCATCAGTTCTTTTTCCGATGTCTCAAGTCTGAATTCCATTTCCAGAGCCTCAAAGGTCTGCCGACAGCTTTTTGCTCCGTATCTGCTTGAGAAAGTTTGGTTTGACGGTTGCCAAGCCTCCCTCACATGCCTCTTGCGCGGGTTTCTCCTGAACCCAACCGATGCCCCAGTTATCGGCCTGAGGAATCATATCAAGTGAGTTCATCTTCAATCGCCCCAGCTCCTCCGTTTCATTATTTAATACAAGTTTATAGATGCGCGAGCATTATTGTTCACTCGAGCCCCGCCACCTGGAGAAAAGCAGCCAATTCCTTCCGAGAAGTTGAGGGACTGCCGATGCAGATTCTTGATTCAATCCAGTTGATGGGCAACCTTCATACTCTGGCTCTCGATCTCGAATCGCTCCCTATCGATCAAACAATAGACCTAGCCAAAGCCTTGGAATCGACAGTGCCGTGGCGACTTCGACACCTTAGAGTTGCCTGCCACAGGCTGCTCGGCCCGGCTGTCATCGAACATTGCTGTCCCGACACGCTCAAGATTCTGCAGATGTCCGAAAACACTGAGTCTGAAGAATATGCTGCTGCAGCCAAGCATTGCAAGGGACTCGAAAGGCTCCGGGTCTACGCCGAGTCCAGCCACTGGTGGTGGGCCTCCTTGGAAAAAATTACCACACACTTTGCGCACCTCCAGTGGCTGGTGTTTTCTGAATGCCGACAGTATTATTTTCATCATGATCATGACCGAGGCATCCTCATTTCTGATGAGTCTGTTTATGTCAGTATTTATCTGGATATGGTGGCTCCTTTCCTTGCCTGGCCCGTATAATGAAGATTCTTCGTACGGGTGATCATGTATGATCCATGTAGAGAGCAATGTTGACTAACCACCGCATACAATAGGATAGGGCAATCGGCAAGTTAGAAACTTTTCTTAAAAAAATGCCAAAGCTCCGATATTTCGCCTTTTCACTAGGGCTAAACCAAGTGCATGATCAAATGCTGCACCCGAATGGGGAGGACGGATCTCCAGGTGTGTTTTACGAGGCATTGATCGATCGGATTAGCAATGCCCTGCCAAAGCTTCGACAGCTGTGGGTGGTGGTTGGATGGTCGAAGATGTGGAGAGGAGTCAGAACAGAGGACGGTGAGGCTATGTATACCGAATATGAGTACCTCGATGAGGCTACTCACTTCAATCGGGTATTTCCGGTTGGACTAGGTGATCAGTTTGGGGAATCATGACACATTTGTTATGAGAGGACGAGTGATTCACACAATGATGGAATGTCGCATGCCATAAGGCTATTTTAGGGATGTATTAGGCCTAATGAAATCGAATAGTCAATCAACAGTCATCTGTCGGGTTTGTGAATATGTCATCAAGTCCTTGGTCCGGCCTGTCAATCCCACGATTGACAGGCATAGGGTTGGGACCGGTCCCAAGTCAGCCTCTGCTGTGAGAGTTTAATGCGGCGCCGTTGTAACTGATGAGGCCAGGCCAGTACGAAATGCGATTTTTCTTGGTTACGCACCCGATCGTAGTCACGAGAGGCGAGCCTCTTGCGTGTAGCCATATCATGACGACGGTGGCCTCCACGACATGAACATGAAGGACGAGGTGCTTGTCAGAGTGCGCGTGGAAGCTTGTCAGACGCCAAACGTACACGTCATTGCGGTTCATTCGCAAGTGCAGACGTGACACTGGAGCAGTGCGGCACCGCGCAATCCGGAACGAACCCGCTGTGTGCTGGTGGTGATGTGTAACAAAGCGTCACGACTCTAAATGCCGCCCGCGTAGATACTGGCTTCTCTCGCGCACCTGTCTCCACGCGCAATATCCCCAACTACGGCGCACACGACGGCCAGCACAGTCAGCATCGCAAGCAGCGCTCTCCCTGCCATCAAAGGATCAAACGTCCCGGTCGACTAGCCCAGGGACCACGCCAGCCGGCTGCCTCTTCCGGCGGCCTACAACCGGAGCAAGGTCAGGGCATCATCTCGCTCCAAGGACCGCACCGCGCCGTCCGAAGCCCCGTCTCACGAACCAACCACTCGCCCTATCGCGGGTTTCATCTTAAGTGGGCGCTCTGACCAGGTTCCCCAGATCTCGTCCGACGGGCTTCGAACCGAATACTCTGCGACTCGGTCGTATACGGACGAACAGGTCAGAGTAACGCGTTTTTCGAACTCTTTCAGCTTGGCTGAGACAGCCGTTTCGCCTTGTCGGCCACGGTTCCATTCGCATCCCTCGTCGGGCGAGTCACAGCTCACCACGAGCAGAAGCCCACCTGGTGATCTCACAGTGAACACCGCCCGTCAGCTGATCTGACCAGCAGGCCCCAGCGCGTACGCAGTGTCAAACCTACAGTGCCGAATGAATGGACAAATGCAGGGACAACAAAGCAGTGTAAATTAACAAAGAATCGTAGTCTTGTTTCAAACGACGCGCGGCGGGATGAACTTTGCAGTAGGTAAGTTACTCCGTTGACCGCCTGCAGTTCCAGGACTTACAGTTGGCTGGCATGTGAGGCGCGTCCACAAAGAAACTTCGCCCAGAGCCTTACCGGCATCTGCTGTCAGGCCCCAGGGGCGGCCGCAGAGGGGTGCATATGCGGTGTCACTCCTGTCGAGCTGTGTGCCCCATCACATGGAAATGATTGGCTGGCGGTTGGGGAAAAGGCAATCACCAGCTGATGGCTGCAAGGCACAATGCTACCTGGCTTACACCACCACCATCCGAATAGCCGACGAACAATCAAGGGCACCAAGGAACATGTAACTTAGATGAAGGTCAAAATGCCACAATTTCTGTGGGCTTGTTTCTTAAGTCTATACTGAGAAGTGAAGAAAGCAAACGCGTTGGTTCTGTCTTTTGGTAATCATGTCCTATTTCATTTCATTCATAGCGAGTGGTCACCCCCTATCCTAGGGCGGCGCTTTCGTGGTGAGCATCCCTGCTCTACTGGGCCAGAACCTTCTTTCCGGAGCCGTAGGCAATGTTGGTGACGTCGAGGTTGAGTGCCTTGGTGGATCCGAGGCCACTGGGGCACACGGGCTGGTTGGAGACGGCAAGGTTGACCGCGCAGATCTCATCAACACCGTACTTGCAGATGTCGTTGGCAATGTTGTAGAGGCGGTAGTTCTTGGCGACCCAGCTGTTGGGCTGAGCAAGGCACGAAGACAGGTAGTTCATGCTGTTGGCAGCCATGAGAGGCAGCTTGCCATCGTCGAGCAGGTCCTGGCACTTGCTGGGGTGGACAGTCTCGTACTGCATCTCGATGCCACCGCCCATCTGAGGATCCTCGGCAGCATGCTTGCCGAAGCCGAGCCAGTTCCAAGCGGCGTAGGAGATGTCGAAGGCACCGCCGGACTGGTCAATCTTGAGCACGTAGATCTTGCGACCTTCGTGTGAGAGCTGAAGGCAGATGTCGTCGCAGCCGACAGAGCTAGGCCAGTAGGCAACGTGGTTGGTGTTGATCTTGCATCCAAGGACTCCGACGGACGACCCGTACTGGTCGTGAGGAGTCATGGAAGCAGTTCCGTAGCCGCGAGGGGCGAGGGCAGCGGCCGAGACCATGGTGGCCGAGGCGGCGGCGAGGATAGCGGTGAAGGAGGCAAACATTTTGTAGGTATTGGTGAAGTCGAAACTTTGTACGGTTGAAGCGTGTGAGTTGGTTGAAGTTGTAAATGTCTAGAGGCTGGCTCGACTTGAATTCTCAACGCACGGCGATGAGGAAAAAGTTGGAGAGGGAGTGTGTTGGTTAGATCACGGATCTAATTCTTGGGTTGGCGCAGCCGAGGGAGTGACGAAGAAGAGAGAAAGAAAGTGATATCGTGGTGATATCAAGAGAGTGTGTGTTGGGATGAAAGAGAGACTGGATCCAGACGGGGTGGACGCCGTGGTCTTATATAGATGGAGAGAGGGAGAGCATCTCTGGGGATTCGTAGGGGGGTGGCTCTCTCGACCGGGGGAAGAGCTACTTGCCCAAGCTACCGGGGACAAGACAAGATCCAACCGGCTGGGGCCCGAAGTGTGTGGCCGCGGGGAGTGGGCAGGGCTGCAAAGTGCATACATGCGCGGGTCCAGCGAGTTGGACCAAAGAGATTCCAGGATGGTCGATGCCGGGCCCCGGCACATGTCACTTCGTTGCCATTTCATTCCACCCGTGCTCAGTTGCCAGTGTCCACTGCCCAGCGGCAGCCCACAGTGTCCAGCTCAGGGAGTTTGTTTCCGCGCCGTCATGTTCCTGAGAGCCAATGTGGAGCCTCTCGGCGCCGAGCCGATGGGACGGGAGTTTTGCCGGGGTCGGTTGGGATGAAAACCGCATGGATTCCCGGCACACTAGCCAGTCGTTGAAAGCTGGTTCGGCATGGCGTCCACTGGCGTCCTCGGGCGTCCTCTAGCGCCTGGGCTGGCCTTGTTTCCCCTGGCGCTGCCCCTGGGCAAGGAAAAATGGCTCACCGTCCAAGCGCGCCTAAGCCAAGATCCGCCTAGGGCTGGCTTGAGGTTGCCACGATTGCGATGGCTTCCCTGGTCCCGCCCAGGCACGGTGCATTAGTCAGGGACCCGGGAAACGCACACACTCAGAGCCTGGCAAACGGGGGACGTAACTGGTCCATCGGGGACTGCGACTGGGCTGACCAGGTTTCATCTCCCGGCGAGGGGCAGGAGAGGGTGTGGTCCTGCGCCTGAACATGTGGCAGCAAGCCAAGGGGGTGTGCTGCGGGGAGATTCGCAGATGGCAGGGCTGTGACCGAACTGGCACCCCTGCGCGCACATTGCCTCTCGATGGATCGTCTGTCACCGCGCCGATTCCGTAGTCACCGAGTAGTTGCGAGAGCGGAAGCGGAGGGCGAGGAAACGGCGGAGAAAACTCTGCCACGCGGCTGCGGCTTGTGGGAGGGAGGTTGAGGAGCTAAGTTAGACGCTGACACTGTACGCACGCAGGTACCCCTCCGACAGCCCTCGGCAGGTCACACCAGATGCCCCCGATGCCTCAGGTTGCGCGCCGTGGAACCGTGGAGCCGTGGAACCGCGGAAAGACGCCAGAAGATGGCCGAAGACAATAGCTTCCGTCTGTCAAGAGGAGGAGCTAACAGTTCATTCGCATCTTGTGCACTGTGGTTGAGCCCGGCGCCAAGGCCATTGGGAGCGGCAGATGTGCTGGCCAAATTGCGATGGGGATGCGCTGATCACGATGACGGGAGTCTCATTAAGGTTGTTTTGCGGAGCTGCCAGCTGTTTCATCTGAATGCCAACAAAGAGTCCATTGTTTTCTCCTATTTGTCTTATCAAAGGGAGATGCAATCACAAACCCAAACATGCAGAAACAGAAACAGAACCAAGGGCCGGTGCCAGCGTCAATACCAGCGCCTGAAAGACGCACCAAGCCACGTACCAAAGCACAGTGTACTTCTTAGTTCTGGCTCGCATCACAGCGGCCGCTGCGAGGTGTCACCGCCGTGTGAGGGTAAAGTGTCTCCCATTGTCTCAGAATGGGGGAGTTTATTGCGTTTCCGCCCTCCCGCTCGGGCTGCCTTGCCGCCCAGATGGCTTCGTTTGCTTTTTGCTGCGCTGGCCGAATCAACCTGATGCCTTGTGACCAGTTCTCCTGCAGCCCAGTCCAGCCCAGCCAGTTGGTGAATCACTTGGCAACCTCCGTTGCCTCAGCTGGCTCAGCTGGCCCAGCAGTCAGCCATTCGTTTCTTTTTCTCATTTGTACTGTACGCAACTTTTTTGTAAATCACCACATCCCGCATCTCGGGGTGCTTACCTGGTTGGGCTCTTCTCCAGCGCCTCGCCCCTCACCGTGGCTGCGGCTCCGTGAGTGCTTATTTTTTTGGCCACGGCGTCAGCGTAATTTGCCTGAAAAACAAGGTGTCTGTTACCAATTTTCTAGGTCTCGGAGACAAATGTGCGTGTGGAACTACCCTACACCACTCAAGTTTCTTGGACTTGCCCACTATCTCCACTCACACTTCTCTCTCTCTTTTCTTCCGACATCCCGGGCCTTGCGCCGTTTTCTCAGGTACCAGCTGCGGAAAGAAAATTCTTTTATTTTCGTCGTCATTGGTTGGTACCTGCCCCTCCTCATTGGAAGCCCGTGGGATGCAGCCACTTCCGGCGGATGAGGCACCGCCATCACAAGGTGTGCCATACTCTTCCTTTGTTTGTGGTAATGAAGCAAGCCTTGTTCCACATAGCTGAATACAGTTTCTATTATTGTCAACAATAATGCAAACAAAGGTTAAGGAGCTGACGCAAATGTCACTCACGTACTGGCACCTCACTTCCACGAGGCCTGCTGAATGTCATTAGGCATCATTGACAAGGTCGTGGTCTCCACTAACACCGCCCTTACTTCGGACGTTGCATCTTGTCGCCTTCTGGAAATCCCGCTTGCCTAGTTTCCTCTATTCTCTTTGGCGAGGTGCAGTAGCTCCAACTTGAAAGCCACGAGCCAGAGAATACAGACTTTCGATCAGGTCCTCCCTCTCTCAACAATCCCCGCCGTCTGGCTCCCCACTTCCGTTATCTAGCCGTCCAATACGCCCACGTCTTTCAGCAACCGACGTCTTCTCCATGTGCGTAACTCCACTTGGCCCTTCGCAACGGAGCCGACCATGTCGAGTCAGTTCCGTCACCGACGTTCAGGTGACTACTGTGGATCCGCACCGTTTCCCACCGACCGGCAAGAATCCTCTATATGACTCCGACGGAACATGTTGCGACCAGTGCGGTCTAAGAATCCACCCAGTATGGTTTCTCAGCCGAAGGTATTGCCTCCATGATTCATGGGACTCTTCCTCAGCTTTTAGATCTCATGCTAGATGAGTCCGTTCTACACCTATTCATGCAGAGTGAAATCTTCTCTCCGGCAATGCAGAGACGTTGAACTGCCGAACAATGCAAGGGACGACATCGGGGCAGATCTTCCTATCTCGGACAATGCCCATCTCCCGCGAAACGTCCCCACGTGCCTGTTTTCCCTGCACTGTGTCGCCATTGAACTTGTTTGCCGGGCCGTACGTCGGAGAATGATGATTTCCTACCACTGTCGTAAGTCATTGATGCAACCACTTCAGTCAACCTTTGGGTCGATATCGGGATCCCCGTACCGAAACAACCTCGGATGTAAGCCTGTGCAGTAACGCGTGAGTGTCATGGTGGCGCCTTCGACGTGGCAATAATTCCAGCCCGGGTCTTGCCCAAGCAGTGATCTAGTTTGATTCGCAATGCCAATGCCCCGGGAGTGGTATAATCACCCTATGTAATAGAATGTATTTGGTTGTGTATGGGATTGCTTGTAGTAAGTGATTGGAGAGTTTCGAAAACACAGGTACGACCTTGGTGGTCGTATACTACTTTCCATATCCTGTTAACTTCGGCAGTTCTTTTCGTATTGCTATTCGTGCACAGGAATATTGCATCCGCACCTACAAGCCCCTTGGCTGAACCTCAGGGCAAACTAATATGCCTCGTATGCGCAATGAAACCCTTGGACCTTAGACTTGCCTTGAGAATAAATTAACCTGAGAAAAATCCTAAATAAAGCATAATCATGAGGGAATAAATACTAATTAGTTTTCTATAAAATATTTTTCCTAAACTGCTTTATTAGGACGAAAGGAAATTATTAGCAGTGTTGAGATATCTATGGTAATTATGGGTGCAAGTAGCAATAGATACCTATCCTTGAGTCGATAACATAATCGTCATCTTGTCCTGATGATGCAGGAATGGAATTGTCCTCCAGTAAGACAGTCTCCGAATCCTGTTGACCACATTGGCCATGGTAGCCAGGTATGGCATTCGCAATTGAAGATCCATCCATAGGCTTCCCTTGAGGCCATCATCTGGGTATGCTGTCGCACAAAGATGACTAGGCGCCGATGAGCTGGATTCTTTGTAACTCTCCTCCTTGACAAAAATCTCCTCCTCGACAGTCGTGTTCTCGTCAGGAGTCATCTTCTTCTAGAGTTCCATTGCCTCCGCGAGCCTTGCCTACTTGTCTTCCTCCACCAACTGCTTCTCAAGCCGCTTCTCACTGCGCTGGCGGAGAGGGACCAGTGGCAAACTTCGGGTGAAGCGATTCTTCAAGGTATCTTTAAAGCACGGAAGCTGCCTCAGCTCCTCGACGTCGCAGACAAGCTCTAACACCCCCAACAAGTTCACGGTGGCCTTCGCAAGTAGGAGCACGCTTTTTTGGGGTTAAATTTCGGTTTAATCTAGCGTATCTTGATGCGAGTACATCACAATCATTGACATTTCTCCGGTGATGGGCGGTAATGATGGGCACAGTTCCTTATTAATCCTTCGTGCACAACCTCTAAAACTCCTCAAGCTGACTTCGAACATTCCACCACCAGCCACCCACGGTACACCTCCAGACTCCGCAAAAGGGGTATTCCGTGCTTGGGCAATCTACCAGCCCGCTTGACTGTTTTTCCTGCTGGACAAAGACCTCGTGTGAGGATGGTCAGGGCCCGAGGGACACGCCCTCAGAAGAGGGGCCGAGATAAGACTCTTTGGCTAGAGACCCGACACCGACCAACTAAAAGATCCGACGGGCCGCGACATAGACTCAGGAAATAACAGTAACATAAAATTTCCATCAATATGTCTGATCTCAAGTTTCAGATGACTATTATTCTCAGATTTAATACCCTGGAGTTCGGCGTAGTTGGCTTAGATATTTTTGCTACAGGGTAGCAATCCAAGGTGAAGGACCCCTCCGAGAAGCCCCACGGCGGTGGGCTCGGTGAGAGCTGGCGATAATCGATAAGCTGCTCGGCCTAAAAAAATTTCCACGCAGCATCCTCAACTAAACCCATCCGCGATCCGCGAACACACCACCACCCGACGCAACAATGGCGCCAATCGCATCGCCCGAGCGAGCGGCTCTCAAGCACGAGAAGAAGTTGAAGAAGGAAAAGAAGCGCGCGCGCGAGGAGGACACCACCGCAGATGGCGAGCGAAAGCACAAAAAGTCCAAGAGCGTCGCTCTTGAGATTGCCGCCGAGGCTGTCAACGGCGACCTGAAGGCCGACAAGAAGAAGAAGAAGAGCAAAAAGGATAAGCACGCCGAGAATGGCGTGACGGAATCCGAGAGCGCACCTGCCGACGAGGAGACGAAGTCCGAAAAGAAGAAGAGCAAGAAGAAGAAGAAGCAGGTCGAGACCGAAGAGGCTGCCCCCGAGGAGGCAGAGAAGAAGAAGAAGTCCAAGAAGTCCAAGAAGGAAACCGCGGAACCGGAACCCGAGGCTCACTCGACGCCTGAACCCAAACAGGATTCTCCCACCGACCCCGATGCTATGGACGTCGACTTTGCGATTCCGGCCAAACCCTCCAAGTCTGCGATCCACCAACCACCCGACATCCCCGCGAACCCCCAGTTCCCCTTCTTCACCCAGACCGTCTCTCTCTACGTGCCTCTCTACCCCATTGGCTGGGCACAGCCCGTCACCAACTGCCAGTACCAGCACCTACGACACTTGCAGAACAAGTACGTGCCGTCGCTCCGAGGCGTCTTGCTGGACTACAGGAATGTGGCGTTTGGTGAGAAGCCAAGCAGGAAAGGCGCTGCTACGGACGACGAGTCGCCGGCAACGGTCATGGCTAAGGATGAGGCTGCTGTTGGTTTCGGCTGGATCACCGCTGATGTCGATCTCTTCGTCCCGAGCCGAGGTGCTTGGATGGAGGGAAGCGTCAACCTCCAGACCGAAGGACACATTGGCGTCGTCTGCTTCGGAAAGTTCAACGCCTCAGTCGAGGCCCGAAGACTCCCCCCGTCCTGGAAATGGGTCCCCAATGAGTCTCCCGAGGCACAGGGGTTTGAAGAGACTGCCTCCGTCATCACCTCCGATGACCACGGCGTTGTTCGACAGATCCACAGCACCGGCTTCTGGGTCGATGGCAGTGGCGAGAAGATCAAGGGCAAGATCCGCTTCCGAATACGCAACTTTGACGTCGGAACCAGCGGCGAGACCAGCTACCTCAGCTTGGAGGGAACCATGCTGGACAAGCCGGGCGAGAAGGCGGTCGTCGCCGAGGAGGCCCAGACGGCAAAGATGCGCAAGAACACCAAGGGCGGACAGATGCGACTGAGGAGGCGCGTACCCGAGTTTAGCATGACTCGGTTCGATGTCGACGAGGAGCAGACCCAGGATGACGAGGTGGCCAAGCGGGAGGTGTTGGCGGTGAGCGAGGATTAAAGGCACGGCATGGAATTCAAAAGGAGCCAGGAGTTGTGTGATACCTTGATTGATGAGGAGTAAACTGTTACTGCAAACGGAGAGGCATTCTTGCTCCATCCAAAGAGCTATCCATGGAGCGCGTCCATCAAAACTAAACTGACATAACAAAAGAGAAAGCAACCATAACCCAACGCCGAGCCTTGTGACGCTAAATCTACCCATAAACATTCGCTCGCTAGCCTGATGCAACAACACTTCTACAACAATCCTCGCGGTTCACGCCGCCGCCCTCACCATGGGCTCCCACGGCTTGGCCAGGTTCCACAAATATACTTCGCCCACCGGCTCCTCGCCCAACTGCTTGACAAAGATGTGTTGGAACAGCGGCACCGATGAGAAGAGAGGTGCCACTGGGGTCATGGATGTCCGGTCCCAGCCAACGCTGAGGCCGTCGGTCCAGGCGGGCTGCTGAAGAAAGGCGTCGACCTTTTCGCGGTATGCGTCCCAGTCGTCGGCGTGGTCGTTGACGATGACCTGGAACCGCAGGCCCTGGATGTCAATGGTGATGCGCTGGACCGTGTTGGGGAAGCCGTGCGAGTACCCGCTGCTGAGGATCCACGTGTAGTCGGTCTGGTCGCCGTTGCTCTCCCAGTCGTACCAGACCTGCGTGCCGCACTCGGAGAAGTCGTTGAGCACCAGCCTGGCCTCGGCGTCGAAGCTCAGCGCGCAGTGCTGCGAGGCGATGCCGGGGAGCGACGGCAGCACGACGTCGCACGTGGCCGGGTCGGAGCCGAGCACGAAGGACCCGGGCCGCTTGGGCGCCTTGTCGAAGGACAGCTGGATGGCCTTGGCCGGCTTGCTGGAGATGAGGTTGGGCAAGCGGGAGGCGAGGATGGCCGAAGAGGCCGTGGGCACGGCGCGGAAGTCGTTGGAGGGGAGGTGGGCTGCTTTGTCGGCGAAGGAGCCACGCGCCGTTGGGACCAGCCAGGCGATGACGTCGGAGGGGCTCGACATTTTGAATAAGGGAATAATATGGACCAAGGTATTACAAGGAGTAGGGTGGGTATATATGGTGATGTCAAAAATCAGACAGGCGGCGAAGTAGTAATGAAAGTTGCTGCAAAGAGTGGCAGAGGGACGAGCGAGAGAGACTGTCCTCGGGTATATATATCAGATCGACTCAAACGAGAGAAGTCGACGAGCTGGTTGGTTCCGTTGGAGATGGAGCTGCAGGGCAATGAACTAAGAAAACACGATTGAATAAGATGGTTTGATTTGAGAGTTGACGTTCTACACTGAGGATTTATAGCCTCTGGGAGCGCTCCAGACAATATGTAGCCCTGGTGCGAGGGTCGAGGGTTGCCGCGGACAACCACCGCGTCCCCATCCCGCACGCGTCGCGAAAACACATGACAGACGACAGCCAGAGACGACCCCAGCGCCCGCCCGACTCGCAAACACCTGTTTCGTCGGGGCATCGCCATGTTGTGGGCGCGGCGTGCGTTGGCCAACGGCGCGTGTGTGAGCGCGGGAGCGTCGTGGCCAATCGTTTGGTGTGGACCCGTGTAAGTTGAGCGTAAGCGGCCGCCACCGAGGCCAGCGAGTGTCCTGCGCGACGGCAGCGTTGCGGGTGAATTTTTTTTTATTTTTTATTTTTTATTTATGGTGGGTTTGTGCTGGTTCCTCTGGACGAGACGGGCGATGCAGAGTGTGGGCGATCTGCGAGCGGGATTTGACGTGGCTGGCCGGGAGAGGCGGTGCCAAGAGCGTGGTGATGCCGCCGGTCGAGGTTGTGCGTCCAGGAAAGGCAACGGCTCGTCGGCGCTGGGACTTGGATGCATGAGTGCGGGATGCAGAAACTACGTGGATGCAGTGGCGAGCCGGCATTGCTGTCGACTTGGTGAAACTGGGAGTTGGGTCTCGTGAGCTCCGTCTAACATGCAGGCTCTGGCAGATACAAGTCGACGTGAGCAACTGCCGCCATTCGCAAGCCCCTTGACCGAGCGATAGGAGAGAGACGACGGATTCGACCAAGTGTTTTCAATGCACATATGAGGTATGAGTCACCGCGCAAAAAGATCATCGCTGCATAATATGTTGTGCGTCAAAGCATGTACAAGAATCAAGGTATCATAGTTCTCCCGCCTGCTCATCCCGGTCCTCGCGCGAGGCGTGGACAGCCTCTACGACGGCCACCTCTCGTGTCCTGGTCAACACGGTGCCGTCCTTGTCGAAGCCCGCCGCGAAGATCCGGACATGCTCCCCGAATTCCTGCAACCTCTGCGCTGGGATGGTCACGCTTGTCTCGAACGAGACCTTGCGCGCGTCGCCGACCTTGCGCACGGAGCTGGCGTCCGCCGAGTCTCCGTCCTGCGCGTAGAACCGCCACAGGCTGACCTCCGTGTCGCCGTTCCAGCTGACGTAGACGCTCGTCTCGGAGCCGTCCCGCAGCGCGACGATGGCGGGGACCTCCTTCGGACGGCCCGTCCACTCGAACCGGAAGCCGCGATAGCTCTGCACCGACGCCCCCGTCTCGAGGAAGGCGTTGAAGATGGGAGTCCCGTCGGCGCTGAACTCGGTCACGGCGCCTTCCTGGCCCCAGTTGACGAAGACGTTGCCGTTGGGGAGAACCTGCGTGTTGCCTTGGGACTGTGCTGAGAGGTTATCCGGCGAGATGTACGACTGGAGGACTAATGAGGAGTTGTTGGCGTGGTTGAGCTGCACGATCAGCGCCCGTGAGTGAGTGTGTAGCGTTGCCTGGCTCTTGTCTTTCTGGCTGAAAGTCGACGCCGAGTTGTCAAAGAACGAGATGGTCTCGATCGTGCCGTCGGCAGAGCGGTTCAGTAAGCGCGCATCGTGCTGCCAGCCAAAGTCGAGGCCTGGCGATAGCTCAAAGGTGGAGCGATCTCCTCCAAGCTGCCAAATAATGGAGCCATCGCGGCCGGACAGCTTATAGATGGTGCTTGTGTGCCGGGCCGAGATGAGGTAGTTGCCTTCGTCGTCCTTGTCGATGCTGTTGAGGTGAAAATAGTCCCAGGCATCGGGTGCGTCGAGGGCGGCTCCTGAAGGTAGGGGAGCGAGACTGTCTGATATGGGTCAGTATGGCTTCGAAACTCGGCCAACAAGAGTCCTACCAGCTGGTGACACAATGTCGAGTGAGTGGACCTCAAAGATGAGCTCGCCCGTCTCGATATCAACCTCCTGTAGGATACTATCGACAATCCAATTCTGTCCCTCAGACCCTCCATACGCAGTTAAGTCATACGGAACTGGGTTGTAAATCTCAACTAGCGCTGTCTTCTCGTTGACGATTCTAAGCTCGTGTAATGACGGGATCTTGTTCGTCAAGCTCTGAACCTGCGCAACTGGCCGGTACTGGTTGTCCAAGATTTGAAGTGTCCCATGACCCCGTCCGTGTCTTGAATCGATCGTGCCCTGAAACGCCTGGAGAACAGGCTGACCCTGGTATCTCGTGGCCTGGAAGTTGGCGACGAATCCGGACAGGTACCCCAGGCTTGACCAGACGAGATCGCCGTCGTCGCGGAGAATGTAGGCGGCGGGCTGCTCGGGGAAGACCGCTGGGCCTTTGAAGCTCGGGTACGGCGTCACAAAGATGAAGCCCGGCGAGATGTCGTCAGTGGCGGGAATGGTGATGTTGAGGCGCGGCGGAGACAGATCAGGGCGGGAGCGGAACTGCCATTCTGCGCACGCACATCCCGTAAGGGTCGCGAGGACGGAGACGAACCCGGTCGGCTTCATTGCGTTGAAGTTTGGGAGAACGATTGAATGGCGAAGGGAAGTCCCTTTATCTGGTCACTTACTTTGCGAAGGAGTAACTACTGCAGTCTCCCTTCACCTCACTTTGGAGGGAGACGTAAGGGAGCTACGCCCTAGCCTAGGAGTGAGGGAGGTTCCAACAGCACGCCATCGCCGGCCTAGTCAATGGCGCAAATTACCCCATGCATCCCCATGCATCCCCATGCAACTACTATATCTCTGCCGTCTGAGCGATTGCGGCGGGCGTTGTGCAACCGCTGCCTTTGCTGTAGCGTACGTACGGCGTGGGACGTTGACTTACAAAAGGGTTGTAGGAGGATCGGTGATGGAGACGGAAACGCGCGGCCGACGTGCTCGATATGGGGGTGGAGACAGGGACCCGCTGGAAGCAGCACAAGAGCTGTTAGTGGGTTGCATGTGGCGCGGGCTCTGGCACTAACATTTGCGCCATTGCGGAACCAATTGCGCGAGTGCCAGGGCTGCATGACGTTCTCATCGACGCGCAGATAGCTCAAGGGTCTTGATGAGTGCTGCGAACGCTTCAGGATTAATACCGAATGGCAGCTTTTTAACTCTAAGACTTTGAGTTTCAGGTCGCTTTTCTCGAGGGAGAAGGGTTTCCGTGTATTGATTGATCTGCAAGGGAATTTGCCCAGGGAACTGTCACCGCCGACCCGACTGGCCCGTGGCAGAGACAAGTGAGCATCGCAACTTGGTTCAAATAACCAACATGCGGTACTTGACGTGGCTACGGCCAGCTTGCCTAGTTGGCTCAATGCTGGCTGCATCGACAGCAGCTTTGCCACCGCAGCCGCACGATCAGATACTATTATCCGGGGAAGATGCATCGCCCGATAGCCATGGCAGTGAGACACCTGCGGACACTACCGGCAAGTCTAGCAATGGCAGGAAGAACATTGTCTTCATCCTCACCGACGACCAGGATGCCGTGATGGACTCTGTCTCCTACATGCCGCTATTGCACAAGCACATTGCCGACCAAGGCACCTCATTCGTCAACCACTTCACCACCACTGCCATTTGCTGTCCGTCCCGCGTCTCGCTCTGGACTGGCAAGCAGCCTCACAACACGAATGTGACCGATGTTAGTCCTCCATATGGTAAGCATTTCTTATCACACTGCATTATCGGTGTCGCTTGAGTAGCATTGCTAACCTACCAAGGCGGCTTCCCCAAGTTTGTCTCCCAGGGCCTAAACGACAACTATCTCCCCGTCTGGCTGCAGGAGGCTGGCTACAACACCTATTACACAGGGAAGCTGTTCAACGCCCATAACATCTACAACTATGACTCGCCGTACCCTGCGGCATGGACCGGCACAAACTTCCTCCTGGACCCGGGCACCTATTCCTATCTCAATCCCATCTACCAGCGCAATCGCGAGGCACCTGTGCGACACCATGGAGAGCACACGTCAGACCTGATTGCTGGGTATGCTCGCGAGCTACTCGGGGAGGCCATTGACGCCGAGAACCCCTTCTTCCTTGCCATTGCACCCATTGCACCACACTCCAACATTGACTTCAACCGCGGCGGTGGTGCGCCTCATATGACCACTCCAATCCCGGCCAAGAGACACTCTCATCTCTTCGAGGGAGTCAAGGTCCCACGGTCAGACAACTTCAACCCCGACTCGGTATGTGTTCTCTTCTAGCGCTTGCTGGCCTTGTTGCTCACATACACACAGCCCAGCGGTGTGAGCTGGATCCGTAAACTGCCCAAGCTGAGCGAGTCTTCAGTTTCATATATCGATGACTACTATCGTGCTCGACTTCAAGCATTGCAGGCAGTCGACGAGATCATCGAGCAAGTCGTCACTCAGCTCGACGAGGCTGGCCTGCTCGACGATACTTACATCATTTACTCCTCCGACAACGGGTTCCACCTCGGGCAGCACAGATTGCCCCCCGGAAAGGAATGTGGCTTTGACGAGGACATTCGAGTTCCTCTCTTCGTGCGCGGCCCAGGCGTAGCTGCTGGCTCCGTTGAGGATACCGTGACAACTCACATCGATCTGGCCCCGACGATTCTCAAGCTGGCCGGAGTTGAACTCCGCCCTGACTTTGATGGCACCCCTATTCCAGTGCAGAAGGATGAGGCTAGCATCATCAGACACGAGCATGTTGCAGTCGAATATTGGGGAATGGCGCTTGCAGAGGGTGAAACGGGGGGGTTCGGTTTGTTCACCCTTTGTCGCATGATAATGTCTGGTTGCTGACAGATGCTACAGATGGAAAAGGGCAGTATGTTATCCGAAACAATACCTACAAGGGAGTTCGTATAGTCCACCAGAACTATGACCTTTACTACTCGGCCTGGTGCAACAATGAGCACGAGCTCTACGACATCAAGGCATGTTCCCCTCATTCCTAGACTATGCCGAAAATTGTTAACATCGTATTAGAAGGACCCAGGGCAACTGAACAACCTCGTTCGCGGAGCAGGAGCCTTTGGCCCCGAACACTTGTCCCTCCTCGGGACCAGCATCACCCGGGTAGTTGACCGTCTAGACTCCCTCATGCTGGTGCTAAAGTCATGTAGAGGTAAGACGTGCGTAGAGCCTTGGAAGATTCTGCACCCACAAGGTGATGTGGAAAGTCTACAAGATGCTCTCCAGCAGAAGTATGATGGGTTTTATCAGCTGCAGGTCAAGGTTCACTTTGATCGATGCGAGGATGGATATATTGTCGACGCCGAGGGGCCTCAAGTTGGCTACCAATACCGTGATGGGTTGGAGTGGCATCATTGGACTTAAATGAGGTCTGCTGACTGAAGATCTTATCTTGTTTAGAACCTACGCCATGTCGTTCTACGCCATGTCGTTATATGGACATCTCTCCATCCTAAGGGTCCTGGAGCTACACATGCCTAAAGATGGGGCGACGGTGTATGAAAAGTTGAGCCCAATCACTCAAGGGCCTCAGATGAAGTGTTAGACAAAGCGGCCTTGGCATGCTCCTGTGGATATTATTACGAACAACTGGTGTTGATTGTCTTGGCAAAATAGAAGAGTTTTCATAAGAGTGGAGTGTCCGGGACCACCGTTGATGATGTGATGACTTGAACCACGACGGGTCCACAGGCGCTCTGTAGACATAACATGATGGATCATGTGCTGACGACACATGGCCTTGCTCATGGATGTACTGTGGTAGTTCCATGTGCTCTTCACCGTACCAGAGTGGCCTCGGCCGTGATGCAGGTCCGAGATGGCCTCAAAAACCTTGACACATAGTCCGGATATAATGCAAGGTCAATGCTTCAAGAATGGGACGACGATTTGTCTGTTTTGAGCACCTTGCACCGTCTGGTGATGGAGATCCAGGTTGCCCCTGAAGCTTCCATCGCCTCTTCCGGCCCTTGCTCGTGACGACTGGGGTTTGAGACTCAGCTTTGGTAGGAACCCGTAGGAACCCGAACACGGCCAGAAATACCCCGCTGATCAAAGTAGAAGAACTCATGGCCCAAAATACCTAGTTACGGTAAACGAGTCGGGTGTCTCATCGCCGTCGCCCATGTCATTTTGCATTTCAGCGAACTCATGTAAGGCCTTGGAGTGGCTTTGCTGGGTTAGTTGGACCCACCAACTGTGGCGTCGCCGTGAGATCCAAATTGGCACCCGTGCTTTTCGAGTTCAGGCAAGGCAAATCAATGATTTGAGATCCGAATGGACACTGAAGGCATTATTTTTCAAGAAATCCCCTTTTTATTCCGGGAGGATGCTGTAGAAGTTGTTGATAAAGGCGCCGATTGAGCGTGGTAATTCACGGCTGCTCATTGGACACGCCGGCGTGGCAGCCATAATTCCAAGGCAGAAATTCGGAAACTGCCGACCTTGACCCGAGGAGCATCTCACGACAGCTCTGCACATCAAGCAACCTCACATCTCGAAGCCCAATTGAACCCGCAACATGGCTTCCGACACTGCTTCCGAGCCGCGGCGTACGTCATACCCGCTGGATTGATCCCCAGCGCCAATTTCCCCGGTCTCAATCGCTAACTCCCGCCGCAGAAGCGACCCGCGAGGAGATGCGCGATGCCCGTCTCCCCATCGCCTACCGAGACAGCTGCGCCCACCTCCTGATCCCCCTCAACAAGTGCCGAAGGGATACGTGGTACGCTCCTTGGAAGTGCACGGTAAGTTTACTGCTGGGCTGTGCGGTTGCGGCCGCGCCGCCTACTCCCACGATTCCGCCGAGGACAAAACGCTCACAGCCACGGGATGGTCAGGACGAGCGACACGGTTACGAGAAGTGCCAATACGTCGAATTCAAGAAGCGAGTCGCCAAGATGGACGAGTTGAGGGAGTCGAAGGACGGCGCGCGATCCAACTAGACGGGCTTGTTGGAGCGTGGCGGCCGGCCGGACGGATTGTACATATACAACTGTGTAAGGAATGGGAATAGAGGCTTCCACCAAGACCAACATGCGGATCCAAGCGGCGTGAAGCGTGAACCTCTGAGTTGGTGCGAGATGTGTACTAACCGTAGGAATGAGTTGGGATGCCGTTGGGAGCCACACGGCAGGGAAGGGAGGCTCTGCGTGAACGGGTACGACCCATTGGTCCAAGCAACGACAAGTGATATCACCTGGAGGGACCTCCCAGGGTACCGACGACAGCCATGTAGGAGGAAAGATGATATTCATTGATCGAGCCGGTTTATCCCATCGAAATGCCCAAGCAACGAGGAAGTGGCAACAGCTGGAACGGGATTCCTCACGAGCGGGACGCCGACGGGAGCCCAACACCGATGACGAAAGGGATTCCACGATGGACCAGGTTTCTCGTCGAAGTGATATCAGCAGCGGGGACAAAAATGTCGGAGGACGACCTTGTCAATAACCTTGAACGGAACCTGGATGGTTGGGAAAGAATGTGACCAAGGCAGACAGGCATCATCGTACGAGCAAAGTACTTGTCGGGAACCAGCTGCAGTTCTCTACTCAAGTCCCCGACCAGAGCCGCACGAAATAATGGAGGCTCTGCATGGACGACCAGGTTCATCCAGGCGAAGGACTCGTGGCATCAAACACGCCAGCGTTCACAGAGTCGATGCATTGTCAACGAGACGCCGATGGCAGCCGCAGGACGGTGAGGGAAGCACGATTAGATTGACCAAGTTGACGCGATCGATGCCCATTGCAGAGTGCCTTGCGATCAAGACCTGGAGGGAACCGGACGATGGATATGGCAACCCAAGGCCTAAATGACAGGGTTGATGTTAACTATGTGCTAATAGTTGAAATACCGAGAGGGTTTGAACAGAGCCTCTTATGAATGCCCCACTGATGAGAGCCGCACAACGAGTAAAGGGAGCGCATGGGTGAGATCACGGGCTGTTTTTTTTGTGGATTGACAGGATGGCGATGGTGGGACGCCCAGTCAATGTTGAATAGCGTCGCAATCGTGGCCATACAGATGATGAGTCTGCCTGGTCGATGACTGATGATATCCAGTCCTGGCATGAATGCGGCCGAAACCAATTAGCGACAAAAGCAAGACTGCGGCATCGGCCCTGTCTCAGCGTGGCATGAATAAGTATATAATAAGCACTCTCGCCCGGAATTTAGTCTAGCGGGATCGAAACAGACTCATCAGAGATCGTGCAAGCTGACTAAATATTGTGCGAGCAACACTACCCATATATCCCGTCTCTGGCTACAATGGATGAACCAGGTCGGGTCAACAGCCATGGCCACCACCGAGGTATACCAGCGCGGTTAGAACATTGACTGACATTGCTTGAGGATCGACACCCACCAGCCCTGGTGCAAAGGGACCGCGTTAAGACGTGTCCAAGCTGAGCGCGCTCCGTCGGTAGAGACTTTGACGACAAGGCTGGTGACGGAGTCTCTTGGCCACCGGGGCTCCACCCCTTTGATGTCCGTTCTGCCAGGAGGTAGTGCTCCGTGCATCGTCATCCTCGTCATCCTCATCGCGGCTACCCGAGGTTGAAGGAAATGGGAGCAGATCCATCGCTCAACCCAGGTCAATCTGGGCGAAACTGATCGTCATCGCTCTGTTAGTGTCTCGGCAGCCCCAAGTCACCATCCGAGTCAACACAAGGACCACTTTAGGGAATCCCGGCGCAGCCGAAGAGAAAAACACATCTTGCCAAGCTCTCGTTTCACCTCGGTTCGGAGAAAATGAAAAGCTTTCATGGCAATAAGTCGCTTGCAGAGGATGGAACACACAGCCAAATCCATCCCATGTAAGTCGACAGACGTGCTCTCCGACGGGTGGCTTGCTTTGGGCAAATCCGCATCGGGCCACTCGACGTGATTATCAGATCAGATCCACTCGCTTGGATCCCCTGGCCTTGAGGCTCTTTTGCGGCTCCTTGGCGGCTCCATCCGATCCCACCAGATTGCACCTAACGTCAAGGCGTGAAACTGACCCACCACTTACAATAGCCGGCATTAGCAAACTCTTATTCAACGACGGTCCACAATTGCCATATGAACAGGCATCTCACCTACCGCCGCTCTCTTGGCACTGCCAATTCGGTCACTTTGTGGATTTCCGACTGCTCTGCGGAATGCCTGTGACCCAATTGTTGCAAGAACGCCTGTGGGTTACACTGAACAGTGGAGAAATGGCACAACACGACGACTGGGCACAACGATGATCGTGTGGAACCACTATTTGAATTCTCTTATATAACACTTTGGTCGGAACCCGACCGAATGACACATATCATACACTAGTAAAATCGCTCAGTCTTGGAAATGGCTGTGCGCAATATCTCAGGGGAAAATAGGAAAAGGCCGGTGTGCTAAATGGTAGGCTCAGAACAAGGCGTTATCGCCACAGTCAAACACGCCCTGCACTGAACTGTCATCGGAGTTCATGAGGTCGATGAGCTCGGTGACCGAGGACCACAGGCCGGCACCGTTGATGAAGAGGGAAATGAAGATGAGGAAGAAGTTGATGCAAGCCAGGGTGGTCTTCTTCCATCCGTTGAACTTGACATCCCAGTTGATGTGGAGCCAGAAGATGGCGCTCAGGCCAAAGGTGAACCAGGAGATGGTGGTGGCGGAGGCAATGGACAGGATGGAGTCGAAGACCGGGATGGCGTTGGAGAGGAGGAAGCAGAGGACCCAGAAGACGGTGACAATGGTCATCCAGATGGACCACGAGCGGACAGTGTTGGCAGTCATCTCGTGGGTCAACTTGGACCGCTTCATGACCTCGACGTAGACATACTTGATACCGGTGTGGCCGAAAGCCAGACCGGTCGAGAAGACGGCGGGGAGCACAATGCCGTATGCAATCTGGGCGGTGACGTGAGGAGCAGAGCCCAGGGCAGGCGAGACAGTGTACTCGCCAGCAAGGCAGTAGATTGCAATGGCGACGATGGTGTAGAAGCTAATGGACGACACCTCGAGGCAAGCCAGGGCAAAGTTGAAGTCGTTGACAGGGTCAATCATCTCAGCCATGTACGAAACGAAGTTGATGTTTCCGGAGTAAGCGTAGCAGATCTTGAGGCAGGCGTTGAGGCCCTCGCGGAAGCTAGGCTTGCCGACAATGAGGATCTCCTTGTCCCAGTTGGGGGGAGCATCGGTAGGGTTGCTGACGCCCAGGCTGATCATGACGATGAGGGCGGCGGCGATGACACTGATACAGCAGGGCAGACCGCTCTGGGAGACGAACTTGGCGGTACGGGGCGCGCAGAGAACCCAGCAGCCGAGGCAGCCGATGCCAATATAGCCGACGGTGCACAGCGAGTGGCCGGAGATGGTGTTGAAGGCGATGGACAGGGTGACGGAGGCGGAGGCGGCGGTCATGATGACCTGGATGAGCAGACCGATTCCAGCAACAACCTCGAAGGTAGGACCTCCGACTACCTTGGCCATGTCGACAACGTTGAGGACATGCTGGTGGCGGCTGTAGAACTGCTTGAGTTCGAAGGCGGTATACCATGAGAGGCATCCAATACCGATGATGGCGATGATGCCAGGGATGATTCCAAAGACTTTGAGCACGCCAGGAAGCGACAACACGCCCAAACCAACTTGATTAGTGAGCAGAGCCTGCGTTTTTATCACCGTTAGCTCTATTCCTCTCTATCTCGGGGTGTTGTGGCTTACGAAGACGGTATCCCACTTGGTCATGGTGCGGAAGTTTTTGCTGCCCTCACCACCACCAAAGCCATTGTCCGCAACTTTCCCAGACCGCAGATCGGGACCAGTGGCCTTCTCATGGTCAATTTTGTCTTTGCTGTCGGTCTTGCTTGAGTCGAAGCCATGGTCAGAAGGGTAGATGGCGTTGTTCGCCTCTTGTGGGTAAGCAGCCATGGCTGGTAATTTTGGAGTTTTGTTCACTCAGTGTTTAGGCACAAGCTTTATATAAGGACACTCTTAGTTTTCTGACATGAACTTTATATAAGGTCTGTCGGGATATTTGTTGAGCTTATATGTGTCAAGGAGGGAAGAAAGTATATTTGATGGAGGGGAAATAGATGAACGAGGAGGGAGGAGATGGAATTGAGGATGGGAAAGATCGACTGTCTGAATGTTGATGAGGACAATATATATATCAACAATGTTGAGGAGACAGGGAAGAGGCACGGAGAGCAAGAGTAGGAGCAGGAGAGAAGCTCGGAATTCCCTCTCGCCGCTCCACGATGATCCTGGTCCACAGACATTCTGGGGCGGTGTCCCTCTCCAGGCGGCAAACCCGTGAGCGCATCTCCATTGCCCTAATCGGATGACTAGACCATTTCAAATGGGGTAGAGGCATTTGCACCAGAGCAATCTCCCCATGGTGGAGCGACGCGGAGCGGGACCCTTTGGCACAAAATCGGGGTAGCTCGGCCACACGGGGCCCAAGGAAAACGGGGGACCGTCTCCTGGATAACCTTGGGGCGACATGGAGATGGTGGATATGCTTCCTGGGCTGGGCATTGTATCTCGTCGAATTGGTCGTGTCAGGTCATGGAGCCCCAATGAAGATGCCGGAGCTGACTCTGGAGAATGGCTGCCTTCTCCATGGGGTGAGGGACGAATTGGACACGAGAATGCGAATGACCCGTGGGGGATGGGACAGGCTACTCCATTCCAGAAGCTGTGATGTTACGTACTGGGACGTGTGCTTGGCCCGGGCCGGCCGTCATCCTAGAGGTTTGAGTCCGGTCCGGTCGAGCAGAGGCCGATGGTCTTGGACCTCTATTGCCAAGTGTCTGCTGGTCTGTCTGTCTAATATGCTCTTAATCTTCACCATTGACTGTTTGTGTCTCCCAATCCCCCTCAGAGTCGAAGTAGGCGCACCCTCGCTGTACAGTGACGGAAGAGGCGTCTACTGACGAACGTCTCTGGCGGTGGCGAAGAACTCTTAGTGCAAGGGTGGCAGACGCAAGCTGGCGGAGCCGCACGCCGCCTTGTGACGACGGCGCCACGGCGGCTCGGCGGCGGTCTAAGGGTCTTGTGGTCGTTAGAACAACGCTATCCGAGGCTGACGGCGGCCCATCACCTTTGGCCACTAGACCCAGGGGGGAGGATCGGGGTGGAGCTGCGGCGGAACAAGGCCTGACCTGGGATCTGGGACGCGGCATTGCTTTGCTGAGACGAACGAGACTGACGTTTCTACCATTGGCTCGGGAGGGAAAGGTCTCTCCCGTCGGACGCAGAGAGAAAGGGATCCTTCGCCCACGGCCCAACAGGCATGATCTGGCAGCAGCCAAGCTGGCCACGCATGACGAATTAACGACTGTGCGTTCACGTCCATCCTGGTTTGCCTAACTGGGAACAAGCGACAGGGACGGGGCCAATGGCAGACGCACGGATTGCCGCGAGACAGATCCATCAAGGCACGGGGCGGGTAGGCCAAGGCGGACGAAGGGAAACGGGCATGATGAGAAACGCCAGAGGTCATTTATTGTCCGCCAAGCTGATAACATGTTTCTTTGTTTGAGGATGCCTCTAACAACCAGACGCCAGTGTCATTAGTTCTTCTTTAACCTCGCCACCGAGGCCCGGGGGAAAGTCTCCTGTAGTTTAAGAATTGACTAAGACATCCATCGCAGCGACTGTGGCCCGCGACTCTGCGGCCCCTGTCCCTGTCTCCGTGACGTCTTTCTGGCGCATATACACAGCGGCTATCCACCATGTGCATTGCAGAGCGGCCACCGTCGGCGCCAAGGACGACAGTCACCCGCTTCTAGTCGTATTCTAGAAACAAGCCGGCGAGGTGCGAGTGGGCCGGAGTGGGCCGGCTTCACCCCGGTGCTCCACCCGGAGACCCGTTGTTCATCCTCCGTCGACGACTCTCACGGCTCGACGGCGCCAAGCCGACCACGGGTCCGCCGTTGTCCGGGCGTGGCCCGACTCGTTCGCAGCATGTCCGCCAAGGCGCTTTCTCTTCTCTGGTGGTGTTCCGGCGGGGATTTGCTGCAATCCTAGAATACCCGATGGCCCTTGGCACTCGCTACGCCTCCATGGGCCATTCGTCTGGGACACTCATGATGGAACACCATATGGGACGTCATGACACGTCGATTCCAGCATCGCCTCCTCTCCAGGATTGTTACGTACTACGCCCCGTCTCCCCATGGGACAAGTGCTATTGCCCCAGGTCATCGCCCTCAGGGGCTCCCGCTTCCCCATGGTGAAGATGATTCCTCAAGCCTTGGCTTGCCTCACGACGCAACTTGCACAGCAAATGCGTCGCCCCCATTCGCCTGTGAAGATCGGACCCCGAGCATACCGGAGAAATATATGGCAGGTCGACGGGCCCGTGCCGGTGATGGGTCCGCGAGGAGAGTCCCGTGCCGAGCGGTGATGCCGCCTTTCATCTTGACCCTTTTAGGCGCGGCCAAATAATATCGTGGTACCACCGCGGCATCCCCCCAGATCCCTTCTCCCTCCTCCGCACGCCTCACCGCGGCGTTCTCGCCGACTCGCATTCAACCCTCAGCCTTGCCCAAGACACGAAGTACCACCTAGCTTTTCGCAGCTGCTTCTTTGGGCAAGCTTGATCTTGCTCATCGGCCACCCGTCTCTATCTCCCGTCTCCCGTCTACTAGGGGCAGAGCAGGCCATTCCGGCATCCGCTGCGGCTCTGTCCAAGAATGCCGCCACGAACTAACTCTGTTTTGGCCTGCTACTTGATGCCACTTCCCATCTCATCCCTTTCACTGTCTGCAATGCTCGAGAGTATGTTTACCGCGCAGTACGCTTTCCGATGGCACAACCTAAGAGACCCGTGCACTATGACCCATACAGAACCTTGCTCCTACGAGGAAGGGCCTGCGGTATTTTGTGCATGAACTTGTTTGTGCTTGCTAACAACTCCGCTCCTGGAGGAGTCGCGTCATGGATTGTTGGTCACGATCTCCTCATCGCTACAGCTCTCACACCTCAACGCCAATAAGGTTCCTACATCAAAGTCTCTTGACAGTATCACTCGGCTCTGCATCCCCTTCCACCCTAGGGCCGCAAATTTTGAATTCCCCAGGGGTCAATATCACCGTCACACCGTCACGCCTACTACGGGCGGAACTTAGCCGATCCTCGCGTTAACATCCTGGAGTTGCCAAGTCATCATCGACCCGTTACGGCTCCGCTGCGCAACTCTCATTACGTACATTCGAATCCCTCTCAAAGTTGGTTGCCAATTTATGCGACCTTGGTCGTCCGCGGTATAATGGCATTAGAGGGGATGTATGGGGCTAAAAGATGCCAAGATGACTCGTCACCCGAGTTTAAAAAAGTGTCCGCTTCACTACTGCTAGCATTGATGAGGACAATCTACAACCGTGCCATATATATGACGTCTAAAGTACTCATCTTCTCGACCATCTGACATAAAGCATTGTCACCGCAGGTTGTCATCAATGCGACAGGCTAGGTCTCGAATTCTGCCGACAACCAGGACCGGGTTCTTCGGGACCTTTTTGACTCGATACAGTCGACTGGGTGGGCATTACAGGGTCTGGGTCTATAAACAACATCGTACAACAACCGGAGGCCTAAAAGGCCCTCTCTTGGGCATCGGGATGAATTGGAGAAATCCGAACGACTCCGATTAGGCTGAAAGCCGGTCGTACCCGGCCTTGGGCAGCTCTCGGATCTCGACAGACGACAGTTTCACCTGAGACAAGTGTTCTGATTCCTCTTGATGAGGCAGGGCAAACAAACGGTAATGATCGACAGCGAGGGTACTTGACCCCTCATATTTTGGAACGCCCAGGACATCTCTCGCCAAGTGCAACACCTACATGCTTCTTCGACAAGAGAGAGCACATCGCTACTTACCGAACTCCCAACAATGCCACTCTACGCATGCCATGCACTCCTTTTCGCCCATCTAGAGACGATCTAAGATTCACAGCAACCTTTCCACTCAACCACATCTCCCTGGCGAATGCCAGGAGTTGGACTGTCCTGCACTTCCGAGGTGCATTTAAACTACCGCTACTCTTTGATCGAGGCAAGTTGATGGCTTCCATGTGATATACCAAAGTTTTCCACGAGGAGTTGTTGATATTGAACGATACTGGTAGTCACCTCATTCCCGCCTAACCAAACCCGCGCTCCTTTCACGATGTCATTTTGACAGAGAGGAGTTGCACACGAACGGATTTACGGCCGCATTCTTTGTTCCTGCAGGTTTCAGTAAAGCATTGAAGGCTGCCGAAGCCTTCCCAGCTACGGTATCCCGGGGTGATTGTTGCTGAGTATTCCCTAGTCTCTTGTTTCACCTGCATCGATCGATTCCCAGTTCTGTAAGTACGGGGCGAACCAGATTGCTTGCGTCCAAGCTGCCTCGTACTTGATCACATCCTAACATTCTCCGAGTGAGGTGATACTTCCTCGGATCACTGGTGACTGGCAGTTGACCATTCTCTGAAATCCTTCACTTGCTACACTATACTCCGAAGACTGGACGAATAGCCTGCTCATAGTACAGTTTAACAACCGTTTGCGGCATTGGATACTCGTAAAAACTTACCGCGAGTGGAAAAGGATAGCCGCTGTATCCAACTGGTCCTCACAGAATTCTTTTTTGCGTATTACCATTCCATCAACGTTGAGACGGTCACCTCTCGGTATGTGCTAACCCCAATGGAGGAAAAACTCGCAGAGTTTGAAGAATTCGGAAACGAAACAGCACTGGGCAACACTGAAGCTTCTAATAACTGATGGAAGATGATGAGCTTCATGGGAAAGAGGCCGAAAATGTACATGTACGATCGGGAGGATGATTGCTATGGTTCATGGGAGGTTGGCAATGTATTCATGGGTAATTTCCATCACAAGAAATCTCTTCTCTTCAGTTAAGGCGATCTTCAGGGCGTGTTCAGTGTCCCCATTCGTGGCAGATGGCGGGGCGACTTCGCTCCTTCCCCTTACAACTCGATTCGGCTCCTTCTCTATTTGTCGCAGCTACAGATCGTACTGGAAACGTATTGTCAGGATTCCGTACGAAAATTTTGAGGATTGTTGCCCAGCTTCACTATCGCATATCCCATCGTTTCCCGCCCAATTCGCCTGAATAATCATGGACGTTCCGGTGATGTCGTTTGATGACGAACTTGTGGCTTGGTCGTCATGTGACCCTGATGCAGAAGACCTTTGGCCAGAAGATGGCCCTTCTTTCTGGCCTTCGTCCTCTACCGAATCACCTCCCTCGCTCTCGCCTCCCTCAACTTCTGGTGATTCTTCTTTCCCATCGCCTGCCACGCCATCATCATCGGCGTTGCAAGTACTGCCATCGTTGCTTCTCTTAACTCATGAAGAGAAGGTTTTTCCTCTCATCTAAAATTGGAAGTCTTAGACCTTAGACTCATGCACAACAAAAGATTCAACTCGACAAAACTAAATAAAATAAATACGTAAAAATCCAAGAGAATAAATACTAAGAGCTGGTATTTTAAATAATAGATAATTATCAGTATAATTGAAGAATGTATTCATGTGTGCGAATAGCAATACTCATTTACATATGTGAATCAGTTGCTAATCGTCCCTGAGAATGGTAAGCGTCAAGAGGTCTAGGGTAAGTCATTTGAGCCTCAGGCCACCGCCCTGAGTGAGACATTCCTTCTAATCTTACGATTCATCTTACCTCATCATTCAACCCAACGTCAACTCCAGACTCACTGATCGAATTGCTAGGGCTCTCGGCAATACGGCTGTGCAGAAGTAAGCTCCAGAAAGCTCCAGTGCCGCGTGTTGCTTGTCGTCGAAGGTTCAGAATCGGATGATCCGAGGATCGTGAGTTGTGAATACGGGAGCCGATCTCACATTGTCTATGCTTCATCTGGGTTTGGCAATTGACCTGGATTTTCAGTAATCTGATCTCGTTGATTCCATTTGGATTGGGTTGATAGAGCCTCGACTGTGGGACCTCATCGACTGGTCGCGTCATCTATCAACCATCAATCATCTAAAACATCCTGAACACCCACATCCATCGCCAACAATGGGTTCCTCGGACATTGCTCCGGCTACAGCGCCTAATTGGCTTGTTCCAGCTTCCACAGCCTGCCTCGGCGCCGGAATCGCCTTCTGGCTGGCGGCCTACGTCTTCATGATCCGTCGTTCCCTGGCCACCAAAGCGACACCCGCGCCTCTGCTCGCTCTCGCGCTCAACCTCTCCTGGGAGGTTGTCTACGCGTTTGGAGTATGCGAAGCGCCGATAGAGTTCTTCGGCTTCACACTTTGGCTACTTCTCGACATCCCGGTGCTGTATGTCACGCTCAAGACGGCTCCTCGCTCGTTCGCATCGTCGCCTCTCATCGCAAGGAACATCCCATTGCTACTAGGCATCATGTTCTTGTTTGGTCTGGTCGGCAACGCACTATTCGTCTGGTGGTGGCTGAAGGAGCCGCACCGCGGCTACGGCATCAAATGGGGCAAGACGTGGAAGGGCCGCGAAGCGCGCGACACTACCGAGTTGGCCTTTTGGTCGGCTGGCGTGGCGCAAATGACCTTCAGCATCAGCGCCCTGGCTATGCTCCTCCAGCGAGGACACTCAGGCGGACAAAGCTATGCAATTTGGTGAGTCTTTCTAAGATGCAATTATCAGACTTTCCGCGTTATTGCAAACCTCGATTGTCCAAGGGGGTGTCTGCATCGACATCTCTACGCCTTTTGAGCTATCATTTTGAGCTCGCTTGTTGCCCCTTTTCATTGGATACAGTTTGTCTGTCTTAGTTGTTTGATCCACGGAGAATGGTGCTCTACTGCAGTTTGCGTGTCAGGTGTTGTTTTCCTCAGCCCAAAGGTGGCGAGCCAAGTGGTCTGGATTACACCAGAAGCACAGCCGCACACATTCATGATGGATGCAGACGGCAATCCCGCTACACCCCGAGCCCCCACGATATGACGCCTTGCGCTGACTACATGTTATCTCGCACAGGTTTTGTCGATTCGTTGGCACTCTCATGGGACTTCCCGTGACTACTGTCTTGTTGTGGTGGTATTGGCCGGAGGCTCATGGCTTTGTACTCCATCCTCTTGGCGTCTTCATCATCGGTACAGCAACTTGTTGTGACATTGCCTACCCGTTTGTGTTGGCACACGTTCGATCAACGGAGCGGATCCTCCCCGACGGAACTGTGGTGGCTGGGGAAGAGAATGCCAACGACAAGAAGCGCCAGTAAGCCATTGAATGGATGCGCCATGCAGGGGCGACACACCTGAATGGGATGAGTATGGGTACACACACCTGTCAGAACTCAAATGGAACCAGTCTTTGTTGAGCAGTGATAATTGATATGGGAAACGGTAGTCGGCATAACCAACTGCCGTCTCACGTCAAGACGCGAAGCAACGACGAAAATGTTACAAACAGAGTCACATAAAAAAGCAACGCCGGCGGGGCCAGACCAACAATTAGCGGCGGCCGCTCAAGGGTGATGTGCATGGCATGTTGGTTGTTGGTTGATGCTGGACTGCCGATGCAACGCAATCCAGGCACCCAGTAGCGGGATCGTGATCTCACGAACAAGGCAAGGCCTAGGCGCAAAAGGCAAGGGATAGCGTAAGCCCTCAACTAGCTACCGCTCTCTATTGTCGATCATGTGGGACGTCAGCCCGGCTAGTGTTTATGTCCTTCGCTCAAGACGGAAGACTGTGGCGCTAAGTCTATTATCGTGTGTTGAGGGATGATTGAAATCTGCCTAGCGCGCCACGGGACTGTCACTGGCTGTTGGTTGTGAGGGTGGCTTTAATGATATGTCACAAATCCGGCAGATGGAACCCTGAACTGGCCGCTCTTGCAGAAAGCTAGCGGAACATGGTAGTTTTGCTCCTTACTTGATCCGCCTTGCACATATACCCTTGAAAGCGAATTACTTGAGCTCTGGGGTGCTGAGCCAACTCACACGACTATTACTTCTCACTCACGGCGAGCGGAAAAGGACGGTCGTCGTGTCCAACCGAGCTCCTGGAGCTCACACGTAGTGTCATAATTTGAGCACTGGGTCGGGTTCTCCTTGTAGAAGAATTTGGAGCTTGATGCCGTACTGGGAGATGGTTATGTTGCAGTCTATTGATCGCGAATGGGGAGGTTCTTAGTGGGGGAAACTGTAGGCGGGCGGACATGAGAAATTTGATGGTTGTGGATTCACAGGAAGGCCAAGAGTGGCCAGACATTGGTTGTGGCGATGAAGATAATTCGATTGTCATTAAACACTGAGTAATACCCATTATCTTGATCTTCGCAATTGCCTGCTTTGCCACGGCTAGAACGAGCGTGGGGACGCGTTCAGTATCTCGGCGCTGGTCACGGCGGACGATACGACCCTGTTTTTAGCGTTGCAATTCGACCCAGTTCCTTCATTCACGGTAAAATATCCCATTCCTATCCAGGTGGTGCATGTGGATGACCGTCCCTGGGATGTCGTTCGGGGATAACTTCGAGGCTTGGTTTCTTTGTTACCAAAAGGCGGGAGACGCGGGGGATTATACGATTAAATCCTAGCACAAATAAAATTGAGTACCGTACCTAGACTGGTCTTTGAAGGCCGTACGGGCTGCCGCCATGTTGTTGGCTTGGCCTATATGACCACGAGTACAGGGCCAAAGTCGGACAATCAAGCGTCGTGTAAATATCCCCCGCACCGAATAATATGGATAAAAATTGACAAAGTGCCCCATTATTTAATTATGAGTAGTTATTGCGATCTAAGTACAATTATGGTCTACGTATAATTATGGTCTCCAAAAGGCAGACTGCTGCGTTGACAAGTCGCATTGGCAATCAGCTGCGCTGTGTTATCCCGCCACACACACACACGGAATCGCAATTGGTAGCAAAGGCCACCCCCATGAATCCACATATTTAATCCTTGTGAGCTGAATACCTGTCACTTTATCTGCCCTATTCTCCTATTAGGGCAAGATTCGGGCACAAGCCGATGACGATGGGTGCCAAATGCCGTGAGCAGTGGACAGGGCTGCAGGACGGGAAGCTAGACAAGGGTCGGGACACAACCAACAAAGTCTTGGCCAGCGCACTGGCAACCACACGAATAGATCACTAATCTATAATCTATCCGTCAATCAACGACTAAGACAAATGGCGTTGGCTACATAGTACTAGTCAGATAGTCCCAAGCTGTCGGTAACGAAGGAGATAGGCAAACAAACCTTAGGAAGTGGGTTAGTGGCACTGATCATCGGATGAAGCCAGTCGAAGTGTCTTTCAGTGCCCCAAGGCTGCAGTTGGCGGAAGTACTATTGATTCAATACGTCGTGGCTTTCAAGTCTGCACTCATGTCTCAGAGCCATTTGAGTCAGCTCTTGGCGTAGTAGCAATTTGGGAGAGTTTGCTAGTTCCGCCCTATGGGATTCCTCAAAAGAAGCGAATAGACTTCGCAATGCCACCCTTCCGAGACATTGCTTATGGCTTTATCAGCCAGCCACGAACCAATTCATGCACGTAGGGACAAACAGCTTGGCACGCAATAAACCGGAGTAACAATAGGACGCCCAATAAGTTCAAAAGTGAGGCGGACAATGCTAGAGAACGCCATACAAGTCACATGTTCAAACACGGGTGCGGGTGCGGGTGCAAGCATCTCATGCCGGGGGTCCCATGATAGGCCGGGGGCCTAGATCGTGGAGTACTATGTAGGAAATCTTGATGCAGGCTGGTGGCGGCGTCCATTGTGGCATGAGGCCTTGATCACGTTTCGGCCAGGCTGACTTGGGCCAAGCCGCCCGTCTTCCAGCATCACAACATGCGGTGGGTGGGCGGTCGTGCGAGATGGCCCGAGGGTGAGATGCGCGCCTCGGGGTGTGAAGCCATCCGCGATCGCCGATGGGTGGTGAGTCTATGCTCGGAGCGAGTGGCATCAGGTTCCGGGCCTCGCGGGGACAGGACAAGACGGCTCCGGATCAGAACACGCGTCGCCCGTTGAGGAAATGCTCCTTTGGGCAAGCGGACACCGAGGATGTTTCTCTCGTCAAGTCCCATTGACCCAAAGGTGGGCAGTTTGACAAGGAACGTAGAATTTCGCCTGGAGCGCAATGGGGTGTGGAAGTTCTGCAAGTCGACCATTTAGGAAATAGGACTCGGGCGTGAGGGTTTGACGCCGTTTGAAGTTTGACGTGCAGGGGGCTTTGCGAATAGGCGGGGGTTTGCAGGGCGAACGAGATGCAGTTAACCGGGGTTCGTGGATCTTCTCGAAGCGATCCCATCGGCCCTTGCTCGCGTCATCTCGGCGATATGTCATGGATATCATGGATGGATGAGTGTGAGGATGCTTGGCTGTCATGGATATCGTCCGGATAATTGTTCACAGGCCTCGTGTTGAGTTGCACCGGAGCCCACAAGTCCGGCGTTTAAAGAATCGCCCTAAAAGGCTCTGGAGCCCTAGGAGCCCTGCAGCGCCCTCGCAGCGACCCTCGTAACGCTTTCGGCGCCGTGGTCCAGCGACGTGGATTCTTTTTTGAAGCTGTTGACCGAGCAGTTGGCGCACTTTTCCACCTGTCAATGCCCTTCCATGCACACCCCCTTCAGGGCATCGCAGGCCTCCCAGGCGTACTTTCAGTCCACAGGACCCCTAGGAACCCCCGAGACGCTGGAGACGTTCGAGACGTTTCCCGAGCAGACGGTTTGGCATTGACATCTTGGCGCCTGGACGAGTGGCCAGGAAACCCTTGCACCACGTCCGAGTGAGGCGGGTTTGGATGTCCGAGCCCTCGCAAGCGTAGCTCTCAGTAGCCACCTTACGACTTGTCAAGGCTGCGCCACGGACTACGTCGGTGAAGTCGCCAAACACAGCCGACGGCTTTGGAACCGAGCTTCGATGTCGCACGACGGTGGCCAACATGGGCAACGGTGGCCTTGCTCGCTGGCCGTGCGTTGGCTGCGACGGCCGCGAGCGTCCCTGGCCTTTCCGACGCTGCCACCTCGGTGAGCGACGACCTTCAAGGGACTCCCCAGTAGGACCGTATGCAGGGTTCGAAAACCGGTGAGCGGTTCGTTGTGGGGTAGACGTCTTCTAGACGGTGATGGGTGCAGTCCACCAAGTACTCCATACCAACCATACAGTAAGTCCGCCATGTCACACCAGGGGTCTGGCTCGCCTGCCCGCGCAGCCGGAGCTGTTGGCTGCGACGGACTGCAGCCTCCATCCGGGGCATCCACGGCCCCTTGAAATGCCAAATCTCAATCCTCATGTCATGGCTTCATTTTGTGCTCACCAACAGCCAAGACCGCAGTCGCACCCGGCACTTCTGCTGCGCAATGGCCGCCACAGCAGTAACTAGGGGAGCACGTCAACGATGACCCCTCTCACACCTTACATCCCACGCCGGACCAGGTTGGCATCGTGACAGAGCGTGGGGTTTCCCGGTCACACACGTGGAATTGGCGAGGGATGAGGGATGAGGGATGAGGGATAATTGCAGGTGCCTCCCACGGGCCCTCGGTGACGGAAAGCTCGCATGATGACCCGAAATGACGAAATGGCGAAACCATCCCTAAATCATCATGACGGAGCATTGACGACTCGGAGCAGAGTCGATTGCTTGACACATCAGGAGGATGCGGAGCTCGCCGTTGTCCTGGGATATTCCCTCCTCCAGTTTGCACCCCCATCAACTCCCGGCCAAGTATCGTCAAATATGACCCACGCTGTTTGACACCAGCACACCCTCCTCTGTCAAGGGCTGGCACATGCGAGATCCGATGGGGAATCCCCTCTTCGAGTACTACCAGCCTTTGAGGCTCCCACATTGCACGTTGGGTCACACAAAAGTTAAAGTGCTGTGGCAGTGAGGCATCCTCGTAGTAATTACCTGCCCCCTACGGACGGTGCTTCGTTCGGCCAACTGATTGCTCACTTTGACCACCAGCACCAGCACATACCACCCTAGCCAAGGTACTGAGACAAGGGACCTTTGTGAGGGAGCGCTTGCTAGCATCACCTTCCCCAAAATGAGCATATCAACCCAACTAGGCCTGATGTGGCAATTTTTAGAGGGTTCAATATTCGAACATCTTATCTCATGTGCAAATTTCAGTGAATGACCTCTGGATATGCGGTCATGCTCTGGTGTAGGAGGGTATGCCGTGTTGGTGATTGGAGGTTGCGGAGAGGCGGTCGGCGGCGAGTCCCTAATTCACAGCTGCAGGTCTAAGTTAGTGACAGTCCTCAGAAGCCGGAGTGTTGTTTCAACGACACATCGAATGGGCCATCATGTAATACCACACGCAATCTGCCGGGGAGGTGTGTGGACAGGGCGAACAACCGACGACGGCATGACCGAGTGCTCGCTTCCGGAAGGCAATTGTAAAAAGGCCCTATGGGTTGATAAGAAAGGGATCAAACGTGTAGGGCTGTTTGTCTCACAGTGAAATTCCTACAAAGTGGATTCTGGCTGTAGATGCAAGCAGGGTACATCAGGCGATTGACTGGGGCGCTGGCTTCAGCTGGTAATGGCAGGCCCATTTGTTATCATGGGGCGCGGTCCAGCTGGCTGGTAGAGATACAGGCACTGATACTCGCGGCTACAGATGTATGATATGATGTGATAGCAAAGATTAAGGTTTAGGAGGGGGAGCGAAGGCGTAGATAATGGGAAACGAAGCATCTCCGGATTCTTATCAGCGCCAAAAGGAGGCAAAGAAGTGAGGGATGCTTGTCCCTAAAGCCGTCAATGCAACCAAGGCGATGCCCATGAGACATCGACCCCCATCCTCCAGCCCAGTCATTACGATCATCCGGCGCCATCTCCCACTCACCCCCCTCCTCAGAACACCAGACCGCCTACCCACGTTTACACCCCACGTTGAGATCTCCGGCGCGCAGCTCTCCCCACCGGCCGAGATTACCTCATACGTTGTTTTCGTACGTGACACAATCGCAGCGCAGCGCACACGCCCCCTTGGCGCGCAATCGCAATCGCCATCGCCATCTCGTAGCCGGCGAGCGAAGCCAGCCGGTGGCTGCATCTCGGAACGGGTCGATGGCAGGCGGGCTGTGGTAATTGTCCGACGTCCCGATGCGAGCAGGTGGCGCACGTGTCTCATCCCACGGAGAAGTGGACATGATCGGGATGAACCACTGCGCTGCAATGGTGGTCCATCACAGGACGGCACCTAACTACTCGGTAGTCTGCTATGTATGCAGTATACACACCGCACACGCTGCACCTACAAGCCGTGCATGCTGTTAGGGATGTCACTTTGACTATTGTGGTTGCAGAGGTTTTATGTGTTTAGCCGCGCTTCCCAGCACAGTCTCGCAAAGCAGGCATTGAATTAGCAAAGCGTTGTTGTCTCTCATCTCACCGTCGCTGGTCAACTTTTGAGGCCCCTAACTAGACCTCATCGAACGCGCAACAATCAAGGTTTTGCTGCCAGCCACCTAGGAGCAAGAGTAGGCCGCATGGGTAAGTCCGACTCCCAAGGACGACCCGCCAAGTACCTACGTGTTTGACATCGCTGTCGCCCGCCAATGCCCGCTGGACCCATTTGCGAGTGTTTTTCTCCGACTTTTCTAGTCCGTGTTAGATAGCTACCGTGAACCTCTCCCGCCAGTCAGCGTCCACGGAGGCGTCGGAGCGTCGGAGGGGTTCCAAAGACAATACCCTTAGACGGTAGCCCGAACTGGGCCAATGTTGGCGCAGTGGCGGCGGCGGTGGCGGCGAGTGAGACAAGGGCTTGTCTGTAAAGAGTGAAAGCAGTGCGTGGGGGAAAGAGACAACTACCGTAAAGTCCCCTAGCGGCAGCAAGTAGACGAAGAAAAAGCAAACACGACGACAAAATCCTTGGCCACGGCTCCCTACCAAGGACGCGCGAGACGGAACGAGTAGGGCTGGCGGCGCGCCGCAGTAGCGTTGGCGGAAAGTACAGGGGACGACGACGCCCTGAACGACAGGAGAAGCAGCAGCATGGGTATTGACAACCGCCAGAACTTGTTGGACCAGTGGGCGGGCATTGGGCAGATTATTGAGATGATCGACCTCCGTAGGCGACCGTGGGACGATGAATGAAGTCTAGTGGATCGAATCAGGCCGCCAGGAGAGACGGTCTGGGACAAGGGGGACAGGTGAATTGGCATGGCAGGGTATGACAGGGCCTCGCAGGGCATGACAGGGCCTCGCAGATGGGCGACATGGCGTACATAGGCGCGGTAGTCGATGGGAAAAGCCAGGTGATGCCATGTGTTCAGGTGTCTGCATCCCTAGTAGCTGTCTGCATCCGCAGCGTACTACATCCTCTGTACGTCCGAACTGTGCTGTAACTCTACGGCGCATGCGTCTAGGTTGTCGAACCGGGCAGCGTTGCAACCCTCTGTAGTTGTTGGTCGACGTATAATAATTTTCGGTCGTCTATATCGGCAGACGGATATAGGTGAAGCTCGATCATTGCTATTTCGAGACCCCCGACTTGTCTCTGGCGTATGCACAGACTCAGACACGGACCGCGTCGACGTCTCAGAGAGTCTCAGGCGAGCCTCATTTCATCTGCGCAGTTATCAATCTCCATCAGGAGACGCATCGTTGCCATGGTCATCTCCTGGCCGCGTCGTCCGCTATGATCGCCATCCGCCATCTGCTCGAGAGAGCAGCGGCTACTGCACCCTCGCACAGCACCCACCACATAGCCTCGCAAACTAGCAACGAGAGAAAGCATATTGTAAACACAGCTCGTCAGCTAAAATCGAAGCCGCCCAAACTCTCGCGAAGCAGCATGCTTTGGCAGCCAACCAAGCCCTCGACGGCCGGCACTGGAGGCGGGGAGCCAGGGGCCAGGGTTACAGGGCACGAGATGCCGCCACGCGTCGACGGCCAACGGGGATCCATTCCAACCCACCGGCGCGCAACCCAATCGCAACAGCGCTGTGGCGATCCAGCGGTGGCGAGCGGTTGGACCGGCGACCTGGACCTCGTCACGTCGCGGGGAAGCTCTCTTGTACGGAGCCTCGTGTGCTGGGGATTGCGTTTGGGCAGAGACGTAGATATATGCCACCGCCCAACAGTCACGACACCGCGAATTGAATCGTCCGGCGGGGAAATGCAAAAACGCTAGACTGCCTCAGCGGCGGGAAGCGGGAGAGCGTCGCGGGCCGAGCGGCTAGTTCCAAACGCCCTCCGCCGGCATGCCTCTCTCGTGAACGGTGATGCCACATCGCTAGCTGTACGACCCGGCGGTAGCGGCGTGTAGGATTGCGAGCGGCGATGGTTCCTGACTCGACGTGCGTCCACCAAGGCCCACGAGACGTCATTCCATGGGGCCTTGCAACTGCTAAGGCGACCCGGATGGCCTGGCGGAGCGCATAGGGGTGTGTTTTCTCCTTGGGCATGCGTACTCGCTTGGTGTTTCCTCGATGGGTCTTCCGCTCACCGTTCACCGCGATGATGCTGCTGCCGCCGGGGGTTGGTGATACGAACCAGACGCACGCGTAGACTACACATGTAATGATGCCAAGGCTTTTATGTGCAAAACTTTGCTTTCTTTATCTCTTTGTATTTTCCCTGCGCCGAACAGTATGTGGTAATCGTACCTGTCTGTGGTTCCAGTCGATGGAGTGTAGCAAAAAAGAACTAAGACTACATGTAAAACACGGAATGATCCAAGCCCTGAACCCCAAAATCTTCCTGATCCATCCCAGTTATGTCGCCATGGTGTGGCAAAACGAAAAAACGCCATGCCGGAGAGAGAGTACAGTGATGGGAAAGGCAACAAGCCCCCCAAACAAGACCGTTCCCAAGCCATCAATGAGTGCCCTTGATCCCAAATGCCCATTTCCTTAGTCCATGCACCCCAAGAAAACAAAAGGAAAGAAAAAAAAATCGCGCCAGTTGCCCCCCTACCAATACCGTTCTGTCTCATTCCCCCACGTCCCGAGGCTTGATCACTGGGGTTGCTTGATCCCATCTGTCATCCGTCCGAACCTGGACACCGGGACCACGCCATGGCCTGTGGGCCGAATCCCACGGCGGCCGCGGCCATCCCACCATGCGAGCGAGCCTTGTCGTTGACCGCCCTGAGGCTGGCTGTGGCGTCCAATGCCGGCCCAGGAGGTGTCGTTTGGGGGCGGTTGAATGAGGGTGTCGTGGGCCCGGATCTAAGACTTGAGCGTCGCTGGTTTCCCTGGTGCTAGTGGCTGCTGGGCCCGCCGTTCGCTCTTAGCCCAAATCCATCGCCCATGTTTCTGAACCCCAGTTCACACCACCGTTGATCGACGCCCGACACTCCGCAGGCCTCCCTCCGTTAACTCGATGTTGCAGAGCGAGGAGAAGTCGTGTTGTGTGAGGGGCAGGTTTGCACCCAGAGTACCAAGTCTTTATCCGTTCCAAACCCACCCAAAAGGAAAAAAAAGGAAAAGGAAATATCATGTTCCGCTCGCGCCCTCAGTCAAAGTCTCCAGATTTCTGGTGTCATTTTTTCTTTTTCTTTTCGGTTTCGGTTTCGGAGCGTCCGTTGTCGAAATGTAGGTAATAAATAGTCCGTCCTGCGTCCGCCGTAGTCCCACCCTCCATCTCACCGGCTATGGTGGGGTCGACGGGTGGAAGGACCCTCAAGTGTGCAGGCCGGCGTCGGTCCAGGAGGGTGGAAGGTGGAGAGGTGGAAGAATTCGTCGTTTTTGTCTCAGTTTTCAAATCGCCCGGGAAAAGGTGGATTCATGTTATGCTCGAAATCGACATGTGGGGGGGTCCGCGTCGGGACGTGTCTTAGCCGCTTCGTTGGGTATCATATCGCAGGTCGGGTAGCGGCGGAGAGCGTAGAGGGTCGAGATATTCCGACCTGCGCGGAGGGACGTTCTCATTGTGCCGAGAGCTGCGGAGTATATGACATGCGAGATTCAGGTCGCTGGATGAGCTTGGCCCAAGGATGGGTGCTTGGCTGCTGACGTTCGCGGCATGCGGCTGGATGGCTAGTCAGTATGATGTGTCGCTAACGTCTGGCGGCAGATTGAGCCCGGAAAAGAATTGGGACATACCACAAATGTCATCGCCCCTGAGAGAAGGTGTTAGCAACGAGTCATTCCTACACATTGCAGTGTGCTTCCATTGTGGATGAGGATGGGGATATGGTTCTGACTCACCAGTACTGCTTGCTCACGATGGTGGGGGGACACCTTCGCTCAGTCTCAATATACTTGGGGCACCAAGACTCTACCAAGTGGTAGTGGTGTTGGCAGCTGAGCTCCTTCTATGACATCGCCATGTTGTTAGTCACGATACTTGAAATCCCTAGGCTGCCGCTGGGTCCGGAGTCTGTGCCGTGGTTCCAATGAGGTGGTCCAACTTACATAGATGTAGTTGCACATGATGGAAGAGGGGAGGGTTAAGTCGAGTAGAGAGACGAGTGGTGGAAGAGATGGAGGATGGTGTATGGAAAACGTGAGGCGGTCGAGACCAAGAAGGTGGGTGTTTGGTGATATATAGTCTCGCGGAGCCGAGAGGAGGATGGTCAAGGAGGAGTGAGCATCAAAGCAAAATGTCTGTCAGAACCACAGCAACGGCAACGCGGCGTCAACGTCGGCAGGGCCGGGGAGGTCGAAGCGTATTTAAAAGAGCAAAAGGCGAATCCAGAGTAATGGTAATAGTCATTGAATCCCAAGAGACGGGGTGAGAGGGGCCGCCGCGTGCTCTGCCCGGGCCCCAGGTGTTTATAATAAGGTCAAAGGCGTCGAAGAGCGGCGAGCGCCCCTCCCAGACCCCTGTCGACAGTCCACTCTGGCAGACTTTCCCAGGGCCCGACCAGGGCCTAAAGCCAGAGAGATACAGGCAGTCAGGACGGTACCACTGTACGTGTGCGAGACGCCCCGGCGGCGGAATTGACGGGGACTGGACAAGGGGGGGCGTGTCGAAACTTTTGCGACAGCGAGCGAGGCGGAGACAGGGGTCTGGGGTTGAGACCTGGGGGTGTGACTCAGTACAACAATACGTGAAATACATGCAGCTGGCCGAGCAGTATGCAACTTGCCCGAATCCACGGTGGTGACACTGGGTGGCCGTGTTGCAATTTGGCGAGGAGGAGCCTAACTAAGCCCTCCCCCCCCCCAAGACCCAAGGGACTACGCTTGGAGGGAACACACAGGCCAGCCTACGCTCCTCGCAACCTTCGGCGTCGGCGAAGAGAGGAACGGAACAGGACCGATCCATTGGGTCGAGACGGGTCTGACAGATGAAGACGAAAAAAACTTCATTCGACGGAGGCTTGGTTACTGGTTTACGTCCCTGACTGACCCGCTGGCCCGCCCGGCCCCTCAGGCCTTTTTCACATGATGATGTTCGAGGATGAGGGATGAGGGATAGGGATGAGGGTGCAACCGGCACTTCGGCGGGTGACGGATGACGGGTGACGGATGATTTATCCAGACTCGGGGGATCTGTCACTCGCGCTCAAGAGGGGGAAACGGGACGTCAAGAGGGGGAACGGGAACGGCAGTGGTAACGGGCACGAACAAAGGATGGTAGTGTCATGGTTCCCGCTACGGGCCGTCACAGAACCCACGACGGCCTCTAACTCTGACAGAGCGAAGTGTGACACACTGGGCATCGCTCACATATCGGCGTCTATCTGCCAAGTAGCAGTGCAGCGACAGTAGCAGCGGCAGTGACAGTAGCAGTCACGGTAACAGTGCAGTGACAGTACCGTGACAGCGACCTCCAGTTTAGACCCCGTGTATCAGGTACTGTGCGAAGGCAGCCAACGAGTCCAAGTCCTCGCCTGCCTCGTCACAGTCACAGTCACCGGCGGGCGAACTTGGGCTTGACCTTGCAAAGTCGGCCATGGTGGCATTGCCTAACCAGGACCGTCGGAGCAGCCATGACGCCAATGCGGCTTTCATCCCACCTCTCTCTGCCTGACCGTCTCGCAAGCCTCGTCGCTTCTCCGTCTAGTGAGGGAGGAGGGAGGTGAGAACCTTGAGGGCCTCTCGAAGAAGACCCTCGCTCCTCCATCCATCGTCCATCAACCATCCCCACCATCGGTCTTTAGAGAACCCCAAGCAACCAAGTTAATCGACCACCATCAGCACGTCACCACAACACAACACCACCTCGACCAAAGCCACCCTCACCTCCCAATGGCTCGCCCATCCGAGTCACCCTCCAGTGCTTGATGCCCATGGTGATTGGGGGCCGATAGCATCACCCGACTAGACGGGCCGCCGGGCACGTGGGACCGCAGCTTGGTGCTTGTCTCGCAGACTCCCAGTTCACCGAGAGCCCCTCTTTGGATCGACATGCTGCCCTTCCTAGACGGTACAGGTACCGTACACCACCATCTCTACGTAGTAGACCACCACGCAACTTCTTCACCCACGGCAATGGGACGCCCCGGGCGCATGGCACGGATCATGGAGCATGGAGGAAAACCCTGGAGATCCTGCGCTCTTTCGTCCACGCCCGTGCCTCGGTCGTCCTTGACCGAAAGCCCGACGCCTTCGCTTGACACCTCGAGTCTCAAATGGCTCGCTCGCTTGGGCATTCATTTCCCTGTCCAAAATGAATGTCCGTCTCTCGTAGCAGTAGCAGTAGCACCGCCTGCAGGCAAAAATTCTGCTCTGGCCTCCGCTGACTGACAACTCGACAACGAAACGGGGTTGCCGGAGCTGCTAAATAAAGACGGAAACCGGGTCACCGACCTGACGTACGCAAGACGTGATGGGCTTCTGCTCCTGCATCAATCAATGCATGGCGATTCGACACTCACTCCAGACTCCAGCAAGACAGAGAGAGAGAGGACTCTCGGATCCCCCATCGCCCGCGCCGCGCCCCGTCGTCTAACTGCAACCTAACTGGATGTGTTCAATAAACGCGCATCGTCCCGTTGGAGCGACCGTTTTCTCGCGCCCAGGCTACTCTGTATACCGCTATACCCCGTCCTGTCCCGTCAACCTCAGCCTGTCATGTCCGTCTCCACGACGGCCGGGTTGGACCTGGGGCCGGCCACAGACGCGTCTGACCCACTGGAGAGTGCCAATGATGGCGTTCCACTGTTCCAGACGCAGCGGCGGACCTGGGAGTGCTGGGATTCCTGGGATCCGTATCCATGGCTGTGGCCGCTGCACCAGTGACGCCATCTTCGTAATATGCCCGGCGCCGCAGGCCCAGAGCGCCAAGTACCGTTAGCAGTGGCAATCGGCGGAGCGAGGAGGGAAGCCTGGGCGTCCGTGGGCTGCTCGTCTGCCTGTGCAACGAAAGCCCGAGGCCAGAAGCCGGATTCTGGGCTCGTCAGTCGGTCAGATGCATCATGGCCTCGGCCTCGCAGAAATCACCCCATCCACGCGAGCTGGAAACGATCAGCAAAAAAGCTTCGCCGCCCTGCTCCACCGCACACGTGGGTAAAACTGCCGACGGCTCTCAGAGTGTGGTCACTTGCCAGGCTGCTGCTTAGCCCGGCGTTAGTGTGGCCGCTTCCTGTGCGTCGAGTGCATCCTGTATGCACTGCAGACAGCCGAGAGCTCAGCCAAGGCAGCCCCAGGTCGGCGGTGCGATGGCTATCAATCAGCGAGTCGTTGCTGGGTGCTCCCCGCCTTGGGGCTGGGCGTCTCAGGTCGTCTGGTGGACGGCTGGTTGATGGGATATGGGATACATTATCTAGATTGTACAGGCGACTCAACGAGACCAGGACTCAATAAGACCAGTACACCGACGAGCCCATCCATCATAGCCCTCGTTCGACACACGCTGCATCCTGGATGCTCACTCGCAGGTCACGCACCCCAAACGGGCTCAAACCACTGGACCGGCGAAAGAATGACTGACATTTTGCTGCACTGAGCCCGCAGGCGTCCATTCGATTCGGCCGTCGCAGCCACGTCGCTTTCCCAATGCAGGAACCGGTGAAGATGCATCGACATGGCTGGACGGTTTTGACCCGGGTCCGCCTGCGGGTCAGGATACGCATTCCACCAATGGGCTCCAGCTTCTGCCCCGACATACTACGTATCCTCCTCTCTTCAGCATTGGTCCGGGCTTGGTTGGTGTTTACGCATCCATCTGGCATCATCACGTAACCAGGCTGGGACCTCCTCGTTGCTGCGATATTCATTAATTTATTCATTCACTCAACCCAACCCAGCCCCCGACCACTTCCACTGCTCCACCAGAGCCACCAAAGACAGGAGGAAGAATCTGACATCCAGGGGAAAGAAGGGAGGCTAGAAAAGAGCTAGAGGCTCGACCCGCCGCCGAGGGCGTGTTCTGGAATAATTTCCCCCTCCACCCCATCCCCACACTCGCTCGCGCCGTCATCGCACCCCTACCACACCGCTACCCAATCAGCCCTGCAAAATCCCGAAGTCCAGCGGACCAGCCCTCTTGGTGTGCTGCTACGCAAGTACGCGGGTTGTGGCCGGTGGTGCTACGCAGCAGAGCCGGCCAGCTTCCCGCCGCTGATTGGAGACGGGGGCGCTTTGGAACGAGATTAGAAGCCCAGCTGCCCTTTTCCGCCTTTTCTTCAATCTACATAGTACGCAGAGGCGTAACAGCGGCAAACTCCCCCGAGCAAGCCATCTGAGCCCGGCGGAGTCCTAGTGCAGAGGCTGGAGACGCCAAACGCTGGCTTTGGGTTGCTTTATTCGACCTCCCCCTTCGGGCGCGGGCCGGCCGATGACATCAAAGCAGGCGACGGCGCTCCTTCATCAAACATCTCTAATTATGGTCCTGTCATCGGCGTCGCAACTCGAAGCCATGTCATTACGTCTTTCTCCCACCGAGAGTCTAGCTCATGTCCACCTTGTCCACCTTGTCCACCTTGTCCGGCTTTGGCTACCTTGTTGGCCACCTTGCCCACCTTGCCCACCTTGGAGTGTCACAATCATCGACTTCAAGGGTCACCGAAAGCCAAGGGTCACCCAAGGTCACACCTACCCAGTCTAGGCCAGCACGACCCGCCCTTGGCGCACTCGTAGCCAATCACCGGCGTCCCAGCTTCGTGTCCTGGCGTTCCCAGGACGAGGGCTCGGGCCTCGGGATGTTCTGCTTCTGGCATCATGGCCCTGGCCGATGCTTTGGATCCCTTCCACTACCCTTAGGACCCTTTGCAAACGTGTATTTGAGCCCTGGTCTGAACCTACTGAATCTATCACTTATCAGACGGGGCTCCCAGACCGTTTCCCCTAGACGAAGGACCCAAAACGTCGCTTCCCGCAAAGTCTGCCGACTCCACGCCGACGCTGTGCCGGGCTCGTCCTGCCCTTATCCGCACGCCTTGCAGTCAAGGCGCGAGAATGGCTTCAGGTAGAGGTCTAGGACCCCCAGCGTCGAATTGATTGTGCAGAGCGCCCTGTAGGGCCCTGTAGGGAGTGCAAGCCACGCTGTAGGCGGTCGGCAAGGCTAGGGGGATTTGCACCCTTACTGTAAGAGGTTGGCAAAGAGCATGCATAATGTACCGACGCTGCAGGCTTCTTTCTCGGTTGCCGCGGCGGTGCTTCGGCAAGTACCCATCCAGCAAATCCAGCTGCCGGCTCTGTCAGTTTCAACTTTGAGCTCAGCAACGGTACGCATTACATTGCCTCTCTCAGTGGAGCCGTTCTCTTGCTGGAGTCGGAGGGTGATGTGGTTACCGACTTACAGTTGGCTGTGCATAAATCCACCGTCCCCACGGACCAGGGGGTTCGTGGGAACTCATTTGGAAACATTGCTTTTGACACCGCTCCGAACCCACGAGGAGCCCGTCCCGATGCCTCGTCCTCCCATGCCTCCCATGGGGGGACATGGGAGATCAGGATGCTAGTGTCAACTTGAAGCCGCCACGAACCGGGGCACGGTCGGCCCTAGCAGGCAAGCCATCGACTAAGCTCCGAGACACGATCGGCTGGGAGGAGACAACAAGTGAGAGAAGATGAATAGAAGGTTGGCCGAAAGTTACTGCGTGGTAACGAGGACCGGGGGGGGTCTGGTTTCACGAGATGGGAACCGTCGCCATACTACCCTATAGCCCCGATGCCGATAGGGATAGCTGCAGCAACGCGGCCGAAGCGTCAGAGAATAGGCCTCCAGCACGTCTGTTTTTTATCTGATAATGCTTGGCGAGGGTTTGACAGCAGACGGGCACTAGGCTAGTTGATGCAGACCGCTCTTTGACAGCCAGACTAAACCCACACAGCGCCTGGAGTATGCGAGTCTGCAGCATGCAGCTGGAGAGACTGCAATTCACGCAGGGCCATATTGAGACGGCGGAGGCCGCATGCCGCCCATCGGCATACCCCAGACTTCAGAGTTTTCTTGCTCGTTCCGCACCGTACGTCCAGTACATCCAAGTGCCGCTCCAAGCGCGGACGGGAAGCGCAGGGCCAGGCGTTCGGATTCCGCTCGACCAGCAGCTGAAGACCCGTCAGCTCGGATTCGCGATTCCTCTCTCCACACGGCGATTCGCAACCAACCACCCCGGCGACTTGGCGAGAAATGAGCAGGCACGTACTGCGGGAACGGCCATTTGCCAGAGAATTGCCAGACACTGCCGTGGACGCTGGGGCGGCATCTCCTCGCTTGCTGCCGGGTGTCTGCATTGCCGCTCTTGACGACGGACCCTCGTCCAGATTGCACCAGATTGCACGGTACACGGCTAATCCAATGGCCGTGATCCAATGGCTGGACCGATGATTCCGACCTCAGCCCTGGCATCGTGCCGGCCGGACGCAGCGCGCGCAGCTGGTGTCACCAACTTCGAATCGGATCGACGAGGGGCGTATCTCGCGCAAGACGCAGCGTCAATAGAGTTTCCCACGGTGCCGGAGCGATGGTCCCGGGGCACGCGGACCGTTTAAATGGCCCAAAGAGGGCAGCAGCTCGAATACTCGAACCTGTCCGGGTAAGGCGTGCGGATGGTTGAGCGCCCATTGAAACCTTGATACCGAAGAAGCAATTTCTGGGGGCCTGTGGTTCGATGCTGCCTGTCTGTCTGGCCCAAGGGCGTCCGGGGTTTGATAGTCGCTAGTCGCGCCCAGAGAGCCAGAAGGGGAGGCCTTGCTGGGCCTTGCTGGGCATCGCTGGGCCTTGCTGGGCAGCATCGCTCGCCCTCCTCGGCGGCGGCGGTGGTCTGGGGCAGTCTGAAGGATCCTGGGGCCGCTCTACGCTGCATGATCCCAACTTGGAGCCCTGGGCTAAGCTTCGGCGAAACAACCTGGCCCGTCTTGCACGTCTAGAGCGGTCGAAGACTCGAAGTCGTCCATCTCGCGTGCGCCGTGGGTACGGCCTTCTCCGGCGTATCCAGAGGGACCCGGGGCTCTGGGGATTGCCTCCAGGGCCAGAAATCGACATGTCGCGAGCAATTACACAGGCGTGAGCCGCATCGACCAACCCAACAAACAACCGAGTGACGCGTCCCAAGTGCAACGTCGGGGTGCTGCTGTCGAATAGGGGCGTGTGTTTTCGACCCTGGGGGTCAGAGGTTTGGCTTCAGATGTGAGAAGCCCATGATTCCGAGGGATCAGCATATGGACTATGCTAAGCGTCATCCCGAGCATCATGACGGCCTCGGGACCCCTCCTCTCGAGGCGTGATCCCCGCACGCGTCCGAGGCACGTCTTTAAACGTTTCACCAGATACTTGGAGGGTGCGCGGCGTTATCCCCTCCTGCTCCTCCGCTCCTCCGTTCAACTCGAGGCTGAGCTTCAAGGATTGCGGAAGGCCTGGGGCAACCGTCTCGCGAACCGGCAACTCTCCCTCCGCTAGGGGGGGATCGGGGAACCGTCCTGCTGGAATGGCGAGACAACATGATCTGGTAGGTACCGTCAGGGGAGAAATTCGTAAAGTTATCTCGTCTCCTAATTGCTCCCACTACGATGGGGATCTCCTGCCAGGGAAGGCGCCTGGTCCTGGCAGCCCAGTCAACCCGGTCAACCCAGCCAGCAGGGACGTGCCTTTGCCGCCGTCTTCTGACTTTAACCGGTGGACATAGCAGAAAACTTACGACCGTCGCTTGCGGCTTCTTCTTGTGTAACACAAGGTGGATGAGGGAGGGGGGTAGAAAGTATGTATTGCCTGGAATTATTGAGTTTGATGATCTACAAGTCGTTGTACGACCGAGCTCGGAAATTGAGGCAGGGCTAGCCGCCCATCGGCTTTTGGGTCGGGCATCAAACTTGCCACACCAAAAGATGGTGCGTAGTAGTTTTCCCGACGGCACGGATTTCCTCCACCTGAGGGCCGCACTATGTGGATATGAACCAGGGAATCCGAGTCCTGGGTCAACCTAAAATTCATCTACCGTCCAGGTGGAAGCGGTGCAACGCCCCAACGCCACCGGTACTCCGGAGTTTCCGTCGATGCCGACATGACCCCTGCTAGTTTTCTCCTTCTGCTTCTGGACGCTGAACGAACGCCCTGGGATTTGGCTTCAGTTGCTGGTGGTCGTCGTTGCACTGGATGTGGTTGTTGTTGTCGTCGTCGTTGTAGTTGTTGGGTTGGATGTAGTTGTTGTCGTCATCGTGGCTGTAGTTGTTGGGTTGGATGTATTCGTAGTCGTGGACTTTGTGGTGGTGCTCACACTCAACGTCGTCGAGTCTGTCCGTTTAGGCATGGGGGTGGGCTTGGCTGTATTTGAGCAGATATCCTGGGTGCATTTGAAGACTCCTGAGCCCCAGGTCTTTGCTACATCAACAGCCACGAGCTGTTGGATGTAATAACCCGGGTGGAGGTAGTCACGCCACAGCTGCTACATGTTAGTTTCAACGGCTTCTCAAAGAGGCATGGAACCAGAGAGGTGAACAAAAACGTACGCAGGATCTGCCATTGAGGTGAACGCATGCCGAGTTCGGCGCTCCGAATTTGGTCGGATTTTGAAATGCCGCCAGGAACGCGGGCAGAGTGTCAATCGTCCGGACAGTGGCATCTGGGTGCGAGCTTGCGAAAGCTGCAACGCTTCCTAAAAGTTGCGAGTTGAAGTTATCGGTTGCAGAGACGAGCTTGTTGTAGGATGAGGCGTTCAGTCCGAAAAAGAGAGGCGTCAGGTAGAACGCTGATTTATTTGTCAGTGTATGTCCCGGGTCCAATGATGGAAACAACAAGACTCACGCGGGGCTGTCAGGAAGATGAAGTTTCGGACTCCCATGGCGTACAACCTTTCGACTTGCTCCATGTACCGCTTCATCACACGTTTGGATATATCGGGTGTATTGGGATAATCAAGTGTGTCCCTGAGGTCTTTGACGTTCAGCCACATTGCAGCAATGGAATTCTGAGCTGTCCACGGAGCCCAGCTCGGCGCAGCGGAGAGAGTCTTGTTGAACAGCTGTACCTGGTTCACGAAGTCCACCCTGTCGCTTAAGAGAGGCTGGGGCGCCAACAGCGTCTTGTCGATAGGCGCACCACTGGAGGCAAAGTTGTACAAGAAGACGGATGAGACGTTGAACTTGGTCACCAAAAGGCCGACCCAGTTCTTGCCGCCGGAGGAGGTTCCCCCGGGTAGGGGTGGGTTGCCAATTGGATTCTGCTCCGATGGCACAGGGCCGTTGATTTTCCACAATGTCCTGGTGTACGAGTCACCGCTGTTCAAAGTTAGCATTGGGATGGGAGATTGTCAGGGAACGGACAAAGTGAAGAGGTAGGTACGGTCTGTCGCCAATGTCGAGCTGGTGGCGAAAGCGGCCAGAGCCGTGGCGATGACTGAGAATCTCATGATAGCCCTACAAGACGTCGCTGCGAAATACTGGGGAGCTTCTACAGCTTCAGATCGAGAGTTCTGCCCGTCCTTATTACATATACTACGGATGAGCCCCTTTCTTAGCACTTGTGCCGTTTCCTGCCAGCCCTGAATCGAACAGGTTCTCGACCAGGTGGCGTTGCGAGGGAGATCGTAATGCTCGCTGAATTAGAACCAGTGGAGCATCTTCAACCCTCTGGCTTGGAAGATTATTGGATCTCCCGTGGCTGTGTACCCAGTTTTTGCTCCTTGACATAGTTGCCTCCATTTGTTGGAGGTTGCGGAATGTTGTGGGTGGGCCACATAGCTAGGTCAGATGAGTCCCTGGTTTGGTGCGACAGAGGCCTCGATCCATTCCTAACGGGCCTCTGGCATGCACCTGACTTCCCTGGTAACTGCCGTGTGTAGCAGCTGAAGAGGTATGGCGACAGCGTCACGAAGGCGCTCATTCGCACTTCTTCACGTAGAAAAGCCTGAAGTTTGCTTTCCCTCTACCCTCCACCTGAATTAAATGGCTAGGGCTGAAACCCAATTATAAAGAAGATACTCAAACGAAAACGACATGCAAATAACATATTAGTCCTCAACTAGAATCTGGCTTTGTGGTGCCATCGTGATTTGAAATGGCTACATTAAGGATAGTTATTGGGACCGTGGCGCTCAAGAGCAAGTGTTTACCAACACTTGACCATCAATAACTGCTAGAGCTAGCCAAGATTCCTAGACATCCAACAAGCCCTCGATTTCGCTTCGCAACTCCACCAGATGCTTTGCCAGTGCAAGCTCCTGGTCCCTGAACGCCTGGTACGAAATATCGACGACACTCGCAAACATGGACGCACTACCTCCACCTCCACACCACCGCGCAGTCGAGCTCCGCAGGCGCGAGAGAAACTCCTCGGCGACTTGGATGGTCAGGGACATTTGCAGAAACGGAGACGACTCAACTGCAAATGACCCAACCGTCACATCGGGGAGCTTCCAGAACCGAAACACGGCGTCCGAGCCCGTCCTGGACAACTCGGACTGGACCAGGGTGAAGACCTTCTGATACATGTCCAAGAGCCGCGTGTAAGTCGATAGGATGAACATGGAGTTGCCTGGATCCGAGTCGTCGATGGTTTCGGTCGCCTCGGAGGGCGGCTTTTCGAGAATGTCGGCGACTTTCCGTGTCAACTGGAACATGTCGTCAATGGGAAACCCACTATTCTTGAACCTCTCATCGGTTGGCATTCCCAGAGAGGGCCCATTGCGAGCCGTCTCCAGTGACGAAGGCAAGGCCGACGAGAGGTCCAGAATCTGGGCGTTGATGTCGGACAACTGCGCCATCCAGTGAATCGTGGGTGGTTCCCTGATCAACGGTGCAGCCTCGACACGGTCGGACAGTTGGATCTGCCTCGGGCGTTGTTTCGTCCGGGTGCGTGGGCGCTTGTCAGGGCTGTCGTGCGCAGGTGCACAACCTATTCTCCTTAAGGGTCCTTGGAGGGCCACAGCCTGGTGGGCAAGGGATCCGTCTGATGGTGGCAGCAGAGGCCCTGGTGCGACCGGTGGGTAGGCGTCGGCGGACGAGGTCGGCTGCGGGTCCCAGGGAGAGTCGGCAAAGACACTGACGGGAGGAGGAAGAGAAGAAAGAGGAGGAGGAGGAGGAGGTTGAAGAGGTTGAAGGGGTTGAAGAGGTTGGTGATGGAGGCTGAGTTGGGGGACGCTGCTCGGGAGCCCGGGATGAGATAAATACTCAGGCTGGTTGGGAGCGAATAGCCCCAGCTGGTCAAAGGTGAAGTTGAAGTCGCCGATTTCCAGAGCAGGATCGGGTGTGACCAGGTGACTCTTAGACTCCAGGCCGCCTGAATGGGGTACTATTGGCAGTGCTTCGGCAACACGGTGAGTCCGTGGCCAAGACGCTCAAGACATGGGCTCTCTCGGGCCTGGGTTAAGGAGGCACTTACCCGCGTCGGGTGAGACAAGGCTGGGATCGCTGTCGGTCCGCCGTCGCTTCGGAGAGCGGCACCCGCTGGAGGCTGATTCAGAGACGGGAAGTTGTTGGTGATGATGTTGAGTTTGTTGTTGCTGCTGCTGTTGCTGCTGCTGTTGCTGCTGCTGTTGCTGCTGCTGCTTCCTGTACCGGAGAGAAGGACTCGACTTGCACTCCGTCTTGAGCCGGAGACAACGCTCGCACGTCTCGTCGTTGTAGCGCTTGCAACTGAGCTTCTGTGCGTGACAGCGATCGCAGGCCTTGCGGATCACGGTCTCGGCCATGGTCATAGCCATCGGTTCGGGGAAGGGCGGGAGAGGGGAGACATGGGAGAAGGTTTAAGAAGTCGACGCCGAACGGGCAGAGACAGATGCTCGCTTTCTGCGCGTGGCGGAACCTGCTATTGTTGATGCTTGAGACATTTGCGTCCAGCTCACTTGCTGGGTTCGTATGGTAGGCGAAGGGCATGCATCGAAGGGGCGCGGACGACCCTGGCCGAGGGCTTGCGCGCTCCCGATTCTGCACGCTCATCACCATCACCTCGAGGGATCTTGCATTGCGGTGAGACATCAACCATGGGCTCTCCTATTCCCTGAGTCCGACTGGAGCGAGTATCTTCCTGCAAGGCCTCGCCTAAGCAGGCCTCGTGCTGCACGTATCCCTGAACGAGGCGGTTCGGATCTGGTCCGCATCCACAGGGTGAGACCTGGGTGGTTATGGGAGCCGCGACCCAGTCCAAGGGATCGGCATCGATAAGCACGTGTTGGCTAGGGCTTTCACGTTGTAGATGACACTGTCCTAGAAGTCGCAGGTTTCGATAGCTTTTCTCTACGAATAGTTGAACACTCGATATGATCAGTTCAAAGTCTGGACCGAGTTGGTCCAACACACTGACTTGGTCGGCCATAACGGGTGTCTTACGTTTAATCACCACACATAAATAACCTGGGGGCTTCAAGAAGCGGTGGCGGCTCGTCATTTTCTCAAGTTGCCCGACTTGACGCCATGTGCAACACGAACAGACTCGAGCAGACGCTGTACTACCCCAGGGCCGCCTTGGAGCCTACTCCGTATAAAACAGAGCTGAGGGGCTGGAAGACTGTGAAGCCGAGACATGACTCGCTCCAGGGCTTCTTCACCGTAGTTTGGGTCTAATTCTGTCCGAAATGTGTCGGGATGGTTATAAAGCCGTCAAGTTGGCTGGGGCTGATTGGTTGGTGTTTCGCGTATTTGGCGCAGAGGTTGACTACCCGTCCCGTATGCAGCGAGCGATTGGAAGCCGGGATGATGTGGGTTATCGGAGAATGAAGTGCATGCGAGGTCTGTAATGATTCGAGCTGTGTCGAATCTTGAACTGCCATGCAGGTTTAAGACACCGATCCCGGCTGTATGCGACATGACCGCACCCTTAGGACCGGTTATAATTGCGAGAGACTTGCAATAGGGCTTGGTGATCCATCGTCTGTGCAGAAGGCAACCGTATCATGTATCATGTGAGGGCGTTGTAGTTTTGTGCACTGGTTACAACATGCACATGAGCCAATGCCCTTTTCATCACCGCCGGCTTGCACGTAGCCTTGTGGACATGCCTTTGAGTCAACACTGGCTGAGGGCTCGGAGTGGCGTTGTTGTAAGCGAGAAGGCGTTGAGACATTGATGGTGGCGTACCCATTATTTCTTAGTGTTGCATCAAATTGGTAGAAACGAGAATATACCTTAATTAGGTCCTGTTCAACAAAGCACAGAGCTTCATCAGCGTTGATTCGTTGAGGGCGAACCCCTTGGGCGAAGGGAAGCCCTTATTCCTTGGTGTCTACGTACCCGTTGGTAACATGACAGACAACTCACGTTGATAATGCAATCAATCAATCATAAAGAACTCTCTATTGGAGCAGGGTGGTATCTAAGATAGTCCGCTTGATTCTATGCTCGCATGCATTCATAGCTCAAGCAATTCCGATGATGCCAAACGCCCCCAATGCAAACAGCCATCAACGGCCCGCAGGGTAATATACACAAGCGCAAACATCCGCTTTTCGCCTATAGTCCTCTCCCTCTAAACATCGCCAGTCTTGAACAGCTCCAGGTGCTGGCGATCCCAGGGAACGCCGCGGCCCTCGAGCCACGCCCGCACATCGACCATCCAGTCCTCGGGCCCGCACACGTAGTACTCGGCGGTGCTGTCGCCGAGGTGCAGCAGGTCCTCCTTCTCGAGCGTCTCCAGGTTGATGCGGCCGGTAAAGTCGTAGTCCTTGCCGGCAACGTCGCCGTCGCGGAGTTGCGACAGGAAGATCTTGGCGCGGACGTTGCTGTGTTGCGCGGCCGTCTCCCGGACGTGCGGCGCAAAGCACGACGAGCCCGAGTGCTGGGCGCCGTGGATCCACGTAATGGGCCGCGAGCCCGTCGCCGACTTGAGCACGGCGTCCTGGATGGAGACGAGCGGAGTGGCGCCGACGCCGGCCGAGAGGAGGACCAGCGGCTTGGTGGCGGCCTCCGTGTTGGCCGGGTCGACGAAGAACTCGCCGGCGGGCGGGCTGAGCTCGACGACGTCGCCGACGTTGTACCGTCTGTACAGCATGTTGGAGATGAGGCCGTAGACCTTGCCCGAGGCGATGTCTTCAGCTGGCGCATTCTCAATGGTGTCTTCGAGCTTGACGCTCACGCGGTAGTGGTTGGCACCGTCCTGGGGCGCCTCGCTCAGGCTGAACTGTCGGCTCTGCAGGAGGCCGTCCAGCTCCGGAATGGGGAGCTGGACACTGACATACTGGCCAGGGAGGAACGTGGGAAGACGCTTCCCGTCGACAGGCTCGAGGTAGTAGCTGGTGACACGCTCGTTCTCGGCCTCCTTCTTGGCGATCTTGAACTTGCGCCAGGTCTGCCAGTCGCCGGCGGCTTCGTACAGCACCTTTTCGCGGTTGATGAAGATGCCGGCAAGCTGGCCGTAGGCGGCGATCCACGCCTCCTTGATGTCCGGGGTCAGGGCGGGGCCGAGGATCTCGCCGAACGCGGCGACCAGGTATTTGCCGACGATGTCGTACTGCGCGGGCTCGATGAAGAGCGAAACGTGCTTCTGGGCAATGCGCTCCACGGCGTGCTGGAGCCGGGGCAGGTCGTCAATGTGCTGCGCGTAGGCCAAGACCGACCTGGCGAGGGCGGCCGGCTGCTCTCCCGTGTGCTGGGCGCGCAGGGAGAAGTAGTTCTTGAGGCTGGGGTTTTCGCGGATCATGTTGCGGTAGAAGGTTGTAGTGATGGTTTTGCCATGTTCCTTGAGGATTGGCACGGTGGCCTTGACAATGGCAATCTGGGCTTGTGTCAGAGACATGTTGAGTAGATCTGTGATGCAAATAGTGCTGGTGATGATGTGGATTGTTCTCTAGACGACGAGGTATTCACGGTCCTTATATACGTCGTCTGAGAACCACTCAAGGCCCGGCAAAAGACCATTACGCACTATTCTGCAGTTGCCAGCATCATGCCATTGCACAATGGCGGCGATGTCCTAGCTCGCCGTTCCGAACATCGCGGCGGGATGTGTGCTTGAACGGGTCGTTGCCCAAGGTCCAAGTGGATGGCCTGACGTCTGGGCAACACATCTCCGCGGGGAAGTCAATATGGGACCCAGCCTTTGTCAGCCGCAACGCATGGCTGACTTGTGTATTACAGTGCTTAAGGCGCAGCTCGGTTGCGTTGCGAGTCAGACCGACGGGAATTGGATGCCGTCTTCAATTTCCCGGGTTGTGGTTGACGTTGTTGCCAAAACTGCAACATAATCTGCATCATTTTCCTCCTGGACGGGGGTTCAGCAAACAAGCACCAAGAGATTCGCCTAAACAGGCAATTGAACAGATAAACGCAGAGAGCGTGCGGAGAAGCGGAAATGCCAGGAACACGGTCTATTTGGAGTCAGCCACGGGCCAGGAACCAGGGTTTGCTTGACACACAGTGGGCTGACGTTGCCACTACGAGACTCGGACCAAGCCGGGACACAGAGGATTGCTCGGAACTAGAGGGACGGCCCTAGGTGCCGGGTTTTCAGGCTCACATGGCCAACAGGGGCAAAGGTGAAATACGGAGCGCTGGGGCGAATCGGGGCTCAGGAATTCATAAGCCATACTGTCGGAGATGTTTAGTTCTGCTCTGGGCCACCGGGTGGAGGATTTTTCATGCTGTCAGTGGGGAACGGCGGAGCGGAGGATCCGGGAGAGTGAGATGCCGCGGAACACGCATAGCGAATACGCGGCGAATGGCCAATTGGGACTCAGATTTTGGAGTGTTGGGACCCAATGGTGGGCGAACCCCGTGGAACGGAGGTTCATCTCAAAGAATAACCTCAACATCTCCCATCGGCCGCGTGGCCTAATGGCTAAGGCGCTAGATTTCGGTTCACCGATTTCACCAATTCTCTAGAGATTCCAGGTTCGTTCCCACCTCTCCATTAATGCTCTGCTTGAGCACTAGCTGATATTCTTCATTAGGTTCGACTCCTGGCGTGGTCGTTTATTTTTTTCTCTGTATTTTTTTTTATTCCCGTTTGATCATTATTTTTTTTATCTATCTATATAGTGAGTCGGGGCTTTCCGGTCTTTGGGGATAAAGGTCATCTGATCGGATGCTTGCAGCCACTAGGGCTAGGATTGGTGGGTTCCTTCAACAGGAAGTGCTGCATCGGGTAGGACCGGTAGCCAGACCTACTGGGGCCATAAATTGGGAAGGTCTCGGACAGGACCTTCCAGAGGAGCAACACAAGCATCATCCTCCTAGCATCTCATCTTTTTCAATTGACAGTCTTTTGACCTATCCTTTGGTGACCTATTAAAGATCCATTTGATCAAACGGTATCAGCTGAAAAAGCTATCTACTTTGCCCAGCTACCCGATTTATCCGGACCCCAAACCTGACCCTTTCCGACCCTTCCGACACAACACTATCGCAGTCATCACAGCTCTGTTTCTGGGCGGGTTGTGTGTTCTTAGTGTCCTCTGCTCACTCCCTCACTCAATAAACTAGATTAAAGAGAGATCTCTATAGAAAATTCCCTTAGGTCGTAAAATTAAAGAAAAATACAGCCGATATCGCGAAATTTAAAGTGTACTTGGAAGCAACATAGAAAGCTATCCCCCAGGACTTTATTCGGGGCCTAATAGAGTCAATGCCGCGGAGGGTTGAGGCCTGCCCCAAGGCCAGGGGTTGGTATACAAAATATTAAAGCCACGCCTCTAGGGGTTCCAAAAATGTAGTTACTTTATTGTAGCTAGTCTGTAGCTTGTGGAATTGGTATCTTTATTATGTGTATTCCGGTCAGGGTGGTGGTGCGAGGGGGCTGTTGCAAGACTTGTGGAACCCCACTTTAGGTAGCCGGCTGCTGACAGCTGACAGCTAGCAGCAACGCACGTTTTTGCCCAAATACGCACGGTCAGTCCACCCTAAAGTAAAAATTCCAATGCTAAACCCTTGATAAGAATTCTTCCAAAGTCAACCTACTTAGAATCCCGGTCTTTCTTGGGACAGACCATCAGCCTTCTTCCTCAAACTTCCTTTGGGCGTGCCCTGAACTAGGAACCATGCCGCCTAGTACCATGTCACGACCAACCCGGCCTGGCAGCTCGCGCCGGGAGAGTCTCACTAACTGGCTCAGCCGCATGCACCACATGGGTTCCGAGATAGACGAGTTTCTGGAACTTGTCCAAAAGGTGGATGAAGAAACCCAGGATATCCTCAGTTTCCGCTGGCATGTGAAGACCACCCAGCAGGCGCAGGACCGAGTCCTTCGGAACTATTAGAAATTTGTCCAGGTACGTTGTTCACACCACTCGTATAGCTAATGGATCCGATTCCATCGTGTGGGCCATATTTCCTCGGTCCGAGATCCAGTATGATTAGGTTCCCATCTCCAGAGCTAACAGCTAAACTCAGACGACTCACGCCCAAGGCGAAGATATCGACATCGATGATGAACGCGCCAAGAAACTGTGCTTTCCCGAGGACCACCAGCAGCTCTTCAAACAGATTCGTGTGTTCGTCGGCGTTGCTCTTTGGAAAGCGGCTCCTAGATCCAAGGCAGACGATGTGATCGGTTACAGTACCCTGATGTCCTACCGCCAGCACATGTGGTTTTGGATCAAGCGAACCTACTCGGAACTTGGACAAGGTCAGTAGGCGATTGTCTAATGGAACCCAAGGTGAAGCTGACATAAATTTAAGCACCTCCTCATTCTGCCCAAGTCTTCAATCTTATCACGCAAGTTATGAAGAAGTATCTGAAGACGAGAATGGGCCAGCGCACTGAGAAGCCCAAGGCACAGCTTGGAGTAGCGGAGTTGCTGCAGCTTATCGACACGGATATAGCTTCTACCCCCTGCATCGAGTTGGCCGAAGGAATGCATATTGCGTGGCTCCTTGGCAGACAATGTGCACTGCGACCTGGATCCATCGGCGTTCAGCAAGTTAATAAGGCTGAGATATACGACCATCACAACACACCCTATCTTGCGTGGAAGGACATTAAGATCACTCGAGGAGATAAGCCTGGAGTGTTTGATTGTGAGGTTACTATCCGCAACCTGAAGGGCAGTGACTCTAGCTATGCAGAGAGCGGCAGGCCTCTTGAAAATCGGAAGCTTATCTTGTGAGTCGCTTCCTTATCTCTATATACCTTCTTGACTAATGAGTACTACAGTTTCCTCAAGTCCCCGACGCAGACAAATAACCTCGTCTTGTCTTTACCTCATCGACTTCTGGTTGCAGCCCTCCGTCGTAAGGCTATCGTCGGAATCGAGTCGGTCGCTGAGCTCTTGGACGGCAATATTCGCCGCATCAGATTTAAGGATGAGTTTTTAAACTTACCTATTGCTCTTCGAGGTACCCCTCGTGGATTAGATGTCATTCCTGACCAGCCAGCTACTGTTATAGCTCTTTCAGAGTATCTGCAGCGACGAGGTGAGAATCTTGGGTACCCAGAGCCCATTACTTTTTATGCTATCCGTCGTCGTGCTGCAACCAACTTCACTGAGGTCTTTGGAGCGGACAGTGCCCGGGCCATTATGAACCACGATCCAGATACCCGAATCATGGAACAGCACTACCTCGATCTCTTTCGAACAACCAATATGACTGCCGCGGCTCTTGGCGAAGGCGCTCCTGCCGAACAGCAGGAAGAAATGAACGAGCAAGCCAACTACCTCGCCCTCAATCGGCTCGGTCCCCAGAGAGTGTCTGAGATCTACGGAGCCCCGCTCAATGCAGCTGTTCGCAAGCTGATCTTGACCGATGATAAATACTGGGAGATGGGTACCACTCGAGAGCGAAAGAATCGGGAACGCGTTCTCAGAAGAAGTGCTCTGCAAAGCTTGATGGAGATAGCCCATCAGGAGCAAAGCGACACCATGACTGTTCAAGAGATGAAAGAACGCAAGCAAGAGGTCATGGAAAAAATGACGCTGTTCAACACGAAGCTTCTGGAGATGGCCAAGAAGGCTGCCGAAACAGACCTAGGAACCGGTTCAGTTGGTGACGTCCAGTGTGATGAGGATTTTGAAGAGATTCACTCCGACGTTGAGGATGCAGAAGCCGACGCTGACGACCAGATGGAAGCTGGAGGGTCAGTCAATGTCGATGAAGAGTCATTTCTGCCGCAAAATGCTACCGACGAGGAGGGTGGCTATTTTGAAGCTGTTCGCTACACGATGAACCTACTCTACGACAACTCACTCAACGAGTATAGCATCAAGCAGCGCGCCTTTTGCCCCCTATGTGTTGACGACGACACTGTTGATCAAGAGGCGAAGCAAAAGCTCTGGGCTCCCAACCACATCAAACGACACATGGACTCCATGTTCCACACGGACTATGGTGCCTTTCAGCGCCGCGCTGAGATGGTCAAGGCCGATAATGAAGCCCCAGGCTTCGTCTGCGAGTTTTGCGTCCTCGTCCATCCCGAGGGGTGGGAACCTGTCTACTACCCCGGCTTTAGTCAACTGAATCGCCACATCAACGATTCGACTGCCAAAGGGCTGCGACGGATGCAGAATAAACCCGAGGGCTTGGATTTTGAGGAAAGATCCGCCAACCACGAAACTCGAAAGGAAGAGGCTGGATGGAACCGGGATGACTTCAGAGGTGACAGAATTGTTCAGGAGAAAGAGAAGCAAGAGCGAGTGGTTCGTGCGCGACGCAACCTGGCCCTCGACCAGCCTGCTTTCAGATTCACTGATGAAGCCGAACTTGAGGCTCCAATTCCCGTTCCAGGACAGCCCGGTCTGTTCTACGGCTCGTTCAACCACCCTTCCGAAATCCCAGAACATATGGCGGGGGTTCTCAGCCTCGGCCCGATACCAGGTACCGAGCTGGATGATGTGGATAACGACGATGGGCTTGGGCGGACTCGAGCACGAATGCCTAAAGTCCCCCTCACTCCCTATCAAGCGGCTGGAATCACAATCGGGCCAGTGCCAACTGGACCAGGCCCTACGCGCTATGATGACATTCCGCCGCACCAGGCTCACATGATCAAGAAAGTACCATTCCCTGGTACGGAAGGCAACCGGGAGAAGGATGGTCTGTGGGTGAAACATCGGCTTCTTGCTAAGAAAGATTGAGTAGATACGAGGCTGTCGGGTCCCTTGGGGACTGTTTGGTGTGGTGCGGGCACTTTTGTACGACTGGAGCAACGAGGGAACGCAAGATAATACTTGGTGCATGATACTTTTAAAGGAACCCTAAAAATGAAACAAAAAATCTTTCTTCTTAAATCATTCCAGTGACATGGGCATCGAAAATATAATCTGTGTGCAGAGAAATGATCTTAGCCTTGAAATGTGCGGTCTAACTGTTGAGCTGCACAAGCACCTGCTGCCAGCTGCCAGCTGCCAGCTGGGTACCTTAGGCATCTATTGTGAACGCGTTTGACATGCACCTCCCTTCCCGCTTCACCTTCACCTTCACCTTCACCTTCCACATCACAGGCTCCCCGCTCCTCTCGGGTACCCGTATGTACCCCATATTGATATCGCTCTTGGTATCCCTCCTAGGATCCGGATCTCTCCTGGTATCCGGATCTCTTTGGTATGCCTCTTTGGATCCGGACCTCTTAGGTATCATTATTCTAACAAAGATTATTAGTGTTGACTATGCCCCGAGGAAGGAAGGGATCCCAGCAGGGAGAGCCCCCAGAGCTCCCGGATCCCGACACTGATATCCTTCAGTCAATGAACTGGATGGATGTAGATGTCGCCTACCTAAGTGCAGATAACCGAGCTCTTCACAACAACCTTGGGACCATTGCCCGGCCCCTGACAGCGGTTCTTCAGGCTATCCAAACTCAAGCTGAGTGAGATCATACCTCTCATCCTCTTGTCTACCCACTCAAGTCTAACCTATCGTACAGTACTCGCACTCGGTCCCAGTCAGTAACCTCCCGACGGTCTGTCAACACTGAGGAAGGAGAAGATGCCAAGGAAGAGCTTGAAATGGAGGATAGCTCCCAGAAGCAGTTGGCGTTCCGGAACCAGTTGAAAGAGTATGTAGATATTATCAACAAATACCACCAACTCTGGATTCAAGATGTCAGTACCATTCACAAAAGATAATAGAGGTACTATACTAGGGGCACACTCCTTATGTCACCAAACGCGCCAGCCCTGCTACAAAAGCAATAGATTTCTTCGTCCACCTTCGTGATGTCTATATCCTCGAAGAGACAGAAGGTTCCCAGGACCATCCCATCGTCTAAATCCTCGCCTCGCTCACTCACAAGTCTGAGGTTATTATGTATCTCCACTTCAATAAAGAATACAAGGCTGGCGCCGAACGCCAGAAGAAGTCGTCGCTAAAGGGAAAGGGCAAGGACAACGACAACGACAACGCGGTCGAACCTCATACGCCCCGTCATGTTTCTACAACTACTAGCGCGGTTGATGCTACGGACCGATCATCCTATTCGCCCTCTGCGACTCTCTTTGCCTCTGGTGGCCGGTCGGGGAGACCGGCCGTGCTGGGAAGCGCGACGACCTCTGGAACCTTAGGACGTGGCACCTTGGGACGAGGACGGGGCTCGAGTCCCTTCGACTTTCCGACTCGTGGAGCGCTGGCTGTGTCGGGCTCTGGTTCCAAGCGACTTCGTCTCAGCCGACGAAGCGGAGTTGTTATAAGCTCGGACTCGGACTTGGATGAACATCCTGCAAAGCGCTCTGGTGCCTCTGTTGCTGCGGGCGATAGTGACGACGATGATGATGATCTTCCTGTCTTGGAGAAGTAGATCTCTTGAGATCTTGCCATCGGTCGGTTCACGTTCGACACCTAACGGTAGATAAGCCACAGCTAATAGCAAGTGCGATGGTACGAATGTTGAGATGGCATGACTGTTAATAGGACTGATGATGAAAAAGAAGCACGAGAAAAACCTCGGTGTATGACTCTTTACTACAGGGCCCCGGAAAAGAATACCAAAATGAATCTTCTTTCTTGACTCGAGTCTTGTATGATGGCCCTCGACCCTGTGACCCTTAACTGTGAACTTGCGCTCAGCCTAGGACCATTAACCTACGACCCTTAGTCTGGCAAGCTGTTGAGGTGGGATCCCGCTAAGATGGGATCTTGGGACGCAGCGATCAATTGCCCAGCAGCCAGCAGCACGGCAACTGTGGACTTCTGCTGTGGTGCCAGTGCCTTGTTACTACCTAAGAGACGGTCAGCTGGTGATGGAGGCTGATACACAGATGCTACTCTACTAAAAGCCAAGTGACCGAGAGAAGGAAACTGGAGTGAGGATGGGCTCCAATGTGTAATATGTTTGGCTTATTTTTCATACTGGTTGGTGTTTGCTTTGAAATATCCTATAAATTAATGGGCGCATTTTCCTCCCCTATTTGCAGAAATCAATAAAACCCTCACCTTCCAACCCCAACTTTCGCACGAGATCAACTACCAACCCTTCCCAGTGCGACCACACAACACCACGCCACCTTCTGGTGTGAGACCTCAAGGACGGGGAACCTGTATCATTAGAGCCTCTTCTTCTAATTTCTCTTCCTTATTATTCTATTCAGGTTCCAAGCCCCTCGTGGCGGCTCTTTTCTTGACTGGGCCCTGGAGCAGAATCACCACCCACCTTCAGCAACTCGACCATACCAACACCTTATCGCACCCTCCCTCCTCCAACATCCATCCCTTTGAGACAACCGTTCAACATGGAAGGACGAAAGTCTGGAGAAGGCAGCTCGGGGCCAACAAATCCCAACGCCAGCAAACGGAAGCGGCCCCAACCGTCTGACAAAGGCAAAGCAAAGAAGGCAGCAAAGGCCTCCGTACGGAAGAAGCATCCACGAGAGCAGAGACTCAAGGGAACCCAGACAACCCGGACGCTGATTTCTCGTCTGACCAGCACCCGAGGAGGCACCCAGTCTGCCACGAACTCGTCCGGGGGCGAATCTTCAGAGGATGAGTCGGCCAGCGAGTCCAACGACAGTTCCGACGATGAGAATGGCCGCACTAAGAAACGACAGAAAGACACACCCAATACCAACCAGGAAGCTGAAGAGGATTGCATCATCGAAAGCCAAGACGATGACACAGCCGATGAGGATGCCGTCCAGCCGCCCCGCAGGATCGTGGACCAGGAGCGGGTTCAGGAAGAGGCAAATGTGCCAGGTATAAAATTACCGGTAGCGGTCGGAATAAACAACGAGGATGGGGACCCTGTCGAGGTTGCCACGCTTGGTCCCTACGACATGCGAATCTGGGAGAAGGGTGTGGGCGACGCGGCCAACAATCGATTCTTCTCGTTGAGTCCACCTGAAGCAGTCCGGATCCTGACCGAGACGATGGGAACATTTTGGATCGTCACCAGGGCCTGTTCGATGATGAGCATGTCTGGGACCCAAACTGCTGTTGAGGCTCGACTTGGAGTGGAAATGCCATCCTCGAATAGCATGCCCTTCTCTCGAGCGTTTGTGGGATTCTCGGCTCATTTGCTAGCAGACGTCTATATGAGCCCCGGCAAGGCTGGAAGCGTTGGATCAAAGGTCGTCAAGTTGTTTGATGATGCAACTGGGGTCCAATTCAAGACGGAACCTGGATCAAAGCTGTGCGCGGGGAATTTGATTTGGCATGAGAAGTGTCTGGTCCCTACAGTTATCGGGACTATCAAAAATCTCATCGAGTACGACACACCAGAAGCGAGTGACAAGGATGCGAGGGCGGAAGCCTGGGTATTTCTTGGGCGTGAGCATCGTCGGTCCCTGAAAGGTCTTAGCCCTATTCCATACGGCTCCTGTCTCCCATCACCTAATGGAAGCAATCAGCCAGATATGGGTTGCCTCTATCGGGATGCATCAATAGACACACACTATATGCTGCAGTGGCCGCCACTGGCTGTCTTGAAGGTGCCTCGTGAGATGCTACGGATCCTTCAGCAATTTCTGTCTGCTCATCGCAGGGACCCAATGCCACTGAATCTGGCTGTGGCGGCAACCATCATCTATTTCGACTTAAAGAAGAACGATTGGGAACCAGAGGGATTTGTCAAGATTCGAAAGGGGCCTTCTCCGCCTATTCACCCTCCACCTCTAGGGGTTTTTATCATCTATTTCCCCCACCTTCTCAGATTCACGGAAGTTCGACGCCTCACTAGGTATATTCACCCTGCTCGTTTTGCAGCGCACAACTACATGCTCGACAGGGAATCCGAGATAAAGGCAATGGCGGTTGACTACGATGGATTGGATGTTGTTGCTTTGGCGGCGTTGGTTGCAAAAATACAGTCTACGTCGGCAGAAGTACCTGCAACCATGCGGGTCCCACTCCTACCTCAGTCTATGCCAGGTTCCCAGATGGTGTGGCCATTAAGCGTGACGAGGGGAGAGCCGCCATCTGACGGGCTCTCAAATCTGTGCCTGCTCAACGACATTCGAGTCCTCGGAATCCCGAGTTACCACAAACGGGATGGGAACCACATGCAGATGGTGGGGCTTCCGATGAGGTGGGCAGTCAAATGGGTGCGATACAATCGCCAGTGGCAACGAGTGTCAAAACAGCCTGCTTCTGCCTTCTGGCACCCTGAGAGAAAGGCCAAGTTGGTTTCCTTGACAGGACCCTTTCCGAAAATTGGGCCTGTATTCGCAGACCTGGAACCTGCCCTTCTAGAAGAGGAGAAGGTGCCCGAGCCACAGGGCTCCTGGGAATGGGATGACCCGAGCACCTACCTGAGAACCTTGTCACTTGACGGCATAATCGACAGGCGGCTCCGTGAAGATATTGCGAGGACCAACACTGCTCGGCTTCGGGTCGCCCTGGGCAGTGGTGCGTTCCCTTCGGACCTACGATTTGATGAGGATGATTGGCTTCTCCACTGGGCAGGAATGGGATCCGCCGTGACAAGAGCTGCTGCAAACAACCAACTTGGGAAGATGGCCGCTGCTCCTATCATCTGGAAACCACAAGAACAAGTCGAGCCCCGAGTCGTAGTGGACTTGACGGGTCCCGAGGAAGCACAGGACCCATCCGCCTGATGGGCCTCAGAGGAGTTGAAGAAGGAGGTGATGGTATCTCTCTCATGTACAGGGGTCCAACCACGACTTTACGCAACTATCAGAGAGCTTCTTGAGCCCGGTGACCCAGTGGGGTTGGTCACCCTCTTTCAATACCTGCAGGACCTTGCCGCCGAGATCTTGGGACCGCTTCAGCAAATCGTTGAGTTCGTCGGTCAGGATGAACATGGCGAGGCAAAGCAGGAAGAGATTGAGAAACTGCTACCCCGAACGGTATTGAGATTCTTTGGGGCTATCGATTTTGATGAAGGGATGCCTCCGGATACGTCGCAACATTGGCACGAGTTTACGAAGAACTGGACGGATCCCGAAAATAAGAAGATCAGTCAATTGGTGAGCATGATGATAATGTTTTGGGGAAATACTGGATCCTGGAGCGTCGTTAAGCCTGTTATGGCTTCACTGATGGCTATGCCAAACATTGAGGGAGCATTGAGAGGAGGTCTTCGAGCGTGGGACCTTGCGACGGTGGATATGGACGTGGTGTTGGCAGAGATCAAGGCCAGTGAAGAGGCGAAGAAGAATGCGGAAGCGGAGTCGGACCCAAACGCCACCCAGGAACCCCGACCGAGACCTGACGGAGAGTCTGCCCAAATTATGACCAGTCCTAAGCCATCTGGACAGGGAGTTGCCGAGGGAACCGAGACGGAGGTTGGAGAGGCTGTGGAGGGGGGAACCCTGCCAGGAAAGGGTGTTTCCAAGGATTGAGGATAGAAGTTTGCTGCGAAAAGGGTTTCTTTGTCTGCATTTATCTGGGGTTACGTCTCCCTTACTGGGAGGCATTAGAATAGTCCTGGGAACCAGCAGGTCAGTATTGCTGAGTATTTGGGGTGATGGTTATGGGTACGGTGCATCATGCTGAGGGTGTCGGTACCGTTATTAAGCAGGACGTGCTTACTGCTGGGACGGACGAATCGAAGGCAAAGGCAGAGATAGGTTCCTGGGAGTTATTTTTGAGAATACCGTCAACGCGGTATATAGATGCACTGGGTCGGGAGATATTACAGATACATCCAGTAGCACACTGCATACAAGTAGGCGCAAAAGTCGTTCATAAGTGTTTTCGCCTGCCTCACCAAGAGCTGCAGCAGTTACGTTGGTTGTTCGGAAGAGATCAAGTTGTGCCGTTCCATAGTTCAGGTGTCTGCGTCGTGGCTCATAAGGGCACAGGCGATATCAGCTCTAAAGACCTGTTGCCCCAACACCCCAAACACCAAATAGCTTCCAGGTCATATAACAATCTCAGGTTTGACGGAGGACGGTGAGGCGGTCAGGGTGTGATATCCGCAGGGAGCAGTCGAACTTGTATCCCGGTTTCCTCAAACGTTTCTCGCTTGACCGTCTGCTCGAGGGGCTCATCTAGGTCTTTGCGGCCCTTAGAGAGGAAGTATTCACCCGTTCTCTACCAGCGAATGAGGAGTACTTTCGACCTCGCGACATCTATCGACACAGTGTCACAGCTGATAGAAAACTGGCCGGAGAAGTAAAGTATTTTGTCTATGGAGGCTATCTTGATATTCCAGAACCTATCTAAAATAATTATAGACATCAGGTACCTGACTCAACGTGCTTGGATCTCGCCCACTTACCTCGGATTGCGCGGGTGCGAAGCGTAATTAAGCCTTTGGTTCTTCATCTCCGCAGACTTTGAAGGAGCGCAGCTAAGGAGGGCAGAACCTTTCAATTTTACTTAGAGGATGCCTGATGTTTTCGAAGGGAGCCATCTGAAGGGAGCCAAATGGGACAGCCACAATTTCGCTCCCGGTAACTTAGTTGTCCTGGCTACAAAGCCCGGGTCATAAACAGTGCCCACGGCGTCTGGTCGGTCACAGGCTCTCTTGCGAGCAAACTGCTCGCGACACGGCTTTAGCGAACCTCGTCGTTCGGGCTGCTTATCGCCAGCGACGCCGCATTGGGGAGGTGCTAGCATTGGAGATTGAGCTGGCGGTTCGATGAAAGGATAATAAAGCAGACACAAAGACCGGGAAGTATAAGACTTAGACCCTCAAATAAAAACGCCAAACGCGTGTTTATTTGAGACCTCTGGTTCTATTATCTAGGCCTGCATTTTGATGACAGTGATAAGGTATCTAAGCTGGAGGATAGGGTCATATAGCCCACCTATCGAGCACTGGTGGAGTGGACGCTGGCGGAATAAGATGGGTATAACTACATATACAAATAGCAATACTCTTTACCAGATCCTCTTGAAGATAAGAAAACTCTAGACTTTAGATAGCAACATGCGCTTTTGTTGGTATTGCTCTTGACCGCCCAGATTTTGTTTGAGGCAAACACGGATGCTGGCGTGCGTGGGCTGTCTGCACCCGCCGACACTGGCCTCACGTGCTGACTGCGTTTGCGCCCATTGAGATCAATCGAGCCTTTGTCATCTGTCAATACTTATTTTGAATCACACTTCAGTCATCCAGGTGACAGAAGCTTCCTCTTCATCTTCCGTCCCTGAATCCTGGTTTCCTATTTCCAGACCCCGAACGAGTACCCATCATGCCTGGCTTCCGCAATAAGAGAGGGAACGAAAACCCCGAGCCTAGCCAGAAAATGGAGCTCATAGACTTCCTGACTGATATTATACAGTCCTTGTCTGGAGAGCCAGGGAGCACAATTGATCCGGAGGCCGTCGCCGCTAACATCGTGAAGCGTTCAAAGGAGAGAACGCTCCAGAACATCCGCGAGATGACGGCGTACGTTGACAAATTCTAGTCTTGCAATTTCTTGATCTAGATCTGGCCTGTCTACCTTGCTCAAAATTACTCGTCCATTTCCAACTCAACCCCCTCGTCTTTTGGCCTTGTATCCCCAGCTCCGAGTTCTAATACGGATGGTACTTAGGATTATGGACCGTCTCCGGTTGCGACTTTCCCCCTCTTCAGAACCCACCAAGACTGAGAAGAACCCAGCGGATTTCGAAACCGAGCTTGAGACAGAAAACGACCAAAAGCAAAGGAAGAAGATGGAAAACCGCGAGCAGGCGACCGTGAGAAGCCAGCTGAGGCACAAACACTGGGATTATATCATCGAGTTCCATCAACGGTGGATGGACGATGTGAGCAAGACAAAGCAACTGAAAACTTGACCTAGCTAATCATTCGGCGAGGGCTCTATGCCCTATGTCACTCTTCCATGCTTCGAAAGTGGCAGCCTTACTGAAGACATCAAGAATTTCTTCGGCGCCATTTCAGCCTCATTTGATGACAGTGGACTTGCCGATGACCATCCAATTCGCGGTCGCATTCTCTCACTCAACGCCAAGTCTCAGTTCACTCTCTATCTTGAATTGAACGCACAGAATAAGAAGAGCACAGAGGCCAACAGCACTAAAGGTTGAAGGAAGAATAGATATGAGACACCAACCTGCTCTTGAGGGGCCATGTGGTGGCTTGGAGTACTTGGGAGCCGCCCTAGCAATTTGTCGTGGAGCTGGATGACTGCGATGCGATGGTGCGACGCGCTGGTAGATCAATGGACTACGAGATAAAATTTGGTTCATGGCCCTGTGCACAGGAACCGCGGGATAAAAGAACATTTCTCGTCTTGCTATGTTTCCTAATATATTCATGACTCGGGGCTATTTAAACTACAGGATTCATCTTTATCGTTTACGGTTTACCTCCATTCGGCTTATCCCCATCTGGGGGCCCTCCCGGACCCCCAAAGTTCATCCTCCAATACGATTCGTTGTACCGGGACTGCATCAGTCCATCAACCGACCGACAACCTGGGTTCCAGTGATCATTTTTGCTGCCAAACGGCCACATGGCAATGAAGAGCACCTCCTCGGCCGGGCATGGCTGTGGCTGCTTCCAGGTCGTCCAGCTGAGCTCCTCCATCAATCGCTGTACCACTGTTCGACCGATCCTGGCCGCCTGCTGCAAGCCTGAGTCGTCGTCAATATCAACGGCCTGGTAGTTACTGTTGCTAGCAAGGGCGTTGGATGAAGCGTCGAAGATGAGTTCTCGGACGGAGAAGAGGGTGCTGCAGACATTCTCCATCACGGTGTCGATAGACGTAAATATCAGCTCGTCTTCGGAGCTCCACTCCTTCCGGGCTATTGTCGCCGGTCGGAGGAAGTGGTTCCTGCATCGGTCGATACCGTCGGCGGTCCTGTTAATCTCCTTCCTTTTCGAGAGAGTAATGTCTTCCGGCAAGGGTGCGGCGTCAAACCAGGTCGCCGTGATGGTCTCGACCTCGTCAATGAAGTATTGCCACGGGAGCGACTCAGACGCCATGGAGCTCAGCCTCTGGGCAAACCGACTCACAATGAGATCGATGACACCCTGCCAGTTGACTGTAAACCTCCGGGGCTGAGTCACTACCTTGGCCAGGTACTTCTTGATGGCCCTCAAGTCATCCAGGCTAACCGATTCGAGGCGCACAAGATCAGGCCGGTCGATGTCGCTACTCGTGATGTTGACTGGGAAAAACAAGGCCGATACCATGGATGAAAAGTCAAATCGAATTCGATCGCCGAGCCCGTTGTAACGCTCCCCAACGGCCCTCACCCATTGGAAAGCATCCAGATACTCATCGCCGACCTTGTCTTCTGGCATCATGGTCCGCGTCATGCTGATGAGGTCAAGTCCGTCCTTGAAGTCGCAGTAAATGACCTCAAACCCAGCCTCCATGCGCATCACGCCGTCGAAGCCCCAATCGCCTACCAAATCGCAAAGATCCAGGGCGCGAGGGTATTCGTCAAAACCAGGCTGGTTATGGTTGGTCGCATTCTCGCGAAGGAGAAGGTCCTGTGAGTCGAGCGTGCCCATGGTGGTCTTTCCAGCGCTCGTGCCATCGATGTAGAGCAGCTTCAGATCGCGGTTGGCCTGATACGTCTGAAGATATCCGCGAGTGTTCTTGTTCTCATCATCACCATCACCGGGAGGGCCACCACCGGGGCCGCCTGGACCACCACTAGGACCATGGCCGTCATGGCGGCGTCGCAGCTCCTGGCGAGTCTCTTCATCTCCGGAGAGAGGCTTCTGGCCATCTGAATCACCATCCCGTGGCGGCGGAGGCGGTCCGTTAGGATCATCTGGATCACCACCACCAGGAGGCTTCGTGGGAGGTATTCTGCGAGACGTGCCCTTGTGTGAATGAGCAAAGCCCTCGGCATGCTCGATCTCGAAAGCCAACCACTCAGGTCCCGTTGGCACCGTGTTATTGCGATCACCGTGGAAGACCAACGTGCCCCGGGGCATCACGGCCGGGACGAAGCCGAAGCCATTGTGGTACAAAGAAGACCCCCATTGTCTGCCTGCAGAGTGGATGGCGTTGAAGATGCGGTTCGCGTTCTCTTTGGAGCTCTCGTGTGTTGGCTTGATGGGCTTACCAGATGGGATGCTGGTAGCGCCGCTCAGCGTGACGCCGAGAGCTAGCAGCAAAGCACTGGTAGTTGAAGGAATCATGGCGGTTAACCCAGAAATGAGCAGTCAAGCAATCTATTGCGGAAAACTCCTTGCGATCGGAGAGAAATCACCTCGAGGTGGAATTTCGTATCGTCGTACGCGAATCCGTTGTCGTCGTCAGCCGCGCGGCCAGCCCGCTCGGAGACCGATCTTATCCGCGATCGGCCATTCAGCAATCTCGCCAACTGTAGATTGATAAGCGCCAGCTGGCGACAGCTGTCCGTTGAACAACTGCGGTTGAAGAGCTGGATTGAAGCTGTTCACAACAATTCACGCCAAAATATTGCCGGCGCAGTGTCTGGGTCACCAGGGAGGAATTGAGAAAGGAGGAGCCAAGAAGCGGAACAAGTCTCCTGTAGAGCGCTCAACAGCATAAGACCCGAGATTTGAATTTGGTGGAATTGTCATGGCGCCCACCATCATGACCACTGTCATGACGTGTTGGTGTCGCGAAAAGTTTCGCGAATGGCTTCAAGAAAAAAGTCCAGAATGCAACAGCCAGAAATTGAGCTGCGAATCGCCGATCGATCACCGCCACGTGTATCGACCCACTGCCATTGAAAAAGGGAGGTCATTCGTGAAAAATGAGGTGCGCCGCCCAAGCGTAGAACATGGGCAATGGATGGGGCGTGGGGTCGGTCGATCGTGGGTTCCACCTCCACCACAGCTCGCTCGCGGCCCGCGGAAGCATTTCCTAGTGCGCCATGATAGCCTCTGCTGTCGGTTTTGACATCAAACACCAACGGCTCATGACGGGCGAAGTGGTCTTGTGTCCGTGGGGTTTAGGTCGGTGAAGGAGAATCTCGTCATGCTGCAAGGCATCCAATCGGCATGGCCTGGGAGGCACATGGCGATGCTGGCAGTGGGATGATTGGGCGCGATGCAGCAGGGCCCAGCGTCAAGGCGCAAAGGACGGGTTGCTCGGCAGACACCTCAGCGCCGGACAGCGGTGACTCGGTGAGCTTGCATGCGTGGAGGACGCATCATACGATGGATGGTCCGGAGCCACGGTTTGGCTGGCAGCTGACCGGGTAGACGAAGCCACTGGGTCGTACGAAACGCTGTACGTACCGGCGGACCTGCGATGATTTGCTCTCCGGGAGGGCACTGCAGAAGGAAATGCGATGTGTCGTTGCTGGGCTTCCTGGTTGATGTCTGTCATGTGCAACGCATGCAGGCTGAAGGATGAGCTGGGCCAGATAGGAGGCTGTTGAGACCTGACAATGACCATTCTGTCCTGCACCTGGGATCCCTGAGCCGAGAGTCTGATGCTGCTGAATTGAGCAGCTGGAAGCAGAAACCCTTGCGGGCTTCTAGGTTGAGGGGACGAGCAGTGGGCAGCCTGGCAATGGCAAGGGAAAACCTACGCTCCTCCCATACCTCCTCTTCCACCGCGGGCCTGCAGCGTAAGGAAACTGACGTACATTTATTTACTACGGATCACACAAAAATACACCTGCATACTGCATGCCTATAATTGCAACGGGCCAGCACGACAGCCCAGTCCCGAGGTAGCAGGCCAACACATCCACAGCGTCCCAGCTGGCAGCCCCCGGGCGGTAAAGTAGCTTCCGTCGCATTTTCCCCGGGCGGCCCCCCTGGATGGGATGCGACGCCCCTGTGGGACCTCCCCGGGCCCCCGGCGGCGCAATGCAGTGCGTGCAGCGCGGGGTTCGGGTACGCTACGGTCTATGGGGGCTTGTAAATTTAGGTGGGTGGGTGGGTGGACCGTGGCAGCGCAGTGTGGTCACAGTTATGGACGGCGTGTGAAGTAAAGGCGACCGCATGCCGTGTTGGTGTAATTAACTGCAGGGTAAATCATCACGAAAGAACAAAGAAGCTCTCCCCTAATTCATTTACGCTTTTCACGGAAACCTCGGGGCGGCCGAGGATTGGCTGCCGCTGCCATATCGCACGATTGGGTTTGGTCTTAGTCGCCGTCCAACTCTGAAATGTACCACCCGATGATGCTGTGGCTGCTGCAACCCCTCCATCCTGTGGCCTCAAACCGGTCACGCCCGTCCGCTTCGCCGTGATGCGAGCGCAGCACGCAGATGCAACCAGGGCCCTCCGCCAGGCACGCCCGTGGCACCGGGAAAAAGTCGTTGACACGCACATCCGCATCCCAGGCCAAGATCGGAATTGGCTCCCAACACTCGCAATTTGCACTTAGGTTGTGCCTTGTGATCTCACAGTGCATATCCAATATCAGACCACCTCTGCATCGCCTCGCCGCGCCTCTTGTATCTCCTCGTCTTGTATCTTCTCGTCTCGTCTTGTCTCGTCTCCCCCATCAAAACGCCCCCTGCCTCTCGTGATTCAACGAGAAATCCCACATCTGCATCGCCATTGACCGAAATAAACAACAACAAAAGACTGATAACTGCAACGGCAACCCAAACCTGCCCAAAACACCACCCGAGCATCATCAGGTGGTCCGCTCGACACCCTACCGCCTCTCCGGGGACCCAATCTCTCCTCCCCCGAACAACGCCCCCGGGCGAATACCTTGCAATACGGGCTGTTGTCCAAGCACCGCTCAACGTGACCGTCTTTTACCAGCTCCGCCCGTCTCCGGCACGCCACCCGTCTCCTCACCTTGCGGCAGCATCGTCTGCTCACCTCGTCACCTCGTCTCAAACCCCACGCTCCCACTTGTGGTGCTCGCCTCCCTGTCTTCTGCCTTCGCAACCCCGCTCGGTGAGTGTTTCCCTATGCCTCCCTGTCGTTTCCACTGTTCCAGTACCACGCTTTACCGCCCTATACACCATACCGCCACCCTCTCCCAGTATTCCTTGCCCCTTCCGTACTGACCCACGCTGACGGGCTGACTAGGGTCAGCATCTTGGGTCCATTGCCTTTACATCTGCAGATTGTCGCGGCTGGACCTTGTCATTACCTAGTCCCCTGACCGGCCCTCGCAACCCCCAATCTCTTAGTGTAGCCATCGCCACAGGGGCCCCTCTGTAGACGCCGCTCCAGCTCCACTGCTCTTTCGATACCGACCTCCTTCTCACCACCGCCTTTTGGTTGTATGAGTTGTCTGACCAGGGCCGAAGACTATTTCTTTCGACTCGGCCACCCTCCAGTTGAAGTTTGATGTCCTGAGTATATCCGCCGACTTCTCCAGTCTCCCCTCTCCATCTCACATTATACCCCCCACCAAATCAAAAACATCCCCCGCAGTCATGACACCCAACCCGGTCCGCAAGTTCTCCACGGGAGCCTCCTCCCATCGCAAGAGGCAGATGAGCCTTATTGTCGAGAAGGAAGGTCAACTTGGAGCTTCTCTTACCGTAAGTTGTACTCTTTTATGAGTCCCGTCCACCAAAACAGTCGCTGGCTCAATGGCTGGCTCAATGGCTGGCTCAATGGCTGGATCCCTCCCTCACTCAACAAGGCACTAACATGATACCAGACCCTGTACCTTGGTATCTCAGCTGTCTTTGCTGATGACCACACCGCGGTCGTTGCCCTCGCTATCCACGATACCACATACCTCCTCGACTTTTCCGTCAAGCACGTCGCCCTCGATGAGGACCTTCGTGAGGGCAATGATCTCATTGCCGACCACATCATCTCCGAAGTTGAGAACTACGAGCACGAAAACTTTGTCAAGTTCATCGGTGCTGGTCTCCCAACCTCGCTGAAGTACATGAGCCCTACCCTCTGCTCACGCCTCTGGCTCGAGCTCGACATCATCCCTGTTGTCCTCCGACCCGACTCTGAAGCCAAGGAAAAGAGCTTCTGGGATGTCAAGCGTGTCGATGAGCAGGCTGACTCCATGGTCCGCAAGTGTATCCTGTAAGTTTTCTCAACTCGTAACAATTCTCTTGCTGACCAAGTGACTAGCAACTTCGGCCCCTCATTGGTTCCTCTGCTGCAAGTCGGCTGGAGGGGCATTGTCCAGACTGATGCTGGTTTCCGAGTCCACCTCACCACCGTTGGAGACCACAAAGCCACCTGTGGCCTTCCCACATGGAACACCATGCAGGTTTACGCCCACAGACTCCGAGAGAAGAAGACCAAGGTCGCCTTCTTCAGCAGCACCCCCCAGGGTGGAGGTGTCGCTCTCATGCGCCACGCTCTCGTCCGTCTCTCTCGTCTGCTAGGCGTTGACCTGGTGTGGTATGGTACGTGATATCCAGAATCAACCGCAAAAGGCTGTGACTAACAATCTCTCAGTCCCCAAGCCCCGACCTGGTGTCTTCCGAATCACCAAGAATGTGCACAACATTCTCCAGGGTGTCAGCCACCCCGACCAGCGCATTTCCGCTGAGGAAAAGGCTTCCATCACCGACTGGATCGAGGACAATGCCAACAGATACTGGCTTTCTGAGGGTGGTCCTCTCCGTCCCCCGGAGGAGGGTGGTGCCGATGTCATCATCGTGAGTTGCCTCAAACCCCCAGACCCCGGATCTCCACCAAGAATCCGGGGTAGCGTCTCGGCAAATATCCAGTCTCCACAAGATGATGAACTGACACTAAAATAGATCGATGATCCCCAAATGCCCGGCCTCATCCCATTGATCAAGAAGATCACCCCCAACCGCCCCGTTCTTTACCGATCTCACATCCAGATCCGAAGCGACCTCGTCGCCATCGAGGGCTCCCCCCAGGCCGACATCTGGAGCTTCCTCTGGGGCAACATCCAGCATGCCGACATGTTCATCAGCCACCCCATCCCCAAGTTTGTGCCTCTCAACGTCCCCCGCGAGAAGGTTGTCTACCTTCCCGCCACCACTGACTGGCTCGATGGCCTGAACAAGCCCATGAACAAGTGGGACACTGGCTACTATGGCCACATCTACAACCAGCAGTGCCACTCCCAGCGAATGTATGTTCTATGTTACAAGTGCACTATTGATCACAGCTAACGTTGGCAGGACTCCCCTTGCTTGGCCCAACCGTATGACTTGCTTCCTCCCGACTTCCATCAGCTGCTAACCTGAACTCTAGGCAAGTACATCGCCCAAGTCGCCCGATTCGACCCCGCCAAGGGTATCCCGACCGTCATCGACTCGTACGCCGAGTTCCGACGCCAGTGCGACAAGGCCGGCATCACCGATGTTCCCCAGCTCGTTGTGTAAGTATGTCCCTGATCATTGACAAACACTCGCTGACTTGGCTAGCTGCGGCAACGGCTCCATCGATGACCCCGATGCCACCATCATCTTTGACCAGACCATGAACCAGCTCGAGACTCACTACCCCGAGCTTCTTCCCGACTGCAGCGTCATCCGCCTCGAGCCCAACGACCAGCTCCTCAACATGGTCATTGCCAACGCCCACGTCATCCTGCAGCTCTCCACCCGCGAAGGTTTCGAGATCAAGGTGTCCGAGGCCCTCCACGCCGGTGTCCCCGTCATCTGCTCCAACGAGGGCGGCATCCCGACCCAGGTCAAGGAGAATGTCAACGGATACCTCGTCACTCCCGGCGACTACAAGACCGTTGCTGGCCACCTCATGAAGCTGTTCACCGACGAGGAGCTCCACGCCAAGATGAGCTACGAGGCCCGCACCGGCGTCAGCGACGAGGTCGGCACTGTCGGCAACGCCCTTGGATGGTTCTACCTGGCGGCCAAGTTTGCCGAGAACGGCGTCAACCCCGGCCTGCCTGGCAATGAGAAGTGGGTCAACGACATGGCTCGCGACGAGGCCAAGATCCCCTACACCGAAGGCGAGAACCGCCTCCCCCGGCGCTACACCCAGAAGGCTCCCGAGGCACCAGCGGAAGAAGAGGAGGAAGAGGAGGATGACGAGTAGACCATCTTAAACTTCGGTATGATTTGAACGTAGAAGCGGATAGATGACTTTTGGGATTTTTGGTTCGGTAGAATTGGGGACGGATTGTTCATGATCCATGACTAGCTATGGTCGGGACGAATTCCACTCAACATTAGTTTTAGCTACGATTATGAAACGCCACAATTTAAGTGGTTTGATGATTTAGACTCTATTCTGCTCGTTGAGTGTTGGTGGTGAACGAACGCTATGCGATGCATCCAGTCCTAGGCGTGTTCTGCCACAAAGGTCGGCCAAGGTCAGCCTCACCATGCGGAGCCAAATCCAGTCGGAAATTCAAATCAAGCTTTTCTCGAGTTGCCTCAGGCATCTATACAAAGCTGTTGGTATAAATACCCAAGGATCTACCCTACTCTTGTGAGTAGGCGATGCCGGTAGGTAGGATGGATGACACTTCAATCGCAAACGGGGGCCCTAAACCCCCATCAAAGTCGGGAATCTTCCTCAGGTCCACCAGCTCGAGAGTCAGTGGGCCGGTCGGTTGGCAGCCGCAGCGCATATCGCAGAGATCATAACACAAAGAGCCAATGATGAGACCAAACCAAAAGTATTTCCAGCAAGAAGACAAAGCACTGTCTTGAGCGGTCAACTTTGGTTGAATTGGAAACTGAGGCACCATGGGCGATACAAGTATGTAGGGGTCATTTAACATCATCGGGGGCCCTGAACCAGCCTCAGAGCGTCGGTTTGCATCATGTCCACCCACTTTTGCCAGAATGAGAGCAAATGATAAGACTACGCCAAAAGCATTCTCAGCAAGTATAGTGGGTGTGCAAAAAGTTCCAGCAATATGCCCAATTTACACCAAGAGGGTCAGCTTTTAAAAAGTAATAAAAGCCTACCCAATAAGAGGATTTAGAAATAATAAATAAAGATAAATAAATAGAATAAAAATCAGCCCATACCATTAGCGGTAAACTTTTGGTTAGATGGGAAACTGAGGCGTGAGTTCTGATTGCCCTCATAGCTGAAGCTACTCTAGTTCTAATAGACAACAAAACACCAGGGACGGCCGTTAGATACCCTCAGTTCTCTTCTATCACATGTCATGGTAGTGGCCAGCGCCTACCCCTTACCAATATGATCGGGACAGAAAGAACAAGAACCATCGTGGTTAGCGAGATCTTGTAACGAAATGTACGATACAGTGTCGGTGGTGAAGCGGGTGAGCTCAACGAAGTCAATGATCAACATTCTCAACAGTTTACAAACGGAAAGATACGGAGCTGGCGGGCCCTGGTTCACAGAATGCACTTCCCCTTGCTCCATACGCGATACGTCGTCACTTGATGCTCTCGAGAAAAGAAGCAGGGGCGATAATACGACGGCACGCCATAGGTAGTTAAGGTAGTTAGCATCTGCGTACCTACCTCCCTACTTGCACGAACGCTTAGGGGGTTTACCATCAGCAGGTGTCGGCAGGTGTCAGGCACCCAGACGCACACTTGGCTGGGTAGGTACTTCTCGATTATTCTCGCTTCTTTTCCAATCCAACGAGGAGGTGCGCCGGGCGGCTGCAAAAAACCACCAGCAGTCTTGCTCCCTCAGACTCAGCCCACGATGACTTCGTTCTTCCATCATCCTCTTCCGTCTTCCACCGGTTCCTCTTACAACTAGGATGCACTTCTTTGCCAGCCTTCCTTGACCTCTCAGACACCTTCGTTTGACCCACCTTCACTTGTCCTTCGCTCTCTCTCATTCTGCGAGTTCCATTCTCCTGCTCCGTCTCTACCACCCTGGCTCTGCGATGGCTTCCGCCCCAGACATTCCACCCACGGCGTTCGTGGAAACGATGAATCCCGAGCGCGCGTGGATGCTGGCTGAGGTGGCCAGAGAAGAAGCTGCCCTGCCTCCAGTGGTGGTGAAGAAGGAGAATCTGCCGCCGCCGGCCAGTGGAGCGAACTGTGCCCCCGTGGGTGACGCGTCGTCGAGGGCCACGAGGGATCGTGAGAAGACGCACCAGATGAAATTGGTATGGAACGACTCCGTTGAAATGATCAGCTCCCAGAGGCAGCTTTTGACGTTGAGTACGACTCTTTTGCAGAGACCGAAGCCAGGCACCCAACTCCTGAGGGTCCGCCTTCCACCCGTCAACAAACCTCCAGTCTCGTCGAAGCGCTCGCACGCCGAATTCTGCGAAGAAAGAAGTCACAAACCTGCGCTCCCTCTATTACCTCCAATGCCAAAGTTATCAGACATCCCCTCTCTTGGTCCCGGTTAGTTTAGCAACCATGCTATGCGGTTGTGGCTAACCCCTGGAAGCACCCAAACCCAACGAGCACACCAAATACCTTTTGTCTCTGTTGAAACACCGCGAGCTTCATCTCTCTCTGTATACTCGCCAACAAGATGGAAAAGGTTGTGGCAAGCTCTACAAGATCCAAATCTCGGACGCATGCCTGGTTCAGCACGAGACATTGTCGAGCCACCCGTGCACCCGAGTGCTCCCCCTCACCTCCGGCGACCCTGACACATCCATTGTTGAAGGGGTGATTCACCGGTCCGTGGAAGGAGAGTTGCTCGAAGACGTGTGGGCTGGTCTATCTTCGCAGATGAAACGCCACTACGCCCGGCAACTTCGCAAGATTGTGGATGGCATGCGAGGCGTGGTCTGCAGTGATGGACGGGGCTCCGTCCAAGCTGGAGAGTACACACTCTTCCTTGACAAGCACACGAACCACACCTACTACGCCGTTCGTCGATACACATCTCCAAAGCAATTCATGGCTTTTCTTCTGTCCTCGTTCTATAAGACTGTTCCGAAGAAAGTCGCCCTAGCATTTATTGCACCACTCAAGGTCAAAGGCAGGCAATTACTGTCGCACTGTGCTCTTTGCCCAAAGAACATTATTGTGAATGAGGGGAAAATTGCGTGGATTCTAGGCTGGGATTGTGCGGGTTACTACCCCGGATGGTGGGACTATGTCAAGTTTTTCGAGGCCCGGACACGACCAGAGAACCTTGACTGGTATGATTATGCGGGGGAGATTTTCAGTGCTGAGTATCCTCTTCAGCTGGTGGCTTACCAGGGACTGACAAGATGTCAGCAACTTTGAGTTGCTTCTGGATGAGTGTGCAGGGCGAGTTGAACTGGACACATTGGGACTTATCGGAGTTGGACCACGGCTCTTGATCCGTAGTACGTTGTGGTCGGTTACAGAGTAGGATTCGCAGGTTCATCCTTGCATGGCTTGACTCAACTCTTGTATTGCAGGTGCTCGGCGCACTATACACGAGGTACTCACAGACACATGGCGCCTACATGCGTCGCTTCTATGCCTCCCTGTCTCACTAACTCGAGACTGTCTAGTTCTCGAATCGCTTGCCTACGGTGCCCCAGTTGACGACGTCCCAGATGGCGCCAAAGTACTCAGCCTTGCGGTTCTGGTACTGGAGGTAGTAGGCGTGCTCCCAGGCGTCGATGCCCAGGAGGGGCTCCAGGTTGCCGGTGACGGGGTCTTGGTTGGGGCGGGTAACGACGCTGAGGGTACCCGAGGTCTTGTCCTTGACGAGCCAGGCCCAGCCGGAGCCCTGGATACCAGCGAGAGCAGCGTTGGTCTGCTTCTGAAGGGCCTCGAAGGAGCCAAAGTCCTCGTTGATGGCAGTCTGTTCATTGTCAATCAATTGTGTCTGGTATGCGGGGTTGTCTGGAGGGTATCTAAGGGAGGTTGAAGAGACGTACTAGGAGCTTGCCCTCGGGCTCACCACCACCACCCTTGCCGTTAGGGGCGAGGTTCTCCCAGAAGAGAGTGTGGTTAACGTGGCCACCACCGTGGAAGTTGATGAGGGGAGCCTGGGCGGCAGCAGCCTTGGCATCGCCCTTGGCCTCGGCCTCGGCGATAGCCTCGAGAGCGGCATTGAAGCCGTTGACGTAGGTCTGGTGGTGCTTGGAGTGGTGGAGCTCCATAATCTGGCCGGAGATGTAGGGCTCGAGGGCACCGTAGTCGTCTAATGATTGCCAACACCATGGTCAACAGCTGGCATTTGCGCTCAGAGCGAAGTTCTCACAGGACAGGTCGGGCAGGGTAGCCTTGCCACGGACGAAGGTGGTAGAGGCCATGGCAACCATGGGCTTAGCAGCACGGGCGCGGAGGCCGGCGCGCAGGGCGGGGGTACGCAGGAGGGAGGCCATTGTGATGGTGATGGAGTGGAAGCTATTCAGAAGTGGGGGATTCGTCAGTCAGGTTCGGCAATGAAGCTAGGCGTAAGAAATCAAGTTGCCGATAAGGACTCAATTGACGCGGCACCACGCTACAGGATTTGGGAATAGAGATTGATGGTGGGAGGCGACGGGTCAGTGAGACATACTGGGAGGACCGGGTTCTGCGGACTTAGGTGATGATGTCAAGAGGATGGAAGATTCGGAATTCTGGGAGTGTCCGGGGAACTGAATTGCCGAGCTGCTTGTGTGATCTCAGCGTTTCGTCATTCGCTGGGAGCTTGGACCAAGATGTGGCTTAGATCCCGAGATGTGGCTGGTGTGGGGGAGATGGAGTGCAACAGTATAAAAGCGAAGGGGTTGTTAGCTTATTACAGGCTCTTCAAAATGGCTCAGTTATTGGATATCTTGGGTTTCCATTCAGTTCATATAAAGCATGCTTCTCGTTTTTCAAGGTGACCCATGATATGACATCACCCCTACCCAGCCCTCCGTTCATCCATGCTTATTAGTAATTCTAACCCCGAGGCGCGAGAACCCACCCTCACATGGCTTCTGAACCACGGCAAGATGGGAGACAAGGCGGTTCGTATAATCGCAGTTAACGCTCGGAGCCGAAAGGAGCTCGGGAAATGTGTATTAATTGATGCGTTTTGTTCGGTCGTCCGCCCGATCTCGGAAGGCCGAGTAGTGGATACCTCGCGTTATTCCAGAATTCCGAAAGTGCCGACTAGAGAGGGAAGAGCTGGCGATGGGGATGAGTGGCGCGGATGATGATTTGAAAAGGGAAATACCACGGAGACATCTTTATAGTGATGATCTGCTTTGCAGCAGAAAGAAGGAGTGTGCAGTTCTCTGTGTTGAGGGCATGGTCGTGACGGCACTGATAACAGTGAAGCATCTTCTCACTGACACAAATGGCCAATAAGCTTCCTATAATTGCCAATGTGCCTCAATGACGACCGAATGTTACTCTAGGGTAAGTGGCAGGCCGGGATTATGTCATCGGCACAGTCGCGTCTCCGCGGGGCATCAACGCGTCTTCGACAAAGTGCCCCTCCACCGCCAACAGCACCATCGTCATTTCCGACACACCCAGGCCGGTTGAGCGCAAAGGCCAAACAAAACCTCACCATGTCGTACTACGACATCGACTCCATCCTGACGGATGCGGAGGTACGGCAGCCATCCCCGGGTTGAACCGGCGTCTGACAAGAAGAAAAAAACTGTAGAAAGTCCCCTGCCAGTTCGAACTCGACGTCCCCTACCTCGGCCACCTCGACAACTCCACCACGGGCCTCAAGTCCGGCACGCCGCTCTCGCTCCCGCTCTGGCTCGCCGAGATGCTCGCGCTGTCCACGCTGCCGGACGACTCGGGCGCGCCGCTGACGCTCAACCTGCCGCCGTGCCTGTCGAGCGCCGTGCAGGCCGCGCTGGCCGCCGACCCGCGCGCGGTGCCGATCCGCGACCAGTCGCCGCACTTCTACGGCGTGGGCGTGCGCATGCTGGACCTCTTCGAGGAGGCCGCGCTGGCCGCGGTGCTGCGCAAGACGTTTGTCGTGCGCGCTGCCGACGTCGGCCTGCACGCGCGCAAGGCCGACGAGGGCGTGGGGGGCCAGGGCGAGGAGTTCCTGCGCGGCTTGGATGAGTGGGAGAGGGGCCTATTCCGGCGCGGGCATGAGGGCGTCAAGGGGGCCAAGGAGTGGGCGGAGAAGGTGAAGAAGGCGTGAGGGAAGTGAGATGCGTGCGTGTGCAGACGCAATGCAGGCTTGGTTGTGGGGGTTTGTTGCGTGGGGGACGACTTGATACCCTTGATTACTCGATACACGGCATGATGATGTGACTACGACAATGTAACAATCATTTAACATAATCCTTAACAATTGACACACGGAGGGCGCATGATAAGCGGCCATGGCAATGCAATAACGCGACAATTATTCAGCCGGTATCACATCAGACCAGACAAAAGATGGGGGTTCAATGTGTGCATTTTCCAGCACATTGGTGTTGCCAGCTCGAGACTCCTACGTCTCGAGCCAACTAGGCGCGGTACTCATACATCCGCTCAGGTATCTTCCAACCGAACGACATGCCCGGCATTTCCCAGCTGCCTCCAGATAACCCCATTATCACTCTTTCTTCGTCTCGTCCATCCCAGCAAATATACACACGTATGCCAGCAAAAGCCCGGGATGTAACCCGTACTTGACCCGGGCTTCACCTCGGCCTCGTCAAAACGCCATTCTCTTTCCTGTCCCGTTCCCAAAGTCCCAACTCCTCGCGGAAGTCGATGTCATGTACAAGTAAACCAAAAGGGACTCTTGTTTTCCTCTTTCCTTCCCAGTAACCCCGGTGGCCTCTTGGCCCCAGTATATAAAACCCACACAAACGAAGCACTTTCGATTCGTGTGATGTAAAACGTGAAGGTGACCGTTTCCGCAGTTGCGGTTGGTCTTGGATCTGACATCCCAGAGGGAGCAGATAAAAGTAAATAACGTATTCCCACCAGTTTCCAAGGGAGGATTAAACATGACTTGTATCAAAACACTCAGATAGTGACGCCAAACAGGAAAAGATAAAACCATAACGAAAAACGCCTCTTGAAAATAGGCATTAGGAGAGAAGGGGAAAGACAAGGCCAAACGTCCAGCCCAATCAAGAGAGTCGTGTCCACCGCTCTCTTGGGATGCTGGGCCAGTGGCCGAGTCATGTGTCGTGGCCAGGATCATAACGACCAAATCATAAATTTCGCAATAATTTTTTTGGGGAATTTTTTCTTCCTTTTTCTTGTTCTTTTCACCCGTCCCTTGGGATATGAAGTGCCTGACATGACCATGACCTTGAAGTCAATCATATGTGGAGCACACAAACTGGTGGAAACTGGTGGTAGTAAGACGAGCCAAGAAAAAGAAATCGCAACCCAAGATGAACCCAACTGAGGCCCAATCTAGACAGATCCCCACATCGCGTCTGAGACGGTGAGGGAAATGTCCTGGTACGTAGAGGGTGTGATGGTGTTGGAGGATGACAGATTTGTGCCATATACCGACGCGCCCTGATCTGAGAAGGCATAGTCGCCGTCTAGGCCGATGGGCGAGCCATCAGAGTAAGGCGAATACCCAAACCCGCCAGATGCGGATGAGATGGGTGCCGTCATACCAATGTCAGCGGCGGCACCCAACATGGCATTGTTGGCGTCTGCGGTGTCCACGGTGAGATCGTAGCGAGCAGCTTCCATGTCATATTGGTTCATGCTGCTACCAATGTGCGAAAACATCCCCATCGGGGTGTCCACCGAGACGTCGGGAACTTCAGCATCAAGCATGTCTGCGTCGGTATCATCTTGGTCAGGGCTGAGAGCATCTTGCTGGTCAACCTTGACGAGCTTCTCTTCAAACCAGAGCTTGAGATCAGCCATGGGGGGCCAGTCACCGCCGCCTTTTCCACCTCGCTTCTCATCATTGTTCTTATTCTTTCCGCGAGGAGTCTTGGGCTTGAAGTGGGTGCGACGAAGGTGCGCAGCCGCATTGTAGTAAGCACCGTACAGCTTTCCACTGGTGCAGGCCTTGCACTTCGAGAGAGGATTGATGGCCTGAACCTTGGAGGTCTTTCCGACGTCAGCTGGGTCGCGGCAGATGAACTTCTTGACGACACCCTCATGTTTGGCGTTGACATGTCGGCGAAGTTCATGATCACCTCTGAAACCTTCCGGATGCTCCTGGCACTCATCGCAAAAGACCTTGGGGTGCTTGGGGCGCTGGTAATGGTTCTTGTTGACGGCCATCTTGGGATCTCGTTTGGATGCAGCAGGGCCAGCATTGCTTGTGGCAAGTGGTTCCTCAGGCCTGGGGGCGATCGTGGTTGACTTTGCCTGCTGGATGATGCGCTCTCGAGCATCCTTGGCACGGCGTTCCAGAGTGGACGCAGTCGACTTTGTACTGGCACAGCTGGTGTTGGAGATGGATCGCTCCATGTTGGCAGAGACGGGAGAAGACAGGAAGGACAGTCCATTGGATGCTGACGACTCATACTGATGACTAGCACCAAGACCAAGCAAGACTTGTTCATGGCCTTGGGGTTTGCTGCCGGGGTAGTTACCGGCGTTGAAGGGCAAAAAGGAGTCCTGGGAGAGGAACGCATCGCTCTGGGACTGAGATGAGGCAAGGCGAGCCATGTCGGTGGCACCGATGTTGTCGAAGGAGCTGTTCTGGCGGGTCAGAGGGCTCGTAGTCTCAGCGGCGGATGACCCGGATATCATCGAGGGACAGGCGGAAGGGACTTGAAAGTTAAATTCATTGGGCAAATTAGGCCGCGATGAGAGGTAAGGCTCTGACCCTTGCTCGCCCCAACGTGCCAGAAAGTCCTCTGGGTCCAAACCGATGCCGAAGAGAGGTGTGTTTTCTTCGACACTGGGCAGACGCTGTGAGAGGCCGCCCTGGAGGGACTGATTTGCGGGCTCATCGTGAGAGGAGCAGAATCGGTCCAGGGCCGGGTGAGTGACGGGGCTGACGAGGGGAGCGACGGGGCCGACCTGGACGAACGGCATGTTGTTCTCGGAGCGATTTGAGATGCTGCGGCTCATCATGGTGGGGGCTGGGCCAGACTGCTGAGAGAAGGCCCGCCTTTGGCGTTTGGGAGCCTGGTATCTGACATCTCGATCCTGAGGGAAGATGAGGTGTTAGCTGGCGTGGGTGAGAAGTGTGGGAAGCGCTGTGAGAGAATTTACCAATGGTGAGACCATCTGGGTGGGATAGCTAATAGTAGACTTGGAGCGAGAGAGCACGCTGCTCCTTACACTGGGCACAGCATAGTTGGAGAATGAGAAGCCACTCTGGGCCAGAGGGATGCCACCAGTGACGGGGCTTAGTGTTGACGAGTCGGCGCTGAGTTGCTTGTCTTGAACGAGCTTCTCGAGCTGGGCGTTTCGAGCCTCGGACTCTTGCAGGCGACGTTGAAGCTCCTCGAATTTGGCGTCACTAGATAAATTCATGTTGCGATGCCGTGTTGCAGTGGTGAAGCGCGAGGAGAACAGGGCAGATGAGACGATAGGGTGAGATGGCAAAGTCTAAAGCGTGATAGCCAGGAGAGCGCTGGTTGAGGCTCCCTGATGGGCGATGCGTGGCGATCCGTCTGTAGACGGAGAAGGTACAGCACGTAGCGTGGATGCGGATCGACAAGTTCGTGTGAGGACGACCAACGATGGAGACTTGAGGCGAGGATGGTGGTGAGGACTGGTGGCGAGTCCTTGTTTAAAGCAAGGCGTTGTTTGCAGGTGGAGGTTAGTGGTATGGAGTCGACAGAGATGACGGAAGAAGAGAGGAGGAAGCTCAGAAGCAATGAGTTGGCGATAGGCGATTAAAAGTACGAGCCAGGATACGGCAAACAACGGACGGCCAGTGGTTTAGAACGAGGCTTCGAGACTCCCCACCGGAGGAGCAGGGGAGCAGGGGGGCCTGGTGAGCAGGGGTGTGTTGTTTATGGGTCTAGAGGCATGGGTGTGAAGTGTGAAGTGTGATGTGTGATGTCCAGGATGTGAAGAGTGTGTGTGGAGGAGGAGGAAGAAGGGTGGTCACAACTGGGATGGGATGGGGTTTATTAGTTGTAGCGTGTGTGGTGTGGTGTCAGTTGGATGCCTGGCTTCTTGTCTGGGCGCTGGTGGTGTACTTGGAACGGCGGAGGACGTTGGGAGATGCAGGGCGACGGAGGGAAGGAGCAGAGAAGAAGGGGTGGATGAGTTGGGTGAGTGGGCGAGTGGGCGTGAGATGGAGGACCACCTTCCAGGGGGTGTAAAGGCTGCGATGGGTGTTGAAAGTGGATGCTTGAAAGCTGATGCTCATGCTCAAGCTCATGCCGCCGTCGCTTCTTCTGCGTCTGCATCTGCGTCTGCCGCTGCACTGCGACGATGACGATTTTCGAGATGGAAGAAATGTGGGCTCGGCCTGGCTTGGCTGGCACGGGTGGGGTGGACCCGTTGCTGACCCCCGTGACGACGACGGCACCCACCAAAACACCACAAACACCACTGACACCACCGCTGGGCGCACTGAGCCACCACTCAGGATCCCACCGAGAAGACTGCCAGCACCCACTCCACTCGGCCCATCCACTGAACAAGTCCCATTCCACCCATCCCAGCGCCGCGGCTGCAGGTGCCCACACTGCCCCGACTCGCCCGATCGCGGTGAAGTGAGCGCCGCGGAGCGTGGTGGTGGGCTCTGGCCTGTTGGCATCCAACCTGGCCGCTCAGCCTGCGCTTTGTGGCGCCGGAACGGGCTGGCTGTAAACCGGGAGTGTCTCCAGCTTGTTCGGTGCCGCCAATATCCAATCCCACGAGGCCGTCTCAAACACGGGTCTGAGGCCTGGGGCCAAGGACTTTTGCCAAGAAAGGAAAAAAAAAAAAAAAAAAGACATGGAAACAAAAGGAAGGAAAGGAACCATCAATGCTCACGAGCCACGACTCGGCTCGCCCGGGCTGTGCGACGAGATCATGGCACGCTTCTTCGCTCGTTGTTGCTCGTGCTCGTGCTTGTGCTGAGGTGGGATCCAATAACGAAGCGTCGACACGCAGTACCGTGCGCGCATCGTAGGCTCCGAGAATGTTGTGCATCGCCGACTGCGGCCCTATTTCGTCCACTCTTCGACGCCGATGTCGATGCAGACACTCACATGGGAGCTACAGGTTTCAACCACATCTCGGATATGTTGTGACACGGACGAGACACGAGGACTCGGAGCCACAGACAACCGCCCGGACCCAAGGATGGGTCTTGTTCATTCCTCATTCCAAAACAGTCTCGCGGAGAGATCTAGGACCTACGTAATTGATCTCTCCGACGTCAAGGCTCCATCTCGTCTCGTCATCGTCATTCCGTCTACGGTCCGTGGCTTGCCCGAGGAACCGGGCTGGAGACTGGCAGAAGCAATATATGGAACCTCCGTGCCACCATCATAAGCCAAGCCAACTAACGTGGGTACGGGCAGCTGCTGGGCCACCCCTTACATGGCCTGTAGGAGTTGGAACAGCAGTCAACACACCAACCAGGTGGAAGATACAAAGCTGAGGCCCTATGTTGCAATAAAGATTAACACGTTACTTTTTAACTTTGCATTTTGTTGGAATTATTGAGAACCACATTGCCCAAGGGGTGGCCAACTAAGGGGGTGGCCTTGCCCAGACCCCGACATTATTGAGATGGGCTGCTTCTACATGCATTACATACGGTCTGGCCTGCACCTCTGTCGTCATCCAATCCCAAGCGCAGTTGACACGTCGCCGGCCAAGGAGATGGAGAGGAAAAAGCAAAAAATAGCAGAAACCTACAGAGTCTCTCGAAAGGGCCTTGTTTCGGGGAGTCGTGGATCTCAGTGACTCGGAAAGAGTGGATAGCAGTGGGCTCTCTGGGTACGGGGACAAGAGAAATGTCATCATGGCGCTTCTCTTCACATTTGGCGGGCACCAGGAGCCACCAGAGCGGGCACCAGAGCGGGCACCACAGCGGGTCGGACAATTGCATCTGCTCATCAACGCGCTGGGGGACCTGGCCATAGGGCCTTAAACCTCCAGACCCCATCGATCGGCTCATGATTATCATGCGCCTGGCGCTAGATCATTCAACGCCCAGCCGCACCCAGCGTGTCCTTGTCCGGCTGGTTCCACTCTGGGCGATTGGACATCTCAATGGGACCGGCCGTGGGATGGATCTTGGGATACGGCGAGAGATGAGAGAGTGAGATGGGAGAGCTTCCGAATGGCTGGCCTGCGCAGTAGAACTCTTTGGGCATGGTCTGGGCGAGGGCAAGACGATGATCCCATTTTCCCGTCGAAAGTGATTCGCCGTCTCACGCATGCCCGCCGTTCCAGCACGACCACCACCAGCTTTCATCAACTCCCGGACACAGCCCACAGGTCGTCGCCAACGAACCGAGCACCCTCTTCACCGGGGGCGGCCAGTGAGTTGACGTACTACGTAGACGTAGACCACTGCGCGGCAGCCACCTGCACGTTGACAAGGCCGGGGAACCAACCGACCGAGTCACATCCCACTGGCTTCAGCGGCTTCCTCCAAGGCGGCCGGGATCCTTGATCTGAGATGGAGGATCAGCACGCGGCTTCATTCGCCCGAGTCCGCCGCCAGCTGGCCGGTCAGCCTCTGGCCCTCTGCTGCCCCCATCCCGGTCCCATCCCATGCCCACTGCCATCTCACCCGCCGCCGCATCGACTAACACGCAGCGCCGCCAGACCCCTGCCACACCGTCTCAGCACTCCCGCGTGGAAAAACGAGGCAAGCACTCAGACGACTGGCCCTCGACGTGGCGCGGCTTCAGGCTTTCACACTGGACCCGCCCCGGTCGCCAGCCACGATTGGCTGTGCATGTCGTTCAGAGTGAGGCGGACAAGCATGGAGTCGCTGCAGCGGCGCCAGGGCAGAGGGCACCTTGAGAGAGACACCGCATGCTCTTACTCACACCTCTAGTTTGCGACTGACCAACTGACGCAGCACGCGCTGCAGCAGCCTCTGGGCCTTCTGGGCAATGGCTTCTGGGCGACGGCTTGTCGGTGTCGTACTTGCCGCGCTCGTCGTACCCCGTCCAGACCGTCAAACCCAAGTCCCCTGTCCCGTGTCCTCACATCGTCATCTGCGCCTGTGCCTGTGGGTCGACCATCGCCCGCCATGGGTGCAATTGAGTCCTAGTCGTTCACAGCGCTGGCAGTGCTCGCATCTCCAGCTCCTTTTGGCTCCGGGCACTCGCTGGGCGCTGAAGCACCTGCTTCACACCTGCTTTACAGTGCACTAGTCCACAGGCGCTGGTGCAGCATGCAGCATGATCCCGTCCATCTCCCAATCCCCAACATGCCGGGCACCGTCAACCAGCTCCCCAACGGCGGTTGCAACCCAAGCCAAGGGCCCGAGAAACCACCAACAATTGGAACACAAACCAACCTGGCCACCGATGAGACCCAAACCGAACCCAAAGGTCACCGACACGGCTCGGCACCCGCCAAAGATAGCATCACCTGCCGACGATGCCGCATCCTCCTCGCTCTCGCTTCATCCTTTCGCGTCAATCCGCTTGGTCCATCAAGTTCCACTCAGTGCCCCGTTACCTCGCTCCCTGCGTTGATCATGCCCCAAGCCATTCCGTGCCGTTTCAACTCCCTCGCCTGCAGATCTTCAAATATTCTCCAATCATTTGCTCACGTCTTCACCTCTCTTCCGGCTCAATTGCTCCCCCCACACCGTATTCAAGCCAAAACGTGTGAGCCAGGACGTGGTGGTACAGTAGATCTAGGCCCCGGTTTTGAATGACTCTTCCGCTGTTGGTGCCGCATTAATGCAGCTCGCAAGGTCTAGAATGAGACATCGTAGAGCCTGATTGAACGGATCTTACGTAGTGGCGGCAGCTAACAAGAAGCCACAAGCTCGCAGAGCCTCGCCCCTGGTCGCTTCGAGACGGCATCAAGCCAGCCAAGACAGCAAAGCCTCACCGAGCAAGGCCCCGATGGCGTACACCGCTTCATGTTGTGTTTTTTCCTTGTAGCTGGATGGTGCACTTTGTGAATTGCCCGAGGCTTCCGATTCGCCCCATCTAGTTCCTCCGCCCTCCAAGTGATGCAAAGCGAGCGGCGTATGGAGGAGCACAGCCTTCCAGCCTGCTCTCGCCGCTGCATCGCCCGCATTGTCCAACGTGCTGAGCACTGTACGCGCGGAAGACGGAAAGTCCCTGACTCTGTAGCTACCTAGGTAAGTTATCTCTAGCTGAAGTTAAGGTCGTGCAACCTGGTCGAGGTTACATGATTCGTCGGCGTTAGAGCTGCGCCATAGTCGTTTGTACCTGAGACTTTCGCCGGAATACCACATAGTTCTCACTCAAACTAGAACTCTGCTTCATCACGTTGCAACCCGAGATGTGTAGCAGCGCCCGGAACTGTCAGCTGTCTCCAGCGGCGACCTCAATAGGGCAACCAAGCTGACAATCAACTAGCGACGCCGGGATGTCCTTGATTACCATTGCGCTTTGAACCTCGTGGCATATTACCATAGCTCTTAGCGCAAGTTCAAAACTAATTAGAACAAAACCTCAACGGTCACCTGCTCAGGAACCAAGAAACGCCAGTTCCAACTGGGCATTTTGCTGTAGAAAGGGCCGTCCGAGCTCTAGGCTAACGGACCGGCGATGAGATCGTCAACGCATCAGGGATCTCGCATAGCTCCTGGGGTGAGGCCTGCGAAATCACCACCAAGCCATCGGTCGTTCGCGAGGACTCTAGGATCCTGTATGTCCGACACGTGTCTGGTGGCGACCCAAATTTCCTGATGCCGAAATTTGACGTCTGTTTGATCTAGTTGGGCGGGGATGTCCCTGGTAATCTTGTGCCTGTCTGTGTGTTTAACGGCGACGGTCGACACTAGTTGGCTGTTAGAGCTCGGAGACACTGGTTTGACTCCAGAGTCAACTATTTTAAGCCGGTGAACTATTCCTACGTGGCTAGCCAGCGGGGCCATATGACTCAATGTTGGCAACGGCCGTGATTGAGATGAGCGGAAATGCCGACGGACGTGACGCTGTGCCGGAGGTTTGAACAAGGTGGATTTCTTTTGTAAGCGCTTGGAGCATGGTGGATATTGATTTTGCACAAAGCCCTGATCGGGAGCTTGGAGCTCCGGGACCCCTTGCGACAAATGCACCGGCAAATCTCCGGCTCAGCGGACTAAGCGGTTCCTGGCAACTCCACAGCTCGGCCCATCATGACACCTCATCGCAACACGAGTCCACGAACGACCACTGGCCGGCCTCTTCGGGCGATTCCAACTGTCTAGCTCTATGTGAGCAGGCACGCCGCACTACGGCAAAATGCGCCGTTCGAATCTACTCCTACTGGCCGCGATCCAGCTCGCCGGAGCTCGTTCGCCCGGCTTCAGCATCCACGAGGACCTGCTGACGTTCCCTCAGGTGCGTGTGCTCCCCTCACTTCCCCTCCAACCGCGCCCAGCTGTGCCGTGCTGATGCGACCCAGTTTGAGGTTGTGTTTTCCCAAGAGTACATCACCGAGAAAGATGCGGATGCCATACTAGAGAAGCAGAGAAACCAGCCCTCCTTCTGGGCTGGGTTTGAGCAATCTATCCTCGAATACGAAGCTAGCCAGGCCAGCCCCGGCGCCGATGATGGCCCTAAGAAGGAGGAAAAGGAAGAGCCAAAGGAAGAACCAAAACATGAACCAGAGCAAGAAACAGAGCAAGAATACACCTATGAGCTCATGAAGCTACCTCCTCATCAATACCTCTGCTCGATCCCCGTTATTTACCCCTCCTCTACCGACGACAAGACAGCCAACGAGCTCGCCAAGGCCGAGGAGGCACGCGAGCTGAGCCGCGCGACCACAAGCGGATGGGACCTCGTCGCCGAGATCGAGGAATCGTGCCTGTACTTTATGTCGGGATGGTGGAGCTACAGCTTCTGCAAGAACCGCGAAATCGTCCAGTTCCACGCCCTGCCGTCCGTCCCCAACGGCCAACCCCCCAAACGCGATCCTAACACTGCCGCGTACGTGCTCGGTCAGACGCCCACGATCCCCGCGGCCGCCGCGTACCAGGCCAAACAGAATGGCGACGGCGCGCCGCCACCCGCTGAGCTGCAGGTTAAGGGTGACCAGCGATATCTGGTGCAGCGGCTGGAGGGAGGCACGCAATGCGATTTGACAGGGAGGGACCGTACTATCGAGGTGCAGTACCACTGCGTCCCGGGCTTGAAGAACGACAGAATTGGGTGGATTAAGGAGGTTACCATCTGCGCGTATCTCATGGTGGTTAACACCCCCCGTCTATGTAACGACGTGGCCTTCTTGCCGCCCGAGGAGACCCGAGCCGACCCCATCAACTGCCAGCTCATCGTTGACAATGATGCCACTCCCCCGTTGCTGGAACAGGAGAAGCTGTATGAAGAACCCGTTGCCCAAGAGAACAAAGCGACCCAAGAGCAGCCGGTGGCAGAGGGTGACGTCACCGAAACCCTCCCAGCGAAAAAGGAGGTCAACGTCGGCGGTGTCATCGTCGGCGCACGCAAAGTTCTCTCCGGCGCCGATGAGGTCGGCAAGCCCCCCGCGAAGCTCACGCCGCCCAAGAGCTACTTCTCCAACCAGGACACGGACGGCCAGCGCTTCATCGAGATGGTGGCGCAAGGCAAGAGCGCAGCCGACGGCGGCGAAGTCACCTCGATGAGCGACGAAGAGCTCGTTAAGCAGGAGCTGAAGCCGGACGTCGTCGCGGACATGATCAAAGAGATGCAGAAGCTCGCCGGCGTCGACAGCTGGAAGCTCGAGCTTGTCGAGCTGCCCGGCGGAGTGCGGGAGCTCCGGGGATACATCGACGAACCGGAAGCCGGCAAGGGGAAGGCGACGGATGCAAAGCCTGCGAAGGCTGCGGACGCTGGAGATTCTAAGGGGAAGCAAAAGGAGGAGGACGGGAGTGAGGAGAAGTTCTTCAAGAACAAGGATGAGTTGTAGGCATAGGGTTGTTGTATACTTACAGGCGTTAGGGCTGATGCATGAGATGAATACACAGAGGTCACAGTTCTCTCCGTGTCCCTTTCTTCGTACTGCTGAGTGAATAACACGCATTAACAGGCACGACATATAATGAGCCGGTCGGTAGTGAGGCCAGCCAAGAAAACATAGGCATCAGAGGTAACAGGGCAGGATTGTTGAAGCGTAGGCGATGATAGTATGCCTGGTATCATAGTTATGAACAGTTGGTGTAGCTGACCGAATTGCAAAGAGGTCTCAAGGTATAGGGTAACAGAACATCGAGTTCGGGAAACGCCCAGGATCCAAGCTGTTGGATCTTCTGGTGCTGGTTATGATGCATGGAGTGTTTCTATTCACAGGCAAAAGATATAGTTTACAATGCAGCATCCAATGTGCCTGTTATATGAAAGATAGATATCTCCCTGTCCCAAATGCACCTCAACATACTGCGTAGTTACACGTCTTGTTCTACGTACGGTCATTTCTTTTCTCTGGCATCTAAACCAACTCGCATTTCGTGCGTACAAACTTAGAGGGGATATATAAGGCGACACACCCATACTTGAGTTATGTATTAATGGATGGGGATAGACACTAAACATCTAGTTGTATATTACAACTCTGTCCAATGTACTGCCGGACGCTGATCTGTTCAAGCGTACCGAAACGATAAACTAAACTGTCTTAAAGCCAGTACCTGGTCGTTTGTCGACGGGGTGCATGGATGGGTTACTGTTCCGCCTCTGTAATTGGGTCGAGGAGACAGGGAGAAATGACGATATATCAATCGTTTGCGGACTATGATATGAGGGAGAACGGTATTTGTAAACACTTCCTTGCGCAAGTGATGCTTGACCTGAGAGATTGTTGACGTATCCCTTATCTGTATATGCCCTCTCGAGTTTCCTGAAGCATTCTAAGTTACTATCTCTCGACTCCTCTTCTTTGTCTCTTTGGTCATGATGTCGTACAGTCGCTATCTGAATGACAGTTAGTCCTAGCCGTATCATGGCAAGGTTCTGAATAATGTGTTCTCATAAGTACGGTATATTGTTATGCATAACGTACCATGGTATGCACCCTATTTTGAACGAAATGTCGGCCTTCGAACAGTTTCGACCTTTGTCTCCACAGCCCAGATATCAGTATATCACTGCAGGAAGCAGCAGTCAAACTAGTGACTGTGATATGACATTGGTTGCATGGTCTCCCGCCGTTAAATACTTTTGATAGAAGGGCTTAAGCGACAGCTCATAACTCTTGTGTTTCTTCAACGCCGCGGCACCAAGTCGTAGAGTGACGTATCAGATTGCCGTACTGTCCAATTATTCATGGGCATCCCGGTCCTTGCTCCTGATCCTACGGTAGATCCCCTTAAAATACCGATCTACGAATAGTGGGCACGCCAACTTACCACGAACTACGGGTACGTTCACGCTAACTGTTCTCCCGTGTCAAAAGAAGGCCCGTCGACGACGATGCAGTATCAATCAGCCGACGAAGAAGCACGGTGCAGGCATCGCAGGCAGCCCCCAAGATGTGGACCTGTCCGCTTCTAAAGACCGCCGGTTGCATGATGTTGATGCGAGGCCATGCAACGTCCGAAGAGGCGGTATGCAAACCCCAGCTGCAGACGGTCGATCCACTCGGTCGCATCTGCACAATAATTGCCGAGACTTAGGAGACGGAATTGGTCAGGTTTGCGAGGTGAGGTTGTAAGGTTGCAAGCGATGTCGTATCCCGTCTAGCCAACGAGCACACATAGTTCATGTTCGGGACGAGGTGGGTTAGTTCCGTCTCCTCAAAGTTCATGCGACAGCCATCAACTGGCTATGCGGACCCCCTTTAAAGCTTGGCTCAATGTGGCAATCGGCGGGAATGGCTGAGACGGCTCTCGACCGAACTCGTCCTCTGCCGCTCCTCGCGCGGGTCAGGCCGGGACTTGCGAAGCTTCGGGCCACCCACCGTACTACCGACCGGGCGGACCGACGCGATGTCAAGTGGATGTGTGGATGGATGTGTGGATGTGGATGATGAATTGTGGCGTGTGGATTGCAACGGATTGGTCTCACACGGCGTTAGTAATGAGAAGCTGGGGTCGAATGGTTTTGTGCAAGAACATGGCATCCGTCCTAGGGTCGCTCGTGTTGCTCTTGACGATGCAAGGGCTGAGCAGCTATGATTGTCTGGTGCTTACGGGGCCCTTGAAGCTTTGTCGGCGTTGCTGGTGATACTGCAAGGAGAACGATGTCGGTGTAGATTGGGCTTAGCGTCAGTGCCGTTTTTGCCCCTCCATACGTCAGCTATGACGGATGCTTTGTGCCAGTTGAACAAACGGTGGGGCGAAACGGAGGAGAGAAACGGATGGGATAAATGGAGGAGAGAAACGGATGGGATAAATGGAGGGGAGAAACGGAATGGATCGCTGAGAAGAGCGTGCCTGTTGGAGTGTGCAGTTCCGCCTATCTTATGATAGACCGAGGTAAAGAACCAGGCGATGCACTCTGAAACCAATTTGGAATGAAACCACCTAGTATTTATTCATTCCATGTCATGTCTCACAGTCTATCCTAGGAGGCTGAAGTCTGACCGCTCGTCGTATCCAGCAGAAGCCGTCTCCCAAAGAGTGCCCCTCAACGCATGTTGCTGGATCCAGCGTCGAGGGATAAGAACCTTTTTCCTGTCCCTATCTAGTTCATTAAAGTGACTGAAAGTATCAGCGAACCTGTTCCCTACGTCCATCAGGAGAACACGAGCAACGTTGTTGGGCCGAAGGTCGGTCCATGAGGAGCCAAACGCATCCACAAATACCAAGGTAAAGGGCACCTTGGCTTGGCTATCGGGTGTCGAATTACTTCTCTGGGTGTTGAGCGCTCGAGCCAAGTAACTCTTGACGTTTCCAGTCATCAGTAAATGAAACGAACTATGGCGGGAGATGACCACCGTCTCCAGGTTCGGATGGCTGGCCATTAACTTGAAGTTCATGACTGGGCTGCCCAGCGACAACCGACGTAACTTCGGCCAGCACGTGGCCCAGACCTCTGGGGAACCTGACCTGAAAGAGAAGCTATCGCCCACGCTGGTGAATTCTTCGAGGTTGACGAGGGCCTCAAATCCCGGCCGTAGAAGACGCATGAGCGAGTCCCCATCATGCGCGGAACTAACGGCCGCCAGCGGCATATTGATGATCAAGCGCCGCAGGGTCGGTGCAAGGCTGAGGAGGATGCTTTGCACGAGATTGCCAATGATTGAACCAGAGAACCCAAGATCGAGCATGTCACTGCTGGAGACGTGTCCGGGATGCGGAGCTGGCTCGTTGAAGTGGCGGGGCCACGGCCAGTTCGCAGTTGGAGCAGCCTCATCGCCTCGACATAGGCCCAGGAAGAGACTAGTGGGGCGACGAGGGTCGTCTGGAGACAGGCATTCTAAGGCTGCGGCGAAAGCTTGCGCTTGATTCAGGGAGGTTATGTGTGGGCAGGATCGCCACAAGAGCTTCGACGCAAGTTGCGAGACGCTTCGGCAGACGCGCGTAAGGGCGAGGAGGCACTTGGTGTTCTCATGGGATGACGGTAGGATCGCATCTGGATTACTGGGAGCTAGTGACTCGATAATAAGGAAGAGAAGTTCCTGGGGCAGCCTTGGCTGAGGGGCATCATTTGCGCGGGGTGACTCCATGGTGTTGGAATGAGGATATGGTTATGTTATCGTGGCCATCGTGCGGCAATTGAGCTGGAGTAGAGGGACAAGGAGACAGCTGACCGTCACTTACGGAGTCTCGGCGGCAAAGCCGGTCTACTATTGGAGGAGCTGGAACACAGGTGGCATCATTTAAAACGGTGATTTATGAAGGATGCGGAGCCGTGAGAGACCCACCGCTCTAAAAGCGGCACTCTTGAGCCGACGGAAAGGAGCCGGAGAGAGAAGCAGGAAACATGAAACATGGAGTCGTGCCAGTTCCACGGGCAATTGCATGACGGCATCCATGCTGACGTCGTTCGGTTCGTCTGGCCAGCATTGTGGTGAATTGCGTGCGTGCATCTCATCTCCTTTCTCCCTCGATCTCGACGGCAAACCGAGACTTCACACTCGAACCCACCCACTCACTCGGCCTCAGCCCCCAAGCCACGATGGAAAACCGTCGTTAGAGAATTGGCAGGCCAAAAAGCAAAGGAGAGAAGAAGCAAAACTAAAACCCGGAGATGGCCTCTCGTTGGCCAGGCCGGTGTGACGACATGGGGGGTTCCTCGTCGGGGGCGGGGTCCGTGGCCGGCTGCCGGGGGGCCATGCTCCCCAGGCCGGTGGGAGCGGGCCTGATTGGGCCGTGCTGGAGCCCATTTGCAGCGTCAGTGGTGATTGGAGTTTTAGAGTGGGTGTGAAGTGAGGAGTGTGGTAGGGAGGGGGGGCTTTCTCCTCCCTTGCTTTGAGGGCGTGCCAGGGCGAAGTTCCATAGCCGGCTGTGATATCATGGTTGGTCGGTGGTGGATGCGACTGTGATATGACGGATACGGAGCGGATGTGATGGGCGACGGATGACTGGTGCCTCCTCCGACGATGCCTAGTGGGAGCTGAACAACTGCCGACCGATGAAAATGCGGAAGCTGCAGGCTCCCAAACAAACAAACAACAAGACGACAGGCATAGGCCAGCAACTGGCTTGCGACGTCAAGAGCCGGCGGTTTGTATGGCTGGAATGCAAGCCAATTCCATCCGGGTCCTGGAAATTGTGCAGCTGCATCTCCAGTGGGTGAAGCTCGGACGGCCTATCAATAGGTGCCCAGCTGCTCCGCCCCACGGGAGGTGCCCACTGTACTGTGTCCCTGGAAGAGGATCAGCGCGCTGAGATCCGCGGGAGCACAGCGAACGGCCGCGCCCACGCACTCATCTTGCGGTACCTGGCGTGGCCCGCTGCGGCGCTAATGCACCCGGAGCACCCACCCTGCGCCGCCGCAGCAGCAAGGGTTTTTTACGGCCTCCACTTGCGCTCCCCCTAAAACGCTAAAGTTGAGCACCGCTGGGTAGCTTTCCCCCTGGCTGCCGCAGTGGTGGCATGAGACGCATCCGTGGATTGGACTATCGTCGGGACGGGCTTAGTTAGCAACTTAGGCAGCACGACGACTGCAAGCGGACGACGTTTGCACCCTCGCGTGCTGGAAGAAGAAAGCACATTCGTTTCGCACGTACTTTGGTATTAGAGGTATAGTGGGTGGTCCTGGTACGTATTACCGGTATTGCTGGTATTATTAGTGCCTGGTCCGTGGGTTAGATTGCCTGTCACCTCCTCCACACCTCATCATCCATTCCTCGCCTCCATCACTTCCTCCCGCTCCCTCCTCGCGTTTCCTTCCCTCCAGACGACTTGCTCATCCTAAGACATCCCGACACAACAAGACAAGATTGACGCTTGTGTCTGTCTTTGCGTCGCTTGTGTGTCTCTGCCGGTCTCACCTCGTCGCACTCGCCCTCCCAGTTCTTTTGTCTCGCCGTGCACTCTCCGTCAAGCCATCCTTCCCACCTCCCGCCCACTTCCGTCGCGCGAACCCTCATTCCAGTCCGCCCGCCTCACCAAACCATCGCGTCCCGCATCGCCACCAACAGCCCCCCGATTTCTCTTCGACATCTCTTCGATCATCGCCTGCCCCTCGTCGTTCTCTTTGCGCGTTCGCATTTCGCTGCTGCAGCCCATCGTTCGAGCCAACGCACGTCGTCGCTATCTCATTGGACACCATCCATCCCCTGGTCCTGGTCAGTGGCTGCAGAGGAGCTGAGACAGCAAAATCCATCCCCTGGAACTGCTGCTTCTGTCTGCAACGGCTTCGTGTTTCCGGTTCCTACATAACGAACCATTTTCTCCCTGTCATCATTTCCAACCGACTCAGACTATCTCGAGGCCAATCGAATTTGCCAAATCGTCAATCCATCAATTGCGGACCAACCGTTCCAGCCGTGGTTGACCGCACACCGCGATGAGGTAGAGGACCTCGTTGCTCTGCCGGTCTTTCCCGACTTCTACGCGACAACTCGATATGCTGTTTGGTCACGTCTATCAGCGTGTCTAAACGGACCCGACAAGACATCTCCAGATTTCCATCTGTTTGGACCTGTTAGGTTTAACACCTTGCACATCCATGTGATAGCTCGCTTCGTCCATCTCGGAACCGCAAACATCTTCCGCCTGGTGTCTTGAGTAACTGATCGAGTCGTCGACTATAATCTCCACCAATCTACACCTTGCTTCTTTTACACGGCGAACCGGCCGTGTAGGTAATTTTTCTCGATCCGACAGCTGGAACTGTTTCATTACTCTGCATTTGCGCTGTCTACACTGGCTGGCCCGCTTGAAGTACACTCATCCTCCGCAGCTCCCTATCGAAGAGCTTCTGGACTTTCTACCTTACAATAATCGATAACAGCCAACCAGCATTTCCTTAGTTACCATGGACTCATCTCAGGCCCACCCCTACGAGAGGTCGCGACCCTCCTATCCTCGCACCGCCTCTCGATCCTCCACCAGCACCACAAACACCCGAGTTACGTCTCAGAGCGCCAACAGCTCGTCCTCACAAATTGATCCCTCGACTCAGATGGCAGGCTCCCACGCAGCCCATCGCTTCCACAACACAGCTTGCAATCGCGTCTCGTCCCCGCGAAGCACACCCCGGGGGACACCCCGTTTGTCCAGAGAAGCCAGCAACGAGTCAAACCGACAGCAGGCTGTCTCGACTTTCTTACAAGAGAGGCTTCAGAAAGAGCGCCAGGTCGAGAGCGAAAAGTCGGCATGGTCTCGTGCCAATACCGACTTGAGTGCTTCCGTTGAACTCAGCCGGGTCAGTCATGGCTCGCCTACTAAGGGTGGTGAGTCTGATGTGCGCCGGCCGCAGTCAACAACTGGCACTGAGGCGGGCAAGAAGAAGGGCCTTGGTGTCAAGGATATGGAACAGGTAGGGCGCCCGCACACCTTCTTCAGTGACGCGCTGACATGATTAGGTTATTTCGAGTCTTCACAAGCAAAATTTTGACCTGAAGTTGGAACTCTTCCATCGCCGAGAACGACAAACCGTCATGGAGGAACGAATCGAAGGACTCGAGTCCGAAAAGACCCGAGTCGAAGAGATAAATGACAAGTTGGCGCAGGAGTTGGAGAAGCGTGACAAGGCCGTCGAGGAGGCTGTGGCCATGATTGTCACGCTGGAAGCCAAGTTGGAGCAGTTTGCCAAAGAACGCGGCATGGTCCAGCAGATCGAGACCGAGGGGCGATATGCCCTCCAGGCCATTGAGGCGGATTACGAGCATCCCGCCCCCAAGTTCAACGGTCCTAATGTCACCAAGCTTGAGGATGATGCTAAGGTCCTCACCCGTATGCCAAGCTTCCTCTCCGAACGCACCGAAAACACTGAGAACCTGCGGAATGTCTACCTTGGAGTCAGGGGAAGTGTTCTCAGCCTACCGCACGTCTCTGAGGGCGCCGGATATGCGGATAACAACCCTATTGACGGCCTGGCTAGCCCCAGCTTGAGTGTCTTGAGCGAGAGCTCCTTCATCAGCGTGTATGGGCAGAAGGGACACGCAAATGCCGTACCCGGTGAGGTCGATGAACCCCTTTCGCTGGATGGAGTCGATAGCATCCCTGGAAAGGCCAGTGCTATCAAGAGGCCCAAGACCTCAATGGCCAGGGCGGTACCAGCGTCCAACCGACATGCGCGCTCGAACTCGCTCACGAATACCAGCAAGCAGAGGGACTACCAGACCATCACCGATGTCATCGACCCAAGATCTCCATTGCAGCAGATTGAGCGTCTTGATCCTACCTACTCTCAGAAGAGGGCTGAGAACCGCCCTCACAGCCGGGACCAGGATAATGGAGCTGTGTTCGCTGGCCGCGCGGCTAAGTCACCACCAGCCAGGTCCCCGGAACGCAGACGTATGAGAGAGGAGAAGCGGGAGTCACTACGAAGAGTATTGACCGATGCTCCCGGTGGAGTTCGTCTACATGATCTCCCACCCACCCCTGACACAATCTCCACGTCCACATTGAGACGTTTCCAAAACTCCAATGACACTCTCTCAAGGCAGCCAACTGGTCAGCGCAGCTATGACGACTTGTCAGATGCGTCCGGTGACGAGAGGCAGTTCCAAGGAGTGCCACTCGGAGATATGGGGTTGAGTGCGAAGCCATTGGAGAAGGCAAGAGACCTGAACAATAGCGCATATTTCGAGACCCGGGCGCGAGCCATCCAGCGTCCTCGTTCTGCCGACGAGACTACAGTATCTAACCGCAGAGCAAATGACTGGGACAGCGACAGCGACGACTCTGATACCCGGTCGCTTCAATCGAGCCTCGACATCTGGATGCGCGAGAGCGCCAAGCCCGACACAACTGGGCGCATTTCACCGGATCTCTTCAGCTTTCCCAACACCACGTCCAAGGGCGGCTGGGCTGTGGATGCCATGTTTGGCCCTAAGATTGGCCACCCAGGCGGTGTCGCTACAGGTCTTGACCCTCAGAAAATCATCGACATGTTCCCAGTCCAGCCAGAATTGTTCTCGGCGTCACTGCCACCCCCACCTCCTAACAGGAAGTCAAGTCTGCTGGCTCAGACCGGGAACAGCCCAGGAAGGCCATCGACGAAGCGAGGCGTGTCTAAGGCTTCAGGCCGTCGCCCACTCTACGGCCGAAGAAACAGTGATGATGTTCAGACGCCTACTGAGCCAAAGGCTCAGTTGCAGCCACCTCTGCCGGTGCAGCCGCAAGCCGCTGAAAATAGAAAACATTACCCGCCCATTGCAAATCAGCCTGCCCGGAACCCGCTCACCAAGCTGTGGCGTCGATCTTTGGGAGGAGGAACATCGAGCGCCCCGCCAAACCCAACTGAGATGCCTGGGCCACCCCCAGAGGCTCCAAAGACGAATGCCGAGATGGGTGTCCCTTCATGGGTCAGTCGAACAGCTGCAGTGGAGGATGACAGAGACGGCGCTACGCCTCCGCCCATTATGCGGCTCCCACGGCAATCTCGTCACATGTCTGTCGACCTGAGTGCTATGGCAAGAGCCGGATCACAAGATCCGCAAACGCCGAGCACCCCGACGATGCCTGCTTATGTGGGAGAGTTGACGCCGGAGCACCCGATGAGTAGCCCGCGCGTGCCTTCTGCGACGGGCACTAGAAGAAAGTGGCTGCCAGCATTGAGGGCTGCAAGCTTCATGGCCAGAAATGGATAGGGGATCTGGATTGATTAGATAGCATGTCAGTGAATTGGAGGTGCAGATTGTACGATACAGCGGGAGAAGACAGGGGTGGAAGCGACAGGCATTGGATTGTATTATACCCAGGAAAACATTTTATTCTCGTGCCGGTTGCACAGGACGCCTGAGGGCGGAAGCAAAAGGGTTGGGTAGGATATGGGATAAGGATACGGCCGGGGGTTCGTACTGGCAGTATAGATAGATTGGTAGAATCAATTCACATTGACAATATTAGTATTTATATGTAAAGTGTTAAACCAATGGGATAGACGTGACATCTGTGCTCAATTTGTCCTATCAACTTATCTGACCAGTCCCGCCGGCCTCGGCATCGAACCCAACTTCGAAACATATCTACACAGCACCGAACCGAGTCTCGAGAGACCTTATATCTACACCCACTCCCAAGCGGCCGACGTACGCCCAACCCCCAAATCCCCCACCGCCTTCTTAAAGGCGGCGGGCGAGAGGTCGAGGTCATGGTAGGCGCAGCCGCCGCACCGGTCGACGACGGTAACCTCGACGGTGCCGGCGGGCCCGGCGACGCGGATGGAGCGGCCGCAGGGCTTGAGGGAGTCGTAGAGCGGCGCCGACACGGCGACGACAAGGTTGGAGTCGCTGTAAGTCTGCCCGCAAGCTCCCGTGCCGGCGCTCGGGTTGTACCACGTCAGGTCGCCGGCGGTGCGGGCGTGGAGGTTGGTGGGCGCGGCGTGGGTGAAGGGGAGGGCGAGGGCGAGGGCGAGGAGGACGGTGGTGAGGAGAGCGGACATGTTGGTTGTTGGTTGGTGTGGGAGTGTAGGGGAGTTGAGATGTATGTGTATGTTGAGATGCGTGTAAGTGAATGTGACTCGAGGTCAAGTGAGGAAGGCTTGAGCTGATCGTAAAGGAATGACTTGTCTTGATGATAATGGAGAGGAACCAATGCATTTATGGCGAATCCCGGCTGTATTTATATCTGGAAATGCTCTCAGCTTCATCCCTAACCAACGAGATTCACCACCATCTCTCCCCGCAGTCACCCTTCGTGATTCCCAACATCCCATCCGGTGGCACCCCTCCAGCGAGAACCAGCCGGGCCAACGCACAATGCGCACCGCAGAACCGCTAAACAAACGGACTAATCAGGGCAGGGCCCCGGGGGCGCCGCACAGGCGGGATGGGGATGCTACGATGTGAGGGTTGGTGATGGACGGCACCCACAGAATGGTGTTGGTGGGTTGGCGGTTTGGGATATGCTGTGGAGGCGGCGCCGGGAGGTGGGGCCGCTTCTGACAAGTGCCTTGCAGGGCGGTTTTGAATTGAGTGATGGGGTTGTACGTTGTTGGGAGTGGTTAGGAAGAGGATGACTGCGTATGGGTGCTTGTGCTTGACCAGGCGTTGGGGTGTTGTCGCCATTGTGTGGCAGACGCGAGATGATTCACTGGTAGATTCCATATTAGCCTCTGGAAAGGAGAAGTCAATATCAAAACAACAAGTAGATCCTTTGGTAGATTCCTGGTCGAGGACTTGATATGCATCTGTCTAGTTCCACGTGCGCCTGTCAACCCGTCTCAAAACCTGTAACTCTACATCTGACAGCCAACGTGCTGCAAAGCGCAGTGCCACTTCCAAGGGAATGCCAGTCTCAAAGTATGTAGCTCATACAGTCTGCTAATGCAGGCACTTCCATCTTGTTCCTGGAGGAGCTGACGTGTCGCGGATACCGTGACGTCGCACGGTAGACACACCGGGGAGCCGGCTTCAGCGGAGGATCGCACCACATGGTCTGGGTCGATTCCGAGAGGGTTTGGAATGAGGGGTAATGGGTGACATATGACTGTGGTAAGGCTGACTTCATGGATGAGCCTTCGTCGTCCACTGTTGTCTTGATGCTTCTCGTTTTCGTAGATGGGGCTACAAACTAACGAATTTTGATCGGACCTGATAGTGTGAACGAGCTGCCACTGCACATGATCAAAATTGAGCTAAGGATGAAGCTAATTCAAGTATGGCTTGAACTATGTATGAAACCGAGTAAAATACCGGTGAAGCGAGCAGCGAAGTCGGAACATGAAGTGTCCAGGGTGACTTGAGGCTGACGAACACATCTGGGGAACTGACTGACCTGTCAGCCAACTACCGAGACAACCCTCTTTTCTAGTGAACGTGGAATTGTCGGACCTGCATAAAATTCGGTGCAATGGATCTCAGTGAGATTCCCTGAGCCCGTGGTTCCTGGGAGCTGGGTAGGATCTGCTACCCTAGGAAGTGAAGCCGTATAATGTGGCTGATATGTTCCCATGATGGAGTCGCGTTGCAACACGTCGAATTCAGAAACACTGGCACGCTATAGGCCTGTGACTTGAAAGGGTTGAGTTGTATGGGGAGAAGGGAACTGCATGCGGAGGATGGTCGAGGAACCGTCATCTCTCCGTCATTCTTCCGCCTCCGCATCCAGCTCAACCCGTCCATCTCGCGTCACCTGTCTCTAACTCGAAGCCAAGGAAACACAATCCCGAGACACCTTCACATAGCCTTTTTCGTTCCTGGCACCCGATGCAAGGGGGACAGCAGAGCCATGGCGTAATGTGCAACCTGATCGGACGAACCAAACAAAAGAGAGTGCCTGGACACGAGAAGTACGCAAGCACGCAAGGTAAGCTGAGCCTCACCTACATATAATGAAACGCGGGGGCGGACTGTATCCATCTGCGATTGGATCGGCGCTCGTGTTGAAAGCCTCGAGAATGGGCGCGCTGCAGCTGCAGGTCGGGACAACTCGAGATGATATTGTCTCAGTGGAGGAAATAGCTCCCGGGTGAGGCACATCTTCGCGTATTGACGGATAATTGGTGCAAGGTCATTTTTATTGAATCGTCTTACTTGACTTGACCGGGTTATGACAGAACTCGAGGCTGATTGTCGTGCGTTGGTTTTACTTGGATCTCACCGGGATCACGCTCCACACCGGCGTGGAGAGCTCAATGGCCCGCATATGGAGCTGGGAATATCACAGGTGGCGTGTAAGCATTTGATCAACGCCCACGGATCCCCTCAGCTCATGGCGATGAGGCTCTCAGATGGAGTGCTTTGCTGGGAAATGTCAATCCACGCGACTCTATTCAAGATCATAACTTCATTGGTGCTTGTCAAAGACGGAAATCCTCGAGCATGTCGTTCGAGCTGAGATGACCCTTTGACTCCGCCATGACCCAGTCTATTGGAGGCGTGGGATTTCCAGCCTCATGGGGCTTCGTCGTCAGATTAATTGATGCCCCTCTCCGGTTGCTGCATCGGGTAGTGAGGACGGGAACACAGGATTGGCTCCACTGAATACGATATACTATATAACTGGCAATGGTGACGCCGTAATTATGTGGATAAACACAGTGCTCGAGGACCTGAACGACGTGACAGCCCATACGGACAGAGATCATCATGATCCACACCCTGCCGCTGCACCGGGCGGCGTACCTCGTGCTATGCCTCTTTTCGACTGTGTCTTTCGCGAGAGTCTTCCTTACCAGACGGGATGCTTTGACCTCCTGTCTCGCCGACGCCCGCGTCCCGTTTTCGGTCAAGAATTCGACCGAGTGGACCCAAGACACCAAGCCGTACAATCTTCGCCTGGCTTACACGCCAGCTGCCGTCGCCGTCCCGACGTCCATTGACGAGATCAAGGCGGCGGTTTCGTGCGGAGTCAAGAATGGTGTGCGGGTGAGTGCCAAGGGCGGCGGCCACGGCTATGGCTCGTTTGCCCTTGGCGGCGAAGATGGTCACCTTGTGATTGCGCTTGATCGCATGTATCGGGTCACCTTGAATGACGACGGGACAGCAACGGTGCAACCTGGGGCAAGACTCGGCCATGTTGCTGTGGAATTGTTCAACCAGGGCCGCAGAGCCATCGCTCATGGATCATGCCCTGGGTAAGCCATCCCTCGCACTAGAGATCATAAGCTAATCATGTAGTGTTGGCATTTCCGGCCACAGCTTGCACGGTGGCTATGGGTTTGCTTCACGAACTCATGGTCTCGCTGTGGACTGGTTGATCGGTGCAAAGGTAGTTCTTGCCGATGGCTCTCTTGTCCACTGCTCCGCGACCCAGAATCAGGATTTGTTCTGGGCGCTTCGTGGCGCTGGCTCATCCTTTGGCATCGTGGCGGAACTCGAGTTTGATACCTTCGAAGCGCCCGACAAAGTCACACCCTTCAGCATAGAATTGAATTGGAGTGAAGATGAGGCGGTCGTCGGCATCAAAGCCCTCCAGGACATCGCGGCAGATGCTTCCAAGGAATTGAACATGCAGATTTACATGGCGCCGGGAGGTCAGACCATTCAAGGCGTGTACTACGGAGACCAGAATGGCCTCAACGCAGCGCTTCGACCTTTGCTGGACGATATTGACACGCAGATCTCAGAGGCGAGCACGATAGGGTGGATTGAGGGACTGGAGCATTTCGCCGACGGCCAGGAACTCGACCAGACGTACCCTTACGATGCGGTAGGTTGCCATAGTCTGTTGGCAGACTGGACTAACACTTTATAGCATACCACATCATATAAGAGCAGCTTAATGACGCATGCCCTCACACAGGGCCAGATTGAGTCGTTCATGTCGGCCGTCTTCACGAATCTGAACGACCCCTCGGCCCGTCATTCGTGGTTCATCCTCCTTAACCTCCACGGCGGAGCCAACTCAGTAGTCGCAGAAGTGCCCCCCTACGAAACCGCATACGTGCACCGCGATAAGTTGCTCCTGTACCAGTTTTCAGACCGTGGGTCCGACGGCGTGTACCCTGAAGAAGGGTTTGCCCTTCTCAAGGGGTTCAGGGAGAGCGTCACAGGGTCGATGGCGGCCGGGGAGTGGGGCATGTATGCGAACTATCTGGATACCGAATTGGATTCCGAGACTGCGCAGAAGCTGTATTGGGGAGATAACCTGCCGAGACTGCGGCAGATCAAGGCCGCGGTGGATCCGGGTGATGTTTTCTGGAACCCTCAAGGAGTCCGCCCGGCAATATGATGTGCCCGGGATTGCAAGTGTTGGATCATGATTAAACAATGGATGTTCGTACAGACATGAAATTCGCCGATGAAGTGAATCAAGTCCCGAAATTGCCCGGAGCCGCCTCCAGAAGGATGTCACAGTGAAGGGTTTCAATTGTACTTGGGTGCCCTGACTCAGTTATTGGGAGACCCTTGGATGGCGGCGCCAATACTTAGGGCGATCCGTAAACTATCTGCTGGACTTTCAGGGGACCAAGCCAAGGGCGACATTAAATCCATCTGGAACGCCAAGGATATTGGATGGCGTTCCACAGATGCCATGTTTTGGACGCCGATTCGACCAGCCGCGTCGTCATTAAGAACACCCCGCGCCCACCAGCTTTCTCCCAGGTCACCAAAATGGATATCGACAACTGGCAGGCGAATAGGATCAGGAACAGCCGCTATCTGCAAGATGGGACGGTGAAGCCTTGGCCATGGGGGATCCAGGTCCAGATCCTCGGGGCAGAGGGCTGCGGGCGACACAGCGTGCTCAATCGGGTAGGTCGACTTCATGATGGCAACGCACAGAGCTAATGCGCAACAGATATGTCTGGACGAATTCGTCGAGAATTACAAGGTCACCTCGGGCTGCAATACTGCTTGCAAGCAAGCTCACATCCGCGGCCAGTCTTGCGACATCTGGTTCGACACTCCAGTCTCGTTGACGTCGTTCGGCGACGGCTACCCTCTCAGCAAGCAAGAGCACTTCTCCTGGATTACGCGCGGCATCCGAGACAGCGACGCTCTCATCCTGGCATACGACCTCTCAGACGCCCGAAGTTTCCAGGTCCTTTGCGAGTTCTGCGCTCGGTGCGAACTCGAGGGCGTTGGCGTCGCGCCCGGAACCAGCCTTCCCTGCCTAATCATCGGCACGAAGACCGACCTCCCGAATCAAGTCCACGTCGAAGATGGCTGGAGGTTGGCAAAGCGCCTGGGCGGCAGCTTTGTCATGTGCTGTGCCAAGGATGGCCAGGGGTTCTCGGAGCTGATCGAGGAAGCTGTCGGACCGGTCATCGAGGCGCGGACGAGACTGATGCGGGAGAGTGAGGATAATCTGGGAGAAGCCATTAGGCATCTCATGGCCCAGACAATAGTTCGACGGCCGAGTCTAAGAAAGAAGCTCAGTTTTCGTCGCCGAGGACGAGAGCCGGAACTCCGTCGGCCGGTGACGAGAGCGCGATGTTCTGGCGCGCCGCCGCGGTGGACAATGAGGCGACTGATTAGCCCGCCGCCTTGGGCGATTTCCAGAGGGACGAGCTCGGATTCGAATGAGAGTGACACTACTCTCGTAGAGTTATGTCCTCCGGAGTATCAATTACCAGTGGACTTGGTCGAGCCAGCCGCGACAGGCTGGGCACCGAAGTTTTGACGCGGGCTAGAAACATTTAGACACGGGACGGGACGGGACGGATCGGCGATAAGTGGAGCCCGACGGAGACGGACCCGGAGCGGGTCATTGAACGACCGGAGTCGCAATCATCACGTTGGGAAACGCCGACAGGGTTGGGACCCAGACAAGGACTGCAGGCAATTGCGGCGCGGGAATATGCTTTGTCGACAAGCTTGGAGAGTTGGGGTACGGCGCATTCTGGTGAGCGGGGTCTGCTCAAATTGGAGAAGTTTGGATTTGGAGATGATTTTAGTGCCCAAGGCAGAGAGGGCCATTTAATTTAGCCTTTGGAGCAGAACCGTCAATCCCCCGTCTTTCGGGACTAATTTAATAAATGCCACGGTATCGTTTGCGCGACGCATTAGTTGGTGGATGAATAGGTGAATGCGTCAATGATGTGAAGCCTAAACGGCTTCGTCGGCACAGTAACACGGACAAAAGTCCTCAAAAACTTTGCTAGTCCGCGTCGACGGCTAATCTCTCTTTGTCGGATTTGTCCACGTCCTCGTCAGCAAGGTTTAGCCCCCAACATCGCGGGCCTTGTTTCTCCTTCTGGAAAGCCCAGATGCAATCTTGCATGTCGGCTTCTGGTCAAACGGCCGCACTGCCGTGGATCCCGTCGAACCGCCTGTTGGGTGAGTGCCACTAGGGAAGCTTGGCAACCCATCCACACGGGAGCCCGGCGCAACTTCTGGCTGCAGGATTGTCCGGACAAGGGTTCGAGAAAGGGGGACGATCTCGAGCCAGAAGATGGGGGTTCGCTGGACGCGCCTTGCCCGGCTGGGACGCTGCGGGGGAGGACTCGTTGAGATGCTCGCCTGGGGTATACGAAATCGTGCAGGCGCCACGGTCGGCAGATCCATCGGCCGACGGGCGTCTTGGGATTGCGCAAGTCCCATTAAAGATAAGTTTGCAGGCTTGAGGTGAGGGGAAAGAGGGCGGCCATGTCAGCGCCGGCGAGATATCGAAGCCCTTTCGGCCTGACGTCCCGGCCTGCCTGCAGGATGATAGTCGTCATCGTATGCCATCCATCTCTTGGGCCGGTTCTTTGTTTAATCCAATGCCATTTTGAAACCCGCTTGGCGGACGCCGGTCAGATGTCACCCTCCGCCGGTGAGATGGATGCGACGCTGTGGTTGCGACGCTGCCCTCTCAACAAGCGACATTGCATTGATCCCAGGATGCGAGGGTTTGTCGAGCAGCGCGCAGGGTACATTGGATATGAAAAATCCCCGTCTGTGCAGCGGCGCATCCAAGACAATTGGAAGCCTCCCAACGCCCAGATTTTCGACATGGCGATATATCTCAGTGGTGAACTTGGCGTCAATCTTGATGTCGCCACTCCGCCCGTAGTCAGCGCTGTGGAGAGGGCCGAACAAGCATCACCTAGCGCTTGGCAAACAGCGCGCAGCGTCCGGAAATAAGCTTAATTGGATGTTTGTTAGTGCCGATGGCCAGAAACGAAATTGAGTACGAAGTACGTACTTGTGAGCTAAATCCGACTTCTCGAGGTGCGAAATTGTCAGACGAGATATCGCGAACGTGTGCCAACATTTCGTAAAAATAGACGGCGGGCTGCAGCATCTAGCTGGGAGGCTGCTTGGGGCGTATCAGCTACGCACCTGCCGGCTGACAGTCTGTCTGTCTCACAGTGACGGCAACCGAATAGGCGGCCCTCGGCCAAATTCAAAGACACGGGAAGGAATCACAGACAAAGAAATGGCTTCGTGACTGGGTGTTTCAGCCAGCCGGGCCGTCGTCAATAGAAACCAAGACAGGAGGGAACAAAGAAACCCGGCATCGCCAACACCACGAAAACCAACATCCACACTCGCCCAGGGCATCACAAATCAAAGCCACACGCTGCCACAACCGCCAGCCCTGCAGCCCGCAATGCTCGTCCATGCCGTCGCATCCGCGGCCCTCGCCAGCCTCGCAACCGCGCAGCAGCAGCACAACTACGCGTACCCGCCCATCCCCTGCGGAGCTCGCTCGCTGCCCGACTGCCCTGCAGACGCCTTCTGCGTTCCCGACCAGCCTGGTTCGGGTTCGTGCGCCTTTCGCAACACTTACCAGCCCTGTGGCGGCTTCACGATGGAGCCGAGCCTGTGCGGACGGCCCGCCGACGTGTGCGTCGACGACCCGCGTACCCCCGAGAGCTGCGGCATGGCCTGCGATGCCCCCGGGATCTGCCTGGCGCCCGAGCTGTCGGAGTGCGAGGGTGACCAGGATTGCCCCGAGGGCCTGTGGTGCTACGTGTGGGAGAAGAAGGGGTGCAAGGATGATGACTGCAGCAAGGTGTGCCTTTGAATCGTGGCTCGGAGACATGTGAAGCGTCTTAGACACACAATTGTGACTTGAGGTTCAATTTCAATTATAACCTGTTAACTTGCAAGGCCTTGTATCCAGTCTTCCCGTTCCCCCGTCATGGTAAGGGCCACCCGGCCCATGTATGACAAAAGGTCCCGTAAATCCCTGGGCCCGTTCCCGATTCGCATATCCCATGGCGGCATTAGACAAAAAGCACCGCTTATCCCATATATACAACATTTGTGCCACATCGCATGCAAGGCCCCGCTCGCTTAGACGGTGTATCGGAAGAAGGTAGCGTTGTCGCCACGGTCCTGCTCCATCTCCTTCTCGGCGCGGGTGTACTCCTCGGGAGCCTTGTGGGTGAGGTCGCGCCGGGCGTTCTCGCGGCGCAGGTACCAGGTCATGTAGATGCTGAGGATGCAGCTCATCGAGGTGGAGGCGAGCAGGGTGCCGTGGCCCGACTTGTAGTGGGGGAGATCGGACTTGCGGTAGACAAAGCCAGCGACGGCGCCGCCGAGGTTACCCTGTCCATGTTAGTACAAATGGAGGTCTAATGCAAGGGGTGGAACTTACGAAGCCGACGTGCATGGCGATACCGACACCTCGCTTCAGAGAGCCGCCGATGTTGTTGCCGTTCCAGGCGACACCCTGGGGAACGTTGGGGTAGATACCTGAGGTGACCAGGAAGCAGGCGACGTACTTGGCACCGTTGCTCTCGGTACCCAGAAGGATGGCAAAGCCGGTCATGCTAGTCTGGCTGTTAGCGCTGGGTTTATTTCTTTGAGGCTACTGGGTCACTCACGCAACAAGGCAGAATCCGATCATGTAGAGACCACGCTGGCCGTGCTTATCAGCAGCGAAGCCACCGCCGACGGTGAAGAGGCAAGCAACGACGTAGGGAGGGACGGTCATGAGCTGGGCCTTCTCGTTGGTGTAGCCGAGACTGGCGACAATGCTGGGCAGGAAGATGGAGATGGAGTAGAGAGGGGTGTAAATGCCAATGGTGATCAACATGTGGACGTAGATCTTCCAGTCCTTGAAGGCATCCTTCATGAACTTCATCTCAAACCTGTCGGACAGGACGGAGCGGTCTTCCTCGAGGCGGCGGATAACCTCCTTGCGATCCTTGTCGTCCAGGAACTTGGCAGTGTCGGGGTAGTCGTACATGACGAAGAAGGCCATGACAGCTAACTGGATTAGCGAGTGTCTTGCGAGTGTACGACATTGCACATACCGAAGACAAAGGTGATGAGACCCTCGAGGATGAAGATCCAGGCCCAGCCGTTGAGTCCACCAACACCGTCCATCTCCATGATGCCACGGGCGAGGAGACCACCGAAGGCACCGGCGGCAGTGGCGGCAGAGAAGAAGATGGCCATGCGGAGACCGCACTCGTGGCGCTTATACCACATGGTGATGCTGTTCGCGTTAGCTTCCTCACTCCACATGGAGAGCTGGCGGGATGTAACGTACTAGTAGGTGATACCGGGGAAGAGACCACCCTCGGAGAGACCCAGGGCCATGCGAACACCGAGGAGACCCTCGAAGCTGTGGACGGCACCCATGACCATGGTCATGGCGGACCAGGCGATCATGATGGACGGAATCCAGAGTGACGGGCGCCACTTCTTCATGGCAATGTTGGAGGGAATCTCAGCGGCGACGTAGAAGGGGAAGAAGATGGACACGGCGATCTGATCGATTAGCATTTCGAAGCATTGTCATCGACGGGGTTCATCTTACATTGTAGTCCCACTTGCCGGTCATGTCGAGATCTTCCTCGAGGCCAGCGAGCTTGGCGTTGCCGATGTTGGCACGATCAAGGAAGGACAGGAGGTAGAGCAGGGCGAGGAACGGCAGCAGACGGCTGTCCATCTTGCGGAGAAGGCGGCTGGTGGCCTTCTTGTCGTAGATTTCATCAGAGGCATCCTCGTGGAGCGAGACGGCCTTGTCGTAGTCGACCTTCTCCATGGACGAAGCGTCGTTGGAGACGGGCTCCGTCTTGTGTTCGTGGAGCATGATTGCAGCAGTTGTGTCTTCTTGTGATGAGAAGCTCACTCTCCGATATGAGGGAAGGAATATGGGAGGGGAGGAAGAAGGTTCTGAGTATGAAGCAGAAGAGGGAGGAGGAGGAGGAATGAAGAGAAGATGAGAGAGGAAGCGGATGCTTTGGTCTGGGGTTTCACTGTCGAAAGTCTGGGGAAGAGCGAGCCTATTTGAATGAAACTGGACGGGTCTGGGGGAGGTGGAGGATCAGAGTATGGAGTATACTTCCCCAGATCATGTCGGGACCGGACCAGGCTGTGGTGGCCGCCAGAAAGCGACTCCGCTCGTCAATCGTGTCGTATTGACCCGTCTCCTCGCTCACAATTGCCCGTCGCCGCCTTGTATCCTCTCCACTTGGCGCACGAACGGCAGAGGCTGCAAAGAGTTGGAGTCATGGCTTGGGTGGCCCTTGTCTCGTCGTGCCAGGGCCTGTCCACACCCCAGCCCACGCACATCTCTCCTCTCACACACACACTCACACCTCACTCTCACCCTCGCAGCACATGCTCTAGCGCCTTGTTGGCCTTGTCGGTTCTCCACACACACGCCTCGGCACCCCCATGCTCACCCGGACACACAGACTCTGCGGGCGACGCCTGGCATATTTCCCCACCTCGAGACCAATCGCGGCGACCCAGACAGCAATGGAGGTGCCATGTACGGGGTAACGCGAGGAGGGGAAGACAGGCTAGACAAGCCTGAGAGGGGAAATTCTTGCTCGAGAGGCTGCCAAGCGGCCGTGGCGCCGTCGTCTGCTTGGCGCACTGGCATTGTCGCTGCTGGCGTCGGCGAGTGTCACCCATCTCGCCAAGATCGTCGAGGCCCAGACTCGCCGCAACATTCGGCCTGCAAGGATGGCTGGTCTCGTACTTTGGTCCGTGGCGCTGCCCTGTTTCATTCCATGGACCGCTGCTGCAGGGATTCTTTTTGAGAGAAGACGGGATAGAAGGCCATGTGCGCCAAGTCCGGTATTGGTATTGGCACCTTGTTGTGCTCCGTGCCGTGCGGCTGCCCCCATCGCCAGCCGTCTCCTCCTCCCAACTCGAATCTATACTAACCAACATGCCAGGCGTGGGTCCGTCTCTCTCTAGGTTCGGCCTGGAACTCTTGAGCTAGACAGCGACACTATACTCACTACCTAGCCGCAGTAGGAAAGAGGTAAAATAAAAGTCCCGGCAGCTAGAGTAGTTTTGCTGCCGGTTGCTCGTCCCGGGCGCCATGTCGATCCCTCTGAGGATGCAATGCGATGCGATAGAGGCGCAACTTGGGCTTGACGGCATGGAGCTTGCATCTGCAGTCACAATTGTCGCTCTCGATTGAATGGATGCGTGGGTCCTTGCTGATACCGCGGCTGATGCCATGCATGTCGAAATCCCAATCCCAACGTGACGGGGGAAAAGCCACCCTCGTGGTGAGCCTCGTATCATGTTGTGGGCGGGAGCTGAAATCATGGCCTCATTCGGCTGCCAGCGAAGCTATCGTCTGGTACGAGATGGGCGGCCATTTCGCCTCCATCTCGTCGCTCTATCTCGAACCCCCATGTCTTGCCACAACCATCACCGCTCAACCACCCCAGCTCCTCAAATGCATGCGATGCCGTGCGTCCCGACGGAACAATGGCTCGTGGCATCTCGCGTGTCGCGTACATGAAGAGGGAGGGCGAACCGCATGTTCCATGCCCCATCTGGCGATGCGCTTCGGTGCCAACCCTTGGCGCACCGAGGCTTCTGCTTCCAGGCATCTGTAACCAAATCTAAAATCTGAACAATCTACCGTCCCCGCCAGAAGCGGCGCTGGGCAAAAGCTTGGACCGTCGCAGTCTTGGCCGCGGCGCATTCGAGATGAAGCCCAGATCCTCGGATATTCCACGACGATGGGGGTTGTGGGCGGCCTCAATGCCGTCACCGACGGGTTTCCAGGCCGTTGATTCGCGGCGCATCAACGGCTCCGGCTATCACGACAGCCGGAGGCCATCGGCCCAGCGGAAGATCTCTGTTTTGGATCTAGGCTGCCGGGTCCCTGCCTCCCGCGTCAGGGCTTGTGGCGATGGCGACGCATCCATGGCGAGCCTGGCTGCGAGGGCATGCCGGGGCGATCGGCGAGACGAGCTTGGGGCGCCACCACGAGGGAAACACGCGGCGAGTGCTTGATGGAGGGTGTGTGAGGAGGCGGCGCGAAGATGGCGACAAGAAAGAGGAGAAAATTAGGGGGAGACTAAGGGCTGGTGAGGGGATGTCGGAATGGAGGATGGAGGAGGAGAGATGTGGTTGGGGATCTTGGGACAATCTGGATGTCATCTCTCGACCCCAGCCTTGGCAGACAGCGCGCGCAAGATGACTCCCCCTCTCCAGGGCCCTTCCCACTGGGCGACAGGGGCCATTTGCGGGGGAAAACACTGGAGCAGCGCCCCACCGCATCCCTACGGCTGCTGTTTTAGGGGAGTCCGTCCTCCCTGTCCCGGGGCTGAGTCCAGCGCCCCAGCGCCCCAGTGACCCCATATCCCCCCAGCAGCCCCGCACGAGCCAGCGCGTCTTCAGTGGTCCAGCGCCGCCGGCTGACCACTGACAGCGCCGCGAGTCCCCCGTTGTCAGCGCGCTGCAGAGGGGGGGGAGCCAAGCCAGCCAGTGGCAGCGCAGCGCATCAGCCAACATCAGCCGGTTTGCCAATGCACGCATGATCCCACTGCGCGCACTCTGGCCGCGAGTCTCCATCCGAAATCTGGGGGAATAGGGCCATTCCCCCTTCCCCCTCCCCAGAAATCCCAGAAATCTCTCTTCCCCAGAAGGTCCACTGGGCGACGCCAGATTGGCAGATTCTGGGGAAAAGGGCGAGGATGAGATGAGATGCGAGAGATTGCTGATGCCCAGATGCCGTCCGGGCATGGTCCTGATCTGGCTCGCGGGGTGGCAGATGGTTTCGCGGCCGTTGCTTGTCAGTGTCAAGTGTAGATATCAAATCCACGGATGCACTGGCGTCCACCAACCATACGAGTCCTTCACCCACCTTTTTCCCTTTTTTCCCTCCTCTGGCGCTTGCTTACCCCCAAGCGGGGGACCATCACCCCCAACATTTGCTGGGATGGAGCAAACCTTACGTACTGGACTTGGGTGGCCAGAAGCCAGAGGGAGACCAAACCGGTGAAGAGCGAGTACGCAGGGTACCTGTCATTTCGCATAGGGCGTCGTGGCTCCGGAAGTACCTGCCGTCCTGGGAACAGCGAGCGGGGATGGGCTACCACGGATGATTTCACCATCATTCAATGGAGCCGTCCTCATTTGCCGTTTGCCGCCAGACTACCTGGGTAGGTACATAGCTAGTAAAGGCTTCAAGGTGGTATTAAAGGTGGCAGATAAGGTTAATATTCCCCACCGCCCTCCACCGCTCTCCACCGCTTGTTGTGTTTCCCCCACCGACTTTCTCTCCCTTCCCCCATATTTAAATGTGGACGGTGTGGACGGGTGCTTACTGTGTGCTGCTCATGCTCAGCAGGACAGTGGAGGCAGCGTTAACCTGCTCCAATGTGCCCGCAGCGAGAGTACCCAATCTGGAGGCAATCTGGCCTATCTCGCAGTCCCCTCCCCATCTCCCATCTCCACCTCCACTACTCCGCACTTTTACCCCAGCTGGCTAGGGACCCACGGCCAAGGACCCTCGACCAACAACCCTCATTTTCTCGCAGCAGGGATCTCGGTTCGCGCGCTGGCTTGTGCCGGCGTTGACGTTCTGGTACGTCGCGGCTTGGCATTACCAACAAGGCGTCTTTGGCTTCGTCAGCCCCGGCTTCCTGACTCTTGAATGGCGGACCGGGACTGCATCCCTGACTCTGCGCCGTTATGTGTGTACTACTACGGATGTACTAGTCCACCCTGGATGCCTAGGTAGTCCACCCTGGAAAGTCCTGGGATGATCTGAGTTCTATCCTCCATCTTCGGCATCGCGCGCCGCACCCATTTGCTTGGGCAACGAAGTACGCGGAGACTGGATTCCCTCCCCTGTTCTAGTCCTTGGTGACCTGGAACCAGAAGCTGCCAAAGGGTTGCATCACCACGTTTCATGCCCCCCCTCCATCTTCATCCTTCCCTCGTGCGCAATCCGCCTCTTTCGTATCCCGCCCACATCTTTATTCTGCTCGTGCGTTGAGTATTTTTTGGCGGCGTCCAATCCAGTCGCTCCCTCTCGTCGGCGTCGCCCGTCTGAGTCATGGATGTGCTTCCGTCCCATGCTTCTAGGGTGCTTCCTTTTCGCATCCACGCAAATTGGCTGGCTGTCGGACGGAGGGATGGCGCCGCCACACTGCGCATTCCTGCACAATCGTATGCCCGTCGCTGAATTTTCCTACGTGGTGCATCTTCGCGACATGCTTTGGGTGGTGGCCACAACGTGGCCTCGGCATGTTGTGTATGCGGACTGCCAGATCACATCAAGCACAGCCCAGCACAATTCACCCATTCACACCCTCCCGCATGAATCCATTCACACACACACACACTATCTCTGCATCTCACGCGCATACTCTCGCTGCACATTCCATGCTATGCCATGCTCTGCCACGCGACACTCTCCCATCCCATCCCGTCCTATCCGTCGCTCACCGGAAGTCTATTCTTGCCTCCGCTCCGCAAGTTTGCATGCGCCCGCAATGCATATGACTATCTACAGTTGTTTGTTATCCCATTCCGCCCGCCGAGTGTGTGTGGGCTCCTCCTCACTGGCCGTTTCTTTTCTTTTCTTTTCCCAGGTTTGCGTGGCCCCCGGTTGTATGTCGAACCACTTTTGCGACCGCTTCCCTCTCATGTGATCCGCCGCCTCCGGCATCCAAGTCACTCCCGACGGAGTTTTCAATATGTACAGACCAGGATCTAGAATCTCTCTTGTCTTGGGGGAATCTAGATTGTGGGGGAGATCCACCGGGTCCATACGGGCATTTTCTTTTGTATTACTGTATCATTACTACACCCGTATTTCCTCCCTGCCCATGGCTTACACCCTAGTTGCCACTACAGCCTAGTTTCTCACACCTCCTCATTGGTTCTCCTCATTTTGGCCTCACTCTTCCCCCATCCCTCCTCACTCAACAACCCTAGACACAACACCCCTTGTCTCTCCCCCTCCCTATACTTTAGCCTACACTAGCGAGCCGCCCTCAAGATAAGCAAGTTTTCAGCTTGCATACTAGGCATCTCCATCATGCCATCCTGAACGCCTCTTCTCATATGAGGGGCGACATGACTCTCCAAGTGCTCCAAGAATCTACCCCGAGGCTCACTTACCGCCATGTCTCATGGAATGCCACACTGAACCTTGGTTAAGTTCGGCTGTTGCCTCGACTCCTCCCCAGCAAACGTTCAAAAGAACGGAAACATGGAGAAACCTCCCCGCCCGCTCTTCCCTTCTTGCCTCCTAAGTGACGTTTCATCGGCCCAGATCTCGGTCCATCTTGTCGACGCCCGTAGATGTGCTCCCAAGTCCGTTGAGTCCGAACGCCAGCTTTCCCAACGATATTTCGGGGCGCCAGCCATTCAACAGCCTGCAGCATCGTCAGGCGCGCCTGATACGGCCGCACACCTCCGCATGTCCCGGATCCTTGGCAACAATCTGGTTCGGCACACGGGCGAGATGCGAACGACTCAACCATTCCATGCCCCAGGGGTGCCTCGCCGAAAGAGCAGGGACGATAGGCCGGGCTGGATGACGCCCTGGGCGAGTACACCTAGAAGCCACATGGCCTGATGCTGTGCCAGTATCAAGTATACGCACGGCGGCAATAAGAGGCGTCCACACCATCACTACATTCATGCACAACGTGCTAGACTCGGCAAAGTCCCGCCCTTAGAATCTGACGATGTTGCCACAAAACCAATGAGATACTATCAAATTTTCAGCTCACCACGTGGTTGATCAGATCGCCATCCGTGGCACGAAGCACTCGATGGAGCTTTTCGTGCAGTCTCACCCTCCACACACTGGGCGGAATCCATGTGTCATTTGACAATCACATACGGTATTGTACTTGCCGGGCGTGATAATGAGGCCGGACAAGTGTCTTTGGCGCATCTCGACTGTCTGTGGCAATCTGGCATGTTCAATCTCCCGTTGTGGTGCCAAGGTTTTGAAATTTCCCGTGCCGCTTCAACCGTTTGTGGACCGAGGTTATGCTCAAGGGGCACCGTGACTCGTAACCGAGTCTGTCACGAAGAATCGCTCTTTGTTCTTCAACTGATTTGATACTTTCTTCTTCAGTCTTGTTGGAAATCAAATTTGTTGGGTGTTTTGTTGTCACGCGGGCCTTGTGGAGGCTGTCTTTCTTCGAGACATACCGATCATTCATCTGGCATCTGGAACTCTGCCAAAAAGCTTCACGTATTAACAAGGACTACGAGTTCGTTTGATTGCTTGCATTGTATCCCAATCCTACAGCTTTAATCAACCTAGGGCTGGTATATGTTGGCTACTACCTGGTAGAGATTGCGAATCTGAAGCTACCTACCAACGCATCCTACCCTCCACGCCTACCCTGCCATCCCGACATGAGGTTCATTTCATCTTGCACCCAAGGTGTTGCTCATAAACATGTTGGTGGAAGAGTTGACAACAGGATGACTTCACGCGGCATATTCCGTCGTCGGAGTTTACGGACTTAAACCAAACTCAACATCATTCCACGCCGCCCGGTCGTGGTCCACAGATTGGACCTTCGACATGACACGATCCTTGCGTCAGATGCTTGATCTCCCGGGCCCCGCGACCGATACTCCGTCTCTAGTACGCAATGAGCTTCCAATTTATCGATAACGGTACGGCCAATACCCCGGACTCCCGACGGGCGATCCGTAGCCACGTCATGAAGGGCAGGAATCTGGGCAGAAAGATACAAGGCCGTGGTCGAAAGAACGCGCCGCCTCAGACGGATGAGTTCTTCGGTGATGTTCATCAGCCACATGAAGAGGAGCGTGGGATTATTGAGGTTGCCAAGGATGCTGCTGCACGGCAGGATGGGAGCAAACTCCTCTTCCCTGAGATCATTGCTGTAGACATCGCAACGTCTTCCAATCCCTTCGCGGGTAGCGAGTTCCAATACTTTTCATTCCCTATTCAGTTCACGCCGTCTATGAGGTACATGGTATACCAGTGTAAGTCTGGCTGACAACTTGAGGTGCATATTGTTAATGTCGCCCACAGTCCATTCAGCCGTTATCGATATCATCTATCCGCTCGCGTTCTGTCGCCCGCCCGATGGAATTGGCGCCCCTTGGTTTGAATATATGATATCCGATCAAGCCTGTATGATACTATCGTCCTCTATTTGTACATGTACTGATATATCTAGTCCTCCACTCCCTGCTCGCTATGACGGCAACTTACCTTACCCTCTTCCACAAACCTGGAAGCGAGACCCTCGAAGCAACACGTCACTTCTCCCAGGCTTTCCGGCTCATTAACCACAAGCTCTCTCAACCTTCCACCCCGAGTGACTCCACTCTCGCCGTCGTCGCTTCCTTCGCCATCCACAGCAACCTTATCCGCGATACTCCCCGCGGCTTAATCCACTTTGATGGCCTCCAGCGCATTCTCTCCCTTCGCCCAGGCGGACTGGCCTCATTGGGGGACAGTAATCGTACTCTTATGCATAAGATCTGTCGCACAGACATAGAGATGGCTCTGAGGGAGGGAACCCCGACTCGGTTTGGGCATATGAGGTTGACGATTAGCTCGTTGCTTGGGCAGACCAGGCGGCCACTCGTGTATCCACTAAAACAGATATGTGCCCCCCTGCGAAAGTTCACCGAGGAGATCATGGCTTTGTGTCGATGTCCTGGAAGGGCTAAGACGGTGGGGCTAGAATATCAGGATCAGATGACTCGGCTGTGGCAAGGGCTCCTGGATTTTGCACCACTTCGAGGCGAGAGGCCGCAGAACCCATTGGACGACCTGTGGCATCTAAGTCTTCTCGCATTTCTAGCCACTGTTGCCTATCCGGTAGAGTGCTTGCGGGATATTCATACTGGTTTGCTGTATGAGATGCTACGGGATCGGGTTGAGCGTGATGTACTGATGCCTATGGGCGCTGATTATAGCCCTCTTCGGTTCTGGGTCGCGTTTATGTATGGGTTGTTGGTATCGGATAAACCAGAAATATGTCTTGGTTCACATACCAGGACACTGGCAGGCGAGCTAGATTTTAAAAGCTGGGAGGACGCAAAGACATCCCTCCAATCATTCCCTTGGGTTGGAGTTGCGCATGGGAAACCGGGCAAGGAGTTCTGGGATTCAATGATGTCAGCTGCATGATAAATAGCAGCCCTTACGCCTCCCTAACACGATAGGCCAGATCCCTCTGACCAGATTGATCAACTATCATCAGTCCTTATTGTCCTCAATGAAAAGAGACCTTGTGTGTCCACTTGCATTGGATTTGCTGCACACTCTGTGGGGGCAGGCTCACACGAGAGGAAAAGAATAAACAATCGGGGGACTAGAACATTCGACTTCATTTCTTTGTCTCCGGTGCAGCCATCTTTTGGACGGAATAAAAAGCCCTCACTTGTCTAGGGTAACTTTGGTGTAATAGCAGACAGCCAAATGGAGAGAATGCTAAGAGCTTAGGACAATAGCGCCGGTTTTCTTGTGATATTCTAGTACAGATTTGGTCTTGTTTCTCAATCATTAGCTTCTCAGCTTCATGCAAGTACAACTGGAATCAATCTTTCCAACCTTTGTGGATTGTGCATCGTCCAGGGGTTATTGCTTGGGAGTAGCGGGGATCTACCGTAGGAGTTTTCGGGCTGACAGGTGTGGCTTGCCATTATCTGATACCGGGCCGAGCTCCGTGCCGTCGTTTGATGCATTGATCCGTCTCGGGCACAAGCAAGGCAATGTTCTTGAAATATGGTAAGAGATAATTTTACTCCTTGCTGAAAATCTAACTCAACATTTAACGACCAAGAGCTCCGAATATTTCTTCTATTATTAGCTATCGATTATTCGACATTGGCCTAATTCGTCGGCGACTGAGTCTAAGCAGCTGCCATCTATCTCATCTAGGGAACTTGAACTCCACCATGGACGCTCCTCTTCCAACGTCTAACCGTGCTGTCGTATGGACTGGTGCCAAGAAGCTAGAGATTCAGCAGCGGCCTGTCGTACCTCCAGGCGACCGCGAAGTATTGGTTGAGATTATTGCGACCGGTATCTGTGGTTCTGACTGCCACAATTGGGAAAGTGACAAGGTTTCGCGGCAGCTTGTCCTAGGCCATGAGTCCTCAGGCGTCATTGTCAAAGTCGGCAAGGACGTCACGAACAGGAATGTTGGCCAGAGGGTTGCAGTTGAGCCTGGATTCGCCTGTATGGAGTACGTAGGCACCGGCTCTAACTCAATATCCAGAGTCACGAGAAGATAAATCGAGGACTAATTGAAATACCAGATGTGAGTTCTGTGCGCAGGGAAAAACAAACATCTGCGCCGACCTCAAGTACTGCGGGCTTGACCCGACCGATGGTACCCTTTGCCAGTACGTTACTTGCCTTGCATCTATGACAGTACTCATCCCCGAGACCATATCATGGGAAGAGGCCGGAGCAATCCAGCCTTTGGCGATTGCGATACAGTTGGCACGACGAGCGGCCCTAAACATGCACCAGACCATGGCGATCTTGTAAGTGACTTGCGAATGTCCCTCAATGGTTTTTTCATCTATCCTTATGCCGAAATAACTTGTTGCAGTGGATGTGGCCCTCTTGGATTGCTCATCCTTGCCGTCGCAAAAGCCTATGGCGTCAAGAAGATCGTCATGTTCGACATTGAAGAGTCGCGTACGAAGTTTTCCCAATCCTACGGTGCAGATGCGGGAATTGTCACGGCCAGGAACGATGACCCATCCAAAGACTCCTTGGCATTTTCCCAGGAGTATGCCAAAGAAATAATCACCGATTATGATGTTGGGAGTGGCTTTGATGTCGCCGTTGAAGCGAGCGGAGCCGAGATTTGCGCCCAAATGGCCGTCTGCATGCTGAAGCAGGGTGGAACATGTTCGTGAACGAAAGGACTGCAAGCGCTGAAAATAAAGCTGATGATTTTCTGCAGATATCCAAGCTGGCTTGGGCAAGCCACTGACATCGTTCCCCCTTTTCATGGTCACCGATAAGGAGCTTACCGTTAAAGGTCTGCGATTCTCATGGTTTCAATGTGTGGCTTCTAGGAAATGCTAACTTATTATTCGATATAGGGACTGTTAGGTATACTCCAGGATGCTTCGCTGATGCCATCAGTCTCCTTTCGCGAAAGATGGTCGACCTAAAGCCACTCATTACTTCCACGTACCCTTTGACTGAAGCGGCAAAGGCTTTCGAGGCGCAGCATGCGAGGAAAGACATCAAAATTGTTATTTTAAACCAGAAATAGCTGAAACAAGAAGAGATTTGACATAGAAAGAGGTGACATGGACACCAGATGACCCTTTTGCGTCGCTTTGTGAACCTATCAAAGTTCGATATTCTCGCAGGCTTGACACTCATATGTCGACCCAGGGCTTTGGCTGGGCCTCGATCGATCAATTCCAAGTCGCTTGCAGGTTCTCGAATTTATTCACCTGAACTTGAAGACTTTTCACTGATGCCCATACGCGAAAATTGCGCTATGCGGTCCGGAATTAGGAAACGGCTTTTTTAACTAAAACTGACTGTAATTTGTGACTTTTTCACCAGTTAACCTGCTAGTGGCACGACGAGAGGAAGTTTTTGAGGATGTCGTATAATCTCGCTCCTGTCTCCTTTAGTCATAAATAAACCCAGAGAGAACTGCACAAAGCCACTGTCCGATTTCTAGTTCATTACTCTCGCCTCGAGCTGTTATCACGCCTTGCGCGCCTGCCTTCGCTCCCCATCGCCAGTGTTCTGTGTCCGAGAATTCATGCCACGGGGAGCGATATCAAGAACAGAGGGCGGAGGTCTCGGAGTTTAAAGCCGCTTCTATGCGCATCGGCATCAAAGATGCCGAAAAAGTGTCCACGACGAATTTGGATATGTGGCTGAATTGCCACATGCAGTCGTAACATGAATATTATCCTCGCCCACCTTCCAAATGCTGAGGCCTTTTTCTTATAGACTGATGAATTAGGCGGTCTATAAAAAACTTTCAAAATCCGAATTGGCTAGGAAATTAGCTGCTGATTATTCCGAAGAACGATAGGCGCATGGCGTGTGGCTTGCAAGGGTTACGGACCACCGTCCTGGCCGTGCCAGGTTTGAGATCATGCCACGTTGTATCAAGGGCTCATAATTACACTTGTTTTAGTACGACTACCCTCTTGTATATTCACCGTCTCTTTGTTATTCGTTTACATGACGCGTCCCGGTATCCTGAACATGTTCCACTACATATTACGCGGTAGGCTCTAACAGTGGGTCCTTCCATGCACGTCGCCGCGTGGCCTTATCTCCACCCGATGAAGGAGTTTTTCTCGGAGTTCAAACGGATCCATAACATGTCCAGCTTCGGGGAGAACACACGGTTCTTTGTCGTTGATTGAGCAGATACTGACGTGTAGTTAGTGGCTGGCGATGTGGGGACTGGAGTGTGGACATTCTGAAAGCTTGATTGGCTCTAATAATAGTTTTAGCATGTCACAGCTTCCGTTCTACGGAGAGTTGTTTTAATTCTCAGCCTACCCACTGCAATTTTAAAGCTGCATCTCCCTTATCCTCATCACCGCGTCGCCTGGTTGGCAGCTCATACCACCATTCTTCCCACAGCGTCCATCTAGACGCCGTCGTCGTATTAGCCATGCTCCGAGCTGCCAAATCCATCTCAAAGCACCGCTTTGTCGACGCGATTGTCGTCGGCGGCGGGCCATGCGGTCTGGCCGTCGTGGGCAACATCTTGGAGCAGAAACCCAAGGGAAATCAGCTTTGGGTAGACCCCGTGTTTCGAGGCGGTCGTGTGGGAGATCATTACAGAGAAGTGCCGAGCAACACAAAGGTCGACTTGTTTATCGGCTTCGCGACCGCCGTGGAGCCTTTCCGACAGATCGTCTCCTTGGCGCAGAAGCCCAATGCGATAACGGCGCTCGAGCGCTTAAAGCAGGACGAGGGTTGTGAGCTTGGCCACGCTGCCGATATGTGTTTGATGCTCACAGATGGCGTTGCTCGTCATTTCGATAACGTGCATCAACATTACGGCAAAGTCACCGCCGCCACTTTTGATGAGGTATGAGTGAATCGCATCCTGTCACCCCGCCAACTAAGCTCACACTGGTTTCATTACAGAACACCAAGCTCTGGACAGCTGTCTTAGATGGCAAAGACCACGTCGAGACACCGAAGCTTGTGCTGTGCACTGGCTCCAGCCCAATTGAAAACCCGCTCCCCATCATTGAGAAGCTTCCAGGGACCTTGGAGGTGGTGCATCTAGACATTGGACTCACACCGTCAGAGCTCGCCAAGACAATCAAGTCAGACGCCACAGTTGCAGTTGTCGGTGCCTCGCATTCTGCCATCTTGGTGTTGATGAATCTATACAACATGGCTGCAAGCAGCCATCCCCAGCTCCGTATCAAGTGGTTCACCCGACACAAGGACTTGTCTTACGCCGAGTATATGGACGGCTGGATCTTACGTGACAACACAGGCCTCAAGGGCCAGGCCGCTCAGTGGGCACGCGAAAACCTCGAGGGTGACGCTTTTGCGACCAGCCCTGTCAGCAAGGTCATGACAAAATTATGGACGCCCCGCGGCGAAGAAGACCAGATCTATCGTGCAGAGCTTCCCAGCTGTACACACATCATCCAGGCCATCGGGTACAAGCGAGATGCCCTCCCCGACTTGACTGTGGCTGAATCAGTCGATGCAAAGCCCGAACCGTTGGCAATTCAGCACGACGATCTTACTGGCCGCTTCTTCTCGAAATCCCCTACCAGTTCAGGCTCGAACGGCCGACAGCACATTCCTGGACTGTTTGGAGCCGGTATTGCTTTCCCAGAGCGCGTGATTGACCCGTTAGGTAATGTCGAACACGCGGTTGGCTTCTGGAAATTCATGAGGTTCCTCAGAAAGTCAGTCCCTCAATGGGTTGACCCATCTAAAACGGCATAGATTCGTTAGATAGACTTTGGCGTTGCAGGTTATGTTCTAGAGGTAATAGAAAGATCCTAGACTATTGAACTTCATGTCCCCGAATAACAAGAAGCCTGATCCACGAATGGAAGTTTGGCCGCCGATGAAATGTCGGCCATCCAATGAAGATCCTAGTTCATGTTCCGTTTGGCCATGTGACAAGGGGCAATCCATGAGCTCTCCGGGAATACGACGCTCACTTATTCACCGAACCCACTCAAGCAACCGAAAATTTAATACCGTTCGGATATCGTACGAGGCTCGTGAGCCACTTCGTCCGAGCAGGATATTGTATTCGCATCCGTTTAGTTGCGATGGATTTAGCCGTGGGTACGTGGTGGTTTTAACCTGCTCATTGTATCAAGGTTACGCAATAGCTCGGAGGCATTTTTGGCCTCCGAGATAAGGGTGATTTCCTCTTTAAGGAATAATTTTCCCCCGCAGATTAACGTCAACCGCTATCTCTCGTTGTCTAGTATCCCGGGGTGTCCCGACCGAACATGCTAGCCTGATAGACAGGCTTGTCAAATAGCGGAGCTTTTTAGTGCATTATCAATGGATGTGCTTGACTGCCCAGCCGGCCTTCGGAGGAGACCCGGCCGGGCGACCATCAGATGCTGAGACTCAAGGCAAATATGTGGTCGACTAAGGAGTGATCGCAGACAAGACAAATGTTAGCCGCTTGATAATATAAAGAACACAACCTTTGGCTTGCTAGACAAGTCCAAAGCACTGTCAGCCAGTCCTCATCAATTGTGCCCAGCACAATCGAAATAAACAGCCAGAAGTACCCGAAGAGCGAAATACAATGGCGGAAAACACGCCAAGTCTCAACGACAAGGCCGTTGACAACATCGCCATGACCGAGAAAGGGAAATTCACCGACGATATCCTTGAGGGTACCGTTGATGTTGCACCGGAATATTCCGACCAGTACTACAGAAAGCTCCGCTGGAAGATCGATCTGTGGCTGCTGCCGCTGATGTGGTTCTGTTATGGAACACAACAAGCTGACAAAACATCTCTCAGTGTGCAAGCCGTCTTCGGCATCCGAGAGGATACCGGCCTTGTCGGCGAGCAGTTCAACTGGCTGAGCACAATCTTCTACCTCTCCTACATGCTTTGCGAGGCTCCCGGCAATTGGCTGATGCAGAAATGCCACACTGGCAAGTTCTTGGCCACCGTCATGGTTCTGTGGGGTGTTATTGTTCTATGCGTTGCCTTCGCCAAGAACTTCGCCCATCTCATGGTCCTTCGTACAATTCAGGGAGCTCTCGAGTGTACAATTTCGCCGACGTTTATGTTGATGACAGGAGCATGGTACACTTCGCAAGAACACACCTTGCGATCTCTCATTTGGGGAACCTCTAACGCAGGCATGAATATTATTGCCGGTCTCAGCATGTACGGCATTGGCCTGCATGCGGAGAAGAACCCCAATGGCTTGGCCCCAGTAAGTCACCCTCACAAGACCCCAAAGATGTTAAATGTTAATTAAACAACCTCAGTGGAAAGGAATCTCATTCTTTCTTGGAACCTTGACTATCGTATTGGGCGTCCTGGTCTGGTTCATCTTGGGAACTCCCCGTGAGGTGCGATGGCTGAGTGAGGACGAAAAGCGTGCCGCTATTTCTCGTGTCATTGCAAACCAAACAGGATCCGATCGTGAGAAGCGGGAGGAATTTAAATGGGAGCAGGTCTGGATAACATTCAAAGGTACGTCAATCATCTGGAGTGGGTGACAGTGGTTGACACGTCCCCAATGGTCCTTACGCGAAACTTCGACTGACATATCGGCACATAGACCCACAGACTTACTTCTTTTTCTTCGTAACCATTATCAACGCTCTTCCTAATGGTGCCAACACCACCTTTTCAAAGCTGATCTGGAAATCATTTGGATTTACATCATTGGAGACACTTCTGAAGGGATCGACTCCTTACTATGCTTTCGGCATTTGCTGGTTCTTGACCGTTGGATTTATTACCTTCAAGAAACCAAACTTCCGATGTAAGTTCTTCTAGTGCAATCTGATATGCCCAATCTAACACTCGCAGTCCTCATGATGATGTTTTCACTCATACCTGCCTTTAGTGGAATGTTGGCCCTGTCATTACTCCCAACCGATAGCATGAAGTGGACTCGATGGGGCATGTATATGATGCAAGTGTTCGGCACTTTGCCTGGACTCAGTAAGTAATTGATACTGTTACGGGTCACCGTATCCGCTAATGATACAGTGATCTGGACCTTCCTGCCCTCCAATGTTGCAGGGAGAACCAAGAAGACGGTGACAGCTACAGTCCTCTTCATTGCATACTGTGTTGGAAACGCTGTCGGAGCTCAGATGTTTGTGGCTTCAGACGCTCCGAAATACGTTCGAGGTATCACTGCTTGCGCCATACTCTACTGCGTCGAATTCTGCAGCATGGGAGTGTGGAGATTCTACTGTGAGTTCTACAAGTCTGCCTGTTGCACTACAGGAAGGAACTAATCGAGGTTTAGACATCTGGGAAAATAGACGACGGGCCAAGATTATTCAAGAGCAGGGAATCTCAGAGGAAGAGAGTGAACGGCTTGGAAAGATAAATGCGGAGGCGGACATGACGGATCGGGAGAATATTCATTTCCGGTACAAATATTGAGTGGCTGGTAATGCAGATTGAGCACTATGACCCTGCTTGAATGATATTATAGGTGTGCGGGGTGTTCTCGTTTAGTTGAGAGTTTTCCTCAAATTTACTTTGCTCGGGAGTATTAATTCGATGTCTTTGTATCCGCCTCCTGACATGCTCCTCTCGCGGAATGGTGATCTTGATAAAAATGGGATTTTGTTGTAAAAAGAAAAAGCACCAGAGCACTACAGTATATTTATACTACATTTGAATGACTTCGCTTGTGCTTTTCCAGCATGGTAAACCGCTCCCGTTGCGTATTTATCCTAAGAAGAAGGTCGTGCTTTCGCAATACTAGTTGTAGTTTTTGAACCAGGACATGACTCTTTAGTCTTACAACCCTTTCCTTAGGTCAGTCCGTCTGTATTTGTAGAGTATAGTGAGTCTTAGTAGCTATTGAGGTCTCATATATTGCTTCTTATTTACAAACTTCTACCAGCGAAGACCTCCCCAATCCTCACAAGCTCATGCCATCGCTTGTCTTGCTGAACTTCAATTGTCGCTTGTGGAGTGGCCAGTCTCATTTCATCGACCGCCTTTGTGCCGAATTCGTAGTCCTCATCGTCATTCACGAAGGCAATCAGGATCTGGATCCAGTCTTGCATCAGGCGCCTCTCGTCGGGCGTAGGCCCGTGACAAATTGAGAAGCTTTTCAATGTAAGTGAGTGCGAGCGATGTGAATGGGAAATCCCTACTTCCAAAATGGCTTGTCCATTGCGTGCGCAACGCCAAATGACATGGGTGCTACTGTTTCGTCGATGAACGACAGACGATAGGCAATTTGATAGCGCCATGTGTTTCGAATGTCCACCCCGTTCGTTACAAGGTGCTTCACGAGGGCTCTGGATGGTGCGCGCACCTGGCCATCCGAGATTATTTGACCTGAAATGCGCCATTTGATTAATATGTCAACTCCTCAGCCACTTTGGGTATTTTCGCGTCAATGGGTTCCTCACCAAACAGCGTCTTCCACTCTTCCAGGTTATCTGACTTCAGCAATTCGTAGCACTGGAGTATTCGATCTGTAACTTCCGGTGCATAATAGTTTGATACTTGGAGTTGGAGGGCTTCTATTGTAGGCTCTGTCGGACCATTGTATGCAGAATACAATGTCTCCTCATTGAGCACTTCACCGATCAGAATCCGGTAGCCCCTGGCCTTGAACTCATTAGCAAACTCCTGGCCTTGGAGGTATTCAACCATTCCAGATTGAATAAATATTTCATCAGTGACAGGGCGGAAAGTATGTTGCTTTAGATGAGGAATGGCTTTCACGAGATCGAGCGCACTGATTTGCCGCAGGCTGGCAAGCTTCCCATCGACCGAAGAGGTTGCATCAATATTGAAATGGGCGCAGAGCTCGTCAAACTGCTCTTGGCCGTCGGTCAAAGACTTGGGTTGGGCTGGTATCGCATTCGAGTCCATGAAGATGCGCCGGAACAGGGAGTTTCCAGGTGCAGGCTTGCGAAACTCATAGAGCATTTGAGCCTCAACACTGTACGCACCAGCGCTGCGACCTGCGAGTGTGATGTTATTCGGGTCACCTCCGAAGAACGAAATATTGTCCTTGACCCATTCTGCAGCCATGCGCTGATCCCAGAGCCCGAAATTTCCACCCGAATCACCACCGCTTTCACTTAAGAGCGTCTGCCCAGCAAGAAAGCCAAAAACGTTCAACCGGTAACCAATCGCCACAACGATCGCATTCAGTCCACCAGTAGATATCATCTCTGTTGGGTCCATTCCAGGTTCTTGTGACGGATCACCCATTTGAAACCAGCCTCCATGTAGCCAAAGCATCACCGGCCACTTCTTTCCGTTATCATAATCCTGCCTGACAGGCGTCCAGATATTGACGAAAAGACAGTCCTCGCTGTAGGCACCAGAACCACCCTCGGCATTTCCAACGTGGAATGCTTTTTGCGGACACACTGCCCTGAAGCGGGTCGCATCATATGGGTCTCCATTAGCACCACCGTAGGTGTAGGAAGCTGGCAGAGGTCGAGGTTTTCGCCATCGGTGCTCGCCCGTTGGCGGGAGGGCATAAGGAACTCCAGCATAGCGACATGACTTGTTGTCAAATTGAAGCCCGCGAATTGTTCCCTTTTCGCCTAGGCTTAATTCGAATGGTGTTTCGTTGTATGAGATTGTGTTTCCCATTTTGGCAGCAAGCTGGGTAGTCACCAGTTATTTCGTTGAGTGTTTTAGTTGGGTCCGATGAGACACTCGGGATTGATGAGTCTCGGGGCTCCGACCATGAGGCTTTCTTTCAAAGTTGCCGAAAGTCCCCGAATACTGATGATAAAGAGGTCCGAGCCGTGCATCCGAGATCCGTACCGTAGGCGCATTGCATTAGTAACGTGAGCTCGTCAACTGTGGGCTCGTCAATTGTGGGCTATCAGGCCCACCAACAAGAGCACGCTTAGTTCGGATCTCCGGCCGATCTGCAGCTTCTCCCAGTTGGTGTGTCCCCAATTTCTACAAAGTGTTGCTGACCGACCGTCATGAATCGAGGCCTTGCTTGATACATTCGTCGTTGGATTGAGAAGACCCGTCAATTGGCCAACTACCGATCGTCATCCGAAGAATCAAGACAACCGACAAAATGGGCAGCATCAATCACCACCACGCGCCGATGGACTTATCACACCACATCAACTCTAAAAGCAAGGCTCGGCATCCGTCGCCTTTGAAAGATATTATCAAGTTTATGGGATATGATGGCATGGTTAGCTTGGCAGGGGGTGAGTTTGACAACCATTCAATCACATGCGGGGCTGAGGGTTTATGCAGGACTTCCGCATCCATCACTCTTCCCACTTGAGCAAGTGAAGTTCGATTGCCTTACACCATCGGCTTCTTTATCGAATGACCGAAAGGTCGGAAGCGCGGTGGTAGACCCGCTTAGTCTAACGGTCGGTCGGGGATCATCTCCCGGCGACCTCGACCTGACTCAATTTTTGCAGTACGGTATGGAACGTTGCGATGATATTTAAGGAACACCCGCGCTGACAGCGTAGTCCAGGCTCTGGATCTGGCAATCGTCAATTAATTGAGCTCTGTAAGGAACTGACGGAAAAAGTACATGCACCACCATGCAAGTATGATTCCGTTTTACACATAGGAAACACAAATGCTTGGGCAAAGGTTGTCGGTTTGCTTTGCGAAGATGATGATATAGTAATTGTTGAAGAATTCACGTATCCATCTGCACAAGCACTTTGGATTCCGTTGGGAATCAAGGCAGTATCTGTGTCGGCAGATACCGAGGGAATCCAGTCAAATAAGCTGCGGGACTTGCTCACAACCTGGGACGCAAAGAGCAGGGGAGCAAAGAGACCTAAAGTGTGAGTAGATTACCGTCCTCACCCCAATGGTCAGTTAGGCTAATATGTGGTAGGATTTATCTAGTTTCGGTCGGCTCAAACCCTACTGGAGTCACCATATCAGCACAAAGAAGAAGAGAGATCTATGATCTCTGCGTTGAGTTTGGTAATTTCTTGCCTACCTTTCATGTGAACACTACTGACATAAACCAGACCTGATCATTGTCGAGGATGACCCCTATTACTTCCTGCAGTATCCAGGATACCAGCCCTTGTCTGGTAAAGCAGTTTTCCAACCCAAGGCAACAAGTGACTTTCTGAAATCTCTTGTTCCTTCATTCCTCTCAATGGATACCCAAGGTCGAGTGATTCGCCTCGAGTCTTTCTCGAAGACCATATTTCCTGGTTTGCGCATGGGGTACTTCATTGCGAATCCGGTTTTCATCGAACGTTTACTTCGAGCCTCCGAAGTGGAAACGCAAGATCCTGCTGGCCTCAGTGAGGCATTTGTGCTCAGTCTTTTGAACCGCTGGGGCATCGATGGATATCTGACGTGGCTGCAAAACCTGCAATTCCAGTACCAGACCCGGCGGAACTGGCTGCTAGATGCATTCTATGCCAACTTCACTGTTCTGCCCGCTGCGGAGTCGCCTCTACCCAAAGCACAGGGACTAGTGGTGTGCATAGAGAGTAAGGCCGATGGAGGGTTGCGACCTGTTTTCAGCTTTGTGGATCCTGAGGCTGGAATGTTTGTGTGGACCAAGTTCTACTTTCAGGATGTAAAGCGTTTTTCAGAGATCGAAAGCAAGTCAGTCGAGGACCCGGAGCAAACCTTCGCTGACGAGTTATGGAAAGCCTGGGCTACAGAGCTGGTTTTATTGACACCGGGATCGTACTATCACCCTTGGCAAGGGGCGGACAAGGTCACTACCAAGGCACGAGGAGCAGAACCCCGTACAGCGCACTTCCGTTTCTCATTTGCAACACCGTCGGTAAGTCAGAAAATTTAGAGTGGCCCAATGAACTATAGACTGACTTTTCGAAACACAGGAGGAGCAGATCCACTCCGGCGTGGAGCGAGTGCGGATGGTGATATCTAAATACTGGGAATAAAAGGCTGCTATGGCCATTCATTGAGGCAACGCAGACAAAATTTACATCCATTCCCGTACCTTCACACATTAGCCAAATGTTGATAAGACACTCAACCGATTTATGATACCTGGTCTGAGATGCCTCAACCAATCCCGGAACTGTATAATGTTCTCGACGGTTGGCTAGAAAAAGCGATAGAAATCGTAGTTGAGTAATACACATTCATGTTAGTTATTGACTATGAACCCCAAGTATCAAGGAATTCCGTCCCGGAAGGTTCAAAATCTGGCAGTTCAAAGTCTGGCATCTGGAACATTGCAAACGCGTCAGAGATCTGCCAACGCTCCACTGAGTTCTGCATGTTCCTCCTGGGGTATTTCTGTAATTGTTCAATTATTGTTCTGCCCCTTGCTGCCCCAGTCCATGTCGCTTCAAGTTCTTTTAAGAATCGGATGCATTTCTCAATATCCTCTTCGATCTCTGTGCAAGGTTCTTCTTGCATCAACAGCCTAGTTCACTTTAATTAGCTTCAGCGGGGGAAATTGGGAGTCCGTATTGATCAACCCACAGAGTTAGACCTGACAAAGTCAAATAATGAACACAAAATGCCAAGTGGTGAGATGGCGGGACCAACTCACGTACAAGTTCTGCCGCGTTGATGCAACTACGAGCAGCACTTATACAATGTGGCAGAGGATCGATGTCTATCATCGAGGAATCCACATCACGGGCTAGTGTTCTACATCCGAGCTTTAGTCACCAAATTCTCATGTGGCTAGGTATGGGAGTCGTGCTGACCTGTATAAGTTTAAGAGTGACCCAGCGTGCACTATGAACAATATGACGCACATAGTCAGGTTTGGGCCACGTTCTAGGGTGCTATTCATCGATGTCAGCAAATAACACGGATTTGGGGTTGACTAGGCATCACAGATAAGGGTGGAATGGCACATAGGGACGTACTTCGCAGAGAAGCGGATTTCATCTGGCAAACTCGTCAACCACTCGTTCAGAGACTTGTCTAGCTTCGCAACCGATTTCATGTGCCGCTTTGCCCCCTCTGGAGTACCAAGGTCAGCCATCCGAGATGGCGAATGAAGGCTCTGGATTTTGCCTGATATGTGGCACAGTCGAGCAAACGCTAAAAAGCCCGAGAGTGGCAATGTTGAAGCTTGTCGATGAGTCAAGATTTCTGGGCGCCCACACGCGCCTTCAAGTTCATCATCAGCAACACCCATAGGCAATGCGCAGCGCCAGTCTGTGTCATGGGCCGCCATAGGTCGCCCGAGGCAAATAGAAATAACCCTAAAATGGTTAGGCCAGTAGGAGAAGTCGTGGGCAAATATGGTCAATACCTGTCAATGCAGTATATGCTCCACCATACACGTCTTGATATTTCCTGCTTCAGCATGTTCGGCGGCGAGTGCGTGGAAGATTTATCTCGCGTTGGCATCTAATTAAATAAGTCCGCCATCAGATACTTGGCATCGGAATTACTCACGAGACCGCTGAGGTGCATGCCAAGATCCTGCGCCGCTCGCACTGCCTGTCCTGCAAAATGCCAGCTCGTTGACAACGTGTTCCACCCAGCGCAGCACATCGACAGAAGCGCTAGGCATTGGACTCGTTCAAGGCTTGCCTCTCCATTCATCGTGAAGTGCAAAAGAAGTGCTTTCTCGTAATAATCCAAACCAGAAAATCGGGAAGGATTCCCGTCAGAAGGGATCAAGCTTGAGGCGCACGCACAAACTGCAAAAAAGACGGACAGGAACCTTTTATCGGGTGCCTTCTCCGTTCGTGTCGAGTTCATTCGCTTGTACTGTGCCATAAAGTGAGGTTTGTATAGAACTGGAAAGGTGTAGTGAAACTGGTCAAAATAAAGTCCAACGAGAACGTCGGCCACGTATTGAGGCGGGCGGCTCAGTTGCTCGGGCTTTGGTAAATACGGCAACTCGCGCCATTTCTGTCCATGGACGAAGAATGGGATCTCGAACGGGGGGTTGGCATCTCCCCAAGCTAGGGGGTCCTTTTTATTGCCGCCGTATACAGGAGACTCTGATTCCAAGGATTGTCCTGGCGTAATGCTTTGGACTGCTTCGACCAGCATGTTGTTGGTAGCGCCTCCGATGAATCTGCGTCTATGGTCAGCTTGGAACTTCGGCATTCACAGAATTAAAGCTTACCTCAACGCGCCATATGAATCAGTAACAAGCGAGCCAAACCTCCCAACAGTAGGGTCATCTGATGTATTCTGTCCGTTTGATTCGCTCAATTCATCCTCGATCTCTTCGTCGACGCTCAGTGGAGCAGGGGCATCAGTATCGGCACCCAATGCAGGCGAGAGAATGCATTCTACTTCCGACGGCGTGTCGACTTCCAAGTGCGCATCTAAAACTGTGGGTGCAACATCTCTAGGTCCTGGCAGTGATTGTAAGGCCTGAGCAGCTTGCTGTAGCTCCTCATCGGCCGTTCCGTGAGGCGATGGGATTTTATCCGTTGGCAGTGACTCAATCACCCCAACAAGTTGAGCAACTAAGCCTTCGAGTCTGTGGCAAAATATGTCTAACTGCTGGCATCGAGCCTCCAACATCATTCCATAGCTGTGAATAATTAGTGACTGTACAACAAGGAGATTCGCTATGAGTTGCTTGCTTTCGGCTGGTCGAGGCGTTGTCGTTGCTTCCTGGGTATTCACACGTTGCCTCTCGAGAACTGCAGTTATGGCACGGATTATTGCCATCGCATTTCACCTACACGGCCATATATGTGAGTTGCGGTCCAAAATTCCCAGTGCAAGAGTCGAGGAATTGCGAAAACTCACTTTCTTGCGACGGCAAGCTACACATGCTTGCCACACCCTAGCCGGCGCGGTGTCGCCTGGCTCCTTGGGCATTGTGAGGTGCAATGGATACAAACTCGGTAGAAAGTAATGCGATTGTCAGCACCAAAATTGAATCGCAAGATAGAGTCACAGCTCTTGCGGTCTTCATGGAAATCATGAATGTGTCACGTTTAACCGTCGGTGGCCGGGTGGAGTGTCAGAGGGACACCGAGATGCGGAGTTAACAGGCTAGCACGGGCAGGGCTCGTTCAGTGAGTGGAGGCATCGCCTTATCATGCTAACCTGACTCGCCATATTTAAGTCACTGTGCCATGGGGGAAGGCGATACCCTACTGGCTGATACAACCCAGACATCTTGAGGTTTGCGTCATGATGTGGTAGGCAAATGGCACTTGATAGAAGGGAGGTCTTCTGATGTAGTGTGCTTTACCGTTAGTCTTGACCCGGTCTGAATGCCAGGTGTTGGCCTAATTTATAATAAACATCCCAATTCATCGCGTTTCTAGATACCTTGAAATGGGTCTTCTTTGCTGTAATTAGCCTTTTATTTCGTCAACCAACATTCTTGCCAGTCTACATATTTTGCTGGTTGATACACTGGTTCTGTTGGTAGTCGAAACTCGGTCCAGTGTTCCAGGCTGCTCGATACCTCACCAATTGCGCCCATGTGTTGAGCCTTCGCCATCAACCAGCAAGGGACAGTCTACCAAAGATTGTAATTATTTTCATGTCGTGGATTACAAATTCGGATTTCCGGGTGAAAATTATGTCGCACACGTCCAACATTTCTATCGGATTCCTGAAGTTGTTCCTATCTACATGGTGGGTCGATGTACGCCCGCTGGCTTGCTCTAATCATTTGCCCCTCTCTGGCCGTTACGTAACTGATGCGGATCTCATCCGACAGCGGATGGTGCATGTCCATCCGGCCCGAGCTCCGGCCGGCGTCGCTTTGAGAGGGTGGAAGCACAATACACCTGTCCTAGCCGGTGGGAATGGCCATGATAACCGCTACTTAGCATGTGGTATAAAATATTCATACAGCCGCATTCACTACTAACAGTTGTACTACGAGCCGCTGCCAAGAATGATTGGAACCCCATGAAATCTGCCTGAAGGTACATCAGCTCAGTCCTGGAATCATCAGTACACCAAGCCCAAACCCCAAACATGTCGAATCAGATTGCCTCACCAGTCGTCAACCCTTCAGGGAAAACCCGACTACGAGAGTCGCTAGAGCGTGCAAAGGAGCGTCGTGGGCCGAGTGTAGGGCAATGGCTCGAATTCCCAGGATACACACTTGCAAGGACGATTGCGGCGCTGGGAGAAGACGTGGGTGCTCTCGATTAATGCCAAAAATCCTCGACCTACTGACAAATTACTGCGTAGTGGGTTCTCATAGACTGCGAGCATGGAAACATCGACGACCATAATATGTACCTCCAGGTTGGGGCAATCTCCTCAAGTGGAGCGTCCCCGATAGTCAGAGTGCCTGGAAGCGAGCCATGGATGATAAAGCGAGTGCTAGATGCAGGCGCTCACGCTATCATGGTGCCGATGTGTGAGACTAAAGAGCAGGCGGAGGATATAGTACGAGCTACAAAATACCCATCGGATAACTGGCCACAAGGATTGCGAGGCGCCGGCGCAATGTTTGCACCTGCAGCCTTTAACCAAACCGGACGGGACTACTTGTTGAGAGCAAACGACAACGTCATGATATGCGTTCAGATTGAATCTCGGAAAGCTGTTGAAAACGTGGAAGAAATTGCTAAAGTCGAAGGAATTGGTAATTTCTTGAAGAACATCCTACTTATAAGTGCCCGTTACTGACATTCGTGGCTTCTGTGCAGACATGCTCTTTATTGGCCCCAACGACCTCGCTTCCTCCATGGGATATTTTGCATTTGACCATGCTTCGATACCAGAAGTCCAGCAGGCAACCGAAAGGATACTTCAGGCTACACTCGATGCAGGAAAATACGCAGGCCATTTTGCACTGAGTGCAGAGATTGGTACGTAACGTCATTTGCCATCAGCAATGCTTTTGTCTGTGGAGCTAATTTTACTTGACAGCTGCTCAGAGATATAAGCAAGGGTTTCATTTCGTGAACTGTGGTGCTGATATTGTCGCTGTGACAGCCTGGATGTCAACGGAGATGGGGAAGCTGAAGGGTCTTATTCAAAAGACGCCTGTCACTGAATCAAACGGTAGCAAGACGAATGGTATCCATGCAAGTGGTGTGAGGGATGGCCTTGCAAAGCCAACGACAAAATAGAGTGTGATAGACCGAAAGTTGGTGGAATTTCACAACACGCGCACTCGCAATCACAGCTCGAGCTCTGAGCAATCTACGTATAGATGAAGTTAAGTAGTAGAAAACTTCCATCAGGCCTCCAGCAATTTGATAAGTCGCTCGTCTTGTTTCTTCTTGGCCGCGGATAACGGCGACCAACCATGACTGCCTCGAAAGTCTGGGGTCGCTCCTTTATCAAGTATCGTGCTGACAAGGGAATATCTTTGTAACTCTACAGTCCGTAACAGCGGCGTCCGATTTCCATACATGGACCCTATGAACAATCCCTGATCCGCAATCACAGGAAGCTTCCAACTCCCAGCAAACAGCGCTCGTATCCGGGACCACCAAGAAGGAAGACCGTTTACCTGCCAAGTTGAGCGTGGATCTTTCTTGGGCATTTATAGGTCCCGTAACGACAAGCGAAGCAGATGTGAATCTTCGAGAGAGTAGATAGCTTCTGAGCAACCCTACAGCCAGCACCCCTCCCGCAATCAGCCCCAAGTGCACCTTGCCTACCAGCCCTCAACGCCAAATCAACATCACTAAAGCACCCTTACAGCACCTGGCACAGCCTACAACAGCCAGCGTTCAGCGCACCGCACCGCGCTAAATCCAGAGGCCCAGCGGCATCTGAGCCCAAAGAAGACTAACTCCCCTTCTCGAAAGCATCAAACCACTCTAGAAATTGTCTGGTTTTTGAGTTCACAATCTGGCGCATGTCGAATGAACAGCCAGACCTGACAGCCCATTCTGCAGTATCGGTGAGGCGAGGGCAGATATCAACAGCCTTGTCTGAACGCTCCAGGACGCTTGTCGCCACCACCTTGAGGATGATGCTGTCTTGTCTTCCTGTGTCCCGCCTTTCAGAGTTAGCGACATATCTTTCAAGAAGGGTAAAGCCACATACGATCGGCTCAGAAGCCTCCGAACACATCATAGCAAAGAGTGGTGATTGCCCCGCTAGGTCCAACTTCTGCCAGCTCGTTTGCGTTCTTTCAGTTCACGCTGCAAAGCGTCTGGGTGTGAGCAGTGTTCCTGAGCCCTCATGTATATGTCTCAAAGTCCCGGATCCCTAGGAATCCGGTCTCAGGACCGGTGTCCTCAGCATCTCGAGGGTGTGATCACGGCCCTGGATAAATAGTTGGCTTCTACCTAAATAGATAGAGAAGAGGGATAAGACATTCCACCCGTCAACAAGCTTTTCCCACCGATCCATCCTATTTGATAAAGGATAAAACCCAGGAAGATCAGGGAAGCAGAGAGTGATAATCGTCCCCACCGAAGCTTCTTTCCAGCTGAAACGCTTTCACGGCGCTTTGCCGATTGTGCGTCGAGGAGAACGCGGACGATTCTTTCATGTCCGCTCTGTCTCGCCATAGAGACAGCAGTTCGCCCATAATCATCAATAAAATGTGGTTTCGCTCCAACGGACAAGAGGATGCCGACGATATCCTCATAACCATAAGCGGATGGCCAAAAAATCGGAGACTGACCAGAGGCGGATAAGGAGTCGACATCGATGTTTTTTTCTCGTGCAAGGATTTTCACAATGTCCGTTCGCCTTTTGAATGCGGCAATCCAGAGAGGAGTTTGACCTCGGCTGTTTTTTGTGTCTTTTGGGATTGGTTCCTGGAGTAGTTGTTCGATTCGGTCCACATCGCCACGCTCTGCTGCGCGATAGAAACTAGCAATAGAATTCCAACTCGGGTCGACAGTCTCAGGCGGAATCAGACGGCAAAGCAAACGAAGAGTGTCCACATTCCCGGAAGCAGCTGCAGTGAAACACACGTTGTCCGTAATGGCCGCAATGGTTTCGCTCCTGCGTTTTTCCAAAAATAAAGCCACAACCTTCCCGCATCTCTCGTTCCCAACCGTGGCCTTGAGGACGTCCTCGGTGATCTGGATATCGGCCCCGCGCTTATCGAGAAGCAGCGCCATTACGTCCTCGTTCCCAGCTGCAGCTTTAACGACATCTTGAGTGATCTGGATCTCAGGCCCGCACTTGTCGAGAAGCAGCGTCATTACCTCCCCTCCATAAAGCCAGTTCCTAGCTGCAGCTTTAATGATATCTTCAGTAATCTGGATCTCAGCCCCACACTTGTCGAGAAGGATGCTAAATACAGCTTCATCGAAATCCCTTGCGATTGTCATAACGATGTCCCCAGTAATCTGCATCTCGGCCCCGCGCTTGTCGAGGAGCAGTGCCATTACCTTCCCACCACTAGTCCAGTTTCCAGCTGCAGCTCTGATGATGTCCTTTGTGATCTGGATCTCGGTCTCGCACTTGTTGAGAAGCAGCGCCATCACCTCTACGCCGTTATGCATGTTCTTAGCCGCAGCTTGCACGGTTTCGTCGGTTATCTGAAAACGAATTTTGTTGGTGAAATGCCATTCAAGAAGTTCAGGGCCACCGTAGCAGACCGCAACTTCTTGGTGTGTGGCGCCATCTTTGTTTCGGGGCTTTCTTTGCGCTAGCTGTCTCCACTGTCCCGGGCTGAGAACACCGTATAAGTTGAACGCACAGACTACGAGGAGAATCGAAGGTATATCGGCTCTGGAAGCCCCGAGCTTGGTCGTAGTTTCCCAGTCTCTGTGAAGGGTCCTTGAATCGAATCTCTCAACCCACCTATGCCACCGGCAAAAGTGGGAAGATCGATCCTGCTCTCCAGATAAAAACTTAGGTAGAACATCGCGAAGTCGTATTTGCCTTTGCTCAGCGGCTTCTTGTGCATGTGCTGCCCAGAAATAGGATGAGTACTTCAGAAGCGGGGTTGGTGGTGCAATCTCGGCTGTTACTCCCATGATGTGAGAAAGACAGGCTTCTGCGACGATTGCGTTCACGGATGCCGCCCTATACATCTCCTGATCTTCGAGGAACTCTCTGACTGATAAGTGAGAGAACCGAAACATGTTAAGGGCGGAATCGAAATCAACTAGGTTGCAGCACAGGCCTAAGAGCTGGTCTCTCGAGATTGTGAAGGTGGATCGATCCCGAGTGAGGGACACAGCGACTAGAAAGTCGTCCGATCGGAGTCGTTTCCGGCTACAGAGCATCCAGCTGAGAGCATTCCTAGCTACTCGTCTGTCTGCCGTGGCCTCGAAATTTTCGATTTTGGAAAGAACCTCTTTGTATAGCTCTGCCAATGTCCTGGGTAGCCGTCCAAGTCTCTCAAGAATCGCCTCGTCAGTGCGATGCTGTTGAAGTGCCTGTAGTTGTAGGCTGGCCCAGCGGAACCTGATTTTGTTAGCTGTCTGCGACCACGCTGATACGGTGAAAACTCACATCTCATCCGCATTGGATGTGAGCTCGTGGATGATTTTGTTTTGCAATTCTTCCTTTCTCATACTGAACCGCAGCAGAGACCCATTGTTGACGAGGCGTTTTGTCTCCGAATGTACGAACAGGCCGATGTCGGCCGAGTTATGATTAGATGAGAGGTCCAAGTTGGGGTAGTCGACCAGTTTAAAGACAATGTCTTGATCATTCCGGCTTGACACGAAAATCTTTAACAGGCATGGAGAGGCCTTGAGGAGCTCTTCCAGCGGATCCAGAAGCATACCTCGAGCCGCCTCGTTGCATTCGTCTAGGGCGTCAATTACAACCGTCATTGTTGCGTCCTTGTATCGGTCAAGTAGTTTGAGGACCAGGTCTTTGCTTTCGCCAAGACAAAGCGGCCCAGCTGCGAAGGCGTCAGCGGCCCGTTGTTTGTACGCCTCGACTGTCGTTTCGAGAATTGATCCTCCGATTTGAGGAGTCGACAACTGTCTCGCAATACTGGCCAGTATCATGGAGGGATCAGAGCGTCCAGGCTCGGCCGGGTTGCGGGAACAGTAGAAATACACTGGAGCTGGGGTCTGGTTTCTTCGGAAAGCATGCTGGGCGTCCTCAACAACAGTGGACCTGTAGTTTTACAATTAGATCGGAATATCCCAAGTTGTTCCTTACGTACGTCAGCTTGCTCTTGCCGGAGCCTGGGATGCCGCGAAGCCATAGAATCGACGAAGCGCTTTCATTCTTCCACTTTAGGAATATTGGGTCCTGGAGAAGCCACTTTCCTGTGCCCTCTAAGACCTCACTCTTCGACTGTTCGTGGTGTTGTCTGTAGGGCTCAGGCGATATCCAATGTAATATCTTCCCTCTTTTTTCCGCTGAGCGAGTCAGTAATAGTAAGATATTCCGGACCGGAGATTTACCATCGAGTTGGTCCGTGATGGCGTTGAGAGCCTCGTCCCAGCGGTTTACCGGAGCATCGAAATGCTTCAGCATGCGCTTGACGTCGTCATGCATTTTCAGATGGGCTTCTGTGGTGTGAGCAGAGGTGCTTGTTAATGATGAGTAGTGGCTGACCTTGTAAATTGAAGTTGGTAGAACAACGGTCCACGCCTTCCTGGGCTTTCCCAATGGCAGTAAAAGTTGACTCCAAGTCGGACGGGGCAAGAACTCCATGTTTGAGAACGCGCTCTGACCGGATCAGTATCTAATAATAACAGCGATATGCGGACTCACTGAGAGTATTCTGATTGTAGTATGATTTTGCCCTGGCGAGATAACCCAGGATGGCTGCGTACAACTTGACCAACGCACGGCTCAGCTCATCTGCGGCGGGTGATGAAGAGTCCTTCAGCAGGCTTTCAACTAGAGCATTTCGGCAAATGTATTCTGCAATGTCAGCGGTGCTCTCGAGCAGCGTATTGTACGTGTTCAAATCCCCGACGGCGATCTGCTTAGATATTAACGTCACCGCCTCGGATGGATAAAGACCGTGCTCACATTCAACAGGAATCGGACACCCGCCCAAGGCAGAGCAGCGTGGACTGGATCGTACTGCACGGTAATGTCGCCTACTTCCTTGAAGTGAGAGACCCATTTGGCCACCTTGGCCAAAACGTCACGGACGATAACCTTCTCGCCATTCTTCCGCTTGAAGGACCACGACCTATCGACCAGGCATGCCCTCGCTTCCTCAGTCGCGGCGAGCAGCTCACTTAGCGCATTTTGCTTTGTCTCCTGATTGAAATCTATCTGAGATGTCAATTCCTCCCCGAGCGTGCCGACGGCGGCGGCCCAGAGGTCGTCGCTGCGTAGATGACTTGTTAGATGGAAGACCAAAGCGGAGGTAAGGTAGCCGAATTACTTCGTGGGGCGGAGGGACTTAGCAACATCCATCTCTCCAGGGAGTCCGCGCGATGACTGAATTCGTCGCCGGGATTGGTAGCAGACGATGTACCGGGTTTCGCCTTTATCGTCAAGGAGAGAAGTGGACGAGAATGTAGTGGATCAGAGATCAGTTCAGTTTTTGTTGTCAGGCAGCGTCTGAATACATGCTACTTCTGGGACGTGAGTGTGCCCAACTGTAACGTTAGGCACATCCGTTCTTGGCGCTTAGTAAGGCCGTTAAGTAAGTATTCAATCCGGCATTGCCTCGATTTACGCCCGCCTTGTTCTGTAGTCGCACAGGGTACCTGATTTGGTCTATTCGGGTGGTCAACGGGGATGCGGCAAGGTGAAAGAACTATCTGACAGGACAAGTGTACATAGCGTGAAGATTGAGAAACTTAATAGAAGGGGCAAAATAAGACTATTTGATAAGTTAAAATAAAAGGGAATGGATTTCCGTGTAGCGCAGGTCATCAATATTCCTCTCGGCTGCACAAGGTATCTTGAGCCGTGTGAGCGGAACCTCTGTTTGGCATTTCGTTCGAAGTCCGACTGAAATTCGATCCGAACTATCACTAATTAGAATAGCCAGAACACATCGCCTTGAATTGTAACAGTTGGTGTGCTCCGGGTGGAGGCTTGTCATACTTCCGGTTGGAGATTTCTCCGCATTCACAGAGCTTCCGCGGAGTCTCATGCATCCGGTCTCCCTTTAGCTGCCCATAATTTAGATGTCAATCATTTTGTGAGGTCTTCAAGGAGCACAATAATGCCCAATGGGAACGATGGCATTCCTAGACCGGGGAACTCGAATAATTGAGTCCCGATGCACGAGTTTCCGGCAACGCTTTTGAGAAGCAATGTAACCTCTGCTCGGAGAGAGGAAATCCCTCATCCAGGGAACTCGGAAGATTCATCCATAAGGGTGGGCGAGCGAAGGCGATAAATACGTCACTATCAACGAGCAAGTCACAATGATATAAGAGTGCGACCGGCAACAAGTAACACGGCCAGGCCTACGAAGAACAAATTGAAATGAACAAATTTGAACAAACAAAATGCTAGGCCAAACTGTTCTCAGCGCCGCAACATGCGTCATTGGCTTTGCTCGCAATTGCTGGTTTCCCCGTACTTTCTCCATAGCCCCTCAGCCCCAGGATGGAGTGGCTTCCTACATAACCAAGGGATCCGAGGGGCCTTGGGATGGGCCCAAGTCAAGCTTGATTAACTCGACCAATTTTGAATGGTGGTACTTCGATGCAGCCTCCCGCAGTGGAGATCAAGGAGTCGCCGTGTGGTTCATGAATTCGAACCCGGCTCGTTTCGGTCTCGACCTGCCGACATCTAACTGGTTCATATTTCACGCGCGCTTTGCTGACGGCGAGGGAATGGACTTGGTAGTCCCGGCCGAATCTGCCGTCATAAACACATTTGGTGAAGGCTCCACAGGTTTGTGGGAGGGAACAGGATCAGGCTGGGCCGGAGCAACGGATCTATCCAAGTTCACCATATCGTTTGATATGCCTGACAAGGGTATCACCGGGGTAGTGGACGTGACTTCGGTAAGTCTACCAGCCTTTTGGCCTCGTGCAAGTTTTGTTTTAACGAGAGAAACAGACTGCACAGCCCCGAAGTGCTATCCGTCTAGCTAAGGACTCGGAAGCTGATCTGATGAACATCGGAGGCATGGGTTGGGCCATTGGAGCTCCATCTGGCAAGGCCATAGCCCATGTAACCGTCGGAGACAAGAAAGTTTCATTTACTGATGGCCGTGGCTATCATGACCATGTAAGCCTTTTCTCCTCTGAAAGAGAACTAGACGCGACTGTTGCTAATACGCGGTGACTAGAACTGGGGCAGCAGCCTGCCTGCTTGGCTTAACTGGTATGCAATTAGTGCCGAAGTTGGCCCATTTGTATGGACCGCCATTGAAGCTTACAAGGGGGAAGAGGGAGGATACTTCAAGAATTCATGGTTGTCCCTGAATGGGAATATCATACTTGCAAGCTTTGACGAGGACAGCCTCTTCGTCCGCCCTTGGGGAAACGGGGCTGAGTATCCTCCGAAGGGCTTCGATCCACAGCCTCTGGGTGTCACCATTTCCTTTGACGCAGGGATCCACGGAAAATATGAGTTCAATTTGACTAGCCATGGCAATTCGCCTGGCTTGCCTATTGGCAAGGGCCTAGCTAAATGGTTCGGTTCAATCGAAGGCGGAAAGGTGGGCGGAGACAACTATCACGGAGTGGGTATGTTCGAATGGCTTGATCTTGCAATATAGGTACTGCATGTTAGTTTCTGGGTTTAAAATCCCCGAGAATTCTACTGTGTTAGAATTCTAGCGCTTTCAATCTCTTGCTTGAAAACAATGCTCCGTTAGCTGCAGTCCTGATTGTATCTTCTCCGACACCTTAGGATGCACAGATCGAACCATGAGAACCCCATCTTGTGACAATAGAAGAAATCAAGCCTGCGTTGCTTAATTAAGCACGTGCCTTCAGAATGTTTTCCATGGTTAATACAACTCCGGCACCTAAAGCTCCGGAACGTCCGCGTTGATAGCTTGGGATACGGGAGGCGGAAGAACCAGTGCCGCCTATAACCGGGTAGTACTTTAATACTTTAGTTTCATAGATTTTATTCGGCCCGCCGGAAATTACCATGTTAACCCCTCTGTGGGAACTACTGTTCCCATGGTCCGCCAGTTTCCATGCTATCCGTCGGATACTACCTCGCCCGCGGGCCGGGAGTCGAGTTCAACCCCGATTACAAGTAGTGTGATGAGTGATCAGGTATTATAATTCCTTGACCGGATCTCGGGAGAAGGATCATGACCAGAGCCTTTATAAGCATTGTCACGACATCTGAAAATTGAAATATTCCACCTAAGTATAGAAAAAAACCATTGGAGCAACGACGTCATAATGAGACTCAACCCCACCCAACTTACTCTTGCACTCTCCGTTCAAACTCTGCAGCGGGACATATATCCGCATATTCCAAACGACAGCGCTGCCCAAGCCAGTTGCACCATTCTCATCAAGCTTCTTACTGAGCTCTGGGCTCGATATGCGCCTGGCGATTGTGGCACGCGACCATTGCTGCGCTCTCTCCTCGCGCAAGGCGTCGCCCTCGAATCAGACATACGAGCAGCCTTGAGCCTAGAAGTCAATAGTGTCGCAAATGTTTCCGATGACGCTCCCTTTGACGAGCTAGCTCGTCGATATGAAGAAATTACAGATCGAATTGCGGCCTTGTCCCAAGAGCTTGCCAAGTCTTCGCTTCAACAGACACCCTCATTATTACGCCGCACAGCCGAGTGGGAAGCATCTTATTACAAGCAGAACATCAAGGCAACGGAGGAAGCGACGAAATCAAAATTCAACAAAGACAGCGAGAAGAGCGACACCAAGTCTGTTGCAAAGCCCACCCCTGGGACTCACAAAGCGGAGGATGACGTCGGAATTTCTTCCAGTGCCCTCGAATCTTTTCTTCAAGCTTCTAGATCCGACCCCACGCTCAAAGTGTCCAGCCTCTCAAGACTGACTGGGGGCCACGGGAAACAGACATACTCATGCGAGATCATCTCGTCTGAATCGAAGGTGGAGGAGCGATCCGAGATCGTGATTCGCAAAGCAGACATGGCTCCCATAATCCTGCGCTCCACATTCCGCATCGAGGAGGAGTTCGCGCTTCTGCATGACCTATCCACAAATACAGACTTCCCATGCCCTCGGCCTTTTGACCTTGCAAGTCCGGTGCCAAATGGTGTGGATGCGCCTTTCTTTACGATGAGTAAACTCCGAGGCGTTATCCCAAGCATGTACCTTGGGACAGGAAGCGTGGTGATCCAAGAAAAGACCGCCAAGGAGCTGGCACAACTACTGGCGCGACTTCACACATATCCCCTAGAAAGGTTTTCGGGGTATTTCAAGTCAATCGGCGAGGAAGTTGAGGATGTGAAACTTACGCCTATCTCGGAACGATACAGGAAAAGTCTGGACTCATGGGCAACATATGCCAAAGACGTCGAGCATTTATCATCACCATTTCTCACCTGGCTCTTGCACTGGCTACAGAGCCATGTACCTGATGATGACCGCACACCTGTTCTCAGCCATGGAGACTTTTCTATCCACAATATCCTACAAGTTGACGGGGATGTTACTGGGGTTCTGGACTGGGAATGTGCCGAATTCCTCTGTCCAGAACAAGATCTGGCATACATCCAGCCACTCTTGAGCAAGTCTTATTCATGGGAAAAGTTCCTGGACCATTACAAGGAAGCCGGAGGTCCCACTATCCACGAAGAGAACTTCCCTTTCGTACAGGCCTACGCGGTATTGCGCACCATGTTGGCCTTCAATCGAGCCAACCGGAATCTTGACGTTGGGGACAGTAAAGATATTCGATTTCTATTGACCGAGTACGGATATCTAGCTGCGTTTATGGGAATAGGCCTAGAGTCTACTTCCCAACACCCGAGCCACGAGGTCATTATGCCAGCGGCCTCAATCGATGTGCTCGACGAACCAGTCGCAACAAAACCTTTTGTCGAGAGTCACCCAGTTGTAAAGTCCGATGCCCACGGCCCTCAAACCAACACCTTCATGATTCGTGGTGACGACACAAAAATTCGACAACCTCCAGGACTGACACCAAATTGGCAGGAAAGCGTCGTTTTGGTTTGGTGGGATGACGAGCATAAGATTGGGGGCTTTCACCGACTGGGCCATGAACCCAACAGGCCAGCCGGCGGAGAAGCTATCATCTGGACAAACATTGTCACACCGGCCGGGATTTTTAAGCGTGTCCAGACCAATTCATTGCGAGAGGCCGATAAACTGGCGGATGGCGGTTTCGGGTCTGGCGATGATACGTGCTCGGTCGAGTACATTAACGGAGACCACATCTGGACGATTGATGAACCAGAACAGGGTATTACCGCGAGGATTGTCCATCGTGATACGGGACCCAATGTCGATTGTTTTCCCAAACGAGGGAGCATGGAGAAGGACTTTTCGACAGCTCATTTTGACATCCCAGGCAGAGTTACTGGCCAGCTGACCTTCTCTGGACACAAATACGACATTCACGGATTATCGCTCAGAGATCATGGCTGGGGAAATCGCGACTGGGGTGAGTCGGCGTACTCTCACCGATGGCTTGTTGGAACAGCTGGTGAAAACTTTTCTTTCATTGCCGTCAGCTGGCATGCAACAGTAAATGATCGGGTGGGCAATTTCGGTTGGGTTGTGCGGGATGGAGAAATAACTCTGGCAAAAGAAGTGGACATACTCGTCTACATGGAAGTTGACAGTTGTTCCACAAGAGGAGGGAGACTAAAAATGGTATTAACAACAGGGGAGAATCTGGACATTGAATGCGAGGCAGTGGCTGGTAAGGCGACTGTGTGTTGGCATCTTGGGATGGCATGTGTGGATAGGCTTTGTCGTTTCAATTGCAAGGAGAATGGAGTGGAAGGCTTTGCGAATGTTGAGAGCACGAGCAATGTGCAGTTTGGAATGAGGAAGCCCGGTAACTTGGTTGGGGGTGTTATTGAGAATGGCTTGACTGTGATGGAGTAGTACACAACACTTTTGTTTACTTCCAATCGACGGCTGTTGTATCTGATTGATGATCTCATTTATTTCTAGATCTCTGTGCTAAGCAAAAAGGTCGTATTTCCCAAACCGGAGGAGGAGCTAAGGAAGTAAGGGGGTGCTAGGACAGCAGGTGAGCTACTTAGGAGGCATCACGCTCTGTTCCCCAGGGTGTGTCAAGAACGTAAGCACCAGCTTTTTCCAGTGAGACCTCAGTGGAGCAATATTAATAAGGAAAGGTAAACTCAATGTCTTAATTGCGAACTTACAACGAATACATACTTATTCTCTATATGTGGTCCTATCCAACAATGCAGGGAACGTGTAGACAAATTCAAGAAAATTAGGAGAAGTCGCCAAGATTGGCGTCGAGGACGGCATTTTAGCTGCATCTGTCGCCAAGCACAAAGCATACACTATACCGCCCGTCCGACATAAGCACTGTCTTCTCAGGCTCTAGAGAAAACTAAGCAACTAATCACGCATCATCGCAACTTTTCTTCCAGAATAGGGCTACTAAGAGGTAAACTCGCCAACAAATAGTACTATTTAACCTTACTATCAACCCAATCTTCATCCCTTGCACTCCTCCCGGCATACCCAGAATACCGCCGACTCCCTTGGTCTTCCCACACCTTAACTTATGCATCCTGAACAGGACTCAAGTCGAGGTCTCGACGAGACTCAACGTCCTCCTTGTCCACCTCACCGTTCCTCTCCTCCTCTCGAGCGGCGAGAGCCAGGTAGATTCCGTCAACAACGAGCTGCACGACAAACGTGAAACCAACGATGTAAAAAGCGATGACTCCATTATAAGCGAATGGCCCTTTATATTCGGTGTGAATTCCAGTTGCAAAGGAGAAAATGATTGGCATTATTATATTCACAAGGGCCAACTCTTTGGGGAATAGAGGCTTCTTGCGTGAGTCGACGATAATGGCGTAGGCGAAGGCAAAGTTTTGAACCATGAAGGTAGGCCAAGGCATCAATGCAACGAGCCACTGTGATTGTATCAGAGTTAGTACTTGGCGTTTTGGGGAGGAGTATAGATGACAAGACCACTGCCTTTTTGGCAAGGTGGGGATAATTTGCCGTTGGGAAAGTCTCTCAAGTACTACTTACGAAGAAGTCGTTCAGTGCATGAGTAATTTCGACTGGCCGGTCGGGACGGTATGATGCAATCGCAAGGACAATGCCAGGCAGCATGAACGTCCAGATACCAGCGGCTGCTGAAGCCAGCTGCACTTGGTAAATTATATAGGGTATCCGAGGAACACGGCGGATCTGGTAGGATATCGCAGTGGAGAAGGGTAGATAGAAACCGCCTGCTATCATAAGAATCGCAGCACCTGCACGAATTCGGGTGGTGTGTTCTTGGTAAAAGTGGGCTACTTGCTCAGCGTCCCAAGATGGCTTGGTTGGAGGTATGAAGTCAGCAACGGCGAAAGCCATGATAAAGAAGATGCCGGATGTTGCGCCGCAGCAGGCACAATAGTATTGGATGGCGGTGTTGCTCAACAGCCATGATCGAGCCATGGCCTGCGAATAGAAGTTCAGGAAGCTGTTGAGTCCCATTTTTGCGATTTTCAGCGGCCGGATAGACCTGTGGTAGAGGCTTAGTGATGAAAGTAGACGCAATTACGACGAGAGTAGTTGCGTGGTTGAGATGGAGGAGCAAAGACCGATCAAGAAACTGGTCCACACTGAGAACAGCTTACTTAAAAGAAACTCGGCCCCCCTCTCTGCAGCCTCATATTTATACTTACTCTGTAGATGGACATAGTCATATGACGGCCGGCCGCTTCATCCGAATCATCGGTGACTGCCGAAGTCAGCTCACCATGGCGCCTTGATTCCCCCATTATGCTATCCATTAACTGCGGTGTAGTAGAGGTCCTATCGGCATTGAAGCATATCTTTTTTCCAACGTTGTCCTTGTTGAGGCTCGGTGCCGAGCTTCCCTTTGAAGTCAGGATTGTTTCGAGACCGCCTGTTGTTGATGCAATCCCCTGGGTCGGCCCCACCCCGAACGAGCCACATCTGCATCCGCCGAAGCTTTATGTTTAATCTATAATATTAATATTATAAATTAGTCCGGCCCTCGGGCTATCTCTCAATGAATTTTAATGATAATTGCGGGGATGTCATAGTTCCAGCTAGGTAATAAGCTTGTGTATGGGGAATATTTGTACCGTGGTAAAAATGGAAGGAGACGTAATGTGTGGGCAAAACATATGTACTAACATACCGTACATCAACACAGTGCATCGGCTCATATTCTAGTCATATTTACTGGAATCAATATGCGTAAATTAAAAGTGTCTAGCAGCCTTACTGTTTGACCTATTGTATCTTCTCGTACTGGGTGTGGCGCTACTGTGCCCTGATTGTTTGCAACTACTGCATGGCTTTGATCAATCTGATGATATTGAGTAACCTATAAAAAGAAACCCTCCAAATATGCGTGACTTGAGCTAAATTTGAACAAAAAAAATTCTACCCGCCTTCTGGACATTCCAGTAACACATTCTATAGCTTAAAACCGTCCCATGTTTCGCAATTCCTGATAACTCTACACCATCCAAATTCCCTTGATTCCCGAAGTCACCTGAACCCTTCCATACAATCTTGATGTTACAATCCCTCAGTTGTTGAGATCTCGGAACAACACCATCTTGGCTGGATCAGGGATAGACTACACCAGTATGTTAGCCGTAGCACCTTGAGAGTCCGGAAATGGTTGGCTTACCATGTGAGCGAACTCCATGTTAGGATATCGCTTCGTGCTGCCGATGACATTCTTGATCTCGTAGCGCAAAAGGAAATTGGCCAAGATCATCTTGATCTCGTTCGCCGCGAAGAATCTGCCAGGACAAGCGTGGCGCCCATAGCCAAAGGTGAGACTGTTTTGGCTAACGCTCACAAACTGGTTGAGAGCAGAGCCTTCCACAGAACCACTGGCTTTGGCATCCTGTCTGAGTCTGTAAAATCGCAGTGGGTCCATCTCATCGGCCTTGGGGAACACTTCGGGGTCGGAGTTGACTGCAACCGCTGGGACCTCGATCGTCACGCCGGCTGGAATTACCTGGCCATTGGAGAGTGTGAATGATTTCAGGACCTTTCGCTGGAAGGAAGCTGATGGCCAGTTAGTGAAAGTCGCTTCACTCATCGGATTCTCTTACCCATTGTTGCGGGGTGAAGACGAAGCGTCTCCTTCAGGAAGCTGTCCATTTTCTTCATCGACTGCAATGCGTTGCTGGTGAAAACGCCATCATGTTCTGCGAGAGCTTGCCGAGCCTCTTCGCGGAGCTCAGCCGCAAGTTCAGGCGAGGCTGCGACGTCGTAGAATCTGCAAGAGAGTTAGTCCACGGTCGTGGCGAGTGAGTAGGGAAGAACCGACGCGTTTGTAGCAGTCAGAGTGGTGGTGTGAATAGCAGCAAAACTGATTCCGAGCTGAACCTTGGCCATGTTGCGGCTATTCTTGTCGGGGAATTTCTCCCGCGCATCCATGATCCACTGAAGCATGTCAGTCGGCTTCTCGAAACCCGGATCCTTAGCAGCCTCTTCTCTGCGTTTGACAACAGGCGACATGAATGCATCAGCTTCCTTGATTCGCTGCTCGAGCTTCTTGACTTGGGGAAGACTGTTGGCCAAAAACGGGCGCTGCCAGGGGCGGAGACGTTGGACTGCACGCTGAGCTTCCATCACCTCCATCGTATAGTTGATGGCGGCATCCAAATACTTCTCAGTTCGGCAAAGCTCGGGACCAATGAACAATCGTCCAGATACCATAGCCACAACTCGGACAAGCATACTGTGGATGTTGATCTCTGTCCAATCTTGTCCGGCCGGCATCTCGAGGCTCAACGCTTCCCGAACCTCTTGGGCGATTGTGGGGTTGAGGTGAACTGATGGTTGTAAGCCAATGTCGCTGTTTTCCAATACCTAAAAGGATTTCAAGGGTATCATACCTAGTGACGGCGTCAAACTGGCCTTAATCGTGTGTGGAACGATCGGTACATATGTGTCGATTCGAGTGTACTTGGTTTCCATGGCCTGCGTGACAAGGGTGAGAAAAGCACCGTCTATCGTCGACACGAACATACCTCATCAACAGCGGCTTCCATGCTGACAATAGCATCCGGCAGCTTCTTGAGCTCCGGAAGAAATGCGGGAGATAAGACCACGATGGAGGAATCTAGTAGCTGTTAGATAATTCCTTGCTATTGAAGGGGTTGGGCTGAATACTTCGAGATGTGGTGATTCTGAACGCGCCATCTTTGAACTAACACATTATCAATTAGATGAATCGCAGAATTGTTGCATCAAAAACCTTACCTTTCGATACCCCTCGGTGTATAGCTTTCTAGCCCCGGCCAGGTACGCTTGTCTCCTCTTTTCCGTACTGCCTAACTCCTCCCCGATCATCGGAATCTTCCATAGTTGGGCCCTTTGAAGTATGTGTGGTACAACAACCGAAGCTAGGCAAAGAATCACGGCAGTAGATAACACGGGCAAGTGATCTAGGATCAAGCCCGTGAGAGACTGGGTTATCGCCATAGTTTGGTGGGTTGCGGTGGTGTTGTGGCTGTTAATCGGAGCGTGATAATAGAGAGCGAGTTATTTCGTACTATTGCAGCGAGACAAGTCTTTAAATCTCTTCAAGTCTTGCGATGACGCCGACTTATATTCTGATTTCTTCGGTTGCTATTAATGGGTTGCTATTAATGACTGCCTGGCGTTTCATCTTGGTCTGCGGTGTCTCATTTTAGCGTCGGTCTCGGTATCGTATTCACCCTTACTAAACACAAGGCACTCATTCGACCGATGATCGCAAGGACCCCCGGCCTGTAGATCTCAGGGCCACACTAAGTTGCTTGTTTGCCAATTCTAAGTGGAGCGATAGGAAACTAAGGTGTGGCTGGGGAAGGGTACGTACGTCAATGCCGGGTTTTACGAATAGTCCGCGATCCCGATCGGGTAACATGTCATCTGAGTTGTGTGGATCTGGCTTGGCTCCCTCCACCGCCTGACGCTTTGATATTCCCAGAGTTGACTGAGGACGCAATTTCATGACTCGGGAACGGTATTGATCTGCTTTGTTCGATGATCCGCTGCCAGTCGAGATTACGGACGTCTGAGTTACCTCCTCGGTCTCGGTTTCGCATCTCCACTCTTTTGTGGCACAGGAGGACGCCTGCAACCCAAGCCTTGTCATAGGGCGCACGGTCTGGCGCTATGTCTCAAGTTTGCGGCCGACGTGGCGGATTTAACATCGTCAACTTCAACGGCGATAACGATCGGGCTTGATGCTATGCCGTACGGCTGCATCCAACTATGAGCATCTGCCGGTATTGTTGCAACTCTATAGATTGATGTTAACCTATAACGCGCTATTTCCCTACATCTCAACTAGTGCTTGCTCTTATCCTCCGCTTGACCTACCTATCCTAGTAAACCATTCGGTGATCTTGACTCCGTCCTCGTGACGACAATAAGTTGCCAAGATTTCGTCACCACAGTAAGTGCTGGCAACATTTCCTGCTTTCATTGATCTTCAGGATTATTCACCATGTCTGGAGCGGTGTGCGGGGGAAAGTGGTGTGCACCCAAGCATTTGAGAAAAAGTATCAACTAGCTATCACATTACGCTACTCGGTGAACTGCGGATCCGAGAAGGTGGTTCCGTCTGTGCTGGAATGATGACGAGTCCACCTTTTTCTCTGCTTCGTAATGAGGCGATGAGAGAAGCGGCCTCTGATTGCCGAAAGTCAACGTTTGTGCTGTCAAATGGAAAATTGGGTTTCTTCTGAAGCGAATCAAAAGAAGATTCGCCACTCAGAGAATTCATATGACGTGGATGGACGCCCGCAGACTTTTCCAGCTTCAGCAGACGACTGGTACGAAGCAGAGCCGATCCTCTGGGCATTGATACCCTCCATCAAACTTAGAGGCGCGACTGGGCGGCTCTTCCACACCTCCTGGTCCCCCCAGCCGCTAATTTGTTTCAACTTCATCATGAGCTAAGTTGCATTTCCAATGCCAAGAGTTCTCTCCTTTAAGCTTCTATTCTAGGCTCTAAAGATGCAATCTCGCTTAAATAAGGCCTTGCTATGCCAAGGCGGCTACTGAAGCTGCGGCTGCCAACAGCGCAGCATCGGATTACGAGAATGGAGGTCATTGCGTATTCTCCAACCCCCCAAATGGAGACTCAATCGCCGAGGTATTCAAATTTGTGTCACCTTCTCTCGCCCCTTCATTCTCGAGAAGCGATACATTCACCTACCTTCAACTACAGGCACATTTAATATGATCCAAGGAGCCACCGTCATCATTTTCACCACTCGGAAATCGAATTCCACCTGCTCAAAAACGAAACTCTGGCTACTTAAATATTGATACCCATTAAAATTTAGGCAGTTCTATGTCATTACAATTGATGAATCGTATAGCGTGTCAAATGAAAGTTAAAGTTTGGGGCAGAAGTAGCATTCTATACGACATGGTTGTTTGGGCCAAACGTCCTGTCCTGCTCCTGACGGTCATGGCTCGAGTCTGGAGTTTTAGTTCAATGACACACAACACTGTGATGGCCTTGCCGAAGATCCGTCCCAACCCGAATGCTTTCCTACTCCTCTCGAACCTCCATCTACAATGATCGATGGATTCGACCTTTCCACAAGCTCTAGGGCATTGATGTTCCTTCGATACCCCTTCCGCAAGGTCCCACCCTAGACGATTCCAAGGCCGTGGCTTGTTCTAGATTTCCAATGAAGCTTCCCATCACCGACCAGCTTGTCGGTGTTTGTGTGATTCATGTTCTGGATTTTTCAGCGAAAATGATGGGCACTGCAAGGTCCCGTTTTGCTGTCGTTTGCGGCGATCAAAAGCCAGGAGTAGAGTATTCCTAGCACACCTACCGAAGTCCAAACGCCGGTGCATTCAACGCAGGTGCGGGGTCTGCTGGGCAGGCCAGTTTGAGGGATATTTTGCCAACTGTGACAAAGGAAGCCTTAAGTATGTTTGCCGGCGACCGATGCCGCAATACCGTGTCGAACCCTCAACAAAGACAACGTAGGCCGATCTGAGCGCTGTGGGTGCCCGAGGAGAGAACTACCGTCAAAACCAGCAATAGAATATTCAATATCGTAAGGAAATTTATAACGACTCCATTACTACTATTGTGCATCCAAACGTTTACTTTGATGCTTAACCATTTGTCCAGTAGATCATTACTATCTAGCCATCCATGACTCACGAGGGGCTGGGGTCCTGAACGTGATAAGATATGCGTCAGTATCTTAAGCGAAACCATATTATCTAAGATAACAGACTAGATAACCTACAATTGGCGAGCCTACAGTTGACAAGTGCTGAAGCTCTAGGGTACCAAATGGTGCCATGGTGCTGCAGATGTTAGTGAGTCAGAACAAACTATGACCTAGGATATGTGCCTGCGAATTCATTATTGGAATCTCCATCAAGTATATTCTGTTTCCGTGGCTCCCACTGCTCGTTTCTATTAATTCCCAGCCATACTAACGGGCAGCGCCCGGACAATCAAAATTCCTGGATGACCAAGAAACCATGACCCCCTTGAGTAGACTTAAAAGCTTAATCTTAGAGTTCTCGTGTTGAATCGAATCAAAAACCGATGCTGTTCAGGTCTTTTATGAATTTCGCCGGCCATCTCTTCAACACAATTGCGACGACGCTTGCGCCGAGCTCCTTACCATCTGCTAATAGTTTCTATTGCCCTCTCTATATACCATTTTCATCCTTGTGAGTATCGCGATGTTGCGACGTTTCAGTGTGACCAGGACGACATGTACCAGTGGCTTGTATTAACCTAATGTAATAGTACATAGGCTTAGAATTTATTGTAAATAAGAATGAGAAATTCTCTCATGGGGCCGACCGACTTTTCTGTGTCTATATCATCTCAGAACTCAAGATAGGAAGATGCGAAGGACAGTGCGGCGCAAAGAGAACCAGCAAGATATCTAAATGAAAGTGAGCGGTGGTATTGATTGTCAATGGGGATAAACGGTCGGTCTACATCGCATCACGCCCCGCTGGAATCAACCGAGCGCTGTCTGTCAGCGCCTCAGCAATACAGGAGGCCGGGATCTCCTCAACTCACCGAGGTACAACTGGAGCGTCATAAACCCTCGTCAGAAAATTTAAACATCTAAGAAAGAGGACGGGCTCAAATAATTTACGCTTCTCTGACTACCATACACGCCAAAGCACAACTTTATGCACATTCTTCGGAGGACACTACGGGTAGTGGTGACTGTACTGGCTTGTCCTACTTCATTTATTGCGAGAAACATTGCATCGAACCTGTCCTATATTAAACTCCTGTTTGAGACTAAGATATGTACAGGGGATCAACTAGTAGATCTAATACGGCCACTTGAAAGTCGTAGAGATCTTCACGGAGAACGGCGCACCGCTCGACAGTGATTTCACACGTCCCAAGGTGTACTCAAGCTGCCTGAATGCAGCGGCTGAGGCGTATTGTGGCACCATGTGACCACTCATCTTGACTGTTGAATGAGTAAAGCCACGTTCAGTATGGGCTGTTCCTTGGACGTTTCCACCGGCCCAGTTAGCGATGTTGTCGTTGTTGTTGTCGACCTCTGGAAGAAGCAAGTCATTTTTCGGGGCCTTTTGAAAGCCTTGCTTTCCATTCCACTCCATCATTTGGATTCCAAGGGCCGTCACATTTGGCTTGATCACGTAGTCTGCCAACCCAGACCCCACCATGACATTGCCAGTCTTCTCGATAAGCTTCCGTAGTTTTTCTGCGTGCTCTGTTCCGTTGTAGTTATCACTGCCCGAGCCCGCAAATACTGGGCCTTGGCATTCACTCCATTCAGCGTAACCAACTGGAGCGTGAATAGCCTTGCGGACCTCAGGCACGTTGAACCATAGAGTAGCACCTGCGGGGGTGTACATAACCGATGGAAAGCCGAGAGGGTCCCAAAGAACCGGACAAGTGTCGAAAATATGATACGAGTTGAAACACGGATTGATGTCGGTAACTATTTCGTCGAAATGAGCGATGATATCACAGCCGTCGACCTGTGCTGCCTTCCAGGGTGTCTTGGGGGGCGGATATGTAAGATGCGCGTCCATGTATTTATCCAGCTTGCATTTCTTGTTGTCGCTCTCAAGGATCTTTTTGTTGGCATCCGGGATCGAGAAAACACTCTCCCAGTGTCGAAAGAAAGCCGGGAATGTCGCGTGGTCAAAGTTTAGGTCGTCGGAATAAGGCATGACTGGGTCATAATACAGTGCACCTTGGACATCGAAGTAGGTCTTGTCTTTCTTGTCTAGCATGGCAGCTCCAATGTAAGGCACATAAACACCGGCATAGCTTTCACCGGTAATGTAAACTTTCTTGTTCTGGAGGCCGAATGTTTTGACGAAATTCTTCCAAAAGCCGAGGAATTGATCCGCGGTTTCGACGTTGTTTGAGGCGGTAACATTTCCGCTGCTAAATCCAGCACCAATTGGATACTCAACCCTGTGGTTGACGGTTAGCAACATGCGCTTCCAGGAAAGATATGCCATACCAAATGATGTTGGCCAGTTTGTGCCACGACCAGGGATTTGCTACAGGTAGGAAAGTCCCAGGCTTCCAAGAAAATGGTCCGTTTTCTTGCAGAAAACCTGATAGAATGTCAGACATGATATGGTCAATTCTGGCTATGAGTCTCACCTTCCATGGAAGAGCATCCAGGACCTCCATTGAGCCAAATGATGATATCATCTTTGCCAGCAGGGTTTTCCGTGGGGAAGAACCAAAAGAACATCTTCTGTTGGGCATTGCTTGGCTTCGTTGCATCAACAGGAATCAATCCCGCATAACTTTCGCCAACATCAAAAGAGACATTTGGAATTCCCGTTGGTGTCACATAGAAGGCTAGACGCTGTTAATTTCAAGTTCCCAACAAAAGACCATAATAGAACCAATTCTTACGAGATGTCTTTTTGTTGTAGTATTGAGAACTACTGGTTGCTCGGCGTTCTACTGGGGTTTCCAAATCACCCGGTATATGACGAGCAGCTGCCCCACTTAAAAAGACGGTCAGGGCTAAGGCTTGGAAGAAGGGTAACATGGCTGCGATCAGGCCGCTGTTAGGGATCGGCGACCGCATTTTGATAGACAAAATGCTTGAATACCGTGGGCGTGAGCAATGAGCATTGATGACCAGACAACAACTTACTCACAGGTATATATACCATTTAATGCGCGGTTAGAGACGTGATGTGGTGAGAATGTCCACTGAGCCTAGCGCATTTCTCGATCGGCAAACTCGGATCAACTATCACACCCCGCAACCTACAATAGTTTAGTCAATTGATTTCTATCATTGATTAAGGGCCACTTGACTGATAACGGGCCTCTAGATGACACCACCTAGGCTTTCAAAAGGGCATTTTTACGACGGATTCCATACCTTCCTAATCAAGCACTTGATAAACTGACCGGAATTATTCCGTCGAGTGCTGGCCCTGCGATGATGTCGCTTCCAGTCTGCCGTTATATCCGAGGCGATCGTATATTTAAGCTGAACTAGGAAGGTCGGTACGAGGTTATCACATGTAGTAACGGGGATTGATCACAAAAGGTCTTGATTTCCAACTAAATAATGGACCCCACAGCCCGTATTTTATGAATGATCGCCATGATTCGACAAGGTTTAGAATTCGCTGGTTGCGGAGAGGCGTCTGATCTTGCTGACATGAGTAGATCGAGGAACTTGGAATGCCACCAAAACGCCCGAGTGTGACAAAAGCAGCCTTGAATCTGACACTCTTTGCGCCTGTTGCGTAATCGCAAGAAGTCAGAATTGCCCAATTTCTTTTCTGTGAGCCCTAAAATTAATAGTAACCATGATTTGATATGAAGTCTCATGAAAACGTCAGGATAACACTCACTCAGCCAATATCCCATCACAGTATCGCTACATGTGATTAAGTTGACACCCTCGAACGCCATCATTTGCCATTGACCATCGTGGCGTTTTGACACGAACTTTAAACTGCATCGTCCAAAGAATCCAACTCTCTTCTCCGTCTTTAAGTTCCAGAGTGGGGGATCCGAAAGAGGTGACACGACCACTTTTTTCAGCATATTCAAGAGCAAGAGTCTGTCTAAGTCCAATCCTTCGTTCTCTCGGCAATTTGTGATTATTTATATATCTCTTCGGCAGCTTTTATCTTGGTCGTGGAGTGTCGGAATCAGTTGGAGGTCTATCTTATCCTTTGCTCGGTAACTTGCCATCTTATCCCTCATCGGGAACCAGCCATCCCAGCGCGGGTATCCGATCGCAGGTCCGCTGGTCATCATCTGGTGCACCCCACTATGCAATCTAAGTCCATTTTCAATTCCAGTATCGAACGCTTTAAATATTTATAGTCCAGCGGAGCGTCTGCTTTTGTGAGGTAATATTAATACATGTTCCGATAACACTTCCCCTTCCACACACACTGCCAGCAACAAAGCTATAGGCTTAAGTTTAAAGTTGGCTCAACTCACCGGGATTTCTTCTTGCCAGAGAGACCTGAACTTTTGTCCCTCATGAGGAGCTTTACGATCTTCACTTTCGTCGTTGCGGCAGTGGGTGCCCCAGCCGGTCCAATTGTCAAGCTGAAGAATGGAACCTACTAGGGATACTCTCTCTCAGCAGCCTAGCAAGAACATTTCCTTGGGATACCATTCGCCCAACCTCCTGTTGGTGATTTGCGATCCCGTGAACCACAGGGTTTGAACGAAACCTGGCATGGAAAAGGAAGGCGGTTGGGTTTGGAAACGCGGTAAGCCAAGACTTGAAGTCGATATCTCAGTCCTACAAAGTTACTAACTTCGAAAACAGTGTATGCAATATGTTATAAGCCGAGAACCGTTGAACGAAACCTAATACTAAGCTCCTAATATTTACCAGAGCTCGCCAAGTTCCGTCCCAATGCCGAAGGACTGTCTGACTATGAACGTCTTTCGCCCTACCTTGAAATCTTCGCGTGCTCAAAAAGCCTCCGTGATCGGCATTACTCTCAACTATCGTCTTAGCGCCTTTGGGTTTCTTTGGGGTTCCGCCGAGCTTAGGGCTACCGGGTCAGCTAATGACGGCCTTCGTGACCAGCGGTTGGCGCTTCACTAGATCCAAGAGAACACTAACGCGTTCGGCGGCGACCCCACGAAGGTGACAATTTTGGGCCAGAGTTCTGGCGACCTATCGACAGTAAAACAGCTAATTGCTTACGGTGGCCGTGATGATGGTCTTCTCCGAGGAGTCATATTACAGAGTAGCGGTATGGCTGAGAAGTGGCCGTACAACATTGTTGATCCTAGTCACGGAGTCATTTTGAAAGATCAAGTTTATTAACTCGTTGAGTCACATGCCAATTACGAGAGGTAAACGACGACATGGCTATGGAATGTGAAGGAAAGAAATTCTGACAAATCCACTTGCAGACAGGGAAGTAGGTCCAATCTATGACGCCAGCTGCAACAACCGAGAAACTCGACCCATCCGTTTCAGTTGGAGTGCACACGCGGGCCTGACACGGAGAATGAAGGGAAGATGGCAATCACCTTCGAGACAAATGACATGACCACAGCTTTCACCTTCCCCAAAACTGACACAACCATATCGCCAAAACGTTTCCAGATACTCCCAAGTATCTCCTGGGCGTATTTCCACAATGTTCCCCACGGAATCAAGTAAACAGTAGCACCAGCTAAAATCGTGGTGGCAGCGGCCGTGCCACAAGCGGCCCCAAAACCTGCCGCGCAGAAATATTTCGTAGTCAAAGAAAACCCCAAAGGTCCTGATAGGGAGATGCCCCCAGAGGTGAGAACAAACCCTCCGGTCATGGCACCGGCACCAGCGCCGCAAACAAGTCCTACGATGGTGGCCAGAAGGCCCTTCGATTTGTCGAACCACGAGCCTGTACCATCAGCGGCGGGGAGTGAGGAATCATGGGCTCCCAAACTCACTTGTCTCTGTGATTCAGGCGTTCTGTCTTCCTCGAGCCTCATCAGCTGCGAGCTGAGGCTGTTGAATTGCTCAGAAAGCGCGTCTTCAGACATTTCGGGCGCAATCTGTGGCTGGAGCAGCCCTCTAGCCTCACCCATGACGTCCGAAAAGTTGAAATAGCATCCTTCCGCATGTTCCAACCTACGGTCGCGGGCCGACTGACGTTGCGGCCAAGCATAGGCCTTGACACCACAGAAAGTCGAGGAACTACCAATGCGGAGCTTGTTACGTTGTCCCTCGGGGTTGTAGGGTACAACGTAGACTTCCTTCACGGCGTATGAGATTTCGTACGTGATGATTTCAACACCCGAGCCGACGATGATGCAGACTTTGGTGAACTGCTTGGGCTCCTTGGGGTCCTTGGGGTCCTTGGGGTCCTTGGGGTCCTTGGGGAGGGCGGCGTCGATGTGGCGCTGAAGACCATCCTGCGTGGTGACAACGGCAGTGGAAACTGTGCCTGCCATGACAGATATCAGCGAACCGTTTCGTTTTCTTTTTTGGAAAAGGTGAGAGTGCTCGAAATGTAATCAAGATGGACGTCAAGGTTCATGAAGCTTGAAGAGGGAGGAGATTTGCAGGGGTCCAAGTGATTCGATAGAAACCGATTTGTTAATGGGGGTTACTTACCATGTTTTTTGTTCTTCGACCCCTTCTTTTTCTGCTTCTCTTCCTCCGCTTTCCGTTTTTCTCTCACGATACTCTTCATCTGATCCTTTTGACTGGGATGGACAACAACAAAAGTGATCATTTTGCTAACGCAAATCTTACTTTCGACTTCGCTCACCACAGACTTGCTTTCCTCATCATAAGGACCCTTCTCAGAACCGGAGCTCTGGGGCGCAGATGCCTTGGCGCGATGAGGCTTCACGGGCCCTTTCTTGGAAGAGGACGAACCCCCTCCAAAAAAGGGCTTCCAGAGAACCAACGTCTTAGACGAAGAGGAAGGCATTGCGAAGGGAAAAGTATGAGCTGCGAGGAATCTGAGTCGGTCGCAATGAGAAGAGGAGCGGCTGCTCTTTGCTGATTGATGTTGTGAAAGAAGAGTATCCTGAGAGATTCTTTGAGGGATTCTACGACGTATTTATGCAAATCGCGCACTGCTAGACCGAGCCTCTACTCGGAGAGCTCCGCCTTGATTGCGAATACTCGAAGCCCATGTAATTTGTGCGTTGGCCTTGGTCATAAGTATCTGGTACGAAGAAGATACTCCCTGGATTGGGGTTGATAAGAGGAATTTGGTAGACCTAAGAATCGATATGCTCGTTGAACAAACGGGAGGAATGAGCATTACACGCATCTACATACAAGACGTTCAGATCTGTGTAACATGTCAAGTCTCATGAACTGTGTGAGGATATCATCGGGGAGCCAGTCGGCATACCAAGTGTGGAGACTCATTATCGAATGGGGATGAAGAAGCTACTGCACACGAAATGCACGACCCCACCGACACTTTAGTGCTCTCAGCCAGTTAAATCGATTCAAGAGGGGCTATCAATGGTACAAGTTGCGCAGCTGATGAGGGGCTGAGGGCTTCTTGCGTTATTGCACTTTCACTCAAGTCGCCTTGTTTGGTGGTGATTCGTGGCCTCATTTTTCAAGCGACATGCCCAAACCGAGGCGGTAGAAAAGCGGTGGACGTAACACGTCAGCAATGGATAGCATGTGACGCGTTGATTGAGAACGGCGATGGTCTTGCATTGCATATCTTTGTTGACGTGTCTGTCACAAGCATCTGGTTGCCTTCATAATGGTGGTCCCGAAGACCAACTCATGCAACGTTTCCCCTCTCAAATCGATCCCGCGCTGAGTGCCTTCGAACCCTTCGACCATCCCAATCCCCTCCAGTCAGACCAACACAAGGCTTCAGCACAATGGAAAACGACACCTTTGACACCGGGCCGGTCCATCCAACCCAACCGGGCCAACCCCCACGGCCTCAGCTTGACGAAGCGGAGGGTCACACCCAAGTCAACTCATCAAACGCACCAGCTCCTTTCATCTCCGACCAGGAGCTCTTTGGCTCTGGATCACTCGCCGGCTTTGTTTTTGATCCGCTAGGCCCGGATCAAGGTAGTGTCTACCCACCAACTACCACCAGTTATGCGCTTGATCCAGCTCCCCCCTTCAACATGGGCGGGACACTTGCCATTGGATCGAACTTCGGTAATGTCCATTGGGATGCGCTCAACCCATACCACCAACCCTTGAACTATCCATTTCCGCCTCAAATTGACCATATGCCGGGTCTCCCAAGCACTAACGAAGGAGTATGTGGTGTTGGCTATACCATGGGCTCCTCAGACACCACCGTTTCTATGGACTCCATAACTCCGTTGAGGGAGTGTTTTGATCAAGATACCCGCCTACTCGCTGACTCTTTCCACATCCCGAGCACGGCGGGCTCTCTTGGAAACCTCCTAAGTCCACACGAAATTGCCATCAGTGGTAAGAAGCCGCAATCACAAGACAAACATACACCTTATTGGAGCTGACGTGGATAAAATGACTCGATAGATCCATTCCAATTCAACCGACCCATCTTTCAAGGCCTTTTCCCTATTCCATCCACATCGAGCCTACCTCTACTCTCGACAGAGTTGACATTTGACAGCCCATGTGTCGAAGACTTAATTCCACACACGACCGTCTCCTCCAACGTACTAGAGCATTCTTCTTTCGCATTTCCTTGGCAAGCCTCTCCGAGCTTCGCTCTAGGTAATCCTCTCGAGAGTGCGCCTTCTACGTGGGTGAACCACAATGCGGTTATGGTCGCCCAGCAAGCCCAGCATAACGACAACATTATTGAGGCATCCTCGCAAGTTGTGGCGCGCAAAGGGGCACACAGACGAGCAGACTGTACTCCTGGAGAGTCCTCGCATTCCAAGGATGCCTGGAACGCAATGTGGCCCATCTTTGAAGATATCTATCAAAACCACACTCTCGAAGAAAGCATGATGGTCCTTTTGCTTGTTCATAACTTCGAAGCCACGTGGGTGTCTATGAGTATTCCTTTAGATGTCAAGCCGTACTAACGATATGTAGCAAGGATGAATTCAAAAATAGACTTCGAAAATCGAAGACTAGAAAAAACAGGTCAAGGAAGCGCCCTGATACTGTCATACCTCTGGGGTTTTCGAGAAGCAGAGGGGGCACGAATGAGCGAACAAGACTAAAAACGAGAGGGGCCATACACGAACCATATCCATATCATACGTCGGGCACACCTCGAATTCTAGGTTCCATACCTCGCAACCCTGCGCCTCAGTTGTATCACATCCAGACCAAACTGCTATTGTGCATCGACAAGTATGTGAACGGATTCTTCGATTCACGTCCTAGCCCAAGATTCTCGCCCACATCAGACAACTTTCTGAAGGAGCAGACAAAAGCTGAATGGCACTGGCAAATCATCTTGAATCGTTGCAGAGTGGTGTCTGCATTTGTTCGAAAGAAAAAGGAGTTTACGCAATTCTGGAGAGGCGAAACACTCGCCAAACCGAAGATAAACGAACGGTTCAAAGCGGTTATGGGCCGCATGATCCAAAACAGAGTCTTCGATGAATTGGCAGGCGCGAAAAATAGCTGCAGCCCCTACACATTGATCTCTCTTTGGGATGTTTGCCGCATCCTGGAGGTTCTCCCGTCTCAACTAGGTTCTCCCGAGGACGAAATGTCTTATGTTAGTCCATTCATATGCACACTACGAAGTCTCCTACATGGGCTTGGCGAAGGGCATTATGTGGGACTGGCCAACCTCCTGCAAGAGTTGCTTAACAGCTTCCAAACGGACCTTCGAAACGCCCATGCTCATCTTCGAAAAGCAAACGCTGATCTTCAGGAGGTCCACTCTTCTCTTCGAAAAGCGAACGCTGATCTTCCGAAAGTCTACTCTGCGCTTCGGAAAGGAGAAATTGATGTTAGGAAACCCGACACTGAGCGTCGAAGAATCTACCCCGAGCTTGGAAAAGTCTACGCCGATCTTCGAAAGGCACAGGCTGATCTTCAAAAGGTCCAAGTTGAATTCTGGAACACGCTTCGAATTAGCTGTCTCTGTACCGCTAGGGCCTTTACGACTAGACTCGGCGCCAACCACCCTGCCGTCCTTAATGCTTGGGCCATCTATTTTCGACACTGGGACATCAAGGCTCTTGATAAGTCAACCTTCCTGGAAAGCTACGAGAAAACCCTGAAGCAAACTCAAGATAAACATGGTCACAGTGACGACTGCACGATCAGCCTTCTACATAATTACACGACCATGGCGTATTATGTCTGTCGAGATTATGAACGAGCTTCCCGACTCGCCGATGAGCTCTGGAGTCAGACTAAAGCCCCCATTGAATCCCGGGATGAATCGTTGGACTGGACAGTCAAGGTGCAGGGTATGACTGAGGCAGCTAAGATCCGGGCTCTACTCTTGTGCATCAATCAAAGCCAAAATAACAAGCAGGAATCGGCTACATACAGGAAACATCTCCGTCACAAACTGAATCTTAGAAGCCGATGGAAGCGCCGCAAGCGCCGCCTCGAGCTTGAACTTCCACCTCGCTCTGAAGAGACTAAGCAGGCTATCGATTGCCTAGACACGGTTGTAGGGCAACTATCCATGGTCGATGACTGGGACTCCAATGTGATGGCGGCGGGCTTGTCTGACTGCCTAGTAGGATTGACAGTTGAATACTATGGAGAGGATGCTGCCTTGCGTAACGAGGTCGCCAGGAGGCAACGGGATAGGGCGAGAGAGATTCGCTCAGGTATTATTTCATTCCAGGAACTCGTTCAAGAGCCGCCTGCTTAGGGTTAATAAGTGGTCGGGTCGAAATGTATTTGTGGCGCAGTGCAAAAGCCTTTTTTTTCCTTTTGTTTTTTGGTGATGGTATCGAGATTTTGGACCTTCTTGCGCTCATGAATTTGCATGAATGGCTCAACTCTTCGGTGACCGCAACAGCGATGACGAAGAAGTTGATGAGGGAAGTCAATGACGTGTCACGTCGCGAGGGCATTGGAGGTCTCGTGTGAGTACGATCTCATCGACAGGCTCTTTGAAAGGATTTTGAGGATGCCGGTCATAGTGAGCATTATGTAGACGGATTACGACAACGGGAAGCCAATGGAGGTAGATATTGCCCTGCTTTACACCGTACGGAAAGGATGTGACGACAATCGAAACCCTGTACGTCCTCATGAAAACCATCAACAAGCGGCTAATAAGCGAAGCACAGGGCGTGAAGTTTCAGAAACTATAATACACGATATTCTTGACGCATTAGTATTTATCAGTGCCTGAATGTTGCCTGTAGCACTGAAGCCAGCATCTCGAACGCAAATAGCATACCTACACATATGAATCAGTGCTAGTCACGCAGGTTGCAATAATTACGCTAAACTCCAGTTTACGTCACATTTCATCGTTGTTTTATGAGAATGATATCTAGGGATTTTCTAGACCTCGACTCTTCTGCAGAACATTCACCACGTGTTGAATCCCGTTGCGTTGATTCTCCCCCACGCATCGCCTTGAGGCAGCAAGTCCAAAGTGCCAGTTGCACCTGTGACTTATTTCAAGATATCTTGTCAGCCGTGCTAGTGCGCCAAATGAACAGGAAAAACAGGCTTACCAGAGAATCCAACTGGCCCCAGCTAGTCATGCGCGCAAAGCCGCCGTCCATCAGATCCACGGCATCATGAATCCTAATACCAATATCTTCCCGGGCTTGGTCTAACAACGGAATCCAGCAGCTGGACAACTCGCACTTTCATAACGACGAATTGGCATCCCAATCGGGCAAGTCCACCATCCCGGTCCGCAAAGGACGGAGCTTCGGCTCCAAGGATCAACTTCGAGGAGATATCTATATCGCGAGAAGTTATCGTCGTGCTTCGATCTCTACAATGATTCTATACTTATCGCCAGATGGAATAATAAAGCTTCAGTACCTTTAAGTGACAAACCATAGTACTGAAGCAGTCACTCTTCTCTATATAAATACATGTTCTCCATATCTTCCCTCAAAGAATGGTAACTTGCTACACACTTTTTTGTAGTAGGGTGATTCGATCCAAGACCTTCCATAAAACCCCTGCAGGCTCTCTCATACAGCTTATCCGCTTCTGAGAAGCGGGTCTGTCTGTGAAGGAGGTATGCGAGGATATAAACATCCGTGAGCGTGTTTGGATGCTCTCTGCCGAGCACCCTCTCGCTTGAATCTAGGGCTCGTCGGCTTATCTGCTCTGCCTCCTTGTACTTTTCCTGATTTCCGAGCACCAACATAAGATTATTAAGGCTTGCGAGCGTGTCTGGATGCTTTCTGCCGAGTACCTTCTCGCTTGAATCCAGGACTCGTCGGCTTATCTTCTCTGCCTCCTTGTACTTTTTCTGCTTTCTAAGTACTAATATAAGATTATTAATACTTGCGAGCGTATCTGGATGCTCTCTGCCGAGCACCCTCTCGCGTGAATCTAGAGCTCGTCGGCTTATCTTCTCTGCCTTCTTGTACTTTTCCTGATCTTGTAGTACTAACGCAAGATTATTAACGCTTGCGAGCGTAGCTGGATGCTCTCTGCCGAGCACCCTCTCATATGAATCCAGAGCTCGTCGGCTTATCTTCTCTGCCTCCTTGTACTTTTCCTGCTTTCCGAGCACCAACGTAAGATTATTAACGCTTGTAAGTATAGCTAGATACTCTCTGCCGAGTACCCTCTTGCATAAATCCAGAGCTTGTTAGCTTATCTTCTCTGCCTCCTTGTACTTTTCCTGCTTTTCGAGTACTAACGCAAGATTATTAACGCTTGCGAGCGTAGCTGGATGCTTTCTGCCGAGCACCCTCTTATATGAATCCAGAGCTCGTCGGCTTATCTTCTCTGCCTCCTTATACTTTCCCTAATCTTGCAGTACCCCTGTAAGAATGTAGATGCTCCTAAGTGTGTCTGGGTGCTCTTTACTAAGTAGCCTCTTTCTTATCTCTAGAGTATGTTGATTTATCTCCTTAGCCTCCTTATACATCCTCTTTATCTACCGATACGATTCTATATTAGTAAGCAGCCTGGTCTACCTTAAAACATCTTTACTATAACTTGGCTATTTTATAATAATTAAATCAATATGCGGATCTAATCTCTGGTATTCTATCCAATTTTTATACTACCCTAATGGGTATAGGTCTGATATAACCTTCAGAAACTCCCGCTTCTACCGCTACATATTAATAATAGATAGCTACAGCTGCGTGCAAAATTGCACTAGAGTATATATCTTAAATATATCTAACTCGGCAGTTACCTCCACTATTAAGTAGTTATAGAGCACCTTAATATCCTTATTAAGACTATCCCTGCTATACTCACTATAGTTATATACATAGGCTTGCACCACAGGCTTGGGAATCCCTTGGGGATTAAAGAAGCTCATAAATGAGAGCAAGTTAGCGGCCGACGGCCGTTCGCGACGGATCTCTTCGAAGGTGATCTGCTATGTAGTGACGATCGAGTTAGAGGCGCTCTCATCCCGACGGAGGTCGCCGCCGTCTCTATTAAGGAGGCTTGCCTTCTTCTTAAGGCTTCTCCGAAACTCGTCCATGTAAGCCGATATAGATATGCAGAGCCTGCTTCGCTTAATATAAGCAGCAGCTTGGGTTATTGTAAGCGGTATGTAGTTTAGATCGTTAACTAGATCTATTATTGCCATATTATCCTCGGCGCTCTCCCCAAGTGTATTTCGGAGAAGCTGCAGGGCTTGGCTTGTCTCCATTGTCGGCATATTGTAGATAGCATCCAGACTGGCTAGCCTCTCCGCTACATCCATATTTCGAGATATAATTATGATCGATCCGCGGCCGATCTTTAGTACGAATGATGCCAGCGGCTGGTCGCATGAGCCATGGGTGCTCTATCTTTAAAAGAATACCTCAACGGAATCGGCGTTGTTAAGCACTATCATCCATGGCCCATTCTCTTTGTCGCACAGCCAGGCATATACCAGCTAGAGTACGTTGCGCTTCGGATCATCTTGTCCCGGAAGCTGCAGTCTGTCGGCGATGTTTCGGTATGCTTCCTTGAAACGGGCCCTAGAGCTTGCATGCACCCAGAACACCCAGGTATCTGGTGACGCCTGTCGGACTTCGTGCGCGTGGTGGATCGCGACCTGTGATTTTCTTGGTCTGTTAGCGAAGTATTGGATCTCTGGGGCACGAAGCCTACCCGATGCCGCCGAGCCTGACGAGCGCAGCGCGGCTGCCCGGTTGTGCGGCTTGATCTTGCAGCCAGTCCAAGACGTCAGTCCGCTCAACGAACTTGGGATCCAGCGGGAACGGGACGGTCGAGAAGGGTCGGATAGATGGCGACGGGGCATGGCCGCCAAGATTGTAGTTGATGGTGCTCCCGTCAGACGCGTGCGCGCCGGCAAACACATATTGGCCACTAACTGGCCCTTGAAAGCTGGTATGGCTCATGGAAGCAATGTGCGTGACTTTTTATCTCTTTCGGGCACACTGCAAGTATTCCAGCAGGGCTGGGTTCAGGCTGCGTGCCCGATATACCTGCGGCTGAGAAGATGCTGCTGCCTGAGGCGAACACAGCTCAGCTGCAGGAGCGAATCAAAACCGCAGCTAGTCTAGAACATAGCCTCGTTTGAAACACCAGCAGCACCGGACGGATACAAATAGAACTCTTTTATTACTTTAGTGCATGCTGTGGGATTGTGGATAGTGACTGAGGCCTAACAATTCACATTCACATTTAAACACGGCTTTGGGATAATACGGTGCAAGATGCAGGATCAACCTGATGCTGTCATTGATCGTAACGCCCGCTATTTACAGCTTAAGGCAAACGCCCCAATTACAGAATATAATCACACATAGAAGCTTAGACAATCCTTTCCATCCGCCCTGGGTCACGGATGAACCACAACCCCATCCACTCGTTTCCCTTAAGCAATGACACCAGTGCCGGCCTTGGACTTGACCAGATCGCAGATGCAAGAGGCAGGGTCGGTACTATTACTTGTTAGCTCAGACATTCATGCATCACGAATAGTTGGCTTACGTGTAGTCGTAGGGAGGAGTAAACTCCTGCTCCTGGGTGATGGTGATCTCGCTATCGGTGTACAGGTTGTTGCGCTCGAACGCAAAACCATCCTCATCACTGTCGAGGTTGGTGATGATGGCGTTCTTGACGGCGCTAAACGAGGTCTGCTCCACGAGCACCTGAGCGCCCATGCGCGAGTTGATGCCCGAGGTGGGGATGTCCTCGTAGCAGCTGCTGTAGATGTGAGCAGTTCCGAAGCGCACAGACGGGCAACGGCTGTTGATGTTGGTCCAGTAGTTGTGGTGGTAGGTGACGTGAAGGGTGCCAGTGTCCTGGTCGCCGTTGCTGTCAGAGTGGCCGATCAGGCTGGCCTTCCAGTGATCGGAGAACTTGGTCCAGCTGATGGTGACGAAGTCGGAGGCGCGCTTGATATCGAGGAGACCGTCGTAGAAGTCCTTGTCACCGGTGATGCCCTCGGCGGAGAGGTCACAGTGGTCGACCCAGATATAGGTGGAGCCCTCAATGTCGATGAGGTCCTTGCCCTCAGGGGGGTCGTTCATCTTGAGGTTGCGGATGATGACGTTCTCGACTGCCTTGAGGCGGAAGCCACCACCAGTGAGACCTATGAATGTTAGTAGTGTAACTCATAATGTGAGGGGATTGACTTACCAGAGTCGGCGCCAGAACCAATGATGGTGGTGTCGCTGGCAAGCTCGAGAATATCACAGCCAGACAGGATGCCAGAGATGGTGATGACACCACCAGCGGCAATGGCTGACGAAAGCTCAGAGCAAGAAGTCACAGTGGTGCCGCTTCCGCTGCCACCACCGGTGGTACCATCGCCGTATCCGACGAGGGCATCTTCGGCAGCAGATCCGCAAGTCGAGCCATCGCTGCCAGATCCACTGCCAGAGGACTCGGTAGAGGCAGGTGTGTAAGCGACAGTTGATGCGGGAGTGCCAACGACACTGGACGCCGCAGGGGCAGAAGCCACGACAGTGTTGAGAGTGGTGGGAACAGCAGGCTCCGCGGCAGGAGTAGTAGCAGCACCGGTCTGAACAGGCTCCTCAAAGCTGGGAGTCGTAGCAGCCTCAGTCTCGACAGGCGCAGCAGTGGGGGTCACTACGGCGCCGCCCTCGCTGCCAGCGGTGAAGTGGCACGCACACTCCTTGGAGATGTGCTTGGGCTTGTAGGCGCAAGCGCTGGCCCACGAAGGAAGATCGGCCGTGGCAGTCACGACGCTCTGGGTGAAGGTGGCACAGAAGGCCGACGCCTCGGCGGCGTTGTTGACCATGTACGAGGCACATTCGTTGGTCAGGGGGTTTGCGCAACCCAGCACCGCTGGGAGCAAAGCAAGGAGAGTGTAGCGGTGCATGATAACGATAGACTGACGGCGCTGCCGTGGGTAAGAAATGAAAAATGAGGGAAAAGAGAACGAAAGTGAATGCCAAAAACCATCCAGACTTCCGTCGCGAGGATTCCAGATGTTTTATCTCATCCCGCCGTTCAGCTGATCGTTTCGTTTAATTAAACAGGGTCATGTACGCGTATGAAACTCGACTCTCTGTTTGGCGGACTGGGATTTACCGACTGGGCGTCATCATCTTGGCCGTTTTAAGAGAACATAGTGGAGAGACGAGCCTCGTTGGGACGGCTTGTCACATCGTCGCCCCTTGTCAAGTGTCTCAGACCCTTGACTTCGGCGGGGCTCGTGGGACCATGATGCGGCGAACGCACGACCCCGATGGTCCGGAGCCAGGATTAACATAAGGTATCGTGATAAGCTTATTATAAACTCATGGGCGAGAATTAGTCGAGTTTGGCTTCGGAGAAAATGGAATTTCTATTAACGAAGGCGGTGGCAAATATTTACATGACTATAGACGTCTACTCAACCGCAAACATAGCAGTCTCTATCGTAGAACCTCGATTTGGAGCTCGGAACATAGGTCAGGCCCAGGCCGCTGGTCCCGATGCGGTAAGGATAGCAGACCTTAGTGTCGCTCACGTACTGAAACCCGAGACAATCCGCTCGGTCTAGGCAAACCTGGCCGCAGGCGCTTAGGTTGGCAACCGGTTTGATCACATAGCTCGTGAGGTAATTTGACTGTGCCTGGTTACCTCCCGTTCCAGGGAGCCCGCAGGTAACATCGTCAGTGAGGGATACTGTGGCGACGCAAGATGTGGGGGCAGCGGCTTGGCTGGTGGTTGACGTGGAGCTCGTCTGGCTGGGTGTAGGAGTCGTGGACAACGACGTGTCGTCGCCTGGAGTTGTTTCCGGCGAAAAAGTTGACGTTGCGAATGTCGTAGAGGCCGTGGGTGTGGAAGCACCTGGAGTGGAAATATATGAAATCGGAGCACTTGAAGTCGAAGCGCCGGGAGTGGAAGCGCCTGGAGTGGAAGCGCCAGGAGTAGTCGAAGCCGACGTAGACGAACCTGCACCGGAACAGCTAGGGCAATCCCAGCACGCCTGGTCGCTCCACCTAGACGACCCAGCAGACGCCGAGAAACCGGCACTCTGGAGAGATGAGCTGATGAAGGAGCACTGGAACGAACTGCGGGAGGAGTCATATGATGATGCCTTGCAGCCCGTCTTCTGGGCACAGATGGCTGCGCACTGCTTCGCCGATCCCTGGAACGGATAGTCGGTGTTGGAATAAGCATATGCCTCCTGTTGAACGGTGCCAGCTTGGTTGCAGTAGTATCCAGCTTCGACTAGAATCTTCGAGGTGCATCCTTCGCCGTTATTCAGAGCGCAGGTCGACGTAGATGTAGCAGCCGATGTGGTCGAGGTCGCTGTGGAAGCTTCGCACATAATGCAAGTCACGCAGCCCATATCGTACCAGGTAGTAGCCCACGAAGAGTCCTCGCTGAAACCAGACGCGGTCACGCTGTCATGTATGAAGCGGCAAGGCATGCCCACCGTATCCTCATCGCTCCATCCGTAGGCGCTGCACTGAGAACCTTGCAGCTCGCAGTACAGAGCGCAGTCTCGTACCGAGTTCTGCGCCCAGTCCTTGCTTGACACACCATAGGCATCAGTCAACGGGACGTCGCCTCTCTTCCCGCAAATTGAACCAGAGCTGGTTGGGGTGGCACTGTAGCAAGCTCCGGGATAGCTAATGCCAGCGGGGCAAGAGTAGGAGGTGGTCGAAGTGGACGAAGTGGTGGTCGAGGGCGTTGTAGAGGCGCCGGGCGTGGTGGTAGTGTCGATGTTGCTGCTGACACTGCTGCTTGTCGAAACGAAGGTCGAGGTCAAGGTCGTGGACAGAATTGAAGAGCTCGACGATACCGATGTAACCGCCGGGCATTCATTCACAGCGGACACGTCGGTCTGCAGCTGGGTCACGTAATTAAAGTATCCCAGGTTGCCTGAGCCGCATTCACTGCAGCTCATATCGTAGAAGAATTGTCCGCTGGTGCTTTCGTCCACAATTTCGGAGATGGTTCCGGGGTACAGCAAGCAACCTCCTGCAAAGTTGATTGAGTAAGACTTGCAATCGGGATACTTGGCGCAAAGATCTCGGCATTCCTTGCTAGGGTCGCAAATGAAGCCCACGCTCGCGGTGAGGAAGGCCGCCGAGCAGGACTTGACCATGCCAGTCACTCTCGACCTGCAACCGGCCCCGGGAGTGTCCCCAAGCCCGTTGACACAGGTGGTGCCATCAGGCTGCGCGGTGCATTCCTTCTGCGTGATGCAAGAGCGGTCGTATGCGTAATAGGCTCCTCCGTTGTTCGCGGAAGTGGAGGCGAGGTTTGACGAAAGCAGGATGCAAGTGTTGAGGCACGCGTAGCTCGAGCTGTAGGCGTCCCATTGGAACTGCTGGCAATTGGCATCGGCAAAACAGAGGGCACCGCACTGATCGCGGGTCATGCGGGTGCTGCTGATGGTCTTGTAACCCGTGCTGGGATTGTAGGGTCGCAAGCCGCAGCCTCTGCCAGGATCACCTGTGCTGCCCAACGTCACACAGTACTTGTTACCGGCGGAGGTAGCAGCTGCAGAGGTGCTTGAGGTTGTGGACTGAGTCGTGGATGTGGATGTCGTGGTCGTGGTCGTTGAGGCGACACTGGTCATAGAAGTGGTCGAGGTAGAGGAGTCTTGCGTGGTGGTAACCTCCGTAGAGCTCGTGGTAGCCTTCTGCGTAGTCGAAGTGGACGAATAAGCCCAGGTATACAGCAGCGAGATGTTGTCCATGTTGTCAGGGCTGACTTCGTTGGAAACAAAGACCTGGTCAACGTAGACCTCAGCATAGCCGCCACTGGCACAATTCAGATCGATCCGCATAAGCCCGCTTGACGTCTCGACTGCGGCCTGGTCGAGGACGGACTCCCACTGAGGGTTCGAGTCTGTCGGTAGGGCGACGGGGAAATACGGGCTTGACGTGAAGAGCTCGTCGCCGTAGTAGACGTCGAATTTGCAGGTGTCCGCAATGTCGTTCTGCAGGACTTGGTAATAAAAGCGGATGGTGTACAGCGACGTCGTGTCCATAGCATCAAGCTGCTGTTCAATCGCAGCGAACTCTCCAATATCTCGTTTGCGAGTCGCGCTCCCGGTGTTGCTCGCCTTCATGTGCACACAATTGCTCTCCTTGCTGCCGTCGCCCTTATACCCCGGACCCTCCACAAGGCGAGCCTCATTCTCAGCCTGGAAGGCATAGATGCCTCCATCGTAGCTGGGGTCGTAACCCTCAAAGTTGCCGTTCCTGATAAGGTTCCTTACAGTCCGCGGTGCCGGAGTCGTCGTGGGCCCGGGAGTAGTTGTCGCGCTTCCCGTCTCGGTGTTGTCCCTGGTGTCGGGTTTGCAAAGACCGGCCGCGACGAGGTCGACAGAGCCGGCGAGGGCTAGGGCCACGAGCGCTGCTGCAGAACGCATCGTGGGAAACAAATAATTCGACGAAAAGAATGACCGAAATGAGTGACGGTTGAGGAGGAATCAGCACCACGGCAGCAGCTGGGCGACATCCCACATATAAACCCGTTTTGCCTCCACTAAAAGATCCCAGAAACAATCGATAGTTACGGATCTCCTTCCATAACTGGATGGATTGCTGCCTCCACTCACTTCTAGCCCATCCCATCGAAGTTTGGGCCGTACCAGGAGAACGGTCCAGCTGGCGGGTCGTCGCGGGAAATTCCACATGGGACCATCGCGAGGAGCAAATGAGTCTAGTCGTTGAACTATTGATCGACTCATGGACTAGAAGCGGCAGGGGAATTGCAGGCTAACAAAATCCGGCTAACCAGCTGCGGTTTTCTTCCGATTTATTGGTAGCCGGCGTCAATACTCGTGAAAGCGGAACCTAGGGAAGTGCCGAAGCCGTGGTTTCAACCACCGAGATGGATGCCCAAGTCGATGCCTACCAAACGGGCAATACGGGTCCTAAGCTACAACATGGACGAGAACAGTCCGGTAAATTCATCAGCCTATTGTTTTTTTATGAAGCAGTCTTTTGCAGCCGATTTCACTGTGCACGCTGGTGAGGGTCCATTTCGCCAAATCCAGAACGTCATGGCCAGTGCTGAAATCGATAGTGCCACACGCTAAAAATCACCCACGCAATGCCCCTGACTACGAAGCCACTACCGTCGCTTTGCAGCTCATGGGAATCTTTTTCGGCATTCGCGAGATTCAATGGCGTCAAGGCTCAGATCCAAAATAGGTCATGCTTCTATACTATCCACGTGGTTCCATGTCCTGGAGTCACAATCCCTCGATGTTTGAGCACTGCGATCGAGCAGCCCTTATATGGTTAGGAAAATGTAGGAAGTAGGTCTATCATTGTCCTGTCGGTCGAGGCCAAGGTGCCCATCGAAATTGGCGTTCGCCGAGGATGTCAGCACTGATACCATGGTCCCAGATATCAACCCAGGAAACGCAGAATAAGAGACCAGAGTCAGGTTGACAAGCCAGTTGAGAAATCTGCTCGATGTAATAAATTCACCTCTGTCCACAAGCCCCAAGTTACTATAAGGGACATTTTCGTCCCTGCATCATTTCGAATCCATGGAAATTCGCTCACTCTCATGCCTCTAGGCGTGCGAAACCGTCTCTGCCGTCCGCAGATTTACGTTTCCTTTCGGTTTGGAACCCAAAATATTAAACCAGTCATATCGGCGTATCACGAGACGCTTGTTTGTGATAATTCCGGATTTAACGTCACTAACTACTCTCCTGAGACTTCGACAACTTTCCAAGCATTGCCTCCAATCTCTACCACCTCATCCTTCTTGGCTCCGAGTCCATCATCCAATACCTTTTCACAGGGCAGTTCCGCCTCTCCCATCCTGATTGTTCTCTTCCATCCCTTCGTCGCCTCCCATTCCCATCGCTCTGCCGTCATAAGGTCGCCCTCACGCAGGAAGCCCTGGCAGTACTGGCCCAGACGGACCACAGAGCCCCGGCCGCCCGTTTCAGTCTCCATGTGCAGAACAATAGACTTCACTTCCGACGTGGATGTAGGGATAGGCTCAACGTCCAGCCAGACCTCCTCATACGCCGTATTCTTCCCTGTCGCAGGGTTGACCATGCTACCAGTCTCGAGTGTCGTCCCGTCTGGCTGCGGGAACATGTCGCCCTCATCAGTTGCATTCTCAGGCTCGGTGGTATGCGAGTCAATCCAATGCTCCCACTGCGAATGCCGGATCTGGCCGCCCTTGCCGTCATCTCGCATCCACGACGACGAGGTCCCCGCAATGCCCCATTCTAGTCGGTCCACGGGAAGCGCCTCTGGTTTTGTGAGCGACTGGTCTGAGATTAACCTGTGCAGCAGAGTATTTACCTTCTTGCCCACTCCAGGCCTTCTGATCGCCCTCCGGTCGGAAGATTCTCAGATCCACGTAGCGACGCTGCGGGGACGTGACGACAACGGTGGATGTCGGCTCACTCGCCTCGTCCGGGAGCCACCGGATATGTTCTCTCAGAGAAATACTGCCCATGATTGCAACTTGAGGATTTAAGTAAGGTGAAAGGTTGATGTTTCCCTAGTCTGGTTTGGAAGAGTCACAGTTCCCGGTATCGGATTGTCGATGGCCGATGATATGCGGTTGAGTGAGGGGTCGATATGGAGTGGGGTGAAGTAGTCCAGCCACAGAACTCTAGCCTAGAATGAAATAACGTCAATCCACAGCATATCAAGCATCAAGTATCAAGCAGCAAATGTGACTCAATCTTTATTTAGATAGCTAATTTGTCAATCAACTTGCCTCCAAAACAAACTTCAAATCCTACTTCGTGTTAATATGAAGCGCCCACGCCGCATGAGCACATAGATCAAGCAGACATGGTCAGTCAGCTTTAGACCTCTCATTGAACCATGGATGGAACGCCGAGGTTCAGGCACTCCTCAAGAAGCGCATACCGGGTCAATGGGGAATAGATACATACGAATCTCAGAGCGATTCTGGGTCGGACGAGTTTGCAGATTGCAGAGATGGCCTGACACTAAGTGCTTGATCGCATCCGCGCAGACAGAAATCGAGCACATGCATAACATCCTTGAAGGCTATAGACTAAGGTCTAAATATGCGGATTTGGAGCCAACGCCAGCAAGCTATATTGTCCGCTGTCATCATGTTGGCGAATAAACTCCATGACTGCTTCAATTCCCTGTTCTGAAAGTAGGTCATCGTTGGACATCGGACCCCTGTTGATTGGGCCATTCTTATCTCCATCCATAATGTACAGATTATCATTACGATGAGACTTCACAAAGCAGACGTAATGGAAATCCACCTCGCTCTCAACGTTTTGGGGTGCCTCTGTATCTCCAAGGATTGCTACCGAATGGTACTTTGATTCAAGCTCCTTGTTGTTCTCGAGCACAGTTGCGCGGCTTGATGGGCTGAGGGAAGTACATCTCCCAAGCAAATTAAATAGATGAGACTTCGGCTCTATAATTTGTTTAAAAAAATATCAGCACCGCCTACATTCCTTCAAATAAACAAGAAATAATCGCAATATGGAAACATACTTATGAAGTCTCTTGCACTTCCGTTAGCAACTGCGTGAAGGATGCCATAGAGTCCACACGCGTTGTTGATCGTTTGCTTGAACCACATAACATCCTCATCCTCACCCGTCTTTGTATACTCGGGCGTCAACTTGTTCTCTTCGGCGAGTCGATCTTCGTACTGAGGGGGTGTGGGGAAGACAATGACAAGTGCTAGGACTGGTCGAGGAATTAATGCGAGGAGTTCGGGTTCACTCAAAGACCAAACATCATGAAAGCGTAAGTCATCAGAGACCCCCAACTGATGAATCAACTGATTAAAAACTTCAGGATTAGACTCGAGCGGGATGAAGTGCTTGTTATAAGACATGTTGGCGGTTGATCTGGTCAAGGAAAACCGAAGGTAGGTATTGTGGAAGAATGGAGAAGCCGAGCCTTAGCTGGAGGTGCGGGACAACGGAATAGCTATTACTCCGTCTTAGCGATTGGTTGTCGGGATTGCTGGGCAATTGCTACGAGCGGCAATGTATAAACCGGAACAGGAACAAGTTTCTGCATCAAGAAAATCGTGATTGCTACCACTTATTAGATCGTGTGAAGACCAGTAGAAAAGATGGATCACGGTGATAGCACAGTAGAGAACAAGGACTAGAACTCACATCTCGGCGCATTTGTGTTAAATACTGTATTCGCATTAGTATTAGCACACACAAGTGCCGCGAGACAGACCCTGCATCGCGCAAATGAGCACGAACAGCTAAAACACCAACGACAAACCACCTGGTACTCCGTACACAGCCGCGAGATGTACAGATAGGCGGCTCAGTCCAGACAAATAAATCGTAGATACAGGTGAAGAAATCACAGGCTGTGTCGGATTGAGGATTGCTGTTCCAGCCTGCCACATCTTGACTCAGGTTCTTCGCCGGGGTTTGTTCTGCACGCATAGAGTAGAAGAAGGCAGCTTCATGTCGAAGTTGATTGACAAATTAGCTTGCCACAAAGATTCAATCGTTGCACTCACTTCCACTGTCATCTTCCCATTCAAGATGCACTTTCCTGTATCGGATTGTCAATAGCCGATGATATATAGTTGAGTAAGAAGTCGATATAGAGCGAGGTCAAGTAGTCCAACTACAGACCTCTAGTCGAGAATCAAGCAATACACAGCATATCAAGTACCAAATACGACTCAATATTTATTGAGATAGCTAGTCTGTAAATTAATCTCAAATTGAAACTCCCTTCTTCTCCTCTATGCATCCAAAACAAACTTCAAATCCTACGTTGTGTTAGTGTGAGTCACCACATCGCAGTGAATACATACATCAAGCAGACCAGTGGCATCCCCGTTGGATGTACTGTCTAAAGAAACTTTGGCGATCCGGCTCTTTTTCTCCTGTAATTTTACGATATTCTGTGTCGCAATTAGGAACTTGAACTGTTGGTTGGTGTGCAATGTTACCTGCTCCACTGTCCTCTCAGTGATATACTTGACAATTGTCACAGTTTGAGTTTGTCCCATCCTAAGAACTCTTGCAATAGCTTGTGCTTCCAAAGCTGGGTTCCAGTGCGGCTCAACGATATGAACCCGATTAGCGTTGGTTAGAGTCAAACTAATAATAGTCAGCTGAGATCATGGAAAAGCATTGTTGATCATACCCAACAGCTCCTGAGTCAATCGTCATGAGAAGGGCGGATGCTCCCATATCCTCGCGAAATCTTGATATTATAGCTGTTCGATCCTCAGGTTTGACCCGGCCATCTATTCTTAACGACGATATCCCTCGCTGGGATAACATTCTGTCCAGGATATCCAGGGTCAATCGCCACGATGAAAACACGACGCTATACGCTGTCAGTTGATGCTGAATGCAAGGTTTAGTTGTTTTTACCTCTTGGAGCTTCTGTTGCTGCATGAAACTTCGATGTTTTGGACGACGGCGAAGAGTTTGGATGAAAACCCGGGTATCCCGGCAATAGAAGACCCAGCCAAGGGAGGCCACGCCATCGGTGTTCTGCCCGAAGCTCCAAGCATGTTGCCATCATAAAACGATAGTTTCATTTCGCAATCTTGGGTCTGCGGGCTTGCCGAAGTGTTCAACAAAGCTCCACATTGTGGACACTCATCTATCCCATCGAAGATTTCGGTGTCTCCTTCTGCAGTGCTACAAAAGCCGCATGGTTCATTTCCGGTTATAGTGGATGCCTTTCTCTGCTTTGAGGATTTGTTCCATGGGATTGGTGACACCCGGTCCGTATTTTCCTGTGGAATAGTGCCGTGGTTGCAAAGTCTTCGAAGCTTGATGATCGTGGCAAAGAGAATCAAGGATTTGCTTTGATTCGGGTTTGTGCAAACTTGTCTATCAAATTCCTTTTGGCAGTCTTCGAGAATCTTTTGGTATTGCGCAGATTCTTCTTTGGTTTGGACGACTGGAACCATCTCGGTGACTGATGGAGGCAATTTGAGACACTTCTCGGATCTGCGAAGGCAAATGACGCGAAGAAGCAGCTGAAGGTTTCTAAATTGCTCGTGATCCTCAGATTCGTTCCGAATAGGATCGATAATGTGCTTTTCAAAGACCTTGGTACCCATCAGAGGAGTGTGTCGGAGAAACCTCATCAGCGATCTCAAATCATGCAGACTGTTCTGGATGGGTGTTCCTGTCAGACACCATCTCCTTTCCGCAGTCAAGCTCTCAACAGCCTTGAAAAGCTTGGTATCTTCGTTCCGAATGCAGTGTGCTATTATTCCATGTTAGCTTCCTAATTGAAATTGAGATGGTGATTCACTCTCCCCCAGATTAGTCAACTTGCCTTCATCCAAGGTCACTCGAAGCCATGCAATGTTTTGGAGGACTTTCTTGCCTCTCCAATCAGCCGCTAGAGTACGGTAGGTTGTTAGCACGACGTCATGTTCAATGAGCACGTCGGGGGTCTTTGCACGTCCATCTCCGTGAAAGAAGCCGACGTCTAAAGTGTGTGACTTAAAGTGCCTGGTTGGTTAGCAGAGTATCAGCCCTTGCTCTCGAAAACAGTTCCAGGAACATCACCTCTTGATTTCAAAATCCCAGACGTCCAATACCTCTATCATTACATTAGTTAAGTAGACTCAGCAGGAGAACATCAACCTACGTTTAGAGGGCAAAACCACCAATGTCGCGTTGGTCAAAACAGGCGACGTCGGTTCAGCTCCATCCCTGTCTAGACGCCCATTCGCAGTGAGTTTTGCGCATACAATCGCACCCAACATAGTCAGGGTTTTGCCCAGCCCCATGGCATCCGCAATGATCCCACCAAGGCATGGGGAAAGATGTCGACTAAGACTACGGTAGAACAAATTAGCCACCATAAATATAGCATGACCGTATGCTGCACACCTTGGATCGATCAGGTTCAAAAGATCGCGATTCATGTTGTGGCAGAAGCCTGAGTCTTCTCGGCTAAGGACGAACCTAATGCCCTCGATTTGATGTCTGTGATTTGGAGAGCTTAGCTCATGACTTCCATAACATAAGATTGGACATACCTTTTTAGCTTAGTAGCAGCCAAGAAGTTATTTGCCATGTTCTCGATATTGTATTCTTCGGAATTTGTGATGGTCATCGCGCTTCCCAAAGATTGAAGAACATTCTCAATTCCTTGGGAAACACGGGTAGATCTCGCATCCTCCTGTATAGGGCCAACCAGATGGCTCAGATCTGACATTATCCCATCCAAGTAAAAGTAATGCGGATTCAAGTATCTTATACCTGCCTGGAGGAAGACAGGGTGTTGGAGATACGCGGAAGAATCAGCAAGTCGTTCTCCAACGTCTTCAGCCAGAACTTCAGGTCCCAAAATGTTGATTGTAACATCTATAACCGTCGTCTTCTTGGTCTTCTTCCTGGAGACTTTTTCTAGGCTGGCGGAGTTGATGACTGCATTGAATGAGATGTCCTGAAATTTGCTCAAGGCGCGCAAATGAGATGTGGTGAGGACATCCAACTCAGCAAAATTGTGTTCAACGCCCTCGGCGAGCTCCAACAGGCAGTACAAGCCCCCACGCTGTGCAACTTGAAAAGCATGGAAGCGAGACCAGGGCAGGGCTGAAACATTTGCATGTTTGAGGAAGCTCGCTTTTGCCTTCGTCTCGAACAACTATTCCAGCTTGTGAGAAAATCTCCGCAATTGAAGCTTGCGTCGAAGTGCAGCCAAAACACCAACAGTACTCACTGCTCCATAGCAAATCATTTGTCTGCTTGGTACCGCTTCTGTCATTGGCTCGTCAGAATAATCGAGGTCGACATGGCCCTGTATTCCGTGTGGGTGTCCACTCTTGACATTCCCGGGACTGGCAGCAATTTGAGTGCTGCAGTGGTGTGCAGGCAGCGTGCGTTTCGCAGGGGCGTCGTTTTCCCTCCCCTCTCTCAGTCGCTTCCCCGGCTTCATCTTGGCAAATTAAATGCAATTCCAGTCCTGACGGACTCATTTAGAACGGGGGAGGGGAGCAAAAATGATGCATGTGCGGCCCTCGCAGGATCAAGGATGACAGCGCACAAGAAAAATCGTTTCTCTCGACCATTAGCCCATTCAACATAGGGAGGCGCAGTATTTGTGATAGTGGCGTTGTGAGACATGCAGGGGCTATACATGAGGCTGTGCAAGCCGGCTTTGGGTACCTAACAAGTAAAAAGCACATCAGGCTGCGGCTGGCTTGTCTCAATTTTTCTCCAGCAGTTCTCAACCGCCGTTCTTCCTCTCTCCTACCTCAACACGAGCCACTACAGTGGTATCACCGCTTCCTACTCATCCTCAGAGTGCCGAAAATATGGTGGACAACACGATCAATGGCTTCAGCAGATCACTAGAGAGGTTCCGCAAGGGCATCTCGGACGATCAAAAGCAAGAGTTCTCGTCCACGGGCCTTGAGGAAGTCAAGCTGGCAATTCAACACATCCAGGATCAAATTGGACCTGATAAGAAACTACGGAACTTTACGCGCCTCAAAAAGTTCTTCGAGGGGATGAAACAGATGGAGGAGCTCGTCAAAATCTTCCTCCAAGTCCATGAGGTCGTAGCATTCATCTGGGTACGCACATGGTTCCACAGTCGCATTCTGTTCGCTAATTTATAATCAAAGGGGCCTATCAAATTCGTAATGATGGTGGGAGCGTCAAATACCAAGCCCAATATGCGGAGCTGACTCTCTTTCTAGATTGCCGCCACGAGGGTCGATATCCTTGAACTTGTGCTCGGAGTGTACCAAGAGATAGGTGACGTTCTCGACGGTTTGGGGAGGTATAGCAGACTATTCAAGAATCACCCTGAGGCCAGAGCAATCCTCGAGACATACTTTGATGACGTGCTTCAATTCCACTCTGGAGTCTTGGCGGTGTTTTCCAAGCCAGGTACGTGATTCTTGACCCTCAACTACGGGGAGCTAACATTCCACAAGGCTGGAAGCGATTCTTCCAATATGCCTGGCCAACTTTCAAAACTCGATTTCGGCCCATCATTGACAGCCTAAAGCGTCATCATAATTTGTTATCTGATGAAAAGCTTACGGTTGTCATTGAAGAAGTCCAAGAATTGTCAACGGATTTCAACGATCGACTCACTGAAATCCGCCAGGCCATTCGGGAGAGTGACACGAAGCGCCATGATTCTCTCTTCAGTCAAAAAGCGATGATTATTACCAAAATCGACCCTCTCGATTATGAATCGGATCAGCAAATGGCGTCGAGGCAGCGATACGAGTCGAATTCCGGCGATTGGATCCTATGGGATCCCAAATTCAGAAGTTGGGCTCATGGAGATACGTCACTTGATAGCGTCCTTTTTCTACACGGCATGCCCGGATCAGGCAAAACCACCCTTGCTTCGCGAATCATTGACCACTTGAGGTCCAAGACCCTCGGACCAGATGGGCTTGTAGTATTTTTCTACTTCAAGCACAAAGTTCCAGAAGGCACCCATCGGACTAGTGGTGAAATGTTCCGCGCTCTTTTAGCCCAGTTGCTGACTCAAGATGATGCTCTGCTAGAGTACATGCACCAGCAGTGTGCAGAAAAGAACAAGTCTGAAGTCCTGTTGGACTCGTTCCTGAAGGACTGCACAAGACACTGCCTGATGAATCAAAAGCGGGTCTGGATAGTTCTTGATGGTCTGGATGAGTGTGATGAGGAATATGAAACTAATAAGGTGGAATCTCAGCGGGTCATCAAGTGGCTTCAGGAAGAAGCGATCTGTGAAGGCGGTATCATACGACTTCTCGTATCAGGACAGCGAGACGGACATATCGAGACCATCTTGTCAACATACCCCGAGATTGGTCTGGATCCCAATGCGTTTCACGCTTCTGATATTGAGCGCTACACCAAATCCAGGGCCTTATTGATCAGAGAACGGTTCTCTTTGGACTCGAAAGAAGAGGCCGATATCATCGAGAAGGTTGCCTCAGCTTCAAAAGGTATTCCTTATCATCAAACCACATCCCTATCGAGGTTTTTATTAATAGTCTTTTCAGGAATGTTCCTCTATGCCAAGGTTGTCCTGGACAACCTACTTTCTCAAGAATCGCCCGCAGACCTCGATGATGAGCTCACGCAAAACAACTTCCCTCAAGGACTAGATGCAGCGTACTAAACCCGTTTGGCGTCATTGATTAATGGATCTAACCAGAATTTATAGATACGAACGAGTAGTGATACGGGTCCTCGATCGACCCTCACCTGCAAGAAGGAAATCTGCAGCGGGCATCTTAGGGTGGCTTATTTGTTCAGCAAGGCCTCTGCGATGGAGAGAGATCCAATCCAGGTTTTGCATTAACCTTGAGAAAGCGACATGCAACTTCAGGAACAGACGAGTGGATAATTGCAAGATCATCTGCGGGTCTCTAGTAGAGACAGAGCCTTGTGAGTATCATGGGAATTCAGCCACAGAGCAGAACATCAGTCTGGTCCATAACACGGCGGGGAGGTAAAGGCACACGGACAAACATTGATGCCCCAGACATCATGGACTAATTCCATAATAGATACCTCCTACATACCCGCCGGATGAGCCTTTTTGAAGAACACGCAAAAATGGCGATCTACTGTTCTCAGTATCTTTCGTCTCATCCTTTCGCCGAGGGACTTTGTGCGGTTGATATCGAGGAATCTGCCTTGACTGGTTACTACGGGCTTCTTGATTACGCTCTCGCATTTTTTCAACACCACGCCGACTTTATTCTTACTGTCAATTCTGGTTCAAACATTGCCCTCCGGCAAAATGTCATCCAATCAATGCATCATCTCCTACCTTACAGCTTATATGAACCGGATGAGGAAAGCAATCTCACGGCGACACATGTAGCCGTGCAGTTGAGGATCGCAGAATGGCTGAGCTTTAGTGGTGACTCCTCTAGCATTCAAATGCGAATTGCCGCCATCCGAAAAGTGATCGAAGCCATCGATTACTCTGCATTAAACGATGGAACACAAAGAGCTTTCTTGGATCTCAATGGGCTGGAGAGATTCAAGTGTCCAAAAATTCGGTGCTTGAAGTTCGCCTCCGGTTTTCAAAATCAGCAAGAGCGAAACTTGCATTTACTTGAACACGACAGACCTTTCAAGTGCTCTACTGAGGGATGCTATGCTCGCGTCACGGGTTTCCCTTCAAAATGCGATCTGGATAGCCATTCACAGCGCCTTCACGCTCATCCAGCAGATTCGACACTTTTCTCCAGGTCAAGACGAAATGAAATGCCAGATATTCACTCGGCAGCTTCCCGAGGCGATCTGGAAAGTGTCAAGACTCTTCATAAACAAGGTGCTTCTTTGACTGCAACTGCGACATCCAAAAGTTCAAAAACTCCACTCGTGCTGGCGGTTAGAAATGGACATTATCATATCTGCGAGTACCTGTTACAGCAAGGAGTAGATCCGCATGACATTGGTCTCCACATCATTTCACCGATCACTGAGGCAATTCAGAAGTCAGATCAAGAACTCTTCCGTCTATTGTTCAGCTTCGGGTCTAAGGCCAAGCCGGTTTTACCGGGTGATGTGGCGCTAGCCATTGCAGCTGGATCTAGTGAAATACTAGAAGATTTATTAGCAAATTTATCGCCTCAGCATATCGAATTGAGATTATACGAAATTCTCAATCTTCTCCTGACATTGAGCCAGGTGAGAGGGGGACATCGACTTAACTCAGAACCGATGCTTGAAACGGTCGTCCGCCTTCAACATCGAGTATTCGCTCATGCTTTCCCAAGTTTATACGAACCAGACGGGACGACTCCCAGACCTCATATTCACAGGCGAAACGATGACCTCCCATTCAAAAGGCTGTCTAAAGTTCTTCGCGAAATGAGCTTGGATCCGGGTCCGTTTCTCTCCGCAGTTTTCGCTTCTAAAGGGTGGGCCATAGCAGAGTGTCTCTTGGACTTAATGAGTCCTGGACAGCTGAATATTGTCAATCCTTCGACAAAACGTACCCCTTTACATCATTTAGCAGGAACATCCGTTTCCACTGGCTTCAATAGGAGATGCGTTCGAAGCCTGGCTCAACGGATCATTCTATTAGATGGTGGGGTTTCCGCCAATATGAGAGACTTGAATGGCAACCTGCCGCTTCATTCGGCGACAATTGCATCTTCGGAGATTCTTGATCTCCTCATACAACACACGAACGATTTGCAGGAACGGAATGGATCGAATGAAACAGCCTTGGAAATCGCTGTGAAGTTCGACCTCGTTGATCCTCTGAGGCAACTTTTGCAGAGTGGCCGCGTTCACATAGGGACGAGTGATATGAAGACTTTGATAAAACTAGCTGACGAATCTGTCAGTCTCGAGACTAGAAGAGATATGCTGAAACTCTTAATTCCCGATAGAGTCAGTTCTCCGGACGCAACCTACAATGAGCTCCTCTCTTTATTCAACGAGCTCCGGAATTCCAGCGCCGCCGAGCCTTTCCTCTTTCCCGTCAGCACGAACGACATCGCTGGCTACTACGACGTCATCAAAGAACCCATGGACTTTACCACGGTGGAGAAAAAGCTCGAGGCACGCCAATATGCCGGCTTCAAGGATTTTGTGAGAGATTTCAACCTCATGTTCGACAACTGCCGCAAGTACCACCATGAGAGCTCCCGCTACGCCAGCATGGCAAAAAGGCTCGAGAAAGTCATGCGGCATCAGATCAGGTCCAATCCTAAGTGGCAGAAAGCGATGGAGGACGGTTCATGAATGCAGTATATACATTTTAGTGAGCTTGAGCCAAACTATTGTGTTCTGTCTTGACTATCGTAGCATGTTCAGCTGTCAATGGTCTCGTATCGAGAGAGCATCGTTATTCACAGATATGACGGGCGTACTAGAATTATTAGGTTTCTTTTTGGACTTTTCATGCCTTTTTGTTTGCTGTGTTGCCGGATGGACTCGGTAAATTGGTACAACATTTCTTAGATAAAATGCTTATTTCTTAGATAAAATGCTTATTTCTTCCCTTTCAGTCCCACAAGCTGATGTGGGTGGTTAGTATGCAAAAGTAATGCATCAGATCACTGCGATACAAATCTCAATCGTGGTTCAAATTCGGTCTTGGACGTTTCATATTGGCATCTCCACACCACGGTGGTATCAAGTACCAACCGATCATACACATTCTGTCGCTCTTCTTTATCTTTCGCCGTCTTGTCTTTGTCTTCTCTACTTCAAGTCCTCTTGTCCGGACATCATCGTCATCATCTTGCTTTATCTCCTTCCCTGTTTCTTTTTTATGTCCCGCATTGGCAGAGAGCCCTAAAACCCCAGCCCTCCGCCCCGAAAAGTCATTTCCCCTTCAAAATATGTAAAAAAAGAAGGCCCTCGGCGTAATTCCCTCCCAAAATATATGCACACAAAAACAGTGGGCTGCATCTCTCGCATCCCTCTTTAATCCCTCTTTAACAAAGACAAAGACAAACGCCCAGTCCATGAAATAGAAATCGGAACAAAAACACAACTCCAGTCCAACAATGCCTCTTGCGACTCCTCTTGTCGCTAGTACTGATCATTCGAAGGTAACGCGTGATAAAAGCGCAGGCGAAAATGTAAAAATCAGATGGCCCAGCTGCCTCGTCGTTCTCGGACACCCCAGCCAACTGGATCCAGGTTGTCGAGGTTGGGATGCTGCCTGGCCCACTCGAAGATGTACGACCGAAGGGCCTTCCATCGGGGACAGCGCTGCTCCCTGGGTGCGTCGTGCTCCGCCTCTACCAGATGGCCCTGGGCCAACTGCTTCTCATCGTCTTTCTCTAGGTCGCCGATGCTCATGAGACTAATCTGGGACAGCTCTTCGTCAAATGCCCGAGCCATGGCCGGGTATCCCAGGGACAGGTAGTTGTAAACTTGGGTGATGAAAGAGTCGTCAAACTCTTGGGAAATCTTGTCATCGAGCTCGGCAAGATTCTTCTCCTTCTGCGCACTTCTGTCGATGCCATGGATGCCATGCAGTCTGTGGAGACCTTTGGGTTCGCGGCTCCGGCCCCGGGTCTCGACCGTATCAAAAATCTTGTCGCTAGAGTCTAGAGATGCAGGCTCGTCCCGCATGCCCATGTCGAAATGCGCAAAATGTTCCACGCCCGGGTAGCCGGGAGTAGCCGGTGGCTGAAGGGTCCCCAGCATCGGTGGGGCATGCAGGTCTGCTGGCACCAAGTAATCATCATTCGATTCTGATCTGTAGCAGTAGCCTCGCCAGAGACCCTTTTGACCCGAAACATCCCGGTACCTTTCCTCGGCATGCCGCTCAGCGAATGGGTGATCGGGCTCAAGCTTGGTCTGCTTGGGCGACGGACACCTCCGGAAGACGAGATCCTTGCCGAGCATGGGGGGAGATACAGCCGGGCGCCTCTTCTGGAACTGGGGAGTTGGTGGCTTATAACCAAGGCCTCCGAATGGACGTCCAAAGGGACTGGCCTGGTTTCGAAAGCTGGTGTCCGGGGGTATTTGAGAAGGTTTGGCAAAGGGCATGTCCGCAGGCTTGGCGGACGGAGCCGATGGGACATATGGCATCGGAGATTCTCCAATGGGCCGGGGCGGCGCGGTTGCAGGCTGGAAGGGCTTATCTCTGACCTGGCTCGTGACATACGGATCAGGCTGGATGAGTGGCATGAGAGTCTCGCCAATGGGGCCCGGCACCGACACCTTCTTGGTCGTGGTCCACATCGGATCCGGAAGAACGGGCAGATCCATCCTGTCGAGGGCCGAGTCTGTCCGCATGACCGTATCGCCGATGTCCTCGTCCGACTCCGTGTCGGCCTCCGGGACGGCAGCCATCTCTGCATGGTTGAAGTCGTGCTTGAAGTCCTGTGTGGTGTCATGCTGGGGCTCCGGCTCGTCCACGGCCATCTCGTCGTGCTCGTGTGATATGTGTTCAGCATGATCCTGCATGTGCTTCTGCCACCAATTCATGTCCTGGCCGGACGACGACCGCCGGCGCCCATGGGTGTTGACATTGTGGCCGGGCGAAGTGCTCTCTGGCGAGTTGTCGCTTCCTGAGCTCTCGCGAAAGTAGAAATGGTCGATACCACCCTCACGAGCGTGGCTGTTGGGGAAGGCCATAAGAGCCGTCTCTTGCATCTGGCGCTCCGCTTCCTTTGCAGCCAGCTCCAGGAGATAGCCCGCGACGTTCTCATCCTCAGACTCGCGGCGCATAGGTCCCACGGGGCGAACCGCCATGGGACTTGCGTTCTCGCCATGACCACGTGCCTCTGGTTTCTTCCCTCGGTACCCCTTGGTGGCGGTGTAAATGTTTCTTGTGTACGGCGAGATGTCCGTCTTATCGGTCGGCTTGGTAGCTGGTCCTACGTCGCCGACTCGCCGGCTCCTCCGTGACGTCTCGATCAGCTGGGGCGCAAAGCGGCGGCGTGGTTGCAGCTCCCGGGGCACTGGCGAGGCCTCGCGCGGGGACGGCTCGGGGGTAGGTTCGGGATCGGGCCCCATCCGGACTTGCTTTCGCTGTGACTCTGGGGGATCGAGGTGGAGGACGTGCTTCTGCTTGCCGGTGGTGCTGCGGAAGGTTTCGAAGGTGGTCTCAATTGGTACGGGAGCAAACCGTCGACGTGGTTGCTCTGGCTTGGCCATCGTGAAAGAAGGAGGACCGAACGAGCGAACAACGGATGACTCGTGACTGACCGACCGACTCGGTGGTGCGCGGTGAGGTGCTGGTCCTGGTAGCTGGCTGGTTCTGGCGCTGAGCTGAGGGGCAGGGGTGGACAAAAATGCAGCGACGTCGGGTCAGTGCTGCAGGTGCAGGTTTGGATAAGAGACGGGACAAAGAACAGGTCAAAGAACAATCACAAGCAGTCGGTTTATACGAATGCGCATGCCTCTCTGGTAAAAACGTCGCCAGGACTCGCAAAACGGGTGAGAAGGCAGGAGAAGAATGCAGATGTGGAAGAGGAGAGGAGGAGGAGAGCGAAGGTGACGAAGGCGGCCGAGGACTGACACTTGAGCGACCGAGACGTTGAAAGATTGCGTCGGGTCTGGCCAAGGGGAGTGGGCGGGGCGGGTGAGGGACGGGTGAGGGACGGACTGGGGACTGGGGCGAGGTACCTGGACGCTGTGTCAGCGGCGGCGGAGGTACCTGGGCTATGTCGACCTCCCGTCGACGACTGGTCGTATTGTCGAGGAGGCGGCGTCGGTCACAAGCGCATCGCTCGCTGGGGCATCACTGGGATCACTGGGATCACTGGGGCGCCGTGGAGCAAAAGTCTCAAGGTCGCAAGTCTCGCATCACACCCCCACCGAAGGGCAGGTACCAGAAGCAGGTACTCTGTCTGCACCAAGCCTATGACGAGGTACCGTCGCCACACCCGTTCCAGGGACTCCATCCAGGCTTTTCACAGGTACCGCCACCCACCGGCCTGGACCACCGCTCAGCTGCCCCGGGACGCCGGCCACCACCGAACCGGGGCGCCTAACAGGGTTCCAGGCCGGGGCACCAGGGACCCTACGGCAGGTCTTGGCCTGGAGGCTCCAAATCAGGGCAAACGGGCATACCGGTGTGGTTTCTGTGCTGTGGTGTGCTGTACTAACAAGTACTGTGCTGTGCCATGTGCCTTGTCGTCGGCCTGTCGTGGGACACCGACACCGACACCGCACCGCGGCGGGCGGACACTAGTTGCCGGGCGAGCACAAAGGGGAGAAGAGCACCAGTCACAGCACCAGCGCTTCCAAGTTCCATTGGAGACTGGATTCAGGCCCAAAGACTCCAGTGGATTCCCCAGTTCGGTCAAACTCAGACAGGTATGTAACCCGACCCCGGGGACCAAACCATCCAAGGGATTGGGCAAAACTGGGATATTATTGTGCGCCCAAGAGTCAAGACGTCTTGAACCAAGTAAGTTAAGAGCTCGGACAAGTACCGTCCAAAGTAGGCTACTCATTTTACGGGGCCAAATGTCTCCAGAAGACCTGCTACTTCGGTACGCTAATCTAGTCCCTGGAACTGGAACTCCTTCCCCGGGCAGAGCCAGAAACTGGCGGTGGGTTATTTCTGTCCAGGCGCAAAACTGGTGGGGGTTTGCTCTCGGTTGTGGTCGCTCGTAGTGGGGTTGTCATTAACATGGGGGCGACTCAGCTGGTGTAACGTATACAGTGCGGTCTGTGGATATGACATGTTTTGCACTGTCTTTACGTCCCACTGATACACCATTTCTACTGCGTATGACTCAGAGCCCACAGTGTTAATTCTCCGAGACACACCTCTCAGTGACATTCCATGCGAGGCTCGTTTGATTGTCCCAATTCCGGGATCATCGACAGGGTTGAAAATCGAGCAACGTCAGCGACAGGTGCCAGCACGAGGTTGTCTCGGTTTCCCCAGGTCCAGCCAGATTCCAAGCCATTTCAGGGGAATAGGTATTGAAGACGGCATTTGCCTTGGGATTGATATTAGCCGCGAAATTGCCAAACAATAATCCTCATCTCTTTTCCCCGTTGCCATGGTCAGCACGTGCTGCGCCCAACGAATGCACCACGAATGCACCACGACACACACTGCAGCGTCGAAACCAAGCCATGTCATCCAGTCGTCTCGTTTCGCCAGGCCCAAAGCCGTTTCTGCAGCCAGCCAGAAAGAAAGAAAAACGCCCACCCGCGGACCCGAGGCCGCGTTGCCCGGTTCTGCTAGGCCCGCATGCTTGCTGCTACCACTGCTTCTAGGGTGTTCCCGCCGTGATGTTCCTGCAGCCCCTCTCACCGACACTTTCGCCGCGAGCCAAGTCGTCCAAGGCTGGAGCCAGGCCGTGGAGCCCAAGGTCGTGGGCTCGTGGAGCTCGGCGACGGCCCCGCGGCGGCCAAGGCGGCTCTGGAGTCATGGATCGATGGATCGATGGATCGATGGAGCTGGAAACGGCCGAGAGTCGGCTGGGCGCTGCATCAACCACTGTGGCGACATGGCATGGCCAGCGCCGGGAGCCTGGTGAACCATCCAACACCGGCACTCTTATCATCTCGGTCTCGTCACATCACACTTCCTCTTGCCTCTTCTGACGCTGAGCAGCCGGATCCGCAGGGGTGTTGACGCTGCTGCTGTCACCGGTGCTGCAAGCCGCTGCACCTAGAAGCACCTAGAGCACCTAGTAGAGCATGGGAGGTTACTTGGGAAATCGCCTGTCTGGTGTTACACAAGACATCAACCCTGGATTGCGTTGGGATCATCCCGAGTCGGAAACTTAAATCATGGTGCTCTGATACCGAAGGCCTCGAGATAGACGCCAACAATCCCAACTGCCGCTTGAAGCTTGCTAAACCTCTTACACACCGACTCAGATACGACGGGGGTTCCAAGCAGAGCTTCCGAATATTCTTACACATACTTACGCATCCTTACACATCGTACCCATCCATCCCTACCTACCTAACTCAGGCCCTAGGTAGGTACACTTTGGTACATATGCACCCTCTGAAACTGGCAGACTCTGGAAGGACGCAGCAGCCCCTCCCCCCCACGCGACAGCCCTTCCATCCCTCACTTCCATGCCTGGCCCGCATCCACTTCCACCAGCCCAGGCCAACCAAAACAAAACATCTCCAAATCCTCCACTCCGACAGAGCCCATTCCACATTCCACATCCCGCACGCACGCACCTCACGCACGCACGCATCCCCCGGCGTTCACACCATCCATCGCCTCTGCCGGCCGCGCTCCAAAGACAGGATGAGGATGAGGCATGACACACTTCGGATGCCCAACCAGCCTGAAAACCAACAACTCGCCCTGCCTTCATGCTTCATGGCCCAACGCCGTGCTCATGCGAGCGCAGATGATGCGTCTTTATCGCCCCAACCACCGCCCGCTCTCGCACCTGCAGCATATCGCTCTCGGCACCTGCTCACGAACGGAAGGCCATCGCCGCCGCCGCCATCACGATCACGACAAGTTCCACGGCGCCTGAGCATCCCACGTTCCCGCGCTTCGCCTCCCACGCGACGGAGTTCCACGTCCATGGCCTCTGCTTCCCCCCCACACTCACCGCATCTGCCATGTCCCAGATGGATCCCCTGGCCCCTGTCTCCCGGTGCCCCTCGCTCACACACCCACCCCGACCTGCATCTCTGGTCTCTCCAGGTCTTCCGCGATGCCTGCAAGCCCGTAGCAGATGCCGAGCCGAGTCTAAATCGCAGATGTCGCATCTGGTATGGATGCGGTTGAACAGGAGATCTCCAGCGGCTCTCGTTCTGAGGCCTTGCCTCCGATCACGTATGATGCCACACTGCGTTTTCTCGCCATCGCCGCAGACAGGCCCTTGCAGCTCCGACCACCACCTTATTCTGACCAAGTCAGGGCTGCGGCTCACTGAGGCCATCCCATGGGGTGCCTCTCCTGACTCCAAGCACAACCCATATGAGCCCCTTCGATAACGTCTTGGCTAATCTTTCCGCCTGTCGAATCGGTGAAGCCTCTCCAGCCCGTGTTCAGAGCCTACTCAGGTGATGTCTGCGTCACCCTGGCCTCGCTCTCCTTCCCGTCTCTCACCTCCTTCTCCATCTCGTGTTAGCTGCTCTCAAGGCTCAACCCGTACTTCGTACACGTGGGCCTTGCTCCCTGCGCCCTCATCCGGGGGCGAGCAAGGAAGCAAGTCGGGCCTCCATTTCCTCGGTTGATGTCCCCGGATGCACGTCAGGACATCAAATTGTATGGGGCCATGACCCGACATGGCCCCCTGCCAAGCGGAGAAAACCCATCGTGGACTTGTCTCATTCTCGTCCTTGCCTACGTTGCACACCGCTCAACTCGCCAACTCGTAGTTGCCGCCAGCGACGAAGTCTCGGGCTGAGACTGTCTTGGGCTCTTGGGATTAGTTCCGTTCCAGGATGGTCTGATCCTTAATGGGCCTAGACAGGACATTCCAACTAAAAGGTCCAGGATCATATCCGATACTGTCAGTTTTCACCAAGTGGCGTAAACCCAGACTTACTTCCCAAGTCATTAGAGACAGGCACCTGCAACTCATTCGTAGCCGGAGGTCACAACATCAACAACCTGCGAGGGCTCGAACGCAATCAAGTGTCTCAAATCCCGACTCACTCACTGGAAATCTGAGATGTGTCTCTCTCCGAGCACACCTATCGATCCGGATCGTAAAACTAGCTCGCACCCCAACATTTACTACTATAGCAGCCCACCCACCCCTTCGCTCTTTAGAGGGGATCGCCCCGTGCTCGGTGCTCGGTCCCACTCGCCATGTGCTCCCCTCATTCAGCCGGCATGTGGGGAAGCCTGGCTTCAAACTCGCAGGAAGCTCTACACCCAGAGTATTCCCAGAGCTGTGTTTCTCGGCTTGGTTGCCCTTTTCGGTGCATTGCGTAAAAGCATGATGCAAGATTGAATTAATCTAGAGGGCCTCGGCTTGTCTACCGTTGAATTGACGGCTGCCGTGACCAAACTGCCGAGAAGCATGCAGGTCGGGTCTGGGACGGAAGCCGCGATCATTTCCCCGGTTGAACACATGAACATTCTGCATGCGAGTGATCGTCTTCTCTGGGATGAATTTTGGCTGTCGTATCACTGGCCTGTAGCAACCTCGTCACCCCAAGCTCAACAAGTTCTGCAACTTGAAACTCCCCTAGTACGACCCTACGCTGCAACGACTCTACAACTCTGCAGCTGCAAGCCGCGCAAGCGACCTTGTCACCCAACGTAACATTTTAAATTTGTATCTCTGCAACTGGAACTTCGAGCACGTAGGGGTGTCTAGCTATGCATACCCTGAGACTCTGTCTGGTATGTTGCCGTTGTTGTAGCACCTGGTGTCTGCATATGCTGCTGAGGTGTTATGGGAGCATTAGCGGGGGAGGATAAACCACTCTATAATATTATTACAGATTTCTGTACTGTAGTTAAACTGTATTCCAATGGATACGGTATGTGTTAGTTTGCGAGAGCGTACATGTCGCTTGATCATCTGCAGAAATAATATTTAAGACGGACCTCATAAGCAACCCCGAACAATGAAAAGAGGACTGTTTATGAGAGCTATGCAGATTCTTTGATGTCAATTAATCTCCGTTGATAACTTTAATTGTTGTTTATCAGCGTGGTGAACAAAACTGCAAAATATCGATTCTGCTTTTCGTTCTAACCTCTGTCGAGCTCCAGGGTAGCACACCCCCAACTAGACGCAGACAACAGATACAGCATCTGCCTCCTCATGGCATGCATTGTGGATAAAATGAATTCCGCATATGGGTATTTACTATGGGTTTCGTTCATTGTTTATCTGGGGGTTCTCTCCGGAATTTATAACTTGTACTGGCTGAAAGGTTCTAATCGCCGACTTGGACTGCGCTTCCGGAACTTCGAAGCAAGCAAGTCTACCATACGAGATGATACAAATTGAACATGTCTTCGGATAGGTAGCTTAATATTAAACAGATGACGCTTATCGTTCTACCTAATTATCATTGACTGTCCTTGGAATTGTGACTATGACGCGACCGTCGACAAACATAACTCCGATATCGCTCCTTCGATCAACTGCAATCAAGTTATCTGGTTACCACTATTTACCCAATTCAAGAGCGCACATATGAACCTCTCTCGTCCCCCAAGTCACCGCCGTCCTTTCCCTTCACCTAACTCATCGCGTAACTCATCGCGTTGTCTCACCCGCTAACCTTATCTCATAGTCAGGGAGTTCCAAAGCGCGGCTTGGCATCGGGACCCAGCCACGAGGTTCGTGCGGGGAGATAAGCTTGAAAATATGCCGGAACTTGGTGGGTAATTGAACGGATAGGGAAGGAATATGCGGCGGACAGAAGGGGAAGAGGAATTGCGGTATGGCGCCTAGCGCGGGTCGTTATGGGTCCTGGCAGGTTGTGCCAGATGCATCAAGAGACTTGGTTCCGCGAATGAAGACAACTCGGCGTCGTCCGCGGAAACCTCTCAGTCTCGTGTGTAAGCAATTGTGTTTCTCGGGTTAGCGCGTCTCAATGTCCGTTTCTCGTGAGTTGCCCGAGCCATTAGGTCGTCATATTACCCAATTCTTCGCCCAAAACCGACAGATATTCCGAAAAATGACGACGCTGACAGTCTCGACCGCCGCTTTCCCCGTTCATGACGACCGTAACGACTGTTAATGACGACCGCGATTAGAAATCCTCAACTCTTATCAGCCGTTCTCCGCAACACAACAGGCGGCAACTTCTTCCACCTGCTCTTCTGGCTTGCCGGTTGCTGCATTCCGACCTCGTTTCCGAACTCGATACAGCAACTTTCCCCACACAGTTTTGTCAGCGGCAAGATCCCGCTATCCCCGAACAAGCATCGCGACCCCTTCGGCGAACTCCCCGCTTGGACCATCTGGGCAGCCAAGCCGCAAGCATGGCACAGTTGCGCGTGGATTCGGCGCCCTCTGGGTGACGGTCGTTGGGGATGCCAGTGTGGAGCGGCATGGTACATAGGAGCGGTTGTTTCCCTCGCCGGGGGGGACGTGGAGCTGCTTCATCTCACCGTCGAGTGTATTTGAGACCAGACTGGAACTAAAACTGGAACTGTCTTTGGATATTGGATACAATGGCGGCCGACGACGAAGAGCGTGTTCCCGGCATCGGGAGCGATGGGTTGCCCGACGTCGAAAAGCTCGGACGCCAGAGACCAGCCACATTTGCGTCGACATGGGCGGAAGTCGGCTTTGGCATTGCCCTCTTGGGTTCCATGTTGCTGGCTGTGAGTTGTCCAACTATAAGTCTATGAGCCTATAGACCCTCGAGTCTACAAGCCCTCGAGTCAATGCAGGAACCCGCAACTAACCCGCAGCGATAGGAATTCTTCGTCAGTGGCTTCCACATCATCCTCCCGCCCCTGGTCACGGAGCTGCACATCCCGGCCGCCTCGCAGACATGGCCGTCCAGCGTCTTCTCCCTCATCACGGGCGCCTTCCTGCTGCCCATGGGCCGCATCGGCGACAAGTACGGCGGGTACGTGCTCTTCAATGCCGGCCTGCTGTGGTTCTTCCTGTGGTGCCTCGTCGCCGGCTTCAGCAGGAACTACATGATGCTCATCATGTGCCGCGCCATGCAGGGCTTCGGACCGGCTGCGTATCTGCCCGGAGGCGTCATGCTGCTCGGCAAGATCTACCGCCCCGGTCCGCGCAAGAACCTCATCTTTGCTTTGTATGGTGCGTTTGCGCCACTGGGCTTCTTCCTGGGCATCCTCGTCGGTGGGCTGTCGGCTGAGTTCATGAGCTGGCGGTGGTACTTTTGGGTCGGGGCCATTTCCGTCGGTGTCGTGGCTGCCATATCTCTGCTAACCATTCCGTTCGACTTTCGCGAGCAGAGGCTTCCTGTTGACATGGACTGGTGGGGGATTGCCACGATTGTCCCGGGACTGCTGCTCATCGTGTATGCCATCACGGACAGCTCGCATGCGCCGCAGGGCTGGAAGACGCCGTATATCATTGTGACGTTGGTTCTCGGCGTCCTGTTTCTCATTGGCGCATGGTACGTCGAGACGCGGGTGTCCGCCAACCCTCTGCTGCCGGCAGATCTATTTTTGCCGCGGTACATGACGCGCCTCATGGTGTCCCTGTTCATGGGCTACGGCACGTTTGGCCTGTTCCTCTTCTACTCGACCTTCTACATTGAGCTTGTGCTGGACCAGCCGCCGCTGACCACGGCCATCTGGTACATCCCTCTTTTCGCGGGCGGCCTCATCATCGCTACTGTCGGAGGGTTCACGTTGCATCTCCTGCCAGGGCGGCTGCTGCTTGTCATCTCGGCGGTGGCCAATCTCATGTGCATGCTGCTGTTCGCCATCATACCTGAGAACCCTAGCTACTGGGCGTACGTGTTTCCGTCCATGCTATGTGCGACGATGGGGATTGACATCACCTACACGGTGAGCAACGTCTTTATCACGACGAACTTGCCCAGCCACCTGCAAGGCCTTGCAGGGGCCGTGATCAACAGCGTGTTGTTCCTGGGCATTAGCTTCTGGCTAGGCATTGCGGATATCGCAGTGGCACAGACGAGCCACCTGGGCCAGAGGCAGAGCTACAAGGTGGCGTTTTGGCTGGCCGTAGGCGTAGCAGCATTGCCGCTGTTGCTATTGCCGTTCCTCAAGATTGGGTCGGCTAAGAGCGACCTCACGGTAGAAGAGCGACAGCGCCTTGAGGCTGAGGGACAGCCAACCGAGGAGACGGCAACTGCAGAGCCTGCAGAGACTGGGGAACCAGGAGCTGAGAAGCGTGCGGAATGATGGATCGAAACACGGCAGTTGGACATGCACCAGCAAGGGACAAGGAGCAAGGAGCAAGGGTTAGAGGGATTTGAATGATGATAACGGCCAAGACTCAAAATAGAATGCTACACTAGACTACTCTACTCAATCCCAGATGAGGGTTACCTCGCCCTGATATGCAGGCACTCTACGGCTGGATCTACTCAGCACAAACTGGCAGTGTGGCATCAAGGATGGTCAATGTTACGAGGTGACATCGCTCGCAACACCACCAGCTACCAAGATGTGGCTTGCGAATTGCATCTCAGGGCAACGTCGTCGTAGGGCACAGACACCGGGGAACGCCCGCCGTGTCACGAATCGACGGATTGCCGCTGCAGGGATGTTGATAGCCCGAGGGAAGAAGAGCCTGCGCCCGCGATCCCAGACAGCCGAAGTTGCAAAGAAAAAAAAAGAACAAACAGCCCAGCTGCGGTGACACGATTCCCGAGCCAACATCTGGTGGTCCCTTGCAGCACGCAGACTGGGATCAGGATTGTAAAAAAAAAAAATAGTCGAGACGAAAAGGCCCCAAAAAATTAAGGGTGCGGGAGCCCCTGCATGAAATTATATGTACGACCCTTTCTTACTTTTTATTATTATTATTCTCATTCCCTCAAAGGCTCTGTGCCTGTGGATGGAACATGGTCCTCCCATCTCAGACCCGTCTTCTTGGGGAGATGAAGGGCAACGTGGCGCCACAGTGCCACGGCCGACTTCGACCCCTGGGCGGGAGGGCGAGATAGGGTATGGGCCTTGTGTCCCGGCAGAGAGATGAGGTGCAGCGTGGCGGACCAGGGGGGGACGTTGAAGTGTTGACGTTGGGTGGTGAGGTTGACGTGGAATGGCGGCATCGCCAGGTCAGCAACATGCAAGCGCAGCGCAAGACGAAATGAAGTGTTGGGACCTGGCGTTTGTGTGATGCGACGCTGCACCTCAGCCGGGTTTGTTCTACTACGGTATATTAGTGGTGTTTTTTTTTCTTTCACTACCAAGGCTGCACAGGAAGTTTATACCACTTCCCAAGATATACGGATAGGTAAAATAAATACTAAATATTAGTCTTTGGAAAAATCATCTTCTAAACTACTCGGGACGGCGCGAACATCACGCGGCTCACTCCTCCAGTCCTCGCTCTAGCAGCAAGCTGACAGCGACCTGTCTTACATCGGCCAGCAGACGGCACCCAGGGGAAAGCTCCCGGGCCAAGACCACAGCCCAGGCCCGCTACTCCGTGTTGCCTACTTACATGAGGGCATGTAGGCGTCATCGCCGGCTCTTGGACTGGAGCAAAAATGGCGGAGCCGAGACAAGCAACAGGCCGGGCGGGCTGGACAGGCTGGGCGAGACCCCAAGGGACGGGGACCCGATAACAGCAGCAAACCTATGGGAAGACCCGACCGGGCCCAGCGACAGGGTCCTAAAACTTGGAAGACGGGGCGGGTGGGGTGGCGTTGAGCCTGGACGTCCTGTCCTTTCCCTCTTGCATGCTGGGCGCAGCAGCCACACACGCGAGTATGATTTGAAGTCCGTCCTGGGGGAGCAAGCGTGCGCAGGGGAGCGGTGGTCGCAGCGGGCGGCTTCAATCGCGAGCATGGCCTAATATCTGGGGTGACGGCGAATGGCTGCAGAAGATAAGAGGAAGAGGGTGGGCGAGATAAGGGGGTGGCAATCAATTGAAGCCCCGAAATGGACATGGCGATGGTGGTGATGGATGCATGCTAAATACTACCGGTTGGTACAGTACAGCAGAGCCTTGATTCCTCGGATAAAGCCCCGGGCATGACTCCCGGGTACTGTACAGTGCCTGCAGCAAGTGAAGAAAATTCTCCTCCAGACAAACGTCAGAGATTTTTCCTTTCTTTTTCGACATGATTCCTTGCGTCACTAGGGGACCTCCTCCGCGCGTGGATGTGGACCCGGCCAGAAGACGCCCTGTTTCGTTTCCGCGGAGAGGGATCAGCGGGTCCGTTCCCCCATCCCATAGCATCATTCATTCATCAAGTGCCTGCTGGAAGTCGTCACACAAGGTGGGCTGTGTACCCGGTTGCCTGCTCATGTGCGGACGGGAAACAGAATTGTGCAATGTTAGGAAAGGATCAGATCCATGCTGGGGAGGAGTCGCAGCAGGGGTGGACCGTCGCCTTGTTTTTGGGATGAGATGCATCTTGGGGAACGTTAACGACCGGGGGGTGGACATAGACTTCAAACGGACCTCTGATAAACAGCCCTGAGACGGAGCATCGCAGAAGGAAACACTAACGAGGAAAAAAAGAAGTTAGCCTCATCAGGGACAAGGTTTCGTTTGTCGAGCCACGCAGGTCGTGAAGGGCTCAAGAGCAGCCACATCCGGCGGACTCATTACTCATGCTGAGGGCTCCTCCGGGGCATCTGATGGGGACGCCGCTAGTGATTGTGGATTGGAAGTTTTAGAGTCGCATGCGGACCGGCACTCGCACTGACGCCCACCCTTTACGTATCTTAGGTAGTTGCGGACAGTGATGTGATGTAGGTACTCCTCGGCCAGTTTGACGTGTACCGGTACTGGGCGCCGCGAATGACACTATCTTCGCTAGCGACCACTCCGCGAAACTTGCCCTTTGTCAGTCACCGACCAGGATGCGGACCTTCCGCGCGGGACTTTCGAAAGAGTTGCCTTCAGAGGAGCCCAAAAAAGTGGCTTCCTTGAGCCGGAGTAGGTTGGTTTCAAGAGCGGCCATCCTCCCATTCCCCGGGTCTCGGTCTGGAAGTTCCATCCTTCCACCGTCGCCCGCACCACCGCCAGCGGCGCATTTCCAACGACGACAACGACGTCGCTCGCTCGCCGGGTCCAACGAAACCAAACGGCAACCTTTTCACTCAACAAACACGCACGGGAAATCTGCCCACGCCACCTTCTGCGTTGCCGCCCCCCCGTTTTGGCTGGCCGTGAAGAACCAAACTCTCCCCAGTCAACCTTCGTCTCTACGCGCTGCGCCCTTGCGTCTGGGACCTTGCAGCTGTCGTCCTCGTCCCGCCGCGCCGTGCAACTCGAACCTGCACTGCACCCCTGGTGGCACAGAACTTGTTGCGCCAGAGCGACTCCCGCGCTCGTCTCGTTGGTCGTGTTGCGCTGCGCTGGAAACACACGCCGAGCTGAAAGACCACGTCGTCTGGTCGTGGCCGTGTACTCACTCTGTATGTGCTCTGCGTTTGCTTTGCTGTTGTACATCCCTGGTCGTCTCGACGTCTACTCTACTGCCTGTCGCATGTGCTGGTGGGGGGACCGCACTACAACTGTGGGCTACATGGACCTGGGGACTACTTGTACCTGAACTGACACTGACACTGACCCCGACGGGGCCGCAGACGCGAAACACCAGGATACCCAGTGCAACAGCCGCTCGGAGCACATCGTCCCTCTCTCTCTCAAACCCGGTCCCGTCTGTGCTGGCATCTGGGTTGATTTTTCTTTTTCAACCACTCTGGCAAGCCATCCACGGCCCTTCTATTTTGTTTGTTTCTATGGGGATCCTTCCCGCCCGTTCCCGTTCGCCTATTTTCACCCAACGCATCCCTCGTGGGATTTGGAAGCAGACTTGATTCTCAGGACCCTTCTTCTCACTCACCCACCCATTCGGATTCTATTTCAGATTCAGCAATCTCTCATTGGCCCTGTCTGGCTGTCTCTCCAATCGCATCCACCTCGCTCTACCGTCGCCTTGGACCCTTATCTGCGTTCCCCAGCTTCGATTCGCAACTCCGCCACACGCGACCACCACTACCACCACCACTACTCTCGACTACTTACCACCACTTCTCTCGTCCGCCATTCACCATCCTCCGCCAACGACGCTATCTCACCAGCTACTGCCAATCCACCACGCCCGCACTGCTGCACTCTCACACACCGACTCCAACGTCATATCATGGGGTGCTGACCCGTGACCTCTGTGCACACCTCCAAGCGCATCCCTCGTGGTTCTCGCCTCTCGCCTACCGTGCGAGCTCCATGTCTCGGCCCAGGCGAGACCAGCTGAGTTACGTATTCGCTGGCCCTACCCTCTCCGGATACCCACCGAGCTGAAGGACCGGACCCGAGCAAGCTCCAAGACGCTGCGCCAGATCCGCGGGGAAAAAAAGAATTAATACGAAGGGGTATTCTCTGCATTCCGCTGTTGGAGCAGAACCACCCACAGCGCTGCGTGCGCGACACATACAGCAGCCATGGCTGCGCAAACGAGTTCCAGTACCGCCGATCCAAGTTACGATTACGACCCTCGAAGCGACGCTGCGCTGTCGTCGCCGACCTCGACTCCCGAATCGACGCCGTTCCAGTCGCTGGCCGACCAAAGCTCGACGCCGCTCAGCATGATTGACGACTCATGGACGATGGACGCGGGCAGCAGCAACCTGAAGATGCATTCCGCAGGTGGTGTTGCAGCAGGTGGTTCCGCTGGTGCTGGCGCCGGCGTGGGTGGCTGCAAGCCCACAGGTGAGACGGGCCAATTGCCAGTGGGTCGGGGGCGGGCCTCGGCCACTGCGCACAGCGGTCATGGCCCCTGTGTCTCTGATTCTGCTGCTGGTGATTCTGATTCTGATGCGCTTCGTGCCGTGTCTGCATGTCGACCGGGTGTTGTCCCTGACTCGAATGATTCAGATGGATGTGTCCGCGATCGCCAGAGCCAGGACCACCGAAATAGCGACAGCGACAGCAACCTGCAGCAGTCGGTGCTCATCTCGCCAACTGCCTTCTTCTCGTCGTCCCGAAATAGCCCCAGCCTCATCGGCGCATCCGCGGTCAGGGGCCAGCAATACGAAGTCGCCCCAGTGCCAGTGCCAGCAATTGACCACTCCAGAGCTCGCAGCGCCACCCGCAGCAACGCCTCAGCACCCACCTCAGCGCCCACCGTCACCGCATCCACTCCCCCGTTTGCATCCTCCACCTCTGCGTCCCCTGGACACGTTGGACACGCCGTGCCCGTTGCCCTCGACCAGATCCCCGAGGACCGTGCCTCCTCACACGACTCTGCCTCCATCTCAACGTCTCCCGTGCGCGTCAGCAGCGTGCAGCCTCACACCCGACGAGCCCAGCCGCGGCCCAACCGACCCATCGTCCGCACCACCTCCGACTCCGACTCCCTTGCCATCAAGCACCCGACCCCCGACATCAATCCCCGGTTCGGCGCCTACGTTGGCAACATCGCCCAGCTCGAGGCCACTGCTGAGCGTCTGTCTATGACTAGTTCCATTGACGATGCTATCCGAGACCTCCACGGCGAACTAAAGCGAAGCGACTCCCGACGTTCCTCCATCCTTGCTGCCCACGTTAAATCCAACTCCATCGACGACTTCGCCAGCAACTCCGGCTCCGCTGTCGAGCATCTCAAACGCAACCCCTCCATCTCCTCCTCCATCGTCTCGACCAACAACGCCGCGCGACACGGTGGCTACTCCCCTGGCGGGTTTGTTATGTCCCCGAGCCATTCTCTTACTGGCCGTCTTCGTTCCGGATCCAAAAATTCGTCGGGTCGACCAGAAATCGACGTCGAATCCGTCCTATCACGCCACGGCCCCGGCAAGGCCTCCGTCAGAAGTGTCCGATCTACAAAAATGTCATTGGCCGAGATATCCGAGTCGGAGCCCATCGCTCTGACCCAGGATGTCCTCGATAAGGCCGATTCGTCCCCTCCCCTTAAGAGCGCCCAGAACGACTCCCACCTCCCCGTCGAACTTCGAGATGCAAACATGCCCACTACCGACGTTTTCCACAACATGATGGGAGACGATGACTTCCTCCAGAAGGAAAAGGCCGACGCCCCACCCGAACTGTCCAGAGGGATGGAGCCCGACCACGACCATCAGCGGCCGGGTACATCCCGTTCCGACACCACCTTCCAGCAGTGCCAGGACGCCTTTGGCGATTTTGATGGAGTGCACTGGGACGAGACAGAGGGTGATCATTATTCGCCTCAAGAACCTGAGATTCCTGTAATGCCTGCTCCCCTACCACGAGCCGTTCCTCAGAGCATGGCCCGACCGCAGTCCTACATGGACCCTGAGTCTGGACAGCAAATGCTCTACTATCCCGCGCGTGTCCCTGCGATGCTCAACCTACCACCAAAGCTATCACACAAGCCAAAGTCTGACAGAGACAACCGACGCTCTCAGGTCCTCAGTGTCATGATGGATAACCGACAATCCCGCGCAATCGACTTGGGTGGAAACCGACAATCAGTTGCACTCGACATGAGTGGCAACCGCCAGTCTCTCGCACTCGACTTGAACTCCCCCACGAAGTCCAATCACCGACAATCTCGGTTCCTCGATTCGCCTACCAAGACCCACCAACGTGACTCCTGGCTGCCCGATCCTCTGGCAGGTCACCGGGAGTCATTCGCCGCCCTGTCATCAGACGAGCTTGGCATGACTCCCGCCGCGGAAATCCGATCTGTACATTCTAGCCACGAAGGAGACCGTGTGGCTCAACCTGAGATCCAGCCTGAGACCGAGCCACTGCGGCGTCCTCAAAAACTGTCTCGGATGGATCCGGATAAACAAAGGTCGAGAATGTCAAATCTGCCTCCGCAACTCAGAGCCAGTGCTTATTTCGACATTCCTTCTACGACCGCCCCTGAGATTGAAGTCAAGGACGGATCTGCCATGGCCACCCTCGACAGCATCCTTGATGCTTCGGCCCACGCCCCGGTCAGCGCCTTTACGGACCACAACTACGCTGGCAAGCTTGGCAACGAGATTTACGGAAAAGAAAAGAAACGTGGCTCCGTCGCCGCGTCTGCGATGCTTCGCCCCGTGTCTGCCGAGCAACCCAAGAAGCGAGCCTCGTTCATGTGGCTGGGCAAGCGTCACAGTCACGCAAGCGATGACAAGGACCCGCGAACTAGCGACGAGGATGCCTCCAGGATGGGACCCGTCAACTCCGATACCCGAGCCGGCGAGGACGAGGCTCTCACCCCAAGAAGCCACGATAGCCGCAGCGTTCGATCCGATGATGACGAGCAAATGGAGGAAGAGGGAGAGGAAGAGGAGATGTCTGAAGAAGAGGAATACTACGGACCTCCCACAACGCTCCTTGCCGAACTGCAGCTTCGCAAGCAGCAGCAGAAGGAGCGAACTCAGCGACAGTTCCCCGGCGGAATGCACGCCACCCTTTTGGAGATGGATGCTGTCGCAGAGACCCAGAGGCTTCACAGGAATGCTCGGCGTGTGAATCTGGCGTGGGAGGATGCCGAGGGCAACCTACATGATAGTAACTCGGATGACGAAGACACTCCTTTGGCCATTATTGCGGCTCGGAACCAAGGCGCCCAAAACGTCATGGATTTGAACCGTCCTATTGGTCTCATGGAGCGTCGCGAGCTGGAGGATAATGAGCCTCTCAGCCACCGCCGAGCCCGTCTGCACGGACAGGATCCCAGGACCCTCATGGTCCAGAACCGCCCAAGCATGCCAAACTTGCAGGGCGACGGCAGTGGAGTCCATCTCCCGAGATCGCCTCACTCGGCCCAGGACATGGCCCCTGAGTCTGACGAGGACGAAATCGAGGAGACGCTCGCTGACAGGAAGAAGCGCCTCGCCGCCAAGGATGAGGCTGAGAATCCTCTACCCCGAGCCCGTCCAGTCAGTAGTGTCTTCACTGCTGAGCTGCTTGGCCAGTTTGGCGATCTCGATGAGGGCAAGAACAAGGAGAAAGAGGCCAAGCCCGCTGGAGATGAGACCCTGGGCCAGCGTCGTCGCCGCCTCCAGGCTGAGCGTGAAGCCCGCGAGCGTGAGATGAGCTTCAACCAGCTGGCTGGGCCTCAAGAGACCGAAACACAGCCGCCTACCATGAAGCTACGGATGAACATGGCCAATGTGCTCGCAGCCCACCCGAAGAGGGACGTCGACTTCCGAGCCCAGGAGGAGAGGCAACGCATGGAGGCAGAGAACCGCGCCGCAAGAGAGCGAGACGCCAAGATGGCTGCCATCAGAAACCAGATGCCCACCAGCCTGGACTTCCCCAGCAACGAGCGATCCGGTGGCTTCAGGGGCGGCGCCTTCAACGACGGCCTTGGCGGTGGTGTGCCCCAGCCCGCCATGCCCCCACAGGCTCTGAACGTTCCGATGTACGGCGGCGGCGGTCTTCAGCACCGAGCGAGTGCCGTCTTCAACTCGTACGGAGCGCCAGTAAACCAGATGCAGCCCATGCAGCAGCAGCCTGCATATGGCTCCATGGTCAATCTCGGCACGATGAACAACATGGGCGGCTACAATGCCATGAATAACATGAACACCATGAACCCCATGAACAATATGAATCCTTACGGTGGCATGGGTGTCTATGGCGGTGGCATGCAGATGCCTATGACTGGCGCCCCGTCGAACCGAATCGAACAATGGCGACAGGGTGTTTTGCCATAATGAGGCCATCACACCACGCCGTCAATGACCCACCTGAATATGAAACCTACTTGGATTCTTTCAGTCACAACAATTGGATCCTCATTGGATTACGCAAGACATCTCCACGTTGTACTATTCTTGGGAAAGGAACAAAGACAGCAACAACGGCGCACACAAACGGGGTCAGCGAGATGTCGCTTGGTTTTTTTTCTTCAGTATTTTGGGTTCCGGATACACGAGATTCATAATGGCCCCTAGCATGGCGCGGCGCTGGGAAATCACTGGGTTGAAATGGATATATTTGAACAGTATACTTTATTTTTGTTTTAATCAGGGGAATCAGACGGGCGAGCGTATGCTTTCTTGGGACGGTTGGCTGGTGTAGAGCAGGTGACGAGGATATTACATAGCGAACGGAGGGATCAGATCACCGAAATCAACGTTGATTCACACCAACGATTTTTGCCAATAACGAATGATTCGTGCAAAACCATGAAAACCGCTGTCATGTGTCAAGATGGCCACCTTGCGGGAGGTATCAACTCATTATATTGCCAAAAAGTACATACAGAAACCCAGTCTACGAGACCAACGCCAGGAAAGCAACAAGCCGAGTCCCCTCCCCCTTTTCTTTTCTACTTGATTCATATTCCGTATCAATTTCACCTTCGCTTGCCTGCCGTCTTCTGCAGCTTGGCAGGCGGTGCCTCGACGTCGCTCTCCTCGTCCTCGCCCATGGACTCGTCCACATCGTCGTGGTCGACCTCGTCCTCGTCGAGAGACTCCTCCGCACCGCTGTTGTCTTCCTCACCGGCCGAGTCATCCTCCTCGTCGTCCGAGTCGCCGACGAAGCCGTTGGTAATGGGCACATCGTCGTCATCTTCGTCATCGTCGAAGTCGCCGTCTAGGTTGCGCCTCCGGGCGGGGACGCGGTCGTCCTCGCCCTCAACCCAGATAACGTCGTCGTCCTCCGAATCGTCTGAGTCGGCACCGTGAGACAGGCCGGGGCCACGGGACATCTTGCGGCGCAGGTCCATCTGGCCCTCGAGCATGTCGAGCTTGCCCTTGAGGGCGAGGAGGCTGTTGAGGCCCTTAGCGCGCTCGGCGAGAACCTTTTGCAGGCCGTTGAGGCTGTGGATGACCTTGGGCTGCGAGGCGAGGGCGCCACCGTGGGCCACGAGGGTCCACTGGACCCAAGTCATAAGGTTGCCAGCGCGGCCGGGGCGTCGGTAGAGGCGAGCAGCGAGCTTGGTAAGGAGAAGACCGGCAAGGCTGCTATCGAGGCGCTCGATGGTGTTGCGAATGGTGGGGAGGTCGGTGGTGTGCAGGCAGGACTCGAGGAGATCAATATCATCGGTGCGCAGGGCCTGGGACAGGACGGTAGTGAGGGACTGGTGGGAGGGCGGGACGATGGCATTCCTGGTAGGCTGAGAGACGGCAGTGTTGGCATCCACAGGGTTCATAAGCGAGGGAACGTCGATGATCTCATTCTCAGCGCGCAGGAGCTCGCCAAAGGATGGGCCAGCCTCGGCGTCTGAATCGGCGTCGTCGTCGTGCTTGGCAGGCGACTGCGCATCGTTGCCATTGAGCTTGCTCCGGGGAGCTTTTAGGCGGGCGGTCGCGGCATCCTTGGAGCCATTGGTCAGCTCCTGTGCGTTCTCGTCCTCAGCGGCGCTGTTGTCGGCGTCGGAGATGTCATCATCGCTGTCGGCGTCGGAAGAGATCTCGATGGTCTCGACCTGAGAGCTCGCCAGGGCGTCGGTGTCGGCGATGGAGGCGCGGGTCTCGTCAATGGTGGCCTTGTTGGGGATTCGGGCGGCGGATCTAATAACGGGAGCCGCCAGCTTGGCTGGGGCTTTCCGCTTGGTTGACATGGTCATGGAGACGGCGAGGGTGGTTTAGAAGTTGAAAGTTGGAGGTTGGAGGCTCAAGTGGGATGGCCGTCTGCGAAAGGCTCGATCGAGGAGTTTATCCGCCAGATTGAACAATACTTGGAGGTTCGGTGTCTGTAGAGGAAGCGCCGTAGATCTCAGAGACGTGATGTCTTTTGTACAGCAAAGTCGTGGGATAAGGAGCGTTAATGGTCCTCGACGGTATCAGCGCCGAGTTGGTGGGAAAATTTCACGGTCGCTGTCGTAGAGATGGGCGAACTTTTTTTTGGGCTGGACGCTTGGCGCTGGTACTTTCCCCACATCGACACTGGGTCTCGGTGCGAATGGATGACATAATCATTGAGATAAGGAGGTCAGGTGAAAGGTCACATGAAGATAAGCCGGGAAAAAAGTACGTACTGGTCACGCCTGCTTCCTTCCGGTTCAGGCAAGACGAGAATGATGAGTCATCCCAGCTTCGCTGCTGTGAGCCTGTCTTCGACCAGAAAGGCTGGCAATGGTTTGGAGCGACCGGCGTGCGTGGCTGTGCCGCCGCCACCTGTGATTGGCTAGCTGCAGTGAACCTCGACGGCCTGAGGCTTCACCTCGCCAGCCTGATGTAGGGCACCAAGGGTCGCTGATTGGCCACGCGGCAAGCTCTAAATGAGATGGCTGTTGATTGGCCAAGGTGGTGGGTTTGGCGGGGCGCTGAAGAGCAGTTTATTGGCCGCAACCAGCATCTTTTACATTGCTGGTGCCGTTCGAGGAGGGACCGCGACGCAGTCTGTGAGCACAGCTCCCGAGAGACCGAGAAAAAGGAAAACAACAGGCCGGTCAAACACCAGGGATTGAGGTTTGGGACCACGCTTGGTTCACCGGGGAATCAGAGATTGTGAATTTGCGATTGCCCGGCAGGTGATTGCGTGCACGGTCACCTGATTGCTTCATCAGTGCTGCCTCGCAAGCTCCAGGCTTCCACCCAGTCTCCATGGTCTGGCCAGTGTGAGCTTTCAACTCGCCTGGAAGGGGTGGATCGCCGCGCCTGCCTCGGACCCCGGCCCTAGTGCACATCCCCGTTTGGCGGGTTGCCCCGTTAGGGAGGTATCTGCTCGTGAGGAGCATGGTGGCCTGTGAGGCATCTCTGGCCTCTTTGGGCAGTGCACCGCGTCGCGTCGCGCACCATGCAAGTGTGTGGGCATGGTTGACGGCCGCGATCCGCCGAATTGAACCTCGACCTTGCGAGTTTTTCTGGGGAATGATTAGGAGGATTGGGAGAAAATGGCCTGACGCCGTGCTGTTTTCGGGGCCATTGTCGTCAATTCCAAGCATCAACGTCTTGTACGGTCCAAAGGGACGCGTCTGCGATTCTGGCATTTTTTACCGTCATGTGAGCGACGCTTGAGTGTTTGAGCGTATGCACGGCGGCTTGGAGGCTCTGTGGGTTGTGGGAGCGATGGAAGCCGCGAGTGCGACGGTCTTGAGTCGGGACGGACGACGGGACAAAGTCAATGCGACGCAGTGCCACACCAGCCACACATGGTGCCTCAACTTCGAGGATTGGGCGTCGCGGTGAAGAACAGAAAAAGAAAAACCGTTGCCAGAACGAGCAAGGAAACAAAGCAAACGGCTTCTGTTTACTTAGTGCAACGGAAGAGGCAGAAGGTCAAGCGAGTGTCTTGTCTTAGACGGCCCTCTGTCTTCCTTGACGCCCTTGTCGACATCCAAAGCATAACTTACCGCCGCCACACGGTCTCACAAAATGGTGACGAGGTCAAGCCAGACGAGAGTCAACCCGCACCGTCCCGCCAATCATGGGCACTTCAGGGCTCACCAGCCCCATTCCCCAGCCTCGCTCTGCACAAATATCCCAGCGCGCCACGCACGTTATGCGCGGTGTGCAACTCGGGGCACCGCTATGCACCGCGCGCGCTAGTGCACGGGCCATATTCGCCTCTGGCACTTCCATGTCGGCCAACTAAATTTTTCCCCCCTGCCCCTTCCGTGCCCCGATAGAGACAAATCAACGGCTCAGCGGAGTTTGCCTTCTTCTCTCATAAATACCACCGCGCCGACCGGGCAAAATTCACTGACGTGCACGCGCTTTTCCCTCACAGGCCCTCTCTACCTCCCCCCCCCTCCCTCACCCTCCACCCAAACTCGCCCAAAAAAAGGAAGGTACCTCCCTCGCAATCCGCAACCGCAACCCGCAACCGCAGCCTGCGCCTACCTTGGCTACACCTGCCTGCACCTACCTATCCGGCCAACCCAACCAACCAAAAACATCCCAACCACTCACCGTGCTTGGCGATCCTCGACACCTTTTGCAGCCAAACTCACAACCTGGAACCTAAAAGACGATTTTCCGCGCCCGATTTCCAGCACCCGGCGCATCGAAAATAATCATAATACGCTGGCGACATCGGATCCTTCGGTCGCATTTCTCTCTCCGGCCCGTGTCGCTTTAATCCCAGCTCATCGCCCTCGGCGGCCCGCCCGACAACCACTCCGCCTCCATCATCGCGCGCGACCATCCATCGCATCGCGACTTGCGCCTGTTGTTGTGGACGTCATTCCACAACTCTGTTGACCTGATTCTCCATCGCGCTCTCTCTCGCAGCCGCTTCTCCGTCGCACCCACTCCCGCTCCCGCACCCGCCCAGTCGCCATCCAGAGGTACGACCTCGGCCTTGTCGCTCTGCGCCACCTCCTGCCGTCTGCCTTCCGTCGCATTCTGCACTGCGCTCGCCGCCACCAAACGTCTGCATATAAGTGACGGCCGCTCCCCGCCTCCGCCAAAAAATCGCATCGCGCATTCTTCCTTCATCCACCCAACCCGCCGCCAAAAAATCGCATTGCATCGCACCCGCCGCCCATCGCACCGTCCACCCCCTCGCGCGCGCTTCGGTCCCGGGCCTCTTTGATGTTGCGCCGCGCCCGCTGAGCCGCCCCAACTTTTGCGCTATCATTGCGAATGGCCATCATGGCTTCGCCTGCTCCAGACGCTCCCATGGTGGATCCCACGCCGCGCGACTCGGTGTCGGAGAAGGAGCAGAAACCTGAGGTCAACGGGTAAGTTCCCCCCTGGCTCTGTTGCGTTTTGCACCCGCCTTTGCTCTTTGCTGTGCGTTTGCGACCGCTGCATCCTCTCGCATCTCCCCATCAGCAGACGCTGACCTGCTCGCTTTTGCAGCCATGCGACCCCTACCGTTTCGAAGCCCGAAACTGAAAAGCCTACGGTGAATGGCGACAAGGACGACCATCTCGTCACAAACGGTGTTACCAAAGACATCGAGATGGAGAACAGCGACGCCCAGGGCAAGCCTACCAACGAGACAACCAACGAGGATTCAAGTACTGCTGCCAAGACGGAGCCTAGCACTGAGTCGACACAGGCCGATGAGTCAAAGCCCAAGACAGACGAACCCGCCCCTACATCTGAGGATGTCGAGATGGCAGATGTGACGCCCACAGAGGATAAATCCGTCGATGCCCCCGCGACTGCCACAGAGGCCGTCAATATCCCCACGACTACTGCAGAGGAACCTCCCAAGGATACGGAAATGTCAGACAAGCCCAAAGTTAACGGTACTAGCGAGGCTCCCGCGTCATTCGACGACACCTCTGCACTGCCTACTTCTGAGGTTGACCTGCAGCCTGCCAGCCTTTCGCAACTCGCCATCGAGACAACCGAGCCGGAGGCTTCTGCCAAGCCATCCATCGAAGTAACCATGGAGGATGCACCCGCCACAGCAGAAGTTTCGAGCTCTACCAAGATTGCGCGTGAGCGAGAGGACGATGCAACGGAGGAGCGTGCGCCCAAGCGCGCCAAGACGGAGCCATCCGAAGACGAGCCTACTACCACCGTCATAGTCGCTTCGTCAGCTCCTGCTGAAGCGTCCTCGCAGCCGCTGGAGTCACCATTTACTAGGTTAGCCAAGTGGGATGACTCTACGTTCATCAGCCAGAAGATTACGCCTCATCAGCGCCGCGAAATCCGCAAGGTGCTTGGAAGAATCAAGAAGACGAAGCAGGGTGGTCACTTCCGTGACTCCGTCCAGAAGCTCTGGCCGGGTCTCTGGGACAGCTATCTCGCTAAGATCGAGAATCCAACCGATCTGTCCGAAATCGACCGCACCCTACGTGATCCTAGCGGTCTCTACGTCACGCTTGCACACTTCAAGAAGGACCTGATCCTGATGTACGACAACACCCTGGCCTTCAACGGCCCCCTTCACGATGTCACACGTGCCGCCCAGGGCTCCATCGAAGCCATCTGGAGGGATGTCATCACCATCTCCCCCGAGGAGGACGCACCTAAGCCTAAGCCTGCACCCAAGCAGAAGGCTCCCCGCGAATCGCGCACTGCTGTTCATGCTGAACCCGCCCCCGTCCGAAAGCAGTCCTCCGGCCCGGCCCCAAGCCCTGTCGTCGAGGCCCCCAAGCCAACTCCCTTGGCCCAGAGCCAACCAGCCGATGTGCGAAGAGCCTCTACGGCAATTGATGGGGACAGACCCAAGCGTACTGTGCGTGCCCCTAAACCCAAGGATATCGACTATACGACTAAGCCTTCACGAAAGAAACTCAAGCCCGAACTGCAGTTCTCAGAGGAGGTGCTCACCGAGATGATGCATCCCAAGAACAAGCATATCAACGGGTGGTTCATGGAGGCGGTTGACGCTGAAGGTCTCGGTATCCCCCACTACTACTCCATCATTAAGAAGCCCATGGACTTGGGCAAGGTATCCCGCCTGTTGGCGAGCGGAGACATCATCAGCCTCAAAGACTTTGACAAGACTGTCCGGCTGATCTTCACCAACTGTTACGCCTTCAACGGATCTCCCGACCAGCTCAACCCCGTGTCGCTTCTGGCCAAGGAACTGGAGGAATTTTATAATGCCCAGATGAAGGGCAAGGACTCATGGTTGGCCAAGCACGCCAAGGCCAACGCTCCTCCCCCTGCCTCCCATGCCAGCGATGAGGAAGAGGAAGAGGAGTTTGAGGGTGAAGACGCGCCTGCCCCAAGTGTCGATTCGTCTAAGGAGGTTCGGGAAATCGAGGCCAAGCTGCGGGAGGAGAGCGAGAAACTCAATGACCTATTCACGGCAGACTCTCCCAATCAGAGCCTCATCATGGTCCAGCAAGGCATCGTCAAGATGGTTCAGGAGGCACTCCTCGCCGCCAAGCAGAAGCTCAGTGAATACCGCCAGAAGCACGAAAAGCCGGGCAAGAAGTCCAGCAAGCCAACAAAGCCCAAGCCCTCGAACAGCTCGGCACCGCGAAAGCCCACTGGCAATGCGATGCCCAAAAAGTCCGGTGGCCCCAAGAAGGCGGCCACTAAGAAGAACTTGAGTGCTGCGGACAAGGATCAGATCGCAAACGCTATTAATGATCTCGAGTATCCGCACCTTGACCGTGCCATTGATATCATCAAGCGTGACACGGGCCAGGCTGTAAGTCTTTGGATGTGAAATGGCGACCAGAATGGTGACTGACATGCTCGCAGGAGAACAATGATGGTGAACTCGAGTTGGATATTGATCAACTCAGTAACGATGCCCTGCTTAAGCTGTGGGAGCTCTGTAAAAAGGTTCTTCCTGGATTCGGCAAAGACTCGACCGGACCCGTATCTTCGCCCGAGGTGACTCGCGGAGGCAATGCCAAGCAGCCCAAGAACGCGGCGAAGCCCAAGAAGAACAAGCCCATGAGCGCCCGTGAGCAGGAGGAGCGCATCGCTCAACTCCGGGGCCTCCGTGACCTCTACAAGCCGGGTCAGGATTCCGGCGATGGTCAGAACGTGACGCAGGCGCCGACGCCGACGGCCGAGTCGAGTGACGACTCCGACTCGGAAGAGGAGTAGAGCAGACCAGATGGTCGTTGGAACGAGTTGTATGAATTTGAGCATGGACCAGGGGAGTTGCTCGGCTGCGAATGGGAGCGTGATTCGCCATTATACCCGGCCGCATGGCTACTCATATCTTGCTTGCTCTTGGCCATGTCGATGGCTGCTCGGGACTCGTCAAGAAGGCCGCATCGTCTTTGGAAGGGCCCTGCCAGCGTCGAGATGACGAATTTTAATAGTGTGCTGGTATCATCTTTTGGGCAACCAGCATTTTTTGGACCAGACATGATAGCAAGGTCCGTGGAGTCCAAACCGAACAAGAGGTTCTTTGGGCGCTGGCAAGGGAAACCTCAGCAGCCCAAGGACGCTGCGTCGCGTTGGGGGAGGAAAGGCGTGAGGAGGACGATCGTGACTTTGCTTGGTCTTGTTTGCCAAAGGGCAACGGGAGGATTGCAGTGGGCGCCTCGGCCACTACACATAGGCAGTGTAGGATTAAATGTATACTAAGCTCTTCGCTTGCATACTGTCTGTCTTGACGTGACGTGACGTTGATGTAGAGTGCCTTTGTTGCGAAGATGACTCCTGGTGGGATGACGATTGTCCACGGTGGTGAATGCTCTGTAGTGAATGGCTGTTGACTATCCGGGTGTACCCTGAGAGGCGAGACTGTCAAACCCTGAGAGTAGCATCGGTCAGGGTGAAACGTAGAGGCCAGGTCCCGACGACAGTGGTTGAAGGTTGCCTTGGAGGAGGAGTCGATGCGATGAGCTGATAACAGACGGCCTTGAATGGGGAAAGGAGGCAAGGGGAGAAGGGGTCAATATTGAGTGATTCGGTCAGTGGGGGGTGGTGGTTCATCGTAGCGAGGGCGAGCAAGGTGAAGGGACCCTGAGGAAAGAGGCCCGAGGTCGGTCGTTGAACACGGACTGGATTGCGGGAGATTGTCGATATCCCGCTCGACCCTACTTTTGATGAGAGTCATGGTCGGTATTGTCGTTGCATTCTTCTTTTCGCACTGAAGATTTCGCCCGGCCAGGGCGGATCCAGAAGCGGGGGCGGTCAATTCAGCAGGCTCCCATGCGTGGAAGCACACGGCTTAGCCTGGCTGCGAGAGGAATGAAGACGGCGAAATACAGCGAGGAAGGAAAAAAAGACGATGAGAATAAAGTAACGGTACGGGACTCGGCGACTTCGTACGTAGTCTCTCGGAAGTTCCAAGAGCGAAAACGTGGCCAAAGGGAGGAGGGTTGACGGGCTGTTGGTGGGATTATGTGTGGGTTCTGGGAAAATCGGGAGAGGGAGGGATGGGGGTTTGTGTGGGCGGTGGTTTTTCGGGGGCGGCGACGGCGGGCGACTTTGGTGGGAAGGTACGGAGTACGAGACAGGCCTACAGTGTCTATAGCGCCCAGCTGGCTTACCCTGCACTGCCTGTGGAAGATGAGATGAGGTTACGCTGGCTGTACTTTGATACTTGGCATTGCAACTCTGGCTTTTCGTCTTTCACTTATCACTTCTACGCTTCCCCAGTCGTCGCTACGGGAAGTCGTCTTCGCAGTCTCTGGCAGATTTCCACGTAGTCTTCCTCGTTCTCGGCCGTCACCTCGCCGTGCCGCACCATGAAGTCGATCATGACCGAGCACACGTTGGGCTTGAACTCGCCCGCCAACATGCGCCGCCGCACCTCGCCGCAGCTCATCAGCGCGAAGCTCTCCACCTCGTCGTCGCCCGGCGTCGGGACCACGTCCGCCGGCAGCTCCAGGTCGTACACGTAGAGCACCTCGGAGTGCACCAGCCCGCTCTGCGCTTTGCGCGTCGCCAGCGTCACGGCGCCCGCGGCCTTGGTGCGCTCGCGGACCAGCGCTGGCGGCAGGCTGGCCTCCTCGGTGGACTCGGCCAGGATGCAGCCCAGCGGCGTGTCGGACGCCTTGACGCCGCCGGCGACGGTGCTGTCGAGCAGGCCGGGGTACGTGAACAGCGCCCGGCTCCGGCGCGCAACCCAGATCTGGATGCTGCCGTCCGGAGCGCGCACGTAGCCCGTGAGGTGAGCGCCGCGGCCCGCGATGCCGAAGAGCGGAGCGGCGAAGCGCTCGATCTGGACGAACTCGCGGGCGCCGACGACGCGGAAGTACTCGCTGTGCGTCTGGTGCAGGACGGGGAACACGTCGCCGTCAATGGCGGCGTCCACGGCCTGCTGGAACTCGGCGTTGGCGTGCGCCGTGAGAGCGACTCCCGGCGCCGGCGCGGCCAGCGTCACGGTGCGGCTGCCGTGGTCGATGGCGAAGGACGCCGGCCACGGCATGCGGGCCACGGTGTCGGGGAGGACGTAGCCATGGGGCCGAGGGTCGGGGGCGAGATGCAGGCGGTAGTACGGGTGGCAGTCCGTCTCAAAGTCCAGGGGGACGCTGTTGGGTTGACGCGGTGAGACTTGCCGTGATGGACAGGAACTATGGCAACTTACTTATCAACGAGGTTGATGAGGTCCAGCAGCGTGCGGGGTGACGATGAAGCGGCCATGGTGGGGCGGATGAGCTTGAAGTGCGGATTCAGGTAAGACTGTGAATTGCGTCTCCGTCAGTTAACTCAACGTGAGCTCTTGGCAGGACTATTCCTCAACTGAGGGAGGTTGTCGTTGGCAAAGTCGTCAAACCCCACGCCCAGTATCCGAGTGTAAGTGGGGGGACAAGAGTTTCACGTCATCGCCTTCTTTACACCAAAACACACCCTCTCTAACAAGCTAAAATATCATCATTATAGGTAAAAAAAAACAAAAACAAAAGGATTTTATATAAACATTTATAAAAGCTATAATAGCTTATCAGGGGGGTTTTAAGACTTTTATATAGCTTAACAGCTCAGTTATGCCTGAGTCACCCGCATTGCATGGAGCTAAGCCTGGATAGATAGTAAATGGAGTGTCAGATTCCAATGGCGCCAATCGATATAAGCACCGACAGCTACAGGAGCCAACCGTAAGCCTTAGCGGCTGATGTTACACGGAACGCAAGTGCAACAACGAGCTGAGTGAGCCTCGTCATCATTGGGGAAAGAGAGGGGAAGGCCTTGTATCGCACTTTCAACCTCCGCCTTGTGAGAATCGGGGACCAACTTGGCCAAGGAAGGTCTGGTTGAAGCACAGTACATCACGCTCCATATCATTCACGAACCCTTGGGGGCCATATAATTCCGCACGTATCAATTCCTTCTCCTCGACTATTGCCCAACACTTCCTGACTAACTGTCCCAGCAATGGACAGGCTCACCACCATCCTCCAAGAGCACGTTGCTCAAGGAGACGACACGTCCAACAAGCTCCTCGGGGCCTCCTTCATAGCAGTCAACCCCACAGGTTCGTGAACCCGAATTCTCGCCCGCCCTCGACGCTAACATTCAGCCGAATAGGCGTCGTCTACTCTGGCGCTGCAGGCCGCATCGACTTCGACACCGGCTCGAAACTGTTCCAGACTGATTCCTTCACCTGGGTTGCGTCCTTGACCAAGATTGTTACTACTACCAGCCTCATGCAAATTATCGAGCGTGGCCTCGTTGGACTGGATGATGATGTGCGACCACTTGTCCCTGAGCTGGCGGCCATGCAGATTCTCCGCGGCTTTGATGCCGACGACAAACCCATCCTAGAAGACAACGCCAGGCCCATCACCCTCCGGTAGGTAGTTCGCCAACCGTTCAATAAAAACCACTGACCTCTTAGGATCCTCCTCACGCACACTCTCGGCCTGGCGTACGACATTATCGACCCAGACCTCGTCAAATGGTCCAAATACACGGGCCGCACAGCCACCAACCTCGACTGGAGCCGCGATGGCTTCAACACACCCCTCAAGTTTTCCCCCGGCGAGGGATGGCTATACGGCGCCGCGATGGACTGGGCCGGCCAGGTGCTTGAAAAGATCACAGGCCGCACACTGAGCGAGTACACGCAGGAATACATCTTTGACCCCCTGGACATGAAAGACACCGGCTTCTGGCCTGGGAAACTTCCCCAGACGCAAGACCGTACGGTAGCATGCACATACCGCGAGGGCGAGAAGCTGAAACCGGGTCCTCTCCCCGTGCCCAAGGAGCACGAGATGGAGAGCGGCGGCGCAGGCATCTTCTCGACGGCGCACGACTACGGGCTCTTCATGTGCGGGCTGCTGCAGGGCAAACTCGTCAGCGAGGCCATGCTGCAAACCATGTTTACGCCGCAGCTCAACGACATCCAGAGCACCATGCTCGAGACGATCGCATACAGCCACGGCGGTCGGGGCGCACTCGTGCCGGAGTTCCCCGTCGGTCTCAAGCTCAACCACGGGCTCGGCGGCGTCATGAACGTCGAGGACGTGCCGGGGAAGCGCCGCAGGGGGAGCCTCATGTGGAGCGGCATGTGCAACAGCCGCTGGGTAAGAGAGACGACGTTCAGGGGATACACACGGGTTGGCTAACGTGCTGCAGTGGATCGATCGGGAGACGGGTGTTGCGGGCGTCTTGATTGTCAACGTGCAGCCGCATGGTGATCCGGTCGTCAAGAGCTTGTATAACGAGCTCGAGCGGGCAGTCTACGACGTCGTCGGGAAGCAGTAGCGGGTTCCCGTAGATGTAACAATATCATTGCTCCTCCTCCTCCTGTCCAAACAGCCCGTCTGCGTCCATGGCCTCCAGCGTGTTTTCCAGTACCCGTCTGCACCGCGCCCGATAGTCCAGCGCGAGCTGCTGGTTGCGCGTGAGATCTCCGCCGCCCACGACCTCTACGTCCGTCTCGTCCAGCCGCTCCAGCTCCTGCATCACCTTGTGCTGGATGATGGCCGCCGTCTGTTGTAGGTACATGGTGCCCTGCTCGCTCACCCTGCCGGCGAAGAAGGCGTCTCGCCGAGCCTGCTCCGCCGCGTCGCCCTGTAGGCCCGCGTCGACGGGGACGAGCTGCGGGTGTTGCTCGGGCGGCGCGAGCGTGCAGAAGATGTCCCATACCATGTCGGTCTGCACGTGCTGGAAGGCTCCGAGCACAGTGGCCGACTCGCTGAGCTGGACGGCCTGCTTCGTGCGCGCGAGCAGCGAGCTGGCGTGGCGGATGGGCCGCAGCGAGATGTAGTACTCCTCGGTGGCTGCAGCCGAGGCGGCCTGCCGCTTCCGCACGTGTACGTAGTCGTTGTGTAGGGCTTCCGTCTCTGGAAGCATGAAGCCGTAGCCCAGGAGCAGCTCGGCGTTGGTCTTCATGCTGTAGTTGTTGAAGACTTGCTCGCCGGGTTGATATGCCTTCGCCACCCGCAGCTCGCAGCTCGCCCGGCCCTCGTCAAGCTCCCACCGGACCTCCTCCGTCATGTCGTGGTTCCCTACGTCAAAGAGCGGGAGTAGCACGGAAAAGTCGTCCAGGCCAACACCTGCAGGCAACGTCTCGCGGTCCGCAGCCGAGAGGACGAGACTGGGGCGGAAGCTGCGGCTGGAGAAGATGCTGTAGGCCCATTGATACAGCGGTAGAGACAGCTGAGAGGCCAGACCCGGCTGCCATGCGTCCGCGGCGAGGAGTTTCTGCGCAGCCTTGAACTCGCGCTTGACGTTGGAGCGAGTCTGTCCAACGCCGACTTCGACGTTGGTCCCGTCCAGCAGCTCGGCTTCATCCGCGGGCCAGAACGGCGGCAGAGCCCAGGAGGCGACGTGGTCCGGCTGCGGGAGAGCGCGGATATACGGCGCCCAGAAGGACTCGTCGCCCAGGAGGAACTGCGCAACCAGCACGAAGCGGCCGACGACGTGCGGCGGGGTTTGCTCCAGGAAGCTCGCGGGGAACGGCGTGTGGTTGTCTCGTCCAGGCAGGGCGTTGAGGTACGACAGCGTGACAGCGGTCGGCAGGCTGACTATGGGCTCGAAGGGCTTGGTGCCCGTCTCGGCGTCGGGACTCACGCGGAACGAGAGGCCGGTTTGCGCGTCGTGGTACACTTGCACTGAAGGGTGGAGGCGTGCGCCGTGCGAGGTGGCCCAGGCGACCAGCGCCGAGGTGTGCTGAGACGCAGCCATTAGAGATTTGAGGCCCTCGTCGTTGCTCTCGCGGTTGGCCTTTGCGTTGTGGTTGCGAGTTGAGGGAGTGAGTCGTGATGTTAGTTGGCGAAATGGTGGGGTTGTGATGTATGAGAAAAATCCCACTTGGTGGGCGGGTTCGCCGTGAGGATAGAATTCTTGGGCTCAGAGGGCTAAACAATGGGATTGGGTCAGCCAAGACGCAGCACTCTCGATAATACACCACAAGCCAGGACGGAGTGTTTGTTGAGTCGAGATCTTCATCTCGTCTATTAATTATCCTGTAGTTATGACGTCCATGTCTATGTTGCGGTGTCATGACGTCGCAAGCCTCACGTGACAAGAATTGCCAGTTCTAAGCCGGCACCACTCCATGCAGCCCATCACGAGTCTCGCTTGTTTCGATCAGATGTCCCAGACCCTCTGTCGGATATGCCAGGCTTCTCAGACTCGTCGCCCTTTTTGTTGGATTTCTCGGCCTTCTTCTAAGGCTTCTTTCCGGAATCCTTCTGCGGACTCTTCCCATCGTCCGAAGACACCGGGTCTAAGTCGATGTGACAATCAAGGGTCAAGTAATTATGACTGATGAAAAGCTTCTTTATCGCCTCCGCAGCGTAGATGTAAAATTGGTGCTGGTCGCGGGTCAGTGCGAACACCGGGATCAGCACCTCCAGCTGGTGCAGCTCCAGGAGCAAGCACGCCAGCCGCAGGGGTTGGATGAAGTTCTCGCCCTTTAACTTTTCATCCAGCTCATCCGCAAATGCGTCGACGGCGTCTTCGGACTTGGACTTGAACTGGGGCGAAGTGTAGTCGTACGGCATTCGGTCGCCTGCGCAGGGTGGTTAGACAACTGGAGACGGAGGAGGCTTGGAGGCGAGGACGTACTGCCGGGCCAGCGGACAAAGGGGAGCTTGGCGGTGATGACGAAGTTGCGGTAGTACTTGTCAAAGACCGTACCCGTGATGATAGGGCCTGGTCTGAATTTAACATTTTCCATTGTTGCGGATGTTATTGGTTGAAGTGAGGTTGAGGTTGTAGGTGTGAAGTTATCGTGGTGGCTATTGGCTGGTGAGTCTGTCTTCAACCCTAGTTATACCCATAGGCACCGACTGAACAGTTTCTGACTCAGTTGGCTTCGACACAACCAGCTCAACAAACTTGAGTGACTGCTTGCCAACGCCCAGGACACGGTGTTGATTCCCAGCCCGTTCAAACCCCCATCGTCAAACACGACAAAGTTGTACAAACAAGAATAGGGCGAGTCAATGCACATAATGAAGTCCCGTGAATGAAAACGTCGTATCCTCAATCACTAGAGCTCAGGAACCAACCCTGAAAACCACAAACCGAAATCTTGATCGACCTCGCTGATTCAGATCGGGTGGCAGTACTGGCAACAACCTGTCACCACTCAGTCAAGCGCCATATCTGTTGTTCAGTGATAGTGGAAAAGTTATGTATTACCCATGTTCCAACAACATATCAGTCCTCTTTGGCAATGCCGCAACAGGCACATCCTTGCATCACAAACACATCCACCATTCAGGTCAAAACAATTGTGTAATTTTCGCTCGAGATGGCTCTCAGCCGTTTATCCAAGACTACCATCAAATCCGATGTAAATACCCCGCTACAAGCTATTCTATGTGGCAGAATGGAACTCCGCCTCGACTCTTCCATATCTCACACCGTCCACCTTCAGCTCGAAGGTGAGCCCTGCTGATTCCATGCGCATTTCTAGCGTAAAGTCGAGGTTGTCAAACTCGACACCTCTTGTCGTCGTCAGGCGCGTAAAGAGACTCCTTGGCACGGCGTTAAGGTCGGTGGTCAGGGTGCACACGTGGATGAGGTCACGGGTGTAGGCTACAGGAGGCTCGTCGGCATCGCTGGCGATAAGATCATCCGTCACAATCAGGGATTGGCCGGGGCGGAAGTTACGAGTATAGTGGAAGGCAATCGGAGCCAGGGGCGACAAGGCCTCACCCTGCAGCGAGTTAGAGTGTGCAAAATCCCCTCTGAGGCAGAACATACCTTGGCAATGTGCCATTGCATACGATCCGAGACCATCCATCGCTCCCATAGCGGGGACCAGTATCTCTCGCTGACCGAATGTTTCTCTTCGTCATAAACGGTGGCGTACGACGTTCCGTAGTGCATTCTCGACTTGCGTGAGATGACCATGTTACCCTCCAACCCTCGGAGCACCGCACCTCGCACCACCGCAGTCCATGCGTAAACCGGCTGCATGACCTCGATGGAGCCCGTCTCTTGCGTAGCGTTGGCGGTCGCATGGGTCGGTCGCTCACTGTAAGGGGGAGGGGCTGCGCTGGTAAAGTGAGACTTGAGGCGGCGGTACAGGTAGTTGCTCTGGCCGAATCCTCCAACCAAGACGATGCCCGAGACGATGCCGCCCTTGGCACGCAGACTTGAAACCTGGCCCTGGACAAGGTCACAAACTTCCTTCACCACAGGCTCAAAGATGTCTTTGATCTGGTCTGCTGTCATGACTAGGAAGCCTGAGTCGAGACCAGCGTCTTCGTCATCCGGTAGTCCAGGGAATCTGCGAGTGTCAGTAAAGTCAAAGCCAAAGCGTCATGGGTAGATGTGACATACGGGACATTAACCTCCTGATGCTCATCCTCGTTGAAGTTCCGCTTGACGAACTCTTCGAAGTAGCGGAGACCCATCTGCCAAGTTTTTCCCTTCTTCAATTTCATCTCGTCGAACCGGCTCTGTCCAAGGCGGTTCCTGACATGCTCCTCGAAGCGGTAGTTTAAGAATGCGCTCCCACACAACCCTCCAGTTCCTACAGCAGATTCCTCTACCCGTAGAGGCTTAAGAGACATGATCTGGTAAGCGATGAGACTGCGCCGGTTAGTGTATGGTTGCAGTTGGCAGTCTAGGGAACTCACTCGACGGTGCCGCCTCCGGCGTCACAGACAATAAAGTTATCACCCACGTTGAGGTGGTTCGGCTGTATGGCTTTGAGTGTGTATACCGCAGCTGCTTCGGGCTCGCTGATCATCTGGATCTCGGACCTGCTTCCCATACCAGCGCGCTCCGCAGCCTGGAGCGTAGTATTCTTGGCTGCATCGCTCCACACGGCCGGGCACGTCAGAACGAACTCGACCTTGGTGGACGCCATGAACGACTCGCCGTACCGACGGGTTAGCGTGTCCATGGTGTGTATATAAATCTGCGTCAAATAGTCGCTCACGGCATCGACAACATTCTTGTTAAAGCGCTTGAGCTGGGCTGCCGTGTCCAGCGGACTCACGTAAAAGGGCAGCTTCTGAGAGCGATCTAGGAAGAGCTTGATGCAGCGCAGGCGCGACTCCTCGGGCTTGAACTGGAAACCCCATTTGGCCGTGGGCTCGGTGCCCGGGGGCGAGTTGGCGGGGAAGTCATAAGCAATCTCTGTGGGGACCTTGTCCGAGGTGATGCCATTGCCGCCAGGCCAGGTCTTGATGATTTCAATATCGTCAGGCGTAGAGGTGTAGACAGCCGCGACGCTGCAGGCGAGTTAGCACGTGCTGGATGGTGAAAGCCCTCATCAACTCGATGCGGGATGCGAGATGCCGTCACGGTCACACGGCGCGCGGGAGTCGGACAGCGGCCGAAGGTGGGAAACTCACCCTGAAAACGTGGTGCCGAAATCAACGCCCACAATCAAGCGATCGCTCAGGGGCGGCTGCTCCCTCGTGGGCTCGCGGACCGGCCCATTGATGGCCTCGGTGGAGCTCGGGGGCGTGTAGCTGGTGAAGTAGTTGCGGCTCTCCTGGTTGCGGCGGCTGCTGATGCTGGTGCGGATGGGCAGGTTGAGGTTGTTGAGATTCATGGTCACGACTCAGATTAATGGCAAATGCGCTTTTTGCGGTGGTGTGTGTGCTGGCCCCTGCACGAGTGCGCTGTCTGTCGTGGCGGTTGTGGTTGTCGTCGTGATTGTCGTGGTCGTCGTGTGTGTTGTTTCTTGACGCCTTTGCTGTCCCGCCGCATGGGCTGTTACCATGGCCTTCGGAACTCTACCCCTCCCCCGCGAAATGGAAATCACGGCGCTGGCGGCGCGTGGTTGGATGGCGGGATGGATGGCGCGCGGGACGATGCAGTGGTGGACCCGGACGGGCTCGGGGGTTATCCTCGTGGAGTTGAGGCAATAGTCTCGGGGCGAAGAGTGGGCAAAGAGGAGGGAGAGAAGAGGCGAATCAATCAAAAGGTCCACGGCGTCTCACTGAGTCAAGCACATGCCCGCACTCCATCCGGCGCTGAGTTGGTTGATGGATGCTGGATGATGACAAGCGACAACCCCTCGTCCAATCGTCAATTGTCAATCGCAATCGTCACCCCGTCGTCGCACCCGGTTCTTTGGAAAATAACGGCTTGACACAGCAGAAGACTCGAATATGAGGATGTAGCGTCCAAGCCTCTGCTCCGGCCGTCGTTGCAGCCGGTGTTTTCGTTGTCGTGGCTTCAGCTCAGCTCAGCTTAGCCCGGAGCGGGACCAAGGCAAGTGGACGAGTGCGACAAGTGCTGCCTAAGCCTCCCCATGTCGATGCGCCCGCCAAAAGGACATCACCACTCCCCTAACTCCCCACGTGACGCCTGCCTACCACCCAAGTTACCACCTAATACCACATACCTTCTAGGTACCAACATACACAGACACTCCGCCCGCCTTGCGCCTTGCGCCTTATGATCTGCCTTGGCTCCTTGGCTGGCTTTAGGCTGATCCGAAGCCTATAGCAACCTCGACTAACTAACCTATTCATAGTATATTCCCCTTTTACCTTGTTTAATCGGTGCCTGGGGCTCCATTTACTTACTAGCTGAACGTATGCTTACGCAGATCCACCAGACCACCACCGCACCACCACTGGACCACTAGACCAACTCACCACCGCCGTTGGACCACCACTTGGCCACCACTGAACCACTGCACCCAGCCCTCGGCCCGCCCCCAGTCCGACGTCATCGCCCAGGTCGACGCTCTCCAAAGCCTCCCTTACTTACATGTTTGTGCTCCTCCAGGCATCCAACATTTTGTTATCTTGCATCTTGCATCTGCATCCGAATCCTTCCTCCGCCATCTCCCTCGAGTTTCATCCACAGCTGCTTGCTTCTCAGCCACCTCCTCTTGTTTACCCCCGTCTCCAAAGTAGGGCCGGCCTAACCCAGCCCCCTCAGCATTGACCTCTCCACTCCACCACAACCAACTCCAGCAGCCTAGAGTTTCCCAGCATGAGCCGACTTTCTGCATTGCATTTCACTCCCTTGATCCAGACCCTGTCCATCCGCAATAACTTCGTCGGCGAGACACGTACTCCCTCTTCACCAGCTCCACACATCATCGCCCCAGCCCGAGTAAGAGGGCATCAATCAAAGCCTTTGTCAGCCAGCAAATATTAACATGAAGGCGTCACCTGCTAGTAACCGAGACAAGGAACAGTTGGGTTCAATGGGTTCACAGTGTAGTAATATTTAGAGGGGTGAATTACTTTCCAACCTCAATCCATTATCAATTCTTCACCACAGTCGCCCTAGGTACAGGCCCGATCCCGCCATTGACCCCAAGCAATATCCGAAATATTATGTACCGTAGTCGTCGACCGTTATATTGCAAACTATTCAGTCCGGCATCCTGGCCTTTGAAAACCTCCCTTCTAATAGGCGGTAACTCTCCCAACAATGCAAGAAAAAAACAAATAAGAATGGGAATAGTAACGCAACTATGCTCGCTGGCCTTTTTTACAACAGTCTTCGATAAGCAAACAAGAGACACACCCTCCACTTCTCCACGAAGGTCGTGTCCTGTTTGTCGCTTTTCTGTGATCGCCAAAGGAAAAGAATGAAGTAAAACAGAAAACAGAACATGGTTGTTCCATGTCCAACCAAGGCACCACATACTCCAATTCGCCCTCTTATATAGTAAGACAAAGGAAAGAAATTGGTTCAGTGTGATGCAGTATTTGCGTCAAACAGATGGCGGCTGAGCTTGCCAGTCTCGGTCTATAGGGGGTATTTGATACTCGAGGCGTCTGAAACGAAAAAAAAGGAAAGATAACGAAGTGGTGATAATAATGAGCAGTAAGCGGCACTGATATAGCCGGGTATTTTGGTGAAATGTCGAAGGTTGCTGAATCGAAGCCGAAGAAACATGTTGAATAGCCAGGCCGGATGCCAAATCAAAACGGACCGCCCACACAACCAAGATAAAGGGGGGTTGTGTATCTTAGACCAACACCGAACACCGTGACCATGCGAGGCGATACATCAAGAACTTTTCCCACTCCACTGGACGTAATCATACCGGGTTGTCTCCCGAATGCGTACACATTTAAAATCGGTTGCTGGCAGCCCAGATGCTGGCGGATGCCGACGCTGCCCACTCACTCTCCTCGTACGGAGGTGTGGGCCACTTGTATTGACCCTCCGCCTTCTTGCTCAAATCGAGTGGCCTGGGCGTCACAGCCTCCTGGCCTTCTCCAAAGAGAACCTGGTTGCCGCTAGCTGAGGGCGAGGGTGTGGGATATGGGTTTTGGAGGCCCAGGTTGCTGGCCGATTGCCGCAGAGGCTTGGTCACCTCCCGCTTCACGGGGCGTCTGGGCGAGGACATGGCCTCGTCAAGGAGCTCATCCTCCTCATCAGGGGCCTCGTACTGGTGAACGCCGTGGGTAGCATGGGCTCGGCGCGTGCGGCTTGAGATGGGTCCAGTGCGCGCAGCAACGATGAGGTTATCAACTGATCGCGCCTGTTGGTGAGGAAGGGAGTGATGTCGCTTGAGATTGCTGGTGGGAGACAGGTTATGGGCGGGTGGTACGGGAGGCCGGGCGTCCAGGTTGTTCTGAACGTCTCGGAGAGCCTTGTCCAGCGACTCATAAACTTCAGATTTGGGGGCGGGAACCGGCTGCTGCTGCTGGTCAATAACCATGGAGGACCGGTTGCTTGCCCAAGGGCCGCATCCAGCCTGGGCCTCGATGTCGTCGTATGATGGAGAGACGGGCGTCTGGTGTCGTCCGGAGAATCGCCGTGCACGCTTCCGAAGGTGGGAAAAGAAGCTCTCCTTCTGGCCGCTAGGGGGCGATGCCAGTCCGGAATTTCCATTGAGGGCACGTTCGGCTTGCTGACGGTGCATTTCCGTGTAGTTGTTTGTGCTTGATGCGACAGACAACTGTCGGCCAAGTTTCTTGGACTTCCCCTGGCCATGTCCGTTAGCGTAAGAGTCGTTGTAACCGTTGTTGGCGCGGGCAGTTACAGCATCGGACATCGGTGAGATGGGCCTGATCGTTGGTAGGATAGCCATGGGCGCCACATTTGAGGGACCATTTGTCCAGGTAGTCCTTTTCCCGGCACTGGCGCGATGCTTGACAGAGGCCTGGGCCTGGAGTTCTGTGGTAACCGCATGCGCTTGTGCGGGTCGAGGAGAGGTGGCCTCCTTGGCCGGAACCTGGGCGATGGCGTTTTCGGTGCTGTCAGTACGGTTGATGAGTGACTTTCGGAACCATGACTGCTTGGAGGAAGATGTCGGGGTGGTCGCGGCGGAGTCCTTGGTGCTGCGGTTGAGATCAGACTGCTTTCGGCCGAGCATTCTCGAGGCGGAAGACTTGGGTCTCATGGGATCGACAGCATCCAAGAAGTATTCGTGAGCGAGAGCCTGGGAGGAAGTCGGTCGAGTCTTAGGGTCCCACATCAAACACCAGGTCACGAACTGGCTCAGGGACGCAGGCCACTGAGGGGATTGCAAGATAGTATCCATGGAATGAGGAGCCATCTTGGGGAACGAGAAGCCGAGCTTTCCAGCCAGCCTGGTACCTTCGCGCCATTCTCCACCGCCGACGCGGGCACCGGACTTGTTGTACCAGTTTCCAGGGCTTCCCATAATTTCACACACCCTCCAAACCTGATCCACCTCGTTTCCGCCGGGGAACAGGGGCTTCAGCGTGGCAATCTCGACAGCCATGGCGCCGACAGCCCAAATATCGACGGGGGCGGAGTACTCTCCGGCTCGTAGCAGCACTTCTGGGGCTCGGTACCATCTAGTTGATACGTAGGTGGTGTACGGCAGCTTGGAGTGAGTCTCCCGAGCGAGACCAAAGTCGGCAATCTTGACGGTATAGGTGGGAGGCGTTGAAGGAGGAGTGACGAGAGCCGAGTACCGTCGGAAAGAGTTGTTGGATTCACTGTGGGAGGATGTTGACACCAAAATGTTCTCGGGCTTGATGTCGCGGTGGAAGAAGTGGTGAGAGTGAATGTGCTCCAGGCCTTGCATGATCTGGAAGAGGATGCTCTTGACGCTCGCGTTGTCGAGGCACTTGTGGTCGCGGGCCTTCATTAGCTGGTAGAGGTTACCCTCCATGTACTCCATGGCAATATGCAGCTTCTTGCTGTACGGGTCCAGGAAGATGTCGAGTGCGGGAACTAGGTGAGGGTGGTTCGGGAGAGTGCGGAGGAAGACAACCTCGCGGAGCTCGAGACATGGTTGAAATGACTCGAAGGTCTTCTTCATCGTCTTGATGGCCACCTAGAAACTGGTTACGGACGCTGTCGGGGGACAGACTTCAGGGCGTCGAGACTTACCACAGTGCCTCGGCGGGCAACATTGGCACCCGCCGTCCTAACTCTACCAAGAACGACGCTGCCAAAGCTACCGTCGCCAATCTCCTTCAACACTTCAAATCGGTCCTCGAGGGTGAGGGCGGTGCCGGAGGCCCCTCGGTGGGTGAGGTCGCTGGCGATAGTCATGGTGACTGAGCTGTGATCAAGAACTACTCCGGGTCGAAAGTGTGGGTGAGACTCGTGAGAGTAGAGATCCTGGCCGCTGGCGTTAGGATTGGCCTTGGGGTCCAGACATCGACCGGCAATGGAAAGTACCTGATCAGGACCAAAACGAGCTCTGTCAAAGAGCTGAGAGGCGGTTTATCGGTGCATTCAGATTGTTGAGGTTGCTGTGAACGATATGCGGGCGAATTGCGGAAGTGGGTGTGCGTGCATGCGAATCGTGGAGCGGAAGTTGGGCCGAACTTTACGATGGTGGTGCAAGCGAATTGGTGGCGTGTCGTTGAAGAGTGAGACTGAGTCCGGGCGAGGGCGAGAGAATGGATGAATGATGTGAAGAATGAGAACGAGAGTAGAAGAGAGGATCGAGACCGAGTACAACAGAGGGGGGTGTTCGCTACAAGGACGGGGAAAGGCAAAAGGAGTGACTGAAGTGAGGGTGATTGCAGAGTGGATAGAGTCGATATTAACGAAAAGGAGAGGGAAAGCTCTTGCCCAGGTCCAGGGGGGAGTGGCTTGAACCTGCCGATCGGGGAGGGATCCTCAGGCCACTAGTGCTTCGATGGGCCCTGGCTCGTGGGAATGGGACTTGGCTATGGGGGACTGGGGACGCTTTGGAGGCGGAATCCGAGCTGACTGAGAGATGAAATGCTCAGGGCTGGGAGCCAACTGCCGGCGGCGACGGGAGCGAGGATGGGATGAGAGTTTACGCTGGTGAGAGGGGGAGCAAGAGGAGAAGAGGAGAAGAGCGGAAGAGGACGAGGCGGAAGAAGGATGGATGGATGAGGTGAGGTGAGTGAGGTGGAGGACCCCCCCAAGACGCAGCGAGAGAGCGCTGGAGGTGGGTGCAGCGGCGCGCAGACAGAGCCAAAGATGCAGCGCAGCGCAGCAGAGGTACCTACGAGTGGTGCACAGCGAGCGTACTGTACCGTCCAGTCGAAGTGAGACAGGGGTGGGATTCTGCCCAGGGACGAGGGGCGTGGACGGCGATGGCGCAGTGGAGTGCAGCGAGCAACGCGACAGTTCAGGCGAAGAAGCAATCCGCGAAAGTGCGAGACTTGTGAACGCTCTGGAAATACGTATCCTGAATCCTGGAGGAACCTGCGCCTCCGTGCGAAGGTGGCTTGGAGCGGAGGTAGCACTCGTACTGCTGTACTTTGCATGATGTACAGCCCTGGGACCCGAGCCTGACTCTGGCCGGTACGTACCCGACCCGTCCTGTCATGGCCCATGGGTGCCAGCCTGGCGAGGTGGAGGCCCAGGGTCAAGACGGCCCTAAGAGCCAAAAGGCATGGGCGGGCGTATCCACTCTTCCAGTTGTCGCTAGCTGGGTTACAGGGGGTCCAGTGGAAATGGTCGAAGCCCATGAGCATCCAGTGAGTGATCCAGCACGGTACTGGGTGTGTAGCGCGCACAGTACCCTTTGCCGATGCCAACCAGCAGCACCAACCAGCGGCGTAGGTTCTGACAGCGGTCACTATCACCCAGTCAAGCACCGAAGAACAAAGACCCTGGCGTTCAAACAGACTTCTTGACTCAAGCACAGGGGAAAATGCTGTCTTTCCCTTCCCACGGGCTGCGATGGGTTATGTAGGACAGTGACGTGCTACATCCAGCCACAAGGCGCGTGCCGTACGCAAGGGAGAGAGAAGTCCGTACCAAGGCGGCGGAGAGGGTCAGATCTGTTCGGGAGCGATGGTCACGTACGTGGGGGAATTCCCAACGATGGATGCGCGGAGGGCCCAGTGTCGCAGATGGAGACAGGGAATCGGGCCCCGGGACCAAGACAGGAGGGAATGGAGACGTCGTTCAGTGTACTTGGGCACTGTACCACGCAGTAGTGTCGCCCAGCGGTACCTACACTTGAGAATCAAGACATGAGAGAGAGGAGGGGGGGAGGGGGTCAGAAGGGCCAGTTAGAGGGGTCAGAGGACCAGTGCGAGAGCACAAGATGGATGGTCCGCACCAGCTTCCTATGGCCCATGAGGACGACGCGGACGCGTTGGTATGGGACGGATTCTGGATTGGCATGGGATGACATGGGATTGGGATGGATCACGGGGGCTGGCTGGCTGGTCTCCTGTTGGGCTTGGGCTTTGGCTTCGGGGCTCGGACTGGTGTTGGTGCTGGTTGCGTGCCGGGCTGGCAATCAGGGTTTCCCACAGGTCGACCAAGCTCGGGGCCGTCGCTAGCATGAATGAGAGTGAATGGATGAATGGGCGAGTGAATGTGATGATGGCGGCATCTAAAACTCCCCAGGCCATTCTCACCCCGGCAAGCCGCAAAACGGTTGCATCATAGAGCATCATATCGTGGTAGAGCATCCGTCACAGTGCCTTGGCCCCGCCAGTCGTGCCTGTTACACAGCGGGTGACGGGACGAACGACCTGTGGACGAAGAATCACGGGGTAAGATGAGAGAGAGAGAGAGATTTGAGTCCTTGGGGTCGCCAGAGGAGCCAATCTCGCTAGCGGGCCCAGTTCCCGGGGCGGCGCCAGACCAGAACCGGCCTGCTCTTTTGTTCCCTTTCGTTTCTTCTTCTTTCAGGCCGGGCCCCCATGCGAATTGTACAATTAGGTACAATTTGGGCTGGTGACCAGCCGTCCAGCCCCCCCGCCAGCCCGCCAGCCCGCGGCGCGCCTGGTCCTGAAGGCAATTTAGCAGACAGTGAAGGCGTCGCCGCAGCGGCCCGGGGGACAGGGCTTTGGGGGCCGGCGCTGAGATTATGAAAGAGATGAGAGTGGGAAGGCCAATCTATCAATCCCGGGGTGTGATTGTGCTCCTCCATCGGATTCCTTGGAGTGGGCTTGTCCCGTTGCGTCCGCGTCGGCCGGTACACGGCGCCACCAGCCATGACGCTCGAGGACGTTGGGGATGCACTTTCGTACGAGGGCTTGCTTATTACACGCTTTTCACGCGCCGCAACTCTCACACGCGCAAAAAAGCTACCCAGAGAAGGCTGCCGGGAAACCTGCGACGCGACAGCCCCGTCCAGCGAGCCCGTCATCACGTCTCCCATTCGCGCGTAGCGTGCCTGTCTGCCAATCCAGCAACGATGCCAAGCGGGTTGTCAGACGGGGCCAACCCCAAGAGCGCCTGGCGTCTGATGATGGTCCTGGGACGGCCGCGCTCGTTTCTGGCCATCAGCGCGACCCAAACGGCACTGGAGCAGCAGCCTTGCCTTTGCCTCTTCAGGGCCGGGCCACTGGGGGCAGGAGAGAGTCGCGGGGCCCTTCTTCGGCGTCTCGGGTCGCATGAATTGGCTCCCGGGACCGCCCCCCACCAACCCTTCGTCCTCTAAGTTATCCCATTCCCACAGCTTTCTTTTTGGGGGGCTCCTCCTTGTTGGCCCGCTGGGTCTAGGTTGGTGCGTGCACTTCTGGAGCCCTCCCAGAGCCCGTCATACAGCGGCCGGGCGCCAGGGCTGGTAATCAAACTGCCATTTAGCCTCGAAACGGCCCTCTCGCCCTGGCCGTGCCATGTAACGGTGGAGAGGTCCAGGGACCTGGGGAGGAAAAGGGGGATGCGATGACAGATGGGAGAGAGGGGGGATGCGATGAGAATGGCTCTCTCTCTTGGTTTCTCGGAGAGGGGCGGCAACGCCTTTGCTGTTCAATGACGGCCAGCTGAGCGCGAGTCTAAGGAAATACCGGTTGTCGCTTTTACAGTGCGGGAGCTGTGCGGGAGCTCGGGAGGCGCTGGAAACTGGACCAAGGCGCAGAAACCAATCCATCCATGGCATAATCAATCAATCAGGCTTTCGGTTTGGGGTGCATTGGTGGCAGCATATCCGAAACGCAGTGTCCCCTGTCACACACGTGTACGGGCCCTGGCAGTGCGCCGCGAGAGCTGGCCCAGTCGTCCGTCTCCCCCCCTCCAATGCCCACACGGCATCCAGCGCGGCATCCAGGGCATAACTCCGGACACAGCAGCACGATGACAGAGTTTTGACGGGGCGCAGAGATCGTCAGTGACCTTCTCTGAGACGCAACGTCTTGTCTCCATCGCTGAGCCCGTTCGTCGCATTCCACAGTGACGCTCCAAGCTCCATCCATGGCCACCCAACCGGCCAACCGGAATGCCCAGGAACCAAACCGCGGGTCTCCGCCGCTTCGGATCAATGCCCAAGACCTTCACCTCGGGACGGAATCCTACTCCAGTGCTCCAGCGACGTCTGCACCGCACTGTATCGCCTCCATCTCAGGTGTGCCCAGTGCCCGGGGTTCCAAGACGAGACTCGCGTGTCTTCCGCCACAGTCCCTGACCCAATCCCAACAACGCGCTCAAGTGCTTGCATGGGCTCGACACTGGAATTGTTTGAGGACATCGTTCCGGGTTGCTTTATTCAAATTTTCCATCCCCATCTCCCCATCTCCCCATCACATCTCATCCCTCCGGAACCTGAACCGCGGAATCGTTGTGTGCTTTTCGAGACGACGCCAACCTCAGTAAAGGCATCGGCCCTGAGCCAACCTCCGGAGTGTGGGGCCGTCGCCTGGGGTGCTCCAGGAGCCAACCACCAGCCGCGAGTGCCTGGGACCGTGTACAAGAACTGCGCTACTTTTCCATGCGCCTAGAATGCGTGCCTGCATTGGTACCGTCCACAAGGTGGCAGGTACCCGGGCGGCGACAGGCATCTCGAAATAACCCTGGACCCGCCCGTGCCTTCCTCCCGCTCTGCACCCCGTCTGTAAAGATACAAGTGACTTCTTACGAGCACAACATCGATACTACTTCGTACTCTGATCCTGGGCTTCAATAGTGCCGGGAATTGGTCCCAATACAAAGGAAACAAGGCTCCGGGGCACGGAGATTGCCCTGGTGGACCAGGTTGACAGAGACCGGATAGCTTCGATGATATTCCCAGAGGCGGAAGGTCATGCTGTGAGACGGCCAGGAACAGTCTTCGAGAAGAACTGCAATCCTGGCCAAGATCAATCATTCCCCCAACACAATGGATGCCCTAGCCGTCGATCCCTCTCTGCCGTTGGGTTCCCTCATGCCATGCTGCAGCTCTGTGGTCCCCCCCTCTCTAGTCCCCTCTGTCTCTCTCTGCTTTGCGACTCTGGCCGGGGACGCATTGGATGCCTCCCCTCCAATTCCCATGTTGCGCCGCTTGTCGCCGGCCGGGTCGCAGGCCAGGCTCCCGTCTTGAAACGCGGTAACCCACCAGGAACCGCCGCTATGGAGTCTGTCCTGGGTGCGCGAGATGGATTGCATGTGGCCGTGGTCCTTGGACCCAGGAACTGTCAGATCAGAAATAGCAGCAGGTTGAGAGCAGGCGGGGACTTGAAGGCCAAACGGACCTAAAGAGGGGCCTGGCATTAATGCGAATGGCTTCCCGGCCCTCGTCAAATCTCAATGTCTCGTGCTCGAAGCGAGCGCCCTTTCGGCTCTCATGTCACCCGTTGGCGGGGGCGTCGTCGCCATCCCCGGATCATACCTAGGAGCTCCCTGCGCGACATTTGTTTTTTATGCGCACAGATACGCATAAGATCCTCGGTGAGGCCCGTTCATCTCTCAGCCGGCCGATGGCGATGGTGGCTGAGGGGGGTATTGGATGGTATGTAAGACCCCTCTGCGGGACAACAATGCGGGATACACGTTGGGAAACGTGCGAGAGGTGATTCCTTGGAGGGGTCAGAGGGGCCAGAGCGAATTGAGAGCGGGATGAAGGCCGCTGTTTTGCTGTGTTTATCTTTACTTCTTCTCAGCCTCCCTTGCCAGCTCGTGGGCCGGAGAATTGGGGGTCTCACGCCGCCCTTGCAGGCTGCGTGTGCCTGGATATGTGCCTGAGTATGCAAAAGTGTGTGAGTGTGCCTGTGGTGTGCAGTAGCTTCAGCGCAGCTCGCAACCAACTGTGCCCTGCTTTCCTCTAATTCTCGTCACATCTCAACGTTCGCCTACCTACGCGAGTGCGTGTCCAGGCCTGCAAGTTTTTCTTTTCCTCAGCCGTCCCCTGCGCTGTCAACAGAAGAAAAGTCTGTTCAACATGTCGAAATGGCTCAGTCGGGTCCGCCCCTCGTGGTCGTACTACGTAGTAGTCTTGGTGCTCGTGTGGCGACCCCCTTAGCAATGCCGCACGTTCCCAACCTTCGGGCTGCCCGCCACCCGTGCCCGCCCGTCAACAAGGCCCTGCTCACTGTTTTCCCAGCCTCGGGCCTGCTTGTGTAAAACTGCACCGCTTCACTGACAGCTTGTGTGGGCTGTGGAGAAGAAGAAAGCCCAGGGCTCTTCCCGATGGGACGCGCCGCAAGCCCCACTCGCCGTCCGTCGCCGACCGGGAGCTTCGAGACCTAGGTAGGTAGGTAGGCACTGCAGGAAAGACTCTCTAGCGCCCGCTGGCTCCGTCCGGGAATCGATGGTTGATGGTCACGGACGGCACCAGCGCAAGGCCACCACGTGCTTTTGCAAAGGAACCATTCGTGTTTATTACGCCAGGCGAGTGATCACCGCATCAGGGGGGAAGGTCTCACTATTGGGGCTGGACTATGGCGCCGCGCCGTTGCAGGCTTGGATAGCGACAAGGACAGCCGCCTTGGCTTGGATGGGCTTCAGCCCAGGCCGTGACCGCGTCGCTATGTCGCCCCTCCGGGACGAGCTTCATCGTTCCCGCTCGCTTCGGAGTTGGTTAGGCAAGCTGGGCAAGCTGGACTGGACAAGACACCCGTGCAGCTGTGAGCTAGCGTAGGTTGTACGAATGTGGCAACATCTGTCCATTTGTGGCATCCACGTCAACATATCTCGCCATCGCCTGTCGATCCTCGCCCAAGTCGGTCACCTGTCAGCAGCAGTCCCACGGGACGTCGTTGATCTCTTGTTGCTGTCCGAGACGATCCGGGAAGCTGTCGTCGATCCATGTTGAAACAGCCGTGGGCCAAACGGAGCACAGCTAAAGAGTCGGCAAGTGCCACTTCAGGAGAGGCTGTGAGAATCGGATGCTTATTAGAGCTCCAGGGTGGGCTGAGTGGGTAGATGGTGGTGATGACGCCCAACCCTAGGGAGGGCTCTCTACACGATCGGCCTGTCTCGAAGCAGGATTTTGGCAGCTCTGTCTCATTCTCTCACAAAAGCTAGCATCGAAAATCAGGGTTTTCGCAGGGGCCGCCTGGCCGCATCCTTGACAGCCGACTGAATCTCCCCATGGCAATCGTCCCGTCGCCGGCAGGTGCTGCATGTCTGAAGCTGTGTACCCCAGATTCACCAACCACATTAGTGGTGACCTATAGACAGCCGGGCGAGAGACTGAACTCGTCTTGCCTACGGGTGGATCTCCAGGCCTAGGCCATGGGTTATTGTACATGGCTGGATCCGCGTCTGCATGTTTCTGGTCGGTACGGTGGACGAACGTAGGTAGGTTTCTCTAGAGCCCGCCGTACGGAGTGCAGAAGCCGTTCCCGCCAAGATCCGGCCGGTGCAAGCCGCTCGTGTGTTTCCTGTCCGAGCACGAAGACGGGAACGAATAGTTGAAGGCCTCTTCCGTGGCCCAGGCCGACCCGTTGGTGCAGATTTGGCAGTCTGCATGGCCGTGGCGTGACCAACTGCTTGAGGTGAAAACCGCTCGCATTCACAAGTCTAGCGAGCGAGTCACTCGCAGAAGCCTTCATGTGCGGACATGGCAGAAACACCAATGGGTTCCGCGGGGCTGCCGGATCGCTGCAGCATCGAGCTGTCAGACCGACTCACACCCAGGCCTCTCTGCATTGCTCGGTCCTCCCAGCGTCCAGCAAACCCAACCCCCAGGAACCGGCGCCTCGTGTCGTTGGCTGGAGCCCGCCGCCAGAGCCCACGGGAGTCCACGCAGTGATGCTTCACCCTGCTCTGAGGGGTTTCCCTGAGTGGCCGAGAAGCATGCCAGTTGGCCGTCTGGGGTTCTGCAGCAAGCTAAGCCGTCGGTCGTGCGGTCATCCTTTGTGTTGGGGGCGGTGAACCCAGGGGGGGTTGGCTGGCGGTATAGGGTAGGTGGCGGTGAGTGCAGGGATTGCGGAGCTTCATGTCGATGGATGGGACTGATGCCCGGTCAACGGGGCTGGGTGCCTAAATATTTTGATCATCATCGATGGGCGACGATATTTGTTCGCGTTGTGGAGTTCGTTCATGCGGGAGGAGTTTGTAGGGGGTGTGTGCTGGGATAGTCGGCCTAACCGATCACTGGGAGCTATAGATCGAGAGGGTCAAGGTTGAAGGAACATAATTTTTTCCAAAGCCAGAAAACGCCAAACTCAGTTAGATCCAGTATTAAACGCCTCTTTGGCTTTGGGTGTGTTGTGCTAGGATGGGGTCGTTGTTCAATCGCCTCTAGGGTGTTGGAGGTGTGGTCGATCGGCTGGGCATGTCGTGGAACAAACACTTGCTCAAAACTGGTTGGATATTTGTGGTGGTGATACAAACATGCGGGCTTCAATTACTCTATTTAGTTCCATTGCTATTACTGGTCCAAATAGTATGGCATTCGGATGCAATTAGCGTTTACGGGACGGTTGAGACGACGGCCACCAACCATTTCCTCGTGACTGGTGATTGCTTCAATACAAGCCCAAACGCCACAACCACAACAAGTGCGTTTAAGAAATGCAGGAAACCGGAGCAGGGAACAGGGAAGACCGGCTCTAGGCAAACACGGCACTTCAATAGGCATCTTGCAGGCCCAGCAATGAATCACTGTGAAGTGCTTGTCCTATATCAACCGTGAGGCTTCACAGTCTTCGCCCCCGTTTCACTTCACCTTCTTCCATCACGATTGCACCCTTGCCTAGTATCGAGTGGCTGCTCTTGCAAGTCAACTTGGTGTGGTACAAGAAAAGCCATTGGTGTTCTCAAGCTGATACATCATTTCTGGTGATAACCTTTGCCCTCCTTCCTTGGCTGGAGCGTGAACCCTGAGGCCTCCACGCCCCCTTCCTTCCTTCCCTCCTTCCCTCCTTCCCTCCTTCCCTCCTTCCCTCACCCAATAACTTCTCTCTCATATCTTCCACCTCCCGTTAACGAAGAAGCGTTTCAGTTTGGGCTGCCCACTCATCTGTGCGACTCGAATCCCGTATCGAACGGACCTTCGACAGAGCAACCAAACTTCTGCCGTCCCCTTTTCATCATTTCTTTTCTTCGGCAAGGTCTTGCCAGGTATTGGTATTGCAGTCCTCCGTCCTGAGCCTCTAAGGTCGCTTTCTCTCTTGTTTGGTATTCCCCTGTTCTCTTCGCCTTCCAGTCGACAACATGGCACCAAACCAGAACAAGGGGGTCATTCGACCGTAAGTCACATCCACCACTCGACACGAGCGATCCTCACCACAACTCTCTAGGAGAACCGCCGCTGCGGTCCCGACTCGGTAAGCTCAACTACCTACTCTCGGCTGCCCGCCTTGCTGACACTTCCAAGTTTCCGATGTAAGGTTGGGGGAGAATGGAAGCCAATCGATGCCTTCTCGGGAAACCAGCAAAAGTTGATCCAACGAAACATCGAAAACAGACGCGACGTTGATGCTGCCCACTCGGGGATGACATGCCGCGAACACACGTCCAAGTCACGTTGCGAAATCCGATGCGAGGTCTGTGGACTGATCAAGCCCAAAGATCAGTTCAGCAAGAACTCCCTGAAGCTTGACGAATATGTGAGTGCGTCGATAGGCAGGTCTTGCACGCTGCTGACTTGACACAGGCTTGTATGCGCTGTGTGGCCTGGACTGAGACTCAGGAACCAGAAGTCACACCGGCCCCTTTGGAGACGGGTCACATCTCAGTCGAGGAAGAGAACGTTGGTGTTTGGCAAAACGACTTCGAGTCCAACGTCGACTTCTTCGAAGACGATGGCCTACCAAAGGTAAGATTCCACTCATGGGTTCCTTGCATTTTCTCACCCAAGTCAGGCCCCGATTTCCGACTTGTCGTCGCTTGGCCTGAACGACCTGGATCTGTTTGGCAATTCAGATAATGTTGGCAGCGCGACATTGTCCCACATCTTGGATCAACGTTCTGCCAAAGAACGGTACATAGCCGACACTGCCAGCGTCTCCGGGGAGTCGATCTACACGTCCAGTGTCAGTGTCCTGCCGCCACATCTTGCAGGGCTATCGAAAGCCAGTGAGTCGGGTCCAAAATCAACGTCAGGCGCTTCCGAGGCGACCAGAGAATCGCGAGGATCTTCGACGCTGCCACCCCATTTGAGAGGCTCAGTTCCTCAGACCAGTTCGGCACGAAGCGTCTCGACGGCGACCACTGTCCGCAAGGACAAGGAAGAACGAGCAAAGTCTCGGGCCATACCCTTCAATGCATGGGGCCCTACTGGAAAGCCCTATCAAGCCATCAAAGACCCGACCATCTCAACCATGTCTAGCGCTACTTCGCAGAAGTCTAGTGTCAAGGCAAACGTTCAAGATGACCCAAACATTATTGGCGATTGGGATTTTCCCCCTCTTGGGGAACCCCAACCCCAAAGCAGCGGTCGATGGCCGAAAGCCAGCGAGGTAAGTCTGACTCTGTATCGGCCCGAATGAAAGACTAACAATTTGATTCAGAGCAGAATCCCCCAGGCCCAGTTGAAGAAGCAGCCTATCCTCACACATACGAAGACACGACACATCGACCCTGAAATCGATCGACAGCGCAGAATGAACTACTGCGATTCTGACGACTCGGACTACTGAGTCCGTCGATGGTAGATGCCCGGCCATTGTTCTTCGGTTTGCGTGTACGTTCATGGACAAGTCTCGTGGATCCTACTCGCGACTGTTGTGCCACAGTCACCCAGCGGAATCACGACATGTGGCCCGGCTTTTCCTTTCACTTTTCGATTTGAGGATGTGTTTGACCCGCTACTCATTACGCCGCACACCGCAGAGAGCATTTCCCCCATAGGGTTTGATCATGACGAATATCGAGGATCTCGAGGTTGTCTGAAGCCTCTCGGTTCGGTCGAGCACGGAAGAGAGTTTTGCTAATTGGAACGGTTGAAAATTGGGGTGAAGTTGGCCAGTTTGTTCATCTGGAATTGGTCAAGATACCTAGCTTTAGGTAGTACAGCCAGTATTATCTTAGCCAGCGAATTGAGCAAACTAGTTGCGAGTTGCCTTCCATGTTCCTCCTGTGTCATGTTTCAAGACGTGCTGTCGGGCCGTTTCACATGGCGCACTCGAATGATTGCTCGGAACGGTAGGTGTATCCAAAGAAAACGAAGACACAGTGATATTTCCTACCCATGAACCCGACTCCCGTAGTGGACCTTTTCCATTTACATGCATGCATGTTTGTTGACAATAGAGCCGCCTCCCTCCCATGCCCGGTGCCCCATACCCAACTGCCTAAATTCGTCGATTTTCCCTTTACAGGAAGTCCTTTCCATCCATCCATCATACACGGGCCGAGCAAAGTATCCACCATCACCACACTCAACTGTTCCCTCTCGCGGGGACTTGCGTGTAAAATCTGTATCCCTCCTCGTAAAATATGCAGGCGCATGGTTTTGCGCTCTGCTGGTTTCGTACACTGCCCGTGTGGCTCGTTGCCCATGGCTGTTTCGTCATCCTGGATGCGCCAGGGGCTATGCGTCTCTGCCTGGCGCGTATAATCCTCCTCATCTCTTCGAATGCTGGAGTGTGACTTGTAAATCCTCCCAACGTATATGACCCAACTTGTTGCTTATTCTCTTTAATTTCTCTCTGCCGCCGAAACCCTTGGTATTAGACTTCCTGATCGGTACTGCTAAAACTGCTTCGCGGAGGTGCGTTCACCACCGCCTCGGCATCGCCCACCTGTTTCCGTTCGGAGACCTCACGGAAATCCTTGAGGCGCTTGCGTAGGACTAAGGGGAGGGACGATGCGCTGGCGGTGTGTAATTGCTATTGGAGAGGCTCCGAGGAGGACGAGAGGCGGTTGAGGTGGAGGTAGACGTCGGTTCCGTATCTGGGAGGAAGAGAGTTAGCGAGTGCAGTCAATGACGTAGGTCCCCAGTGGCCAATCTTACCCTTCCATGCTGATGAGCTTCAGGTCACCGCCAAAGTAGCGCGCGTAGAGGCGAGATATGGGTAATCCGTAACCGAAGCCGGCCATGGGGGCTTTGAAGTCGCTCTTATCGAAGTCGGGGTCCAGGCTCGGGGTTCGGTCGACGGTGGTGTACATGTAGGTCCAGACGAGGGGGATGGCGCTGCGGGGGATACCGCCACCCTCGTCGGAGATCTTGATGGTAATATCCTCCTTGCCCTCGGCAACAATGACCTTTGTGACGGGGAAGGCCTGCTTGTCCATGCCGTGGGTCTCGACGACGGCGCGCAGCGAGTTCTTGAGGGTCTCGAAGAGCATGTGCGACAGGTGGCCGGGGACGTACATAAAGTTGAGGTTGGGGTTGCAGACGAGCTGGATCTTGGGGGCCTCGAACAGGCCGTAGTGGTCCTCGCAGACGAAGCGGGCGTTCTCAATGGCCTCCTGGGCGAGATCCTGGACGTTTGTCTTTGTGCAGATGATTCCGACGTAGGCGGGGTCGCGGTGGTGACTTTGGTCGGTGAGGGCGATATGCTGGCCAATGAGCATGCGGATGCCGATGCGGGACATGTAGAAACGGTCGAGGAAGGATTGGATGGTGCTGTCGATTTGCATGCGCTGGCGGCGGCGCTTGTACTCCAGGATACCCTGGGCCATGGTGGTGACGACGCCGTCATGGCGCCGTTTGATCTGGTGAAGCGTCTGGGCGAAGCGCTGGTTGTAGAAGTGGAGGTCGGCGGGCCAGTCGCTGGAGTCGTCGACGACGGCGAAGTAGCGGCGCGTCACGGCCTTGCCACGGCCGTTGCCGTTGCAATTGGACTGAAGCCCGCCCCAGCCGGAGGAGTCGCCCTCGTCGATTGAGGGATTGGGCGTTGCGGCGGGGAGGCGGACGGCCTGGCGACCGAAGGCCTTGCCGGGCTTCATGAGGCGGGTGCGCACATCCTGGGCGAGGTTTGGCCGGGGGAGCTGGGTGATTTCCTGCGGGCGAGGTCAACATCGAGTGGGAAATGTAGTGGAATGGGCAGGGAGAGGAGAGATGGGAAGAGTCCAAGTCGGGAGGAGGCAAGGCGAAGCTATTCACGGGCGGCGCATCACATGGACATACCTCAAATGACTGGGCGTACCAATCCTTGACTTTGATGACCGAGGGCATCTCATTGAGGCCGTCGGGAAGCTCGTCAAGCTCCTGGACTCGGTGTGCTAGACGGATAGGGAGCTCCTCGGCGAGGAACTGCGAAGCGCGGAACAGGGTGCCTGAGGGAACGGGTCAGCGGCCGAAGTGGCCCAGCAGGCGCAGGCTCGGGCTGAGCCTCTCTGGAGGCGACAACATACCGACCGAGGGCTTCTCGCCAAACTGGACCATCTGGCGCAGGCTGACGCCGGTCGCCGGGAACTTTGCATAGTGGCGGATGGTGTTCATCAACCGCTCCGAGGCTTTCCACGACATGGCGGGCAGGTGGGAGCCTGGGAGGCGAAGGGATTCGGGACTCGGACTCGGTCGGACGAAGGCTCGGACGGAGGGAGGAGAGAGCGCCGGAAGGCGGCTGCGGAGAGGGCCCGGGGAAGATGCAGGGAGCAATCGGCTCACGACGGCGACATTGATGACGAGCCGGAGAGCGAGGCAGCGGAAGGGAGTGCGCGCGCGTGGATTAGAGCTGGCAGTGGGGAGGAAGATGAGTCAATCGGTTTTGTTTTGGTGGTGGTGGTGGTGGTGGTGAGGATCGACCAAGATGGCGGCCCCGCGGGATGGTGGGCGGCGTGGAAGAAGCCGAGGCAGCCCGGGTGCATGGATTGATTGGCAGCGAGTCGATTCGTCAGTGGCGCAACAAGCACAGCAACGTCGTCAATGGGATGGGGGACAGCAAGAAGAAGAAAAAAGATTGAGGTTGAGGGTGTCGCGTGAGGTGGATTACAGGAGGAAGAGTCAGAGAGTCAGAGCCAGCGATGGAAGCAGAGACGGTCCGGTCAGGTGCGGGAGAGTTCGGTTGATCAATGAAGCTGCTGAGCTAGTGGCCCCTCTGAAGCCGCTGGGGGGGGGATGGATGGGGGATGGGATGTGCCGGAGATGGACGCCGGCGCACGCACGAGACGAGGGACACACGCACGCACCAGGAACAAACCAAAGGTCGAGAACCATGGTCTCGTCATCCCCAAGGTGAGCGAGAGAGTGACTGGGGGGGGTTCAGGGAAACGTCATTTTGGGGGAGGGGGGAGGGGGGGTGCGTGGGAGGCATTCTCCATCTGTTAGAGGGGTACATGGCTATGGTACTTGGGGAGCTAGTTATCTGGGGTCATTCTGTACGGTAATCTGGGCCACTGGATTGGCGCCGCCATTCAATTTTTGGAGGCCACATGATGGGGGCACGCCAACGGGGAGCTCGGGGCTGTCGGGGCTGCGGAATACAGTGGATTGCAGTGGGCTGCAGTGGGTTGTAGTGGATTCTTCAGTGGTCGCGTCCCCCATTTTCATATCTCGGTCGCCTCCAATGTCTCCAGAATGCGCTGCCGGTGTCACTCACTAAAGCCATTGGAACAGCACGCCCAGTAGACACCCAGTCGACACCCAGCAGACAACCAAACTTGGGTTACCGATGCGTCACCTCTCACCTCGGGGATACGTCCGGTCAGCCCATCAACACAACACCTGCAACCGACAACGTCCGTTGCGCATTTCGTTTGACACTCGGCGAACCAGCAAAAATGCCAACGGGGGGCATGGAACACGTGAGGTACGAGGCAGACAGTCGTAAAGCAGCCGGGGCGGGCAGACCTGTCCGACTGGTTGCCGGCATGGGGGGGCAAAGGCCAGCAAGGGTTCCGAGAGGCAAGGATGGACGCGGGGGAAAATCTGGGAATGGCGCCACGGGCTGAAGGCTGCTTGATGGTTGTTGGTTTCCGATGACTCTCGGAAATGTATCATCAGGTTCGTGGGTTCGTGGGATCGATCGGGGCACCCCTCTTGTTCATCTTCTCCGCAAATTGCCTCTCCTGATGGGAAACCTGGGGGAGACGGCGGGCTCCCGTTGTGCTATCCACGGCTGTTTAGCACATCGTTGGTAGGTAGGTCTGAAGCGGTTGAAGAAAAGACCCGGGGAAGCAGTCGGCTATAATTAAATTAGACTTGACTCTTAGAGCCCTTAGCATAGAAGAGAACATTCCCGGCCCGGGAATTCATATTGTGTTGGCATGGCTCCGGGGAAGTGTCAGTCAGCTACTCGGTAAGTGCCTTGATAACAGCGGCTAAGCTAATGGCTTCCGGGAACGCGCAGGTTGCAAGCTCGGGGAACTTCCACCTTGGGCCCTTGTCGATTCTTCAGCGCCGTGCATGCTTTTCATGCGTTACGCACATGGAGGATGCAGGACTTTGCATTTTCGTACGGAGTTCGGGCGACGATGGAGGAGGGCCAGTGGTTGGGAACAGCCCCAGCCTTCTGCTTTCTGTTGTATACGGAGTAAGGATGTGTCCCAGCTTTTTTTGCAGGTCGCTGGCTGCCCCCGCATTTCCTCGCCGCGGCCCAATCACACCCGGCTCGGTCACATGCCGACCGCCTACCGCTCCTTTGTCATCCCACGTCGGGCGCCTCTCCATCCATCCGTGAAGCAAAATACTCGGCCCATCGGAGGGCTTCGGGAACGATCCCATCGACAAGTCGACGACTGACACACGACAGCGGCGCGTCTGGAGGAACCACTGCGGCGCACTCTGTCCGGCCCCTGGTTGGTCACTGGACTTGCTGCGATTCCGCTGGCTGATTCTTTTCTTTTCCTTCTCCCTTCTCCTGTTTCTTTTCTAGGGAGGAGGAGCCCCCTTTCCCGCCCCATTGTTTGTTGTTCGTTGGCCCAGGAAGCTCAGGCCAAGGTCGCCCTCGCTGGCGCTGGCGCGCGCCTGGAGCTTTGGGCTCAAAGGGGCTGGAATTTGGCTGGGTCTTCTTCCTATTGCTGGGTCTTCTTCTCGCTGGGTCTTGGGCTAATTAGGGACCGGCCACGGCTTTTTCCCGCCCTCTGCGCTGGCGGCTAGCGACACCTAATCCTGATCCATCCGCTTTTTGGGCTTTGAGGCTCTGTGAGCTCTGAGCTGTCAGTCCAGTCCCGTGTCAGCCCAGCTTTGTACCTGAACCAGGGAAAACCCTTCTGCTTCTGCAGTTCTGCAGCCTGCAGTGCGCCATGGATCTGGATGCTATCGACGAGGATCACGCTGCGGCGTTCGCAGCTGCCGCTGCCGCTGCCGCAGCTGCCAACGACGACGACGACCTGGCTGTCGGCGTCCGAGTCAGCATTCTGTCGACTCCTGACCGCCCCAAGAGGCCCATCACCAACTCGCCCGCCACCACCCCAGCCCCCAGCTACTTCAGCTACCAGAGCGACTACCAGAACGACTATCGCCATGCCTACCACGACGACAACGAGGCTGTCCAGGAACCCGACGCCCCGGGACTGCGGACGCCTTCGCTGCTCTCCAGTCCCAGCGTCGCCTCTAGCCTGGGCTTCTCTACTGGTCGCATGAGCCCGCTCAGGAGGGAAGTCTCAAGGGCCTCATCATCTTTTCACAGCCACAGCCGCGGGCCTAGCGATGCCTCACCCATTGCGCGCCGGATATCTCGTCCTGCCCGCCGTAACCGCGATGCGCTTGCCAGGAGATTGAGCCAGCTCGCCCATGAGCTCACCACCGGCGACGAGGACAACGTGGATGACGACGGCGTCGACATCCTCACCGCTCAAATGGATCACCTCGAGGGAGCAGTCATGAGGAAGCCAAAACCCTTCTCATCACCATCCACGCCCTCACCACTCACTACTCCGCAGCGCCCTATGAGCCTTGACATGGTCAGTCCCGGCGAGTCCATCTTCAGCTCTCCGGGGTCGTCCGTTTTCCGCACCCGCTTCTCGGACCTATCGGCGTCCATCCGGAGGGATCGCGTCCCGGAGCCGGAGCTGGAGCCGGAGCCGCCAGTCAAGAAGGGCATGTCGGCTGTCCAGGCCAAGAAGGTCATCGCCGAGGCTATGAAGCTCAATGAGGAACTTTCTCAGCTCGTCGCCAACCTGCAGGCTCGTCAGGAGGAGTCTGATGTGAGTACATCCTTGCATCCTGACGTACCCAAGCTAACCTGTCCCAGCACATCCATTCTCTGCTTGTCGAGCGTGCTGAGCGTGCTGCCCAACGCATCCTCTTCCTTCAGAGTCGCATCTCTCATCTGTGAGTTTTCCCTTCTTTCACCGCCCATGCGTGCCCTCTCTAACCAGCCAATCAGCGAGCAAGAGCTTCACGAAAACGACGATGAGCTCCAACATCTCCGCATCTGCCTCAAGGCCGTTGAGATCCAGATGCCACCCCACCCTGACAAGGAGCTCCAACGGTGCATCTCCTCGTTCAAGCAAGACTACCAGGTTCTCAAGCGCAAACGCGCCAGCCGCTCCAGCTTTCCCACCATCTCCAGTGTCGGCTCAACCTATCCCGGCTCTCCATACCCTGGTTCCCCGTCCAGATGAATCACACACACCACCTCATCTGGCGGAGAGTATGGGGTAGGATGACATAGACACGCACGCGAAACATACCTCATGAGTTTGACGACACCCTGTACTCATCACGCCTCTTACGACCTCGGGCCTCTCACTACGACGCCCATCACGCTTTGCCTGTCGCATTTTCTACGCCTACCCCCAACACATCTCTGCGCATTCGTTTCGCAGCACACACCAAAATACCCCATGACGAGCAAAGCGTTCCCATCGTTCCACATATTGCATGGCACCGGAGTATCACCAGGATCGGCAATTGTCTCGCGCTAATGGATGTTATATGATCCAGGCGGAGACTTGTTTTATGGATATCTCTTTTTCATTCCAGTCACTTTGTTACCACTGTCTTGTAGTGGCACATTCATGGTCCCAGACATGGAAGGGCAGTATGTATCTATGCCCAAACTCATTCGGCAAAGCTGTTTGAATTGCAAATAATCAAATTGTGTGACTCTTTGCTCTATAATGTCCCTCGCACGTGATGGCCTAGTGGAAGCAACTACAGCACTGCTATTCCTTTGGATCCCCTCCAGACATGCAGTCTCATAAAATTGTTGATTCACTGACTTCCTGTCTTCTCACTGAGTTCCACCGTCCACAAATCCAACGTCACGTCCAACTCCTCTGCATCCTTGCCTTTTCCAGGACCAAAGCTCGACGCCTTGAGCCTCTGAATCCACTCCACGTGGAACCTGTCCGCGAGCCATTGCCACAGACTAACATACGCGCTGTCAAGGGCGCCCGAGATCCAAGCATGGTGCGCGCTCACCGCCTCGCCGCAGATGGAGAGCCTCCGCCCGCAGAGCAGCTTCTGGAAGGGCGGGTAGAGGTTTGAGAACTGGCCCGGCCCGAAGAGCGCGTAGGCGCCGCCCGTGTAGGGGTCGTGCGACCACGCCCACGCGTGGTGGGTGATGTATTGCTCGTTGAGGAACTCCAGGCTCGGCGGGTTCTCCTCGTTGGACCAGAGCTTGACGAGGTTCTCGAGGCAGACCCTGACGATCTCGTCGTCCTTCTTCGGCTCCCTCTCGCCCTCCTTGTACTCCGGCACGAGCGCGCCCATGCGCGTCGCGTCTTGCGCCCAGCTGTACGACACCATCAACACGGCGGCGGTGTCGTCGCCGTCGTCCCATGACGGGTAGACCACGTTGCTGATGGGCAAGTCGCTGCTCGACACGCCGCCGAACTGGCCGGGTTTCTGGTAGAAGCCCTTCCACCAGCGCGTCTTGAACTTGATGGCGACCTTGGTGGCGCGGTCGTAGCTCAGCGCCCGGATGCCCGTGAGGATCTCCTTGGGCAGGTTGAGGCCCTGCAGGTCCATCCTCTGCAGGGGGGCCATGGCGGTGGTGTTGAAGACCATGTCGTAGTCCTTCGCGATGTCCTTGCCGGTCTCGCCGTCTCGCCGCGTGACCTTGATGGTGTTTTCGGCGTCGTCGTTGATGGCCATTGAAATCACGGGGGAGTTGAGGATTGGCTTGATGGATGGAGCGCCCGGCCTGGGGTGTGTGGTGCTGGCGAGCCTGTCCCTCATCGTGTCTGTGATGACCGACATGCCGCCCTCAAGCCGGTACCATGGCTTGGCCTTGGCGGCTTGGAAGTCGCTGTAGTCGCAGATCGTCTCGGTGAAAGCCTGGTCGAAGAGGCCAGTTGATCTAAGGGCAGAGTTTGGTTAGTCGGGTTGGGAGGTGACGGCGGGCGAATCCTTACGTGTCAGCACCTTCGGCCTCGAGGGTCTGCTCATACGTCCATCTGTTTGTCACATTAGAATTGTCCTCTCATTTCCACTTGGGTTTCTCTGCGGACTCACTCGTGTTTGACCATCAGCCATGACCGAGTTGAGAAATTATCTGTCCCGAGAGCCATGAGCTTCTCATAGTCAAAGTCGTCTCCGAGCTTTGCAATGACCTCTCTAATGACCTTCTCGAACGGCTTTTCGCTGCTCTTCCTTTAGCAGCTGGCTCTGCAAGGGGAGCAGGATGTGGCTTACTCTGGCCCTCCTTTTGTGTACCAATGCATGGACGGCGGCACTGGACCACCTTCCGGAAAGTCCAAGATGTATGGTACCTTCTTGGCCTCGAGCCCTAGGTCCTTGATCAATGCCAGGGTGCTACAGGCGTTAGAAAACCAGAACAAACCACTGCCTGGAGTGTGTACCTACGACTTCATGGTTGGAATATCGGGGATTCTCATGGCCCCGATATCGTAGTAGTTGTGAGGGCAAGGGTGCTCCTTGTCCTCTGGAAATTCGTAAGTGTAGCAACGCCCACCGACTCGGTCCGAGGCCTCAATGATGTCGAACTCCTTGACCCCGAGAAACTTGAGTATCATGGCGAGAAAGAGTCCTGTAACGCCCGCTCCCACGATGCAGATGCGGTCATCCCTGAACCCGTCTGCGCGGGGGGCAAAGTCCTCCAGAGTCTTCCGAGGGATCGAGTCAAGCTTCTCGCCCTTCTTTTTGTCCTGGTTGAGCTCGGCAAGCAACGACTCGGCGAGGACGCTCTTCGCATATGCCGCGCGGAAGGAGTGTTTGGGATAGTCTGGGCCCCCCCCTGGCAGGATGGGAATCGGCACTTGATCCATGGCTTGGGTGGAATGGGTTGGGGGTCAATGAGGAGAATGAAGTGTGCAGGCGACTTGTTGCTACTGGGATTATGGTGAAGTTGGGCGGCAGGGCAATCAACTTAAGTAAATCTTGATGTCACGCCGATGCTATCTACGTTCTACAAGTCTTGTGTTCGTATGACACTCCTGTTGGCGGGGATCTCGCCTAATATCTGAGACAAAAGCTGTACAAAGATGGGGAAGGATAGTGGCGAGCTGAGGATTGCCGCTATTGGAGAAGCTATTGAAGCTAAGGCGGGCTTGATCACGGCCAAGCTATGTATCACTAAATCTTGCCTGAAATATACAAAGAGGAAGCCCAATCAGCTGCGTATTGTGTGTGGGACAAGACGCCTAAACTGCTCGAATGCAGGAGCTGAGGGCTTTGAGGCCTGCGAGGGTGCTGTACTAAGCCGAAGACATCTGTGTCCGCAGTTTGTGTAGAGTACGCCGCGGGGTCATTCTCCAAAGCACAAGCCCGGTTTTGTGATCAGATTTCAGCTTGACGGTGGTGCCGAATCGGGATATGTGGCGTCATAAAAACTATTCGTGTGACTTCAGGAGGGTGTTTATTGGAGTTCCTCACCGGGCCAAGGTGACTGGAGTACAGGCAATCATCACGGGGGCTCGTTGAGAATTTAGAAGTTGTTCGGTCCAGCGAAATGATGTGCATGGAACACCACTCTACCGTATCGACTCGATAGATTGGCCCTGTTTTTATGGACTAAAGCTAAGCGATATAAGGCTTAGATTTCCTGAATCATACGGTATAAAAAAGCCCGAAGGCAAGAAGTGGAGGAAGGATTCAGGGCCAATTTGCTGAGTCGATACGGTACTACGGGAGGAGTAACATAACGCGGGCCGTGCCGTTGAGGCCCATATGCCGCGCAGTGGAAGCGGCGGTGAAGCAACTTGGAGTGCTTTTTACAAGGAAGAGGGGAGGAATAGCTTCTGAGATGGAAGATGAATGCAATATTTGCTGCAAGGAGGTTCTGGGCCTCACCGTGAGCGTGTATGTCTCACTCTTTGCAGCACTTGGCCTGCGGTTTTATTGGAGTAGAGATATGTACTGATGGCCTGCTCTTTGATTATTGGGCCTAGACCTCAGCACGGCCTTCTGTTGCTGACAGCAGGAAGCTAAAATAGTGCCGTGGCTTGGACGGATCTGCAACTACGTCTGAGCCTGAGTGGGCGTGTCTCGGAAACCCCGCTCTGAATATGTGATCTATCATGGATACTGTCTACTATTGCCGAATGAATATACCTGCATATTTTAAGCAAGTCTGAAAATATCTGCTATCACTTAATCACACCGCTAGAACAGTTGAGATAAGCCGTGTATTCTTATTGCTCTGAACCTAATGACATAGAATAACATGCTGGAGATGAACCGTCGATCCTATTCCAAGCAATCTTGAACCGCCATCAATTGCTTTACTCTTTCTGCACCCTCACAATAATCTTCTTCTGAGCCTTCCCATTCTCTAGATCCTGGATGCCCTGTATGACCGACTCCCATCCCATGCCATCAGCGACTTGGTACTGGATCGGCTTTAGTGTGCCGACCGCAAGATGAGTTTCCAAAGTCGGAATCCAGCTCGTAATGTCGTTCGTCACCTGGATTCCAAGAGCCTCATCAAGACGGCAAAGATGACCGAGCTCAGCCCGGTACTCGTTAATAGTAGGCGGGGTTTTGAACTCGGACCTTGATCTGGGTTAGCACTCTGCCACCTAGCTGCTATTCAGGGCGCTTGGATGAAGCCTACCAGTCATCAACAGTCGTCAGAAATTTGGTAGTCGCCTTGGAGCAAGTCTCCAAAGCCTTGACCATAATCTCGTACCCGTAGGCTGTTGAATCAATAATCCGAGCAAAGTTCCCGCTGGTGATACTCTTGATCTCGGTGAGTTGTTCCTCGACTGAGCCTCGATTATTCAATGTGGCCGTCGCGCCATTTGCCATCGCAATCTTGAGGTGCATGTGAGAAGTTATACTTTCCCAGTGAATCAGCGTATCTGGATGTACATACCGATGCCTTAGATGGGGAGCACGACGCGAGCACCTTGTATCCGCAAGCATGGGCGATCTGATGGCGTCAGGGGATATTTCTAAATATGCGGAACAATAGACGGTTACCTGAACGGCGAATTGGCCAACACTCCCAGTGCCGCCTAGAACGACGATCCACTCATCTTTCTCGGGAGCTTTGGTTCCATCTTCGGATAGCTTTAGCTCTGCACCACCCAAGAGACAGAGTCCCGCTGTCTAGGAAAAGAGGATTTAGCTTTGAACTTGGCATGATGCTGACCAGAAAGATGGACGTAGTTACCAAAATTCCTACACCGATGGTGCAGCTCTCCTCGATGGACAGATTGGACGACTTCTTTAGAAAGACCCTTTCCTCCACCAAGAACGTGTCCTGGAATGGGGTGAACCGATTCTGGCCAAGGGGCGCGCAGCCATAGACATAATCGCCAACGCTCAGCTTCGTGCAATGTGGACCCACGGCGATGACAACGGCTGCACAGTCGCTACCGATGATGGCTGGCCACTCATTTATGAGCAGGCCAGAGTGCTGTTGCAAAGCCTCGCTATGCCTCTGTCAGTCATAGAAGTAGTTTTCTGGGGCACCGTTCCTTACACAGGATTGATTCCAACACCAAGGCACTTGACCAAGACTTGGTAAGGGCCTGGGCTTGGGCGGGGGATGTCGCTGACGACGGTGTAAGGCTTGTTGGGACCGTCGATGGTGATGCCTGATTGAGTGGCCATGATTTTGAGGAGGTATCAGAAAACAGATAAAAATTGACTTGGGCTTCAAAAAAGGTATAAAATGCGGAGCGCTAGCAAAGGAAATGGAGGTTATTTATACTTGATCTTCATGCGTGCGCGTTCATATGCGGCTACTGGAAGCTACGGATAGCCTTCGTGTCGGAGGTACGAAGTAACCTTCGCCTTTAACGCCAGGTTGCATGGTGGCTGCACTATCTATGCCACTAACTCGACTTCGTCATCTTCATTGGGCTATGTGCACGAAGTATTCTTGGTGGTGTGTTGGAGTGCAGCGAGTCGGTCCATTGATGGTCCGCCGCTGACACGCTCATCCATCATGTTGGGTGTGGCAGTAAGCAGCCAATAAAACATATGGTGATATCATGGACGGCAATCTTCGCGCATCTTTCTACCTCAACTACCCAAGCGCTTGACCTGTTTGTTTAAGTGGCACTGTATAAGCGCAAGCTTCATGGCTATCTTCGACCTTCTTAGCGCATATTCTTTGGAGGCTAATATCAGCGCTCGGATGGCAAAGCAGGTCTAAAATGACGTCTCATTTTCTCAATCATATTGACACTAGCTACCTACAACTTACTCAACCTCGATTCCAGATCCATCAACGGCTTGATTGATTCCAACATGCCACTCATGGAAGCGTCATCAATCCCCTTGAGGGGACGTCTGGGAACACCCCCATAGCCGACGTGTTGCTCTAAAATAGCCTTTGTACCTGAAATCCCCATCTTGGTATGTTCCCAATCACCTGTCGCCAAAACCCGCTGCAACTCTTGTGCCTCTTTCAATTTTCCGTCTTGCCACAACTGAAAGACCCGAACACATGTCTGGGGAGCAATATTTCCACCACCCGCGATGACACCGGTGGCCCCTGAAACCAGTGCAGGTAAAATGAAATCTGCTAGGCCACCGAAAGTGGAATAAGGTCCGCTCTTTTCCATTGCTGAGGCTACTCGATTGAGCTTCCCTGTATCAGCACAGGTGAACTTGGTCCCGACCACGTTCGGATGCTGTGACACCCGGATAAGGAGATCTGAACTCAAGTCAATCCCGGAGACCACAGCTGGGAAACTGTATAAAATGATAGGAATGGGTGACTGATCCGCAACGTCCTTGTAAAAGTCTTCGATGACACCGGGAGTCATGCCACCGCGGAAGTAGCATGGAGGGAGCACCAACGCGTAGTCGCTCCCGGCTGCAGCGGCTTGTCGACAAAGGTTGACAGTTCCTCTCACTGATTGCTCAGAACACCCGGTGATGATGGGATAATCGGGTTTCCCAATTGAATCCAAAGCACTGCGAGTTTCACGAACGACAGCGCCTCGCTCTTCGATGGATAAGTGCGGTGCCTCGCCATTGGAACCCATGACAACGAATCCAGTAATGCCGGCATTGGCAAGGTTGATGGTATGTTTGCGAATTGCTTCGACGTCAATGTCCTCCGAATTTGGATGGAAAAACACTAAACTGGCGGTATAGACGCCGCGGGTGAGAGGTCGCTGGAGTGAAGGCATCCTAGAATAGGAAGTGTAGGTTTAGGATGAATAAAGATAGAATTGAAGTGATCGATAGAGTGTACCAACTTGAATGATATATACAGAAATTGTTCGGCTGAATGGCCGAAGAGGCGAGTATTGACAAATCTGTTGTGATTAATGGAATATTGACTAACAATGGTCATGTTTGATAGTAGCTCCATTTCATCCTCTCGTGGTTCGTAATCTTCAGCGTATGTAATTCATGGTCAAGTGGGGAAGCCGAATACCGAGTCTCGCCGCTTCGTAGTGCTAAACTCAAAGGGACTACTTTATAGGTCGCGCATCGAAGAGAGTCATGGTCTAGATACCCACTTTTCGTAATTTCGTAACACTTTTTGTATGTAAGTACCGGGCGACACGGAGAAGGAGGCTTTTATCACGGAAGCCGAGATGCTGGAATAATCTAAGCTAATAAACTATACTATTTTGCTACTTGGATTTGGGGGGGCTTAAAATGCTTTTCGTTTCTCAAGGCATGTTTCCAACCGGGACTGTTCATTCATCGTTTGCCATATCTCTATTAATGTCATGGCGGGCAAGCTCAAATAGTCTCAGTTATATAGTGGATGCTAGTATTTCCTTTCTGAAGGGATTCCCCTCAAGTCCGACAAATACCTTGGCTTGGCTTTCTAGACTACGGTTGGCTTTGGGAAAGTAGAACGGACACGAGTTTCAATCAGTTTCATTAATTAGTACCATAGGACCGCCAAATCAGGCCAATTATTAACGTGCTAAGCAAATATTAAAATCAAGAAACTATCCTAAAAGCCTGCTCTGTGTGGTTAATATTTGTGCAAATTGCAGTTCCAGCGCACCTGTTTTTGACAAGGAAAAGAAGTACGGCTTTGGCACGGGTTTTAAAGTCGTAGGCGGATACGACTTTGTCGGTGATGACTGGGTAGCTGGATCGACAAGGAGTCCCGATGGGGATCCGTTGAACCAGAGCGGCCATGGTACTCACGTTGCCGGGATTGTGGCAGGTGAATCGGAGTCAGGATGGGTGGGAGTGGCTCCCAAGCCACCATCTACTCTTACAAAGTTTTCGGCGCCGGCGATGGCACGTATGAGGACATTATTATTGAAGCAATGCTGAAAGCATTTGAGGATGATGTTGATGTCATCACTATTAGCATAGGGGGCCGTGGTGGGTGGGCGAATAGTGTATGGGCGGTAGTAGCAAGTCGAATCGCTGATGAGGGAGTGGTGATGACTATTGGAGCTGGAAACTATGGTACGGGCGGTCCGTATTATGCTAGCTCAGGGAGCTCTGGCGAGAACGTCCTCTCAGTTGCGTCAGCCGAGGTGAGCAAGGATGGAGTTGGCGAAACAAAACAGCCAAGCTACTTTTCGAGCTGGGGCGGGCTTTACGATCTTCAAGTCGAACCAGACATTGCGGCTCCTGGAACCAACATCTTCAGCGCTTGGCCTGGTCTCAATGTAAATGGAGCCATTTTCTCCGGTATGAATAGCGTAGATCCTTGGCACTGGAATCTTTGTATGCGAGGCGACGTATTGCATGGCCTCCACCTCGGGGGGGTCGCATGGTCCCTTGATGAGGCGATGCCAGCTTACTCTCACCGTGGAGGGGCCAAGGGGACGGAAGAGCAGCCTGCCGAACCAAAGTCGCAGTCGCAGTGGGAATAGAGTCCCGATGGATAGACCCATGGATGTAGAATCTTTAGATTGTCGAGAATAGGTCTGGGAATGAATGTTAGAATGGAAAGATGTATCTAACAAGGGCTTCGGTTGGGCGGTATACAGCTTGTGTGGCTGGAGGTTTGAAGAGTGTTGCGGCCTATGTTCGGGCTAGGCGGTCTGACATGGCAGATACCCAAGAAGGCCCTCCCGTTGGTTACCCAAGGTAGCGAGGGCCCACAGCGAGCTAAGAACGTCAGCCTCGGCCACTGAGTTGGGCACCAAAAATCGCAGTCTTAGCGTCTAGTAAACTGTGTGTATAGCTGTTAGTGCAATTTGAATAACTCCCAATTTATATATTTATTATTCTAAAAAATTAGCTACCATAATTCAAATCAGGTATATATTGATTTTAGAATTTTCGATTCTTTATAGTATCTCGTACATAATTTTTAATGGAATTACCTTTCTGTTATATAATCTCTTTTCTGTAATTAGCAATGCCCTACGATAGAAGCTTAGGAAATTCCAGGCATCCGAAATGCTGGATGTCTTCGATCTTCTTAATCTTTTCCGCATGCGGGCTAAGATGCACTAGCTTAATCTTACATCATCAATGAATTGTCGGACTTAGCAACGACGAAACTAAAGACCGCCACTATGAATGCTTTCCTGTGTGGAGGTGATACTGGAAATACACACCAACCATGGTTTTTTCTAGGTACCTACTGACTAGCAGTGGTCCATAATGGAGCTATGAGCAGGGTAATAGTTGACAGATTCACAGCACATTTTATTGAGACTCGAGTACATAATGGTCAGCTACTAATACCAACAGATGCCTTAGTTGTGTGTTCTTCGAGTACCCCCATATTACGGTGTTAATGCGGTAGAATAGTGGACGTGTGGTAAAATGCTGAATTCTTCTAATGCCTAAAACGCTACTAATTTTTCTTCATCTTCTGTGCTTGAAGGTATTGCGATAGTGGCCCTTCGGGCGCATCCTCCCGATCCATTGCAACTTCTACCATCCTCAACCCGCTACCATCGGTAAGCTTCTCATTACCCAACACCTTTTCCAACTCAGCCCATGTTCGTGCGGAGCCTGTAAACGCGTCTTCCTTGGCTCCAAAGAAACTGGGTGCTTCCAAATATCTCCAGCTTGCAACATCGTTGTACCTTTGCGTCGCCCCATGGATACAACGCTCAATCGTATAGCCGTCGTTGTTGATGAGAAAGACTACCACATTGAGATTGTTGTGGATAATGGTGGATAGTTCCTGAGCTGTCATTTGGAAACTTCCGTCGCCAATGAGCAGGATTGTGCGAGCATCCTTGATACCGTGGTATTTTGAAGCGGCAATGAGTTCCCTCTGCGCAAGAGCTGCACCTTGAGCTGCGGGGAGCATGTATCCGATGGACAGCCAGGTAACAGGGGTGAAGAGCCGAGTGTGCGGTGGTAGAAGCATCTCTCGACATCCGTAGCCTGCGGTGCCGGTTTCTCCGAGAACGATGTCGCCCGGGCGCATGAAGTTGGCCATGATGCGCCAAACCCGATCTTGAGTGATGGGACCAGTGCCGGGAACATCTGAGAAAGAGACTAGGTAGTCGCGAGGAAGCTTGGGGTAGTTGTCGTAGGATTTGACTTTGGAGAAATCCAGACTCTGCAGAAGTCGAGGCACCATTGTTCTGGCACACATGTCCCGGATGACCTCAGACTGAAAGTTGACTTCCGTGTCGGTGAATGAAATAGTGACTTGGGGGTTTGGAATGCTCGAGAATGCAAAAGTGTTGGTCGAGCTGAGATGGGGACCGAAGGAGAGGACAAGATCCGCATCATTGATAAAGCTTTGTACCTCGAGAGCATCATATTTCCCTCGGTATATTCCATGGAAATTTGATAGCGTCTCGTTCACAAGGCTTTTTCCAAATGGTGTTGTCCAAGTTGGCCACTTGCTCGACTTGACGAAACTTTGAACCTCGTCGATTATCCCGAGCGCTCTGATCTCGCCATCAACAAAGATAATAGGGCGTTCCGCGGCATACACTTTATCGAGGATCTTAGCCAACACTGCGTCCTCAGTTGGGGTCGGTTCATGGATCGGAACGCGAATCTCAGTGCTGAGTCTCTCGGTGGACACAAGCGCGTCGACCAAGTCCACAGGGACCTCGATATATACCGGCCGGCTGTGCAGCAAACATTGTTGCAAGACCGAGTCGATTTGCTCAGGGCTTTGTGCAGCATCCCAAAGGCGGGTTTGCGCCACTGTAACCTGGGCGTGCATCTGGGCAAAGCGCCGGTATTCACCATCGTTGAACGTATGGTGCTGCAACATTCGCGAGTCTTGGGAACTTCGCGCCGGGGTGCCAACGATGTGCACAACGGGTGCGCGCTCTGCATATGCTCCCGCAATGGCGTTGATGGCAGAAAGCTCGCCCACTCCAAAGGTCGTGATGAGAGCGCCGGCGCCCTTGATCCGGGCATAGCCATCGGCGGCGTACGCTGCGTTCAGCTCATTGGCATTGCCGACCCAGAGCAGTCCAGCGGGTTCGACATAGTCGAGGAGAGTGAGATTGAAGTCTCCTGGAACGCCATGGATTGAGTTGATGCCGAGCTGGCTCAAGCGACGGAAGAGGTATTCCGCGAGCTTGATGGTGGGCGGCATTGCTCGTATTGGACTTTTCGTAAATCAAGAATGGGATGGTGGTGAATAAGACAGTGAGATTGTGTACTTGAGAAAGTGTCTCTGTATTGAATGTCTCTGCTTGATATGCGGGGGGGAAAGATCAGGGTTGTGTCGGGACTTTTAACAGAAAACTCCCAAAGGAGCAGGTCTACCGCGGTACGCATATCGGAGGGCCGAGACTTCATCGCCGGCTTCGAACATGCGTCGGCATAGACACGCTCATGAATGCTCCGAAGCGACTACTCCGAAGAGGCTACCCTGATGCGGCTACGCCGATGCCACTATCCCGACGTATCCACTCGGGAGCATCGCATCTACTCCGACATGCCTACTCCGAGTGCCACCCCATGACACGGAGGCTTTGACGATGGAATTATAAAACAAGACGTGCCGGTCTAAATGTTCTGGCACACTCAATCAGATCATTTCATTCCGAAGATCATAAAAAACAAAATGTTGCAAGCAAAGCTCAAGAAAGTGGAGGAGAAGCGATCCAAGTCAGATCCACTCCCACCAGGATGCGCCCCTTATACTTCCTCAAACCACTTCAAGATCCAGCCATCCGGCTCGAAGCCCAAGGCTAAAAGATGGGATCATCGATTCAGCCTCGAAAGTCTCAATCAAATCCCCTCGCCACTGAGAATGGCGGCGAGGGCCCCTGGCGCGCCAAGATTGATCACGCTGGGGACGGCGCGGCCTGCACCGCAGTACTTTCCCTGGGAGACGCTCGACACGACCGCAGAGTGGAATTATTCTGGCTCAAAGAACAGTGTTGCAAATACTACTGCGCTCATGTCGTGCACACGAGAGGAGGAGGGGTACCCTCTGAATGTCGCCATGAATTACGGCTACTCCGCTGGCTCTCCCCAAGTCCTGCGTTTCGTCACCGAACACATGGAATTGATCCACGACCCGCCTTACGACGACTGGGAGTGCTGCATGACGTGCGGAACGACTTCTGCTTTTGAAATCGCGTTCCGACTATTCTGCAATCGCGGGGACTATGTGTTCTTCGAGAACCATACCTACTCAGGAACCTTGGCCACTGCAAAGGCCCAAGGCTTGAACGTCATTGCCGTCGACGTGGATGAATTTGGCCTCGTCGCCGAAGACCTCGACTCCAAGTTGCGCAACTGGGATGCCTCCAAGGGACCAAAGCCCTCCCTTCTGTACACAATCCCCACGGGGCAAAACCCAACTGGCGCGACCCAAAGCCTGGCGCGGCGAAAGGCCATCTATCAGGTCGCCGAGGAGCACGATCTTTACATCATCGAAGACGATCCTTATTATTTTATCCAATTGGGAGAAGACAACTATGACACATCCGCTCCAAAAGTCCCCCAAGCAACCCCCGACGCGCTCTTGGCGCGATTACCCGTCTCCTACCTCTCTCTGGACGTATCTGGACGGGTCTTGCGCATGGATACCACTTCAAAGATTTTGGCTCCAGGGCTCCGTTGCGGCTGGGTCACAGGAAGTTCCCAAGTCATTGCCAAATTCATTTCCCAGACGGAAGTTGGCGTGCTGTCGCCCAGCGGGCCGTCGCAACTGATGGTGTATAAGCTCTTGGACGAGACTTGGGGCCACGAGGGCTTCATTTCATGGTTGAGCTATCTATCCTCCGAGTATCGCGACCGCCGAAACATTTTGCTCGAGGCCTGCAATCGCTGCCTTCCGTCAGAGATATGCCAGTGGGCTATTCCCACGACAGGCATGTTCTTCTGGGTCAAAGTGGCGGTACCGAAACACCCAGCCGCTGGGCAGGATCGCTCTCCTGAACAACTTCGGCTCTTCCATTCCGAGGTAGAAGACAGAATCTTCACTTCCGCCAATGAGAACGGAGTGCTGGTCAGCAAAGGCAGTTGGTTTGCCGCCAGCAAGGAACAGGAGCCTCAAGTCTGTTTCCGAATGACCTTCGCGGCCGCCCCTGAGAACGATCTTACCGAAGCAATCGAACGATTTGCGCAGGCTGTGCGAAAAGAGTACCAGCTTGTCTAAAAGTATTTTGTTTGGGAGCTTGTTTCGGGCAGCAGATTCATTGGCCTGAGAAGCCTTGCGCTGCTACCTCATCTCCGACTAGGAAAGGGTGCTCGGCGAGGGTGAGCCAGAAATCCACTTCAAAGTCTTGAACGTTGCTGTTATCCCAGGGGTTCCAGTTTCCGTCGTTGGGAAGAGTCGGAAGGCATGGAAGGGAATTCCCAGACGGCTGGCTCAATAGTTGTGCCCCCATTCTGCCACACAAAAACCGGTCGAGGAGGCTTTTTATGGTTCGTGTTGCGCCTGCGAGGAGTGCATAATTGGCATCCTCCTTGCAGACCAGTGTTCCGACTTCAACCTCAGTAACCAGAACGCTTAGGTTTTGGAACACACTGGACAAAGCTATTCCCTGACTTAAGATTGCCTGTGGGCCATATAGTAATGAAAGGCATATGACACCAGAAGCTGCCAATCCGTAATATGCAACCTGTGATATGTTAGTGCTAGCGAACTAGATTCGAGAAGGTGACTTTCCTTCCAGATGAGGGATGTGCCGGAATCTATCAGACGGTCTTTTATCATCATCGCCTCAACTACTACCCCTAGCATATCTGCCGAGATACCCACTAGCTGCGCGTCGGGTTCTGAAATGCGACGCACGAGTGCCATACGAAGCATAAACAACACATGGAGGTGATTAAGACGGGCGCTAACCATCAGGTCTAGCTCTATGGGCTGTCTATCGTAGTTCCGTATCGTGCCTTCGAGGCGGAAGCGCTGAGGGAAGGCTAACCATCGTGATTCAGCCTTGGCTTGAATTACGCTGCCAAGGTTAGAAAGGCTCTTCTGCATAATAGTCTGGTGCTCACCTTGCTCTTCTCATTCTCTCTTCGTAGCATTCTTCTCCGAAGAGCTGCAGTACGTCCTCTTTGAGGGCCGCACACAAGGCATACCAGCGTGTATCGGCCTTGTAATCAAAGTGCTCTTGTTGTCCCCATTCGGGCCATTCTGGCGAGAAGTATGGACTACTTATTGAGGTTTCCGAATCCTGCCCCGGCAGACGAAAAAGACAGTGTTGTCGGTGGATTCGCGATGGGCGACCGAGAAAGATGGAGATATTCTTGTCTGCGGAATAGGCCCGGGCAAATATAGCTTGCCTGAGGTCTTTGAGGAAAGCGGGGGCTGGAGCACTGCTTCTGGTATCTTGGTGATATCCAAGAGCGAACAAGGAGCTGGCGACGTCGCCGAGCTTTCTCCATGATTGATAGCCTAGGGTGACAGTTAGAATTGGCTGACCGGGATCGATGCCTGAACCCACTCTGATCGCCATCAACAAGCGAATGGAGAATAAAATTTTCGTATTGTAGAATGAGCTGCAAGTCGTTCAGGCAGTCAAGCGAGAGAGAGAATTCCAGACAACGATCTGAATAATGCATGGCAAGCTTTCGCAGGTTCCGTCGCTGCTGTTCAGAGTTGTAAGGGGTCTCGGGGCTACTGAACCTGAAAGTGGCTCGGGAAACAGTGGTGAAAAAGAGCCCGAGGGTTTCCCATCTTGCATTCTGCTGACAAAACTGCGCGCAGAAATCGTCGAAGGAAGTAGTGGCATCCATTGCGAGTGGACGGCATGACTGTATGAAGAGGTTTCTTGCGATTTCCATGGCATTTATTGAGCTTCCGCAGAGGCCTTCGAGAATGTACTCTGCCGTGATGATGCAGTTCTCTGTGAACAATCCCGATATGGGAAGATTCGCTCCGGTAGCAAGCCACCCCCTGACTAGTCTGACACAGGCTGGGATCTGAACAAACCGATGGAGTTGCTCGATTAGCTCGACGCCCTGAGACACGTGCGCCTCGTTTACAATTTTCTCCGACAGAGAACCCCAAGCTTGTCCGACGTCGGGAGTAGTCTCGTTGATGCCCTCATCTCCAACTGGGAGATGATTGAAAAGGGTAGTATGGCTGAAAGAACCCAAGTACCCTGGATTAGGGTAGTTGTGTGGCTTGGTCAGGAACCCGGTGACTGGTGTGACTGGTGTCTCTGCCCGGGACGGGCCACTCGAGGGACCACCAACGAGAGTACGCTGCTGGCTATTTTGACATCAGCCTGGCGGAGTCTCGAGATATAATGCAACCACTGTGGCTCCTTACCTTGACTCTCGCGGTGGAGTGATTACAGCCGACTTCCTCTTGTCCTTCTTGAACGGCCTCAATCGATAGGTACAACCGGCTGCTTGGTTTCTGCCACGACACCGAGAACACACCGGCCGTGCGTGATCGCAAGCCAGTTTAGACGATCTACAAGGATCGCATGCCGGTAACTTGGGTACCTTCGGCATCTCTGACGATCGGTATCGTAGCGTTGATTTGATTGGCTTATCGCGACAACACTTCGGGGCCGTGTCGGTGCGTTTCGGCCGGGGAGGATGAAAGATGCAAGTCCAAGTGGGAGCTCTACGCCGACGCGATCGGCATGTTCGGGGTAGAAAAAAGCGGGCCAATTGTGACTAAGGAATTGACTTAAAAGAGCCCCGTGACATCGGAATGCAAGCGGAGATGTGACCGTCTTCCACTCCGAGATGTTTGGCGGCTAGTTTGGAGGCTAGTTTGACGGCTTGATCCGGCTTCTTGCGGGCCGAAGAGTGTTCCTTGTGCCGTGCAAAGGGAGCCATCACCATCGGATTCAATGCTATCGAATCTTCTTTATTCCCCCGCTTGACATATGTGGTCCGAGCGTTACTCAGGGCGAGGTGACATTGAAGCTACCCCCCATGTTCCATGGTGATTGATGGTGATAGCTGACCTGTTGACATCGCCTCCAGCACAACTCCATACAACTTGATGCCGATCTTATTAACCCTGATCACATTCAATTCCGGTCGTCCGCCTCATTCATCAGTTCGGAAAGTAGTCTTACCAAATCCCTTGCCCCTCGGTTGGTAGTACGAACAGATCCTCTGCCAAGACACCGGCCTTCGCTTGCCACGTGCTGTAGGTGTAAAAATATACCGCGACACCAGGAGTGACGGGGCATACATGGGGATCTAAGATAAGCTATGCCCCTACTCGTTAGTAAAGTTCTTCCCAATCCGTGTTATAGTCTCAGTAATAAAACGTCTGATCTTGAAGACTACTCCGAGCCGTTGTGAGTCTTTATTCGCGGAAGCGACACGTCAGATGATAACGACAGATTACCTTAATGGCCACAGCAAATGAACGCTAATTGCGCATCATGGCAGTCTCGGATAAGATAGTAACCATTGGGGTGAGTGGGGAGTAAGCTTTACGAGACCTTGTCATTCTATGAATATATGTTTCTAGGTTGTCTCCCGTGGTGGCTTCTCTTCTGCTACTTCGCGTCCCGTTGTTAAGCATTATTCACCTTTTGATCATCACGTATTCACGTCAATTAAGAGATGTGTATCATATTATCATCTGTGCCTCATACATTCGGACACCTGAATTTTTTTACAGTCCTCTCTCGGCCACCGTACTGTACACGGACCCCACTTGCAATGCTGACCTCAAATCCCGCGGAAGCAACTGAATCCAAACTGGAGTCCACCCTCGCATTTGCCACACCATGTACCAACAGCTATCGGCCTCCGAACCTGGTGAGCCAACCTCACCCGCAGCGCATGTACGCTACCTGCAAGGGATGCCGCCTCAGTGGATCATAATTGGAGTTCGGTTCCACTCTCAATGAGTTTGGGCAGTCATATTATTAAAATCATGGCTTGTAGTCGAAGTAAGTTGACTTTCATCATTCTAGCTAACGAGGGTATTGCAGAAAATAACGAAAACGTGACCACATGACACGAATATTCTTTCAATTATTTCCGTATGGGAAAGTGGTAATGCCCTTTCTTACCTGTATCGCTCTCTCTGTGTCATATATAAGGAGATGAGTTAACGTACTGCACCATCCAGTATGGGCCGTACCATTTGAAAGATTGGTGCAACGGTGAAATGCGAACGACTAGGAGCCCGGCATGCCACACGATCCGCTATCACCGAGGCACCAATAGTGAACTGGGTTCACCTGCTGCACCTAAGACGTCACCAATGCCACCCAAGCGGAAGACATGCGACCAGCAAGGATTGATTGGGACCAGAAAGGCGATGAGTTCGAACCCCAGATGCGAGTAGATGAAGATGAAAATTTAGAGGCTGGAAATTGACTACGGCCTAAGTTATGCCAAAGAAAGATTCTTAGCTGCTCAGGCACTATCAGCCTAGGGGATCATAAGTGAGCATACGCGTCAATGTACTGTACCTTCTAGTATGGGCCTATTTTTAGTCGCTTTGTACACAGATGATGTTCTGGCACCCTGTAGGTTTATGTAATCGCCTTGGGTAAATCCCATGTCTGGAGCGGTGTCTGTTACGGCATAGGGTGATGCCAAAACATTTTCCTGAAGTGCCCGTGCCGTCGGTGTCGCGTGGAACATGCGCAGCAGAAGGAGAAAAGGTACTTTGGCCAAAGTATTTGCCTCAGCAACTTTCAACCCTCGTCCTAGTTTATGCCGTATGTTTTGTGGAACCACGGTCAGCTTAGGTTGCGGTCGTGTCACCAGCCTTTTCGTTTTTCACGACCCCTCATGGTGCAACCGGTGTATGAATTATCGACAACGAGGATGTGTTGCACGGGCTGAGGTCTATGAGATCTCCAAACGGGAGCTGCGGTATCGAAAAAGAAACTGAGACATGGACGAGTGAATTGTGCCAGCAGGATTTGCCTGGAATTTGTTGCGTCTGAAGTGGGGAATGTAGGACGTAGGTATAGCCAAGGAGTAAGGACAAACATGGACACAGATGCGCCTCGTTTTGGGAGGAAACGTCCAGGAACTCCCTTGAAATCCGAAGTCATACAATTCAATAATTTGGAATTGTCTCACGTCCTCTACATTCCGCCAAGCTTGAAGGGATGTAACTCGTACCAACTGGCTGGTGTTAAGACCGACTTTTCAAGAGGTGCATGGCCACCGTACGCACGTGGCGGACTTCTTTGTGGAATGCTGGCGAGATAGTGGGCCATGTGAAAACCGGTGAGCCAATGCGACCCGTCTCAATATTAATTGTTGAATTGTGTACATTGTCTAACCAACCTGTTCTTGGATGTGCCCACAATATGCTGCACGGGGGGTCGGGTGGTCTCTTGTCGCACCAATGGGCTCGAGCTGGTATTCCACTGCATATGTCTTGTGCGAGAATGATGAGGCTAAGCCATAAGAAATTGTCTGGGCATGAAGTCTCTCGGATAAGAACCGCCAAGCGCAACTATACACATTCTAGGATGTAAGCCGCATATTGGTGTGAGAGAAGAGCGCTATGTGTAGCGCCGTTCGCGCCTTACGCGGCCTGCGCCTTTTTGGGCCGTGGCTGTCTTTATTTGACGCCTCAACCAACTCGATAGGTTGTGTAACTTCGCTAAGATGGCCCCCCACTCCCAGCCGGAGTCGATATTGCTTCTTGGAGGGAAATTACGTGATGCAATTGTGTCTTTGCCATGAGTATCTGTTGGGAGATGTTTCACAACCGCTTTGACCCTCCGGGCGTCGACCCTTGCATTGGCTCTCATTGCATTGTGCTCAGCCGTTTCTCGGTTGTGGAATTGGATTCGTGAAACCCACAAATATGTCTTAAATTCGGCGACAAACACTGGCTCGGCTGATAGGCAATTCGTATTGATCTGCATATTGAGAGCTGTATTCAGCCAGCTGTACAGCACCTGCCTGAGGCAGCAAGCAGCTGCTCCAACGATTCGCACAGCATCCAGCCACAGCAAAAGCCATAAGCAGCCCAACTGCAGTGTCGATCCCGCCGGCCAAACAGACTCGCTCCACCGCTAGCGTCGATGATGCGCCAAGGGACCTAGACGGGAAACTCCGCTCGCGATACTTCGGGCTAAAAGTACGGCCGAAACCGAGTAAGAAGCAAGTAAGTCAGGTTCGGCTGCCCCGCCCCGTTCAACATTTCGAGTCCTGTTTTCCTCCCTGATGTCGCATTGAAGGCAAGCTGAAGCCGTCTCGATACGTCAAGATGGAAGCCAGAACCTCGCCGGACGATAAAAATCCGAAAGAGGGTAATGCCCTCCGCACTGCATGCACCGAGTGCCAGCGTCGCAAGCAGAAGGTGACAGCCTCACGACCCTTGCTAATTCCAGACCCCGCAAGCTGACCCTGCCCCAGTGCAATCGCGAATGGCCGTGTAATCACTGCCAAAAGCGCAAGGTCGCGTCCCTGTGCAGCTTCAATCATGAGGCCGAGCCCAACAGCGCTTGGATGCCGTCAGTCGACGTCAAGAGGAAGCGCGATCGCGAGTCGAAAGAGGAGCCTGATGAGTGGGACACGGCTGCCGGGCTTGAAGCCATCGGCTATACCACCTCTCATCTTCTCTCAAACCTCGAGATTGACGTAAGACTCGCCTTCCCAGATGACCATCTCTGTCTCCGATTTCTTATTCTTTTTCTGACCTATAATAGTCGCATAGCAAAATAGGTGCCAAGCAGTATCGTGCCGACCCTGAAAGCAGCCCCCAACTTAAGCGGGCTCTGGACATCTTACCATCCAGGCAAGATCTCGGTGAGTGTAATTCCCCCAGCAGCTCAGTTTCCACCAACTAAAGCGTATATGCAGACGCTCTGGTCCAGAATTTTCTCTCCAACGTCAACTTTTACTACTACATTGTGTACCCCACAAGCTTCATCGAGGAGTACGCCGAATGGTGGAAAGATCGAGACGCGGGTCGACCTCTGGGACTCCAGTGGTCTTGTCTCATCATCATGGTTTGTGCCTGCTCTGTGCAGCACACCGATGCCAAACTCACCAAGACTCTGGAAAACAATCTCGGTTCCTCAGTCAAGGAGCTGACAGAACGTTATCACAACGCTGCGCGAGAACTTCATAGCGCGATCCCCGTCGGCCACAGCCATTTTTTCTCAGTCCAGTATCTGCTGCACTCGTGCTACTGGTTCAAGGCTGAAGCACGCTTCGTTGAGTGTTGGCAAGTCTTGGGTGCTACTGTTCGCGAAGCTCAGGCTCTAGGTATGAAGATCCACTGTATACCCCACCCTTGCATGCATTCTAACAGGCATCCCAAAAGGCCTACACGAGGAAGTAGGTGGACGCATATCCGAGTTTAATCGGGAAATGCGGAGACGCCTTTGGTGCATTGTTGACTCTTGGGACTGGTAAGTCATCGTTTGAGCCTCCTAAGCTCTGATCTGACAGTATTATAGGCTTGTCTCGTCATTGCTTGCACGGCCAATGCTTATTGACCGCACAAACATCAACATCGGTCTTCCAAGTCTCACGCTTGAGCCGTTTCCCGTCTCTCCACTGTTGCACTTGAAATTGCAGTCGCAACTCGTTGGCCTAATCTTCAAAGAATTTGGGCCACCAAAGATCCTCACTGATCCTTACCAAATTCAGAAGTATCAGAAGATCCTTGAAGAGTTCATGCTCTCCTTTCCGCCAGCGTATGCATTTGACAATCCAGATACGACGCCGGAACTGACATATCCATGGATCGCCCTGCATCGTCATTACATGCACACATGCACGATCTCAATTGCCCTTGGTCCCTTTAGGGGATACATGGCCAAGAGGATGACGAAGGACACACCGGAGATTGAACTCAAGTTTAGACGGGACGGCATCGCCTACGCGCTGAAGCTGATGGATTCCGTCCAACGCTTCTTCCAGTACGTGTGGGCCAGAGACAGCACCTTTCACTTCGTGCCCTTCTGTATTTTCGACACAGCCGCCCTGCTCTGTTCCGCCGTTCTTCATGACCAAGACGGCAAGCTTGCCCGACAGGACAACATCATCGATGCCGTTGATATTGCGCTCATCACCCTGAGGCAATTGCGCACAGCGACCGACACGGCCAAGACCCCGTATGATGTTCTACGACGCCTTGTAGACCGAGTGTGGCCTGCATCTGCCAAAAACAACTCGGCTGAGGGTCTGCGCAAGCGACTTAAAGCTAGGGCGCCAGTGCATTACACGCCCGCGATTACCCAAACTGTACCGCCGCCCTATCCACTTGGTCAGGTTGCGCCTCCTGTCCAGATATACGCTGGTATCGAGTTCCCGGATGCATCCGTACATGCAGAAAGCTCCGCGATACACTCGACAGCCCCTGGAGGCGCCATGAATGGCGGAGACCCATACGGATTGTCTCCCCCTACAGATGGGAGCTCCAGTGCGGCCTTGGTCCTCGAACCCACCGCTACCTACGGAACAACTGCCCCCTGGCCTCAACCCCAATACCTGAACCAAGGGAGCAATGTGCCCTTAATTCACCCCCCAATGATGATCGGCACTGCAGATTGGCCACACACAGAGGCGCCACAGGTACAGACACAGGTACAGGCACAGCCATTTGTCAACCTTCAGCAAATGCCCGGAGGAGAGCCCCAGGATATGGGATTTGCCATCATGCCAGATGTGCAGCTGGGTGACCTTGCGAACCTGTGGAATTGGGAAAGCCTTGATTTGGGATTTGGGACGAACCCTATTTTGTAATGGGAGGGCCGCAAGGAGGATAAAATGTATTATACTTTTAGTCAATGGAATTAAAGATATACTAGCTATCAAGCGAGTTGACTTATTTCGCGTGCTTGAACATGAGTGATTTCGTCCAGGCCAGGCCTTGCATATCGCGGAGACGAAAGCCAAATGAAGAAAGAGTTAAGATAAGGCCCTGGTATAGACGGACAACTAACAGTAACCGGGGACTAGACTGCAACTTAGTGAGTTGTCGGCCCGGATCATATGTAGGCCCAACGTGGATGGCTTATACTAGCTGACACGTGGGTTGCATCCGCGGTGGAAATGGGAACAAGGTACGCCAGTAGGAGTCGTATCCGGAAGCTAGGACCAAGTATCAAGACGAGCAGGCAGCAAATAAGAGAGAGGATGCATGACACTCGGAAACGCATGGCGAAGGAAAAGAAGACTATAGGAGAGGGAGCGGAATGGTCCGAGTGCAACAGGAGCTGGATGAATAAGAAATATATGACACTCGTGGCCACCATTACTCGACCATTGCCTAAATTTGAGCGCCCCTATTCGGTCTCCCAGCTGGGTTAGCTGCTCGCCTCTGTGGATATTTTGCACTACTTTGGTGCAAGCATGCTACGTGGCTGAAACGACAGGGCCCGGGAAAATTGACAATCCTCCCCACGCGATCTTTCCTAGCTGACGGCGGATGCTCCTGTGTAAGCTGACTGGTGAGACTTGTCTAGACTACCGGTAGGCCGGTAACTCGGGAATCCGGGCAACGAGCTTGTTGAGGCAAGGCGTTTGACTCGCACACATCGGATTCTTCTGGCTTGATACGACGCTGCTGCAGGCAAATGTTGAAGTTGCATCTTTGGATGGTCCGCCCAAGCGTCTCGGTTGCTCCCGTGACAGAAGACACCTACCGCTTCCGTGCGCCCATTCTGCGCTGGCGTCATAATTGTCAACGAGATCGGCATGCGACGCTCCGAAACAAGTTGGCGATTTGACTTTGTGGCAGGTCTGTACGTCGGACCTCGAATGCTCGAAGCGCCTCAGACGACGTGTCACAAATGTTTGACGATGGTAAACTTTGGCGACGACGCGTGCGAGGAAAAGCGAGGAAAAGCGAGTCAGACAGGAAGAAAATTGCGTTAGTTCCAGATTGAGTCCGAGTCGCCGCCATCCATCGGTAGCGTTGGGAAAAGGGTTCAACTTTGTCCCTATCCTAGAAAAGGATAGTGATACCGACTGCTACGTTTAGGGGTACCACCTGCCTGGTTTTGTTGATGAATGATGAGTCTTTTTACCGGTATTCTTCCAACAGGGGATCCAGCAAGGTTTGAATTAGGCTAGGGGAAGCATGGGCGGCATCCGGCCTTGATTCCCACTAGCATTGACTACTGGAAGCATCGGCCACGCGGTTGGCTCAATTCTGGACATCACGGCCGTCTAAGAAACCCACATCATCCCCATCCCGGTGCAGAACGTTGGCGGGCTCTCCAGCCAGGGGCTTGCCAAGTCGCGGGGTATTTCCTCGACCCTGGGGAGGATTTCCGGGGCGCGAGCTTCCTTGCGTGGTCTACGGCAGGGATAAACCGGCTTGTCATTTGTCAACGACGCTTGGCAGTTGACGCGAGTCGCAAAACGGAGCCAAGTTTAGTCTACCGAGTAGTCTAGCCCCTGAAGAGACGTTGGCAATGTCCGTGCGGACATGGGATGATAGTTTCTGACTCAGGTCCTGGCTCCTCATGGCTAGTGGTGCAGCTACGACATTCTCGTTTACCTGAAGATTGGATACGACTTTACGAGGCCTCGCTTGCAAGGGGTGGCCATTCTAGAGCCAACCTGGACGAATAGCCCGCATTCAACACCAGGGGGGCCATGCCTGCCTGACACGTTCGCCCGGAACCAGACCCGCGGGTTGTTGCGCAGACGTATATCTCTCTGCTTCCCCACTTGACGCCCCGCAGATCTAAGATTTCCAAAATTCGGGTCCCAAGAGCAAAGGCCATGGAGCTTCGTGTGCTTGTCCGCTTTGCCGCGCTGCTGTTTGCGTGCTGCGTGGCGGGTGCGGAACTGTATGATTCGAGTGCCTTGACGGTGCTGACGAACTGTTCAGTATGTCTTCGAGGTATCGCCTCGATGTTCAAGCTAACGCGCCATCTAGAAAACATGTATCGACGAAGTCATCTCCGTGTCGAATTGCACGGCGCTGGACGACTCCTGTCTATGCACAGATGAGACGATTCTTCCAGCAGTTTCCGGATGCGTCATAACAACCTGCTCCGTGAAGCAAACTCTCAGTACGCCTTTCTCTTTTCAACAAATACTATACCCTAACGTCGACAAGCTACACAGAATGCCACGCAAGCCTACTGCCGAGTGCCGATTCGAAACAGGACCCCGATCTTCGTCAATGTCACCATCGTGTTCGGCACCTTGACTGGTGTGTTTGTCCTCTTCCGGTTTGCGACAAAACTCTTCGTCCTCGACCGAGACTTTGGCATGGACGACCTTTTCGTGCTCCTAGCCTTCTTATGCGGAGTTCCGTCCACGGTAATGAACATCCACGGCACGGCCGGTCATGGCGAAGGTCAAGACATCTGGAACCTCGACTTCGATACCATATACAAGTTCAGTTTCTGGTTCTATGTTTTGGAGGTATTTTACTTTGCCCAGGTCTCCATTTTGAAAATGGCGTTCCTTTTCTTCTATCTTCGAATCTTCTCCGGGCCAGCCCAGAAAGTACTGTGGGGGACAATCATCTTCAACGCCCTATACGGCATCGTGTTTTGCTTCCTCGCCGCGTTCCAATGTACTCCCGTTAGCTTTTTCTGGAATGGATGGGACGGAGAACATGCAGGAAAATGGTATGTGATGGCTGATTTTGTTGTTGCTCTCCACTCACTAACTCCAACACAGTTTAAACATCACCGCAATTGGGTGGGCCAACGCCTCTGTCAGTGTTGCACTAGACTTGTGGATGCTAGCAATCCCGTTATGGTGTGTACGGAGCCTGAACATGAATTGGAAAAAGAAGTTCGGCGTTGTTGCCATGTTTATTGTTGGAACTTTGTAAGTGTGCTGTCTGCATCCTGATTCGCGTCTAACATTCCCAGTGTCACGGTTGTTAGCATCATTCGCCTTCAGTACATCATCAACCTCGGGTCGTCCCACAACGCTACTTACGACCAGCTCGACATATCAATCTGGTCGACCGTCGAAATCAACGTTGGAATCATGTGCACGTGCATGCCGGCGATCCGTATGATGCTGGTCCGATTCTTCCCAGTTCTAAGGAGCACCATTCGAGATACGAGGAAGTCTTCGAACTACAAGGAGAACTCAGGGCCGAGAACAAAGATACCTTCTCATGACGGTTCGAGAGTGGTACCAGAGAATGGGATTGAGCTGAAGCGCACGTTTAGGGTGCAGTACACCGAGGGAGATGAGGCGCGATTAGTGAGCCAGCGAGAAATGGGCAGCAGAGGATTCACTGGGAGTCGCACGAGCGTGAGTGAGGGATCCATCTAAAAGGAGCGTTGTTTTTTTAATGATTTAATTACTTTTACTATGAGAACATTCGGGGTTCGAGATGTAACCTACCCAATAGCGTTGTTTTAGAGTAAAATGTCAATTCGAAGCTCATAATTCCCAGCAGCAGCAGCATAGGTAGTCAATTCCGGCTGGCATCAGCGGCCGACTTCCGCATATTGAAGGGGATATTGGGGTTGAAGCATTGATTGCTGGGGTACACTCTTCGAAACTTGATCATTGAGTTAGGCTAAATGGCACCATCGCGCACTGGCTTCCCTCACGAAACTGTCACAATAGAGACCAAGTTGCCAGAACGGCAGATGGAACAGGCAGGTGCTTTACCTACTGCATGGAGGGTTACACGCATTTCTAAGCTGAAACTATTGAGAATGTGATATGCGGCTCGTCCCGCATGAGACTTGTTCCGGTATCGTGCGGACATGGGATGCGATTGTCACCCTGTCAGAGATTAGGCTATGTGCGATTGATATCCCCTCCAATCATGGTCAGCCACACAAGCCTATAGGATTGATTGAATTTACTAAAACCATATATATCCGGTCTACAACGCATAGCGTAACACTATATCAATCACGCTCATATCGAGGAGCTCGTGTTCGAACATCCACCGCGATCGCCTCAACAATTACTACTATTGTTGCATTGAAAGTGGAGCATACAGGTCATGAGTTGCTGCGAGATGACCTGATTCATCACAGACCTCCGGGGGGTTCTGAGTTGCTCCGGGTTTAGCTGGTTGATCCTGGTGGCCGATCTCGTGGGGGATTAGGCAGAGCTTTATTGCTTGGCTCTGCATGAGAAATCAAAACAAGGTAAGATTCCGGATCTTTCTGCAACAAGGTTGGTATTAATGATGTTGTTATTACGTCAACCTTGTGCGGAATGGCCTTATTTTTCACATCGTCATGGCATGGGCAAAGCTGTGAGCTGCTGTAGGCTGCTGTGAATATTCTCTTCGCTGCACTGCAATTACACAATAAAGACATGATTTCACTCCATAATCTGTTCAGGGCCACTGCTCTTGTTCCAGATAAAAGTCCAAGGGCGTGACATCCAACATGTTGGTAAGTTCCAACGCGGACGCCATAGGCCAATCCCAAACATTCCACTGAAATTGGTCCGCCGCTGGTGGGGTCCTCGATTCCGAGAATGTCTTCTCCCGTAGAAGGTCCAACACGTCGGCGCATTGCTTAATGTGTCCACTGGCATCATCTATCCACAAATAGAGCCGACGCAAAGTCGAAATGCAACGGCGTATCAAATCTTCGTCATCTTCGTCCGTAACGGGGTGGCCTTTCCAGCGTGCGTAGAATATTGTGAGCCCAGCCTGCCAGAGCATGTGAATTCCGTTTGGATAGAGCAGAGCTATGAGTAGGGAGTTGGGGTATAACGTGTTGGATGTTGGGGAGTACGACGTAGGCCCAAGCTCCATGGGTGCAAATGACATGAAGTCAGTAGAAATGCGGTTGATCAAGGTAGCAGAGGAGTGACTGCAGGCCTCCAATGAAGGTAAGAATTGTGGATGGGCAGTTGTGAATGATAGAGCTGGTCGATGGACGTGTATTGTCGCGATACAAAGCGCAATATCAAGGAACGTGGCCTCAAAGGAAGCATTTCGTGAGCCATCAACTCCCCCACCGTTACTTTGAGGCTCAGTTATATCTGCATCGGGATTTTCCTCAGGTTGAGTCAACTTTCTCATGGCAGTGGGTAACGCGCGCTCCCACATGTTGAGTTCGGCTTGCAAGTGCTTAATCTTGACGGCTCCACCACGTCGCCGTGTGGTCGTGTACAGCTTCTCGAGGGTGCTACCGACAATTTGTGCCAGCTTGAATAAGTTTAGAGCCGTGTCGACTTCCGAAGCGACTCCTGGCAAGGGAAATTTGACTTGTGTTCGAGAGAGGAGGTCATGATCCACGGGCGTAGGTAGATCTGTATCGACGTCTTGGTCACGAATAAGGCGTGGCATACCATGGTAAGCACTTGAGAAGCTGCAAAAGTGGTTGTCAGTATTAAGATGACCTTGACGGAAGAGGACGCAACTTGGAAACATACACATCGAGAGAATACTGACACCACCATACTCGTCGGCGGAGCTCTGTTTCAAGTGGGTCGAATTTGAAGCGCTGAGAATGACGGTGTAGTCCCAAGTTTTGTGCTAGGCGAGTCGCAACTCCACCAATATGGGAAGCGACAGTGTAACGGGAAGAAATCTGGAGGTATAATTGAGTGATCTCTAGGCCTTGGAGACTCTCCAAGCATGACTGCTCTAGGACCCGATCAAGCAGGGTCGAAGCCATGGTGTAGTATGACTCTGAGAGGCACAAAAAGTGATAGTGGCTGCGTGTGCACCCTCCTGGCCGGCCTAATGTCCCAAGAGCAAGAAGACCAAGCGCTTGATACAAGACGACTATACTTCTTCCACCAGGACTGGAGTTTCCGAGAAGGTTCTGAAATGCTTCTATAGTCGAGGACTTGTGCACGATGGGGTAGAGGGGAGTCCAGCGGTCAATTGTAGTCTCGAGGACGTGAATGGTGTCGGGTGGTAAATTGGCGACCATTGCTCGAATAAGATCCGGCTGGGGGCTACTCAGCGAAGCACCCCATATATTATGCAAGTGCAGGCTGTAAGCGCAACTTGGAAATGCATCTGTGTGCATTCGAAGCAGTTGAATCTGCTGTTCTGCTTGGCTGATAAAATGGACGCCGGTTGAGGATCCTCCGAACATGGCCACCTGGTGGTCGTCCGACACCAACCGCCCCATGTGTCCAATTACGGCCGCGTCTCCTTGTTGTGCCGTAGTCGTAGATGGGCTTTCAATGTTATGAGCTCCGGAAGGAGATGGAAGCATTGGGGCTGACTGCGAGAGACGGGAGCCAGCAAACATCGCAACACTTGACATCTGTTGCCCAGGGCTGCGAGTTTGCAAGGCTGCATCGTTTGCAATTGTCTGAGCTGCATTGTTTAGATCATTTCGGGTTGGAACCTGAGTAGTGTCGGTCAGAGGCATCGGTCCCGACCGGCGCTGCTCTATGCCTTCATTCTCGTAGAAACTAGATATCATGTCAGCTAAGCGCGAATAGGGATTCTATCTAAGAGCGGTGATGATGATCTGCCGTGATTTACCTCTTTCGCTTTCGATTTCTTCTCAGTGTTTTCGAACTGACGCAGATAACTCCTGCCGAAAGGCAGGGAGAGCACTGGCATTTCAAAATGATTAGTTAGCAGGAATGATGAAGCTGGCATACGTTATCTCACCTCCTCGTCATTGCCATAGCACCTGATCTTTCTCCTGAACCTGACTATCAGCCCGCGATCCGATGTTGATTTGTATTTTTTACGATATTTGCACGGTGTTGGCGATTGCACAGATATGCCCCTAGACCTACCGGCGACAACGATCACTGTGACGAGATTAGTGTCGAGCTGTGCGAGCTTAATTGATAACATACCACACTTGCCCTGGTATACGTGCCGGGGACTGTAGCGATCGAGACGTCTCTTCGTCAGAGGCCATGGTAGAATGCTACGAGTGCCAGACGAGTAATGAAGCGGGGTATGAAGGGTTATTAAGTGGATTGGTCCCTGAGTAATGTGAATAAGTGGGGTATTTCAATTTAATTGAGGGCTCCCGTGCCATGGTTGAATGAGTGACTATCCGCAATGCGTTTTCTCTCCCTGAAGAGCTAATTACTTCCACAATGATATCAAATGAGTGACAAATGACCAATAACCAATAACAAATTTGTTCTTCGTCAATTAGACCCCCTCAAAATTCCATTCAGCTGTTGACCCCATATATCGCACCTCACTGACCAGCTTCCAAAGCGACTTAAGGGCTCAGTCCTATACTCGTATAGTTAGAAAACCCGATGGTAATGGCGATGGCATTCGGGAAATGCCCATGTCAATCTTGGGAGGTACGACGCCAAGGCACCTTAAACGTCGCGACGGAAATCGACGTAGTGGTGCCTCTCCGCGGACCCCGGCTGGTCCTGGCTTCGTAGCTGCCATGGGATGACCTCTTGTGTAGTCACTATAGTCCCCTGCGTAATTGAGACGTGATTGCCTGTATGGCTTCTCGAGGAAAATCGAATCCGAGTCAAGAGGACATCGCCAATAGACTCGGTCCCGTCTTTCAAGGAGAAGATCATATAGGCAAGTATGCCGCGATCAAGCAGGGGAGTATAGTGTTTGCGCAAAAGGCTATTACAGGGCAGCTGCGAAGGGACCTAGAAGATCAAGTGAGTAATTCGCAGCAGATCTGTTCACACCAAGGAAGTGGACGGGTGAAGGAGGAACGTTACCAAGGAAAGTAGGTCATGCTGCGTGAGACCCAGCTGATCCATGACTCGGGCTAGAGCGTCTAGGCCACCATCTCTCTGTACTGCACCGAGGATAGCTTCGACCGCCGTCGCAACCATTCCAGGCGTAACCCTGGAAGTGCCACCGTTGACGTTGATGCAATTACCGAGGCCGTGTTCCATGCCAACTCGGGCAAGATTCTCATTGCCGACAAGATCACGTCGGATTGTGGTCCAGGAATCTTTAGAGTAGCCGCGTGTCAGTTACATCCGCTTTCGAGCTCGGGTATCAATAAGCCCAGCAGGACTAAACAACGCGCAACTAACGTTTGTCAAGCCCCCGCTGCACCCAGAGGCTGCACAAGTAGAAATTGGCAGTGGAATCGCCGTAGACGGCGAGGCGGTCATTCTTAGGCATCCTCTTAAAAAGGCCATCCGAAACATAGACAGACTTGAAGTCCCCTGCAGCGTTCAGGGCCTCGGCGCAGAGTACCTTGGAGGTGAACGAGTATCCAATGATTGCCTCGCACTGGGAGACCATTTTGCCAAAGCCAGAAGAGAAGTCCATGGTTTCTATGACATGGGGACTGAAGGGTGGTAAAGCGTGAGAATTGATTTTGAAGGAGGAATGAAAGTAGAAGCTACCATCAGATGGCGAGCTGTCCAGGCACTTTGTTATATGGCGCGATATTTAAGGTTACTTATAGGTCACTCCTTCGTAACTTACATGTCATCAATGAGGGGAAAGTGGGCTAGTACCGAAATTGCACCCAACCACGCTCGGGAAAGAGAAACTTTGGGCGTTATTCTTAGCCTGGGTGAGGCATGGAGGAACCGGTTAGGCATCGCCTGAAGATTTAGGCGAAGGTCTCTGTAATACATATGCAGGGCTAAGGGAAGGATTGTGATATCATAGCTCTTCACGAGTGAGATAGCTAAGCACCTGATGCCATGTCTGGTCAGACTGCTAGAGCTTATATTCTACTGCTGGGTTTTCATCACAATTCACTGATTCCTGAGGCAGGATACTCGCAGAAGGGACAAAACTTCTTGAATCACAAAATACCTAAGGAAATCTTTTCTTCACGAGCCCCATATCTAACCCGAGTGCTCCTCATATTAGACGCCAGTAAATCTCATATCCTCACCGTTTTCTTTTTCTTGTACAGCGTCACGGATAGTTGTTTTAGTTGCAAAGACGGTCTGGTTGTTGAGGCAGCATTTCGAGATAGTACCCAACCGTCACACTGGATATGTGATCCAAATCTCTTCTATATCAAATCAAATGGTCTATATATGTCAAAGATCGACTAGACTAGGCTATTCCCATTCGTTACAGCTTCCAAGTTTACATGACCATTTTTCAATTTGGGCCCACCATTTTTGGTGCCATTGGTCTTGATACCATTTACCCTGTTGATGCTTTGGGTGCCTTGACTTAGAAGCTCGTCAACCATTAGCTGACAACACCCTAGGTACTGAGTGGGATCGCAGAGCGTTGATAGTTGGGCTGAACTCAGGTGTCGAACGACCTGAGGGACCTTTTCCAGCGCATCCTGCAGAGGTATTTTGCCCTCGTGCGCTTCAACGCACGCACGATACACAATCTCGTGTGCCTCCTGTCTCCCTTCGTACCTGGCCAACTCCATCATGACTGCTTCGGCTACGATGAGGCCTTGCGTTGATTTTAGGTTGGCCATCATCATATCTTCGTTCACTTGCAGTCCGCTTAGTGCGAAGTGTGCCTGGTGCAGAGCCCCCACCGCCGAGATGAAAGCCGTTGGCAGTGCTGCCCATTCCAAATGCCAAGGGCCGGAGGCACGTTCAAAGTCGGACACCATTCCATCAAGGACTAATCCCGCTTGGGCCCGAAGGATCTTAGATTGGGCTAAGATGATTTCACTGGAGATTGGGTTTCGTTTTTGGGGCATCGTCGATGATGCGCCTCTGTGGGGAACATATGGCTCCGCGATCTGAAAAACGTCAGCCAGATAAGTCTCACAGAGTAGTTGATGATAGTGCTTCTTTGTATACTTACCTCATTCAACTCATTGGAGGACATTATAATCAGGTCTAGCGCAATCTTTCCCAAGCTGCCTCCAACCATTGCTAGAAAACTTACCACCTCGGCAATGGTGTCTCTGGATACGTGCCATGTAATAACCGGATCTCGGAGGTTCAAGATAGCCGCCATTCTCTTTCTAACTCGAATGCCGCTGTCTGTGTTGCCCAGAGACGCCAGAGTGCCAGCGGCGCCTCCAAATTGTACGAGCAGACATCGTTCTTTCAGTTGTTCTAGGCGTTGAATGTGTCGCAGAATGCCCGAGAGCCAGACACCACATTTGTATCCAAATGTAATGGGCAGGGCATGTTGGAGATGAGTACGACCTGCCATGGGCGTGTCGCGGTACGTGACGCACATGGATTCAAGTGAGGCAGCGGTCTGGTGAAGGAGTCTCTCGACAATAGTGAGGCCTTTCTGGATCTGCATGATTGAAGCCAAGTCCATAATATCTTGAGTTGTTGCGCCCCAGTGGATATACCCAGCTTTTCGCATCAGTCAGCAGCCGCGTATTTGTAAAAGGTTACATGCCTATCAGGCACAGCTCTGAAAATGAGAGACGACCTACCTTTGTCTTCAGGAACCCATTCTGACATCTGTTCTACGAGACCAAGAATGGGATAGCCGACAATCTCTGCACGAGAGGCTAAGAGAGGCCAGTCGATCTTAGACACATGGCTGTGCTCGCGGATGACAGAGGCAACCCCTGGGGGAATTACGCCCTCGTCTTCTTCGGCTTGTGCAAGAACACACTCAGCTTCAATTAAATTGGTAACGTAGGCGTGCTCTGAGAAACAAGACCGAATCTCTTCGGTTCCAAAAATGTTCCCAAAGAGAACTGTATCAAAAACCGTGGCAGCAGACATGATGGCGATGACAAATGCTGGGAAGATGAGGTGGGAAGAAAAAGGTCTCGGGATGTCGAAGGTCAAGTTGGTATTTATTTTATCAATTTTGAAAGATTTCTTACACGGTCATCACGTTATGTTCACCCTATTCCTCCCCTCAAATCTCGTGATGACGGAGTATTGGGCGGTGGAGCAGCGGCGTAACGCGGAATAAGCACAATCAGGCAAGTTCTGGGTCCAGGCCCCGCACGGAATAACGGGATAGCGGAATAGCGGCGTAAGAACGTAGTAGCGGCCCACAAACTCGCATTGAGGTGGGCCTCCTCCGCATTCTGACCCCGGAGCTAGTTGTACTCCACGGGGTCACGGAGGACCCAGCTTCCTCTGACCACGACGCAACGCTCTCATCTATACTAATGTTCTACGGCTATATAGGTAGAGATGCCCTCGCCTTCATTTTCTAAAATCTATCCTTCAACACACAATTAAATTGATTGGACATTTGGTCAACAAAATTCTTCAATCATTCCACACGGATCTTGAGAAACTTCAAGATGGCTGCCCTAGAAGACCATCGCAAGTCGTCTTCTCCTACGCCATCAAAGTATAATAAATCTATCCAGCTGGAGAATGTGACTACCGAAAAGGGACATAATGGGGAAAACCTCATCGTTGAGGGAGCTGACTACTCGGGTGCCGCTCGCAAAACTGATCCAGCTGAAATCGCCCTCGTCCGAAAGCTGGACAGGATGATCATGGTATGTCCCTACCGGAGTATCTCGCAAAATCATACTGACCGCAAAGCCAATTATCTGGGCCATGTACTTCCTGAACTATCTCGATCGGAATGCACTTCCTCAGGCACGCCTGAACACCCTTGAGGAGGACCTGAACCTCAAAGGTGTTCAGTATAACACTGCAATCTCTATTTTGTTCGTTGGATACCTTTTGATGCAAAGTAGGTTCAGAGACACTTCTTTCTATGGAAACAATGTTAACCGAATTTTATCACAGTCCCCTCCAACATGTTCTTGACTCGAACTCGACCTTCAATCTACTTGTCTGTTTGTATGATTGGCTGGGCGGCCATATCCGCCTGCACGGCAACTGTAACCAGCTATTCGGGGCTTCTAGTGTGTCGGTTCTTCTTGGGCTTCGTTGAGGCAGTCAGTCGATCCTCACCGCCAATATCTTCAAATAAGCTGACTTGAGCTTTGTAGCCATTTTACCCTGGGGCGCTGTATCTCCTATCGATATATTACACCCGAAAGGAGCTTGCAACTCGCATATCATTACTTTACACTGGGCAGGTTGTTAGCACCGGCTGCTCAGGTCTGATCGCTGCCGCAACGTTTGCAACTCTTGATAAAGTCAAGGGCCTTGCTGGGTGGCAATGGTGGGTTTCCCTCGACGTTTTGACCGCTATGCCAACACGGTACTGATGAGATACCCCTTAAGGCTTTTTGTGATAGAGGGTTCTGTCACTGCTCTTGTTGCCATGTTTGGTTTCTTCCTACTCCCAGATGACCCCTCCCAGACTCGATGGCTTACCCCCGAGGAACGCGAACTCTGCATCGCCAGGATTAAGCGAGATACTGTCGGCCAACAGACTAGAGGAACCACTTGGGAGGGTCTGAAGCAAGCCTGCAAGGATCCTCGTACATGGCTCTTCTGCTTGATGCAGAATCTTCATATCAGGTCTGCACGAACACTCGCTATCTTGTCAAGGGTCCGAGCTAATCTAGATACAGTGCCTGCTCTTTCAATAACTTCTTCCCCACCATTGTTAGATCTATGGGCTTCAGGAGCACTACCGCGCTTCTTCTCACCGCGCCTCCTTATTTTGTCTCTGGTATTCTCGGAATTCCCTTTGCTTGGTCCTCAGGCCGGTTCAACGAGAGAACTTGGCATATTACGGCAGGGCTTTCCATCGCTGTCGTTGGCTTTGTGATCTCATGCGCAACAACTAACGTGGCTGCACGTTACGCGGCAACCTTTTTATATGCAACGGGTGCCTACTCTGTCGGGTCCGTTATTCTGGGCTGGGTCAGTAACACTTTATCTCAGACACCTGAGAAGAAGTCGGTCGCCTACGCACTTGTCAATGTCACTGCCAATTTAGCATACATCTATTGCGCTTACCTGTGGCCGTCTGCAGATGGGCCTGACTACTTGATGGGATTCTCTAGTATGGTAGCATTTGCAGTGACTAGCATATTGTGTGCTTGGCTTATGCGGGTGTGGTTGATCCGTTCAAATCGGCAAATTCGGGAGACAGACAACGAGGCTGTTGCATTATACGCTTACTAGGAGCTATGATAACTCGGCAAAATAACAATCAGGCAACGAAATGACGAGGCAGTTTCAATTATATAGGTGTTTGGAAAAGACAACTTTGTTGACTGTCTTGTGCAAAGCTCCAGTAATAACGTTCTTCTTAGCCTTGCTAAGACCTTATCTTCCACGCGAATCTAGATCATGGACACTTCGTCCAGCATTAGTAAGTCCATACTAAGCATCGAATATGCCCTTTCCTTCTCTCGAATAGTCTCTACTTCAGGCTTCTTTTACCTAACTACATACTTCCATTCCACTAATATTATTTATTATTTTAACTTATTATTTAGAAGACTAATCCTTCATATTCACTCCCCAGTAACTTGTTATTTATTTATTCTGTACTAAGTTGTATTCATTAATAAATAAGTTCTCCTATTTCTAATATGAGGTATACTGGTTCGCCCCAGAGCTTAGCTGAGGAGATTTGTGCTTGTGTGCGAATAGCAATAATCTTATTTAATGGACCTGGGTCCTTTCTGGGCAGATTGGTGCATAGGCGTGGTCGACTGGCTTATATGAGTCAAATAGTGTTTCGAATAAGTAGAATGATGTTGCCAAGTGTACAAGATTGGTGACAGTTGAGAAATATCGCCTAGGCTAGAGAATTAACAGGGTTCATATATGTAGGGTCACGTCGGAGTTCGTAGTCGGGAGGGGCTGCACCATCCCATCCCTTTCAACCACGCACTACAGCGCGGCGTTACGTTTGATCATCATAGTCGGCGATGATGCCTAAATGTGGTCCGTTAGAATTTGTTGCCGAGGTTAGCCGCTTGGTTAGAACGTGGGTCGCGACATATGCTCGACGTCAAATATACGTCTTTGGGGGCAATATAGCTTTCTCGTTGGTGCGCTTGCGTACCTCTACCAAACTGTGCACCTTGCTCAGAGTTCCCCATCAACAACGCGACAAAATGCACCGAGAAAAGTCTCATGATGTATATCCCGCACCTCCTCTTTCTCCCACTTTCCCTTATTTGTCCACCAGTGGGCCGAGGGTAGCTTTGAACCTTAACAGACAACAGGGGTGAGATGGAAACATCACAATTATGAGGTCCATACGAAGATCATCGCTCGGCCCGCTACGGGCCGAGAAGCTCAACAGCCAATAGCGTCGTGCAATGAAGTGCTACATTAAATCGATCAACATTCATGTTCCATGGATTCTGGGGTAAACTGACCATTTACCCCGCACACCATTCGCGTGTGACCCAGGAACAGAACAGGAACAGAAGGTTCCGAAGCCTTTTTCTGAAAGCTAGTCCTAATACTGCCGACTTTCTCTCGGGGATCTCGGAGCCAGGATTGCCTCTTTAAGCAGTAAGAGAAACATGATATAAACCGCTCCCAACCTGGTGAAAACATGGATATTCTGCAGCGCTAGATATTCTCCTGCGCCAGAAAACTTGTCTTCTGATCATTTGAAGAACTATGCAATTCGTTCGTCTTCGCCAAGCGAGCTCGCTGTTGCTCTTGACAGCAGCGGTAGCTCACGCCACCCTGCAAATTGTTCCTGGAGCAACTTGGACAGCAGTATGTTCTCCTGAAGAATTTAATGTCACTATATTTGTAACACAACTTCTAGACCAATACTGGACGCCATATCCAAGCTCATGGAGCTGGAATAATCGAGGAGTCCGGAACCTATTATATGATAGGTGAGGACAAAACACAAGGAAGCCCATTCCAAAACATCAACTGCTACTCATCAACCAACCTTGTCGAGTGGGAGTTTGAAAATGCACTTCTGTCTCTGACTTCGAGTGGTGACCTGGGGCCTAACCGAGTCGTCGAGCGCCCCAAAGTCATCTACAACGAGGGTACATCTACCTATGTCATGTATCTTCACATAGACAGCTCAAACTACGGAGAGGCTAAGGTTGGAGTCGCCACATCGAAAACTGTGTGTGGAGACTACAACTATCTGGGTAGCTTCCGACCTCTTGGGTTTGAGTCCCGGGACATTGGTCTCTTCCAAGACGATGATGGGTCTGCGTATCTTCTGACCGAAGATGTGGGTATTACCCTTCGTGTGTTCAATTGCAGTGCTAACTTCCGTGAAATAGCGACCCAATGGACTCAGAATCGATGCCTTGAGCGATGACTATCTCAACGTTACAGAGTCTGTATATCTTTGGGATGAAAATATCGAGTCGCCTGCGATCCTGAAGAAGGATGGGAAATATTTCATGTTTGGATCACATCTTACTGGCTGGAACCCCAACGACAATGTCTGTCTCCACTTCGTATATTGTATCCATTTGATGCTAACTTCCAACAGGTCTACAGCTACGCTGATTCTCTTTCTGGCCCGTGGTCCTCTTGGACTGAGTTTGCCGACGACGGGTCGAATACCTACACTTCGCAGACATCCTACATACTGCCTCTGGGAGACTCGGCCATTTATATGGGCGATCGGTGGTTTTCAACCAACCTCATGAGGAGCACCTATATCTGGCTACCGTTACAGATTTCGGGAACCAGTGTCTACATGGCGAATCGCGTGAATTGGGTCCCTCAAGTAAGCTCAAAAACCTGGACTACAGCGCCCTCGGAAAATTGGTATGAAGGTGAAGCGGCCACACTATCTAATGGTGCCGTTTCCGTCCAGTGCACTGGATGCAGTGGTGGAGCAGCAGCCGGGTACATTGGTGGCTCCAGTGGTGGAACAGCGTCTTTCTCCAGTGTCCACAGTGATGCCACCACACGTACAACCATTAGGCTCAAGTTCGCCAACGGAGACAGTGGCGAGCGCTATGCCACGGTGGCAGTCAATGGCAAGAAGCAGGCCATTGCCTTTCTGTCCACAGGAACTGGACAAGACCCTGGAAGCAGCGTCATCCACTGCGATTTGAACTCAGGATCTGCCAACACCGTTGTTATAACTACGGAGGGAGGATCCTACGGCCCTGACATCGATCGTATCATGGTGCCCGTGAAGTGATCACCACAAAAGGTTCAACAAGAACCGACTTACATCAAGTTGGAACAATCAGGCCGACAGTTGCTGAAAGCTAGGGGCTGAAAGAACATCTCAATTTGTCTCCGGTGTATTTAAGTGGACGAAAAAGGTGGAACGAAAGCTATTATCTCCGAACTTATCTACTTGATGCCTTTACTGTATCCCCCTCGAGACATCCGTTTTTAAATGCAAATAGTCTTCAGTTCCATACTTACTCCATTCACGACCTAAACCGGAATGCTTGACGTCCCGCGATCTAGAGGCGGCAAACAGAAATTATTAGTACGTTATATTATTAAAGTATTGAAAGGAGTGGCATACGGAGTGGACGGATCGGATACAACTCCGGTTTTCATAGCCACCATTCCTAATTGAAAGATAAAAAAAGCACGTTCTGTTACAAGGGGATTAAACCAGCCTTATATCACTCAACTACACCCTGGTTCGGCACTCCAGTCGAATGCCGCATACGCGAAGGATTGCTCCAAAAGCCATCTTCTATGCCCTGTCGCGCTTGTCCAAAGCTTGGACATCTGCCCCTTCTCGGCGGGCCTCGTCCTTGTCTATCACGGTCTCCTCGGACCCGGTATTGAGCCGCACCCCTGAGCCATCTAATGCTATAGCCGTGTCTTGTGCCTGAGAATAGTCACCAGGGTCGCTGCTGCCATTGGGGATGTGGAAACGGCGGTCGAAGCGTAAAAGAGCGTAAGAGTAGACGACGATGATTTCGATGCCAAAGTTGAATAAATAGAAGCAGGCCTTGTGATGAAACCAAGCCGGGTTGGTAGCAGGACGTACCATATAGGCTACTCCAGCACGGAATCCTGCGCCAAAAGCGAGTAGCAGTGACGTGAAGAGTACAAGGCGTACCTTAGTTTGCATGCTGCCCTGGCCAAAATTCTCTACAGGACCCTTGCGCGGCAGGAGAATAGCAAGAAGAGTAATAGGTGCTGGGATGAAGGCAAGTATTGCAATATAAGTAACGGCAAAGAGTTGGATGGTACGAAGTTTTGAGCGGACACTAGGGTCGATGGTATAGAAGCCGTATACCAGTACAGTTATCGACATAATAAGCATAGCGATGATGCTGAAGAGGAGAGAGCGGAATGCTAATGTGACAGGCTTACTCCAGCCGAGTTGGGGGTGGTGGGCGCGGAAGATGCGCTGAGAAAATAGTAGGTTGACGACAAAGAGCAATATGACGCCCGCATTGGTCAGGACTTGAGATGCGATGCGAAGATTGACGTTGGTTGGCGCCGATCCCACAGCAATGCGCAGTGCGTTGGCAACAATGCGAGCCATAGAGAAGCCGAAAAACAGCGCAGAGAAAAGGAATTTGTGGTTGCGCTTCCGATTGATCTGGTAGATGGTCATGTTGAAAATGGCGCTGGCGAGGAAGAAGGCGATGAGCACGCCGCAGATGGGATCGTCGACTGAGGGTACGGGGGTGCCGCCGAGGGTGGCGACCGTGGTGATGAGATAAGGAGGGCCCTGTAGGAGTCGGTTAGACGGTTGGCCTTGTGGTATACAACAGTCTAAGGCAAATGGGAAAGCGAGAACTCACGCTGATTTTCTGCGAAGAGCTCCCACCAGTGCCTTGGCTCTGGCCTTGTGAAGACATCGTGGTGGAGTGTGGGCTCCCGTCTTGGGGGGATCCGAGATTGCGGTTGTATGCTGTTAGGGCTCGATATGTTCCGATCACAGGCTTAAACACAGGGAAATAACCAAGAGGGCGCAATCTGTAACGCCTGGAAGGCTAGATCAGATGCAGAGATCGATTAAATCATGGTCTTCGAGCGGGAGGACAGCCATGTTAAATATCCGCTAGCTCAATGCGCACGATACCCCTAAATATCAGTAAGTGGGCGCCGAGTGGGGTGGCAGCATTATTAACTAGCCCAAGGCATCGGATGATCAGCTTTAATCACTGCGGAGTGCTCCAATTGGTATCATCGGGCTCGGAGGGTCGAAAGTTGATCCCGGGCACCGCGCATCGGGGCCCCGGGTCGGAAGGTCGGAGGGTCGGCCTTGCCGGGGTTACAGCGGGTCCCCGGCTGATTAGGCGCTAATAATTTACCGCTCAACCAGAATTTCCGCCTATAAAACCCATCTTCTCCCCTGAGCGATTCTGACTTACCTCATGGTTAAGACACACTTGCAACGCTCCGCCATTTTATTCCATACCACTCCGATATGGGCCAATACTGCAACCATTTTGAAAACATTTTATGCATAATTGAGATGTGCTAAGATTGTTGGTATTATCACGAAAGATTGGTTTGAAGAGTCCAACGAAGGAAACGCGATGTTATTATTCACTTAACTTCGTCCCACACCCTTTGGAACCTTTCCATCAACTGTATATCCGGCCCAAAACCCTTCTCGAGAACCCCCATCACAGTTTTCCATTCGCGCACATGCATTGGGCTGAACATCTTCCTCACCCTCGTGGTGAACCATATCCTCGTGTCTGAACCCTCCTCCGCTGCAACAGCACCGACAAAGAATTGCCACACTGTCATGTCAATGGAGGAGCAGAGCCGGATCCCTGGTGCCGCCAGCATGTCCCTTAGCCTTTCCGCCAGATCTCTTAAGCAAACCGCTAGTTTTGGCGGCCATGAGAGGAAGACGAATATCCTGAGTGCACTCGCCCAGGCTCGGATATGCGGCCCGCTGTTTTCAAGAAGTGTGTCAATTTCACCCTGCAGGCCATCGACCCGGTCCCCGATTTGTCGGCTCAAATGGTCAGCCTCTTCAGGATGCGTGTAGTAGCGATTAAGCCCTTGACGTAACAAGTACATATCCCAACAAATCCTCGAAAAGTTTAGTTCTGTTAGGCCACCTAGGGGTGTAAGGGCATCAATGATCTTTTTGGGTGGTTTCGTGGGTGATGCCATCATTTCGCTGACGGATTCGCTGTTACGTATATTAGTGGCACAGCCGTGACGGGAACTTCGAGTCCTTACTAGAGCAAAAAGTCCGAGAACCATGGTGGAACCTCATCAACTCCATTTGATCGCCTGAGTCTAATTATTTGTGATAAGCCATTGATGTGGATATTCCACGCTGTGTCGTTGTTTACAAGACGCTGTTAAACCCATGGTTAGAGGATTAGACCGGATTGAAGTAGTGGACCACGAATTTGTTCACCTCACTGAGTGCTAACGTGAATACAGCCGCGAGCACACCATCCGTCAGCCCAGTAGAAGTTGTACTGAGACGTTTGTTGAGAATATGGATTGCCCTAACCGCATGCTGATCTGCCACATCTGAACAAGAGGAGCTTTGGAGACCAGGGCGATTCCGTAATCCAATAACCATTGAAGCTTCGAGTAGGGCCGGTTCAGCCATGAACAGCCCAATCCACTGCGCTTCATTGCGGGAGCCAGGGCTGCCGGTGCCAGCGGGGAATATGAGCGGCCGAAACTCATGAAGCACTGTTTTATTTGTCAGTGGAAGACTGAGAGGCATCTCAATCGCGAAGCAATGTTCGTACAGAACTTTATTGACATGTCCGTATACGTGGAGAAGGTGTACAGCTGGCCAATCGAGCAGGGCTTTGGTGCCGATGAAGGAGTAGGAACCGCCGGCCGCCGTGTTACGATCTGTTTAGCTTGATCGAGCGACTCCAAAATCGCCTCTTGTACGTCATCCGACTGTCTTTCTTGGGCCAGGCGTCGCCGTCGTTGTGCGAAGTTGGACTTGGTGACATGTGCTCTCATGCGCTTGGTGTCTGAAGCCCCGAGTCTCGGCGCATCGCTTGTGTTTAGAAATGTGAACTGCGTCGTCATATCGGTGATTCAATCGTCCTTCGGGTGAAAATATCCGCAATCTTGTTTTCCTCAATAGGTATACCGGCTGAGAAAGATGGAGGAGGAAGGAGGGATGCTCATGAAGCCGGCCTGATGTGAAATGGACTCCGCCTGGAATAGCCGGCAACTATACCGTTTTAGGAAAATGAGAATTCTTGGCTTGGGCGGACCAATCGGCCCCCGCCCACTCGGACGAAGATCACGCCAATGCTGATCCCTGTCACCGCTAAAAATGAAGCTTCACCGTATCCCGAATAGGAAAACAAGATTCAGCAGCGCCTAAGTCCGCCGTCTAAAGTCCGCCGACTCAGCCACGACATTACTCAACGCATCATTGCGTTGTGGAGCTGTCCCTGCTTGAGACGCCATCAAGATCTCAAACCAGAGCGAATTAGGAAAATAAGAATGCGGAAACAACGGCAGCTATGGGTTTGGGATTGACGGAAATTGTTAAGCGCCGTGAAAGATACTATCTTGAGAATGATGACACAAAAATAAATAAGATGAGCTTCCTCGTAAGTCTTGACTCAGAGTAAAACATATTCGAAGATTCTCACACTTTTAACCCGCAACTTTCTGGACCAACACAATGTCTCGTTTCTCGCCACAGCTAACCGGTGCTCATGTCCTCGTGACTGGTAAGAAGTTCTCTCCGTACTAAACCGTTCACTGCCGTTAATTCTACTGTTCCAGGTGGATCAAAGGGCATCGGAAGAGTCATTGTCGAAACTTTCCTCGCTGAAGGAGCTAACGTTTCGTACGGTGCTCGAAAGGTCCGAGGGGATGAGTTCTCTCTCTTCAAAGGCGCTACTAATGGAGCGCGTGCTTCTGGATCCGTCCTCGATATTGCCGACTCGGATTCTATCCGATCTTGGGTTGAAAATGCGTCCAAGGAATTCGGAAGAATTGACATTGTTGTGGCAAACGGTCAGTTTATTGTCATGCCAGCGGAAGAAAATCTCTGACCCATCTATAGCCTGCCCCTTGCTTACGGACGCTACAACTGAAGCCTGGCAAAAGAGCTTCCAAGCCGATATTCTCGGCCTTTGGACCCTAATTGACGTCGCAACTCCTCACCTTGAGGCGAGAGGCGGCACTGGCTCAATCGTCGTGATCAGCTCGATCGCGGGCATTGAGGCCAGGTATCCGGTCGTTGGAAGCCCATACACGACATTCAAGCGTGCCCAAGCTACACTCGCCAAGGACCTCGCTCGCCAGCTCGGACCCAAGGGAGTTCGCATCAACACCGTGGTCCCTGGGGCCATTGACACACCTTCGATTACCCTTCCCGATGGAACTGAGGAATTAAGTAGTTTCGGAATTATAAAACGCGACAACCCTGGTTTCTTGGAGGCTATTGAAAGCCAAGTTGCACTGGGCAAAGCTGGCGAGCCCCAGGATGTAGCTAATGCGGTCATGTACTTGGGGAGCCGTCTCGCCAAGTACGTGACAGGGGCAAGTCTCATTGTTGATGGTGCGATCTCTATCGCATTTTAGATCTAAAACAGCATAGCACCTAGGGAAAAGTTTATGGCTAGAATGAAAACCATCCATCTACACTTTTGAGAGTCGTGCGAAACCTTGCATCACCAGACTCAGTGTCCCCATCATGTTGCTACTGTGTCAATGAAATCAGTCCATCCGTATTAAAATATTTGCCACGCCTCGTAACTGCATACTCATAACTGATACAAAATCAAAACATTTCCAGCCCATGAGGCGTGCGTTGACCCAACAAATATTTAGGATTGTTTTCCCAAGATATAAATGCTCGAAATCTGAGGGGATAAATTAGCGACGGAGACTGGGAACAGTGTTGGGAGGAAGGGGCTATAACCCTGGAGGGGATTTGGCATGCGAGCTATCACGCGGACTTATTGGCCAGTGATTTATTCCTTTTTGAATGCCCGTCCTCCTCCTCCAGACGGTTCTTTAACTATTACACCTCTATCTTATCGCCTTCGTTTACCACTCCCAAAATATTTCGATGAAGCACGGCCACTGGAATCTGGAATAACTATTATACGTTCTCAAACTTGCGGTGAAAAACTTTTCGATTCAGTCAGCGTCTAATTATTAATTAAGAGAGCTCAGGAATAGCCCAGAGATAGCTTTAGGAAGGCTTAGAGATAGCTTAGGGATACTTAGGGTGTTATAGAATATATTCAGGATAGAGCTATTTATAATTCCGGGTTATATCGGCATGTATCTAGCTTACAGAGCGGCGATATATAGATATATGCGAAACTAGTCAGGTAGGCTAGGAGTCTGGTGATCAGCCAGTTGCATCACTTGCAATACTATAATACGCCAAGGATAAGACTAGGGCTTAGGGGGGGCAGGGCAAATCACAATTGTTAATTCTTGGTAGTAAGAGCATTCGACCAGGAAAGAGTCTAATGTGATAATGCGATGAATAAGCACTGAGCGGCTCATCCAGGCCCATAAACTGGGTCAAGGCGTGGTGATAAGTTATTCCAGAGGGGTAGAATTTCCGGACGCGTTTGGATAGCTATGAACTTCTGCTATCAATTGACTATCCTTGCAATATGACATGTTGAGTCTAATAACCTTTAGGTAGGTACCTGAGGGAAGGATGATCTTGAGCCCAAAGACCAGAAAGGGAAGCTAGCCAACCTCCAACCCCGATCCGTCTCAACACCTGCATCGGAACAAGTCCCTTCCCACGATTGAATCGTCTGTTGATGACATGACATCAAGTCTCTCCCACCCGTCCGTCTCGGGTCATTCCTCTATTCCGCGCATCTCGGCAGATGCCTCACACCAAGCAGGGGGGGCAGTGGAACCCCAGACCTTCCTGATCAGGCTACCGCTCCCGGGTCGTTGCAATCATATATATTATCACTATGTATGTAGAAGGTGAAGGGGAATCGCGAGCAGGTCTTTGGGCCCGCTGCTTGCGCGGAGAAATCGGGCGAGGTAGTACAGGCCTTGGCTCTTGCAAAACTAATTTGCTCGGACCAGTCTAGGCTGCCTCCTCTATTTCTGTAGCATCATCCTTGGGAGACGTGGTGAGACTGCCGGGAACTATTGCATCTGGGGTGGGTGTTTGTTTTTCCGTTGGTTGATTCTTGCGACTCTCTGAGACTCTGGTTTCGGTTAAGACTGACGGCACGTCTACCTGGGAGTCTACCTGGGAGTCTACCTTGGAGTCTACCCTGGACTGGTTCCTATTCGCATCGGACGGCCTATTCGAATACACCCGGGCCAGTCCTCGAACGGCCACCGGGGCTCTGACGGTCTCGTAAGCGGCGGTCCTGAAGAGGTCGCGGTCGGGAAAGGCCAAGTCCACCTCGCCGACGTGCTTGGAGTTCTTGAAAGCATGGATCATCCAGTCAAGCTTGGCGTCGGGGACCTGGGAGGCTTCAATATCGGCACTGTGGCTGCGGCGGAAGAGCGCATAGCGCACCAGCGTGGTGGCGATGCAGACGGCGACCAAGATAGCGACGGCGAGGAATGCCGTCGAAAGCTGCGTCGCGGCGAGGCTAACGCTGAGCGTCCGCGGCACGGGCAGGGCATTCTGTACTGACCACGAAACCATGTAGGCCTGGTAAAAGCGCAAGATGTGTTGCGGCGGGAGTGGCGACACGATCTCACCCGAGTCGCTCTGTCTCATGATGCCGGCGCGGTTGTAGTCGGCGTATGCCCTCACGATCGAGTCGGTTTCGTTGGTCCAAGGCCAGGCGACATATACGTCGGCGTCGGGTACGGCGACTTGATGCTGGATGCGGCATTCAATGCTCGTGTAGCTGGCTTCCGGGATTGTTCCATTGACACGCCAGCTGCCGCGGCCGCCAAACTGCGCGTCTTGAGCCACCAGCGCGGCGTCGTGAACGTGCAGCACGGCTAAGCGGAGATGCATGGCGTCTTTGTTCAGGTACATGCGGTCATGGATGGATGGGTTCGACTGGGCTAGCACAAAAAAGTAGACATCCTGCATCGACACGCTCCCGTTGACTTGGGTGACCGTCCAGCCGCAAAAGTCGCTGGCATGCCTGTACTCTGTTTGGTTGAACATGTCCGAATTAAATGTGGCTCCTAGGGCAGGGAAGTGTCGGATGGGGTCGGAAACCGTGTAGTTCTGGTCGGCTGTGACTTCAAGAAGCGTCTGGTTCGTCATCTCGCAGTCGACGGACCAAGTAGAGTTCCATTCCCCCTGCTGATACACCCAAGTCTTGTCGTTGGACGGCAGATAGTCCAGCAGCATATCGTGGGGGAACCCGGCCGCATCGAGCCGCATCATTGTTGTGTTCCATAGCACGTTGCCCGACACCATGCCGCCGATGGGTCCGACCTCCGGGACATAGGCAAGGAGCCCTTCCACAGGCCGGAGGCGGACGACCTCGACCGAGCGAAGAGCGAAGCGAGCTATTGGGCCGGCGAGAATCGTGATGACCGTGACGGCAATCACCACCGCCCCCTGAAACAGGAGGGGTATGAACTGCACCTGAAGGACGTGGTGCTTGAGAAGGCATAGGATGTCCCAAAACTCGCCGAGACTCGTCACGGTGAACAGCGACGACAGCGACGTGTTTTCGCGGCCCATGACTTTGGTGGTGTTGCGCTGATACCATAGCCGGGAGAAGGTCCAGATGCCAATGGTGCCTAGGATGCTGATGATGACGTTCAGAGTTGCCTGAACGTTGGCAAAATCCCAGACAAACGAAAGAGTGATCCAGGCGCCCGACATGGTTGCATTTGACTGTTGATGATTCGTTGATGAATGGCTAGGATGATGATGTTATAGGATGTCATCAGCTGACATCATTCATTAGACACTAGGAACAAATACTTGAAACATAGAATGCTACAAGACACTCCGGTTACGGGATTTAAATACGCGGAGCCGGATGGGGGGCTGACTTTATCATCATACGAAACGAAGGCTCGAGTCTACTCAAGCTCAACCCTTCGCAGCTTTGTGCAGAAATACTCGACCAAGTTGGGCTAACCAGGCCAACAGCGGTCTTCTTTGTGTTAGATAGAAATCTGCCTGGGAAAGAAATCTGCCTGAGAATGCGCCTCACGATGTCCTCACCGCCTACAACAATCAGCCACGACCTAATCCTCTCCGCCAGCTCATCCCACACAATGCGGAGGGTATGCTCAGTCCAGAGCAAAGATGATGGTGGGAACGAAGGCTGGCCTCATTTAACCAATGTGCCGAGCTGGCGAAAGTCAGTTGCACCATTGCACCCAAAAGGAACCCCTCGCAGACATGGGCTCCAGTAAGGCTTCACTCGCACACACCAACATGGGCAGTGTTGTGAGGAGCAGAGATTTCATTGGCGGAAGCAAGTAGGAGCTGGGCTCGCCTTTGGGGCGGTGCTCCCAACAATGAACAGGACTCATCAACGCCGTTATCTCTTTCGGGACGAGACATGGCACTTTCAAACCTCTCTTCCAACCCCCACAGAGTCGAATGCAAGGGAGCTAGCGTGGAGCACGACGACAAATGGAAGCCACGGAAGACGCAGCCGGACCCTGCACAAGGATCACAAGGCGTCCAGGTCGACCACTTAGACATGCAGACCTCACAAGTCGGGCGTAGGGGTCTCAGAGAGCGGAATGACCTTCTATGTAAGGAGCTCCGTGTTGCCACGGAAGCCTCCCAAAAAGTGCGGCATCGTAAGCCTCACTTTTGGGCCATTTGCACTTCTTACCACCCCGTTGTATGGTCTAGACTACAGCCATATGCAGCCACATAACCGTGCTTTTCAGATGGACACAAATGTGGCCAATAGCGATTGCATTCTATTGCGCTTTGTGCGAAATCTCGTATCTAGCGGGTGGGCCTCACTGGCTACCTGGGTTGAAATGAGGGAAGTGAGGCCATCTAGGTGCATGTCCTACCTTGATTACTGAAAACGCCATAGGAGCAGCAGATTGCCGACTGATGCGGGGATGAGGGAAAGATGACATGACATGAGGAAACGAGGAGATGAAACTTTGGCAGATGCCAGACCAAAGTTGCCCAGTCCATAAAGAGGTCGCCGACCCCGCAACCATCAGCAAACACAGCTTCACATCTCCCTTCTTTCTCATCATCGCAAGTCGTATGTTACGCCACGCTCAGGCTACCATCAAAGTACAATCAAATTCAAGGTCTGTTGCCAGTTTCCTGACGGCGCAACGCACTTCCCAGGGCTCTTGGCCACAAACCAACCAGTTGGGGGTTTCCGAGCATCTCGTTTGCTAACCGCATCGTAGCTCTCTATCGAAAATGCCTTCTGACGCTAGCAGCGGTGGCAACGGATGCAACCCTGTCGGGAATGTCGACAACGGGGTAGATGGCTGGGAGTCTGTCGAGTACGCTGGTCGTATCCCTAGGCCTCTCCGTCGCAGCCCTCACAGTCCAAGCCTTCGTAGGCACAAGAGTCCCGGTGGCAATGGGTGCAGGCCACACAAGCCTCCGGGTGACAATAACGATGGCGGCCATCGTACCCTTGAAGAGGACTCTATGTACGGTTGATATGGCCGAACTGGGGAAGCTATGACAAATAGCTGCATGATGCATCGAGATCTAGGCAGTTGAAGTCTGGGTTAGCTAAGCTTGGAATGTTACTCTGGCCGCCGAGAGAGGGTCGTTTACATCTCTGGACATAGCATGACGGGATATGGTATCATAGCAACTTGAAATAAGCCCAACAATTATCTCCTCAAGCTCAAGCCTCCCGACATTTAGAAGCAATCAGTACCCTGTATCCGCAATAAACATGGTCACGATGCGTGCTCTAGACCATGTAGACCAAAGGTTGCGTTCCGTCCGCTCTGTAGTGAGTCCAAGCAAAAAGCAACCTGGAGGCTTATGCTGTGGGTGCTCTCATAGCAAAACGTCTGACCACCCACTACGCAGACCAGGTGGATGACTTGGCCACTGGGGGAGGAGGAGCCCGTCAGCCTGAACAGACTAATTGAAGAGCAAAGCACCAACAAAATATGCAACCCTCCCTCGGACGTGGCGTTTAGCCATTGGCCGGCAGGTGTTGGGGGCGTGGCAACGAACAGCCAAAGTGCAAAATGATGGAGAGTTGCACATTTAAATGAGCCAGTCACACTCGAAGGCCTATTCTTGTGCAGCTAAATGGTAAAAATAATCACATGCTGTGCTATGAGGCTTCTTATTCGTAAAATATTCGCCAAGAAATGCAACTTTCAAGTGTCGTGATGCTGCAATGCCTTGCGTTTTAAGCTCAAAAAACAAGGCCGAGCGGAGCAACAGGCGAGGTGGTGGTTCAACGGCAATCAATCTGGATTTCCATGCCTTGGCAGATGTACACGACTAGTCTGCCATGGATAAACCGCAATTGACTGCCCACAGCTGCCTTTTGTTTCTCCATGCCTCAGCTTCTGTTGGGGTTACACAAAGGACACAGTCACGTCTCTCTATCTACATACCTCGGTAGGCACAAGGACAATACATAGCATATACCGGCATCTCCATACTTTAATCTACAATGGGCACCGTCCCGAACTTAGAAGGCGAAACTCAGCGGCGAGGTGGTACACGGGGATGGAGATGTGCGACCCTCACCGGGTGTCTCGACGACTTATACTCTCTGGGCAACCCGTTAACAGCCTCAGGCCACAAGGCCCCCATCACCTGATTTAACCCTCAAGCTTGCTCCGTTAGGAGCCCCACAGTGTGGCCCAAGACAGCTAGCCTTCTAGGTCGTTTTGATCTGAACTTTCCATCCGCCAAACAAGCCTCGCGAGGATCACAGCATACCACCAACCCAGGACTCGAAAGGAAAGATGTCAGAAATTCAAAATCAGCCAGACCAGGATGGTCCAAAGAACACGGAGCAGAAGAAAGAGAATGCCCGGAAGAGTTTTGAGAATGAGCTGGAAAGGCACGTTGCAGACCGTTATTTCTCTCAAGCAGCCCTTGACTATGTCAACCACGCCTGGGGGAATACCTCGGCAATGATGTACCATTTCGAATTGGACTTCCACAACAGTGAGGATTGCCAAAAGGCATCCAAGACTGCCGCGGAGTTCGCGGATATCTACAACGAAGACAACGAGTATTTGGACAACGACAACTCAACCAACCCCTCGCGTGAGCAGCTTGTGGACCACTTGTTCTCTAAAAAAGAACTCTTCTACGTCAACCGCGACCATGGAAACTCGGCCATCTTCATGGAGCACATGGAGCTCGATATCAATAAGGAGGCGGATTGTGCCGCGGCAAAAGATTTTGCAAATGTGGATCCTGAAGATGATGAGGAGGATGAGGACAGTGATATCGAGGACCCAGCCGATGAGGTCATGGGATATTTGAATGTGGGTGCGAATCAAAAAGGGCCAAGGCAACTTTCCGACCACTTTCTATCCGAAAAGGAGCTCGCTTTCGTCACAAAGGTCTATGGCGACTCTTTGTCATTCATGATTCGCTTCGGCCTTAGATTCTACAGGGAGAAGGATTGTCTAGAAGCTAAATCGACTGCGGCGGATTTAATTGAAAAGGGTCAATGAATGCAAGTACCAGGGCTTCATATTCAGATTGGTATTAACCAAGTACGCTGGAGCTGCGTTATGGGAATGACGGCCAATGTTGGATAAAAGGGACATCGTTTAACTTGACGAGGGTGGTTAGGCCAATGTTGAGTTCCATTATTCAACGAATGGGCCCTTCGGAAATGGTTCAGGTCCCAATTGTCTACTTCTATATTGACATCGTTGTTCTCCTACTTTAGACTGTCTCAGACCCGCACTCAAAGGTGTTATCGGTACAGAAAACTAGCATGCCTTTGGTATTCTAAGCTGCTATGACCGACTATAGTGCCCGTTGTGATAGTTATGACTTGATAGACCTACCCGCTTTCGCCTTCCGACTGGCTTCTGGGTCACCCTTTCAGGTATCAATATGTCTGCGGGAGGATTCTCAGGTTCCAGTATCCAGTGGCTGGCTGCTTCACTTGGAAAAAGTAACTTCGTCTATCAGCCTGCATTTTCAGACTATTTTTATCATATTCGGGCTTTTCTGCTCGAACAATTCTATGTCAGGGCCTCCTTCCCACGATGCCAGCGCAATCCTCTCATAGGCTCCTGGGATTGTCTGTGACTTTCCCACAATAAGCAGCTCGTGGCACGTTGGTAATGAGAATGATCCGAGATGAATTGCCCAGCAGTGTGTTCGATCATCACAATGTCCGATACTCGAGACTGGCTGAGGTATGCCAGCAGGTCCTGAACTACTTCGCTTTGTCTCCCATAGCTGTGGAGCTTTGTTCAAGGGACTCCATCTGCAGGCATACTTCTGGACTGTGTCATCTTCTGTAGTTAAAACGAATTCTTGAAGCGCCGTGTCCGCGAACATCTCTAACATTGCACTGCCCAATTTTATTACTATCCAACCATCAGAAAAGGCCTCTTCCACGTAACAAGGTACCAGGGGTGCGGAAATTGTGAGTGAACCACCTCTGACACGTCCTAGCGGAGCCTCGGGGTTGGCTGATGTCTCAACGGAAACAACCGATGAAATCTTGTGGTAGGGCTTCTTTCCATTTCTGAAGCAGTAGTAGTCGACTTCTCCGTCGATAGATGCCCACGAGAAGGACGGCGCAATAAACTCGGTCTGTGGTCGTCGCTCTCTAGGACCTCGGCTGCGCCAGAGTAGGTCTAAGTGGATGTTATCCGTCCATAAGCCCGCGGCATAGTCGGAGCCAATCTTTTGCTGTACCGCAGCCGCAATGGCAGATATTGCCGGAAGCTTGTCCTTCGGCTTGGTAAGGTCCCTTGCAGTGTAGCTCTCGACTACTTTGTGCCAGAAGTCGTAGGCGTCTTGCGCTAGTGTGATTTGGCGCACCGGAGTTAGGCCAAAGTCGCGGCGATAGTTCAGGTTGGATTGACATTCGCAAGTCACAGATTCCTGGCAGATCCATTGTATCTCAGTTTTGGAGATTGAAAGTAGCCGGGTAGATAGCAATCGTTCCTGCAAGGTCCATCCTCGCCGTGACAAAGGCTCGTCGGTAGATGTGGGATCCTTATCCTCATACCATCTCCAGTGGACCCCCGATGTCGAAATAAGTCGTGCTTTAATCAAGGATGAGTCTTCGCCGACATTTATCCAGTCGCTGAAGATGCTAGGATGACTATCGCCGGTACTCGAGTCGCCTGTAGTATCACGCTGCAAGAACGGCTCCCCAACAGAGGACGACGAGGTAGCAGCAATTGTGAGCAAGGCCTTTGAATAGATCCCGCCCATGATTGTGGACTCTTTTTCCCAGTCTTGGAAACAATCTTGAATAATGCAAAGCGCATCTATCCACAGATACCTGATTCCGAGTTCCCTAGTTAGTGAAACGGCGTCAATGTACGTCTGTGGAAGCTCCGCCATTTCAACTCCAGACTTCATCTTGCCCAAGGTCGTAGAGGTTGTCTTGATGCTAACCGAGTTGCCCCAGCAGTAGCTAAGTGCAATGTAGTCCATGGAAGAATCGCTCGTGGATTCGACAAGTCGGACAAGTTTGTCGTCGCGTGTTCCTACATCGAGAAGCCTCGTCGGAAATATTCCGTCATTTTGTTGACAGAGGTGGTGCGACTTCTGGCAGGTTTCGAGACAAGTCTTCATGAACCACAAGCTGTCGGCCGAGAGTTGATCCGTACATATGTCAGGCAGGGGCTGGATTCGGCCCCATGGTCTATCCTCTGTTGTATCAAATCAGTCGTTGCCACAGTCAAGGCCGAAATAGAGCATGACATACGTGTAGATCCATACAATTGAGCGTGTAACTTAGAATCGTAGACGGGGAATGATATTTCAGGATTCCCAAACCCGATTGGGAGACGCAAAACTATGTTGCTATGGTCTCTGTCTGCTTCGGGATTAAATCCAAAGAAGTCGACGACCTTCAGGAGAAAGGCACACAGGTGACACCCCGATGCCGCAGTTGTCTGAATATGGTCGAAAGATCTCGAAGCGACAACGGCCAAACTTCTCTGATCCACAAAGATATCAGGGCTATCATACTCCACAGCAGCTGCCGTGTCCAGATGAAAACAAGATGGACACAACGAGTCGTCAGTGATGGCATCCGCAACATCCATGTCCGTCATCGAGGGGCACAGCACAAAAGGCAGAATTCAGGGGTATGAACGAAAATTTGGCTGATCAGAGTTCTTGATAATGCCTTGAATGAACATCAAAGTGAAGAAAATACCACTCCTGCACGTTGAAACATCTTAGGATCTCAAGCTGACCTCAGCAGTCATCCGATCGTACTCCCTCCCCTCACAGCTGTATCACGTGCGCATCCATTAAGTAAGACAGCACGTGATAGAATCACGATCAAGTTCATTCGCCAAGTCACCTACCAGTAGTCATGATCATGATATTAGTACTGTGGGTAGTGGAAAATAAGATACCCTTCATGACTAACATTATCTAAAAATATTATTTGAATATTGAGATGCAATTAAAAACTGAGTGTTCATTCACAGGATTGTTTAAAACCCTGCAGATCTTAAACATACAAGGCTTTGGCGATTCATCTCCAAGGCACGCAATTCGGTGACTTTCGGAGGGCAGGGGACTTTGGTTGGCGAGTGTTTCTCTCAAGTATAGACTCTTCTAGGTAGGTTTGGGCACAGAAATAAATCCAGAAATTCTACAATCCCTTCATCATTCTGTATCTACAAGTTATTGTGCTGTAGACTCGTTGTTTTTGCAGTATCCAAAAAACACATCTTGCTTGCTTACTAAGAACTAGTTGAATGTAAGGAAAATCTCATTTCATCTAACAATTACCATGAACTTCTTTAATCTTAGCAGCTATAGCCTCATTTGTAAGTAGGGCAAGCATGATGCCTATTTTAAGATCGATTTTAAGGGGCCACGCTACGATTAACATCTTACGCAAAAGACATTATGGAAGATTGGCTAAGGTTGTGGGGTGAGTGCTAAAGCAAGATAAAACAGGCGGATTTCAAGATGGATTCCGTTTGCGAATCTCTTCTCCATCAATGAGTTTTTTTCTGCCGATCGTTTGTTTGTCTTCCTCGGAGATCATCTCCGTAGATGGCCTCTGCTTTTTTCACAGGCCAGCAGCCCCGCAAGCCTACCTTATCAGATCCTGCAAAGATCAGGCCTGTGGGCTGATGGCCCTGTTGGTTCTGCCTCAGTCGTAGGTACAAACTGCATATTTACCCATGCCGCAGCGTGTGAGCAGGGAGAGGGTTGGAACTTTTGTCTCTCCACTGTCGGCACCCCTGTCAGCGGCCCGCCCAGCATTTATCCTTACTAGCGCAACAGGCTCGAATCCGATCTCTTTCCATTACGTTTCCTGACATTTGCCTGCATTACGTTTCCTGGTATTTGCCTACATTACGTTTTCCGATATTTGCCTAACTGTGTACGGCTCGTATAAAGATTGAGCTCAGCTGTTCTATACCCCCACTACAAACACCGGCATTTTAACCGATTGTCCAAGGCTATTGGATATTCACCAGCTCGGGTTTCCAAAGATCTCAACTTGACGCGGCATATCAATCATGGCAGACAGCAAGCCTGGTAAAGGAGCGTCCATCGCTACCCTCATCATCGTGTAAGGAGAAACATCAAGGGGCTATTCCCGCCGCTGCTAGAACCTAGTTCCTGTTTTTGCAATGATTGACCGCTCACTTCTCACGGTTGGTAATACAGGTGTCTCGTGTTCTTCATCGATATTGCCAACATTGGCATGGCAAACATCGCCCTACCTACCATCCAACAGAAGCTTGGCTACGATGATGGCTCCTTGCAATGGATTCTCACATCGTATTCCTTGACGGTATGCTTACTAAACTTTCCAAGAACCTCCCCTCATATGCATACATGTCGCTGACTACGGTCCTGCGGCGCAGTTTGGTGGTTTCCTCATGGCTGGCGGTCGTCTCGGCGACATTTTCGGTCACAAGAACATCCTAATCTTTGGAATGACACTCTTCAATATCGCAACATTAGCCTGCGGCCTAGCCAATGATAAGATCGGGCTTGTGGTTGCCAGAGCCTTTCAAGGACTTGCTGCTGCATTTACAATCCCAGCTGCGCAGTCACTTGTAGCGCTTTCCTTCGACGACCCGGATACCCGTGTTAAAGCCTTTGGCGCCTGGGGGGCTGCGGGTTCGTCTGGCTTTGTGTACGGCGTCACTAAACACCGGCACCCTGCTATCGCTAACGATGATGCAGTTTCGGACCTATTATCGGCGGACTTTTTACCTCCCTTGTCACATGGGAGTGGGTCAGTATTGACATCGCCGCGGAAGTTCGAAACACTAACAGGAACTTTAGATCTTCTGGCTTAGTCTCATCGTCGAAGGCGCTCTCGAGATTGCTGCTCTCGGCCTATACTTTACTCAAAACCTCCCCAACCCGACCCATTCCGAATCCGACAAAGAAAACAAGTGGTCTACACTCCCTGTTCGCCTGGATATTTTCGGCACGTTAGTCTCCGTCTCCAGCCTCATCCTGCTCGTGTACGGCCTCACCACAGGTAATATCAATGGCTGGGATACACCCGACGTCATCGCCACACTTGCCACGGCGGGGTGTCTACTGGCGATCTTCGTTTTTCTCGAGGTCAAAGTGTCACAAGACCCCATATTGCCGGGTTACATGTTCGAAGACAGGGTTCGTGTCTTAGGCTGTGCGGCTGCGGCATTGACATACGCGGTATGGCAGGGAAGCAATTACCTTCTCACTCTACAGCTCCAAAGTACATTGTCCATTCCCAGAGGCATTTCTTCGTTACCACTGAACATAAGTGCTGACGAATTTGATTCAAGGCTTCGGGTTCTCACCCCTGTCCACCGCCCTCCGCTTCCTTCCGCTCGGCATCACTGCTTGCGCGGTTAACGTCATCATCCCCCTGCTACTCAAGCCAGTTGGCTCGCGTAATCTCCTTCTCGGGAGCTGGCTACTCTGCGCCGCAGGCATCATCTTGCTGTGCCGGATGCAGTCGGGAGACGATTACTGGAGACTCTGCTTGCCAGGCATGATTCTCTACATTGCCGGCGTAGGAACAGTATACTTTGTAGGAAATGTTACTGTTGTGGCGACAGCAACTGGAGCGCTTCAAGGAACAGTTTCGGGAGTATACAATGTGCGACAACAATGGTGGTCCCCGAGATTATAATCATGCTAATACATACAACTAGATGTTCCTCAACGTCGGCGGCGCAGTCTTAGGTGTAGCCGTCCTCACAGTCATCACAGACTCGGTTACGTCAAATAAAGGGGGCAAGGAGAGTTCCGATGCAGTACTCGAGGGCTACCGAGCAGGCTACTACGGTGCCATAGGCATGTCTGCAATTGGTCTTCTCCTTGCTGCATTCTTTCCATCAAAGAAAGCCTCAGTCCCCGAGAAGCCCAAAGAGGATTCCCCGACGGGCTCGCCAGTAAAATCCCAGTAGGTTGAACAATCCTTTGGTCATGGCCGAGTGTGCTGTCACGAGTAATCGATTTCGGACCGGCTCGATAAGGAAGGGATCGGATCGACAGGGAAGGAACATTTGGTGGTCAAGGATTTGGTGGAGACACATCGTGGGACCGGAACTGAGGTAGAAATTGGATTCGTGGGTCGGTGGGGACGGTGAAGACGGTACATCTCCAAAAGGCCGTGTTACCGTACAGGGAGTCGCAGCTAGTGGGCGGATGCAGTGGGGACAAAGCGTGGGGAGATGATCAGATAAGATTAGATTACGGGCTTCCGAATCTCCCCAAAGCCATGCTTAGGGATTCTACTAAACGCTGTTTGCTAGATATTGAGCTTTAAAAGCACAAAGATACGTGAGGGAGGAGAACTGTGTGACAAAGATGACGATACAATATGAAGAGAAGGGAGAAATTTATTACTCCTCCCTCCAGATGTCTTGTAATTCCTTTAATATGTACCAGTTCAAGCTGTCACTGACATCATGCCGAACCCATACATGCTATCGAAGGAAGAAATCGACGACCACAAAGTTCTCGATGTGAGTTACCAGGTGGACAAGCAGGGGTGTAGAGGGGCGACGTAGTTTTCATGAATATCATTGAACTAGTAAGGTTGCCCCTGCCCTTGTCCATTTATGACATTTTTCCGTATACAACGTCACATTGCAGTAGCTGCTGCCGAGCCTAAAGCCAAAAACATATCGTAATAGCCTAGGCCGTTGTGGAACGAACAACCTCAGTTGAGAAGGACAAAGTCGCCGGACATCGCGCCACTCTCGGTTGAAGCGGGGTTTTTGGCATGTGAAATGTGTAAGCTCTAGTAGATCTTGTGTCAGGGACTGTGACTAATGATAAACATTGATGCGACATTATAACAATGGACATGCCATGCCGTTTGCATAGTGCTATGATCAGTGCCGCACTTGCGTAGTTGCCCGACATGTGAAGAGACCAGCGGGGCTGGAAACTTTTTACGGTCGAATTATTGGATTTTTCGTAACACGAAGGATTAATGAAATTAATTGACTCATGTTAATAGAAGGTGGGCCGTTGTTGGTTATCTGAGGCTTGGCATGCAGTAGATCCCAAAATACCCCTGAATCCAAGTATGGATGAACCAAGGAAATACAGCGGTGGCAAAAAGCACATAAAACAGGCCGAGACCGGAGAAACTTTCAGCTCCAAAGGGTCCCCAGAAAAACCAATACCGACTGTGTCTAGTTTACCCACAGAAGTGAGTTTCTGTGCCCCGTTGGCTGCCGTCTCCATGACACATCACCCACCATGCCGAGAAGTATGAACGGGTTGCATTGCATGGTTTACCTGGTGAAAACCCCATTTTGGGCGCAAGAAAATCCCGTCTTGGATATACCGAGTATTGAAGTACGTGGGATTGTTCTTTCATGAGTTCTCGCAGGATATAATCCACATGGGCATGGGCCATTGTGATATTACTGTTGGACATGCAATGCCTCGCTTCCGTCTCTTGTCATGATGGTTAGCCAATAACCAACAGCCACCCTACTGGGGCTGATACCTGCATTCAATTTCGCGGACTGTGGTGCAGGTGACAGCCCACAAACACGGGCCAATGTCAAGGCTCTTTGCAGATCCTTGCTTTAATGTAACCATATACGAAAGAGCATCCGGAGGTCACCGATATTGCTGCATTGTACTTTACTGTAAGTTATCAGAGGTCCCGGCTGCCTGCCATTGTATGAGCATAATGAATGGGGTACTTTAACAAGTAAGGGAGTGTGGTGATTCTAATAGGGTTCATGAATATATTGATTACACGTTCAAAACCCCCGAATACTGTACCGCACAGGAGTCAAATGTCTTTCTTAATTCTGAACATGAACCGGTATTTCGGAAAAGAGGGTCTAGTCCATGACACAATTACTAAAAAGGAAGTATTCCCCGTCCATAGGGCGGCCTCAAAGCAGCGGGTCCTTGAGCGAAATATCAGTCATGGCTTGTAGTTGGTGGTGTCATCTCGACTTGGGTTCCGTTGGCGTTAGACTTGCTTGGACAGGCAAGGTAATCGAGTAACTTGTGACTAAATCTATATATATGACTACTTTTTCTACATTATTGTTCATTAAAGCCACACCAACTTCATCATTGCCTCTTCTTCCGTTGTCTCCATCATTGAGGTATCCAGAATCATGCCTCTCTATCAGGGGGACATGTGCCTTCTGTCAGGGCCGAGCTCTCAATACAACGACCCAACGCCAACAGGTCAAAGACAGGCAGTCACATCACGAAGCATTTACCCTCTGACAAAGAGTCAGGAGGGGATGTGGGTAGATTTTCAAACTGACCCTTTCAGTACCAAGTATAACCTCACCTTGGAATGGGACATCCTCCACAATCGATCAGGACCCAAGCCTACGATTGATGAATTACTTCACGGTCAGTAAGTCCCAGCCAAATAAATCGTGTGGATGCTAACTAATCGACACAGTAATTACAAAGTTGACTGCAAGACACGCGACACTCCGATCCATGTTTACACTTATCGATGGCAAACCCAATATGGAGGAATATACGGTTGACGACGTGAATCCAGAAATTCGTATCGTCTACCGGGAAGATTCCGCGATTGAAGAGCGAACCATGACCCAGATCCTGCGGAGGCCATTCGCGCTTCAACACGAGCTTCCGGCTCGTTGGGTCATCCTTCAAGACCCGGAAGTGTTTAGGGTCTACATTACCTGCCACCATATTGTGGTGGATGGCCAGTCCATGACCAACATCTCCGGCGAGTTTGTCGAGTTATTGGATAACCCCGAAACTACACTGTCCCCTGTGGTGCCTTTCCATACCATGCATATGATAGAGGTAGGGGCATATTATTGATAGGAATAATGACACACACTGACATCGATTTTAGAGAGCCCGGGCTAGATCTCAAGCCTACATCGATAACCAGAGTGTGCTTCTTAATCAAGCTCTGAACCAGAACAATTCCCTTTGGCCAAAAAGTCTTTCGAACTCTTCTGTTTCGAACGAAAATTACCGTCACATCGATTCCTGGTGTGTATTTCAGAAGTCTGCAAGTACCCTAACGCAATAACACTACATGAAGTTTTAACTAACAGCGTCTAAGGACCTCGATAATTGGAGTCAGCTATTCAAAACGTCATGGTTCCGCGTGGCCACGTCCCTGGTGGGGTTGCTTGTGATTGACAAAACAAGGCCTCAATTTGGCAGAGATGAGGTCCTGCTGTCGGTTTTGGTGGCCGAAATAAGGAAATGGTGACTTGTGTTGGTCAGTTTGCGAACGCACTACCAGTCAAGATTCCCCTTTGGCACACGCTTCATGAAACAGATGGCTCGTTCAAGTCCTTGGTATCGGCAGTGGGCAAGAACATAAGTGCCGTCAAAAGGGCCGAGTTGTTCCCGGCTGTGGAGGTTGTGCGATCTTGCCGGAACCTGAACATCGACTACATACCGCCGAAGGTGGCTGTAACGTATTCACCCAAGCTAGCGAAGTCCGGTTGTAGGCTTTTCCCCGTCGAGGGATCTTGGGACCTGTTCTTCTGCTTCCTCGAGTACGAGAACGACGTCAAACTTGGTGTAAGTTACTCTTCCATTTATCTTGTTGGTTTCAACATTTAACATCGTACAGGTAATCTACAACCCGAAAGTGTTCTCGGGCACGGCTGTGGCGAACATGAAGACTCAATTCGATTCTCTGTGTGCTCTCAGCAAGGTGCAAGGGACGAAGTTGACTGAAATGTTGAAATGGCTCCCCGAACACTCGAATTTGCCGAAACAACCAACAGAAATGCAATCGAATCCTTTAGTGCACGTTCACCATTGGATTGATGCACATGCAGAAACGCGCCCAGAAGCCATGGCACTCCTCTCTAGCGAGCTAGGGAAGTCCATGACGTACGGTGAGCTGTACGCTTCGAGCGAGGAGAAAGCGAAATGTACGTTCAAATTGTATCGATGAGATGGGCACCTGCTAATATCCAATCGACTAGTCCTGAGAAGGAGAAACATAAGTCGTGGAGACAAGGTTCTCATTCATCTTCATCGCGGGTTTGCAGTCATTGAATGGATCCTTGCCATTCTTAAATGTGGTGCGATATTTGTTTACCTCGATCCCGACTTTACCCAGCGTCAGCAAACATCTGTCATGGCCAACTGCAAGCCGAAACTGGTCATCGATGAAACTTCAGTGAATGAGGAAATTCCATCTGAGGCCAATGACACGGCAGTCTCGCAAGACGAAATCAAGTTCACCACAGCGGATGCAGATATAGCATACATCATTTATACATCCGGTTCGACGGGAGAACCAAAAGGCGTCATGATCGAGCATGGCAGCTTGGCGGCCTTCGTGAGAGCCTCCACCGATGTATTTGAGGTCGGCTTTGGAACTCGAGTCTTGCAACTGGCATCATTCTCCTTCGATGCTTCCATCCTAGAGTGGAGTAATGCGCTCTGCACGGGTGCTTGTCTTTGCTTTGCTCAATATCCCAAACAGCTTGTCGGAGAATATCTTGCCGAAGTCATTGACCAGAATAGCGTCACCTTCATGCAAATTACGCCAACCGCACTAGAAACCCTACCGCTGGATATTGAACTACCCAGTCTTCGACAAATTTCCATTGGCGGTGAAGCACCCTCTCATGAGATTTTTGCCAAATGGCAACCCCGAATCAACTTGGTCAACGCATACGGGCCGACGGAGGCAGCCATTGCGGTGTCCTTCAACAAGATTGACAAGTCAAAAGAGCTTCCCGAGGTGATATCCGCAGGGCGCCCGAACCCTCAAGTAGGTATCCATATCTGCGCAGAGGGCTTTGGACGAATCCTGGGTCCAGGTCTCGAGGGTGAGATTTGCGTATCTGGGCCTCAGATTGCCAGAGGGTATTGTGAAAAGCCAGAAATCACGGCAAAGAGCTTTGCCACTCACGGATCAAGCATTCTTATGTACCGGACCGGCGACCGAGGGATGCTACAGGACGATGGTACTCTCCTTGTGATGGGCAGAATCGACAGAGAGCTCAAGGTTCGCGGATTTCGGATTGCACCAGAAGAAGTTGAGAGTGCCATTCTAGACGCAACTCTCGGCGTTAAAGAGACCTCGGTTCAAATCTCCGAGAATGGCCTTGAGTTGCTTGCCTTTGTGGCGCCTATCGGGATCTCATCGACGAATTTGTTGAACGCGTTGAAAAAGGTCCTACCGAGCCACAAGATCCCGTCAAGAATCCACGTCCTGGACAGCCTGCCGAAAAATGTCAATGGCAAGATTGACCACAAGGCTATTCGCTCCATGCGCGAGAAGCTTACACGCTCTAACATCTTGGAAGATGGCGAGTTTCTGGAGAGCGGGAGTGAGTTGGAAATTGAAGAGACTGATATCTCGGATCCTGCTGAAGATGAACGCGTTGTCGCCAAGATTTGGCAGGAGGTACTGAGAATGCAGTCTCGTCCGCCAGTTGACGTCAATTTCTTCGACATTGGTGGCCACAGTCTTCTCGTTCCCAAACTGCATGATCAGCTCAAAGCTTCATTCCCGTCGAAAGCCGTGCGGCTTGTTGAGCTATTCCACAAATCCACAATCAGGAGTCAAGCGCTCCTATTTGGCGAAAAGAAGAAGAAGTCTCGAGTTTTCCGACGCGCAGTAAAGACTGCCAGTTCTGTTGGTTCCTTATCTGATCAAACTCCTCTGTCTACGCGAAGCACAGCAACTTCAGTCTCCGACATGCCTCACGGCCATGAAGTTGCCATTGTTGGAATTGCTGGACGCTTCCCAGGAGCCAAAAATGTCAACGAGTTCTATCAGATTCTGATGGATGGAAAATCAGGGCTTCAATCTGACAGGGATTGCACTGAACGCAAGCTTCTCCCGGGAAATGTTTGGGTTCAGCGAGCCGGCGTTCTTGACGATATCGAGGACTTTGACAACGAGTTCTGGAATCTCAGCGAGGAGGAGGCCACCGAGATGGATCCCCAGCAACGACTGTTCATGGAAGTGGCGTATGAAGCTCTCGTCGATGCAGGAGCAGACCTGCAGAACTTGCCTGGTGGACGCATTGGCATATTCGTCGGATCTGCTAATCATGCCTACCATTTGCATACCGAGTCAGTGGCCACAGACACCTTCCTTCGACAAAACCGAGGTTTCGTAGCGCCCTCCATCTCTGCTCGTACCGCATACCACCTCAACATTAGAGGCCCAAACGTCACGATCCAGACCAACTGCGCAAGTAGCACTGTCGCCCTATCACAGGCTTTTGATGCCATTCGGCTTGGTCGGTGTGACATGGCCATTGTCGGCGGCGTGTCCGTTCAACTATATGAGTGAGTCTCCTACTCTCACCCGCCGCGCTATACTAGATAACTAATATTCGACGTAGGGGTGGTTACATTACGCAGCAAGGACAAATATTCTCTCCTCGGGGAGAATGCAATCCCTTCGATTCTCGTGCGGATGGAACCGTGCCTGCTGATGCCGTCACTGCGGTTGTCCTACAACGATATTCAGCAACGACCTCTGATGGAACAACTGCATACGCCAAAATACTCGGAACAGGTGTTGGATCGGACGGAGCCCTGGATAAGGCCGGGTACCAGGTCCCATCGCCGCGAGGACAAGCCGATGTCATCAAGTCAGCATGGGACGTGGCTCAGATTACTCCCGAGAAGCTCAAATATGCCGAGTAAGCGGGCATGATATTATCACACATTCCAATCACTAACAAATTGATTATAGAATTCATGGAAGTGGGACTCCGATTGGTGATGCATTAGAACTGGAAGGTCTCAGTCTTGCAGTCAAGGAACTAGGAGGTAGCGGCCACCATTTCACCGTTGGTTCAACAAAGGGCAATATAGGAAACACACAAGTAAGTAAACCTTCCACAATAACACCCATTGCTCTAACATAAATTCAGCACTCATCGGGACTTGTATCGCTCATCAAGCTATGCAAGTCTATGCAAGCAGGCGTTGTACCGGCGACAATGGGTCTTGAACAACCGAATCAAATGATCAACCCTGACCTCCCCATCATACTAGCAACAAAGCAGACCAAGCTTGAGCCTGACGACATCCTGGCCGTGTCGGCTGCAGGGTGGGGTGGCGTCAACTCGCACATCGTTTTGGGGTTCCCAGACCAACACTTGCTCAAGAAATCTACAACCCTCGTGTCTGAGTCCATGTTCAACCGAAGGAGCCTTAGGGCACCTAGACTGAGGCCAATGTCGAACGAGGAACAGCGAGAATCATCCCTGGCTGTCCTCGTGTTTACAAAATGCGCCTCCGAAGTTCTTGGGGTTGAGGCTATGAGCGACACCGATCTGAAAATGCACGGCTTAGACAGCAAGTCGTATCTCGAATTTATGGGAACAGCTTCGAAGCAACTCTCAGGGCCCATGGTTGGGTACGTTTTCTTGGCAATTTTCTGTGCATATTTACTGACCAACTTTCCAGTGTCAGAGGGATGCTACTTTCGAAATGCACGCCGTCTGCCCTTGCCAATATTTATCAAGATCAGCTCCGCGCATCAGAATCCGCCGATGTCTCTTCCACTATAGTCCAGCGGGGCAATGGTGTGACGTTAGTGTTTCTCCCTGGCTCAGAAGGCAGCTCTGTCTCGGCGATTCCATTGCTGGAAAACCTTCACAAGGGTGTCACGATCCTAGCACTCGAGCATCAGGGAAAAGACGCTACGAGTACTCATGTCGAGGCGTATCTTGAGGCTGTGCAACCTCACATCGGATCTGAGAATTTGGTTGTCGTAGGTATGTCGCTTGGCGGTCTCTCCGCTTTACGTCTCACTGTGCTCTTGGCCGAATTCGCCGGTGTATCTGCCGATTCGATTAGCTTGATCGCCCTCGATAGTCCTCCCATCAGCTCGTTGTCAGCCCTTGACCAAGATGTTATATCCCGCCTTAACACTGTGGTTTATATCAGTGCCGTAGGTGGTAAGAGCGACAGGAACTTAGCGGCCGAGGCGCGATGGCAAGATCTGGCCCCTGCTACGAAGACGCACAAACTGGATTGTGAGCATTTTGAACTCTGGGGAAAATCGCATGCTGCAAAAACGGCAGGAATCATCAACAGCGTAATTAAGGATATCTTGCAAAAGTAGTGGACGCATCGCGATTATGGCATTTTTAGCGGCTCTGGCTCTGGTGGAATTTGAGATGGCCAAGGATGAGTGTTTTGTGGCGGCGCTGCCAAACAGGAGCGCAGGGCGCAAGATTAGTTCTAAGGTATCAACTCCTTGTACGATTTGTCAAATTCAGGGTCAAATGCAAAGCTCGATGGGAACGTCTTCTTGAACCTTTTTTCCCCATATTTAATGAATTGGCCATCTCTTGAACTCACTGTGTCTTATCGTGGCGGAGACTCACCGTTGTCCAAGATCCCATGTCGACACAGAGGGAGTGGGAGGACTCTCAATCTTCTGCTGTCAGCATCCAACGCCCACGCATGGATCGAGTTTTGGCATCTATACTTTAATCGCAGCTCTCACATTCCAGTTGATCGCGGTAGCAAGGCGGTGCCCTTATCGTTGCTCTCAAGAGCTCAGCAAGGCTGCGATGCTCCTTGGCCGGGCGGGGTAAACTCCAAGATATGTATGGGGCCAATGGGTAACGATATGCTCATTTTCCTGGTCCTCGACCTTATCGCACTAAACCAGACTTGACGGGGTGTAGATCCCTCGTTTTTTATGTGGGGGTGCTGTTCTCAATTCAGCGAAGCTCTCCATCCCGAGCCTTGGAACTGTCGAGATAGTCGTTATTGCTAGTAGTAACTTAATCAGGTATACAGCAAATCTCAAGCTCGCGGGGAAATTTACTACATAGAAGAGTACGTCATGTCTAAAATTCACTCAATAGCACCGTCATGCGGGTTCAAGAGCTTGTTGATGATCGATGATCGATGCTACGCTGTTTATCTCACGAGCCATCGGCACACAATCGTTATCTATGGAGTAACGGGCAAGACCCGAACATGAGTAACAAATTACTTACGTAAATCCCTGCAAACGAAACATATATATGCAGCGTATTACCAGGCGGGGAGCAACAAGACGATCTTCATCGTGCCAACATTTAAAAATCCCTCGGACGCAAGACGTACCTGTCATACTTTATCTCAGGAAAGCACCGCATCATTAGACACCAAAGAGCTACCGGTTTGCTTACACCATCGAAAATGAACTCCACATCCAAATCAAATATCCTTGTGGTAGGATTCGGAGGGGTGGGCACAATCTCAGCATTCAATTTGGAAGCCGGTGGTCTTGCAACCGTGACAGGCGTGCTCAGGTCAAACTACGACATTGTCAAAGCTGATGGATTCAAAATTTGGTCGATTGATCACGGTGATATTCCATCATGGAGGCCTTCTAATAGTAGGATTGAGTCCAAAACACAGTACGGGATTGCCGCTTCATGATCAATGACTAAAAGCTGCTTAGTTTCGAGAAATGTTCCAAATGTCAAAGACACCGACTTGGCCCCGTTCGAGTTTATTATGGTATGCACCAAAAACATCCCGGACATCCCTCCTACAGTCGCCGAAATTATTGCTCCAGCGGTAACGCCTGGGTACACCTCCATTGTCTTGGTCCAGAACGGGTTGAACATCGAAAAGCCCATCATCGCTGCTTTTCCACAAAACATCGTCATCTCAGGTATCTCTCGAATGAGTTCTTCTGAACAGAGCCCAGGTCAGATCTTCCACCAGGATCATGATACCCTGATAATCGGTGCCTTCAGGAACCCCAATCTAGCCGTGCAGGATGAAGTTGCAGCGGCTCAAAAGTTCACTGATCTGTACAACGCAAGCGGAAAGGCAACGGGGCAATACAGTGAAGATGTGGCATATATGAGGTGGCGAAAGCTGGTCTATAATGCATCCTTCAACTCGATCTGCACAATCACAGGTATGGATGCAACCAGCATCAGGGTCGCCAATTCCCCTATTACGGAACTTCTGTTACCCGTGATGCTGGAGATCAAAAGCATCGCCAGAGCAGCTGGGGTGAAGCTGGCACCCGACCAAGAGGACATTTCTTTGGCTTCTGAATCCATGGACGGATACTTTCGGCCCAGTATGCTGCAGGATGTTGAAAAGGTAAGTTTTCAATGCAATATATGTAAGTGGTATCATTAACTAACATTGGTCTGTTTCGTTGCAGGGCAACTTCTTGGAAATAGAAATCATCGTCGGAGAGCCGCTAAGAGAAGCGCACAGACTAGGTGTTCCGGCTCCAACGCTGACAATCGTATACTCGCTTCTCAAGGCCTTGCAGGCTCGTACAAAGCAGAGAAAGGGAATGGTGACTATGCCGGTGCGCAAAGGGGACGGCGCAGGCGATTTGGTAGTGAAGTCCGACAGTTCAACAACCTAGATACTTGATGTAGTTGGAATCTACATTTGTCGTTTGCTTTCCAGTCAGCAGCTAGTTCCTGAGCCCATGTTTATTCCAGGAAAAGACGCCTCTACTTGACTTCGTCGCCTCCGTGAGTTTCAATTATCTTGATGCCCTCCAGATGCTGAACTACCTTTTCTAAATTAGCCAGGTTCGAATGACTGCAGTCCGGCCATCTCGGATGCACATTCTAGCGACCTCACATGGTGCCAGACTGACTATAGCACTGGTGCACAATCTCATATAGTCGCTCTCAAATCGAATATATCGCGAGTGAACTACTATGTACATAATAAAGTCATTAATAGTTTCCATGTCCATTGTTTAACTTTTTCTACTCCCATCTCATTATCTCTTGTCTTGTTATCAAGCACAAAATTATTGGGCGCTTTGAATTAACACTCCTCTAATCATAACATTGGCTAAATACTCTAGTTAACTCCTGACTTTCGATTACGGTGGTTCCAGGGAAGGCGAAACCATTACAATTAGGACAGAAACAGGTTAACTATGTTCTAAGGTTTACATAACCGTTTAATTATATGCCTTCTGTTGGATACCGTACGGCATAATCAAGCCAAGGGACAACTACTCAATCGAGTGTGGATCCAGAATCTGATGATTGTTTTGATCTAAGATGCCTCCGTCCCCTCTAACTAAGGTATCCAACACTTGGTTAAGAATAGACTACCCTCTGCAAATCACCAACCACCTCGATCATTGACATATATTCACCAGTCCAGCACTTTCGGATTATATTATCACCATGACTCGCTTTCGTGGTCGGGAATTCTCTGCTCTTAAAACGACGTTGCACCTCTTCCTCCTGCTCAACAGGATCCAAGTCCGGAAACGGCCAATGGCCCGTGATGATGAAATAAATAGTCATGCTCCCAATTTGTACCCCGCATCGGATGGGCTGATATTAAAGTATCGATATAAGTTAAAACGCGTTGTCCTCCACCCGAATAAACCAACACTACCACAAAACAATACACCTATATACGGACCAAAAAGTTGCCCTAAATGTACGGAAATGAGCATCACAAGAACAAATACCCTCTATGCAAGGCCAAAGTTAAACACATTGTTGAGAATGTAGTTTTTGTCCCTGTGGTGACGAAGCCGGTTGTACAGGTACAGAGGAGAAGTACGGATTTGGGATCACCACTAAGCGTGGTATTGCCTGTCCTCAGTGCCCGTATGGAGAGACTCGTTTCCAAACATGGCCTGCGCTAATTTATCTAAGGAGCTAAACAATACAGTGACCAAACGCTTTATATTGGTCAGTTGCACTAAATGGCATTGGGAAGGCGAGCGTAATGATGGACTTGTCACAACCTTTGTTAGGTGCGGGGTAGAGGAGAGAGAGCCAGGGCGATAGGCAATCGTGAAACCATCACCCCTCGTACTGGCGCGTTCAGCCAAGTATTTTCTGCTATCCTCCCTCCGCTTCATCGACCTGGACTGAAAAAGAGGTTTTTAAGACACAGTGACTCCGTGGAAGCAACAATCATGGAAATGTTCGACATGTGCCACATCAAGGAGAAATTTCGGCACCGGGAGCGACAGGCCCGGGAAACCAGCGGAGAACGCATTATGATACCTGAGCAATGGATAGAAGTGACACAAAACGACATTTCCAAACGACTGACAAGTGAATCATCAACCCCCACCTTATTCTCGCAAAGAGATTTGCAAAAGCAAATACGCAGAGGCGAGAACAACTAAGGTATTGGGACAAACATACATGCTCATCACAACCAGACCAAGAAACTATCCCGAGTGAGGGGAGGGAAAAGCGAGGGTGAGAAAGCGATGATAGCTAATCAAGCTGGCCAGCTCGCTCTTTCAGCTGCAGCCGATTGGCCTGAAGTTCGTTCAAACTGGTTAGGTGTGCTTTTTTTGCCTAGCTAATTAACATTATTGTATAACCCCACGCAAGGGTAACTCATCCTTCCCTCAAGAGTTCCTGTTAATGATGCATCGAGATCGCCACAGAATCGACTTTTTGGCTCCTTGGTGATTCACACGGTCCCCAGTGAACTTTCTTATCTCCTGTGATACAAGCGAGCAGGGTATAATTGGATATCGCGCAGCTATAATTTAGACAGAACACTATGTTTTGATACATGTCTGTAATTCCTTCTCCAATTCTCATTTTCCAACTTTTTTCTCCTCCACCTTAACAGTCTTAAATTCTTTTAAACTTTCCCACTGGGTTGGGGGTCTCTGTCCTGCAGCATAGCCTTCTCATCGTGTGCCTCGTCACCTGCCCGCGGAACGATGGGCTTAGGCTCATTTGAGCGAAGGAGGTAATGCCTAAAGAACCAGAAGAACTGTGCCCAACCGTATCGAACGATCTTTGAGAGGCGAACATTGAAAACACTGTCAAGTTCCTCAAGAGTCTTGCCCTTTGTCTCGGGAAGGAAGAAGAGGACCAGAAAGAAGCCGACGATGTTCCAGCCGGCATACCATCCAAAGGCTCCAGTAGGGGTGAACGCTTTCTGGAGTGATGGCCACGTAACGGCGAGGATGAAGTTGAAGCACCAGGTGGTAGCTGTCGCGAGTGACATGCCCATAGCACGGATGTATAAGGGATACGCCTCGGCTGAGTAGGTGAATGGCACGGGGCCTTCTCCAGGAGAATAGACGATACCGAAAAGATAAATCCCCAGGGCAATGCAACCAATGTGTGCTTTGCTGTCCTCGGGTATAAAGAAACTGAAACCAGTAAAAAGTAGGAAGAGTCCCATAAGCTAAGATTGTGAGCTTCTTGATTTGTCGCATCGTAGGCATCAGATGCACTTACTGGGAAAGTAGTCAAAAGAAGATTTCGTCGTCCGAATGTATCGATAGTGTAGAATGCAGGAATTGCAAAGACGAAGTTGATGATACCGAAGCCCAATGATGCAGCAAGTGCACTCTTCTCCGAGAATCCCGCCTCGAGGAAAATCTCCGACGAGTAATAGGCAATGACGTTGACTATAACCATGGTTAGAAACTTTAACATATAATGGGCAACATGAATCCTTACCGCCGCAAAATTGTTGCATGAACATGACAATTTGCGAAGCCAACATGGCGTTTCTATTGCGGCGAATGGTGAAGAACTCCTTGATGCGACTTCCCCGGCCAATTGACATGGCGGACTCTGCCTGAAGCAGCGTGTGAGCATAAAATAGATCACGAGCTGCTTGTATTTTGTTGAATCGAAGTTTCTCCATAGCTTTGAACGCTTCGCTGTGTCTGTTCTTGGTCAAGTACCATCGGGGAGACTCGGGGCACAGGTAGACCAGAGAGCAGACGATGAGGGCAGGGACACCAGCCGATCCCATCATGAGCCGCCAATTGAGGCCGGTAATTCCACTCGAATCGGGGACTCCATAGAAGGCCAAGTCCGCCACGTAGCCGAGCATGATTCCGAAGGCGGTCCACATCTGCCACTGCATGACAAGGGCACCGCGGACGAGCTTGGGAGAACACTCGGCGGCAAACATGGGAGTTGTCGCGGACTTGGGACCGATGCCAAATCCGAGAAAGAAACGGGCGATAAACATGTGCCACCAGGTGTTCGTAAATGCCTGCCAGAAGCAGGCCAGGAAAGAGATGCAGCATGAGATGAAGACGGTGCCGCGGCGGCCGAAGCGCTTGTTCATCGGCTCGGTAATCCCTTGCCAACATTAGTAAATGAGGGGACTGGTTGGGAAATGTAAAACTCACAGCATCCAGCCACGGCACAGCATAGATATGGCGCCGAGTTCGTGAGACCGGTGATCCAGCTATCGTGGTCGGTGTCGCCGTCGATGCCGAATTCTCGCCTGTAGAAGATTTGCGCGCCGTTTACAACAGTTTCGTCCATGCCCTGAACGACAGCACAGAGAGAGCAGACTGGGACTAAATTAGAACAAGATATGCAGGTCAATCGGAGAGAGTCATACTGGTCACTAGAAAGTAGAGCATTTTGGGATTCCTCCACTTGTGCTCCACCTCGTCGACGAGCGTCGTTCTTTCCTCCTCTGTAAGACCCTCGACGCTCAAGTACTTCTCACGAAGTGATTCAATGTTGTCATCGACATCCATGTCGCCTGCGATGATGGCGCCAAGTCGGAAGGCTCGAATCTCGCCATCATCCGTAAGGCCCTGGTGCTCTCGGGCGTACTTCTCGCCCATGTGGGCGAGTTGCTGATGGGTGTATCCAGCAAGGGGGTGTGCGGCCTTGGTTGAGGATACGAGTTTGTTTTTGTCAAAGATGGCTTCATCCGAAGGACGCATTGAGTTCTCGGCATGGTCGACTTCCGTACGTGAGGCATCCTCCGAAGAGGGCCTACCATGGTCTTTCTCAGATCCCATGATTGAATGCCTAGGGTTTTGGGATTGCTAAGCCAATGTAAGTTGGAATTATAGTTTCCCGAGAGACATTAAAGGCAGAATCAGAAGCTGCCCGAAAAGTTAAGCCAAGGGTACCGGGACAGTCGAGGGACAGTCCTATTATATGTACCTCAGGGACATTTGTGACGGCCACTAAGTCTGTAAAGTAATTAACTTTACCCGACTCGTACGAAAGGTCCTCGGACTTGTAATCTGGCAAATCTGGGTGCGGTGGGTTCCGTTGATCGACGTCATACCGCTCAGCTGGGGTGGTCGGGCCCGCCGTTTGCGATCGACATACACGGTGGGCAGGCCATTCTGATTGCAAGGCAATGTATGACGTCTAAATTACAAGTGATGGCCCGTGAGAGGATTGAAAGGAACATCGGTGGAGCACAAAGCGCATCCTAAAGTGATGCGCAACTAGAAGGCAGCAGCATTCTCGGCTGTTGATGGTGTGAAGATGGTCGTCTTCGGGACTAAGGAAATGTACAATAATCCACCTCCACGATCCTCCCCATATTATCCACACAACTAGCCATCCGGGGAAACTTTAACACATTTAACAGAGTTCATAGTCTATCCCTTTGACTGTCGTAAGCCTCCACTTTTGTACCTTGTAGGGATCTCAGCCAAGCAGAGAGCATCAAATAAAAGGTACATTGATTCCCACCTAATTTTCGTGGTGCCACAAGTCCCAGCAATTCCTAGATCTACATAGAGCTACATCACACTCTTAACATCGGCGGGGTTGATTCTTACCATATGATGTCACTCTGGGTATCTCAGCTGTAGCAGGAGTCTCGTGGGTCCCGAGACCTAGGTGGAGGCTTACGACAGTCAAGGGGATCAGTGAAATGACTTACACTGTTCGGTGGGGGCACAAACCAAATTAAGAGCAGGATGGCATTCCAAGGTGCGCCACCAACTGTGGGCATGGGATTCTGGAGAGCCGAGACAACCAAGTCTACAGTGCAAGATACGACGCCCATGTTTTTGAGTCCGAACGGTTCTTCTGCGATTAATCTTGCATTTTTGGATGGAACCTTTTCCCGTCCGCGAGATGGCTTCTGTCAATCGAGTTTCGCAGCTAGTGCCATACCAAGCCGGCACACGGAACGATGCGGTACCAAACGCCCATGTCATTGACATCATTGTGCAGCGCACATCATGTCACGTCGCGCGAGAGCAAGTCTTTGCTTACAACCACCTTGCCACAGCGGGAATTAGCCCGACTTTACGCACACTAACGAACACGGGAATGCGATGATCTTCGCATCTGATGCCCGGTGCCAAGGGCGATCGCGATGCCAAAGTCTAGGCAACGGCTGGGTGGTGCAGCCGCAACGTGTGATCTGCCCTAACGCCGAATCCTTCCCTGCTCTCTGGGGACGGCAATTGTCTGTCAAGAGAGGGGCTGTAATTAAACGGTAGCATGAAGATAATAAATCCCAGTGGTACATGGCCTGGCTTATGAGCGACAAGGCTCACGTCATGATGCTACAAGCCTTGTTAGTCCATCGAGGTCACAGGGGCGACTCTTTGTTCCGGGGCGCTATTCCCGCGCTGCGACCATCCTCCATGACTTCATCGGGCAGGCCAACCAATAGCCAGACATTAACATATTAGCTTGGGTCTTGATTCAATTCGCTGCAGTTGGAGGCGTCTGAGAAGCCCAATCCAGTTTATTCTGCGTATTGCGGAGACCGGCGAGGGTGAGGGTGAGTGCTCGTTTGGCGTTTTGAGGCGTAGACCAAAACGAGTTCCCCGCCTTCTCACGCACGACTTGGCGATCGAGACGTTCATCGCCTCGAGGCGAGATGCAAGGTTCTGTGCATCATGTTCTTCATTCTGTGTCCTATTTACCGGACTCGCCGCATTCAAATGAATAATGACCACCTCTCTAGATTATGGTCGATCTCTCAATCACGTTGGCATACGAGATGATCAGGCATAAACGACTTGTCATGTCGCACGCGCAGCCACTTGCCGTCTTTTTGACGCTGTTCTGCGCTTCATACATTGGCAGTCCAACCCCACGCTCATGTACGATTCCCTCGCTCTGAGACGAACAGGCCGAGACACTGAGATGCGCGGCAGGTAGTTGCACCTCCTCAGAAATCCGAATGGATCTAGGACAGTTTATCATTTATGACACCCCAAACCCCGGCGGTCTACGAGGTAACTAGCATAATAAGAGCCAAATACCTCCCGCGATTCAAGATTTGCCATGCAGAAAATAGATTGGTATCCTCATCATCCACACCTAGCTCTAGACCATCTCACCTTAAAACAAACAACAGTCTCAGCTTGCAGTGCCTCGATATCACGATAGGCAGAGCAACACGAGAGAGTCACAAGCAGAAACCAGCCAATCCAAAGACTGAAGCCATTTAGATCAAGTACAGTTCTAAAGCTACAATATTATCTCGCCGTTCGATCAAACTCAGACTGCCGGGTTGCCTAATGCAGGCCGATCGAGAACCAACCTCAGTCTCACAGTATTTCACTCGTCCTTTTTCAGCTTTACTCCTATCCTCAGATACATTAACTCCATATAGTATCTGTAAATTAGAGACATACATTTGGTATTACATCCAGTACCAGAAGAGACAGTAGCTTTGCAATAAAGCTCTTGCACACTGATATTTGCCGTAAGCATCAATTCAACCCTTCTACCTTCAACCCTGCTGTCTACAGTCAACAGCTTTGCTATCTATAGATAACAAGCTTGAGACAATCACCTTATCCTGAGCAAAATGATACAAGAGGGACTGGCTGACATCTCTCGCCGTCGAAAGGCCAACTTCCCTTCCGATTATTATCAAATATATTAACATATACGATGGTTGAAGTGGTCATCGTCTACGTTTGATGGACTTGATAACGAACAAAAGGGAAGTCTAAAACTATTCTATTCAGGGAATCATTCGGATATTTAAGTCATGGATTTAGCTTTTAGACACAATACTTTGGTAATCCTTCCTCCATTTTCCCATCACGTCATCCTCAAACTCCAAGCGTCCGATAACACTAGCCCTGCAGTCCGAGAAGCGAAAGATCGAAACCCACGCCCCCGAACTTACAACAACGCCGTTCTAGACTCAGCCTTGCGGCGAAGGCTACGAAATGCAGAAAACCCCACGTGCGACGATAAGGCTCGAGCGGAGCACAGCTTCATGGCTCATGTCAATTCGTTACGGTCGTATCCCATCCATCCCTTCTCAGACACACTGATCCTACATCCCGCATTCGCTCTAAATAAATAGTACCGACTAAGAAACCCTTTACCAGTTGTATCATTCTTTATATGGTGTATCTCATGTTCCAACCTAGGGCCAAGAAAAGAAGAAAAAAGGAACGGCAACACCATGAAATAGGTGTAGAGGAAAGAGAGTTCAGCAGTGTTTGCGTGACTCCCGAGGCCAAGACCTCAACTCACACATTATCGCATTACCACCGAAATTGTAAAGACAGACAATCCGCCCTATCTCACCGAGATCAAACCTCTCATCCCGCGCCGGCCGAGTGCGCAGAGCGATACGGCCCCCCATCCTCAACCCCCACGCCGCTCCGCGCCACGCGGGGGCTCGTCCGGGAGTACTCGTCGTAAGCCGGGCCTACTTCGTCCCGTGGCTGCTGAGTATCGACGACCAGACTCTGGCGCCGGGCGTTGCCGCCGCCCACGACGGTCCGCGGCGTTGCGTCGCCGGAGGCTCGGCCCTGGTAGTAGCGATAGTCCTGCTCCCGGTTGCGACGCTCCCCGCCGGAGGTGGTGATGCGGGGGTAGTGCGAGTTGGAGGACGAGCTCTGGTGGCTGGGCGACGATAGGCCGTAGTCGTCCGGCGTGGCGGCGCTGTTGAGGGACGAGACCGATGAGCGGTAGCGATTGCTCGATGTTGGACTCCGGGACTTGTGAGAGCCGACTGGCGGCGGCGATGGTTCAGAGCGCCGGACGTTTCCCTCTGAGTTGGCTCGAGAGACGAACCGGCCGTCCCTGCGAGAAGACCCGCGCTCGTTCGACTTGCTGTATCTGTCTCGCGACTTGTGGCGGTGCCGCGTCGAAGTCCCTTCGCTTCGGTAGTCATCAGATCGATGCCGCCCAGAGGTCTCCTCTCGCGCCCGCGTAGACCGGGATCCTTCTTCGCCACGCGCCTCCTTCCGCGTGGACAGCTCTACAAACCCAACCGACTTGATCCAGCTGTGGACCGCCGTGATGACAAAGTCGTGGACTTCTCTGTGGCGCGAGGCGGGGAGGAGGTGCCGCGACAACTGCTTGGGCAGCCTCTCGGCTTTGCCATCCAGCAATGGCCCATCGGCAGCAATGGGCAGCTCGGCGACGATGTAGCTGAGCCGTCTGGCCTCTTGGTCAGGGAAGGCCTGGACCATGCGGACCATCCAGTCCTCAAACCCCGAGGGCGTCAAGGCTGGGACTCGAGGGGTCGAGTTTGGTCGGCCTTGGACGAGATGGTAACTGCACTGCAGATCCTGGTACAGCCACTCAAGGCTGACAAAGTCTTTTCGGTGATTGGAGTCGAACATGTCTATGCTTGTTAGGTTTAGTTTCTTTGGGCTTGACGGTTACTACTCACTTTGAAAGGGGAGGGCTTCTGATTCGATCTTGTATCGGGAGTAGAAAGCGTGGAGCTTATCCGGGGGAATGACCAGGGAGTTGATCGGACTGTATTCGGAAATCTACCATGGTTAGTCGGCATTCAAGTTATGGAGGTATGGTCATACTAGGTAGTTGGCAATTCCCCGAAGTAACTGCCCAAACCTAGGTGTAGGCGCTCCGTTGTCATCAAACAGCCTTCCCCATTTCACATCGACCGCCGACAGCCCAGCGCTGTTGGCATCCATCTCAGTAACCTCAACACGCGGCGGCATCAGCTTCGGACGGCCATGAAGAACGACAGGGCCCCTATCTGAGAAGCGCACCGTCGGGCGGGTCTTGGGGCTCGGACACGGCGACTCGGGCGACGCAGACATGGGAGCAGAAGGCCGCCTCGAGGACACGGCGGATACCTTGGAGGAGGCAGACTCGGAAACGACAGACGACGCTGGACTGTCGGTGGAGGCGGTGTTGGATAGGGATCCCCGTGCAGAGTCTTGGGTCCGACTTCCAAGTTCGCCGCCCTCGTCCACGTCTTCCGGGTGATCCTCGACAGTTGCTTGGTATGACCCTTTCTGCGAGCTGGACATGTCGATGGGAGTCGGTCGGGGACTAGGCCCTGCCTCTGTGGACGGGGTATCCATGGTATCAGATACTGCCACCTGATTCTCGACAACTGCACCCATCATCAGTCGCCTACCCATCCCGACGGGCTCTTACACTCACGCTCGGTCTTGACCTTGGCAAAGATCTCGTCGAACCACCTCGACTTCATCTCATCAATCGTCAACCGCCTCACCAGCTCTTCGACCTGCTGCTTAGACATATCGCTCGCGGAACTCATTCTCTTCTTGGACGCAACACTTGCCTGGCCATCACTTGTGCCAGACACGGAGCCCTCTCCTACGGCAGGGCCGGCGAGGGGGGTTTTATCAACTTCACGCATCCCCTCGTGCGACCACGGGCCCTTGTCATTCGTATGAGGCATCTCCATAGCCCCTCGGTGGACGAAAGCGACGACCGGTTAGTTTCAGCTCGCGGCGGCTACTCAGCGCTCAGGGGTTCTGCGCAACATGGACGCAACAAAAGGTGTTGAGGGAACGTAGCAGCAGCGGACGCACCACAGAGGGAAAAGTGCAAGAGTACAAAGGGGGCGAGGGCGAGAGGAGAGGGCGGACACAGGCGTGCTTTTACAGCGCTGCACACCTCTCCCTCAGAAGGATACAAGGAGAACCGGCCGGTCACCGCCTCCCGGGCGATGGTGGGTTGCGCAGCGTTGATAATGCCAAGCTCGCAGCGACGACTATCAGGCGCGCGTGCAGCGGGCGAGTCCAGCTCGTGGACGAGGCTCCGGCGAGGGACCAGGACTAGGGCAGCACGGCAAGCCGGAAAGGAGGCTGTCGGGAGGGAACGCCCTTGTGGACCTATCTGCAAAGGGAACCAAGTGCAGCGGAGGTGAGAGAAGAGGAAGTGTCTTGTGCGACCGGGCGAGAGACGGCTGATGATGGGCGCCGGGCTATGCTGTGCAGCAGACGGGATCCCTGCGGGTGGAGTGGGCTTGGTCGGGCTTCAATGCGTGGTGGAGGCTTTGTTGCCTGTGCGATGCGATGTGTGCTGCGATGTGTGTTATCAGGCCGATGCTATCGGCCGATGAGGTGCGTTAGGGCGGTCGTGGGAAGAGGTTGTGTGCAAGTTTGCAGGTTGTAAATGTCGCGACAGCTGCATCTGTGTAAGTGGAGAAGAGCCGTGGGTTTTGCTGGCTGCGGGCATCTCCAACTATACAAAACCTCTCGACGAGACGGCCACCACCAGGCGCATTGACGCCGACGACACCCTCAAGGGCAAACCGGATAATCTCAGTCCTTTTCCCACGGCCTCGATTCCGTCCATGGCAGGGTTCAGCTCCCCCAACCCACCACCTCCGGCCCTCCCTCGCAGCGATATGCCGTCACCAGACACACCCACCGGCTTCACAACCCTGGGCCATCCTCCGCAGCCCTTCTGCGACTCCTCGGTATCATTCACAACCCCTCACATAAAGTTGCCATTTCGTAACCTGCCGGCACCAGTCGCAACCCCTCACGCATAATCCCTGACCCTTCCCATCCCGCGCAATTGGGCCGCAACGCCACGAGGCAACACCTGGTGCGCGCCCCGCGATCGCCAATCTCACCGGCCGCATTGCGTCGTAGCGCGAGGCGAGCGCTTTCTTATGTGCATGTCGTGCATCCGCCCACTTCCGCATCCGTGGGGTTTTTTTGCACTCTGGCCGGGCGTCCGTCGTTCGGAAGGGCTGCCCACAGGGAAGAGGGGGGGGACGACAGAGACAACGACGGATCGCGGCCGGATCGGGACGGTCCTTTGGTTCCTTGAGGGTGGGCTACAGGGCGTGCGAATCAGGCCACGCGGGGCGGCTACGTGCCATGGAGGGAGCCGGAGGGGATGGGCATGGCTATGTAGTTGTGAGGGCATGGCGAGTTGCCTGGGTATGTAGATGTGCGAGCATGGCGAGTTGCTTGGCCATGTGCACTCGCCCGGTGGTTCTCACTCCTCCACACAGACGATATCCGAGATGCTGCACCATGAGCCTCTCTGTGGATCAATGTGCAAATGTGGCCGACATGATAGGTCTGGGTTGCACCGTCTAAGCCAAGACCATGTTCATGCGCGTCGTGCTGTACATACAGTAGTGCGAAGGCGGTGAGATATGTATCATGATAGTCATGATTGAGATAGGAGTAAATGATTAGCTATTGCTGATGCTGTTTCTTGTACTACCGCAGCCTCCGCCGGCCGATGTCCTCATCCTCCCCGGCTTTCTCCTCTCCTTTCTTCTTCTCATCTCCCTCCGTGTACCAATAATAACCATGACCACGCCATATACGAAAAGGGAAGAGAAATGCAAATAATGTACACCGCAAAGTATCCTCTTATCCAAGGTCAGTAACCAACACAAACACCTTGGACCCACACCACGCCAATACCCACGTAAAAATGAGACACAGTCTGCCTCCAGTACCCAACTCTTCTACTCTCCTTACGCCTTGTAAAGGATATCCAAGAAACCGTTCGCGAGGTCCACAACAACGCTCTTGTTGGGCAGGGATCCCGCAACGCCATACAGCGCCGCCTGGTCGCCCATGGCCTTGCCCTTGGGTGTCTTGCCCTCCACGAGGCGGGCGCGCTCCTTCTCGCGCTCGTCCTCGACGACAGCCTCGAGGTCGGAAACCAGCCTCTCCCACGCCTTGGTGATTGGCAGAGTAACAGCAACATGCACAGCGGGCGGGTTCTGCAGCGAGTTCAGGTGCCATCCCTTGGCACCCATACCATCGGCAATGTCGTAGATGTTGAGGTTGCGTGCCGTAAAGGATATCACCGAAACAAGGGGCTTGCCCAGGATCTCCAGCTCGCCTCCCAGCGCCGGGGTGGTGCGTAGCGCATCGGAAATCTTCTTGGTCGTGCCGACGATCTGAGTGCATGCATCAATGTATCCAGCCTCGCCCATGCTCATCAAACTAGCCCAACATCCAGCAATCAGCGCACCCGGCCGCGATCCCGCCATACCTGGGGACGCATATACGCCGCCAGACCAATCGGGAGACACAAAGTACTGATACGTTCGCAGGTCTGCAGAGCGGTAAAGCACGGTGGAGTTGCCCTTGGGCGCAAAACCGTACTTGTGGGTATCGCAGCTAATGCTGGTGACACCCTTGAGACGGAAGTCGAAGAGCTGAGACTCAAACCCAGCCTTTTCCAGGAAGGGAACCATGAAAGAGCCCAGGCAGCAGTCAACATGCAGCCAGATGTTCTTGCGGACCGCCAGCTGGGAGAGGGCGGCAATGTCATCGATGATGCCGTGGGGGAAGTTGGGCGCGGATCCGACGAGCAGCACCGTGTTAGGGTTGACGAGGCGCGAGACGGCCTTGACGTCGACCTGGTAGCTGGGCGCAGGGCAGGCGACGAAGTGCATCTTGATCTTGAAGTACTGGGAGGCCTTGTGGAACGCCGTGTGCGCAGTCTCAGGGAGGATCCTAAACCTCACGGTCAGTGTCGTTGCGTGCAGGGGTTCGCGACATGACAACTTACATCTCGGGCTCAGTCACCCCACGCTCATGGTATGCCCTCTGGCGCGCAGCCAGGCACGCCATGAGGATACTGTCAGTGCCACCGCTGGTGGATGCTCCAGCGGCGTGAGGCGGCGCATGGAAGAGGCTCAACACCATGCTCACTACCTCGGCCTCCATTTTGCGCACACCAGGGAACACATCGGGGTGGATGGGATTGGCGACGGTGAATTTGCCATACGCCTCGGTCTGCAGCTTCAGCAGCTCATCCTCTCCGTGGTAAACGGCACCCGAAACGCAGCCGTCCTCCCAGCGAGTATGGTCCATGGCAGCGAGGGATTCGAGCTCGGCGCGCACAGCATCGTGGGAGAGGCCCTCCTTGGGCAGGGTGAGGTAGCGGATCTGGTCCTTGGACACCAGCTTGTCTGACAGCTTCGCGACGCTCTCCTTGACTTGTTGCTGGACCTTGTTGCGCACGCCGGGCGCCCGCAGGAAGTAGCCGTATAGGATGCGGCGGATGTTGATGTAGAACTCGACGATGGAGCCGATGATGCCGCGGCCCTTGAGCTGCCAGAAGGTGCGGCGCGTCCATCGCAAGACGAACATGAAGAATATAATATTTCGAAATCTGCCAGAGGTAGGATCGCAAAGTGTCAGCTTTCGAAATTTCAAACAGTCGATGGGGGCCCATTGCAGCAGCTATGGGGGGGAGCAATCGCCATCATGGGACGTCGTGAATCGTCATCATGGAGCGCCATGCGACGGGACGGCAAAAGCAATGCGACAACGTACAGATCCAGATTGAGCAGCGACCAGGAGAAATCGCCCCTCCTGCGCGTGACGGACTCGAAGCCGACGCGCAGGCTAGCTGGTATACGTGAAGAGCCAGGCATCTTGTGCGGTGATGGGGGAGCAAAAGCGAGTTGACGATGTTGTGTCGAAGTTGAAGCTCCAGTCCACGACGTCAAGCCAGAGCGAAGTAGACTACGCCTATTATTATTTATGGATTCTGGCTCTGCGGGGGGATGGACGCTTCTTGGATATTTTTCAGCGGGCCACCTGCCGCTATCCGGCCCCATCACATGCAGTACAGGGCCCTGGCGAACCCCTCAGGCCAAGCCGATACAGGCCCAGCCGAGTGCCACCCCCGAAATGGTCCCCGTAGCGTAGCAGCTTGTAGCGGTTCAGGCGCTGGAAGGGGCCCGCGGGGACCATGCGAGACGCAGTGGCGGCCGCTAGAGCCGAAGCGGCAGCGCAGTACGAAGCACGCCCTGTCATTGTACATGAGAAGCGTCCGCTGCAGAGTGCCACTGCAGAGTGCCGCACCTGGTGATGCTGGCTGTTCTGCGCGCCTCAAGGGCAGTCCGACGGAGGAGAGCGTGGGCGCAGCCCGTTTAGGGTTCACCGCCGGTGCAGGCGGGCTTCGTGTTCGCTGTGTTTGGTTGCATCGCGGCGAGACAACGGGTCCCGCGGGGGGCCGTCTTTGGCATCACCCGCCGCGATTGCGTTCCGGGCCGTGAATCCAAACCCGTGGCGTCTACGTTGTTCTCCGTCTCCGAATGGCTTCAAGTGGAGCGTCGTGGGTCAGGGTTATCTACGGAGTAGTGATGGGTAAAACGCGATGGGCCTGCTAGTGGGCTGACAGGGATTGGAAACTGGGTGAACGGGGACTTATAGCTATTGATGATATCACCATGTTAAAGTCGACATCTAATAATATGTTGCGAGCGCTGTACGAAGTAGACTACTGAGAGTATTGGTGAGGACGAACCCGTCTTGTCGTAAAGGGCAGTTGGGACAGTTAACAACGCCATTATTACAACTCCCGCTCATGTTGATCAATCTCTCTCACCAACCTCTCACCGTCGCAATATCTTTATCGTAAATGCCGGTAGTCAAATCGTCCATTATTAACTACACATGCAGCCTGAATGCCTCCCGCACATCCCTCCCGGCCCCGATCAAAGGAGCGACGGAACGGGATTTATCCCTCAAACGCCGACTCCGATCCAGTACGTACCAAGGCGGCCTTTGTTCAACCAATAGAAACGGCCCTGAAAGTCCGATGTGCATCCTCGACGGTGACGCATGTCGCTGCAAGGACAAGCGAGACGCAGCCGGTGGGTGTCACCACGAGGGAGCTACTCGAAATGGAATAGGTGCACCTTTGCATGTTTCTGGGAGGCATCTTGATAGGCCAGGCATCCATTGATTTCTCATTATCCTGGACGAGTCATTCGTGGGGTATTAGAGATGACTCTTGTTCCCTGTTGTTGACGAGGAGTTCTACAGGGTAGCCAAATTGGGCGGCCACGAGGTCATCCAAAACCATCTATCAATCTGATCCTACCATGGTGTTTGGGCTTAATAGTCTGGAACAGGTGGGCTCATCCGTGCTTACTAAAATAGTCAGGTAGTCGAATGTTGATGAACGTCTGAGCCAGGATTTATGCGACGTTGCCTAACATGTAAATGATGCTCCCAAAGCAGGCGTCCCACTTACAACCCAGCCCAACGTAAGGTCCGAATACGATTCATAAGCAACAGTCAAGGGGCAGCCAATTGAGCAGAAACCTCACACCAAAAAGGCGTATTCGCAGACTTGTATGATGATATCGACTGAGATGATGGTAGAATGCGATGTTATCTAAACACGTCTTCCCTGCGGCATCCGACTACCTTGGGGCTCGATACGCAACATCAACTGTGATGCGACAACTCGACTGATTTAAGACTGGATCTACCCACAAGGCTGCGAATGGGGGTTTTAATTGGTTTCGCGGTGTCACTGCGCACGCACATCTCCTGTTGGGCATTGAATGTGGAGAGATTTCCCCCTTCACTATTCAACCAAGTCCTAACGCCACAGGAAACCTGTCCGTTCCGTAATTGTAATGTCGATATCCTACGTCCGGGTTACAGCCCCTACCGAAATTTGCGTCACGAAGATAGACATAAGGACCTCAGGCATCTCAACGTCAGCTAGCGTTTCGGGAATCATTTCGCCTCAATTGTCGGGTACTTGCGATCCCAAGAACGCCGCAGAGTGCTCGTGCAGCCTCACCGAAGCCGGATAATGTGCTCTTGGCTTCGATTTTGACACTGCAACCCAGTGCCTTAAAAGTTAGGTGATTGACGTTCAAGCCCACTTGCCATAGCCGTTCGGCACCTCGAGTCATGGGCTCTAGCCCAAGCTAGGCAATTCTCCAGATGGTGAGTATGTCGACGGTGGAACCCTGTAACCTTCGCCATCGGAATCATCTTCCGTCCTGAAAATATTTAAATGCCATCTCCTCCCATCTCCTCTTTACGACGGACTTTATTGACACTTAGCTACTGCCGATTCCCGAAATTTGGCATTCAATACGGTCGGTCCCGCATCTCCCATCTACCTTGTACTTTGTTCACTCATAACTGGCCATGCCCGTTACCAGTCTAGAGATCGGGCAACACTCTGTGGCCAGTACTGAACTGAATCTTGGCGTAGTTTGCTGAGTGATGCTGTGAGATGTGGGAATCGCGGGAACACAATTATAATGGATCACAGGCCATGTTGACAAGAGTATTCTGGTAGGGGTCTCGTGGTGTCCAAATAACCTCAGAGTCCACCCGCCAGTGACCACTCTCTTCGACCTGGGGATTAGTGGGTATAATTGTGGTTTGCAGAGCAATCGGCTGAGGGAGTTCGCTCATCCAACTCGCCAAGTCGTGGCAGATCGCGCATCTACTCAATATAATACGGACTTGGATGTCAATAAGGCACCGCACACGGTCTTCTCATAGTCATTTTGGACTCCAGAATCGCACAAGTTTTCTGGTTCAACGACTCAGACCAGAAGTAACTTCATCCCGCCTCTCTAATAATTGGGTAATTAAGTGTCAGCAGCCGATGGGGAGTGCTGACTCATGGAGGGGTCGGAAAAAGCCACCAGTGGGGATGGAAATTCTGTCGACGTCGCCGAGATTCCAGCGGAACGGTCGCAGCGTGGACCTCGGCGTGACCTCATCGGCACAACCACCGAATTATAGGGAGCCGTTGGAAGGCCATAGCGAGCCCGGCAACCCCGGCAAGCCTGGAGACTCTCTCCCGCCAGCGCCGGGACGGGGGAGCAGGGTATTAACCGCGCGCGGGAGTGGGAAGAGATGACTAATGTCGGCGGGTGTCTGCTCCGTATTGCTCTCAGCAAAACCCCACTAACAACCATGAAGCAATGGTTCCGCAAACTATCGCAATCGTGGTACTGCGCTTGTTACTCGTTCACAACTTACGTCCCCTTTCGTCTCGACCATTGCCAAGTCGCTGAAGGTTGAATTGTCCATTCTCTACCCCTCTCCTCTCCCTGCGGCCTACGCATTCCCTCTGCCTTGGATTCCGACGCTCCGATTGCCCAATGCGCATCTAGCGACCGACTTACGACCGAACGTGACCACCCCCGATTACGGCGCCGGAAGGGAATCATGCCCTCAGATGCCATGACAGACTCCCCGGCGGGCTCGTCCCAGCTGCCCTCCTTCTACTCGCCTCGAACCCAGGCCGCCGACGTCTCAGCCTCCCACGACGGCGACAATGCGAAGCAGCCCGTAGACGACCTGTCCCTTTCCCCCGCTGAGACCCCCGAGACCCCCGAGACCCCCGCCGGCAACTCGCAGGAGCCCCCGCCGTCACTCCTCTCCCCCGCCTTCACGCCGCCCGCTACGCCCGGCACCGCAACACCCACGACCGCTGGGCCTCGCGGAGTCCCTGTTGACAGCTCAATTCCCTCGGGCGGTTGCGGTTCCAAGAAACCTCGACTGCTCGAGACCCTGCCCGAGGTGAAATGCATCGTGCGTGCCCGCATCCCCACTGTGGCCGGCACGGAGATGTTCCTTCACCTGTACACCAACAACGTCGACAACAAGGAGCATCTTGCCATCGTATTTGGCAACGACATTCGCAGCGAGAGCCTTGATGCGCCCCAGGAGGGCGAGACGCAAATGGACCGCATGGTGCGCGGCGCATACACTGGCAGGTTGTTCCCCGGCCGGACGACGAGTGGCATGGGCGCCGGAGTCGCCCCCGGCCGCGAGGGGCAACCAGAGGCGACTCAAGCCCCCCTGGTGAGAATTCACTCTGAGTGCTACACGGGTGAGACTGCCTGGTCTGCCCGGTGTGACTGTGGTGAGCAGTTGGATGAGGCTGCCCGTCTCATGAGTCTGCCTGGCAACAAGAGCGGCGGCATCATCATCTACCTGCGGCAGGAGGGCCGCGGCATTGGCCTCGGCGAGAAACTCAAGGCCTACAACCTCCAGGATCTGGGCTCGGACACTGTTGAGGCGAACCTGATTTTGCGACACCCGGCCGACGCGCGCAGTTACGGACTTGCCACGGCGATGCTGCGGGATCTCGGCCAGCAGGACGTGCGCCTTCTGACCAACAACCCGGATAAGATCCGCGCAGTGGAGGGACCGAACCGAGAGGTTGTGGTGACGGAGCGCGTGGCTATGGTGCCGCTTTCGTGGAAGGGCCGAGGCGGCTTCCGAAGTGAGGAGGTGGAAGGTTACCTCAAGACCAAGGTATGTTTATCTACTCCTTCCGAGTCTGGGAACAGCAGCTAATCAATTCGACAGATCGAGAAGATGGGTCACATGTTGGATATGGGTGGACTGCAATGAAGGAGTGGCACGGCCTTGGAGGCATGAAGGGAATGAAGTTTGTTGGATCAGCATTACACACATGATGGAGTTTGTTGTTGATTTGGGTGCTCTCGACGGCGTTATGGTGGGAGCTCTGTAGATAAAATCCGGTATACCTCAAAACCTTTTACGACTGAAAACTGGACTGAAAACTGGACAGGCGAGTGGGCTCATTGCGGTTGTTTGCTGTGTTGGCTTGTGGTTTGCCACCAGTCAGATCATGAGTGCGATGTTGGCAGTGGACAGATGAAAGACTTGTCGGAGCCGTAGTCGACTCAGCAAGCAAGAATTAATTTCCTACAATATTCAACCGCAATCATTTCGATCTTACCTAACTCTGTGACTTGAGACTTTTGTTCGGGTCGGCTCTGCACAACTTTGCCCAGTGGGTGTGTCGCATGTGCTCAATGACGTTGCTGTGCGAGGCGAAAATTAGTGGAGAAGACCCTGTAACAACCTGCGCTAGCGGCTCCCGTTGGGCCAGGCAGGCTCCGGCCAGGTGCAGGATTTCAGCCTTCCGTCACTAGCACTTCACGCGTCAAGCTCAACAGTGCAACTTCTTTTTTTTCTCCCCTACTTTTTCCCTGCGTTCTTCTCCGGAACACCGACTCTCATTCACTTCCCTTCTCAAATATGCGATCATAAAACAAACCACTGCCATTCCGCCACAATGTCATCGCAGGGCATTCGCCTGCGCCTCGCCATCCGCAGGCACGCGGTCCCTGAGGTCAAGCTCGTGTGGCCATGCGTCACCTCCGAGGACCTCACAGTCGCAAAGCTCCTCGCCCAAGTCAACGAAGTGGTGCCCCTCGAGAGTGGAGAATGGGGTCTTGAGGACTACGCCGTTGAACTAACCGACGGCAATGGGGGCAGCTTTGAGTGTTTGCACTTCCAGCAGGTTGGCAGGATCTTGAAGGAGGATGACCAGGTCTTGTAGGTTTTATGCTTCTTTCGACACTTCGCGCCAGGCTTTGCTAACTTGGCAACAGGATCCGATCCCTTCTTACCGAAGACCTCAGGCGACGACGACTCACCGGACGACACCAGATTTCCTCTGATGGGCGGCACCTCGTTGACGGTCTCGCTTTCGGAAGACCGTGGCTGAGGGTCCCCCGAGATCGACCTGCCCTTGACTTGCCTCCACGAAAACGAGCCCGACTGGAATATGACATCGAGGAAGATGAGGAGGACGAGGATGACGAAGAAGATGAGTCCTTCACAGACGAAGACTCTACGGAAGATGAAGAGCTACCAGAGCAGCTCATGCTGGAAGGCACAGAGCCATTCGATGCCGACGAGCCTAGCAGCGTTGGCATACATGCATTGTTTGACGATGCCGATCGGGATGCCGACAATGAAGGCGATGACGGTATCGACAGCGACGACAACGACTTCCTCCCAGGCAACGATGCCGAGAGCAGCGCCGACGAGGAGGAAGACGTCAACCTCGAGGACGAGCTACGAGTTTTGCAGGAAGACAACGCTGTCATAGGAGACCAGCCGTCAACGGAGCACCTGGAATTCGACTCTAGCGACGACGACGATTTGCCTCGGGGTCTTCTCACGGCCCAAGATCTGGACCTCTCATCCCTTGACCATATCGCCACTCTTCGATCGGCGTTTCCCCTAACATCAGTAACTTCCATCCATACCGAGTTGCTCCGTCAGCATATGAACCTGAGAGCAACGTTCCAGGCCCTCGCCAAATCGAACGAGCCGACTATGAGCTTTGACGAAATGATGGATCGAGCATTAACTGGGTTCATCGATTACTCTCAGCCAGCCCTTCTCGGCCAAGAAACTTCGTTGCTCGCGGGTCTTGGCGCCCGAGAATCTGGAAGTCCAGACATCAGAGGGCTCAGGGGCTCGGCAAGGCCAATGATTGAGGAGGTAGAGAGTATCGATACTCCTGCCACAGGTGGTCCCAGGATGGAAGCCCCATCGGGAGAATTCACCTTCCGCCAGGTGATGAACATGAGCGTCGAGGCTAGTAGTGACGACACATCCAGCAGTGATAGTAGCTCAGAAGCAAGCTCCGATGACTCAAGCTCCGACGACGATTCCGATGACGACTCCGACGACGCCATGGATAGCTCTGACAGCGAGTCTAGTGATTCTAGCGATTCCAGTGATTCTAACTCTGATTCTGACTCGAGCTCAGGTGACGATGCCAGTGTCAACAACTCCACGGGCCGCCTCGAAGACGATGACGACAGCTCGAGTGACTCCGACTCCAGCAGCTCGAGTGACGATTCCGCATCAGAGCCAGAGGAGGTTCCCTCAAAGAAGGAAGCTCCAGCAAAGGCGCTCGTAGTCCCGGAAGTTTTGAAGCAGATCCTCGCTACATCTACTACCTCGCCACCCATCGCCGCCCCTGTCCCTCCTGGTTGCGGTCTTACCAGAACCCAGAAGCGAAATGCTCGGAGGCGAGACGCAAAGAGGCTCAAGGAATCAAATGGCGCTCAATTGCAGTCGCCGATGATTTCTGAAGTTGAGAACGAGGATGCGGAGCTATTGGCTCGAAAGAAAGCCCTCCTGCTCAGCGTGGTTGGCGAAGAAACTCCCAAGACCAAGGCAGAGCAAATTGCAGTTCCTAGTAGCACAGAGATCCACCCCAAGGACACACCCACGGTAGAAACTCCCCAGGATGCCCCTCCGAGCAGCGAACCCACCTCGCAGCAGCGTCGCATGAAGGTTGACATGGGTGCTGGACGCAGACTTTTGTTTGGCGCACTCGGGCTGAAGAACCCCAAGTCAAAGGCCGACGAAGACAAGCTTCGAAAGAATCTGATGAAGGATGTGCGACCGTTGGAGAACCATCGAATTCAAGATATCCCAAAAACCAATGGCGCCAAAGAGTCTGAGCCAGAGCAACCCGATGAAGATCCTGAGGCATGGCGGGAGAAGATTTCATACCGCGGCGTGGAATGTTGCCACGAGGGCATGGTGCTCAGCGAGCCACCATTTCCGTTTGTGCAACGTTGGGATCCCCAACAGCAGTATGGGTCCATGAGGAAGAGGAAGCGAGAGTCGCAGAATGTGTACGACGAGAGCTACTACGAGGAAGATTCCCAGTGGAACGAAGACGGCACCGAATGGGTAGAACCCGAGAAGAAGAAGAAGAAGTCGAAGAAGCGAAAGGGCAAGGATAACCACGGTGACGATGAAGGAAAGGAAACCAATGCTGACGCGGACGTGATTCTCAACTACGATGACACGCCAGCCAAGGCTCGTCCGGAAGACAGCCAGTTCACAGACGTGGACGATCTCCCATCTTTGCCATCGGATCTCACCACCCTCTCCGTGCTCGAGTTTAACGACGTCAAGCCCGGCATGGTCGTGACCTGGAAGCAGCTGCTCATGTCCAAGGCTACAAGCTGGCAACCCCAACTCGCATCTCTCACGGGCTTGGTCTTGTCCATCAGCGACGATGACTGTGTCCATGTTCTACTCGCTAAAAGAGACCGTGAAGAGAATGACAAGGTATACGATGAGCACACCGGCAAGCGGGTATATGACAAGTTTGAGGCGCCAGACTCGGATGAAGATGACGAAGACGAAGGAGACACTGGACGAAGAGACGTGGAGTGGACAGAGATGACTGAGACGAGATTGGTCCAACCCGCGCCGCCATCCAGCTCGCCGAGTGCACCCGCGAACGGAGATTCGGTCCAGGCGGCTGAGAGCGCACCAGTGGCCGATTCAATCGCAGACAACGTAAGCAAGAAAAACGACGATAACGAGACTGTGGCTGAGGAGTTAGATACGCAGGAAGTGATGGCCGGTGTGGAAGTCGAGCTAAGAGACCTAGAGACAACCAAGACTGCGCCAAGCGATATATCGACCCCGATCCCATCCGGACAAGCCCCGCCACGCATCGAGGTGATCGCCTCGAACGACTGGCCAAACATGGCGGCCCAAAGTACAGACTCGCCGATCGAGAGGGATAACAGCCCGAGCCGGCAATTACAGGAAATGTCACAGGTGGCTTCTACTCCAGAGAAACGGGACCCGGAGGTTACTTCTGGGGAAAAGAACGATTCTAATGTCGACCAACCTGTTGAAGGATGTGACGCTCTGGAAATCGACATGGAGGACTGGAACCCTACACTTCTGAAAGATTCTGAACTGGAGTCAGTGATTCCCGATAGTATGCCGTCTCTTGGTCTCCCTCAACCATCAGATGTAGACAATTCTCGCCCATCACCTGTGGTTGAGCACCCTCTCGCGGTGGCTTCGTCAGTAGGCAGTGTTCACAGTGGACGACAACCACCCTCAAACTATGGCATGGAAGAGTCTCACGAGCGCATTGAGGATTCTGCGATGGGAGACACTACTCCTCGTGCACGCGACATGACGCCAACCCCACGAGATGGCCCGTCTATTGATGAAGACAGGAGGAGCAGTAGTCCGTTCCCATCTCTGGACGAGATCTTTCACACCGCCGCCACGTCGCGACACACACAGAGCCCTGGAAAACCAGCACAAATGTCAGCAATGCAGTCTCTGAAAGCTAGTGTGAGACGAGACTTTGAGTACGAAGAGGCGATGCGCAAGCTCGATGAGGGTGAGGAGGAGTCGGACCTGTCATCGGACAAGAACAAGTCGATCCGGAGCTTGTTCCCGAATGCGACACAGCCTGAAGCCGAAGTAGATCTTCCCAAACTTATTCCACCCAAGTTGGAGACACCACCAAGGTCGGCACGGTCTCAGCGAGCGAAGCGATCATCGCCGTTTAGGATCCCAGAAGGCAGCCAAGTTATCTCACTCAGCTCCAGCCCGGACTCATCGCAGTTTGTAGAGGATTACGCCCTCGACAATGACGACGAAACCTACAAAGAGAGTCCTCATCCAGACGGATCAGGTTTATCCCAGAAAAAGGACCGCGATGTGACGCGACGAGAGACTAGGAGCCGAGGAAAGAGTGTGCCAGCGACAACAAGAGGCAAGCCCATGCGGACCAAGCTGGGACGTGGCCGGACATCTTTGCCACCAGCAATGGACGCCAACGCGAGCGCGGTCAGCCAGATCAAGGGGCGGAAGAAGAGGGGCGGCAAGTCTTGAGGGTGGGAGGGAGGCAATGATACTTGGGTTGACAATACTTGGTTCGACGACCACATCCACGCATCAACTCATGATGTCATTTTGTTTTTAGCTACATGCATTGCTGCATTTCCGGCGGAGGCGAAGATACCACTGTTTAATATGTACGATAGCGAGAGTGAGGAGGACGGCACGGTTGGTTGAGAGCATCACCGGCCGAGGCGTTGGAACTTATGGAACCTGCATCACAATACAAAGCTGAAGAATGGAAACGCACTCGTTTCAGGACTCTCGTGACTGTGCCCTCTGTGTTGGTGTTGTGTGTGTGTCCCACTTCACGTCCAAGTCGCCCCAGCCAACCAATCTCGACTCCTCCAACACCACCCACCTCCAGAATCCCAGATCCCCACCGCGCCCATTGGGTCACGCTGCCACGACTAGTTAAGCATAGTGCAGCCTAAATTCCTGCTCATGAGTCCTGGAAATGTGCTGCATCGCCGCACGCCAGCTCCTGTGTCTGGTGTGCGTCACGGGGGTTGACTACGGGGGACGCATGATAAAAGCGTCGCGTGTCGCATGTCGAGGAGGGGAGCTGAACTGTCGTGTCTTGATTGATATTCGTTCGCGCGTTCCTTTAATTCTCTGGGTTCTGTTCTTATTTCTCATCTTTTCTGGGTTGTTCTTCTTAGTGTGGTTCGCAGTGTGGCATCACGACAAAGAACATCAAGACAAAGGCTTTCTAAGTGGCAACACGGTTATATACCACACCATTGTACCCTTTGCCACAACCAACGTTACTCTCCTGTCTACACTGTCGAATTCGTCAAACAAACAACAGTTTATTTGTCTTATATATACTACGATCAATATATTTCCACCGCTGGCATGAAGCTACCCTACACCATCATGGCAATTTGCCTAGCCGGCATCGCAGCCGCGCTCCCGGCCACAACCACAGCAGCACTCCCTGCGACAACGGCCGACCTCACATCACAACCCACCGCAACAAACGCCCAAGATCCACCCACCGGATGCCTCCGCCCGAGGCAATCCAACCCCGAAGACGACCCGCCTCCCTACGTGCCCATCGTCACCGCCGCGCCGACCCAGGACGCGGCGCTGGCGAGTCTCGGCTGGGTCCAGACGACGTACTACGAGTGCCACACGCGGGGCGGCCAGGAGCACTGCGGCTGGCACATTCCCGTCATGAAGAAGGAGTCTGCAGGAGCGGCGCGGAGAGGCGGCGCGTGGGGTGCTGCGGTTGCTGCTGGGCTTGCGTGTTGGGCGGTGCTGTGACGACGAGAGAAGTGACGTTTTGCATACGGCTCTGGGATTTAATTTGGGAAGCATCTTGGAGTCGGGGAGTTAATGGAGGGATAGAGTTTGATACCCAGCTGGCTGGCCGGCATCTTATGAAGACACGAACAATACTTTTTTTAACCATTGAAATGATTCCTTCCGTTGTGACATATCCATTGGTAGTGCTGTCCCATGCCCTTCCAATTCATCGAGAGCGACAGGCGTACACATCCACATGCCACCAAACGAAAGAGCAGACGGAGGGAGCTAATGTGTGTCATGTAATATTTTTGGTCCGAAACCCGAAACACCATTGATTTCATGCTAGTGTATTGAGGAAAGATCATGAAGGCCAAGCCCTCACGCCTCCTCGCCGAGTCCACAATTCCGTCGACACGTCCCTCATGCCGAAGAAATGGACGCACCCGCATACCCGTGGCTGCAGAAGGCAAAACACCACAGCTCCCCCACCAATCCGAGGATATACATGGATTTCGCCGTTTATTTCTCCTTCTTCGCCTTGGCACCCTTGACCTTCGCCGTTCCGCGGAGGGTCTTTTGTCGGTTCTTGCGCTGCTTGCCTGTAGAGTGGAAGAGACCACGTTAGCCGTCTGTGTTTCTGCAACTGTCCTACCGTCCGCATCCCGGCCAACATCCACACAGCAGGTGTTGCCGGACGAGGCGACGGTCATGGAGGGGTACGCACGCTGCTGTCTGCTGGCACGCTCGGCCTTGGTGGCGAGGCCAACACGGACCAATCGGTACTGAGGCTCGAACTTCTTCATGGCCTCGGGGGAGTCGTAGACGAGGGCGAAGCCGGTGGTCTTGCCGCCACCGAACTGGGTTCGCAGACCGAAGACGGAGATCTGGTCCTTCTGGGCCTTGTAGAGGGCGCCGAGCTTCTCGCGGAGCTCATCCTTGGCGATGTTGGCACGGTTGGGGTGGAGGATGTCACTGTACGCAAGTCGCGTCAATCAGCCCAGGTTCTTTCTCAAATCGTCGACACCATTCCTCCATCGCTCCCTCTCGGTCCAATCCTCAATCTCCACGGGCAGACGCGATCCTCTTTCGTAAATGCGCACATCGAGCCCAGGGTCGTCGTGGCCCGGGGAGAGGGGAGAAAAAGTTGGAGAGACAGCGATGGCGATGGTGACGGCGAGGGGTTCAATTCAAGGGCCAGCACTCACACGACCATCTGCTTGCGGCCCAGCAGAGGGTTGCGGATGAACTTGCGAGTTCGGAGGGTGACGGGGGAGTCGTTGTCCGCCATGGTGTCGGTGGTGGTGATGGTCTCTGGGTGAGTTGACGGGCGAGAGACGGCGGTTGGGTGGGTGAGGTCGTGGATGAAGTTGTCGCGAGCGGCAAAACTAGGCAGAGGAGCGAAAATTCCGATTCCCGTGTCGCTTAATTGGGCCCAACCCTAACAAATCTGTGGGTGCTGCCCCAATTATGAGGCAGCCACACAAACCAGGTTTTTTGAGGTTCGTCACGTGAGTTGAGACCTGACAAACCCCGCCCCATATTTCCTCCCCAACCGGTAAAGCCTCGGCGGGGAGAGCAAGCGTCGGATGAAATTGTTAGTGAACAAGGCGACTTGGTTCCGCGATGCATCTATGGGGATCGAGTGCTTGGTGGAGCATAACCAACTCATTAAGTCTTTGCTTAATGACTGTTCTGTTTAGTAACTGGTCTATTTTGAGAACATTATCCATGTAAGGATTCTCACAACTAAAAGTACACCCTCACGAAACATCGACACACAGGTCACACTGTGCACTAACAACCATGGAGTCCTCGCCCCCATGGGCAAGACAAGTCAACCGGTTCTGCAACCAATATCTCCAGTTGGAACCTGAGTTGGACTTTCCTGACGCTTCACTCCTTAAGACCCAGCAAGTTCAGGATGTTCTCTATACAAGACTGTTTGCGGATGGAGCCGTTCAGTTTGGACCTCCTCAGAGATACCAGCTTCGAGTCCTGAAGGAACTCATGAAGAAAGTCGAGGCGAGCATTGATGACTGGAATGAGAATGTGAGTGCGACTGCACATTGCACTGGGTGTACCACGCAGGCTGTGCCGTCGTTGTTCTGACCGAAGTTGTAGGGTGTCTCTGATGATTTGATGTCCACTCTATCCATTCTTCTCGCAACGCCTCTCGCTCCCGAGGCTACGTCTGTTCAACAAAAATGCTACGTTACCTACCAGTTATCTTCCCTAGCAGGTGGCACCCTGGGATCACAATCACAAGAGTCCCCGAGGGATCCTCATGTCACCCTTCTCGAAAACCGCTCTCTCATCTCAGCCGCTGGGACCACAGGACTGCGAACTTGGGAAGCTGCACTTCATTTGGGGGTGTATTTGTGTCAAAACAGCTCTATTATCAAGGGCAAACGGATCCTAGAGCTGGGCGCTGGCACCGGATATCTCTCGATCCTCTGCGCCAACTTCTTGGGATCTCCCAGTGTAATTGCTTCGGACGGCTCCGACGACGTTATCAACAACCTCCCGGAAAACCTGTTCCTCAACAACCTCCAAGACTCGAACGCGGTCGTTCCGATGGAGGTCAAATGGGGGCACGCTCTCATGGGCACCGAGGAAGACAAGTGGAACGGGGGTCGGCCCGTGGACGTCGTGCTCGGCGCCGACATTACCTACGACCAGAGGATCATACCTGCACTGGTCGGGACTCTCCTGGACGTCTTTCAACTGCACCCCGCAGTCGAGGTCTACATTTCAGCAACCCAGCGCAACGAGTCAACATTCCAGGTGTTCCTAGACAAATGCCAGATCAACGGCCTCGCCGTGGAAGACCTCCAGTTTGAGGTGCCGAGCAGGGAGACGCAAGAGGGGCCGTTTTACAATGACAAGGTAGCTATTCGAATTTGCAAAGTGTCCAGACCATAGCACAATGGACGAGACACTAGCTACATCGTGGGCCTTCAAGGGAGCTCAAAGGGCGGGGAAAGGTTGTGGCTCTCGGTATTACGGCTACTCGGCCAGTGGTGATTTGGTGAATAGTTCCACAACATTCCAGTCATCAGCTCAGGCCGCGCAGCAGACATGCCTTTCCTGTCAAGTTACACACGCGTCGAGGGAATGCGGGGTTTAATCGGAGACATTGGCCCGACAAGCTTTCGTCAATCACGTTGTTCTGACCCCAATCCGACGAGCCACAGCTCCAGGGTAGATCTGCCGTGAATGCTCATGCCACCACCCCTCCAGCTGTCAGATCATAGGAACTGTCGACCCGCATGCGATCAGGTCTCTGCACTGCAACCCGTCGGGAGATTTAGGTGCCTCTCGAGTCCCGAGGCATTGACACAGCTGACATGCCGATTGCATGTTAGTCACGATATGTGTTCGGGATGTGTTGAGGTGTCACGCCACGATTGTCGACGGGCGTGATGGGCTTGATGGTTCCTCGGCATGGAACTCAGGCATAGCTTGATGATTGGCCCATGGTCCTTAAAAGAATCGAGTTCGTGTGACGGTTGATCAGACAATTGATGAATGTGGTAACCAACCCCGACTTCCCCATCACGTTCGCTCAAACTTACTACGTCCAAATCGCCACTCCCCGCACTCGCAACAAGGCCCCGTTGGACTCGCTTGACGCCTTACGAACTCAATCATGGGAGCAAAGAGGAGCTCTGAAGGTTCGATCGTGACCGCGGATCGGTCCCAATGATTGATTGACACCCCCCCGCACTTCAATGGCAGGTGGGCACACCATGCCACTCTCTCCCGTATTCCGTCGACATGGTCCGGTGGGGCCGGGAACAGCAACATGCAAACGTACGAACGTTGAGGTCATGAAACCAAGAACCAGGTTCCACAGCCAATGTGACGCGTGGGACTCGGGAGAACGAGGCGCTAGACGATGAGAGCAATCGAAGATGGCGCTTCAAGCAATGCGACATGGGGGGAGTCGTGCGTGGGAGGCTTTTCGGAGGGTTCTGTAAGGCACACACCTTGATCGACACTGCGCGCGCATCATGGGATGTGACGATGACTTAGGATGAAGCTGTGGTTGAGGATTGATCTGCGCATAGGTATTCAGATGACCGCCGTCCTAGCGAGGCAGGATTTTAAGAGCACTATGACGGATAAGTCTGTCATTTGTCTTGCTCGATCCTCGATGGAAGTTTTGGAGCTGTTATAGTCTTGTCGTCATGATTTCGCCCATGGCGTAATGGAAGTGATAGGGAAAATTACCCGATTAGACACCACGATAGGCCCTACCATGCAAAGTTGCGGGTACGCGTTCAAATCGATACAGAGACACGTGTAATGAGCGAATTGTAAGTGACTTGTGCATAAACAGGTTCGTCCGCGCTCCGGATAGACAGCCGGTATTACGGCGTGGAGGCTGTGGAAACATCGAAGCACAGGCCACGGATCCAAGTTAATTGTCCCGGTTGAGGACAAGCTCTTCCGTCCTGTCAACGAAGCCGGGAGGGATTTTCGTACCCCTGTACGGTGGACCGGAGGATATTTAGGGGACGAAGAGGAGCCGGAGCTTGTTTCGGGATTGGGTTGCTGTCACTTTGGATGAGCTTTTTTTCCCCTTTTTCTTTTTCATTATTATTCCTGACGTAAGTGCGTGCTTGATGATGGGGTATCACGTTGTTTCGAGGCAGGTGGTGCCGGGAGTTGATGTCATGCATTTTCTGCTTCGTGGTGGAGCTGGGGAACTTGACGGGATCAGGGTATGTTGACGGGATGGCACTCTGACCCGTCGAGCTTCCCATTCGAGATTGTGCATGCAATGTAAACACGCACTGTAATTAGGAGTAAGAATAGACATTGGCCCAATGCCCCCGAGGCCCGCTAGTCTGGCGATTGCTCGGTTTTCTCATTCTTATTGCCTGTGGTGGCCCGTCCATACGAACGCACATCTATCCCGGTCTATCGGGGGCCGGTTCGAGCTGGTTGCTGCTCCATTCTTAGATTACGGGCCGGGGCTTACAAGGGGAGAGGGCCACTATCAGGGAACGAGCAGGGGAGAAGCGACAAGCAAGTCATCAAAAACCTCGGGATGAACCCGTTCCCAGTGTGCAGTACGGGGTCGTGTCCGTATTCCGAATTCCGAACTACACACGGCAGTGCGTGTCAACAGCCAACAGGTGATGTATGCAGTTCGACGGCGACAGAAACAGTTCTGTCACGAAACCGTCATCCCGCAGCGCATCATGGCTCACCATCGCCCCACGAGTGTGCCAGGTCTCGTGCTCCTTATCAGCAGTTTCCAATAGCTTGGATGCGTCGCCCGCCTGTAGCCGCGCCGTCAGCAGTCGCGCATTGGACTATTGGGAGGAGGGGAGGGCCAAGCTTTCTTGGCCGGTTGTCGATGCGACGTTGGCTGCGTTGGCCTTATCCATTGGCACTGGATTCAGTGTCAGAGCTGGTGCCAGTATGGGTGCCGATGTCGTGCTGATAGTCGATATCGGCAGAGTCGTTGGAGGAAGCAGCAACAAACGGGAATATTCTGGTGGGCATTTGCAGCATTCCCACCACCCACCCCACCGCCAATGCCCGCAGGACGATCGCTGCATCACCGGCTGCATGTAACTGGGTTGTTAGATAGCGCCGCAACACACTCACGGCACCTACAGCCCTCCCAGCGCTCACCGGCTGCACTTCCCTAATCGCTGGCCACGGTAGCGGCTGCACGTGGTGCCTAGAAGCCCTGTCAAAGTGCCAGCTGGCTGCTGTGGCCGCTGTGGCCCTGAGGCCCGGGTGCAGTGCGTGCAGTGCAGCGACCCAGAGCGTGCGTTAGGCGGGTTAGGTTGCGTTGCGTGTGTCCACTGCACCCCCAAGGACCCAAAAGGGCCCCCTCGTTCTCCATTCCGGCGCGGTCACGGGGCTGGCCTGCTTGCATCGTCGCGGGCACTCACCCAACCGCCACTGCACGCACTGCACGCACCCTGGCCGCCACAAAGTCGGTAACACACTGCGCTGCACCATGTCTGAGCCCCAAGGTTCCAACGCCCGTCTCGATCTTTGGGTCTGGATGGAGTCCTGCGTCTGCACGCTGCAGTCTGGCGATGCTTCCCGGCAGTCAAGAGGCATTGGCCGACCCGACGGCCTCCTCCGACCCGTCCTAACGGCCGACGAGAGGGGTTGACGTTGAGGATGAGATTTCCCTTCCCCTCGCGCAAGCGCCTACGACACTACTATCGTCACCATGAACTCGACAAACTCGACCGCCACACATCGAAAACAGTAAGGCTGGCACTGCATCCCCTCAGGGACGCAAAGAATGGATCGGATTTTCAGACGGCCGAGGGGGGGACGGATCCAGGACCCATCCAACACCATCCTCTCCCAAGATTAGAAGCTGGAGAATGATAGCGCTAAGAAGCCCGCCCAACTGTTCCTGGTTAAACCTCGTATCCCCCAGCGGCAAATCACTCCCCTGGTAGAGGCAGTAGGGCGGCGCAACAACCAACCAGACACGCGAAAATGCGCCAGATGTGAGAGGCAGTTTTCTCTCAAAGATTGCGGGTAAGACGAACGGAGAGGCAATCACGACTTCCTCATGGCTCCAGCCTATTGCGTGCTGAATGAGGCACACGGCGCTATTATTACCATTGTGCCCAACGCGCACCGGCCACTTCCATATCCGCAGCCATCCACAATCCATACCCTGGACGAGGCCCAAGAGAGGCACAGAGGGGCGAGAATGGGACGCATCGGGATGGTTCAGTAGTCGGCCCCCCCAAGAGATAGAGATACCTGCACGTCGACAGAACGATAGGCTGCACACCAAGTACCGCGCTAAGGTGAAGAGGAGAAGGGAAAAAATAAAAGCGTACATCGTTGCATTGAAAAGGTGCACTAGCTTGTGCCAGAGCATCGGGGTGTTCCATCGCTTGTGCCCCCCCTCTGCGCTTTGCCATCTGCCACAGCGCCACACACACCACACACACCACCACATCGTCTCGAGTCCACGCCCCCCTTTCCACGGCCCTGCCCTTCGAGGCAGAGAGGCAAATCACTGGTGCTACAGCTACGGTGCTGTGGGCGTGGGCCGCGGGGGGTGCCGTGGTGCCAAAAACGCCCCCGGCCATCCCCCTCAATCGCTATCGTGTGCCCGTGCTGACTCGCTGTTGGACCTTCATTTCCCTGGCCTGGTCTTGCACCTTGCACCTAGAACCTTGCGTGGCATGCCCGATGCCATGTCCATCTAAACTACTGCTCCTACTGCCGCACCTTTCTCGCAGACACACATATAATCAATTGCTGACCCCTCCCCTTCCTCTGCTCTCCTCCCAACTGCTGAACCGCTGTGCATCCCGACACCCAACCCTCCACTACGCACCACCTCCAAAGCCGCCTCACTTAGCAGCCGCCACCCCTTGCAAATCAAGGCCTCGCCTACATTTATACACGACACGGCCCTGTTTACTCGACCCTTTGTCTGCGTCACCCATTGCTGGAGACCCAGTTCGCAGCAGCATTCCTAGGCATTCCTCACTAGCCACACACACGTTGCGCGTCCAAGCTCCCACATTGGCCCCCAGTGTTGAGCAATTCGCCTCTCGACCTTCAACACAGAAACGCCTCCACACCCACCCGGTTGCACCATCACTTAATAGTCGTCGACGTCAACAAGAAAACACCACTACAAAACTCGACAGTTTCCCACGCACCCACGATATTGTCGACCTTGCCTGCGTACCGTTTCATCCTCGATTTTGTGATTGTTTCCGATGGTCTCGTCATTGGACGTGAGACCCCACTTCTTCGTCAGGCAAAGCCGACCTACACCTACGCCGTCAACGATATCGAGCAGCACAACTATCACCGCCACACCCTCCACTTCATATAATACCAAGATGACCGCCGCACATAACTACGGCTTCGCCATGGAGAAGTATATGCTTCTCCAGGAGCAGCACCAGGAGCTCTGCAACCACCTCGACCAGATCCGCCCTCAGCACGGCAGCCGCACCCGCTCCTCAACTCCCTCCTCCTCACCCACCCGATCCTCCTCCTCCTCCATCTCCTCTGTCCCGTCTTCACCGAAGCGCCACTCCCGAAGCAGCGAGCGACGACACCGATCGCACGCCCGTTGCAGTGGCTGGGACGACGCCCACCGGGGCAACGAGCTGAGCACCATTGTCGATGAGGAGACCCTCTGCGAGATCTCCGCCGAGGAGCAGCGCCTGTCCGATGTCAACGAGAGCATCAAGCGAGCTTTGACCGAGCTCCTCAACTGCAGCACCGTCCGCAGCGACCGCTCGTTCCGTCTCTGGGTGCAAACGCGCCTCATGGAGACTGAGAAGGAGCTTCGGTCAGGACGCCGGAGACGAAGCACTGAGTGAGCGCTCTGTTGATGCGATGAGCTGCCACATCCGATGTAGACAACATCGGAGTTGCTTCATCGCCATCGCGCTACAACATAATTCTTTTAATTCTAATACTCTCTTGCATCTTCGGCATCGGCAATGGCGTTTGGACAACGGAATCCCTACTGGACAAAGACTACCTCCAGGGGGTTGGGACGGGAATTGACGGGAAAAGCGTTGGGCTCTCTGGCTACGAGACGATCAATTTTTTTTGTTTTGGGTTTTACATCTTCCAGACGGACAGAACGGGACGTCGCCTTGCATGGCCTGGACATGGCATAGCATTGGCATTGGCATGGGTATGGCGCGGGCACTTTAACCTTCATTTAACATTCTTGAACCGCGCTGGACACGAAGCTCTGGAGATCCAGAGTCTATCGTATTACATCATTAGCATAGCTTCGGGCACTCTGAACATTGCCTTTCTTTGGTAGCAATACCGGCTTCGGCCAAACCAACCTCATGAATGGACATTGTCTCCCACTCAAGCTGTCATGGATCAACCTCAATCAATGTGAATCACTTCAGGAACCACTCTCTCCACTGTCCAACCCGTTGATGAAACAGTCCCATCCACCGTTTAACACGCGTGTCCATCAAACCCGCAATCTTGCAGATAATCGTCCGGGTCTGATTGGGGAAATGAGGATCATTTCGCAACTCGGTGATCCATGTTCAAAGCTCCCCAGAGCGCCGACCCCCAAACCCTCAAGGGGCTGGGGTCCACAACCGGCCAGAACCCAAGCCCTGCCAAGAAGGGGCTTGGCGCTGGCCGGATCTTTGGGGCTGAACTCACTGATATGCGATTTGGGTCTGCTCCAGTGGGAAGCATAAAGTCCTGATCCAAAATAATGTACTGTATCGCTGGCTATTTGATATAGCTAGAACACTAAGTCTCTATTTTATTATTTTACATATATGAAGTCTTTTTATGAACTTCAGGGTCTAGCTTAAAGATCTTTTTACTGACCCCAACTCTATTCCTTCAGATAAGATGGCAAAATATTATATCCTCGTGCACATTAGCGATGTATGACCCGGTGCAATGCGTTGGATCAGGACCTTATGCATCCCACTGTATGTGATGTATATTCCAACCGTGGACTAACGATGGCGGTGTAGAGAGCTAAACTATGACTTGGTGGAGGCGATATTCTGCAGCTCACTGCCGTCTTAGCCATTGAGTTCGCCGCCTCTGATGGAAAGTGGACGGCCAAGCCACAGGATTCGTCGCAATGGCAGGAGTCACGTGAAGATTAATACGGAATACGACTCTTATCGGATGTGAGCACGCGCCACAGGCTGAGCCACAGGCATCCAAGCTCATGCACTGGTGTGGCGCATTGACTGGATTATCGTCACTTTTGCAGCTTGGTACGCGCAAGGTTACCTAGACTACACTTCACGAGGTTCGACGCGCCTTTGCTTCAACACAAATCCACAAGCCTTCCCGATTCATCGTATGGTGTCGCGACACCTTCAGAGACATACCTAAACCGTCTCCACTACTGGCGAGCGACAATGTCTGTGCTGTTGGAGACTACCGTTGGCGACATTGTCATCGACCTCTTGGTTGATCACGCCCCAAAGCTTTGCGAAAAGTAGGTCTCACCACGATCCCGCTGCTACTCTTCTAATTTCTGAACTGACAGATGATGTAGCTTCCTGAAGCTCTGCAAAGTCAAGTACTACAACTTCTCACCCGTCCACTCTGTCCAGAAGAACTTCTCCTTCCAGACAGGCGATCCCCTCGGTCCGCTCGCCAAAGACTCCGATGGCGGTTCCTCGATTTGGGGCCATGTGTCCGGCGATCCGGCTCAGCGCACATTCCCTGCTTTCCTCCACCCGAAGCTGAAGCACGTCGAAAGAGGCACAGTCAGCATGGCGACGGTTCCGCTCCCGTCGGACCCAGATACGAGGATGGCCGGATCACAGTTCATCATCACATTGGGTGAGGAGACTGATTTCCTGGATGGCAAGGCAGCTATTTTTGGAAAGGTCGTAGAGGGATTTGATGCTTTGGAAAAGGTCAACGAGGCGATTGTGGACGACAAGGGCTACCCGCTCATCGACATTCGGATCAAGCACACCGTGATCCTGGACGACCCCTACCCCGATCCGCCAGCCTTGCGAGAACCCAGCTCCAGCCCCCCTCCTACCGACCAACAGCTCAAGACTGTCCGAATTGCGGACGAAGCGGCGTTGCACGCAGATGATGGTGTGGATGAAGCAGAGCTGGAGAGAAGGCGACGAGATCGGGAGGCCAAGGCGCAGGCTCTCACCTTGGAAATGATGGGTGATTTGCCCTTTGCCGAGGTCAAGCCGCCGGAGAATGTTCTCTTCGTGTGCAAACTGAATCCCGTAACTGGTGATGAGGATCTGGAGCTCATCTTCGGCCGGTTCGGCAAGATCCTGAGCTGCGAGGTCATTCGAGACCAGAAGACTGGCGACAGTCTACAATACGCATTCATCGAGTACGATGACAAGGCATCTTGCGAGGCGGCATACTTCAAGATGCAGGGGGTTCTCATCGACGACCGGCGTATCCACGTTGACTTTTCACAAAGTGTTAGCAAGCTGAGCGACGTCTGGAGGAAGGACTCCAACAACAAGCGCCGAACAAATGCCAACCGTGGCGGCTGGGGTGGTATCAGGGATTTGGAGAAGCGACGACAGTACCGAGACGAGGGCGAGCGGAACACCGAGCATGACTATCGCATGGTCCATGGCGCCGAGGACATGAAGGGTCGCGTTGAGCGCAACGCCGGCGACCGGCAGAGAGATGGGCCCCCGAACCCACCACAGCCCCGAGATGCGGAGCGCGCCAGGGGACAGCCGGACCGGAGCCGGAGCCCAAGACGTAGAGACGGTGACGGGTATCGGAAGCCGAGAGATGATAATCGAGGGGATAGAAGGGACTGGGATCGTCGGGACCGAGACCGCGGTGGCGACCGTAGGGAACGCGGCAATGATCGTAGGGAACGCGGTGGCGACCGTGACAGGGGCTGGAATAGGGATGGGGACCGGCGTGGTCGAGGCGACTACGGGCGAGGACCTAGGAGGTGAAGGGGAGACACAACCAAGGACAAAAGGAGGGCAGACAATAACCAAGCCAGCAACGGCGTATCACGGATTTAATGACAGACGAGCACTTGCGACGTTTCCACCCTTCTTTCCCGCATTTCGAACGGCGTCTGCAAACTTCCATCAGCATGGGAAGAAGATGAACTTGAAAGGATTAAGCTGCCACAACAAGATCCCACCTACCAACCACGCTTCTACCACACGGAACATGACTTGAGGCATGCCTAAGATCCTCGGCGATCTGGAAAGCCAACTCGGAGTTTCCAAGTTGTCGCTAGCCTCCCAATTTTGGGCCCCTGACTCTGCTATCCATGAGAGCCTACCCTCTACTCTGAGACCCCCCTCTATCACATTGACAAGAACTCCGTGCCTACCCAGCCTCCAAGCTCCAGAGCCCCAAGCACGTCCCTTCGCTTCTGCCTGGCAGACAATGTTGCGCGTTCTGGGACCTCCATTGCGTTGTCATCTCGGTGTACCTTCCCGTCGCCGAATGTACCTCGCCGCCACTCGTTTACCAGAAACTTCTGATCCGCTCTCTGCAGCCCTTGAATGCTCCAAGCACACCCTTTTGATTCTATCATGTGGACCCGGTCCGTGGCATTCCTTCTGACTAGAACGGGAACTGTGATGCTGCTCTGGACAGGGCTCCACTCTCGAACTTGCGAGCTCCGAAGCACGACAAGTATGTCCTCAACTTGGCGCCGAGAGTCCCTGGGTTATGGTGCGATGTGCAGAGCTCGGACTCTTGGAGTCATTCGTATTAGCTCCTAGCCATGTTGCGTATCATGAGGATGGATACTGTGAGTCTGTACCACACGACTACTTCGTTAGCACGTTTCTCCTTGAAGCGATGTTGCGGTGAGAGCATGCGGTATGTTCAGGGCGTTTGGCTGATGTGGAGAGAAGAGTCAAGGATATGCAAACGGATAGTGCAGACAATGTCGTCTTATGGAGAAGATGGTTGGCGCAGACTGCCGACACTGGTCGACGGGGAAGACAGATCCCTGGCCGGTCTTGCGTAACCTCAACTACCTCTTTGGACAGGATCTAGCTTCTTGTACAACCACATCTCTGCTAATCCGTCACCGAAGTACGGCTACCGACAGCACCCAGCGCATCTCCCTGAGCTTTAGGATGTCGTCACACATGACGAGTCTGTTTTGGGTGCTCAGCAGCTCAGGCCCAGGCCCCTCCACCTCGCCAACGAAGGACCAGCCATTGTGAGCCCCGATGCCGCCACATGTCTCTTGGCCCAGGGCACGGTAGTCCAGGGCAGGCCCCGCGTGCCGAGGGATCAAGGTCGAACAAGCACGGTTACGGCATATGCTTGCTATCTGGATCGCCCACTCTTCCTCGGCTATGGTTGCTCTATGTTGAACGCCGCAACGGACACGGCTCTACACTAGTCGAAAGGATGCAAGACATGCCGGGCGTGAGACCGCCACGCTCCACCGTGCTGGAGGGTTGATAGATGCGTTCTTCGTATTGTGTCGTTGAGCGCAAGCGACCTTGAGAGCCACCGAACCGTGCGTCTGAGATCGGCGCAGACTTGACCCCATGTCCCAGGTTAAGCTACAGCAGGCTTTGGGATACAGGGAAGATTTAATACACTGGTCTAAACTAGTCACTGGGTTCGGTATGCTATTGCTGGGTGGCGACAATTCGCTGTGCCTCTCCCCATGTCAACCAACAAGAGCGACGGCATTGAGAGCATGGTGTCCGACTGACAATAGTCGCCACCACGGGGCATTGCATCATCATGCTTTCAGGTGATACCCGAATCAAGGGGTCCATGGCGGCCATCCTCTCCACCAAGCGGAGCGGGCTTAGGTGTGCCATCTGGCCAGAGTCGAGATTGACGCCGCCTCTCGTAGCACCGAGGAGGGACCACCTCGGGCGTCAAACTCACCAGGCGAGATTTATCGAGATGTGCGACCTTGACTTAACCCTCTGAGTCGTTTGGCGGGGCAGTCGAGGCGTGGACTGCTGACTTTGGATGCAGGCCGAGCCCTTCGGGAGGCGACATCTTGCCAAGCCAAGTCCACGAGGCCTCGTGGGATCGGCCACCGACAGAAGGGTCAAAACGCGGAGTCCTAGATCTGGTCTAGGATGGAAAGGATGCCCGCAGCTGGTCACCAAGCCCCTTCAGGAGCCCTCATCTCGGAGGTCTGGACCATCCCAGCAGGCCAGCCAAACGTTCTGGTACAAACATCTCACGCAGTTGCGCCTCTGGACAAGGCGAGCCAATCGTCTGTACGACAGTGGTGCACACTCGTTAGCCCGCAGCGTCGCCGTTACACCCTTTAATGACAAGGCAGTCAGCAGCATCTTCCACGGGAAGCTACCGTGCTAAAATTTTCCGCGCTGGGATCTGCGCCGGGGGGGGGGAGGGGGGTTGCAATGTTACTCGGACCCTCTTCCTGTCTTGTTGCCGCCGATGCGGGCGTGGCAGAGGCGAGACTATTCTGGACTTGGGCAAGTCGATGCTGTTGCCATACACTCGGGAAGCTAGTTTCGCTCGATACGAGCTCGTGGTTTCTGGTTGACGAATGCGAGAAGCGTTTCTCTTTCCCTAGAAGGGATAGCCACGGGACGATGCTTGAGTTGAAACGTTGCCTGCCGAAAGTAGCGGTCGATTAGGAGGCTGCAGTTTGCTTGTTGTCTCTCGTCTGAGGCTGCTGATATTCGAGTTCTCCATAGACTAGCGGCGTTTAGTTGATTGCAATGTCTCTACCCGAAGACTATGTCATATGTCCCGATTGAGGACTGGCGAAGTCTCTCAGCATGCTCTAGAAACCCTGGAGATTGAAGCAACGTTGCAAGAGACACAAAGCGAAGCTCATTTGGATGTCACGTTTTTTCCCGGACACTACTCTTCTTCAGGCAAAGTCGAGATGTCAACGTCCACAGGCCCGAGACCTTGCAGTTGACGGCATGGTCCGCAGAGCCTGGTCTTCTGTTCTGCTAGATCTCACTTTGCACTTTGCGTCTAGACCAGGCGACCAACCAGATGGCCTGCAGGACATGCTCCTTGCATGCAGCTGCCTGGGAGCAAACTCGAATGAGTCGAATTGAGCAATGCCACAATTTGCAGGGCCTCCACATTTAGAGATCTCTTGCATCGGAGCATCTGATCCTGATGACTGTGGCGTCTTGCCCCATCCCCCAGATCGGCTTCCACAAGTCCCTTTCATCTCGAGGTACAATCTATCCGAGTAGGATTCCTGTCAGAGGCGCTGGCGGGTTGGCTTGGCTTGTGCAACCATAGCCCATTTTTGCGTGAGGGTCTTGCTGGCAGCCTGCATGGCGGTTCCCCATACGGGCGGTCTGGCCATGCTATAATTACACACGCACGAGATTGACCGTTTAGCCGTGTTGATTGGGGAATCCCGGCCCTTTTTCCTGCGCGCAGCCTTACGTCGGAGGCTACATGGAATCCGAGTCCTGGGTTTGGAGGCCCAAGACGGATGTCAACCCCGCGGACACACCCATCACCGCTGTGGTGGTGCGACGAGAAAAGAAGAAACTGAGGCGGCTTCAGTAAAGATGCCAGCGCCGTCGTCCATTCCGGGCGGTTTGTGCGCCCATGCTGTCGAGCGCCAATTCAGCTGGAGCGACGTGGCCGGTCCAAGGACTCTCCGCCGCTCCGCGAGCAAACATGCAGTAGCGGCCGCATATTTCCAACGCCGTATGGACCACGCTCCAACTCGTTATTGTTTGCACAATCGAGTTTAGCGGTGTTGTCCCTGTGCTGCTGTCGAATCACCGTCTTGCTTCCAGATTATTGTCTTTCCCCCGTCGTCAGCCCGCATCTGCGAGTTGGAGCTTGGCCGCTGCTGAACGGGTAACCGCTGCGTTTGGCGTGGACTATGGCCCATGGCGCGTCATAGCTGGAACTCGGACGGCCGTTGTGGTTACGGAGACATGTATCGCTCGTGATAATGGAGCTCTGGTGCTGAGGACGTTGCGATCTAGACGACTTGGTATCCTCTGTTGTCACGCTCTGCTGCGGTTAGGGTTACACGATATGAGCTGAGATGTCAATGCTCGGGCATCTGTTGGCGAATGACCTGCGTTGCGTCACCTGGAGCGAGCCTGGTCCAGGTACTTGCAATGTATCAGAGTACGAAGTCTCTCTTTCTATCTTGTCATTGTCTCACTATCTGCTAGTTTGCTATGTGGGGCGAGGCTTCTCATCGTTTGCTTGTATTTGGGCACCGGAGAAGGTTCAATTGGCTGTCGACGTGGTGTATGTCTCAACGAGGAAGATGATGGTCGCCAATGATGATGGAATACATCCAACGCTTCACTCAGAGGGACGTGAACACGGGGTTTACCGCTGGACGTCGTTTGGGAATGGCCATCTAACAAGGGCCAGACCCATGCGGTATGCTGTGTAGGGCAAGGAAGCGGTCCCTATCCACCATGTGCCGAAAGGCCTGGCAGAGTGACTCTCGACCCGGTTTCTGGATGTTCTCCCGTGTGGCTGAGTGTCCGAAACGATAGTCGGCGTCGTTAGCCCTCTGCAATGACCTCTATCGAGAACTTGTTGCCAGTCTCAGGAAGTCTCAGACGGCCCAGGCCTGCACGTTTGGTTCGACGACGAGGACAGCCGCAATCTGATCGACGCCCGCCCAGATCGGGGCGCCATCGAGACCCCTGGCCCGTTTGTCTCGTCGTCTCTCGACAGACGGAGACGTCTCTCCAGGCAGTCCTGGTGTCGCATGGCATCACCCTAGTCGTCCTGCTGCTACCCGACCTTGGCCACCAGGTTACGCGAAGACGCCCGCCAGTCAGCGGCGGTCCCCTTTTCAGAGGGGGGTTGAGCGTTGGATGGAGTCTGGCAAGTGGCATGCTTGTGCGAGGGGACCCGTTTGTAGCCCACGAACAAGCAGCGCCCAGCATTGCAGCCTCAGTGTTGTCTCTGGTGGATGTGGATCGGACTGTGTTGGATGTAGCTGGGTACCCTCCGCCTGAAGGGGGGGAAGGGGTTGGAGGAGGCAAACAAGATACAGATCCAGATGACTCTGATGGTGGTGGGTGGGCATGCCGCGACGAGTATAAGTGAGTCGTACGGCAGCCCCCTTCTCTGGACCTTTTCCCTAGACTCTCATCGACATTTCTTGTCTGTCCTCTCCTCCCCCTTCTTTTGCTTCCAACCTGGTTGCCAATTTGCTTGATCACTCTCGGATCTTGAACTTGGGCTTTTGGCGTGTCGACATCCCTCTTCGTCGGCTTTCGAATCCCTCATATCAACTGAGTTATCCGCATTTCAGCACTCCTCCTGTAAGTATCCTCCTCCCCGTAGCTATGATTAGCACACTCCCACTAACTGCTGCGGAAACAAAGCTGGTCGAGCCGCGAACCCCTCAGTCTCCCTCGACAAGCCACTTCCCGAAACCTGTACACTCCAGCTTGACCAGTTCATCGGCTCAGGTACCATGACGATCAACGCCCCCCACAACTACTACGGCCCGGCGGACAACCGGCGATATGCCAGCCGGGCTGGAAGCTACCCACCCTCGTACCCCGAGAGACGGGTCGCTACCGGTTTCAGCGGCTGCCCAGGGGGCCCTCCTCGGGACCCTAACGAGCCCCCGATTGACGACAATATGGATGACTACTCTACTCAGCGAAAGCGAATTGCTGTTGCCGTATGTTTCGACCTCCCTTTCTTAGATGTGACTTGGTAGGCTAACTGCAAGATCAGTGTGGACGATGCCGCAAGCGTAAAATCCGTTGCAGTGGCGATAATGGCAACGGATCCCCTTGCACCAACTGCCGCAATGCTGGCTGGGAGCCATGCCAATACCTCCGAGTAAGTGATATCTGACATTGGACTCCCCAAAGCAATTCCCGTTGACTGACCTTTTTATGAGGTTGCCTCTCAGGAAGCCCAGATGAAGAACGGCAACTTCTCCTACAACATTGATGCTTCTCGCCAGTTCCAGACCATCGGTCCTGTTTCCGTCGCCCCTCTCCAGACTGGAGCTCCTCAGTATGATACCTCTGGCATCCAGACTCATGTTGCGAACGATGCTCTGGCCTTCCGCCCCGGTGGCTCGGCTACCTTTACCTACCACTCGCGACCCTTTGATCAGGCCCAGAGCTGGGCCAACGGCATGACTGTCGGCCATGGGGAGGGCGCCGGCGTCCACTTCGGCGTCTTCACTCCCCCCTACCACCAGGGCGGCCAGCAGAGCCAGCAGGACCAGGAGCTGAGCATCAACTACCGCATCGGCGCCGACCAGCCCGACTCGGGCAGCATGACTTTCCAGAACGTGCAGAGCGTGCAGAGCGTGCAGGCCATCCACCATGCGGCTGCAAACGTCCACCAGCGCGCTCTCCCCATGCGTGCCCGACGCACCGCCTTGCCTCTCTCGGGAGCCTCCCCCTACCGGAACGACTCCTGCTCTCCCGTCTGCGGCAAGTCGTCCCAGTCCTCTTCCTCGGGTGCGTCGCCCATGACCCCCGGCTCTGAGGCGTCGGCCCCCGGTTACACCAGCTACGAGACGCCTTCGCCGGGCATGCCCACCAGTGCCGCGTCGTATCCCGCCATGGCGGTGGCCGCCCAGCTCACCCGTCCCAGCGACATCTACGCTGCCACGGGCACCTCCGAGGCCCCCATGTACTCGCCCGGCTCGGCCGCGGCTGGCCCGATGCGCCAGGCCGGCTCCGGCCCTGATATGACCTACCGGTACACCGACACCACGGCGGGGACCGTATCGCCGGTTGGCCCATCCCTCCACATCAAGCTGGAGCGCCAGTCCTCCTCGGCTGATGCTGCCCTGGCGCTGAGCCACCTCCACGGACCGGCCTATGTGGGACAGAACCAAGGCCAGAACCACGGCCAGAACGCATCCTACACGATGGCGGGCGACGTCCAGGGCGCCGGCACCGCCGGCACCGAATCCGATGCAGAGGACAGCGAGTACAAGAATGTTGTGCTCCGAACCTGACGGCCCAACCACGGTGATGGCAGGGTCCCCCGATGGGGATGACCTGTGAGAGAACTGGTGCGAGACCGAAAAATCACTAATCACTGACCGTTTGCTGTTCTGAGTGTGTTTCATTGGCTACGCTTCTGTTTTGTCCTTTTCGCGGCTGCAGTTATGCATCGGGATACGGTGTCGGGAGGGTTGAGTCTTCCTCGAACACGAGGGGGGAAGCCTCTGGCTCGTCCTCGACACGACATCATCGGGCCCTGCTGCGAGCTGACGAGAATCGTGGCCATCTCCATCTCGCCCATGCAAGGGGAGAGAACCCATTGGGTCCCTGTCAGCTCGTGGCTGCAACCACCTCGCTCGACGCCTTCTGCGCCCGGTTCCGAGGGAGGGGCTCGGCACTTCAGCCGACAGCTCGGCACTTTGGCCAACGACTTACGAGCTCTTGAGGTTGAGCGAGAAGCGTTGTGGGTGTCACCGCGGCGGACCTCTCGCCCCGGGTTGCATCGCAGCGGCCGCCTCGCCTCTGGACCGCGCATCCTCGAGGCTGACTTGCAGCTCGCGCTAATCCTGTCGGTCCTTTCAACAAGTGTGCTACAGATAGTTTGCTTTTCTGCTTTGCTGCTTTGAGCTGCGAACTTTTTTGCTGCTCCACGGTGTACTCTTCTTTCAGTCTTCTGGGCGGTTGATGAGCGATTGGGATCTCGGATCACATGGGTGGGTTGTATGAGTCTCGAGACTCTGGACTACAAGGTCACTCAACTAAGAGCGAGAATCACAAGGCGTTTTGTCCACATGGAGGAATCAACAGGACTTTGGTGTTAAAATGCTGACTGGGGGACTGGAAGACTGGACCTGTGGGGGATTTCCTTGGTGCCGTGTACATTCGCTGCGACTGATTTATTCGAGATGGGTATTTGCCCAATTGAGACCGTATGGATTCTCATTCACTTTGCCCACAGTCTCTTGGTTGATAATTGAGGGGGTCCTTGAGAGCTGGGACGAAGAGGGCCTGCGCTTTAGCTACATGTTAGAGACAGCTGTAAATGAAATTCAATACCCCGAAACCATGTTTCTGGTTCTGTGCCTTGAGTTGTGAAGCCGGGAGATGCTAGTGATTTCGACAAGGTTGGGTAAGCATTAAGCCCAACCTATTTACGTCAATGGCTTATCCGAGTGATGACTGATGAAGACACTACCTCACAGCTGTAGCGCGTCATTGGGTTACACATTTTAGATGCCCAAGATCAAGATGGAGCCAGACGCCATCCAGCGCCACACCCCGGCTGGTGGTAAGTCGCACGATGGGGAAGAAGCCGGTGCGTCGAGTCTGGCAGCGGGGAAGCACGGGTAGTTGAATGTGCCGACGCCAACGCGGTGCGTGTGTACGAGGCAGGAGGCCTGGCACGGGAAGGGCTGACGGCTCATGTTTTGAAGTCTGTGGTTGTGGAGGGACAACATGCAGCATGGTGATATCGTAGGTCTTGGCTTGGTGGGGAATCACATGAACATGTGGGAGGATTCAACAGAGCAAGGGTTAAGGATGATCGAATAGTATGGTCCGGTAGTGATTGTAGCGAATAACTCGCAGGGAAGAACATGAAGTGGAGATGATGTGTCTTCATGTGTAAATGAGACGATTGTGAGGAGAGGATTGATGGCGGTGCCTCTCTTTGGTAGGTGCAGAGCATGTAAGCGTCCAATTTGCAATATTCATCCACATAACCGCCCACGTGTCTGCATAACAATCTCTCAAACCTGGTCGCGGCTGAGCTGAAAAGTACTGAAATCGAGTAATTAACCCAGGAACAGTCACATGGCATCGAAAATGATTAAATTCGGTCCTAAAGAGGAATGAGGCAGAGGACAACGACCCTCGCCGAGCCGCTGCGAACGGCGAGCGGCCCACAGCGGGGTACGGCGGGGCAGCTTGCGCCCACTGGATCCCCTGCAAGCGCTGTAACTTTGTGAAGCTCTCCGCTGTGCCTTTTCAGTGACTTTCACCTGGGCGGAGCTGCGATGGATGGCAGCTCCGCCGGGGCTTCCACCAGCGGCGCATCTCCCGGGCCGTCACCCGACGACGTCCTTCCACAGGATGCAATGTATTGGTATTAGCGGATCTTCGGCGGATCTTCAATAGGTTAGGCGCCTGTAAAATAGTGGCTGCCCCTTGTTCGCTCAGTGTTCCAGCCCTGTTGGGGAACGGGCTCAGATCCCTGTTGGTGTTAATTGAGCTTGACGCCTTCACCCATTTCAATCTCCACTCGCCCACCCACGCCGTCATCGCCGTCAGGTTTGGGAGTCGGAACGTTGAACTATTTCTCTCGCATCTTCCTCTTTGCCTTTGCGTGCAGCTTCACCTCGGTTGCTTTGCTGTCCTCTTGTGCATCCTGTTTCCTGCCCACAGCCTGGTCTTCGTCGCCTCTGCAAGTTCTAGATCGAGCGCAGACCGTTGCATACACCCCGCTTTGAAAGCTCCCACAGCTCCGCTCCAAGTCGCATTCACATCCCACTCTGACGCGGGACCGCAACACCACCACTTTTCCATACCACAACACTCACCTACAGCACCCAAGATGCAGGTCCCGTTGCTACGGCTCCAGTGCGGCGTCAACTCGTACGCCTGGGGGAAACAGGGTCTCGACTCGGCCGCTGCCCGCTTCGCTGCTGCCACGCCCGCTGAAGGCGTGACCATCGAGTCGGACAAGCCCTACGCTGAGGCAAGCTCTCCCCCGCTTCGACTCATCGCGAATGTCTTCATGTGCTAACCACCCGACTATACAGCTTTGGATGGGTACTCATCCCTCCAACCCCTCCCGCGACGTCGCCACCGGCCGTACCCTCCTCGACATCTTCTCCGACAACCAAGCCTTCCTCTCCTCCAACATCGCCGCCCGCTACGCCAACAAGCTGCCCTTCCTCTTCAAGGTCCTCTCCATCAGCAAGGCCCTTTCGATCCAGGCCCACCCCAACAAGTCCCTCGCCGAGCAGCTCCACGCCCGCGACCCCAAGAACTACCCCGATGACAACCACAAGCCCGAGATGGCCATCGCCATCACCCCCTTCCAGGGACTGTGTGGCTTCCGACCCCTCGCGGAGATTGCCCACTTCCTCGAGGCAGTACCGGCCTTGAAGAGCCTTGTAGGCGACGAAGCTGCCAAGGAGTTTGCTGCGGCCGCGGAGGACCCTGCTGAAGGAGTTACTGACTTCAAGAAGGCGGCGCTGAAGAAGGCTTTTGGTGCCCTCATGTCATCGTCCCCCGAATCCATCGCCGAGCAGACCTCGAAGCTCGTGGAGCAGGCCACCGCTGAGGGCGCTGAATTCGCCGCTGGCGGCGTTGCCTCAACCTCCGGTGAGACCCTGGCTGGGCTCGTTAAGCAGCTCCAAAGCGAATTCGGCAACGACATTGGTCTTTTCGTCCTATTCTTCCTCAACTACGTCACCCTCGAGCCTGGCGAGGCCTTGTTCCTTGTTGCTGATGACATCCACGCCTACGTCTCGGGAGATATCATGGAGTGCATGGCCTCCTCAGACAATGTCGTCCGTGCCGGCTTCACCCCCAAGTTCAAGGACGTCACCACCCTCGTCGACATGCTCACCTACAACTTCGCCCCTATCGACCAGCAGAAGATGACTCCCACCGAGTATCCCTACGTCACCTTGAACCGCAATGGTTACAGCTCTGGGTCCTCCGTTGAGCTTTACGACCCCCCAATCGACGAGTTCGCCGTCGTCCGCGCGCTTCTGCGCGGTGATGGAGCCAAGGCCACCTTTGAGTCCCTCGATGGACCTAGCATCATCATTTGCACCTCCGGCAAGGGTCGCATCTCTGTCGGTCCCACTAGCGCAGAGATGAAGGAGGGGTACGTCTACTTCGTTGGTGCTACGGCCGAGTGCGTCCTCGAGTCTGAAGGCGGCGAAGACGACGAGTTCATCACTTTCAAGGCGTTTTGCGAGATTGATGAGTCAGGAGACAAGGAGAAGCTGTAGGGAGGACATGTGACTGGGAAGCTGGCGAACAATAAAATGGGGCGTGGAGGGAAATATGGGACGCCATGAACGACTGTCGGGACACGCCAGGGAAGGGAAGTAAATTTTTTTAATCATGATAATATCATTTCAAACCAGGAGCTGTTGTTTCTCCTTGATTTGATCATGCTGCAATTGGTTTCTTGACACCGATGCAGATTTTGATGCATCTCGGCTTAGAGCATAAGCGGCACCCGCCACCACCCGAAGAGGTTTTATGTGCCGCTGTGCTCGTCTCCGTATGACGTCTGGAGGCGACCCATTTGCCAGTCTGCTCACTATCAGCTGCTTTTACAATGTCGAAACAGATCAGATGGTACAAGCGGGAATATATTTGACTCATCTAACGCAGCCTTATGGTATGGGGAATGACGTTGGAACTGTTAGTTCCGCTCCGCAACCCCGGATCACTCCGGGCGATGACCTGATCACACGGTTGGCCCCCACCACTAAGAAGACGGCCTGAGGACGCAGGCTGTGAGCGACGAACCTCTAACGACTTCACCACGCCGATATCTGACAATGGTCCGTTGACAACTTGTTCCAGACTGTTACTCTTGCCAAACACCTTCAATTGGCTTTCTGGGCCCGTCGTCCCGGGATTGATGCATTGGCCTTGGAGCCCTCTTCAACGCAACCTGTCTGAGGATGGCTTCAAAAGCCCCCAAGACCATTGCCATAATTGGCTCTGCCATCGCCGGACCAACTCTTGCCCTTCAGATTCTCTCCAATCCCATTCTCAGATCCGCCTTCCGACCTGTGCTATTCGACCAGGCCGCCGCCCCAGGCTTGGAAGGCCACAATGAGAAGAACCGCGCCGGTGCCTCAGTCGGCCTCTTCTCCAATGGCCTCTACCCGCTGTACCGTCTAGGTCTCGAAGACATTGTCAAGAAACGCGGCTACGAGTGTGGTCAGATGTCTACCTGGAGTTGCGACTACGAGGGGGGCAGCAAGAGGCTCAATACGCAGGCGAATGTCATGTGGAGTCATGAGCTTCAGATCGGGGTCATGTACTTTGAGCGGCGGGCTTTGCAATCCCTCCTAGTCGAGAAGGTCAAGGAATTTGGCGGTCATGTTTTTTGGGCCAAGAAGACAACGGGCTTCGACGCCCTCACCAACGGCCAGACGAGGGTCCATTTCGCTGACGGGTCGGACATGGTAGTTGATCTGCTCGTTGGCGCCGACGGCGGATTCTCGTCGGTTCGTAGGTTCATCTTGGACCAGCGAAACAGCGCCACGGCGGCGGGCAGGTGGTTGCCCGACTTTATGGGCTTGACGGGATTCTACGGCGTTTCAACCGGTATCAAGGCGGAGGGCGCTTCGGCTCTGTTTAGTGACACGCAGCTCCTCTGGCTGCAACGAGGGTTCCTGGCTTCTGGACCCTGCCCCGACGGCAAAATACGGTGGGACCTGGTCCTACAAGAAAAGAAACCTCCAATGTCGAATTCTCCTCTTGAGTCGACACCGGAATCAACCACTGGTGCTGAACGTTGGCAATCGGCCATCATCCCGAGCCAATATCCCTATCACTCCACCGTCGAGATTCTGCGCAAGCATGAAAACATTTTCCACCCCTACAGCGGCACGTTGGGGAAGCTGTTCGGCTCCGCAGATCGCATCATCCGCACACCATTACGACAACGTGTTTGGAAGCAAGATGAGATTCAATGTGGAAATGCCGTCCTGATCGGTGATGCCGCCAGACTGATGATGCCGACCAGCGGCCAAGGCACCGGGTTCGCCATCGAGGACGCAACAGTGCTCGCCCGGGAACTACTCAAGCACGCGTCGTCCCCCAAGGACAACAGCCTCCGGCAGGCACTCGAGACGTATGCACAGGCCCGAGAACCCCGATCGAAGAAGATGGCTCGCGCGGCGAGTGTTGCAGCATCTATGAGCACGAGCTCGGGATTGTTCTGGAGGGGGCTCCGGTATGTCAGCTCAAGGCTGCAACCGGACCGGCTGGAGGACAAGTAAGAAGATCAAAGAGAGACTTGGTTATGAGCGAGACTAATCATGGACTAGAAAACCAACGAAGAAAGATTCATGGCCATTTAACGAGCGTCTTGACGTTGATGACTCGTCCAAGTAGGCATGGATTGGACTCTGGCGACGGGATATTCGTATAGATTTAGAAACACGGCGACCAAATCGGAGTCATTGGAGTTTGTATTTTGAATATACATCAAATCTCATACGGCACAACATATGCCGTTCGTTTTAGGTTCAACAGCAGAGATGCTCAAGTCCAGAGGCAAACGCCTCCTTGCTCTTTGACCTTGTACAGTGCAGAAGCAGTGCCTATGCTCAATTCGCACGGTGATGGTGGGGCAGTCAACGTGGGAGAGGTACTTTCCCAAAATGGTGACGCCACTCCGCTTCACCGCCTGATTCTGCCTCTTCAACCCACCCGTCATCGCCATCGTCACTTGTCTCATCCTCCCACTTGCACTCTCAAGGTTGTAAATTTATGACATGATACCCGCCCTTAAACCTTCCGTGGAGCGCATAAGATGGGTCGATGCCTAATATACTAATTCTCTCCCCTTCCCTCTTCCGCTGCTCTAGCTCCGTCTGCAAACCCACCCTCCTCCGCTTCTTCCCCTCCCTTCCCCATCCGGCCTCGGCGCCCGACTCCGTTACCTTCTGCCAATAAGGTATGTGCATTCCGTCCATGTTTTACGCGTGCGTTGTGCAAGGCTCTGGCTCTTTTGACGGCTGTTTTATTTCCTTCATCCTGGGTTGATTCTTATTGCGATATCGTGTTTAGGCGGGTGGTATCGGGGCGGTATGGCTAACGGGAAGAAGCCCTCGCGGGACGAACTCAAGAGCCTCCAGGAGGACCTGGGGCCATATTACCAGCAGCCCTTACTCCCGCGAAGACGCGACCCCCCTTCTAGGGAAGCGACGATTCAGGAGATCCGACGTCACCAGTCTAACACCCCGGAATCCAAGCGCGGCACCAAGCGGGACACGTCCAGTAGAGACTCGACGCCAAACCGATCGAGTACGCCGAGATCGAAAAGCCGCGGACAGACTGTAGGCCAAGAGGTTTCAACACCCAAGTGGTCACCAAGGAGCGAACCGTCGAGGCAACACACACCAAAGACGGACTCGGCCAAGCGGGAGCCACCGCCTCGCGACATGTCACAACGAAATCGAAGTGGACGAGGGTCCAACCGGAACAATGGCAACTCCCACGGCGAGGAAGTGCAAATTTGGGAGCTCTGCAAGGGCCAAGTCTCGGATATTGTAAGCGGCATCAACACCGAAAACGACAGCCTTACGGAGCTTGTGAACATGGACAAGCAGGTCGGCACGATGGACCTCGAGAAGATCCCCGGGGACTCCCTTCAGCAAATGGAACAACTGTGCCGCACAGGAGTGAAGCATTCCGAGGCGAACATGGTGGCTCTCAAATCTTTGTCGGACCAGCTCAAAGTCTTGCGCGCAGTTGTGGTTGCCAAGGAACAGTCGGAGGCCCAGGCGGCCGGGCCAGGGAAGAGGCAGGCTAGAGACAGTGCTGCCACAGCGTCGTCACTCTACGACTTTGACGGCGCTGGAGATTCACCGGTACCTAGCCCTATGGGGGGTTCGTCACGAAAATATGGTGACCGATCCAGCAACCGAGACAGAGACAGCATGCCGCCCAAGGCCGACAGCGTTGAGCCACAAGGGTCATCGGGGAGCGGTGCGGGGTCTAATGCTGGGGCTAGCAACAAATCCAAGGTGCTCTTCTCCAAGGGCGACTCGGTTGCGTTCAAGCCTCGGCAAGTCAACGGAGACCAGACGACGGACTGGATACTTGGTGAGGTAGCGCAGGTACTAGGCGAAGGGAAGAGCCGAAGGTACAAGGTGCTGGATATTGAACCGGACGACCAGAGCAAGCAAAAGGAGTACCGGTCGAGCGCCAGCAGCATGATTTCGATCACGGCGGAGAGCCAGGCAAGCACTCTCAAGGATTGGGAACACGGCAAGGTGGTATTGGCTCTGTACCCCAACACGACGACGTTTTACAAGGCCGAGGTGCACAACATGGCGGACAATGGCAAGGTGAATCTCAAGTTTGAGGGGGAGAATGACTCGTCGACGCTGCAGCAGGTGGAGCGGCGGTTTGTGATCGAGTATCGGGCCTGACACGGCGTGCCAAGACTGCGGGTTTCCGAACCTACGGGGCTCTGATAAATACAGCGAGCTCGGAGTTTTGGGCAGAGACACAGCTGGGAGCGTTTATCGCTCGTTGACCAGCAGCCATGACGACATGAGATGATGAGGATTTTGATTACCGGCGGGGCAACTAGTAAGTTTGCTCGCTCGGACGATGGACTCCTAGTCGAGCGGAAGTTTCGCTCGGCGCGGCTAGGAGTTGTTTGGTGTTGATACCCGGCCGAGGTTGGCGGCCTAGGGAAGACCCGGAGTCCGGCTGGTGGACTCTTTGTAGGCACGTGGACCAGATGTGAGAGGATCACGAGGTTGCCTAGTACGATACAGACCAACATGAGGAAAGTAGGAAGCACTGTCAAATACAGGGGGTGGCATACTCCGACATGGATTGGTTACAAGGGGCAGACTTGAGGCTCTGCGAGAGGCAAACAAATCTGGCCTATGGAAGAAGAGCGATGAATTACGTAGTGAGGGCAAAACACCCTTGACGAGGATGACGATGGCGGTTCCTAATAGATGCCATATACCCTCGCATGGCAATGGCAATGTCAATGACAATGACATGTGACGTGTGTCTCATCTCCCCCCTTTACACGGATACTCCCGCATGTCAATTGTGATGGGGAGCTGGGTTGGTGAAGTTGGTCGCAGTAGTACGGATAGGGACGGAGGAACGACAGCGACGGTGTTGGGCAGGGGTAAGGCGCTGCGGGAGTGAGCGACTGAGCAAGCGTGATTTGATTATTTGGTGATTTGGTGACCCAAGGCGGCCGTTTGACGATGCCAGGGATACAAGGTAGGTACAAGATGGCCGTAATGAGGGCATCATCTCGGAGAGTGCACACATGCTAATAAATAGGTATATTTCCTACCTTGAGCTAATGTCAATATCTGGTAGCGGCGTGTGTGGCTGTATTTACAACCGTGACGGTGTGACTTGGTGCCTGGACCCAGAGAGTAGCGTGCCGACCGAAGGGACTTGCAGCTGCGGCGACATGTCACCGGCGGCGCAAGTACCCAACGGCGGCCCTACAGGGGGGGAGGCTATAGCGCTGGACGTACTATAGCGGATAGCGGACAGTGGCCTCAGGGCGCCCTTGAGAATTGCTTCCATCCAGTGGACCGCTGTGGGGGGGGATTTACCACGGCGGAGTTAGGGGTTTGGTTTTCCCCTGCAGCAGGCGGGCTCAGGGCACTCTCCGCAGCGCAGTTTGCTACGTAGTGGACCGCAGTTAGAAGGGCCGGACTTCTGCAGGCAGCGAGGCGGCCGTTGCCCCGTGTAGGCGCTAGGCCGGAAGGGGGTTGGGGTCAGGACCCAGGCCAGGGGGGGACGGCCAGGGACAGCCAAGCGACGTGGGCGGACCCTCACTCAATCTTTCCCTTTTTCCCCTGACGGGGGCAAGAGCAACGGAGCAACGGGGCAACAGGATTATTATTCCAGTATTACCGAGTACAGAGTACGGACAGACATTGCACAAGGGACTCAAGGAATCGACTACAGAGCAAGCACCTTCAACAATCAACCATCCATCCATCTCCTCTGCTTCTACCCCCCGGCCGACGTCCGACCGAACCAGCGAGAGACGCCGCCTCGTGTAATTGCAGTCGGCGCGTCATTCCACCATCTCCATATCCCCATAACGGTTGCTCCCCTCCCCATATCTCCATTCTCGCACACGCTCTCCGCGGAAACGAGGTGAGTTTCAAGCCCCCCTCCCCTCGACACGCGACAGCGACCGAGTCCCCTCTTTGCCAGAGTGCCAGAGTGCCAGAGACAAACCAGACGCAGCCGACCCTCAATTGACTAGACTGTGGCGCCCGAGCTGACTCGTTGGCCCTGAGATAGACTGCCAGACAGACAACTTGAAACGAAACACCGTCCGTCGGCCCATCACACCACACAAACACACAGACTCCCAAAACAAGACACGCCTCCTCCAACCGACAACCATACCGAGCCCGTCGCCATCCTTCTCTGCCGTCCCCACGACAATCCCTCCAACTCTCTCGCCTCGACGCTCTCCCCCCCCCGCGCCGTCCCATCCTCCCCGACGACACACACAACCCGACGCCGCAACCATGGGCGGTCAGCTCTCCAAGATGATGGGCAAGATCTTCGGATCGAAGGAAATGCGCCTGCTCATGCTCGGCCTCGACGCCGCCGGCAAGACCACCATTCTCTACAAGCTCAAGCTCGGCCAGGACGTCACCACCATCCCCACCGTGGGCTTCAACGTCGAGACCGTCACCTACAAGAACGTCAAGTTCAACGTCTGGGATGTCGGTGGCCAGGACAAGATCCGTCCTCTCTGGAGGCATTACTTTAGCGGTACGTCCGAGTCGAGCACTTGCTCTGCACTCTGCACCACAACGGGCAATTTTGTTCCCTCTGTAATTCATCCGCTAACTCCCCCATAGGCACCCAAGGTTTGATCTTCGTCATTGACTCCTGCGACCGAAACCGCATAGAAGAAGCCCGACAAGAACTCCACCGCATCATCAACGACCGCGAAATGAAGGACAGTCTCTTGCTCGTCTTCGCCAACAAGCAGGATCTCAAGGAGGGTATGCGCTTCCCCCTTTCTACGCCGTCCCACCCGTCATGACCCGTCGCTAACTCTTCCTCTCTCCCTAGCCATGAACCCTCAAGAAGTCACCGAGGCCCTCCAGCTCTCCAAGCTCAAGGACAAGGTCTGGTACGTCGTGCCCAGTTGCGCCACCACCGGTGAGGGTCTCCTCGAGGGTCTGGCGTGGTTGTCAAACAACGTCAAGGCTCCTCCCGCTCCCGCCAAGAAGTAACGGCCCGCTGCGCTTCTTCATTTCCTCCCGATCCCGACCCTTTTCGATATTCATCACGCGACGACACAACTCCTTCCAGCGCATAGCGAGGCTTCTTCTCCAGATATCCCCAACCTAGTTAGACCCTGGATACCCTTCCGACCCATACTCTTTCTCGACATTCGCTCCCCGACACCTACCAATCCGCCTCTTCCCCGAAATGCCAGTCTCAGCACGCGCCGAAACGACCATGGCGCAAGCCTTTTCTGCAATCTGGCCATGATGCCTTCATACGTTTCACGGGTACTCCCCGTGAAAATGGATCGGGACTCAAATCACAGGGCCAGTATTCTGTGCTGCCAGCTTCAGGATACTACCTCTCCTACCCTTCCTTTACGCCGGAAAGAGTTATCCATCCATACTTTTCTTTTCCCTACCACGCCACGCCTTACGCCATAATTCTTCATCTTCTCCCACCGATGCTGCTGCTTCTATCGCTGTCGCTGCTCTGAATATGTTGAAATACCCTGTTTTATGTTTTGCTGGTTTGGACGACGAGGGGCAGATGGCCCGAGGGCATCGAGCCTGTTAGAGACGGAGAGGGGATGCAGAAGGAAGAGGGAGAGAGAGCACGGGCAGATGAGCAGGCAGACAGCGTGTGTGGAGGCGTGCGATTTGGTACCTCTTTTTCTTGTGTTGCTACTTAGTCTCGTCTTAATGAATATGTCTGCATTTTTGTTTCTTCATGACTGTTTCCATTGTGTAGTGTGGATAGCTAGATGGGTTTGTGGTATTATACAACGTCGCCACTTGTGTGGTTTTATTTGACACAGAAACAGGTAAATGCTCAGTCATACGGAAAGCAACCTGCATCTTGCTGTTGTTTGAGGAGATGATCATATCAAGGAGTCAATTACAGACATCACTAGTCCCTACCTTGACGTCTATTATGTCTCACCCAGCTCACATGTTAGTATCGCCGTCATCATTGACCATCCAACCCCGTCTGCTTCACCGCAGCGTCCGTGACCTCCTTCTCCTCCTTCGCCCGCCTCTCTGCGTCGAGACACTGGATGCATTCCTCCTTTTCGGTCCACTTGGCCTCGATGGTGTGCTCCATGGCTCGACACCACCCGCGCTCCTCGGTGAAGAGATGGCACGGGTCGATGCGCATGTCGTAGCCCAGGAAGGTGTAGCAGCCCTTGCACAGTTTGCGGAGGTCGACGTTGGTGCACATTTTTGGTAATTGGGGATTTGATAGAGGGAGGAGGGTTGGAGGTTGCTTTGGCTTGAGTGTATGGGTTCAAATAGGAGGAGAGGGCTTGGGAAATGGGTGCTTTTTATAGATGGGTTGGTATGATTCACAACTGGGCAGAAGGCTACACCTTGGTATCACCGTCGTCTTTCACCACGCAACTCCGAGCTCATCACCACAGCCTACTTCTCTACCCCATTCTCCTTCTCCTTCTCCTTCTCCTTTTCCTCCTCGGCCGCCTTCACCGCGTCCCAGCACGCAGCGCAGTTCTCCTTGTCGATCCACTTGGCCTCGATCGCATACCCCATCGTCTTACACCAGCCGCGGTTCTCGGCTGCGCGATGGCACGGGTCGACGCGGAAGTCGAAGCCCATCATGGCGTCGCACTCTCTGCATCGCTCGCGGACTTCGGTGTTGGTGCACATTGTTGTTGTTGTGGCGATTGGGGATCTGGGGCTTGGGGGTTTTGTCTCGTCTCTTGCGGGTGTGGATTCGGGATGGGAGAGGGCTTGGGAGAGGGGCGTTTTTTATAGATGGGTTGGTATGATTCACGACTGGGAAAAAGGCTGCTGGCGAGATGGACCGTGGAGTTTATATGCTACACTGTGCGGTGAATGCAGTTACGTTTGACTTTGGGTTGTCGGACTTGAGGAGGGAGACTGCCACGTTACATATGTTGGAGATCATCTCATTCACATGTGTGAGGTGGAGGGGAATCATGGACCACAATATAGGAATACAAGTCCGCCACAGCCTTTCACAGTCACTTGGGTATACGAATCAAGTAGGTGTCAGCAAGGGCAAACCACGCGTCGGCTGCGTTGTGAGATGAGCTGACTTTTCATTTCCATTAACAGATGGCTAAGTACTATGTAGCACGAGAAGGTGCAAAGTCAAAGAACCAATCTCCGGGTGCCGCAATGTGTGACCATCTTTTCATCACGGCCCCCGGATTATTTGTGTCGGTGATGAAGACGTCTGTTGGGGAATATAGCATCCCCAATTAGTCTAAATTAGTGTTGAGACTTGACAGCAGTGCTCACCGCTCCAGACGCCTCTCAACGAGACTATTAAGTTTCATTGATTTTATTCATTTACAGCTCTCCACTAGACTCGCCAACATTGCTACTCTATGCCTCGGTCTCAGTCGCATCCTTGGTCTCCACGGTCCCATTAGTCCCGCCACTCGCACCACCAGCGGCACTACTACTACCACCGCCGGACTTTGGGTCCTCACATCCATGCGGCTGGCAGGTACCGCAAAGCTCCTCCCTCACATAGTTGGTCTTGGTGTCGCTCGCGATCGTCTCACAGATAGACCCTCGCTCTTGCGCTTCATCACACGGGCGGCCGAGCTGCATGCCCTTGCTCAGGAGCTGCCTGCACGTGATGCAGTGCAGGCGGACTTCGTACACGGTGCACATGTTGACGACGATGGGTGGGCGAAACTAGGAGTACACAGGATTTCTTAGAGATTTCTGGGGAATTGCGTCCTTGGTGTTGTTGTTGATTTGTAGAGCCTTATTAGGAATGTGAGAGTTGGCGGGCTGGGGATCTGGGAGCATTTTATATTGACGAGGTTGACCTGATTCAGCGGTGGTTTCTCCTTTTCGCAAATCAGTATACACCCAGTTTCTGTATTAACAGTCAAAACTTACACAGCCAATATCTGCACTACGCCGTGCGGACACCCGCAAGCGATGACGGTTCTCTGGAGAGTCTACCACAGCGGAGGTTAGTCCGACCTCGTCAGAGATTAACACTCCGCTTATATGGCACTCCGTCTATGAATAGCAGTAGTCGAATAGTGCAACCAAAATGCTACTCGTGACGCATCTGGTGCTAACATGTGATGCCCAGTAACGGAACTCTTGGCCGACTCGTGCTGTATAAAAGCACCAATGATATACTTGGCACGATCACCTGCGCAGCATTCAATAGAAAACGACTCAAGTGTCAGTGAAAGAGTGATTTATTTCTACCCTATCCACCTAGCAATACACGAATCTGCAATTCATCCGAACATGCGCGGTCCACACTTCTCCCTAATTCTTACTTATCCCTGCAAAGCGCACACTCCTGCTTAGAAACTTCGACAACTTGGAACGTCTCTTCGGTCCGCTTGCAGCGGGGGGGTTCGCACAAGGCCTTGTTGCACCGGGTCAAGCTGCTCTCGGTGGAGATGACCCGCTTGCACTTGGCGCACTGCGACTTCTTGTAGTGGACGTGGCACATTTTGCAAGACGCGTAGATATCTGGTGGCTCAAGAGATGTTATATGAGAAACAGATTGGTAGTTGGTGGCTTTAGATGGTTAGTTAGATGTCGATGGTTGCTTGTTGAGTGGTGGTGTCTTGGAGCGGTGGGAAGCTAGAGGTTGGGAACTGACGTATATATATTGAGAAGGTTGATCCTATTCACATTTGTTGGCAGGAAGCATCCACGATCAATGCAATAGGCTTGATATGATTAACGAAGAGTCCCAACTACGGCCAATTATATAACTACCAATCCCCTCAAATCCCTAACTCTACTGCTCATTGTCATCCTCCTTGATGGTAGCCATCCTTTTCTCCTTCTCCCTCTTCTTCTCCAGCTCCTCAAAAAAGCACGAGGAACATTTACTCTTGGGAACATATTTGTTCTCCGACGTTTTCCTCGTATTCGCGCAGTTCTCGCCCGACTGCATCGCGGACTCGCACGGGTCGAGTTCCGTCTGCACGCCGGCTACGCTGCGGCACTTCTCGCATGTCTCACGCCTTTCGACGAGCTCGCACATTGTGAGCCGGTGCTGGAAGACGGGCTTGTGTGGAGAAGGCTGAGTTGGGAACGATATGAGCGAGTGACGTCGGTTGCGTGAAGCTTGTGCGGTGCTTGGGAAATAACTTTCTGCATCAAGTGCATTGGAATACGGGGACTGGGAGCCTGGAGCTTGGGTGCAGATATATATTGACGAGTTTGATGCGATTCACCTTCGCAGGCGTCAGGTGAGGCTGCACTCTGCGTACGTTAGAGATGAGCTGTTCCCAGTATTCACGTATGGTATGGAGCCAACCAACTAGGCACTGGTACGGCCCTGGCCATGACTAGTAATCAGAGATCGAGACAGTAGTCAACGGGACCTCTCCAAGTGGGTGGTTGGGTTTCACCAGAGCCAGTGTATGCTTTATAGAATAGACACACTCATATGTCGTTCTTCTAACGATTACCGTATGTATACTAGAACCTGGAGAGGGGCGCTTCTCTTAAGCTCCCTCTCAACTCTAGTGTTGGTGGATCTATACACTCTGCTAGACGCCATCGTCTGCTGATCATACATGCATACCCGCATTGTGGACGCAGGTATCAACCCGTCTCTTACGGGTCGCTTCCGCAATGTGCAAGTCACCAATGTGAAATCATGCCATGTCGTCCTTTAACGCCGTGTTATGCAGTCCTTCTGCCCTTCCTGGTTCCAAATCATGACCTGCGCCTAAACCACCCTTGGTTTCATATTACGCCATCACCTCGAGAGGCTGGCCTGGCTCCTACTCCTTGACCCGCTTCGATGGCCTTACGAGAGAGTCATCAGGGAGGCCACTTCGCTTAGTCCCTGGCAGGCTGCTCGTCCGAATGTCGTTATCGTCCTGGCTCACGCGACGATGAGGGTATTCGTTCTTCACCCCCTCGAAGCAGTTGGCACTGACACGGTCGCCTGTGCTGAAAAAAGGCGACTGCAGCGCCTGGGCAGCCGTGAGACGCTTGGTAGGATCGTACTCGAGCAGCCCAGCAAGGAGCTTGTATCCCTCTGCACCTAGAGATGACAGCGGAGCAGAGCCGTTGGAACCGGGCCCACCGGAGTGGGATATGGTACTGTAGTACCACTTCTCGAGGTTGGAGGCGCTAGGAGGTTGTTGACCACGGCCCCCATAATGGCCGTGGTGGTGACCGTGATGATTATGGTGATGGTGGGATGAGGCCATGGAATTGGCGAGGGTGTTGAGTTGGTTGTATTCGGGCATGGTGGGTAGGAGTGGCCACCGGTCTTTGGTCGGTACACCCATAATCTCGACAATCTTCTGCATCTGGTTGCGCTGGAAGGGAACCGTCTTCTTGCTGTCCATCTTAGCCTCCTCCCCCTTGAAGATAGGTCGCAAAGACAGCAGCTCGGCGAAGATGCAGCCAATGGCCCACATGTCAATGGCGGGAGTGTAGTGATAGGATCCAAGGATGAGTTCGGGAGCGCGGTACCAAATCGTCACGACCACCTTATCGCCGCTAAACAGGGAATGCAAAGGTTTGTCGAATCGCCGGGCCAGGCCGAGGTCGCCGATTTTGACTTCGCCGGACGATGTCACCATGATGTTGGCAGGCTTGAGATCGCGATGTAGGACCCAGTTGGTGTGGAGGTACTGGCAGCCATTGAGGAGCTGGAACATGATGCTCTTGACGGTGGCGGGAGGGATGGGGTGGCGTGGCTGCTGGGTGTGATGGTGGATGATTTGCAGCAAGTCGTGCTCGGCATATTCGAAGACCATGAAAATACACTTGTCCTCCAGCATGATTTCGCAAAGTCGGATGACGTTGCCATGACTTAGCTCACTGCACAGGCTCATCTCACGGATAGCGCTCTGAGAGATACCGGTATAGCTGATCTGCTCACCCTCCTTGTCGGGCTTGAACTTCTTGATGGCGAATTCACCGGGGGGTTTGCCGCCGCGACCGACGGCCTTGTAGACGCGGCCATAGGTACCGGAGCTGATGAAGCCGACGATGCGATAGCGATCGGTGATGCGGACCTTGGGCTGGTAGCTGGGATGGCGGTCATGAGACTCTATATGACGTTGTTGGTAAGCGTGAGCTGGGAAGGCAACGCCATGACGAGGACGGAGAGGCATGACCGAGGGAGTGGTCGGTTGGCCCGAGCCGAGGTCTCTCTCTCGTGGTGATTACGGGCTGTTTCTCATTTGCCACTCGGCATAGAGATGATTTGAGTCCCGGCCAGAGAGAGAACGAGGTGAAGAGGTGAAAATGAAAGGCAGTGGCCAGATTGACGGCGGCAGCGAGAGACGGACACCAAGGAAAGGCAGCAAGTGAAGGGGCCAAACGAAGCAGAAGAAGCGGGAGAGTGAGAAGCGACCAACTCGGCCTCTGGAGCAGGCGGCAATGATGCTAAGGATGAGAACGAGGATGATCAACGCCAACCCAGTGAACAGGGAATGGCCACCGGAGATCGAGTCAGGTAGGATTCAAGATCTGGAGCTCACGGAGGAACAGCGGAGCACGTCCCGACCGACCAACGACCGACGACCGGCCACTGACCACGCCACTAGTAAATAAACTAGACACCTCAGGTCGAAAAAGCACAGCCAAAACGCCAGGGCCAAGCCAGATTCAGCCAGATTCAGCCAACAGCAGCAAAACAAAGCAAGCAAAGCAGCCCCGGGAAATGGTGAGACAAGCCGCCGAGATGAAGCCCGACAGAGTGCCAACACGATTGCAGGTGCAGCAATGCAAGGCAGAGCGACGTAGGCAAGACAGCGGGATACAGCGAAACGATACCAAGGCGAACGGGGCAATGACGGGGACGAGGACGGGAACGGGGTCTTGAATAAAAGACGGTCTGGCGCGCGCAGGGAATGTATCTGGATCTGTCCGTGTACTGGGGACAGGACGGACAGGGTTCCGGGGAGATAGGACGAAGAGGGACGGAATCGTGCATGTAAGAAGCTCCGATGATCAAAGCAGCAAGCAAATGCACAACAACCAAACACCACACCACAGAGACAGACAGAGACACATACGTACCATCGAAAGCCGCCTGCACGCTGCGCTTCAGCGAAGATGGGCCCCTGACGCCTCCTCCTCCACCGCCGCTCCTCCCGGACCCAGGCGCCGAAGCCCCCGATGCCGAGGGCGGATTTGTCAAGCTCATACCTAACCGTGAGCGTGGTGGTTGATGACCCCCAGGACGCCAGCCGGCCTGGAGTAGCAGGTCCGGGGCTGACGGGTGGACACTGCTGAGTGGACTGGTGGACTCTTGGGTGGATGGATGGGGGATGGGGGATGGGGGACGGGATGGGGGTGGGAGAATGAAAGAGAGACGATCGAATGGCAGCCCAGGTGGATAAAATCAGTCGTTTGTTTCTGCTTTCCCCCGCACGCGCCAATGCAGCGCCAACAGGAAGCTCTGGAGCTGCCGCACGCGACTGCGCGACTGCGCCGGCTGAGTGCACCACCCCAGATGCAAGAGAGCCGTCCGTCACTGGCAGACTCCAAACGGGCTTGGCCAGTGGCAAAGGCCCGACAACCCGAGCGGCAAGTAAACTCTGTCGGACCGTGAAGCGGGGTGCCGGCCGGTTGTGTCCGTGTCAGTTGTCAATTTGGTTCTCAGGGTGATTCTGAATGTGGTTCCCAGGGCGATTGTCAGCGTGATTGTCAGTGTGATTCTCGATCAAGTCCGTATGTCAATGTCCAAATCTCCCGTCTCTGGATCTGGATACTGTACCGACTTCAAACCCAGACCCTGTACGTAATGAGATAGATAGCCCGTCGCCCGTTGGCAATCAACACGACAGACAAGCCCCCAAAACGACTCCAATAAACGCAATGTCGCTTGCCGGGTCAACGCTGCGACTAGGACGATCCGCCGCTCGTGGAGCCACAGACTAGCCCAGTAACCGGTAACCTTTTGCCCCCCTTCCTTTTTTCTCCCTCCCAGCCCGGGCGTGCGTCGCTCGCGTGCGGCGGCTGTGGCGAGACGGGACAGGAAGGTCCAAGGCCACCACGGGTTTGAGAAGGTCCCCGGCGAAGGGCGAGGCCACCACGGATGCGGCTTACGGGGCCTTGATGAGTGCGGAGAACGGCGTCGGAGAATGTGGAGTGGAGGTGCGCCGCTAATGTGCTCTGCTTTGCTGTGCCGGCGACGGACGATGACGCTGGGGATGCGACCGACGACCGTTGAATCTTGTTGTTTATCTCGGCTGTCGTGGCGCGGTTGTCGACTGACAGTAAAAAAGGAGGGACGGGATCGCGCCAGGAACCGCGAGAGCAGCGCGGAATTGCGTACGGCAGAGATACACGCCCAGAGCGAATTGGTGTTGTTTTGGTGACATTCCACAGTTGCGGTCGCTGGAGGCAAGATTTCATTCTGCTCCAGTGCCAGCCGCCAGCCGAACGTGGCCTGCGCCTGCCTCAACCGAGTCAACCCAGCCCATGATGCGGCATTCGAGGATGACTAAGCCAGGAGACCAGATATCAACACTGCTTAGAGGCAGTGCGAAGCACGAATGCTCACTACAACATCCAAGAGACAAAGAATTACATGTCTTGGAATTGCTTTCTCTTCCCTCTCCCACTTGAATTGCCATTCTGACTGTTGCAAATTACAGACCGACACCTGTTCAGAAGCAGGTCTAACCCGTACTGACAACGCCTCACACGCCCATCATGACATCCACAGCACACCTGTAATCGTGACCTCTTTTCTTGCTGGCTACTCGACCCTAAGCTCAAATCACAAGTCCCTCTCCTCGTCTGAAATTTCCGCAGCTTCCACCGTTTATCGCGGGCCCAGCTTCTCCAGCACCCGTGAGCCCTGCTCCTCCCACTCGGCCTTGGTCACCCACATGCTCTCCTTGTCCGCCATGATGTTGGCCAGCACCGCTCCGCCCAGGAAAACCATATGTCTTCGTCGAGGGGGGTCCTCTATCCGCACCTTGAACTTGTCCAGGCGCTCGGGGTTGCCCTGCAGCGCCCGCGTCAGCCACAGCTGCTTCAGCTCCTTCTCCAGTCGCGACGGCAGGCCCGGGTACATGCTGCTGCCACCGGACAGCACAATCGCCTTGAATAAAGACGATCGGATGTCGACGTCGGCCGACTGGATCGTGTTGAACAGGAACTCGCCCAGACCCGGCGACTCGTTGTCTACCAGATGGGGCTGGAACAGGCACTCGGGGGCCTCGAAACGCTCGCTGCCCACCCGAATCACACGTCCGTCCGGGAGCGTGTAGTCCTCCACCAGCACAGTCGTGTCCTCGCTCAGGCGCTTGTCCAGCTCCAGGTCGTACGACACGTAGCAAAGCTTCTCCTTGATCTGGCGGACTGTCTCGAAATCGGCGGTTCGGTTCAGGGCGTATCCGCGGCGGAGGAGCAGCTTAATCAGGTTGCGTGTCACATCGCGGCCAGCCACGTCTAATCGCTTGGTAAGGTGGTTGAGGACCACGGACTCGTAGACGGGGACAATATGGGTGACACCATCACCGGAGTCGACCACGACACCGGAGCTGAGACCTGTGCACATTCTACCGTTAGCCTACGTCATTCCCACCCACGACGAAGCTTTGAAGCTTCCTGCACAACTCACCCTGCGCATACAAGGCCAGGACGGCCTGGATCGCAACGTAGACGCCGCCGAATTCGTACCGGTCGAACATGACCTCGCACATCTTCTCCCGGTTCCTGAGCGGGTTCATCGGCGGCTCGGTCAGGAGAATCTTCTGGCCCTGCGGGTTGACCTTGAGCTTCTCGAAGAAGGTGTAGTCCCAGAGGTGCTCCATGTCGTCCCAGTTTTTGACGATGCCGTTCTCCATGGGGTAGCTGATCTGGAGCATGGTTCGGGCGGCGGCGGCCTCGTCACCGCACATGATGTCCTTGATGACCACATCGCTGTCCGTCTGCTCCTCAGATCGCAGGATCGGCCGGCCGACGATGGACGGGTACTGGTGCTCGGGGAAGTTCTGCGCGGCATATCCGACCTTGAGGAAGCCGGTGCCGCCGTCGAGGACTAGGTAGCGAGGAGAGGTCAGCGTCAGGGGCGGGCGGCCGGTTGGGCTCCGGGGCACGAGGGGAGCTCTGAAGCTTACCAATGGGGGGCGGGTTGGCCATAGTTGCGACAGTGCAAGGCGCAGGCCGAGAACTGTGTGCAGTGAGGTTGGGGGGGAGGCGAGGTGGTGTGGTCGTTGAGGAGCTCGGCGAGGTTGAGGTGTTCGTCAGTGGTGGGGTTGGCGTGGCCGGCCGTCAACCACCGGCCGTCGTCAGAGGTGGCTGAGGCGGAGGCGGGTCACGTGGCGCCCCGCGATGGCTTCCTGACGCCGACGCCAACGCCGACGCCGTCATTGGGATGCGATGTCGCCCCGCTCGAGCTTGGCCGACTTTGGCGGGGACCCTATCACGATTGCGGTTTGAGGGAATACTTCTTTCTCCAGCTAATACTTGAGCTTTTAACTGTTCATCCTTCATTCACATCTGTGCCCTTTTTTTCTCAATTGTCCCTCAATATGGCTGGGCCTCAGTCCCGACAGCGGAGTCTCCGCATCCTCGTCCTCAACGCCAACTCTTCCACGGCCATGACCAGCGGCGCCGTGGCTGCCGCCGAGAAGTTGGGTCTGCCCAATGTATGAGTCACGACCGGTACAGTCTGTTCCCTTTCGCCCATACTAACAGGATCAAGATCGAAATCTATTCCTACACGCCCCCTTCCTCCGCCCCCGCAAGCATCGACAACCAGGAAGACATCGACAAGAGCACACAGGTCATTCTCGACGATGCCGTTCTTGCCCAAGACCTCGAGGGAGGAAAATATGACGCCGTCCTCGTGGCCTGCTTCAGCGTCCATTCCCTCGTCGGCGAGCTCAGCAAGTACAAGCACATTGCCGTCACGGGCATCTTTGAAGCCAGCATCACCACAGTCTTGTCACTAACCCCTGCTCCCCTGAATAATGAGAAATGGGGCATCGTAACCACAGGAAAGTTCTGGGAAGACCACCTCGGGGATGGAGTAAAGGCGTTCCTCGGCCAGGACAGCACCGCTGCCAATCACAAGTTCGCGGGCGTATTTACCTCAGGATTGACCGCGGGCGACTTCCACACTGTTTCCCCCGAAGAGGTCAAGGCCAAGCTGGAAACGGCCGTAGCCCAGCTTTTTGCTTCGGGGAATGTGTCTTGCGTAGTTATGGGCTGTGCGGGGATGGCGGGCTTGGAGGATACCATCCGTGCATCCGCAATTGCCTCATATGGAAAGGATGCAGGAGAACAAGTCTACATCGTTGACGGAGTGAAAGCGGGCATACTACAGCTGGAGCAAACTGTCCGTAGTATACAGGCATTCCGATGAATAAATCAGTATTGTTCGAGTCATACCTACCACCAGCCGTCCTACCCGGATTATCGTATCAATCTGCCCGTCGTGTTCGGCCCCAAACCTCATCGGCATCTCTCTTCCCCTTGGACTCGGGCACATTCACAGACACAAACATGACCGATAACCCTGCCATGCCAGCAAAGATAAAGTACACCCACCCTCCATGACCGCCGAGGAGATTGTTCAACGCTTTGTTGATAATAGGGAAGAACTGAGCAACCAGGAAACTCGCCACGTAGTTCGCCCCGAGGCACCAACTCTGCGTGGCACCAACAGCCTCCTGGCCAACCAGCTCAGAAGCCAGGATAAAAGGAACAGGGCCGAGACCGACAGCGTAGAATCCGACAAAGAAGAGAACGGCCACGGCCGAGAGGATCTTGAAGCCAAAGACAATGGAAAGTGCCAGTGCCAGCGCACTGCTGCCCTGACCAATGACTGACATGAGCAGACAGGTCTTGCGTCCAAGTCGGTCTGGCAAGGGCGAACAGGCCACCGTTGTGACGAGGTTGACAACGGAGATGAGGATTGTGAGTAGCGCCGAAGAGACCGGGAGGAGATCGGCGAGGAGAGAGACGGAGTACATGATGATGGAGTTGATGCCACAGAACTGCTGGACAAACATGATGCCAACCACAGCGATAATGGCAGGTCGAGTGAGCGGATCCTTGACCACGTCGATGAATCCGAGGTGGGCAGGGCTCTTGGCGATGACCGGTTCAACTGGGTCGGCCATCGGGTCGGCATGGAGCAGTCCCTCCTCCTCTGAATTTCCATGCTCGACTGAGTTCCAGGTCTCGGTCTCTTCGCTGATGTCGTGCCCACTGCCCCGGATCCTCTGCAGTGTTCGTTTGGCGGCGGTCACTTCGCCATTCGCGGCCAGCCACGAGGGGCTTTCAGGCACCACAAACAGCCCAACAGCCTGGGCAGTCGCGACGCAGACGCCAACACCCAGGATCCATCGCCAGGCGCTTCCGTAGCTCCAGAAGTATCCGAGAGTCTGGGCGATCAGGATTCCAACATTGATCGAGATTTGCGTCATGGCACCGAACAAACCTCGAGCGTTCAGGGGCGCAATCTCGCTGATGTAAAGCGGAACAACAACAGTTGATGCACCAGCACCTACACCGGAAACCAAGCGTCCCAGTGCCATGAGGAAGACACTCCCAGCAATTGTCTCGACGGCAGCACCAACCAGGTAAAGGACGGCAGTAGCTCGCATGGCAAGGAGCCGGCCACGGCTAGATGAAAAGGGCCCAGCACATAGTGCTCCAAAAAGTCCACCCAGGGTGAATATAGACGATACGGTCGCAAAGGCGGCTTCGGTCATAGGGATACATTCGGAGAGGAGGCCGGAGGACTTGTCGCTCGGGTGGGATGAGGAGACCATTTCCCGGATCCGCAGGAGAGCCGAGATGGACTTTTTGTGGCAGGTAATGACATCCTGAGGGGCGTTGAGCTCTCCCTATAGAGTTGTCAGCGCTGGTCGTTCACGATAGCCTCTCATCGGGGTGCTTGTGGTTAGGCCAAGGGCGACCAGGGATCAGGGGCCAGGGTTGGGGGAGCACGTACTAGGTGGTAGCCAAACTGCAGCGATCCCAAAGTCGAGACGGCAATCAGAAGAATCAGGTAAGGGCTGACATCGTTCAGGTACTGCCTGAGGCCCTGGCCGGCCATGATGACAATGCTGGAGATGTTGCTGTTGGTGGTTGGGGGAGCAAGTCGCGAGGTCACTCCGCTGACGTTGGAGAAACCCGGGGTGGTGGGGCCACGTGCCGAAGTGGCTGCATACCCCTGTAGCCTGCCAACCTGCCCCTCCGCGAACCTCGTCACCTGGAAGTTACCCTACACCAGTTCATCCAACGGCGAGGAATTGGAGAACTGACATGCATGATGCAGAAGCATTCGAGGTATCATGGCAACGAGATTCACATGGTGACCTTGTAGATTAACCTTGTAGATTCTTCAGCCTCTGGGTGAAGTTCATACATGAGACATCACAACGGTTCTAAATTGGTCACCACAGCAGCAAACATGGTGGCTTCTCATTACTGAAGGAACGTTAGGGAAATAGCAGAGCGCATTCACAGCAGAAACGCACCGTTGGCTCCACCCCTTCTTTACCTTGTTAATTGACCTTGTCCCCATTCCTAATTCTGTCCTTGCGAGCAGCCTGTGGCTGAAGCTACCAAGCAGCAGACAGTCCCTTCCGCTTGGGATCTGCAACAACCAAGAGCACGTTAACAGCTTTGAAGAATCCATTGATATTAATTTATGTCCCAGCAAATTACTTGCTCAAGTCCTCCAGGATCTTGCGACCTCGAATACAATCTTCCTCATGAGAAGGCTCTCTAGCAGACTCCTTGATTCCGTCCTGAACCCACTCCTGCACAGCTGGGTGCTCAAACAAGCGGTCCAGGTACTCCTTGGCAGCGCCCTCCAGCTCGATCCCATACGTCTTGCATCGCGACGCAATGGGCGCATACATGGCGTCCGCAATGGTAAACTCCTCGCCGGCCAACCAGGGTCCCCCGAACTTGTCCAGGCCCTCGGAAAAGAGCTCATTGAAGCGGCTAATATCCCTCTGCAGCGCCTCGCTCCGCGTGGCCAGCTCGATGCGTAGGCCCACGTTCATGCTGCACTCGTCCCGGATGGCGGGGAAGCCAGAGTGCATTTCCGCAGCTGCGCACCGGGCAAAGGCGCGGGCACGAGCGTCGGTTGGCCAAGCGCCGGGGTGCGACTCGGCGACGTATTCGCAGATGGCGAGCGAGTCCCAGACGGCGGTATCCGTAGAGTTGGCGCCGTCGTGCAGACAGGGGACCTTGCCGGTGGGGGAGAAGGCCAGGAAGTCGGGCTGGCGTTGACCCGGCTTGAAGAGGTTGAGCTTCTCGTCAAATGGGATGTCCAGGGCTTTGAGCAGGACCCAGGGTCGCATGGACCACGAGGAATAGCGCTTGTTTCCGATGAATAGCGTGTAAGCCATGGTGAGCAGATTTTAGAGTGTAGAGAAGAGGGATTTATTTATTGTTGGTGAGAGATTGGAGAGAACTCAATGTGAAAAACAGTTTTCACGGTTTTTGTAGATGGACTTTTGCAGCTTGACTCATGGCAACTGTGGATAGTTCGACGGCCCCGCGCCACGCCCTTCCTCGACAATTGACTTTGCTTACAATTACTTCTGACGACATTTAGAGGTGAGAAGCCGTTTTTCACGGTTTGTAGATGGATTTATGTACCTAGTATTGACTCACGGCAATTGAGGATAGTTTGACGACCCCGCGCCACGCCCTTCTTCGACAATTGACTGCTTACACCGACCTCTGACGATGTTTAACTTACCACCAGTAGCTGGCATCCACTTCTGGAGGCTCGTACCATGGCGGTTCCGCATTTACGGTCCCAGTTTCCTATTGACACCATAATTGCTATGGTAATTCCGCAGCGGGTCGTGGACTCAGGGCCGCCCGCCATCTCGGGTCCGCCAGTGTCACGCTGTCACGCGAGAAGGTCAAATGGGCGGGGAATTGGCATTGTTGGAACCCTGCCATAACCCATGAACCACGACAAATGCATCCAGCGTCGTAGCATGGTCAGGAAATCTGCTGATCTCGGGCCAGCTGCACCCGACACGACGTCAACAGCGGAACTCTAATGCCCATCGTGAAGCTTCCCCTCCCAAGGTTTTACAGGCCTCACATGGCGCCCCGCAGACCCAGAACCTCGGTCAGGTTTAGCATCACGGCACTGTTGTAAATAACCTCACCAATCCCTGCGCTCGCTCCCCCGGCCTCCACGCCGAACCCAGGAACGGCCCCCCGATCGGCGCAGGTGGCGCCTTGGCCGGCACTCAGCGCGTCCTTGGACCGATTGGTGCGCCTCAATCCCGCCCGCGATCTGCCAATTTGCGCGCCAATCATCCCCTCCCGCTCCCCGGATTCCCCAGAGTCGGCGGGCAGCACCGCTGAGTTTCTCCGCGTTAGGGTCGGCGCTGGGCCTGTTCTGGATCCGCGCGCTCCACGATGGAGGCATGCTACGAGAAGCGGAGTCGAGAGAGTGCTTGGGCGGTGGAATGGAAATGGGTATAAATGGACGGGAGGACCAGCGAGTTGACGGTTGAATTGCCTCGACAGCTTCAGAGAAATAGCCTCAGAGCCACGCCTCCTGCTCTCTTCATCATGCGCTTCGTCTCCAGCCTGGTGTCGCTGGTGCTGCCGCTCGCCGCGGTAGCCCACAAGCTGACTACCATCAGCAACCTCTCCATCTACGACCCCCCGGCCGACTACAACGACCCCCAGGTCCTGTACGCCCGGCCGCTGGAGCTCTCCGACGGCACCCTCCTAGCGACCTGGGAGAACTACTCCCCGGAGCCGCCCATGGTGTACTTCCCCATCTTCAAGAGCACCGACGGCGGAAAGAAGTGGAAGGAGATCTCCAAGGTCACCGATCAGGTCAACGGCTGGGGCCTGCGATACCAGCCATTCCTGTACGAGCTGCCCCAGCGGTTCGGAAAGTACCCCAAGGGCACCATCCTCTTGTCGGGCAGCAGCATCCCCACCGACCTCAGCCAGACCTTGATCGAAGTCTATGCCAGCCGCGACAAGGGATACACCTGGGAGTTTGTTAGCCATGTTGCCCTCGGAGGCGAGGCTCTCCCCAACCACGGCCTCACCCCCGTCTGGGAGCCCTTCCTGATGTAAGAGAGCTGCCCATATCCGCCGTGTGCATTGACTAACCAATACAGGACCTACAAGGAGAAGCTTGTTCTCTACTACTCTGATCAGCGTGACAACGCCACCCACTCTCAGAAGATGGTCCACCAGACCACCACTGACCTGAAGAAGTGGTCCGCGGTTGTCGATGACGTCGCCTACGAGAACTACTATGCCCGCCCCGGCATGCCCACCGTTGCCAAGCTCCCCAACGGCGAGTACATCTACGCCTACGAGTACGGCGGCGAGCCCTCCCAGTCCGCCTACTGGTTCCCCGTCTACTACCGCATCTCCAAGGACCCCCTCAAGTTCTCCGCGGCCGAGCACCACCGCGTCGACCCCATCAACGGCGCCACCCCCGCCGGATCTCCCTACGTGGTCTGGAGCAAGTACGGAGGCAAGAACGGCACCATCGTCATCAACGGCGCCTCCAACTCCGAGATCTACACCAACCAGAAGCTCGGCCACCCGGCTTACTGGAAGAAGTGGTCGGTTCCCCAGCCGAACGCTTACACCCGCGCCCTCATGGTGTTCAAGGAGGACCCGGATATGTTGATGATCATGGGAGGTGGTTACCTGCCCCCGGGCAAGACCAACGAGATCAGCCTGAGCGTTGTCAGACTCTCGGAGATCATGAAGGAGTAGGAGAAGACGGTGAATTAAAAAGAGACTAAAAGTCTGATTCTTGCTTGTAAATAGAGCTTCTAGAGTATAGTTGGACATCAAATTCTTGCCTAAAAAGGGCCACCCGTCAATGTCTATTCCTAGTGGCTATTGAGCCGTGGCTCTCATGCCCTGGTATAAGCTTGTGATCCAACTCCACCAAAGACAGGGTTAATAATCGAAATATTTATAATGAGGTTGCAACTAACATGCAGCTAACCCGCTTTGCGACTCATCGGCCTCTGACCGCAATTTACTACGTAGTAAGTAGGTTCTCAGCCCTTGGTCACAGCACCTGCAAGTTTTGCTGCAAGTTTTGCCCAATCCATGGTGATGAGCCGCAGACGCCGCATAAAGCCGCACAACACGCCGCTCACGCCGCAATGTGAGACAACGGAATTGTGCGTGCTACTTGTGATTCAAATATGAATTGGGATGATTCACCTTTATTTTGAGTGTACACTTGTCTAACATGTCTGATCTGTGGTAGCCGTAGATAAACTAGCATCCTTTGGTTGTTTGTATAACCGTGCATTGAGTCATTGGCCCTATCCCATCGGACCTTTTCAACTCTAACATTGTCATATCTCAATCATCACAAAATCCTCTAAATACAACGGCTAGTGGAAATAGGCGGATATAATCTCCCATTAAAAAATTCTTGGCTTCTACTCGTCAAAACTCAAGCCACGGAAGCCTTCTCCGCGCGAAACCCACCCTTGGCGGATGAACCAACGTCACGCGGCCGCAACCCTCAACGCCATGCGTCCGAAAACCTGAAGATGATTCGGCCGAGATCCGATGCCGGTAGCTCAATCTCTGTCAAGCGGGTCGCCTGCTTAGGTCCGGAGGAGGAACCCCGCTTGTCAATGACTAGGCCCGTATTTTGCAAAGGGCGTGGAGGACGATGCCGAGGGTGCGAAATACTACATTAATAATCGTAGGGCCCCCTTATGGGTTTCGAAGATGAGGTTCAGTGCATTGGGAAATAATAATCATGGCATTGACGGAAATGAAGAGCCTTGACAACGGGCATGGCGTTTCGACGTTTCGTGCAAGTGTGGTAGCTCTTGAAGGCGAGCCTGAAAAGACTACTCGAATAGACGACGACGCCTCGACGCTCAACGAAGGTGATGACATCGAAGATGCCCTCGATCAAAACACCATCCAAGACCCGGCCGAACCTCCGGACGGCGGATTACGAGCATGGCTCCAAGTAGTCGCCGGCCACCTCGTCGTCTTCAACGCCTGGGGTCCCCCAATCAGCTTCGGCGTGTTCCAGCCCTACTACGAAACGCAGATGAACCTCCCGCCGTCGACAGTCGCATGGGTCGGCAGCGTGCAGATGTCACTTGTGTTTCTCGTCGGTGCTTTTTCCGGACGGGCTTTTGACGCGGGATACTACCGCTGGGCCGTGGTTGTGGGCAGCTTCCTGCAGGTTCTCGGCGCCTTCATGACCAGCATTGCGACAGAGTACTGGCAATTGCTGCTTGCACAGGGAATCTGCCAGGGCCTTGGCAGTGGAATTATCTTCGCACCGACCGTGGCCAACATGTCGACGTACTTTAAGAGGAAAAAGACGCTTGCCATTTCGCTGGCTGCATGCGGAGGCACGACCGGCGGAGTGGTGTTCCCGGTGATTGCGCAGCAACTGTTGTCCAGGATTGGATTCCAATGGACGGTGCGTGTCATGGGACTGGTCGTTCTGGTGGCGTCCGTTATGGTCTTCTGTCTTGTGAGAACAAGGTTGCCTCCGCGCAAGGCTGGTCCGATTGTCGAGTTGGCTGCGTTCAAGGAGAGGACATATCTTCTCTTTGCCATTGGCATGTTCTTTACCCTCTGGGCAACGTACTATGCATACATTTATGTAAGTTAGCGTCCCTGGGTACGATTGGAACGAATAATAATGACAGTTAGGCTCGCACATATGCACTCTACGTCTTAGATGCACCCTCGTCGACGTCGTTCACCATCCTCCTCATAATCAACGCCGTCGGGATCCCTGGCCGAGTAATCCCAGCTCTCATCGCGGACCGCTACTTTGGCGCAATCGGCATGTTGATACCGACCGTAATGGCCACCGGAATCATCGTCTTCCTCTGGGCCGAAGTCCATGACCTCGCTGGGGACTACGTGTGGGCCGTCTTCTTTGGATATTTTGGAGCGGGCATCCAGGGACTGTTCCCGGGGGCGGCCGCAAGCCTGACGCAAGATCAAAGCAAGAACGGGACTCGCATAGGAATGATTTTTACCATCATGAGCGTGGCTGCTTTGACGGGATCGCCGCTTGCGGGCAAGCTGATGGAGGTGACGGGGGGGGAATATTTGGCCGCTCAGATGTGGGGAGGAGCCTGTCTTATGCTTGGCGCTGGGTTGTTGATCGCAGCAAAAGTTGCAAATGCACCAAAAAAGGCGTAGGATGGAAGGCAATCTATTTATCACGATTGTTGGGAAATTTGAAGAGGGATAGAAGAAGCATTGAAGAATGAGCATTGAGATTCTGATCGAGTCTCTATCTGTTAGACCTAGGCACAGGGCTTACAGCACACATACAGTACCTTGCCTTTCTGGTCACATCTGACCTAATTAAACAGTTCAATCCTGTTATTAGAAGATATAAATACCAAGAGTCAGTATAATTAAAACCCATATCCTAAACTTCTTTATTAAATGTATTGCTGGTAAATATGTTAAGACCGGATCATGTGGTAGTGTGTGCATAGATCAATACTCGCCAGACTATTTGCCAAGATCGCCATTGGGTTTTGGAGCTGGCTGCTTAGCCTTGTAGGAGGATCAAGCTCAACACGACTGATGTCTTGGCTTTAGCGAATCGCAATCCAATCCATATGCACTTCTCCTTACTCTCATGATTTGGGTACGATGTTTGGTCAACGTCTTTACAAGGTCTCCAAGTATCCACTGCCCAAAAGTTGTGTGCCCCACCACCCCGGATTTAGAGACGACCCTGGCTGGCGCGATGTGGATGGCTTCTAAAAATTCCACGTCGAGTGCTCGGCCCGCACACCTTCAACACCAACACCACACCCCGCGCCGCCTCCCAGAAATGTCCCCGGCCCCATGGATCTGCCGGAGCTGCACCCGGGCGCTGGCTCGCTCCAACGTGCGCCAATTCGTCCGCTACGCCTCCAATGGTGCGTCCGTCGTCCTGCCCGCACGCCGTCGTGAACGCTGACCCCTCCGGCCCAGACGCCTCTCTCCTCGCCCCCGCGCTCCTCCAGCGCGCCAAGACGATGGCTTCCGAGTACGACGGCCTGCAGACGTCCCTCAACGACTCCTTCGACACCGCCAAGGCCAAGCGCGTCGGCGAGCTGTCCCGCGTGGCGTCGGCGCTCAAGGCTTGGGAGGAGACGCAGTCCTCGGTCAAGGAGCTGACGTCCATGCTCGACGACCCCGAACAAGACCCCGACCTGGCATCGATTGCGCGAGACGAGCTGGAAACCGAGACGGGAAAGCTCGAGTCGCTGGCCAGGAACCTGTCCGCCAGCCTGACGCCTCGTCACCCCTTCGCCGACTTCCCGTGCATGATCGAGTTCCGGCCGGGCCCCGGCGGGCTGGAGGGCCGCTACTTCACCGACACGCTGTTCAAGATGTACAAGGGCCTGTGCATGCGCAAGGGCTACCGCCACAGCGTCATCAAGTACGAGTTCGCCGACACCGCGGGCGACAGCTCGTCGTCGGCCGGCGAGAACCCGCTCCAGGAGGCGGTGCTGGAGATCCAGGACCCCGGCGCCTACGACGTCTTCCGCAGCGAGGCCGGCATGCACCGCGTGCAGCGCATCCCCAGCACCGAGAGCAAGGGCCGCGTGCACACGAGCGCCGTCGCCCTGTGGGTGCTGCCCTCGTTCCCGGACACTGGCAGCGGCGGCGAGGTCGCGGGCCTGGACGACCCGGAGAGCGACTTCTACGTTAACCCGCAGGAGGTCAAGATCGAGACGATGCGGTCGCGCGGCGCGGGCGGGCAATCGGTCAACAAGACCGAGTCGGCGATCCGCATGACGCATATCCCGACGGGCACGGTGGTGTCGATGCAGGACCACCGGTCGCAGCAGCGCAACCGCGAAGAGGCGTGGAAAGTGCTGCGGTCGCGCATCGCGGACCAGCGGCGCGAGCAGCGCGAGGCCGAGGCGGCGCAGCTGCGCGACAGCGTGCTGAGCAAGACGCAGATCACGCGCGGCGACAAGATCCGCACGTACAACTACAACCAGGACCGATGTACGGACCACCGCGCTGGGCTGGACGTGCACAACCTGTCGGATGTGCTCGAGGGCGGCGACACGCTGGACAAGATCATGGATGGCGCGAGGGATTGGCTGGTTGGCAACGACATTGCGCTTCTGGTTGCGGAAGAGGAGGCCAAGACCAAGGGTGGCAAAGGGAAGAAGTGATGACAAGTCCTCAGGACTATGAACATGATGTATTGATGCATGTGTACACTATGGTTTATAAAGTGTGACTGTATTGTATGTAGAACCATGTAAGATAAGGGCCAACAGACGCAATCCCATATGCTCCTCCTATATTTGTTCGAGAATCTATCCCGAATCATTGACGCCCGATACCCAAACTCCCAGCAAGATCACACCACCGGGATATTCGTGACTTGCCTCCAACCCAGAACTCCGATGCAGAACACAGTTTTGAAACGTCGGCCTTGGCCCTGTGCGACAAAGCCCCTCACATTAAGCCGCCCAGAACAACCTTGCCGATGCTCGCCACCTCCGACTTGATGAGGGTGCGGCTGTGGTCCTCAAACTCCCTGACGAAGCCCTGGACAATGAGTTTGCGCACTCGCGAATCGGCCTTGCCAAACAGCTCGGCGACGGGGGCGGTGCACTCGCGCGGCGAGGGCACGAGGGTGAGGAACCGTGTGTAACAGTCGATCAAGACGTCGCACAGTGTCGCAAACGTCTCAAAGTAGTCCGGGTCGAACGGTAGGGAGGGCGTCAGGAGGTAGGTGTACTCCTCGCCAGGAAGCAGATCCGTCTCGGACGCAGCAAAGTTCATGACGGACGGGGTCGGGGCGCCGGCGGCCGGCACGGCGGAGAATTCGTCAAGCATGGGGTGCATGTCGGCGGCGGAGGTGGAGCGGCGGGACTTGCCGCCCTGTCGGCGGAACATGCTGGGAAGGCGGGCGCGGGTGAGGGAGGCGGCGGTGGAGGAGTCGCTGTGTAGCTGCTGGAAGGAATCGAACTCGGAGAGGAGGGTGTTGAGGCTGCGGAGGAACTCGATGGGCGTGGAGGAATAGAGGTCGACGATGGTGGGGAGGGACAGGCCTAGGAGGAGGTGGTTCGTCGCTTTGCGGCCGATCTTTCGCGAGTCGAAGTAAGGCATACGATTAAAGTCGGGCTTGTCGAAGAGATATGTGTTGAACCAGTATATGCGTCCCTCGTGTCTGTGGTGAAGTGTTAGTTGGTGTATAAGCCCCTGAGGCGGCCGAGGCGGGGTACGGCGGGATGGACGTACGCTTTGCGCAAGTACTCGAGGGTCGAGATGCGCTTGTTGGCGACCTCGGTGATCTGCTGGTGAGCCAGTCCAGCCTCGGACTGCTGCCAGAGAGTGCCAGACCCGATAGCACCGTTGGGGCCGGACATGGGAGTCGCGGGCGGAGGCATGGATCCCAGGTGGAGGGTGGACCCGGTTGCGCTGCGGCTCAGCATCTGCATGGTGACGGCGGAGTCGGCGGCAGTGGAGGCGGAGGAGGAGTGATGGATAGAGGCGGAAGCCGGAGGGTCAGACTCGCGGATGTCTGCTCGGGGCGTGATCTTCGCGGCGGCGGCGAGGGCGTAGTCGGGCAGGGCAGGCGGCGCGGCGGCATCGGTCACGTAGGCATTGGGCCCGTTGCCAAAGGAGCTGCCGCGGCGGGAGAGGGACGACTTGCGCGAGAAGGACGGCTTGCGGTCCTTGAGGGCGGTGGCGAGGGGATCGACGCTGCCGCCGTCGCGAGTGACCGGGCGGGAGGCGGAGGAGGAGGAGAAGATGGAGGTTGAGAAGATGGGCGTCGAGCCGGAGTTGGGCGTTCGGGGCGCCATGGCTGTGGGCGGGCAACGTGCGGGTTTTGGGTGTGCGGCCTGGAGTGGCCACGCACGCGATGGGGATCTTGGAACTTGGGGACTTGAAAATGAGCCCCCCCCCGATCGACCGAGCGAGCGAGTGAGACCTGGGTGCCACGGGACTGGAACCGCCGATGGACTGGGAACCGGGAGCTGGGAACTTGACTGGGACCGGCGATGGAGCGACAGAACTGTGTGTAGTCACTGTGCGTGCGGCGTTGGTGTGGAGGGAGAAGTGACTTTCGTTGGTGTGGGTGGATGCGCCGCCCCTGGGGCTTGAACGCAAGCAGCGTGTAACTTAAGACTTACGGGCTAGCGGCGTTGCAGCAGCTGCGGATGAAGCCGGTCAGGGCGTAGAAACTGGGCGTAGAAAGACGGCGAGCGGAGGAGAGGCGGCGTTACGGGGGAAGTTTGGAGTAGAGACAAAACGTGAAGCCCTCCAAAGTGAAGCCCTCCAAAGTGAAGCCCTCCAAAGGTTACCAAGTTCACCTAACTGTAGGTACTCACAAGGCGCGACACGCGGGAAAAGCCACGAGCATCCCATACGCACACCTCCCATTTCCACGCATGATGTGATATGATCCCATGTGCCGTGCCCTACAAGCAGGTGCCGCAGAGTGCTGCACGCCACGAGGTCTGGTGGGTTCTAGCGCGTCCACAGTGGAAGCCTCTCTGAACGGCACGGTCGAGGCCCACTGGCGCTAGTTGCCCACGGCGCTGGTTGCAGCGTTGTATCGCCAAATTATGTCCGCCGGCGCCTGCGTGGCAGCGTCTCACGGGGGGTGGGCTACATTACCCTGCATTGCCAGCGCTGGTGGAGGCGGCTTCTATTGAGATGCGCGTTTCTTCCCCAACGTGGTCGTGATTTACTCTCCCTGATGCCTGCTCCATCTGCGTTGCAACTGTCTGTCATTTCAACCCTTGGAAACTATTCCATGGCTTTGCAGCAGTTACTAGTGCTCATCAAGCCAGGATCTGCTGCCACGCTCGGGACTCCAGTCTAGGTACCTAGGTAGCTTCTCCTCTCTCATACACCGCAACACGTCAACTCCCGTCTTGTAACACAGACAACTCATCCGAATAGTTACACAACAACACTCAGCACGAGAATCCATGACGCTATTGAATTCAAGCAAACAATTGACTGCTCATGTGACTTGCCCTCAAATCACTCTCCCAGAAATCTCTATAAATCCCACACCATCCTCCCCAAGTCCCGCCATTCCTTTTCTCCTCTTCAACCACCCACCCTACCTATATATAGAGGGCCTCTCACCTGCCATATGATGGCAGGGGGAAACGAGGTCAAAGGGCGCTTATGTCTGTTGTCTGGCTTCACGTTTTGCCATCTGATTTCAAGAACCCGCAAAGGATTCGAAGGTTTGTATCACCACCGACGGGTCCGCTCGAGTCCATTGGGTTGCTGACGGTATCAACAAGCATGAGTGGCACACGCGAACACGTCCTCCAAGGAATCCACGGCGCTGGCCCTGCCGTATCTTGACGACGAATTGAGTTATTTCTTATCCTCTCCTCCCGCATCCTGTACTATTGGGGACACCGAGTGGACAGCTCGTTCATGAGTGAGTAACGTATTACCCCAGTCACATCGTCCTGAATATTTAGTTAACATGTTTCATTCCGCAGCTTCTCCACACAACGTTGTTTTCAGAGCTTGGCGTTGGCGCCGTCTGTAAGCCTCTACGGTACCGGAAGGGTAGAGTATAACTAACCCAAGCCCCGTCATCCCCATCATCAAGCTCACGCATTTAATTTGGCAGGACGAACGGAAGATATAACCGCATTCAAAACCGGCCCTATGGCTGAATGAAAACATCGTGCCACTGTGGCTGGAAAACGTGTGATCGAGAGTCACAGGTAGTCTTGTCTGTGTACTACTTATTTAATTACACCGACAACAACCGGGTCGAAACGTAGGTAAGTTATCATTACCCATCCATCGTGTTAGTCACGTTCTCGTCACCAATCTCCTGCTCACACACCTCCAGATCGGGAGAGGGGTTCCGTGTATGACTTGTTGAACGGGACACCTTCCAGCCAGTCGCCTTCGTCAATCAGAGACGGTCCGGCACATTTCGTATTACGAAGACCCCGTGCTGGGATGAAGGACACTCCTCGTGGCTGGTCTCTCATCTGACAGCCACATTACGAGAGCCGAGATGATGGGTGCTTGGGACATGACTGATCAAGACGGATCGGTCGCAGGACTACTCAATTGGGAATGTACAACCACAATTTCATATCTCGAGAGAGGAGCTGGGAGACTGCAGCCGTGAACCGACAAGCGACAACTCAAGCACAAACCGCAAGTGATGTGGTTGACTTACGACAGGGGTGAGATGGATACGGCGCCAAACCCCCCAAAAACGACAAAATGGCGTCGATCCTCCTCAACTTGGTGAGCAAGTCAAGCTTTTGACCAACCGATCGAGAACATTGACCCGCTGACACAACATGTGTTTCTAGAAGCTTTTCGTTGAGCAAATCGTCCCTGGTGCTGCTCTAATCGGGTAAGTTCTTTTTCGGAAAGCATCATCCGCATCTACGAAGCAGACGACTAACTGGCAAATGCAGCGGAGTCGAGCTGGCGTTGAAGACTCCCATGAGGACGGGGAATGTGCTACCCACGACTACGATTACGACGTATACTGAATCCACACATCCAAGCCGAGAATGACTGCTCCTTGGCGTTGACTTCGGAGCTACGTATTAGTCTCGTCCGGCCGCGATATCATGGAGGGGATCCATCATAACTGACAAAGCACAAGACCATCTGCAGTATCGCAATGGATTTATGACTGGGGTTCGAGGGAGCTCTGGGCGGTCACCCGATCCCAGCATCCAACAAACGTGAGAGACGTTGGACACGTTCTCTTGCTTCCCATACGGAAAACACCATCCGCTGTCAATGACGAGATACATCGGTGGGACGTGGAACGCCCCTCGACACACTTACATCGAAAACAACGGGCAGCAGCCTCTCTCTATGCAGGATCAGCCCCGGGAGCCTGTGACCAATCACCACCACTCAGCTGATTCTGCTGTTCTGAGGCTCTCAATTCAGCCGCCTGTGACGTGACTCTTCGCCGTCGCGGTCGCAGCTAAGGTGTAAAGGCAACGGCGATATGTGGAGGTGACACTGTGACCATGACTACACGATGTGGTTGGTGCCGTAAGCGGCCCCCGTAAGCATTGCCCGTCCCCAGACTCTGACTTGTCGTGTGTATTTCGAACTTCGCTGATTGATCAAACTAGAAAGGCGAAAGGTCAGAGCGTATCTCCCACATCCATCGGGCTCAACAAACTACATTCGACCCACGGGACCAACGCAGTTCCTCTTCAGCATTAATCTTTACCGGAGGACTGGAACGGGCCATGTCGCTTCTTTTGCCACGACGCTGACAGCCCATGAGCGGTGGTACAGCTGCTCGGCTTCTTCTCTATCCCATCAAGTTCCGTCCGTCAATTGTAAAACTCTTTGGCACAGGCAAGCCATGCGACAACGCAAAAACGCAGCAAATCTTGCCGGCCGTCCTGGACATCGTTGATCGAGCTTTGGAGCCAATTCAGCGTGTTTTTCTTTCCAACCGGATGGGGACAGGAAAAACCAAGACGTATCTTGGCGCCATTCACATGTACAATGAGTTTCGAATGGACTCGTTCCTTGACCCACCTGTCGCGAACAACCAACATGTCTACCATGTAAGTTCATCTCCAAAAATATACCTTTTACATATATACACCCAGACAACTAACGAAGAAGAACATAGCGCACGGCCAATCCTTCTTTCAGCTTCAGAACAAATAGCGGCTGTGGGGATGCGACAAGCTCTCGAGGACGAGGGTCAGACGGGTGCATTCATGGCACACATGAACTTCTTATTCCACTCGTGTTATAATAACCCTCGCATGCGCATCGATTCAAGGGCAGATTGACGTGGGCCGACGACTCAAACGAAAGTTTACCCGCAAACTGGCCAAAAGACGCAACTTGGCCGACCAACTTTTCATTCTCCAAAGAGCCTGCGGTGCCCACGCGACAGGATACCTTCAACCCGCTACGTTGAATCAACAGAAGGGCATGCGGAACCACGCTTACGCGGAGGAACGAAATGCACTTGAAATCTACTCGCAACGAGTCCGCCGTAGATGCCTCTCTATCATTCCCAGGTACAGCGCATTCGCTCGCTTGGAACAAGCCCGACAGCGGATGGGGGAGAAAGGCTCCAGCAACTATCTCCGAGTTTTTGCAACGGTACATGTATCGAGGGCTATACGCGCTTGCCGGCTAAGATGCAACCTTGATCGAAAAGCAAATCATTTCGTCTTCACCATCTGGGTCCATCATCCGCACTCATGGAACCCGACTTGTATTCTCCGGCCCGGCATATATAAGAAAGGCGCAGAGAGGCGGGCCAAGATGGTTTGGGGCGGCGAGCGAGCCGCGGTCTCCTGTCGACAAACATTCCTCGCAAACGATGTGGGGATTGGAAAAAGAACGTGACTTATCTATCATCTATTGTGGTGTATCAGCGATCTCTTCAGCGACGACATGATGCAGGTGAAGCAGGTATCGAATTCAGACCTGCCCTCGTCTTAACACCAGTGAATTCGTACCGAGAGGCGAGAGAACAGTTTCCTCTCTTACAGGTTGTATATTATGGTGCGAAATGGAGCATTTCCTACCCTACCGCCACAGTTCTCTGGAACCAGAATTTCGACAGATACCTGAAGAGGACTTCGAAGCCAGAGCGACATTTTTGTTTGACTTTGAACGAAACTACACCATGGCGTTTTACACTCCCCTCTGATCTCTCAGCCCGATGACTGGTCGCCGGACTCCTGGGACGCTATCTCAGTCGCCACAAATCGAGGGGTTGATCGCCTTCTCAGTGCTAATCGTCGCTTTCATTTTCATATTCGTCGTCGGACTAATCTTCAGCGGCTACGTCGGCAGCTGCCGTAACTGATGCGGAAAGCGGACGTCGTCAAAGACGGCATCGACGCTCCGGAGAGGGGTAAGTGGGAGATGTTGGAGACTCAGGGGCAGATCATGCTATGCTACGTTGGAGAGGTGCAAAGTCTCCATCGGCTTCAGCTACAGAGAAGTTGTTCTTGTTGTGGTTTTTGGTGCGGAGCCGGCCTCATGGTCCAACTTCCTCTGCAGCAAACAAAAATCGGTGACCCCCCAGTGGCTTGTGATGAAGAGGAGTTGCGGAGAGGCCCAGTGGCAGAAGACTACCTCGCAAATGAAGGGAGACTGAGCCGAAGGACTTTCATCAAGTAGCGAGCTACAGGCGCTCATCTCGGCGATTCGGGGATCTGCCAGCTACAGGTCAGCCATTCGACACATCACCTGCCTTTGCAACAACTCGACGCAAACTCCCTAAGTTCTTCACATTCTCAAAGGACGATCTACTCATCTTGTCCAAAAGCCACAAAACGCAACCCGAAACAGAAGCGGCCTATCGTGGCGTGGACAGGTTCCCCCAACATCTCCGCCGCCACGACACATCCCTCCCCAAGAGAACAAGTACGATCAACCTGCCTGTCGAGTACCTGGTTGTTGTCTGCGGTGAGCCTTCGCTTGACCGTAAACCTCCACTTCCACGTCCGTTGTCAACGCCTGGCTCAACAGCTTCAGCTTCTTTTTATTCTTAAAACTATCATCTACACTTTTGACTCCAACTTTCCATCTACAGACGCTACCAACTACCATCACTCGAAGTCACGATTCCCTCCCTTCACTGGGCACATGAGACAGCCAGACAAAACGGCAGACCGGGTTGCTTTTACCACGAATTTGAACACCAACTTCTTATCTGCCTACCGGTGTTGATTGGATTCGCCCCTGCACATTGACCGCCACAATTGAACATTTATATATACCCCGATTCGACCAGCATATCTTGGCCTTCACACAAATATACTCAGCCGCCATCATTCGGCGTACAGGATCAAGCGGCATGGACCTCGTCACTATTGGGAACCAAACGTCCAAGCCCTAGTCCATCGCTGCCTGGGCTGCCAATCTGTACCGATGGAATCTACTCCATCTAAGAGACTTGCTTTGGCCTTGATGCAGACGAGAACGAAGATAATCCCATACTGGATACTCCGAGAGACAGAAGAGAGTAAACATCATCAAAAACTATACAATATTTCACTGAGGAGAAAGGCCCGCGAGACAAACGCGGAGCTCGACGACGCCGCGTCTCGTGCTGCAGCTAGGTTCGCAATTGGGCCCCGGGGGAAATCTGGGCGGAGGGCCTTTACCTCCAACGAGCATCGCACTCAGATGTCCCAGTGGTCGGGCCTCTACAGTCAGTCTAATGTAGACTGGCTTGGTCAGCATTCGGGAATTTGCAAGCTACTTTGTCAAGATTGGCGAACTATGGACGAATATAAACCCAAACATTTTGACCGTCTACACCTTGTTCCTGGGTGTCATCTTTTCGCAATGAGCCACTATCGCCCGCTAATGGGAAACTGTTTTCTTGTCGCCCAGAGCTTCTATTTCAGAAGACTCTGCTGAACCCCGTCGTCGTCTGTCAAGTGTGCCCATGGTACATGGGAAACTGGACACGAAAGGTTAACCACTCGTGCGACGCGAATGTAGTCTGTCGTCTTTATAGACACCAAGCTGTCAGGGCGATGGCATATAGCGTTGGGTACAAGTCGTGCCATTCGCCCAGGAGAAGGCATTCGTGTCAACTGGATCCCGAGGATGCCGCATCAGACCCCAGGGCCTCCAGGTCCTCCAGGGCCTCCAGTATCGACACCAACAAGCTCGCTCAAGCCACAGTGGCTCAGATATACAGACGAGAACCCTGCAAAACGACTCGAGTAACGTCGACAGCTTCGATGTCAGTTCTCCATATCCATGAGCAGTCCAGGCAATCTACATGGTGCTGAATCGGCACTCATTTCTGAAATGGCCGCGACTCGGGATTTGAAGGGGCTAATATGCCACTGACTGAAAGGCCGGGCGAGACAGATAGCCTTCTCAGAGAAGCGACGCCAACTCGGAAACCTCTGCGAGTGAAGAGTGTTACCCCTAAAGGTTAGTGAATGCACTCAAAATTCCAGGTCAGTCTCCTTCTCCCATACAGACCCTCGACATGCATTTACCCAAGCTAACCCAATGGTAGATGCAAGCCGGATAGCACGCCTCCTTACCGGTCCCCCCCGCGAATCGTATTCTTACTCGATAGGAGATTTTCTACAGCGGGTGTTGGTTGATGATCAATCCACCGGCTTATCTCGCTTTGCCTCATCAAGCCCAACAACATGGTTGAACTTTGGCATTCTCACCACCGATCGTTTCAAGGAGGCTGCCAAAGCCACAACCCACTCTGTTGGCAAGGGCAAGATCTTACACGACGTCTGTTGGGCTGGATCGATTCTCTCTTCGCCATTACCTCCAGAAGTCGACAAGACGCGTGTGAAACCAGCCCAAGACTGAGACAGCTCGACGTACAAGGGCCACGGCAGTCGTCGTTTCAAGAAAGTCGCGAGGTTGCCCTAGGTCAACGCCATGTGCACCCTAAGAGCCCACATCGCACAAATGTCAATGTGGTAGCTGTTCAAGCTGCTTCAGCCGCTCCCGTCGAGAAGCTGAGAGCAACCAAACATCTTCCACACACCCAATGGTGGTGCTACTGGAAGCACTGATATCTTGAGCGTGCCGTCGTGCGCTGTAGGTGGAGGTGGAGAATACACCGGGAGTAGATGGAAGCGTCTCGGTTCTCCCAGCACGGCCAGGGAGGCAGTTGAGACTCTCAATCCATTGATCGAGCGCAAAGGTTCACAATACCAACGTCGAAGTCAATCTCAACCTTAATCTCAACCTTAATCTCAACTTGAGCAGTCACTTGATCATTCTTTCCATGCATTTTTCTGGGAGAGGCCGGACTTCGAGGAGAACATATGTTCGACGGAAATCACCTCTGTCTCGCAGTCTTGTATGCTGGTCTATGATACCGACGGGCGTTTACGGCTATCGTTCAACAATACAAGACACGGCGACCGCCCAGACTATCACGTTCTTGTGTCCTAATTGGTCGGAGAGAGCCGAAACGGCACATTCTGTCACACTTCCATCAAGTCTTTCTTGAGTACTTCTGGGACTCGTCGCCTTTGAGTACCAAAACGAGATTATTTGTCCACGAAATGGATTGGTTTCATCGACAACCTTAAAAAGCATTAGGATGGAGCAAAGACGGACGAATTACGGACGCAGGCACTGCTGAAGTCGGCGTATGCGACAACAGGTGCCCGGAAGAGGCAATGAAAGGACTGAAAAATGGCAGCCAGGCTCTTCGAGCAGACAAAGATGATCCAGGGCCTTGCTGAAACCTACAATCACCTCCAAACGTCCTGAAATCCGATCCTCGTAGCATCTCCGTATGCCCACATGGTCACATCTACTTATCCACTGGCGGGCGCGAACCCCTAGAATGGACAGACCTGCAAGACTATCCCGAGCTACTCTCCACTGGAGGGCCTCTTGTCCTTCCTCAGGCGGTCGGGTACGACGATAGAGACGAACTGGAATCATGGGCCAAAGCCCAGAGCAATTTGGCTCACCTCGCAACTCTCAATGAGTGGTATAGGGTCCCTCTTTATGCACGCCTAGCAAAAATCGGGCAATTTCATCACCCAGTAGCTGGCTACCGTGTTAGGTTCGGCGAAGATATCAAGGCACAGAACGAGCAGTCATCAACCGCCCTAGAGAGGGAAAGGCCCTACCTACCCTCGACCCAGATACCAGGACTCCAACTCACAGCACCTGAAGCATCCCCGGTTGCATTTGTGGAGGATTCGGCCGTTACAATTCGAAATTTTCCTCGAATACACAAATGCGGTTTTCTAGATACAACATCCGTCACCCATCAGATCCATCATTGTCTTACGCTTTGAAGAACGGCTTCACACCATTCCAGTCAGCAGATTGATATAATTGCCGAAAATGCCACGAAGCGAAACTCAAGCTGGAATACGTTCGGTTACTTGTGAGAGGTTGCAGAAATCACCTTCTTTCATCGCCGACTTCTAGAAGAACGAATGCACCATCACATTCAAGCCAACGCTTCCTAGCTCTACAATATAATTGAGCAAGAAAAGCCTGAAGGGAAGAAAAAAACATTCCGAAGAAGCACCGTGATGGTTTTATGACCGAGGCGCGAAACACAGCCCCTAGGCGGGACCGACAACTGCGGAGGAATGACTGACGATAAGCTCTGGGCTTCGAATTGCAGCTGTATGTACAGTTTCAGGTTAACGAGTTCTCGTCGACTGGCTCGATGTCCGCCTCCCGTCAAGAGGCGGCAGGCAAGCCACTTGAGCGAGCCCACGAGGATCCATGGCCTACAGAGCTCATACTGGGACCTCGTTCGGACCAGCCCAAACACGAGCACCAAATAAGTACGCCATCGAGGACATTTGCACGAAGTTCAAGCTGCCAGAATATCCCAATACCCGCCTAGTCGACGACGAGGAGGTTCAGACACTGAAGGCCCATCAAATTGTTGGTAAGTATACTTCGCTGCGGAGGGTGGTGAAGTGGACATACACGCTGAGATGCACAATCATTCAACGCCGCGATGCTCTGATTGAGCGCATGTGGGCCGGGCGAAGTCAAAGTGTACATGGAAGTCCCAGGCAACTGGCCCCATGTGATTTTATTGACGAGAGGCTATAAACGCCGCAGCAGGGAATCGCATCAAGAAGAGTTGCTATTTTCTGGCCGGTCATCATCAATGCATTTGATGTTTGCTCTCGTCAATGCGTTCGACGTATACTATAGTCAATGCTTTCAGTATATCATTGAACTGGAGACTATTGCCAACGCATTCGACGTGCACTATCCTGAACGCATTCAACGGGGACCAGAGTAAATGCATTCAATGTATACCAACTTCTGGCTTCGGGATGTTACAGGCAGCCTCTGAGAGGATAGACTATGGGCGAAGTTGACAAGAGCCCGGCAAGGTCTAAGGGGAATGGAATTAGCTTAGTAGCCACGAAACCCTATCACTTATTATTGACCTTTTTAAACCCCAACATGTTGTAGTTGCTTCTAGCTCGACGCTGTGCCTAATTCTGCAGCGTACTGACGGTGCTTTGGTGACAGCCTTAAGGGTGCTGCTGGCCCGGCAAAATATTGATGCGTGCTAACTATAGCTATTCCTCTCAGCCTGATGCCAGAGCCTGACAAGAGCCTGACCAGAATCCTTGAGACAACAACATCAAAGACCATATCCTTTTCGTCCGTCGAGCATAATGGATCAGCCAGGGCTTCTTCGACGCGAAGTGGCTGATAGCCAGTTCCGGGACAACACCATCATCCTCCAGGGCGATGTCCACGGCAATATCAACTTGCCTCAGCAGCCGTCCACTGCATCATCCGCCCGACCGGCTGTGCGTGTGATCCCCTACCCCCGCAATGAAGATGTAGTTCCCCGCCTGGACCTTATCAATCGGCTAGACACGCTATTGCCCCAGACTTCGAAACATTGCAGTGCTGTGCTGTGGGGCCTGGGCGGATCGGGGTATGTTCACTCTTCACGTTGGCTTAAGTTGGGCATCTATTAAGAGGCCCAGGAAAACGCGGATTGCCCTGGATTATGCGTACCGGTGGTGCGATGACGAGAGCTGCTCTGTCTACTGGGTGCATGCCGACAGCGAGGCAACATTCGAACACGACTATCGAGCGATCGCAAAGCAACTTGATATCGACCGAACGCTGAAAGGCGAAGACTTACTCGCTACGGTGCGCAGGCGCATCGAGGCGCAGCCAAAATGGGTCCTCATCCTCGACAACGCCGACGATTTGACACTCTTCGGTATCGGACCGGCGGCGGAACAGAAGACGAACCTATACAAATACATTCCCAGTGGAACAGTTTTGTGGACAAGCCGTGACGAACGAGTCGTGGGGACTTTGGTTGGCCCACGGCGGGGTATCAACGTAGCCCGCATGACATCAAACGAAGCAGAAAACCTCCTCGCGATGACACGGGATGAAGAGATCAGCGAGGGCGATGCGGAGACTGCTCTGTTGAAAGAACTCCAATGGCTTCCACTATCCATCTCACAAGCTGGCGCTTACATGCGAAGGACATCAACCACAGTCAAAGAGTACTTGCACCTCCTGGCACAGGGCAGGCAACGATGGGATGTTCTAAAGACAACTGAATTTGACCGATATAGGAGGCCGGATGTGCCCAACAGCGTCCTGGAGACTTGGAGCATCTCAATCAACCGAATCCAACAGGAGAGCGAGATGGCGTATAGGATTCTCCACGTCATTGCATATCTCGACAACCAAAATATCCCAAATGAGGTAATGGAAGCCGTTATTAAGTATGATGATGGGGACAGCGATGACGATGAAGATGACGTTCATGGAGGCGCATCACTAGATGTGAAAGACTAAGATTACGAGACCCTTGTTCAACAGCGGATTGATCGCGAGCTTATCCAAGCCATAACACGGCTGAAAGAGTACTCTTTTATTCGCATGCGTCAAATGAAAGATGGCAACCGAAGCTACGAGATGCATAAGCTCGTACAGGAGGCTACACGACATGGTCTGACTGTGAGGAAACCGACTGAGACAGGTGAAGAAAACATGCTGGGTGTATGTTTTCCAAGGGAGCAGAACGACAAATACTTCTCAAGCATGGCTATACGAATTGTGGCGACTCTTTTCCCTATACCTGAACCGGAAATGTGGCTACTGTGCGAGAAGTATATCGCCCATGCTGTACAGGTGGCAGAGTGGGCAGAGATTTGCAAAGAGCAAATTGAGGTATCAAAGCTACTTAGCTCGGTATCTGAGTTCCTCCATTCTCAAAGACGATGGAGAGAGAGAGAGAGAGTAGACGAATGGATTCTGCGCCTTCGCCGAGAGGTGCTTGAAGAGAAGCATCCGGACACGATTGACAGTATGGCGCGCCTTGTTGTAACATATCTTGCGCAGGGCCGCTATACTGAGGCTATGGACATCCATACCAATGTGTTAGAAAAGAGGCGAGAAGTCCTTGGAGATGAAGACCCAGCCACTATCTGGAGTATGAGGGAAGTTGCATTAATGCATGGGATGCTGGGTCGATATAATGAGGCCGAGCTGATGAATCTTAAAGTACTAGATCTCCGACGGTTCGTGCTTGGAGAGAGGCACCCGGACACGATTACGAGTAGAGCAGACGTTGCAACAACATATCACAGACAGGGCCGTTATGATGAGGCCGAGCCTATATTTCTTCAAGTATTAGATCTTCGGTGGACAGTACTCGGAGAGAGGAATCCGGATACAATTCAGAGTATGGCAGAACTTGCAACGACGTACCATCAACAGGGCCGATATGCCGAAGCTGAGGAGATCTCGGCCAAGGTGTTAGATCTTCGGCGGGAGCTGCTTGGAGACAACCATCCCGACACCCTTCAAGCTATGCGCGATCTGGCTATTACTTGGAACAGCCGTGGCCACCGCCATAAAGCACTTCCCCTCTTGCAACAATCTTGGCAATTGCAATGTTCTATTCTAGGACCAGATCACCCTTGGACGAAACAATGTGAAAAATTATTAGAGTCGTGGGGATGACACAGGACTTCATTGAAGCAAGTTATAGATAGCGTAGTAGGGGACAAGAAGACCATTGAGCATTGGTAGTAATTGCACGTTTCTTCCTCAGTTCTTTCAACGTGATTCATAGGTTGATACATGTACTGTGAGCTAAAGCGTCATATAATACTGGGCTGATCCCACTTTTCTGTAACCATGATGCAACAAACGCAATTTTGACTGCAGTATGCATGTCGAACAAGGAGCCGTCCAAATTGTGACTTGTTCAACGCCGGTGGTGGATTTCGCTGCATTTCAGCGAGAAGTGGGGTGTGGGTTATGGCGTGGGGCTGCCAACACCCATCAGCAACCCGTATATACTATGAGGCACGTTGGCAGTCATCATCCTAGCCCCTAGATCATAGGTTCATGCCAAGAAATAGTAGAGTAGAAAAGCGTTGCTGAACTTGGTGGGATTGGACGTGAAGCAAAGACGAGAACTGCGAGGGGTTCCCGAAAGACTCATCCGGGAATAATGAGACACACATCTGACCTATCTCGTGGATTCTCGGTCCCATTAGTGACTCACCGGCTAAGAATGCAACGTCAAGACAGGGTTCTCTGTGGGTAATTTTTACACGCATTCACGAATTACATTCCTTTGTACGCAGCATGCTGGTGTGTCTCGGGCTAATAAGGACGGCCCGTTAAGTTACAGGGTAAACTTGGGAGACGGGCGATGTCCATCATGCCAGCCAATTAGACGTCGCCGATTTTCAGCCTGCAGCCATCATCAAAGTCATTCGGCGTACTCCTTCGGGTGCTGCGTGCCGGTTGAATCTGAGCATCATCAGCCGCTGATAAGATCAAATCGACTAAACAACAAATAGCGACTGGGTCCTAGGCATCGTCTTGGCATCCTCATCTTACACCACTACACATTCGTTGGCCAATCGCATCACAGTCCAACTCAGCGCCACCATGTCTTGTCCCGCTTGTTTTCAGGGCAGCATCCACGAGGGACAGCCGCGGGGAAAAGACATCAAGCTTCACGGGCTGGACGTCTACGTTACCGAGCCGGCCGATGGCAGACAGGCCAAGGCCATCATCGTCATTATTCCCGACGCTTTTGGCTGGGAATTCGTCAATTCTCGGCTCCTTGCTGATACGTACGCCGACAAAGGCGACTACAAGGTCTATCTTCCGGACTTTATGAACGGCCACCCCGCACCGATCTGGATGCTCGAGAGACTTGTTGCCGTCAACGAGACGGGAAACTATCTGATGAAGGCGTAAGGCGCTGTTTTGCCAAGACGACAAGTTTGTTTACTAAATAATTGCTAGATACCATATGGTCTGTGTCATCTGCGGGTTCGTCCCCTTTATGATGCGCAATAACATCGGCAAATCGTTCCCAGTCGTCAAAGGCTTCTTCGAGCAGCTTCGCAAGGAGGAGGGCGCCACTCTCCCCATCGGAGCCGCCGGGTTCTGCTGGGGCGGCAAGCATGCCATCCTCCTGGCCCAGGGCGCCGAAATCGAGGGCAAGCCGCTCATTGACGCAGGGTTTACGGGTCATCCCAGCTTCCTGGATCTCCCGGGCGACATTGAGAAGGTTACTATCCCCATCTCTATTGCTGTCGGCGACAAGGACAACCAGATCAAGGCGCCTCACTTGCCTAAGATCAAGGAGCTCCTCGAAGGGAAGCCCGAGGGCGCCAAGGGCGATATCCGCGTTTATGAGGATGCTACTCACGGGTTCGCGCTCCGTGCCGCTTTGGACATGGAGGACCTCGCCAAAAAGGCCGCTGAGGCTGAGGACCAGTGCATTTCGTGGTTCAACGCCCGCTTCAACCTCGGTTCATGACAAGTACTTTCTCCATTGGGGATGGAAGAAACCGGAATGAGGCAGCCCGGCGCAGGTATCCGTGGCTTAGTTGAATGTCGTTTGGTCAGGCGCAAGGACTTGTACATGCAGCGGTCTTTATGGACATCTTCAGTCATTTCTGGTTTAACAGTAATACCACCAGAGGATATATGTTGGGCACATTGGATGAAGTTGTAAAGTGTTCTATGAATGACTCGGTATTAATCCTCCCCGTAGCCAAAAGGGATTGATTTGTGGTGCTTGTCGAGGGCCGTGAAGAGGGTCGACAGGGACAAGCTTAGGCGTGCCTCCCGTCCTTGCCGGCTCCCCTTGCAACCACTGAAAGTCGCCATGATAGCCAAGGGCAAGAGTTCGTAACAAGACCCAATATTGACGAAATGTGAGCTTCACTCAAATCTAATATGATGTCAGGCGGCCGGGCCTTCGGCCTCGTCGCGTGCAGCATATGCGGTACAGATTGACAAATCCACAACAGCACAGGAAGTCCACGAGAATAACATCTTTCCGTATCAATATACCTACTTGATGACGGCGCTTTTATAGTATAATCTAGGTAGCTTAAGCGCGCTTCAGCCATGACAGTGGAAATGGGCGACTGCCTTCAGACACAAGAGCCCGAGAAAAGGATAAGCACGCAGGTCAGGCTCGGTGGCGTGCTTTGGCGTCACTTGGAGATATATTCGGGGCCCTTAGGCGTACAGACAGGCAGAGGTGGCTCTGGGCTTGGCTCTTGATCCCATACTATATGGATGCTCTGAACGCCCGTAATTGAATGGAGTGTGATGGCATATGATTGGCGCAGCCTCGCGGTATTCGGCCAAGAGTGAGGCTGTTGGGCTGTCAGGCTGTGGACTATCAGGCTCCTGATTGTCAGCCCTATCATGCAGGTCACCACATAGCCGCAAGGCAGACCAGCAGACGCAGCATCAACACATTGCTGTCTCAGCCCGTTCTTCCGTCTCGAGACATCGATTTTCGGTCTCACGATAGACACATAGTTTAGGCTCATACCCAAACTATGCATCAGGCGATTCGTCAGGCAACAAAAGACAACGGTCTAGAATCTCGGTTGAGCCATGTCCAATATCCCTCCCTTCGACCGCTCGCGCTCAAACAAGCGACAGAGATTGCAGGAGCCGCACATCTACGATGGAGCCTCAGTGGAGAATCCATGGGCAAACAACGTCCAGCCTTCGACGGCTCCCGAGACCGCCTCGACAGTCTCTTTGCCAAGCCCCCATTCCGCTGCGCGACCTTCAGGAAGAGCTGCCAACAGCGAAGCGATCATACAAGTGCCCCAAGCCTGGAGCAACTGGGACCACAACCCATTCGGTCCTGGTTTTGGGGGCATATTTCCTACACCACGTTCCCATGGATGGCCCGAAGGTCAACCAGGCTCATTCCCGGATTACAGAGCTCTCCGGGCGCCTAACGAGGCTCTCACTGGGGCCGGTTCTTATAGCGCCGCTACGATTGCCTTTGGCAGTCATGATCAAAGGTCTTACGGTGCAACCCCAGATACCTACTGCCATGAGATATTATGGCATGGCTGTGCCATATCACAGTCAACTGTCGACTACAACAACCCCAACTTCCAGCATAGGCTTCCGATCGCTGATAACCAGCTCAGTGGCTCTTGGGAGGTCTGCCCTCAATCTCAGATGGTGCCCAACCCTCCAAATCCTTCAATGTACGCCCTGAATTGCAGTTTGTCACCCGGCCCAGGGAGCTATCAAGAGTTTGGGGATCCCATCGGCGATGAGAGTGCCTTGAATGTCACCGTGACTGAATCGGATCTCATTTGCTTCGGCATGGTGAGTAAAAGTCTATCAAATGACTGCCGCGATCAAACGGTATTAAAACTCACTTCGTGCAGTTCGTAGGCATTCCAGGGACCTGCAAACGCCCTGCTCTGGCTGAAACATCAACCCATCCTATCAAGCTCGAAACTCCAGGGTCCTTCATTGGGACACAGGATCCTAACCTCAAGGGAGACGTGAGCCCTGATTCCACTTTTCTCACAACAGCCCTCCTGGAGGAATCAGCCCTCGAGCTTCAAATTAATTGTACAGTGTTGATAAATCCACCCAAGTTGATGCGCAACAGCAAGCTTCTCCGCGTATCAGGCCTCACATCACAGTGCTCTCTGGATATTATTCTCTATGGGCCAATCGAGCTTTCAAAACACATTTGCACCTTTATAGAAGAATGCAACGAATATCTTGAAGACCACTGCAAGTTATACCTTCAGGACCCGCTTGGCTGCGATCGAAATGTGCGATACTACAACCCGCACAGACTACCCCCGTTGGATCCGAAATGCATCCAGTTCACGTTTGATCTGGCACACAAACAACAGAGCCTCATAGAACTTGAAGACATCGGACCGCGGCCGGAGTTACTGGAAATCCTGAACTCCCAGGAGGACTTACCGGAAGCACTGCAGCCGCCTGCAATAGCGACGCCGCTGGAGAGGTATGTCCAGGCTGAAACTCTCCGACTTGCAATACCTCTGATATCTGACATGGTTGTTAGACATCAAAAACAGGCCTTGACCTTTATGTTGCGAAGAGAACAGGGCTGGGCATTTGATGGGGCCAGACCAGACATATGGGAAGCGGTAGAAAGCGGACAAGAGCATTGGTACGGCTCCTTGCGTTGCTACTCGTGATTTTCCAAGTGACTGACATCTTGAAAGCTTTATAAACCGAATATCAGGCGCCCGCCAGATGGATGAGCCACCAACGTTCTATGGAGGAATCATTGCGGATCCGATGGGCCTTGGGAAAACGCTCACCATGATCTCTCTCCTCGCCTCGGATGCGCACCATTCGACGTTCAGTGATGCGTCTGGGAATTCCGGGGTCCTTGGAGAGGAGTCTTGTGGACTGACATTAATTATTGTCCCACCACCTTGTACGTGTGTCTGACATAGTTTCTTCAGACGCTGAGAGGCTAATGAATGTTCAGTGCTGGGCACCTGGGAGGAAGAACTCTCGACGTGAGTGGCATTGCCCTGACTATAGCCCTGCGACAAGGTTTCCTTGAGCATCCAGTGCTGACAGCAATTGTAGCCATGTTGTCCCATCCAAGCTACCGTGGCGCTTGCACCATGGCAAATCTCGCCTCACAGACCCCTCAGAGCTCCAGAACACAGCGATTGTGCTTACCACTTATCACACAGTGTCTATAGAGTGGCGAAACTGGAGCGACCTCGAGTCTTCCTTGCTGTTCACAACCAGATGGAAACGAGTGGTGTTAGATGAAGGTATGGTATCACTAACTGGAGCACTAATAGTGGATGTTGACCTGGATAGCACACTTCATCCGCAATAGCGAATCGCAAATGGCGCGAGCCGTGTGCGCTCTCGACTCCGTCTCACGCTGGGCTGTCACCGGCACTCCCATTCAGAATCACCTCAACGACCTGGCAGCACTTCTCAAGTTCCTCAACGTCTACCCCTACAACGACAAACGTGTATTCGATGTGGATATCTCGCATCTGTGGAAAACGGACAACGCCGACGAGGCCGTAAAGAGACTGAAGCGTTTGGCGGGCTGCCTTCTCCTCCGCCGGCCGAAAGGGACCATCGAACTACCAGCGAGGCACGACCGGGCCTGCTATGTCGAGTTCCAACCTCGAGAACGAGAGTTCTATGACCAGGTCAAGTCACAGGCGATTGCGCGGTTCGATGAGGCGCTTATCCAAGGCAACCCGGAACCAAGAACGTTGTCTTTTGTGAGCGTCTTGCAGCAAATCGAGGCTATGAGAATGGTCTGCAATCTTGGACTTCTCTACCCTAGTAGACACACTTCGTCTAGTATGACAGGAAAGATGTCCGAAGTAGACGACTGGCAGAATACTGCACAGCGTGCGTTCAGCCTCCGTTTCGAGATGGGCAGTCTCCAGTGTCACTATTGCCCCTATACTGTCGACGCGGGCTACAATCCTCTCAGCGATACAGAGTCCACAAAGCCTCTCTTTACCCAATGCATGAGGCTCATCTGCTCGAGCTGCATGCAAGGGCTGTCACACAAGACCCAGGCGCTGGGATGTGGGCATAACCCGCCGTGTCCTATGGCTACTGTATCAATAAGCACGGCGAGTTTGGAGGAGTCGCCCCTTCAGATCTCACTCAGCAACGTTGTGGGATCTGCATACCTTCCTACAAAGGTGAAGGCTCTAATCGAGGACCTACAGACATTGCCTGGAGATGTCAAGTGGTACGTAAAGTCTCCTGGTGTATGGCATGGCTCCGGTACTTAATTAATGCTAGTGTCGTGTTCTCAACTTGGAGGATGACGCTCGACGTGGTTGAGTCAGGGCTCAAGCAAGCAGGCATTCCCGGACTCCGATTCGACGGCAAGGTCCCGCAAAAGGACAGACAAGGAGTTGTTGAGCGGTTCCGCAATGATCCCGCCATTCGTGTATTGCTATTGACTCTCTCATGCGGAGCAGTTGGGTAAATAAAATAGCGGATGTCCTGATGGCCGCTGTTCAATTTGCTGACTAGAGCCAAACGCAGGTTAACGCTGACTGTTGCGTCACGGGCATACCTGATGGAACCGCACTGGTAGGTGGAAGTAAGAGAACCTCTTAGCACAGTTATGCTCACAGTACTGCACAGGAACCCGACTCTTGAAGAGCAGGCACTCGCGAGAATCCACAGAATCGGACAAAAGCGAGAAGTGACAACACTGCGATTCTACGTGAGGGACTCATTCGAAGAGGTAGGACCCCAAACCACCAAGAACGTCTATAAGCAGTCTGGTCTAATGTTTTATCTTGAACAGAATGTCGTCAAGAATCAGCAGTTCAAGAAGGACCTTGCGGGCATTCTGCTTGCGCCAAGCGGGGCTGCTATCGACAACATGCAACATTTGGAGGTAGGTACTATCACAGAGCTACAGTGGAATTTTACTTGACTTTTTTTGCAGCGACTTCGGGCACTCATTTAGTTGTCTCCTTTACTGGCCTTTGAGTCAGGGCATATTGCTGCTCCGCCGCCGAGGCTTGGCCGTAGCTCGCAAATGCTAGCGTGGAGAGCTTCAAGGTCGCCGGCATGTTCTGCGGTACCAAAACCGGGCTCAATTTCTACGGTTAAAGGGATATCATACAGTAAGGTGAGAGGGGTGGCACATCACGAAAGGGCTCAGCCAGAATCGTCAGTTGCGGACATCCGGGAGGATAATAGCTACCAACTTTCTGCCGATCAACTTCGTGCATGTTACAGAGTCTATGCCTCCAGTTCTCATCGACAGCGATTGTTATTTCGAGACTGGATAAAATTACTCACTAAGCGGCGAAATGTTTCATCTTGCGCCGGACCGTGTCTTGTACACCAACTGCATACGGTGGCACCGTAGGCAAGGTGCGCAAAAGTGCAACAATAAAAATCGCAAAGCGCATATTGCGAATTGCAGCCTCTATAATTATAGCGCTTTGGCCACTAAATTTATAGGGCTCTATTCACTATAGCCACCTATAATATATAATACTTCTTCTAGTGGCTATGGTGGGCAGAGCCTGTGGGATATATCTTTAGCAGCCAACCTTCTACAAGAGAAGATTGAACTACAGCTGGCTGCTAAAGATATAGCTTGCAGGCTGTAGCTACTGCCATATTATAGTAGGCTGCTGTAAGTAGAGCTCCATAAACATAGAGGCTGTAGCCCTCTATGTTTAAGCTTATAATTTGTAATTTTGCAATTTCCGATTTTTTTTGGTTGCACTTTTGCGCACCTTGCCAAAGGAGCCGCCGCAACTGCACGCTTTCAACCCTGGGACGGATCGGATGACACCTTGCGGACAAATGGAAAAAGAAAACGTCGCAGTGCCACAGCATCACTCACTGGTGTGCCTTGCTGCGGACGGTGGCTATGCTGATATGGCCCAAATGAGTGCTCGACAGAATCAAGTACCCATCCGTCTTGCACCAGAAGCGCAAGAGAAATCTCCTCTCTTCAATGCGCAGAGGAGAAGTGTCAATATATCTGTTCTTGAAGCATCCTATATGACGGCAAGGACAGCGTTGAACCGAAATGCCGCTCTCCGCGCGAGTCTCGCCCGCAGCCCAGCGGGTCATCCACGACGCCTTCACCGACCTCAGCCGTACCATTTCAGAAAAGGACAGGGCAGACTTTGCCGACACGACATTGGAAAATGTGATCAAGGCTGCTCATGAGATCGAGAACCAGCTCGCCGCGCGCCAATTGCTGCGGAACATGAAGCGCCTGGTGCCGTTATTCACCGGCCTGGGCTACTACGCGAAGTCGATCGAGGTTGTCTGCAATGGCACACCATATCTGCCTTGGATATGGGCGCCAATCAAACTAATCCTCAAGGTACGTACTAATTTACTAGATTGCCAAGATCGCCAGAAACACTTGAGCGCTGGCGATGGTACTGGAAACTTGCAGCTGATCGAGTACGGTTCCTAGGTTTCATCTGACTGTGTCAACGCATTTGAGAAGATCATAACGGCGTACGCTCGGATAGCAGAGCCTCTAGCCAGATTCAAGATTCTCCACCAAACATACTCAAAGAACATGGAAGTCCAACAGACACTCGCTGTTTTTTACTCGGACATTCTCAGGTTCCACAAGGAGGCATACAAGTTCGTGCGAAGGGGCAGTAGGTCAACAATCGGCCATGTGTTCGACGGGAGCTAATGTATCGCAGGCTGGGAAGTATTCTTCATGACTTCCTGGGGCCGCTTCCAACGTCGGTTCGACGGCATCATTGACGACCTCAAAGCACACGAAAACCTTGTCGATAAGACCGCCAGCGTAGTGGGACTCGACGAGGCGCGGAAGATGAGGGAGGATCTGGTCGCCCTGAGACAAGAGTCGCTTGACAAAGTCACCAAGGAAGAAGAGGAGCGCACGGCGGCTCAATACGTCGCCATCGTCGGCTGGCTAAAAATGGACGACGCCGAACAAGTCAGAATCTTCGATTCCGTATTAGAGGAACCCCAGAAATATTCCGGGACCTGCGATTGGATATATGGCCAAAGCCAGATGTCGGCGTGGATGAGATGTACCCAGGAGTCACCATTCCTCGTTCTTCACGGTCATCCAGGAACCGGGAAAAGTGTGCTCGCCACTCAAATCACCACGTTTCTTAGGTCCTCGGGAAACTCGCTGGTCGTTTCCCATATTTGCACATACACGCAGGCGGCATCGACCGAGTATGACCAGATCCTACGGTCGATCCTCTTACAATTGGTTCGATCCGACACAGACCTAGTGGCTTACATCTTCGAAGAGTTCATCTTCAAAAAGAAGAGTGTCACTTCGCAAGCCCTCGAGCGTCTTATCCTAGAAGTTATCGATGCGGTTTCCAACAACCCCTCACAGACGAAGTGTGTCCACATCATCGTGGACGGGCTTGATGAGTGTGACAAGGAAAAGCAACCGAAGATCATCAATTTCCTCGAACGTATGGTAACCGTCGGTATCAACTCGACCTCAACAATCTGCAAGATTCTTGTCTCGACTCACATGCCGCCAACAGTAGCCAAGAAATTGAAGCAGAAGCACGTGGTGTCACTCTCCAACGAGAAGCAGGCCTTGGGGAAGGCCATCGCAAACTATGCCGCCCAGAGGCTTGGTGCGCTGCGGACGCGATGGTTTCAGATGGGGATTACGGATGCCGAACTCAAAGAACTTGAGACTCGACTGACCAAAAAAGCTGACGGTTTGTTATGATAGAACCCTACCCACGAGGTATAAACTAACCGAACTATAGGGATGTTTCTTTGGGCCCGACTGGTCCTGGAGTACCTTACAACCAACATGTTCGTCAAGAAAGCCGAAGTCATGGACGCCGTTGACACTCTCCCTCGCAAGCTGAGTGAATTGAAAGTCTCCTTATCAGCGGCTTCCTGTGGATGTTGGACTAACACTATGCAGCTACGGACAGATCCTCGCGCAACTCATTTCCCATTTCGACAAACGCTCGGTCGCTCGCCTTCAGTCAATATTTGGCTGGATTGCTTTCGCCAAGCGGCCCCTCCGAAAAGCTGAGCTTCGCTCTGCCCTCTCATATTCTGCTGAAGCGGAGGATGTCAACGTCGATGAGCTAGCTCCGAACTACTTGTTCGATATGTGTGCACCGCTCATTGAAGAGCGCAGTGACTCAACGTTTGCTTTCATCCATGCCTCGGTGAAAGAGTAGGTATACTGCGCCCATCTCACGAGTTCGCCGCTCATGTTGATAGATTTCTCCAAAGTCCTGAGAGCAACACTATCCTAGACGAGTTCAGCGCAGTACGCGAGCAAGGGCTCGCCATCGCATCGTGTTTATTGTCAGGGCTTCAAGTTTTCCAGCCCGCGTACCCGGAACAAGCCCGTTTTCTCCGAGTGCTTCGGGGCTTTCACGGCCTGCATGTGTACGCCTCAGAATACTGGGTAGAGTATCTACTGTATATTGCCGCCTCTAATAATGGGCTCGACACCAGCACGAGATTCTTCATTCGGTCGCACGAGCTTTCCATTGCATTGAACTCACTACACTCAACAGAGGACCAAGAGTTCGATCGGAAAACGTTGGACGACTAGTTTATCCACATTGAGAACCATCCTAAAATCTGGAATGCAGCAGGCATCATTGCATCACAACGGGCAGGAAGGACCACCAAAGGTGATGAACGAAACGGTAAATGTCGCCCCCAAATGTCCATCCACTCAGCTTCCATACTGATCACCACAATGGGCTTCAGATAGTCTCAGCGAGGTCAAGGGTCTATCTACACTATTGCATAATTACCAGCACACAGTCCAGGCGCTGCTCAAACTGTGGAGCTTTCCGGGAGTCAGTATTCAGCATCTCGAAAAGTTCAAGCAAGACTTCCGCTCCACAGCCTTCACTTGCAGGTTCTGGTCCTGTCCACTCACTGGCACTGGGTTCGAGGGTGAAGCTCTTCGGGATAGCCACGAACGGGCGCATGCCCCTCGTATGCCATGCAGCATATCGGGTTGCCAGTACCCTCCGTTCACCTCCGCACAGGCTTTGAAAAATCACCTCGTCAAGTATCACGACCAGGGTGTCCCCAAAATACGGATCAGGTCGCCACAGAACTCCAGTGATATTTCGGTTCCTAGCCAAACACGTCGTCGCCAGGAGGTTATTGGTGGAAGAACGACAAAAGATAGACTTTTGGGAACCATTGCTGAGACTTCCGGTCAGGCTCAACAAGCTCAACGAGGCCGGCCACCTGCGGTTGGCCATCATGAGCCTCATATAAGTCAATCTCACTTCCCATCGCGAACCCCATCAGTCGGTCTTAGTCTCGACTTGGATCAATCCATTTACCCCAAGGTAAATAAAGCCTTGGAGCGCTTTTGCCAGGCGCGTGACTTGGATCAATACCCTCACCCCCTGGCAAATCCTAAGTTGGACCGCTTTAGCGACGCGGGTAACAGTTTCCTTACCCCCCAGCTACCCTCCTCACTGCCTCCGACCACCAGCTCCGATACCACACTGCCTTACGAGACTCAGGTGCAACCCACCTACCTGCCTCCTAACCTCAACGACGGTGAAATCTCAATATTCCCCACCTCTAGCGGTCAGGTAGATCACTTTAAAGTTCGCTTGTTCGATCAATCTACACTCAAGCCAAGTGACATCAACAGCGTGATGTCCCCGCGGGCCCCTTACTCTCCGGTCCCTCCTCATCTAGTGCCTGCTCCAAAGAGCGTGAATCATCCTAGCACCGATGAAAATGCCGAAGTTACCGATGCCAAGCAGATGACAAGAAGAGTAACACCTGGTGGTAACGAGTCAGACGTCTACTTGGCACACCATGGCAACTTGGTACGGGCACACCTCGGGGCCATTGGCTATGAAGTGCAGAGACAATCATTACAAGAGATCATGGTAGATATTCCCATGAGCCCCGACCAGTATTTGAACATCGCTGCCGAGCTCCGGAAAATTAACGTGAATATGACGAAGATCGACAACGCACTAAGCAACTGGTACGCGATTACGCGTGATGATCAGCGTGCCAAAATGTTTTTCAGAACGGTAAGCCTCGGAAAATATCCCCCACTAGGTGGCATTAGCTGACTTTGATAGAAATCGCGCATTAGGAAGCAGTTTGTAGCCGGAGGGATGCTTAATACAACCAGGCCCTTCTTCAGCATGGGGGCGCGTGAAATTGCCGAATCTCGGGAGTTGCTTGAGGGTATGGCCAAGGACCTAGCTATCGGTTATGAGCGCTAGATGATGAAGGCAAACAGCCAACAGGGTGATTTTCAGAAACTAAATGTCCCGGAGCAGCATGAACAAGAGCTGTGGCAACAGAGGAGCAAGATTCGCTGTTTTCACTTTTCCCCAAAAGCCCATTTGAGTACCGCTATCCCAGAGTTTTAAGAATGGTTCCTCACCTAGCTGTATTGAGAGTATCTTGGATATTTAGTGTGTTTTTCTGGGCAGGAGTTGGCAATATAATAACTCACACCAATATTCAGGGTCTTCGCTACTAATTGGGGGCAGATGCATGCTTGAGCGACGAGCGTAATTGACTCGATGTACACCCATGCGGCTCGTCCACCTAACTTTAGATTCATAACATAACACGCCACTTGGCTGGCGCGGAGCATGGAGACTCGGGATAGAGACTCGGTATGCACGGCGTGGGGATTAGACGGATGCTCTGCGCAAGCCGAGCGTCCTCCGTGGTTCCTCCCGCGCCGATTTCTAGGAATAGTACGAGCGTGTGGTTGTCGATGCGGAGCGCAACAGACATCCCAAGGCGGCCATGTTAATCTACCTTGAGGACGATCCGGTTGTCGCTAAGACCTTCTACATCTTGGCCCCATGGGCTCAGTCTTCTAAGTATTGACTGAACTCGTAACTCTCTTTGGTCACTTCTCCAATGTTTCGGATGGCCCAGTAGATCAAAAATGAAACCAGGAAGGAGAAGAAGAGGTACAACTATAAGTCAGAGTTGTGGTGGTATGAAGGTCGTCATGAACCGTCGCACTCAATCTACCAGGATGGCAAAAAGAAAGTCTCGCGTTTGCTCACAATCGTATTTATAGGAATAGCCCGATGCGGGGGTCGAACCCGCAACCTTGAGATTGCGTACTCGTAAGAGTCTCACGCTCTACCGATTGAGCTAACCGGGCGTGACTCGTATTTGATGGAAGACAAGACGTTCGAATTTTTCATGAAGAGCCTGGTTGTGGATTTGGTGGGTTCACCTTGTGGATGTTTGGTGTGGTGGGGTGGGGTGGTTGCTTTCTAGCCTGTGGATCCTATTTGGGCTGGTATAAGTTTGGAAAACTGGAGTCCAGTCGAGTTCTAACTTTTCACAATGAAGTAGGACTTAGGTACTCTTCACTCATGACATTACAATTATCTCATAACATGTCTATATACTCGTTCAGCCATTCATCTCATTGCACTTAGACGGCCGTGGCAGTAGCCGAAGTCGAAGCCAAGCCGGTAGAGCAGACACATCCCTGGCCAGAAATGCTGGTCACCGGGGGCGCATTGCAAGTGGCCTCGGTGGTCCACGAAGCGTAGGTCGAGGTGGGCTCGATGTGGACCTGCTTGGCCTTGACGAGCACGGGGATGATCTGGCCGGTGGACAGCTTGAAGGCGCGGTGGTTGAGCGTCGTCAACAGCTTGCTGATCTCACCAGAGTGGCTGGTGATGCTGATCCAGGTGGCGTCGTCGCTGGTGAAGACGTCGTCGAGGACGTCCTTGCTACGGGCCAGCTGGTGCTCGGTGGTCTCACCCTCAATGCCAGTCCACAGCTGGTCGCGGTCGGCGAAGCCCTTCTCGAAGCGGAGCCCGGGGCTCAGGCTGGCGATGTACGTCTTGTTGGAGCGGTGGTCGCACGTGTGGATGCTGATGCTCTCGCGGAACGACTCCTTGACGACGGGCAGGAAGCGGTGCGAGCGCGGGAGGGCCAGGTTGGCGAAGGTCTCGCGCGCGGTGATGACGCAGCGGGCCAGCGGCGACGTGTAGTACGACTCGAAGTAGGGCATGCCGTGCTCCTCGAAGCGGGACTGGAAGTAGGCGTTGGCCTTGTAGGCCTCCGCCAGGCCGGCGTTGGTCAGGACAGCATCCTCCCAGTGCGCGGTGCCATTGCCGGTTTGCTCAGACCAGTAGCACTGCGAAGTGTCAGTAGTCTAGAGACAAATATGTTTGAACAGGAAAGACTCACGTTCCAGGCAGGAGTGCCGTAGTAGGTCTCAGCAGCGTTGTGCCAGCCCTCACCGTGACGACCCATGATGAGCACCTTGTACTGGGTGTCCTTGGGCGCCTTGCGGTTAAGCTGGTCGACATACTTCTCGAAGCGCTCCCACTGGGTCTTGTAACCCTTGGGCCAATCGGCCTTGGTGGGCTTCTGGCCCTTCCGCTTGATGGTCTTGCGCTTGGGATCGCTGGTGTAGGTGCGGTTCAAGAGGCCAAAGTTCCAGTCGGCCTGGGGTTGTCAGCTCAAGCCGTGCGATTGATCAATGACGAAGTCAACTTACGTAGTCAAAGGCAGCCGCGTCGGTGGTAGTGTTGTCCTGCATGAAGAAGCCCTCGACCGACGAGTACTCGATCTCCCGGTTCTTGGCGATTTTCCAGTCGGCCATGACGGCGGGCGTCAGGGCCAGGACGGAGGAGACGACGGAGAACTTCATCTTGAGGAGGGGCTTTTGGCTTGAAGATGCTGGGTGAGAGGTAGATGGCACAAGACAGACGGCATTGTGGTGACGGCGTGGATGTATTTGTATTCATTCATCCATGGTCTCCCACCCGCGTGGGTTCGATCGCCGTTCCTACGTCAAGGTCCCATCCCATGGCAATCGTCAGGGATCATTCTAGGTCCCCGGAAATCCCGACCACATGGACGGGTCCGATTCAAGGTTTAAAGCGTGCGTCCCACCGAACGGCGCAGTCCAGGCAGCGCAAAGATTCTTCCGCGATGGGAGCATTTGGTGTTGAGGGGAGAAATCCTGGGGGCGTGGGCCAATCGATCGGGAACGTGACGGCCCCCAGGACCAGGGGGTGGAGATCCGCCAGGGATCCAGCAGCGCAGCACCGCCGGGGCCTTCGGTGAGAGCTTCGCGACAAGGCCCGGAGATGAAGCCTCGGGGGCTAGATCAGAAAGCGAAAAAGAGGCCGGTCATGATGCGGACGTACGCGGCGGATGGGGACTGTTGGGGCTCGATTGAGTTAAAGGGCTGGATAACGGCGCAACGTGGGCGACTAGTAGGGCGACTATAGGTGCGCAATCAGCCTGGTTCAGAGGAGGTGTATTCGCGTCTCGCGTGCTAGACCCCGTCTATTTATTTAGCCCAGACCTTTCCTTCTGATGTAAGACAGAAAGAATCCAATCGAACAATTAACCTCAGAAGCCACCATTTATTTACACGTGAAAGCCACGCTGCCAGATAGTCGGTGAAAGACCCAATGCGACTATGGCGCGCAGCAACCGACTCCATGATTTAGTCTCCATCCATCGTGCGCCCGCCAGGCACGCGCCAATCAGATCATCATCTGTCCATAAAACGAAATTGTTAGGCCGCCCAGCGCAGCGACACGCGCCCCCTAATTAACCACCTACGTACTCCCGTAGCTCCGTACCAACCTCCATAATCGTAGTTAGCTATCGCGAAAGCTCTCCTTTGAGCCTCATCACCTTTGTTTGCCGAGCCACGTGGACAGAGCCTTTTGATCCCGATCCCAATCACCACACTCACTCACTCTCTCTCAATCCGCAATGTCGTCAGCAGACATTGACCCCGCCAACTCCACCGAGGGCCTCGTGCTGGAAGGCGACCCCGCGCCCGAGCTCGTCGAGGGCCGCATCTGGGTCGACGGCTGCTTCGACTTTTTCCACCACGGTGAGTTTGCGTGCTCTCGCTGGATGAAGCATCGCGGCTGACACGTCTAGGCCATGCTGGTGCCATTGTTCAGGCCCGCCAGCTGGGCACCGAGCTCTATGCCGGCGTCCACTCCGACGAGGAGATCCTCGCCAACAAGGGCCCTACCGTCATGACGCTTGAAGAACGGTGATTACGCCCTCTCCTAGCTCCCGAGTCGTGTCTATTCCAGGTTTTCGTCCTTGCCAAGTGGTAAGAGACACAAACAACCTAGCGAAATAACTTCACAACCACCCACAACACCAACGTCCCACTTACTAACCACCACAGCCTCGCCGCAACCAACGCCTGCAGATGGGTCACCCGGTCCGTCGGGTCGGCGCCCTACGTCACCTACCTGCCGTACATCTCGCACTACGGCTGCAAATACGTCGTCCACGGCGACGACATCACGTCCGACAGCGACGGCAACGACTGCTACCGCTTCGTCAAGGAGGCCGGCCGCTTCAAGGTCGTCAAGCGCTCGCCCGGCATCTCCACCACCGACCTCGTCGGCCGCATGCTGCTGTGCACCCGCACGCACTTCATCAAGTCGCTCGAGCGGAAGCTCGCCGGCGCTGAGGGCGACGGCACCGATGACGAGCGCAGCGTCCAGGCCGCCGCCATGATGGAGCGCATGCGCCTCTACGCCACCGACGCCTCCGGCCTAGCCCCCGGCGCCGACGTCTGGTTCTGGTCCGCCTCGGGCCCGGCCAAGGCTGCCGACACGGAGGAGGAGAAGGGTTCCTTCCGTCAGCTGATCGAGGGTCCCGGCCCCAAGCCCGGCCAGCGTGTCGTGTATGTCGATGGTGGCTTCGATCTCTTCTCCAGCGGCCATATTGAGTTTCTGCGTCGTGTCGTCATCGAGGAGGAGGAGCTGGCGCGCGCCGATGGCTGGTACTCGGAGCAGAACGTCAACGAGCGCAAGGGCAAGGGTGAGGACTATCCCCCAGCGTATGTCGTCGTCGGCGTCCACGAGGACTATGTCATCAACCAGTGGAAGGGCGTCAACTACCCCATCATGAACACCTTCGAGCGTGGTCTCTGCGTCCTCCAGTGCAAGGTAAGCAAGCACCCCCTTCACTCACCTTCACGACTAACACCCACAGTACATCAACGCCGTCGTCTTCGGCGCCCCCTTCACGCCCACCAAGACATACCTCACGTCGCTCCCGCGGGGCACTCCCGACGCCGTCTACCACGGCCCGACGTCCTTCATGCCGCTGACGTACGACCCGTACACAGCGCCCAAGGCCATGGGCATCTACCGGGAAATCGGCGAGCACGCCTTCTCGGAAGTCAACGCCGGCGAGATCGTGCAGCGCATCATGAAGAGCCGCGACATGTACGAGGCGCGCCAGCGGGCCAAGGGCATGAAGGCCGAGGTCGAGAGCGCCGCGCGCGAGCGCGAGTTGATGGAGGAGGAGCAGCGCAAGCGGGAAGCTGATCGGTCGTGAAGAGCCGGGCTTACGGCGCGTGTGTTGGCGGCGGTGGTAATGTGGCGTGGCATCATCCTTACGTATCTGCCGGGCTGGGATGAGTAGTTAAGAGGTCTTCAACAGGCCGCCCGGCTCAAGACGGATATACAGATAGACAAAAGCAACAGCAACAGCAACGAATGACGCAATCTTTGTTCGAACAAGACGATTTTGGCTGGTCACGATGTGAGAAGTCAGGTGTCAGCACTGGGGAGCCAATTCTAGTTAACTTGAGGAACGTGCTTGACGAACTAAGACCCTAACTCGGGTCATTCATAAGAAATTAGACCTTCCTACTGGTAGTTCTTAATTTTTTGACTTGTCACGAGACACCGTATTCTTTACAATGCCGCAATCCCAACAATGACACTCAAAACACAACCACCAATGATTCATCACGGCCAAAAACGCACGCCCCTCAACAATCCAACCTCTCATCTCCCCTTGACACATCAGATCGGCGATACTCCATGCAGGTTTGCATGCGGTGCGACCATCCCCGCCCCCGAGTCTAGGGTAGCTCGCGCGCGGCGGAACCGAGGGGCATGACCTCATAGCTAAAGCCGTCGCCGCGCGTTTTGGGGCAGACAAGGCAATTCGCGGCTACCCACGGACCAAGGCCGCAATTCCGCCCCTTCAACTCAATGGCCAAGTCCCGGATCATATGAGGGAGATAATGGGCGTGGTGGATGGCCGGGAATCTTTTGACAAGTTTGGTAATCGTCCATGATAGGTCTGCCGGATACATTTTCGATTGGCGACGTCGCCGTGGGATTGGACAATGCCGCCCCGGGGTTCGTTGACGTCTCTCATCCCGGCATCGACAGGTCATCACCATGTTGAAGAGTCGGCCCGCGTCTGCATCTGAAATTCCGGATGCCATTTGTCCATCTTCGGACCTTCCGAATCTGTCACTGAGCCGTTACACTCTCAACTCATCCGTACATGCTTGTAAGGCGATGGGCGTGCTGCTGCGCGCCCTACAGCGGTGGGGCTTGTAGTCGGCATTGCTTCCGCACCGGCCGGGGCGCCCACCCACCCACAGCAGCCGCCCGTCGCCGGGTGAAGAGTCTTTGCCCGCCGTGCAAACGCAACACGCTGGCCCGGGTACACCTTGAGCAGCCACGAAACCCAGAAGCCGAGAGCAGGTGATGTGGAATGCCAATGCAAGATAACGCAGAGCTAATTCCCTGCCAGAACAACACACGGCTCTCTTCCTCAGCCGCCCAAACTTTCACACAACCACCACCCGCTGCCCGCAGAGTGGAGCCGCACGGAGACCCCAGCATTGTGGTCCCCCTCGATAGTGGCGGCGGAAGCGGTGGGCGAGTGGGTTTCGTGCTTTGTGCGCGCGGATGACTAGCTGGATCCTGTCGTTATCGACGCCGGCGCCGAGCGCGGCGCGGGCAGAGGCGGGATATCCGTTGCAAGCCTTTGTTGTCTCATCACCTGCCCCCGTCCCACTCGGCGGTTCGGTGTCAGGGAGAAGCGGAGCGAGTCAAGGGGTTTCGTTCGCTATAAAGTTACCTCTGGGACCCGGTGGCTGGCTGTCTTGGATCTTCTCTTGTTCTAGTCTCTCTGTATCCCGTGTTAGTGTGCTGCGCGTGCTTGTACAACTGCTAGAACTTTGCTTGCCATTGTTGACTGAGTCACCCTTCGACTCATCCACCATCGCCGCTTTCCACCACCACTAATTGACCATCCCATCATCACCATGGCTCCCTCCGCTGTCGAGACTCAGGATGTTGACCTGACTGCCGCCGCCATCCACAAGAAGGAAGCCGAGCCTGCCGTTGCCAACGGCCATTCCATTGCTCCCCTCGACGCCTCCAAGCTCACCTATACCTACACCACCAACCCCCGCACCGTCCCCGACGAGGCGACCGCCCATGCCGGCGATGAGACCATTGCGACCGACCACATGGTCCTCGCCTCGTGGAAGGCCTCTACCGGCTGGAGCAACCCCGAGCTGAAGCCCTACGGCCCCCTCAGCCTCATGCCCACCGCATCGGTTCTGCACTACGCCACCGAGTGCTTCGAGGGCCTCAAGGTCTTCCGTGGCTACGACGGCAAGCTGCGCATCTTCCGCCCGGACCGCAACGCCGCCCGTCTGCGAATGTCCTCTGCCCGCATCTCCCTTCCCGTCTTCGAACCCTCTGAGATTGAAAAGCTCATGATTGCCCTCCTTTCTGTCGACGGAACCAAGTGGCTTCCCAAGGACCGGGCTGGCAGCTTCCTGTACATCCGCCCGACCGTTATCGGCACTGCTCCTCAACTCGGTGTTGGCGCACCCAAGCAGGCTCTCCTTTACATCATTGTCACCTTCATGCCCCGCATGGACGCACCCCCCGGCGGCATGCGCCTGCACACCTCGCCCGAGGACATGGTGCGCGCCTGGGTCGGTGGATTTGGCTACGCCAAGGTTGGCGCCAACTATGGCCCCTCGTTGCTGGCCACGGCCGATGCTCGGAGCCGCGGGTTCCACCAGATCTTGTGGCTGTACGGCCAGCAAGGCGAGTGTACCGAGGCCGGAGCCAGCAACTTCTTTGTGGTCTGGAAGCGAAAGGATGGCAAGAAGGAAATCATCACTGCCCCTCTAGATGACAAGCTGATCCTGGATGGCGTTACTCGAAGGAGCTGCCTTGAGCTGTTCCGGGAGAGGCTGGGTAGTGATTATGAGATCACTGAGCGCAAGTACACCATCGACGAGGTCATTGAAGCTGATGCTGAGGGCCGACTTCTCGAGTCCTTCGCTGCTGGCACTGCTGTAAGTCTACCGTTTCCTGACATTAAACACACCAAACTAACTTGTTCTCAGTTCTTCATCTGCCCTGTCTCGCAGATCCACCACCGCGGCCAGAACATCGACATCCCCATGGGCCCTGAGGCTACCCCCGGCGAGGTCACTACCAAGGTCAAGGGCTGGCTCGGCGACATCATGTACGGTCGCGTGCAACACAAGTGGGGTGTCGTCATCCCTGAGAAGGAGTAAATATGGAACGAGACGAGGAAAAAACGCTGGTGGCCTAGAGGCTACCAACTTTGGAAGATTCATGGAACGGCGTTTGGGGCATTGAACTCACAAAAGGGTCCGGGCAGTCTTTGCCGAATTAAACTGACATGGGCCACGAGTGGCCAAGTAGCTGCAGTAGTAATGAGATATGAAAATAGAGAATTGCAGTTGATTGTTTATAGCAATCAAGATATACTCAGCTCGTGTCACTTGAAGTTAACTCCTCCCACACAAGATTATTGCATTGCCAAATCAGCTGGACCAAATTCATAACGCCCACAAGATTACATGACTCGGGTATCTCATTCATCAATCATGATTTGCATTAGTCTCATCGACTCGGCCTGGATCTTGGACTTGAACTCCTGGGAAGTGTTAGCCAGGACAGTCCCGCGGATCATTGACGTACCTTTTCCATGCTTCCTAGCAATTGGCACTGCTCTTTCACGATACTCTCAGCTTCCGCCTTAAACCGTTTGGCCATTTTTGCGGCGTCTTCATCGGCCTTGGTAGACCCTTGGTTTGCATCCCCCGTCAATGATTCCCAAGCATCCAGCTCAGCCTTGGCACATTCGTCCCACTCTGCTTTAAGTCGGTGCAGCTCTTCCTTTGTCGATGAAAATTCTTTTTTCAGGTTGGTCAGGTGATCGATGATCGATGCGTGGGGGAAGTTGTCCGAGTGGCACAGCGTCGCAGAGAGCGGGTAGGCAATGTTGGAGTAGAGGGCCTCGTTTTCCAAGAGGGTGGCCGACGACTCGCCCACGAAGCGAGAGATTCTCGACTGAATATCGGAATGAGCTTCGATGAGTTGAGCGGTAGCAGAAGCGTGAAGATTTGTGCCGGCTTGAGCAAATGACTCTACGTTTCTCAGTCAGCACGGGATTTCCGGAGTGTCAGCCAAACCCACCTCTCAGTTGCGTCACTGCATCAGAATCATGCTCTGGGGGTGAAATGGGTACCCGCTCATCGCGCCGAGATGATCCGAGATCAGCACCAAAGCAGGCCCGGAATTGCTGATAAATGTGATGGTGCGTCGGGGGCTTCGGCGAGGACGCGGGTGCTGGGGCTTCTGGACTGCGCAGTCGAGCTCGCAGGGTGGATGAGGAATTGACGTTGTCGGTCCACATAGTTGAGCTTGAACCAAGAACGCGATTGGAGTTTCCGTCCATGGCTGCGACGAGTTGGGTTGATGGTGAATTGGACGAGGCCGTGGTGGTGAGTATGAGATTATGAGAAGATGAGAGGAGAAGGTGAATGAGAAGTAGAATTAAGACGACGAAGAAGAGCAGGATCGGGAGGGAGACGCCTCGACCTGGAACGAGCGCATGGTTTGAAAAGTCGGCAGGAAATATGAGGCAGGTGCGGCGATGCTTGTGTTGGAAGGTACGACCCAGGCTGGCAGCTGGCAGCTGGCAGCTGCCCGTCGGTTCTTAGTCGGCGGTCAACCCATCACCAAATTTGGACCAAGAGACACGATCAAGCTTGCATCAAGCATGAAGCACGTTATCTATGTACTGTCAATGTTCAAAATGAACATATCTGGGCTTGTATAAATTATTGAACTTTCATTTTGGTGTTGGCACACGCCGATTAGATCCCAAGCCATCCTCATCCCAGTAATCCCACCAACGCCGTGTACATGACGACAACATCAACCAATATCAACCCTCGCAATACAGTATCGTATCCATCATTTCTTGCGCAGCCCAACCTTCTCCTCAATGACGGCCACGATGGTTTCCCAGCTGACCATGCCGCCCTCGCCGACATCTCCGCATGCCAACGCCTTCGACACAGGCCGGAGAACCTCGACCCAGCCATTCTCACCTCCCCATTCTTCCTCAAGGGTCTTGATTTGCTTGGCCGTAATTGGGTGCCTCCACATTGCGGTGTTCATGCTCGGAGCCACAACAATCTTCTTGATGGTGCCGCCGTCGACCGTTCCTGTGGCATCCCAGGCGCGGATCACCGACGTCAGCAAGTTGTCGCACATGCCGTTCACCATCTTGGCCATGGTATTGGCGCTTAGCGGCGCAATGACGAGAACGTCCGCCCACTTGCGAAGGTTGATGTGGAGGATAGGCGCGCCGCGCTTCCACGGCTTGGCCCACTCGGAGGAGTCCGTATACACGGCGTCGACGTTGGGCATGTAGTTGACGGCCGAGACGGTGGGCTGCTCGGCCGACTGGCCGGCAAGGAAATGCACCGCCGAGCCGGTGAGGATAATGCGGATGGACAAGTTCCTGTGCTCGCAAAGCCCGTCGATGATCTGGACCAGTTTAATGGTCGCTACAGACCCGCTTGCTGCCAGTAGCACATGGAGCTTGCCGTCATTTCGGCCCTGCTCGAGCATTTCGGCCGAGTTTCGCGTCAGTATATCATGGTGGGCATCGCGCCCGTGCTGGGTCTTGTGAAGCATGGCGACGAGAGTTTAATGTGTGATAGAAGTGGTGCAGCTGTGAGGTTCCAGTTACGACTGGGAGTGTTGCTGTTACTGGTGTTGTTGGTGATGGTAGCTGTCAAAAGCCCTCGGTGGAGTGGATGTAACTTGGATTGTGGGGGAGCTAGCTTATATAGCTTTTCCTGTTCAGCTCAACGAACTATGAACAAGTGAAGTTGCAATCGAATAAATTAATGCGAATGTTCAGCTGATGTAGCAGCTAGCTTGAAGGTAGAGAGCTTGGTAATAGAGTTCCACACGCTGATTGAGGGCGGATTGCAAGCAGCATTTAACCCCGCCAACATCCCCACGTCATCCGATGTCACCGATGAAGACCGACGAAGCGTCATGAGTGTGACCGATCATGACCGATTCTCGCAGTCGCACCTCCGCTTTCGTCGTCGCAATGGCCTGACGGCCTGACTGGCTAAAACTTTCCGTCCCGGTGCCTACGAAAGGATTGGTGGTTGCGCAGCTGTGAAACCTGCAAACTCGGCGCAGCAAGTTTGCAAACTGCAACGAGCTCGTGATGCGCAGCTGAACGACCGGCTGCGATGCCGGTGCCGTTTATTACCGGTCTCCCGCAGAACATGGCGCAGGTGTACAGGGTAGGCACGGAGCAGCGCAGGGTTTCGCTCAGGATTGGCCCTGTTTTGTGCCGAGACAGGTCCAGGGCAGCCACAGGTTCGCCACCGGTCAGCCACACCTGTGCTGTTCGTGCGTTGAATTAGCAAGCTGGCGATTGGTCATCAACCCGGCTCACCGACGCCACACCTCGCTCTTTCCCGGGGCGGCTTTGACATCACCCAATTCCTCTGCGGTCCGGCCTCGACAACTCTGAGTCTCGCACCATTCTCGCCATCCCAGATCCCCGAAAATGTTCACGCGAATAGTTGCTTCGGTGCGCGTGCCGATATCGCCCCGCTTCTCGTCCGTTACTGACCACTTTTGACCTCAGACGCTGCTCCGGGCATCCGCTCGGCCGGCCGCCTTTCGTGCCCCGGCTCATGCCCTCCGAGCCTCGCTCTCGCCCTTGGCACCGCTGTCGCCTCTGACGCCCTTCCAGGCTCGTCTCCTTTCGGACCAGACTCGCACGGCCATTGACAAGGCCGTGTCGTCTGCTCCCGTCGTCCTGTTCATGAAGGGCACCCCCGAGACGCCTCAGTGCGGATTTTCGCGCGCCGCCATCCAGATCCTCGGCATCCAGGGCGTCAACCCCGAAAAGTTCGCCGCCTTCAACGTCCTCGAGGACCCCGAACTGCGCGAGGGCATCAAGGAGTACTCGGACTGGCCCACGATCCCCCAGCTGTACGTCGACGGCGAGTTCGTCGGCGGCTGCGACATCCTCGTCTCGATGCACCAGGGCGGCGACCTGGCTAAGATGTTCGAGGAGAAGAAGGTACTCTTCGAGGGTGAGACCGAGGCCGAGAAGAAGGACTGAGGGGAAAACGGGATCGAGTGTATGATACGCTGAAATGTAATACGGACTTCACGAGATACCTCTGTACAGAAACGACAAATAGATTTGGGGCTACATGGGTGTGGCATCTACAAAGGATATGCGGCTCCGTCCGCCCTCATGTCGCTTCCTGCCGACCAGAGCGGCGTCTTGTCGACTGGGTCAACAGTGTATCGGATGATCTGGCCCCGGCCAAACATGCCCCTCTTCCAGTCTTTGAGAACGACCACCTTGTGCCCTAACTTCCTCAGTCCCTCGACAGTCTCCTCCGCGACTCCCTCCTCCACGTTGACCGTCCAGTCGAGCACCCCTCCGTGCTCTGGCATACCGGCCCCGATGCATATTCTCGGGGCGTCGAGAGCCTGTTGCGGGTTGAGCTTCGCAACGACCTGACCAAGAAGCACTTGCAGGTGAGCCTGCGGCTGATTGAAACCGCCCATGATGCCAAAGGAGGAGTGCAGGGATCCGTCGCTGAGGTTCGTTACCATTCCCGGGATGATTGTGTGGTAGGGCCTCTTTCGGGGCTCGAGCTTGTTGGGGTGTTCCGCGGAGAGTGAAAAGTTGGCACCACGGTTCTGCAGCGTGAACCCACAACCCTTGGGAATGATGGCCGTGCCAAAGCCGCCGTAGTTGGAGTTGATAAACGACGCAGCATTGCCGGCGGCATCAGAGACTGTGAAATAGACCGTGTCGCTGCTTTGAAGGGCTGGTGAGGCGAATGGCGGGTTTCCGTGAGCCACTGGGTCATGTGCCTTGGAAGGGTTGAACAGCTTGGCCCGCTCACCCAGGTATTCCGGAGAGATCAATCCCTCTGTCGGGACCTTTGTGATATTCGGATCGGTGACATACCAGCTGGCGTCTGTAAAGGCGAGGCGAAGAGCCTCGATAATGGCATGGAGGTATAGCGTTGTGTTGAAGTCCTCGGGTCCGAACTTGGGGATCTTACCTTGCTTCTCCAGCTCCTGGACGATACCTAGCGCCATTAAAGCAACAATGCCCTGTCCATTCGGCGGGTGCTCCCAGAGCTCGACTCCTTCGTCTTTGCCCTCGCTGGTGAGTCCTTGGCCTCGGAACTTGACCGATATGGGCTCGACCGGCTCGCTGCCCTGCTGCAAGTGGTGCTCGAGATCGGCCAGTTCCAGGTGGCCTCCGAGGTCCTGCACCACCTTTACGTACTCCTCCGCAATGCGACCGGTGTAGAAGCCCTTCTTGCCCTCGGTGGCTAGAGTTCGGAATGTCTTTGCCAGTTCAGGGACCTTCATGATCTCGCCCGGTCGAGGCGCTCTGACCCCATCCTTTGCGGCGGGATCCTTCTTGAGCATCTCTGCGAAATTGGGAGAGGCCGCCCGAAGCGACTTTTCGGAGGCTTGCCACTGTGAATTATTAGTGAAGAACATCAACTTGAGGCCTGAACATACAGAGTGTGATGCCACCTCGGAGACGGGAAAGCCTTTCTCTCCCAGCTTGATGGCCGGCCCTAGGATTTGGCTCATAGTGAGCTTCCTACTACCAAACCTCTCGACGGTATCGACCCATCCGGCCGCAGCTCCGGGAACCGTAGCGGCATGAACGCTGGACATGGGAATCTTGCCCTCAGTACCGTCGGGGATGTTGAGGTCCTTGCGGATGGTCTCCAAGGTACACTTGGCGCCTGAGCGGCCCGACCCGTTCATTGCCTTTACTTGCTTCGTGGCCGCATCGTAGAAGAGAATGAACATGTCACCACCGATTCCGGTGGAACATGGCTCCGTGACGTTGAGGCCGGCAGCTATTAATTGTTAATACGGGATATCGCGTATTTATCTGCTTGTTTTGTCTCATACCAACTGCCACAGCGGCATCCTGGGGTTGGGTCAACACGATGCGGGGATCATGGCGGGGTAGACCGCAGACATGGTGGGACTCACAGCAGCATTGCCTCCAGCTCGGAGGACCTCGAGGCCGCAATTCGCAGCTAGAGGCTGAGGACAAGCGACGATTCCTTGGGTGCTGTGAACTACACTTCGACGAGAAGGAAACTTGGCAAAGTCGGCCGAGGACGGCTGGAAGACAGAGGAAGTGGGGAGAGGCATGGTGGGATGTCGGGTCAGTCTTAGTCAACGATAAGGGCGCTGAGCGTCAAGGGCAAAGGATAGAATGGTTAAGACAAAGCAAAAGAAATAAATATGAGCTGAGTTTAATAAGAAAGAGGCCGGTTGGAGGGATCTACAGACACGACACCTTGCATGTGGTGAGTGGTGAATGGTGACTAACTTGATGGCGGGGACGGGGCAGCATGGCGGGGTACCGTTTTAATGTCGTGATACTCTGTCTTCGCCGATCACGGGCCCTGGTTATTGGAGGGCGCCTTGGCACTACGGTAGATTATTGCAACCTGATGGCATTTGAGAAAACGCAGTCTTAATAGCAAAGACTGATGCATGAATACGATATGACAAGAACTCGGGCTTTCAGAAGTGAGCTTCCAATAGTTGTGATTCCAGCCGGCCAAGACCGAGAGGCGCGACACAGTCGCTTATCCTACTTCCATGTCATCCCCATGCGCTGCAGCCAGGCGTAAAGGGAACCCTTTGGAACCCGCCCAATCGATCTCATCCATGCGGCTGCGAAACTGCCTGCACAATCGTATTGTTAGTGGTGGAAGACCTTGAACATTGTATCTGCTTACCCAGTCGGGGACCGTTCGCAGCGAAGCCGAGTGCCTCCAACACCCACGGCGCAAGCATGATGAGGACTCCCAGGGCAATCAGTGTCCCCGCTGCAATCAGAACTGTATAGTGCGGATTCTCTTTGGAGAATTCTTCGGCTGTATTGGTGGCCTTCTCGATGGCCTCCGTCATGGCAGACGACGTCGCAGCGCCGTCCTTCAAGAGCTTCTCAAGGCCGTGGAGGATGGACTGTGCCAAGTTCTCCGTCCACCCGTTGGCAGAGACAATCTGCTTCAGGCGATTTTCGAGCTCTTTGCCAGGCTTTTCGGCAGTGCGAAGCGTTTCGACAAACTGAGCTGCCGCGTCGTCGGAGTACGGCACAGGCTGCTTCGCGATGACGGCCTTTTCGGAGGGCGCTGCGTTGTGCTGGTGAACTGTGTCGCCTTGACTAGGAATGCAGAAAAAGAGAGAAGAGAGACAATCCATGATGCGAGAGAATTTGGGGGTTTATGTGAGGATGCAAATGTGTTGTTTGGTCTGCTCTGGAAGATGGGGTTTTATCGGGCGGGGAGGAGGGAGGAGCCTCGTTTTTGGACTTCTCGTTGGTCGCCTGATCGAGAGGAAGGCCTCCCGCCTTATCTCAAGTGCAAGCAACCATTCAACGAAGAGTGTCGGTTGCTCGCATTCTACCGCCTTCCATTGGCAAGATCGCGTTGGCCCGAAGTGAGACCTTCGGCCGCATTCACGGCCAACAGCGGGCAGTGTCGAAGCGGCAATGCACCACCAAGGCTTTGACAAGGCTCTCTAAAGATTTTGGCAATGGAAATGATTTGACCGAGACGGAAACCTAGACTACTACGTCACATTGCCGGGCATGAATCCGCGCTAGATGACCCTGGGACGATGGCGATCGAGCACAACGCTCATGAGTTCAACTCTCACAGACGGGTTGATGAAGTTCAAGCTAAAAGGGCAACTAGAATGTTAAATTTTTTTTGTTAAATGTGCCCCAAAGGCGTAGTATTTCTTTCTTTCATAGAACTAGCTTTGTCTTGTTTTCATGGTCAGCCACCAGACTATTTGAGCTGATGGAATGAAGGGTGATCCCTTGGTCCTTCTCTCGTTTTGCCCACGATCTTTGTCTGCTTTCCTACTGGGCTGCTTCCCGCCTCCCCTGCCTGCTTGGACTCATCCTGGGTGGATTCCCGCTACACCTGGCCAAACTGCCCTTTAATCACTGGATGTTCTATCCTCTCTTTATTGTTGCAAGCGGAGTCGATGGCGTGGGCGATACTGGCTCTGATCGTCTGGGTTTCCGTGATACCGGGTTATGGGCTGGCGTCGGAAAGATCTGGTGTGTCAGGGATGCGGTTTTTCTTGAAGAGTGCTGCACCGCAACCGACACTGAGTGAACAACATTAGTTGATAAGAACCATGAATCTCGATCCTGGATTCCCTTACCCACGACTTGACTGGCGTTGAAAAGCTCATCTAGTCGATGATGGAATGGCCTGCCTGAAGCACGAGGTTGTACTGCGCTGCAGTGAGGTCGCCGTCGTTATTTTTGTCTTGCTGTTCCTCTATATCAGGGCTTATGTGAGCCTCTCCCGGCGGGTCAAAGGAACGCTAGAATGCGACGTGCATCCTGTCTCTTGCGGTTGTTGAGTTTCCGGTCGAGCTTGGGCGAGTGGTCTGTTGTCTTCTTGGAGTACTCGGTTCGATTGGTATCGCTCCCTATGCTAGCCAGGGTGTTAGTTATGGCCTCAGTAACGCAGCTACTCACAACAGATGTAGGGCTGGCAACTCACGCTGTCTCCTCGGCCACTTCCATATCTTGCCGACTTGGCCAAACACCCCTGGAGCTCGTTCTGGATGAGTCGGCATGAATCCCAACGATACATCAAACGTTGTTTCGGGTTGTTGTCCTGATGTTTCAGGGCTTGTGTCGAGTAAACTCGACGACTGGGTGTCCAACTCGGGAGACCATCTGGGTTTGCGCCACTGGCCCCTAACCCTCAACCCCAGCAGAAGCAAGGCCGATCAAACTGCGGACAACAAGGTAGCGACTCGTTTGCCTTGGTTTTGGTCCTGGGGTCGTCGTCTTCGTCTTCGGATTCTTGGCCTTGACGTCCATCATTATTGACATTCTTCTCCCTGAACCAGTGGGGTTTTCTTCCACGTACCTTACCACCTCGGGCCAATTCTTTTGGCGAGGCAGTACACAAAATGACCATGTGTGCAGAGGTGCGTCGTACTTTGGGCAGCACTGATGCCTTGGGCGATCTTCATATATAGTACAAAACGGGTGGAGGGTGGTTCGTGGAGGAGACGCATCAAGTCTGGCCTTGTTGGCGTGAGAATTCATTGATGGTCAAGTCATAACCATGGTGAGGTTCTGGGATCAGGTTAGTTGGAGATCACAGGATGTGGTCTTCAGGCACATACCAAAAGTGTTGCTTGAGCTGAGAGCTGGCCGTGTGACCACTCCGACAACCTGGCGCAGAAGGTTAGTGACTGGAGGTGCAGTTGTGAGGAGGGCTTACATGATATGTGATGGACTCTGCCCTTGCATATATAAGGAGGCCTTGAATTGGAAGAGAGTGAGAGAGCTGTCTGCCTTCAAACGTCAACAACGTGGAAAGGACGTGGGCTTTATAGTAGAGAGAAAGAAAGGGTGATTGATGGGAGCGGTGGCAATCGGGACCGCCCTCACCAAGCCACGACACACGAGTAGGGTACGTACTAGCAGCGGGTGATGGAATGTGCCCCAATTGATGATTCATCATAAATTAGTCACCGGAAGGATGCATGGACAACACAACCTTGCATCAGTATCCATTTTACAGTGTTTACTCAGGTTAGGGACCGGTATTTATGGCTCATGTCCATTTGGTGATATGGTTGATGATGGCCGGATGAATACGAGGTTAATTTGTGGAATGATTGGTCTCGAAGAGAACAATTCTCTCGCAGAAAGCCCAAGAGATGGCTGGATGGAGACATGGAGACATGGATGGAGGGACGATGCGTTGCCTCCGGGACTCTCCTTGAGGTAACACAGCCACGGTGGCATAGTTACACACAGAGAGCACTCTGCTAGCACACCGCTCAAAATGTGACGTGTCGGGGAATGAATGTCCGATTCTGGCTTGACTGGCATGCATAACGGGTGGATAGTTGTTGCAGGTGTGATTATACTCACGGCAATTTTGTCGGTTGCCCGAGGCAAGAAGGCAGTCTGGGAAGTGCGCGCGAGCTGTTTCGACTTCATCACCGGCTGCGAAAGCAACCTGCTGAAAAAGAGGTTGACGGGTTTATCTCTATAAAATACAACATGCGAGACGTAGAGAGAGGATATCACTCACCGACCGCTGGTCAGTCGCGGGATGCATGGAGCGTAACACAACTTGATGGGCATGAATGAGTAGTAAGCAGACATAAAGTGTTGGGAAGAGGGGAACGAGAGGCGAATACGAGCTGTGGTTACCCGACTGGAACAGTCCAGGCTCAATTCGACCTGCATTTTGAAGTGCCGTATGACAAGAGCGCCAAAACCAGGCTCGTCATCAGTGTCTCGACCACTGGCCTAGAGATGGGACAAAGTTCGTGTATAGCCTTCACAAGGATTGTTGACTAACAACATCGAGATTTGGCCGCTTTCGAGAGGTAAAAGTGTGCTTTGGTATAATTTTTATTACTGATATTCAACTTGAAATGATATTAATCATGAACTCAATTCTAATTATTGCACAATGTCTTCAAAAAGCTGAGGTCGCGTTGCGCCTCCACCTCGGCCAAAATCTCCTCTCTCGGCCGCTCCACGTCTCTTTTCACAAGCTCCATGTATAGCTGCTGAATCTTTTCCGTAATGGCTCCCCTCTTTCCGTCGCCAATTTGTCGTCCGTCCACTTCTACCACGTGGATCTGTGAGGGAAATGTTCCCGTACAAAAGGCCTCGTCGGCACCATAAACCTCGGTCAATGAAAAGTCGAGCTCTCGCACAACAATGCCATTTGCACGACACACGTCAATCGTCCTTTGGCGGGTAATGCCTTGCATTTGGTTGTCCTTGGTAGGCGCCCAGACTTCGTTGCCGCGGATAATAAAGAAGTTGACCGAGTTGCACGTTTTCACGAATCCTCGTAGATCCAACATTAGTGCCTCGTCGACATTCATCACGTTGGCACTGATGCAAGCTTGAACGTCGGTAGCCTTCGAAATGTGATTCCACTGCTCATCCTTGACGTCGGGTGGCCCACGGCGAACCCATGTGGTGCCAAGTCTCAATCCCCTGGCCTTTGATGAAGGGTCGACTGCTTTGACTTCGGGGATAATAACGATGAGCGGCAGGCCAATGTTGACATGAGGGTTTTGATAAGGCGTGGACTTGAGACCACGGCTGACTACCAGCCGCATGTGGACGTGAGAATCCTCACACATATTGTTGGCATCAAGCGTGCTGTGGATAAGTCTTAATAGGTCCCCCTTTGTCAGGCCTAAGTCCATGTACATGGCCTTTGCGGATTGGAATAGACGGTCCATGTGGTCCTTGGCAAATTGGACTCGCCCTTTATTGGCGCGGATACCTTCCTATAGGGGCTGTTAGTTCTCTTCGACATTTTAATATGTTGAACTTAACGAACCCAAATACCATCGCCGACAAGGAAGTTTGAGTCAAACACGGATACAACAGCCTCAACTCTAGGAACGAGTTTGAACTTCCCGGTTACGCCATCGCGCATCCCAACCTAGACAGTCAGCCTCATTGTTCATGCCGAGATATTCAGCCCAGAATATTATACTCACTAGAATAGACTCATTTTTGGCATTGGGCACAGTAGCATGTGTTGCCCCGATGGCGGTGCTGTCTTTGGTGTGTGAAGCTACCATGTTGGAAGTTCTGAATGTAGATAAGATGATGGCGACTGGTTCGTTTGTCTGGACATCGGCCGATATTAAAAGCGCGAGGATTACCTGTGCACGTCAAAGATAAAGAGATGTTTCCATTACTGCGAAGCTACGCTCAGGGGTTCAATGAGGCGAGGCTTCCTCGGACGACACCGAGTGTTGGGCCCACTCACACCCTCTTCGGTCACCACCGAGCTCCGCAGCGGTGAGCTTCGGAGGTCAAGGTATTAAGCTGAATGGCCAAGAGATATGTATTGCCGATGGAGAGCGCAGATAAATGGCTGTTCTTATCACAGTAGTCAGGCGGTGGCTTGTTTTAATCTATAAGCTCATGAACTACGTGGATGATCGCGGGTTGCACCGAGTCAGTCTGTAGCTACTGATTTGGTGGACCCCTACCGGTACCCAGCGCATGCATATCCCAACGCGTCATTTGTTTAAATGAGTTATGGCGTTATGGTTGGAGTCTACATGCCGACGGCTATTCTCGCTTTAAAGGATGGGCTGATAAGGAAGTTGCAAAGTATTGCCATCACACGAGTCAGCCGACGGAAGTTCTGCCGTCTTCGCCATTGCAGAGTAGTGCATTGTTTTAGTAAAGAGGATTTGAGATAGAAACGCATTCGTCCGGTTAAACATAGATTACATGAAGATACACTGGAAACGAACCTTGCAACTCCAAGTCGTCACATGAAAGTCTGAGCTGGGTCGTTTTGTAGTTCTTGCACCACCGCATCATACCACGCGTTGAGGGTGTCGTCCATGTCGACCATACCGCCCTCCAGAAAGTCGTTGACCTGGCTGAGGTATGTCTCCATACCTTCGCCTGCGGGATATATCATAGAGTCTTCTCCCCCAAATTCAAGGCCTTCCGACCCATTATAGAGTCCCACAGAGGGAATGTCCATAGGTTGCGAAGGGGATTCGTCAGTCGGTGCATCCATGGATGTTGGATCTGCGTACACCTTGATTCGGACCGCTTGGAATAAGTCTCGGTATCGGATAAGATTCATTGCCTTCATGTGGGAAATTCCACGGTCAATCAGACCGAGACAGACGTTTGTATCGTTCTCGTGACGACGAAGTCTTCGTACGTTCTGGACCCCAGCTTGGGGCATCGCCGTAGCTTGCCTGTTCATTGCGTGGATTAGTAGGGCACTTAACGTACTATCGTTTAGGAGACATACCAATCGCAATACAAAGCGGCCAGACCCACTAACAAAACAGAATGAAGCTGGCTGAAGCATCGGCATACTGCTGAAATTCCGAATTCGGCCTCGATACTGATCCACTGATGTATGGCACTGGAGGCGACCTTTGAACAAGAGGATGTCATTTGGCGGGAGGGGACCATAAAGGTGGGAGAAGGGCGATTTAATAGAAGCTGGAGAAGGCAGTACTCGACCTTCATTTCGGAATACTCTCGTGAAGGTTTTATGTCCAATTCGTCAAGTTGTCGCTTCCACTGTTCCAGGTCTTTGCGAGCTTCTTCTGACCTGGCACAAATTTGTTGAAAGGATGTATCCATGCACTTTCCATCTGGCCCCCTTGCTATATATATTGACTCCAAGATATATCCCGATATTCGCCTTAGAGAGATCATCCGGCGAAACAATTCAACAGTGTGTTTATGGAAGACTGGGGCTGCCAGTGCTTCTGCATTGGTGAGGGCATCGAAAGCCGATGGTGATGGCAACAATGCATGGATGGCATGGTTTCTAATTGATAGAACGCGACCCGTGAGAACGGCAACCTGTCTAGAAGGGTTTTAGTTAGTTAACGTGTGCAAAAGCGACCTGGTCCACGAACCGTTCCAAGTTGTACGCGCACCACCAAGTCCGGTTGCGGACCTCGAGTTCCTCAGCCGTGAAACCCCAGTCGGTATTGTGACGATGGAGCCCTGACTCAATCGCAGCAGACATGACGTATCGACTGAGTTGCCAGAGGTCACTGCTGTGGCTACTGGCGGCTGAATTCAGCATCCAAAGGGCGAGGAGCATAACGGCTTGGATACCGAACAGATCTCTGGGATGATCATGAAAGCCATTGAAGAACCGCAAGCTGGTCTGGAAGTAACTTTCGGAGTCATTTAGATCCATCATCCCTGGTGAGGCTTTGTGCTGAGAATCTTCGCTACTAGCAAGAGCGAGTACAATAAAAACGACAAACTTCTCATGATCGGTGCATTGTCTCGGATTCTGATATACTTTCTGAAAGGTCCGTCGGAGTAGTGGAAGTTGGAGGAGAGGCCACCACAGGTGAATGCGAGCAATATAGCTTGCGAGATATGATCTAGCCATTGGCTGCGGAGGAAGCGCAGCACATCTCTCGGACGGACAGTGCTCCAAACTGCCGCCAAAGACTCCGGTAACAGAGGGAGATATTAGGTTCAATTGCTTGAAAAATATTCTTGCAAATGTTGAACCAGCTGCACTGCCGACTGTGACAACAAGTACAATAAGTATCCATTTGCGAATGAGATTTGGCGGCGTGATGGAAGTCCTTACCATACTTGTTCTGGGAGTATAAATTCGACCCTCCAATGGCCAGAACACCAACCTCTTCAGCCTCTTTGAGACCGTCTGAAGGCCAATTTACTTTATCATTAACTGCCTGCAGAAGACTCTCTTGTTGCTGAACAGGCAATGGTGGATGGTCAGGTGCAAGCGACAGACGCTGGGATTCTCCCCCGGGATGGCTGGCCGCCACGGGGGCGAGGTCGAGTCTGGCTTGAAGATGGCGGATCTGATCCTGGAGGCGCTGGACCACCGAAAACGGATAAGCAACGCATTCCGTGATATTGCACTTGTCATTCTGTCGTATGCACGCTGAACATTGAGGGACCTTCTGGTCGCACTGGATCGCCGGAGTGAGCCGAGGACGTAGTGGGGATTGACTGGCTAATGCGCCTAGTTACCTTTACTTTCCTCGCATGGCACCGGCTACAGGCCTTGGAGACAGAAGGCTGGGGGTCCGATTCTGCATCCATGTTACCGAGTAATCTCGTTGGGGGCCGAGGGAGATGACGAGTCGTGAGTAGAGTCCGAAGGATGAAGTCGTGACCGTCGGTGAGGACCGAACTTTAAACCACGCTATTGGGCATATCACTGTCTTATCGATAAACTTGCTCGGTAGCGTCCGGGGGATTCATCTCGTTGACTGGGCTCGATTAGCTTGTTCTAGACTTTCTCGGGGGCGCCCGTGAACTAGCTCGGTGTGCACCGAGATTCCTGGAGTGAACGCTATCAGGTGGAACTATGATACCATCAAACTGAACCCACTTCGTACGAAAGGAAATCCGCGTGCGAAAAGCTGGGGTAGCAGATAACTGCCAATCATCTGCGATAAGGGGATGTTGTGTGAAATATATATACCACCGGCTGGTGAACAACAATGATTGAGTGAATGAGTCAATTCACCGCCCGACAAGATTCCCACAAGAGACTCAAGACGGACACAAGGCCCGCCATTGACTCACAGGCTTGACATTGCCATACCTCAAATAGCTTTCCTCACTCCAGGGTTCATGATGATGGACGCTCAACAGGACGACACCTCGAAGGAGAAGATGCAAGACATCGTCTCTACCGCTCAAGGCCATGTCTCCGACACTGAGATAAGCAAGGCGGACGCCAAACGTCTTCTACTGAAGACGGACTTGGTCGTGATGCCGTTGGCTGTGCTCAGTATGACACTTGCCTTTCTGGACAAGGTAATCCGGTGATACCCCATTGGCTTCATCTTTTGCTGACCGCAACACCAGAATGCTCTGGGCTACGCAGCCATTCTTGGTATCAAGGAAGATGCGAACCTCCAAGGCCAGGAATACAGTTGGCTGAGCAGCATCTTCTACTTCGGCTATCTTGCCATGGAGTTCCCTAACCTTTGGTTGATGACCAAGGTTCCCATCGGAAAATACATTGGAGTCTGTCTCTCCCTCTGGGGTTCTTGTCTCTGCTTCATGGCTCTTTGCCACAATTTTGCGGGACTGGCAGCCATCCGCTTTCTGCTGGGTGTTTTCGAGGCTGCCGTATTGCCGGCGATGCTGATTGTCAACTCTATGTGGTACCGCCGTGAAGAACAGCCGCTCCGCACTGCGTTCTGGTACAATACATTCGCCGGAGTGTTCGGCGGCATCTTGTCTTACGCCATTGGACAGATCAAGGGGTCGCTGACGACATGGAGGGTAAGTCTCATTTTAATTGTCATAAATACCACCGTGGAGAGGTCAATTAACTGACGCTTATGTGATTTAGTACATCTTCATCATCTATGGAGCGGTCACCGTTCTTACGGGTTTCCTTTTGTTCTTTGGTCTACCCGATTCCCCTTCCAAAGCTTGGTTCTTCACTGCAGAGGAGAAGAGACTGGCCGTCATTCGACTTGCCTCTAACCAAACTGGAGTTGAATCGCACAAGGTATGATGATATTCGTTTTCATTTCTTCCCATTGAGCCCTGACTAAGTTATCCAGAAATTCAACACAACGCAGATCTTTGAATGCCTGCGCGACCCCAAGTGCTACTGCATCTGGGTGGGTGTTTTTGCTTATGCTATCGCCAATGCGGGTATCACGAACTTCAATCCGCTCATCATCGCCGGTTACGGCTTCAGCAAAACCAAGACGCTTCTGATGGCTACTCCTCAAGCAGCCGTCGCCATGGTCAGCCAGGCAATTCTTACCACAATCTCATTCTTCGTACCGAACATGCGATGTATCTTCTGGATTGGCTCGGCCCTGGTCGGCATGACTGGTGCCGTTATGGTACATGCTCTCAACTCTGAGACGCAGAGAAACGCTTCCCTGGCGGGAGTCTACCTGATGGGCTTCTACAACGTTCCGTGGGTCTTCCTGCTCAGTTTGTCTTCTTCGAACACAGCTGGAGCAACGAAGAAGAGTTTTATGGGGGTTTCTGTGGCAGTTATATATGGTCAGTACAATCCACCCGCCCGAGAGAATTCGCTTTTGCAAACGCTTGCAATTCGCCTACAAATAAATGATCAAGTGCTAACACATCGTCAACTTCAGCCATTGGTAATATTGTCGGCCCTCAGTTCTACAGATCGAACCAGGCACCCAAGTACACTCTCGGCATTGGTTCAATTATGTGTGCATTTGCCGTTACGGCTGCTACGGGTCTCACCTACTACATTCTCTGCATCCTTGAGAATAAGCGTCGTGATGAGAAGTATGGCAAGCCGCATGACAATGCCGAAGTTGGGCTCGAGGCAGAGCGGGAAGACATGACGGATTGCCAGAACCGAAACTTTAGGTATACTTATTAAACAGTTTCAAGGTAGACGAAGGGCTGCATGTTGATTAATCGATCGGCTTTCCTGAAAATAATGAACGTCGAGAACGTCGAGACCCTGCATAAAGACCACAGGTGACCTCCGCCGCCACTCGTCTGCTATTCTATTTCCAACTCAGAGTTGCCTTAGGTAGCCTCGACGATATAGTGTGCCACGGTAGCAGTTGCTGATTTCGTTCCGCATTAAGCTCTCTTTCGTTTTTTCTTACTGGACAACAACTTGTTTAACTCCTCCATCAAATCCTCGTTCTCATGCTTAATCTGTGCCAGGTCAGATTGCCAACTGGAAGTGGTCATCATACAGTTGCTGAAGATGTTGTCATCCCACGGTAAGGCAGTATCTTGGTCCGACCTTGCTACAGTACTGGTAGAAGTACTGCCCCATCGTGATTCCTTCGGGAGATGTATTCGAGCAAGTAGGAACAAGGGCTTTTGTGTTGGAAAGCTATTGCCAGGGTAGAGTACGATATTCGTCTGCAGAACCTGACCTTGGCGGTTTGTTATCTCGCAGTGGCAGCTGGTAATCGCCCCCCACCTTGCTGTCTCCAAGGATCGTCCAAACTCCGGCCTCAATTCTTTGCGAACTAAGTCTTGAATGCTGGTACCGACCAATTGGCTCGCCTGGAGATCAAGCAAGGACCGAATATTGGACGAAACGAACAAGAGGATACCGGATGTCGAGATCTTCGCCCATATCTCATTATCCCCGATGCCACCATCCAACTCCAGATGGCGTCGGCTGAGCATAAACATAGGCCGCTTCCGCCCTATCAGGATGATATATCTTGTCTCTGAGCCTTGTGACGATCCCCGGCTTTCGAAATAGGTAAAGCCGCTGTGTTTCTGCCGAATCCGGAAGACGAGATCGATGGTGTTTCCCAGGGCGCAGTTTTGCAGCTCTTGTGTGACTGGCTCAACATCGAATGGGTGGCAGATTGAAGATAGGGGGATGCCTACTAACTCGGCAGCATCATACTCAAGGATTCGCTTGCATGACGGGGAAATGTAAAGAAAGATTCCCTCCAATGACAACACGTGAATCATGTCGTCAGAATTTTCAAGCAGCATCATGTCCCATGACTGCTTTGACCAGCTCGAGACACTTTCCCTGGGGTAGGAGTGTGATAATATAGTTGAGACATCGGCTGGACTAAGCGTCTGTCCATTCTCATGATCCCACTGGTTTGGTGGAGGCGGGGTCCAAATGTATTGGTCAATATAAGAGTATTTATAATTGACCTTAACCAGCTGCCCCGGCGGCCCGGGCGGTGCTGAAAGAGCCTCGGGGCTTTCGACAAGGTCGATTAGGAAACCTACCAAATACCGAATCTCATCCGTGTCCCATGGGATAGGGAGTATAGTGAGCAAGTTCAGAAAAGGTTTGCCCCCTTTCCGGTAGTTAATCAAGCTTTGCTGCCCTTCTTGTCTCAGCTGGACCATCGTCCTCAGACTGAATACAGTGCCCTCATCGACAAACTCTCGCTTCGTCCCGGCCTCAACCTTTCCATCAGGCGCCTGAAGAAACCGACAATTCTGGCCAATTATCTCGTGACGATTGTATCCTGTGAGATTCTGGAATGCATCAGATGCATAGATGACGGGACAGTCATTCATAGTCGTGTCGCAAACGACGATGGCGCAGGACAAGTCGACTTCACCAAGACTGATCTTGGGATCTTTGCGAGTAGCAACCAGCTGCAGAGCCCTAAGCAAATCAAAACCGGATTTGCTGTAGATGCCTGTCCTCCTTAAGCCTCCAACTTGTGGCCCTGTGACGTTGGTGTTGATATCTAAGGATGGTGTGCTTAGTTGGGCAGAAACTGTCTCTCGATGTCCCATGTTGTCTTGAAAATGTGATCCTGAGAGTGGTATCTCCATGGGGATATCAGTTTCATCGTCAGCGTTCGAAGGAGGACCGATCGGTGATCCAGGAAACGAAACGGGCGGAGAATTGTATAGTGACGCTGTGTATTCGAGAAACCGGTTCAAGGCAAAATAAGCGTTCGTTCCATGCCACTCTGAGCCTTTCTCCTCAGCTATGCTGATCAATTCGATGCGATCGATTTCCAAGGCCTCGAGTTTAGACTGAATTTGGTTGAAGTTCTTCTTGAAATCAGCCTCCATTCTTTTTGTTCGCTCGTCTATAGATGTGGTAGTCAAGCTTCAAGGTAGGTAATAATTAGCGAGGGATTTGCATGCCTCCAGAAACCCAAGGGATAATTACAGTGTGGCGGCATGAGCTGCCAGGTTGAGAGATGCCTTGTAAGTGAGGATCGTGTCTCTGAAGAGTTGGATTTCCTTGTCTTTGAATGCCCATGTAATTTTCTTCCATATACGAACCCTTCTGGTGCCATCTCTGGAGGTTTGGGTGTATGTTTGCAGAGTCATCATAAACTCATCAAATATGTCCAGGCAGTTTTCCAGAGGGGCTTTGAGGGAGTCGCATAGTAGATTGTTATCATCTAACTTCTGCTGCATACCTGAAAGGTCTGCCAAGGTACTGTAGAGGGCTTTGAGATCAGTAGAGAGTGCTGCAATATCCTTGGGGGCGCTTTGTAGGCTATCGATGAACTCGAAAAGTCTCCTCGAGCCGTGGAGCGCGGCACTAAGAATGCCTACAATGCTCGCCGTAAGAGAGAGGGGATCCGCCATTCTGGATGCGAGCCCGTGGATGCAAGAAGTAGGAATGTGGACAAGGAGAGTAGGAAGATGGAGACCTCAGCCTCAACAACTAGTCCATGTGACTTCGCAGAGGCCAATGGAATACAGCCTCACGGCGGACAAGCCACCAATGAGACAAGCCACGAACTGCTCAGCCACACCGAGACGGTATTGGAGTTGTTAATGAGAGCAACCTAATTCATGTACGACATGGAGAATGAAAGCTTTAGCCCTTTCCTTAGGGTTTATTACCATCACTAGATATCATATTTTTTATTGTTGCCCCAAACATTTCGAAATCACCCGTGAGTGTTCCCGCTCTCACTTATGGCTCTCATACAGCCCCCTAAATCTAGTATGTTCTTCCAACAGCTTCAACGGCTCATCGTATTCCACCAGCTTCCCTGCATCCAGCAGAGCGACACGATCGTACTTGGTGACATAATGGAGTCGGTGCATGATGGAAATCACCGTGTAGTCTCTGAACTCCGTGTCGATGATGTCCTGTATGATGCGCTCAGTGTCGCTGTCGACACTGCTCGTAGCCTCATCAAATATAATTACCTTCATCCGTCGGACCATCGCTCGTGCAAGACAAAGTAGCTGCTTCTGTCCTGCACTCCAAGACGCAGAGTCCATCTCTTTGTCCAGGCCCTGCTCTTTGATAAGTTCCCATAATCCCACTCGATCTAGGGCGCGAATGATCTCGTCGTCTGTTGCTTCTCCAAAAGGATCCATGTTGAACCGGACACTGCCGGGGAGAAGAAATGGCTCTTGGGGAACAACATTGACCTTTGAGCGCAAGTATGATGGGCTGAGAGAAGAAATGGAGACGGAATCGATGCTAATACTCCCGCTTTGAACATCCATCATTTGAAGCAGGCAAAGGATAAGAGAAGTCTTGCCACTGCCGGAACGGCCGCATATCGCGACATGCTCGGACGGCTTGATTGATAGACTGACGCTCTTCAGGGCGGGATCGGACTCAGGTCTTTGAAGAGATCAGTACAACATCCCTAACAAGCTCTTGTAATCTGCAAGTCAGTACGTACCCATGAGAAGCAACCAAATTTTGAAACTCGACAGAGCCTTCCTGTGGCCATTCCGAAGGAATTTTGGGGCTTGTATTCCCTTCACCAGTACCCTCTGATTCTGTCTCTGCCGCGAATATTTTCACCCTGCTTACAGCGCCAATGCTAGACTCCATAGCTGTCCACATTTGGATAACACGGCTAATAGTAGTGTTAAACGCTACAACTGCAGTGAGACTCACACCAACACTACCAGCGTCGAACTGATTTCTCAACTTTACGACAATGGTGAGAAGAAGTACAACCACAACAGTGATTATGATGTCGATCGTAAACGTAAGCCATTGTTGAATGCAATACTGGAGATATTCTGGACGCTGACTGGTGTCGATAAGTAGATCATTGCGAGACCGATATTGCCTTTTCCAGCCGAAAGCACGGATTGTTGGTGCCCCAACAACTGACTCCTGGAAGCTAGTATAGAGGGGAGCCTTGGCTTCGATCCCTAAAAGTCGGACCTGACGCGAGGTTTGGAGGTAAAAGCGCTGCAAGAAGTATAGAACGGTACCGACAATAGGGACGGTCGCTGCCAAGTATTTGGAAAAGATGACCAGAATTATGAGTTTGGCAAGACATAGCATAGCCGCTGCCATGAAAACTATTAGTAACCAATACTTTACAATGGGGATTCTGGACGAGAGTGAAATGCTTGACCAACCTCCTGCGTAGTTCACCACATACATAGGGAGCTCCATATCGATCAACTCCATATCTTGACTGAATCTGCACTAGAAAGTCACTATATGTTCCATGGGAAAGCTGGGACGGATATAATATCCAGTGGTAGGTACTGACCGGTTTATTAGGGATCCGGTATCTGTGACGCTGAAAAATCTGAACGGCGCCCTAAGTAATTAAAAGTGTCAGCATTATCTTCTTAATAACGAAAGTCTGAACTTACTTCAACGTTGCTTCAAGCAAATCATTGTGCAATTTGTAACCAGTGTTTGAGATGATTCTGAGGAATACGAGCCTGAAACCTTTGTAAGATGACCGGTAGTGGCTGAACGGATGGGTGCGAAGACTTACCAACAAACAACAAACACCAGGAAAGCCCCGAGAGCGCCGAAAACAACGAAGACTCCCATGTACATGCCAACATTCTTATTTGGATGAGCAACATTGGCCTCGGACCACCATTTCAACCAGATTGCTGGATCGTGAATTGGTTAGTTTAATTGCGGTGCTTGGGGACACGCGGTGTGTAGAAACGTACTCGGAAATTCGGAAAAAAAGATCCACAAGACCAGTGACAACCCGAACAGGCTCATTGTGGTCCATCCGGAGCTTTCGAAATAGTATTTGTAGACAGAAGCGTCACCGGTTTTGCGCCTTGCATCGTCAACAGCCGCATCTGGTTCTTCAATCAGGTCTTCGGATAATCGCGATTCTTCGTCGGTAGAAACGTCGTGAGTTGCATAGAAGGTCTTCTCGTCGACGGCCGCATCAATCGATTTCAGCCCAAGATGACTGACGTAGCCATTGCTTTCCAGAAGAGTCGCAGGGCTTCCAGTTTCCACAACCCTTCCACCCTCGAGGGCAACAATCTTGTCGGCCAGTCCCATGAGTTTGTCTGCGGCAGAGTTAGCATTCATTTCCGGCAAAAAGTTGTATCGTTAACTCACGGTTGTGAGTAGCTAGTATCACGGTAACTCGGTATCTCCGGAAGATGCCATTGCGTCCCAGCAAAGAATGTGAGATGTGTTCAATTGTGCGGGCGTCCATTCCACTGAAGGTATCATCCAGGAGAACAACTGAGCACCTTGAGTACACAGCTCTCGCAAGAGCCTATCCGGAAATTAGCGGTGTTGACTTGCAGGGAGAAAGTTACATACGATTCGTTGTTTTTGACCACCGCTGAGACTGCACCCTTTGCTGCCGACAGCTGCCCGATCCCCGAGCTTGATCTGCGCGAAATCTGGATCCAATGCGCATGCAAGTTTGACAGTCTCGTACCACTTTGGATCATACGGAGACACGCCGAGGATGTTCTTCCGGATCGTCGTGTTTTCTAACCACGGCTCCTGGGAACAGTACGCGATGGATCTGGATCCCTTACATGTGACTCCAGAGAGTGAAATAGTCTCTCCAATGATGCTTTCCAGAAGAGACGTCTTACCGCTTCCAACAGGCCCAACAATAACTGTTAAGCTCTCGGATTCGACACGCATGTCGATGTCTGTTAAGACTGAGGACGCCGCTGGTTTCCAAGCAAAGCTCTGGTTTTGCATGGAAATGAGATCATCGCCGGAAACACGGGTAGGTGAGTTGAAGGCCTCGACGGCTAATGGCTGAAGACTGATTACAGACCCAGAGGTACGGGGAGCAGAATCTGTGTTGTTTTCAGGTGTCGGCTTCTTTGGATAGTAGTTGGCGTATTCTTGAATTCGATCAAAGCTACCGATGGACTGGAGAACCTCTGGCAAAGATTGTATAAACATTAGGACAGGTCGAGTTAGGAGACTGATTAGAGCCAGTGAGGTGAAAGCTTGTGCTGTCAAAAGAGATTCGTCTTTCCAGTAGACGGCAATAATAGCATATACTCCGAAGGTAACCACTGGGGCTATATTGAGAATGCAATTTGCTAAGACTGAAATTAATACAATGTCAAAGCGACAAGAGCGATACACTTACAAAGAACTATTCGCACGATAAGGAGCTTCCTGAAGCCTTTTGAGGTGTTGATCTCATCAATTCGGAGTTTCTGGATGACGGTGAACATGATGTCGGACAACCCAAGCATCTTTACAGCTTTCATATCGCCAAGCATGGCAGTGGTGATTTGAATTCGCTCTTGGACTTTCTCAATCCACCGACGTTGCTCACGCTTGGTTGAGGTTGAAAGCTTGGAGGTAATGGCGATAAAAACTAGGTCGCCATATTAGCCACATCATTTTACTCACTTTTTGTTTCCGAACGTACTAATTGAGACAACAACAGGTGCCACACAGGCGATAGAAAGCTGTCGCTCCAGCAACCACACAGCGATAGAAATATCAAGGATTGTCGCCCATATCTCGTGAATTGCACGAAATGATTGGACGATACGTGGAATGTCCGTTCCCATTAAGGCCACTGCAGTGATGTCTTTGGAATCGGCGGTTCGTATTTCCAAGGCTCTTTCGTATACGAGGGCAGTCAGACCTCCGCGAAGACGTGTGATAAATCGAAACAGCTGGTATTGGTAGAGAGCGGTCGATGCCTTGAAAGCGATTGTTAGCGAAAACAATGAGGCAATGAGTCCACTGGATCACTCACAGCAAGGCCCAAGTAGACAAGCACCCAGGCACCAATCAGACCTTTTCCATATGTACTGTTAGGTGAAGATTCTCCTACAAAGTTCACCGTGGTTTCAATCATGAAAGGTTGAGCAAAAGTGAAGGCGGTTTGACAGAGGCGTGGGATAATTGCAGACGAGAATGAGAAGAAAAATGCACGAAAACATGCTCGAAGCAAACTATGCCGTTGTTGCTGATTGTCTATCATTGATTAGCGCCGATAATGAACTCAGACAGAAGTAGCTCACAAGTTGCCCAGGTGGATGTAAGTTTTTGTCGCAGCACAGAACTTCGCAGCTGCGTATCCAATAGAGGTAGGTCGTTGACTGAGATGAATTTGGAGTACCCTAGACGCAAGGTGACTAACAGCCAGGCGAAACTCGTGCGTACCCATAACCCGCTGTATTGTTCCGGCGCGTATTCTTTGCGCATGTCGGAATGCTGGGATGCTTTCAGGCTAGACTTTCTTTCGACGGATTCAAGGATGAAAGCAACGATGGTGAAAACCATCATGGTGGTAAAAACGGCTGGTTCGGCCGCGCTCGATTCCATGAGCCATAGCGTTCGAACGCGGGCGATGGACAGAATTATCGAAATCGAAAAGTATAGACTCAAAAGCGTAGAAGGGCGCAGAGATCGCTGATGGTCCAGATATGAAAGTACGATCGCGCCAACGGTAGCTGCCAGGCTTAAAATATCAGCTGGCAATGAGGCGCCACTTCGGAATGAGTTGCTGTGAGCTCGCAGAGCCAAAAAGACGACCTGTGTAATGAGAAGTCCCCCGAGTGCAATCTAAAAATAAACGTGGTGAGCGTCTGATCTGCGACAAAGACCTTAATGGGTTCTGCCTACTAATTTGCTGATTTGCAGCTTAGACTGCACCGAACATGTCGGGGAACTCTTCAGAAGCCGGAAAATATTCCATGGCAACATGCATATGAAAACTGCGGCGGGTACGCAGGCGAAAATGGCATCTTCAAATTGCAGGGTGAAATCGAACGATCGGCAGAGCGTGTTCACGCGAGGTCCAAATGACTGATCCCAGGCCAGCAGGCAAGTTGAGCTTGCTACTTGGGCAAAACCAAGCTCTTCTTCCATAGCTAAATTGAGAGATTGCCAGATGGTAAAAGTGCAAAAGAACAAGTTGTAATTCTACAGGCTACAATCGAGTTATCTATTCAGTCAGCACAATTATCTTGGCTGGAGTCAGTACTTTTGTATTGTTGACGCAAGTCAGACCAGTGTGAATTGCGTAACCGAACTTGCAGTTATGACTGGAACTTTTGTTCCCCCACCGTCACCCCATTTAAGAAGGTGATTGCGATAGCATCGATTTACGGGCGCATCAGATTAATTACCCTTGCAAAAACCGGCCATCTGACAGGACAATCAACGAAATCTGATGTGGACTTGGTTGCCGACATCCGACCCGCTGATAAATTCCTCCCCATTTGCTAAATACTCGGTGAATGCCTATTTAGTATCCATAAAATCCCCGATGGTTGGGTTGAAGGCTGCAGGACGCGTATTGAGTACGAAATACGACGGTTGTTGATCAGCATCCGTTGTTAAAGAGTGCGTCAGCAACGCAACCTGGACACGTCAGATTACAGCGGTTACGCGTTTATTTCCTTTGCGTGCATCTTTAAGGCTCAAAGCGTCGCCTTCTCCTGTTTTGTCACCGGAAGAAGCGAATTTTCCCACGATTGCCAAGCTACGCAGTCCAAGACAGGCAGCCACACTTGCGTTGACTGTCGCAGTTACGCGATTTGTCAGTTGATCGTTCTTCCTTCAAAATGACGAATTATACGTCAGAGTCTACACCATTGTTGGGCGCCAATGCCTCCAAGGCAAAGAAGGAATACGTCGTCGCAGTAGCCTTTACGCTCGTCATTCTCGTCGACTTTGCAGGTGTTCTCACCGAAACGCCGCAGACCAACATCCTCGAAGGCATCATTTGTCGTCGCTACTACAACTCTCATCCAACCGAGGCTAGTCTTGACTGCACTGCCGGTCCTATTCAAGCTGAGCTCGCGACCATCACCCAGCTGTTGAATACCTTCAATCTTATTCCAGGACTATTGGTCTCCATACCTTATGGTGTTTTGGCCGATACCTACGGTCGCCGAGCCATACTTGCATTATCCATGATGGCCCTGATCACTCAAGATATCCTCGCAAAGATCATTTTATGGCGGTCCGATATCTTCGCGCCTCGCCTCATATGGCTGACGTCGATTACCAGGTTCGCTGGCGGCGGTGAGATTGTTGCATCCTCAATGATCTTTCTTATGATTGCTGATGTCGTCCCCGCGCATGAGCGAGCGAATACCTTTTTCTTGTTTTCCGCGTGCATCCTTGTTGGCGATGTGGTAGCTACACCTCTGGGCGCTTTGCTCATGTCTAAAAACCCATGGATACCGTACATTCTCTCGACAGTCTTGGCTACCGTTGTCGGCGGTATTGCGCTTCTGCTTCTTCCCGAGACATTGAACAAAGCAGACTCGTCCGAAGGAGTTCAACGACCTCCATCTGTTACTGGAAATGAACAGCGTGCTTCTCCAAGAACTGCAGATAGCAAGACATTGGGCTCTAAAAGGTTGCAAGCTCTTCTGTCTAGGCTTCGACCCCTGGCAAAGGCAAACATCATAGCTATCATGCTGGCATTTTTTGTCGCGTCTTTGGGGCGCCAGTCTACTGGTTTTCTAGTCCAATATATTCGACAACGATTTAATTGGTCTTATGCAAAGGTATGCCCTTCCATAACCATGATCTTACTTGCTCTTGCCTGACTAAACCACTTCTTAGGCGAGCTTTGTTGTTGCCTTAAGAGGCTCTGTCAACTTAATACTCCTGCTATTTCTTCCTGCAGTGAACGTACTTCTTGCCAAGCGTGGGCTTAGCATATCAGCAAGAGACCTAGTCATCAGTCGCGCCTCTGTCTGGCTACTCACCATCGGATCTCTGGTCATCTCCATGGCGCCTATTGTGGAATTAGTCGCACTGGGCGTGGTACTTTTTGCTCTGGGTTCAGGATTCTCCCCTGCGGCACGTAGTCTTGCAACTGCATTCGTGCATGCGGATCAGACAGGAACTCTGTACTCAGCTATGGGCCTGATGCAATCGGTTGGTGGTCTCGTCGCTGGCCCGTTACTAGCAACATCCTTCGGTTGGGCGCTAAAACAGGGAAGAGAATGGACTGGTATACCTTTTCTTCTAGTAGCGGGTCTTTTTGCATCTGGTGCACTTGCTCTATCATTCATCCGGCTGCAGAAAGAAGTGGAGGTGGAAGCTGAGGCAGATGGAGAAACTAGAGATTAATATGTGCCCGAGCACCACCACGACTAGTATATTTAGCTTGAGAGTTGTGATTGTGATAGAGTAGCTGTAATGAGGCTTAGAATTCCATATTTATGATATCTGATCTTCCCCGGCCATTCTACTTGGGTCGTAGTTGTGGTCTAACAGCAACTAGTGGTTGCGGAAAGACAAGTTCAGTGTCAGTGATTCGATCATTTATATCTAAACTCAAAATTTAGTATTTAGGTGTTTCAAATATTTTACTACTTTAGTATCATGCTAATCTAACTTCTTTCTGCTCCCTCAAGGTGCGCAAGTTGCCGGCACAAGGTCAAAAACACACAGTTTTATCCACAATTCAAGCATTTCCTACCCAATACTACCACGATGACCAAATATCAAGCTTTTTAACTTGAAAAGGTTAAAACCCGTCTGAATATATAAGTAGTTGGCTCAAGAAGCCGAGCCCTGACCCTTTCCCTCCCTCACACATCATCTTTCGTATTAAAAAGCAACATGCCTTGGGTATTATACCGATTTTTTTACCTCCTCTTTAAATTCGTTTATCCCTTTAGTTGGATGTGACAATACCAAGCCTGGCCGCTGTATTTACAAGCCGTTTGCTCTTCCAATATCTATATATAGATCAGAGCCACACAAAACTAGCCGTCTTATCCATCAGAAAAGCTACAGGGTCTCCAACAGCAACTTGGATGAGTGAACTACTATTTGTGCTATCCTAACTTCAAATTCCCGAGTCAAAGTACCATTAAAGCATAAAAAAAGCCTCTCATGGCTATGCAAATTCCCGTGATTTCTTGTAGACCTGTGCATCACTCTGCTCTAGTGCCCAATAACACATTCACCTTACTAACGAGAAACTAGACCTGGGGATTGGTTCTAGATGCCTCCACAAGTCTCTTCACGCGTTCCACGTAATGCTTACGCTTATGGACGCTAATGTCGCAGAAAAGAAGCCTGCCGAACTCTGATGATGAGAGCTTCACACACCCCGGTGGTTCTTTGAACAGTCCCGTCAGATGGGGTGCTAGGGTGGGGAAGTTTTTCCTCAGGAGCAAGATGTCACCAACTGGATAAAAGCTTGGAGGGGGCAAAGGCCATTCGACATCGATACCGGGGGCTGGCGCGGGCTCGGTAGACACCTGGCTAGCTACTCGGGCAACGGGTGGTAAGTTGAAGCGAGCCCGATAAAGGTTGAGGACGGAGTGGATGTACGCGTCATCCGCGCGGGTAACCATATCAAGCTCGTTCACAAAAGATAACACCATCCCAACTTGCGGCAGCTTCTTCACTAGCGGTGTGATGTCGTCGGCGGTGACCGGAGGGGATCCAAAGGTGACAAGAGACAGCTTGAGAGACTGAAATGTCCCTGGCTGGTTCGCGAAGTGAACAAAAAGGAGTGAAGCAACAGCACCACCAGCAGAATGGCCGGTGAAGACAACATTTTGGATGGAATCATCGGCTTCTCTCAGGCGACTGATTTCTTTTTCCAGATCTGGGATCAGGGCGGTGGCACATGTGAGGTAGCCACTGTGAACCCTCACAGTCGGACCCTCATTTTTAAAGCTCTATTGAAGTCAGCTGGGTGCTTGTGAACACGATCGGCGCAATTGATCGTACCATGAGAGATGGAGAATTGCCTGCTGTATGGCTTAGATTCACCATATGATCCACCTTGGAGGCTGTCCCTCTGACAGCCACAATAAGCGCCCTATCTTTTGGACTTTTCCAGATGGCGATGGCTTTTTTGGTGCCCAGGAGAGATGGTTTGCCGACCATGACTTGCTCAAACTGCGACGTGTGTGTATGCACTGTCTCGTATACATCTGATAAGCAGCAGCAAGCGGCATAAATAAGGTTAGACGCATCTAAGGGACTGGTCGGAAATCGTCAGGACATATAGGTTGTATGGAGTCTCCAGTAATAAAACTTACCACGACCACTCCTCTCCTGCATCATCGTCCACCTTCGAGTTGCAGTACTTGCCCGCCTGATCTAGTAACCGCTCCAAATGCGAGTCGTTGATGTCACCATGATCATGGTCAACTACAAATCAAGTATTCCTCATTAGCACGCGAGACTCCATTTATGGGAATAAGTGTGGCATTTCAGTACCTTCAGAGCCCGGATCTTCAAACACAAAATCTAGTCCAGCGGTCAGCTCTACAATGGCTTCGGCACTGGCCTGCGAATTGTTGCTGGCCGGTGTGTGAGAATTTGACTCGGTGGCGATTGTTTTTGAAGCCTTCGGGATCTCCCGTGATAACCGAGACTTCATATGACGCCATTTGCGCTCCAGTGACATTTCAATATGGGTTAATGAATAGTAAGTGCTTGAAATAAAGAGTTAATGGTGAAGTTGGCTGCAAGAACAAGTGTTGATGGTGATTTAAGGCTGTGACGGTGACAGCGTAGCCGAGTGGCGCAGGTGCCTAAGACAGGCTGATTTATTATTCTTACACCCACATCAAGATTCTCACTCGAGCCTCTGCGCCACTTTACTTCTGCGCCTGTGCACCTTTCCGCCTCGTTGCCTCAACTGCTTATCTATGGCCTTCAGGGATATTCCCTCCTCCGAGGCTCTGACTAAGACTTTGTCCCTTCTGTACTCCGTAGACAAATCGGATGTAGAAAATTCCTTTAAGGCCTAAGACAAATCGTTAAAATGGACAGTATTTCTACTTAATCACATATTGCTATAATAGGGAATACCCCTCTGACTTTCATCTGAGCTGGTGCTCGTGAAGTCACCCGGTATCCAGGTCGCCCAATTAGCCGGAGCACCGCGGCGCCGGAGCCGCGGAAACCGCGGAGCAACATCCGCTTGTTATTCCGCTTCACCCAGGTGTGAATTTGACACGCCAGGTAAACTCGGCTGTCGCACACTGATCAAAGCTGTGTTGTTGGGCGAGAAAATGTGGAGCAGGAGAAATGGCCTCAGTTGAGCTCATGACCTCGTACTGAATCTCTGCCACGTGTCGCGTTCAGCATCACCTTTCCACTGCAACTTTCACTATGGCTTCCAATCTCGACCTTATCAACGACGCCGATGGCTTTCCTTACCAAAGGGACGCTGATCGAGTCATCTATTCCTTCAAATTGGCTGGAATCAATGCCACGCTTGGCTATGTTCTGCCGTCGGTATCGCAAGTTCTCAGCTGTCTTCCAGGCTGGCAAGTGGACGACACGCAGCAAACTATCTTGCTAGAAGGTGGTCAAAATGTCGACGATCGGAGTGCAGTAATCAAACAGAGCCTATTGGCAATGCGCGAGAAAGGGTCTTTCTCGATCCTTCAGAGTTGGCGCGACGAGACGTTCCCAATATTTGGTCCTCACCGAGAGGTAGTCCTACACATTGAGCGTTGCGCTTGCCCATTATTTGGCGTCGTTACATATGGCGTACATGCTGTGGCATACGTTCCGCCACTTGAACCAGGGCAGCAGTTGAAGATCTGGATACCGCGGCGAGCTCGTTCAAATCAGACGTTTGGGGGGATGCTGGATAGTTCAGCGGCCGGTGGCATTGCCTCAGGAGATACACCATTTGAGACTCTGGTTCGCGAATGTGGAGAGGAGGCTTCATTGCCGTCGGAATTGGTGCGTCGGCATGCAAAAGCAGCCGGCACTGTCACTAACTTCTACGTTCGTGACCACCGATCTGGCGGCGAGGTTGGCCTCTTGCAGCCAGAGTGTCAGTATGTGTTCGATCTACCACTCCCACCAGTGGTCATATGCCAGCCGAACGATGGGGAGGTAGAGGACTTTCGCCTCTGGAAATTGGATGAGATTATGGAGGCCTTAGCCAAGAGAGAGTTTAAGCCTAATTGTGCCATCGTCATGCTCGACTTTTTTGTTCGTCATGGAATTTTGTCAAGCGAGAATGAGAAGGACTACCTAGAGATCGTGTGGCGATTACATAGACGATTGGAGTTTCCCTTGAGATAGGACAGACTTGAGGAGAAAGATGCTTGCTGATGTTCTAGGTAGTTTTATCTAGGCCGATCTAGTTCCTCTGCTAGCAACTAGAATGTGGCGTAGAGTTGAAGTATGAGAATTTCCAGTTTTAAGATATTTGCAGTGTATATCCCGGCATTTTTAGATCAAGGTCAACTTGAACCAACTACTAAGGTTACCACAATGATGAAAGAAGAGCCCAGCATGAACGAAAGAGAGGCAAAGACTTTCATTTTGTTGTTCGTACGCTGCAGCAGCGAGCAGTTCCAGCTATTTAGAAGCGAGAGATGGCGAAAAAGTATTCTGTAAGTAAACGAGAATTCATCGGTTATCTTTTCGTCATAAGAGGGCTAGGTGTGATACAATATGTACATGAAATTTAGTGTTCCGAATCCATAGAGTGCCCCAAACTCAGTAAAGTACGCCAAATACGGCGGTGGGCAAACGCGAAAGCAAATTTGTAATCCAAAAAAAAAAACGCCCACACCCCTAAGTTAGTCCTTACTGTAGGTCCTACCTGTAAAGACTATATGAGACTACATACCACCTCTTTATGAAATTATAAAGGAGATGGTGTCTGCAGTCTTTGGTTTGAAATAAAGAAGATAATGAGTAGAAGATCTCTCCCTAAGCCCCAACTCGTCCCTCAAAGTCCGCTAGGATCGTTCGTGGACTTTAGAACACGCCCAGTTCCTTTCCATTCCTCAACATCGTCGAGTCTATAGCCTTAGGCACTTCCGTTAAAATGGCTAGTTTCTACCTAGGCCTTGGTAGGTATTCGCGGAGTGCTGCGACTATCTTCGGAGTTGTTCTGGTGGCTGATAGAGGTTGAGCCTATCGAATCTATATCTTCCTTGGAATGCATGTGCGGCAAGTCATTGGCCTTGTCGCCACGAGCTGTGGCAGCAAGGGCATCCAGTTCGTTGTTATCAAGCTGAGTCTGGGACTTCATGAACGATGTACGATCGTCGGCCATGAAACGATAGCGAGAATCCGGATTCTTTCGCCATAATACCAGGGTGTTCGAAGTGATGACCATAATTAAGAGAATCAGAGAGAAAGCGGCATTGGCGACGAAGAGAACAATCCCGGTGATTGCGGCCACCATGCCTGGAGCTCCAAACACATTGGTAAAGATAAGCAGGAAGATGGCGTTCAGGAAGTTGAGAACTTGTATCGCAATGTTGAATGAATTCGTGCTTTTATCCATCCAGGGACGGAGAACACTAAAGGCGATTAAAGCGCCGGCTTCGATGATGATAAGACCAATAGCTTGAACGACGCCCTTGTGTTGGCCAAATGCGATGAACATTCCTTTAATAAGGGTATAGCCGAGAATGGGAATAATGAAGTAGTAGCCAGAGGCGCGGAACTGAACGTAGAGGAAGCCCAATCGGTTCAGTATCTTGGAGTCTGAGAATAAAGCGTATGCCGGGTTGCGGTGCACGCGCGCCAGACGCATCACCTGAAAAGTGGCCCAGCCAAGTGTAAAGAGCATGCCGAAGAAAAAGACCACAGCAAGGACGACCAAGGCAGGCGAGTCGACCTGGGTGAACTCCCACAAGCAAAGAATCGTGATTTGAGGGAAGGCAATGAGGGTCAATCGGAAGAGAATTCCCTTGAGAGTGATGAGCCAACCGCTTCGAAACTCAAGGAATCGATCGCTCTTCAACCATCTCTGCCTAACACATAGCTCACAGATGGCCTTTAAAAGAGCAACTATAATGACGGTGAAGACGACGGAGAAGTAGAAGAAAACGAGGCCGGTGAGAAAGACGTTGGTGGTCTCAATCCCAGCGCGGTACGCGACACGCTGGATCCCATACACAAGGTAAGCGCCATTTTCCTGCTTGGTGTTTGATCTTTTGGATATGGACGACATGCCACGGCGGATCATGTGCGTGGCGGATTCGGGCATGTAGTCGAGGGAACGCTTCGCAACTTGGACTGAAACCATAGAGAGAGAGCTGAAGAGAGTTGCGGGATCACCCCCGGTGGAGTGCTGATACCAAGTGAAGATATCTTGCATCCACCCAACTCCAATGATACCCATAGACCACTGGAAGTTTTGGGTCCACGCCTGCACGATGGGAGGCATGTGAACACCCGTGAGACCAATAATAGCCTGACTTTGAAAATAGCCGAACAGAGACATGGCATTAACAGCCAGGTGCGCTGCGCTGTTGTTGTGGCCGAGAGCAGAGACGAGAGCGGCGGAAATGAGGCCGAGTCCCGCAATCGCAGCCGTGGCCCATTTGACAGCTACTTGCTCGACGGTTTTTCCGGTTGAAAAGGCCGCTTCAACACAAGCGACGCTCTCTCCCGTAGCGGTCAAGTTAACGAAGACACGGACATTGGCATCCAGATCGGGAATGCCATAAGTAATTCCTGGTAGGTCGTCTAAGGCGCTGCCAAGCGCAAAATTAAATTGCGAGTCGAATTTGCCAGGCGACATGGGACATAAGCCAGGCAACTTGTTGGCGGTATCACAAGGGTCGAGAATTTTGTTCAAGATTCGGAGGCCGTAGGCATCCAGTTGGATATCGAAACTGATGTTTCCTTGAACTGTAGCAGTAGCGACCACTCTGCAGGTGACCATGGAGTTGTTCGGGGTGATGACCATGTTGAAAAGGCTAGCGGAAAAGGCCGACTCATCCTGGCAGCTGTTCAGAGAATTCGATTCGAGGATCCTTTCGGCCGTGACGGAGGGGAGGATAGAAGCGAAGCAGCCGAGGATGGCGAGTACTGGGGCAAACGAGAACCTCATATTGGCGGTGCTGCAATGATGAGTGACAACGGGCGCGATTTTGTTCGGCCAAGGCAGACTCGACAGGTTTGTCACCGACAAAGCATGCCAAATTTCTTGTGGTCCAGTATGGCGAACACTTTGTTCAAATCGATCGGTCGTTTCCGTCGGCCAGATTCAAGAGGCAAATTGTAAGAATCTGAAATTAAAGCGGTCTAGAGCAGGTATCCGACGATAGCGGGTCGAGTGCAATCAATGAGCAGTCGATAGGGCAATCGAGAGCAAAGGACTTGCAATGAGAAGGAGTTCATCCGGTAATTAACGAGGCCGAGCAACAGGTTGCGGGGAAGGTTAGGGATTTAATGGCGATAGATTCAACCAAAGGTCAGGTGATCTGGCTGGCTTCGGGAGTATGAGAATTCCGAGAGATAAGACCGGCCGAGAAAACAAAAACGAATGTAGATGCAAGTCGCGACGATGTTGGTGTTGTGAGTTGAGCTTTGCGGACGGGTTTTTCACGTCAGAATGAATACCAGGCAAGAAGAAGCATTTCGCTGGCCTGAAACGTCGAGATAATTCGACATCGCTAAGAATCAGGAGAGCAAACGGCGGGCCTGTCCACAAAATGAAGGATGATCCAATACGAGAATCTCGACACGTACGGTTGTGTTGGCGGAGGCGCAGTTCCCTGTCGACACTTGCATGCCGCCCAAACAGGTTAATGACCCATGTGAAGGAGCTGGTGGGCCAATCCTATGAAACACAAACATCCGGTGAGGGTTCGATGCACAGCCCTGTGATCAACGTAGCCCGCTTCATCCGTCAAGTGCATTAGCTTATCCTAATTTAACTCACTGTTACTGCCCACACGATTCGTCCATTTCCGTTGCCTGTAAGTATACTAGGACCAAACGAGGAACGGACCGCCTGTGAGCCTAAGCTTTTACGATCTCGGTGATGGAGCCCACCTTGTATCAGGAGGTTATTACTGCGAGGCTGTGCTGGATTGATCGGTATGATTTGGTGGTCCTTGGAATGGCAATCTTCATTCGCATGCCCCATGGGCAAGACCATAGAGGGGGGACTGACGAGAAGCCGAGTTCCGGTCACGATGCTTGGCTGCATTCATGGCTCAAAAGCGGGGTATACCTGTCGGCCGCAAATGGATAAAGTCGCCAAAGAGGGGAAGAAGTCTGACGCACTTAAGTTACAGGATGGACCCCAGATCTTCAGCTCGACCAGTATTGGCACCTTATACGAGCATTCTTCTACACTGCGCCTCGCTTTCATTTCTGGTAGCGGCGATCCACACTGCATGTTCCAGTATTGAGCGATTTAGAGGCGTTTGCCGTGTTGACGTTGAGGCAGGCTTACAAACCGCCAGCAGATTGCAACACTGGAGGCACAGTAATTTTAAAGGGCACCCCGGTGATCGGGGAGTAAGACAAATAGCTTCAAATAAATTAAGATTCCCCAGTATTTATCAACCTCCCTAAGCGTTATCTATTCTAATCAACTAAGAAGTACGCAAGGGGTGCCCTCAACATGGGTTAAACGATGGGATATTAGTGACGCCTGACGGCCATTCATAATCCGTCTTCGGTGCATGATTCACCCATATGATAGGGGCGAAATTGCCAAAGTGAATACTCAAAGCCTAACTTCTACGGGGAACAATAGAATACAGATTCTTCGGCGATGGAGATCTCATGAAGACTTTTCATGGTCTTAACCATCTTGCGATGGAGAACCAACTGGGCAGGGCCACAGCTACAGCAGCAATCGATAACATCGGTTTCTATCTGTTCCCAGATGGTAGAAGACTCATACTATCTGATAGTGGAACACCTTACTGGACGTGGAACACCCTACTGGACGTGAACCCCCAAGTCGTTCCCCTTATCAGATGTAATACTCAAAACCCCAGTACCACCGCCGAAGGAGGCACGTTTGAGCTTACTGCAGAATTTGACTGATCATTCCGCCCACCAAACCCTAAATTAGGCGCAGAACAAGCCACTTGAAGAGGTGGCCGAGAAGTCGGCGCAAAGTTGACGATCCACATGTGAAAGCGGGTTGTTGCCGTCCGGGAAGAGTACACAGGAAGATACGCAAATACCCTCTCCAAATCGGCTCATTCCGAATATCCGAATGTCTGTAACCTTTCTCATGTCAAATTTAACGGTGGATCTGAACAATTCGAGGGCACTTTTTACCGAATGCTTGAAGGACGGAGATTGTACGCGGACCTATACACGGAAGGTTCGAGGGCAAGATTCCCCTGATTGCTTCTAGCACACAATACACGCAGGCAAAGTAAGAGCGATATATCTAAAAAATAGTAATAACTAGATGAGATAGCCATAACCTCCTCATCATTATTACTTTAAATGGGCCCATTTTACGGTATTTCCACAGCTTGGATAGGCCAATTCTCCGATTCAGGCGCACCGGGGCTTATCGAGTTTCAGTGGGCTCGGCCGCTAACAACAGCTAGCGCTAGAAGAGAGACCCCACGAACCATTATCCTCAGGTGACATGCATCTATATTCCATGCTCAAATCGCCTGCCAATGCTCAGCAACAAACCAAACCAGCGCCTCGAGTCGCAAAATCCCTCCAGTCATGATGCGCAAATACATGAGCAAACGACAACGACCATGTGACTTCTGCCGCTCCCGCAAGACCGCGTGTCGCATTGAGGGAGCGCCGCCATGTCGCTCGTGCCAGCTGCATGCCAAGGAATGCACCTTTGTCGAGGCCGCACGCCCGCGCAAGAAGCACCTCAGCGAGACGCTCGCCGAGTCTCCGACGGATGATCATGACTTGGCTGGCAGTAGTGTCGAAGGTGTCGATGAAGAGCCCGGCATCGGCGGCTCTCTCCCTGGCGTGCCAGCTGCCAATGATGTATCTTCACTTGCCGACCCCCCAAATGCGACTATGTTCCCCGAGATGAACATGCAGTTTCTCGACGACCTCGACATGGCCGGCTCCGAATACCAGTTCATGTTCCGCACACCTCACAGCCCCGCGCCAAACGTCTCCATCGCAGGCGACTTTTCTCCAGCTTCCCAAAGCCCGCCCACCTGGCTCCCGGCAGGCTCATCGGACATCCTCCTGGACGGGATCGGCAACTTGAACCCCGAGACGTTGGGTCTCACCGGCGACATGGATCCTTATCTGCTGCGGAGGTATCAAACCGACGAACGCGGCACCTTCAAATTCAAGCAGCTGGCTATCCATTCGGTCCACCAAGACCCTATTCCCATTCAATTTCTCGTTTCCCAACCGGTACTCTTCGCGCGGAGTAGGGAGGAGGCCGGCCATGATGTCGTCCCTGACGCTCAACTGAAGGCGGAGCTGGAGAAAGAAATATCCGGGGCTATGGGAAAGAGACTGATTACTCTGTACCAGAAGTTTATTGCGCCGCATTTTCCCATATTTTCTACTCAGCTGCTCCCGGACCCTGCGTCCACGCCCTCCCACCTCCTTGCAGCCGTCTACTGCATCACATTTCCATTTGCCATGTACGACGATCAGCTTTGCATAGACTTGGCCTACAATTCCCCCCCATATGAACCGCTGTCCCGCATCATTAATACCGCACTGGCCGCCGACCTCCACTCTCCGAATATCGCCCTAGTTCAGACTCTGCTCCTGGTTGTTGGCCGCCCATCCTCCAACCCCCTCGTCTCTGATGCATCGTATCGATGGTCCATGCTAGGGACGCTTGTGGCCGCCGCTGTGAATATTGGACTACACCTGGATCCGTCTGCTTGGAAGATATCCTCAAGTCAAATTTCCCAGAGGCGCAGGCTCTCTTTTGCCATATACGTAATCGACAAATGGCTGGCCGCAAGTCTGGGAAGGCCGCCTTATATAAACGATGCAAACTGGCTGGTTACATCATTGCGGGAGGGCGATGATCACTGTTCCGGCCTGTCATCTGAACAATGGGCTGACATGCTCGATTTCTCGTCGTTGACCTCCGTCTTGGCCTCGGCGCTTTCAAGTCTCTAGTAAGTCTTCCTGTTGTTGCAAAACTGAAACTTACAGTTTTTAACAAGTCTTTAGTTCTCTACGAACTATACAATCTCTAGCCGACAATCCGCAAGCAGGACTAGACATCGCAAACAAGCTCATGGAAGACCTGGATCCTAAACACCGAGCCGATTCCCAGCTGTCACAAACTAATCCACCCTCGATGCTATGGACTATTATTAGCCAAGGTCACCACCAGACTGTTCTCCTGATTCTTCGTTCCACCATACGACCATTCCTCAGCACTACGCCTGTCAACTCATCAACATATGAGTCCAAAGAAACCTTACGAATGCGCATGAAGGACTGTCTCATCAATTTCTCCAGCTTCATAAGCACCCTGAAGACTGATGACGTCAATGGATTCTGGCCTCCGTGGTGCCAATCCGCATTTTCGTCCCTTTGTTTCACTCAACTCTTGATGGCTGTATCCTCACCAACCTACGACGAAGCAACATCGTGGATCCACATTTTGCAGCAAACTCGTAGACAACTGCGACTCAAATCGAGTTCTCTACCGGTGCTCCGCCTAGGTCTGCTCCGGATCGACTCCATATTCTGGCGCGGAGTCGACAAGGTTCTGAAGCTGGAGCCACACGTCGCGGATGCACTCAGGGCTTCGCAGGGCAGTTGAAAGTACGGATTTACAAGGTTCAGATTCTGAGTCAAATTAAATGGCCAGGCTGAAAAGCCACTTGAATATGCCAGCTTTTAATATTCCTTTTCGCCCCAGAGCCATCAGAGATGTGCTCGAGGCTCATTATTCCGGAGCTCACGCAACACATCTTCAATGCTCCGAACAGCATCTAGAGCCATGCCGTAACCCGCCTGGAACCCAGTACCACCAGCGCCATAGTTGTGAACAATTGTTCTCTTCTCCCCAGCAACCAATATTTCATCTCTTTCAATCCGCGCGCCACCTTCGCGAGATGGCCGGAGCCCAGCGAAAGCTGCGAGGACTTCGGGATCCTTCTGTCGCACCTCGGAGCTCAGTTCCTTGGTTCTATCCAAGATTGACTGCGTCTCATACGAATAGGTGGAACTGTCACTGGATGCATGTTAGGTGCTATTTCTTATCAGGTCGGGGCTATTACTTACCCAACACCCTTCTGCATGTACCCTCCGAGGATAACATTCCCATTCGACTCCGGCCGCGGGATCACATACGTCTCATAGTCCTTGCCATGTCGCATAATATTTGTCTTGACGTGAGGAGCTCTTGTTAGCAGTACTTGGCCACGAGTTGGATAGCATTTGGGGTCTTCGACACCAGGGAGCGTCTTGGCGGCATTTCCAATGCAGTTGAACACAACCTTGGTCGCTGGGCTACCAAATGCGGAATGGATGTTTGGGAGCTTCTGCCGCACGAATCGCACACCATATTGGTTCTTTAGCCTGCAGTACAAATAGTCGATGTGGCTCGGTGCGTTTACTGTGAGGGTCGTGAAAGAGACGGCAAACTTCACACCCTCGGGGAGTTCTTTTGCAGACAGCACCCGAAACTTTACATGTTAGCACAATTGAGTCACATCAACGGAAACAGGAGCAGTCTTACATCCTCGAGATACTCCGCCATACCCTTAATCTTGTCATGCGGGACATTTTCATCCCACAGTTCAGTGGATGGCGTCCGCTGGACGAAAGTTTCCTCGGGGCTTTCCGATGCCAGCTTACACAAATGGGTGTAGCCGTGGCGGTCCCATCTCAGGGCATTAGCGTCGGTGCCCGAAATTGCAGAGAAATTACAACCGGCCCTGTTACATGTCGGCATTGTTGAGCGGACAGACGAGCGACGCGGGGACTTACCATGGAGACGTGTACGCCGGGGAGGTGTCTCCGGGCATATGCTCGGCAATGACGGTGATGTACTTGCCGTATCCTCTTTCAGAGAGCACCAATGCGACGTCGAGGCCGATGATACCGGCTCTTTGGAACGGTCAGCTCTGGGTCGGCATTGCGAAGTGCGAGACTTACCCGACAATGACGATGCTGTCCGCCACCATCTTCAATCAATGATCGCGATGATAGCCTACAGACTCAAGCTGGCAATGGGAAACTCAATAGGAATTTATATGACCTCAATGTCGATAAATCTTCTCAACATCAGATCAATCGACTTTGAAACCTCACAAGGCGCAACGGAGACGGCCGCCAGAAGCAATTCCCGCTGGCGGTGAATGCTGAGTGACACGCTCTCACGCCAGACTCGGCGAGCGATCTTCGGCATTGACTTTGATTGGTGGCGTTCCGTTTGTCTCCCCACTTTCATAGTTGTATTCGGGCAAAGTCACAGCAGTGGGGAGATCGGCGCTTTTTCTGGGTCCCGTATCTTTCATTCTTGCGAGTAAACAAGGTGACTGATACCGAGACCCTGATACGTGTGGAGTTTTTCTCAATCTGACTCGCTAATTATGTGACTGTTGTTTGACAGAAAGGACGTCCTCGCCCATTCCAACCCATTCACGTGTAGTAGGCAGGCTTCTGCGTATGAGCTTTGCCTCCCAAACCGAGTCAACATCTCCATCAGGCTATATTTAGGATCACTGCTTTTCTACGTGTTCAAGAAAGATGCCTAAAATATCGCATATACTAAGTACCCAGTAGATTGCTCACTTTGGTTACCCAAAGCTTCCTACGAATAAAACGTCTTCACCCACCCCACCATGATATAGCGTGAATTGATACGCCACCTCCGCATGAGTTTCAAAGAAATTGATTCCACCTATTTGCATAATGATATCAATCATAGTGTACATATCTAAGAAGCTTCGCAGTGTCCTCTATGAATTCGAAGCTCGACTTCAGTCCTCTTGTCGGATGATTGTAGTGCGCGAAAGCGTGCGGTGCGCCAGGATATCTTTTCATCGTCACACTGTTTCCTCCGTCCTTCAGCATTTGACCATAAAATTCTCCTTCGTCCCGTTCCAGGTCAAATTCGGCGGTGACTATGTGCGCCGGAGGCAAGTTCTTCATATTTGGGGCGAGAACTGGGGTTAGGATCCAGGTGTTCAGAGCTCGTTCTTGTTCATCTGCGATTCGTGTTAGCAAAGGATCCGTGTCGCTCTTAGAGAGAAAACAACGCACCAGGATCTTCTCCAAGCCAGTACTTTAGGAACCATTGCTCACGCCCCAATGGGCCCCAGGGCAGGTCTGCAAAGAGTCGAGCGCTTTCGTATGGGCAATTTTCCGATGTCAGCTGCTTAATCTTCGTGCTGCAGTAGCGCATGTCCGTCGCTGGCACCACCATCATATGGAGTTTAATATTCACGTTTTCATCCCTTGCAAAATGTGCGAGGACCGCAGACATTTGACCGCCAGCGGAGAGCCCACCAAAGGAGACACTCTTGGCATCAATATTCAACGTTTCAGCGTTGTTAATAGCCTGTATCTATTATCAGCTTCGTGCGAGGGTTTAGAAGAATCCATTTTATCCCACCCATTTGACTGCATCCCAGCAGTCATAAATGGCAGTTGGAAACTTCAACTCTGGTCCCATCCGGTAATCCACATCAATGACCTTGATGTTGGACTTGTTGCAGATGTGCCGACACCATGCTGCCTCGGACTTGAGACTTCCCAACACCCAACCGCCTGAATGATATTAGATACTAGCGCCGCAGTGTCATAGACAATGGAAAGACTTGCCACCATGGAAATTGAGATGCACTGGGAACGGACCCGGCCCCTCAGGTGAGTAGATTCTCACTGTTATTTCTCCAGTCGGCTGCGACACTGAGACTTGACGGTCTTCGACTTGAAACACATCTGGGCCTAAACCTTTGGTTAGAATAAAGCTATGGACAGATCTAGACGACTTTACCTGGGCATGTAGGGTACGTGAAGCTGTGTTTGGCTGGGTCGGTTCTGTACTCCTCTAGGGTAACTTCATCAGCTCGCACCATTGAGCCTCCGTAATTGTTCCAGAGAGCCCGCCATTCCTTATCAAGCCCAGTGTACTGATGAGGATGGATTTGTAAACGGCCTGGGCTGGACAGTGGTATTGTTACCGCTGGTGTCGATGTTTTAGTAACGGTAGTCGTCAAAGTTGTGTTTAGAGCCATTTTTAAAGAGCGATGAGCAAATCGTGTACTCGTGTGCCCTGATACGCCACGAGGCAAGTAGCTACGTCTTGAGAGCTTCCAGATAAAGACAATCGTTGTCGGCATTCGCCCGGGGACCCTGAAGCGGTTGGTTCCGCGCCGGGCCCTGTCGCGATGACGGCGTCGGTGGCGATTGGCGGCGTTGAGACGGGCGATCTTTGTATCCACAACTCCTATCGCGTGAGATATCGCGTGAGATAGCCCGTGGAACGACGCCTATCAACAACGCCACCAGACCCCGCGTTATCTCTCGCGTGCCATCCCAGCGCAACGGGTCCGGGGCGACAGCTGCAAGTCTCCATTTCCCCGTGTTTTAAAGAGGGCTTCAAGTCATGCCATCTTCGTATTTTATTCGCGGTTTACGTCTTTTACGGAGCTTCATTCGACCTCTGGACGACGAGTGACACCTGGTTGAGGGCTTTAACATTGCACTGCTTAGTATCCAGACCTGCCCAACATGGATATCGAGACTAAGAATACTGTCACCAACAACACCGGTGATGCTGCCAGTGTTGCAGATCAAGACAAGAATCATGATACCCCACAATGGCAGGGTCTCCGGAGGGTTCCGGACAAGCTGCCAATGATTGCACTCCTGATCCTTGTTGTCGAGGTACGAGTCGTTACTCCCGTGCCAGACTACAACTTACTAACTTTGATCTCAGCTTGGGGAAAGATTTACCTACTTTGGACTGTCCGGCCCGCTGCAAAACTACATCAAGTGAGCCCTTGCAGATACGAGGCGCACTGCGGAGCCCAGAAGCTGACGAAGACAGCAACCCATATGATCCAGAATCCGACCTCCCAGGTGCTCTTGGCAAGGGACAGGCTGTGGCTACCGCCCTGGGGAACTTTTTCAAGTTCTGGGCGTATGCATCCACCGTCATTGGAGCTATCATCGCTGGTAATATATACCCGAACCAAGAAATAGGTTAGCACACTGATATTCCCAGACCAATATCTCGGCAAGTACAAGGCTATCCTGTGTGCATGCGGTGTCTATATCGGAGGCCTCATTATTCTCGTCTCAACATCAACCCCTGCAGCCTTCACGAATGGCGCTGGCCTTGGTGGATTAATCGCCGCCATGGTCACTATTGGCCTTGGTACCGGAGGCATCAAGGCCAATGTTACTCCTCTCTGCGCGGAGCAGTATACCAATTCCCACCCCGTATTGAAGACGCTCAAGTCTGGAGAGGAAGTGATTGTTGACCCTGAACTCACCGTTCAGAGACTTTTTATGTGGTGAGTGAGATGGGAAGACTCGTTGGGAATATTATCTGACAAAAGTTGTAGGTTCTACTGGGTCGTCAATATCGGGGCTCTATCCCCATTGATCACAGTCAACGTCGAGGCGCACCACTCATTTTGGCTGGCATACTTGATCCCACTCATGTATGTCACGCACTTATCAAATCCATGCAACTACTAACTCCGAAATTTAGTGCCATCATCCTCTCTGTCGGCGTGTTCCTCCTCGGACGCAATAAATACGTCAAAGTCCCGCCCATGGGATCGGCAATCCTCGATGCTTGCCGAACAACTAGCGTTGCCATTAAGGAGCGCGGTTTCGATAACGCGCGGCCATCCGTGCTGCGAGAACGGGGTCATGATGAAAGGTATCCCATCGCCAGCCAGGAAAGATATACGGACGCGTACGTTGGCGATGTCCAGCGAGGGCTGAAAAGCTGCAAGGTGAGCATCTTGGGTGTGTCGTTCCCAGTCCAAATTATTTAACCCAAATATAGATGTTCCTGTTTTTCCCTTTTTATTTCATCTGCTGGAACCAGATGTGGAACAATCTCATCTCCCAGGCGGGACAGATGGCTCTCCATGGGACCCCAAACGATCTCCTGCAGAATCTGGACCCAATCGCTCTATGCCTTTTTATCCCCTTGCTGGATCGTGAGTTCTTCCCAAGAGTTACCAACTTCAAAGCTAAACTTCTCATAGTCATTGTGTATCCTTTTCTCCGAAAGCATAAGATCGATTTCGACCCTGTGACTAGAATCTTCATGGGCTTCATGTTTGCGTCCATCTCCATGATCTACGCATGCGTACTTCAGTATTACATTTACAAATCCCCTCCGAGCAGCATTCATGTTTGGATCCAAGCACCCAGCTACATTCTCGTGGCGTTTTCAGAGGCCTTTGTCATCATCACCGGATTGGAGTTGGCATTCACACAGGCGCCTAAGAAGTAAGCCACTACCCCTTGGTACTAAAGACCACAAGCTAACAAAAGTAACTAAAGTCTCCGATCGGTGATTTCAGCTCTGTTTTGGCTGACGATTGCTGTCGCCGCTGCAATCTGCATTGCTCTTGGTCCCGTCTCACAAGATCCGTACTTGGTGTGGATGTATGGAGCGGTAGGAGTGTCAGGATTTATTGCTGGATGTGCATTTTATGCCTGCTTCTTTCGAGGGCGGAAAAGATGGTCTTCGAGTGAGGAGGTTGTCATCGAAGGACAGTATTGAATGGGAAATCAACACTGGTGGAAAGGGTTGTGATCTTTGTGATTAGGGAAATGATCGAGAATTTAGTATCGACAACTCGTCCCTAAATTTCTTCCTATTCCAAGCTCTCAGGCAAAACATATGACTTTGCACTCTCAATATGCTCATCCACATAAGCGCCCCATTTTTCATTAGGTGCGCTCTCAGGATATTTCTCGGCGTCGTACTCCGGTGCTACTACGGGGTCCTTCGTGTCCAGTTCGTTATATCTTCGCAGATCCATCTGTCTCGCCAGCAGCGGAATAACGTAAGGATCAAAAGTCTTCCAGTAAGGGTTTGCTAGATGAATTTTCTGGCTCTAAGCCGCCATATCCCACGTCAGTAAATCTATGTCAAAACGGCAATGAGAGAAGTATACGAACGAGCTCATTTTCGTAGCGTTCGACAATAGTGAAGGCCCGTGGATCCTTGGGATCCTGCATGACGAACCAAGAAATGGTTCCCTCATCCTGAGAGTAGACGCGACTGGCCTCGGCGAGTTTTGCCTTGAGGTTGTTGATACACTCCTCTTCGGGCCGTGAGTAGAGGTTGACGACTAGTGTATAAACCATTGTGAATGATTGATTATCCGTGTTCTCAAGATCGATGGGTACGGTTGGAGATGGCTTGGCGAGAGGAGATATGGAGGAGTGCGATCTCGTTGATCGCGCAAACACGGTTTGTTGAGGCATATATACGTCATCATACCATCGTAGCACAGCGGAGGACTCCACTCTCACCAGTAGCATCAAGACGTCCCCGATACAATCGAACTGATTCGTGCTTAGAAAACCACGTAACAGCACTAGTCTCAATAGGGTCACATTTCAAGGAGGCGGGGACAACGAGACCAGAGCGGTGTGTATTTCGCTTGCGTGACAGGCCACGCCGTGTCCAGTTGTCTGATTGTCACTCATATCTTCAATCAAATCGAATCAGAGGCGCTAGAAATCGCCCCAGGTATCCATTCTCGGGTACATCGGATCACTAAATGCCCCGCCCGCCCTCATTCCGTGACTTGCATGTATGCACGATTAAGATCTCGCTACACCACCGATGCCAATCGCCAGATCAAGTCCTCCACATGATTCTGGGTTGTTTCGATTTGAGTGTACGTCTACCCTAGGTCTGAGAAAAGTATTCTTGAAGCGATTGTCCAAGCGTGTTGGCGAGCTATAGCTAGTCGAAAACTAGTAATTGGTGGTTCTTTCTTCTCAAGATCGGGCCGATACCCATCGAAACGAGTGGAAATTTTTACCATGCCCCTCATGAATTTCGTGAACAGATACCCTACTAAGAATACTAGCGTTGTGAACATCTGCTCGGAACGCGGCTGGTCTAGAGATCAATGGAGATCGCACAATCCCTCGTCTTCTGCGGTGTTCACCCGACACTAAGACGTAACTAGGGCCCAAGCAGTTAATATTCATTTATTTTGCTCTGCATTGGAGTGACTTTTATTGCTATTTAAGAAGTATTTCCAAGGCGACTTTGTAAACATGTTTCCCAATGAGATTCGTAACAGTCGATCGATGTAGCATTTCATACGAGCCACAGTGAAATTTTCGAACTAGAATTACGTTGGGAATACCCTCCATTCAAGTACACTAGGAAATGAGTTTGTAAAAATGATTGACTTTAGGTCGGCGTTATTGCAGGTAATTCAACAACCACTCCAACCACTCCCAGTCCAGACAATATTGTACACATTAGCTTCACTCACTGTAAACAGAAGTGGAACTGATGCGTATGTTCTGAATAGGTCTTCTTATTCCTGGATTGGGAATGTGCTCTCCGTCAGCGAACCAGAGGCGGTGTCAATCACCACCTGAACCCCTGGAAGTGCCTTGGCTTCGTTGTAGGAAAACATTTGCGCACCTGAACAACAATGTTAGCCATCACATCGTGAGTGAGAAGACCTCTGGGACTTACTATCAGGACCTTGTGCTCCAATAGTGCAAGCACCACCTCTATCCAAAGCCTCGTAGAACTTGTACGTGACCACATTGGGTCTCGCTTCCTCTAGGAGCATGTTGAAGTGGTAATACTGGTCCTTGTCCTGGTAACGCGAGACATACCACTCGACGCAGAAAGTCCTGGACGGGGCTTCACCAGCTGCTTCGTAGTAGATACCCTGGGGCGTACCCTTGTAGATGAAGAGATCACACCAAAAGGGGAACAGGCTGTACTCGGGGAGGTTTCTGTTTCGGCAAGGCAGGGCCTCGTAACGGAAGATGGCATCTCCACGGTCGAGGCTGAAGACGCCGTTGATGGAGACAAAGACTTGCGTGGAGGAGTGGCCGTAGATGGTGACAGGGAATGGGGCCTCGAGAGGATAAAAGATGTCGTCAAAATCGTCCGAAGCGCCAGAAAGGCTACCAACAATTGGGAGCGGGTTCGCAAGAGTCTAGAAAGAATTAGCCACCAGTAAGTCACACAGATTTCACACAATGACGTACCACTTTGTTAGGAAGCTTTGGCTTCTTAGCTTCCTCCAGCTGCAGCCTCACTCTCTCCAGTTCGGCCTCCGTCGCCCTCTTGGCCTCCTCCTCGGCCTCCAGCTTCCTGTGCGCCTCCTCATCCTGAGCTCTGGCTGCATCTACTCTATCTTGAAGCTCCTTGATAGACTCCTCGGAAATTCTCTTGGCTTCTTCCGCAGCTTCCATCCGCTGGTGATCCTCAAGGTCATGGGCACTCAACTCTTCGATCTTGGCCTGGAGTGCTGACTGGGTTTCTTCGGCAGACTTTTGGACATCTTCGAGGAGCTGGATCTTCTGGTCTCGCTCGTCTTTCACGTTCGCCAACGCAGCCTCAAGGGTGGTGATGGTACCATCCTTAGCAACGATACTCTCGTTTACCTCAGCGAGCTCCGTCGCCTTGTCGGCAAGACTCTGGTTGATGTCAGAGATCTCCTGGTCCTTGGTCGTCAATTGAGCATTGAGGTCTTCGACACTTGCGTAGAGCGCAGTATTAGCCCGGTTTGCAGAGGCAAGCTGATCCGTAAGAGTCGAGATTTCGGCGTCCTTCTCTTCGCAATTATGCTTGCAAACGCTCAAGCGTTCCTGAGCAGTCTCGAGCTCATGGGAGACCGAAGTGAGTTGCTCGCTCTTGCTGTCCAGCTCAGCCTGCAGGGACGCCTTCTCTTGGAGCGCTTGATCAAGCGCATCATGCGCTGCGTCGATAGACTCGTGGTCCTCCTTGTCGTGTTCCCTCTCACGGACCCAGGCTTCGTGTTCCTCGAGCACTCTCCTGCCGAGCTTCTCCTTGAGGCGGTTTTCAGACGCCTGCGACTTGTGGAGAGCCTTTTCAGTAATGCGGAGCTTGCGGGCAAGTTCCTTTTCCGCCTTGAGTGAAGCGGCGCGATTTTCGGCCATTCTGTCCTCGAAGTCTTGATTTGCCTTCTCTTGACCAGACGCGGTGACCTCAAGAAGTTCGAGTGCCGTGGTCTGCTCACGGAGTTGCTCACGGAGAAGGGTCAACTCGATGGCATCATTTCCAATCGTGTCAATTGCCGCGTGCAGCCTCTTTTCCAGAAGCTCGTAGCCCTAGATAGAGATCAGTAACGAATCTTCCAATTGGATAGGAGCCATGTGTAATTCACTTACAGAGCCGTACTCCTGGGCGAGATGGCCAGCATGGTCAATGAAAGCCGCTGCCAAAGCCAAATTCTTGCTGATGGTTGTGGAAAACGGCAAGGGGTCCTGGATGCGGGTCAAAGCCGGTTCATCCGTGGGAAGAGAACATTCGAAGGTGATGATCCCAACCTGACGTTCAGGTGGGATTACGGTCCTTTTACGCGTCAGCAGCGGCTCGTGAAAATGGTAAGTGATCTTCCAGGACATACATAGCCTCGGTCTTCTGGTTTCGGCGGTGAGAAGGCATCCTGAATTGAGATTCCGAAAGCGCTTCACTTAGGAGTCTGACTTGATGCAGTTGTTGTTTCTTTTCTCCTTAAGAGTGTGAATATGATTGATCTGGAGGTCTGTTCTGACAATTTATCTATGGGATAGTCTCATATTTATATTCATGGCTATGGTAGGGAGCCCTCTCAAACTACGTCGAGTCCTAGCCACTCGTCGGCATCACGCTCATGCGCCTTTTGCTCTCCGTTTGTCGATGATGCAATCATTCTCGATTTGGCGGTTGTTATGGTGGCGATCTCGGGATTCGTCATATTCCCATGTCCGTCTGTACGGCTACTGCAATTGTCATACGACGGCAGAGCTCGTCCTTGTCCGAAGGTGGAGATTCAGCTCTGAGATGGCATTTCTCGAAAGCCAGCTATGGCAATGAATGGCGTAGATCAGGGTCGTTCCGTCTGCATGTCAGAGCGTTTAAAATGAATGAAGTTAGCGTGGGCGGCCGACATAGCAGCTGTGCTGCGAGTCAATCAATAACCCCAATTTCTGCAGCTCCAGGGGGTCTCAGCCATTTCCCGGTTACGAGAATCAGCTCTCTGCAGGTGTCAGCTTTTCCCCATGAGATCTTCGTATGCCTCCTCGATTGGTTGGTTGAAATTGGGTGGCTGTTGCATCACGAGCGTCGCTGGTGTCAAGCCGTCACTTCACCTCGCCTTAGTCGACCTGAAAACGGCGGCGCCCACGTTACATTACAGGTCTTTAGCATTAAAGTATTGAAGCACCTTCGCTGATCTATCCGTATTGGGAGAGATGAGGGGTTGATGGCCGTAAGATGCAGGCTCCTTCTTCGCTGAGGAATAGCGTCATTTGCATACTCAAACTGCCCGTAGTACAGAATGTGTGAGTGCTGTCTACTTCTACCATCAGCCGTCTCCTAGCCGTCTAGTACACGCGCATCGTATCTTTTCCCGCCCAAGAAGCGCATGATCCCGGTGATCCGGTTTCCTATCCTACGCCCAGTGAAATAATAAATGGCTGAGAAGAGACAGAGAAAAGTCTACTAAGCCACAGTTTCCTAAAAAGGTGATATTAATCGCTCATCCGACCCCCAATATAATTCCGTAGCTTCCGGCACTAGAGGGGCCTCAAAAGCGGCCACATAGTACCTTAGTCTTGGAAGGCGGTCAGGATCTATCCAATGCTGTGGCCGGTGAGGCGCTTTCAGTAGCACCTGCAAAGGTGGACTTTCACCGGTCTCGCAAGCGGTCTTGGTCTTTGCAGCAAGATGATTCGTTCTTCAGTTGAGTCCGACTAGTTTGCCATCTCCGCGTCTCCCTGTCTGCATATTGGCTCACAAATGCGCTCTTCGGATATCACAAATCTATTGGCTCACCCTGCAGGCTCTTACGCGCTGAACATAGCTCGGCCCCGCCATATATCCTAGAGGTGCCTAGCCATCTTGAGAACGCAGTTTCGCGTGCTTGCTCCGGCGGTGTGATATGCCGCACATAGTGGCTCCTCTCAGCTGAAATAATTCCCTGCATGGCACAACGGGAGTCATCCTAATCATCCGCTTTTGACTGATGCGCTTTCATCCGGGCTCGCACAGTTTGGGAAAACGTCAGTTAAAGCTAGCCCGTTATACTCCATGTTCTTCCTCGCAGTACTAAATTAGGACGTTGATTTCAAGAAATAATTTTATTTCTGAAAACCAGTCCCGTAACCCCGACACCCATACTACTTGTGTATCAACAGCGCACTAATCTACAGGCCCGGCTTCTGTAGTACACCGGATTGACAAGCCTGCTCGGTGACTCAGATCGAGCTGCAAGCCCTGTGATGTGGTAAAAGCAATGTACTGATCATATCCTAGATTTCAGCACAAAAGATGAACTAGAGTATTAAAGTCACGGGCAGGTGATCAGGTAGTCAACTTTGTAACCTGCCACACAGATCAATCATGAAACTTCCCGGTTCATGGATACAGAGAGCGCTAAAACTCCCACCGGAAACACTGAAGCGATGGCCCATATTAGATAACTCCAGCTTTAGTCAAGTGAGTAGTTGGCTAATATTTCCTTGCTGCATTCAGCGATCTGAGTGATCAGGTGGGTGATATGAAATCTTTTGATATTTTTGTTTAGCGATGGTCTTGGGGTCAGTCTTATAGGATGTTGATGACCTTAGACTTCCGACAGTCTCTTGATACCTCTGGTAAGGACTCACCGCAAGGGAAGCTAAAGAAGTACATACTTTCTTCAGCTACCATACCGACTTGGTGTTCCTTTTACTATTCTATCTGGCATCCTTCACTGGTTTATCTCGCAGAGCATCTTCCTTTCGGTTGTGGCTGCCTATAGCCCCTAAGCTTGGCTGGAGGACTCGTGCATGTCATAGCATGCGGGGACTTTCCTTTGCCATTTTTGCTTGTAATTAAACCGAATATTTTTATGTGCGCTATCCTGTTCATCTGATGTTCCGGACACTATATAAGTTTCTCATGTTTCTTTGTAGCCAGAAGAGTCCAGGGAAACACGGCGTACAACACATATACCATCTATCAGCGCACCCCCGGCCAGTAATACAACGGCATCCAATATAGTAGTAGCATCAAATGTTCCGGATACTTGCATGGTAGCAGTGATAGCCGAAGTGATGAATTTCACAAGCCGCGACGGCCGCTGTTCCACACTCATAACCTGGATCAAAGGCCACAGTCAATCGACCACAGACCGTTGGAGGATCCTGACGCGGAAATCTCAACCATAGCTCAACCATTGAACTCTAATTAGGGCCCATCACATGTGCGTCTCCTGAAACAACAAGTGAAACACGCTCAATGAATTCCCAAAGTTAGATAGGAGACGTCAGCGATTCTCAGAAACGGAAGTAATATTTGTGACGACGGAATACGCTCTTTTTAACTGCGCCACGGATCAAGCCAAGGCACATCACACCACGAGCCCGAAATAGGCCAATATGCCGGGGCTTCCGGCCGCATCTGGGTGGTAACACCGTTCTGAGGCGGGGTTTCTCCATAGACGCCGACGGCAACAAATGCGGAGTTTACCCCAGAGCCTCGGAAGTTAGCGTGGTCCGTATTAAATACTTGAACTCTACAACATGTGAGAACTGGGACGCCTATTTCCTGCTTCCATTCCCCAACTACGCAACACACGTCTCCACAGCTCCTGCGATTGATTCAGCATTCAATCATGTCTTCAGACGCGACGGACCAGAAGCCCGTCATCATTGTCGGCGGCGGCCTGGCTGGTCTGGTGGCGGCCTTTGAGCTCGGCGTCCAGCGCGGCATCCCCACCATCATCGTCGACCAGGAAAATGAGGCCAATCTCGGCGGCCAGGCCTTTTGGTCGCTGGGCGGCTTGTTCATCGTCGACAGCGCCCAGCAGCGACGCACCGGCATCAAAGACTCGCGCGAGCTGGCCATGCGCGATTGGTTCGGGAGCGCGCAGTTTGATCGCGCCGACGGTGAGGACCACTGGCCGATCAAGTGGGCCGAGGCCTTTGTGAACTTTGCCGCCTCCAAAGACGGAGAGGAAGGCATGGAGGGCTACGTCAAGGCCAGAGGATTGGGCTTCCTGTTCAATGTCGGCTGGGCCGAGAGAGGAGACGGAAGAGCTGATGGCCACGGCAATTCGGTGCCGAGGTTCCATGTCTCATGGGGAGCGGGGCCGGAGGTTGTGAGGATCTTCCGGGACCCCGTTCTCAAGGCTGCGGAGAAGGGAACCATAACATTCAGGTTTCGCCACGCGGTAGATGAGATCATTGTCGACGAGAAGGGAAGAGCAGTTGGAGTGCGTGGACGTGTGTTGGAAGAGGATAAGCAAGCTAGGGGAGTCAAAACATCGCGCGTCGAGGCCGACAAGTTTGAGCTATACGGGTCGGCAGTCTTGGTCTCATCCGGTGGAATTGGCGGAAATGTCGAGGCCGTAAAGGCAGCATGGCCCGTCGACCGACTAGGACCCAAGGTGCCTGAGACCTTCGTCGTCGGCGTCCCGGCGCATGTCGACGGGCGCATGATTGGAATCACTGAGGCCGTTGGTGCAAATGTCATCAACCGCGACCGGATGTGGCATTACGTCGAGGGCCTTCGCAACTGGGACTCAATCTGGCCCGACCACGGCATTCGCATTCTCCCTGCGCCGTCATCTCTCTGGCTGGATGCCACCGGCAAGCGTCTACCGCCCTATCTGTTCCCGGGCACAGACACGCTCGGAACGCTGAAGGCCATTTGCAGCACTGGATACGACTACTCGTGGTTCATCCTCGACCAAACCATCGTCGCGCGTGAATTCGCTCTGTCCGGCTCGGAGCAGAACCCCGATCTGTCCAACAAGAGCATCATCCAGTTCCTCCTCCAGCGCGTGTTTGGCAAGAAGGGAACGATACCGGTGCAGAACTTCCAGAAGCATGGCGAGGACTTCATCGTCCGCGACACGCTCGAAGAGCTCGTGAAGGGAATGAACGAGCTGGCCAAGGGACGCGGCCCTGAGCTAGATTTCGACGATATCAAGGAAACCGTCGAAACTCGAGATGGCCAGATGGACAATCCCTACTCCAAGGACGCCCAAGCAATGCTCATAAACAACGCCAGATTGTACTGGCCGGATGGGAGAAGTCGCGTTGCACCCCCGCACAAGTTATTAGATCCGGCACACGGCCCGCTGATCGCAGTCCGGCTGAACCTGCTGACGCGCAAGACGCTGGGCGGCATCGAGACCAACTTGAGTAGCAATGTCATGAAGGCGGATGGGTCGGAATTCCCGGGACTATATGCGGCCGGCGAGGCTGCTGGCTTTGGCGGAGGCGGTGTTCACGGGTATAACTCGCTCGAAGGAACGTTCCTGGGAGGTTGCATCTTTTCAGGCAGAGCTGCCGGAAGAGGCATTGCAGAAGAGTTGCTTGGTCATGCGGGAGAGCCCGCACCAGTGACGCGATCGCTCCTTTGATGGGTTCTCATCCATTCTCTATCCAGCCTCAACATGTAGGTTTGAACGGGGCAAGCCGAACAGCACGCCTGGCCAGTATATAATGATTCCCTTTCTAGATCTAGTCATCAATAAATTTCACGTTAACCTCTGGAATCATCCGTCGAACTGTTCCACGGTCATACCGTCGTCCATCTCAGTGCTGGACGTAGTCGATAAGCCCATGTTTGGCAACACAACGTATCTGCGAGACTGTCGACATTTATGATATGATATAAATTTCAAGCACACAGACGTTTATTTCATCTGCTAGATAGCTTCAGAGCCACCACAAAAAGAAGTAAAAGAGACTCGTCCCTTGTCCAGCGTGCCAACTGTTGTGTGTAGAAAGAATTAAGATACTTAAACACTTCTAAATTCTCGCTAGATTTATAAATAAACTAATATAATTATAAAGGAGATTCTATCTATCTAGAGATTCATCTTCCACTTCATTGTTTTAGATCTACTTAATATTTAATGCGTATAGAAATCCTTCTGCTCAATCTCCCATAGAAATCCGAAGAAAATTCCAAAAAGGCATAATCTAGACCTTCTAGTAAATCCCAGGGAAGTCCAAGTCCATTTCGCTCTATGCTTCTCGAGCTTACTGTCGGGGAATATATCTAAAAAATTATAGAGATTTTCTAAATATAATCTTTAAGGAAATCAATAATAATATCGAACTATCCACAGCCTGCTCGACACGGTGATATTTCCTGAGCATCGATCTTGAAGACTCCGACGACGAGGCAATAGCCCCTGCCCGGCCGACCTGTCCCAACCGTAGCCGGTTCACTAGCGGGTTGCCCGAAGCCCTAAGCCGCATGGACGGCCTTCGAGCACCCGACGAGAACAACCATACCGGCACATATATGGGAGGTGAGGAGCTCTGCTCTAACTTTGCCGAACTTCTGGAGCGACTGTACGCGGCCAAGACCGACGAGGAATTGCATGCCGTTTAGGAAGAAGGCAAGACCATTCTCCATGCAGGCATTGACAAAGCTAGCCATCCCTTCTCCAAGCGAGCTTCGAACTAAACTTCGAAGGTGAGAGCGCAACCAGCGTCTTCAACATCTTCAAGTGATTGGCGCATGACTCATCGAATGTGGACGAAGCAACAGGGATGCGAAAGCTAGTCGTCAAATATCAATTGCAGGTACTGAATCCGGATGTTCTTGTACTTGATTCCCATAGGTATTCACTTTTTCTATTTCCGCTTAGCTAAACCGGCCCAGCTGCAACCGTCGACTGAAGGCGAGAAGGCCCAGGTGTCGGTTACTTATGAATTAGTCGACATTCCACGGATTCAGTGCGCAAATTGTATAAAAGTTTGTAATTTGTCAAGTATTTGATATTCTCTTGGACAACCGCTGGGTATTGATCCCGCCATGGTTACAAAACATGCTAGAAAAGATGTTGCAGTTGCAGATTCCCCATGATCCCGTACCAGAACGAGCCATTTCTGCTGTGTGATGAACGCCTTCCGCTCCCAGTACCTAGTTTAAAACAACGCCGATATTCCCCCTAATCAAACACACTCATCCATAAAAAGGCGCCGGTTGCACCGCCGAGAAGCAAAACCGTGAGGATACCCGCTCCGGCCCTGTCTGCTCCAGTGATTTTTCGCAGTTCTGGCATGTCGTGACTGTTCTTTCCGGCATTGGGGTCGCCCTTCGAAATGCCACCCGTCTTGTTCGTCACCGGCGGGTCGGCGTCTTCGATCAGCAGGCTGGACACGGCGGCAAGCACGCTCATAGCCTCGCCGGCACCGCTCGTTTCGTCCACGGCCGGATCGACAAACACTCCGCCACTCCAGTAGAAGCCGCACACGCGACCGGATTCGCCGCCGGTGCACTGATTGGCGGCGGCCAGGGCTGACGTGGCGAGCACGGGGAGGATCTTGTCCTTGGTGTGGGGGGCGATCTGCGTCACGACGGAGAGCCACCGGTGGACGTATCCCTTGAACGAAAGCATGTCGGTTGAGCAGGCTCCCTGGCGGCCTTCGCAGGGGATTTCGTAAGCGATGTCCTTAGGGAAGAAGTTTTTGAGCAGCGAGTCGAGGAGCTTGTCGACACGGCTTTTCCAAACCTCATCGCCATCGGTCTGTTCGAGTGTTAGCTGCGGGTAGGGGCAAATGAGTCGTTACACTGACAAAATTGTACATGAATGCCGATCCCTGGAGTAAGATGGCGGCGTTGTAAGAGAAGGTGGCCTTGTTTACGTCGGTGCAGTTGTGCTCAACGTGACCGCCGTCGTATACTTGATAAGTCTCGTGGTCGATGTATTCGACCTTCCATAGCCAATCCCAAGTCTCCTCAGCATACTCGGCGTATGTCGAATTTCCGGTGTACCTGGCAAGCCGAGCACCAATGTTAAAGAAACATCCATTCGCGATTGCTATATAATAAGTTAGTCGCAGTCGTTGATGGCGCTGGAGAAGACTCACTGTTCTTGTAGTTGTATCCGGCGTTGGAAAATGGAACCTGCCATCTCAAACCACCGTTACAGGTCTCATCGTGTCGTCCGGGTGCTGCTTGGGTCGCCCAGACACCTTGTGCGAGTGCCAGCCACTGGGGTTTGTCATCTGGAGGATTGGGGAACTTGTTTTCAGCCGCCAGCATGGCCGTCATGCCCCAGAAGCCTTGATCGTCATTTCCCAGGGATGCTGTGTGGTTCAAGGGCATGAAATCTGCATTTTCGCCGGTTTGATGCAAAATCCCTTCCATAACGACATCGTTGTAACTCGTGTCACCAGTCAACTTCCAGTAGTCTGTTCTCACTTAGTTCTCCGTCTTTCGGGGGATCCAGCATGACTGGTCGGGATATCGACGCACCGACGTAAGTTCCCATCATAGCACCTCCCTCCCACCAGTAATAATCGCCCTTGTATTCGGTAGGCGGTCCGGGTAGAATGCCGGGAATCTTGCCGGTCTGGTTTCCATCGTACTGAAGCATAAGATCGTAGGCTAAGGTCCGGGCCGCGTCGCGAATCTCATCTGGGAGAGCACGTGTTAGTTTTGACCGAGGACGGCCGATGAGGTGTATTACCTTTGGTGCTAATCTTGTAGTATTGGGCTTCGGCGGACTGGAAGAGGAGACTTCCGAGGAGGAGCCCGGCCTGGGGTGAACGCATGTTGAATTCGAAAATGAATGAGGGGCGAGAACTGAAAGAAGCAGATTGAATCGTCGAGAGAGCGGGATCGAGAGGCGGAGAGAGCGAAATCGGAGTAAATGAGAGAGATGAATTAAGAAAACCTAGATAAGACCACCCCCAAAGCGATTGAGATGGGAAGAGAGTCCAAGTCGAGTTCCAAACCGGCCATGAAGTCCTACAAAACCACGGAGCAAGGCGAAGATGAGAAGAGTAGAAGAGGTCTCTAAATCACGAGAAGATGTCAAAGGAACGGTCACGAGTGGGATGGCACCCCAGGTCTTTCAAGTGCGCAAAAGTCTTGGCCAAACAAAGCGCTGACACGGTCACCAGTAAACTACGACTTGGTACGAGCCAAGCTTCTGGGCATCGGGGCAGTGCATCCCCAGTCGCAATACATAGTTGCTTGGCAGGCTTTCGGTAGGCGCTTGGCAGTCTGAGCCAGCCGTTGGCATGAAGACGCTGCGAAGCGGCCAGGCCAATCCCCAACGAGAGCGAGAGCGATCCGCAGAGTCCAAGACACCAAGCGCGTATTCAATTACTGCGTGATTGTTACTAGCAGGCGGTGGCCCGTCCCTGGCTGGTCTGGCGGGTGGGCGAAGCAAGGGCCAAGACATGAGCGAGTCTTGGCGGCCAGCGACAGGCAAGCCACGTAATTGATTCACAGGTCGGCGGCCCTGGGGAAATTGGAATTGCGGTGATGCGGATTCTGAGAGCCAGGAGGTTATCCGGGGCCATCCGTCGACGGTCGAGCCGCAGAAGTGCATCATCGGGACATGGCGAAACGCGGAGGCCGGATCAAGAAACACTCCACGTGCTGTCGGTCTACGGATCGTCAAGCAGCTTGTGGCTGCAACTCGGCGACCAGGGAGCAGCTCTATCTTCCGGGAGGGGCCTTTTCCGGGCCACCGGGTGCACCGGAAGATGGGCTAGGGCGGATTACGCGTCCTTCTCTGTTGATCCTTAAGATGAGCATCCGTTTGGCGGTTTGGATGTCGGTCGTACAGAGTACGAAGCACACAGGGAGGAATTGATTACTGGCCGGCCCTCAATAGTGGCTGGATGGATGCCCTGGCGCGAGCCGCCAAAGTGCCAGAATGCGGCTGGCCTCATTAGCACCAGAGAACACAGCCCGAACAACTGGGGAAGCAAAAGGGGTCGTCTTTGCCTCCGCCAGGTATCTGCGCATCTTGGCAAGATGAGGAGCAGCGTGAATCCCCCGTAACGGACATTGAGAGTCTGGCTCGTGAGACGCCATTGCAGGTTGTGGGCAAGCTTATAGGCTTGGCAGACTTGGCAGGGGCTGGGAATGGGAGCCACAGCGTCACCTAGCGCATTCCCCCTTGCTTAACGCTCCAGTAATCACAGCTCAGTGCTCCAGTAATGACGTTTCAGGGCTCAGTAGTAAAGACGAATACCTGCTCAGTGACATGGGGCCAATACTCCCCGCCCGAACCGTCCGGACATTGACTCCATCTCCAAGACTCTATCTCATTTACGCTCCCCAGCGGACACGGCACTAAACTTAACTTTAATTACGCCCCGAGCAACCCCCTGTTTCTCCCCTGGACGCCCTGGAACTGGCCCCCTGCGTCCCAGCGACGAGCCGGAGACAGGAGTGGCTTCAATCCGCTGGCCCCCCTCCACAACAACTCGGGCACATCCTCCACTGCACCAGCCAGTGACAGCACGACACACAGCGACCGGTGGCCCCTGGTATGCTTAAATATTACCTTATTCTCCCGAAACGTGGGTGTGCGTCACCAGAAACCCTCTGTGTCAAGACGGCGCCTCGGGACTCGATATCTGGCCGAAGGCTGCGCGTCTGCGTACCATTCGAGCAGGTTTCTGCACAAGAGATGGCCCTCAGGTCGACCGTGGCTGGCTTGGCTATTTTCCCTTTGGCGCTTCGTCTTGGCAATCCCTCTTGGCGCTACTTCTTGGCGCCTCGCTGGGACATTGCTTGGACGGGCCATGTTCAGAGCAAGCGAGTTTGTGAAACCGCCAATGCACTGCTCCGACAGTCCAGCTCAAATACGCGGGAAAAAATATGTACGTAAATTCATCCTGATATTATGCACTACGAAGTACGGAGTACGTCGCCCCGAATTCGTGACAGCCATCTCGGCTCAAAGATGAACCACATCAAACCCTCGGTTTTATACGGAGGTAGTAAGCCAAAATCCCGTCTCAGTTCAGCAGCTCCTCAACGGCGAGTTTCATCATCAGCATTCTCCCTGATCTGTTCCTAATTGCAACCGTGGATCTAGCAACGGCTGACAAACGCGGACGGTATGATGCCGGGAGCCAAAGCACCTTCTTTCCTTGCCAGGTAATCCAGCAGCGATCTTCGCTGATCCCATAGCCAGAGCGACCAGCAATCGACGAGGCGTGATCAATTGAGATCGCGCCAACATCTGTATGAAGGAGTGCCCCGCTAGGCTCAAATCGAAGCTGCGACGTCGTGTTACCAATATGAATCACATGTATGCACTCTCCGCCATCTATCCGCCAAAGCCGCACAGTCTTATCATCCGCCGCAGAGGCCACGAAGGTCGAGTCCGGCGAGAATGCGACCGCAGTTATCCCGTCTACGTGGCCTTCCAGTTGTTGAATCACTTTGCCAGTGAGAACCCACCAAAGTACAACGGTGTTGTCGTGAGAACCTGAAGCCAGGAGATCGTTGTTGGGAGAGAATGCAGCTGCAGTGACAACACGCGTATGCCGTTTTAGAAGCATGTTCTCGCCATTCGAAATCTGCCAGATGTGTAGATCTGCGCTAGGTCCCATCGCTACCAATTTCGAGTCAGCTGAAAAGGTCACCGAAAATATCGAGTTGCCGAGTTCTCTCAGTTCCTGGATACACTCCCCAGTATCAACGCGCCAGAGCCGGACGGCCTCATCGTACGAGGTTGAAGCCATCAAAACTGAGTCGGGTGAGAATGCAACTGACTGCACTCGGTGCAGATGCCCCTGTAGTTCATTGAGGTTGTCGGTATCAGCCCTCCACACCAAAATCTTGTTGTCCAAGATTGACGCTATGTGGTTGGAGTCGGGTGCAAATACCACCAAGTTCCCATCCCCATGAAGGTCTTTCATGTATCTCCCACTGGTCAGGTCCCAGAGCTGCGGTGCTGCGCCGTTCGAGGACGCGACAAGAAGCTTCAAGTTGGGAGAGGTTGCGATGGACGTCACTGTCTTCCCAGGCCTCTCTCCTTCTCGAGAATACTCGCTGCCAACTTGCCAAAGACGCACAGACTTGTCCTGGGAGCTTGATACAAGTCGACTCGAGTCCTGTGAGAAAGCGATTGAGGCCACCCAGCTGTCGTGACCTTTCATTTCCTGTACACACTCCCCACTTCCGACCCGCCAGAGTCGTATCGTAGGACCATGGCATGATGACGCAATCAGCTTCGAGTCGGATGAGAATGCAATCGCCGTCCCCCAGTCCCGATGACCCTCAAATACTTGGATGCACTCACCGGTTGGAACCTGCCAGAGTCGTACGGTCCCATCCTTGCCAGCAGATAACAACTGGGCTGAGGCAGGCGAGAATGATATGGCCAGTACTGAATCCGTATGGCCTTCAAATACTTTAACGCATTCGCCTGTATCAACCTTCCAAATCCGCACGGTGCTATCGTGTGACGCCGACGCTATAAATGCCGAGTCGGGCGAGAATAAAGCAGCCTCAACCGCTTTCAAATGACCCTTTAGTTCTCGTACACACTCATCACTACCTAGCCGCCAAAGCCGGACAGTAGAATCGCAAGAAGCCGAAACAACGAGCGTTGAGTCGGGGGAGAATGCGACCGATGCTATGAAGTCAGAATGGCCGTAATGATGTTGGATACGGTCGTCAGTGCTCACACGCCAGATTGACACGCTGTGATTCGGTTCCGATATCGACGCAATGAGCGTTGAATCAGGCGAGAATACAACCGAAGTCAGCCAACCCTCATCGACATGGATCTCTTGGATACATTCGCCACCATCGATGCTCCAGAGTCGGATATGCCCATATTTCGAGGCCGAGGCGACAAGTGCAGAATCGGGAGTGAACGCTACCGATGTCACCATGTCAGGAAAGGCATCCAAAATTTGGAGACAATGGTCCCAATTGTCTTCGGTCTCTGTGGTGAGAGAAATCCATTCGGGAACTTGGTGCTGAAACATCCTTGTTATCACGCTCTTTTTCGGCGTAAATACAAGTGCGGAGGAGTATATCTGAAGCGGCGTAGAACCGATGGCTTGAATGTTGGCAAGGATCAGCCGCTCAGCATCTTGCAAGAACTCCGAAGTTAATGGACTTTTTCCGGGCTGTAAGTCGGTTAGTCTACGCCAAAAACAGAATTGGGTGGAATCCGTACACTGAGGACCGACCGTAATATGTGAATGGTCTTTCTGCATACCGAGGACCTTCCCATAAGGCTCAATGCTTCTACCCAATGGAGAAAATGGATCGAGAGAAAAGTGTAAACGTCGCCAACATCCTCAACAGTCATACCTGCCTGCTTTGTATGATCAGCCCAATAAAGGCAGGCGTATTGCACCTCTGCTGGAAGCCGGGACGTTATCACATGCTCATCGATAGAGGAACGGCATGCTCCCGGGTTCTTGAGTCCACAGATGTCATTTCGTAGACAATCGCTCATAACCCGCAGGCAGTTTACAGCCACCTGAGAATGAAGTTGCTTCTCATCCATCCAGAACATGTTTACGCCACGCTTCCTAGGATCTACTAAGAAGTCCCGGAACGATAGGTGGAGCAACCGCACAGGAGCATCGACTGACGTAGGTACGTTCAGGACAGAATGTAGCATGGACAGTTGGTTATCGACATCGTCTTCTGAGATGCCGAGAATTTTGCTGAGAGCGCAGATTGTAAGGGGACTGAGTAAGATCACGATTGATCCAACAATTTGGCGGAATCGCTGCACGACCCTCCCCTGCTGATCAGTGGACAAGCCAGCTACCATCTTATTTAAGATCGGCAGGTATGTTGCATCTAGCTTTTCTTCTTGGCGATCTGTCTTGAAGTCCAATACTTCTCGAAGAAGTTCATTGGGGTGTCCACATCGGCGATCGGCGAGGAAACGGCAAACAGTGGCTGCAAAAATGAAGAGAGGTGTTGCCTTTCTCACAAGAATCTGTATATCCCCTTCTCCGGGCCAATCGATCGGTAGCTGTCGCTGCTTGTTTGATACGGATCGATTGTAATCGCGTCTGATGATCGCAAGCTCATGCTGTAGGAAGACGCATATGTCATGCTCAATTACGGGTGGCGGCAGTTTGTGGAGGATTATTTGTTGGTGGGTACCCAACGCGTCAAATCCAAGGCGTATAGGCAGTTCTGGCCTGCTGGTAACGACTATCCTCAATCGAAGGGACTGCACTGACGTCGCACGAGACAGGCCGTCGATGAGGAACTTGATATCAGCGTCCCGTTCGCACTCGTCAAGTGCATCAATGACAATGACAACCGGCACTGATTTATGATGCTCTTGGGCAATATGGGAAAGAGGACGCATGATGAGCTGCTCAAACTGCTCTCGCGACGCTTTTCCAAAAATCATCGGGTCTTTGTCGATTGCTTCTTTGATGTGAGGTGCGAGACTCGGTTCGACTCGTACTAGCTGAGAAGCTATTGTTGTGAAGAATTTGGACAGGTTTCCTCGGTCAGCCTCGCCTCTTTTGAAGAAGAAACTGGCTCCAAGGTAGCTGGACTGGGAGAAATTGCGAGCAATGGTTCGAGATATCGTAGACTTTCCGACTCCAGCTACCCCATTAAGCCAGAATATATCCGCAGCTTGGGGGTCATCAGCCCATTTAGATATGTGGCTGAGGAGGGCGACGCGTGTTTCTGGAAGGCATGTCGGATTATGCTCCTCCTCGCGGGAGTCGAAGGAAGCACCTTCGGCAATAGGCAGCGTGTTTAGCACTGTTTTTTGGTCGATGACAGCGATCTTTTGATCGACTCCAAGGAGGACAGTCCTATAGAGCCACATCCTTAGTCTGCGGCTTAGTACAATGCAATGAAGTACTTACGTCTGGTCTGCTTGGAGTGCTAAAGAAATGATTTCCGTTTGTTGTCCAAGTTCTTGAATGAACCTGTCAACCTCACGTTTTTGAATCGGCCACTGTAAAGCACAGAATCCCACCCGACTCATTAATTTCTTCGACGTCCGAGGTTTGAGCTTCTCCTCCAGCGCTTCAAGCTGCGAGAGACTGAGGTGCAACCCAGTGGCCAGATTCTGTGAGCTCTCAAGACGCGCCCCGTTAGGGCCCTGTAGCAATTTCTGGACGCTCTCTGACGTCTTCTGGAGATTGGTGACGACAGTGTGAAGTCGATCGATATCGGCTTTGGCATGTTTGACATCCCGGCCATACTGAAAGCAGAGCAAACCGACCTTCGCCGTCATGTCAATGACGGTGAGGAGATTGACGGCGACCCCAACTGCCTCCATGGCGATTGTATGAGAGGACCGGCGGACTGTGGGTCTTGTGAGGACCGCACTTCAAAGAGATACTCCAGACGGGTTCGCAAGAGCTGCGCAGGCCCTGAGGTAGGTGCCAAGATGGACAAAATCCGAGTTGAGTGGTTTGTGAAGAATAAGGCGGCCCAACGAGTCACGGGACTTTATGTCCTTGGGAGCTGAATGCATGGAAACGTCACTTCTGGCAGCCTGATCGGCCACATAGAGAGCAGCATGATAAGCCGTGCATGTCAGACGAAATGACTTGAGGTTCGTTTCAATTGCCTTCTCCTTAAGAGTAAGAAGCGGTGATGACAATACGAGTGTGCGAATATTACTAAACCAGACATCGTATACATGTGCATTCTAAGTCTAGCTCAATCCAAAGTACCTAGCTTACAGTCCGAGCACCGAGAGCGTGAACGGCGAAGCGCAATCCCTAGATCCTTCCGCTCTACTCTTCTGGTTTTAAATAATGTGAATAATTGTATCACAGTGTTTTGGATGGTTTGCTCCAATTGTATATTTTCATAATAGGCCCTAAGTGATACAGTGGGTAAAATAATGTCGAGTAAACAACTTCTGCGGAGTGTGAAATCCAAGTATCTGGGGATAGCTTGCTCGTACAAATCTGTTACGATCACCCAGACCAACAATAAAATAGATCACGATAATTTTGGAAACAAAAATGTATGCTAACAGGGGAATACAAATAGTAATATTGCCAGACCCGCCACGATAGATTTTGAGCTGCTCGGTTTAACTTTTTATAGGGCCTGTAGGGTAGCGAGAGACGTGTGTGAAACTGGAAAAGTGGAACGCCCCACTAAAGCTCACGTATTCCGGATGTTCCTTGTTCAACAGCGTGGGACGCCTGAGTGGACTCCCAACTGCGAATCCAGGCACGTGGGATTGATTGGGTGCCGTCTCTACTTCGTAAATAGTGCCCTGATTTATATCCTTTTTTTTTCGGGGCTACTATACCTAGTGGGATGCACGAAGTCCTCTTGTAAAGCAGGCACGATAGTGCTGCGTTGCGCACCATTAAGCTGCATCATAATATAATTTAATACCATCTTAAGAAACAGGCTTAAAGTCTGTATGGATCTTTAAGCTGGACACAGCGCGCTATTTTGGACCAGGACTTTATGCTTCCCACTGTAGCGCATGTCCATCATCCATGTTGAGATCATTAACTATCTCGGGTATGTACAAATGCACTCCACTTTGTGCAAATCTGCGGACGCTCGATATCACATTCCAGAGCTGAGACATTTATATGACGCCAAGAATAATCGGCTTACTCACAATGACATATTTTTAAATATAGAACTCATTGGGAACGGTAAGTTTTGGAAAACTCAGATTATTGCTAACCCGGACAGAGAAATCCGATGTCTGAGATGTATATTTGTGTACTAGAATTATAGTTATGCCTATATCCCTTTGCCTGCTTCTGTATAAAGAATGGTGCCAATTAATTGTATCCAACCGTCGTGGGAATCGTCATCGTCGTCGCTTAAGGGAGAGCAGCGGGAGCGTAAGCCTGGTCGGGCTTGACAGTCTTGCCGCCGGCGAGCTGCTTGTCGGTGTAGGCGGGCCAGACGATCTGCTTCTTGCTGTTGCTGACAACAGAGAGGGTGGTGAAGCCGTTGCCCTCGCCGAACTGGCCACTCCAGCCGGAGGTGATGGTGAAGTCGCCGCACTTGGAAGGGCCGCCGCTGGAGCGCGAGGCCTTGGGAGTGGCCTTGGCGCTCTTGACGACGTAAGTGCAGCTGGTGGCAGCGGCGGCGCCGGTGTTGATCTTGAAGTTCCAGGTGCAGGTCTTGTCGGCGGTGTCACACTTGCGGTTGAGGCCCTGGAAGGTCCACTGGGGGCCCTTGGCCATCATGGAGACGGCCTCGCCAGCAGGGGCGGGAGCCGCGAAGACGGTGGTGGCCGAGAGGATGGTAGCGAGGAAAGCGGCGGAGAACTGCATGTTGGCGGTTTGTTGGGTTTGCTGAAGAGAGCAGGTAGAAGAGTAGATGGAAGAAGCTGTTGAAGTGTGTGAGAGTGTGAGTGTGTAGATGAGTGTGTTGATGATGGGAAGAAAAGTCTGACGAAGAGGAACACAAGTGGTCTATATATACCTTAATGTTGAGGACATAGAGGTATCCATTTTAGATCGTGATGCCTTGCGAGCTGACTTTGGACGACCCGTTGAGTCTCGGGGCCCCGGCATGTCCTGGCTCCACCGCCCGACTCCGCTCCGCTTACCAGGCCCGAGCGAAGTGTTCGTGTCGAGAAAGTAGCTCCCCAGCGTGCTGCTGTCTTACTGCGACCGCCTTCACTGTGTCTGGCAACAGGAGCGTGGTCGGCGACTTGCCGGATCTCGTATTCCTCCGCCCCATCAGTCGATCTGTGCGGGACAATGCCATTGCCACCGGCCCAGCCAGCTCGAGCGGCCCCGCCGGGCACTCCGGACGGACCATCGCAGGGTGGCTTTTTGCGAGTCTTGCCGTTTAGGGGAACCACGAGACTCGCGGAAGGGTAAAAAAGGCCTGCCTTCGTTGCGTTACTTGGCTCTAATCGGGTAATTGGAGTCATTAGGGTTGCGGTGTTCCAATATTCGGCCAGATTTGCAATTGGCTTCGACCATGGTCAGCAGAAAACAACAGCCATTGCCCCAAACGGGTGAAGTCAGCAGCTCAGCACCTCGTATTCTCGACGCTCAACGCTAGGCCGGGTGCTATTGCCGAAGCCCAGTCGGGAAGTTCAGTCAACCCCGCAAATTGGGCGGGCTAATGACATAGTCTCAAGTAAGGGACATGCCAGACAGACCCAGGCTTGGGTTCAGCTCAGCTCCGTTGGGAGATGGTAGTATTGTGCTGTGCTGCGCCGTGTTGTGTAGCCGCAATGTTACAGAGGTCTAAGATTGGGTTGGCTGCTTCAACAGTCAATTCGTAAGCTCTGCGCCCAGCTCCGACACAATGCCGTGTCAATTGTGCCACTGGATTCACGCTCAGGCAGCGCATTGCCATTACTTCAGCGACTTACGGAGTAATTAGTCCAATAATCCAGCAGTAGTACAGAAAGTGGCAGGTCGTTCCAGGCCTCAATGGACCATCTCCCCGGGCCCCCGCTGGCTGACCGCTCCAGGGCATGTCAAGCTGCCGCTAAGTCAATTTGAGTACAGCACTGTGGATGGAATACGGGGGAAGGCTGACGGCTATTCTTAGCATCAGCCCAGATGCCCGTGCCAGACGAGAGGACCGCACGAGGGCCTTTTGCCAGTCCATGCATTTTGGCTCTGGCCCGTTCGGTGAGTTCATGGACGCCATCGCCGAACCTCGCCCCAACGCCCTTGGTTAAGGCTGGGACTAGGCCTGCGAGGGACAGAGGCGACCCTGCGTGATGTCATTGCAACCTTGCCCGTCGATGGAACGTTCACCTGAGTTTTTGTTCTAGAACTGCGGGTGGGCCCGGCTAAGTGCCATCTCTCCGGGTCCTCGTGTAGACAGCGTGGGAAATTCTAAGTCATGTTTACAACGGAACTGATCAACAATGGCTCTAATTCGGCGTCGGCGACCTGCTGAGTGCGCCTGGCTACATTCTGGCTGCGTCAACGGCGTACATTCGGCCGCGTGTTCCAGCCACTTGCCACCACACGTGCGACCGAATCATTGACATCGGTCCGCTCCAAGGCGCCTCTCAGCCACCAAACCAGCTCTCCAGCTGTCGCCGGAGCGGCATTGAGCACTGCACCAGGACCCGTGGGACGGGATACGGGACTCGGAGGACGGAACGGTCGGACCCCGACTCCAACCAGATAAACGAGGGTCCTAATTTGGGCGCCAGCCGCTATAACATGCTCACTATCGGCCTCAGCTTAATTGATCCCGCCCTGTCAAACCAATTTCTCGTGTTCAGCACAGAATGGTCACTGGGAGGCTGGGGGATGCTCCATCCCTGGGGCCCGGCACTTTATAAGGGCCTGCACTCCCACCACGCGCGGCACTAGCTTTATTACTGACGGAGAGGGGTCTATACAATGCCAGCGTCAACAAGCCACCAGCCATTGCGAACCGTATAAGACAGAAAAAAATCCTGGTCGACATCGGTTACCTGTGCGAAATGAAAATGAGTTCCGTGTGGTCTTTGGCACCACTTGACTCGCTGTAGTGATAAAGTTGAGCTGGCACCTGATCGTACTGCCCAGCCATTCCAGCAGGTCACATCACCACCGGATGGGGTTCCAGCCGAAGTACCCATTGAAGCGAAGCTGATCATGATGTGATGTTGTTCAAACTCCGGGCTGATCACCACAATGGCATTGACTGCTATGAAAAATCCAATGCTGTCTCAGTTTCAGCGATCGATCGCGATCCGACTTTTACCACCGTCGAGGGCATTCGATACCAAGAGTGTGCAATGTAAGGGGGTTCATACATAGCCGCTAGACGTAGTGCAGCCAACGAATCAAATAATTGACTCGCCCGACCCGCCGATCCGATGGCCTTCTGTCCATATGTCGTCGAAGCAGCACAAAAATTAGCCATTTAAGCTTGTAGATGATAATTGATAGATCATCTCTGACTGCATATTAGCTGAGACGGTGTTCATTGCAATGACTTGGTTAAGAGTATCGATGTGTATATGCATGGGCCGCAAGCCTGTGAAAGCAAATGCCTACCCGGGAGGTAATTGAGGCCCATATTGCCATGTTGCGATGTACTGACGCCAATCTTGGCGGTGACAAGCAATGCCAAGCGATTAAGAATAACATAAAATATAGTATACCCAAGCGACTTTATCGCTAGATGCGGTGATAGGAGTGATTGTGCAGCGCCCACTCGTTTGCTTGTCTGGTTGCCGCAGATGTTATGGAGGCACGGGATAAACCCTGCAGAATGGTTCACAGCGTGGAACGAGCATGGATGACGCTGATGCCATGGTGGCGCCACCCGAGAGGGCAACTGATACAGCCTCAATCGGTCGGTTGGCAGCCGGAAAACGTGGCCGTAGGGAAAGCTTTACTTCTGGCGGGGCAGGAATTTTAATGTCATGACTGGAGTTTGGTGCCCCATCCCGTGTCCCAGCTCGCACCCCGACCGCCTTGATTCTTGAGTACCGGTTCGCCTCGGAGTTGAGTCTTCGGCTTGGCAGGAAGCGCCTGGGATGGCACAGTCCTCTCCTGTCACACGATAGGTATACCCACGAGCGGGACGAGGTGGGTAAATGTCAACGATTGAGAGGTTGGATAGAGAATTTAGCTGGTGCTATTGTGATAGAAAGTGATGCTAATACTCAAGTAGGCTGGACCTAGAAATGACCCAAGTACCTGCACACAAAACCCGGTAGCTTTTCAACACCGTGCCAAACCCCTGACGTAGATCACCATGATGCCACCCTTGTCAAGTTTTAGGAGATTTTAGAGACCGTTCCACAACCATAATGATGCTCTGGATACGCGTTTCCGCTGCGCCTACCGCAGCAGCAATCGACATGGTTGGCTGGAATCCTGGCGGCGGACGGTGATGGGGTTCCTCCACCTCCGCTAAAAACCGGCCGAGGCCGTACGTGGGGCCAGAGCTGCTTGGCGTCGATTCGCGAGGAATACGATCGGTCCTGATCCGATAAAGAGACTTAGAAGAGATGATAAAAGGGAATTTGTCGTGGAGATGTATAGAATAAAGATTAAATTACCTACAGTCTCTCGCTATCATTACCTGTGACCGCCGACATAGCGAATAACACGGTTTCGCTGAGGACAGAGACAAGATGGTACGCGGATTGCCGATTCCGGTAGGAGGATTCCCAGGGAAATTGTGTATCGATATTTTAATTTTTAATTTTCATGAGAAAATAAAGAGTAAGACGAATATGCTTGGTTTGAGCTGCTCCATGGCAGCAGCTTCCAAAGGCGAGCGTCCGGTCTAGCTTTATATGAACACTCCTTTCAGCGTTCCTGGTTGAATCGTCTGGACGGATCGAATCTTCGTGTCAGTGAAGTGCGCGTGTTGTTGAGGCTGAGCAGAAATATACGCCCCTGTCAGTTTCCCGTCTTGGTAAGGCGCTTGTAAGAATGGGAAGCAGCGGTGGAGGGTTGTAGGGATGCCATCAGCGTCCCATTGCACGCACCTAAACACTAGAGACTGCCTTATTCTGGTTCGCATTCCCTCTTGGCTCAGTCTCGCCCCGAGTAGGCGACGAGCACTAACTCAGATCCCCTTCACCAATATTTGCCAGCACGGCGCACCATTCGCCGTCATCTGGTGCGGGCGGCAAAAGGCGGAAATGAGCATGAAGCATACCGCACAAGGCAACCGGCATCGGAGCATGTGAGACTGGTTTCGGTGTCTTGTTGAGACGGTGAATGGTGGTCGCTCACCGACAACGGCAACAGCGGGCCGGAGCTCACCGAAGTGCGATACGCGATGCGTGAGAACGAGCATCGAATTGTCCTCTATGCAATACACAAACAAGATCATGCCTACAGACTATACTCTTTTCTTTAAAAATATGGATTCACAATTGCAAACATAAAATTTAAATCGCAAGCAGTGTTTGACGCTCCAGTTCATTTACCCATGGTTCCGCACGCACTGCAGTATCCTCTAACACAGACACACCTCAACTTCGTCCTGCCCTGTAAACCATTCGTCCTTTTGCACATAGCACCACCCAATCCGACTAAACTTACCGTCAGCATTTCTTTTCAAGATCAAACCTCGATCCCGCACAAGCGGCAAAACCCAAACGCTCTCGACCCCGGCCCTCTCAGCACGCACGTCGAAGAACCCGACCGCGACGACATGTCCCAAGGGTTCGTCTTCTGTCTTGCACAGGTTGGATTTGCCCGCAAGTAAAACTCCGTGTTCATCCGGCATGCGAGATTGTCGCCAGTTCTTCGTCGGTGTCGAATAGGTCGACACCAGATCGTGCAGCACTTCTGCTTCGGCCACGTGCCCTATAAGCTGCAGCTCGCAAACTGGCATGTGTAGCGCATCTACGTCGCACTGCGTATCGTCAGACCATCGGTCCGGATCCACGGTCTTGGGTCGGACTCTTTTAAATGCTGGATCTCTGTGTTTCTTGATACGAGTCGGTTCCCATTGATCTTGCGCGACGGGCCCTTCGACAGCGGCCCAAGACCACGACGGCGCACGCACGACTGGTCCAGATCCGCTGGTAAGTCTCGTCGCCTTTGGCCGCGTCACGGGGATTTTGCCTTTCGAACCAGCTTGAAAGGTATAGCAGGGTCTCCACAGAAGACCACGCACAAGATCGCATTCCCATATACCGGCGAGATAGCGAGACTTGAGAATGCGGGCGGCTGGTTGAGCGAGGGCGGTGATGGCGGCGAATATGTCATGTGGATTAGACAAGCTGCATGTGACGAAGACTTCCATGGCCAGGTACCACTCTCGCAAAGTCCGCTCCTTCAATGCTTGTGGATCTTTGGACGATGTGTTGGCCGTGGAGGGCTGTAGGAACAAAGGGCGAGTCTTGTTCGGTTCATGTCTACCATTCTCAAAGGAAGAGTCTGTCACGCACATGAATCGAAGCTGCTCTTCCCCAAATATGACGCACCGTCGGCCGCTCAACCTCTCCTGGAAGCACCATCCTCGAGTATAGACAGGGCCTACATCGACTGACCTCGGCAGGTCTACCACCAAAGTCCCCGCGTTTCCGGATGCATCTATCGGCAGTTGACACGACCGAGGCCTCGTCGAAGATGCAAGATTGTTAGGAACAAAGCTTTTCCTCGAGTCTGCAGATCGTCCTGCGATGACGGTGAGAGTCGCGTTGCCGTAGACCTGCGCCATGGTCCTTGACTCGCGCTCCCAGTCCGCAACATCGCCTTGTATAATGCACAATGCGTCGATCCAGACGTATTGCATCCCGAGTGTGCGAGTGAGAGATATGACTTCTTGGTGGGCTGTTGCCAGTTGCGATTCCACGATTCCTTTCATCATGGAGTCGTAAGTGTTGGAAGTGAGCGTCAATATATCGGTCGCAATCACACCCCAGCAGTACGACAAGGCGACATATTTGTTACGAATGCCCTGCGTCGATACGAGGCGCACAGGTTTCCCGTTGGCAGAATCGCCGACATCAATTATCCTCGTGGGCATGGCGTAGTCTGGGCTGATGTCGCATCGCCGGTGATTCGTACAGCAATTGTTTAACCACTGTTGGATCATTTGGATGTAAAACTCGGGGTTCTGGTCCGTTGTGCTGCGTCTCCCACGAAGGCGGTACTTGGAAGGACTTCCTGGTAACCTTGAATCTAGTTAATATGTAGCCTCGACGAAAGAAGCAGAGCACATACTCGTAGACCTCCAGCCTTTCCCTCACGCTAGGAAGCGGGTTGGAATCTGGCCCCCGCTCGCCCCATGACAAAATTCCGTCAACATAGGGCTGCCCACAGCTAACATCGATGTAAGTCCCGGACGAACCGTTAAAAATGAAGTGGCCACCGTATAGCCATATCGATGGAGTCCATTTCTCTCCTTCGGGCCAGGCAGATTCACCCCGGAGAAGACTGTCTAACTGCGTATGAATGGTGGATTTGTAGAGTGTGCTCCAGCACAGCGAACAGAAGTCGCATCCATTTTCGGCGCTTGCCTTCAACGCGCTGAGGTTCGGGTGGAAGAGCACAAAGTTCTCAACCAGTTCCTCAATCGTAAGGAGGGAACAACGTTGACAGAGGGGCATATTTCTTGACTTTAGCCACAGCTCATCAACTAAGCTTGCGGAACCCTGGAGAAAGATGGAATATTGAGGGCGAGTCTTCTTGCAGGCAGCTACATGAGGGAAATGTGTGGCCATTTACTGGGCGGCTAATTGTCACGCCTTATCTGCAGGTCCCAGTCTGGCCTGCAGCTGTGTACAAGGAGCACGGGGCGGAACAAGATAGTTCCACATCACTATTGAGGCATTGTCGGTCGGTGAGGCTTACCGCTCACCGAAGGTGAAGCGACAGCCGGCCATCACGGGCGCAATTGTGGTGTGCACGCACAGGAAGCAAGGCTGGTTGCCTTTAATTTTTTTTAGTCGCCTAGGAGATTGGATCAAACCTACTAGTTCGCCCTAAAGATGTCCTTCCGTCACATGGTGAGAGGGCAGGGGCTGGTACGATGTCACCTACGTCAGCTAAGCAGCGTTTCAATTCCGAAGGATGACAACTCTTATCAATTGCCAAACTGCCCAGCAATATCGCGCTTTTCTACAAAGGGAGCACGGTGGAGGAGTGAGAATTTGAAGATTGAGTGGATAGGTGAGAAGGTTGCAAGTATAGATATGGACAAAGTATACTAAATCTAGACTCCCTCGCAATGACAACTCAACGCGATTACTAAACCCTGAAAAACGTAGGATGCTGAAGTACCAGGTAGGTGTGCTAGGTACAGTGCGCCGCCCCAGAAATAACTGTAGCTGCACCGTGCGCCACTCCATCAGCTCCTTTCCCCAACGCTGCTGGTCTGCTGTGGCTGTGCTCAAGTCAAGCCCGAGACTTTCTGAGGGAAAGGGGAAAGCTCCAGCGCCGCAATCATGTTACGGGCACGTGTTTCCGCAGCGTCTACTACGGAATTGACCGACATGGTTGGTTGAAACCCCGGTGGTGGGCGATGATAGGGATGATCCACCTCCGCTAAGAACGCCCTGATGGCGGCTGTGGGGGGTGGGTCACTTGGTGCCGGCACGGTAGAACGGACGGCCCTGACCCAAGAAAGAGTATTAGAAGACACAGCTCAATAAATCCACGGAGAATAAAATAGACTTAATAACGAGCGGAGATTCCACGCATACATTTGGTCACTACCTGCGCGTGCAGTGGTTGACATGCTGAAGGTTGCAATGTTGAGGGGCGATACGCCGACTTAGATTGCCAGTGACACTTGGAGAACAGCCGCGGAAGTTGGGTGTCGGATTTTTATATAATACAAGAGTGAGAATATGGATGGGTCTGTTTTGATGTTCGCTGTAGTCATGACAGCGGGTGCCAGAGGTGACGGGCCCTATTATATATTACTCGTTAGGCCTCAGATACAGCTCTTTAAGTTATGTCCTTTGGCGACTGAAGGTGACAAGAGGGGGGTGTGGGGGGATGAGGTTGGGCGCGGTGTAGAAATGCAATGCATTGATTGGCCGTGAACAGTTGTGATCGGCCGGGACCACAAGAAAAGCCGTGGACCCCCCACTTGATGATGCACAGACAGGAGCCCAAGTCCATTACTGGCCGGTCAAGGAACACACGGGTGACAGATCCCGGGTGACGCCCCAGGAACCAATAACTAAAGACCACAGACCAGACATGGCAGCACGTCTAGACCAAGGGCGGAGCTTACGTTTGACATGCCGACTTTGGACGAAGCCAGCCCACATTGACGCCAATCAGGGTCTGCGTCGTCGGCTCATCTCCATCGATATCCAGCGAACCACATGCGAACAAGGCAACCAAGGCAGCTCCAGGCAGACTGTGCCGAAACGGTCGTCCGCAGGTACAGCTGCGTCATTAACATGTCCGAAATATGGCGTACCTGAGAGTGGTGGTGTGTGGCTAGCTTGAGCGACGGCACGTAAAGCCCCCGGTGATTACAACATCACATTCATCTCGAGCAAAAACGACCAAGAACATACACCGGTACGAGATTCTATTTTGTCCCTTGATCCTCTTTCGTTGCTATATCGAACATGACACTCGTCAAATCATCAGACCGCATCCCTCTCTCTTTATTCATCCCTCAGCTCTTTCCACCGGTCGGCACCTTGAAGAGCACCGCCCGTCCCTCGGGTCCGTCGCCGAGTTTCTTGTCGACGCGGAAGTATCCCTTGCGCTCGAGCTGGAGGAATTCACCCTCCTTGAGCTCGGAAATGTTGGCGTCGACCAAGGCCTCGGTCATGGTGGCCGTCACGGGCGTCAGGTAGTCGTCGAGCTCGTCGTCCTTCTCCAGCGTGTCCTTGGTGATGAGGTAGCCAAACTCCCACAACTCAGCCTCGACCAAGTTGCCCTTGTCAGATGACAGCCAAGTCACCTTCTTCTCGGTGGTCTTGAAGTCTCCTGCGAGGTGCAGCTCCAGCTGGAGCTCCTTGATGGGGCTGACTGACTTGTCAAGGCCACGCACGATGGCGTTGCCCCAGCTCATCAGAGTAATCTCCTCGCCGTCAGCGAACGAGGCAACGTCGGCCTGGTCGATGATGAGCTTGCTTCCAAACGTCACCTTCTTGGTGCCAACGTCGGGGTTCTTGGCGTGCTTGGGTCGGTCCTCCTTGTATGAGGCCTCGGGTCCTCCGATGAGGGTCACAGCCACAGCATCCTTCTTCTCGACGGCGATGAATCGAGGCACAACGGGGTCAAGCATTCGCTTGTTGATGGCCCAGATGGTGGTCCAGTCCATGGTGACAATGTTTCGGCTGGGGCCCTGCTTCAGCATGAACTCGCGCAGAGCAGCGACGGTCAAACCGCGGCGCAGGATACCACGGACGGTGGGCAGGCGGGGATCGTCCCAGCCGGTAACGCGGCCGGTGTCGACGACCTTGGTGAGCTTTCGCTTGGAGAGGAAGGTTCGGATGAAGTTGATGCGGGCAAACTCCCACAGGTTCACCTTGCGGAGCTTCAGGTTCTCGAGGAACCAGTGGTATTGTTCGTTTCGGTCGGCGTACTCGGTGGTGCGCAGGGCGTGGGTGACGCCCTCGAGACTGTCGACGACGGGGCAGGCGAAGTCGTAGGTGGGGTAGATGTTCCAGGTCCAGCCGGTGCGGTGGTGAGGCGCGGGCTCCTTGTCCTTGAAGTTGGGGAATCGGTAGATGACGGGGTCGCGCATGGAGCCGTTGTTGGAGTCGAATTGGATGCGAGCGCGGATGCAGTGCTTGCGGCCGAGGTCAGTTCCCGCCTTCATCTCGCGGAACATGGCCAAGCTCTCCTCGGCAGGGCGGTCGCGGCACTTGCTGGCGAGGCGGTTCTTGCGGTCGTCCTTCTGGACCTCCGGGTCGGTGTCGTCGGCGTAGGCGCCGCCGTCGAGGATCATCTTCTCGCAGATGTCGTACAGCTCCTGGAAGTAGTCGCTGGTGTGGGAGACGGAGACATACTTGATGTCCATCAGCTCGAGATCGTGCAGAATGGCGTCCTCAAACTCCTGCTTCTCCTTGGTGGGGTTGGTGTCGTCGAATCGGACGAGGAGCTTGCCATCGGGGGCCTGCTTCGCGAAGTAGTCGTTGAGGAGGGCGGCCTTGGCGTGTCCGATGTGGAGGAAACCACTGGAGCTCGAGGTTAGTTGGATGATGAGGATGGGCGTGCGACCTTGACTTACGAGGGCTCAGGGGGGAATCGAGTGACCACACCATTGTCGGTGTTGCTCAGACCGATGTTGTAGTTAGCGCCGCCCTTCTTGTCAGCCTTCTTAGGACCGGCAGCCTTCTCCTTGACCTCGGGGTGGGCGTCCTCGATGTACTTGAACCAACGGGCAGCATTGGCGAAGCCGGCCTTGCGGATGAGGCCAACGGCGACCTTGTTGGAGCGCACGGCGGCCCAGACCTTCTCGTCAGCCTCACTGAGCGTGTAGCCGCCGAGGTAAGTTCGTAGCGTCAGGAACTTGTCGAGCTGGGCGAGGTGGGGCTCGATGGTCTTGAAGTCGGCGGTGGCGAGCGTGGGGGCCAGGACCGCGGCGTCGAAGGAGGCCATGCTTGCGGGAGGAGGAGGGCGATTCCTGTCTGTGTATATGTTTGTCGTCTGTCTGTGATTGCGGTGGTGGTCGTGGATCGATGCCGTCTTTGTCGCTGCCCCGCGCCGTTCAAAGTGCGAGTTTGTAGGGTTATTATTGTGCCGCCGAAACTCCCCGCCACGTCTTGGAGGGGTCGAAGAGTTTGGCGGGGTGTGCTCGATGACTCAGAAAATCTCGCAGGCGCACGTGACCAACATCTGTCGTCGTCGCCTGACCGAGAGCTTCAATCCCGCCATTATCTCTTGATGCATCCTTGCAATTCATCGTTGTGACGACAGGGGGTGCTTAGTGTTTTACTCAGGTACCATGCAGCCAACAGGTTTTTTTCGTATATATTCTGTTTAGTATGGCGAATTGGCCATCAATTGCCTCGATATTTGCCCGTGCTCATTTCCTTCCGGGGCCGGGCCGGTCTCTCTCCTTTACCCACCGCCTCATCGCCACCCGTGTCAAGGACCAGCCATCGTGCCATCGTCATTCCACTTCTGCCCCCGAAGCCGGAGTTGGTAGTCATAAATCTTTTTCTCTCTAATTCAGGCGGCTCCGATATATCGGCGAGATGGGCGGATAGGAGGATGACCAAGGTTGTTAGTATGCCGTCGGTGTGATTTACAAGGACAGTGTCTTCACCGAAGCATCTTCCATCCTCAAGGATTGTCAGCATACATTGATGAATCGGAGCTAATACTTCAGCGGTGAGAAACTCGATTGTAGAAAGCTTCAGAATTACGCCAATCCAATTACACCCTGCTGATGGCACAAGGAAACTACTCGGACCATATTATGACATAACAAGGGTGCTTTATTCTTGCTACCCTAAACACGCAAGACGGCTAAGACCACAATTTTGTCACCCCATTCAAGTATTCTTCTCCTGAGTAGCTTTAACCAAGCCATCCAGCCAATTCTGGTGTCCCAGCAACATGGGGTTGGGCTTTGTCGTAGCTAGCTCCACAGCAGGCTTTCCAATTTGAGACTCTTGCGTTAGAATCCGAACCACCCCCCATTCCAGATCCTCCACAATCCATGCATGGTAGACGTCCAAGGCGGTGTTTTCGTCGCCTTCACTCACAGCCCTCCATGCCAGTCGTCCAGGCGATGTCGCAGTGGGTGTAACTGATTCCAACACCTCGGATGGAAGAGGAGGGAATCCGAAAGTCGAGAAACTGAACTTGTCTCCCTTCTCAAGCATAGGGCCAGAGGTTGGCGGGGTGATTTGGCTGACATTGTCGTAATATGATTCCCACTTTGTGATGTCGGCAAGGAATTGCCACACCTGCTCGGCGGTGATGCCCTTGACGATGACCTCGTTTGAGACGTAATTGTCTGTGGTCCCCGGGAGGAATTTAACAGGCCAGATGATATCAGAAGTCAGTTTGCTCATGGTGAAAGCGTCGTGGTTTGGTGAGTTCAGGTTTGAGGGTGAAAAGTGGGGGAAAGGTAAATGATAGAAATCGAGACAACACGTCCGTTAACAACCTGCGATACCCTCATTAAATAGAGACGATTTTACAATAGTCCGAAAATGCGGCACAAATACCCGACCCGATGTTGATTAATAATGTTGTGAGAACCGCCGAGGAACCCCCACTATATAGGCCCAAGCAAGTGGTCACGGTCGGAAAACTGCTAAGTCCTTACCCGACATTATTCAGCGACGCGCGGCCAGCAAGAATCAGTCTTGATGAAATTTGTGTGAAAACAACTCAAGGAAATTTCGATTAACGATAGTCTATGTCTATATGAAACACCCAATTTCACCAAAGTCCTTCACCGACACCATAATGACAGTATCTTGCCAAAGAAGAAAGAAATGATAGCCGAAAAGCGGGTATGGATGTTATTACATTAGCTCCTGTCGGGAAGCTTGCTGTTGACAATGGACAGCTCAGATATGGCCTTGACAGCCTTGAAAAACGGCGTGTTCTTACCCTCAGAGGTATAGGTGAAGAAAGACGACAGGATCTTCATCAACACCTTCTCGAGTCGCTGTGCATCGATGGTACCGATCGTGGAACTAATCTGAGCCTTGACCTCGGCAGGGAGTCCCAGAGCGGTGACGATGAGAGGCACATCGGTGAACGAGCCGTGAACTGTCCCTGCGAGAGCGAGCTCCGTCTTGGGTCCTCGCAGGTTCTTCCAGAACGTGGCCCAAGTAGCATCCTCGGCACGGTGATTGGGTCGGCCAAGCAGGAGGAAGGGCTGTTTTGGGCCCTTGGAGAGCGCGGGCTCGACGAAACGACCGTCTAGGTTGGCACCGCCGCGAAGGCGTGAGTCCGAGAGCAAGGCCACTGCGGCGCTGGAACCACCGAGCGAGTGTCCGTAAACCACAATGTTGTCAAAGTCAATCTTTCCGGGCAGTCCCTTGAGAAGCGAGGATCGACGGGAGGTGTTTTCAAGCTGAGAGACGACAAAAGACAGGTCGTCGGCTCGAATCTAGGAGACTTGGTTAGTTTACTTCATAGAGGACGTGGCGGATGGCTTACCTTGGTCAACTTGATCAGAGCATCTCCCTCCTCGGGGATGTTCGCAGTCTCAATGACGGAGCCGTCTGGGAATTCGACCACGGCTGCATCGTAAGGGTGGTCGACGGTGACGATGACGTATCCACGGCTGGCAAGCGATCTAGCCATGTTGCCGTAGATGAGTCGAGAGTTTCCAGATCCGGGGGAGAAAACAGCGAGAGGGTACTGAGCGTCCTTGGACTTGCTACATCCCTTGATGCTAGCAATGTCGCAAAGCCCCATTGTGAGCTCAGCAAATGTCTCGTTGGAGAGACCCATTGCGGCAGCCTGTTGTCCGTAAACCTCTGCTGTGGCGGGTGGCATGTAAGCAACCTGCTTCACTGTGCAAGATTTCTTGTCGTCGATTGGCCAGAACAGAGACGTCATGACCTTGCGCTTCTGTCTGTCGTTCTCGGGCGAGTAAGGGTCGATTCGGCTTTTGTCCGTCATGGACTGGACTCGCATAGCGACGGGGTGCGGACCGCTTGGATCGGGGAACGACACAGCGCCGACACCCGCCATGGCGGAGAGAATGAGACTGAAGGAGCGCATGGTGATTGAAGAAGACAAGAGTCTAAATGTTGAGAAAGGATTGAGTGATTGTGAATGAAGGAGATGAGTGAATGAGGAGCGATGCGAGCTGTGATGATATTGCAATTGATTTTCGTTCCACGGAGCGTGTTTATATAGATGAACCGTCAACCTGAGGTGGCGCAGGCATCGGCACTTGGGACTGGACTAGATGCACAAAATTGAAAATGACGATGATACGCTATTCCTAATCCGGATACCATCGAGCGAAGGGTCTTGGATCGCCGGGCCGTGCCATGAGCTCCTCCAACTCGTCCATGAAAAAACGGCGATGATTATGACGATGGAGAAGAGCTGGAACTTAGGGCTGAGGCTGAGCCTGTCATGTCAAAAGACAGTCCAACTGCGCCATTGGCTACAATCCAAGACCCCAGCGCTAGCTTCGCTCAATTATTCCCCCTTTGGGCATGGTCGGCTGCGGGTCTTCATCTCGTCCCATCGCTGCCATTTGGGGTTTAAGCTCACTCCGCCTCGGCACGTCTTCTGGAACTTCCATCTTGGAACCATCCCAGTCCTCGCATTGACGGGCATGTCGCCGCGAGAGCACTCCAGAGTCGACTCCCGAGAATTGCAGCCATGCCTGTCGGCCCATTCGACAATCGCAAGAAGCGGTCTCGCTGCGGCCCTTGCTCAACCAGCCACCTGAAGGTCTGATCCACCCCATCATCACCAGCTCAGCGACCTGCCACTGACACGCGTATTGAAGTGTTCTGGTGCCCTTCCATGCAGCAATTGCGAGAAAAGGGGCGCTGCATGCAGCTATCTGCGCCAAAAGCCTGCTAATGCACCCATTTTGATCGACAGGGGAAAGCAGAAAACCATTGCGAGCTATGTAGCGCCAGCCAAGACCAGGGTCGTCGTCCACCGGATGCAGATGAACACGAGTCCACGTGCCGACCCTGCGCTTTTCTACTTGTACTACTTTGACGTCTTTCTCCGCAAGAACTCCTTCAGCTGTCAGGGGAAATTCTCCGTCGACGTCAAGGAGCTCATGCAGCGCTCCACTTGCGGGGGTTACCTCAAGGATGCTGTCCTGGCACTCGGCGCCATGGAGGCTGTCAAACTGCAGTCCGCCGACGGTCCCTCCCAAGCTGAGACGTATCGCTTTGCCTTGAGCTCCTACATGAATTCGGTAGCTGGTCTTCGGGATGCACTCGAGCGCCACAGTCATGAGCCACAGCTTCGACTCAATGTGTTGTGGAGCACACTCCTACTCGGACTATTCGAGGTGAGCTGAAACGACGTCTCTTTCGTATCCGGCGGCTAATCTTTCAAAAGCTCATGAGTGACTCTACAGGCCAGGGCTGGGTCCAACACATTGTCCATGGGACTTCAAAAGCCCTGGTAGCGAGCGGTCCTCTCTCATGTCAGTCCAGTTTTGGCAAGAGATTCTTCATGGAGGTAAAAATATTCGAGGTTTGCAGAGCCATCATTTTCAATGAGCCTACCTTTCTGGCTCAGTCGAAATGGAAGGCACTCTCGGCCAAGTTGCAAACAGACCTGGTCGAGACGGAAGCACACCCCTTGGATGAGCTGCTGGATATCATTGTAGCCTGCTCTTCCCTTCGAGTTCGGTAAGTACTTCTGTGAGCTCCCAGATCGCAGTATACTGATATAACTTAGTGCAAGCGATTTTATCAACGAGATGCGACCCACAGTGCTAAATAATCTCATGAAAGAGGCTCACGCTATTTCCATGGAGGGATTCCTTCAAAGAGCGACTTTGGCTGAGTGGGACTCAAAACATGCTCAACCAGTGAGAGAAAGAACTAAACTGGAGGGAAATTTTGAAGGCGACGACTTCTTTCTGCTAGCAAAGATCTTCTTCGCAGCGACCAGCATTTATCTTTCTGGGGTCTTCGATTACGAAATCACGCACTGGCAGAACCTTGGCATTCTGCCAGCCACGCTGTCCGAAGACGAGATTCAAGTGCACGTCCAGGTCATTCTTGAGACGAGTAATATTATTCTCGACAGGTCGAGCGTGTCCCCGGTCCTCCTGTTGTTCCCACTACGGGTCGCAGGAGCTCGGTCGTGGCACGTCGCGCAGCAGGAATGCATTCTTCAGCTTCTCGACAAGATTGAGTTGACGTTTTCGGTTGCAGCAGCCTTCAAGTTTGAGCTGGGAAAACTATGGAGCATGATAAGTTGATTCGAAATGACATGATATGCTCGGATTTGAGCAACTACTTTCTCTCTACTACATGAACACATCGTTGACAGAACGACTGACCGCTCCTGGACGATATTCCACCGTGCGATACTTCTTAATTGTGAGGAAATTCCATTCAAAATATTTAGAATCATGGAATTAATTATGGAGATGGCAGCATCGATACTATCGCAAGCCTCGAGTTCTATAATTGACTACTGGAGAATAGCCAACGCGAGATGAGGCTCTTATTGGATTATAAAGGGCGATGTGTTACTCCGTATGCACCGGGATTACGGCTGTGCACTCGCGCGCTAATAAGCTGCATGGTGGTTGTTTTCCCATGACAGTTCAGACGTGACCTAACTCACCCCACCCAACTCAGCGCTTCGCTCATCTAGAATTTGAAGACTAGGCGACTGATCCCCGAGTTTTGGACCAGACTCTCTCATCTTTCTCTGCCAACAGAATCTTGCCCGAGTCTTGTCATTCCATCTCAAATCCTCCCACGATGCCCAGCCAGCCTCCCACCCCACCTCCTCTGCCCCCACAACCAGATCGCCACCGAAAGCGTGAACAGCCACCATCACCCTACCTGGCAAAGTTGGCATCTGCACCTGACGATTGGCTCTCACAGCCTATCGAGGTCGCCGAGCCAACGCCATACAAGTACGAGCCGATTTATTACTTCTTTTACGGAACCCTGATGCGCCCCGACATTATCAAAGGAGTGCTTGACCTCGACGCTGACCCGGTGCTGCGAGAGGCTAAGGTTGTCGGCTACTCTCTATCTTCATGGGGTCAGTACAAGGCTCTCGTTGACGGCGAATCCGGTGAAGAGGTTTTGGGCTGTGCATTCAAAGTCCAATCGCCAGAGCACGAGTTCAAGCTTGCCTACTACGAGGGGAACGCGTACGAGCTTGCGCCGTGCTTGATACAATTCGCGGATGGTAAAGAACCCGCCCAAGGCAAGACCTTTACGTACGCCGGGGATTCTCAGGCGTTGAAAGACGGGCGGTTTGATTACAAGTTGTGGGAACTTCAGATGGGCATGCGCCTGCCGCCTAAATGGCAACGAGAAGAAAGTGAAGGGGAGGGGATATTGAAGAGATAAATAGGCATGCAGGGGGGCATGGTAGATGGCTTTAAGATTTTAACTCCGCATTCTCTTGTGTTTCTAGATCCACCGCCCAGAGAGACTTGACGTATTCATGGTTGTATCTAAGTTGGAATTCGTATTTCGACCAGTCAGAACTCCAAACCTTGCGCACTAGGATCTCCAATCTTGGACCGAAGAAATAGACAGTGAGGCTTTGCTTATAAATCCAGAATTCAATAGAAACTGTGGATCCTTGCTACGGACGAAAGACGGACGTGCAAGGATCGTGATATCTTGCTTATAAGCTGACGCTCCTCTGAACATACTAAAGTCCCGTGCCAGCTTTTCTCAGAACGGCCCATTGCCTGTCTCTTAAAAAGTGCCCTCTCGGTTAGCTCATCCAAGCACCGAACTTCTCTGCCGACTTCTAGCTCGAACTTCTAGTCACTGAGACGGCTTTAATCACCACCTCAACTATTGCCATTGGCAAAATGTCGGGAAAGACATACCTGATCACTGGTGCCAATCGCGGTATATGCTTACCAGTATCCCTCTCCCGAAACTATCTATCTAACCTGAATGAACCTAGGTATCGGTCGTGGCATGTTCGACCACTATGTCGCCCAGCCGAATAACACTCTCGTCGCCGCTGTACGAAACGTTGAGAGCGCTCAAGGTCTTCTAGATGCACCAAAGGGCAAGAACACCAGGGTCATCATTACAAAGATTGACTCTTCCTCAAAGACTGATCCATATGATGCTGTCAAGGACATCCAAGCCAAGGGTATCGAGCACATAGACGTCGTCATCTCCAGCGCCGGCATCGCAAAGTTGAACACCCTCGAGGATATGCCTCTTGAGGAGTATGAAGAAGTCCTAATGGTCAACGCAATTTCTGTCATGCTCCTGTATAAGGCCACTCTTCCTTTGCTCCGTGCGGCTTGTCATCCAGCTCGATTCACCTTCATCAGCGCAGCAGGTGGGAGCTTGAACGACATGCCCAAGTACCCCTACCCCAATGCAAGTTATGCTAGTTCCAAGGCTCTTGCCAACAGCTTGGTTGTCAAGATGGGCATGGAGAATGACTGGTTGATCACGCTTTGTATTCACCCTGGGTGAGTTCGCTGCGCCTCATCGTGAGTTGCAACTGAGAGCTAACAGAAATAGACTGGTTCAGACAGATTTGGGAAATTTGGGTGCACGAGCTTTCGGCCTAGACAAGGCTCCCCTTACTCTCGAGGATAGTAGCAGAAATACCGCTCATATCGTTTGTCTTTCCCACCCGACTTGCCGTGAGACTTATTCTTACCGATTGACTATCATAGATTGACAACGCCACCAAGAAGGATCATTCCGAAAAGTTCTTCAACGAAACGATTGACCGGATTCATCCTTGGTAGTAGACCATTTTAATACAGAGGTCTCTCGTTTGAGATCAACAGTCTAGCATGCTTCACTTGATCACATATGATGGGGTTTGACTTGTACAGTTAAATAGTAGGATACTCGCTAGACCGTGTTCATTAATTCCATCATTAACCCGAAATCTACTCCAACATAGTCGTCCATTACATGAAAAGTCCCTTGTTCTCTTCCATCCAAGCCCGGAAATCTTGCATCTTAGGATTCTCATTGCGGCATTCCTGCACGTCGCCACCATATCCTTCCTTGGCAAACCACTTGAACATATCGCCCACAGATCCCTTCAAGACAAACTTGACGGCACTCGCTATCGGGCAAGCCGCCATCTGCATGGGTTGCTTCGTGATCTCTCTGTAGATGAGGTCGGCCTCGGGCTGCGTCAACTCATCGCCCACGAGCGTCAAGGCTGCATTTCTGTACTTGTCGGGTTGGAGAAAGCTCTGAGCGGCAAACCAACCAATATCCTTGGTCGAGATCATCTGCAGCTTCTTATCGCCAAGTTGCTCCCACATGCGAGCGAAACCCTTTCCGTGGATGTCTGTTGAGAGGTTTTCGAAGAATGTGACTGGCCGAAGGATGGTGAATGTCATCTGCTGGGGGCGCCTCTCGACTCGCTGCTCCAGATGCTTCTCGATGGCATACTTTGCGGCAAAGTTCTTGACAAAGGTCGGATTGTGAGGGGATATCTCTGGGCCACCGCGATCTCCTGATGAGTAAACAAAGTGCTGGGCGCCATGCAAAACCGCGGCGTCAACCATGGCTTTTCCTTGTTGCTCCTCCACGTCCGAGTTGATCTGGACGCTATAGACGCCCCATACGGGTCCAGCCTTGTTGAAGATGTCATCGGCATTTGAGATGTCGCCCTCGATGACGGTCACGTTGGGGTAAGTGGCCAGCTTCTGCGCTTTGCGGCTGGTCACGTCGCGGGTCACTGCGACGATGTTGAAAGAGTCGGCCTGGGAGGAGGCCAAGATGTTGTCAATGAGGGCACCGCCTTGCTTGCCAGTGGCGCCAGTCACCAGCACAGTCTTGCGTGGGGATGTCATTGTGGGTTGGTTTGTTGGTGAGATGCCGTCGGAAATTGTGAGGACTTTGTGAGGCGTAAATAGGTGTGATGAAGTAGATGACTTGGTGTAATGGTGATGATGGTTAGATTCAATTCGAGACGACCTGGCGCGTTATATACTGCAACCTGAACGCTTTTGCGACCGGCAAAGCGGCACCCTGCCAACAGGGCTGAAACTCGAAACCAGACGCTGCCCCCCTGCAAGATCCCCTGTAACCCGAGTGCGAGTTTTAGGGGAATGCGAAGATACTACGAAGTAGCATTGCGCGCCTAAATACTCACTAGCTCGATCCGGGAATAGATCCATAATGCAACGCTGTTCCTCCGTCCGCTAAAAGCGCATGCGAACCGGCCCAATTATTTGCCCGCTACGAGGAGCCCATTCGCTTTGGTGCTCACAGGCTGTGCATCCTTGTTCGACTCGGCGCGTTTACTCAGCCGATCAGTGTTGGTTTGGTTCACTGCGGCGCAATAGTTTGATATGGTGGGGATGGCGGTGTTTCTCTAGATCCCACAAAGAACAACCGGATCCGAAGGCCTGGCTGCTCTATTTCCACCAACTGGATCAGGAATACTGGATCGCGTAGACTACGTCACTGCAAAGCTGTCCACTGTTGCCTTTATCTCATCCAAAGCAGCTGAACGCTCACCAACCACGGCAATTGGAGTTTAAACTAACTTGCACAATGCAACACACCTCTCTTTTCGACAAGTTGCCAGCAAAATAATCCCCATCCATCGCTAGAATTAGACCACAAGGCTTATCTTGCGACGTACGTCTGGACGTTTGAAACCCACACTGCAGCCCAAGGAGAGCTGATTGCTTCATGCATCGCACGCTGAACATTTCTGTTATCAAGGGGAATACTCACCGAGTGATAGAACAACCATATCCTCGTGTATGTACGACAAGACTGAGTTATATGGCCTAGAAAAGGGCTGGCAGATACAGAGTGGTGATTTTTTATAAGCTTAAAAATAAACATCCGTTTGAACTTGCACTAACCCTGTCACCCCCTGAGAAATAATAACCGTCTCTTCACCTGGAGATTAAACAAGCCGAAGCAAGCGGCAACCTGTTGAAGGTTTGGAGGAATGGCTTGACGCGTCCGTGATGAGATTGTCAAGGTTCTTCGCGTTCCAAATGTCGCCACTCTTTCTTCGCGGGTCTTCGATCTCAATGACACTGTTGCAGCGGCTACTGAGACGGCGCTTCATGGGTACGGAGTGCATCGACCAATCTTTTCCTGTAAGTGGTTTGACCTTCCGCTTAGTCGCCGAGCCGAAGGTTGGCTCCTCCGCAAATGCCAGAGCCAAGAGCGATAGCCCTTGACTGAGCCCTAACCCAGGTTCTTTTGACGCACGATGCATCCGAAAGAGTCGGGCGGCGTCGGTGAAATATTTCCCATCGAGGCCATGTAGCATCTTCTGGAACAGCGCTTCCAGTTCCTCTGGGAGTTCGTCCTGCCGATGCCGAAGATCCTCAATAGGATCACCATCGGCAAGGCCTTGAATAAGAGAATCAACAGCCAGAATCACCCATAAAAAGACCCTGGAGGCCTTAGCTGCGACATCGTTCACAAACTCTTCCGCATTTTCCAGGTAGCCTTATACTAGCTCACGGAAGGCTGGTTGCGCTTTGAGCTTTTTTGCGCGTATATTGTTGTATGTTAGAAACTGCAATATTAAGCTAAGCTGCTGTCTGAAACCATCACCCAACCCGTGGGGTTCGACAGCATTCAGGAGGTTTGCCTGACGTCGATGACGGTCCCGGGGGGGGGGGAGAATACTCGCTACGGGTTTTGTAATAAGGGTCAACAGGTAAAATAATTCGCATAATGTGTACTTCTTTGTCTATTTCGACGTTATAGACTTTGTTGAAAGCACCTTGGGCAAGGAAGGTCGCCTCTAGCGAACTCAGCGTTTTATGGAAGAGGAGTGTCTGTCGTAGGGCGTCCAGGTCAGGTTCAAGACTCCATCTCGGCTAAAGACTAAAAGTCCTTTCAACCCAGAGGAGGCCTCCGAATAATGAGTCCATTCTTAAGACGTGGACTACTCGGTCTCTGTCGGGAGGGATCGCGTGTGCACCGTGCCAATGTGTTGCAGACGTGTTGAGACTGAGGAATGTTTTGATGAAGAGGAGCCTGAGTCACTGCCCATGTCCCGAATCAGGAAGCGAATTGTACATAAGTGCTTAGCTACGGCAAAACTTTGTGCCACCCTGAGGGTTGATCAATGTTGTGACATCAACGATGTGTATCAAGTATAGGTATGTGTGAAAACTATCTGGACGATGGGGATATAGGGGGTGGTAGAGGCTTCCTGCCTGAGGCCACAACTGTCACACATGCGGCCGTTGGTTTCCTTCAACAATGACAATGAGACTGAGATACACAATTCATCGTCAATACACAATGTTTACAAAATTTCAGCCACAAAGCTTAATATCTCAGTTAAGTATAAGCTGAAGGTTCAGAGATCTCTTCCGAAATCTCCTAGTTATCAGTTTCAGTCAACTAAGATAGACAGCGGACACCCTCAAAGGCGCAAAGGCCGGTCTGCGCGTCGACACTTCCGGCCGGTAAATCAACAAGTTCCATTTCATGAACAACCGGAAAGAGGCCTGAAAACGGAGGGGCAAAAGGAAGTTATCTGACGAGGCTAAGTTGGAGGCATCTTTCCTAAATTTTCTCGCTCATAAACTGGCCTCTCGACTGTATCCATCACATACGACCATAGCTCTTAGGAAATACGGGATCCCGTCCGCTCTCCCCTAGTCAAACTGAGAAGCGGCGAATTAGTACTCGGGTCGGTGACGATCGGGGAATCCTCGCTGTTGTATGTCTTTTTGTCTTTTCTTTTTGTTTACAATTCTGGCATTTGGTTCTGCGTAATGCTCAAAGTAGCAAAGACTGCGTGGTCTGGGATAAGCAATGAGCACTTTGCAGCTGGAGCCCAATCGCGGTGGAGTCCACTGATAGTTCACCAGTGAATAATGAGGCGTCCGCAGGCATTTCACTTAGCCGAACCAATAAGCCTTCCTTGTGGACAAAGGGCTCAGCACGTACTTGGTACAGACTGTATGGCTTCTGAAACTTGGAAGAAATACAATCACATAGCCATGAAAATTTCTTGTCGGTTTGGATGCCAGTGGTAGAGTGCGTCAGCTCATGTTCACGGCCAACCAGCGTTCTTCTGACCTGCCCAACTACCTTACTTGAGGGCGGTTATACCCCCTTACTTCACCATGATTCATTTCTGGGATACACCTCTATGGTATTATGAGACGAAACGCAAGCGACGCGTCACTCTCACAAACGTAATGGCAACCCCAACCAGGAAGTATGCATGGAGCCTCGTTTTGGGACTGGGATCCCAATCTTGATCCTTTGACGAGAATCTTTAGATTTAACGACGATTGAACTTGATGTTGGCGCCACCGGCCTTTTGGCGTTCGTTGTGGACAATCACAAACACCGAGATGGCAATAGACGTCGGCTTGCTGACAGGTGTAACCGCTGATTGCGCTCCCAGCCACCTTCTCACCTGCCAGCCACATGTCATAGCCTTCTGGATACCGATTTACCATTCTCGCGTCTCCTTACGTGCTCCTGTATATGACACAAGCAGTCACCAGTAGAGTCTTGAAGGACATCAAGTCTTGGGCCACAGCCGACGTCGAGGTGCATGGTCTCGTGGAACAGCATCTCATTGATTACGTCACCAAGCGACTCGAAGGCTGGATTGACTCTGTGCAACAAGCAGCCAAGCAAAGCTTTGACAGTATCAAGAAAAGCATGGAAGATAAGGAAGCAGCATTCAAGTGAAGTTGTCGGGTGGCAATCGACAGTCTCAAGGAGAAGCGGAAGTCGTGCCACGAAACGCAGAAGAACGTCCACAGCGCTTCAGGGTCCGCCAAGCAAAAAGCCGAACGCTTTTGCAAGGACCTCCAAGCTAGAGTTGACCACCCGGAACAGGCGTGGAAAGTCTTTGTGGCGAATGCGATGGGGGGCAGAGACAGCACGCAGTCGAACGCCAACGCAGCCACCGGGCGGCCGAGCGCGAAGTCAGCGATGCGCAGCGCGACTACAGTGATGAAATCATTAACCCGGCTCAAGGAGACCTCCAACGCGAGTGACGGGACTTTTAGAATGGCTTTGGGAGCGCAAAACGGGACATCGGCAGCGCACAGTACAATGCCGAGAATGCGCAGCTGCGATTCGACGATCTTGACTGCGACATTGACAATGTCAATAGAGCCATCGGCCGGGAGCTGTGGTACAATTGTCCGCCGTTGATTTCTGAGAAACCAGGACTCCTGGGAGCCCAAACTGTGCAACGGCGGATCTGCAAGTAGTACGCAGCATTATTGACACAGCCGAGGAAGTAGTCCACGAGACCGGCTTCGTGGCAGCAGAAGGCTTGATCGGTATGGCTGAGGTAGCTATTCATGTTGAGTTGGAGCCTCATTTCAACCTTATGGAGCTGATCATGGATTTGTTTGCGTGGATCTGGGCCAAGATCAAGGGGTTGGATGCGGAGGGGTTCAAATTATAAAAGATATGCGATGTGTCAAGTTTAAGTAGCTACCAAGGGATGAGTGAGGAGCCCGGTTTAATTATCCAAGCAAATTTGACTGGGACAAGTTCAGCCTAGCCCGCAACTGAGGCGTTGCTCCCTTAATTGATCATGTTGTGCTTGACGTCCAGCCATCTACTGAGCACCTACAAAGGAGTAATACATTAAAAAGTAATTCAAAAAGAGATCAAATCTAAGTGCGTCTTTCCAACCTCACCCATGTCTATTTCCAGGATGGAGCATGTCAAACCACACTGCTACTCCGCCGTCATGAAACGCTATTTACAAGGTAGTAGCTTGGGAAAAGAGGGCAAGATATGCTACATTGGGCCTAAAAGCTGGCTCATGCTTCCGTTGCATAAGTGCCTTCTAATCCGTCACCTGAGAGAATAAATAGGCCCTGATCTCGGCGGCGTGTTAGCTCCCAGGCGGTCCGCCAGGTTACGGTTAGGCAACTGTGTCAGATGGTCTTGGGCTGCTGGGGGAATTATTTCTAATGCTAAAAAGTACAAGAGTTCAAACAGCATCTTAAAGACGTCTAAGTCGTAGCCTCGTCATAGGGCGGGTGTCATCCAGTCATTGTTTCGCGGAGAAGCGCGCCGAGTGTCAAGTATTCGACCGTCTTATTGCACCTTCGACAAAGAAATAATTCAGGGGTGGGGTGCTCTAGGGTTCTACAACTACAAAGGTATAGCTTCGATCTCGGTCCGCGATCTCGAGCTCGTCAAAGTACAACAAATATGCGAGAACTTTATTAATTAACATTAAAATTACACTATACATCTAGAAAAGTAGCTTCTTGCTATGTAGGCCCATGGGCGTTCTCTTCCAAATTCCTCCGTCGTGCTAGATTCCACCCAAAATCCTTCATGCGGTTTTCTTGACCGATTCCTGACCCCATTTAAAAACGCTCGCTTTTGCCTCCGCCGTATGTAGCCCAGCCCCCTTGACCATGGTACTATCGAAGACAGTCCGCGGACCGAATGCGTTCAGAAACCATGTTATAAACGCATTTGTACCTTTCCAAAGGTAGGGGTGCTTTCCACCAATGACCTCGTCGACAACTTCGCGGGCGAATTGGGCGGGAGACATCGTTCCCGCGAGATGTTTGGTTGTCCTCGCCTTCACTGAGTCCTCAATGTCCCGGTAGATGCTGTTGGGACCAAAGTTGATGTTGTCGGTCGCCATGAGCGGGGTGGACACCTCTCCCATGTACAAGGTTATGACCTTGATGCCGAGTGGCTGCACCTCGAGACGAAGGGTGTCGGAGTAGGACGCGACGGCTGCCTTGGTGGCATTGTAGGAGGAAGCGAATGGGTTCGGGAGGCGTGCGAGAACTGATGCAACGTTGACGATGGCCGGTGTGTTGGTCTTGGACACAGCAGCGAGGAGAAGAGGGGTGAAGGCAGTGACCATCTCCATCAGTCCAAAGACGTTCGTGTTAAAAAGGCTTCGGACGCGGGCAGGGTCTGCCTCGATGGCCGGGGCTTCGTAAACTGTGCGCGCGTCAGTACTCCAGAGAGATTATCGTCAGGAAGTGAGCGGAGTGAAGAGGTGGGACTTACGAGCGCCAGCATTGTTGAAGAGTATGTCCAACGAGCCTCCCGTGCGGCTTATCAACTCAGCCTTTAGAGCACTAATACTTTCAGGGTCGGTGACGTCTAATGTGAGGATTTCGATGCCCTTTTCCTGCAGGTCCCCCAGACTCTTCAGAGAGCGGGCCGTCGCAAAGACGCGGTAGCCCTTGGAGGCGAACTCCAAAGCCAGAGCATTACCGGCGCTGCCTTGGGAGCACCTATAGAGAGTTAGACTGGTAGCAAGGATTTGGACTCTGGCAAGACAAACCCAGTGATGAGAATTGATCGCTTTGACATGATTGATGGATTGCTTGATGAATTGGTTGACCATCAACCGAGAAAGAAACCGTCGGGTTCCCGCTTTTATTATTATAAGACCACTTTTTGAGTTTATCAGAGTCCGCCAGCCCAAAGTCCGCTACAGTGGCGTGGACTCGGGCGCATTATTAGTTGAGACTCCATCCTAGGGTTCGTGGGTCGGCAACACACGTAATTAACCCGACCCGCTAACAGCCTTAAGAGCTTAATGACGTGCTCCATCCATCCACTTGCTGCTTCGCCGGACAAATAGTTAGACCGCTAAGTCCTGCAAATTTGCTTACTTGATATGTTTTTTCTCAATCTTTACAATCTAAATACCAGATGTCTCATGTGCAACTGGCCCGATACCCCCTATCTCCTAGATGACAAATTTCCCTTCGTTAGTCATCTCCGCATTTTTCTGTATATGCGGACTTGAGAGAAACTCAAATTGGTAATTCGAGAACGAATGCCAATGCATGTCCTGACCTCTTCACGTATATCACCCAGGCGCAAACCCAGATACTGCTGGAATTGAAACCACTTCACACTCAGAGTTCAACAAACCCCAACACCATCATCATGAGCTCACCTATATCAGAGCCCTTCACACTGAAAAGTGGTCTAGTCTTGCCGAATCGGCTTGTCAAAGCCTCCACGGCTGAAGGTCTAGCTGACAAAAAATACCTCCCGACTGAAGCTCTGATTGGAGCATATGAAGCGTGGGCAGACGGCGGCTGGGGAATGGTCCTGACAGGTACACGCGACCTATGCCCCAATTTACGAAGTCAGCAATTGGGGACAAACCCTTGCTAACCGATTTTGGCCAGGCAACGTGCAAGTTGACGCTCGCTACCTTGGTCAACCGAACGACGTGGCGTACAATGAGGCCCTCGAGTACAAAGAGATGCTTGACATTTGGAAGAAGTGGGCCGAACCTTTTTTAAAGCACAACTCCCACGCCGTCGTACAGATCAACCATCCCGGAAGGCAATCCCCCGGCGGAGCCGGTACCAGGGGCTTTTTCGCCAAGAGTATCGCCCCGAGCCCCATCCCGCTAAGCCTCGGGAAGGAGTTCTTCCCCAGAATAATGTCGACGCTCATTTTCGGTACCCCGAGGCAGATGACCCTCGCGGATATCAAAGAGACCACGGAACAATTTGCCAAGACGGCCCGGCTAGCAGCCGACGCGGGCTTCGCAGGCGTCGAACTACACGGTGCCCACGGGTATCTTCTCGCGCAGTTCCTGTCGGAGAAAACCAACAAGCGAACGGATGAGTATGGTGGCTCTGCCGCCGCCAGAACCAAGATCGTGGTCGAAATCATTGAAGCCATCCACGCAGTCGTCCCGAAGGGCTTTACGGTCGGCATCAAGTACAACTCGGTGGACCACCAATCACCACAGGCGCTGGCAGATAGCATCACGCAGCTTAAGCTCATCGCTGGTGCCGGCATCGACTTCTTGGAGATTAGCGGCGGTACATATGAGGACCCTCAGGTGAGCAAGGCTTTGGTGCTGGACACTGAGGAGGCGCTAACGTTCTCGATAGCTTGTTGCCGGCCTGAAGACCAATACCAAATTCGTGTCGGTCAAAGATAGAACCCGAGAAGCCTTCTTCTTAGAGTTCGCAAGGACCATCCGGGACGAGTTTCCCGGCCTTCCGCTGGTGGTCACGGGCGGATTCCGCTCCCGAAAGGTCATCGAGTCTGCGCTCACTGAAGGCGCGCTCGACCTCGTCGGCATGGCCAGACCAGCCATCTTGAACCCATCTGTTCCAACAAACACCATTCTCAACAAATCCGTCGAGGAAAAGGACGCGAAGGCGTACGCAAGGCTGATTGAGCCGCCGTGGTTGCTGAAGAAGATTGGCAACGTTGTCATTGGAGCGGGTGTGGAGACGGTAAGTCGATCGATTGCTGCTGTACATTAAACTTGTAACTGACTCTCTCCCTTAGGCTTGGTACGGAAAGCAGATCGTCAAGATGGGGAAATGAACCTTTACTGTTCCGAGGCGACCAATCTGTGTACGATAGGGAGTCTGATACCCGAGATTTCTAGCAATCGTCCAACCTAGACATCGACACTCAAGACTACGGCGATACCAAACAATAGACAAGCAAAGGCAGATAATAGAAGGCAATGAATAACACTAGGTGATCCTTCCACATTCCCAAGTCGAGGTGAAGAGTGCTCATGAGCATGGCAGTGGTGGCCGGACTACCCTAGAGCAAGTGGGCAAACCCATTTGTGTCAGTCAAGTTGGGCAATTTTGTCGAAGGGAAACCAAGCCGAAGCCTTCAAGGGTCCCGGCTAATCCCCGCATTAAACAAAGAAACTCCCCCGCCCACAAGTGCCAAGTGATTTGTAAAGTAAGCTACGTGTAACTCGAAGTGGACTCCTTAACATAGCCCAGTGTGGCGGGGACCACGGAGTCAGGAGAAGGCCGCTTCACTAATGTAACTCTAAATAAATAGCCTAAGAAAAAAAGAAAGAACGACTGAGCTCTGTTGTAGACAGTTACCTAGAAGGGACATCACGGAGTCATCAGCAATGCCTGTCAGAGACTCGGTTTTGGGCTCCTAGATTGCGGGGTTGACTTGAGGAAGCCCGTAACCTCGAGGGACAAAGAGGCAAAGAGAACAATGGAAACCGGGTCAGCACTCTCTCCGATGGCACGAACGGCCCGCCGGATAATTCACCCGTCTCTTTCAGCTTTATCCTAGCCGTCTAGAAGTTCTAGAACCTGTGTACGGCCCGAGATTAACCCTTTAGCAACCTTTTCAGGGCAAGGCCAAGGAACTGCGTCGCGAGTGGCCGACGAGTAACCGGTAATCTGCCGACAAGAAGCCGAGCATTCCCCGCCACAGTCCGGCAGTGGGGTATTCTCAAAGCGTATAAGTTGGCCCCTCGTCCCCGGCGTCAACAGACTCTGCAATAGCATCGAGAAATTCCTAAATAATCATGTCGACGCAAGAGAAAAACCCGGAGTTGATTGAGTTTTCAAAGACTCTTTCAAATGTGCCCAAGGGCGAGGAGTACGAGAAGATGATCTCTGGCATGATGTGAGTTCGCTTCCGTCTCTAGCGGGGATGGCTTCCGCTAACACGCTTAGATACGACGGGTATGGACCAGAGCTCAGCGGTGCTCGTTTCCGGGCCAGGAAATGGATGCACAAGTTTAATAACCATTTCCCTGATGATGCCACGCAAGAGTCGCTGGCGGCAGACCGGGAACAGATGCTGCAGGAGATTATGGGCAAGCTTGGCAAGGGCTCGTACATTGAGCCCCCGTTTAGCATCGACTACGGGTCCAACATCTCCGTTGGCGAAGGGTTGTACGCCAACTACAAGTAAGCCGGGGTGAGCAAAGTCTTTAACACGGCGCTGACCAAAACGACAGCCTTTCCATTCTCGACTGCAGCATCGTCAAGATCGGAAACCGCGTGCTATTCGGGCCGAACGTGTCGCTGTTCTCGGCGACGCACGACACCAGCGTCGCCTCGCGGCGCAACCTTGTGGAATACGCCTTGCCCATCACGATTGGCGACGACTGCTGGATTGGCGGGAACACGACGGTGATGCCGGGCGTGACGATTGGCAAGGGATGCACGATCGGGGCGGGGAGCGTGGTGACCAAGGACGTTCCCGAGTTTTCCGTGGCGGTTGGCGTGCCGGCGAAGGTGATAAAGAAGCTGGAGGTGGTGCCGGATTTGTAGAGTTGTAGTAGACGGAAGTCCTTGGTTTCGGAGGGGGAATTGAAGACGGGGATTATGACGGCATAGTTCCACCTGGTCGAAGCGAGGGCAGAATTGTATCCAGGGTCCAGGAGCTAAAGTGATCGACGGAACCCCGCCGCAGCGGTCTGCCTGCGAAGTTGAAGAAGTTGAAGTTGGTGACACTGATATCAGAATCAGCCCCAACCTGGAATCCAACGGCGTAACTTACCTAGGCTTCCATGTCCACTGCAGGCAGCCGGCTATCACCAACACGCAGTCACGGGGCCTCATATGACCACTGTGCCCTCCATCCGCCTCCAACCGCAGGCTGATGACCTCCCCGAACCCTCTAAAGTCCCCCCACTGTAGCACCCACCCCCCCAAGCTCTAGTGGACCTGTCCCCCCCCCGCGCCTAAGCTCCCGATGCCCTGGGAAAGCTTCTGGTGGATCAGGCGACACGTCACAGTCACTGTCCATCCAACACGCGGACATGCTCCGTGATGCGGCCAATGATCACGGCGCCCGGATTTGCACGCACATCGCATATCGCGTTGCATTGCTATTCGCTATGCCCCATGAGGCTGTACGATGACCACAGTGGCGTCATTCTGCGCTGAGCGCTCGGCTGCTATTTAACTTGACCACCTGCGCGCTGCAGCCCTTGGGTCGTCGAAGTCCGCCACCTGAGAGAGACAGAGACACAGATCCAGCCATCAACCATGCTCGGCGCCCTTTCCAAGCTCCGCCGATCGACAAGATCCAAACGACGCCCGCCGCCATCAAAGTCGCGCAGGTCCCGGCCCGTCAGCTCCCACGGCGCCTCGTCCAGCGGCCTCAAACCGCCGCCGGGAAGCTCGAGCCGGAGGGCCAGGTCGCACGAGACTGAGCGGCGGAGATCGCACGCAGGGACGTCGGGCGCAGATACTTCGGGCGCGGATCCCTACTACGACAACCACGCGAGCTCGCCGAGGAGAAGAGACACCCGCCGGCGTTCCGTGTCGCCTCGTCCGAGACCCGACGCAGAGAGAGATTCGAGAAGCCGTCGGACGCGGGCGCGCCGAGATGTCTCCATTTCCACCGATGACGACACCCGTCCGCTGTCGCCGCGATACCCCGTCGACCGTTATGCGCGTCGTGGGTCGCAGCAGCACGCAGACTACGACGGACTCTCGGCGCACTCCAGGCCAGTTCTGAAGCCGTATTCACTTGAATCCCCGAGGTTCGACGACCGAAGACGACAGTCACATGATGGCTCCCATACTCAGAGACCAGTGGCTAGAGCGTATCACTCGTCATCGCCAGCCGCATCACCTCCCAGCCATACGCCATCGCCTCGTACACAACCAGAGTCCCTTCGCGGCAGACCTAGATCCCGTTCACGAGATGGCGCCCGTAAACCTCGACCAAGCGATGCGGCTGCTTTGAGCCATCCTGTCGACAAGCCTGCCCGAAAGCCCAAGCCCAAGCCCAAACCCAGACCGCCAGCCGAATCCAGCACACAGCCTTCGCCCAACGGAGGCGGAGGGGACTTTCTAAACCAGCTGCCAAAAGCCTTGGCTACCTTTACCGGACTCAAGGTCCTAACAGACCACGCCGACAGCGCCAAGGAATGGGCAGACTGGCTGAACGACCTGCACGGCGCACCCGAAGAAATCCAGGCGCTGTCTGCAAAGGCTACAACCGCAAAGGATACTATAACACAGATCCAGCGCAGCCTCGAAGCGCGACCCGACTTGGTGGAAGGCGAGAGCGGGCAGATCCTCAAGCAGCAGATCGAATCTGGCATCAAGAGCGCCGACAAAGCCCTGGGCGAAATGACGGAGCTGCTTGAGGACCTGGGCAACGACGGGACCGAGGGAACCGTGTGGAAGGGCCTCCAGGACTTCTACAACTCGTACCGGTACAAGAATGAGTGGGAGGAGAAGATCAAGGAAGCAGAGGTCAATCTGCAGAAAGAGTTGGCCACGCTGAGCACGCTCATGGTCAACATCTACTCGTGAGTACCCGCCACTGCCAAACTGTTTGCATCGCTAACGTACACAGACGCGCCCTCATGAAACCTGCGCCTCCGGGATCGCTTGGCACAGTTACGCTTCCTGTCCCGCTCCCTGTCCCAGTCAACATTGCGACGCAAACGGAAGTTCGCCTGCCGCCATCTCAAGATGACACACCTCAGCGTTCACACTCGCTGCACACGACGCCTGTGGGTTTGAAGGACATGCCCAGCACAAACGCAGCACAAACTGTACAAACTCCGCAAACTCCACAAACCGATCCTACAAACGACAAACATGCCGATTATGACTCAACTCTGCCACTGTCACTCGAAAAGAGAGCATCCAGACCTCCGTCACCTTCGGTCTTGGCGTACGAGGAGGCAACCATTGGCACCGAACTGGTTCCGCTTGATCCCCCAGTACCTCCAGCTCCAGCTCCAGCAACCCCAGAGCAACCTACCGCGGAAACGGGCTCGAAATCTCCCGATCCCCCCAGAAACAAGGAACGAGAGCAGCGACCTCTTCCCCATTCGCGGGAGGATTGGGAAGATGCACTTCTCAACGCTGCCTGGAAGGGCGACGTCGAGGGCACGAAGCGAGCCCTCCTTCAGGTCTCGCCCATGACCCGCGACCTCCGCGGACTCACTCCTCTGCACCTGACGGTCCAGAAAGACCATTTGGCGCTTGCGATGCTTCTGCTCGACCGCCGCGTCGACTGTGATGCGCGCGCCAAAACAGGCGTCACGCCGCTGCACCTCGCCGCGCGGTTTGCCTCGGCCGCGACCGTAGAGTTCCTGCTGGAAAAGGGCCACGCGGACCCAAACTCACGACGAAACGACGGCCGAACGCCACTACACTATGCCGCCGGCGCCGCGGTGGACGGCGACGAGGAGGCACGGGACGTGATACGCGTTCTGAGGGACTGGGGCGCCGATCCCACCGTGGAAGACGACAAACGCAGGACGCCGCGGGATATTGCCCAGAGCCGGGACCATTGGGATGCGGCGGCCACGCTCAGGAGGGCTGAGAAACTGTGGGAGGACGAGCACCCGCAGAGCTGGTTCCAGCGGCATGGCTTCAAGAAGTGATTGTCGGTGGCCACTGTACATTAGCACATAGTTTGCGTCTCACCGTGGCACAGAGTTGCGCGTGCCATGTTAATTGTTGTATCAAAATCTGATGACTGCATGTGCGACTGTGCGGCTTTGCTAGTATACGCGTCCTGGCTCTATGCGTCACTGGTCGTTTGTTATTTGGCTTCTCTCGGAGTCATCCATTGTTCTCTGGCGGTGTGCCTCAGTCCTGTGTTGTCTATATAACCCGTCCTTCATCCAACTCCCTCCCTCTTTTCTTTCTTAATCACATCCTATATATTATAGTTACTGCCGGCTACTCTCCCTAATCAATTCTGAGGCAGTCACCACTTCCCACCTTCCCACCTACGCACTATCTTAGATAACGAAGTGTGCCAGCTCTTTTCGATCCCGCGCTCTGACTACGTACGGTTCGAGACCACTCTGTCAGAACAAAGCAGGACGTGTCTGCCGGATCATTACGCAGCACATTATGCCGAAGACCCGACGATCAACCAGTCCCAGAGGTGGAAGGTGACTGTGAGGACTGGTTTCAGAGCAGTGGAGGAGCCCATCAAGACTGGTCCCGCCTCCAAAGTCATGATCCGCACGCAGTGCGATACAACCAACCTCGGTGGATGCCCACGACGTCTCGCTGTGATACCATGCATGTTGCGGGGTGTTGCGAAACCGAAGGCCTTCATCTTCTCGTGGCGATGCCTCCTCAGTCCTCACCATGCCGTTATGCTACAACTGCGAATGGCGGCCACCGGCCCAGCCCCAGACATGCCAGTCTGGGGAAATATTCACCAACAGGCTCATCAACAGACGAGACGATGGAAAGCTCGGGCTGCTCCATGGCCTCGCAATGTACTGCGAGTGGCCCGCAAGGAGGCCGCGACTGAGCTAGCGACAATCGTGGGAATGAGCATCCGGAGCTTGGCCTCGAGCACGTTGGACAGCTAGAGGGGCCACCGACCTGACAGATTCTGGCTTTACTCTATGGCCAAACGGGCCTAGATCGACACGTGCTGGCCCCCAACGACTGGAAGACTCAGCTTCCATGGCTAGCTGGAGAATCTCCTCCTATGGTTTGTTGTCTGGAACCGGCATTCGCTTACGTTCGCTTCAAAGAGGAGCGTCTGCTCATCTACGCCGACACACCCTGGATCCAGGTTGTTGTGGTTTCGCTCTGGACTATGCCTGGATTTAATGTCGCCACTGTCCGGTCGTCGGAAAGTCATGCTGTCCAGGACTTCAAGATGGATCCATGGAACAAGCCAAAGTTTGAGCGGCAGCCGTTTGTCACCAATTCCAATACTATGACTACGGGTGTGAACATGCATGCGTGCTGTTCGAAGGGAGTGTTCATGTGCTGGCACCTAAACTGTGTCGTCAAGATTCGAGACCATCGATGAATGGGACAAAGGTCGTGCGGGTGCTGCTGCGACCGACCGAGCGACCACCGCACCGTGAGTCGCTCCTCGGGCTCTCTGAAATACGCCTTCGCCACCGATGCACGACATCACCGAAAACGGGAAATTCTCACGACATATGCAAAAAGGCTAAAGCGACTGTCGATAAATTCCGCGCCTGTGGTTCCGATGGTAACAGCAAAAGGAGACAGACTGTGTTATTGTAACTCACCCTCCTATATATAACATCTCATGGTTGATCGCTCTTCTCTTGAAACCCAGAGACCGATACGAAGTCCACGATGAGACAGAGAACGAAGGGGCGGAAACAACAAATCCCCCGCTTCGCCGGCGCGACGTCACGTCACGACACGACACAACTTGTACAATGCGCTGACGAATAGCGAATCACCATCTCTGATCAAGAGAATGAAAACAAATCGACAAATTAACTTATATATTAACAACCCCGGAGAGCCGAGATCGTCCACCTACTCCGATGATGGGAGTGCCGGCCGCGTGCTGGGCCAGTTCGGATGCCTGCGGCAGGGGTATTCCTGGCAACAACTCCAACAGGGATGCCGCCGTGGAGGATGACTTAAGTACTCTCAGTTGAGGAGCGCTTTGGACTGCACAGCTTGCGAAGACCGGGGAACCCAACATCGGGAGAGCTCCCAAACTGCCCGCGCGCCACACTCACAAGTCGCAGCCGATGGAGAGGAAGCAATACTTCCAGCTCTTCCACCTGAGGTTCACACATAATGTCTCTTCAACTTCCTCCCAACACTTTCTCTTTATTCTGTGCCCGCAGCTGCAACATCGCATCGGCCTACGATGGTGGGAGGGTCTATCCAAAGGACCGGGCACCATGAGATCCCACAGATAGGCCATTCCTGGTTGCCATGGAGTGACGTCCAGAAAAGCCAGAAGACTCAAGCCCACAGACCTCATAGGCCACCAAACCCGGCGGCATGATGCTGAATTTTACTAAATAACTACTCAAATATGACGAGATATGTTGCAAGTCTCGATCGACAACCGGACCGCGGCACGGGGAGGTCCAGTGTGATCCTCCAAAATCTCCCACAGTACCTCAACACATGCGTCGCTCACAAAGCTGGACATCAGCAGGCCATACTTCAGCGCAGGTCCAGGCTTGCCAATTAGTTTGGTGGCTTGTCTTTGACCTTGCGGTACACTGAGATTCTCGGCACATATCCTCTGCTTCTGGTTGCTACAAGTGCGTGCAGAGACAGGAGGGCTTCTATGAGGCCCGCATCATCATCACCACCACCTTCCCAACCTCAATGCAGAAATTGAGAAAAGGGTCAAGGCATATTCGAAATATATATTCCCGCAGCTATGCACCGCCGTTCAGACTCCAGATTACCAGAGTCTCAAAGTAGTCGAAGCCGTCTCTGACAACGACGACCCGGTATTGGGTGCGGAACTGGGAAGGCAAGGAGACGCAGACGTGCTCCAACACCAACAGACAAGCTCAATCCAGTCCAGCAAAGCACTGCAGGACCATCACGTCCTCGCAAAAAGTACGATGTAACGACTTCTAAATGAAACGCGACCCGGGGGATGATTTCAACATAACTACGAGAAGAGTTTACATGGACATGGTATCTTAGACAAACAATAGTCCCTCGATGAGGGAACCGAATGTTTGAATTTACTGCATTTTTGTTGTGCACGTCACAGTTGCCAAGGCCCAAGTTTGGGTTTCAAGCTGCTTTTTTCTTCTTCTGCCGGAACCGTGTCTAACTTCTTCGACCCATTATAGGGGTTGAATGGAAGCTTCAGGCAGAGAACAGTGTGCAATAACTTTATTGTTTAGCTAATGTTTCTTCTGGTGCTGGGTGTAGCACTTATTTTTTTATCTCGACTGTTTGAGGATATTGCATGGCTTTGATCTATCTGATGATATTGAGCAGAGTTAAAAAAAAACAAATACAAATAATAGCATTTGAAGCCTACTTGAGGCTTGTTTATAATTACAAAACTAGTCTTGATCGACTACGTGCCAAGGATCTGCTAGATGCTGATGGGAGTCTCGTTTTCACAGGGCAAGGCTTGGAGAAGCTCGACACAGTCGCTGCCATGTCCTTGCCTCGCACTATATCTAAGTTTAGATACTCATGCAAGATTAGTCCACCTGCTTATGTAAATATAAAACCAAATAGTAAGTGATGGGATTTGGTATCAGCTTCTACATTAAATACCCAGCCCACGGGCACCCATGGGTACCCATAGGTAGGATATATATTACAAGGAGATATTATTGGAAAGAATTGGAAGAGATCAAGGTATGTATTTCACTTTCTATAGCCGAGTAGATATAAAATCTACAGCACGGCCTCTAATTATGCTATAGAACTACGACTAGTGAACAGGGCATCCGTGTAGCCCATACTCTTCAATATATTGAAGACAATTTTAATATACTTTGCCTAGAAAGCAACACGCTTCGCATAGATTGCTGCGAGGTTTGCGTCTAGAAGATATTTGTATAGATAGTGAAGAGATATAAGGATACCTGCAAGCAAGTATATCCGTGAGAAAGGTTTCTGAGATGTCCTGGAGAGCAGTAATGGCAGATGCTTGCCAGAGAGTAACTTCCGTCATGCCCACATTCTCATCCATCGTCTGGTCGTCCATCCTCTCGTCCTCATCTGACTGCTCATCATGATGATCATCCTCCTTGCGTCCGATGCGTTTCACAGTCCGAGTCCTTGGGGCGTTTGGAGTGAGATTTGTCTTTTCGAGACGCTCTGACATTACCGTCACATCATCAATGCCTGGCCGAGGGTTTTAAAGAGTTCCTCTAATCGTTTGTATTTGTTCGGTGCCGGTTTCGCCACCATTAACCTGCAAGCCTAGTTGCAGTGAGATTGTTCAAAAAACACATCTCCGTAGTTCCCTCGAAAATTTTGTAACTTTAAGCCGGTCTGGCTCTTGGCGGCTGCCATTGCAAATATAGGTATGTTGCTCAGCTGCTGTGAGGGCTGCTGTGAGGGCTCGAGAGGCTGTGGCAGGTTGCAATCCGCATTCGTCGTAGGTGACTTCTTGCTCATAATGACCTTGAAATCCTCGTAGCAGTTGTCGGGCGTAACTTCGAGCGGTCGTCTTTCTGGCGGGCGCCTCGGGCGAGTAGCCGGGATAAGCGCTGCTGATGCTAAGATGCTAACCGGACTCCTCTGCCCCTCCCATCCTCCTCCGGTTCCTAAGGACCTTGAAAAATCTTCGTTGGTGGCCGTCGCGACGCTTGACTGCTCTGTGTCCTGTGTCTCTATATCGGCCTGTAAGAGGGTATGGCGTGCGCTTGAATTCGATGTAGCATTGACTAGGTTCTGACGAGACTGCTGCGCCGACTGCAGGTTCAAATAAGGAAGCATTTAAGTTGGCCACAAGCAATCCGGAGGTTCGTCATCCTCTGGGGACATTGTCGGCACCCGGGTGTTGGCGTCTCTTCGTTGAGCAATGTCCATGGTCCAGTGGACCGCAGCAACAAGGGCGAGGGCACACTCAAAAGGCATCTGAAGCTCGATGGACATAACGATGAGGGCGCGACTTGGGAGAATGGATTCTTTGATCCAGTCATTCGGCTGCCACTTCCTCTTCCAGACTTTAGGGTCCTTTCCATGCTCTGCTCGGTTGTTTTCAAGCAGTCTGACGAACTCCAAGTAAGTCGCGAACATAGGTAACAAATGCTTGAATTGTGGATAAAACTGTGTTTTTTTTGACCTTGTGCCGGCAACTTGCTCACCTTGAGGGAGCAGACAGAAGTTAGATTAGTTCTTCTCCTTTTCGGTATCAGAGGGGTTATCTGGGGCAAGTATAAGGGCCCGGTTTTGCAGCGACGAATAGCGTTGTCCTAGTGTTCATCACAGACTGGGCATTTTCCTATAGGGTATGAGCGGGAACAGGGATGAAACGGGCTCCATGCGCCGTCTGGCATTAATGCCGGGGATTCGTTTCTTGTGAGGCTGGTGATCATGGGTGGTGATCATGGTGATGAGGCTGTGGCTCTGTGGGAGTGGTAAGACTCTACTTTGGACAGGAAACCAGTCAAAACGTACATATAAGAGATCAAATGCCGCGGGCGGTTGCGCGTAAGTGCTTGCTTTCGTAGCAGTGTGCAGAATTGGCCCGTCATCTCGGCCTGTGGGTGAAGGCCACGACATGTGGCAACCAGCTCCTCGTCCCAGAGTTGAATCTCCCTCCAGGCATACACCAATTCTGAGTCCGGTTTCACCGTGCCAGCCATGCCGCCTATGCTCTCGTAAGCTGCCAGGTATGCAGCAGGGGCTGGTAAACTGGCCTAGGCACGGCCTGTATCGGGAGCGGAGAAATCAGTTGCAGATGGTAGTGTCTCCCGCCAATGCTAAGCTACGAGGAGGCATGAACATCGGACAGTCGCCAGGATCTTGGAGTTTGTGATATATAGGTAGGCAGTCGTTCTGCGCACTAGGATCTGGGAATAATGGGGATCATCGCTCTTGATATTTTTCCCTTTTTGAACTTGGCACGTCTTGGTGAGCTCTGTAGTAACGGTTAGTATTTGATGGCTCGTGATTTGAGGCACTTGGAGTCGGGTACTCACCTTAGTACAGACGGCGGTTGTAACATAGGCTGCCACGATATGCATAGCCCAGCTCTGGCGGTGTGGCGAGATACTAAACTTTCTCAACCGTCCGTCGTGGGCTCTTTGGTCTGGCTCAAGATGTTCGCGATCTTGGAGGAAGGCCTGAGTTGACTGAAGTTGCGCTCCGACAGGTTTCATCGTACAAGTTCCTGGGCAGTGGGAGCTTGCTGAGATTTTCCATCTAGTGTCCCCCAATTCAGTTCGACGGTGGTATAGTAAAAGCGTATAACATATTGCAGTATAGTAGCGTAGGTTAGAGATTGGGGAGTAAGGAGTCAAGAAGGACTACATCAGGTGGCAAGGGGTATATATAGAGAGAGTGGTGAGCTGCTATAGGTAGAGAAAGCAAATAGTCAGGGAGACGAGAAGATCCAACAAACCATGAGAAGAGTCACATTACGGAGTCATAGGGTTGCGTTGAGTCATGCGGAGTTGAGCAAAGTTGCCCAGAGTCAACTTCGTTTGATGAAAGAATGGGATAGACCAGGGCCAGGTTCAAAATTTCTCCAACCTTTGTAACAAATATTTACCGCACTTTTGTTTGATGTACGACAACCATACCAGTACGTCCGATTGGAACCGGGGAGAGCGGTATGACACAGGCGGGCAATAACTAAGGTGAAGTCGCACGTGGACGTGGCTTGTTTGGCAAACCATGACGCAAGGTGCTTCGAACTGAAGCTAGAACTTTGAAAACTTCAGATTGATTGGACTTTTTTGAGAAATCACTCTAGAAGATAACATTCATATTGGCATGTCGCGAGAAGACGACAAACGTAACGATTATTTGTGATTCACAGAGTACAGTGCTTGCTCCACTGAGCACAGTGATTGACTCACAGAGTACAGTGCTTGATTCACAGAGTAAACCAACGGTGTTGTTGAAGGATTCGGCTGCCTTCAAGCCGCACAACCGCGAGCAGGCAAAAACATCATGACCAACTTGACTGCATTGTGGCCTCTACGGTATAAGTAGCATGCACAACCCCATCCACCTTCTTGTACGAAGTGCTAACCCATGATGATGGTCGCAGCATCCCACAGGCCAGACCCGCGGGGTGCGATTGCGCACGATTTCTCATTTCGGCTTCAAGAAGAAAGAATTGCTATTCACACTCTGAAGCACAAGATGTCGTAACAAGATATCCATTAGTAAACTTACTGTTTGTCTCTACTGTTTGTGAATACTGCATGGCTTTGATCTATCTGATGATATTGAGTGAAGCTAAAAAAAAAACCAAATACCTATTAGTAAACTTAACCTAACAAAATTATATAAGCTTTATTCCACGTGTTCATTCCCTAAGTTTTATTGTGTAAATTTTATCTTAGGGTAGGAACTGGAAGTCTCAGGACCTTGATGTACCTTTAAAACCTGAGGCAGGGAGCTTTCCTTCCATCACGTGGTGTCCCCAACAACACCTATAAAGGTCCTCAGGCACCCGTGACCTCTTTCCATTTCTCTGCAGTCAGTCAGAAACAAATGCGAAACTCGCCCTTTGAAGCAAAATGGCTGCTTCTCCTGGAACCCCCAATACCGAGAATCTTGAGCACTTCATCGACATTCCCGAGGTCCTTTTCTCTCAAGAGACGCTCACATTCCTCGGGTTCAACGAAAGTGCCTCTGAGACTATCTGGTCCCGCTGGATCAACCGCGGCCCTGACGATGGCAGAGAAATCGACGGCGGTCCGGTGACCTTTGACAGTATGGCAAGAGCCCACATTTACGGAACCTTCATCCGTGAAGAAGATGCTTCCTCGGACGACGACCTTGTCTGGCGTGCATCCATGAACAGCTGCGGTATCAACGAAGAACTTCAAACTGCCATTATGACACCTCGATGCAAGGATGTTTGTTTGACGGAAAGCTGTCAATTCTGGTTGCTCGACACAATCTCAGCCCGTTATGCTTCCCTGAAATAGATCCAGGCAGCTTCCTCTGAGCGCGCTCGATCAGCCCGCCAAACTGCTTCTCGACCAGGAGTATCTTCACTGCTTCCTGGTGAGCAAATGCCCTCTCGACATCGCTCAACTTCCGAGATGTTCTATGGAGCTCCTGGCATATCTCCCATAGTCACGTCGGCTCCAGAGGTTCCTGCCAGTGCCCCGAGTCATACAGTACTCTACAGAGGAGGCTACGAGACATCAATCAACCCTATATTCGACGAAGCTGGGCGGGTTGTCAAAATGACCCCTCTTCTCTCTGGTCGCCCTGGAGATTTTAACTCGACGAAGCAGGCTATCTCTATGGTGTTGGATTTCGAAATTGCCAACAAGTATGCCTATTGGTCCCAGGTGCGAGACAGAAGTCAGCTCGCTGTTATTCTGCGTCTTGAAATACCCAACTCACCACTCGAAAGTATGGACGAATCTGAGAAGTGTCATGCACACTGGCCTTCCCAGGAGTGGAAGGAACTGGTCTGGAACTGCAGAAGAAACAATCGTCTTCAGCACAGTTTAGCCAAATTCGGAAAAGCAACATTGGCTATCGGCACCATATGCAGCAAACCCAACATTGTCGTTACCAACCTCCTGAGCCCCGTTAAAATCACGCACCAGATGATACTTCAAGGCCCAAGAGGAGATGCCGTCCAGTACGTGTTCATCGACGACCAGGGCGTGGAATTTCTTGAAACTCATGGTTCATCAACCTGCACGGTGCACCCAATGACTCGGCATGTGGTGGAGATTGAGAGTGGGATGAATTAGACCAAGGTCTAAGATCTAGAGTCTAGGGTTTAGGATCTAGGGTCTAGGGCCTAGGGCCAAGGTCTAAGGTCTCTGCGGATCAGGGCCTAAGGTCTAGCATCGTCCCTGTGATTCCTACTAGTATCTTTTGAGTTTTCTCCCAGCATTATCTAATGTCATGGGATATTTCAAGAAAATGCAGTAGTTAGAACAGACCCCCGTGAACTGGCTGTTATCGCGTTACGAACCTCTCATCCTAAACCGCTTTGAAACCACTGCAGAAATTGACCTCTCATGCTTCGTTAACCTTGTTGGTGACCTTGCCAAAGAAATGTCAGACGGAGATATGGATTACAATAATGCCACCGGCAAGAGGAGTGATCATTTCCTTTTGCCGTAGCGGGATTGCGACAATAAATATCAACAGGCAGAATCAGCGATAGATCAATATAAGACATGCTACAGTATCAACATGAACCGATGAAATGCAGAAACTTGCTCTGAGTAATTAGAGAATTGAATCATTAATGTTTCATCCCCGTATAAAATACAGTCTATATAACTCCATTAACCACGCGGCCAAGACCAAAAGATTATTTTAGTGCGCTCATTGATGCGCTGCTTGATCGTATCCCCCATAACACGCCCTATTTGACAACCGGATTTCCTCGCCGTTCTGCATGGCAGCCGCTACGATACACATGGTCTCGTTGAAGCGGCTGGGGATATCAATGACCGTCTCGAAACCGGTCCTGTTCGCGTAACCCAGAGGCGTCAACCTCACGCCAATCTCTACCTGGTACAACCTCCAAAACTCGACCTCTGTGGCCCCGTTCCAGCTCACGTACGCCTTCATGTGATGGCCTTCCTTCTCGTACACCAGCGACGGGGGCCATTGCCTCGGGGTCCCCTTCCAGTCGGATTTGAAGACTCGGTAGCTGTTCACGGCCCCTTCGTATCCAAACCGGCCCTCCCAGCGGATGTCGTTTTTGTCGTTGCCCGGGCCGTACTCGCGGAGCAAAGGGAAGTCGCCGTAGCCCACCAGCTGGTTGCCGTTGCTCAGCGCCGCATCGTAGCTGCCCTGACTTTGGGAATCTATGAGCTCGAGAGGCGGGATGTTGATGAGGACGACGGGGGGGACCGATGGGTTGGGAGGGATCGTCGCGCTCAGCCGGATAGGGCCGCTCGATCCCTCATTGACTAGATTATGCGCGTTGTGGTTGTCAAAGACACTGATCTCGAAGGATTTGTCTGTCACGTTGTATATCCGTGCATCGTGCTGCCAGCGAAACTGGCCCTTCGGCGGTAATGGGCCAAAGCTACCGCCCCCTTTCTCCCCGCTACCGTCCAGTGTCCAAATAATATCGCCATTTTTCCTGTCAATCAGGTAGCAGGCCCAGTAATGGCGGCTGCTGATGAGGAGGTAGTTCATTCCCACGGCCTGGACGGAGTTGATGTGGAAAAAGTCGTACGGGTTCTTCTGGGAGCCATCGCTGGTATGCGTGGGCCATCCTAGCCTGGATTTGGTGACGTCCAGATGCCCAAGGGCGCTCCACGAAGAAACGACATCCCTAGTCACGAGATCGATCTCATAGACAATGCTGTCCATGACCCAACCATCCTTGGGACCACCCATTCCCGACAGGTCGCAAGGCGTATTGTTGTAAGCGGTAACCAAGAGCGTTCCTTGCGGGGTGACTTCATGCTCGCGAGGATCGATGAAGCGGGGAGTGGCGGTGGGCTCTGGCAGGTCCGTGGTTGTGACGTTGAGGCTTTCGTCCAACCGATACGTAGTCTTGGCGTACTGATGGTCCAGAACGAACCATTCCCCATGGCCCTGGCCTGCCTTGGAACTGCTTTGCCATCCAGTCAAGTGAGGTTTGCCAAGGATCTTCTGGACGCGGAAATCCTCGGCGCGGATGTCATTGTGCTCATAGCAGTAGACAAGGTCGTTGTCGGTGGTCATTATGATGGGCAGGGTTTGTTTCGCCCCCTTCAGCTCCTTGTGATTCCCGGGTGTGAAGAGCAGATAGCCATCGGCAATGGGATATCCATTTGTCGAGGTCAAGAAAGACGGCGGGTTGAAGGGCGAGCTTTTGTATACCAAGTACGGCCAAATCGCCGGGTTCTCCTCCTCGTACCTGACCTCGACGTAGGCGTGCGACGAAAACTCGGGAAAGTCGGCCGGCTGGACACTGTGCGGTTGTGGATAATCAGGTGTGGAAAACAAGTAGAAGTAGGCGAGCACGGAGCTAATAAAGACGAGGGGGTAGACAGCCAGCCTCCTGGTCCCTACTGAGGCGAGAGAGGAACCCATTCCATCCAAATGCGCGAGGATTCCGGCGGGAGATGGTGGTGGTGGTGGAGGCAACCTTGTCGACAGGCCCGTCCGATCTTTACAAGGATAGACAGGGTGACTGGGGGCGCGAAGAGCGAACAGCGGCGCCCAAAACCTCGGGCAGCTCGTTTGCACTTTATGTTTCGCGCGGCCGGGACGCGAGGACGGGAATTGTGGCGACGCAGGAGAAATGCGCCCCCTGAAGACGTGACGAGGCGCAACAGCCGGCAAGATGAGGCCCCTTGCTTTTGTCCACTAGTTTGTGCCACCACGGGCTGCTTCAGGCTAGCTCTCCCTAAAAGTGTGCTGGGCGATCTCCATTTCAGCCGCTTTTCCCGTCTGGAGGTCGCGTGCCAGGGGTTGAGCTGAATTGAAGCCGATGGGCCGGGGCAGCGGTACATTGTATTGGCCAGTTGGTTTGATCTGTGCAGGCCGTTACGTGGAGTTCTTCAGGGATTACTGCCTCTATTGACGATTCTACACCAGAAGCAGACGGTTCTATGCTCCGAACCCAATAGTCGGATGCACTGACAGCCAGACGGCCAGGTGGACCTTGTCACATCGGCCAGGGAATCTCTGAGCCGAGACCGGGATATCAACACGCAGAAACATTTACCTTTTGTCTTAGGATCAAGATGAGACTTTATGTGTCAACTCCCTTGGATGCCAAACCCACCGTAGAAAAGGGAATTCCACCGATTTTAGAGGCAGTTGTCAATACAGACGTGTACCATTGTCCGAGGACCTGGGGGATTCCAGCTCACTCTATCAATATACAGCTCCAGTACGGTCGCAGATTATTAGACAGTGTGCAAAGGCAAATGCCCCAAAATCGAAGACGTCGAAAAATCGTAAGTTCTAGGTACTAGCCCCGAAAGCCCCCTATTTTTAGTGCGCCTCGCCCATTGCTCAGCGCACTTAGCGTTCTTTTTCAGCGCGTGCCCCTTTTCTGTTTTAGCGCATGTTTTGTTCATGGCTTCAGCCCTCGACAGCCCACAAGACCTGGCTTGCACTAGCAGCTGTCATAGAGTTGCAACCTCAATCAGAGGCAAGAATAATAGAGACCCCGACTAATTACACAGCGTTTGATTCAGAACTCAATTAAATAAATGGGTGGAAACATTGAATCGATCGAGATGTGTTCCCGGACTCAACCTGTGAGAGGTGCCCTTTTGAACCCCCCCGCCATCTTAAATGTCGCGCCCTTCAAGCCATGTCTGACTCAACACACAACAGGACTAACCCCCTCCAGATATCCAAAATATCCTGAATGAATACGTCTATAAGTAATGAGCGTTGCGGCTTCACGTCTCTAGCCCGTTTTTGATGTTACTACTTCTACTTTTCCTGTTTCATCCGTCACGCCCTGGGACAAGCCCTTTTCGCAATGTGATATTCCCGTGTCTCGCCAAGCTGTCCCGCATCGCTAATCATCGGCAAACGCAAGCCTTCAACCCCGCCCCGGCATCAATGACTCCATCGTATCCATTACCCAATTCTGCCAATCTTTTGTCAGCAGTAAGTATAGGGCAATCCACGCCGAGCCGGCCCCCCGAAACTTGGCCGATGGCTCGGAGGGGCAACTCCGTGACCCGTCCAGAGCGGCATCGGCAACGGATACCGACGGGAAAAGCTTCAAGTGGGGGCTTCCACGATGCGGCCGTGTATATAACTTCCAACGCCGTGCTTCCGGAATCCTTCTCGCGATAGAATATCCAAGTGACCAAGTTGCCCTGTCTCAACCGCCAAGATGCCCGCCACTAATGCCGAACGCCTCGCGAACCGGAAGCCCATCCCGAAGCCCGTCCCGGCCTACCTGCCCTCCGACGACAGCTCCCCGCTGAACGTGGACAAGGCCCGGTACACGGCCTTCCGGGAGGCGCCCCGAGTCCTGGTCGAGGAGTTTACGCTGCCCATACGATCCGGGAAAGCATGGAAAGCCCCGGCCGGCTCTATTGTAAAGATTAGCACCCCGGAGGGTCCCCAGGTTGGTATGCATTTCGAGGAGAGAGAAGTCGTAGTGAGGGGTCTATGCGGGGACGATGCCTAGTGGTGAACGGGGGTTGCAGAGAAGTGAGAGAGTATGAGGCACGACGAGACGAAAATTAACTCTTTGTATACACATACTAATACACTCACCCTCGGTGAATAGGCGACCTAAACATCTGGAACGCCCACAACCCCCGCGAGCGCTTCTGGGCCAGCCGCACCAAGCAGCTGCACGCCTCGCACGTCACAACCTACGACAAGCTCTGGTCCAACCTGCCGTACATGCGGCCGCTGGCGACCATCATCAAGGACACGCTGGACTGGTACGGCGAGGACGAGCACGGCGGCCGCGTGCACGACCTGCTGGGCACGCGGTGCGACCCGTACATCAACACGGTGCTGAGCGGCGGCACGTACAACTTCCAGTGCCACTCCAACCTGACGCGCGCCGTGCTGCCGTTCGGCCTGGCCGAGGCCGACGTCCACGACGTCATCAACATCTTCCAGGTCACCGGGCTGGACGACAAGGGCCGCTACTTCATGAACCCGTGCCCGGCCGAGCCCGGCGACCACCTGGAGTTCTTTGCCGAGCAGGACCTGCTGATGGCGCTGAGTACGTCGGACCGCGTTGCTTGTGGGGATTGTGGCTAACGGTGTTGCGCGATAGGCACATGTCCCGGCGGCGATTTGTCGCTCTGGGGATTCGGCGAGGATAGTGAGGAGGAGATGATCAAGTGCTGCCGGCCGCTCAAGGTCGAGGTCTACCGCCTTGCCGACGAGAGCCTCTTGGAGAAGAGTGGGTGGAAGCCGGCAGAGAAATCGGCCTATGCTGGATGTCACGGCATGAACATTCCTCTAGGTGAGGCCAAATAAAGCGTATGCTTGTGCCTTGGGCATGTATGATTTGCATATATACAGTATAGACTACATGTAATGCACACTCAAAGCTCAGTGTGTGTCTTGTCACTTAATGTGACTACACTAGACATTCTCTGGCGGTATCCAAATCACCACGGGCTCTCCCTCATCATCGACCGTAAATATGTTACATGAGACAACAGGTCCTCCCCATCACTGTCGAGGATACGCAGCATCTCCAACTATTGCGACCTCTCGGCCTTCAGCTCAGCAGCCAAGACAAGCTCATCCCTGTGCCGCATCAGCGCAACGAGCGCGCCCGCCGGTCCCGACGCCCACACGCTCCACGCAATCCCTCGCGCAAGCTTCTTCCGCTCCGCCGCCGTCGACAGCACGGGGCTGACCTCGGACAGCAGGTACACCGCCCAGATGATGGCCACCGCAGACCCCACGTACAGGTCGTACTGGAAGTAGTTGTGAGTGGCCGCGGCCGGCGAGGCCATGGGCGTCGACGTGTGAGGAAGCCCGGGGAGGAAGACGGGGCGAAACGCAAACGCGCGCGCAGCATGGGCGGGAATCAATTTCGTCCAGGAGAGGATGAAGGCAATCGACGTGCCCACCTGGCCCGAGACGGCAACATTCCAGGCAAACCCGTACGCCGCCGTCAGGGCCCTCCGGTCCAGCTGAATTTTGGACGTGAAGGCGTCCTGGCCAAGGCTCGTCCGCTTGATGACGGCCGTGATGATCGCCTGCCACGCGACAACGTGCAGCGGAAACGTCTGCCAGACGGCATTGGTCCACTGGCGCACGCTGCCCTGCGAGTAGGGATACGCGAGGAACAGGCACAATGCAAAGTAGCCCAGCGCAAAGGCGGGCACGATGCTGTGCAGGCTGATCGGGTCCCGCAGACGCACCGTGTCCACCAGTCTGGACTTGGACGTCACGGCCAGGTGCAGGGCGAAGAAGACGGGCGCAGCGATGCCGTAGCCGAGCGTCTGCATCAAGAAACCCCATACGAGCGGGCTAGTTGCCACTGTCAGCACGGAAAGACTCGACACACAGCGCCTGGAATGAGACGACTCACTTGAAGAGCAGGCTGCTCCGCCTGGCCACGCGCTGGGCCTCGATGATAAACACGGTAAAGAAGCCCACGAGCTGCGTGCCAAAGAAGAAGGCAAATAGCGAGAGCTCCAGCCGCGAGCCGTCGGCGACATTGGCCCAGAAGACGTTGGCCGTGGCCAGGAACTTATCGACGGGCGGCACGCCGACAAAGTGCCGCAGGATGAGCCAGTTGGTGCCGGGCAGGAAGTGCGGCCGGCCGTCGTCGGCGAGCAGCGACGATGCGAAGTCGACGTAGCCGTTGCGGAGGATCTGGCCGATCATGGCGTCGACGCCGAAGACGAAGACGGCGCTGATGAGGACGATGGGCAGCACGGGGGATGCGCGGCCGGCCGGTCCGGCGGGCGGTGGAGGCGGCGGCATGGCCGGTTGAGGAGGGACTGGGTAGTAGGAGTAAAGGGGAAAATTACTGTATAACAGTGAGTGCGCGCGGGATTGTTATGAGGCTGGGAATCGTGAGGGTTGACCATGGCCAATGTCGTGGGTGTTGGTTGTCGGTCGTCAGCTGTCAGGCAGACAGATGAAAGACGGCTGGGTGGAGCCTTACAAGCATCATTGCATAGCCTCAACAGGCAGAAACACGAAAACCATGGCCAACACCAACATCAACATCGTTAAGGACTCACTGACAACTGATGGAAGCCGCTCACGGCTATTCCGAGTTTGTAAATAGTGACATGCCCCATCACCATCAAACCCTTGCAACGCCCATACAGTGCCAGCTCCAGCCGTCGTGGTGTTTATCACCGGCCGTGACCCATCATTCCGCCATTCCTTCATCCACGAGTGCCAACCAGCGCCACAGCATCCCAACATGAGTCGTCCGTATAATATACACACTGTAGGCCAGTCGGATACCAGTCCGCTCAGCCAATGCCAATGCCCAACACTGCGCGCCCATTCACTTGGTCTTCTTCAAGCCCTTCCAGTACTCGGCCACCACTTCACTGGCCGTCTCCTCAACCGCCGCCACGGGCAGCCAAGTCATCTCCTTGGCGTCGTAGCCCAGCCACTCGACCAGCAGGCGCTTCTTGTTGCGCGAGTGCTTGCGGATGGCGAAGATGACAAACAGGTCCGGGTCGACGGGGTTCAGCGGCCGGCCGCCCACCGACTTCCAGTAGGCGAACAGGCTTTCGCGGGCGTCGCGGTGCAGGTTCTCCTCGGGCTCCCAGGTGGCGGGGCCCTCCTCCCACGCGACCTTGACGTCGATGGCGTTGTCCGTCCAGCGGTGGTCGAGGATGCCGGTGAATGTGTATTGCGCGTCGTCGTCGTCTCCGACCGGCTCGTCTGCGTCGGGTTGCTCCAGATGCACTGCCGAGTTGCGGGCAGATCGCCGAGCTTGAGGAGAGAGGAAGCCATATTTGCCAGCACTCGGAGGGACCGGTTCGGCACCCATCACGCCTCGCCGGACTTGGGGGGACAGGAAACCGTACTTGCTTGCACTGGGAGGTGCAGGCTCAGCGTCCATCATGTCGACATCCCCGTCGGCTACGTTGTCGGGCTGGGTGGGATGGTCGTCATCTTCAATCGAGTCGTCGTTTTCGGCGGGCGACGAGGCATTGGCAACTTGGCCACGCTGTCGCAACAGTCAGCCTGGTCTGGAGCCTTGCGCAACGGAACCGCAGGCGCCCAGCAATTCGCAACGTACCTGACTGTCCACGGCTGAGATCGAGCGGCGCACAAAGCCGTGCGGCGTGCGGACATTGTCCTCCTTGGGCAACGCGGTGTCCTTGAGTGGCGATTGCGCCTCGGTGAATGGAGGAGGGGGCGGCTGTTGCTTCCGCGGCGAGAAGTAACCCAGGAAGCTATCCATGATGCTGAGAGGCGGTGTTTGGAGAGGAGAGTTGGATCATTCAATTACATCCGAGATCGACAGGAGCAGGTCACGAGCAACGAGGCAAGAAGAAGAGGAGGTATCGCAAAGTCGCAGTGTCATGGGCAATGAAGCTCGAATCCAAGAGGCAGACTCGCGCCGCTAAACCTTCCCCTCCGAACCAGAAGCGGGCGACCCGCGGGCGGGCAATGACGCGCCTTCCGCCGAGAGGCGATCACACGGAGGCACGTGACCTATCAGACAAAGATCCCATGCTGACTAAAAAGGCGCGATTCCTTATCCTGTGATATTGTGGGTCTTTGATCCAAAGCCCTGCAGCCGGAAAAGGGTGCGTATTGTGATTTGTGATTTGTGAAGGCCTCCATCACAATCCATGCCGCCACACTCGGATGAGCTCTTTCAAGTCCCCTCTTCCTCGGGGTGATAGTAGAGGAATGCAGCAACCTCTAATTCTGATTACCTCTATATAGCTTAATCACTCCCTCCCAGGGGAGATTTTACAGATCAGACTATTCACTTCTTTTGCTGCGCGTCTCCTGGTTTCACGACTCACGAAAGCTTGCTTCCAACCCTCTGATACTTGCGCTCTAAAATCCCATCATGAGGCGACGAATCCATGGGGCTGTTTGGATATAGCTTCAGTGCCCCCTTGCTGAAATGATCTTATTCATCGTCCTCATCCTCGTCGCTCTCTACCAACGTGAATCTGCTGGATCCTCCTCTTCGTGGCATGTCATCATCCCAAGCGTGCTCAACACCCCCAAATATATTCTTTTGTCTCACTCTAAACCCCGAATATTGCGGTCGGGGCATCTGGCTTTGGGTTCGCACTTTCCTGGGAGCTGTGCTTCTCGACGTGTGTTCAGCGGATGCGAAGCTCTTCATCACGTTTAACCGCCGCTCGTCCTTCGCTGGCCGTGTCGTCGAAACTGGGCCAAAGACGGCTGGTTCAGACCTAGACATCCATTCTTAGAAATTTGAACATCTCAAAATGGTCGTGCTTTTCAAGGGGCATACCACCAAAGACACTCCAGATTCTGTGGAAGTGTGCTCCATGGCGGCACCGGTGTTGAGAACCGGATATACGAGTCTTTCTGTGGTCCTGGGACGAGAGGCCACGTCCTTTCTTTCGTACGCGCTTCCTTGGTATATTCTTGAAAGCCGCACGAATAGACGCCACTTGGCAACCACTCGATGTGGTCTGCCTGGAACAAGGACATACCAAGTTGAGACCCAGGGCGGGCAGCCTGCGCCCAGTCGCTTTCATGAATCAAGTACCACCACGGCGAACCATTGACTGCTGGGGTAAAGAGCCAGAAGTCCTTCCGAGCAACAAAAGGCAACAGCAAATCGTTCTTCCTAAAGACGAACCCTAGAAATTCGCAAAAGTCCTGCACAATTAGTCAGTTTGTTCTCAGCGAGCAATTGCGGCAGCCCACCGGGGAACGTACCTCGAAATTCTGGTAGAGATTCAGTGGTACCCGGTACTTTTCACCAGTCGCATCTCTGAACTTAATAGGCATCTGGTCGGGTGGCTCATCGATTGCGGCGTATATAGACAACTTGACCTCTTCGTTGACCGTTTGCATTTGAGATGAGAGGCCAGTCATCTGTTGTTGGATCCCTGCTTTTAGGTCTTCAATGGCTTGTCTGTTTGATTCGCAATGACCATGCGGTGAGCGACTCGAGAGTAAATTCATGCTGTCGTGAAATCTAGACAAACGTACCTCTGGAGGCCATTCTGGAGTAAGAGTACGTTGGCCGTAAGGCTCTGTATACGCTTCTGGAGTGGCTGGGTCTTCTCCTTTCCCGCAAAGGTCCAAGCCAACCGCCGATAGTACCTTTTCGCTCTAGAGTTGGTGGGCTCATATTCTTTCACTACACTAGCCAGTTCTGATAGAGTTTCTTGGCAATGTCTAATGGCTTCATCGAGTTCCTTGGTGCCGGCGTTCTGATTAGACGCCTGAAATGAGTCTTGTTTGGGGAGTTGCTTCAGAATTTCTTGGAGGCGAAGCAGGTCGTCCGTCAATCTGCCGAGCTCCTTCGCATCATCCGATGTGCCGCTCAGGGCGCCATAGCCCTTGATGACCACACCAATGATGGCGATGCAATCTCCCACGCTCAACGGCGATGCCATTTCGTTTCTTGCCCTTGTACACAACTGTATACAACGAAGTAGGGGCCGGAGCCGCACCTTTGAAGGAGGACGAGGATAATGGTAGGCTGTCTCGATATCGGTCGCTCTTCCCGCAGTGGTGGGTAGTTTTGTGAGGCGAGATGGATTGGGCCCGAAATGGCGTTGGGCATGAATCGTTTGATTGGAGTTGCGTCTCATCTAATGATTGGATTATTGTCGCTCACGTGGCGCAAACCCGTAAGTCGCTTTTAGGCGGGCTAGGACTGATTGGAATCTCTCGACCACACACATGGGATACTAAGCGGCCACACAGTGTTCTTCATCGAGTCATTTGGGTCTCGTCCTAGATATGCATTCACTACGATAGACAGGACAAGGACCAATGAATGGAACTACGAGCGGGGTGAGCTTAAGAGATAAAGCTCCACGAAAGAACTCCAGCCTCCAGGCGTACATCTGCGTTTCCGTAGGGCGAGAAGAATCGCCGCTGTAAGTAGTTCCGAAAATCACAACCGGGCTTCCAAGGGAAACTATCAGCCAACTAAACGTCATGCTCAGGCCTAACAGATAAAACCACTTGCCTACACGGCTACTTGTTTTGATACCGGTACTTTAGATAGATGCCGATGGCAATAAACCTAAGGAGCCTGGAATCACACTACTATCCGATATCAAGAGGTTAGGGTGCCCCATGCAGATCACTAGGATTTTCATGCGTTATATATTGCGACAGATTTTGTCTTCACTAATAAGGTTGGACACATTAGTGGTCTCACCGAACATCATGCTCCAGCAGTTTCGTCGTCCGTCCCACTGGATTGGAATCATGACAATCGCATGGGGAACAGTCATGACTCTAATGGCCATCGTGCAGAACTCCGGTGGCTTGGTTGCTACCCGCTTTTGTCTCGGTATCACAGAGGTCGGTTTTATCCTGGAGCTATCTTGATGGTGTCGTCAATGTACGCCCCAAATGAAGACGGCACTTAAATCGCACTGTTCTACACGGCTAGTACTCTCGCCGGTGCCTTCTCCACCCTCCTCACCTTTTTCATCACTAAAATGATTGGTCTTGGTGGCCTTGAAGGTTGGCACTGTCTCTTCACTGTCGAAGGTATCATCACGGTCTTCCTTGGCCTCCTCGTCCCCTTCATCCTTCTCGAAACACTGAGGCTCTCTCCCCATCTTGACAGGGATGAGAAGAACTCATTGGTACTGCGCAAGCAGTTCCGCGATGGAGGCGCCACCATCTCCAGCAAGGGCCACAAGTTCTCCGGGCCGTACCCCGTTCCGTGTTGATGGACTACAAGCTCTTTCTCAGCACCATTATCTACTGGTGCTCTACTGGGTCCGACTTTGGCATGAAGCTCACCATGCCCCGAATCATGGCCAACATGGGTTACACGTCGTCTAAAGCCCAGCTCCTTACAATTCATGCCTGCGTGGGCGCGATATCGGCCTATGCTGCATGCCGCTCTTCCGACCACTTCAGGTGGTGCCTCCCATTTATTGTCGTTAACGTGGCTTTCCCATACTCTTCCCCTTCGGAGCTGAACTTTGGAGGGTCGCTGGGAGCTACTTTGCCATTATTCTGTCTTGCGCTGCATTCTACCAACATTGCCGCCAGGACGTCAAACAATCTGGCAGGCCCGGCCAAAAGTGTGACGGGCATCGGGTTCATGCTCATCATTGCCAACACGGCTGGTATAATCAAATCATTCATATATATGCAGCCCGAGAGTCCTAGACATCATTTAAGGCAGCCCTCGCTACCATTTCCGTTTGTAGAAGATAGGGCAAAATTTACTGTGTTTTGCACAATTCCCACAGCAGCTGCAACGCGACTGCTTTGCCTAATCTGCAGAGGGACACTGGCTTTTGGCACATGGCTTCTATATATGTCGGACACGCAACTGCAGCAAAAAGGTGAATCAAGCCGAGTTATGGGTTACTTCGACATCAAAATTTGATGAATAATATTCAGAAAGACTGAAAAATATAAGATTTTAATTTTTCAAATATTAAGCTCTCATTCAATTAAATAATTAATTATGCATTGGCAAGAGTGAGGCTCCGCCTGGAGTCAGCCGAGTGCGTTATCTGAGGCCATAACAGGCTCAACCCATTACATGCAGTCCCTGTGAGAATAATAATTCCCAGACGGCTAATTACATTTATAAGCATTGTCGACTCTAACCTCGGTAATATTTCAGTCCAACATTCAAGAAGGCGTTACACTTTACTGAGAAACTATTCCCGCACTCGCGGTGCTACCTACCCAGCAATCATGCCGAAACCCAAGCTGCAATCGCTCAGGTCCCAGCTCATGGGCGCCATGATCGAAAACTATGAAGGCAAAAAGTTCCTCGCCGACTCGACGCTCGCCCGCATCACCAGCGAGACCGACCTCGAAGGCTGTCTCTGCGAAGCCGAGGTTGGTCCAGCGACGGTGCGGAAAGAGGTCCACGATACAGTCCTGAATGGGGGCAACAAGACGTTTGCCATCCTCGCCATGATGGAGAGCCAGCCTGTAGAGCTGCTGCTAAATTTCCTCAAGGTCGATCAGTTGAATTTGGGGAATCTAGACTCACGGCTGCCGTACAAGTACATGGATCACCTCAAAGAGATCCTAGGCAGTCACCCCCTTGCTTTCGAGTTCTTCAACTGCCAGTGGTTTGTCATGTCTCCGCTATTTCGAGAAGACCGTAGTGATCGAAATTTCAACGAGCATACGGTATTTCCGTTTGTGAAAAAAGTAAAGATTGGCAGTGGCGCTTATGGAGACGTGTATGAAGTTACGCTTCACGAGACGCATCATGCTCTTGAGTTCGCAACTAAAAACCAGCCGGCAAGTCACCATTTCGAAAGACGGATTTTCTTCATGGAATTGATTTTATTGACAAGTCGATAACAGGCCAAGCTCGCGTGCAAGGAGATGGCGGTCGCTCCAGTATCCGACACATTCACGAACGAGAAGCAGATCCTTCTCTTGCTTCGCCAAATCCGCCACGCAAACATGATTCAACTGCTAGCGTCATACTCAATTAAAACCCAAGAGTCCGGCTTGACTCGGTGCCTCATGTTCCCGCTTGCCGACACGTCGCTGCAGACCCTGCTCGACCAGGATGTGAACAATATTGTGCCCGTCTACTTCCAGTCCAACGAAGAATTCCTGCACCAACTATACGGCCTTGCCTCCGCCCTTGAGAGCCTGCACAACTACGTCGACGCCGCCGAAGGCGTTAGAATGAAAGGCTCCCACTTCGACCTTGCGCCGCGCAACATCCTCGTCAAGAAAGGAAAGCTTCTGCTTGCTGATTTTGGGCTGTCACGCATACGCCGCGAGTCGTCGGATTCCAAGACCCCCTTCAAAGGCGGAGCTGGTGATTTCCTGGCCCCGAGTGTACCGTTGAGGGCTTCACACCGGACTATGAGCACGGGCGCAAGAGTGACGTGTGGTCGTTTGGCGGTATCTTGAGCGTGCTCGTCGTATTCATGAAGCTGGGGAAGAAGGGCGTGGATGAATACAGGGCGTCACGACGGCATGTAGGGAGTAACCACGGGACGACGTACCGGTTTCATGCTGACGGGGGGGTGAATGACGGAATGCAGACGTGGTTAACCAAGCGGAAGAATGACCTTCCTTCGACAGAGCGTGCTGCACTCAACCTAGCTCTGTGGATGCTAAGTCCAAAGCCAGAGCAGCGGCCGGCCATGGACGAAGTCTCGACGTACCTCTATCTCGTCACACACCACGCTCTCCTTCGAGTCATTGATGACCAGTTTGTACGTCTACTGGAGAAGAGACGTGCCATGCAGCTAGAAATAGAGCATCACAGATTTACTATTTGGAATATCATGGCGGGCCTGACTGCCGAGCTTGACAACCCGGCCAAAGAACTCCGCCCAGAGGATAGCAAGGTCTCTTGGCTGGTGGAAGGGAGGACGCAGTTCCAGGCCGTTTCGGACATCTTTCAGAACATTCGAGAGGAAAACGAATTCCTTCTTGCAGGGTTGAATCAGGACAGCCCTATTGCGCCTGTGTACAACCGGCTTCGAGAGTTGAACGGCATGCTATGGAACATGGCTCCGCTGAAGGAGAGAACCGAGATGCTGACCACACTAGAAGGCGCCCTGGATCAGGTATACGATACTCACAACATCCAAGATCGTGAAGTGTCCAGTGCTACTAACATACCGTCCTGGGAAAGACAAGCGCTGCTGCTCGCGAGGATGCGCTTTATGAAGAAGAAATCTGAAGCCGCCACGCGATCTCGCGATGAATCCCTGGCCATCTCGTCTAGTTTGGTCAAACATAAGAGAAAAGAGGGACAAGTCGACATTTTCTCCATAGAGAAGCAACCGTCGCGCTATCTCTGCGAGTGGGTTGCCTACCAGCTACATACAGTCGACCAAGTACCAGAGAGGCTTTTCTCGCGCGTCGAATCCATTGCGCGCCAATTCGCCGTCCAGCCCAAACCGGACGACTTCAATGTCCTGCACTGCCGGCACTACTTCCACGACCTCCCAGGATTCCGTTTCGGATTGCTCTTTGAGCTCCCAGGCAATGAACCGCCCGTGACGCTGCGCCGGATCATGAAGCAGACGATGCGGCCCTCGCTCCAATGTCCCTTCTCCCTGGCGCAGGCGATAGTCAAGAGCGTGCATTACTTCCACCGCGCTGGGTGGGCGCACAAGAACGTGAGCTCGCACAACGTCGTGTTCTTTGACAAGCAGCTTAGCGAGCCGGCAAAGCGTGATGAGCCGGCCGATGAGCTTCCTACTCCTTATCTCGTTGGTTTCAACCACAGCCGACCGATGGGCCCGGCCACCTTCACAATCGGCGCCGCAGACATCGACAAACTCTACCTGCACCCAGATTACCGCGCGGTGCCGGAGCCACGATTTCATCTAGGATATGACCACTTCAGCGTGGGCCTGCTCCTCCTTGAGATTGGTCTGTGGGAGCCCATCACGAGATCGCGCCTGCTCGGCAAGCGGAGCATTGAAGATTTCGAGTCCCGGGAGCTCCATGAGCTCTGGCGCGAGCACGGCGTGCCGCTGTTGGGTCCGTTGATGGGGAAAACATTCAGAGACGCCGTGGCCTTGTGCCTAGGCGATGAGCTTGTGCAGATGACGGACTCAGGGGCATCCCAGGAATTCGGAAAGCGCGTGGTGGCGGAGCTGGGAAGATGCTGTGTCTGATGGCATGGGGCGACGATATAATTGATTATTTACAGGCGCAGCACCTTTTTCTAAAGAGCGATCGGCCCTGTTCGCCCCATGGCCTGATCCCTACGCAGCCAGCGCTGGTTCTCCATATGAACACTGAAGTTGGCGACTGCGTCGACGAGCGTTTGCGTGTAGACGAGGGAGCGCCACACGGGCTTGAAGATGCGCTTTCGCATCCAGGCCGCGGCTTCCAGTCCGACTTTTGACCCGGCTCTTGAACTGTTCCAGGTCTCGGCGAAGCGCGATCGGTGTCCACGCTGGGAGTCGGAGATGGCCTGATCCTCTTCCACGTTTATCTCATCCATGGGTGCGTCGTTGAGCGGAGAGCCACATTCTGTTCTACCCTCTTGTGATGCAGGTAAGGTCTGATTTCTATTCGCGCGTCAGTGGTCTAGCTGGAAGTATTTGGTCAAGATGGACCTCGGGTTGTAAGCTAGGAAAATCAATACCTTTCTTCCGCCAATATATCAGGGCTGGCTTCTTGAAAGCCTCCTGTGACGGCAGTGGAAGGCTCCAAATACGTGACCGCCTGCCGCTTAAGCACCCACATAAGGAAGTAACAGGGGATCGGAGAAAGTGCAAGCCAGGAGAGGAACAAACCAAGCAGAGTCCCTAGCACAGGGAAACGCAAGACACCCCAAATACCCATCTTTGAATTCGATACGTCAAGTACTATTATGAGTGTAAAAGCAACGATAAGTCCACAACCGGCCAAGAACATGCACATTATCATCATAGTCGACGGCTTAACGGGATAGAAGCGATGGTAGTTGTTGTGTCAGAATGCGAGGTACCAAAACCGCGCCAGCTCATCCGGTTCAGGGGATGTAGGCCGCGTCGCCTGGGTATCACGCCGGGACACTTCGCGAACGGGAGGTTTGTAGTCGATGTGGCATTCATCCACGATGGCCGCGTACGTCCGCGTCATTTGATCGTACATTACTGATGCTTGGGGTCTCGTGTCAGGGTTTATGTCGAGCATCTTCATGGCCACATCGACTAGGCACAATAGATGGCTGTCTTGCAACTGGGTGAAAAGCTGCGCCGTGGCTCGCACGCACTCCATTGTCTGCGCAAACGCATCCGTCCCGGGATCCTCGCCGGGTTTCTCGGATGCCCGTGTTCGCATCATCCTGAAGCCTTCGACCGACGGCACCACGTCCGCATGTTGGCACGCCGCTAGCATGACGGCGACCTCGAGCAAAACGCACCCCAGCGCCCAAACATCTCGAGCCCGCCCGAAACGGGCTCTCTCCTCACCGTCGCGGGGTTGGAGCAACTCCGGCGGGCTGTACGTCTCGGTGCCGGCCCAGCGGGCGGTGGCGGAGGCCGTCGCGCTGGACTTGATGCGCGAGGCGCCAAAGTCGGCCAACTTGAAGCGTCGCTCGTGGATCAGGATGTTAGCCGGCTTGATGTCACGATGGATGATGATCTGGCCGTCGAGCCCGTGGTGGATGTAGGCCAGCGCGGAGAGCAGGCCGGCGCACTCATCCAGCACGCCGTGCGCCCAGGCACCATACTCTTCGCATACGACGAATCCGAGCGGGTAGGGGCCGTTGAGGTCGTCATGAGCGGACAGGGGGAGTCGCATAAAGGCTGCCAGGTCGTCGCCCGTTGCGAAAGGGAAGATGAGGTTGAAGGAGACAGTGGAGCCACGTTTGACGAGCTCGAAGGAGCCGAGCATGGTCAGGATGTTGGGGTGCGGCCACTTCACCATCTTGATGAGGTTGTTCCTTTCGAGCTGGAAAGTTTTCCTGAGCTGCTCGCTCTGCGTAGTGTCTGAGCTTGGAGGAATGAATCTTTTGACAGCCACGCAGATCTAGTGGCACATTAGCATGAGGTGATGGCTCAAGATGTTTCGTTGACATACCGTCCCGATGGTCCGCGGATCTGCGATATCGGACTGATAGTCCAGAAGCATTTTCCAAATCTCAGCACGGGAACCAGTAGGAGGCTTCACTAATAGTTTGGCTTGCCTGGAGATATCCTGTGCCTTGAGCTTGACGTGTTCGGGGGTGAACATGGAACAGGGGCTTGTCAGCCAGATGTCCTGGGTTCCTGATATGATGTCACGCCGGAAACCGATATCCTTGACTTGCATGCGCAGGTCCTCCCCTATCGCCATCCGGGGCTCATAGGGAATCTCGACTTTGATCCGCCGCCCCTGCATCGAATATTGGATGGTGTGCCGCACCTGGCGCTTGGCAAATCGTTTGCAGACGCGTCGAGCGAAAATCCGAGTGGGTTGGATCTCTCCAAAGTCTGCTGGATGTCGTTGAACTCGGAGAGGCATTCCGCAAAGGACTTGGCATCGTTAGAATTAAACGTCAGGAGCTCCAGGCGATGCTCATTCTGAACTATGGGTTCCGGTGGCTTGAATCGGAGACAGTGTAGAAACTCGCGTGAGGCAAAATTGGTCATTAACAGCACGTCGGCGTCGACACTATGCAGCGCTTGTAGGTCCCACGGGATGTACTTGGCGCCAATGGTCCCAAAAAGACTGGTCGTTCTGAGCGAATGGATGTGCGCGACGGACGAGTTTGGGCTTGATATGCCGCCCAAGTACCGGATGCCGCCGAGATAAACAATCACAGCTAAGTTTCTAGCAGCTTTAGAGGCAGCGAGGCTAGCGTTGAAGTGGCGATGGAACTGTTGTGCGTTGGAACCATCCACATTGATCTCGTGGAAGACGATTCCTTCGTGCCGACCCTGCTTGCATCCAAAGTTCCTGGCCTCATCGCGTACCTCTTGGGAGTTAGAATGACCAATCGGCGTCGGAGACCGAACATGTCGCCGAGGTAAGTTACGTACCTCGTCAATATGCTTAGTTTGCTGATCAGCTATCCAGCTGATGAATATAACATGCACGGAAGTGTACCAGCGCCCTTGTTTCCGGCCGCTTGCCGTAGACTCGCCGCTAGGACCTTCGTCAGTCTCCCAGACGGGTCGGATATCAGTGTCGGAGTCAGTGTCGAAGTCACGGTCGAGTTCACTGTCGCTTCTCTTGAGCAATTTTAATAGGACAGATGTGAGCGCCGAACGTGAAGACATCTCGATAGCTGAATTGAGGTCTTTGTTGCTGGTCAAGGTAGAAAGAGGGAAAAAACATCTACAGCCTGATTCTCATCACGTGAAATTGCTCGCCTTATCTATCACACTGCCCCTTAATTGTGCATGAAATAAGACGAGGCTGCAAGTTCGGGTCTCGCTTCAACGGAAATAAACCGCGCCCCCTCCGCCTGTTTCCCTCGGTTACCTTTCACCGTCAAAATCTGCCTCATTTGCGAACGCAAGGCTGCAAATATAAATTCACCATGTCGAGACTGGAACCACAGGTACTTAATGCGCGATATCTCGTCGAGTCGAAGCTAGTTGCTCTGCTCCATGAGCTTTTCCCCGATGGCAACTTCGAGTGGGAGGTGAGAACCGTGCCTCTTAATGTCTCTTGCAGAGAAGGATCTCGCTGACTCGGTATTATCTAGGCTGACAAGCACTCTTACATCTTGCGTGTTCCCCGCCTTCTTACCCCTGTAATTATAATCCGCCCTGTGAATCGTTTGTTTGCGTGTGGCTAACTTGTACGCCTGCAGGAGGAGCAAGAGCGAGCAAAATAGAAATAGAACACAATGAGCAGCCATGGAGATGGCGTTTATATATGTACGAATTAGTATATGTCTAGAGGAACTGCAATGAGAATCGCTCATGGCGCTACTTTCGCTGCCACCACCTCATCATTATGAAAATGTGTCCACGCCAACACCGGTCCAAGGGTGAGTACGGTTAGAAGCAGGGTCGCAACCGGGAACTGCCAGAACTGCGACGCCAGCTGGAAGTGTTCCGCCGTTGCCGCCCCCTCGCCCAACGAGACCGACTGCACCAGGTTAGAGCTGAACACGGTCGCCACCAGCGCTGCGGGCAGATACATAGCCGCGACTATCGTCAGGACCTTGACGGTCCTCGAGTCACGCTGCGCACGCCGCCCGAGAGATGCCAGCGCCTCGCTATCACGGGCCGCCGCCCGCGCCAGGTCGTGTAGGGCCGTCGCCTGCCGTACGATGCCGCCGTCAATCCGCTGGCTCGTCTCGTCGTTGCGGTATGTAAGAATCTGCTGGAGCTGCGAGGGCGGGTCAGCCTTGCTATAGAGCGAGGGGAATGGAACGCCTTGCCGTCTGGAGGCTGTGTTCCGATGCGCGCTGCAGCCGTGCGAGCACGCGACGCTGTTCTTGCGTTTGGGCGATGTAGTCAGTGAACATATTGTCGTTTGTCCATCCCGGCTGCTGGGCCGCCAGCTCTTTGCGGCATGCAGCGGCGTCGACGCTTCCATCTATTATGTACTGAGCTCGCAGGAGTTCCTGGTTCAGCTGCTGAAGGAGTTGGTAGTCCTTAAAGGCGAGTGAAAAATCGTGGTTGCCTGCGACTCCGACCCTGGAGTAGAAGGCCTTGTGCTCCTGTTCTTTGTGTCAGTCTAGCCGGCAAGTTATTTGAAGCCATCTTCTATTTCGTCTTTGCAGGCGTTGAAACCAGGGTGCCAGCCGAACGGGGCATACATACCGTCGGTAGGAGCTCTTTCTGGAGGTCATTGATATAGTCTCTCCAAAACCTACCAGTAGAGTAGAAGAAAGCAGAGTGAATAAGCGTATTTCGGCAGTGGGGAGAAGATATAAGCCTTGTGGCTTGACACTCAAACGATGTGGATGGTTGGATTAAAATCCAGATATCAAGATCCTTTTGAGGGTCACGCTGCATGTAAAGTGCACTGTGGCGCATAGACCACGGGTTCCTTGTTTGCCGGTCGTTTTTCTCGGGAAATCTGAGGTTATAGCAAGATTCTTTGGCTCTAGTCATCAGCGTGACCTCTAGAGATGGATACAAAAGCATGGGAAGGGGCGTTCTCACCGGTCCGAAGGCCCTCGTCGCCGCACATAGATTCGACGCTGCGATGGCTGACGTACTCGTCTCCTATGTTGTCACTCCTAGACCCGAAACCATGGAGATAGTCAAGGAAGAGCGGCGAGACATCGAAGAAGGCCAGGAGTCGCTGCATCAGCTCGAGGCTAATCTTCAGGTGGTCCCAAGAGTGTCGTTGCTTGATGAACCTGGGTTACAGTAAGAATTTGTGGGATACTCTTCAACTCTAGCGTATCTCTTACACGAAGACACTGGAGAGCCCGTGGGCCTGCTCTTGCTATCAGGTGCGTGTCAGTACGTATGGCTTGGGAGGTGAGAATTCAAGCCAGCATACCTCCAGTGGCGCTAAAGCTTCGCCCAGGGAAGCGAGATCGGTTACCATTCGTGCACTAATAGCACTTTATACAGGATTTATTAATCAGTGACCCAAGGTGTCGAAGAACCTCTAGCGATACATACTGCGGCTGCTTTGCTACGTACACAAGCTTCACCTCGGACTCCCCGGGCTTGAACAGTCGGGCTGCATCTTCTAATAGCCTTTTGCGGTAGAACGAGCGATCGAAGGCGTCCGGGGGGGCGTTGCAACGGTGTTCGGGATAGGCGGCCCAGTTCATGATAGGTAGAGAGGTCGTTTGGGTTGAAGAGCAGGTGTGGAAGACAGGCAGTTGGTTCTTCTGACTTCTTAGGCCATCCATACCTGCACCGGGGGCGGTGCGTTTAATATCACATGATTGATATTTTGCACCGCCCCGCTAGGCTTCCAGTGGCTACAGCGGCTACAACGGCTATGGCAGCTATAGCGCTCTAAACTTCTATCAGCTACTTAACAGCAGCTATAGTATCTTGGGCTTCTAGCAGCTATGTAAGCTATGGTACTTTAAGCTTTTAGAAGCTATAGTATTTTAAGCTTCTAGCAGCTATAATACTCTCAGCCTTTTATAGCTAGAAGCTTAAAGCGCTATAACTGCTGTAGCCGCTGTGGCCGCTGTGGCCGCTGGAAGCTGAAGGCGCTGTAGGCACTGGAGCTACTAGAAATTTAGCTACTTAATCTTATTTGCACCGCTGGCAGTGGCCTCCGCCAACGCATCTAACCGGCGGGTTCTTAGCGCTCAAGGCTCTCAGCGGAAATAGCTCCCTCTTCCCAGCTTATCCGTCCACAACGCGCTCTGAAAGGTGAAGGCGGGAATTGATCCGTCCTGTCGCACTAACATTAACTCGGCCGGCTTTTCGGCCTTGTTATTCCACTATTGGCCCACTGCAAATAGTTTACGGAGCCTGGCCGGTTGTTGAGGCCTTGATGGCTGTAACCGTGCGGTAAACTGTGGTTAGTCTTTGTCCAGCTGCAGTCAACTACACAACGGCCAGTTTACGTCCAGGGGCCTATATCAGGAAAACGTATGCTCTGATGTGTTGTCCTAGACGGCCGTGCATAACAGTTCCGCAGCTCGTCTTCTTCAAGATTCGCCCATCCTTTCCCGTTCCTGGAAATTGGAAGGTTCGAGACCCAGCGTTTTGACCTGACGCCAAACGGCTGGGTGAAGCAGCTGTTGACTGTTGCTTCGCGATCTCGGGTCGAATTGCACTGGATCCACAGGCGGGTGGATGGATGACTCCTCTTTGTCTCTAATGCCGTTGCTGAAAGAATTCTCTCCCCCAGCATCGTTCGTTTCTGGTGCTAAAACCTGGACGTAGGACAACAAGATACAGACAGAGCTACATATGCCAGGATACTCATCATATTATTATTTTAACAGTCGTGGCTTCCAGGCTCTGCAAATTGCCACGCTGGAATGGAGCAGCACGGGGATATGCCCACTCTGGAGCGTCTACATCGGTGTAGCGGCGGTCAACACGCCCATAACGGAACAAGACATCGTCGGGGCTGCAATCGGTATGGCTGCTGAGGGCCGCCAGCCAGTCGTGTAAATCCAATTTGCCGACTAGGAGGTTTATCCAGCCTTTGACCAGATCGTGAACCAGGCGGCCAAGTTTCGCTATCGAGAGGGCCACACTGGCAGAACCTCGGCGACATGGTTATCCGAATGCCGTGTGGTGGTTTGGGACATGGGGTGCTATACGTATCGGATTCTACAAACATTTTCCACTTTAAAGTCCATCATGAAGGTATTAGCTAGCATTTTCTCTTTTAGCGGCACATTTATGTACCAGACCGTTGAGCAAGGCCGAGTTTGTCAATTACGGTGCTGTTTTGACCGTAATTCCTTATGGTCGTCGAAGTACACCTGCGCCAAAGGGATCCCTTGCTCGCGCTGTGACATGTCCGACAAGTGATCCGGTATAACGCCGCTTGGTGGCCAGATTCATTTCGAATGTCGTTTGTATGTTTTACTTGCTAATTGGTAGAGGCTTTCGATGTATGAATCATAGAGCGCGTATAGAAAGAAGGTAGAGTTTATAATACAACAGGGCCGACAGAGTTGAGAGGCATCGATTTCTACTCCGCAGCCACCGCCTCGTGTCCGTCACCAAAGAAAATTGCACAGTAGATGATTTTCAACAGTGTAAAAAATACAAGAGAGTACCATGTCACGATTGGTGTTTCTCTGAGATTCAGGATTCGGGATGAGAGCGGCCAGCGAACCGATTACGGAGCTCCAGTACGGTGCCAACAGTCATAAGCCGAGGCGTTTATATCAGTCCTTAGGCCCCCGCAACAGCATGTTCCAACCTAGGCTCTAGATTCAAGCCAGCGGGTGGCAGTGGCTCGTTGCGGCCGGATCAAATAGCCAATGCCTCGGGCTTTCCAGGTCGGGAATTACCGACGCGCGGGCAGGATGTTGCCGAGACCTAGCGCCGTGATTCCATGGCTCTGTGAGTCAATGGCTCCGTCATAATCCACCGTTATCGGAGCTTCTGTTACTTCGAATACAGTTCCACTGGTAGCTTTCAGCTCTATTTCCATTCTTGACAAACTGGGGAAATCCTAGATTCGTGAAACCTATGCCCCGGGTGTGTCTCCTATTCGAGGCGCTTCCCATTCGAACTCAAGACGTCGTCATGTCTAAAGCCATTTGTAGGTCCTTTAATGGTGTTCGGCTCCTTTCTGGACCTGGGACATGCCGGCCACGACGCCGCACGTATCAGCATGTATGGCCGAAACAAGCAGTCAGTCGTTCAACAGCAGCAGTCTCGACCACTCGCATAGCAAAAGGAATACATGCGACAGCACCTATTCAGCCTAGTCATAAAGGGTGTGTATCTGGAGTTTCAATTGACGTGTTCAGTGGCGTTTACTAACTCTACGCTGTTCAGATATGCCGTCAGCTGTGGATCGCTCGATCCGTTGAGCGACACCATGTTCCAACATCCCAACTTATCCCGGTCAAGGGGACAAACCGGACATGATATTCTTCAAAACACCTTGGTCAATTGCAAGGTGGAAAAAATATGTGAGCATTTTCCGGCCCAAATACCGGGAGTATCTGAAGAACAGCGATTTGGCTAATAAGGACCATAGTTGGCGTACCCAGCCAGTCAATTCGATCTGACCCTTTCAACAACATTTATAATTCGAAGTCTCTCGATGCCGTTATAGCGAGTCAAGAACAAGGAACAGGACATATGGCAGAGGGATATGCAAGAGCCACTGGCAAGCCAGGCGTTGTTCTCGTAACATCGCCGTACGGCATCACGAGCCTTGTAACACCGATGCAAGATGCGCTTTGCGACGGGACGCCAATGGTAGTCCTCTCCAGCCTATCGCCGTCTATATCTCTTGGACGCGACGAGTTCCAGGTTCCCGATACCCTAGGCATCGCATCGGCGTGTACAAAATGGAGCAGCAGGGTCGCCCAGATCGGAGAGCTCGAGCAGAAGATCAATGACGCTTTCGAGATCGCTCTCAGCGGGAGACCCGGCCCAGTTCTGGTAGATATACCGGCTTCCGTCATGAATGAACAATTACACCATCCATACGGCATGCCACCACTCCGTTTAAGACGTCTACCGCCAATCTCCACTGGAGTTCTCAGAATGGCCCCCCAAGACCTAGATCAGACTCTTACGGAAGTTGCCCGGCTCGTTGATGGGGCACGAAAACCGGTGTTATACGTCGGCCAGGGCATGCTCGCCCGTCCAGAGGGACCAGCGATCCTGAACGAATTTGCAGACAAGGCAAATATCCCAGTCACGACATCCCTCCAAGGCCTCGGCGCATTCGACGAGCACGATCCGAAGTCGCTGCATATGCTTGGGCTGCATGGCTCTGGGTACGCCAACCTCGCTGTGCAGGAAGCAGACTTGATTATCGCGCTTGGGGCCAGGTTCGATGATCGCGTCACCGGAAGCATCCCGAAGTTCGCGCCCCAGGCTCTCGCTGCTGCTTCTGAAAACCGAGGCGGCATCGTCCACTTCGATATTGCCCCGAAAAACGTCAACAAGGTGGTCCAGGCAACGGAGGTGGTCCTGGGCGATTGCGCGACGAACCTCAAACAACTGATTCCTCGGATTCAACGAGTCTCGGACAGACCAGAGTGGTTTTCGCAAATACGACACTGGAAGAAGAGATTTCCGCTATCCGCCTATGCGAAGCACAACCCCTCCAAGTCGATCAAGCCACAAGCCGCGATCCAGAAGCTCAGCGAGATGGCGGACCACATGAAAGACCGAGTCATCATCAGCACCGGCGTCGGCCAACACCAGATGTGGGCGGCTCAGCACTATCGCTGGCGACATCCTCGGACGATGCTGACGTCTGGCGGGTTGGGCACGATGGGATACGGCCTGCCAGCGGCCATCGGGGCCAAGGTTGCGCGTCCAGACTGTCTCGTCATTGACATTGATGGTGATGCTTCATTAAGCATGAGCTTGGCGGAGCTAGCAACAGCAGCCCGATATAATATCGCCGTCAAGGTGCTCTTGTTGAACAATGAAGGGATGGGCATGGTTTCAGACCTCCAAAGGATGTACTATGCTGAGCGGTTCGCCCACTGCCGGCAGGAGAATCCAGACTTCGTCCTGGCATCGCAGGGGTTCGGCGTCGCGGCCGATCGAGTCGTCTCTCCCGCAGACCTTGAGCAGAAGTTAACTTGGTTGATCGAACACGATGGGCCGGCGCTTCTGGAAGTCGTCACGGAGAGGAACACTCCGGTCTGGCCAGTAGTACCCTCCGGTAAGGGCCTACATGAGTTCGTCACATACCCCGAAGTTGTAGACTAAAGCAGGCGCGGCTGAATGAATTGATTAACTCATAGCAACTCTCGGTCGATCCTTGAGAAAATTCCGCTACAATCCAGTACCTAGGGAAGAGCTCATTGTATTCCAATCCCATTGCATGTCCTGAAACCCGTTCATTAAAATCTATCTTAGCTCGTCGTCTGAGAGTCCAAACTCATCACCGAGTGAAGTAGTAAAAGACGAGTCCCATGGCTCAGGCGGGAATGCGGCCCCAGCAGTGGGTGCGGTTCTGGTCCTTCTACTAGTTCCGATGAAATCATGGCCAATAGTATGTCCTGCATCTCTTGATCCTGCTCCGTAGGGTTGTCACTGTGGGTTGGATTTCCCTCGTCCTGTTTGAATATTGTAACTGCAGACAACAATCTTTCGAGTAGTCCTAGCTGATACTTGATAATCCTCCAAGTCGTTAAGATGTGGAACAAAATCCTGCGACACGTCTGTATGGCTTCCTTGATTTGACTTGGCACTGACAAGGGGTTTATTTACTCGATTTGGGGCTATGGGGTCTTTCATCTAGCGCCCATACAAGCCTTAGCATGGAACATCATTCGAACGACACGGCCTGACTAAAGCGATCTTTCTCACCTGCGTGAAACTATCAACAGAAAGGCGTCGTTTGCAATCAGGGCAATATATCAAGAGCGCAAGGCGGCCGCAATACTTGTCAGACTGACTACTATTTGCAATCAAGATGTCCCATTATCCGTGACACGTAGCATGCATCGTGCAATTGCTTCTTTGCATCCCAAGATTCAGCAATTCAAGTAGAAACAATCTAGACTTGTTGATTGTGTAAGGTAGTCACCGTCGATAGTGACAAAATTACCGTGCACAAATTTGCTACGGTCTCCCAGCAGCCATACTACCGCCACTGCCACCTCTACTAGGAGTCAAAATCGCTTGAAGTGTCCAGTTAATAGCCTTATACAGAGCGTTATCCCTTATTTCTCCAGGCGTATCCAACAAGGGGGGGTTAATCCAGCCGCACCACAAGGGTGCGTAAGTATTACCAATGGTCTCAGAAGATAAGTAGTCGGACCGGGTTCAATTCTGGTCCGTTTACCCTTTGTCCATCAAGAAAAAATGGTAACAAAGTTAAAGAGCCGTACCAGACTCTCTAAGCTTCAATCCACAACTCTCCCGACAACCAGTCAGCTCGGCTCATTATAGGCAATACTACAGAACGGCAGACTGAGCACCAAACTCAACAATACGACTCAGTGGGTACAAACGTTAGTCTCACCGGAATAAAGCTCGGAACCAAGAGGCGCAAACTAATGTCGATAAATCTTCCGCGTACAAACCAGAAGCGAGAAATCCACAGGAGAGCATCACGCCTTCCGCCGACACGAAGCCTCACACAGGGAGACACGTGACCTGTCACAGCACTTACGCACGGGCCGACAAGATGTCGGACTCCAGAAGCACGACTTCATTCCAACCAAGCGCAAAGAAATACACAGCGGCAGGCGCAGGCAGCCAAACAAGTCACTCTCAAGTTACTTACACACACAAACGATACTGGCACAGGCAAAAATGAAATCAGAATCAATTATCCCAACCGCGAAAAAGGAAGGGTCTGGCCGGGGATTGAACCCGGGACCTCTCGCAAGCTATGCTGTAGGGTTTACCCTAAGCGAGAATCATACCGCTAGACCACCAGACCAAACAAGCCAATGTTAGATGGCTTACTGTTGACGGGAGGAGAGCTCATTATTCTAGGCTATATTCTGCCACGGAACGCCCTGCCGTAACTCGGTCCTGGGGCTCCAGAGTAGTTTCAGCGGCTGAGGTGCAAGGGTTGCATGGAACAGGAGTCTACTTCTAATGACCTCATGTATGCTTACAGTTCTAGACAGGTCAGTGGAACGATTGCATCTCGGTTCATAGACATAATTTGTTTCTCGGTTGGCCATATGTCGAGGGCCAAGTTGTTAGCCTTGTTGATGTCCCAGTCACAAACACGAATATAAAGAAATGGCCAGTCGAATCCACTTAGCCAGAGTAAGTTCACTCTCAAGAAGACTAAGTGATTCACCGCTACTACTTGAGCGGCCATCCGAGTGACTCTACCAACTTGCAAGCCGGATGCTACGAGAGGACTTGGCCATGATCAAATCTCGGCCCATCTACGAGGAGGCACCTGCAGTAACATCCACTAGGACGGACACATGTCGCCGAGCAACTACCCAACTATTCCGGTCCAAGAATGGCAACAGTTGATGATGTTTAGGGATTCCATAGCACTGGTTCAACCCTACGAAAGGTCTCCAAGACACGGTACATCGGGGACTGGGCCAGCTAGATGACATGTCACCAAACCATGCCAGCCAAACACACCAAGGGGTAAGTATAGCCTTGACATAGGCAAGCCCTCGACATGCCATCAAGGTCCCAGATCCCCAATTCCCCACCGACCCAAATACCGACCTTAGCTCAGGACACAGGACAGGCACCCAAGCTTAGTCCGACCCAGGGGAGCGGTGAGCTGGCCCAGGCGCGGGCCGTGCCGCAAGCGCAGCGGTATCCGGTCTCGGTTCGGGGAGTTTGCAGCGTCGACGAGGCTCCAGAGTGACGGTCGGTATGGAGATTGCGAGGATCATCAAGTTCGGGGACAGGGGTCGATCGACATCGCTGAACCGGGGGCCCACCGTCAAGCCGGCAAGCAGAAGCGGGCATACTCGGTCGACCTCCCAGCCAGCATCTCGGTGGCGAGGACGGCGGATCGGGGTGGCGCGAGGAACGTCGAGAAGCGGCTCCCTATCAAAAGTCCGACACGACACCTTTCGGGGCAAGTGCCTTGGCATCCATGAAGTCCAAACTCTCCGCGCACGCCAAGGGTCATGTTGCGCATCGACATGGAGCTGCTGACGGGGAAGTCGTACGATGATGGACGGCAGAGTGGAGCCTGACAGGAGTCGAGACCGTGGATGTTGGAGAAGTGGATCACGTGATGGAAGCGCCGCTGTGGACTTGTGGTTCATCTTTAAGTTAATAGATGCTAGACATGGCTGATCGATCTTGCGGAGATGTTGATCTTTATTTACCTAGCGTTACTTAAATTGAACCTCTAAGTTACACCTCCCAACTGTCCTGTTCTGGCGTCGTGACAACGCGGGAGGGGTCAGGCCACGGGAGCCAAGATGTGGTCCCTGACTCCCTGCAAGGCGTATTCCCTGCATCCCGGCCACCGCAGCCTTACAGAGTGCAGGATGGCTTGGAATGGGATCGGGGCATTGCCATCTGGCAACCCTTACGAAGTGGCAGCTGGATCTGATCTGGCATACGTCAGACGCGCGCATGCATCTCGCCATTGAGTCACGGGAGGCACTTTAGAGGCACGATGGAGCACGAAACGAAAGCAGGAGTTGGTATAAGCTAGTCAATATTTTTTGTTCATCTTCCATTGCCATTTCCCTAGTCCACCAGGTTGTAAATCTTCTGAATGTCATGCAAGACGTCTTCAAAGTTGATCTTGAGATCCTTAAGCAGACCATCCTTGAAGCCGAAGACCCAACCGTGGACAATGGGGTACTTGTTTTTGTGGTACGACTGCTGCACATCGGCCGACTTGATGACGTTGCGGCACTGCTCGATGACATTGAGTTCCACAAGGCGGTTATAGCGCTCTTCCTGGTTCTTGATGGCATCGAGCTCCTTCTCGTGCAGGCGGTAGACGTCGCGGATGTTTCGCAGCCACGGGTTGAGCAGGCCCAGGTCCTTGGGGGTCATGGCGGCCTTGACACCGCCGCAGCCGTAGTGGCCGCAGACGATGATGTGCTTGACGCCCAGGTGGCGCACGGCGTAGTTGATGACACCCATGGCATTGAGGTCGGTGTTGCAGACCAGGTTGGCAATGTTGCGGTGGATGAAGGCCTCGCCGGGCTCCAGACCGGTGATCTGCTCGGCGGGGATGCGCGAGTCGGAGCATCCGATCCAGAGGTACTCGGGGTTCTGGCCCTCGGAGAGGTGGGTGAAGAAGTCGGGGTTCTTCTTCTTCTTCTCCTCGGCCCAGGCGCGGTTGTTCTCGAACAGCCGGTCGTGGCTCTGCTCGAGATACTTGGCGATCTCCTCGTCGGCCATGTTGTTATGCCAGGTGCTGACGCTGATGGGAGAAGAGGCCGGGACGGGGTGGGAGTCTGCGCGGGGGAGGCCGGAGCGGGATGGCGCGGAGAGGGATGCGGATGAGGACAGCAGGCGAATTGGTTTGGCGGATGCCAAGTGAGAGGATGACAGGCGGGAGAATGAGGAGGAGGAAAGAAGGGAAGCGACAGCGGAGGAGGAGGAGAAGGAAGAAGAAGGGGGGACCCGAGTGAAGATCATGAGGTGGAGATGTCGTGCAGCGTGGGACAATCTACAGGTCTAGGTGCTCTTCTCCGCGGTGACGAGGTCCTTTCGGCTTTTCACCCCCCGGCCCTTGGCGATAAAGGCGGCGCTTGCGGAGGTTCCAGGTTGCTGCTGCGGGTGGTGGTGGGCGTGGTGTGTGCTGCTGCGATGCGGTGGTGCGGTGGTTCGGCGGTTGCTCGCAATTTGTTGAGGGTTGCACCTGCGTCATGCAGCAAGCGGCAAGGACTCGTTCTGGTGGTGTGCTGGGTGGCTGGAGCGGAAACGGGCGGGCAGGTGCTGGGGGGGCGAGCGCCGTTGTTGGGCGGTGCCTCGTTCCTTCCTCAGACGCGGCGGGATGAGCCGGGATTACGTCGGCGCGATTTGTTCAACAGCAATTCAATTGGGGCCAAGCCAAACCCTAGCCCTCTCAATCTAAGCATTTTGCTTTTTGGCGTCGAGCGGGAAAACACCATGAGAAAAGACGTCAAGATCGCCGTCTTGTATATCGAATCGTGCTTGGGCCCCTTCCTGGTCGGTGCGCTGTTTTTCTCTCTACCACAGTCCACGGCAATTGCTCTGCCAGGAAAGAACCCCCTGGAGAAAAAACCCCCAAAAAACCCCCGCCCCCCCCCTCATCACACATCCCACGCAACTTCTTGCAGGGACCAGCCCCCTGTGCTGCACCGCCGTCTCGGGTTGACCCGATGCTTGTCCGGGTGCGAGATGGGAACAATCCCATTTGTCTGCCGCAGCTGCTGCGATGATGCGATGCTACGATGCTCAGTCTAACGCGGGTTTTGTTGGTGACAGACAGGGAACGCGACATCTCCGCGGTCCAACTCGCTCGTCCAGGGATCCGTCAGTGGCCGCATCCACTGCAACACAGTGGAACCTCAACGGGGCCTTTTTCCTGGTCACGCTCTATGGCACTTTGCTTATTGCACCATCGAACCACGACCATCAGTCCATGATCCATCTGCCCCGCGGTTGCGCAGCCTGAATCACGCCCGGCCAACCTCCGAGATGCCACATCGTCACCGCGTCATGTGCTCCCGGGATTTTACCTGGTTTTCCCCTTTCTTCACCTAGGTAAAAAACTACGAGAGCGCCACGCTTGAACAAGTGCCATTGCAAGCCGATCAAGCGATCAAAAAAACACTCATATAAAATAGTCGTCAATCTCACCACACTAAACAATCTGAGTTCCGAATATCCCTCTCTTCCCCGCATTGTCCTTGAGCCATTTGTATCAATCTGATCATCGCTTTCTGCCAAGTCCCATTCCCATCAACGCTCCTCGAGCACTAGATCTGTCCACGCCCAACCCAGCGGCAAGTGCCCGGCTGAAATCGATAGCTGGATCCTTCAGAACCATGCACTGCGCAATCACCGTCATGTCTGTGGTCTTCTCCTCAAGTTTTTTGCCGTTTTCAGCCATCTCGCTTTCCGCCTTTGCCATTTTGACCTCAGCCCGGTGCATCGCTTCCTTGGCGTCTTGGGCGGCCTTCTGCTTCCCTTGAATCCACTTGATCAGCATGGATTCAACGGCGACGATAGCTTCGTCGGTGACTGCGACGACTGTATCTCTGTATATTGCGTCAATTTTGGAAGGGATTCCTGGGCGCTCTGCTCCGAGATAATTCTGGAGAAGCACGTCAAGCGCAGCTTCACCGGCCTCTGCGACATGACGGTCTCGCAGCGCCTCTTTGTGACTCTCCTCCTGCTTCTTCACCACATTGTCCGACCTCTTGATACGCCCCTCCAGATCATCCACCGTCGCGAGTGTGTCCGTGGCCGTGGCATGGAGGTCCGGGCTGCTGGCCACCTGCTTGAACTTCTCGAGGACAGGGACAAGTGCTGAAAGATCTTTCATGTTGGATTTGTTAAGCGTGCGTTGACAGACCTTCTTGCTGGGTGGTTGAATCTCCTCTGCTTCCGGCTGAGGGGCGAGCGTATGCGATCTCGCCCGCTTCGTACCGGAGGATTCCTCCATGTCCTGGTTGATAGATGACGGCGACGGCAGCGCTGCGGCCTCCCATGGGGGAACATGGCGTGACTCCTTGGGACGGTCCGTACGGTTGCAAAAGACACCACTGTCGTCACTTTGCGGGCTGTCACTGTCCGAACAGGGAGTTCGTGGGTCTTCGGAGAGGAGGAGGCTGTCTTTGAGATAGGCTCGGGTGTTTGGGCAATCCCATGAATCTGGGAGGTAGTCTTCGGGGGACAGCCAATGCTTCAATGCAAGCATGGCGAGGACTCCGCTGAGCATACCATTTTCGTTGCGAGGACCGGCCTACTTCAAGTTAGTAAAAGGCAAATAGATGGACGTGCCGACTTACCACTGTCTTCCATGCATACTTCCACCCTCTGAAGTTGTTTTTCGTCCAGGATCGAAGGAAGTCTTTCAGACTGTCGGCTCGTGTAAGCGATTGATGGGCAGGCGCCGGGTCATAGTGACAAAAGGTCAAGGTTTCGGCTTTCTCGTTGGGCATGATTTTGAGCAGCGTCCAATGCCCATGGCCCCAAGAATGGTAGACGGCGGAAAAGGAAACCTTGCTCTCTTTGATTTCCTTGACCAAATTGTCGAGTGTCGCCGTGGCCCATGGCTTGTAAGGCTTCGGAGCACGGAGGGCTTTGAAGTACTCGGGGTGAACCACGTTTGCGTTGCTTGGTGCGAGATCTTGGATGCGAGTTTGGATAAAGGCAATGACGTCGACGTCGAGGACATGGTTTGGGTTCCTGAGCTGTTGGAGCGTCTTCTCCTGTGCGGTGAGGCTGACACGTTCGACCTGGCTAGATCCGACGCCTGCGTTGACTGCATCGTTGGAGAGGCTGATTGAATTCTGGGTAGAGTCCGTGGGGGAGATGGGGGAGTTGGCAGGAGTTCCGGCATTCTGGGAAGCGGTGCCTCTGCGAGCCGACCTGGGAGGTGTAATGATCTGGACCACCGGTGGCTGGGCAAAGTACTCCCTCATCAACTTGAGGGCGGCATGTGCCGTGGAGGGTTTCCAATGGGGGATGCTCGACCCCCCTGGAGATGCAGCCTTGTGCATGAAGCCACATGGCGACTGCTTGTACAGCATATCCAACGACGGGATCCGCTCACGGTGCTGACGGGCAATGACCGTCATGGCCCGGATGTCACACATGTCCGTGTCTGAGACGCGGGCCTTCTCCTGGCCAGCCCACTGAAACCAGGACTTGGGCGGGATCCACTTGTCAACTCCCCATTCGCGGTCCAAGTACTCACGGTACTGCACAAGATTGACCGGGTGCGTGGAGATGTGTTTGTTGGAGTTCTTTGTGAGATAGACCTCGGCCAAAGTGGGCATACGTTCCACATACACAGTGGAACCGCCAACAGCAGCTGTTGGCTGATCAGAACGACGACGGTCCGACTTGGGAGGCATGATTGCGTGTTGCGTTGGCTGGGGAGGCAAAGAGTTGCGAAAAGGGTTGGTTGTAAACACAAGGGAGATTGGCCTGGTCTGTGTTGTCCCCCGAGAAGAGACGAGGAGAAGCGATGGCTCTTTATGGGAGAAGGCTCCTTGCTTGCGTGCGAGTTGCCGTGCGGGGGGCTCCAAACTAGGACTCGAGCCGCAAAGAGTCGGTCGGCACGAAGAACTGAAAGAAGCGAGACATACATGCTGAGCCGACGTCTGGTATTCGTCGACGTCCGCTGGCGCCGGCGATAGGCGTCATGAGGGGCCTGGACCAGACGGATACTCGCAGTAGTTGGAACGGACGACGAATTGCGCTGGAGAGTAGGCGAGAGAGACGGGAGGAAAAAGGAATAACGAGGAATATGACGGAAGCATCGCGGCTCACCACGTATGCAGGTTTGCGTCTCGGGGTTTTGGTAGCTCATGCGTCGTGGAGAATCGGGAACATGATGGGCATGACAGCGTGGCCAGCGTTCAACAGTATCCGTCCCGCAGACGCAGCGTCCAGCCAGCCTGGTAGGACTTCGTTCACCGACCGCAACGAGTGGCCCGTAGCGATCCAGGTGACGGGTAGCAACTTGAGACCTGCAGACCATGTTTGCTCAGGTTACCAGGTTTCCGATCAGGCTACCAATCAGACTCCGCCGTGAGAGCCGTGTTGGAGGGTTAGAGCGGCCGTCTGGACTTGGCAGACGTGATAGTGTTCCAAAGCGCTGTGGCAAGAGAGAACATGTTTCTGATATATCACATTGGCCCGGCATCGAGGCTGTGGGCTTGAGCAAACGCGTTCTGCACATCTGGTCGAGAGCCCGCGCGGCAACTGCACGATCTCCGCGGACCCGCCTCGCCCGTCTGGATTGAGGATCGCGCCGCTGCGCCCGCAGGTCCTTGAGAAACGGGATGCTGGGACCGGTGTGTTGCTGCTAGCTCGCGGAGTCCCTGCTGTCCCCATCACATCTCGTGGTTGGTGGCACGGCGTACAAACACACCAAGCCCGGTGGGGGGTTGGCGGTTCAGCTGGCACAGACGAGGAAACATACAGTCAGTCGGTCTGGGAAAAAACCCAAAAAAAAAAAAGAGAGGCGCGATTGCGAGCGGCGAGCTGCCAGAATTTCGGGGTCTAGCATGGTCCCCGTCCTCGAGCGCCTTTGCCAGTTCTCCCAGAGTCTCGCGTCTGCGATGAGATCTCGAGAGCCCGGCTACTACTCTGTGGGGAACGGAGATCCAGCCTAGTCGAAACCGCTAGCTCGGCCTGTGCCGGTGTAGGGCGTAGTCAGTCGATCAATCAATCCATGGCATCTCTCTTATCTTCCCGCATTAACGAGGATTTTGGGTCGCGATACACCGGAACTGGCGCTGTCGTGAGAGGTCGTCCCACACTCACGATGCTTCGGCGTGGAGGAGAGTCCGCCCGCGCTCGTCATAGTGGCCCGACGATCCGGAGGAGCACCCCAACGATCCAGAGCACCTCCAGGGATTCCTCTCCTTCGTGCCTGCGTGCTGATGACGCTCGCTTATTTGTAATGCTCCCCCTAACCTAGTGCGGAATTTTCGCAGCGACCGGCCGAACAACACGCCGCGTAAGTAGCCGGAGAGACTTCGTAACAAGTCCGCAGTGTCCGCTTTGTCCGCTTTATCCGCATCGTCGTATTCCATGTAGTCTATATTATGACGGCTCGTCGGCTCATCGGGAGAGCGAGTTGATCCCTCTTCTCTTGCAACAACCAGCGTGCAATGACGCAGCCGGAAGACGCCCGATCCACGGCCTCGGCCCTCCGAAACACCTCCGGCGACGAACCGATGCCGCCCAACAACGACCGACGATCCGACGGCTTCGTCAGTTACGGCTCGTTCCCGTCCACCGACCGAGTCGACGATGCGCCGCCGCCGTCGAAGCCGAAGCCCAATACCCGTGCCCTGGCGCCCGACCTGCTGCGCGGCCTGCTGATGCTCGTCATGGCGCTGGACCACACGTCGCTGGCGCTCAACACGTGGGAGCACGGCACCGGCCGCACCTCCGAGGCCGACGGCGTCGTCATCGGGCGCTGGAACCGGCCGGCCGCGTACATTGTGCGGACGCTGACCCATCTGTGTGCGCCGGGCTTCACGTTCCTGCTGGGCGTCGGCGTCGTGTACCTGGGCCGGTCGCGGACGCGTCTGGGCTGGACCACGCTGCGCATCGCCAAGTACTTTGCTGTGCGCGGCCTGGTCTTGACCCTCATCAACGTCGTGCTGGGTCTGGCTGTGTCGGGCGGCCAGGTGTGGTTCATGAACTTCGTCTTGTTCGCGCTGGCCGTCGACTACTTCCTGGCTGGCATGCTCTGGCTCGCCATCAACAAGACGGAGCCGCTGCTCGCCCGGTCCATCTCTGGGCTTCTACCAGACGATCCCAAGGACATGGACGCTGAAGAGCCTCTTCTGCAGTCTGGAGCAGCCGAAGTCTCAAGCAGCTCCGCCCGCGCGTCGGCCGTGTCGTGGCACGTACACAATGCCAGCCTCTTTGTCCTCGGCCTGGTCACCATCTGGTGGAACCATTGGCTCTCTCCTACCGGCGGCCACTGCCAATTCCGCAGCAATGAACCCAGCACTTCAGCGGCTGGCCCGATGCTTGACACTCCGGCTGTTTCCCACCATCCTCTTGTTGGCATTTGGTTCTGGATTGTCGAGTCGAAGCGTGTGATTTCCCCGTTCCCCCCCATGGCCTGGCTGTCGTTTGCCATCCTGGGTCTTCTCTACGCCCGGGTCAACCTGGCTCGCGCTTGGAGTCGCCGCAATATCGTGCTTAGTCATTCCCTCGTTGGGCTCCTTTTCTTCATCCTCTTTGTCATGACTCGGGTTCTCCGTTTCGGAAACCTGTCCGAGGACTGCCTCCACACCCCCGAGCACGACAAACACCCAGACCAGAATCCATATCTGGTCTCGGTGCAGTCTTTTTTCTACATCATCAAGTACCCCCCGGACGTAGCCTTCTGGGCCTTGACCTTGGCAGGCAACTTCTTCCTGCTCGCCCTTTTTGGCGGGCTTCCTGTCCACATCAGCCAGCGCCTTACAATCCTGCTCGACTTTGGCAGAGCCGCTCTCTTCTTTTACATCGCCCATCTATTCGCCGTTTTTATTGTCGGCGGGATACTGGTCCCTTTGCTGGGCCACGATGTGGGTATTCCAGGCCCACAAAACCCTGATAATTCGCAGGGTATTGATAATGTCTGGGCGTACTTGGCCATCTGGGCTTCGTGTATGCTGCTTCTCTGGCCAGCAACTCGATGGTACAGCCGGTTCAAGAGTACCAAGTCGGCCAATTCGATATGGCGATTTTTCTAAACGTAGAGCGATGTGTAAACAGTGTAAAATACAATAGCATATAGAATATCAATTTAGACTCCATTTGTCACCTCGGGAAGGCTCATCACTTCACTATATCGTATTTGATGCCGCATCTCCATCAATTCAGAGGTCTGTTGCTTCCACCAGAAAACGAACCATCAATGAGCTGACGCTGAGTCATAATCGTACAGCTGACGTGGAAGACGCCCACCGAAGTGGGCATGGCGTCGAATAATCCAACCGGTTTTCGGTATGTCATCGTCTCCGGAACCTCCGGCGGGCATCAGCGCTAGACCACCCAATAAATGCCGTAAGCCTGACACCCGTCTTCTTTATTTGAAGCCCCGTTTAAAATGAAGATGAATACAAATGTGCTTTTTGACAAGATAACGCTTTAAGAAGTCAACCATGAACTCACTCTGGCTGTCTCTTGTTCTCATGGTCTTCGAATGAATCCTATCAAGAAATAGCCACACGCGTTCTGGATGCTTGACTTCTGAGTTGTAGTAAACACGCCTAGCACTAAGCCGGTGTAGGACAGTATTCAAAGCATGTGAAAAGAGTTGCCTATTGCCAGTTTCATATAGAGGAGCAGGACCTCTCTTGGCAGCAAACCATGATGATTCAGTCACTTGGCTACCATTTCTGAAACTATCTAGAGGTTGAGGGGAGCATTGATGAAGGGAGCTCGAAGAATATGAGGGGACCTCAAAAAGGGCCATGCTGTCACTAATTCCGATTCACAGCCACAAGGAGGGCCGGTTTTAAGGCGCCCAAGTACGACATATTGACATCAGAGGCTTTACGTCGCGGCACCGCTTGCAGATAACATCAAAACCAGGAAAGATTTTGGAGCTTGCAGCGTGAGAGTGGGTGTACCGGGAGGGCGCTGGATGATGACCTCTGTAGTTGCGAGTGGATTTATGACAAGACGAATCCTTGCTGACTTGAATCTAAATACCAATAACTATGTTATTTTTACAATACACGAGACATAAGCTAAATCAGTTTCGCGTTGCTATTTATCAAGCATATTTATTGATGGACAGCTACGTGAAAACTGGCCTTACGCACTACCAGGTCCAAAGTATCAATTCGCTCTAATAAACCTCAAGTATTAGGCCTGAGCAAATCAGGATGCACTCACCATCTTCCAATCTCCTTAGTACATGGAACACGCTATCCCACAGAACATATGGTGAGAGAACGACATAGCCAAGTTCTTGATTACTAGAGGGGTGGGACAGAATTAAAGATACATGATCCACTATCTCTCCTATCACTACCACATCCTTTCCCAGCATCTCTTGGCAAATGGCATCTCTGCCAACTTCTTTCGATAGTTCTCCTCAATGCCACCCTCTTCCCAGATTATGCACTCCTCATCTACCTCCTTCTTCCCACTAACCAAATCTGCATCCTCCGCACTCACGAATTTCGTCTTCTTGATAAATTTCCAACCTAGGTATAGGATGATGCTATAGGGGATGCAGAAATAACTCGTGATGAAACCCTGGACACTAAAAGGATGGAATGAATCGAAGCCGATGAAAGTAATGGCAATACATCCGAGACAGATTCCCAAGTAAGCACAATAAGGCGTGAAAGGAGCGAGGTAGGACAGCGAGCTGGTCGGTAAGCCCTGGGCAATGCGAGCTTTATACCATGCGAGAAACACGACCAACATGCAGGTATAGGTTGCAATGAGACCGGTGGTGGTGAGGTCCACAAACCAGTAAAAGACTTCAACGGCAGAATTCGATGAGACGAGGAATGTGACGCAGGCGATAAGGCTCACGGTGAGCACGCAGTAAATCGGAGCACCGGCTTTGGTGCACTTGAGAAGAATCCTCGGCGCTTGTCCATCTAGAGGAAAGTTCGTTAGCAACCTGCGTAATTGAACGGTGATGTGAAGGGTCTTACCTTGTGCAAGTCCATATAGGGTTCTAGATGTCGAATAGAGGTAGGCATTGCCGCACGACCAGCCAGATAGTAAGATGAGAAAGTTGATCAAATCCGGAAGGCCTGAAATGCCTAGGTTCTGGATTCCAATCACCCACGGCGAGGCGGCTGACCCAGCAGCTCCAGAGTTAAGCGCACCAAGTAGTTTCTCGTCAGTTGAGCTGCAGATAATGCCAACAGCAAAAACACCGATGACATAGAAGCCAACAAGTCGATAGAAGACGAGTTTAGCAACACGAGGGATCGTCCTACGTGGGTTCTGGATTTCACCGCTGGCCAGGGCGATCATGTCTGGGCCACCGATGGTGAATCCTGCGTAGAGGATGACTTTCCAGATTCCCAAGAAACGGCCAGTGGCTCCGTCAGTGTAGTAGCTATGCATAGCATTACCACCACCCCAATGGCGGAAGCCGTATGCGTCGTGTCGTGGGTTGCCGCCGCACATAGTGACGAGGGTGAGAAGAACCAGTCCGATGAGAAGAAGGACCTTGGTACAAGCCATAACAAATTCGGATTCGCCGTACCATCTATAACACACATTAGAACGTGGATGACCTTACAAATAGAAGGTGAATTCTCACTTGACAGCCACAACATTGAGCAAGATACAGACAATCATAGCCATGGCGACCCATGCAGCGGGGTTCACGCTTGTATTCCAGTATTGCATCACCGTCGCCACGGCACTATACTCAACACAAACAAGCATAGCGCCGGCAAAGAAGTAGGTCCAGCCCATGGCAAAGCCCAGAGCTGGGTCCACAAAGCGAGTAGCCAGCTCAAAGATAGAGCCGCGAACGGGGAGGTAGGCACACATTTCGGCGACGCACAGATTGGTCGGCCAGATAAAAAAGATGCCCCAGATCAAGTATCCAATGAAGAGAGACAGAGGACCGGCCTTGGACAGGACGCCGCCGATACCCACGAAGAGACCGGTACCGATAGAGCCACCGATGGCCATGAGCTGGACGTGGCGAGGTGACAGACCACGTTTGGTTTGTCCATACTTGTCCAGCAGGTCATCGCTGACATCAGTCTCTATCAGAGTGCCATGAGCCGTATCACTTGTAGTGACTGGAAGATCCGTGGCCTTGGATTCGAGGTCGGATGATGTACCCATAGTGAAGGATCCAAAAACGGGGGCCAGAAGTAGCTCCGTGGGTTGGATAGTTGACAGCAACCTATCCGGCGACAAAGCCCTTCTTAAGCTTGATGCTTTATCGTTGTTATCTCTCGATATCGGAGCCACCTTCTCATACTGTATCTGTTATCTTCCCGCCTCGGGGTTGCTTTCCCTCAATCCAATGCCCCTGTTCTAGTTATACCTATCCCAGACATCGCTGATACTAGAGTCCGGGGTTTGAGCTGATAAGAGTAGATATCTGAAAATCGATGGGATCGGCAGCTACAAGACGTTTTATTGGGTGCATTCCCGTGCCGCACACCGAGACGGGTGGGTCAGATAAGTGCGCTTATCATGACTGGGCTATTTATGCTGACCAGGTTACATAAACGAACGTTATGCTCTAGGGTATTAATGAAAGAAGGTCTGGCGGCATGCGGTAATGAATTGGAGGAATAGAATATTAGTACTTAAGGATGATCCAGCATGTATAGTACTTTTGAGCGACACCAGACTTTCTTGTTGTGAACTGTGTGGCTGAGTATACTAAAGGTTCAGTCTGGGATCTTGGCAGAACACAGAACGAAAGGTATTGGTTCCTCTCCAAAGAATGCTCTTACGACCAACCCCGGGGAGCTATATCTATGAAAGGGAGAAGAGGAGGATAGCCCCTATGTTGGCTGGCCGAATTCGGCAATGATTGCCTGGCGATGCGATAGGCTGCTATGGCCTAAATAGGCAACCGCGGCGATAGTGGGCAGTTGACTCATGTGACGGTAAATCTAGAGTACAATAATGCTGTTACTATGTGAGACTATCGAATGGATTGATGCCATAAGAAGGTGCAGTGGAAAACCGAAGGACTATATCCTTTTATTATTATTCTTTGCTGACAGCCCTTCTGCAACCCCTGCCAAGCCCTCTGCCAGCATCACCTGAACCTAAATATTTCCTATGGCCGCCTCCAATCAGACTGGCAAATTGGGCAAACCTGCAGCGCAAAACCACATATGTCAAGGCACCATGACGACTGTTAACGGTAAAGCCGCATTTTTGGTCCCTGACATATTCATTCTGTTTTGTCGATGTCATGTCTCATAATGTTCAATGGTGACAGTCGAGTGAAAAGTAAAGTTTACCAGATTAGCCCTACCGAAATTAAACTCAATAACTCTAAAATGGAAGGGGAGAGGGAGAGGAGAACGGAGTATCGGGACAGGGTACAGAGTCAGGAGCACCAAGAATAGGATTGGTCAGGTTCCAGAGCAAATATTTGTGCAAAGAATAGAGAGACTTCATAATGAAAAATGCGTACCGAGGCATCATAAAACCACATTTGCATTTGGCGGGTTGTGAAAAGGCCCGACGGGTTTGATTAAGACATTACTTGATCCCATTGTAGTGTAGTGAAGTGAAGTGCCCCTGGTTTTCTACTATCGCCTGATACAACTGACGCAAGGTCGTCGTCTAAGTGGTTGATGACAGTCCGGCCACCAGCCAAGCCATTCAATCGACAACAACGGCACGCGCATGAAACTCAGGGAGTAAAATTGAAACCAGAAAGATCGTACACCAGCGTCACGAAAAGCTTAATAGACAGGACTTTTAAGCTCTTTCCAAATCCGACGGCAACCCGAGCTTGCCTCATTTAGGTGTCTCACGGCGAGTCCGTTGTCTATCCTATTCCAGTTAATCACATCTTACGACCGACATCATATCCCAAACGCTCCCACAACTTCGCCTAGCCCATTACGGCTCTGTAGATACTTGGAACACGACGTCTAACTTTGCCTAAAATCCTGCGCCGTGTGGTGTAGACGCAAGGATGTCCTAGGCGAGTAGGCTGTGCCGTGCCACCGGGTTACGAGGCTTCCAAGCCGAGTTTGGAGGATCACGACGCGATTTTAGCCTCACTAGAAAGTGTAAAAGGCCTGCTGGAATAGCCTCGAGACGTGAAGGCTCGGTGAGCAAGTTCAATAGTATTGCATAGCCCTCGCCAAGAGCCTTGCCAAGAAATTTATAGTGCTACGCGCGTACGCATGTGATCTGGAACTCAAAATGCCATGAAGGCCATGGGGGCGAGGGGCAAGGACTATCCTGGACACTCGAATGGGCGAGCAGGGATGAATAGACGGACTAACAAAACGGGCCAGCATCACGGACTAACATCTCGCCCAGTCGCCCGTCACTACTCCGTACCGAGAACCTTCGTCCCGCCCTGTTCACTAGTGCACATCTCGCAGTCCTAAAGCGGTTGGAACACGCACGACCGCTGGCAGGGATGGGGACGGCAAAACGGACTAACATCTTTGTCCGCGGTCTCTACCGAGAACCTTGGTTTCGCCCTGTTCATCCTAGTGCAAATCGCACTATTCAAAAGCGGTTGGGATGACGCACGACGACCCATTATCTCGTTTTCCTCTACGAGCGACCTGATATAGAGTTTTGCAGCCGGTGACCCACTGAGGGACAGTGACATAACGTCGCAACCGCAGAGTGCCAAGGCCGGTGTGCCAAGAGTCCGACGTTTCGTCCGGGCGGCGGTTGTGCTTTACGTGGTGGATTTTTCATGGCTCATTTATTCCGGAGGTCCCTTCGACCCACTGTCGCACATTGATTGAAGGATCGGTCGGAGCTGACGTGACAATCGGATTATTGCCTGGTGGGATATTAAGTTTAATGAAATATACGAATATGTGGACAGTTGTATGACTACTCCAGTTCTGTGAACTAGTAGGCTGTGCTAGTGCAACTGCAGCGGCCGTTGTCTTGGCTTGGCTATTGCTTTGCTGACTTGGCATTTGACAGGTGCGGGGAATTTCCAACGGTTTCACAAATAGGGCAATAAATCGACGTCGAAGTACGGATCGCCGTGTTCACTTCCCTAATTTGGTTGGTAGGCTAGGCTTGTGCATAACCGTCGTACAGTTATTCAAACCCGCATTGCGATGCGTCAGGGAACGTGTGCTGAGACTTGGTTGGAGATGCGCGCAATCACGTAATGTCAAACAACCAGCGAATATTGGGGATCAAAGATCTATAATATGTCATATATAAATGTTTCAGGAAATAAATAAATACACAGTCACCGCCCGCCGTGTGACAAATCTGTTGTAACAAAGATATACGAAATGGTAAAAGAGCGCAAGCCACGAAGCGACTCCTAAATAGACTTGGAAGCCAGGGTAATGACGTTGGGCTCGCCGGGAGCGTTCTGAGGGAAGCGGGAGTTGTAGCCAAGGACGTTCCTGGACTTGATGAAGGTGCCGATCTCGATGGACAGAGTCTGGGTGGAAACAAACCAGCTGACACCCTCGCTGCAGGGGGGAGTGGTCAAGGAGCCGCTGTATCTAGAGGGGGTGTTAGTTAATTTCATCCAGGTGGATTGGGCGTACACTTACGATTTGAAAGAGCCGGCAGCAAGAATGCTGACCAACTCGGACATGTCCAGAGCCTTGGTGGTAATGTGGGATCCGGGGGTGGCAATCTTGTTGACAGAGCCCAGAACGGTCTCAAGCAGAGGGAAAGGCACGGTAGGAGAGGTCTTGGTCTTCTTGGCCTTCTTGGCCTTCTTGTAGGAAGTAGAAGGGTCGACAAGGTCGATGTAGAGCCCGACAACAGCCAGCGTGCTCGCCTCGCTCTGCCAGACCATGTGCATCTCCATGGCCATGCTGGTGCCGTTGTCGATGTGCTCGCTGGGGAGATGGAAGTGGAACTGCTTCAGGGTGTAGGTGGTGCCGCCGACGGTGAGGGTTCCGGCTCCGTCGGCCACGACCTCGACGGTGGTTCCCAGGTTTTCAAACTCGGCGCCCTCGTCCAGGTCGGGGAGGTCGATGACCAAGTCCGAGCCAGGAACAAGTGAGAAGACGTCCGACACCAGGTCGATGGGGGACTGGTGGGTTCCGGTGGCGCAGAGAGCGTTGGCCTTGGGATCGAGCGAGACCCAGTTGGCAGGGCCCTGCAAGTCGAGGATTAACACATGAAAACGAAACAATTGCGCACGTCACGCAACAAGAGTGTAGTTGCGAGCACTTACGTTGGAACCGGAGTATCCAAAAGCAGGCTCCACGAAGGCCTCGGCTCGCGGCTGCAGGAAAGTGCCGTGAGCGCAGGACGCCAGGGCGCCGGAAGCAAAGGTGGCGACGACGCCGAAGAGTACAGCACGAGGAGCCATTGTGACAGGGAAATATTACAAAAAGTGATTGAAGGGGTTGGGTATACAATGCGTGAAGCTGGCGAGATGTTGAGAGAGAGCCGAGAAATGGTGAGAAGGCTGGTGAGGAGCTGGATGAAGAATGACACCTCATCGGGGCCCGTCCCCAGCTTTTATGTATCTCGAGAATGTCACTGCTGCGTGCTGGGAAGGTCGAGGGCTGGCTGGCTCCAGGGTTGCCCATGTTATTTTGGGAGGGGGATGAGCATCTCACGCATCATCTGTCCTGTCAGGGTTCAGTCTGTGGCCGGGAGCCAAAGTTAGTCGACGCCTCGCAGGTACATAGCAGCAGTGCTCCGTAGCTCCAGGGGGGGCTGCTCAACGGTCTAGAACGCTGCAGGGTCGCCGTTTGCCCAGGCCCTAAGCTGGGTGCTGACTCTGCTGGACGCCAGAGGAGAGCATTGCTGCGGTTATTGGGACGCGCCCTGCGACGCGGGGGATGCTTGGGTATCCCTGTTTTGGGTTTGGAGCCTGCTCGAGCAGTTGAGGCCCATCACCCAGGGAGTAAGTACATAGTGTACTCACCCATGGCAGGCTGATTTCAAACCCGAGGGCTTGGCACGGCGGTGCAGAGTAATGTAATACTGGGCAGTACGTACGTACGCAGTCAGCGCCTTGGAGGCTGTGAAGAGTCGACGCTGACCATGTGGCTGGCACGCCAAGCCCGAGCGGCCTCTGCAGTCTCCGTCGCCGACCTCCTCCGCGGCGTTGAGGCTATTTTCCGTCTGTCCGTCTGCATCTGGAGAGCGCCCCGTCGCAGCCGCGGATGTGCAGACGGCGACTGATTTTCATCAGTGTGCATTGCAGCTCAATGCAGGATTTGTTTGAAAAATGACCCCCCTGTGCACAATTTCCATGGCGTGGAGATGCAACACGCCACGGGTCAAAGCGACAGCCGGATCCAACTCCTCCTCCTCCTCGTACATCGGATAAGTAAACGAGCGCGCCTCTCCTCTCCCGATAACCGGAACGCGCGAGCCACAGAGCAATCGTCCGTTTCGCAGTCGCCCAAGTGACAAGTCCAGCCTGGATCCGAAACTCTAAGAAGGCCATCATCTTCTCCTCTGAAGCAAATGCCCGCAACGGGTCCGTCACCACGCCCGAAGCAGCGGACCGCCATGGTGCTGGAAGCGTGCCAAGAGCTGGTCCCCTTGCAATCAGGCCCTGATGACCTTTCCACGACCCCCTAAGCCCGCCCCCTCCCCCCCTGTCGGCACTCGGTAGGGACTAGATCGCGTTCTCGGCGCCGACAAAACCCCCCCAAAAGGTCCCGCAATCTCCAACGTTCTTCCAGGGGCCGAGCCCCTTGGCACGCTCTCTTGGCGCCAAGCATTGCAACGTCCTCTCGTCGATTCTGCGACTGAGCCTCGTTCCTGGCCGCCGTGGCTGTTAAGCTTAAGTCTTGGCCATCCCAGAACGGCGGGTATGCGCCGCGACGACGGTTCCCAAAGGGGGAACACCTCAGTGGCGATGCCGAACGCCCGATCTAGCTTGTACTACGCAGTAAGGTGAGATCCCCCTGCCAGTGTTTGAAGCGTAAGAATCAAGCTTGTTATGCTTGCCGTTAGAGCGTGGCAGGGCATATGGCAGGGTAAACAGCAGGCAAAGGGCAGATCCAATGGCAGAGTATTACGCAGAGAGCACACCACAGAGAGTAATACACCACAACGCTACAGCACTACAGAGCATAACTTAAATAGCAGCAATTTAGCAATTTGTCAGCCCCGTCAGCTGACTTATGCCCCGCCTCATCTTGTGTTGGGAGTTCCGAAACTCCGGTTGATCAACTCATCTACGCTTTGGTAGTCGGAGCATTCGCCTCCGCCAATTGCAACGCTCTCCATACGGCGGGAATCTCCTCGTCTCCCTCCCCCGATATTGACACTCGAAACCAACACCAACACCATCTTGTCTTTGTTCGTTGTTCCCCCGACGCCAGCCGCCATGACGCCGCTCTATCGCAAAGCCCTCGTGCTCGGTGCCACATCCGGCATTGGCGCGACCCTTGCCGCGAAGCTGGTCGCGACAGGGACCAAGGTCGTCGCTGTAGGCCGTCGCCAAGGTCGCCTGGATGCCCTAGTGCAAACTCACGGTAGTGACAGTGTCAGCGCAATTGCCTTCGACGTCACACGCCTGGCCGACATCGAGCAATTTGCCGCCGGCGTTGTACACGAACACCCAGACTTGGACTGCGTCGTCATCAATTCCGGTATTCAAAGGGGCTTTGACTTTGCTAATCCAGAGTCCCTGGACCTGTCTGTTCTCGGCGACGAGCTCACCACCAATTACACCTCGGCTGTGTATCTCACTGCCGCCTTTCTGCCTCACCTCAAGTCTCAGTCCCGCGCTCAGATCGTATACGTGAGCGCGACATTGGGCCTCGTGCCATCGATGATCCGAACGCCGAATTACAACGCGTCCAAGGCTGCGCTCCACTCGTTTATTATGAATGTCCGCCAGCAGCTAGTCGACGCCGGCCAGGGCCACGTGCGCATGGTCGAGGTGTTCCCGCCGGCAGTTCAGACGGAGCTCCACGACGAGAACCATCAGCCGGACCTGGTCAACGGCGGGGAAATTGGCATGCCTGTTGTAGAGTTTGTCGAGAGGATGGTTGACGGGCTGGTCAACGGCGATGATCAGTTTGCCGTTGGTCCCGGCGAGAGGCTGCTAAAGGAAGGAGGGTGGGAGGCGCAGAGGACGGAAATGTTTAAAGAAGGCCAAGTTGTACTCAACAGTGCGCTAGCAAAGTACCTAAGAAAGTAATTGACATCATCATGCAACTAAAATAAAAATCTGATCAAAAACGAAGGTTAAATCTGTTAGTTTGAACACCAACGCTCACTCCAAGAACCGAAACCGAACGCGATGTAAGAATTCAGCTCTAATGTAAGTTACAGAGTGTATTCTATTTCCAGAAGTGCAAGAGTTCCATGATTCTGCGAAACAGGGTTTTTGGAGAGACATCGGGGGGTGTAGAGCCGTGATACCTGCCTAAGACGGAAATACTTGCAGGGGTGAAGGAACGTAGTCGGCTTTTCTTTCGGCTTTACGGATACATTGATTTTAGCATTGGTACTTGTAAGAAGAAGACGCATGATTTTGTGCGAGCTCGTTGACTGATTATGTTCCACTAGTGTCGAGCCCAGATTCCGCGTGCGAGTGTCTACAATTCAGTCGACGGCAATGACAGCCATGAAGAAATAAGAATAAACCCAAACTCAAATTGAATAAAAGTGCTTATGAATACATACGTGCACAATTCCGTTCTGTCTTCACGTTTCCAAACGTCGTATGCATGGGTGTTAATACCTGTCGCATGTCATGTCTTCTGCCTATTCTACGGACTGCCAAGTTGCTTCCTCCCCCATTTACGCCCATTAAATAACCTCTTGTAAGTAACTTCAACTATTATGTTACCATAGCCTATTTCTAGTAGGTCAGGTCCTTAATGGCATCGGGTGAATGTGAAAGCATGGCGACGGATTGCTAGAGTCAATAAAAATGCAGCTCTGTGACCTGTCACTACAAAGCGCAGACTCCTCGCTTGCTTCCTCATGCCTTCACTCTCGTTATATGGCCAGCTTGCAACTTGAGAAAGCTGTATTACCGTACTGCCTATCCCAAATTTACGATATATTACCTAAACTCTCCTAAATTCATCGTCATTGCAACCGTTTCATGCCAACATCGGTTGCAGGCGCGCTACCCTACATGCCTCTCGCAGATACCGTGGCGCGTGACTCAGCCCGCTTCATCTTGACCGAAAAGCCAGGATGGACCAAGATCGTCGGGTCTTGTCAGATCGTCATAAAATTCTTCCCGAAACCTCTTGAATATGTCTAGGTTGATACTTTCTACGTCGATTGGACAAGCAGCGCCGAGCTATCCGAAGCCATCAACGTCATGTTTCGCTGCTACCAGCGGGTGCATCGCTGTTTTGCTTACCTCGAGGACGCGAGTCACAACGGTCCTAATCATGTTCCAACAGGCGACAAATTTGATAGCCTCATGATGGTTTAATACAGGCGGGACACATTAAGAGCTACTGGCGCCGCAGGAAGTCGACTATTTTGAACGAAATTGGAGATGTCTCGGGAGCAAAAACGACCTGCCCCAAGATTGTCCAAAAGAACTGGGATTGATGATCAGTTCCTCTTCAGCGGAGAATTACCATCAGCCAGTGCTGCCCCGAAGATGTCCTTGGCAGCCGAACGACACACAACCTGGCCAGAAGATATTGCCTATCGCCTTCTCGGCGTCTTCGACATCTCCATATCAATGGGGTATGGTGAGGCAGAAAGGGCCGTTATTCGCCTGCAAAAGTAAATCCTCGAGGAATACCACGACCACTCCGTATTTGCATGGGACGTTTCTATTGTGCCAAAACCCGTTCCGATACTGGTGTCCTTGCGTCGCACCCTGGCTTCTTTAAAAATTGCTCTGATTTCAAATCATAGACGAGCGACAGGGATTCGCTTGTCGTTAGGAGTAGCGGCATGCATATCCAAATTCCGCTGAACCGTAAAAAAGCCACCTTTGGGATGCTTTTATGTTATGCACAATATGATTCTGCCTTGACCACCGGCATTATTCTCAAGCCCCCTTGGCAACAACCAATATATTCGAACACGTGCCCAGGTTCTTGTTACACCTCAAATCTTCGATATCCGGTAGCAAAAGCTGTATTTGACCAAGAGAAACGCACAAAGAGAAGTTGGACCCACTGCCGCCGCTTGTTTTCTTCACTATGGCACGTTTGAGCCTGTTTGCCAATACCCGCCCTTTACTTGGCGCCGAGGCTTGTCGACAGGAAGTTCCAGGCGGGAGGTCCATCGTCAAGCTCCTGGCCACGTTTCCACAACTGTCATTTTCAGGACTACCCGCGAGACCGCGGTCCGCCTGCTCCTCAGAATGACACCTGGGGAGCGGACGAGCCAAATAAGACTGGTGCATTATAATCTGCCACTGGGCAGCGAGAGCGGCCTTGAAAAGTGGTTGGAAAACCTAGTCGCTGGACCTACTCAATTGACCTTTCCTACTGCTGTGGTCACGGTAAAACGCTCAACCGTGTTCTGCCAAGATTTATACACCAACGGTTTTTCCATTTTCCAGGCAAAAAGGTCTAACTAATTGGGACAAATGGTCTTGTCCATGCTTAAAACCTAATAAAAATACGTCCTTGAAGCGTAGGGGGGCGTAAAGACAGTACCCTTCCTTCCTAGTATGGCCAACAAATGAGTTCCAGGTACTGAATGAGAGGCGACGTATCGGAATTCTGCTTTGTATGTAACATCTGGTGATGGCGATCATTAAAAGGCTCAATATTTCTACAGAATGAAAGTTTTGGGGTTAGTTTTATATTATTTGTGCAGCTAACGGTTTGGATTAAGGCATTGTGATGCTAAAAACCTCGGGCCTAAACATCTCCACTAGAATCGAGGACCATAATGGTTCGTTTAGGACAATTATCTTCCTGGGACGATTTCATACATGTGCTCTTAAAACGTATGCTGATCAAGGATGGCAGGATTGGTACAATGAAACAGATTTAGAAGACAGTGACCACAGAATAATGAGTAGTATGATTATTCTACTAAATAGGGGTTAAAGCCGTCTAATAGACGGGCAGCTTGAAGGCAGGGAAGTCATAGGTCCAGCTCTCAATAGACTTCTCGTGGTTGACACAGTCAAACTTGGTCTTGCTTCGCCAGAGAGGACGAGTAGGCCACTGGCACAGCATCTGGGTCTCGCCCTCGTTGTCGCCAGAAGAAACGGTGGTGTTGAGACGGCTGGGCTTCACGCCATTCTCGACCCAGTCAATCATAATCTCCATGTTGTACAGAGGGTAGGGGCCGGGCTGGAGATCGTTGGCGCCGCAGTGGCCAGCGCCGGGGATCAGGTAGAGCTGGTACCAGTCCTCAAGAGCCTTGAGACTTTTCTGCTCTGATTTGTCGCCGTACATGATGGAGCGGACGGACTGCCAGTAGCGGACGGAAGAAGCGGCGGGAATGCTGGAGTCAGATTCGCCGTGGTAGTGTAGAAGCTTGCCTCCGGAAGACTGGAAGGTGGTGAGATCGGGGTAGGTGGTCTGAAGGCTGTCTAGGTATCGGACAAAACCAATGTCCATCCACTCGACCAGGGTGTCGTAAGTGACGTTGTTGAGGTCGGACAGGTTGTCGAGATCCAGCAGCTGAACGAACTTGGTGACGTACTCTCCGCCAGTAGACGGAATGCTAAGCTCCCACGAATCAGTCTCGTTATTATAGGTAGTGCCGGCATCTCCGAGCTCAGAAGCAATCTGCCACGAGAGGTATGCCCGCTCGCCCTTGGTGTTGTGGAGACCTCCGTAGATGGCCTTGGCGACGGCGACTCCTTCGGCGGTGACGGTGCCGTTCTGCTCGGGGGTGGTGCTGGTGGTGCTGCCCTGGGCGCGCTTGTTGAAACCGAAGCCGAGGGAAGAGCTGGTCGTAGCCTCGCAGTAGTAAGACTCGCCGATGATGGAGCTCAGGTCGAAGTTGAGCTTGCAGAGGTCAGTTCGGGAGACGACGCCGTCGGTTCGGCCATCGAGAGGATCGCAAGCGGCAATGGTGGCGTTGACGATCTTCGCAAGCTCGCAAGGGGGCGGGTAGTAGTCCAGTGTCTGTTCCACGGCCGAGGAGAATACGTGGAGGACCTGCTGCTGGGCGAAGCGGAAAGCAGGGGCGCCTGTGATGACACCGTCATACTCCTCACCCCAGCGCTGGACCTGGCTCATACCCTCTCGTCCACCGTCGGAACATCCCTCGTAGTAGGTGTAGAGCTTGTCGTCGGTGGCCATGCTGTAGAAGCCCTTGGTAAGGGCCTTGCCAACCTTGGTCATCTCTCCGAGAGCCTGGTAGCCAAACATATAAGTGGCATCCCAGTTGATGGATCCGTTTCCGTACAGGACAACCTCATCATAGCTGTAGTTGAAGGCGTCGTAACCCGCGTCCGTGGCACCGCTCGCAGCGCCATATCCCAGACCGCCAGTTGCGTCGCTGGAGAGAGAGAAGCCTCCTCCACCAGCAACGTAGAAGCGGTTCTGGAACTCAGAGGGGCTCGGGAACGCGTACTTGAGGATGACCTCATCGCCCTTGCCCGTGTGGGTGTAGGAGATGGTGACGTTGCAGTAGGTGTAAGTCGTGGTGCTGCCCTGGCCGGAAGTTGCGTTGTACACGGCGCTGGCGGTGACGGACGAGGGGATCAGGTCAATGCCGAGCAGGGTGCCGTTCGAAGGGATGGCCGCCTGCACGTTGGAGACGCTACACACATCCGCGAGGGTTGCCGCATTCGCGGATGCTGCCAGAGCAACGGCAACTGCGCGCGAGGATTGACGCATGTTAGGTTAGGTGGATATCGGAACTAAGTGAATGTAAGAACGAGCGCGGTAAAGAGCTCTCAGTTAATGAGTGTATGTCAGAACTATAAGACTGGTTCTTAAAGTAGACTAACGGTTCTGGCGGACTTCTTATAACGCCTCTGAACTAGTTCATAGGTCGAATGGGCGCATTTACTTAGGTTATCGACTACGTAAGCCCGTCCTGAGCCACTTGGTTTACCCCATAAGTCTTGCGTCACCAATCCGCCGCCGATGGTCCGCCGATAGTCCGACCCCAGCACCTGTGATGAGGACGTAAGTCAATGATCGTGAATTGGGTACACATTTTAGAATGGCATATGATGGCCCAGAACAGTCCATAATAGCCCTTTAGAGCAACATAGGTGAAACAAAGTAGGACCGACCGTAAAATGAAGGGAGATGTGGTGGGCGGATGCGTTCAGCCCGGAGAGTGTTCCGGCAGGGCGTCGGCAATGTGCCGGTAGTGTCCGGAAGATGTTCCGCGGAATAACTCTGGAAGAACTTAGAGGACAGGCATCCTAATGTTTTTGTCTGGGATGCGAAATCTGGGGTGACATCAAATTAATTTCCTATCAAGCCTTCCCAGGATACTCCGAGGTCGCTTGCTTGCGTGGCAGGCAAGGGCCCTGAGGAAATCCTTGTTAGTCCCGACCCAGCGCCCACATAGGAGGCGGTAAAGATAGAAACTAGCATTGATCGACGTCATGAGGTTCCAATCAATCTCATCCATCACATACGCGTACGGTTCCCGGCCCTAATCAATCTATCTTAAGTATGATGGACGCGTACTCCCACGGCATCACATGGAAGTGTAAGCTTTTGAAGGCCCGACCACATCCAACGATTTGCAAAATCCCGAGCGGTCATCGAATACACCGAGTTGAATACACCGAACACATTTTTTGGATGAGATCCGACCCAAGCACTGAGTGGCCTGTTGCGAATACAGAATAAAGGACAATGCCTTCGACGACGTTGGCACAACGTTCGCTCGAGTAGCAGCAGATATACTCAGATAGAAGCTTAATTCACCATATTTCCTAGCTCCTGCAGGTCTAGATCAAGCACTAGACCGTATAGCTCGGATCTCACACCTGGAATAAGAGCTACCCTGGATTGTGCATATCCATTTGCCACCCGTGGGTACCAGCTCAACCTTGACCCCCCGACATCGCTGTGACAAAATGGAAGGCTTGAACACATGGACTGTGTTGCCAAATGAAGAAAGATGTCTTCTCGTATGAGTATATGTGGTACTTGCAGAAACCTACGTAGCTAAGGTTATAGCACGGTAGGATAATTCCAAGCCAGTAAAATTATCTAAGGAGAGAAAAAGTAAATGTGATGGGCCTTGATGGACTTCTGTAGACTTTTATAAGACCTGTAAGGCCCCTAAAATCAACAGTCACGGCTGATTGGGATCTCAGTGGTCCGTCATGATTGTATCCTGACTCTATCACTGTGTTTATATTTCGTTGGTAATCGTGACAAGGCATCTGTATAATCAGCATTCTGACTCGAGACGTTTCACAGCACCATTTATATTCCATCATTGAGACTGGTGACGTGTTGGTGACTTTCCTCCCAGCGGACTCTCGAATGTGGGCCGAGATCTACATAAGGATCAACTGTGCCGCGTGCGGCTGAGCTTGAGCAAGAATCTGCCTTGCTGGGTTGGCCCACATCTGTTACTTGGCGTTTCTGCTTGGCGCTGTGTGTGGTTGGTACAGCAGACCATGGATGTGTCGGTTACATCACGGGACTGAGAGCTTGCACCCATTTAATATGGTCAAAAGCGCCTTGCTCTAGATAACTGGGCAGCCTCCCGCCTTGCATCCTCAACAAATAACTCTAGCACTTTCGCATCACTTCAACGCAAAGTTTTCCATTAATTAGCAGCCGCCTTCCAACAACTGGTCTTTGTATCCTCATATTCAGTGACCATGTGCCTTCCATTCCAAAAAAGAAAAAAAACCCAATTCGACGTCCGCGAATTTCGCACCGCCCAAGCGACGACGGATGCCTCCAGCTTCAAGCGTCGAAGACCCAAGAAAAGAAAATACGGAGCATACCACGCACACGGGAGCTCTCATGGAGGAACATGGTTTGGCTTTGCTTTCTTCAGCAGTGATGGTGGAGGAGACGGGGGTGGCGGAGATGGAGGCGGTGGAGGCGGTGGGGGTGAATGAAGTTTAATGATGCGGATAGGATGTTCAAAAACATAGGGTTGAATGCTTGAGAAACAACTATGTCGGCACTTTATTTCGGAGAGTTCTAATTATGCATGAACCGGTCTGTCAGCTACGACTACTTCAAGATAACCTCGGCACGTAATACCGACTTTAAACTACATCAATGACTTTCCGTCGAAATTATGGCTTTCAAATCTTCCAACAGGTTGCGGCTTAGGCCATGAATCATTGCCACCGCCCATCATTCCACATCCTTCAGTTCTATGCTCCTCCATTAGGTCGTTTAAGAACCGGGATAAAGTTATCTCGTTCCATCCCCGCCTCTAGACCTGTATTGTATGAGAACTTCCATCCTCACGATCAAATGGATTTGTTTGGTTCCCGTAGATGAAGCCTTCAGCCTCGCTGCTGATGTATACAGCGTCCCAGGCCCCCGCATGCACAAATCTACACCGAGAGTGGTCTTAGGCCTCACCTGCATAGGTCGGTGCCAGTCTCCAAGAACTGAAGGAAACTCAGGTTGAGGGAAATGAACAAAAAGGCCCTGATCGCAATTTTAAGATTCTAAGGTGGTAAACGAGAAAGAAAATCGCAGGGGGGATTTACCAGATCAGTCATGAAAAGATGCCCCGGGCACGCTGGGTCAAGGTGTGTATAAGTCGATCTTCGATAGTGACGATGCATTGTGTGGCTTCGTATAAGTACAGAAACATTCAACCTTCAATTATCATTCGAATCAGCATTCCTATACGTAAGACGAAACGTCTTTATCTCATACTGATCGGGTAGTTGAAGCTAGCACCGTAGAACAGGCATGGCAATTAAAATATAAACAGGTACCATGCCCAATCTCAATGATAATAAACAAAAAGCCTTCCCAGCATATGGCGCGCATCAATCGAGCCAGATCCCCGCCGTAACCTTTCTGATCCCTCTCTGACATGTAAAAGTCTCTCTTAGCAAGCTTGCTGTCAGATTCTTGTCGTTAGACTCACTCATCCCGAATAGCAGGGTCAACCAAGAGGGAAACAGCCCAACAAGTCTTCGCCTAATTGTGTGCTTCCAGACCTACCTCCTACCATTTGAGACGGACTAATTCACTATTTACGCAGATGTTCGTCTCTCAAGCTGGCAACGCAGTCATGGCCGGCTTGCCGCGCCATATCTGCCGGCATTTCTTTGCGAGCCTCCTCATGGTTCCTTTTTTGCCAATCTGCAGCTGTACACGATGGCGTACAATCAAACTATCTCGTCCCAGCCTCTAGTAAGATTCTTGCTCTCTCAAGGTGGCCACGAGCGGCCGCCCAGTGCAATGCTGTTCAACCCTCAGCATCCCGCTTGTTCGGATCGAAACCCTTGGCGAGGGATCGCAAGATCTGCGACTAAGCTGTTGAGGGACTAGGCAAGTTTTCGCTTGTGCAAGTAGTTTTAGAAAGATCGGCGCCTCTTGAGACGAGTAGCTGAAAGGTTTCCCAGCTACCTGACTCCATGGCAGCGAAAATTGGTGGTGCTTTGAGGGAAGTTCCATCATCATCTATCAGGGTGCCGTTGTCAAGGAGGATCTCGATCACTTCAGTGCGACATTAGAGGGCAGCTAGGTGCATATGGCTCAGATAGGTCTTTTCCACGTCGCCTAAGCGTGTGTCGACTCGCGCACCAGACTCAAGGAGTAATTTCACCACCAATGGGTGATTTCGAAAAATGGCACCAAAGAGAGTCATGCCTCCATCTACCTTGTAATTGACATCCGCGCCGTGCTGCATTGGAATCCCTCTGACCTCTTCGTTGCCCTCGCTGGCCGTATCTAGTAGGGGTGTGAACTTATCGAAGTCGATGGGATCAACCAGCGGACTGGCAGCAAGTATTGCCTTGAGCAGCTTGGGATTGGCACCGCATAATGAAGTGCCGTTTTCCCTTTCTCCTCCAAGACAACGTTGACATCAGACTTACATTCACTAGACTTGAGTGAAGTACTCTGGCAACGCTATGAATGCCACCGATCATTCGATTTGCCTAGGTGGGCGGCACTATCACTAGGGCTGAGGGACGTAGTAAGACTTCAACTAGTCGGTACGCCAAGCCAATGGCATATCCCACCCAGCATTTTAGTGTGAATGGAGGCACAGCCTAGACACCTGGCGAAGTCGCATTTTGTGAGATTTTTTGCGTCGTAGGTTTGACGGTGGGTTTCAGCATAGCGCGGGCTTTGTTTCTCACCCGATCAGACTTGCTGGATGGTGCTTGGCCGAGTCATTCACGCGCCATTTGCAGTCTCACACATGATGCATCGTCGCTTGTGACAAGAATACCAGTGCATTAAGGTATCGAAGAGCATAGTAGATGCAGTCTTCGGTAGGATATCGTAGGCCCATGGCTAAGAAAGTGACCGCAGTCAATAGTTACATTATACATTCAAGGACTGTAGACCCTTCCCAATTATCCCAAACTCCTAGACCAACCGCCCTCAATTAGCTGTTGGGAGAACATTGTTGCCCGACTCGACGCTGTCATCCGAGTCGAGAGATAGCCGCCTGTCCTTGACGAACTTCGGCCAGGTGTTAGTCAAGACAAGATACTTGATGCTGGCCTCGGAGTCGTCAAAGACGGTCTCGTCAAACTCGTCGGGGATCTCGCCCCAGTACAGCGCCATGTCGCCGATGTGGCCCGAGGAGGAGTCGGAGATGATGGCCACCTCTGAGCCGTTGGAGGAAGCCGACGACGACTCAACCTTGGCCGGGCCCCCGAAGGCGTCGAAGGGGGTTGCCGGGTCAACCTCCTGCTTGTCGCCGTACAGGATGCGCGCCGAGTTCTCAAAGATGCACTCGAGCTTCTTGAGGTCGGACGACGAGAGGTTGACCTGGAACTCGGCGTCGCGCGAGCTGATGAAGCTGGTGTAGATGCGGAGCGCACTGTTGAAGCGCTCACGCACGAGCTGCTGCGTGACGCTGTCTTGGCTCTTCTCCGGACCCTGAGCCGACGGCGGCAGCGAGGACTTCCACTCGGCGACGCTCCTCAAGAAGGCAATGTTCTCGCCGGAAAAGTCCCGCAGGGCAGAGAACTTCTGCAGCGGCTCCGGGTTGCGCTCGAGGACGTACTCGAGCGCGCCCATGGTGAGGATGCTCTCACCCGAGTTGGTCTTGACGGAGCCGTCCTTGCTCCAGGCAGTGAGGACCGAGCCAGCCATCGTCGTGGAACCAGTGGCGACTGATCGGGAGCTTTTGCCGAGACCTTTGTTGTTCAGCTCCCATTGCGCAATGGAGTCGAGGGTTTCCTGTCGTAGATTCTGGTGCCTCATCACTTCCCAGCATGGAAAGAAGATGGTGAATATCTCGAGCAGCATAATGGAGATGGCAATCCTGCAGAGTGTCAGCGCCTCAAGCGCCCCTCGAGCCAGCCCTAGGTAGGGGAACTTACCATTGCGGAGGAATCCAGACGTCGTTGACCGGGGCCATGGCTGGGACGTACAGGGCGACGAGCCACATGGGAGTAGCGTGAAGGCTTGTCTCGGTCAGCGGGGGTTTTCTATCGACTAGAATGAGTCGCACTCACTTGGCAAGACAGCAAGCGATTGTCTGGAATCTCCATCCCTGCGTGTCGTTGATACCGCGGGCCTTCCAGAGAATGACGGGTGCGATGAGCCACGCCCAGAAGAACTGCCAAAAGACCGAAGGCCACCTGGATATGTGTGAGTGACTGTACTTGTTATCTGTGTCGGTACGAGGCTTACCATTCCCATCCTCGGGAGATCTGGGACTTTTGCTGTGACTCTGTGCCGGTAACTTCAGTTCCCGGGATACCAAAGGAGTGGTGGAACTTTCGCGAGACAAGAAACATGAAAACGGTAAGGAAAAGCTGCCATGGTCAGCGTGATACGGAAGGGATAGACGGGGTGGCGTACCTGAAAGGCCATGCCAGTGCCGACCAAGAGCAGGATCTTGCGGGTGTAATCGAGGGCACGGAAGCGGCCAAGGAGAGTCGTAGGCTTGGCCCGGTCTATCTTGAGAGGCTTCATGTCCTGCTCCTCGGCGAAGCGCTTCTTTTGCGAGTTCGCAACGTGCAGGAAGCGGCTGTTGGAAGCGTGGAACAGGGCGATGCCAAAGGGGAGCCAGATGTTCATGATCCAGAACTCAACCCACGACGGCCAAATAGGGCCGTAGCAGTAGCCCGTTTGCACGGCGCCCCAGTAGAGATGCAGCAGGACGATGGCACTAAACGACAGCGGCAGGCCGCGGATCCGCAGCATGGGCATGTCGCGGCGGCGGTACAGGTAGGTCATTCCGCCGGCGACGACGAGCGTCCACAAGAGGGCGAAGACGATCCAGAAGACGCCGAGGCCGTCCAGACGGGGCTGGGGCTCGGCCGATCCGGACTCGGCCATGTTGGTTGGAGGGACGCTGGACACGGCGGAGGAAAGACTGAAAGTAACTCTGGGCGATGTTGCTGGGCGAGGTGGAGTGCGAGGCGTGGCGTGCTTGCGTGCGTAGTTGATTAATGATTAATGAACGTGGTGCGAAGGAATGTGGTGAATGCCGATGCTGAGGGCAAGCGGAGATGGATCAGTTATGTATCGTGTTGGATAGACGACCCCCAGGGATAGAAGGAAAAGAAAAGAAGAGATTCACCAGGATCCTAGACGATGCGAGTGAGCTATAACCTCCCTCATCCCTCCCTCCTCTGCCATCGACCGCGGATGACGAGGAGCAGGGGAGCCCTGGTTCTTGGAATCTAGCTCGGCAAGCCATCACGGGGGGGTCACCAGGGTCTCGATCTCGACGATCCGCCCTTCTTTGGCAACAGGGCTGCCCTTTACAACGCCCAATCTGACAGGTCAACCACCCCATCCATCACACCGGAGAAATGACAAGCTGCTCAGAGCGGCCCACGAACTCCCCCAACAACGAGCCAAACGCAACAGGACCTAGCCGGCTCCCCAAGGTTCAGCTAGCCATGACGCTGCTCAATGCAGATCGTCGCACAATCAAGCTAGGGTTCCTGTCGTGTCCCCCTCGTTCGTTTCGCCAAGCGCTGCAAGGGCGGAACATTTCGCGGCTGAGACATTGCTGAGGGATCGACAAGACAACCCCCGGCGCCGACCAACCAGACGCGCATTTGGCCGGCGACGAATATCAACTACCGGTAAATACGGCCATGGCGTTTGCCATTATCTGAGCATCGTGCCCTGTTTGGGGTTGGCTGGACGTGCCAAAGTCTGGTCCTTTTTCCAGTCAACTTGTTCTCCTTTCCGCGTCTTCCTTTCTTTTTTCGTCCACGCCTGAAAGCCTCCTCTCTCCGCTACAGCCAGTCAGCATCTCCGAGAAAGGCTGGTCCCGCATGCCGAATTAATGGCTGCTTTTTTTTTTTTTTTTTTTTTTTTTTTTTTTCGTGGCTTCAAAACCTGCCTGCCGAAGAATTTGTTTCCCCCACGATAGCGTGCTGTGGCTTCCATGCGAGGGGGAATGAACACGCGATAACATGGAAGAGCGGCCGAGACATATCACAAAACGGTCCATGTGAATAAGGCCCATGACCTTATTGCCAGGCAAATTGGCACGTTTATCATTTCTTGGCTGCGGAGCAGTTCCCGTCACGGCCCTTGCCGCAAGCCTAATGAGTGTTGCTGCTATTATTCACGGCAAAGCACTTCAAGCACTCAGGCCAAATGTAGTTAACCTGCCATTAAAGCCTCCTGCCACATCCCTGCATCAATGCTCCCATCGAGTTAGTTCTCTCCGTCTCTCACATCTCAGCATTCACGGCGCGCGTTTTATCTCGCACCGGGTGTCGGAGCTGTTACGTCCGATTGCGTTGCGATGACGCCGCTCCCACGCTTGTCACTACCGCGACGGCTCATTGCCAAGTCAGGCCAAGGTCAAGCACCAAGTCAGTCCAAGGATGCCAAATCTGGCCAAGGCCAAGTCAGGGGGATGACGGGGACGGGGAGCGGGAAGTGGAGCGCATCGAGTTTCCTCCCATGCGTCGTTGGGACTTGACGAGGTAACATTCCCCATGTCTGAGAGACGAACACAATTGCATCTTTGTTCAATGCGCTTTTGCCTTTGACCAACGTCTTAGCACGTCTGGGCACGTCAGCCATCCGTCTTGGTCAAACCCGAACCACACGCGAGCACCCTCTTCGTGTGAAACTCGCTAGACTGAGAAACGCGCTGTTTTCTCAACTGCCACTTGCATCAATGACTGACGGAGTAACCATCCATCCACTCGATGTGATGGTCGATCCCTGCCCAAAAAGCCACAGCCACCACCGCGGGCAAACAGGTCGCTTAACACCGCGGGTCCACAAGGTGCGACCGAGCCACAGCACACCCATGGATGGTTGATGGCCTCATTTTCCCGTGCTGTCGGCTGCATGAAAACCCGAAGCGTTGACGTGGGTTAGCAGCTGAGGCCAGCACTATCACACTCATCCCCCCGGTCGTCGCTTAGCGGTGATGCGGGTTTTCCCTGCAGTTGATCGATTCCGAGGTGATCTCAATTAGATATTCAATAGTTGCTTCCCGTCACCCTTGATCCTGGAGCCGAGCTGATTTCCGGCGGGACGGATGGGATGATTAGAAAACAAGCTGCGATCAACATGGCCATCAAATCAACGATGCACCCACAACCACGGTACCTAGCATCCGCATGACAAAATCTGACAGCCATGGCACTGACGTTCTCGCTCAGAACCATACCCGTACCCCGCAAACAAGTCAAGCCTGCGGTACGTACTTGCACTTGAAACCGGGTGAGCAAGTCCATCTATCCGGGAGCAGAATCTTCAAGTGCTTACCCCGTAAGCACTGCATGGCATGTGGCTTGCAGGAACGCGCCCAACGTGTCCTCGCTCCACCTGGCCGTCCCTCTCGAGTCTCCCGCAAGTTCTCCAGGAACGATTTTTCACCCGGAGACTTGACAGATGGGCTGCGGGGGCTCAGAGATTGCTTTGTGGGGGGGATCGCCATTCATCCAGGGCCCATGCAGCCAGTCCGGCATTGGAACCTCAACCCCTGCCGCGCTTCGGATGGGGCAGTTGCAAGCTGCTACGTCAGTCGAGCCGTCTTGAAAGTTCTTGCTGTTCACATGATATTGATTGTAAATTGACTGCAGATGTGATTCAAGACCACCACGGGAAACGGCTTTCTTGGCAAGCCGCTTGCAAGGACGTCTTCGGACCGACAGGAAGAAGGTGGAAGTGACGCCCAGACAGCGGCTTGTTCTTCTTTCATTGCGACTGCTTTCATTGCAACTGTGATAGGAGGTCTGATCCAGCCTTTCTTCTTCTCCGGCCCTTTACTGAAACATGCTGGACAACTTCTTAACGGGCCAGGCACGGGCGTCTCGGAGCTTTTCCACCACGCCTCGCAACGCAAGCCGCTCGTAATGGTCCGTGAAAAAGTCCCCGTAGAGCTCCATCCCGAACGCCGTGTGGACCAGTGCCGGCGGACAGGCAGGATGGCACAGGCTAATGCCGCACAGGTCGAGGATCATCTGTCTAACCTCGTTTTCAATTTCTCGCCATCGCGCACGTGTTGTTGATTGGCCACTGTGAAGCGTTAGACGTTGGCAGGTTTGAGTTGGTGCGAGGCGACTTACGTGAGGAAGGGGTTCTCGGCCATGAGAACCATCTTGGCAATTATTGCAAGCTGGATGCTCGTCACCTCAAGGGCGGATGAGTACCAGATAATGGGGAATATTTCCCCATTGGACCGGTCTGCTTTGCGGGTGAAGAAGGGTTGAATGTCACGAACGGCCTCTTCCTCGAGCTGTTCGCCCTGTTTCTGAAGCCGCACTTTGAAATTCGTCAATTAGCATTCATCACAGAGAGGTGAGACGTGGAACTGCTCAGGGAAGCTGTAAACTCACGCCATTCTTGCTCGGAGCGATCAGACAAACGCCACTTTGCTACTTGCGCCGTGTGTAGCACAATCTTGTTGGCCTTGGATGCGCCCTGGCCGTATTCTGGCTCCAGAGTCATCTGAGGCGGATGCCGTCGCGTGAAGGAATGGAAAATCTCCTGCCTCACCGCCATCCAGTACGCCGCTTGGATCAGTGACCGGCGCCCGAAGAGGGTCTGCGAAGGCGCGCTGCGCAGTACTGCGTCGATGATGGCGAGGAAGTTGACCTGGTGTTTCGGTCGAGACTCCCCAGGACTCTCACCCGGGCTACCCTGCCGGTCCTCGCCGTCATCTTCGTCATCGATTTCCTCAAGTTGTCGGAGAATGACGGCCGTGGCGATGATGCTCTCGAGGCGCTCGTCGTCTTGGATGGTGTGGAAATCTCGAAGCGCCGGTATGCATTTCAACGTATACTCGACAGCGTCGTGCGGCGTCAGATTCGGCAGAAGTTGTCCTTGGTACAGTATGCCGTTTGGTGTCTTGAACCTCGGCAGGCGAGTGAGGTGGCGGGCTGCTAGGGCAAAGATGGCGTACAGCAACGGAGGGTGATGTCTAGCCCGGATAGGGACAACCAATTGAAAGTGTCTTTTTTCATCGCAAAGATCAAACTGGTCGTGTTAGTAAAGGTTGATCACTGACCATTGTGCGTTTACATACCCAGTGTGACAGCTCCTCGACAAAGTATCTCAGCAGACAAGCCTCCTGGGGATCTTGCAGGGGAAACACGGCGGACTCTCCAGTCCGCGGGCGCGGGAAATGAGTGTTGGGAGAAAGAGACGATTCGTCGATCCTGTCGTGGGCTTTTCCATAGGGCTGTGAGGATATTTCTGGATTGCGAGTGGAAAGATCGGAGCGGGTGGTTGAGCTGGGCGAATCTGCGTTTGCTCCTTGCCATGGCCGATGCCTGTATCCGTGAGGACTGCGAGCCGCATCTTGAGCATCGAGAGATGGTCTCTGGGCGAGAGTGTCAAACAGTGAGGTATTCTGTAGAGAAGACGCCTCGCTATGGGCCGCTTCTTCACTGCGAGCCACTGCAGACGGACCCAGGATGGCACCGGAACTCAGTGAAAGATCGCCCTGAGCACCTCGAGCATCAACGCAGACTGCAGGGGGTAAGTCTTGGTTCGAAACAAGCAAGCCAGAGACGGACTGAAACTCACACTCTTTGATCTCGCCGCTCACCCATCGCTGGTCGTTGTTGAAGGGCGCCGTGGACGCGTTCCGGAAGACGGTCTTTTTAGCAGGACGAGTACACGTCAGGTTCCGAGTATAGCAGCGACGGCATTTTGGTCTAGCTTCGTCGCCTTTATGCAGAATTAGCACAGGCCGTCCAAGGGAGCAGAGTCCATCTTCAGTATCCCTGTCAAAAGCAGGGCGAAACGGGCAGCGGGCCAGACCAAAGTGGCTCTGGGGCTTCAGTTCTGAGACTTACATTTCACATGTTTTTCTGTTTCGTCCAAGTCAGCACAACACGCGGCACGAGAGGCAAGTCTCGGGAGTTGTCCCACCTTTACACTGGAGACATGGTCTCTTTGCCAGTGGCATCTTGCCATTCGCCGGGACCGTTGCGACGTGAGAAACGCAGCGTCGTCGATTTCCATGTCAAACCCCGCCACTCCACAGCTTCTTCGTGGCTGAGGGGCGTCACGTGATGCCAAACTCGCCATTCTCACCGAGATCTTCATGGGGCTGCAGCTACCCTACATTGCACGTCAATGCGGGATTGGGTTGCCGGGTGGTCCATGATGCATTTATACACGACTGAGATAGGCAAGATGGTTTTCTTGACCTACTTCACCATATTTGACCCTATGAATTTACAAGGGAGCTCAATACTTCTTCAATTATTAGTGCTAACTACCTAAATGGCCTTAGTCAGCCGGATATCCCTTCACTCTCTTGGGTCAATTCTTAAGAATAGCGTGAATTCACCGTCTTCAATCTCATCATCCCCCTTCATCATGGCAAGACAAACAAGATCTGCTTCCAAAAAGGCTTCTCGCCCTCCTCGAACTGCCGCCTCTGCATCACCCTCCCCTCCTCAAGACTCCACAACTCAACTTTTTGAAGACGCAGCTGCCTGGGAGTCATGGTTGGATGTGACACTGAATGGATAGGATCACACTGATGATGATGAAAGCTCTTGATTTCTAGCTAAGGGACGGGTCTAGAGCCCGTCTCTTATACATGACGAAGACGGCTGCTGCCGGAGGCGGCAGTCCGTCGCCGTCGCACAGGGGCCGGGGCCCTGTGGGTCCCGGGGACCGGGATCGTGGTTATAGGGCCGGCGATATGGTCTGAGGAAGAAGGGAAAGTCGCGTTGTCTAGGAAATGCCCCTAAATGTGACATACCCCCCCAGCTTGAAGGTATTCAAGCTGTTATCCTAGAAAGAATCCCTGTTGGAGGGATAGCTGAAATAGCTAAATTTTGCCCTGTTGAGAGGGACTGTTAGATAGCTTTAGACAGTAGGAAACTGCAATAGAAAATAAGAGTAAATAGAGGAAAGGCTAGTCTTCGGTATCTGACTCAACCTGCAATTCGATAACAGCCCTGATGTTAACGAGACCTAGCTGCCGGACGAAGTCTTTGAATTTCTGACCCGGCAAGGCTTTGGTCAGCCCGTCAGCTAGCATTTGAGCTGTCAGTGTGTATTTGATCTTGAAGAGCCGCTTTAGATATCCCTGTCTAGCCCAGCAGCTGTGGATGTCAACATGCCTGAGGGCGGTCTTGATCCTAGGGGTCTCGAGGGTCACGAGCCGGATAGTCTGTTGGTTATCACACTCAATTTCCAGCTGCTGGTCTAGCTGAAGTCCTAGCTATTAGAATAGCCGTTGGGTAGCTAGGGCTTCCTTGGCTGTGTGTGTGAAGGCAAGGAGCTCGGCTTCCGTTGAGGAGGTTGTAACTGTATCCTGTTTCCCGGCTTTCCAGCTGATAGGTCCGCCAAAGAGGGATAAGATTGATCCCTGGGATGATTTCCGGCTTATCCGATCATCCGCGAAGCTTGCGTCTGATGCGATTCGAAGGTCGCTGCTGATTTGGGCCGTAACCGTTGTCTTGGAAGAACTAGGAAAGTTAGGGTCGCTAGGAAGGTCCGGGTCCCTAGGGCTAGGGTCCCTGCCGTCAAATTGGATCGCCAGATATCGCGTTGCATAGAGGTAACTGATAACGCCGGCTGCGATCCGTTGGTGATGGTCTGAGGGGTTTGTGAGGTACTCAGCCAGCTTTGAGGCAGCCTTTGCTATGTCGGGCCTAGTGATGACCGCGATATAGTTGATTGAGCCGACCTTTTGCTGGAAGAAGAGGATTTGGGCTAGTGTAGCCTGAATCGGGCTTGCGGATAGGTTGTTAGTCGGCAGAGGATTTCCCTTGAAGCTTTCCTTGAGGACGATGTTGAATTTAGCTGCTATTTTCTCGATGAAAGAGTCCTGACAGAGCCACAGCTTTCTAGCCGGTCTGTCCCTTAGGATCCGGATCCCTAGGAACCAGGTTAGGTTGCCCAAATCCTGCATTCGATACCGCGTTTTCAGCTGCTGGATCAGCTGCTCGGCGGCTAACTGGTCTGCAGTCCGGTACAGCAAGACGATGTCATCCACGAAGAAGAAGACTGTAATCCAGCTGTTGTTGCAGATACAGGGGTCTTCATTAACTTGGGTCAGACCTAGCTGCTGGAAGGTCTGCAAGAGGTCTCGTTGCCAAAGTAAGGGAGATCTGCGGAGCCCGTACAGGGCTTTCTTTAGCAATAGCAGCCAACCGGGACGATGAAATCCATCAGGATAGCGGATATAGACGATTTCGTCAAGGCGGCTGTTGGTAAAGGCGTTGATGGCGTCTAGCTGCCGAGCCTCGAGGTCGAATTTGGCGGCAATGGCCATGAGGACCCTGAATGACTTCCCTGCTAAGGTTGCTGCATAGGTCTCTTTATCGTCATACGGCTGAAGATCCCCTCTAACAACTAGCCGGGCCTTGCATTTGATGAGGAATCCGTGCTTGTTGAATTTATATTTGAAGACCCAGGCTACGGGCAGAGCTTTCCCTTCGGCTTCTTCCTTAGGAACAGGCTCGAAGGTCCCTTGAGCTTAAAGGTTGTCAATTTCTATATGACAAGCCTGTTTGAATTGGAGCCCTAGGGGATGATTTTCCAGGTCCTTGAAGGTCCTAGGCTCCGGAGGAAGTGTCCGTCTGTGGACCTTTTCCTCTCTTCCAGTATAAAATGCAGTGGAAAAGTTAGCCGGCTGCCGGCCCTGTTGCCGTTGGGAGCTTCGAGAAGCTGGTCCGTATATTTCATCACGTCTGCGGCGGCGACGGCGTTGCCGAGGCTGTGGGCTAGGCTCCCTACTGGCTGCTGGGCTAGCTGCCGGACTAGCTGTCAGACTGACTGCCGGGCTTGCTGCCGGACTAGCTGCCAGACTGACTGGACTAGCTTCCGGGCTAGCTGGAGAGCTGGTTGCCCTCGGGGTCAGGTAGGGGCCTTCGTCATCGAAGTCATCGAAGTCATCAAGGTCAAGGGTCTCTTGGTCCTTGGATTGAGTGGGCTCGGGGTCGCGGTCTTCATCGAAGTCAGGATCTTCGTCATCGTCAGGGTCGTCAAAGTCAGAGTCATCTGGGCTCTGGTGTTCAAGTGAGACCTCAATCGTTGATCTGACCTCTTCGTCATCTAGGTCTTGGGCCGCGGTCCCGGCTGCTAGGAAGACGGTCTCTTCC